ATGCCGCCATAGAGATCCGTCATTGGAAAAGGTACCTGAATATCTGCAGTTTGCCCATTGACACCTGATGAGACTTTTTAATATTAGTGGTGAGCTTTTCTATAAAATATATATTGATGTGGATTATCTAAAAGACTTACCCACAAGTAGCTTGATCATAGGTCACCATCTGCTCTTGTGAGGGAATAACATTTGTCGGAGTCACGCTTTGAGCCCTCGCCTCTTTTGAGCTCGAAACTTGTAGAGCAGAAATATCAGAGCTCGGCATTTGAGCCAGGTGAGATGAGAATATAGTATCATCTAGCATTCTGGGTTGATTCATTGAGTAATCATGGAATCCGTAAACCGGTGAGGTAAGCGTGGGGATAAAGGTTGGGTTGTTAGGAATTAGGGTTTCTGGTAGGGCAAAGACAGTAGATTCATGATGGTCTGTTGGATAGGGGATCAAAGAGTTGTCGGCGTCAAGTTTACTATGTCTTTCTGTTTGGTTGAAATTACAATCCCAAGACATAGTTATTGGTGGTTTGCACAGGTCGTTTGAAAACTTAGATTGGGAGATATTATCAGCAGGTGGAATTGAAGAATGAAAAGTGAATTTAAGTATTTTTTCCCAGATTTCAACTACTGATTTATATAGAAGGAAAGTAGAAGGAGATCTTGTCCGACATTTAGTTACTGATGGGTTGCTTGGTCCTGCACGCCATGCATTAGTGCCCGACATTTAGATGGGTTGCTTGGGTTGCTTGGTCCTGCATGCCATCATTGCCATGCATTAGTTGGCACGGTGAGCTGACACTTGCAGCATTGGAGGTCAGTGCTGGACTTGTTTTGATCTTTACTAGATATCTACACACTAGTTCAATTTCTGGATCATGCACATTACCATATTTAGTATAGTGTCAAGTCCCGCATATATATGCAACCAATAAGAATTAGGATTATAGTGATGAACCGACCAATCATGTACGCGTTTCCCGAATAGTTAATTCAGAATAACTTGTTCATTGGTCGGATGTTCCGGTTCTTCTTTTAAGGCACGTTGTAGTGCATAGAAGGTGAAGGCGTTAATAAAGGCTGACGAATTAAATGGCTGATACACAGCCTGGTGGAGTAATACTAGTATAGAATGTGGAGTTGAAGTGTGGAATCGATAAATAGTATGACACTCAATAGGTACTCCTGGTTCGATCTCACTTCATTCAGACATATTACTCTGAATACACATGTATATAGGGTATCGCTACCTGGGTTTCTGGTGCCTAGGTAGCAATCCCTAATCTATGGGGGTTGCTGGGATGAAGTCCATCCCAATTTACTTCTAGGGCTCATACGAGGCAGAAAGTTTTGAAATTGTTATGAGTTCTTAAAATGATTTTAATTTCAAGTTCATCGGACATCAGGAAAAGTTGTGGTGGGTACCCCTAACTTTGTAAAATATTTTAATGGGGTGCGGTCGCAAAGTGATAGTACATAGACTGTAACGGGCTGATGCCCGCCAAATGGGAAATATGGGCACGTATAGCATATGATATATTTAAACGCTCCCGCAGTCAAAAACTGTGTTCACCATTCTCTGTATATCAAAAATTTATCTAAGCACTATAGGGGTGAGAAATGATCTCTTCACTCTAAAGTAAGTTCCCTCTGATATCGAGTGAAAAAGGTGAGTGTTTCTATAAATATTTTCAACGGATTTTTCAATGAACTTTTTAACGGATCTCTTAAATGGAGCCGGTTCAAAAGTCAAGGATTGTAAGTTTATGATGAATTTAAGCAGGGCTTCTTAGGACGTGAACAATTGAAAGATACCGGAGGCATAAGAGTGGAATCCTCGGGTATTAAAATTTGATAAGAACGATCTCCTCTTGCTCTGGGCTAGGGGCCGTTGGCGGATCCCTTCTACTTGATGAGAGATACGAACGCCTTCTGATAAAGAAAGTAGGCTTGGAGAGTTATCAGTCTCTTTTAATAAAGTCCAAAGAAGCTGCGCCTTGCTTTTGGAGGGACATAGTTAAGTCTACCTTTGGTGAAGAATTTGGCTGTGATTTTTTTAGATGTGGATCATTTCATTCCGCTTCTAGGAGTAGCAGATCAGCCTGACAAGAATATAGATGGTGGATTTGTTCATCTCGAAGGGTTAGTTTAGCACAGTCTATCATACTGATCGTTCTGCTTGACCTTTCTAATCGCTACCCAGTGTTGAGATCGAAGAGATATTTAAGCCAATAGTGTTAAAAGTCGAAGAATTGGTACGGGCACAGCTTATGAAAATCGACCATCTCCGATTGAACGCGAAGGTAAACCATAGCCCTGTCACATTGGATTTTTTTGGCAATTGTAGGCCATCATTCTTGTGGGTGAGGCCCTTAAGATATCTCTTCCGGCGCCTGAAGAACAGCAAAGTCCTTCCTACCTGCAGCAGCGTTCATCTGGAACTAAACCATATCACTCGAGCAGCTTGTCCATCAAAAACGCAAGCAATTTTTATACACCTTTCTATCAGTACAGACCTGTCTTAGTCCGTCAGTAATATAGCTATGAAAAATAGCGATGCTATCACCGATATATCCATTTGCTAAGGATGTCTATTTCAATGACTGCTTCTTCACGAGGCTCGACAGAAACGCGTGATTGAACGTTCCAATCTCAAAGCCTCTCGATTGGCGCTAGTCGTCTATGCACGAACAAATATCATGACCTAGAGGAGGGGACACATCTAGGAATTCTGACAGAATCTCCTGGATTTCAGGAATACTCTTTACTTTTCTTAAAGGCAGGAGTTGTTTCCCTGAATTTTGACGTTCAACGACAGTATCACTGGCGTTGAGCGCTGGGGCTAACACGCTGTTGAAGTCAAACAAATGGCCCCACCAGGATAGGTCCTCTAAGAATTTCTTGTTTCTTGTAACAATCCTTGTAGCTAATCGCAGGGTATCACTATTCTCGAAAGCATGATTCGAGCTATAGTTTATATCTATGGCTTCTATTGTAAGGGTTTGAAATGAGGAGATAATACCAAGCATGTATTGCATTTGCTGCTCTATTATATTCCGTTGCAATCTAAGAGACTAAAGGCCAAATTGGTGATCTTGCCAGGCCAGTCCACTTCGGGGTGCACAACACGCATGTGTCTGGTCAATGCGTCATTGCGACTGAATGTCTTCTCCTCGGTACACAGATGACACCGCACCTTTTGCTTGCGTGCATTGTGGATCGTATCCTCATGGCGGGTAAGATCGTAGGGCCTCAAGATTCTTGCTGACTTCAGATCTGACCTACATACTGCCGTTAGAAGGATTAAGGCTCTCGTGTAAGGGGCCTAGCGCGTATCTGCGGTCACAATCACCCGAAGACGGATCTTTAGTGCATCAATTCCGAAACTGTCAAGGTCAACAGCGTTCTAAGGATATCTTGTGCGATGCTCCTCTTCAGCTGCGTCTCGATATACAGCTCCTCGTAGTTCGCTTTATCCAAGATTTCGGACAATCACCTAATTGAAATTGAAGGATCACATTCTGAAGTCTGGGGAACTTTTCATGATTGGAGGGTTCGTCTATACTGATCGATCTGCAAATGAGTGGTAAAAAGCAATAAATAGTTAGTTAATATCTCTCTAGCCAAGGTTATTAACGACCATCTAGTTAGTTAATCGAGAATATTAATATGTAACCAAGAATTAAAACCAAAAATAAATGATACGTACCATGTAGTTAGCACAGAGCAACTTCTTGAATAATTAGAGTTCGGCTAAAAGTTTAAAAAGAAAACATTAGGACGAGATAATAGTGGAGTTGTAATCGCCCTCATCCAAGTATGTAAGATCCGAGGCCTAAAGCATTTCTGACAAATTGGAGGACCCATCCTCTGAAAAAACACACTCGTCATCCATATCTTTGAGAATCTTGTGATAAATTCTGCTCGACCGGATGCATGCAGTATCTCTGCGACGATATGGTGTATTTGGAGAAGATCGGGAGATGGCAAGTCGAATCGGGTTCCGTTATTACCGAATTTTACCGTTTGGATGTCTGGAGAAAGATAATAATCGAGTTTTTTTCTGTTTCAGCCAACGCTTTATGGAGTACCCGTCAACACAGTCATCAATGAGCACCAAAGAAAAGCCAAACGCGCCAAAAATATGATGAAGCATGAATTCCATCGTAAGGTTATTGCGATGGTCGTTTATATCTGAATGTCCAAATCGAACTGCCAATGAGTCGAGTACTGGAAAACAGCGCCGAAGGGTGACCCAAACTGCGGATCGATCCCTATCATGTGTATCAGAATTCCATGTTGATAACGAGAACGGGAGGATGTGAGCGCATTGAGTGAAGCAGAAAGCGTCTATGTTCGTATCATCCGCAATTCCAACGTCATCATATACTGGGTGATTATGCACGCATTTCCATCTCGAAGGAGACAATCTTGTTTCAAGGTAATTAGGCGTTGTCGTGATTGGATCATTTTAGAGTATTGCTCATCGACATCTGCTTGTATATAATGCATAGTACCTAAGCAACTATTTATCTAGGAGATTTCAAGGTTTTATCATTGGGTAGACTGGCTTGATGTATTACCAGAGGTATATTAATCTGTTATCAGGAATAGCGAAGAGTTCAAAGGATGATGATTACCCGTACGCCGTACTTGGTAGGCTGTGGATCTATTTTTATCTGTTCAGCCCTAACATGCAGGACCCCGCGCCATCTAGTCAAATGTGAACCTGAACCTCTAGAACAAATTAAAATACATATATAGCTACTTTTCTAAGGTAACTAAATCCAAACACCAAAGAGGCGAAGCTGCAATAAGCAAAGTTTCACGTTGCTAAGTACTAGAAAATTGCGTGGCTCAAGAGGCTGTGCGGACATGCCGGGTCTGAGGCGGTGCTTCCCCCGCATCGCGCCGGAATATTTATTCCTGCTTACATGCCTTCAAATTTCATCCTTATTTTCAACTCTTCTCTGAAACCCCTTTGATTCTCCATATTCATCCACACAATGTCGTACGGTGGTGCTCCTAATCATGGTGACTACTACGGTCAGCATGGTCAACAAGGCCACGGTTACCCACCTCACCAAGGTCAGGGCTATCCTCCTCAGCAAGGCTACGGTGGCCCGCCACCACCTCAAGGATATTATCCGCCAGAGGTAAGTGTGACTTAGGTTTCGCAGTATGCACAGCGAGATTACGCAACGAGTCCATCCGCTGCTTGCCATAACCAACAAAATCTAACATCTTTATTCCAGCACCAACAGCAGCATTCTTATGGACAGCCCCCGCCGCAGTATGCACCGGATCCTTATGGCCAACAGGGTCACCAGCCTTACCACAACGAGCCACCCCATGGTCAATACCCGGGCAGCTCGGGATATGGACAGCCCCAGCATATGCCTCCTCAGGACAGAGGTCACTCACCTTACCCTCCACAGCAGCAGGACCGTGGCCACTCCCCATACCCTCCACAGCAGTACCAACAGCAGCAATACCCGCCACAACAACATGCGGGTCACCAACACGCTCCGGGTGGTGAGAGCTCTTCATACTACGGAGCCCCCCAACACCAGCAGGGATACCCGCAGCAACATGGATATGCTCAGGGTGCGCCAGGTCCTGGAGTGCCTGAGGGTGAAAAGGGTCTAGGCTCAACACTTATTGGTGGCGCAGCTGGAAGCTTCATGGGCAAAAAAATGGGCGGCGGAATGTTGGGAACTGCAGGAGGTGCAGTTCTAGGTGCGGTTGGTATGAATATGGCAACCCACAAGCTGTAAGACTGGTCCTTTGATCCTTTTATTACTCAGAAACTGGAACTGATCCGCGAATCTTTCATCTTTTAGGAAGGAGAAGAAAAAGGAGAAAAAGCACAAAAAGGATAAGCACCATCGGCGCCGAAGCTCAAGTTCATCTTCTAGCTCTAGCTCCAGCGATTCTGACTGAGTTTAATGTGGGCGAAAGACGCTCCTCATCAATATTGGCTTGGTGTGCGATTATGGCTGACTTGAGATTACGAAGCTGATGACTTCAGTCTATTGTCTTGTGATAGCGATACTACTATTCTTATACCCTACCTCTGAATCAAATGCCTTTCACGGTGTATGCTTAAATTGTAGACTCCACCGGAATACTCCACAGGAGATGGGTTGGAATCACGTGACATACAAAGATAGTCTTCTAATTACATCTGCGAAGTCAATTCTATGGTGTGCTCAATATTTACAGGGTATGAAATTGAGTATAGGTAAGGAGTAGACCAAAGAACCTTGGGAATGTTGGGATGATGTTATGATTATGTTGACAACTTATAGTCTTGCTTGAGTTCGATTGCGGTTTCCTTTCGGCTGGGGCTGTTGTCCTCCGAAGATGTAATCTAGGTCAGCTCCCTCGTCAACATTGAAGGTTAATTGTGGGACAGCCTTGGGAGAATCCCAAGTAAATCGCCATTTCTTGGAAATGGGAATCCATTGCATTCGGGGCACAAATCCAGAAATTCGCATCCATAGCCGATGCATGAATCGGGGCGTAATCTCATGTGGTCGACCGTTAACATATTCTCGAAATGTAGGACCCTTCTGTGGCCCATCTACCAAGAAGTCCAGAATTCCGGGATCGCGAATCTGCGTGGAGGATGATATTTGACCTCGACGCTTGACAGGCTTCCACGGTACCGTCCCTGAAACCAACTTTTCCAGTGTGTCCAGTTCCTCTTCCGGTAGTGGCGGTAGGAGGGATGTCAGGGTTTCATAGTACCATTTCTTACGAATATTGGCTATACGAGCCTCGTTTAATGGTCGGCCCCAGCTATTTGTGGCTGGTATAGTTGGTGTGATAGCTTTCAGATGCGGCCGAATACGTGATGATGTGACCACGCCATTGTTCTTTTGAGATTTCACGAGAGCAATGACTATCTCTGGAGCTTCCCACTGTGGAGCCGCCCACCCACCCCTAGAATCGATAATCAATCTTCGGACAGCATCGGCGTTCTCTGGGATTGGAGTAGAGCCTTCGCCGATTTTCATCATTCGATCTAATAACTCATGTCGCCGTTTACCAGTACGACCATAAGACATGAACATCACTTTGTCAAGCATTCGTGGATAGCCCTCATTTGCTCTCCGCAAGAAAGATAACCCTTGTTTGGCGGTTCGGACCATTTTGGATTTCGGGCGTCTGGAATCACGAGCACGGCGATATCGTTCCATAACATGACTACGCATGTAGGCGCGAGCGATCGGATCAGGGAGATATGTACATTCTCGTAGGGTAGTGCGGAGTAAATGTCGCCATTGTTCAGCTTCAGGGGGGAAGAGAGCAGATATTCGAGGTGCGGCCATTTGGAGTCGAGTGTTAAGTCGAACGTCAAAGCCGAACGCGAAAACTTGGGTGGATCCGAGCCAGAATTGACCAATAAAAGATCTCAAAGATATATCTAAGTGTAACTGTACAGACTAGAAACGACCTAATTATATCTACAATCCTTATACTTTCGATTGACGAACAGCCAGTTACATCGGTTTCAGCTCATTCAAGTTCACTTAGAGCCTTTAGTTAAGCCAGCCCTAAGTAATCTGCCAACACGTTTCTTGAAGGCTTTATTCAATCACGTGATGTGTAGTTCACGAACACGATACCTACACGTGACTAAGTCGCGCACCCACCTACTTCTCCCAACCCCGCGACTTTACCTTGCGTCGTGCTCTGATCTGCGATCTTGATCCCGTTGACACATTATTCTGCATCCACTAAATTCTAGGCCATATCATATGGTCTTAGCTTAAGCTTGTTGCGCTTTCCCCTCATTGGGTGGTAGCGCGTTCCTGTTTGCCTCGCGTCTTACCGACACCCGTTATCCCGGTCAAATCTAATCTCTGTTGATTCGATAAAAAAAAGAGAAAAGAAACAGACCAGCATGTCCTATCCTCAGGGCAACACTGGTCCGGCTAATGGATTGAATTACAATATGCCTAACGGATCTCAATCCTTATCATCCACTCCTCGTGCAACTCGTCCACCCCCCAAAGCTTCACAGATGTCATCCTTCGGAATCTCGAACGGATCTTCCCGAGGTAGCTTTGGTGGATACGACGACACGAATGAGACTAATCCATCGCAACAAGAGGAATACCCACCCCAGATCTATCGCGTTAGTGCCCGATGTCCCACAACCTTATCAATAGGTTTGCTGACTTTTTCCCCCATAATTAGGCTGTTTACTCGAATGTTCCTGTTTACGAGATGGAAGTCAAAGGAATTGCGGTTATGAAGCGAAGGTCGGATTCATGGTTAAATGCAACTCAGATTCTGAAGGTGGCCGGTATTGTAAAAGCTCGGCGAACTAAGACACTTGAGAAGGAAATCACTGCCGGCAAGCACGAAAAGGTTCAAGGCGGCTATGGAAAGTACCAAGGTACCTGGGTTGGCTACCAAAGAGGTGTTGATCTATGCAGAGAATACAATGTCGAAGACATCATGCGACCTCTGTTGGAATATGACATGACCCCCTCTGGGACTGTCAAAGGAGACTTGGACACACCCACTAAGGAACAAGCAATGGCAGCACAGCGCAAGCGACTCTATAGTGGTGTTGAGAGTCGTGGCTCTTCTCAACCTCAGCAGGGAACGTTTTTCCAGAACATCTCGCGGACTGCCGCCACTGCTGTGACTGCTCTCAGTAAAGCCCGATTTGAATCGCCGAGCGCCAACAGCCGACGACCCAGTGTCGCTCGCAAGCCATCGCAGCAAGGTAGCCAAGAATCTCAAATAGCCTTTAGCAGCCAACAGAGCATGTACAGCATGTCTGATAACGGGTTTGCTAGCCAACAACAGCGCTACCTCGCACTTGATGACCATGAGGAAATTACTGAACCACCTCGCAAACGTGTTCGTTCGGCATCAAACCTTGGCCAACCAATTGGCCTACCTCAGGAGCATTCCAACTTGTCTATGCATGAACCTACTCCTACGGAGCCGAATGATTCATTTTACCAAGATATAGATATGCCACCACCTCCGCTAGACGATGGTCAGAGACGGGGAATTGTGGCTCTGGCGCCCCCATCTACACCTGGCAGATTTTCAAAAATGCGTCTGCTTTTTACATTGTTCGCTGACAAAACGACAAAAGATTTTACCAATCATCCGGCTTTTAAGCAATTGAGTGGAGAGGATCTTGAGATTCCGCTTGACGAATACAGAAACACACCTCTTCATTGGGCTGCAATGCTCGCACGGATTCCGGTAGTCAACATGCTGTTAGCCCATGGGGCTTGCATCGACCGTGTCAATAGTGCCGGAGAGACTGCTCTACACAAGGCAGTGGGGACTCGTAATAATCTTGACTACAGAAGTTTCCCCCGCTTACTCCAGATTCTGTCACCCACGATCGATATGGTCGACTACAGTGGACGAACCATTTTGCACCATATTGCTGTTATGGCGGCGACTGGTGGCGGAGGGCATGTTTCTGCGAAGCATTATCTTGAATGCTTATTGGAGTTTATAATTCGTCATGGAGGGCGTTCGTCGAGCACCAATGAAGATCAAGCTCAGAACGGATCGCCGGTCCTTTCGTTGGGAAGATTCATCTCGGAAATTGTCAACGTGCGCGACGACCAGGGCGACACCGCCCTAAATATCGCCGGACGTGCGCGGTCAATTCTTGTCCCGCAACTCCTTGAAATTGGCGCTGATCCTCACATCCCTAATCACACTGGCCTTCGGCCTGCGGACTATGGAGTTGGCGTCGACATGGCTGATGGTACTGCGCAATCACAGCAAGCCGGAGGTCGGGACGATACATTCACCGACCAGCTGGTGAAATCTAAGAAGGAGATTCTCCACGGTAGATCATCCACTCCACATACGAACTCACTCTTACTGATTACTAATTTTTCCAATAGCGGCAATGACTCAAGTGGGCTCGATGGTTGAAGAGGCACTCTCGGGAATGGATCGTGAGTTGACCTCAAGTTTGAATTCTAAACAAGAGAAGTTTGATCACTGGCATGGTAAGATTCGTGATTCGGCCAAGGCACGTCAATCAGAACAAAAGGAGTTAGACGAATTAAAGCAAAAATTCTCCGAGCGAGTGGAACTTGACCAACGCCTGAAGAGCCTGCTTCAGGCCCGCGAACGTCTTCTTGGTACCGTTAAAAATACGTCAGGAGCAGACATTGACACCCTGAAAGTCGTTGTCATGGGTGATGCCGACAAGGCCTCGGGAGTGGACGTGACCGCATTTCAAGCATTATTTAGTGGTACATTTGATCCTTCATCTGGATTCTCCGATCAGCAGATCGCCTTCTTAACCACACTATCACCCCCGGATGTTCTCAAGCGTCGGATCGGACTCTACCAGGAGCTTACTGCCGAGACAACCGCTGAAATCGCGAGTCTGAAAGCGAAGAACGCAATTTTGGGTGAGGCCTATCGCCGAGTGGTAATGGCATGCACCAAGTGGAGTGCAGAGGAAGTGGATAACGCAGCAGAGGGCTTGGCCCGGTGTGTTAAAGAGTTGAATGACAACCCTGTGCCCGAGGATGAGGCTTACGAACTCCTTATGCGCGATCGAGGTCAAGATTGGTAGTCCTTTCACAGCATCTTTTACCCTTTTGAGCGTTACGACGGTTTAATGGACGGCGTTAATGCATTCAATTGCACGAAACAAATACCCAGGTGGCATTATTTTGTATTACTTACTATTTTTACTGGTTAATTTTACTTTTCCATTGTATCTCAAGTTCCTTCCATACGGAGTAGTTGGTTTGCAATGCGTTGTTAGCATATAGGGGTGGATATAGTGCGTGGTAATAGGCGACAGAGTGTAAATTTTGGGTGCATATCTTTATCATCACGCACTCACCCATTATCATCACGCTATCGATAAGCAGAAAAATCATCAAGATCGCGGGGTCTCGCACTTTCTAAAGACTCAGACGAACTGGGACTCATTGGAACGAAAAAATCGACGAAATAGTCGACATGACCGATTCCTATCCTTCGTCACTAAACAATGTCTTTCAGGTACCCCTGAAGGACCAATATGACCCTGTTCATTTGACTTCAGACAACATAGTCCCTATTCTCGAGCTTCCACTTGCGAAGAAGTTACTGGGCCATGATGCTGCCGATGCGGACGCCGTTGGCAAAGTGGCCGATAATGAGATCTCATATACTACCTTCCTTGCCGGCCAAGCGCGAGCAGCCCTCCAAACCCCGCGCGATGACCTGACCGGCGAGCAAACACAATCGCAAATTCTGCACATTGGTCTGGCAGCCCTTTTCAGCTTTCTTCAGTCGACTGTAACTGGACCTCCTCTGGATTTCTCCTCGGCAGATGTTGTTTTCCCTCTTGATATTCGAAGCAATACCGATACCCTTCGAGCTGTTCGCGCCAAGATCAATCGTGATCTGTCTGTTGATGGAGAAGCGGCTTATAAACTTACGCCCAACTCGGAGCTGTTTGCGATTGCGAAGGCCTTGATTGTGGATAGTGGGATTGAAGGATCGGTACCTGCAAAGACGGCGCGCATGCGCGTCAACTTTCTGCACCAGAAAATGCTTTCGGAGGTTACGAGCACGTTACAAGACTTGATTTACAAAGATGTCGGGGATTTGACCAAGGCCGAGCTCAACTCGGATGAAACTGGTCGTTTCTTACTAGAGCGTGCTATTATCAACACCCACCACGGGTTTGATGGCAAGGCACGCGCAGATCTTGACCAGGCAGCTCAGGTCCGAAACTTTGAGTTTGCTCTTACAGGACAGTTGGGAAAGCGAACAAAGTTCCAAGATCGCGATCTCAGTCAGCTTGTTGTTCTAGCTAAGAGCGCCGATGAGTCTCTTGCGTCAACTAAGCCATCTAATCCATCTGGTCCCCAGAACTTGGATCTGAATGACGACACCCTACTCGAGGCTATATCTTTTGCGGATAAGAAATCAACGACCGTTCAGGACAAATTATCTGTAACTTTGCAATCAGTTAACCCTAATGACCAACCTATTTTGAGTCCAGTGGACTCGGCAATTTTGCTGGCTCTGGCATCTGCTATCACCAATACTGCTCCTGATAGTGGCCTAACCCGCGAGGAAACAGCACCCTACGCAATCCGAGTTCTGGAGGGTGGTAGTTCGAACTGGCAAATCTACACAGAAGCACTACTTGTACGTAGTCGGGTGGAGGGTTTCCGTACTCGCACCGTTGAGAGATCTGTGTTGCAGATGCAGGCTCTGGTTGACCAGGTGATCGCAGACACGGCGACCGATGACTCGGCCGCACAAGAGCCATCATCTGAGCCAACTACTTTTTTGCCTCGGCCTGAAAAATCCGAGTCTGCCCCCGCTGCTGACCGTATGGAATATATTTGGCTTCTCAACTTCTCCACAAGGTGGAGTTTGGAAGCCGAGCTAGCCAAGCGCTGGGTAGAGCTAGGTGGGCTTCGCACTGCACTAGAAATTTATGAGAGACTTCACATGTGGGCCGAAGCAGCACTGTGCTACGCCGCAACTGATCGCGAGGGCAAGGCCAAGACTGTTATTCGCCGCCAACTTTATGAGCCTACGGGTTCAGATGAGGATGATGAGAGTGAGCTGTTTGAGGGTCCTGAGCGGTCAATTCTGCCAGCTGATGCGCCTCGCCTGCTCTGCATTTTGGGAGATATTGATAAGGACGAGAAGAGGTATGAGCGTGCTTGGGAGGTGTCGAACCAGCGATATGCGCGGGCTCAACGCTACTTGGCTCGTCATTACATGGCTCTCGCACCACCAGAGCTAGAAAAAGCCGAAGAGGCTTATCGAAAGAGTTTGCACATCAATCGTCTGAATCACGGTGCCTGGTTCGCCCTTGGCTGTGTTCAACTCGAGCTCCAGCACTGGGAGGATGCCACTGATTCTTTCACGCGCTGTGTCCAATTAGACGATACAGATGGTGAGGCATGGAGTAATTTGGCGGCCGCGATGCTTCAAACATCAGCACCAGAGCCAGTATCAGATGTGGTCACCGAGGGCACTGACGAGACATCAACCGCCGATGCCGAAGCAGACCCATATAAGCGCAAGCGTGAGGCTCTGACTGCTCTCCAGCGTGCAGCTCAATTAAAGCACACCGATGCCCGCATCTGGGACAACGTTTTGACTGTAGCTGCTTCGATCCCACCACCACAAACACCATTCCGTGATGTAGTCACTGCCCAAAAGCGCGTAATCGAGCTTCAGGGCGAGAAAAAGGGCGAGAAATGCATTGACCTCCCAATTTTGGGTATGCTCATTGACTTCCTCGTTACAGGCTTCGAATATGACTCTCTTCTTATTCCCACCGATGAAGGTCCCATTGTCCGCACGGGAACAATCCCCGGTCAAATCCTATCCCTTCTGGACAATAACATTGTTCCCCTTATTACCCACTCTTCAGCCCTGTGGCTGCTCATGTCTCGAGTTGAAGTATTCCGTGGCCGACCCAGCCGTGCTCTAGAAGCGCAGGAGAAAGCGTGGCGTGCTACTGTCGCTGCTTCTGCGCAGGGTGCTTTCCAGATGGGAGACAAGAAGCCTTGGCTTGAGGTTGTGCGTGCAACAGAACGCCTTGTCCGTGATGGATACGCGCGATTTGGACCTATGGACCGCGAAGATCAAAAGGTGGCGGGAGATGCGGAGCTGGAATTGGTTGCCAGTGACTGGCGATTCAAGGCTAGGAGTGCTGTGAGAGGTATCCTGGGCAAGGGCAAGTCCTTCTGGGAGGATACCGAGGGATGGTCTCGATTGAAGGAACTGCAAGGCGAAGTAACTGGTAATTAGTAAACATTATTGAAGACAGTAGTTATAAATCAAATAGATTACGAATCTCAACGTCGTTCCCAATTATGAAGAGTGTCAAATTCAGATAGTAACATTATTCAGAGCAGTCTATCGAAAATTGAACGAAAAAAAGATAGCTAAAGCCAACAATGTCTATATATGTGCTTGCAAGTAAATGACTGTTAAAAATATCAACCTTGAAAAAAAAACCTCTTTATGCCCTCAAGGGTCCCGGGAAGACGAAAATCATAATGTCATAACGAGAGTTTAATTACCCTTCTTCCAATTGTGCGACGCAGCTTTTATCCAGCTACAGAAGCTCCTACTTCACCCTCTGAGGTTTCAAACAGTTGAGATTTGTAAGGCTTGTTGTTGTTGTTGTTGTTGTTGTTGTTGTTGTTGTTGCTTCTTCTCCTCTTTCATCTCTTTCTTCTTCTGGAGTCGCTCGTTGCGCGCGTGTCGCCAACCAGCACCATACTTCGTCTCAAGTCCTAAAAGAGGAGCCATAGCAAGAGTGATACCCGCAAGCAACAGGAAAGCCCATCGAGCGGTGATTGCATCGATGATGGGTTGCACGGCAGCAACACCTGCCGCTCCAATCAAGCAGCGCATCAGGTTGTTAACAGCTGTAGCACTGGCACTGGCTCCGGGGTATAGATCAATGACTAAGGCACTATTGACGGTGAAGATAGCAGTAGCACAGTAGGCAGTGATGTATTGCAGGATGATTGGAACGGCGATGTGGGTTTCAAGTGAGAACCCGTACACGGCTGTGCATACGATGAAGAGAGCGGAAATCCACCAGGTGTTGCGCATGCGGGCACGCTCAATTGGGAAGTCGGGATAGGTCTTGCTGTTAATGTGGGTATCGAGGGGAAGGTTGTGTTTCAGACAGTATTCACGCTCTGTTTTCTTGTGGTTGTAGTCCATCAGATAGCCGGTGGTGTATGATCCAGACATGCATCCGAATCCTTGAAAGTGTTAGTAATGTATCCAGAAAAGTTCTTGACTAGGTTTGCTACTTACCATTTCCTAGAAAGGTCAGACCAACCTCCAAGGTGTTCAGACCATAGACAGACTCGAATAGATCCGAGGTCGATGAGGTGATCATCGACCACACAGTATAGACGATAGCACCGTAAAACAGCGTGACAATCACATCTTTCTCAACAAGGAAGCAAAGGGGAGACACGACTGTCTTGAAAGACACTTTCTTCTTTTGGCCGATGGGACGTGCGCCTTCTTGTGCATCCTTTTGGACAAAGAGATAGTAGATGAATGGCTTATAGAATCCATGGAGAGGAACAGTCCCATTGCCAGCAATAGGACGAAGGGTTTCAGGTAGGAAAAAGAGGATAGAGAGTAGGCTCACGCCTGATACAATAACAAGAAACCAAAAGATAGATCTAAAGCCCAAGTACTGTGTAATGATTCCACCAAAAACTGGGCCAATGCCCTGACCAAGCATGCGCACTAATAAAGTCAGATGGAACATGGCAAAACTGTACAGTTCATAGATAACTCACCTCCTCCGAAGATGCCAATCAGACTCCCTCTCTCGGCAGACGTAGTGATGTCACCAATTACTCCGGCACCTATCCACGTCAGTGAACATTCCTAATATGAGGAATGTGGGATGAAGTACATACCGATTGAGATAGTCGCTGAGCTGCCAGCAGCTTGCAATGCACGGAAAGCCATAAGCTCCCCAAAGTTTTTGGATACACCCAAGGCAATATTGGCAATAATATAGACAATGAAAGTTCCGATGAAGATACCACGCCGGCCAATTGTGTCGGAAAACGAACCCCAGAAACTAGGGGCGATACCTTGGACAATCATATACACTGTGACAGTAAGAGTGGCAAGTGTCATAGAGACATTCATTTCCTAAAAGGCCATCAGTATCATTTCTATGGATAGAATTGAAGAGTCAGTAAATGTTCTGGTTCAACATACCCTGGAGACTTCAGCGAGTGCTGGGAAGTAGATATTGGAGGAGAGGGGAGAGAATATTGCAGCCATGGAGACGATGCAAACTATCTGCACCTTGCGGCTTCGTGTGAAGACATGGTATTGTTCTTTTGGCGGAGGAATCTGTTGTTCGAGGTCAATGGACGCTGAAGATGGTGTGCTAATTGGGCTGGAATCCGCAGAGCGTTCGCTGACACTGGGCTCCTTAAGCTTGTCCATGGAAGAATACATGAAGAGAGTAAAGTTAGGCCAAGTATTATGCCCAGGGACTCAATAATAGCAATATCAACAAGAAAAAATTATTTGCTTGAAATGCATCTGGTCATGGCACAAACTTGGTATTTGTATCAATCTCAGCCCCCCCTGATAACCTCCGATTTATTGGACAATAGACTGTATCTTTAATTCAAAATCAACTTTATGCACATGCTTTCTCCACTGTGGATTGTGTCTAGGGGATCCTCCACTTGGTATGGAAAAGTGACGAGCCTAAAATAGTAAGTCAGACTGCTGCTCAATCGCATGTATTGACATTGATCAGCATATTCTAAATAACTTAGGGCACCGGGGGATCAGAATAGTACAAAATACCCGGGCAATATTTCAAACTAGCGTTGCAGAGTTGCACTTGAGTATCTTTGTGATGACGACTTCTCCAAGATTACCTACCTAGGTATTGCATATGTAGATTTGAATACATGGGCATACTTCTCAAGTACAATTCTATGTCTTGAGTCTAGTAAAATGTGATCTATCACGAAACAGTTAACCGGTATCTAGTTAGGTAGGCTGGTAAACCTTGGAAATCTTTAGTCAAATACCATTCCGAGAATAATTCTTTCTATAAACACGAGTGTATCATCATCACAGTACGTACGAATACTTTAGACTGTGACATGATCTGCTTGACAGATATAATCACGCAATACACTTGTTCAGTTTTTATTGTATCTTTTCAGGAAGAAAAACAAAGTCTTCAGATCCGAATCGTCTCCGTGTACGATTCATTTTTGGAGTATAAACTCCACCAACCTACTGTCTGATAAGAAGACATGAAAGCCAATGACGGTCCAAGCCAAGGCTTGGCAATGTTGACGTCTTCACACATGGTTAAACTGAGAGATCGAAAATTCCAAGGCCGTTGCGTTCCATCATTTTCCTTTCAGGGTGGATAGCTCTAATGCCAAGCTTCCTCGTCACCCGTGGATAAAGATGTCAGAAAGAATGCTAGTGATACTTACTATTTCTCATTCCTTTGCAATTAAATTAATATATCGTCAATGTTTCCTTAAGCATAGAATAAAGGGGAACAGAAGCTTACGTGTAAATACAGCCTAGGCCTGATTGGAACCAAGAAAGGGGCGCATGAATTTAGTCTGTATAGCTGCAACAAGGGTCCGATAGCGGGTATATTGGCTAGTGCTAGTGGTTTTTAGTAGCACATCTTCATTTTCGTTAAATTCAGTCATAGGTGGAGCCTGCAGGGTCGAGAATGCGTGTCCCTTCCAAGGTTCATTTTAAATATGTATGTACAAATACTATTACCAATCCTTGGGCGTCAATCAAGACCCACTCCACCCTCTTGGCACCGGGGAGGAGCCCTAGAGGAACACTAGAGGTTCAGGGCCTAACCTCCCTGGCGGTTAAGGTCCACGAGTGTTAAAGCCTGACCCACATAATTGAAATCTTATAGCTATTTGAATTCATGGATATATCATGGTCTCGAGATAACCTTGGTGAACCTTGAAAATCACACTTATTAGGGAAATAATAAAGTTGAAAAGACTCAGTACCTAAGTACCTAGCCAAGACCTCCTAGGGCTTGAAGATCTTGGCGACTTGGTTATATTCTCCAATTTTGGAACACGATGTGACAAGTTTGTGACTAGTTTCCAAGAAATACTGGGCAGACAAGTCATGCTGCATGCATATATCCCAACGGAGGCTATCATTAACCTGTAGGTACTGCCCGAGTGAGTCTTGGTTCGCCGAGACTCTCATATCTAACCGACCCTTGAAACGTCCCGACTTTGTTCTGACCCCGAACCACCGACAAATACCGATTAGATTGGCTTCTAGATGTTGTCACCATGCTGACAATGTCGACTTGGGTAGCCAGGTGTAACCTTAGAGCCCTTTACTGCATGGATTTGTTCATCACAACTGCAGATCAACTAAAATAAGGTAATACTCAAAGGACATCCCGACTTTTCACCTATCTCTAGAAGCTCTAGACTCTTCAAACTAGGACTTAGGGTGTTGTACTCTACAGAAATTTTGGGATCCCATGCATCCTTCTAAGATTTGATTGATCATCGTTCATGGGTCTCGGAAGTTCTCAAAGAGGCAACGTATCCGTGAAGGACTTTAGATCTAACCGTATCCATCTTCCCAGGCGTTATCATTTCAACTATCTCGAGTCCCCCTCAGATCTTCTCAGAGCTAGTTGGAGCCCACTCTGTATATCCATGCAAGTAGACTACCTAGGTATTCATCTTGCCTATATCTAAAGTTCCAAGGATGATCCCGAGGCCTGTACAAACTTGGAACTTATGGGATATCTCCGGTGTTCGATATTGTTCTTCCATCCTTTGAAGGTTTCAGGTTATTTCCCAATTACTCTTTAATTTTCCGAAGTTGAAAGTAAGATATCTTTTGTCACAGGTACAAAGTAGATTATAATGGGAAAATAAAATAATAAAAATTCAATTTCTAAGGTTCGTAATAATTTGCAGACACCCAATGAACCGAAGTCCATCCCTAGAGACCTTCCACGTCTTCTGCTTTCCTCTTCCTGCCTCATGATGGTAACTACCTACATACATAGATCTCAAAATGAAAAATAACCTTGGAAAGCCATTGAGAGCTATTCACCTATGTATGGATCAAGAAGACCGACTTTTGGTCTTTGACCAACCTTGGAAGTCAACCTGAGTCTGACTCGGTGTAACCCCGATACAAAATACCTACCTAGGTAGGTGAGTAAGATTTCAGCTGCAGATAATACTCAAGAATACTCTCAAACCTAGGGACCTCCCGATATCTTCCACTGGTAGACTCTTCACCTAATCTCATCTCTCTAATTTCTGAGCTCTTCAAACTTATAGTAGGGTTACAATGCAGAAATATTTACGACAATCATGGGTTTCGAATATTTTATTGATATCTGTGGGTTCATGGGACCAGTGAAGGACTTTGGAACAGTCTCCGCCAGCTTCTTAGCCTATCTGTTATCATTCCAAACATTACGAAGTGTTTTATCGAACCAATATGGAGCTCACGATTGTCTATGCAAGTGAATTAATTTTCCGGCCTTTCAATGTCATTTTTCAATTGCATTCTGTGGCAAACCTTCCATAAAGGGAAGTTTTCGTATACCCGTCCAGTTGCTTCATGCATATGGGTCAACTCGGAGAAAATAAGAGAGATTTTCTCAGGCTCTCTTTTCTCAAATCATACACAGTACTTACTACCTTGCTAGTCCCTTGGCACTGGCTCATATGGCAAACCTTCCACTCGGGAAATCGATTAGCCCATCCTTGCAGAGTTGTGTACAGCCACCAAATGTAGAACTTCGTATTACTCTTCTTGGCTTCTTGACTGAATCGAATCGGATCTACGGATATGAGAAAATATCAGTTCCTGCCTAACACTTTGTAGCAATCGTTTCAATCCAGCGGCAGATAAGCCCCTTGCAGAGCAACGTGTACAACTGACTATTACAGCCGACTGTGTAGTCTGGTTTCTGAAAACGATCAATTCTGATCTTTACAAACTTTTAGTCGCTCTACCTAAACTGTTCAAAGAAGCAATGGATTGTTTCAATAAAAAGCACTGACCGGCGGCTACGCAGATCAATAGGTTTCTAGCCCGGGATCTACAACGGCCCCTTGTCTTGAAGCTACTGAGTCCCTTATTGATTCTCCAGGCTCCATATTTACCCCCGATGCTCATTGCTGGCTTCACGGCATGGAAATCTCCCCGTTGTTCAATGGGTGTTATCATTGAGACTGTGATATGTATCTAAGTATAGTGCTGCACGGAGTATAACGGACAACCGGGCTATTCCGATCAATACCTGCATGTTACTTATTTAGGCATCACCTCAGCTCAAATTTCAGCCCCAACCGGCTCGGGAAGCTCTTCAGGGCCTTGGCAATATACTAAGGTATCGATAACACTATACAATTGTCTTCAAGCCCTAGTGAATTTGGAAGTTGGGATCTTCACATTACCCAGACCCGCATAATCAGGGGGCGCCAGACTCTTGGCAGTGAGTCGTGGTATTCACCGACTGTGGCGATGCACATTGAAATTGGTCTATTTAAGATTCTTGGCTATGTTTTAGAAAGCATGGCATAGAGCTTTGGATCCACTGCAGGCCTAAAAGGCCAAGAACGGAGAAAATAGGCTTCCCAATAGTTAGGCTTGAACTTGCACTTGGCACGTGTATCTATGCCTTGAATGTCAAAGGGATTTAAGAAGAATTGATGTCTCAGTTGCTTGCTGTAGTCTAGACCGTTATTCTCGGCAAGCCTTTGTGCTGTAACTTACGAAAAGCCCGTACATACCGAGATATTTCGGACTTCTAGGCCGATGATTTTTGAAATTTCCCGAGATACGTGACTCCTTGGCACGGAACACACCGGAATTGAGCGTGGAATATACTCCGTACAAATGCTCCGTAGAAATGGGACTTTTATTGCTGCAGGTCCTATTCTGCTTCACATTCATCAGCCAAGCACTACCCCTCTTCATGGCTTTCTTACAGATTATTCCTAGAACCATCCATACTTGGAAATCCTTGGCAATCCTTGGCTGATCGGGAAAATGAAGACATAGGGAACATTGACAAATTCAATTTACCCCCGAAATTTGCCAATCATCCTGTCATTTCATCAAATTTGGACTGGAACTTGACAGACCTTTCTCCTAATTTTCTGACTTGTGTTCTAGCTTCGGGATCTTCATATAGCGAGTGGGTCCACGGATTGATATGATATGAATCCACCACGGGTGGCTCCAGCCTTTAACCCGTTTCGTCTCTCTACCCTACCACTCCATGCCTAAATTCTTTGTCCTCGACCTTTCACCGAAGATCAATATGCTTTGAACTTGAGACATTCAAAGTTTCACACTAGAGGTCTAGGTACTGATCTATTGTCTAGATATCTCTTGATGTACTGTGGAGACCTAGGTAGGAGCACTGTAAGTATTGTTGGCTATTGAAAGAACCCCACACCGGATCCAGGGGATGAGCGGAGTGGTTGGGGTTGTTGGAGAGACGAGTCCCCCGTGAGGCTGTCAACTGAATTGGATAGATGTCTAGATTCACATTCTACCACCTCCACCAGTTGGTGCGATGCTGCAAGAGTTTTCCGGTAAAGCTGTTGAAGTCAATCGATTAGATCATTAGCAATGATATATGTAGATACCTCTCTCTAATGCATCACAATGAATATGATGGTGACACATTGGAAACTATCTACGTAACTCCGGCGGTCCTCCGGTTCTGCTATCCGATCCCAAATACTACTACATAGGTACATGTACAAATATGAAGAAGCCTATCTGAAAGATTGCTTTTAGTTGATTCGTTATCATATTTAGGTATATAATACTTGATTTATGCATATGAACAGCGTTTCTAGCTCTAAGAATACTGCATAGGCAACCTCTCCAGTAAACCACACGCTAACTACACCTGGGCACTAAGATATTCCAAGGTCTTGATTACACAAATAAATAAAAACCGCCGATATAGGTACTGGGCTACACAGAAAAAGATCAGAAATTTAAATTCCGAAGGAATCAATTGTTTCAATAAAATGCACATAGGTTTCAACATTTGGAATCAACAAAATGATGGTATCCAGCTACTCAGCTGGGCTAAAAAGATATTTTTAACCATTTGACTGCCAATTTTGTACAATCGCCTACTACCCCCATGTCCAATTAGTTTCGTCAGGCTCATCACGCTTGAAGCACCATGAAATTGGAGCTTAAGTATAGTCAACAACATATCCGGGTTGGAACCAATGTCCACATGGGAGTACAGCCATAATGGCGTCTAAATTGTAAGTGCATTCAGTATGGAAGTTATCAAGGATACGAAACAGAGAGCATGATGGAAAAGACTTTTTTATATCTGCCTAGGTAGATAGTACTGCGGTCCTCGCGTCATCTGGGATAAGCTTTTTGCCCTATGCTAGGTAAGAACCCTCTAGGTGCTTGGGACAGTTACTTTTTAATAACAGGCGCACTGTTTTGTGCTGCTCATGTACCTAGGTATAGGCAATCCTCGACTTAGGACATTTTCCTTGTTCTGTGCTGGATAACACCTAGGTAGCCCTTTTTTCAAATGCCAAATTATTTTTGGACGTCTGGAATCTGTATTTAGACCTATTCAATGGATATGACAAAGGTGAGTTAATCTTTCTATGTTCCACTTTCGAGATCGTTTTATCGTTATCTCGCTATTTAATAGGATGATTGGTTAAGTACAAGGCTGTTATATCATAAAGAGGCAGTGCTTGAGGGGAAAATATCTAGATATTATGTGCCCAGGTACTTTTGACACTGATAAACGATACTAATGTCAAGTATTCCGAAGGTCGACCATAGATATGAGAGAAATCGCAATGAAAATATCAAAGTTTGTCAAAATTAAGTGAATTTTACAACACCTGTAATTTTACGATAATAAGTAGTCCTTGTAGACTCCTGTCATATGAGCGTTTTATGGAACTCGGTCAATGCAGTATGAAGCGTCAGCCCGCCGCTGGACATTCCAAGGTGAGATGAAGAAATCGGATTGGGTATCAAGTGACATGTATCAGTACGGTGCAAATGTAAGGTGCTTATCAAAGAGAGGTTATGGTTAAAATGACATGTGAGGATTTCAGTGTCGGCCTCCTCGGCCACCCCCTCGGCCACCCCCTCGGCCACCTCTTCCACCTCGTCCGCCTCTCTTTCCCTTCCCTCTGGAGCTCTGCATGGACTGCAAGTCTTCTTTGCTCAGATTTAGTGTTCCTCCCGAAAATCGACCAATTGAAGATCCTCCAATGCCGCGCTCCCTTCGGCCGGGATTGGACTTAGATATCTTGCTTTTTGGCTTTTCAAGAATAATGCCATTCTCCTTAGCCTCCTTCCGTCGTTTATCATCTTTCGAAGCAGCCTTAAGACTGATGCCACGTTTCATAGAAACGGGCATCGCCTTTTGATGATAAAGAGATGTCTTAGCTCCAAGGGATTGCATTCGTAGATCCAACGCCTTGAGCCGATTTTTCCCAGTAGGAGCGAGTTCTGAAGAGTTTTCGAGTAGGTGTGACTCTCGAAGCAGTCGTTGTAAAGCAAGATCGTGCTTGAGGTTGTCTGCGTCATCTTTCTCCTCCTCCTTCGTGACTGGCTTCGCTGGGGTTTTTGTAGGGGCGTCTATAGAGGATGGTGGTTTCGCAGTCTATAAGTTCAAGGTTAGTATTAGAAGATCACCAAGTATAGAAAACCAACCATAAATGACTTTCGAGCTTTCTTGTCCATTATGTCGTCAAGTTGAGCATCCTTGTGCTCGACAACTTCCACCTCATTTTCGTTTTCCGAGAGGCCATTCCAATCCATGTTGTCTGAATCTGAATCTTCTTCGACCTCATAATCACCCTCATCCTCGGATTCATCATCGGATCCAGAGTCTTGTGCTGAGGGCTTGCTAGGCAAATCTAAAGGCTCGAATTGCGCTTCAAAGTATTTGCGGAAGATGTCCTGGGCATTGTCCGCTGGTGGAGGGCTTGTCGCCTTGGTTTCCATTGACCGCGATACAGCGACAGTCTCTCTCTTGCGTTTGCCAGTCATGATGGTATGATTTTGTGTATTTTATCTGTTGAGAACGTCGAGTGTCGATACCGCAATTTTTTTTAGGACCAAGCTTGAGTCACGTGCGATAAGGAATAAGGCTTAGTTCCGTTCAGCAATCAACCAAATGCGCGATATGAACTTCGGAAGCTACGATTATCTTAGCAACGATGACTAAATTCAGACCATGCATTGATCTTCACTCGGGACAGGTTAAGCAGATTGTGGGCGGTACCCTCAGCGATGCTGCCGAAGGTCTAAAAACCAATTATGTTTCCAAACTCCCGGCCGGTCATTATGCGGAATTATACCAGAAACACAATTTACGCGGCGGACATGTGGTGAAGCTTGGCCCTGGAAATGAGGAGGCAGCGCAAGAGTCTGTTCAGACTTGGCGTGGTGGGCTGCAGATGGCTGGAGGAATTACTGACAAGAATGCGCAATACTGGATTGACCAGGGTGCAGAGAAGGTGAGCCATACCCCCGCATCACCATGTCTCTAGTGTCAATACTGCCGGGCCAACTTATTGATGACCTTGCTGTTCGTCGTCGGGGACACACGAGCATTATTCGTGATTATTTTTGCCAACGACGCTAATCGAATGGAATGGGGGACAATAGGTGATCATCACATCTTTCCTTTTCCCGGCCGGGAAATTCTCGCTTGAGCGGCTCGAGTCGGTTCTCTCAGCATTAGGCGGTGACAAATCAAAGCTGGTATTAGATCTGAGTTGCCGGAGGAAAGATAATACCTGGTTTGTGGCCATGGACCGCTGGCAGACTATCACCGAGATGGAAATCAATCAAGGTATTAAACCCCCCAGCGCAATGGTTGTTGGCCTCAATTGACAAGGCTTAGAATCAATTGCCTTCTTGGAACCCTACTGCTCTGAATTTCTGATCCATGCGGCGGATGTGGAAGGACTGCAGCAAGGAGTTGATGAAGAGCTGGTATCGAAATTGGCTGAGTGGTGTACCATTCCAGTCACATATGCTGGTGGTGCTCGCAGCCTGCAGGATCTAGAAAAGGTTCATGTCAGCAGCCATGGCAAGGTAGATTTGACCATTGGAAGTGCACTGGACATCTTCGGTGGCTCAGGTGTTACATTCGATGAATGTATCGAGTGGAACAAAACACATTAATAAAAAAGGTGGACAAAAATGAAAATACCCATTAATGCCTGAGCTTTGGCAATGGATTCATAAGTCTGAATCGATAGCCCATTTAAACAAATCTCTAAGTAATAGACAAGCTGCCTTTTATCCCACAGATCTAGAATGCTTTGCGGTGGAAAGTCATAGTATTGAGGTCTTGTCCAAAAGCGGTCTAGGGCGATCATAAGCTCCGCCCGCCAACCTCCGTATCTTCGCAACCTCATCGATCTCATCATCGCTCCACTCACTAAGGCATATTCTGCGTATTTCAACCCAGTGACAATATACCAGTCACTTTCTGTCCTTTCATTGGCCCTATCAATCCATTCCAGCTCCCCAAAACCGTCAATATGAAGCCCGTCGTGTCTGCGTTGAACGCCTGGTCCTGGTAAGTTACTATCTTGGAGAAGACAATTATCGGCGCCATTTTGTTTCTAACGGTATTTCACTATTGACAGTGTCGTTATTTCAATCTTCGCCATCATCATTTTGTCCGTTCTGGGCTCCCTATTTAACGTGCGTATTCTCGGCCCCCGTTATGTCGACATCAACTTGCGCCCTGTCATTCACAGCCTTCTACCTCACGTTTTGCAAATAAATACTGACATAAGAACCGATCGACCAACAGAGCAATAACCCATCCTACACTGGAGCAGAGGAAGACCCTGAAGACGGCCCTGCAGTCGCTGCTTCCATATACATTGCTGTGATTGTCTATGCTGTACGTAATGGATCTTTCTTCCAAAACTATCTTTCTTTCGAGGCTAATTATATGATCTTGAAAATTCTAGGGCTTTTTCGTCTTCTGCGGTTTACAGGCATACCTCCACGTACGAGGAAGCAGGGGCGGTGCCATATCTTTGAATTAAAATCCCAAATTATTCTCATATCTCATTCGGTGTCTTCAAGGGGTTTTATGTTGATGTGGTATTGATATCATTGCGTTTCGTAAATTTCGGTCTGTCTTAGTGGAACGTTCGCTAGTTGGATCTTCGAGCGTGTTTTTTTATTGCTTTATTGGATCTTATTCAGCCAGTCATCCTCGTTTACGGCATTGGTATCCGTACAAATGGCGAGATGCTCTGGGCCGGTATCCCGGTCTCTTTTAGCTAAAGTATGTGGATAATATTCCTGTGCAAAACATGGTGTACATATTGAATTGCTCAAAATTATTGCCAGCTTACTTCATCTTGTCATATCTATCGCTCTGAGCTCTTGCGGTCAAGTATAGGTATCCATTGTCGTTAATAATCATTGACGCAAGTCACTTTTTCAAAGAAGACCCAAACGCCTTTTTTTTATGTCAAATCTAATCCTAGTGGCCCACTGGAAGTGATGCTGAAATTATTCCTCATCCTCCCAGGGCTCCAGCATCTTGGACATATAAGGACCGTCCAAAGTGTATCCAAGACGTGCATAGTAGTTACGCACTCCGACACCAGAGATGACACTAATCTTAGTGCTACCATGCTCCTCGCGAGCAATACGCTCTGCTTCTTCCATGAGCAGAGTTCCGAAGCCGCGGTGCTGGAACTTCTTGGCGTCACGGCCGTGAAGCGGAACTGCAGACCCGTAGACGTGAAGTTCGCGAACAATACTTGTCTGCTGGCCAGTGAGCTCTGGACGGAAGGTGTGGGTGGAGCTGCACTTTCGCAGACGAAGCAAGCCAATGAGAATGTCCTGCTTGGGATCTTCGTATGCGAGGAACGTCTCCCATCCACCATTAGCAGTATAGTCTCGGCGAATCAACTCGACCTGCGAAGGGCGAATCTTGTTCTTAACTTCGTTAATACCAACTTCACGGGTACGGACATCCCGGCAGGTGGTTCCAAAATCCTTCATGCGTGCCAAAGCCAGCTCACGCAGGTTTCCATTTTCAACCCCGGAAGTGACCAGAGGCATGGGAATATCACGTTGGACACGATATATACGTGTCCATGGAGGTACCAATGCCATGATACGAGCCACCAAGTCAATCAGAGCGTTAGGAGTGTAGTTCTTATAGCGACCAGTCCGCCACAATTCATAGAGACCAGTGCCCCGAATAACGAGTGTGGGGTAGATCTTCAGACCATCCGTTCGGAAGTCAGGGTTCTCGAAATATTCCTGAAATTGGAACAGATCTCGCTCCATGCCAACATTTGGCAAGTCGGGCATCATGTGGCTGACAACCTTGAACCCGGCATCCTTTGAAAGCTTAAAGGTCTCTGCCACAGCTGCAACTGTGTGACCACGATTTGTGTCTCGCGCGACATCCTCGTACAGACTTTGCACGCCAATCTCCAGTCTTGTGCACCCATATCGAAGCATGCTGCTCAAATGCTGGTCCAAGCAGTAATCTGGGCGTGTTTCGATGGTAATACCAACGCATTTGACATTGCTCATTTCACCTGCCTGCACGGCCTCATCAACATTGTCCGTCTGGTAGCCGCTTAAAGCATTGTGAAGCTGGGAAATGAAAGAATCCCGATACTCCTCAGGCAATGACATGAAGGTTCCGCCCATGATAATGTATTCAACCTTGTCCACACTGTGGCCCAAAGACTTGATCTGGTCCACTCGTCCTCGCGCCTGTTCAAATGGATCGTAGCGAGCGCGAATCGCGCGCATCGACGTCGGTTCATATCCAGTATAAGATTGCGTTGAATACTCAAAGTCAGAGTCTGGGCCACCGGGACAGTAAACGCAGATATTACCAGTATAAGCGATGTGAGGGCATCGGTGGGGTTTGCACATAACAGCAACAACTGCGATACCAGAGGAGGTTCCTATGCGCTAGCTCAGTTCAGGCTCCAATAAAGTTCCAGAGAGGTCAGACTCACGAATTGGCTTTGCAATAAGCTTTGGGAGGATGTATTTCTTGTAGTGTTCAGGCACAGCCGCAATGATGGCTGTCAGTGGCGGCTGGGAGGCGAGGTGATGTTTTTTTGCGATGGTACCCCGCAGCTTGTTGAGGTTGATATCTTTCCTGGGCTTCGAAGAGTCTTTCTGCGACTCATATTCCTGAATGAGAGCATTTGCAATATCAGAGCATGCCCGCATGTAGCGTTCGTTCTCTGGAACTAGCTTCGCGTTCTTTTTCGCCGCAAAGGTATCGGTCACAGTCATGGTTGCCATGATGGAAACTCGCTACTGCAGTAATGCAACGAGAGAATAGCTTCCAATATGAATAATCCAGGGCTCTTGGCCAATCAAGGAAAAAGGAATGGTGGTGTTGATCAATATCGATTAGATAGAAAAAAAGTTGGTGGCCGAGGCTGCGAACTCACTCGGCGGATCCGCTTAAGTAAAGATTTGACCCGAACGAAAACTCCCGGGCGCGCATCCTGATTCCTTACCAACTTATTCACCCGGGCACTTTTTCTCCTAATTCTCTCCTCTCCCCTCCATCCTCCAATTAATATTTTGCAGTCATGCAGTCCTTTAGCCGTAACACCTTTTCGGCCCTTCGCAACGTTGCCGGCCAGCAGCGTCGGGGATATGCTAAGGCCACCTCTGCCTATGGCGAAACCGTGAATAACCTGCGAATCAACAAGGACACACGGGTTCTCTTCCAAGGATTCACTGGAAAGCAGGGAACGTGAGTGCTATCTATATCAATAGTAGCAAAATTCATACGCTGACCACTGACGTGCTTTTGTATAGTTTCCACGCCGAGCAAGCCATCGCCTACGGTACATCTCTCCCGTTGCGCAAACAGAAATAGAAAAACACGAACTTACTCAACATAGGCACTAATGTCATTGGTGGTACCAACCCCAAGAAGGCTGGCTCTACCCACCTTGACCTTCCTGTCTTTGGCTCCGTTGCCGATGCTGTGAAGCAGACCGGCGCCGACGCCTCTGCCATTTTCGTCCCGTATGAAAACAACGTCGAGCTTCAATATACACAGAGAAAAGCTAACATGAAATAGTCCCCCTCTTGCCGCTGCCGGTATCGAGGAGGCCATTGCTGCTGAGATTGGCCTGGTTGTCTGGTAGGTGTTTGTGATACTGAAGCTCCTTACGGTATCTCAAACTAACTTTGCTCGTGTATTAGCATTACTGAGGGTATTCCCCAGCACGGTACGAGCTTCTGCGCTATCAAGACACCCTGTTCCACGAACTGATCAATTTTCCTTAGATATGGTCCGCATCACCGATATCCTCAAGACCCAGAACAAGACCCGTTTGGTCGGCCCGAACTGCCCTGGTATCATCGCTCCCGTAAGTTAGCACCTTTCCGACCTTTTGCGCGACTTCATATTACGGATTCTTATATTCTATGTGTATAGGGTCAATGCAAGATTGGTATCATGCCCGGCTTCATTCACAAGCGCGGTCGTGTCGGTATCGTCTCTCGTTCCGGTACCCTGACCTACGAGGCCGTCAACCAGACCACCCAGGCCGGCCTCGGTCAGTCCCTCGTTGTTGGTATCGGCGGTGACCCCTTCTCCGGTACCAACTTCATCGACTGCCTGAAGATCTTCCTCGAGGACCCCGAGACCGAGGGTATCATCATGATTGGTGAGATCGGTGGTTCCGCTGAGGAGGACGCCGCCGAGTTCTTCAAGGCCAACAACATCCACAACAAGCCCGCTGTTTCTTTCATTGCCGGTATCTCTGCTCCCCCCGGCCGCCGTATGGGTCACGCCGGTGCCATCGTCAGCGGTGGTAAGGGTGGTGCCGACTCCAAGATCGCCGCTCTCCAGGATGCTGGTGTCATTGTTGAGCGCAGCCCTGCCTCTTTGGGTAAGACCCTGCTCGCCGAGTTTGTCAAGCGCGACCTCATCTAAGCAACTGTACTGCTATGTGAAATTTTCCTTCCCTTGGTCCCCTGGTTCTCCTCTTTGATGATTGAGGATCCTAAGTATATTCACCGCTCATATAATGGGGTTTGGCGGTATATTTGATCATCTAAGCCGCTCTTGTATTCTTTCTTCTTTTTTTAGAAGCTCTCGAAGCAATAAAGTTGTAACTTTTACCCACTCTTTTCATACTTGGACATGTATTCAAGACTGTCCAGCATCTTGGGTTCGTACACCCAGGTATCGATATCTAATATCCAAAAATGCACCTTGGTTTTCCATGTGTAACTAGGTAAATAATACTTTTTCTGCTCTGTTGTCTCTAGTCTTCTAGATCTTTAATGCCTTCTTCTAATACAGGAAGCTTTTCCTTGCCAATACCAAGTCTCTTCCTCCACTTACTTTGCTTCTTAAGCTTCGCTCTCCTGCGTCGTCTTGGTGCATAATTGATAGGAGATTCACCGCCAATGAAAATGAAGATATCATAAAGCGAAGCTCCAGCAAGACAACCAAAGATAGTAGCGAGCCAACAGCCCCAAAACCACCATCCATTATGATCAGTGAAGGTGATACCGCCATATCCAGCCATGAGAGCCACAAGCCTCGGGCCAAAGTCGCGAACTGGATTAAAGCATCTATAAAAGCAGGTTAGCACATGTCATGTGATCTCACTAATGCAACATGCAATTGGAATCATACCCTCCAGTATTGAATCCCAAGCAAATACACAAAACATAGACAACGAGACCAATCACAAAGGCACTCATTCCAGCACCGGGTGGAGCATTACTATCATCGCCCATTGCAAAAATGACACAGACCAAAATGGCATCGGCGACGAACTCGGTGAAAAAGGCTGTCGCGGAGTTGACGTGACTTAGCGGCTCTGTGTAGAATCCCAGACCTGTTGCTCCGGCCGACACATTGGGTGCTAGATTGACGATAGCATCTCTGTATAAGCAATACGCTAGACCTGCTGCTGTCACTGCACCGAGAACTTGCGCGATGATGTAGTAGCAACAGCGCCGGCCGGGAAACCCACGGAATATCCAAAGTGCGATTGATATACCCGGGTTCAGATGTGCACCGGAGATCCCACCTGCTAGGTAAATGCCTATCATAGATCCGACGCCCCAGGACCAATTGTCTGATAAGCGTCCTCCTGCTTTTGTTCCGCCGGTTGACACTGCCAGTGTACCACTTAGCCCTATAAGTATTGTCACGGTAGTCTGTGAATTTATTGTTAGCCATGTCTAAGAAGTTGTTGATAAAAGAAGCTTACAGCAAGCCATTCTGCAAGTGGTTCTTTCGTATGATGTCGAACCCGGACCCAAGAATTCAGAAATTCATCTTCAGGAGGCCTTTTTATCTCTCCATTTTCAGTACCCTCGTTCTGCCAGTCGTGCTCACTGACTTCTGATTCCATAGGACGGAGTATCCCATCAGACTGTGGCGCATATACAACATGATGCCTACCTATTCCCTGCTGGGCTGCAGACGCATAACTAGGATGTCCAGGTCCATAAGACTGAGACTGAGACTGAGACTGAGAGGCATTCGACTGCAGAGGGGATAGTCCAGGCGTTGCGCCAATCTCTGGAGCGGCTTGGGTTTGGCCTGGGGCTTCAGTTTCGCATGCTGTTCGTCCTTGGCTTTCATTGCGACGCATGCCAGGTCTAACTACCCGCGGAAGAGGCTTTGCTAAGCCCCATATTGGATTTTCGTTGCCGCCGCCGTATCTTGGGTTAAGTCGTCGGTATTCATCGTCGATATAGACATCCCCCTGCTGCTGCTTTTCTCTCGTATTTGATCCAGCCAGAGAGTGTGTCGGCCATTGGTTTACTTGTTGTTGTTGGCTTGGGGTGCGGTTTCTGAAAGAGGGGAGACGGTTTGGTTGGGGATAGTAGAGGCTGCTTGATTCTGTCGGCTGTCTTGTTACTGCAGCTCTTGTATGGAGTGGTGTGTGAGGTTGATCTTGATGCGATGATGGATAGTCATGCTGGGAATTCGGTTGTTGGGTCTCCTCTTTAGGGTTGATTCGTCGACTAGGCGGCTCGAATGATGGATTGGTCTCTTGCTTTTTCTTGGATAATTGATGCGAATCAATTGCGTTCACATTGAGCGAGGATGAGTTTGAAGAACTATCCCATGGTTGCTCCTTGATCGGTTCCAATGGTGTTTCCGGGCCCTCTGTATTTTCTCCCATAGTAGAGAAGGTTTAGAACAGCCTTGAAAATGAATTGTGTGAACGATTCGACGTCGACATAAGTTCATGCCTATATAGAATTACTTTAAACTTAAATCGTCTATGATGCAGAGCTGAAGGATTTATTACAGATGTAACTACGTCGTTCTTTCAGTGTTCCAAGTAATAATCCTCCATACCTGTGGGGCGATGTCGATTTTGGGTTAGAACATGATTGCCACCAGACAAACTGTAGGCATCTTAGCCCGCCAATTGAATTCGTCTATAAACAAGTTCCTGGTGTACTTCCTAAAATGAGATTCCATCTATCATATAAGATCAGCTGCTTTGGACCACCCGGTCGCGTCCACTTCCCACTTCCCCCAAATCACCATTAGTCTAATATACCTATCAATGATGACCAAGTATCTCTCACCATTTCTGATTTAGAATCACGTCGAATCTCTTCGCTAAGGGCTACTGAGCTCCACGGGCTCTCAAGATCTACCCTACAATGTCAAATGAATCAGAAAACGCTCGCACCAGCCTCGCAAATCAACAAAGACTATCCCTTGACTAAGATAACTTTCTAGTTGAATGATTTCTTGAACAGAATTCCCAAGGATTCCCTCACTCCCTCCCACACGCGTGCACGTGAGATGGCTATCCGCGTTCTACAGTCTGTGGAGACTATACCCTTCTGAATGGCATGGTTACCAAAATTTATCCAACAGAATTCACACATCCCTTCTTGTATTGGTATATATATCGATGCGTCTAGAACCTATAATACATAAGTACCTGAGTAGTAGCGATCCAAGGGTTGTATAATCTCAGATTCAATGATAATATTATATACTACCCGAAAACATCTGGAATATGAATGAGCATAGGATTGCTCTTAGTAACTGTACAAACTCGCAAGTCCTTGCTCAGGCTGAAAAGAAATATCCACGGGACGATTGGCATGCTCAGGAAAACAATTCGATCCCTTATTATCTCCAATGAGAGAAATCCAATAGACTTCCTAGTTTCGAGAGAACCAGATCCCTGATTGGCTACATAATACCTCCGAGAATGGCTGCTCAGGTGGATTCGCTATAATTAAAGCGGTCAAAACTATATTTCTTCCTGAAACAGCTATAACGGACCAATATCGATGACTTATTTTAGACGGCCATAGGAGCCATGCCAGCATTGATCTCGGGAACTGATACAACACCGCAGCACATGATCATCCAATTCATTTTCTTCTATTTACATGCCCATTTTAAAAAGATCTAAGTATCACAGCTAGAAGCCAAAGCTTTAGCAGAACGCCAGCGAGTGAGGTGACAAGGGAAAGAGGCAAAAAAAAAAAAACCTCAAAAATATAGTAGGAGCTGCTTTACAAGATCTAATGTTTGAATGGCAGGTCTAGTCGCTGTGGTCTAAATAGTTTCGGTTTTTTAGTAGTGCGGAATCTACTTTCGGGTCTAAAACTAGGGTCCACAATCATGCTTAAAGTGTGGAGTAATTTGATAGATGTTCGGTGGCGATCTTTGGTTTCCAGACGTTTCTAGCCCGGCCCTCCGGTCATCATAGGTACTTTAAAACGCCGGCTTGATATCAAGTAAACATCGAGGCTTCCTTTCGAGTAATTGAAAAAGTAAAATCCTCACTAAGAGTGACCATCTCATAATGGATACAAAGTCTCAATTGTTGAGATTTTATTGAAAATCCAAAGAGGTAGAGGTTACTTAAAAATCTATGAAATATTTAAATGCCGAGCGCAGAAATGTGATCGAACTTGCTTTTTTTTTTCCCTAGTTTTGCTTTTTGTAATCCGGGCTGAACCGGCGAGCGCGACCACGCAACATCTCTGCTCGCTCCTCAACAGTCATGTTGGCGTGTGGACCAGTCGGAATGAGACATTTCGCCAAATGAATGTAATTCTTGCGCAACAAGTGCACAGTGATAAAGATGTAATCAATGTTGCGAAACACCAGAGCTCGTTCCTCGGCATAACGGTCCTTCTGTTTGAGGAAAGCTACGGGATGATCTCTCCAGTGACGGCGAGGGTTCAAGTGATGAGAAGTGTGGTAGCCATCATTGTAAGAAAAACGATTGCTCTGTATATTTGTTAGCGCTTTGAGATCAGGGTCAAATTAGTTATACCACTCACGGGAACATCAATCAGAGTGATACTGGACAACCAGTCTGACTCAGGGTCACTTGCATCGACAAGAGCGTGCTGGCCCCAGTTTCCACACATCAGGCCAATCCGCATGACAATAAATGGGAGAATGAGTACAAAGACGGTTGCACGGGCGTTGACGTAGTTATAGAGGCAGTAGAAGGTCAAATAGTTGCTGAGTTCCCAGAATGCAGCTCTGGTGGCATTTTTGTATTGTCCCTTGTTGAAGAAATAGAGTGGGAGCTCGACCCAGATAAAAAAGAAGAACCGACCCACGTAGCAAGCAAAGTCAAGCACACTGTCACGGTCGTAGAACATGGTAGAGCTCAGATCATAGGGGCCGTTGCCCTCGACATGGTGATGCTTCATATGGTGATAGAAGTAGGAGTTCCATGTATGTCCGTGCAGTGGATCAAGCAAGTACGGGAACAATGTGTCCAAGACCCAGTACTGAGGAGCCAGAATTCCGTTACCGTGGATATGCTGATGCCTCATCAAGGTGAAAGCACCACAGTAAAAGCCCATCAAGGCCCAGTGCAAAATACCATGGATCCATGTAAAGTGATAGAATAGGTAGAATGCGCTTGGGACGATGGTTGTGAAATAGAGTATCAAATGCGTAAGCATAACAACATCCGTAGGGACTCGGACGACGCCTTTGGCCCATTCCACATATGGCTGTAAGATAAAACGTTGAACTGGCTCAGGGAGCTTAGCCCGCAGCACATCATTTTCCCAGAGCTGGAAAATAGTAGGATCAAATGATGGATCGGATGGGTTGTTCATGCCCTCGAGCTTTTTGATTATTTCATCATCGCTGAGCTTCTGGGCATTTGCTTTGGTATCACCTTCACCTTGGTTTTAGCCAGTGTATAAGACAGATGAGAGAAAGAGCTCACCATTTGATGACTTTTTAGATAGAACCTCAAGTACCAGTTTGTCTTGAAAGGTGAGCTGAGGATCCACGTATGCGGAAGGATCCGAAGGATCCATGGGATCTGAGGGGATGGAACCAGTTAATTGGCTCCCAAGACTATCTTCGAGATAATGCCTATAACATTCCAAGGTTGGTAATTCTGAGCTCAAAGGGCCTGGGAAGGAGCAATGTTGATGTATCAAATCAAGGGTGGAAAGGAGATTTTCAACATTACCTGGGAGTGGGTCCTCTCGACTAACAACATATGACACGCGTCTAAAGTGGCCAGATCTTTTTACTTTTGAGAATTGATCTTTAAGCTACCTAGGTGAACTATGGACACTAATTCTTTCATAGATATTGTGATTTAGACGGTCTTTTGCATATAGGGGTGGAGATTCACGGTCGGAGAGCTAAAAATGCTCCGATCCTCCGGAGTCAATGGTTTTATCGTTCATTAGTACAAAGACTGAGAGAGGCAGTACTTAGTACATAGTTCGGACCACGGGTAGTTGACCGCTTTTTAGCCTGTTCCTTACCGAGGTACTATAATAACATTGCACGTACTGCCTTCTCAGGTATAACAGATAATATTGTTCGTCACTGTAGTTGATGTGTTGTTTGTTATTTCCCCATCAATTGACAATTGCCTAAACTTGCTAATAATACTATAGTAATAACTATTTTGAACTGAATAGCATCTGCGGCTCTTTCTGCTGTTTACTACCTTCCGTGACGTCACCATGAAGTAGATATATAGTTACCTTTTTATGCTTCAATTCCAGCCTTTTCTTCTCTTTCACCCCTAACATCGAGACCATCTACTACTAATTACCTAAATATCCTCGGACGTCATTCTTCCTAACTCATAAAACTGACCCACCTAGATATCCACTCAGGTCTTTTTGTGCTCTCCAGCCTGGTCATCATACCCAACCGAACTCCCAAAATTAGAAGCTTGGAAGGCCGTTACTAGTTGTATTGACATTGGGAAGTTGATATTTGGATGACCAGGTATCTGATCGGCTAAAAAGCCTCACTCTATTCCATTTTTTTTCTGAATTCCAATGCGAATCTCTCATTCCTTGAGCATGTGGGGAAGATGCGCATATCACAACAGCCCCCAACAAGTGCTTTTACCCTTCTTCAGCTCCAGGGCTAATAATTAGTTACTATCTAGCCTCCACTTGCTCAGATCCTGCATAAGCATCCCTTAGAACCCGTCTCTTCCCTGGGGTATATAATACCGGTCGCACCGCCAATTTGAACTAAGTTTGAGACATCAATTATTCCAACCTCTTTCGCCAGTTCCATAATGAAGCTTTTTACTTGTCTTTCTGTTCTGCTGGCAACTGCCCTTGCCACCCCCCTTGCCAAGTCCACCAAGGAGTTTCGCCTCAAGACTGTTGGTGCAACTCATGCCAAACATAACGACCTTTACCTACACACCTACCACACTGGTGCTGGGTTGAATGATGCTACTCTTGGAAGTAATGGCACCAGTGCTCCCTCATTCTATTTGAATGAAACCCGTGCCCTTGCTGACCTGGGTACTGACTTTACTTGGGGCTTGATCGCCACTGGGGATACCAACTATGCCGGTCAGTCTTTCAACCTTGACCATTTTCAATCCAAGCTAATTTTCTCAAAGCATGGGAGCCAATTGAAATTAATGCAGGTGGTGGCAGTACTGGATTCTCTATTACCAATGGCACCTTTGTGTGGGATAAAGCAAGTGGTTTTGGGGGCTGGCTTGGTAGGTTATCGTTTACTTTCTTGTTCTCGTTCTCTCACCGCTTCAGTTCCATTTCTGACATCATGCACACTCTAGTCTGCGACTGGTTCCACAACACTCCTCAGTTGTTCTACCTTTATCGCTACTACGATGCCACTATTCCTTCCAGCTGCAGCAAGGCGTTGCTGAAGCCGATCTATAAATAGGTTATCTCTGGGTAGTTGCCCCACGGAATACGTTGCTATGATATCAGATATGGAATGAGATTCATTTTTATTGCTCATGCCAAAGATCGTAGATCCATGGATTACTTTTTTGTTTCATACGTCGTAAATTGAGTGGGTGTATCTCATGAAGCCGCTATCGGCGTCGGTGTATCTTCGTAGTACCGGCGGTCCATGCCAGCCTGTAACCGAGCTTCTTCATTGAAAGGACCTCGAATAGCCCCCTTGAAATGTTGCTTGACATTGCCCCGGAAAACCTGCACAGGATCCGTTCCTTCTTGGCTGCAAATCCAAGTCAACCACCGGTGGCCGGTGGTAACATGTGTGATTTCATCATTATGGATGACCTCGAGCGCTTTAACGCTCTCACCGTCGCCAGAATGGCGGAACTTTTCAATAGTCATGGGGTTGACATCCAATCCCCGAGCTTCATGGACGAGGGCAACAATGCTGATGCGAGCGCGAAGATCGTGCGCCGTTTCCAAGGCCGACAGCCACAGACTGTGATGTACGGGAAGGGCTCCAAAATACGACCCCATCTCTTCAAGTCGGGTACGAAGGAGAGAAAAGTGCTTAGCTTCATCGTTGGCCACCTTCAACCAGTCGTGAAAGAAAGCTCGTGGTAACTCCAGAGAATTCCCTTCAGTTTGAAATGTTGAAAATCGTACGCAGATATCGATTGCAAGGTCGATAGCCCATAGTTCAATATTGGCCAATGCATGCAGCATAGCAATTCGGCTCTTCAACGTCCCGCCCTTTCCAGCGCGAGGCATAGCTCCTGGAGCCACGGTAGTCATTTTCTCACGAGGGGGATGTTCAGGAGCAGAAATTGTGCCCTTTCCAAGCTCCATGGGTGAGGAAGAGACCTCTTTCTCGACGAAAATTGTGAAAAAGTGGTGAGTCAATTCAATTTTGTGTTCTGGATTGGCCGTGTTCAAGATATGGACAGCCCAGTCGCAAAATGTTGCATTTTCATCGAGGTAGCGAGCCATTCCAAAATCTTCTTGCTTGACTGCTTCTTGCTCAACTACGTGTTGTTTGACTGAGGACTTAGCTGACGGTTTCGTATTTTTCAACTTGACCCTTTCACTAACGGGTTCAACTCTGGACAGCTCAATAGTCTCGCCATCTTCGGAGGGAAAATCGAGCGTAACAGATTCGCCGCTAACATCGACAATAAATGTGCAGGCTTTGAGGCCCACGCTCGATTCTCCAGTCTCCACATTGAAATCATAGGCGTGCCATGGGCACGACACGATGTAGGCAGAGTCTTCAATATCAACATACGAGGCCGACATTTCGGCGCCCGCATGGGGACATTCCGCCTGCATTGCATAGTACGACCACCCTTGCGCCTCGTTAAGTTTTGAGGAGGACTTGTCGATCGATGGCAAGCGGAATAACACTAGTCTTTTCCCTGTAGAGAAATGAAGCACATATCGGGCTTGCGTGAAGCTCGATAGTGGTCCACAGTCGATCAGCATTTTTATGTTTGCGACAATGACTGTTTAATGGTTGTTGTTGGCTACATCAGGTGATGATAATGGGCGCAGAAAATGGCTATTTTTGCCATTTAACTAAGGCATCAATGAATATTAGTCACCAGAATGGCGCGTGATGTGTTTGTTGTGTTTGTACTTTATTGGATCTAAGCCCCACCGGGGGATAACTTACCAACTCCGAAGCCATTTACATCTTCTATGGGCCTTCTCGAAGCTAACTCCCAGGTTCTGAATCCTTCCAGCTTTAGAAGGAATATCCTTGACAAATGGGGATAGCTTTATGCATCTAGTCCACGACGGAATACAATTGATTTGACCTCGAGACCGAGACATACACTAGTGCGCGGACACATTTTTATGAGGTTTAACTAATATCTTACTATGCTGTATTTGTACTCCGTACATGGCTACCTCAATCGTGGAACTTCTACAATGTAGTTCAAAGAAATCTTACCTCGGGTATATATCATCTAGGTAAATAGTTGAGCGATCGTCGAAGGTAGATCTACAGGCAAATCGAGCAGCGGTGATTTACCGAGACAAACTGTAGTTGTTTCGAGTGGAGTAAGATCGACCTGTGTGTAGAACGGGGTACACCGAAGATGATATGAGGAAGGAAGGGTCACATGAGATGGATTCTATCAAAGCACAGAAGTCCTTCTCTCGGCAAATCAAGTGAATATGTTCCCCTTTTTTGTATTTTTTCTTCGCTAGTGTCTACCGAGTTTGCGGGGAAGCGACACCGGAGACTTGAACTTCCCACTACTCACCATCTTTCCTTGAATCGTGATATTCGAAAGTGGCTCACATCAACCCCACCTTTAATTCTATTTCAACCCATTATCAGCCAAATACAGCACTTTACTGCACTTTATACCATTCAATCAAGGATACATCGCAGATTTGAATGGAAATTGATCAATTGAAGAGTAAGGCCGAGATCGGTCAGTGGGTCCTGAAAATGCTACTGCAGGATTCATACTTCTTGGGGCCACGGCTAGTTAGCCATGGATCAACCAGCAGTAATATTAGCCCTTCTGACTCAGTTTTCGAACACTAAAAAAAATAAATTAAGTAGCTCTTGACCTGCTCTTTCCCCCCCCCCTCAATTTTGTACCATAAAAAAAATCCACGAATTGGACTGTGCTTATACTGGCGCACCATAAAGTTGTGCACGCGCAATAACCTCGGATACTACTACCTGCGCATCCCTGTGCATCCCTGTACAGCTCGGAGCTGATCTACACTCTAAGAATTCTGGCGGTCAAATCCCTATTGTCTTTAAACCCTTTTCGCTCTCTGCGCATTTTAAATAGCGATTGTATCTTACCATGGGAGTACCAGGTTTGTTCTTCCTCCATCTACACCTTTGGCGCATACATCTACTGCGACTGAATCTCTGATGTCATGAGTACTTCTGCTGACAATTTACCCCTCTGCAGAGGAATTGCAAGAGAGCGACAATGGCAGAAGCATGGTCGACTCTTCTGGATCAGACTATGACTCGGAGCTTCCACCGCTCCGATCAACTACCAAGCGCAAATTGATGGCCAAGGTCGACTGGCACATCTTGCCGTGCTTATGTGTTCTGTACCTGCTTGCATTTTTGGACCGGTAAGAGCTAGAGCCAGAGCCCATCATCCGAACCTCGTAAGAACCGCGCGCTGACCTTGGATTTCTTTTTGCAGGGTCAATGTCAGCAATGCTGCCATCCTCGGTCTTAAGACAGACTTGAATATTGTATCGGGAACGAAATACAACACCGCTTTGACGATCTTCTTCGTTCCTTACATTATCTGCGAGATTCCATCCAATATACTGCTGAAGAAGCTTAAACCACATGTTTGGTGTAAGTCGTGCAATCCTACAACTGGTTCTTCAAAGGTCATTTTATTAAATGGAGTCAATAGTGTCGGTGTGTATGTTCGGATTTGGCCTCATCATGATTATCCAAGGCTTCGTAACAAGCTGGGGTGGACTTATGACAACGCGATTCTTCCTTGGAGTCTTTGAGTGTGGCATGTTTCCTGGATGTGAGTTGTATTCAAACACCAAGTAATTTTGACGGTTTCAGCTGACATGTGGTGGAAGGCTTCTACTTGATGGGAATGTGGTACCAGCGTGATGAGGCCCAAAAGCGTTTCAGTTTCTTCTTCAGCTCAACCACTCTTGCCGGTGCCTTCGGTGGTCTGCTGGCATACGGTATTTCGCAGATGGATGGAATTCGTGGATACAAGGGCTGGCGCTGGGTATTTATCCTAGAGGGTCTGCTGACTTGCGTGGTCGCCATTGTCTGGTTTTTCATCTTGCCAGATTTCCCCGAAGATGTCAAGTGGTTGACTGATGAAGAGCGAGATTACATTCAGGCGAAGCTGGCCAAGGATGTTGGCAAGTCCGCCCGCCAAGCTAAGATGGGATGGCGTGAAGTTTTGGCCGTTTTCAAGGACTGTAAGTAGTCTTCAGAGCTGGGGGTGTTTGACGTGAGCTTACCATATCTTTTTTAGACAAAATCATTCTGGGTGGTTTCATGTACTTCGGCTTGATCGTTCCAGCCTACGGTTAGTAAAACCTGCAAATATATCCCTGGATATTTGGAAATCCTTGCTGACTCTTGATTTAGCATACGCCTACTTTGCACCGTCCATCATCCAGAGCTATGGATACAGCTGTAAGTGAAATTTGGAACGCCTTGAATATCATCCTGATGATTTGCTGACAACAAAACTCTACAGCGGTCAAGACTCAGCTATACTCCATTGCGCCCTGGGCAGCGGCCTTTGCCTTTTCTATGTTCATTGCTTTCATTTCTGATCGCTTGAAGCACCGATTTGTATTCACTCTGATTCCCATTTTCGTTTCCATTGCTGGATTCGCTATCCTACTCTGTGTCCACGGGACGGCACACCGGTCTGTCGAGTACGGTGCGCTTTTCTTGATCACCAGCGGTGCGTATAGCGCCATGCCTGTTATCGTCTGCTGGTTCTCCATGAACCTTGGAGGCCATCAGCGGAAAAGTGTTGGATCAGCCTGGCAGGTGGGATTCGGCAATATCGGTGGTATCATCGCCACATATTCCTTCCTTGCAAAGGATGCACCCTATTACAAGCCAGGATTCATTATTTCCATCTCTTTCTGCTGCTTGGCAATTTTGTCATGTGTTCTCTACTTCCTCGCTATTTTGGCAGAGAACCGAAAGCGTATGAACGCTCCTCTCATTAACCAAAATAGCAACTCTGAGGAGAATACGGAAGAGTTATTGGGTGATCTGGCACCGTCTTACCGCTACCAGTACTAGATGACGTGGTATATTTTTATTCTTCCATGGGTTCCTTGGACAAAGAACCAGCCTTCTGGCTATGATATTCATGAATAAAAAAGGGAGCTTTCCATATTTGATATATGGATGCTACGGGGATTATTGCATGCATTTTGATATGCCAAGTGGATGTGATTTCATGTTATTTATTTACCAATCTTGACAATAATGAAAATTTAATATTCTAAAGGATTCAATTCACAAAATTCCGAGTAAAAATTCACCGTCCATGGGAATCTATGAGTATCTACAACCCTACTCCCACAGTGTGATGTAATCCACTCGGCACGTGATCTCATCCCCATTCGGTTAGCGCCTCTCGCTTAGCTCACTACACAAACTCATTTGCGAGCCGTTCACTTGTCTTTCTTCATTCATCTCTCCTCATCCTCGCAGAAGTAAGTTTCCACCAAAAACACTATTCATGTTTCTATTTCCATTGAATTAATAACTAACATGCCTTTTCAGATCTACGAAGATGAGAGCTAAGTGGAGAAAGAAGCGCGTCCGTCGTCTCAAGCGCAAGCGCAGAAAGATGCGTGCCAGAAGGTAAGCTTTCTACTGTTGATCAATATCGATCATAATTGCCAATTGGCATTGAGTGCAAGTAATTTTGATGCTAAAAATTTTTTTCAGCAAATAAACAACTCGCCCCCGCCATCTCAGCTCCTCATGCGAAGCTCACTGTTTGAATGATAAACATGAAAATAAATGACTCGATGTGACGATTTTCGTTTCTTTCGTGTTCCGCCTCTCGTTACCAAATTGCCTGTCCGAATATGGTTTCCGTCCATTGAGGGAACTACAGATCGCCGATGGAATCCGCCATTCAAACAACCACCGTTCTCTATCTTTGCAATCCCTTGGATTTATTCAACGTCGTTCGATCTGCTGTCGGTCATGGTATCTGGTGGTTAGCCATTAGATTTTCAACTTGGAGAGGCCCTTATGTTTAGTTAAGGGTTGAAAGATCAGTCTATGTTGGTCTTGTGAGCACCCGCTGAGGTGTCTGGTTACTTTTGCTCAAATTTTCAATTATCAGTCCTTGACCTGTCAAGTGACTGCGAGCTATGGATCAGAGTTTCCTGCAACAATCAAAACTGGAATATTTCGGAGGTCATTGGTTTCGATAGCTTTGCTTGCCGATAAATTCAAGACTTTTCTGAGAACATATCTTGCTTCGTAAATTTTAGCCATACAGAAGTGCTCTATCTAAACACTGTAGTCATTTATTTTAGCATATTCCGGATTTGAATCCAGAGCTCCATACTCATCTACATCTGCATCTCAGAGTTTATTTCAACTGTCAATTTTTGGTTTGTGCGGGACCTTCTTACCGCCTTCCAATTCCTCACCGCATGGAAATTTTTCTGCCGTCTCCAATTAATATTTATTCCATCAATATTCCACGGTCATTATCTTAGCTAAAGACTGTGGTCTTTGTATTCTTACACAATGCCTTCCGATAATGTGGAGAAGAAGCGCAAGCGCGCATCAGACCGCCACGAGCGTCCCACAAAAAAGCCCGCTTTGGAGCTACAAGCCCTTCCTCCTCTGGCAGCCAGCGTTGTCGAAGACAAGAGCGAGCTTGCACCGGTTATTGGTAAGGCTGAATATTTCTAATGCGGCTTAGACTCGCTACTCACGTATTCTTTGTGCTACAGCTACCACTCCTGGAGTCCTAAATGCGAAATCCCTTCGCTGGGACGCATATGTCAAGACTCGCGATAATGCCAGTTCTTCAGGAGTCGCCCGAAACCCTGGCATTGTCTCCTCCGAGATCCTGCTGCAGTCTTCTGATCACGAGAAAATGGATTTTGTTGGCCGTGAGGGCACAGGAGACGATACAGACTCGCAATTGAAGCACTATGTTGCCGTTGTGGACCCGGAGCGCAAGACATGGCAGATTGTGGAGGCACGACGAGTGACCCTCAGAGGTGCTGTCCGCAGTTACAGGAACGCTTCTGACGATGAAGATTCTGAGGAGGAGATGGTATGTCTTACCTTGGCCCTGCTGTTTGAAAGGTTTACGCTAACGATAGATTTAGAACACCATGCGGGCCCAACGCACGGCATTGACCAACACATTCGGTACAAAGCAGTCTCGCAAGGCAGTCCAATCTATGGCCGAGAATGCCAAGCTGTCCAACGCCCCAGTCGGTGCTGTCCCCGAAGCCGGTGCTGCGCTTATCTCCTCTTTGCCAGCGGGTGCCGCTTCCGGTCTGGTCAAGATGGCAAATGTACAGGCTGAAGTTCAAGCAGCGAAGCCCTTGCCTATTCCCGATCTCACTGCTGCTCATCCCGCCGATGTCTACACGATCGAATCTTTAGTTCCGGGTGGACACTCGACACTTCGTCTATTGACTGGTATCGAGGAGTGGAAGCAGCAGGTTGAGGCCGGCATGGGGGTGACCACTGGATCTCGATTCGTTGCCAGCCGCGTGGAAGCAGTAGTGCTTTCTGGAAACCAGACCCAGCTGCAAGTTCTTCGGTTCATCCAGCTGCTGCTTGAATTCGCGCGCTGCCTTAAAAGTGGAAGGGGTGACAAGAGCTCTGGCCCCGGCAGCAAGAAATTGCCTCCCCGTGAAGACCTTCGCAAGATTCTGTCTAGTACATCTGGAGCCGTTTCTAAGGATTCCAAGAATACCGAGGCTGAGTCGGTAGATCTCCTTTCAGACTCTGTGGTTGATGCTGTGCGTCGCCGCTTCGCTCCAAACGGAGCCTACATGACCAAGCATGAACAGACTCTCCTCCACACCACCATCTGTGCCCTATCGCTGCACATTCCCCCGCAACCAGCCAAGGATGGTGGATCCAGTTCCCTCGGTGGCAACTCACCCAATGAACTGGCTACAGACCCTTCAAATCTACGTGACGATCTGCACATTGAGTCAAATACCATGATCCAGTACTTCCGCGAGCTGGGCTGCAAGATTGACAAGCCCCGCGAAACAGAGCACAAAAAATGGAACATCAAGGGTGGAAAGGCCGAGGCTAATGCGCGCCGGATTGCCCGTCTGCGTATTCCTGTTGAATTCCCCAAGGTCAGCCGTGGGGCACGGAAGTAAAGTGTCTTGGCTCTACTTGTTTAGCATTGTCGAGCGGATGGCTTCGACTTCCTAAGGTTCTTGATCAAAATTATTTATGCCATTTGTTGATATATCCGGCGTTTCTTGTGATTTTCACTTCATAGTGTTTCTATATGAATGGAATGGTGTTTCATATTCAGTGATTTCCTTATGAAGAGAAACTACCTCGGTAAAAGATTGCGCTACCTAGCTACTTCGGTGTTAGTGAATTACCAAGAGATTAACCTCGTTAGACCTTATGTGAACTACTTCTGTATGTCATTGAAACAGACTTGGTGTTCGCATATGCAGCTTTGATCGGATTGCCTGAGGTCGTCTGGGAGCAGCTAGGGCTTTTCAAGTTTTATCTGATGGCAGGATGATGCGTTTTTACTCTCTAGCTTATTTGTTTCTTGTTATTCTCAGATTATAGAAAAATTCTATTTGTCAATGGAAATACAGTACTGATATACAGTTACCTATATATAATGATGAGGAACCTACATAGGCACCTAAGTAGGAGTGTTGAGCTTCTGGAAAAACCAAGCACTGCTCTGGTCGAGAAAGCGGACTCCATGGGCAGCTTGAGTAAAAAATAATGTTAGAGGGTTAGAGGGCAATGCAGGGGGTTATTTGTTAGTTTGGAGATAGGGTGCTTGAACATTTACAGTAACAAGAAAGCTGGGACCCTTGAAAAAACTATACACTTGAGTCTTCACACTCAGCCATGACTTCTCAGCTCGTGATTCTCGTAACTGGATGTAACCAGGGTAGAAACCAAATCCCACCTGGTTGTCGTCGCACGCTCTCAATCAAAGGCTGAAGAGGCAGTCAGGACTATCGTATCTGTGACTAGCTCAGATAGTTCAAGCTTCACATTTGTTATCGATTTAGACAAGAATGAAACTATTCTCGCCGCTGGTAGATTTGTCGAGCAAAATTCGGCTACCTTGACATCCTGGTTAATGGTGCTAGTGTTACAATCTCTGAGAGCTACCGCGCTGCTTTTGAGACAAATGCTCTCAGTGTTGCGGTCATGAATGAAACTTTTCTGCCGGCTATTTCGCGCCGTATTGTTATTGCCACCAGCGACCTAGGGATGTTCGGCGTGGCCCTTTCAGAAAAGTCTCCATATAATAACTAGAAAATCGAATTTGCTGTTCACCGCAGTAGTAAGCCAGCCGTCGATACTATCACACTCCAAAATGAGAATATTCCGACGGTTTTTGTCGAGCCGGAGTACTGAACGGTTGTCGGAGGATTTCAAGGTGATAAGGATGCCGTCGAACGTGGCAAGTTTATTGCACGTGCTGCTATTGATGGAGATAACAAATATTTGCTTCTAAAAATTATTGAGGAGGGTAAGCATGCGGGAGTTGGCTGATGTATCCATGGTTTCAGAGCCAGTCACACCACATTGATCACAATATCAATATTTCATTGGCCTCTGAATACTGATAGATAATATATGACAACATAGAACGCGTAGGTCAAGACGTTATTGGTACGTTCAAGAAAGCTTCGGCAAATTGAATTAAAGCAGTGGAGAAGTTCCCCATGAAATTGACGTAGCCCCGGTTTATAAGTGACGTAAAGATCGGGTTGCCGACATCCCAGGCCCCCACGGGCCGTAAGACGCCATGAGGAGTAACAGGTTTTATCCACATTAAAGCCCTATACTTTACTTGATTAACCACTCATCTTTGAATACAAATGTTGCTGGTGGGTACAGATTACAATTTGATTATGAACTCTACTGCAAATCAGATGCTGTTTCGACTATTGGGATTTCCTGTTCAGGGCATACTATGAGGCAATGGCTTTGGCGATCCATAGACATGGATTATTTGAACTTGTTACTCGGATATATTGGTCTCCCAAGTTCTGCATATAAGGATCGGCTATTATTTCGTCAATATTACATATTTTCCAGTACCTAACTTCAATCAATGGTGAAGAGCTTCCTCCATCTTTGAGCTCCACATTTCTATTAGCTATTATCTACTGTCATTATACGTCCATATAAGCGCCGTTACATCACGATCTCCAAATTGCCACATGGCTCATACAACCGACTCCTCGTTCTCCGAGAAGCAAGATGAAAATCAGAGTGCCGACAAAAGTCTCAGTAAACAATTAAAGCACAACAAAGCCGAAGGCGGAAAAGACGCCCACGCCAGACATGCTCACGACGAACACGCCCTCGATTCACAGCGTACCAGTCAAGATGATTTACCAAAAGTTGAAAAAGGTGGTAAGCGCGAGCTGTTGGAAGATGACTGCTATGACGCCTTAGGCTTCTGCTTTCCATCATGGAAGAAATGGACCATCCTATCAGTCATCTTCGTAGTCCAGATGTCGATGAATTTCAACACAGGCGTCTATTCTAATGCAGTGACCGGTCTCACCGAGGAGTTTGGGATCAGCGAGCAGGCCGCTCGAGTTGGACAGTGTGTCTTCCTCGTTGCATATGCATTCGGCTGCGAGCTCTGGGCTCCGTGGAGTGAAGAGTTTGGCCGTTGGCCTATCATGCAGCTGTCATTGTTCTTGGTCAATATCTGGCAGATCCCATGTGCCTTGGCCCCCAATTTTGGCACTATTGTCGTATGCCGCATCCTTGGAGGGCTCAGCTCGGCTGGTGGTTCTGTGACCCTCGGTATGACTGCTGATATGTGGGAGGCCGATGACCAAGGCTTTGCCGTGGCATATGTCGTACTCTCATCCGTGGGCGGCTCAACTATCGGTCCTGTGTTTGGTGGGTTTATCGGCCAGTATCTCTCCTGGCATTGGGTTTTCTGGATCCAGTTAATCTTTGGTGGAGTTACCCAAATTTTGCACTTCTTCTTTGTCCCAGAGACACGGGCTACGATACTCGTCGATAGAGAGGCTAAGCGGCGCCGTAAGAATGGCGAGGATGTCTGGGGCCCTAACGAGTTGAAGACACAGCGTCTGAACTTTAAGGAAGTCCTCCAAATCTGGCGCCGACCCTTTGAGATGTTCCTACGCGAGCCAATTGTACTGTTCCTGTCTCTTCTGTCGGGTTTCTCCGATGCACTCATCTTCGTGTTCACCGAGTCATTCACTCTGGTCTTTAAGCAATGGAACATGAATACCATGGAAATCGGATTGACTTTCTGCGCTATTCTGGTCGGATACATGCTCGCTTACTTTGTTTTCCTGCCTGATGTCTGGCGCCAGATGAAACTTCGCAAGGTACATGGAGCCGGAAGCAGACTCGCCGAGCGCCGGCTGCTCCTTCTTCTCTTCATCGCTCCCCTGGAACCGATTGGTCTACTAGGCTTCGCCTGGACATCCATGGGTCCTCCTATCCCCTGGATCGCACCTTGCATCTTCGCTTGTCTTATCGCAATCGCAAACTACGCCATCTATATGGCCACGATAGACTACATGGTTGCCGCATATGGCCCCTACTCTGCTTCTGCGACTGGTGGCAACGGCTTTGCTCGAGACTTCTTGGCTGGAATTGCTACCATGTACGCCACGCCTATGTACGAGAACATGGGAAATAAGTACCACCTCCAGTGGGCGAGCACATTTCTCGGTTGCGTGGGTTTCCTGGTTTTGATACCAATCTATGTCTTTTATTGGAAGGGTCCGGATATTCGGGCAAAGAGCAAGTTCGCACAACAGCTTGAGGCTGATCGATTTAGACAGCAGGATAATCGACGTCCTAGCGAGCCCCGACGAGTAAGTTACTTGCGTGAAGATGAGGATCCATATGCATAAGGTGTACAACTGGGCTTTAGATTGCATCTGAGCATATAATGAATCCGTATTAGTTTTGCATCTTAGATACCTATGTAAATACCGCCATATCCATTATTCAATCCTCTATAAATTTCCAATTTGGTCCTTTTCTCTCCTACAACTTGTCCATGAAAGCGGTAGGTACGGACGACTATGGGGCATGAGATTCATATCTTTTAATCATTCCTCATTCGTCGTTAGTCCCTGCATAGTACAGCGTCCTCGCTAGCATAAATAGGATAAGCACCACTACTAAATCCTAGAACCAAAGGAACTCAAGTAAATACTCCGTAAACAGGTAGTAATAGGAATCCAATGAAGTTATTCTGGAGTTAAAGGGTTCATCTACCCAATCAACAAGTCTTCTTGATAAGCACAGGATGGCACTCAGTATTAAAAACAAAAGTATCCAAGCTCACAACATCAGGCTCAGTAAAAGTAAGATAAAGATACTTCAGCACTTCCGCAAAATAGAAGCTAGGTACAAATATCAGCAATAGAACCACCTACCACCAGCACGTTGCCTGTGCAGGAATTCAGGGCACTCACCTTGAAACGTAGTTCACCAGCTCCCCACCATACGGCGCATTCACGTCAGTGATTTCCGCGTATGGCACTGATGCTGAGCGGGTGGTGTTCAGCGCTTGGAAGATCTCCCAGTTGTAGTCTTGCCACCGAGTATCGCCCGTGACACGATACGCGTAGAAGATGCTTTCCAGTGGTTCGGGGTAAGAGGTGTATGAGGGATCCTCAATGAAATAGCCGTATTTGGCAGCTTCAGCTCGGTACGTTGCATTCGTATTGTAGGCTGACTCGTAGGCTTCATTGCTGGCATTGTACCAGGCGATTGCTGAGTTGACAACTGTTAGACTGGGGTTTCCTTGGAAGACCGTGATGGCAAGCTCTTACTTGATGGCCCCAGACCGGTAAGGGTTGTGTTATAAAGCCAGTGGCAGCTGTCAGATACCTTGATTCCTAAATCGGTGATATCAGGTCGGTCTAGGTACTTTCCCCCTAAAAGGAGATTTCCACCAGCAAAACATGCCTAAAAAGGTGTTATGATGTTAATAGGAAAGTGACCAGAAGTCCTGGACTACTTGGGTAGAAACTAACATAGTCATCCATTGACCACATGATGTTGCCATCAGAATCAAGTTGAGAGAGAAAGGTTAGATTTGGGTTACCGTATGGGTGAAGCGCTATATGTTCAATACTCGATTCAGCGGTTGTAACCCAGAAGTCTCGTAAAGCTGATGACAAGCTATCATCCCGGTCATACACGTATGTTTTGATCAAATACTGCTATTTCATCAGATACTGCCAAGTCGACCTTTCCGTTGACTTACCTCAATGAAGCTGTCGACTCCGGCTTCCCAGCCACCATCGAATGTGATAAAGTTGCCAGTGTCAGTGTCAAGTTCAGTTCCAATAAGACCTGGAAACGCAGGGGATGGACTAGGATTGATAAGATATTCCTCGGCCTTTTGAGCCTGTATTTTCTCTAAATGTTAGACGGCCCTTCCTGGTTCACTTCTAGATCTGGGAAATATAGACATACCTGCTGACGAAATGATTCGTCACCAGTAAGGTCAGATAGGCGATAATACTCCAGTATCATCGTCCCGGCCTGTGCCGTATTCGTACTATTATACGTCTTTCCATTGACGGTCGTAGTACTTTGAACTATTTTTTGAGTGGTAAAGTTGAGATTTCCACCCGGCAAGCCAGTGACTGTGTCAAAAACGGGAGTTATTGCCGTAGCCAAAGACTTTGCTTGAGACAAGAGGGTTTCAACCAGATCCTTATCATAGGGATTTGGGAATTGGCCGCTGTTGATCAGGTCGTAGGCGCTAAGAAGGCTGTACAGATCATCAGAACAGAGAATTCGCAAGCAGGTAGTTATTCGGTCAACGTACCCGCCAATGTACCGAATATTCACATCAAAAAAGGCAACTACAGAGGAAGATTTCCTATTTCGTGATCAGTACTTGTCTACCAAATCAACCCTGGAGTCTGCCTCGGAGCGTACGTGAAATCTACAGCCGCAATTTGTTTCAGCTGCTGCTCCACGATATCAGTCAGACCCATCACAATAGCAGTGTCAATACCATCAACAATTGTCGCACCCCATCCGAACAAGTCGTTTGTAGAGTTATGGGTGACAGGAAGGAGATCATCGTTTGGGAACGCGTACTCCGCATACTGCTTCCACTCGCGCACATATGCTTTCTTTACAGCTTCAGCTCGAGGATCATTTTTGTTAGTTCCTGCAGGGAAGTCATATTGAATTTTATTGCAGATCTGGCTGGATACTGCCAAGTTTGTTGAGGGAGAAGCTCTGGCTTGATTGATGGCCAATGCTAGTAAGACTGGGATACCGAGAATCATTTTCCACCTGTAAAGAGAGATTGCTCAAGACTAAGGTAAATGCTACGACTTGGGGGCTTTATAGAATTGTCAATTCCTGCAGATCGTCAGTAGATGGTTACATCTGATGATCTGAAAGTGACATGTCAGAGCTTGAATTACAGCTAACTAATAGCTCAAGGTAAAATTGATCAATGATTTTAAATACAACTTGCTGAAACCTTGGAAAGGCCATTACAGGCTGTACCGGAGCTCCTTGAAGGATATAGGTAACCTAGGTAGGGTGCCTGCACATACTAATGCAGCGCCATAACCATTCAAGCCTTTTTAACGGAAATATCCGCCAAGCAGAGACTAGTACTCCGAGCTGAGAAGGGTTTACTATGGCCAGATCAGCATCGGCGGTCTTTTGTAATTGATTAAGAATGCTACCCCAGAGTCAGTGCGATGTTGATCATTCCACATAGGGTTAAGGGACGACTAAGACCATCATCGGAGAAAAAAGACATGTACTGAGGTCATCTGGGTACGAGTGAGAAGAGATAACTATATGTACTCTATGTCTAATGCATTCTACGTAGTGTAAGGGAAGAGAAAATAATGCCCCCAGAAACTAAATTCATTTCAACTTGAACTGATCATAACGATACGGATCGCACTAGATCAATATCCTTAATGTTAAACTACTGAAATGCAAAAGAATCAAACAAGATTAAACAAGGCCAAGGATGAAGAGAAGATCGAAAGTTGGGGGGTGATAAAAAAAAAAAAAAAAAAAAAGCCGAAAAAAATTTGTGATATGTGAAGTAAATGTTGGATGGTTTCTTCATATGTTATGTGTATGTTTAAACGAGCGGACAGGACATAGCTGCGCTTATTATCCCAATGAGGTGAATCTAGGTGAAGACTCCGCTTAGGCGGCCACGCCGACGGGAGCGGAGGCAATACCAGAGTGCGCAAGGGTTGCGACTGGGGTAGATGTCTTCATGGGTGGGATGGTGGCAGCATTGCTGAGTTCACGGGCAATGGCGCTCTCGAGGGGCTCCTCAGTTGAGAAACCTAGCTGAGCATCCTCCCAGATAGGCTGGTTGGCGGCCTCGGCGCCCTCGACGCCGACACCGACGAAACCGCCGATGCTTTGCCAGTCGCTGGCGCGCTTGATGCCCAGTTCGTTCCAGACAGCCTGCACAGATTGGACGAGGTGGTCGCGCAGTGGCTTGACGTGGCCGGGGGTGGGAGTGATGCGCAAACGCTCTTCACCGCGGGGGACAGTGGGGTAGTTGATGGCCTGCACGTAGATCCCGTGCTCTTTGAGAAGTTTATCTGAAGCACGTTTGGCCAGCTCGGCGTCACCGACCAATAGAGGCACGATGTGGGATGGGTTGGGAATGACGGGGATGTCCAGTTCCTTCAGAGCCGATTTGACGGCGCGAGTGTGGAGTTGCTGCAGGACCCGGTCGCGGGATTCCTGAGACTGGTATCTGATGGCGGTGTCGGCACCGGCCATGGTGGCAGGTGGCAAAGTGGTGGTGAAGATGAATCCAGGTGCTAGGGAGCGGATGGTGTCAACAAGACTGGCTGAAGCGGCGATGTATCCGCCGACAGAGCCGTACGCCTTGCCTAGGGTACCGGTAATTATATCAATACGGTCCATGACAGTTCCCTTAGTGCTCTGGGGCGCTGCAGTATCCTGTGAAGCGTAAATATCGTAGTCCAGGTGCTCGGCAACACCGGCTCCGTGTGGTCCATACATGCCGACGGCATGAACCTCATCCAAGAAAGTGATAGCGCCGTACTTCTCGGCCAGATCACAAATCTTCTCGATCGGGGCAATAGAACCACACATGCTGTACACAGACTCGAAAGCAATGATCTTGGGCACATGAAGCGGCAGAGAGGCCAGCTTAGTTTCCAAATCCACCAAATCGTTGTGCTTGAAAACCATCTTCTTCGCACCGGAGTGGCGAATACCCTGGATCATGGAAGCGTGGTTGAGACTGTCGGAGAGAATGACACAGTCAGGCATTTTACTACCAAGAGTAGTAAGAGTGTCATCGTTGGCCACGAAGCAGGAACCGAAGACAAGCGCACTCTCCTTACCATGCAGCTTTGCCAACGTGTTTTCCAACGCAACAGCGTGCTTGTTGTGACCCGAGATGTTGCGAGTACCACCAGCACCGGCACCGTAGGTATCCAAAGTCTGGTGCATGCTCTCAAGGACGTGGGGATTACGACCCATGCCGAGGTAATCGTTAGAGCACCAGACTGTTACACGATCCTCCGTCGAGGCAGTGTGAGCGCGGGGGAACTCCTTGGCCAGACGGTTGATGTTGTTGAAGTAGCGGTAGGACTTGTCCTTGTGCTTCAACTCCAGTTGATTGTTATAGAATGCATTATAGTCGAAGCGGGAAGTTATCGGGACATTGGGACACGGAGCGTGGACAGCCGCTGCCGCATTTGCGGTACTAGAAGGTTTGATACGAGCAAGGGTAGGATGGACTATGGACCAATTAGCGGATATTCGGAAATTTATTTGAGAAGCGGAATCTTGATCCTTACCTTGTTCACTCTTCTCGTAAGTGCCGGGCTCCAGACTGGCGGGGTTGCCGCCGGTGGTATGCAAAGCCCGCTTAGCTGGGGCTCGGAATGGCTTGGGGACGCCGGCAGCACAAGAGGTGAAGTGCTTAGTGCCACCCATGCGAGCACTTTGCACGGCAAGAGCCTTGCTCATAATAGGGCAGCGGCGAGCCAAAACTTGGAGGTTGGACATGGTACCACCACCAGTGCTGGGACGAGCAGCCGTAGAGAGGGTGCGCAGAGCAGCGGGAGCAGTGCGCTTAAGGAATGGGCACATAGCCCGGGACTGCTGAATGACAGACTCCATGACTGGTATAGCAATTGAATGACTAGAACCCAGAATCAATTGGAGGGAAACAGATAACTTATAAAGGAAGAAACTCGGGGAGGGGAAATATATCGGCTGAATTTTCGGCTGATTATTAAGATGGGCTGATTGGCTCACACCGGGTTCCGGCATCTGAAGTGGTGGGAAGTTTAATTTAAGATGATTACTGACTAATGCTGAAGACCAAACCCCGACGCGAAGGGAGTAAGGGTTTCATGTCTATCAACACATCCTTCCAACGACAAAAAGGGGAAAGAAGAAAAGAAGAAAACAAAACTTGTTTTTCGCCAATGTTGTATGATAATACATAGAAGGCTTCGAAGTGTATCCTGCCAAAAAAGAAAGGAAAGAAACAAAGGAAAAGTAGAAAGTGATAGAGAAAGTGAGAACACCACACTAGAGATCATGTAACGCCGTCACCCATTTGCATCAATTGAACATTCATTGGATTAATCAAGTCCACCATCACCGTCAATCAAACGGAGACGCTCTTTGGTGGTTTTGGCGCGCTTAGAGGTGCCTTTTCCTGTGCCTTTTCCACGGCTACGCTTGCCTGTCACTGGAGAAGTTTCAGCTGGTTCAGACAGAGGTGTGGCCGCTCCTGATGGCTTTGCACTGGCATCGTCAAAGTTGCCCTCGCCTGTAAAAAGAATGTCAGTCAGTAAATCGTCATCTCCATATGGGTACGGGAGATTCTCACCTTCATGATACATGTCATCAAGCGTGAGATCACGTTTGCGCTTCTGTGCAGCCTTCTTCCCACCCTTGGTCGCTGCCATAGTATCGCCACGTTCAAGGGCCTCCTTCTCCTTTTGCTCCAACAACTCAGCTTCATCATCGTCTGCAAGCCACATGGCGATATCTTTAGTACGGTTATTTTCACGAGCACGAGTGTTGAAGTCGACACCACCGCTGCCGCCTCCAGTAATGACCACACGTTGCACCTCTTCCTTCTGCAACGCGCGCTTCCGAATGCGCTCCTCGATAGTACCGCGGGTGATGAGCCGGTAGACGGTAACCTGTCGGGTTTGACCGAGACGATGCGCACGGTCCATTGCCTGCGAGTCGATGGTCGGATTCCAATCAGAATCGTAGAAAATTACAGTGTCGGCTGCCGTCAAGTTAATACCCAGACCACCAGCACGAGTAGAAAGCAAGAAAACGAAGATCGAGGGGTCGCTCTGGAAGTCTGCCACCGTATCGCGACGATCTTCTAGCTTCGTGCTTCCATCCAGTCGGCAATACTTGTAATTGCGGTAAGTCAGGTACTCTTCCATGAGATCGATCATCCGTGTCATCTGGAAGTACAGCAAGACACGGTGACCTCCAGCCTTGAGCTCCCGCAATAGCTCGTCGAGTTTTGCCAGCTTGCCCGAATCCGTAACGAAGCGACGCATGGAAGGCACCTCGATATGGGTGTAGCGTGACTTGAGCGAACCGGGAGTTGGCAGCATTGATGGTTGTGAGTATGGAGCGGGGTCAACCTTGTTGCTGAGGATCTGCTCCTCGATCTGTCGGTCGACTGCGCCGTAGAGTGCTTTGCGAATTTGCAAGTTAAACAGTGTGCTTTGGGTTTCCCGCTGCGCCTGCTGACCAGAGCAAGAGATCGTAATTGGTGGTGCCGACGCAGCAGGTTTGGCACATGCCTCGATGTTGTTAAGACCACCGTTCTCAAATGATGATTGGGAAACATTCATCAGACTACGCATGCATCCCTCCACAGCAATTTCGTTCAGAGCCTGCCGGTCATTGCGAGGAATGATGTGCAGCATAGATTGCGGCCAAACAGACGCATTCTCCTCATCGTCGTACACGATATTCAGACGAGAGAGTCGATTCACCTGGCCACGGCGGCCAATGGCACGCTCAAAAATACCGAGATGTGAGAGTTTGCTGGCTTCTCCAGCAGAAGTGTCGACAAAACGCAGGAAAGAGAAGGCTCCATTCTCGCGAGCACTCTGCTGAATGTTTTCCGGTGCCCAGACGTTCATCAGGTTTGAAAGATACTTACCTTGGAAACCGGCACGATGATTCTCGGGACCGGGCATATCAATGCGGGCCGCCGGGCTGCAAAGAAGACGCGGCAAATCATATTTGATCAGAGACCTGGTTGAATAGCAAGCGTCGACAAAGCGACCCTCGCGCACAAATGAGGCACACTCTGCATATGCACCAACCGAGAACGGAGACTTGGTATCTGCGCGCTCAAATAGATCAGGATGGTTGCACACCTTACGGAACTGCATGACTAGGTTCATCAGGGTGGTGCTGTCGGTATCATCACCCACGGCGGCCTTCTCGATGAGATCGATGATGCTAACACGGTTGCGTAAGTTTGCATAGAGGGCACGCTGACGATAAGTCAGGTCACAGAAGATGTCCTTCTCGACTTTGTCGCCAAGCTCTGACTGCACATTCTTCTTCACACGTCGAAGCATGAATGGCTTCAAAATCATGTGTAGACGTCTGAGTTGATCCTCATTGAGCTTCGTGTTACTCTGGGCGTGAGACTCAATATCCTTGGAGAACCAATCGCTGAACTCATCGTGAGAGTCAAACAAAGTTGGCATGATGAAATGCAGCAAGGCCCACAATTCCTGCATGTTGTTTTGAATCGGTGTACCGGTCAACAGGAGACGGTTACGGCAGGAGAATCCCAGAAGGTTCTTCCATCGCGAACTTGACGAAGACTTGATGGCTTGAGCTTCGTCCAGGATCATGTACTGCCACTTCACTTTTTGGAAGTACTGTGCGTCCAGCACAACCAACTGATAAGAAGTTACTAGCACATGGAACTCCGAATTGCGGTTATAAGTGATATGCTTGCGGTCCCAGAACTTGCGCAGAACCTTGCGGTCTTTCGAATTACCCCAGTAAGGGAGGACTTTGAGATTCGGAACGAACTTGGCAATTTCTTGTTGCCAATTGTGCAACGTCGAGGCAGGGGCAATGACTAGGAATGGACCCCAGATGTTGTGGAACTCGGCGAGGTAAGCCATGACAGAAATAGACTGAATAGTCTTACCGAGACCCATTTCGTCTGCCAGGATACCGTTGATACCCTGCTCATACAAGTTGACGAGCCAATTTAGACCCTTCAGCTGGTACTCCTTCAAAGTGGCGTTCAACATGGTCGGTTGGGATATCTCAATGTCACCCAAGCTGGTGGGGTTCTGGAAGTTCAATTCACCTTCATCGAATGATGCCATCTGATCGGAACCCTCGTTGAATGCACGAGCGCGATCCTGGGCCTGCTGCACGGCATTTTGAGCATTGGCCATGGCTGCCTGTTGTAAAGTAGTCTCGTCATCGGCATCGAAGTCCAAGTCCTCAATGTTGGTGATCTTTGCATTTGAATTGGCCATGTGCTCATCGGGGATGTTGGCCGTCGCTGAATTTTGACCTGGCTTAATGGCGGCAACCGTCCCATCGGCGCCAACGGCTTCGGCTTCCGCAGTCTTAATCTTGCGACCAATAAAGTGAGAGTAGAGTTCGGTTTGAGAAATAAGGAAGTTGAGCTTGCGCTTCTGTCGGTTGGCTTCACGCTCTGCTTCTGCTTTCTTTGCCGACTCGAGCTCCTGCTTCTCTGCCAAGCGGCGCAGATCACGCTCTTCGCGCTCGTTGCGCTTCCAGAAGGTCATCATTTCACGCATAGTTCTCTTAGCCCGGGCCTGAGTGTCCTTGGTGCTCTTGTTGGTCCTCTCTTGCCACTTGCGGGACTGCTTGCTGGCTAGCTGAGCTGTCTTGCGCGTATTCTCTAGTCGAATACCCATAGAGGCGGACTTGATGCGAGACACCTTGAGAATGTCCTTGCGCGAAATATCGCGCCAAATCTGCTCATAGATCTGGGTATAACCTTTGGTATCATACTGCAGCGGGAGGGTAGGAGTGCCCTCCTTAGAGTGGGCGGCGCGCTTGGAGTCGCGGGGTGTGTACAGCGACTCTTCGTCCAGGCCGGCCAGCCAGGCAGCTTCGGCAGCATCCTTTTCGGCCTGTTTCTGCTCCTTCGACTTCTTCGGACGAGTGACAGGACCAGCGCGACCACCACCAGTGCGGCGTCGCGAGGGCGATGATCGACCAATTGAAAACGAACTAGTTGTGCCACCCTCAAGGTTGGGAGCCAGGGGGGTGACCTCGCCGAGCTCATCTTGGCCGTTGCCACCTTCGAGGGCACGCTTGGTAGATTTAATTTTCTTTCCAGCTCGCTCGGCCTCCCGAAGGAACTTGGCTTTCTCATCCGCATCATTGGCGTTGTCTGCCTTGCGCTCTGCTTCAAGCTTCTTCTGCATCTCCAAGCGCATGGTATTCTCGCGACGACGCTTCCGTTGCATATCCTTCTTTCGCTCCTTTTCGTCATGTATCTCTTTCTGCTGGACTTCAGCGATGACTGTAGCCTCGTGGAGTGTACGGAAGCGATCAGTACCAATAACGTAATGCTTTTCGAGGTTGTTACCGAGGTCCAACAAATATTCATGGCGGCGGCGCTAGATAGAAATGTTAGAATGAGTTTTGGTTTCCAGCTTTCGAAATTCCAACTCACCTTGCGTCGTGCTCCCTCTGCCCGATCACCATCCTCGGCTCTTTGTAGAGATTTTAACTTGTACCGATCTTGATCTATGCTGTTCCCAGCGATCTCCAAGTCGCTCAACTCGACATTCTCAATTTCGGCCATGGCTCGATTTACTTGCTCCGCATCAACTCCAGGTGGATACGGTCTCCGCTGTGGTGTACGAAGGACATTTCTCGAAAGTGGATAGCTTGCCTTCGAAATTCCATTGGCGGCATACAACTCCTGTGCAGGGATGGCTTGGTGGTTATCTGGGGCGGGTGCTTTTGTCGGCTTGGAATAAAAGATTCCCGCGACAGGGCCAGATTCAGTATGTGAATGGTGAGTCGAAACCGCGTGGGCAGGAGGTGGCGGAGAAGACTTTCTAGCGGGTGTTTCTTCCGTGGGTCCAGAGAGAATGCTCGCAAAGGACATGGGATCGGCAGATCGAGCAGGCTTCTGGGCGTTGTACTTGAGATTAGCGAAATTGATAGGTAGACATCCAGGCATGCATCTAAAGCTTACCGTTTCACGAGGTGGAGACGCCGGTCTTGTATCCCGCATCAGCATTGGCGCGTATCCCGCTCCATTGCCTCTCATATGATACGGCGAGTCGCTATCTCGAGTGGGCGACCGGGGACGAGCATCTGGATGGCTATGAGGCGTCGATGGGCCGTAGGACGAAGTGCCGTTGGCCGAGAGCACGGAGCTCCCAAAGGGACGCGGGAGTGGAAGTTGAGGAGTAGCTCCTGGTGAAGGACCCGGATATGGGGCCGACGATTCAGGGTGTGATGGATGAGATGGCGCGCCATTCAAGGGCGGTAGTGAGGCCGGGATCGGGGGGGACGCGTGCGAAAAGCGAGGGCTTCGCGCCATGGATGACGGGCCGAAAGCCGGTGGAGTCTGCGGTGGATGTTGGGGATATTGAGGAGGCTGTGGTTGTTGCTGTTGCTGTTGCGGTTGCTGTTGCTGTGGTTGTTGCTGTTGCTGTTGCTGAGGTTGTTCTCCGTTGGGATAGTAACGGTTCTTAGATGGGGAGTCGTACGGAGGAAAGCGGTGCTGGGTCGGAGACTGAGCATTGTAAGGCGGAGCACCCGACATGATGGCAGCTTCCTCTTGCGCCGGACAAGCGCGGCAACAGCCACTTGCTCAATGGGATGGGATGAATTGGGATCAAGATCTGACAACCAAGGCAAGTGCCATGGACGTGACAGGGGGATTTGGAAAGATACTAGGTCGAGAACGCGACGTCAGACAAGGTTAGATGAAAAGGTCGAAAAGACAAAGGGGGAGTTGTAAAGAGGGGAATTGGAAGGAGAGATGGAGAATTACCGGAAGGATAAATCTGTTTGGAGTGTGGGAGGGTGCAGGAAGAACGGATCTTTGTGTCTGCGGAGAGCAGAAAATGCCCATGCGGCTGGGCGAGGAGGAGTGTCAGTAACCTTGGAGGTACATAAAGTATATAAATAATGGATACCTAATAATACCGTGAAAGTGTTGTTATAAATGAGAGAAATTTGAAAAAGGTAGAATGTCTGATCCAGTGGGTAGTCATCCTGGGGTATTTTGGCCGGAAACGAAAAACCACCTTATCAACTCATTACCTCCAGATTTAGGTGTATTTGGGGTATTTTTCCAGCTTTTAATGGATTTGATGAATGTTCGGATGTTATATTATAATCTGACAGGGTCATCGGTCCCAGCACAAATATGGGGAAGATTGACGATATATTGAAGATCACCACTACTATTTACTATATAGGTACCTAAGTACATAGATGGGTAAGCATTGCGGGGGATAAACTGAGTTAGGGCCGTGATACCTAGGCATTGAACTAGGTAGATATTCTCTATTATTTGCTTGGAGTCTTTTTCACTGTCTTGGAATGTTCCGATGTTTATCGCGGGCTCAGCATTCACACCTTAAGAGGATATGAGGTGTCCAAAGCTAGATGGTATCTCGCTACTTCGAGGTAGATAGGTAAATGAAATGTATATTTATGACTTCCAGGTTCTCATCATGACCGCTTGACAAGGTTCCAATATTTGGTGTGATTCAAATGTTCGGCAACTATCCATGGATGTGTGTAGGGCATAAGAGGCCGAGGAACCTCGTACCTCAACAAATTCAACCTCCCACCACCTCAGATGTACCTAGGCAACTCAATGTTTCCTCTCGTTCCAGATTTCAGATGAAAACTGCAAGTTGCTGGATAATAAAAAAAAGCCCCTTACTGAAGAGTACTGCGAGCAGTTAATAGACAGACTACTCCATAGAGTCATCGAGCATCCTATGATCCACAATCTGTAAACTTGAGTATAGAGTCAAGGTCCAGACATCAAAGCTGCATTCAACAACTACATTTCGTGGATGAGATTGCGACAGGCTCTCTTGTTGTTCATGAGGCTCGCGGCCCCAAATATTTCACGGCCCCAAATAGTTCACGGCTGCTCCGTAGCCTGTATTATTATTGTACCAGTTCCATAATTCCAATTCCTTCGCAATTGCATGTCACGAGGGAAGTGTGTATGGGATTCTCAATGATTGCTGACAGTCGACAGTACTTAATAGAATACCCCGTGGACTGGACATCGTAGGTCTGATCCAAGTTAGCAGACCCAGGTATAATCAGTCAATGTTGTCGTGTGGTGTAGATGACTCAGTTCTGGGCTGAGGGGGCCTATCTATATAATCTGACCGGGGACAATATTGGAACTATGATGTCAGGTAGACCGATATAGATAGAGATTCAACATAGACCCACGTGTGCATACGAAGTACAATGTAGTGTTGTTGTGGTGTTGGATCTTACGATGTTCCCTCGGTGAGTCTGGCAGGACATGACGTCGGTGACTAATCCACAATGAAATCCCGGTGTGAAACATATTCCTATTTCTTCCTATACTTCCTTATGTTCTAGATCAGGGTCTACTTGAACATCCTCTGCCTCTTTTAGTTGAACTTGCATCGGCCGAACGACGGGAATGCAAGATTATGGATTTCTACATTGACCCGCCACATAAGTACTTTTGTCTATAGCTGAAACTGGACTCAAAAGCAACTTCACCGTCGATATCACCAATATCACGATCACCACGGAATCCGATTCAAACTGACTCAAAACCAACCTAAAAATGGAGCACAGCCAAGAAAGATCGTGAGATGTTCGTCGGGGAAAAGCTCCGTTAGTAGCAGATATCGACTAATGAACTAGTTCGTTCGAGTATAATCATTCCATATCAAGATGAAAAAGCGTGGCACCACTCACTACACCTTGTCACCCTTCGTAGAATTCGTACTATCCACCTTGAGATCCATTTTCTGAAGTGCTTTGATCCATTTGAGAGCCTGTGATACATATCAAAGTTTGTTCAATATCTTTATAAAAGTAGCTATGTCGCTGTACACTTCTCGTTGTTTGTTCCTATCCAGGATTTCCTCTTCACTTCGAACTCCAACTCCCATTCGAACTTTCTCCAGAGTTCGACCCCCTATCATACCCTTCAAGCCTCTTAATTCTCATTTCTACACTACTCCATCCAAGATGTCTTACGAAATTCCCGAGCTCCAATGGGCCCAGGTTGTCGAGGAGGTCGGCGGCCCTCTGACCTACAAGCAGATCCCCGTCCCCAAGCCCGGCCCTGATGAGGTCCTCGTCAAGATCGCCTACTCTGGCGTCTGCCACACTGACCTGCACGCCATGAAGGGCGACTGGCCCGTTCCCGTCAAGATGCCTCTTGTCGGTGGACACGAGGGTGCCGGTGTCATTGTTGCCAAGGGCTCCATGACCCATGGTGTCGAAATCGGTGATCACGCCGGTATCAAGTGGTTGAACGGTTCCTGCATGAACTGCGAATACTGCAAGACTGCCGATGAGTCCCTCTGCGCTCACCAGTCTCTGTCTGGTTACACCGTTGACGGTACTTTCCAGCAGTACGCTATTGGAAAAGCTGCTCACGTCACCATCCTCCCTAAGACCGTCCCTCTCGACGGCGTTGCCCCCATTCTGTGCGCCGGTGTCACTGTCTACAAGGGTCTCAAGGAGTCCGGTGCTCGCCCCGGTCAGACCATGGTCATTGTCGGTGCTGGTGGTGGTCTCGGTTCCCTCGCCCTGCAGTACGCTAAGGCTATGGGTCTCCGCCCTATTGCCATTGACGGTGGCGAGGAGAAGCGCGAGATGTGTGAGAAGCTCGGTGCCGAGGTATGTGACTCAATCAACTTAACAAACTTTCAAATGCTAACCTTCCCTTCCAGGTCTACGTTGACTTCCTGAAGTCCAAGGACGTCATCGCTGATGTCAAGGCCGCTACCCCTGATGGCCTCGGTGCTCACTGTGTTCTGCTCCTCGCCGCCTCTGAGGGTCCCTTCCAGCAGGCCGTTGCCTACTCCCGTCCCCGTGGTACCATCGTTGCCATCGGTCTCCCCAAGAACGCCTTCCTCAAGGCCCCCGTCTGGGACACTGTTACCCAAATGATCAACATCAAGGGTTCTTACGTCGGTTCCCGCCAGGATGCCATCGAGGCCGTCGACTTCTACGCTCGCGGCTTGATCCACGCCCCCTACAAGACCGTTCCCTTGACCCAACTCCCCGAGGTCTTCGAGCTTATGGTCCAGGGCAAGATCGCTGGTCGCTACGTCCTTGAGGTTCCCCAGTAAATCATCAAAAATGGAGACTGGGTGTAAGATAGAGCTTTAAACAGATAAACCAAAAATGCTCGGTCTTAATCAGATGGCAGTCGCTAGGATGGCGAACTTATGAGACACGAGATGCAACTTTTTCCTACAAATGAAATTCAATTAATAAGAACCCACTTTCCAAACAGTAAACAGTAGAAATCATAATGATTTCATAAACCAATTACCTAGGTGCATATGTACATATTAAATTGATCAGTCCTCGTTCAGAGCTCTCTACAATCCGCCTTAACCTTCATCCTCAGGCATAGTCGTAGCCTGAGGACCAGAGTACGTCTTCTTTGCACGAATCATGTAATAAAGAATGGCACCTCCCCACAACGCCCCGTTAATAACAACAGTATAGTTCATATCATCGGCTACAACAAAGTCAGTAATGAGCCAATTGTCCAAATCAAGTGACTTACGCGAAGGATCAGGTCCACCAGTCGGGAACATGCAAAGGATAATAGCAAAAGCCAAGTAGATAACAGCCGTCCAAGCAATCGGTTTACTGAAGTACTTCCCAGTGTAGAATTCACCTGGTACAAACTTATCCTGGCCCCAGATGAGTCGAGCGAGGATCGGAACTCCCCATGCGACGTCATTACCGGCCACGGCGAGCGAGAAGAGCGCATTAGCTGCGGCGTTATCTATTAGAGATAGAAGTCCGATTATTATCGATGCGGCTATGACGCCGCAGATCATGTGGACAGGCTGGTAGCGCGTCAGTCTGTACTGGCTGACTTTGCGGAAGAACTTGGAGAAGGGCAATGCGTTGTCTCGAGAGAACGCCCAGCTCTGACGAGAGGCTGCCAGGACCTGCCCAGGTGGATAAAGTTAGAACAGTTCTATATGTGCGAGGGAAAAGATGTTGACCAACAATACTCAAACCCATAAAAAATTGGACAACTGCGCACACGGCCATGAAGCCGAGCGCACCCTTCTTATCTAGGGCATCGTAATAGATCTAAAAGAGACAAGTTGGTTATCATACTTCAACAACTTATCATCCCAACCCTGGAACATACCTGAGCCATGGGCTGACCAAATCTCGAATCCAGAATCGCAGAGATATCTTTATCCATAGAAGCAGCAATCACAGCCAGCGAAACCCAGCCCAAGATACCACACAAGCCACAAGAAGCGATGATACCAATAGGCACAGCGCGAGAAGCATGCGTCGCCTCCTCACTCATATGCACACAGGAGTCGAAAGAGCCAATAGTCCAGATTGGCGAAAGCCACGCTAGCATGAATGACCAACCAGACGGCCAAGTAGTTAGATTGTCTATGTTTCCAAAGACGTAGGAACCTGAGTTGACGGGAGGGGCGTTCTCATGCTTTCCAATAGGTAGGGCGATGACGGTAGCTACTACCAGGCCGATGTTGAGGACGATGCAGATAGATTGGATCTTGGGCATTACTTTGCCGAAAAAGGTGGCGATGAGGCCGTGGGCTACGACTGTTGCAACGTAGGTTCCGTAGATTGCTCCACGGGAGGCAGACCAATTTCCGTCACGGGATATGGAGACCATTGATAGAAGCATGTTTGCAAAACCGTCTAAGTGGTGTCAGTTAGTAGGTTCATGATGTGAGTAAAGAGACTACTCACAGTCTATGGAGCAGATGCCACCAACGAGACCGATAGTGTTGCTGTATCCGACGAGGAAACTCAACGGGTTCTTCCATTTCGGGGCGCTGTAGTAATGGGTCCAGAAGTAGAGACCACCAGCAGTGGGCATTGCAGATGCCAAATCAGCCTAATTATAGTCAGCTACCACTGATAATGGCTTGACAGATGGTGAAATGTACCATGGCCAAGGCGACAATGAAGATGAAGACACTAGCGACCAACCATCCTACAACATTGTTAGGAATTAAACAAAGCAATCAGGAATTCATCTTGTTTACCCTATAGAGAATGTTAGCATTGACCGCGTCATTAAGATTCAAAACATACCCAAACCATACCCACAGGGCCAGCGGGCATCGAAAATGAAAGGGTCGATGCAATTGAGGGCAGCAGTCCCATGATACTGAAAGCTACAGCAAAGATTTGAACCGCGGAATAATGACGGCGTAGCTCCTGCTTGTAGCCCAGCGTCGCTAGACAAGGTATCCAGGTCAGTCAAGATGGAATCGCGAGCTAGATTACAAGTAGCGCACCTAGCAGCTCTGTATCTCCCTTCTCGATAATGACATGTTCGTGGGCGTCAACTGGCAACTTTACGTCAGGGGACTTGACGGGATCTGCCATGTTGAAAGTAGTACTACAGCAGCTATGAAGAGATGAAGAGTGTTAAAGTTTGAAGCTTGAAGCTTGACCAAGGTGTCGAGATCCTGGCTGATAAGTTTAAATGCAACGTTAATTGGTTAGGTACAAGGCGTTTACGCGAGTTATCTGACTATCATTGGGATAAGCTGGCTAGTGTTATGTCGGTAGTGAATACAAAAGCAGTATAGTCTTAAGAGTATAAAAGATAGGCTTATTTGTTCCGGTTGGACGTTTCAACTTTAAAGTTTAAGAGATAAGCCCTGATCGTTATCTCTTCTGTATACATCCCAATTTCTCCTTCATATATTCAATTTAACCACCGGTCCGGGAGGTCCATATATTGGGTATGGAAGCGCGGTAGAATATATCATTATATGATAGTAGTGGTCCATGGTCCATCGAAATCAATCCGGCCCTCTCCCACAGCATGTCGATCAGATCGAACTTCGTTACGCCGGTCACGCCAGTCAGACTGGACTTCATTCGGTGCTGACTAGTGGACTCACTGGAATGGATCATACAATCATAATGTTCGAAACATCCCACAGAATCCTTTGGTCTTATTATCATTCTTGCTTAACTTGCCACCGAGATAATAAGTTGGTCCCATCCACGGGTACGGGGAGACGGGGAATGCAACTTGATATAGGTGGCAAGGTTGGGAAAGCTCTAGCCGGCATTTAGTTAGAGCCGAGTGAATAGATTATAGGACTGATGTTGGAGTAATAAACGGAAAAATTGACTCCATGGCTGTGCCACCTGGGCACCTGCAGCTGTGGTTCCTAATTAACCATCAAAAGTACCATATTGATGCAGTAGTCAATGAGACAACGAATCAGCATTATCAAATACCTCCTTCAAGGTTGTCTCTAATGCCGGGATTTCTTACTCTGTATTTACTGTAACTACCCCTATAACATTACTTGATTAAGATGCGTGAGATTGTAGCGAATAGGTAAATCTATGGATCTATTTAGTATACGAGGCTTCATTGAGTTCTAGAAGGGGAAATATATACTATCTAAGCATAGGTTAATCCCTTCATGATACTACACGCTAACAACAGGATGCAAGCCTCCGGGGCTTTAGATGGGAACTTATACAACTCTGAAATCATAGATGCAACTGAAAGAACATACTTAATGATCGTAAGACAGAAGCGTACAAGGCTAAATATACAGTCATGGAGTACGAAGGGTAATCTAGATAGAAACAGGAATCCGAAAAGAAGGAAATAATAAAATTTTGAATGGTAGTGCTCAATGTATAATTATACCGCTCCAGGTCCCTTGTAATTGGACTGATCAAGTAATAGTGTCGGTTTGATGTAGTCCTCATCAATTTGGCGGAACCATGCAGCGTGATCACCTGTCGCACCACCGGACCACAGGTCCCGGAGAGCCTCGCGGGCACTGAGACCAGTTTGTTGGCGGGTGGGAGACGGGTTCTCGGACGCGATGTGAGGTGATGGCGTGTGTGATCCTGCTGAAGATACATGCGATGCGGATCGGCGCAGACGGGATGCTCCCCCAGCTGCTGGTGGAAGGTCATCGTCAGAGATCTCGAGGTCCAAGTCGAAATCGTCGGGGTGGGTAACTTGGTCTGCCCGGCTCTTACCTGAGGGTGGAAGGCCGAACTCATCGTCGCTACCACCACCACCGATACTGCTGTTGCTTCGGCTGCTGGGCCCGGCATTGCCGCCGTTGAGCAATGTTGCGGTCGATGAACGGTCACGTCGCGCTTGCATATCTTTGGCCGAGAATGCGGCTGAGTACATCCGGGTGTGACCCCGCGGTGGGCTAGGGCGGCGATTGTTGCCGGTCGAGTAGCTATCATTACGCTCTCGGAGAGAAATACGCCCTCCAGGGGTGGTAACGCCATCTAGAGGGATGTTTGAGCCAGAGCGACGCGGCGTATAGCCTAGAGCGGTATCAGAGCGCTTATAGTAGGTCCCGCCGTGGGTGATCTCAATATCAAACTCGTCATCAGAGTCGAGTTCTTCGATCACTCCGGTTCGGATGCCCATGATCTCCAACATGCGCGCCGTGGTGCCACCGAAGATAATGACTGTCAACACAACAACTACCAATACCGTAGCTCGTAGGGCTGGCGCATTGACACCCGTTAAACCCGCAGCCAGTGCAACACCGACGGCGCCACGCAGTCCAGCCCAAAAGAGCATCGCTTGATACGCGAACGGAAGCTCATCTGCAACTTCCACGCCACGACGACGGGCTTTGTAACGGATGAACCAATTGATTGCCTTTGAAAGGGGAAACACGGCCAGATATCTGGCAAGACAGATGCCAAAAACAGCCACAAGGATGAATAGCGGGTTGAACTGTAGGTTGGATTCAACGAACAAGTCTAGCCCTAGATAAATGAAGATAAAGTTCTCTGATAGCTGGGCCATGACTTGGAAGAGATACTTCGTGGTTAGCTGCGTGCGGCGTGACATGTTGTAGTAGGCATAGTGCTTCAAGGTGATTCCGCAGAATAGAAGCGTCACGATGCCTATAACCCAGTTAGAACTCCTCTCTCGATAAACCTGTAACCTTTACTAACCGGACAAGTGAACGCCATTAGAAAAGAAATAACTAGCGTAAGAAATGAGGAAAATAAGGCAGCTCTCAATCTTGGGCATGCGCCGTACCAAAGTATACTTGAGACCTAGTGCAGTTGCAATTCCAACAATGATGCCAACCAACATACTGCCGAAGAACACAAGCAAGAATAGACCGATGGCCTCAAAGAGGTTGAGGAGGGTCAGAGAGCTGGCTTCGCTGTCTGCATATTTCTGGGCCGTCTCGAAAAGAACAATAGCGACAGCGTCGTTTAGGATCGACTCGCCAAAAATCACTGTGTACAGCTTGGGCTCGACCTTGTAAAGGTTGAAGATAGCCAGGATTGTAACTGGATCCGTAGCGGAGAGCGTCGCGCCGACGGATATCGCTTCAACGAAGGAGATGTTAAGCCCGTCCAGTGGGATACGCGTCCAGAGCCAGAGAACCAGTCCGAGCACGATTGCCGAAATGAAGGTACCGGCAAAGGCGAAGGTGAGGATTGTGCCGATGTGTCGGAAGAAGTTCGCCTGATGAAGCTCATATCCCGAGGCAAGAATAATTGGGGGTAGGAGGAGGTTGAAGAAGAACTGGTAGTCGAAGGCGACGCTATCCTGGAGGGTGGATTTGGGGGTTAATCGAATGATTAGTCCGACAAACATTCCTTGTAGCCATCAGCACAAATGTCCTCTCAATAAGCCTATCACAAGGTAAGCTTCTGGTAGCTTCTTCATACCTGCAAAAATAGACAAAACTGTTTCGTGGACAGCTTGGATCTTTCTCTGTTGTAGGATGTAGCTGGTGAATAGTGCAAACATCAACAGCATTATCATGATGAAAAGCGCCCATGAGCTGCTCATCTCCTTGGAGCCTGAGTCTGGTGCATCTGTATATGAAATCGAGGTCAGGCTGTCATGTTCTATTATCAAGACTTTATCGTCCATCAACCAAGGATGGAGGGGGATGTTGTTTACGCGTACCATCGGGGTCCGTATCTTCCGTCGCTCGCCCTACGATAAGAATAAGAAGTCAGCGCATGGTTGGAGAAGTGAAAGCGCTCAAATATGAGGTGATATAGCATACGAAGCAGAGCGTGGAAGGCATCGCCCATGAGTTGACTAGCCATTGCGACTCGATTAGGAACCTTGAGGGCGGGCGCAAGTGACACCTGGCAGTTTACTCCTGCGGCGAGTGTGAGAGACTAGAAACAGAAGCGCATAATCCAAAAGGAACAAGCGAGAGGATTAGATGGTGGCGCTATCAGACTTGAGTTGAAATAAAGTGAAAAGGGCTTGGGGTTATGAGTTCGGTTGATGTAGCGGGATACGCATGTATTTGGACATACGATATATATAATACGAAGGGGCGGTTTGATAGAGGAATGCTATATGTATTTGCGTAATATGGTGGTTTTATGACGCGTAACGCCAAGACACTGAGCGGAGTCCGGGATTGCTTCACTTAACAAAGTATAGTACAGATCTGTCAGATCAAGTCATATCTCTACTACGTTCAATCATTGAAGTCGAAAATACGGTTGTCGATTCATCAATATGTCCTGTAGAAAGGAATAAATGCGAATGATTTGGCCCCAAAAACGGCCCCAAACAACCTTGAATGGATTCAATCACTCACTGCCGCCGCCCTTCCGCTAATCTCTTAGTTAACCATGCTGCAACCAATGCTGCAGTTCCTCCAAATCGGAGCACCCAACCCACGCTGTCATCCCAAGGCTCGCCTCTTGGTTTTTGGACTGCCTTGAATATAGCACTACAAATCAAGCTGGAAAATATTTGCGGAAAGGAGATCGCCACATTATGAAGTCCCAGGATGATACCTGCTTGCACTAGATTCTCGTCCGAATCTTCAGCGGTTTTGGGGCCTTCCTCAAGCTCATTCTCGTTAATATCTAAATCTTGATGCTCCTCGCCAGGAACTGGGACATAAGAACCAGAGCTGTGGCCTTGTTCATAAAGGGGTTGACTGGTGGTTGGTGTTGTGTTGAGGCGGCGCAACCGCTTCTCGAGACCAATTCGTGAAACCTCGGCTGATATCAGGGCGAATGGTGCCCAGAGTGTTACCGCCCATGATATTCCGATGAATCCTATGGCAATAGACCCAGCTTGGTACGAGGAGATGAAAAATGTACTGAATGTACAGGCTGCAAACCATATGTGAGAGAACATCCAAGTTCGGCGAAGTGTGAATCCTGGAATCTGCAGGCGTGAGAGCCATGCTTGTTTCATACCAGGTATCACATCTAGCAGAGGTTCGGACGCTGTCTCCGTGGGCATAGCTGAAAATGATAATCGCCGACCCGTTTCGTTCTCCTCTTCATAGTTGGAGTCTTCGACACCTTCGCTTTCAACCTGTGCAGCAACCGGTTGATAACTAGACACAACGAATAGTGGAAGAATCGTGTTTGATGTAAAGGAAATAACAGCGTTGATGAGCAGGGCAAATGTACCGAGTCGTGTCGCATCTTCCCACAGCTTGTCGACCTGGTCCCCGGTCATATCAGGATTCTCTGCAAAGATCGGGTTGAGATAGAGCTGGCCGATGTAGGTTGTGGAGTAGTACAAGAACGGAAACCAGCCCACCCACGATGCTATCTGGACCTCACAGACTCGGGCAATCTGTGGCGGGAGATTGCGGATAGATTTGAATGTCTGCCGGAAAAATGCGACAAGACCTAGTCCATTTGTAGCTGGAGGGCCGTCAAGCCGAGGATCACGTTCTTGAATATAGAGACAGCTGGGGATCAATGTCGCAACAAGGAAAATCGAAGCAATAGCACCGAGCACTTTGAATTGTGTATTTCCCAAGAAGGGCAGTTGACTTGGCAAGTTCATGTAACCGAAGACATAACCGATGATGTTGCCAACACCTGTCCACCGACTTGCCCAAGCATTAGCCAGCTCCTGTTGATGAGCAGGACAGTTGTCAAGTATAAATGCTCGGATACCAGCTTGAACTATAGGGCGAGTTGTAAGTAGGGCCGTCTATGCGTTAGGAGGAAGTATGTAGCCTCACCAGTATTGATTGCAAAGTCGAGGCTAAACATGGTGATTGTAGCCACGATAATAATCACCACCTTGGTGCCACTAGAAAGTGGGTCGACACCGAATATCGATAAAAAGCCACTAACAATCTCTTTCACCCACGCAAGAACGAGTAAAGTAACAATGGTAGCTATGCCGCCAGCAACCATAAACGGCTTCCTCTTACCCCACGATATGCGGCAGTTGTCGCTTCGGATGCCAACATATGGCTGTACCAAAGTACCCGTCAAAGGCCCAGCGATCCATACCATAGCAAGAAGTGCCTTACTCATACCCAATGAAAGAAGGAAGGGCTAGTAGGAAGTATTAGCAGCACTCATGTGAAACAGCCTACCAATAGGTACACGGTCGTTTGATGACAACATAGAAACTTACCGATCCATTGGACAGTTCAACAGACCAGACCACTTGTAGACTATTTCGAGTAAATTGTGAGCAAGATTCAAAAATCTATAGAAGAAAAATAGCTTCTAACACAGGGTGAATCTTACCCGCCAATAGACACCGTGAGGAGAGCCAAATACCAGCCGCTCTTTGACGACTCCTCGATATGGTTCACGGCCGGAGCACTCTCATATGATTCAGATTCAATGACAGAATCATCGTCACTTTGCCCTTTGCGCAACAGAGGCATTCTCGAGGGCATGATACTAGATCCTTTGTTGGCAACTGAATGATAATTATTGGTTTCTGTATTTCATGACAGGCGGTGAAATGTTGACCCACTGTGATTGTATACAAATCAACGAAGCCAGCGCCAAGGCTAGCGAGCAATATCCGATAGGAAATGGTAAAGTTGGATTTGGAAGAGATACACGGAGGTGGTAGATCTGAGATGCGCACGCAGCTAGCCGCAGCAAGGTATTTTGTCAATGAATGTAGATCAGACAGTCATCACTGATTTATAAGCTGGTTGTGCTTCAAGGAGGCGTCGAGTCATGCCACGATTGAAGAGCTAAGAATTGCACACATTAGAATGATTTAGGAAGAGAGAAGAGTGTAATCGGTATTTTGCTGAGGTTATTTACGTGTTGGGAGGGTGAGGAGGTGCCTACGTGCTTCATGTTATCAGCCGACGTTCCAAGGTTAGAATTCACGTGACGATCCCGTCTTATTCACGCATCGGGTTTCAGGCACGGAGTACTATACCGTATCTGAATAATATTTACATATTTAGGTACATTGTACCTGCATAATGGTTTTACGCAGTACATATTATCATCAATCGTCAAATTCATTTTCCATTTCTCGGTATGTACTTAGTACATCCAAGGAACCAACTTTCCAAGGTTTGAAAGTGCTCCCCAGGGCTACCGCTCGTATAAATAGCTAGTGGCTTGAATAACTGGGCAACCATATGTAACCCTTGACTTGTAAGCTATTGTATGTAATCCTAGGATGGTAGTTATCACACTCTAAGAGTGGGGAGAAAATGTGAATGCGATAGGTTTTATTCAAGTCAATTCGTTAAAGTCTATAGATAGTTTAATTGAAGAAGTAATACGACCTGCTCTCCAAGCTCACATAGATACCTGAAGTATACCAGAAAGTTCATGACCAAGTTGTTCATCCAAATCCCTTGGGATTATACGCCACATGTCCGTGCTCACCAAGCTCTTGTCCACAATTGCAGGGTCGAGCGCCGCGAGACGAAAATACAAGGTTCCATAAAACAGAAAAAACATGATCTCAAAGCATAGATAGAAAAATAAGGGAAGAAAAAAAAATATGCCATGTGGGGATATGCAAAAAGCTAAATGAAAAGGAAAAAACCTCATGGTTTAGAGGTTGGTGGATTGAGAAAGAGATAGACGTCTCAGTGGAAGAAAAAGAAAAGGAATATTAAATACTATACCGGGAATACTTAAATGCACATATAAAATAGGAACTGGAAAGCCAATCGCTAGCGAAATGCATTGCCGGAAAGGCCTTATATTTGCTGTTGAAGAAGCTGGGGGGCAATCATATGGGGAGCAACCATAGTCGGCACAGCAGACATGGAAGTTGACATGGTCATTGGGGGCATGTTGACCATGTTGTGGGTATGTTCAGGTGAGTCCTCTCTGGGAGAATCGAAGTCATTGCTATCGTTCTCCAGATCATCGTCAACAACGAGAGGAGGTTGGCCATCTTGCTGAGCTTCATGAATGCGACGGTGCCTAGACGATCAGGTAAGTACGAGAATAAAAAATAAATAAAGTTAAGATGAAATCATACTGTGCGAGATTGTCAGAACGTGAGAAAGCCTTGCTGCAATACGGGCAAGGGTATGGACGTTCTTGAGTGTGAGTTCGCACATGTCTAAACGCCAAGTTAGTCAGTGGCTCTGAGACATATTGCAGAGGCACAACCGGAGGGTTGAAAAGGGATTTAAGCTTACCGTTTGAGATGCTCCATACGCTTGAAGAGTCTGCCACATGATGGAATTGGGCAAGTGTGAGACTTCTGTGGGTAAGGTGCCATCTCCATCATGGTCGCACTTCTGGCCCGGCGTGCGGGACCAGGACCGGCGCGATCTCGGTTGGCACAATTTTGAATCGACGATTCCATAGACGAACCGTTTGGCAGCGAGGCCAGTTCGTCTGATGAGCTGCCCAGTTGCAATGGTTGCGGCTCCACACTGCCATCATTTTGCATGGGGGTACCATGGCGAGAGATCTCCTGGAGAAGATCCTTTCGCGGTAGCATCGCACTGGGGTATGTGCGAGCGAGATCATGATTACGATCGTCAACATCGGCTCCCGGGGCTACAGAGCTGGAGACCGAGCGCCGAAGGTCACTTGGCTTGCGGACAGCATAAGCAGGGGGTTGTGAATGCGATGAGTGGCCCATAACACTTGGAGATCCGACCGAGGGGCCAGGAGTAATAGATGGTCGTCGCCTTCGCTGTTTATATGTGGGAGAGCCCTCAATGACGGAATACGGGTTGGACGAGAAGGGTCTGGATGAGGTTTGGTAGTGTGCACTGGCAAAGTTTGACGGGGGCAACTGCATCATAGGGTTGTATGGTGCTGCGTTGGACAGGTCGGGAATGGCGGTGTACAGGCCAGTCTCCTCGTTGGCGATGTACGCCGGCTCTGCCGAAAGACCACCCGGGTGTTGCGGCGGAGTGACGGGCTCATAGGAGAGGCCGCGGTTACTGTAGTCCTCATACTGGGAAGATACAAATGACGGAGCTGGCGAGTACTCGTAAAAGGTCGGCATAGAAGAATGACGTTGGTGGACGCGGGCCATGGGCATGCCATTACGATCATATTGGATAGCACCGTAGTCCTGCTCGCGCTTAATGATGCTCTGCACCAGGTTGTTCGACAGGGGCATAGTCGGGTGGCTGTACATGGACGGATTGCTAGAGTCGTCCTGGAGAATGGGGATCGCGGGGGGAGCCATCTGAGGAGGAGGCATTGCGTCAACGGTCCGAACCACGGGAGAAGCGGGCTGGCCATAAGTCGTACTTGCGTGGGCAGCGAAGGAGGACGAGTTCGCTTGTTGGGCCTTTGTCAATTGCTCATAGAGGGACTGGGAGGAGTCAAATTCAAATGAGAGAGCTGGTTCGCTGACCGCGACGGTGGTCGCTTCCTGGCCCATCTTCTCACGCTTCAAATCCCGCTCAAGTGCGTCCAGGAACAATCGGTCATGTGGCACACTGTACCAGTAGAACACCTTTTGCTTTTTCTGCGTCCGGATGCAGTTATTTTTATACAAGAAATCTAAGAATGCGCTCTTGGGCTCCTCCAGGGTCGCATCGGTTCCAGCCTTGAGGTTTCGCAAGTCAGAGAATATACCCTCCTCAAACTTTTTCGAGTTCTTAACAGGACGTCCGAAGGCCTGGAATCGGAATGCGAGGCAGCGAACAATATCGGTACCCGAAACGTGGAAGAGGTTACTCCTGTAGTAATCTGTTAGTACTTGCGCGCTATTGTGTCATCCATCTACACTAACCATAGCACACAAGAAACGTAGTCACCAGTGGGAAGCAAGAAGCGGCGAATAAGTTGATCTGGTTGCCAGTCCACAGGGGCCGATAAAAGGAAGTATTTCACTGGACTTTTGGTCAAAAAACGGCTCTCTGCGTATTTGATGTTGTATAGTTTGACATACGATTGTCTACTTGTTGTAAGGCGACTTGCGCATCATGGGGTAGATTCTGTTGTGCCTCGGTGGAAAGCATAAAAGTCTCGGGCTTCTGTGGAGGTGGCATCGGGGCACCAGGATGGGGATACATGTTTGCAGCTGTTTAGATTGATTGTCAGAACCAGGGAAATCAGATGCCAGATAAATAGACAGCTGCATTCAGAAACAAAGGAACCCAAATGCTCCGACAAGAGACTGAACAGTGAACTATCCGGACTCTGTCTGAAACCTTTTTGACAAGACCCAAAGAAAGAGAGTAAGAGAAACCAGAAGCGCATTCAAAACTCACAGATCAAATAAATTTGATGTTATTAAGAGATCGAGCGCAAATGATCACTATGCTGGTGGTGAAGGTGAAACAAGGTTGTAGAGATGTGCTAAGATGCGAGTACCGATGATGGCGAGGAACCAGCCTCACGTATGACAAAGAGGTCAACAAGAAAGAGAGTCAGAGAGTTCGAACTGGTCCAGCCGGTATAAAGCCTCTGTAGGAATATTCTCGCGCAGCGGGAAAATAACGAATGTGATTGAGAGAATTCGATCGTCTCAAATTCAGATTTGGGGGGGGGGAGAAGTAAGATAGAAGAAGGAGAGAGGGAGGGGGGAAAGAAAAGGGACGATCATCGGCACAACGTGAAGGCCTGTACTAATAATAATCACATTGAGAAGCGCCAGTCTGGGTAACCAGTTATTACAGTGTATTGACAATAAATTACAAGTTCAATGGGGCGAAATACGGGAAGTCTATACCTCAGATGTGTATTATTGGTAAATACATTGTATCCGCACTGTTCCTGACCAGATCCGAATATAGTCCCACTTCCTCTTGGGACTAAAAAGAGACACTAAAAGGGAGGGGCCGGATCATCTTTTTGGGAAAATGTGTAAATAAGATTTAAAAAAAACACCAAAAAAAGATTTTATATTAGTTGTAATGTTGATTTTCTTCTCGGTCTAGCCAATAGCCATTTATTCCATTATTTGGGTCTTTATTCATTGTATTTTTTATGCATTCCATTAAGGTTGTATCAAGGTACTTTCTTTTAACTAGTTATAGGTATAGTTCTAATAGAACCCCTGACTAGGATGTTATTCTCACATTCAAACCGGTGTTGCAGACTTCAACGTTCTTTCTGTATTTGATGTATCAACATCAACACACAAAGGGGGTTGGCAGGGACCAATGTCTGTGCTCATTTGACCTTCTGCTTTTGTCGTTGAGGGGGCAATCGAGACCGGCACGATGAAGTGGAGTACATAAGAGCTTCCAAGTCCTGGCACATAAAACTGGCGCTGGGATTTGAAGCACCCGCCTTCTCTTGTTTCAGAGTGTAATTGGGCGCTTACATGCAGCCACCTGACTCGAAACGGGATTTTGCTCGTCCCACTTGAATCGGCCCCCAATGGAGGGTCCCATTTCTTTTTGTCAATTCTCCGATTTCCCTCTCTATGGAAACCGCTGTGGCTAGTGTTGTGGTTCCGGCTTCTTCCAATTCTATCTCATCTAGAATGAGGAAGTACCCAAGAGTAGTTACTTCCAACAGTTATCTTGACTACGAATTCTACCAAGCCTATACTTCTCCATACGACAGATCAGAACATACAAGTCTCAATAAATTATGGTAGTACTCCATAGATATACATGGATCCAGACTACGTGTTCCTCCCCATCCTCCCTGGTGCCGAGATTCATCCGTCAAGATTATATTCGTGCCTGACTATTTTACCCCTTAACGAATGGACTTATCTCTCCACGTTGAAAAACTTACCATCTAGTTTATGTTAGCGCGTTGGACCTGTATACTGTCGCAGGGATGTGCCCTAACAGCTGATTTCTTCCCTTTAGTTATTATGTCATACCTAGTTAGGATCTGCAAATCCAGACTGTCTGCCGCCTTTTTGTTAAGAGCTAATTTCCGTAGTCCAGAGGGCTGAAGAAACCCCTTTCAGCTTGCCCACATTAGGGAGGACTAGAGTACACCGCTAATACTCCCTGTATTCGTATCTAGTACGTATATGCTAGCGAGCTTAGTGGTTAGCCAAATATGGGGAATGTGAGCTCCAAGGGAGACTAACATCAAAACACCCCACTTGATCGGTGGGAAATTTTTGCGGTAGACAATAACGGCCGAAACGAGTCCGAGTGCCGATGCTCATGGGATCTGATCCCCGAGTCCGTGAGATGAGGAGCAGTGCCTCGATCTATTCCCAAGACCTTTGTCTTTGTTTTAAAGTTGTATCATCATGTCTCTGTCTCTGTTCGAGCTTGATAGCTATGAGCTCATCTAAAGTATAGCTATAGTATCCGTTATAAGGTTTTGACCTTTTGAAGTTCCAAGGTTCTAAGGTTTCAAGGTTTTAGGGCACGATATACCGGAAAATCATATACATAACTATAATCTACCTGCATGTAATCCCAACTATGGAGTACGACTCGTGAAGCTTTACCAATTGTAGGAAGAGGCGCAGTATCTACTGTGGTACTTGTGTGGGAATTTTCACCGATACGATTGAGAGAATCTCAGTGGGTTTACTCCGCGAGCCCCTAAACTAACGATCCCGGGTGGGCCACAACACGGCAGGGGAGCGATGGTCGTATTCGTTTGATCGTCTGACCTGAAACATTTCTAGAAGTTCTAGTTTTATGCACATCAAGAACCTAGGGCTTTGGTCTTGATTTTCGAAAAAAAAAAAAAAAAAAGAGAAAAGAAAAATACAATTTTTCAAATTAGATGCGACGATAGCGGGACCTAGTCTGCTCCATGAGGCTTTTTCTAAATTCTGGTTGACATGTATCGGATTTGCACTTGAGCCAAAATCAGACCAGATGCTGTACTTCCGTATGCTCCATACTGAGCTGCCCCTTTTCACTCTTATCTTAAGAAACATCCATAGTGGTGATCTTTTTTGGATACATTAGTAGGTAACAGTAAGTGAAATCGTACGATCTTAGGCGTCCTACAGGGAGCTACCTTGTAAGGGTTTGCAGAGGCGAATTCTGTCGTTCTTTCGCGCAAAAAAAGCCGGATATCTGATCCTCATGGCAAACCTGGAATGAATCCCTTCCACCTGGGCAGGGCTACTATCCTGACTACATAGTCAGTTGCTCTCAGATCGCCGCCACATGGAGCTGATTTTTCCAATTCTCGCCAGGAATGCTTCCTAAAATAAAGGTATGAGTCTATAGTCTATCCACGGTACCAGAACCTACATTCACTGAGACATATAATGTAAATATTAATGTCCAGGGGTGGTGGCAAGCTGGGAAAACTTGGAAGTATATTACATTCAGCATTTAAATTCCATGCTCTCGAGGTCAAGTGATGCTAAAGTACCTATCTCTAGGCTACCTAGGAAACAGGGTATCTACACAGATAGAGAAATAAGGAAATTACATGTGTGAAATATACTCGTGTTTAGAATATCTTACAGTGACCATTCACTTAGATCAGCTAACCCTACACCAAAACCTTTATTCTCGATCCCAAGACCATTCCACCTGAGGGTCGACTTCCGGGATTCCGAAGCCTGGGGATATGTTGCTGTAAAAAGCTTTCATATAACCCTGGAATATTTTGAAGCCTGTCCTGAGCCACGAAAACCGAATCTTGAAGCCTTGAAAGTCAAAACTCATTGTATTGATATAGCTATAAACATAAATATGCGTATCATTCTCTAAGGCTTGAAATTTGAAACGCTCAAGGCTAAACGGCCTGAGGTAAAATGTGGTACTAGAAATTTAGCATTCTACTTTTTGAAAATGTGTACATGTTCAATAAGTGAGTGGAGATGTACCGTCTGACTTGTCTCAAGTGATTGCGATTCACGTCAGATCTGTACAAGCTTTTGTCTTGAAGCTTTGAGCCGTTACAAACAGTTGATCCGTGGGAAACCGAGCGATTGAAGAACTTCTCCCGAGAATCGCCTCTAGAATACAAAAAAAGAATACAAAAAGTATGAGCTTCTTTGATTTAGACAGGCTCTAAGCAAAGATCAAGAAATGGAGATATAAACAGATAAATGTGAATACGGCCATATTCAGAGTATTGACAATGCATAGGTACAAGTTTTCCGAGTAAGGCATCTGATATTACATCTGTATAGGTTACAGCCCTGGGCCTCTGAAGGTATCTTTTAGGAGGTCCACAGCAGTTCCTGACCCAGTGGGTGGGTAGGTTAGATACGGAACATGAGCGGCAAACATGAGTGAGTCTAGATGCCATTATTGTGAAATATACCTAGCTGGATGTTTCAAAGTTAAAAGTACAGTTTAATGTATAGATATTTAACTAAAAACCCAGTTAAAGCAAACCTTGTAAGAAACCAGAGAATTCCATTATAACAGTATATGTGTAGTGCTGTACTTGAAGAGTCGCAAAGAAATCTTCTTTCGATGAAACAAGATAGATAATGCCGGGCTTCCGGAGGTGGCTGCTCAACGTCTCTCTAAACAATGTGGGGTACACGTTGAACTATGGTACTAAGTACAAAATGTCGTTGAATTTTGTCGGGAATACATGATAACAATGCATTCTGCAAAGCAATTGCCTAGTACAGTAAGGCCTGAAGCTAGTGAACGCCATGTTCTAGCTGTGCCGCTATTTTCTCCATAATCCTGGATTTGCCTGCGATGCCCAAAATTAAGGCAAGCCATCTTGCATTTCGAACCAATGATGACCGGCTTCAGTTCCACTCTATTCTTTAAAAGCTCGGACAATGGGAATTATGGATGGCAAAATGCATGCCCCACCACGATGAAGCTCTAGCCCCTGGGTTTCCGCTTCGCAGGGGTTCACTCTCTGACACTGTGAGTTAAGAGTGAGGTTGCAAGGCTATTTACGGATGCGAGACGCCACTAAATAGATTGCTGCTCCACATGCGAACCAATTGGTATGCAAATTCCACCGGTTCATCGATTATGATGTGCATGATACTACGTCAATATGTCAATCACCGAGGTAGAGACGGAGGGTCCCGGGATTTGGAAATGTCTCGTGCTGAGCATATATTCTATTATGGTCATTATTCGTGATGGAACTTGCAGCACCGCTGATAACAAATTATATACAGGTCAGAAAAGAGGCAAAGGCTAGAGTCAGACGGACTCAGTGTTTTCTCTAGCCTTCTCCATCATGCCACTCGTCATCAAAGGGCTTTTTGCCCGAATTTCCTTTCCGTAGATCACAAATAGGATCGGTCCTAAACACAGAATGAGTGAAATGAGAGCTAGAAGTGAGCTAGCCCACTGAAACCCTAAGTTTGTGTACATGCTCCCGGCAGCCAGAGGCAAGAATGCCGATAGGATGTTCTCGCCAGTGACACAGGCACCAACTGCACTAGCAGCGTAGTTGGAATAAGCATCCATGAGATAGCCGGAAAGTCCTTCCACAACAAGAATACTACCGGCACCCACCATTGAGAGACCTATCGCAGGTGCTATCCAAGGGAAGCTGGCATATGAAGTCCAGGCATATGTAAACATGCCACCAGAGATTCCGAAGATTCCTCCGAGAACGGCCAAGTACAATCGTGCTTCTGGGATAGGAGTTCCTGGGCACTCCTTGTTACGAGCGGCAGAATTGAAGTAAATCTTTCCTGAGAACATGGCGAATCCCAAGCCAAAGAGTTGACCAATCACGATGGCTGATTGGATATACCCAGCATCTGCTGGTGACCAACCGTACAGCGCGGCAAAAACCTGCTCAACTGACTGTGTGAACAGGTACAGGGTGCCAACAGTAAAAGCAGACCAGAGGGCTAGGATGAAAAGGACACCCTCGGTGAAAAACATAACCATAGGCCGTGATGCACTGCGAACAACAATTTGAAGCATAGAAGTTCCCTCCCTGTCAAGCTCATGTTGGGTGTATGCGCATCTTCCTTTCTGTCGCAATGCCTTGGCACGCTTCCCAAGAATAGCAATTTCACGACACTCCTTGAACCAGAAGATGTAGATAGGGAAAAAGGCTCCGTACCAGATCAGCTGCATATATCCAATCCATCTCCATGAGAGAAACTGGAAAATGGGTGCGCCAATAACAGGACCGATGCTACTTCCAGCCATATAGGCCGCAATATATAAACGAACAGTGGAATTTCTTTCTCGATCGGTTTGCCATATGTTTCCAATCACTGTTGCAGCAGTATTTGACAAAATGGAGCAACAGCCGCCGGCGAAGAATCTCGTCACAATCATTGTAGCAAAGTTCTGGGCGACAGCCTGAGGTATGACAAACAAGATGAAGACTGCCCAGGTGGATAAGAATACCCCTCTTACACCAAAATCTTCCATCAATGGAAGGAGAAATAGCGAACTAAAAGCGCCGCCCATTGACCAGGATGTCACAGGCCAGTAGGAATTAGGAAAACCGGCATCGGAGACGTGAAAAGCTGCGTTTGTTGCATCATGAGCAACTGTGATGATGGTGCCGTTGAATATGGTGATAAAGGTGGCAAGAATTGCCAACCCGGTGATGGCCCATTTCTGGCGCAAAGACCAATTGAAAGGGTTTTCCGGGTCATCTGGTCCATCCCAGGTAACAAGTTCAACATCGTTGTTGTTGGTTTCAATGTGGTCTTGAAATGACTGTCAGTTTTGATAAGACTCGGTGCGTTGGAAAGACTAATATATACCTAGCGTTTCATTGTCTCCAGCAGCATCGCCTCGAGAGAATACCATGTTTAGATAATGAGATCCAGGATTCCCTTTAGGAACCACCTTAATTAGGTACTTGGTGACTCAAGATCTACTTGATTGTGGCAGCTTCTGAATCCTGATCGTATGACTTGATTCTTTGGTAAATAATAATCGGGATTCAGATGATTGAGTCGGACCTCAGGAATCAGGGTGTTAAAGAAATTTGCAGCAACTGAAAAGTGGTAGGGAGTACCTGAGTAGTAAGTACTCCTGAGATTTCGTGGTGAAATAGTAAAAAAAAAAAAAAAAAAGGACCAAATAAAATGAAATTCTTGTGTTCTTATTCACCTATCGAGCTAACGTCGAGATTTCCACTTAAAGTTGGCTTCTCCTGCCATTACCTTTTTTAGAACTAGCGCGGATGGGTCCTTTGAAAACCCGACGAAGTCTGGTTCACCGGTTATCATAAGCTAAAGGGGAAACTGAATAAACTTCAATGTTCTACATCTAGTTTTGAATCTTGGTAAACAATCCCGCATTCTTTTCCAATGAAGGGTTCAAATTAACATATAACTACCTAAATAGTTCCGAAATCTGCAGATTTTTTACATTTACATTACTCTGTTGCTCGCGGACGTCGATCCATGGCGATATCCACCTGTCCAAGGGCTGGCAGATCCAGTTGCAGTTCAAGGCTGATAACGAGCTAAATGAAGATCATGTTATGATACTTATTCACACATCTAAGAACATCTGTGGATGACTCGAGGAGCATAACATGACCTCAAAATGTACTTTAATTTTGCACAATAGCAGTCTTTTTCTAACCCCCGGGGCCTGTAGATTACCCTAATTCATGTTAGGTGCTTATTTTGATAGGCTCTCAAACCCTCTTTTAGAATATCCGTGAATGTCCGCAACTACCTAGGTATGCTTCTAATATCTATGTCATTGTGTCACAAAAAGTCACAAGGCGGATTTGATTGTTGCCATCCGTTCTTAGTGGAGGCTATTAGCAGGCTGCTAGCAAGCTATCCAATCATGAGTTGTTTTAAAAGTAAAAGGCAGGATGGCATCGCTCTTATTATGGGCTCAAACCCTCTTGAAGGACCTGAATCTGGACCTCCTGGAAACCATCACGACAGAAAAGAAGTATTGCCGGTGTAATCACACATTTTATTGCCCGTTTTTGGAAGGCGGTACACGAACCTTATCTTCTTTGCCACAAACTTTATTTGTAAGAAAAAGCACAGATATCAAGATCTTAGATGATGGCTTGATCTAATCCTGTAGATCGCCATCGTTGATAATGGAGTCTGAGGAATTTGATCCAAAGATTATGAGACTTTTTGTAGAGTTATCTACAACCATTAGTACTGAGATAATGAGACTGGAGTGAAAATTCTTGTAGTTGAGAACGGTAAATCAAACTCGTCATCACTTGGTGCGATAGCTCTAGAAGTGCAAGATAATTTAATCATGGTGTTGTCTAGATAAAAAAAAATTAGAAGATTTCCAGTTTCATGAACCTCTCCAGGCCTTAGGGCTATTAGGTGTCGTGTAGACATGTCCAAGGTATCGTTGGGTCGCCACCAACCGATGACGGCACCAGAAATTGCCCCAATAATTATTTGCCTCACCCATGCCCTTATATTCATCTATCAAGAATTGCTGTATTTCCGTTTGAAAAGCACAAGCCTACTATTCTTCACTATATTCATTGAAAATGGTCGTCACATGTACCGAAGGTCACCCGCTTGATCCTAGTACTACCCAGGGAAGCAACTACCTCAACCATCAGCAGAGGGGCATCGAAGCACACAACCTCAAGGATGTGGATATGATTGTAGATAGGAGTATTGCACCGTATGCCATGTATCACAATTATTAGTGGCTGTCTAATCCATGAAATCTTGCAGTTCCCCCCAAACCATGTGTGCCGAGCTTGCTCATCAGCATGCCATGGAGGACCTTCACTATTTGACTGAGCATTGCTCCGACAATCAAAGTACAGCTATAGGTATGGTTTTCTCCAGCTGTGACTGAAATTTCTGAGGAAAGGACTGACATGAAAACCTGATAGCTCGTAATTCGGTTGATCATGGCACCCAATGTGATCTACGCAGCCCGGAGGAGTTATAACGATCGTTGTACACTGGAAGGCCTGCAAGGCCATGTACAAGTCCTCTTGTTCTCAACTATCATACTATTGAAGGGTTTGGGAGTTAACCTAAGTGCCCGGGTGTGAAAGAGTAAGCTATACGGGGCGAAAGAAAGTAAAAGTTTGTTTTATAGGTAATAGGTATCAATGAAAGAATATGTTCTAATGAATGCACTTTACCTTTATGCTATGACACCGGGTGCCCCGAGGTGATACTGAAATCTCTATTCTCATCCCAATGTGCTTAATGCCCGTGTGTTTTGTAGCAACTTTGGAAACGTTTTTTCAGACTAAATTTTAACATGATAAATGCACAGGTGCTGAAATAATACTGCTATACTGATACTGCTATACTGCACTGTTTGAATCATAAACCTTACTTCCCCGATACCATGTTTGAGAAACCTTTGCCTCTAGGAGCATATCCGGGTTCCACTGCATGTCCACAATAATGAAATCGGCATTCAAGCCTTCCTGCAAGCTACCTGTCCACGAATCTGCAAAACGGGCATATGCCGCGCCTTGAGTAGCCGCAGTTGCAGCCTCAACTAAGCTAATACTGTATTCTGGATTAACAGTATCAGTAGAATCTGGTTCCAGTGCTGAGCGCCGAGTTGTGGCATTATAAAGGTTCGGAAAAGGGAAATGAGGCGCGGTAGGGGCATCCGTTCCAATGGAAAGAGGAGCGCCGCCGTCTAGGAACTCCTTATAGGCAAAGGCCCGCTTGCATCGGTCTTTGCCGATTAGGCTGGGCCATGCTTTGAAGAGAGCCGGGTCGGAATGCACTGGCTGCACCGAAGCGGTGATTCCAAGATTTCCGAGTCGCTTTGCATCTTCAGACCTGGTCATCTCGAGATGCTCGATTCTGTGTCTTCGCCCTGGGGTGCCGGCCCGTGACAAAACGTTAATGACCTGGTGCACGGCAAGATCGCCAATGGCGTGGATGGCACATTGGAGTCCACCGGCATCGGCGCGTTGGACCACCTCTTGCAGCATGTTCTCGGGCCAAATAGGGTCCACCGGATCAGATTTACCGGTGTAAGGTTGCGTGAGAGCTGCAGTGCATCCATCAACGACTCCATCGCAAATGAGCTTAATCCCTAGGATACAAAAGTCGGGTTCTGCGAACTTCTGCTTCAATTCGATAGCGCGATCGACGTATCGAAAGTTCTCTTCTTGATCACTCGCGAAGGGTACAAGCCAGTGAGCACCAATATGAAACGGAATAGAACTATCCTGGCGGTATTCATTTAGGAGTTCCCATAGATTTTCGTCCATACCCATTTCCACAAGGCCCGTATAGCCAGTGGCCGTATAAGACTTGAAAGTTGCGTCCAAAGCGCTCAGCTTATCCTCGTGTGAATACAAGGTTTCCAAATACGGCCAAACGATGTTTGTAAGGGCAGTTTCGTCCAAAAGGCCGGAGGGTTTCCCGTCCTTATCACGATGTATAGTACCACCAGGAGGATCTGATATATTTTCAAGTTTCATTTCTTCAAGAGCAGAAGTGCTGCACCACATAGAGTGAAAATCGAAAGCGTCGATAAAAATGGGACGTGGATCGAGATCATCCAACATGCTGGCTAGTGCAACTCCATTTGTAGAAGCTTGAATCCATCCACGGCAAAGAATCTGGGGAACATCGGGATTGGCCTGAGCGTATGCCCTGATTTTCTCCCGGATCAGCTCAAGAGAAGTACATGAAATGAGATCGACCTTTTGCAATGATTGTCCAAAGTGCAAGATGTGCACATGTCCGTCAATAAAACCGGGGACGACAATGCGATTCTCTAGATCGATGACTGTTGCATTGACGGGGATCTTTGTTTCATCGAATGATCCAACGTAGGTAATTTTGTCATTGTCGATGATCATTGTCTCTGAAAAATTACTCCCATCTTTTTGTGGCGAAAAAATGCGACCATTCCGAAATACCGAAGTCATCAGAAGAGGTTGATTTATATTTACAGAGATGACTTCGAGAGAGATAATGATTTGGCGGTGAAATAGAAGAAGGGTTGGGACAAGAGAATGTTAGAATGCCGCTGTAGAAGTAGTTTCCTTTTGGAGAAAAAAGGCGGAGATGATTAATGAAGAAGAATGTGAACAGATAAAAGCTATTATTGGTCGATTCTATTGGTTAGATTCTTGTCTAAAGATAAAAAGATTTGGATACTACCGTTTATCTTGAATGTAACTATACATGAGTAGTTTTTGCCGTGAGTACGAGATATTGAATATTGAATAAATAAACATTGTATCTGACTTGATAAGTTAACAAGTAGTGTCTACTCGATGATATTTAAGTATCAACAAAAATTAGCAGGGTCAAGCCTTAACTCCAGGGTTGCTTACTACTCCATACTCAACTACTTAATAGCTGTAGAAGGTACCTATCAACCGCCTTCTTCTCACTTGGTTCAATTTTTCTCAGTTTCTGTAACTAATATCCACTGTTTCCGTACGACACATTAGGCTATCTCTTTCTATTGGGTATAGTTTTAGAATTTTTGCAGGTGGTCACTTGGATGGACTGCCCAATGCATCAATGAGTTACCCAGTGGCTCTCTTTTGAGTTCTTTTGACTCTTTGACCATAAGGGGGTTGGAATATCAAAGATCATATCATCAAAAAAAGGCCGATATCACCTGCCAAGGTTTCGACCGACAGGTTGTACTGTACCTCCCGAGTTCTATCAAGTTTCATATCATTCTAGGAAATCTTGGAAGACTCCATCGGATATCTCTTGAAAATTTATCAAAACGTGTTTTATCGCCGAGAATCATGTGAATCAAAGGTGAGCACCCTCTAATGTTATCTAATGATGCTCCTACAGCCTTGCAATAATGTTGTGGTAGATGATGGCCACGTGCCTTACGTGGCAGACCTTCCTTCCTACGCAGCAGACCTACGCAAGGTTTCTTCTTTCCTCACTCACTTCACTTCTTCTTCGCACTTAACTTCTTTACGCTTCACTTCTCCAAAATTTTGTTTGGACGATACCTTCAATTAGTTCTTCACAAACAGTTCCCCAAAAGGCGCCTTAACGTAGTGCACCATGGCAGATCAGCCATACCAAAGACAAGTATCGGGTCTGATTTTGGAACCCAAACCAACTAGCGACCCAAATGATCCACTGGTATGTAACCGCAGGGATTTTACTCCATGTGTGACGTAAGTGCTGATTAGAATCGGTTTTCTAGAATTGGGTAAGCATCTGCACCAACATTCCAGTCAAGTTTGATCGCGCTGACTGGGATGTGCTAAAGACTCAAAGCCGGAAGCACTTGAACTTTGCATTGGCTTGCTATTATGTCATCATCGTTCTCGCACAGTGAGTTAAGTGATCTTGGAATTGTAGTACAAGATCAGCACTAACTCCCGATGTCATCCAGAATCAATATTGCAACATCCACTTGGGGTCCTGTTCAAAAAGAGCTAGGCTTCAGTGTCGCACTTCTTAATGACAGCAATGCAGTCGGCTGTGGAGCCTTATGTGTAGGCGCCATCGTCTTGGTTCCCTTCGCATTGAAATTTGGACGACGACCAGTATACATCCTGAGCTTGGCCAGTTTATGTGGTCTTAGTGCTTGGTCTGCTAAGATGCAAAATGCTGCGGACTTGATGTTAGTCAATATCTTGAGCAGCATTGTTGGATCTCTTGCAGAAGTCATAGTTCAGATGACTGTGACAGATGTGTACTTCGTTCACGAGCGAGGGCTGATGAACACCCTATACTTCTGGTTTATGACAACTGGCGCCAATCTGTCCACATTGGTGGGCGGATACATTACTCTCTCCCAGGGGTGGCGTTGGGTCTGGTGGTGGATGACCATATTGCTAGGAGCGGGCCTTGTTGCCTTCGTATTTCTTTACGAAGAGACAATGTTTATCAGATCAATCGATGGCACGGGAAAAGAAAACATTGAAACGTTGACATCCCCCAGAGATTCGCTTCCTACTGGTCAAACAACCACTGGCACAGCTCATATCGACTATACTATCCCCAAAAAGACCTATTGTCAAAAGTTAGAGCTATGGTCCAACTCTCCAATATCATTTGACCAACTTTTCAAGCATATATATCAACCATTCACCATTATGGCTACCATGTCAACTGTGTTCTTCATGGCTTTCCTCTATGGAATGATGACTGCATGTGCCTCGGTGCCTATCGCAACCTTATCCACCGTGATGACTCTTCCTCCATATAGCTTTACCTCTGCTCAGATTGGTCTTATGGGTCTCTCTCCATTCATTGGTACGAGTTTGGCAGTCTTAATTTGTGGAATTTTAAGTGACTGGATCGCTATCTATCTTTCAAAGAAGAATGAAGGAATATACGAACCAGAAATGCGTCTTTGGCTTGCACTAGCATTCACCCCATTTGTGGCAGCTGGTATTTTCATGTTCGGTATTTGCTTGGAAAAAGGTCTGCACTGGCTTTTACCAGCTTTTGGACTGGCTATATGTGCATTTGGACTTGTTCCAGCCAGCAGTGCTGCATTGACTTATCTCATGGACGCATATCCCAATGTAAGTGCAGTCTCAATGGTTTTAATAGCTTCATGACCACTGACCATTGATAGATCATTGCGGATGCGGTGGTCGGAGTGACATTTCTACGCAATATAATTGCTACGGTCTTTGTCTTCGTTCTTCAACCATGGGTTGATCGCGTAGGATTGGCATGGTTTTATGTGGCATTTGGCCTGATTACCACATTTGTTATGATGTGCAACTTGATATTTATTGTCTATGGGAAGAGTCTCCGGGCCAAGTCTACTGAAAAGTACAAGCACTTCAGCACCAATAAGCTGGAATAGAGTAAAGTGTTCAAGAGTCTCCAGGGGACTGTGTACCTAGATGATAAATGACATTCGTGATATTGAGGCGAACCCAACTGTTCACTACAACCAGATTCTGATCTCTGCCAGTAAATAGTCATTATACCTAGGTAGATATTAATTCCACTTAACATAGAACAAGGAAGAATATCTCTCATAGCTATTCCATATAATTTTGGAAAAAGAAAAAGAAACAGAAAACAGAAAAAAGAAAAAAAAAAAAAAAAAAAAAAAAAAAAAAAAACAGAAAACAAGGTTATACCGTAATCGTAAGGCCGCACATTTGTTTTACCTCTATTCTTCAAAAAGGGGAAATTAAAAAATCTGTTAGATAACTAGTCTTATTCATTAAAATTATAATATGTGAGTAGGTACGTAGAATCTACAAGTATATAGAAATGGGCTAATAATACTTGCCTATTCGCAATTCTTAGATTTTATAATTGATTTCGGAGATTATCGACTGCCAGGTCCATTCACTTTGAATCTTCGCGACAATCATGATACCGCTGGGTCAAATTCTTCCAATTTGAAAGGGTTTTCCGCTTTTTGCAACAATTTCAAGGGTTTTAAGGATTTCCGGTTTCTCAATAGCACTATTAGGTGCCAACTGGGCATCTACAGCATTGGGATTTAATCGCTTCGAGTACCATCTTTCCATGGCTCCTCATGGTTTTCTAGCTTTGCTTATACAACTGTTTATCTACTCATTATCTACCTAGCTAGATGGAGAAATACCCTGGAAGGAATACCATCCGATGCAGAGAGCTTGATTTAGCAAGTCCCTAAGATCAATTGATGCTAGAAGGAGTGGGCCACTTTCTTGACATCCAAGGTTTCAACTTCAACTCCTGAGATGTAGTTGTGGGCCTTCAAATCCTGATAGTATGCCAGCTAATAGACCCACGAGTGGAGCATATGTACTTTGTAAATCCAAAGCTACCTAGGAGATAGAGACCAACAATGTTGGAACTTTTTGAAAGGACTGTCAACCTTGAAATATAAATACTGAATGATCACCTAGCTTTTGAGATTGAAACCTCAACTCTCTTTTAGGGCTCCTCTCTTCCCCTTCTCGCTACAAGCAATCTACTAGGGCTATTTGAAAATGACGGTCGACTTTTTCTCTCTTATTGCCAGCCCGGAATTCGATTGTTTGGACTTTCATGACTGCAACCAGCTGAGTTCCCAGGAACAGCAGGATGTCTCCCAACGTCTATACAAACCCCTTCGTCTCCTGCTAGAAGATGTGGGGTATAAGCAGCACACTGTACCCCCTGATGACAAGCTTCGCCATGACCTTGATGAGTGGGTCAACGAACACGTTCGACCCATCCTTCCCGGAAAAGATAAGGTTCTCGCACGCACCATGGAATACGCTGTTACCTTTGCTGAGTACTGCTATCCTCTTTGTCAACACGAGACGAAGTTTGTTGTAGCTGCTCTCACCACTGTGATTATATCATGCGACGACAGTTCTACCATTCTGGATTCAGATCAGCGCAGCAGCCTTTCCCTCGTTCTCTTTCGATCTGTGGCGAGGACTTCCTCCCAATGGCTCTTGGAGCGTGGCCTTAAGACAAGGTCTCACAATGTGTGCCGACTATTTTGGCTCGCAGGATCCACTTGTTGGAAGCCTAGCCGCAAATAGTATGAGTGCTTTTGTGGATGCCTGTGCCCGAGAAACCAGAATGGAGACTGAATTACCGCTCTGCAATGTAGATCCCAAGCGTCTTATGCATTCTCATCCCAAGGAGGAAGAGTGCTCGCTGGAAGGGTTTCCTGCCTACCTGCGTTCATCTAGTGCTGCGCCATTGTTATATCTGATTGCATCCTTCAAAATATCGCGCCAGAAGGAAGTTGACTCCAACATTTATATATCATCAATTCCTAGCATCAGCCATTTTATCAACTATATGAACGATTTGCTTTCCTTCCCTAAGGAAATGGCTGACGGAGAAACATGGAACTACATTTTCCTGAAGACAAACGCCAGCCGACAGGCAGGCAGGCAGAGCATGTTTGAATCCAACAGCTCTAAGTTATGGACCGTTCGAGATACATTCTATGAACTACTCGAAAGTGTTCGACGGGCTACTCTTGGAGTGGACCAGGCTTTCACAAAGTGCATCCCTCCTGATAGCAATGATATGAACCTAGTCCAAAAAGACATCAGATTAGCAGCGCAACTTTGGACTGCCCACAAAAATGGATATATTGCCTGGCACCTCACCTCTAAAAGATACAGACTGGATGGTCTCTTTGAGGAGATGGAGAACTGATTGTCCTGTCTCACATTACTGATACCTCGCTTTCTCATCTTAACATGCCTGCACAGCTTGTGGTCTTTTTTTTTTCTTTCTTTTTTTATTTGATTTCAATAATTATTCGTGTTTAAACCTAGAACAAGATTGAAGAATAGAAGATATAAGGGGCTAAATCAAATATGAATTTCAAATGTTATTTTCTTCTTGAACAGGGCGTTTTCACTGGAAAGTAGTTCTGTCACCTGTTAACTTCAATAGTTAACCTTAGAATCAGCTGGGTTGTACCTTGGAACTGTATTCATACCCAACCAACCCCTTTAGAGAGAGAATAGTTTCTACCCGCGTACTCCCGCTGTAACTAGATGGTCTTAGCATTGCCCCATCAGGATACCGCCATTCATTACAAGATTCAAATGCTCGGGCTGCATCGCAGCTATATGACTACAGACTACCCATAGAAAGACCTTAGCCAAACTGTTTGTATTTATTTCATTCACAGCAATTGTTTCCCCCAAACTTAAGGACAACCAGCTCGTGAATTACACAACCAACGCAGTCGGTGTACGTGGCTGGACTCCATGATCTGATCCACATTGCATTAATAAAGAATAGCCGACCGGAAGATTTAGAAGATTCAAAGCGAAGGAAGGCTGTCAGACCCACCAGAGCTAAGTAACCAAGAAGCGAGCGACTAAGCGACCTCCGGTACATGATCCAGTCAATTTATAGCTAATTCATAATGGGATCATCTAGTCTAGAACACATGCCCTCTTCACTACGGTCCACTAGGTTCTTGTTATATGACGTGATGTAGAAAGGATAGACAAGAAAGGGGCGGTAGTATTTAAGTCAAAAGATGTGGGGTCGGGGAAGTCTTCCTATTGGCTTCTACTACAACTGCCACAGCAAGGGGAAGGATTGCAAGATATGGAGCTTTACATGTGGCTGCAGATCCTCTTATTTGGAAAGACTGACTATAGTCGCGACTGGTAGGCAGCACAGCTTGACTAGGTTGATATCCAAATTGAACTGAATCGATTTCAATTGACATGAGAGATTTATCAAGGTACAAACATCGAGCGCACGCACTCAGAAGTTCCATTGTCTCAACCAGGTCTCCATCAGCGCTGCATTGACTGGGCCGAGGGTGCGCATCGTCTCACTAGCGCCTTGGGCGTGGGTAGTCTGCACAGGTGCAGCCATACTGCTCTTACCATGCTCACCATTGAGACTGCGGTAAAAGTCCAGAATCTTGAGCGCCGGCTTGTCATTGAAGTCGGCCTCAGTTGGGTTAGCGAATGCCGAAAGGGCGGCAATCCAGTCGCTAAATATGATCGGCTCAACCGAGTATCGGTCCTCGATAGGTGGGATTAGAGACTTCCATGACGTGCCGAAGGGGTTGACGAGGTTGAAGGCTGCCGTTCGGTCGTTGTTTTCCGTTTCGCGACGGGAGCGCGTTATTTCTACTACGATCTTGGCAAGCGAGTCCTGTGTTTCACGGAATCAGTTGTAGGTACAAGACATAGTCGTAGACGTTATAGGTAACTTACCACGGGGATCCAGTCCACATCCCAGTCACCAATCGCTGTCGGAACCTTCTTAATGGTTTTGGATGTGGCTATTATCGCAGGCACCCATTCCTGTCTGTTCCAGACACCTTTCTCCGTAGTCGGACCAGCAATCTGCCCTACACGGTGGAAGCTAGTAGGTACACCAGAGCGAGCTGAAGAGATTGCGCAAATTCGCTCGGATACAAACTTTGACTCTCCATAACCTTGTACCAATGCAACATCGGGGTCTTCCAGTGGGATCTCTGGCACAGAGGGGCCGTGCTCCTTGGTCCAGCCACCAATAGTGGAGATGGATGAAATGAAGTGTATGTGTGCACTGTGTGTGCTCTCTAGGCTGAAATCTATAAATCGTCGCATACCCTCGATATGGGGATGCTCGAACGCCGCGACGTTGTGGTTGAAGTTGACCTTCCAGGCATTGTGGATTACCGTGTCCACCGTCTTTGTGAGTTCTTCATATTTAGACATAGGAAGGCCAAATTTTTCCGCGCCGAAGCTAGCCTGCAGAAACTCCACACGCGAGGAGAAATCGCTCGGGATGACAATGCCCTTCTCCTCTAAGCTGAGAATCTGTCTTTGACCGGCATCTTCGGAACGGTTCAAACAGTAGATTTTGCTGACTTGAGGGTCCTTGATAAGTTCACTCAGAATGTAATTACCCAGAGAGCCAGTCGAGCCAGTGAGTACAACCGCATATCTAGACTCTCGGTTGAAGGAGTGGACCTGTTTTATTGGCAAGTTTTTGGTGTATTTCTTGATGAGAGCATCAATTCTTTCATGTCGACTTTGCACTTGGTCCTTGCCAGCCTCCACAACCGCATCTATGCCGTTGATGAGGTTGTAGATAAATCCTGAGAGCTGAGCAACTGTGGGATGAGAGTACAATTTCTGGGGGTTGATGACGGTGCTATCAGTTGGTCGATAGGAAGAGATGGCACCTTGCAGGATCTTTGAAAGTCGAAGTGTCTGAAGTGAGTCCAAGCCTAATGCGAAGATATCACTTGTTTCCGACACGAGTTCAATCTCCAATTGTTGGGAAAGTATATCTTGAATGATTTTTTTGACCTCCTGCAGAGTAGAATCTTGAGGAATTATGACAATATGCTCCTCGTCTGAGCGTTCGTAAATCGCGTCAATCTCCTCTGCGTAGTCGCTCATGGTAAGTCGGTGTTGAACCGACCCTTTAGGAGTTTTCTGGAATGGCTTGCTCTTAGAGGCTATGCCGATCTTGGTCTTAAGCACTCGAGCATGTGCTGGTGCGATTTTGTTCGCCTTCTCAACGATAGGCCAAGTTTTCTCAATGAGCAGCCCTTCAGAGAAGTCCTCTGGCAAATCCTCCCAGTTCGGTTCAATTACCAATGCTGACTGAAACCTTCCTTGTCCCACAACAAGCGCACTTGCCACGAGCGGATGTCCCTCAATGACCTTTTCCATTTCGATTGGATTGAACTTCTCGCCATTACTGAGCACAATCACATCGTCAAGACGGCCTTTGTATCGCCATAGGTTAGGTTTGGTAGGGTGTGGCACGAATAAGTCTTTTGTACGGTATTCTGAAATTTCAGGATAGGTGTGGAAGATGGCAGCAAAGTCACGGGTCTCACTTCTCTGTAACACCAGCTCATATAAATTGTCTGCGGAATATTGCATGTGGAATAACGGATTAGAAGGGTTCCATTCAAGCCACTCCCAGTCTTTTGGATCCTTGGGTGCCAGGTTAGAATAGATTGAAGCTTCACTTGAGCCGATCAAGCTCTGTAGACGGATGCCATCTGCACAAAGCTTATCGCCAATCACAGGCGACAAAGGTGCACCGGCGAAGAAGATGATCTCGAAACGCTTGAGTAGATCAAGACCGACCGTAGAGACTCCAATGCTTTCAATGATGGAAGGTGGCAGCCAAACAAGGTCGGGGTTGGTTTCATCGTAGATCTTAGCGAGTAGTTCCACTGTCATTGGTTTCTCTGGACTCAAAACAAAGGGAATGCCATGGCAAATGCTCTCCAAAATAGCTGCATAGCCCATCAAATGGAAGAAAGGAGCACACACAAGTTGGAGTGCTCCTGGTTTCTGCATATGCATCATTGAACCTCGTCTTCCGGGAGGGACAGGTAGCTTAGTAGTATTGTCGAAGGCGGATAAGTAACCATTTGTGAATGGTACAGGCTTAGGGAATCCTGTCGAAATCTTAGTTGCAAGTAATTGGTACTGGTAGAATGAGGGAGGGCTTACCAGTTGTGCCAGAGCTATGGATAATGATCGGCACCTCATTCTCGAGATCCGCGTACAGGGCAGCACAAGGATATTGATCAACCTTCTTGCCAAAAGTCTCCCAAAGAGCAGGGAACTCCGATGATTGCAAAAGTCTATCAGCATTCAGCAGTGCTTCAACAACTTTGCGTTGCTCAGGACTATAGATGATCTTGGAAGTCTTTGTTTCGTTCAATATGTGAAGGGATCCTGCCTCTGAATTCCGAGGTGAGATCAAAAGTACCTATCCAGTTGTATAAGTTAGTCAAGATACTCATTCACCAGCCAAAATTGGAATACTCACCGAGTGCCGAGTTTTGATACAGGCAAGTGTAATAGTAGCATAGCGGATATCATTGGCACCCAGATAGACAAATGATTTACACTGGGAGCTGAGACCGATAGTCTTCTCAATCCACTGGGCAGTGTAGTTCACTGCGTCAGCCAAATCTCCCATAGTGACCCTGCGCCATTCTTTTGAAGTCTCCGTGAAGATGGGATGGATGCAGAATAGCTTCTCCGGGTTTTCGTATGCCGTGTCATCAACAATCTGGCATACCAGCTTTTTACGTAGAGTGTCAGCCATTCTGATCAGCGCGGAAGAAATAAAGCCAAAGGTGAATATATAATTGTGTGTGCTGTTTTGAGCACTCTGTGGAATCAGGAGTCATTTTATATGGAGAGTTTCCCAACAAATGTACCAAGGAGCATAGTATGCACGGTGCATAAAGAGAGACGTTGACTTCTAAGATTTCCCAATCTGAAGTATTTGCCGCTTTTCCGAATTATACATAATTATGCCACGACAGTGGATTATTAATTTTGTGGTCCCAGCATCCACAGGTTGAGGGGTAAAAGTTGAAATGGTAGCTGTAGATTAAAGTAGTACGAAATGTCGCCGAATGTCGCCGATAGATCCGTGAAAAATGACGTTGAGCCGATGAAGTTACTTGAAATGGTTCAATACTCCGGTGATGATATTCAAGGTCTTGAGATATATAGACGATAGTTATGACATGCAAGCCATGCGCTGCATTGTGCAGGAACACACACGCGGGTTTGATTAGGATCTAACCTGATATAGCCTAGTCTGCAGTTCTCTTCAATACGCGTATCTACTTCTCAGTCATCAGTCACGCCTGAGTATTCTTTCTGTGTGATAATGCACTGCGTCTGCCTAATTTTGTGTGTCGATAGTTCAGGGTAGAGGCTACCCTTCCTTGCCTCTGGCTGAGCGGAGCTGGTATGCTTCATTGTGGAGTTTGGCTATTCATCCGTGAATAAAAATGTTCTAGCACAAATGTTCTAGCATAACTAGTCAGTTATTTACAGAAATGACCTATACACTAGAATCAAATATATACTCCTAGTCTCTGTACCACCAACTGTTACATGACTTTTCGCCTGCAAGATCAAGAGGTCTTATCGCACAATCAATCCAACATTACATGTATACAACAGAAGTGTATGAGCATACAGAAACTCAATGTTTTATTTGGCGTTTTTTACGTCTACACAGTACACAGTAGACTTCCAAGGTCATTTGCCACCGTGAAGTTCCACAACACTAAGCTTTAGGCTATCCGACCAAGCCGGCCCGAGCCATTCCTTTGCCGATACCCACAGTACTTTGTTTTCAACCTTTCAAGGGATCTTTATCACATATTAATAGATCAGGTCTATTGAAGTTTAAATCCCCAGTTTGACAAAACTCAACCCTTACCAGCTTTATGGCAAAAAGCTGGACTTTTTTAATTGTGAGGAAATCCCTTTTATTAGCCTTGGAAGCACGTGAGCTCCTACCTAGGTCTGAGCTCGTAACCGATCCAAGTCTCCAACCTTGGAAGGTTGCTGGGATGAATTCCATGGTTTGATACTAATGGCATATATGATACAGTATAAAACATTCTGAAGAGTTGAATCTATCTAATCTGCACACTGGACAAGCTAGAGGGATGTCGGAATATGAGACAAGTGAGCTAACAAAACAACTTATCTCCTATCATGGATATAATAAGATGATGGTTCCATGTTCAGCTTTCTACTCCGTACTTTCTCTCTGATGTATTTGCTACCCAGGTAATTAGCCCTCGTATAGGTGGGACTTTTGCGGCTTACAGCGGCACATGGCATACGACCATTGGCCAAGTCATGCACGCCACGCATGAAGTCTGACTTACCCATGAAAACCCTGGATGTATAGTTATATGATTGGCTCCATCGCTATATTCGTGCATTTGGCCCGGCCCCTGCAGATAAGCCGGTTAGTCATCGGTCCGACATGAGCGGCCCCATTTTATCCCCCAGATGGCTCCGGCGGAGTCCGTTCTATGGTTGAATTTTATCCATTTGGAGCCTGATGGATCCCTTGAGCCTAGCAGCCAGCATAGCTGGTGTTGCTACTGCTGCTTTTCAGATTATTACATATCTAGAAACAGTTGGCGCTGGTGGGAAAGAAAGATTCCAGCTGCTACAGGAGCTGACGAGCCTATGGATCACCATTAAGGCTTTACATGCGCAAATAGTTGATACTCTTGACGAAGACCATTTCCCGCCACAACTCAAGACCTTGTTCACGAATGGGAACCTTCTACAAGAGTTGGAGAGCCTTGTCAACGATGTGGACAAGAAGCTCAAGCCCCGCTCATCGCGAATCAGTATTCGACAGACTCTAGGGTGGCCGCTAGCGAAGCAAGATGTTATCCAGCTAGTTGAGCGGATGGGACGCATGCAGCAGACTCTGCATGCAGCGTTAGGTCAATCGAATTATTCCCTCACTCGGGGCATTCATCGCGACGTCCAGGCTGTCAAAGCAGTTCTTGACGAAGGAAAGCTGAAGCCGATAATCGACTGGATATCTTCACTGAACTTTATCGCAACGCAAAACTTGTTGTTCAAGGGCCATCACCAAGGGACGTGCAAATGGTTTTTGGAAAGTGATGAGTTTCGCCGTTGGAAAAGTGACGAGGATGTCATTCTTCTCTGCCCAGGAATCCCGGGAGTCGGCAAGACATTCTTATCATCAATTGTTATCAATGAGCTTGACAGACTGCGGCTGAGCGAGAAGGAGGGTCTCAAAGATTCAGCAGTCCTGATGCTTTACTGCAAGTGGGATGATTCTTCGTCGCAGTCTGTTGAAAACCTCCTGGCAAGCTTGGTCAAACAGATTGCCCAGCGTTATGGTCTTGTGTCAGAAGAGTTGCCCAAATTGTTCACAACACACAGTAAGGCCGGAACAAGTCCAGATCGAGACGAGTACTTTTCGGTACTCAGAGCCGAGCTGAGTGCCTTTTCGAAAACTTTCATTGTGATTGATGGCCTCGATGAACTGAGAGAGGAGAGAAATAGACTTCTGCTGATCGAGACACTGACATCGCTGACGTCAGTGAAAGTGAAAGTCAATCTTCTGGTGACGTCCCGACCAATTGATAGTATTACAAGGCACTTTATCAACGTTCCTATCACATGCGACAAATGCAGGAAAAGTATCCGTCAGAGATATCACTTTCATTGCAGTGAATGTGATGAAGACGTCGTTGGCGGCTTCGACCTTTGTGAGCCGTGCTATGGGAAAGGAGAGCGATGTAGTCGCAGAGGTCACGTCTTTGTAAAACAGTTCAACAGCAGCCGAATTGACATTACTGCGATGGAAGAAGATTTGCTCACTTATGTGAAGTGGCGAATCGATTCATCAGAGTTTCTTCGATTTTTTGTTGAAGGCAATCCCGCGCTGATGGATGATATCGTTCTTGCTGTTGTTGGAGAAAACGAGGGGGTTTTCCTGCTTGCAAAACACAATATGGATTTCCTTGCATCGTTGATGCGACCCTCTCAAGTCAAAAAGGCGCTGGAAGGTCTTCCTAAAGAGCTAGAAGGTACTTATACAAATTCAATGATGCGCATCAAGGACTTGCCAGACAGCCATAGGGAAATTGCCATGGAGTTTCTACGATGGGTTGTCTTTGCGGAACGTCCTTTGGAGCTTCACGAGATTGAGCATGCTATTGCCGCCGGGGATGAAGCCCAGGACATTGGTCCCGATGATATTATTCGTGCGCAAGTAATTGCGTCGATGTGTGCTGGAATTGTGGTCATTGACGAGTCTGACAGCGTTCGTCTGGTGCATTTTTCAGCGAAGAATTTCTTCTCCAAACACCATGAGACTTGGTTTCCCGATGGAAGTATAAAGTTGACCTCGACATGTCTTTCATATCTTCAATTTGAATCCTTTTCCCAGCCATGCACAGGGTCCAGTGAATCTGCTGATTTCGATGCACGCTTGAAGAAATATCCTTTTCTCAGGTATGCGGCGGAATTCTGGGGCAATCATCTTCTCAAAACTCCACAAGACGATTTATTTGGGTTTGCTCGGAGGTTACTCAAAGAATCTGGGTATTTTGCATCCTTATCACAGGCCTTATGGTACGTGGACAATGCAGACTCGTCAAGCTGGGCTGGAAAAGATGGTAGCACTGCCTTGCACTTGGCCGCACACTTCGGATTAAACAAGCTAGTGGTTGAGCTTCTAGAGGATGGAGTCGACCCGAATATTCGTGATGTGAATGGTGTTACACCGCTGATACTTGCCTCCATACGTGGAATCGTGGATGTTGCCGCCACTCTGATCCAAGCAGGGGCTGATGTCAATTCGGCGGACAATGTCGGCGCAACTCCGATATTTGGCGCCACCCTTCATGACCAGGAAGAGGTGGTCAAGCTTCTACTCACGCAAGAGACAACTGATGTGAATTTGAGAATCAATGGATATACACCATTGATGGTAGCTGCACAAAACAAATTTCTCGGCATTCTTAATGCGCTCCTACAAAACCCGAGCTTGGAGATTGACAAAGGATCAACGGAGTCTGGGCTTACTGCATTAATGATCGCGGCTATGGGCGATAAACCAGAAAGTGTAGAAGCGCTTCTCACCCATCCTGGAATTGACATCAATTTTCAATCCACAGATGGCTCAACAGCTCTTCTCTGGGCGGCAACTGAAGGATACGGTCTGGTGGTGGATATTCTCCTTGATAATGGTGCAGACACTGAGGTGATGCAAGTCGGCACTCTCGGCACTGCGCTGAATCGAGCTATTGATGAGGACCAAGTCCATGTTGTCGAGTTGTTACTTGCGAGAGGAGCTAATGTACATCACACGGATGTTTTCAAACGCGGCATGCTTCATTCAGCTGCAGTCAACGACCGATATGAGATACTGAAAGTCCTTCTCGAATTTGACACTACATTAGACGTCAACATGCAGGACGTTAATGGGAAGACAACGTTACATGATGCAGCCAGAAGTGGATGCAAAGAGACTATTGAAATTTTGTTGCAGTATGGAGGTGACCCAAGTATCAAGGACAACTTTGGTCGAACACCGACCTACATCGCTCGCGAAACAAATAATTACATTGCTCTTGAGATGCTTCGAGAGGCAAGAAGAGCCAAAACAGAAAACAGAGAGGCAGAAGACGTCCCTGGTCCTCTTCCCCTACGCACCGACACTGGATCGATCATCCAGCCAGTCAAACGATCAGACACCGACAACATACCATTGTCTATCTGGGCCCTTTCCAACTCCCAGTCCATCAGTGAGCTAAGTACTCGACTTGAGACCGCGACTTTGGAAGAAGTCAATGCGCAAGATCCGGACAATGGCCAGTCGGCACTGCATTACGGTGCCTCGCGCAATAATCCCGACACAACACGTCTTTTGATCTCTCATGGTGCGGATATAAATCTTCCAAACCATTATGGCCGTACTCCGTTGCATCTGACTACTCTTTACAATAGCGTCAGAGTGGCAGAAGTCCTTCTAGATGCTGGAGCTGATTTTGAGACCCAAGATCAATGGGGCCAATCCCCACTAGCTACAGCTATGTATGATAGGAATATGGTAGGTATTTTATTGGTGGAATACGGAGCTGAATTGCCCAAGGAGCGCCAAGCGTTGGGCGATTTACTCGAGCTGGCTGTTATCTATGGAAAGGAAGATGCAGTCCGGCGTTTGGTCGCTGCCGGGGCTGAAATTTGGAGAAAGAATACCTATGGCTATACCCCGTTTGCGATTGCCAGACTGTATAGTCATGAGAAGATTGCAAATCTGCTTCTGGAATTAAGGAAACCGTCAGACCCGACTCAACTTGAGGAATCAGAAACGCCACCTGAACACCTTACAATCGACAAAGAGAAGAAAAAAGCTCTATCAGACTCTCTTCAAATGACTAAAGATGTTAATCGCGAACCTGCTGTAGGATATCCCGAAGAAAAGGTCCAAAAAGATTATGAAAACCCACCAACTCAGTTGCCGCCTGTTGAGACCACCAAAAAGCCAGGCCAGGTAGCCACCTCCAGCGAAGGTGGCTTGCTATTGGATTCACCAATGATCCGCCAGATATTCCTCACTCTTCTGTTATCGTTGATCGTGATAACAGCAATCACAGCGATGCCGAACGGGGTGATGACGAGAATTTTACCTTCACGTGTATAGTATAGTGACGAACTCAGCCATGTCCACTTGGACATGTGATTTCAGTCCTCATAATATGGAAATTTTGATGTAATTCATGGTCTCATTTCTGTCTCCATTAAAAACCTGGTAAAAATTGGGGAAAACGGTGGTGAAATCTAATAATGCAGGCCAGTGTACCCATTCAGCTGATACGACTCTTCAATCCAATACGCCAAACAAAAACCCTCGAGACCAGTAAATCATTTGCGCCAGACTCCTCGTGTGCTTCTTATTTCTAGCAGCAAGCGTCATAAAAAGGGGATTTCGTGTAACATTATGAAGTATGTGCTCGCCAGCTTAGAAAAGCCCCATGCGATGACCCCAAGCATCAGTCCTTGGGTTGACAACTATCCGGTAGGGGAATGGGTTGGATTCACTGGTCGTAATAGGCGGGATATGGTCCTTGTCCTTATTAACCACAGTGAGGATTTTCATAGCTGCCTTCTGAAGCATATTGGTCATAGCCTTGCGGACTTTGGCTCTTTCTATATGATCAAATTTGTCAGCTTGGAACCTATCCCCAGAATCCGCATGACACATACCAGAATCTGTGCGAGGAGTGGCGATAGTCACATCCAACGTCCAAATTTCCCAGCACACCTCTTCTTCGCCCTTGCCTGCGAGTCCGCCAAACCACAGACCAGACCGACGTCGTTTCTTTTCGTAGAATTCAACTGCGATCCGGCCACGTACTCCTCCGCCCCCGCCTCCGCCGACCTGCCCGTCTTGCGCACCGGCGGCCGAGGAGAGATGTTGGCGGACCAGCGCGCTAACGCGCGAGTCAATCAAAGTTTCTAGATCTGCATCGTTAATTGCCGGGAGTGTAAAGTCTAACACTTCGAAAGTGACTGGGCGTATGGAGGGGAAGTAACGATGGAAAAAGATCAAGTTCAGAACACCTGAAAGGGAATAAAATGTAAGTCGAGGATCAGAAGATGAAAGATGGACGATCTAAGAGCTATCCAGCTCTTTTCAGTCCTACCTTTTAGCACATCACGCACTGTAGTTGTATCAGCGAAGATCTCCAGGAAGTACTCTGGAGGGGTTTTGCGGGGCTCCATCCCCGGCCGCAGCAGATCGACTCAGAGCACAAGATCGGAGGGTTTAATTGGAGGATGTGTTGTCAAGGAATATGACTTGCAAATGATATGGGGAATATGGGAAGAGGTCATGGAGGAAGAGAGTTGGAGAGAAGCCGTGACTGGATCGGCCATGGACTGGACAGTAATGCTTAGTTATCACCTTGTCATTGGCCGCGTGAACAAGTTTATGCGCGTGATAGCAAATGCTGACTAGTTTTAATAAGAAGTATTTTTGACATTTACTGAGGCTCCTAAACTGTTTACCAATCTATTTGATTCATTCACAAAGCAAAGAAAAATATTATCGGTACAGTTGAGTATTTACTATAGACGATGTGGTGATGGTTGTGCCGCATCCGGGTTTAAGCTGATAGAGCTGGGTTACTGGACAATGCAGATTCCATTGTTGAGATAAATATCTAGATATAAAAAGAGTCTACTTAGGTACTATTTATGAGATGTAATCCGAACAATCAATTCTGTAGGTATTTTGAAACATGTAGTTGAATAATCTGGGGTACTCATACTCTCCCCGAGGTAGTCAGATCTCGGGCAACGATCAGCGGTCCGAGAGCGTTCGACCGACTTCCATCCACAACAATCTAGGAATGATCCTAGGGTTGTCATCTAATCCCAACTATACCAGAGAGCTTATCCTAATATCAACTTGATCATGATCGGTGCCGCAAGGCGCTGGCTCCGGCGCAATAGCAAGGGTCTCGCGATCGGGGCCAGTGTATTGGGAGCTGGCTATCTGGCTGGGCAATATTTGCTGTCCAAGTGGTCCGATGCTCGTGAACGTATGAGTAGCGACAACATTTCACGAGAAAAGTCAGTGCTTCCATCATTCCTACTGCATTCTCGGCCGGCTGTCATGAGCCTAGAAAATACGCCCATTGCCCCCCACTCAAGGCTGTTCAAGTAGCTAACATATGACGTTCATAGTTTGCGACGACGTTTTGAACAAGAACAGATCGATTGCACTTACAATACCCTCGGTCTTTTACCGGCCGCAGTTAATAACATTGTCGATGCGCTCCCAGTTGAGGAGTTGACAAATGAATTACAGAAGAAGAGGGCGGAGAAGTTGGCACGGATTCGGTCGGGAGAAGGTACAAGCTCTGAACTGAGTTCAGTATCTCCTAGCCTGCTTGAAGATGATCAGAAAAGTCTTTCGAGCTTCCAAAGTGAAAGCTTTATGCACACCAGCCAGCTTGGGGATTCTGTGAACTTCGAGAGCCAGCCCCGAGTGAAACGGACCAAGACCCAGCTGTGGAACGAGGTCAAGATCACATGTACGTCTTTCTATGATCTGAGAGTTGAATGTAATACTGACTGTTTTGACAGCTATTACACGGTCCTTTACTTTGATCTACACACTCTCTTTGCTTACTATCTTCACTCGCGTTCAGCTGAACCTCCTCGGACGTCGGCGATACCTATCCAGCGTTATTTCTCTTGCTACTCCCCAGGCCGACGCGGCCATCAACTTGGAAGATCTCGATGGTGATCTGTCACATACCCTGGGCGATGACCCTGAGACCAACCTACGATATGTTACTTTCAGTTGGTGGTTGCTTCACCGTGGATGGAAGAAAGTGATGCAGCAGGTTCGGTCCGCTGTGGAAGAAGCCACTAGTTCGCTCAATGTACGTGGAGATATCAGCCGGTCACAGCTGTCGGACTTGATTCTTCGCATCAGAGAGAAGGTGGAGGGGGGCTCTGAAGAAGAGCGACGGTAAGTACCTCTGTATCATGGATATCTTCATCATGATTGCTAATAACGAACCAGGTCTAAGAATTGGCTTTCCTGCTTGCTTCCACCTCCAGAGGAGGAGGAGTATGTTCTGCGTGAGTCTGGAGTGAATGGACTGGCCGATAAGCCATCCCCGCAGACAGCTTCAAAGCTTCGTCGCCTCTTGGATGAAACAGCAGACTTAGTTGAATCACCTTCTTTCACCTTTATTTTGACCAAGCTCAATGGCGAAGGCTTCTCGACCTTACTTGACCAGGCTTTCCCTTCTTCTTGCCCCAACGAGGGACGAGGACCGGCTCCTCAGTCTTTCGACTCTGTGGCAACAGTTATTCCCCCTCCCCCTCGGGAACCAAAGACAAAACTCGCCAATCTCCTTGCAGTACTAGCACGTCAGGCACATGTGATTGGTAACGGATTGCCAAGTCACGTCTCACCACACGTTTCATACACGGTAAAAGATTTACATCAACTAAATGGGTATCTGGCCGCTATGGTTCAGAATGTGGGGGAACTAGAGGCCTTTTCGGCTGTGATTTACAGCTCGAACTTTGACCCCGAAATCCTCGGTGCCGGGAGAAAGGCCGCTGAAGCCGTAGCAGGAGAATCGGTGAACCATGATTCTTCTGCTTCCTCACCTATAGGGCCTATTGAGAATCAATCAGAAGATGTTCCTAGTGATGACATGACGCAGAGTCTTCCTGTTCTCATGAGCAATGACGAGGAATTCCCTAAGCTGCCACCCCAGGAGAATCTGGCTAACCCAGCTTTTGAAGAAGCCTGGGGAAAAGCAGTTGAGGACAAGGAGCAGGGAGCTCCATGATATTTGAAATTATAATGATATTTAAATTATGTATACCTTGCATTGCATCTCATTTTCTTCAATTTTAGACCTGGTTCTGTTTCTAGGCGTAACTTGGATGCTAGGTCGTAGTTTAAGTATTTTGTTTCTTTCTTAGCAATCTACTCATAGAACTGAGTGACACTCGGGTCTTCTAATATTTGTGAATGCCCTGACAGGAATACCAATCATGTCAAAGTCAATGCATACGTACTACAGATAAATAGGCGACCCCATTGGTCATTTATGTCCTCGGCACATGCACAACATTAGTCGTACTATAACTCTTGGAAGCTACAAACAATTGTCATTCAAATGGTGAGGGGACAAAGACGTAATGAGCAACCATTTCCACCCCTCAACCTGGGGCTCGACTTTAACTCTCCCCAAAATATCACTTCAAAGTCACTTTCACTCTCTATGTAATATTGCCAGACTACATTTCATGGCAAGTGGAGTTTCAACATCTCCATGTGTTTTACAGACCCTATCCAAGCAGGCGGCAGAGAATCGATGGATCTGGGCTATATCAAATATAGCCATGGACAAAGAAAATCATTTAAACGATTCTGTGCAGATAACGGGCATGGGAACGTCACTCAAGTGGAGTGAGCCTTGGCAGCAGCCTCTGCCTGAGCGCGGAGGTTGGTGGAGGTGCCAGGGGCAGTGGAGAAGAAGCGGCCAACGAGGGGCTTAAGGAAAGAGTGGAAGACGATTTGGGCACCGCTATTACAATGTTAGTCACTAAGGCCTGCCTTGGATACACAATGTCGAGAACTTACCCGGTCTGGGGGAGGGCCATCCACAGAACAAGGACAAACTTGAAGATGTAGTAGAAGGCTAGTCGCAAGTCAGTGAATATTCTCGTCAAATGTTTCAGCAATTGCCAGGTTAACGTACGGAACCAATAAGCGGCGCTAATGGCGCTCTCAAGAACGGTCAGGAAGGAGAACACGACCCAGTACTGCAAACATTTTAGTTAGATCATGGGTCTTGCGTCATTTGGAAACATGTCACGTGGCGCCTGATAAGCGCCGTCTTCAGCTGAACAGCTGACTGCGACAAGATGAAATCAGAGGTAGGGGGACTTACGGTGAGCCACTATAAATTTGAATGTTAGTTATGGGTACTTTCGATAGGGGTGAGGCATTCTAGTCTTTTAAAAATCTTACCTGGGTGTCATCGGCAGTACCGGAGGTGAAGAGGGCCTGGAGAGAGTAGTAACCAGGGAGAACGAAGCCAGCAAGGTTGACGAGGAAGCCACCAGCAATGTTGAAGAAGACAAGGAAGAAGTAGACTCCAACCAGGCCAAGGATGACATAGACCTTAGGAACGGAAGACTGGCGCTCCAGGTTGTTCAGAAGAGGGTACTTGGAGAGCTATCAAATACATGTCAGATAACAGCAGACAGATGAAATAAGTGTGATGAGATAATAGGTGAAAAGGCCAAGGGATCGCTGCAGCTCCTGAAGATCGTGCGAGCTTTGAGGACAATCAATCAATCCATCCCAAAAAAAATTGGACAGATTGCGCTAGCGAGACCTAGTGTGGACATAGATTAGAAACATACCTCTTTGTCGAGCTGGGCAACAGCGTGCTGGGCACGATCTTGGAAGGAGGCCATTTTTGATGAGCTTGAATGAAAATTGAGAATAGGTTGCAGGAGTAGGGAGAGAGAGTGGAGCGAGGGATGTAGTGAGAATGCATCCGGTAGAGCTGGCGGCTTCCGTGGCCAAGCCCGTGCGCGGTCACGTGAGCGAATGACGTAAATCTGCAATCAGCTGCAAGAGCGTAGGAATTTAATTTTAAGTTAACAGATAACGGAAGGCGGCCTGAATGGAACTCCAAACCTTGGACATAAGCCTACGGATAATACTGTCATCTTAATTTTGAAACTTTTATGACACTGGAGTAGTGTACGTGTACTAGACTGTTAGTGGGTACATAGAATGTCTCCTTTTTTGTCTACTTAACTACCATATTACCCAGGTACAAACTTTTTAAATGCGACTGCCTTAATGCTGGTAATTCACAATAAGCTACGGTTCCAAGATTACTCGTTCGTCCTGGTAGGCTGTGACATGACGTAGGCTCTTTTGTTCTTGAAGCTGATTTGACTTTTGAAACCCTGAAATTTGAGGCATCCAAGTAGCTGGAACATCAAGTCTATAAATTACAACCGTATTCTTAGTGGCATTCAAAGAATATTACAGGCTGAAAATACTAGGCTTGTAATTACTATCATAACTGCAGAATAGCTAGTGAGGAGCCCTCTGCAGCAGTACGCAGTGAATCAAGAAGGCGGTCTGCAGCGGCAGAACCGAGTTATGCCATTTATCTAGAAGTTGTGATAATTAAATACAGAATGGACACCTTTATACACTTCTTCACTTTTTGACTCCCTACTTTCATTGGGCTTTCTTTTGGGGTTGTGGTTGGTCTTTCTTGTAGTGGTCGGCAACAGATAATATCTGTATCTCTGTGCCGACCACTATTTTCTTGGCTGAATCAACCTGCATGTTCCGACCATGCTGCCTAGAACGTTCCCCGTTTCAATAGGTACTTGTAGAACTAGGGTGATGCACTGTCAGGTATCTCAATATGCATTGTCAACTTCCAATATGCAAAATGCCAATATATTCCCTCTCTAACCTGACACATATTAGCCTATTAGGGTAGGACTGTTGTGGTCTTTTACAATACTTCGCTGCTACCGGATGACAACGGAACATTGATAGTTTAATGGGCGGGAATTCCATTTTTAGAAAATTTGAGAAAAAGACCTGTACCTGAGAGCATTTTTTATCTCAGTATATTGCGATAAAGACTTTTACCCCATTTTCAACAATGATACAAGATTTTGGATGACTATTCTGTCTTCCATGACCTCGAATCAAGCTCAAATTTTTCCAATAGTGAATCTTTCAAAGCGGTTAAGAATGAAGATGATGAGTCCATCATATCTGACTCGCAAACAATGCATAAGATGAAGTTCAGGAAATTCCTTTTCATAGGCCTATTTCTTGTATATACGGCCATCGTAATCGTTATAGGGCGTACCTTGGTGTGTTCAAGTAAAATAGCTGCCCAAAGCATACCTCTCTTACCATATCTTCAAAGTATTGACCACAGGTTTTGAATATAATAGCCTAGAATTAGAAAGCTGATAAGAAGTAAAGGCAAACAGTTCATAGACTTTCTATCAGAGTACAGAGACACGTCTTCCCTCGACACTGACCGAGCATGGAATCGGTCTATTGAGAGTATGTGCAACTGAAAACAGATGGAATTACCGAGAGTATTACTGATAACTTAACAGTCGGATCAGTCAATGTCTCTCGCTCCGATGACGATATTTGACAGCTTGGTATGGATCCAAATACAGTAGTCAAGCGTCCCATTGAATACAGTGGTGTCTATCGTCTTTATTTCGAATTCACTCTTCAATTGAATTGTGTGGTAACAACTTATTAATATGAAAAATAGAGCTGATCTGTTCTTTTTCTTGATTTAGAATCTCCTTCGAATGTGGACATATCGAGATTATTATGACGGCAGAAGAGTTGATTTTACGAATAGATTATATACAGCGCACTCATATCGGTAAGCTTCTAGCATTATATGATTATTCTACTTTCTCGTTACCTACTGTTAACTGTTGGAAATAAGATAATTATATTGAGATATTGAGGCAGATTTTAATGTGTCATGTGGATGTCAACCTTAGATCTCTAAACTGGGTAGCTGAAAGGAATCTGCCATATCCAAACTTCAATAACAAGCATACATGTCGTAATTTTGACGCCATTGCTGGTTGGGCTTCGGATCATCAGATCATGATCCCAGAGATCTATAAGCCGCCAGGGGTACAAGAGCTGCTGCTTCCACCATAGCTTAGTCACCTAAGCAGAACTATGTCATTATTTCAGGAAGAGGACTAAACGAAATGGCAAGAGCAGTTCAGCTTTTACGATTAACTTATAGCCGTAATGATAAATTTTTTCATATAGAAAAATCATTCATGGTGTTATGACTTACTCTTTCAGGACCCGGGACAACAATTTGAAGGAAAATCCCTTGGCATAATTAGAGAGTTGGTAGAACATAGGCAATAGCTTAAAGCATAAGGTATTACAATCAAAAAGAAAAACCCCGAACAGCCAAGGAGATAGGAACTATAGATCATGATGAATGACTTAATTGCTATAGAGCAGGGATAATTTCTCATAGTGTGCATGGTTCGTAAAAGGCCAACAAAATATTCGAAGGCTTTCTAGCCCAGACTTATGGTTGGTAGGTGAAATAAGCATAAATGTCAAAGGTCTTCCACAGGAACACGTATAACTAATCACTAATTAGCTTAGATAGACAGCTTCACTGAGGATACACCGAAGACCGTTAGTGCATATAACACTGCAGCAAATAAAAATGGCATTCCCACCCAAAGGTCACCTAATGCCATACCCATGTGGAAAGTGAAAGCCAAAAGCGGTCCTGCTACAAGCATTCCCAGCGAGCTGATAGTTGAGATTGTTGCATAGACCGTACTTATATGCTCTGCATCGACAAGAGAGGTCACTAGAGTCCTTGCTGTGACCGTAAAGGATGACCCTAGCCCAAATATAACAATCCCAATGATGAGAAAAAGTAGATTTGGTGCGATGAAGATGATGAAACATCTAAGAGACATCATCAGAGCGCTTATTTGCGCAATGCGCTTATCTCTAACAGCAATTACCCATCTTAGTTTTTTATCGAAAAGATATATCACCGCAGGAAGTAAAATGAACAGTGATATTAAATTGGCTGCTGCATTCAGGGTATTCACATATGATGCCTATTCCAATAATTAAATCAATTTTCAAGGTGTTCAGTAGAGAAAAGGTTTGGGGAAACTCACCTTGCCGTAGGACACATGAAATCTTTTTGTTGTATACTAGAGAAGAACTGCGAATGAGCTTTTCCCAAGGCAACGATGAAACAGAGAAGAATAGTAGCGACATCTCTGGAAAGCCATTTCATCGATAATTGAACTCTTTCCAAAACTGGTCGCTCATCTATAGCTGATAAAGAGTTTGAAGTCTCTATAGCTGGATGGTTGTATATTTGTGGGAAAAATAATAGTGTCTAAAGCACGGCGAGGGCAGCAATTATTAAGCCTATATAAAATGGAATCCAGATATTGATAGACATTAGCATAGCGCCAATTGGTGGCCCTATGAAATTTGTAGCCATACTTAGTGCTGTCATTTGTGCAAATGTAGCCATTCTATCATCACTTTTAGCTATGAGTATATTTGTAGCTAATGGGAGGAATAGGTCACCTCTTTTCTAAAGGAACAATACTTGCCACTATAGAAAACGCCAAAGATGTTACTACCATTAGCCCACCACCTAATATCTGCCAAAAGGTAGAGAACCATATGGCCCGCACAGGAAGTACCGGATATAATGAAACTTTGACGTAGATTCCTCTTTTCAGTCATGGATTGAACACAAAATTAGGATAGGATGGGACTTACAAACCACTCGATTCCAGTTTTGGGTTATAACAGAACCAAAAGAAGCTAGTAGGATAACAGGCTTGTATCCCACTCGATCCGCAAGCATACTAAAGGGAATAGCGAGCAGTATGCCTTTGAAAAAATTTCGTCAATTTATCAATCTTCCACGAGGATTTCAAAGAGATGTCTGGGATTTACCATGAATTGTCTCGAATGTTACTCTCCAACCGTTTAAATAAGCCATCTCTGTCTGAATAGGCTCTATTTTGCATTTTTCCGATCCAATGTCGCCAATAATGGTCGTACAATAGTATTTGCGACAAATAATGCCCTCTAGTATGGCTGTTTCGGCAGCGGAGCCAATACTATCGGCAATGTCGAATAGCATGGCTCCACCCGCGATCAATGCAAAAGTAATAAACCAACGACGTCCGATAGATGTCGCTGTAGGTGAGTCTTGTGGAAGCAGGTGAGATGTCTCATCTATATCATTAAGAGAACATTCGTTCGCTCGATCCATAACCATAGTGATGGGTTGGAATATGATCTTTTGTTGAAGATAAAAAAAAATAACCTGTCAAAATAAGGCGGATAAAAGCAATGAAATCCCGGTATTCAGTGTTCACGAGTCATGACGGTAACTATAGAAGAAACACCGAGACTATTCCTTGTATAGGGGCGCTAATAATGCTCTGAAACCCCTTAGAAGTTGCTTATGTGAAGTAGACAGCTCATGACTGTTTGAGGAAACGGAACTGATCGCCCAACTTCCTATATAACCGAAGAATATGAAAAACCCCTCAACACGGATGATTACAGGATTGGTCCGTGATAAGTTTATCTCTATATTTTTCATGTATTGGTACTCACTAAAAAGAGCGTCCACTTAATCAGACGCCTCCCGACGGTCATCCGCATCTTTGATATTCACTTTAGTCCAAACATGTACTGCTATAGGGCGGTTGATTACTAGGGGCTGCAGGATGTTTGTCAAAGTTGACATGGTCTAGGCATTAGCGTAAATTTGGTATAGTAACATCGGTTCAAAAGTCGTGCATCTTCCGTGGGTCAAAACCAGTTCTGACCTTAATAACCTACTGAAATCTCCTAATCGATATTCAACTAAGATTGTATAATGGAAACATCGAGATGCGATCAATCCGACGATAGTTTATTTGGGCCTGAAAATCGTGGATGTCGAGATGGAACAGATTTTACCTTGCTTTTTGAGCAATCCATCTTTTCAATTCTCCCATATGCTATTTTTGTGATTTGCTCGATTTGTCGATTTTTTTATCTTTCTAGAAGAAAAAGAGTTCTTCAAAGATCTTTAGACTTTCTATGGTTGGCAAAGATTATATGAATTAGAAAAAAATACCTAACACCTCAAAATGATGAACGTTTACTAACTTGAACACACCCTATAGATATCGATTTTATGCCTTGGAGGTCTCCAAGTTTCTTTAATCATTCTTTACGCTTTACCTGATGGTGATTTGACTGATTTTTCCTTGCCCGCGGCTTGTGTTAGCATTATTGCTAGCCTATGTTTGATTATTGTTTCTTACTAAGAGCATCAACGCTTACCTCGTCCATTATTCTTGCTAGGTATTTACCTTGCACTCACATGTCTCTTAGATAGTAGTTAGGTAAGAACCCTATGGCTACGTGGCGATCATCAGCTAATAGCGATTGTGTTTCTATCAACTGTCCTGCTTAAGTTTACTATTCTTGTGATTGAGTCTATATAGAAACGATATCTTTTAAAACAGCCATACGCTCACTATGCACCCGAAGTTCTTGCAAGTTTTTTTAACATGAGTGTATTTTGGTGGCTGAATTCGCTTTTGATGAAGGGCTCTTCTTATACTATCTAGCAAGAAAGTCTTCCGCCCCTAGATCCAAAATTGGTATCAGAAGTCCTCAGTGCTTAAATCGAATCCGCCTGGCTTAACAGTGATAAAAGCCAAAAACACTGCCTCGCTCTTGTCTTAGTCAAAGTCGCTTATAAGTCTATTCTTCTCATGGTGTTTCCCCGAATGTGTTTAATCGGATTTAATATAGCACAGCCTCTTCTGATCTATAGAGTGACATCTTTTCTATCGCAATCTCAGGACCATCAATCCCGATTCGTTAGCTAAACGCTAACCGGAGCCACATTACTTGTTTATTTGGGAATTACATTCAGCACAGCGTTTTACAAATATTAGATAAATCGCTGTATCACCATAACTCGGGGAGGGCTTATTAGCCTGATCTATAGTCGAACACTCCAGCTTTCGAGTTTAACACTTTCTGAAAGTCCCGCAACCACTCTTATGAGTGCTGATATTGACCGGATTTAAGCTGGGGTTGAACATTCAGATGTTCTTTGGGCTTCGCTAATTGAGATGGCACTGGCAATCTTTATATTGTATAAAGAAATCGGCCTTGCCTGTCTCGCACCCGTTGGAATTTCAATTGGTAAGTTTACGAGAAACCTTTTTACCATTCTTAGACATCCCGTTTGATTTTTCCTGATTAATAACTATTTCTATGGCAAAGGATGTACGATAGCTGCATTCATAATGTCAAGAACGGCCAACACTACCTAAAGACAATGGATGGAAGCCATTCAAGACAGAATTAGCTTGACGTCTTCTTTTCTCAAGAATACTAAGGGAATTCGCATGGCTGGTTTATCACGATACTCATCATCTAGTGTTGATGATTTGCGTGTGGAAGAGCTTGCCAAGTCTAGGCCATATAGAATCAATGCGACCGTCAGGAATAGTATTAGCGTTCTGCCTGAGATAATATCCCCTACGGCCGCATTGATCATATATGTTGCTACTAAGTCAGGTGAAAGCTCACTTGATGCAGTAACCGCATTCTCGACCCTGTCACTTATCACGCTTCTTAGCAAGCCAATCATGAATTTCATGTATGCGTATCCAACTTTTGTCGCATCACTCGGCTGCTATAGCCGAATATAAGAATATCTTCTCGGAAATCAGGATCTACCATCATCTATAATTAGTCGGGAAGCATCAATTTGGTAATCAAAAACCTCTAGTGGAGGAAATCAATCTTGCTCTAGGATATCACTGAAGGAAAATGTCCCGAGAAATGAGAAAAGTAAATCATCTTACAAAAGCCTAATAGAGGTCAAGAATGCCTCTTTTTACTTCCAAGAAAACGGACGTTCTATACTACAGCGCATATCCATTTCAATCGATAGAGGGAACTTCTTTATGCTCATAGGGCCAATCGGCAGCGGCAAAAGTGTATTCTTATTAGCTCTCCTTAGTGAAATGATCAGAAAAGGAGGGTCAGTAGGAAAAGCTCCTGATCTTGGGATTGTATATTGCTCCCAAGAGCCGTGGCTACCAAATTTGCCCGTCTATGAGATTATCTTGGGTATTTCAAGCTTTGACCACGTGTGGTATAACCAGGTGACGAATGCGTGCGATCTCAACTCAGATTTTGCTTCTCTACCACAAAAAGACATGACAGTTCTAGGTAGTCGAGGTGCTAGTCTTAGTGGAGGTCAAAAACAACGTATTAGCTTAGCGAGAGCCATTTATTCTCGCAAAGAGCTACTTCTCCTAGATGATGTTACCAGTAGTCTTGATGCAGCTACAGAGCGTACTGTTATTTAAAGACTACTTAGGCGAAATGGTATTTATCATCGAGAAAACCTAACTATTGTGATAACGACATATAAATATGAGTGTGAAACCAATAAATCATTAAGACTTAATGGTACTAACAGCTATAGCTTATTTAAAGCATTTTATGGATAAAACTATCGAGCTTAATAAGGACGGTTTATGTTGCGACAGCCGAGAAACAAGGCCATCAACAGACGGAAAGTATTTCGGCCGAAAAAGTTTCTGCCGAGACAGCGACTCCGGAACTGGATTAGTATATCACGGCATCCTTGAACGATATGCATTCATCGCAAACGACACCCTTGAGCGATGCGCATTCGCGACAGTAATGTCCCGTCTTCACCGTCTCTTCTGTCTCGGACGAATGTTGACATTCGTCCAGAGCAGAGGGGCGCCCATGTACTATAAGTAGCTAGTTCTTTCATCAATGAAAAAGCAGACTTCACAACAACCACAATATTCAGTACTGTAGAGACCACTACACTTGGTGGTTTGTCTACGGTGTTGAGTAGTGGTTCGTTGGAGCTCACTGTTCTCAGTAACGAGCGACTAGCTAGCTACGCTCGCTAAGCGAGCGACAGTTTAGTTTACATTGTTCAAGTCTTGAATCAGATTCCGGACAAATCTTAGGATGAAATACTCGTCCATCTATACCAGGAAAAAGAGGCTTTGCAGCCGGACTCTCCTAAGACTGAATCAGTGCCTAGTAAAATCCCTATAGCTATAATAGGAGGTCATGGGCTCTCCGACGCATCTAGGAAAACTGGTGATCTTACTCTCTATAACCTATACTTCCAAGAAATGGGCCTTCCTTATATCATTTCAATACTCGCCACATCCATTGGGTTCTGCTTTTGTAGCAGATTTCCAAGCATCTGGTTAAAGTGGTGGTCTAATTCCGAAGCTGAGCATATCAGAGATGAGGATTCCCGGTACATGAGTGGCTATGCTGGATTCGGATTACTAGCAGCGATATTCTTCTTTATGAATTATTGGGTTTTCATGGTGAAGCCTGTGCCTCTTATAGTAGTACGATTACATAGGAGATTGCTGAGTGCTGTCGTTATGGCCCCTTTATTATACCTCACTTCAATCGATAACGGGGTGATATTAAACCGATTCAGCCAGGATATGTCGTTGATAGATATGAGGCTTCCTGGCTTAATGGTAATGACTTTAGACGGTGCTCTTGATATAATCGCCGAAGGAATTCTTATCGCACAATCATCTCTATGGTCTGCCCTTATGTATCCCCTACTTGTATTCATTTTGTGGGCTTTATAGAGATTTTATCTGCACACCTCACGCCAGATTCGACATCTGGATCTTGAAGCAAAGTCACCACTATTCTCTAGCTTCCTAGAGACCTCTAAGGGTATTACCACGATTCGAGCATTTGGTTGGCAAGAGCGCTCTCGATAGCTCAACCTTCACCTCATCGATGAATCATAGAAGCCAGTTTACCTTATGTACTCTATTCAGTGCTGGCTGACCATTATACTGAACTTGTTGGTAATAGTAATTGTTATGGTTGTCATGGTCTTGGCAATTGAGCTGAGCACCTCTAGTGGGTCTATTAGAGTTGCTCTTAGTAATATTGCTGTTGCTAGTGCAACTCTTTCGTATGTAATAACATCTTGGACATCACTTGAGACTTCAATAGGGGCTTTGGCTCGACTTCGACAATTCGAATCCGATGCCCCATCCGAGCATCTAGCCCAAGAAACAGATGATCCAACAGACTGGCCGTCGGGAGAATCAATTGAGATAAATGATTTGACCATAAGCTACCGGTGAGCTTGATTTCTGAAGGACAACATTACTAAATTGATCTGACTCTATTTTTCAGACTGGGCTTAGACCCTGTAGTGCGTGGACTCAACTTGACCATACCACCTAGAGCTAATATAGGCATATGTGGACGCCTAGGAAGGTAAGTATATCCTTCTAAATCATAGATAGCCTTCTAGCATATTATTTCAAATCATGCCTGAAGTTTAAAAGTGACTATAACTAACCTAATTCGATTATAGCGGGAAGAGCTCTCTGATACTCAGCTTCCTGCGCCTCACTGAAATCGTAAGCGGGACTATATCAATCGACAATATTGATATCAGTCATATTTCTCGAGAGATTATTCGCCGTCGACTATCCATTTTACCACAAGAGCCCATGATTTTTTCGGGCTCCATTCGCTCCAATATCGACCCGTTCCAAGTACACACAGATGAAGCTATCACTTCTGCGCTTTCCAAAATAGGAATGCAGGAGTGGTTTATCTCGCTTAGAGCCAGTCTGGACACCTTAATCCAGAAAGATAAACTCTCATCTGGCCAGCAGCAGCTTCTCTCCTTTGCGCGGATACTACTCAACCCTTCTAAGGTCTTGCTACTTGATGAGGCTACCTCTATGATGGATGTTAAGACGGAAGCGAAAATCACCAAGTTGGTGCATGAGGAATTCCGGGATAGTATAGTAATTTCAGTGGCCCATCGACTTCAGACAATTGTTGATTTTGATCTGGTATTGGTTATGGATCAAGGGGTCGTCATTGAGTCTGGAAACCCTTCTGATCTTCTCAAGAAAAATCACAGTGCTTTCAAGGACTTATGGATGAAGCAATCGACAGATGATATTCGAACTGCAGAGTCAATTTCAGACCATATGTCATGATTATAGCCAATTATATAGTGAGCTTAATGACCTATTTAGACTGCATAGCCGCACATAGCCGCCACATTTCTATCCCATAATTCAACGTTGTCTTGGCTTCGTTTGCTAAAAGATCGCCCCTAGTGCTGGATAGATCAGTTTTTAAAATAAGGCCGCACTAGTGACCATGACTGACCTCTCCATATAAACTAGAACCTTGGGGTGGATTCCACATTCAATCAACTCCGCACCCAAGGCTCCAGATCTAGTCTGTAACTGTTGGTATATATAACTTCCATCGTAGGCAGTCATTGCTTCCTTTCGGGCCAGAGCTTGGCGGTGTCGAGAACAAGCTGGTGGAGATACTTATCTGCTAAGGGCAGTGGTTGCCCATTCCAAGCCTTCAAGGTCTGCAGTTCGGCCTGGCTGACAAGGTCGATATTCTGCACCCGGGATCTTGGTCTAGCACTTGCAATCTGGCCCATCATATAGTGAACTTGATCCACCATCCGGACTACCTGGCTGTGCTTCTGACTTGCCCCAGTAGGATAGATAATTCCATTAGAGTCAACGAAAAGCATCAAACGTGGCCCATCAAATAGAATGTGGCTCTCTAAGACTTTGTTCACGATAACCACCGGGGTATAGGCGGTGCGAGACTGTCGGTCAGCGTACCAAAGCGAATGAAGAGCCAAATTTCGAAGAGTACCTTTATAGTATTTTTTGACATCCCAAAAAAGGTCAAGTAGCAAATGGGATCCTTGATAGAAGATAGTTACCTATTTACCGTCAAATTCATCGCTTGCGAATTCCAAGTTCAGTTCTATCTCAGTATATCTGGAGGGTACAAGGAGCATGGCTATCCAAGTTTGGAGAAAGTGATCCATGGTGAGTTTAGTGTTAAATCCATATAGGAGGGGAAAAGCACAAAGGATAAAGACTGAGAAAAGATGTCCTATTGATCCAACTAATCCAACTATGAATACTTTAGGTTGGCCAAGTTCAATTCAAAATCCCATTTCTGGCATCCTGCTCTTGTAGGTCAAACACAGCGTAATATTGCGCTTTATGCCGAGGTTAGCGTCATTATCCTCGATCAGGACTCATAATGAGTCTTCCATGAGTTTCGTGAGCGACAGTGGCGCAATAATGGCGCTATCAGGACTGGACTACCATTGCACTAGGCTTTTGAACACTAATTTTATGGCGATTTAAATTTGTCAGCTATCATAGATAGAAACGGTATGCTATCTCTATCGCAGCCAGTATATAGGGTATATAAGAGACTAAGGTGACGGATGCTAGAACATCATCGATGAGCGTCGCTAAGTATCTGGGCGTCTATGTCCCTAAATGTGGTTATATCCTTTCATTATTCTCCTCCCAGCCGATCATGCCTCACAATCTCTCGCAGCAGATTATTTTCTGCTTATAGTCCCTGGACTTGAGTTTGAAGGTCGCGCACCCCCATACGACTAGCTTTTAGACTAGCTTCAAGTTCCTTTTCCAGTTCGCGGTGTAGTTGTCGAAAGCGCGCCGAAGCTACTGAGTTTCGCTGTCGCTATATGGCTAATTCTCTATTTTGGGTAGCTTCATTTCTGTGTGACTGTCCTCCTATGGACCAAGAGGAAAGAGATCTAGCAATCTCGACAGTTTGGAAATGGTTGACTCCTGAATATCATGGAAGAGTGACTGAGGTAGAATCTATAATCCAGATTCACAAATGGTGTAGTCACCATGCGGGGTCTCCAGGCACCAAGATGAATGGCATTGTGGAGGTGGAGTTACCGAACGAGGCTCACCGCCAAATGAGGTGACTTTGAACAGGGGGAGAAAACAAACCGATTGGACTTAACTATCAGAAGGTGCATCCAAAAACCCTCTCTGGGTTTTTTTCGCTCTACTCCCTTAAACCAATTCCACTCTAGTCTTTCTTTTTCTTTCTTTCTCAACGTTCTAAAGTTCCTTGACCCGCCTTCCGTTTCCATCCCGTTCCCCTCTCCATTGAAAACCTACGACCATCATACCACCACACTGACCTCTTGCGGATCGGGAAATCGATATCGCATCGAAACTCATCGGGAAGTCCGTGCGTCAAAAGGGAGCACAAACATTCCTTGGAAGACCGATGTAACCGACTTTGCTTCTCCTTGCTCTTCCATCTATCTCCCCTCCCCCACCTAACCAGGGGTGCCTGGACGACCACAGCAACAATCCGACTATAGGCAGTATACGGTGCCAGAACAAACATACAGTACAACAACACGCTATTCTCCCGCACTAGATAACCAACTCCGGATTTCGGTCCAATCCCGCGTGGCACAAGGAACCAACTCCACGCGATCTCGGTACTTCTCTTCGACTTCGATCACGACCGTTTCACCTTGGTTTCATCTTACGCCATTCAATTCGCTATATTTTTACGTTATAATTCATTCTAGAACTTTTCTTCAAACCCTCTAAATGCGGCCCCAGTAAGTGATGGTTCCTCGAGCTTGCTCTTAGTCAATCAAAGCCGGCTGAAAACTGACATGTCGCTTGGTTCATAGACGGGAATATCATATTGTGGTTTTGGGTGCTGGAGGAGTTGGAAAGAGTTGTTTAACGGGTATGTATATGCTGGTCGAACCCCCTGTTTTGCTCTCTTGCATGAGTTTGTGCACCCATGTGTTCGGTAATAAGCTTATGGATCCACAGCCCAATTTGTCCAAAATGTCTGGATCGAAAGTTACGATCCAACAATTGAGGACTCATACCGCAAGCAGATTGAGGTTGATGTAAGTTAGCTTCGTTCATTGAAGACTCCCCGATGCTGACACATTGTTTATAGGGGAGGCAATGTATACTGGAGATGTAGGTGCCCCTGATATAGACATGGTTGTAATGAGGGTATCAAGAGAAACTAACTTAGACGTCTGTCTATAGTTTGGATACTGCAGGAACAGAACAGTTCAGTAAGTTGGATCCAGAATGAATCTTGTTTGCTTCCCTTGCTAACAGACCCACAGCGGCTATGAGGTAAATATCAACTCCCCTGTTGGCGCAATCGCAATTTGAAATTAAACCCGTGCTAATCTAACTTTTTCACACAGAGAGTTATATATGAAGCAAGGCCAAGGCTTCCTACTTGTCTTCTCCATTACTAGCATGTCATCATTGAACGAGCTTTCCGAACTCCGAGAACAAATTATCCGAATCAAGGATGACGAGAAGGTGCCCATTGTGATCGTCGGCAACAAATCAGATCTCGAGGATGACCGAGCTGTGCCTCGAGCTCGGGCCTTTGGACTATCACAGAACTGGGGTAACGCTCCTTACTATGAAACCTCTGCTCGCCGCCGCGCCAATGTCAACGAAGTTTTTGTTGATCTCTGCCGCCAAATCATTCGCAAGGACCAGCAGGAGCCAGGTTCTAGTGTCGATACCGCCCGCAACAAACGAGAAGGTCCCTCACGCGACAGAAAGAGAGAGAATAGGTCAACACGTCGCCGGGGCCCATGTGTCCTTCTGTAGATTGACTGTCACATTTTTTTATGATCTCGCCTTGGACTTGCCAGTACGAGTGCTATGCAAGTCACACATGGCTCTCTTACCCACATCTCGACGCGCCACATGATGTTTTTTACACCGCTTATATAAATCTGCGCTTTTTTTTTTTCTAGAACGAGGCGTCGCCGCCACTCTTCTCAAATATACCATCCATTCTTCAATAATGATGTGATACAATGTTGTTTCATACCTCGGTACTGAATACTAGGGGGTGTTTTCTTTGGACCTTGTTTAGGCTATTCCGAAAAGTTCGGTCTCCGAATACAAAAGTTATCGTGTTTTTAAATGCAAGGTGACTTCCGTCATGAACTGTTGATGTTTCGGTTCTCTAGGCGGAGAGTACATTTAAAACGTTTTTTTCTCTTCAAAAGTCATTTTTAAAGAGCTTTCATTACCTAGAGCTGGACGTACGTTATGGGTCATAAGTCTGTACACACGGGAATTAGCCCCATTCACCCCAAATATATATAATTACTTCAACCACCCATATCTACACCAATATTATAGCTATAGATCTATAGTATATATATATTTATATAGGCAAATGACAGGAGAACAAAATTTTATTCAATATTTAGTATAATATCCCCTAGAATTTCGTACAGTGGCTAATCTACGTGCATAGACCTAATTAGGCTATCAATTGTCGCCTGTGGAATGGCATCCCAAGCTTCGCAAATACAGGCCTTAAAGTAGGCCCAATCAGCTGTAGTTTGGCCCATTTCGACTAATTCGGGATGTAGCTTTCTTAATTTATACTTTAGAAGATACCAACATGGTTCGATCGGGCTCATATCAGGCGACCATGCAGGCCATTTTTCAAGACGAATCCTCCAACATCGAAACCACCTTCCTGCTTCCTTTGATGTATGAATTTTAGCATTATCCTGCTGAAATATATCATCATCCTCGTAGTGTGGTATAAGGCCCTTTTCTAGGGCTTTTATATAGGATTTACTAGTAAATCATTTACCTTTAGACCTAGAATCGCGCTCCATAACCACCAACTTTTAACGACCACCAATCCATATACACGCCCATACCATCTGCGAAATATCCTTCACATGGGCTTTAGAATTGACAAATTGACTCAAATGAGTCTCTGATTTCAACATCCAAGCCCACTGGATATCAGAATTTGATGTTCTTTGAGCCGAACATTCATCCGAGAAAATCCATTTCTTCTAATCCACATCCTGACGCCATCTTTGAGCGAATTCAAGTCGATTTTTCGCAAGACGAGGGCTAAGAGGGAGCTTATTCTTTCGACGTCGTTTAGGTAGGTGATAAGCCTTGAAAATTCTTGTAATGTTGATCGGGAGGGGTGAAAATCGGTATTTGCAGCAAGTCGTCTATAACTCCAGAATGGATATCGACGCGCCTTTAAATAAATCCAACGTCTAGCGGCTCCATTATAGATAGGGGACGTCCAATTCGAGGGCGAGATTCAAGCGTTTTGCTGGCTTCGTAGCGATCGCGAGTATTGTAGATTGTCTTGCGGGAGCAGCCATAAATAGCAGCAAGTTTAGAGGGCGATACACCATTCTCAAGGCTAGAGATAATTCCAGAACGCTGTTCAGTAGAAAGCTCTTGATTTCAACCACGGTTTCCACTAATTTATGTGCCAAACGGAGCCATAGTTAGTGAAATAAACGAATATGAAAAAGGCGGGTATATACTACGCGAAACAAAAAAACGCGCTAAAACGCGGGAGTGTGAACAGACTTTTGACCCATTATGTAGTTGGCATCAGGAATATAGATTGCTGCGTCTACCCGAGATAACTTGTTGAATATAAGCTACGAAAACAAGAGACGACGGAAATTCACAAGGAATGGATCAAACCTAATGTGTGCGTACCACTTCCAGTCAAAATTCAAAATCGCCTCAGCCATTAGACCGATTTTAACCGGTAACCTAGGTAAGGGAGAATGAAGGAAGGGTTTTGCTACCCGCGGCTTCCCCGCACCCGCACAATGCATAACCTTTAAATCGTCAATGTTTCAACCTCTTTTTATTGAGGCTGTTCCGCTACCTTTATAGTTACCTAGTTACCTATCCCCCCCTAAAACATCCATAATGACCTCCATCTCCCTTCAATTCATTCGCATATCCTCCCGCTCAATGCGGCGAAGTGCATTCCCCACATTCTCCCCAGCTTTCGCACGTCGGGTATCCACCAAGCACCCGGCAGGCTTTACGCCCCCGACAGAAGACGAGCTACTAGATCTTCGAGAGCGGGTGCAAGATTTTACAAGTAACCAAAATTTATCTCCGGTTGGCTTCGGTCTATGCTGATTAGTTCAGGACGAGAGATATCGGTCGAGGTTGCGGCGCAGACTGATGCGCAGAATGAGTTCCCGTCGAATATGTGGAAGAAACTTGGTGATGCTGGGTAAGAGTCCTCTATTTAGTATCAAGTCATAGTTACTTACTCATTCGATGACAATGATAGATTCCTTGGAGTTACGGCTGACGAAGAATATGGTGGGTTGGGAATGGGCTATCAGGCGCATTGCGTTGTTATGGAGGAGATCAGTCGGGCATCAGGTACTTATTGCTCGATAATGGTAATTAAGAGTCATTCTAACCGCTTGTATCCAGGAAGTATCGGTCTTTCCTACGCCGCTCATTCTCAGCTATGCGTCAATCAGCTCTCTTTGAATGGCTCAACGGAACAGAAAGAGAAATTTCTACCAGAACTCCTATCAGGAGACAAGATAGGTGCCCTGGCCATGTCAGAGCATTCTGCTGGCTCTGATGTAGTCAGTATGAAGACGACAGCAAAGGAAGTAGATGGTGGCTGGGTGTTGAACGGAACTAAGATGTGGATCACGAATGTAGGAGCCCGATCATCCAACTGACAGTCAGACACGACAAGCACATACTAAAATTGATCTTTTTTCTAGGGCCCGGACGCACATTATGTTATCGTTTATGCGAAGACAGAGCCTGAGAAGGGCTCCAAGGGTATCACGGCTTTCATAGTTGACACTTCATCTGAAGGCTTCTCCTGTGCCCAGAAACTGGACAAGCTTGGAATGCGCGGCTCAAATACAGGCGAGCTTGTCTTTGAGGATGTATTCGTGCCACGAGCCAATGTTCTTGGAGAGATCAATCGTGGAGTCAAAGTTCTGATGGAAGGGCTTGATCTGGAAAGGCTCGTGCTAAGTGCTGGACCCTTGGGGTAGGTCATAAATTTTTTAAATTCTAGGCTGCATTGACTGACATCTCTCAGACTTATGCAGTCTGCCCTTGATCTGGTTCTACCCTATACGCATACCCGGAAGCAGTTCGGTATGCCCATTGCACATAACCAGCTGATTCAGGGCAAGCTTGCGGACATGTATACCAAGCTCGCTGCTTCTCAGGCATACACCTATGCCACAGCGCGGAAGGTTGATAATGGTGCTGCATCCTCGGATCCACTGGTCATTCGAACTCAGGACTGTGCTGGAGCGATCCTCTATGCTGCCGAACGCGCAACGGAGTGTGCACTAGATGCTATCCAGTTGATGGGCGGTAATGGATACATTAACGAGATAACTGCTGGGCGCCTCCTTCGAGATGCGAAACTATATGAGATTGGAGCTGGGACAAGTGAGATTCGGCGGATGGTAATTGGTCGGGCTTTCAATAAGGAGTTTGCGCAGTAAGAGCAGATTTTATTAGAGATCTTTTTGTTTATGTCAAATGATAGAGCCATTTTTAACAAATTTTATCTTCATACGGTTCATTATGGATCATTGAGTATTGGATTCCCAGCATCGCTACCAGCCTTGAGTATCAAGTAAAATAATGGAAGCAGGTATTGTGAGCACTGTAGTCACAAATCATCGCTTAATAAGTGGTGCCAAGCTCTTGCTGCTCAGCGCACAAACTTGTATGGACTCCTTAGGCATTTTCGTGTAATGAGTGCTATGCTGAGTCGTAGTCCTACTTTTTCTGTCTGGTGGACCTGCGCACTGGGCCAGTAGAAGCACTTGAGGTACCGCCACTCTTATTTTCCTGAGCAACTCGTTTAGGCCGCGCTCGCGCTGTGCCGCCCGAATTCTCCTTATCCAACTCCGTCACAGGGATGTCGGCCTTGCGCTTTCGGCCCCGTTTCACCGGCGTAGTCACGATCGAATTCAGCGTTAGCTTCGGCTCCGGCTCCGGCGACTGTGCCGCCTCCGGTGTTGTGTTGGATATATCTCCACTGGCAGTTGTGTGGTCCACAGATACAACATCAGACATCTCATCTGAGCTGTCAAGTGACTGCTCATCGTCACAGAGGATTTCGTCTTCGACAGAGGGAACCGACTCGCGCGTAGGTTTCTTCCGCAGACGAGACTTGTCCAGTGAGGGTTGGACCGACTTGAATATCTCACGCCAGTTTTCCAGCAATGCTACTTTGGCTCCGTTTCCTGGCTCGTAGATCTGCACAGAGACGTCCTGGTCTCTCTCGTGGCTGGGTGTCTTCCAAATCACGCCTTGGAAGGATGTAACATCTGGCTCGCATGTTGACTGCGGTAGCACGCCGCGGTTCTTCTCTGGGTTTCCCCGGGTCTTCGTGCCCTTTGCTCTTGCGCGAACGGTTCTCGGCTTCACACTAGGGTCGTCGTCGTAGTAGTCGTCCGAATAGTAGTCCCAGTCACTGTAGTAATCCTCTACTTCAATGGCTGGGTCTTCGTAAAGTCCAGCTTCGTAGTATCCATTCGCGGCGAGTTCATCCTGCACAAATTTCAGTTTGTCAGTTTTTGTTCAGATCCCTGTCACCCTGGGAAATTCTTTGCATGGTAACTAACAACAAGGTCGGGAACAAGATCTTCGAAGAGGTATTCTTCCTCCCATTCGTAATAGTCCTCATCGTCGGACATGACTGACGAGTGACAATTGGCAGGGCTTGGCGTGGAACGGTGGCAGGAATATGACAGAGAGGTTACGGAAATTAGAGGTGAAAGATAAAGGTTTGAATGGCAATCAAAAGAGTACACGGAAACACGCTTGTATAATGAGGATTGAAACAAAAGAGGTATATGAGGTCGAGGGGTGCAGAGGAAGATGAACGCAAAGGTCCGGATGATCTTTTGCTGGATAACATAAGCCTTGGCATTTTTGATCTCCACATTTCATTTTCTTGACCCTAACCCCCAAATCATAATGTTTCAGCCCTCTGAATAGTAAAGCTGTCCTACCCCATAATCAGATGATAATTGAAACAAATGGGGTGACAGCAGTCAAAATATCTCGGCTATGTCAACATTGCTCTGGGATCTTGAAACTCCAATCCTGCTCATCTATGGACTCCGCATAGCTTTCTCTCCTAGTATCCCGAGATCTTTTGTCTGACCATATTGTCGGTGGTGACATGGTCTGTTCCAGTAGTAAACTATATACCAATCCAAAAATAGAAGCCTATCTCTAATAATGGGCCAAATAAAAGCGATTCTTCGTAAAGGGAAGCCATTGCAAACCCTCATACAGTGGGTGCCCGACGACTAGCTCGTCGGTATGGGACCTAGAAATTGCATAATCTCAGATCCTGGGCCATTCCAAGGGAGGCTAGAACAACTGATTGTCTCGTTATATGCAAGTATGTCAATCTGTCCAATCGAAGCGAGCCCGTGGGATGATAATGCAGCAACACATATTGCATAAAATCAATGCAGCTCAATCACGGCGGAGGGCTACAGCCTACCCCCGCCTTAAATAGCCCCGTACTCCCCGAGTTTTTTAGAATTATACGTAGGCCCCAAACCCCTTTATCAACCTTCTAATAGTTCTATGCCCCTAGACCTCTTCTATATGACGACTCTCATCTCAAACGCACGTATTTCCGATGGTGTCTCCGTCGTATCCGAACGTGGCCATGTACTGTTAGAATCTGGCCGGATCTCGCAGATCCCACCTAGACACTTGAAAATCCCCTGCGCTCATCTTCAGACTGCACTGTAGTCGATGCAGTGATACCCGGCTTGATTGATGCCCATATGCATGTTTTCCGGGATGTTTCGCTCCTCGAAACATTCATCGAATATGATATGATTACTTTATTCTTAATGAACTGGAGCGGTTCATAGATATCAAAACCATGATACAGCAAGGAAACGATATTGCTGATGTCAAATCTGCCTGTCATGCTGCAACTATTTCGAGTGCTTGGCCTGCGGCTATTGTCAGGCCAATGTCTCAAAATCCGACTATATGTATACCCTAACATCGATCAATCTTCTGGCATGGAAGCTCTAAGGTTAATGTTGATATTTACTAGATCGAAGTCAGAATTTCAGAGTTACCTAATGCCGTTGATAAAGATTCGGTAGTAGAATTGGCCAGAATCGTGCTGCAAGGGCGAGATAGGAGAAAGGGGCATTAGAAACTCAGCAAAATAACAAACTCTACCTATTTGATTTACATGCTAACTCAGTAAGAGTTGCATCAATTTAATGCAGGGAAATATGGCTATGCTCTTAATCTTCCTTTCCAATCCCTACACTTGAGATGCAGAAGCCGGTCGTGGAATTAGCACACACAGCCATAACATGCTTGCTGTGGCGCATCAACTCACAAATCACTCAACTTTTCAAGTGCTCAAAGCGGGAGTAAACAGGCTGGAAGATGTATCAATCAACCTGACTAGAGCTCGGCACGAATATGCGAATATTCGCGAATAAAACAAGCGCGAATAATTTGATTATTCGCACCTTTATACACTATTCCTAATTAGGATTAGAAGTTGTCAGCTGATTATTCTCAGATATATATTTCTTAATATAGTTATATATTCAGATACTAAGGTTCACAACTAAGAAATATTCAATTTCTAGCATTCAAGTAGTTTCTCACTATTCTTAAATATATAAGACTTAGACTGATCATCAGATTCATGATACTTGACTTGATAGACATTGCGAAGGAGCACAATCTTTCGCATAGTCTCTCCTGCCATAGAGTGTCGGCGAACACCAAGTAGGTCTCTGATACTACTAAATAGTCTCTCTACTGATACTTCTGCTGCCATTCTTGGGTATTCACCTTTATGGGCATTCCACCATAAAAATAGCCAATCCTTTTGACTAGTCATGGTAGGATCAATCTGGATAGGTGCTTCATCAAAATACCGATCAATGTCTGAAAATTTAGGTTAAGGAACTTGTAGTTTTTTTAAAACACGAGCCTCAAGACCTAGTAGGTGTGAAGGGCTAAAGCTAATCTTAGATTCAGAACTAGCTAGGCACATGCTGTTTACAAAATCCTTGAAGAACGTAAACAATTCGGGATGGTATCGTGAGGTATGCGGTTGGTGGGTCACGTGGTACAACCACGTGATAGTTCACCAGGATTCAACCTGTTATCTGTGTCATGTGCACACCCGACTCGTTTTTTACGAGTCGGGTGTGCTTCACCGGTTCTGCCAATTTTTTTTTTTTTCACCGGTTCTTCCAATTCCACATTCCATTCTATTTTACCCAATATCTCCCACCCACCATGCCTAAAACCTTTGAATCGACTAAGGCCCATCTCTCTAAGGCCTTTGATGCGCCAAACGCGAAAAAAACCCAAATATCTCTAAGATTGCGCGCGAATTTGGTGTCAATCGACGTACTCTCCATAACCGCGTTAAAACCAATGCGACCGCGAAAACTCAACAAAAACCAGTCAATAAGGTTTTTACCGATATCCAGGAGGAGATTTTAGTACGCTAAATTACCCAGCTAACTGATTGGCGTATGCCACCAACACCAAAACAGGTTGAGATGTGGGCAAATCGCCTACTTCAAGATTCTAGTTCTGAAGATACTAAGGATACTAGAACTGTTGGGCCAAATTGGGTATATCGCTTTACTAAGCGTCTTCCTAAAGGTCTAAAACTAGGTCCTTAGAAGCAGAAAGTCAAGGATTCTAAGCGAATGATGGCTAAAAATCCAGCTAAGATAGGTCATTGGTATGATCTGCTTCGTGGTATGCCTTCGCGGTTAATCTATAACTTTGATGAGTGTGGTTTTCAACCTAGTGAGGTGTCATAGGTTAAGAACACCTGACAAATGATGTTTAGTGTAGGATCAAGAGTGGCACTATACAAGTAGAGCCTAAGTATGATTTCGTGAGAGCGAAATCATTATAGTCTTTTAGCTCAGTAGAATGGACGTGAACATAGGCACGATCCCATAACAATATGGTTTATAGGTCCTCTTCGTCAACACAATGATGAACGCACACCATCTCTACCACTCTCTTCCTCTAGTATTGAATATACTCCGCCAAAAACCTTAGTACGACTTCAGATGAACCAAGAGAAGATTATCAAGCATATTGATATAGACCTCCTCAAACTAAGGGTTTAAAGGGGTCTTAAATATCTTACTCGCCATTCCCAATTGATCCAAGAAGAGTATCGAAATCTTAAGATTACGGTTGAGAATATTAGGGTTGCGCAAGAACCAATTCGGCGCTCTAAAACCAAACGACAGCTTAACCAACCACCCCTCCAGCAGACTGGTGTATTAAACCTACACCATATAAAACGCTTTGTGAAAATCAGGAAAACCAAGGAGGAGTTACAACTAGAAAAAAAATTACAAAACAGGCCCAAGAAGCTCTCTAAAAGCTCAAAAACAGGCCGAGGAGCAGGTTCAAGAGCAGGTTCAGGAGCAGGTTCAGGAGCAGATTCAGGAGACAATTCAGGGGGAAATGGCCAAATATTGGAGGCGATGGAAAGGGATATACTATATTTTAAACAGATGCAGCAGAATTGTATTTAAAGCAGAATTGATAGAGAGAGAGTAAAATAATATTTTAAATTGGCAGAACCGGTGAAATTGGCAGAACCGGTGAAGCACACCCGACTCGTAAAAAACGAGTCGGGTGTGCACATGACACAGATACAGTAAGAGAAAAAGTACTATCATAGGATAAAAATAAATATACTCAACTAACTAGTACAAATGTATACTAGTATAACTGGGCGGTGGCAGAAAACTGCGAATATTCGCGAATATTCGCATCAACTGTAAGTGCGAATACGAATAATGGCTAGTGGTCGCGACTGCGAATACGAATAACCTGAAATGAGTGCGAATATTATTCGTGCCGAGCTCTAAACCTGACTAATCCAGAAATCATCGCAGCGTTCAAAACAACGCCTTCCTCATCCTGGAATTAGCCGTACATGCGTCATGCAAAGGCAAAGAACAAGAGTCCCACCAATGTCTCACTGGTGGCTTGAGTGATGCCGAGAAATTTGAAGAACATCCCGAAGTCTGTTCTATATAACTAAAATATCTTCTTTGCCATGAGATACTCCGCTCATTGATCTAATACTCATTATTTTTGTATCTCCAGAGTGGTGTAGAATCAAAACCCAAGGCGGTAAACATTCTGCCAACTTCCCCGCATCTCGGCTTAGATCGGCTCAACTTATCCGAGGTATCGTATCTTCCCCAGCTTTTTAACATTTTTCGTAAACCTCCTGAACTTGACTTGACGAAATATTCAATTTATTAGAAGGTAGGAGACTGGAACAATCCCCCAAGGCTTTGACCAGAGTCCAGCTAGCAGCAAAATTAATAGCTCATAGATCAAAGCTACTGGACGTCATGACTCTCTCCTCTCTTCTCCGCATTACACCCCGCTTGGCCCCAGCGGCCGCCCGCAGGTCAACTAGGGCGCTATCAGTATCGAGTGGTGCGCCACCAACTCGAACTTCGTTGGATTCAATTCTTATTGCGAATAGAGGAGAAATTGCTTTGTAAGAATCAAGTCCAAAGAACGATTTCCTACGGCCCACATGGAGATTGAACTAATTTGCTGCTAGGCGAGTCGGCCAAACTGCTGCAGAACATGGCATCCGCGTAACCACTCTTTATACAGATCCAGATAGTCGGTCACAGCATGCTCTGAGCTCTCCTTTTGCCTTCAATCTGGGCTCCGTGTCTGCGTATCTAGATGGTGATCGTATTATTGAAATTGCGAAGAAGGAGGGGTGTCAAGGAATACACCCTGGCTATGGATTTGTGAGTCATTCTTATGAATATTTCTGCAGAGTACTCAGAAAGAATGTCTATATACCTTACTAACCTATCTGCCCCAGTTGAGTGAGAACTCTGCTTTCGCCCGGAAATGTACTGAGGCTGGCTTGGTTTTCATTGGACCGCCATGGAAGGCAATAGAAGACATGGGTGACAAGAGGTATCTATGAACTTACATGGGGAAGCCTCAAGAACCGCGCTAATTTGCTCGCGCAGCCGGTCTAAGGAGATCATGATTGCTGCAGGTGTACCCTGTGTCCCTGGCTATCATGGGCAAAATCAAGACCCACATTTCCTCGAAGATGAAGCCGACAAGATTACATATCCAGTTCTCATCAAGGCTATCAAAGGCGGAGGTGGTAAGGGTATGCGTATCGCTACAACCAAAGCAGAATTCCAAGCACAATTGGAATCAGCGAAATCTGAAGCCTTGAACTCCTTTGGAGACGACCATGTGCTGGTGGAGAAATACATCACAACACCTCGACATATCGAAGTACAGGTGTTCGCTGACAAGTATGGTAACAGTGTAGCACTCGGTGAGCGAGACTGCAGCATTCAACGAAGACATCAGAAGATCCTTGAAGAGTCACCGGCGCCGCATCTCCCAGATGCGACTAGAAAGGACATTTGGGCCAAGGCCAGATCTGCTGCTTTAGCAGTAGGATATGAGGGCGCGGGTACAGTTGAGTTCATTTTCGACAACGACACTGGAAAGTTTTACTTTATGGAGATGAACACTCGGCTTCAGGTCGAGCATCCAGTCACTGAAATGGTCACCGGCCAGGACCTTGTTCACTGGCAGATCATGGTCTCAGAGGGGGCCCCGCTACCTCTGACACAGGAGGAGGTAGAGGAAAAAATAGCCCGAAATGGCCACGCAATCGAGGCTCGCATCTACGCGGAGAACCCCGATCAGGGATTCATTCCTGACTCAGGGCGTTTGCTCCATGTGCGTACACCAAAAACTTCAGATGACATCCGAATCGATGCTGGGTTTGTAGAGGGAGATGATGTCTCTGCGCATTATGACCCAATGATCTCCAAGCTGATTGTTCGCGGTGAAACCCGCGAAGAGGCGATTCTTAAACTCGGTGCTGCGTTGGAACAGTATGAGGTGGCCGGTCCGGTTACCAACATTGAGTTTATCAAGAAACTTTGCCGAAGTCCTGATTTCATTGCAGGGGCTGTTGAGACGGGATACATTGAAAAGCATCGCGAGGAGCTATTTAGCTCAAAAGCTATTGACGATGAACTGTTTGCTCAAGTTGCGCTAGCTTGTCTTCATCGCGATATGCACGCCGCCTCTGGGGCATCTCATACCCTTATCGGATCAGAGATCGGGTTTGCCCCGAGTTACCAGCAGCGACAGTTTTCATTTACTGAGTCTACTGGTCCTGCTGACGATGGGCCCATATTCACAGTCCGAGTTCAGCAGATAGCTGATAAATTTTACAGGATTGAAGTGGGAGAGAGGGTATTTGAGTCGGTTGAGAGTCAGATAGACTCGGACACAAACGTTGTGACCTCCTTTTTCCCTCATACCCGTCTTGATACCACAGTTGTGCAGGATGAGGATACTATCATCGCATTCCAGCAGGGCATACAGTATCGACTAAAGGTTCCACGAGCGAAGTGGATGGAGAAGGCACTTGGAATGAAAGATATTGCCAATAGCGTCTTGGCGCCAATGCCCTGCAAGGTGTTACGGGTGGAAGTACAGGCTGGCGACGAGGTGGAAAAAGACCAGCCGCTGGTGGTGATTGAAAGCATGAAGATGGAAACGGTGATTCGAAGCCCACACCGAGGAATAATTGCACGTGTCGTGCATCAGAAAGGAGTAAGTGAAACACCACTCATGAGGCCTATCTCTAAATTCACTGGGAACCTTCGAGCACTAACTGCTTGTGACTGGCAGGATCAATGTAAAAGCGGCACTCCTTTGGTCGAATTCGCCGAAGAAGAGTAGATCCCTCGGTCCCTCATAACGTATGCGGACTTCACTTCGGATGGCAGCGGGTATCAAACGGACCACTTGAATTTTTCTGAATAACAGCATTTGTACTTTCAATCAAATATTTACCTAGGCACATTATCACTAGTTCTCATATTGAAAGATATCGTAGGTACTGAAGCGGCCCCATGGACAGTCTGGAATAGGGATAATAGCCTTGACAGTATCCTTCATGGCTTTAACTAAACGCCGATATTTGCAATTGATTCAAATTTCTAGCTCTGGAGATCGCTTAATTAATAATACACTTAAAGCAAATTAGTTTTGTCCATAGGCTCGGCAGGAGTCATTTGAAGGAAGCATCCTCGGCCGAGGTCTCGGTTGAAGCCTCTATATAGAGCACATCACTCCCCAGCATGGTTTTTCCACGCAACAGCAAAGATTTCGACAATTGTACTCATTTTCAACATAGAGCAGCAGTTTCTTATTTATCATATTATCCTTTAGTCTGTTCCATCATTCGAAAAAAATGGTCAAGATTGCAGTTGCTGGGGGCTCCGGCAGTGAGTTCAGGTCTCCCTTTTGACCTTTGCAGGCTTTACTGATCCAAATAGATATTGGACAGGGGATTGTCGATGCGCTTATTGCTTCTCAAAATCATGAAGTCGTCATTCTATCTAGAAAGGTTCCTACAGTCCACTTTCATTATCGTTTCGATCAATCTTAATTTACTAACGAACTATAGGATGCGCCGACTGAAACCGTCCAGGGGTTGAATTAGGCAAAGGTCGACTATGGGGATACAAAGTCTTTGGTGAAAGCTCTTCAGGGAGTGCATACTGTGCTCAGTTTTCTCTCCGCACAGGGAGAAACCGCCCAGACGAACCTCATTGATGCCGCAGTTGAAGCTGGCGTAAATCGTTTTGCACCGAGCGAATGGGCAGGGTGTGCTTTTAATAAAGATTCCATTCATGGATATTCAGTTATTAATTAAGCTCTCACAGATCCGGAATTCCCGAATCCATGCCCTGGTATGCTTACAAGGGAAGAACCCGTCAATATCTGGAAGAGCTGAACAAGGAAAAAACGGTTTGTTGCAGTCAATTCAATATCTAGAATTCTGGCCTAGCTGACATGAGCAGGTCCTTGAGTACACGCTCTTCCAGCCAGGCTTCCTCATGAACTACTTAACCCGACCATACAAGTCGTCCAAACACGTTCACCAGCTCGATATTCACTGGGATCTAGAGAAGCGCCGAGTTCTCATGATGGAGGAAGGCGATAATGACCGTATAACTCTAACCACCGTGCAAGATATCGCGAATGTTGTCACCAGAGCTATTGATTACGAGGGTAAGTGGCCAACTGTGGGTGGTATGAAGGGCACCGACATGACTATGAGAGAGCTCCTCGCCCTCGCCGAGGAAGTTCGCGGTATGTTCTGGTTCTCAGATGAATTCATTCTCATTATACTAATGATTTGTGAAGGTGCGCCCTTTGCTGTAGAGAGGCTGAAAGCAAAAGAGCTTGAAACAGGGGACTGGAAGAGCTCATGGGTACCGAAAATGGATCACCCGTCAGTTCCGGTAGAGCAACAGGAGATTTTTGCACGATTTGGAGTGGCCGGTGTCCTTCGGGGATTTAGGGAAAACAGTTTTCATTCTTCTGATGAGTGGAATCGTTTACTTCCAGCCTATCATTTCACGGATGCCAAGCAGTTTTTGACTGAAGCCTGGAGTGGAAAGCCTTGAAAATTAGTTGACATACCACTTTGTGAGATTTTGTCGGATAAATTGAGTCGATTCGAAATATACATGTCTTAACATGCTTAGACTAGCCTTTCTGGTTATGGGATTCTCAACGGCGGTCTTACAAATAGCTCTTTAATACAATACTTTGTCTCATAAGTTAACTTGAAAAAAACTACAGTTGCTGATGAGTAACTAATCTCAGGGGATTAGTAATTGGAGGGACCCATTTCTCCGCCGAAACCCCGAAGTGTTAAAAGTCGCCTCAACGCCTTTTAAAATTGGATTTCCTTTATCGTACATGATTAATATCTGGTCATGGCTGACAGCAGAACTGTTACAGAAAATGAATCGATAGCTAAGCGAAGGAAGCTGCGCAAGGGTACGCAGAGTTGCTGGGAGTGCAAGCGGCGAAAGGTCCGCTGCGTCTTCACTTTGCCATCCAACATTATCTGCGACAACTGTCAGCGACGCAATACAACATGCATTGGACAGGAGCATCCAGATCAACCGCGTGTAAGTTCAATTCACGATCCAATCGAGGATCGACTTGGCCGAGTGGAGGACTTTATCCAGCAGCTGGCCAAGAATCTTGGCATGGTGCATGATGCCCACTCTAGGGCAGCAGAAGTGTCGAAAGTCGCCTTGCCTTCGTTTCAAGGGCAAGAAGCTCAAATTGCCCCGTCAATAGAACCACCAGAGCCAGCGAAACCTAATGTGAGCTTATACCCCGCATTAAGTACATATCCTCCTTTGTCCTAACATCATACTAGTCACCGTTCGATACAGTGACATCTAGTGACTCTTGGTTGAAGCCTTTCTCATCAATTTCAACCAGCTCTGAACACTATCACATACCAGCATCTGGCAAATATGTGGAACTGGTTCGCGAGCTCGTCACCGCCTGGCCCAGTCAGGCTGATATTGACATCATTTGTACTCTCCCAGTAGGCCTATCGGCGTATTTGAGCAGCGGAATTTTCCCGCACCATTCTGAGGCCAATAAGTTTTTCCCGTCATCCGCGAAAGATATACTCAATCTGCCCCCGCCAAATTCCCATCCAGTGCTGTTTGCACGCAAGCTCCTGATACTTGGCGCATTCTTACAAGGTGTACCTCCGAATTGTACCCAGAAATTGGGCACATTAGGTGCAAAATATCGAAATATCATGCTTAATGTAGTTGAAAAAGCAACGAGACTCGTCACAACGAACGAAGAGCTTGTGGGCTCCGTTGAGGGCATTGAGTGCATTTTAATCGAGGCTCTCTACCACAATTATGCAGGAAACTTAAATAAAGCTTGGATGGCAATTCACCGGGCAATTAATGTTGCTCAAATGATGGCATTACATCGCGACTACAATCTGCCATCACTGGAAAGCTTCGGCCACGAAACGCGGATATCCTTTGACGAATTATGTTTTTATTTGGCTAGGATGGATTGGTACCTTTCTCTTATGCTGGATCTGCCTCAGAGTTCTCTTGAAACTCAATTTACCACGCCAGAGGCATTAGCAAGGTGCCAACCCATAGATCGCGTACAGCGCATTCATTGCATTGTTGCAAGGCGTATACTGCAACGTACTGAGGCGGACCTCAAGGACTTGGCCAATGTCTCTGAAATCGACAAGCTATTGCAGAGAGTCGCCGAAGAAGTGCCACCTCAGTGGTGGATTGTTCCAAATTTTGTTTCTCACAATGGCGACATCACCGAGCTCATCAGTGACATGCTTCGCGTGATGGACCAATTCGCACACCATCAATTAGTGATACGGCTGCACCTCCCATACCTACTGAATCCTTCGTCTGACTCTAGATACAATCAGAGCAAAATTGTAGCGGTTCAGGCCAGCCGTGAGATACTGTCCATTTATGTGGCCTTCCGCAACTCAAACCCCCTACTGACCGTATAGCCATCAAGCTGAGCCGGTTGATTCGTCATCTGCTCACTATTGAGTCCAATGCTACCAAAGGCATCGAATACAACACTCACCTATCCAAAGATGAAAAGGACTGTTTGGTCCAACTGAAGATGAGAATGCGTTCCAGGTTTCTATTCCATACTTGGGCATTATCAATTTTGAGCGTGGGTCTATAACAAAGCCTGCTTTAGCTTCATCTTTACATTCTGAATCAAGGGTCCCAATTGCACTGGGCCCGGAGGATAGCCATCAGCTACATAGCTCAGAATTCTCACGGTCTGAAGTCTCTGATTTCCCGTTGATGGAGTTATCAGCTTTGGGTAACAATGTAGCTATGGAAGACGACTATGGCTGGGATTTACAGGGAGTGGATCTAGCTCTCTTTAACGGCATCTTTCACGGAATTGAAATTCCAGGCGCCGAGGATGGGGAGAATTGGGGAGCCTGGAAAAATTAACAAAGGACATTGATCTATCGACACCTGTGCTTGAATTTTCACCAGAAAGGACGGAAGAGCTTTGGGGAAACATACCTCGACAACTCACCTCATCTCCGGCATTTGTGTGGGCATATTTCCCATCAATCCAACCAGTCCAGTCCCAGTCAATCCAATTATACTCTTCCTCGAGTGATTTGAACATCTTATATCTTTTTTCCGCCTGCGGAGCGGCGGAATATATTAACCGAGTAGCCAATTCAATCGAGTCCGAAGGGAGGCAGGCAGAATATCGTCTCTGTAAAGACCAAATATAGTATCCCCAAGATCCACGATAACAATGTTCTTACCACCTCTGATAATAATGCTCCTTAGGGAAAAACTCCAAGAACAATATATTCTCTGACCCAAAAACATCACTAAATCTTAATTATTGACTCCATAAATTGCTGTCGAGTCTGTTGGGAAAAGTCTGCTGAATTGGCTTGCTCCATTGGGTCAAGGATCTGTCTTCTTTTACTAGTCCTAGGGATACTACCGACTATTTCTCTTTCTGTTAAAGACAGCGACGAGATATCCTGCTCTATCGAGTCATCGAATGTACCTGATAATACCGATACTACTACTGCAACGATCACTGAACCGTCTGAAGAGGAGGGGCTATCAATTGGGCTTTCCTGAGACTCTGGAGATCCCCAAAGGCGATGATTAACCTATGATGAGTCGTTTATTCGAGTACATAGTTCGAGCTCTTTGTGCCAAATATGCATATTTACGCCAATTAGGCTGTCAGGCTCTATTTCCAATTTTAAATTCGTAGCAAATGGCACACTATCCATGGATGCCTTTAGATGGTAAATTATTCCCAACATAAGGGCACAACTCTCACACGGACGAAGCGTTTGGAAATTGTCATTTATCAATATGCTTCTATACGTAGGTACATTATGTATTTAAAATAAGTACAAGATTATTGGAAAAAGCAGCGTGAAGATCGAAAGTTCTCAACTTCCAAGTTCAAGTCTTGAAATCTCCATGACTCACAGAAGAACTAGAGTCATAAGAAGGGTGGCCAAAGCTGCAGTCGTAGAAGACATCGCAAGCCTGATAGCGGATGCTGAACCAGTATATAGAGGTCCCACGGAGCTGGTAGTGGATGTCTTCCTAGTAGAACTTGAGCTGGCAAGCACTGAACTGGCAAGAGTCGAGCTTTTCAGGCCGTAAGAACTATGGATAGGCTGGACTGTAGCAGTATAGATCATATTGACAGAGTTCACAAGGTTGGACTGAGATGCGAAATCCGCGTCAACCCCAGCTTGAGCTGCTGAAGACGATGCACTACTAGGCAAAGTGGCCGTGATAGTAATTCCTGATGTCGAATTAACTCCACCAATAGCTTTGGTCTCACTTGCAGATGCCTTCAGTCCTGGAATCGTTTGAATGGCTTCAGAGCCTGCTGTGGCAGTAGCTAGTGCTGCAGTCACAGGGCAAACTGTAGTCGAGAGGACTATAGTCTCAGTGGTGACATAGGTAGTTTTGGCTGAAGCTGGGCAATTGGTTATAGTCGAAGGGCAAGCAGTTATAGTAGAAGTGCGAGTAGTGAAAACCGTGGAAATTGTGTATTCTTCAGAGCCAGGGGTTGCTCCTGAAAGAGAGGAGGAGGCGGATCCAGTCACGATAGTCTCGGTACCCTTCCCCACACTGGGGCTAGCCGTTATCGTAGGAATTCCTACAGCAGTGATAGTAGAGACTAAGACAATCTCTGTGGTGGTGTAGGTTGTCTTTGCTGATGCTGGGCAATTTGTGACGGTAGTAGGACAGGCTGTTATAGTTGAAGTGCGTGTGCTAAAAACTGTGGAGCTTGGAAATTCTTCGCCGACGGAGCTGCCACTGAGAAGTGATGCTGAGGTAGTGGTGGCAGCTGACTCCGTTATAGGGCAGACGGTAGTCGAGAGTACAATGGTCTCAGTGGTGATAAATGTTGTCTTCTGAGAGGCAGGACAGTCCTTAAAAGATGATGGACAGGCTTTCACAGTGGCAGTACGAGTGGTGAGAACGGTTGATGTGGTAAACTGAAGAGCTGATGATCCGGATCCAGGCGTTTGAGTGATAGTAGGGATAGCCGTCAAGCTACCAGAGCCAGAGCCAGAGCCAGAGCCAGAGCCAGAGTTAGAGCCGGGCTGAACTGAAGCCGAGGGGCTGATCGAAGCAGAGCCGGAAGGGATATGAACAATTGTGCTTGCGCTCTGCGAGGAAATGATAGGAGAAGTAACAGGAATGAATGAGATAGTCAAAGAATTTGACTTAGAGCCGGAGGCATCAGAACCTCCAGAAGGAATCGATGATTGGGTTAATATCGAAGTGGCAGACATAGAATCCAAAGCCGAGCTTGGTGAAATCAGAGGTACTGAAGGACTAGTAGAGGTGAGTACCGAAGAAGAAATTGGCCTTCCGGATATAACCGAAGATTTGACTGGCAGCGAGTCAGTGACAGATGGTGAAACATCAGTCGAGCTTGATATCACAGCTGAAGAACCGATACCAGTGACTATTGCCGAGGAGGCCAATGTCGCGCTTGACGAGATCACATTTGCTGAAGAAATAATAGAACTGAGTGGCACCGAAGAAGAGATTGGTCTTCTAGATATGATCGAGGATCTCACTGGCGGTGTAGCAGGAGCTGAGCTTGAAATCATAGGTACTGAAGAGGAAATTGGCCGTCTGGATATAATTGAAGATCTCACTGTAGGCGAAAGAGTGGCAGATGAGGAATCCAGAGGTGAACTTAACGAACGATCAGGTACTGATATGGTTGCTGAAGAAGGACCGGCAGATTTTATCGGAGATGAAGACACGGCACTGGAGGCTGCAGCTGAAGAAGCAACAGTAATAGAGGATGAGATCGACGGTCTGATGAACGTGACAGACGGAGTGACAGGGCTCGATGGAGGCGATGAGGATGCAGACCTGATCGGAGACAAGGAGGAAGAGCTGGAAACTGGGACCGAAGAAACTATAGAGGCTGGGGTTGAAGGCAGCACAGATGGCGTGACAGAGGGAGTGGTAGACGGCGTGACTGACGGTATGATTGACGGTGTGGCAGACGGGGTTAGAGTCACTGTACTAGTAGTGCAGGAAGTAGTTGGAATCCCGTTATCAAGGTGGAAATTGCCTATGTCGACAACGTAGTTGAACGAGGGACCTGTACATATCATAGAGATTGTGACAAGATGCCCTGCAGAATTTTGAGGCGGTGTAAAAGAGGCCGAAATGGTAGTCCATGTACTGAGTGATGCAGAAAATTGCTGGGAATAAAAGGGTGAGGAGGTCCCCGGGGCCAAGTTATCCAGATACAACTTTACAGAGCAGCTCTGTGCAGTATCACTTTCCGCACGCCAGTCCATTGAGAAAGTATAGGTGTCTCCGCCGACATACTCTCTGCTGCCTTGAAACATCGCAATCCCGCCTTGGTAAGATTGTGGTGTTACTTTCCTAATCGTAAAGTTAGCTCCGAGGCCCTGAAGATAGCCTTCTATGGTTTCTTCAGGAATATCTACCCATACAAAGGAATCTTGAGCAGGATGATATGCGGAATGAAACCACCTATCCAAAATAGTAACTTACATATAAGTGGTACCGTCGGCATTATTGACAATAGATCCAAATCCCTGTAACATTTGGAAGATATCGATTAGGGCTCCATCGGCCAGGTTGGTCGGGGCTGCGGTTGTACAGGACACGATAGTCGAGACAGCCGAGGTAGTCGTAGCAGATGATAAAGAACTGGTGGCTAAAGCAGCTACAGGTAGTGTCGCTGCCAGAATCCGTGCAAAATCCTGCGAGAAACGCATGACGAAAAGAATGGAAGGGTTTCCCAGCTAAACGAGCGACTGCGGAGAAACTCAAGAGTAAAACGAAAGGCTGCTCGATAGAAGAATGAAGTTGAGGGTCATCAAGCGATAAAATTGACTAGACTATAATGTCAATCGATCGTCGGGTATTTGGACTTCCATTGTAGTTTGTTTATACTTCGACCCGTGGACGGAGATCTCCGGTTCAGGTACAGAATACCGATCCAATTAAGATCTAGATTCCGCCATCAATATTCTTGAAACCCTGGTTCAATTTCTTTCGCTTAAGCACTTAGCTTCCTTGAAGCAACACATAGTCCGCAAACAGTTTGCACCAGGCCCGAACCTTGGAGATTGATTGGCTGGGCCTATAATTTAGTCCATAAAAAGTTTAGTAACCCCTATTACTCCTACTCAGTATCTACTATATTTATTTACAGGGTCGGTCGTTCAAATTCAATTATGGAGTACTTCTTAAAGTCCTTAAAAGGACAAACTTACAAGGACAAAGACAAAACGAGGGGAATCAGAGTAGTAAGGATTGGAAAATGGCTAGTATAGAAAGTTCCAGCATACGGAGTATTATTTAGATCTCGGAAGTTCTAGCCGACCAAAGCTTAAAATGAGACTACATTCCACAAACTACATAATAGTAGGTAAAGGTGAAAAACACTCCCAAGGTTGGTACTTAGGTAGCCTTGGAGCTCTAGAGGCCTCAATATTCATGAATGTTTCCAAGATTGGAGATCGAAAATGACATGCAACATAATATAGGTCTTACCGTCTTTCACCTAGGCAAGTCTATACTCATATACCTCAATTGAAACCTTCAGGGCTTGGTACTTAGGACTTTAGCACTGTCAGTTGACCTAGTTACTCCAAGGTTAACACTGAAGCAAATAGTAATCGGATCTGTGGTAGGTAGAGCAGTAGTGATAGTCATTTTGGTAAAGGCGTAAGAGGTGTGACTCCTAAATGCTAACACCAGCGTTCATGGAAGTTGTAGCAGCTGGTCGTGCCAAGATTGACTTTAGCCTGTCATAGCAGACCTCAGAACCTTTACATAAGCCCATAAGAGCTAAAGCACCCAAAATACAAGCCATACATATATCATTAAGACTTGGCACAATGCGCTTATTTGAATGTCCGTGATTATGATTCATCGGCACAGAAGCTACCGTATGGAAGAGAAAGAGCCCTGGAAATCATATACTCTGTATTTTAGCACGGGCGCTCTTTATGATAATAGTGAAAGGAGAAGTGATAGACCATAATAAAAAGTGGATGCCGCCTCAACCGCCAATTCTCCACTTTCAGGTGGAGAATGCGGGGAATAAGACTTTAGCGTGAAATACTTACACTCTTCTGCTAGAAGATGTAGTAAAGAAAGGTCGTACATGAGCATCATATTTCATCATTTGTTTGTCTCTTCTAAACTAATCAGCATATTTTAAAATCAGCTTCTAGAAGTAAAACCCCTGCAGGAATGAGGAATGGTGGCTTAAGTTATTTGTCAAGGATCTGCAAACATACAAACATAACTTACATAAGACACAACATTCGAGATCAACACCTTGACGTATTGTACTCACCATTTCGTCATTTTCTTCACTTGTTTATCCTTCTTCAACTACCGCACACCTTCTTTCTTCTACCTATCTTTCCCACCCGTGTTGATCTTTGACCAGAATCCTCCTGATTTTACCGATTATTGACGTGTTTTGTTTCAACCTTCCGTGTTTTGACACTGATTTCTCCCAAACATGATGGATCAGAACACCTCCCGTGGGCTGGTGGTCATTGCTCCCATATCACCTCTCAACCGCTTCTTAGGCTCCGAGAAGCTGAATGGAGCTGCGATCAGTAATCTTTGGAAAGGTATAAATAACTTGTCTCATGACGATGAATTTGCTAACCAGAGCAGCCTTTTTCACTTCCAACAAAGTGAGCAAGACAAAGACAGACGGCCGACTAGAGTATTTGTTCTGGCGCATTTGGAGTAGTGAGGCACTACTCAACAATCTGGATGTCAGCTTGATTGATCGACTAGTCACAAACATTATGCATTCTGACTTCAGAACTGAGGCTATCAAACCAGTGAGATTACCAGATCATTTTCTAATGCAGTCTATTAAATCAATCAAGGAGATTCCCCAGCAAGAATTCATTTTCTCAGCCCCGACCCATGAAATACCTACCCAGGTTATCTGCGATGCTGCCAAGTCGGGACCTTGTGAGACTCGGGTTCCTCTTCATCCTATTCTGAAGAAGACAAAGACAGTTCAAGGGGATACGCCCAAAACTGCACGTCTACTTTTATCAAACCCCGATGGTGAATCCATCACACTCAACCCCTCGATCCAACCCAATCCTACTCTCCTGACAGAGGAGATGCCTGACAACTCTGGCAAGTTGGCTACAAAGAGAAACCTTGTTGCTGTCAGTCGACCTACTCGGGGTGGAAGACGTCGGCCTGTTTTCTCCCGTCGAAAATCATCACAGTCGTCTATTCCCAAGGCACAGCCATCCCCTGCGAGACCAAGATTCAAGCTAGATGACGATTTTGATCTGCCCGAAGTGACACATGATGAGGACTTCACTTATGAGACGGAAACTGATAATCAAGCTAAGCGCGACCTCGAAGATACGTGGACAGAGCTGGACCGTCCCGTTCAGGCTCCCATCCTTTCGAGAGACGCAGACCTCATCTCTGAGAAACTATTTCCATCCCCGGAAACCGAACTTATCAATCCCATCTTGCACCAAGTAAGAAGAACGGTCAGTATTGATCCCAAAGACGAAGACATCCAGTGCACTGAAGAAAGCGTGAACGACAGTACAATTAAGTCGAGTGAAAGTAGCGACAGCCCAGACTCAGACTTCGACGAGAATGTCCCAGGATTCCTGGGAATGAAACGCGTCCGCATGCCCAAAGCTATGTTCGATGGATTTGCCAGCATCCTCACCAATCATGAACCAATCGACGACTACATTCCACTCCCTCAACGACCATGGTACGCCGCTGAGCATGCCTGGGGCCCCCTTCCCCGGGATCAATACCTCTTGGACTCAATTCTCCTTGACGAAAATGCAGCCCCGAACCCACAGCCCTCGCATGCCCCATTGGTGGCTCCAGGGTTCCGACAGCGGTTTCATGATTTTATCGAAGAAACTAGGGAAGAACCAAAAATGGATGCGAGGACTTGCGCGAACACCTATTCGAAGACTTATGCTAACTCTGAAGATTTAACATCCGCTGGTTTCCCACCTCCCGGGTACTTTATGAAATCCCCGGTGGAAACAATTGCGAATTTCAATCAATCTATGGATGAATTGTTTTCTGATCAAAATTCTGGCGGAGACAAATCGGATGATACCATTTCACCGTTGGTGGTTTAGTCCGAGTTGGATTCGTCTGGAAGGTCTTCAGTGTGTACGATATCTGGGCGTCATAGCTATCATGGTAGCCTTATTTTTTTCATATGATTATTCTATAGCGTTACGTTTGTCATGTATGAGTCTACGAGAACTCATGAATACCAACAGTGCATTTCATTTGAAGGTCAGTACTTTTCAAAGGTAGCTATTATAGTATAAAACTCTGCCCAGTAAGGTAGCAGAAACACCAAAGCTCAAAAAGGAGAATGAATCATACAAGTGCTGTATATCACCAATGTATTGGATACAAGATCAATTGATCGCATGTTGCTCAAGATTGAAGACCCTCACACTTCCTCGCCCTTCTCGCCAGAAGAAGCAACCTTCCGACCCTTAAGCCACTGCAACAAAACCCAAGAAGCAGTGACAAGCCAGAAAAGTAAATTAACAAGATCAATCCAAACAGCATGCCGCATTCTATTAATCTTCGCTGCATCATCCGAAGTCGTAGTCGATCGACGACTAGAAGAGCTACTAGTCTCAACCGAGACATCAACAGCATAGACGCCCAGATAAATCTTACCAAAGAGCCCAAAAAGAGTCAACCACAGCACACAAAGAACAAACTCCCACGCAAACTGCGGCAGACGCAGCGCCGGATTCGACGCCCCAGTCCGACTCATACAAAACGGCAGCACCATATGCGCCAGCGCGGTGCTAGTAGCCAGGAAGCCTGTCACGAGGGCATAGACCCATTTAGAATTCCAGGTATCCTCGTACTTGTGGTCGTGGTGAACATCTCGGCCGTAGAGGCCTATGACTGTTAGGCCGAAGACTAGCTGTAGGAAGCGGAGGAAGGATATGCAGCCGGCCATGAACTTGGAGGCTTTGCTTTCTGGGACTGAAGGTGGTGCTGAGTTTGGGTATTCATAGTTTCCTCCTGGGGCTACGCCGGCTGGATATTGGGCCATTGGGTATTGGTCGTTTGGGTAGGGTGGTTGAGGCTGTTGGAATTGTTGTTTTCTGGTTCTCTGTTTTTTGACTTGTTTCACGGCAAATGAGAGGACGGTGAACATTTTGATTATCGATGATGATAAGGAATGGAAAGAGGGAGAGCTTTTGATGTGTATCTCTGTAGTGTTGCGGTTGGATATTCAAGAATATGCAGATATCGCCAGTACAGGATCTGAAGACAAAAGATCAAAGATCGTAACACCCTGGCTGAGGGAAATCGCTTTGAAGGAGAGAGCTGGAATAAACAGCTAAGTTCAAAGAAGGAAATTAAAAGAGAATCGGTTTACTTCAAAGAGAGTAGAAGAAATTATAGAAGAACGAAACAGGCTGTTTTCGAAGGGAAGGAGATTCTTGCTGGCTTGTTCGATGATGAACCGTGATTTATGATTGCTTTATAGATGACTCGAGTTCATAGGCCACAAAGACTGATACTATTTCCAACTCTTGAACCTGGTCCAAGATGAAACTCATCTTCTTTGATTGCCGAGCGGCTTCATCAAGATCCACATTGTATGCGGCTTGATTGTTCTCCAAAGAATAGTAGCAGAGTGTTGACATATGAAACGAGTAATTATAGATATAAACTCATGCATAGATGAAACTAGTAGAAGGAGCTAGATATGCAGGGCGCTTCAACCTCGCGCGCGTCTATTCTTGTTTCATCCATATAGCGAGGCATGCTGAGAACCAATCAACAAAGTGGTTCTAATTTTATAAAAGATGTAGGATGTTTTGAAAATGCATCTAGCCGCCTAAGAATAGAAAAGAAAAGTTGTTGGTATAGAACTCTTTCAAAGAAACTTGTTCATCATGCTTTCAAATTCCTATGCATATTGCATGTCCTAATAGTCAATTAACATACACAGATAAACCTTCAAATGGAGCCATGCTCATTCCCATTGTTCTCCATTCCATAAAATGCTTCGAATAAAATGCTTGTGAGAGGAGAGTGTAAGAGATGCAAAATTGTTAACGCCTATCCCGATGAAAAATAGAAAAACCGAAAACCGAAAACCAACGCCAAGTCTCATTAAGCCGGACAGCTTGCTCCCGCATCAGCAGATCCCTTGGAGGTATTGCCTGTGGCTACCTTGGAATGATTGCAAGACGCCAGAGGAGGGGGTGGCAGTGGTTCAGTTGGTGGCTGTGAAATTGGTTCGTCATCTTCGTAGTCGTGTCCGAGGTCTTCTTCATCTTGAAGAGAACCAGATCCAGCGGCAGAGGAATGATCGACAGAAGCGCGATCATCGCCGTGTGGAGTAGGGCCATTCTTGGATGCGCCCTTAGTAGCCTTCTTGGTCTTCCGGCCCTTCATCTTCGCCTTTTCCAAGAGGCGCTTCTTCTCAGCGAGTCGCTTCCGTTCCTTTCGGTCTTTCATCTCATACTGTCTGATGAGTGCCGTGGGAGGGTGACCAAAGATGCTCTCGTATTCGCAAAACTCGCATATCCAGATATCTTCCATTCGGGGAGGATGGTGGATATTGGTGTATTGCTGTTGCATTTTACGTTGACGTGCAGCCAACGCGTAAGCACTGGCTGGCGAACGTTTCTTTTTCCGGCCAACAGAGGTCTGGTCGCCTGCAACAGGTGCCTGCGCGCCTAGTGGGACTTGTTGGCTCATATTGGGACTCGTTTGGGTACCCTGTGTCGCGAACCCTCGGGGATTATGGCTGGTAGGACCGAGAGGAGAGGTAGGGGAGCGGTTGGGTGCGGGGTATGATGAGGAAGAATTGAGTTGGGCCATGCCTTTAGAAGAATCTGACTCGCATGTGAAGGTAAACTGAGTTTTAGTCGGAGTGGTATTTTCTTGGTCCATCATGCTGACATGACTGAGGACAGGAGTTGGGGAGGAGATAGTTGCGGCGTTGGCAATAGCGGTTGAGATGATACCTTGGTCAGATGGTGATTCGGCTGAAAAGAAGAAGTGAAATGGTCAGCAGGTTCTGAAAATCAAAGTGAAGGAAAGTTAAGGTCAGCTTACCAGGTCCAGGGGTTGACACATCTCGCCGAGTCGGAGTCTTGCTATTCATCCATGCATTTTGAGCAGCATTCGCAGATAAGGGATTGCGTCCACTGTTGCTGCGGGGGACAGCCCGTCCCAGTCGGCCTCTGCCTGAACCAGATATTCCACTTCCTGGAGACGTAGGGTTCCCATTTCCGTAGTATGTACCAGTTGCGGATCCGTCACCAGCAGATGGGGTGGGGGTAGAGCTAGAGAGACCCATGCTAGCGAATTCTGGGGATAAGGTCGAATGATGACCACCGATATTCCCCGGAGTCGGAATTTTCCGTTTCTTTTTGTTGTTTGTATTTTCAAATGCGTCGTAACCGTCGGGACCAGCTGACGATTTTGGAGCTCCGTCTTTCGAACCAGTAGGGTGCGTACTAGAACTCGGTGACAACGAAGCGCGAAACCCAGAACTTCTACGTACCGCTACTGGTCCATCCTCGTCACCACTTTCTGCCTCACCCGCTGTTTCGAAACCGATATGAGAGTCAGCTTCTGGTGTCAATTCTTGTCTGTCCGACTCAATCGTCTGTTGTACGTAGACTTTGTGATCATTAGCGGCCTCTTCAGAATCGCCAGTAACACCGTAGAAAATTTGAGATGCAGGGGGGTTGGGGGGAAGAAGATTGTATCAGCGGCGTCGGTTGATAAGCGAGAACGGATGGTGCGTCTGGGAAGAGGTCGAATCAAACGATCGGGGTAGATGGGAGAAGGTGTATCAGGGGCCGCATTAAACGTCCCGTCTGGACAATTGCGTACGGAATCAATAACCGAGTGACGAGCAGACGAGTTCACAACAGCCTTAGGAGACATACTCAACGTAGCTGTCATCATGCAGGTTCTCCACACACGGTCTCAAACCACTGATTCTCATGGAAAGAGGTATCACAATTCTTGTATCTTATCTTTATGTCCTCCTCCGCCAGTATTGTCGAGTAAAAGGTAATATTGGATATGTGAATTTGGAGAACACTGCAGTGTCAGGATGTTAGTTATTTTCCCGGTAATATTAAACAGGAGGATGAACTGAAAGCATGGAAATAGATAGAGACCTGAAATCAAATAGAGATCCGGAATCAAATAGAAGCCTCCGGTTTGTCCTTTCTCCCCTAGCGTTCCAGAATCAACAAGAGAGGGTTATGAGCTTACCCACAATAAGTGCTACTATTCAGCATACCCAGGTCACGGATTGACAATCAAATTGTTATGTGAAGATCAACAAACTTGATCTGTTAAGGCCCGAGCACAGCGAAGAGCCGCTTCAGAGCCAAGTAACAAGATCTGGTTAATAACCAGAATGTACGGAGGGGTTAAGGTGTGAAGCGAAAGACCAGCGAGTCACGGGAATTCGGAAGTATCCACGCTAACCCTATTTAGGTAATATGGGCACCCAACCCTTCCTGGGGTAATATCACTTTCTCTGTTCTTCATTTTCTGCTCATAAAGTACACTGATACCGGTTCTTTGATGGATGATTAAGTTATTAACCTCCATTAGAAACTATTTGTTGGCCAAATTTCTAGTCGTCACGGTCGCAGTGCCGTGCAGCACGTAACGGTTAGTTAAGAGTATTGAGACTGTGAGTACCAGAAAACCATGCACCATTCACTTCTTACAGGCTACATTGTAAATAATTGGTACTCCGTATCCATATTTTTTGGCTGTCGGTTGTGCCTGCATGGCTAACAACGAAGTCAACCCGTCAATCCCCTGGGTAAACCGGCGCCTATCCCCCGCTTGAAGCTCAAAACAACTGGCTGACTATACCATGACATCAAATCATTATCTTACTGACCTGGGAGGGAGTGGGACTATATGAAGAATTGATGTTCCTCAGCACAGTGATCAGATGTATGGCATTGGCGAACTCGTGAAACACGCTGAGCCATGGCGCTAGCACATCGGGATCATAGCTAGGCTCGACCTGCGAAATTCATGAAATGGTAAAATCCAATGGACTTTGCATCTTGGGGATTCCGAGCTTCCCTTGGTTCGTGAGCCGTTCAGGCATTGAGCCAATTCCACTCACTGGGCCCTCCCTCGTTACCCTCCAGGTCCACGTCCAGATATTCTATGGTGAGAGTATTGGCCACACGTTGGCATGGGCTTTCTTCTGAGTAAGCATGAATAATTGTCTTGCTGGGAGCTTGTAAGGGGGGAAGTAGGAGTAAGTCCTGAGAGGGGGAGGTTGGATTTCGGCCGAGCGAGTCTTCGGCAATTCTGTAGTAGGAAACATCAGATTCCAATAATATATCAAAGAAAAATATCTAGCGAATTATTAAAGAAGTGTATTGTAAGATGGAAAAGAAGACGGGTGGAGCGGATTAAAAGTGGAAGGAGAGAAAAAAAAAAGGAAAAAAAAACCTCGCGCGTCGAGAGGCGTTCAGAAGCGGGGAATGACGGGCGATTGGAGAGTCCCGTTCCGTCGCTTTTCTCCTTCTTCTTCTTCTGCAACCCCACCAATCTTGCCTTCACTCAGACTATGTAGTCATCGGGCTCTCTTCTGAGCCTAGTGACGCCCTGCCTCAGATTCAACTTGGATTTCCAATTGTCTTGTTCTCCTCTTTTCTCTGAAGGAGCTCTCAATCGCGCGGAGCTCCCTCGCAACCCGGTTTTGCTCGAGGGTGAAAAACATTCACCAGAGAAACACTTCCAATCCTTTTGATTTTATTGAAAGAAACCTCCCTCTACAGCTTTCATCTTCCTTTGTTCAGAACTCATCGGCATCATGTCGCCTCGTCGCTCCTCGCGAGCTCGCACCACACAGCCCTCTCCTGCCCTCGTCCAACAAGCCAATTCCTCCAGCTCCTCCACCTCCCTCACTCGTGAAAGAAGCACCCGTTCAAATCATAAAAATCCCTCCTCACAGGGCTCCTCTGGCCAACGATCTCAGTCGATAGATGAAACTGAAAACAGCTCGAGGGCCGACCTCCCACAGACGCGCCAGCGCCAGCGCGCTCGCGACGACGATGACGAACCTCCCAGAGAAGATGACGATGAAGACCTGGACGAAGATGAAGAAGAGGAAGTCACTCGTTGTCTCTGTGGACAGCAGGAATACCCAGGCTTACCTCCGTCTCGCCGGGAGGCTCTCGGTCGCCCCGTTGTCAAGGCAGAGCCAAATCATCCCCCTGCTGATTCATCTGATCTGCTCTCCGATGACACTGGGAGCATGTTCATTCAATGTGACTTGTGTAAAGTCTGGCAGCATGGTGGCTGTGTGGGTATAATGGACGAAGAAACAAGCCCCGACGAATATTTCTGCGAAGGGTGTCGAAAGGATTTGCACAGAATTCGGGGTGAATCAAATGGGTAGGTCCTAGAGATTTCTTTCTACATTTGTTTTTCTATATCATGCACCTTTGTCCTTCCCCGTGGTTGAGATTTGAATACTGTCTTTACCTCGCCCCATTCCGTGGCAATGCGGCCCTGGCACCATAGGAAGGCAGCTGAAGCTTGAAACAATTCCCTACCGACCATGGACTTTCTATACCAATTTTCAGTCCTTCGCTCAAACTTTTCCTAAAAAATTGTCGAGTAAGACCTTACTGATGGCGCTGCAGACAACGTTCCTCCACATACCTCCCCGTCGTTCCGTTGTCGACGCCCGCTCCATCCTCCAGAGCCTCCTCCAAAGACATTTCCGGGCGCTCCAGGGATCATAAGTCACGTCATAGCGATGCCGACTCGATTCCCAAGCGGCGATCGACAATGAATAGCCGCGATGCCGCCTATGACGAGGAAGAGCTCATTCGCCGGGCCATTGAAGAAAGCAAAGACGACACCAAAAGCATACAAGATGATGTATCTTCTCGACAAGCCAAACGCAGCCGAAGCGCCAGCGAAGTGTGCGTATTCTCAGTTTCCATTGCACCTCGAGTATAGGAATTGAAGCTGACAAGTGTTTCCCCATAAATAGACAGGGCTCCAAACGACCGCGGACCACATCACCATCCCCCACAAATGTCGTAAAATCGAGTATCCCCGCATCCCATCCCCCGTCCGACGATGACTCCAACACCAAAGCCACCAACGGTACTCGCAAACAAAGAGGTATTTCTCGAGGCCAGCGAGAGATTGAGCCCACCAAGGAGCCAGCGGAGGCAGAGTCCGAAGCCCCCGAGACCGGGGCTCGTCGAAAAGAAAGATTCAATCGACGTACAGGCGATGGTAAGTGCTATACATGACCCAGCTATAGTTATGGTATTACTCACGCTACAATTAGAATCCGAGCATGAAATCCCATCACCAACGAAGACGATACCGAATGAGCCTGAGCTAGTGCAGCCGAGTCCAAACACTCCTACTCCGCAAGAACCGGCTCCTGTTCGACCACCCACTCGTAAATCAGGACGGCCACCTGCTCGCCGAGGTCGGGTTGGGCGCAATCAATATACCAAAGACAGGGACACGAACGGCAATGGCACAGAGTCACCCCGTCGTGGACAATCGCACGACATCGGTGGTGAATCTCCAAGAGTTAACTATAGTGGTATGAACGGCGTTTATGTAAACGGAGATCATGGGAGAGTCAGCAAGCCACGGTATATGCATCCACAACGCACAACGATGAACGAGATGAAGCGGCGTGTAGCCGGCATCTTGGAATTCATTTCTCGGATGCAAGTGGACATGGCCGTGGCGAGTGAGAGCAGTGCCACCCCCACCAACGATGACCGCAGCCAAGGTCTTCTATTGAAGACTATGGTGGACCACATTGATAGCCTCATGCCCTCGGCTAGCGATGGCGATGAATCAGTTCGAGCAACAACCGACGGCGATGGAGATACATTGATGCACGAGAAAGACTTCAAGGAGCTCAGTAGCATGGAGATGATGGACGTGCTCACTCGTCACCTTCTCAAATGGCAGCAGGAATATGGCAAGATCGGCGAACGGTAACCATTTCTTCACCCACATGGATAGCCATACGTATTCCTTGTCAGACTCTTGTCCCTTGCTGCTTCTCATCATGATACCCCTGTTTCATCATCTATTCATTGCTCGTTGTATATTAGAACCAAGTCTGCAGGCGTCCTGGATATCATGTCTCTTTTCACTCTTTCTTTTCTCTCTTTCTATTCTATCGGACCGGCGCGTCATCATCATACAGGAGAATAAGCATCTTAATGGTTAATCATTTTGCTCTCACCTCGCACCTTTTATCTGTTGTTTCCATTCAAAATCTATCCATCCTTTGCTCATGACGAAGACAAGAGATCAGTTGCTCTTTGCTTAGGGGCTTTTCTCCTCTTATACTTGACTTCACCCATCTGAACAGTGTTCTGGAAACATAGTTGCATATGGACATGTACTAACTCCTTTGTCAATCACTACTGTGGTAGCTTTAAATGAATCATCTTTTGCTACCTAATCTCGCCTGCCAGTTGAAGTCTAACAATGATCCATTAAGTTGATATGTAGAGAAGTCATGTCCTGAATCCCTCGTACTGACCTCAGTATTAGATGAGAGATGTCTCAAAAAGACGAGGCTCCATGAGACACTTACCTCGGTAGATTTTAATCCCACCTGGGCATCACTCCAACCTAAGCAAGGTTGAGGGTTTGAGTTTGAGCTATACAGGCCAATATCTCTAGCCCTGATGTCCACTGCAGTATTCCTACCTTGTTAATTGATTTTTTTTTATTTTCATTTTTTTTTAATCATCAATTTTATCCCTATTAGCACTCAGGTCGAGAAAGTTTCTATGGAGCGACTGCATATGAGACATCATACCGTCCACTCAACTTCTAGGTATTCTTCATCATGGGTAGCTGGAAGCTGGATACGGATACATTGCAGAATCTGTTTTTACATGTTGTCTCCTGGCATACCATATAGGGTGATGAGAACCTAGCATGGGCCAGGATGTATGTCCTCGGGAGTGCTTCCAAGGTTGGAATGCTTAATGGTTTCAAGGTTTGCTGCGGCCCGCTCCAGCATTCCACGGTTTCTTAAATGTTACTTCCAACGTTAAACCGACACATGATTGCCGGGAACATACAACTGATTTAGAGCAATCAAAAGGGCATCTAGATAGGAGGTGGTTTAATCGATTTTAATTATCATCATTTACAGGGATACAAGGAACAGCCAGTCCAGTCCACTGAGGATAAATTTTAACTAATATCATTTTCACCGAGGCATAATCGCAATCGTCAGGGGAAGAGATCGTTAAACAAAGGGAATGTAACATGAAATAAAAAGACAAAGAACTGGAGCACAATCATCACGACACCGCAAAACCGAACCAGACATTTAAAGGCGGGAGCCGTGGATCACCTTGAAGTCAACCACGAGCTCGCGGCCACCGTCGTTGATGACGAGGGCACGGACAGAGCCACGGCCGTCAGCGAAAGCGTCACCGATACGCTTGAACAAGCTTCCCTGGGTGATGACAGGAAGGCTCTGCTTGACATCACCGGTCTCGGTCATGGCAACCAGGCGGCCGTCATCGCGGAGGTCGAGGATGCGGTAGGTCTTGAAGACGGGACCGAGCATGGTTTGGACAACGACGGAGGGAGAGGGGTTGGAGACAAATGAGGACTCCTCCTGCAGTTGGCGGGTGAAGAGATCAACACCAAGGTAGCGGTGCTGACCAGTCTGGGGGGAGACAGAGATACGAATGACCTGGCAAGGGCGACCCTGCAGGATCAGGATGTCACCAATTCGAATGAAGTGGCAGGGGATGGGGACAGTCTCGCCGGCGACACCGCGGTTGCGGGGCTCGACAATGCGGACATCCTCACGGGCAGGACCACGCTCGTCGCTGACGACAACCTCCTCACGCTCATGGTGGTGGAAGGGGTGCAGGACGCGGTCGGCAGCACGCTCCACGCCGCGGCGGAAGGAGTGGTACTGGCCGTCGTCGTCGTAGTAACCCATCTTGCGAGGCTTAACGGTTTCACGGACAGTGGTCTGAGTGATTTGAGTGGGAGCGGGGTGACGAGACTGATGGATATCAACCGAGCGACGAGTAAAGTCTTCGCCTCGGTAAGTGCTGGTGGGATGAGACTGATAAGCACGCTCGTAAGAGTAGTCTGCGGGCTGGGCAGGCTGGTACTCGGATGAGTCTACGGGAGAGTAACGACGATCGTAAGTGACGTCGAGGTCGTAGGTAGGAGTAGTGCGACGACGATACTCTCTCTCAGTGATGTCTAGTTGAGTCTCGACGGCTTGGTCGTAGACGGGACGATGTTCTTCGAAACGAGCAGTAGACTCGCGGTAATTGGGGTAGCTGGGGAAAAGGTAAAAAAAGGGTCAGCGGAACTGTGTCTCCACGGGGTTCCCGAAGTAAACATATAAACAAAAAAAGAACAAAAAAGAACAAAAAAGCACGGGGTGGGTCACCGCTTATTGGGGGAAAGGGAAAACCAGAGTGGAGCCGTATTGTAACACGTAATTTAGTCCGGGGCTAGCCCCGTAATCTCGCCACTATGATATGCAAGTGGATTCACGCCCAAAAATAACAAAACAAAACAAAACAAGAGCTGTAAAATTCGGAATTGAGACGTACCGTTCACGGGTCAGATCAACCTCGGCTGAGTAATTGCGCTGCTCGAAGTGTTGACGAGGGAAGCTCGAACGATCTTCTTTGATAACGCGGAATTCGCCTTCTTCCTTTCCGTGGACTCGAGGGTCGGGGAGAGTGGCAGCAACCCGAGTATCTTCCCGTTCGACGTGCGAAGTACGATCGAGTTGAACTTCTCCCTCTACTCTCGTCTGAGTAGTTTCAGAGACAGCGTCACTCCGGTACGACGACGGGAAGACACTGAAGGGGATAGGGACGCGGGCGTCAAAGTCCAGATTGACGGACTTGAGAGCGTCTTTGCTTGAATCCCTTTCGAACTGTTATGAAACAACTCGAAAGGCGAGACAAGAAAAGACTTGACTTGGGGAGAAGTCTTTCTCGGAAGTTTAATAGGGGTGGGGAGAGAGAATTAGATCGATAGATCTAAATCTTCAAAAATGGGTGGAATGGGGAATTGAGAAATGGAGAAATGGTAGATTGTAAGAATAGAAGATGGACAGGGAATGGAAAAGGGAAAGGGGGTAAAATGGCTGAGCTTTGGTTTATTTATGGAGCACAGTTTGTTTACCGCGCTAGCCGATTACGGTTGTTGATCGATTCACCCGGTTCCAGGATCTGAAGTATTGTCTCTAACTAAGATGATATAGATCTAGAAGGAATGCCAAGTTGATCAGGAATGTGTCACTTCAACCACATGGTGAATCTTCAAAATCTTTGACTATTTAAACAGACAATAACAGTCTCCTTCAATGCTACAAAAATACTATACAATACAGCAATGTATGAAGGTGGTCTCGTATAATAAAGTGGCTGGCCAGCCTCCCTTACCTGTTTCCATAGCAACTCAGTGGATCATCTAATACTGGGGAACCGTGGGACCGAGATCGAGATTTGTCCTTCATTTCTTCACGTCTGATTTTGCGGGTTTTCTTTTCTTTCTACCTTTCTATTCTTCATCCTTCAAACATGAGAAATAATCTCAAGACTGCCTTGGTATTTTTCAGCTTAATTTATATGTGCATGTTTCACTGGTGGAGCCTTCATGCAGTGTATATTGTACCTATGCTGTATTATTCAGCTCCACTTGTACTTTGGTAAAATTGATGCATCCAAGATCTCCTCTCCACTCGGACAAAAATGGGGCTGGGGAAGTACAATCTCCACTTCCAGCACTAGGCACGTAAGGGTCGTACTCAAATACCGTCAGGTAATTTTGATGGGGAAGATCCACCAATTCACGTCGGTTAGTATGCGCTTACCATTGCATTATCGGTGTAGCTGGTGGATAGCATCCCGACTATGAAGTAGCTTGAAACCAATGGCATTGACCATCATTAATCAAACGGTGTGAATTCTGTTAAAAACAAGCTTGAAAAATGTGGAATTGCTTCCAATGAGAATTAGGCTGGCCGAGACACGACAACTCATCAGTTCGTTCATGCGTCTGTCCGATCGCCTCATCCAAGACATCGATCCTATTTGTACAGCCGGGGTAAAAAAAATATAAAAAAATAGGGTATCAATATGATTATAAGAATCCTTCACTAGACTCAGATCGCCGCAGGCACCATCGACAAAGGAGGGGGCTGGAGAATCCCCTCTAATTAGGGACAATAAAGAGCGTAGTAAACCAGGAGAAATATCGGTCATTAGAGATTAGATTAATCCAACTTTGAAATTTGTAAACTTGACTCGAACGGAAAAACCGGTTAAAGGAATATTCACAGGTAAGTAAAAGGTGAAATGAAAGGCACTAAAGCATTAAACATGTAAGGTTGAAGTTAATACTCCCGTATCATAGCGAGACCGGACAACCGAAATCAAGCAGGTATCAGTTATTATCAAGCTCGAAGGCCAAAGGCTTTACGAAGGTTCGGAAAACGTTTCTTTCGCCCAGAACCTCCTATTACGACGTCGCGTGCCGATGGGCCATTGCAGTCGTTGCTAGTGACGGAGGTTACGTCGTCTAGACCTTGCTGGATAGCAGTCCCCCGTACCGTACCACCCTGATCAACCGACGCGCGTCCAGAATTATCTACCGGTGGTTCGGGCTTTCGAGTCTGGATGGTTGGTGATGGAGGGCTCTGGGGCTGCTCAGCAATGGGCTCGGGCAAGTCTGTCTTGTCATCTTGACGCAGTGGCCAAGATTCAGCACCAACTGTGGGCCAGTTCCTAAGTTTCTTCAGCCGCTTCGGAGACTCTAGTCCTGAAGTAACAGTAGTCGTCGTTTTGGGATACCCATCGTCAACGAAGGTCCCACCGTGGAGTTGTTCGTGTTCCAGCCGCGATCGCTCCGGTGGTTTATCTCGTCGGGAAGGACTCTCAACGTCCGCTTTGTGCACACGATGGTCCTTATTTGCCGGCTTTTTGAGACCGAGCCGCGAGAGAAGACCCGGTTTACGCCCTCCAGAAGGTTGCATGATGAATTCTTCAAGCTCCCGTTGCGTCATGCCGCGCTGGCGAGCCACGGCTGCCATGCCGGACATGTTCGATGCACTGTTTGAGTCCCGAGAGCCTGGTGGTTTGCGGACGAGTTTGGTCAAGTTCACCGACCCTGGCTTACCTGGATGGTGGCCATCCTCCTCTTCCGAACTGTCCTCTAGCTCGGTGGAGTCCCCGTCATGAGTACCTTTCCGACGTGGAATTCCACGGACGGGACGCATAGGCGTGTTGGCAGGTTCATCTTCGTCGCTAGAATCTGCAAAGCGACTAGAGTAGATCCGGGGCTGGGGCTCGTCCTCTTCCCCGTCCGAGTCTGCAAATCGAGACTTTTGAATTGGCCTCAGAAGCGAAGTAGGTCCCGCCCGAGGCGCTTTTTTGTTGGTGGAGAAAAACGAGTACCGCTCACCACCAGAGCCTGGGCTTCGCAGTGTCTTACGCATGGTGCCTGCTGAAGATCCAGCTGATATCAGTCGAAAGTCAGGTGGATCTGACAGATCTGATATAGAGTGTACACGGGACTGCGTAGGACTAGTAGGACTACCTCTCATTGTTCGGAGCATACCATGCGCCCCACGAGGGGAAGCTCTGGCACGTTTGAAGCTGCTGGAAGAATCACTACCATTAGACATGGTACGACTCAATGAAGGACTGCCTGTCCTCTGGAAAGCAGGTCCGAGTGGTGTTGATCGTTTTTTGCCTTGGCCAGCATTTGGTGAGGTATTTATAGACAGCGGCCTTGCCTTTTTCCTAGAATCCAGATGCGTATGATCATTATGTACCGGTGACATTTGGGATTTTGACTTGGAAAGTACTGTCGAGTGTGAAGATACAGTACTTTCGGTGGGGCCTGCAGAGTCGGAAGGGGCAGGTGATTGTTCTCCCTGGCGGTTGACAGTGCTTGGTGTAGGAGTGAATGACCGAACATTCTCTATAGCCTGATCTGTAACAGCTTTTGGTTCATCGTCAACAGCTGCAGTTCGATCAACCGGTCTAGGTGTAGTATCACGGCTCTCACTTGTAGGACCCAATGGTGCTGATGAGTTTAGAATAGACCGGCTGTCAACGATGGCATTGATTGACCCAAACCCATCGCCTTCGAAATCTTCAGCAGCATCACTGTAAACACTAGCATCGGACTCATCTCCCGTATCATCGTCCAAGTTTGGATCATCAACTACAACTGCGTTTGCATTGCCGCCTGAGTTCAAAGGTGGAAACCCGCCTGGGACTTTGTAAACTTCTAGACTCGACCGTTGGTCGCGTGGTTGATCCGTTTCAACTGGAGGAGTAGCGGGCTCCACAGCAATAGACGGCACATGCATGTATGAATTATTATCGGATAAGGGTGGTTGCCCCGAGGCTATATCTGACGGGGGCGTCTTCGGGGGAAATGACAATTGTCCATTGATGGAGGTAGGTTCCACAGATTTGACATTATGGATTTGAGATGTTTCCTTCTCTTGGGCAATAGGAAATATCCCGCCAATGGCATGGTCATTCGAAAAAGAAGTTCCTGGAGCAACCGCATCATAGTCTGAGGAACTGGTAGTTGACTCATTGTCACTAAATTGCGGCATTGCGGAGGGCTGAAGAACACTGTCTCGATTGCCTCGAACGCTGCCAAAGGATGGCAACACTGGACGGGGTTTCAAGACTTTGTCAAATTCGTCGTCGCCTGTAGAAAAGTTCAATGCTGCCGACCTTTTCTTGCTAGCCCCAAGCCAGCTCTTACGAGATTTGGATTTGTTCGCAGGGTGTTCCAGCACATATTCTTCTGGAGATGTTGGAGGGCTGGCTGCAACACCAACAATCTCAGCCTCTTCGTCGAAGCTCACCTTTGCGGCCCGCTTTTTGGCGCTTATTCTGGAACCATCATCTGAAGCCACCGAAGTACCATCGGACAATTCACTTGATAGCTGAACACTGCGGCCTCCCACTTCAAGTTTTCTTTCTGGTGATATAGAGGTTCCACGAGCATGTTTCAAAGCTGATTTAGCGGGTGATACAGATCTAGGTGGAGGCTGGTGAATCTGGTCACCGTCTCCCGAGACTGAGAGCCACTTCGAAAATCGGGCTGACCTGCCTGGACTACTTGATTGACGTATGTGCCCCTCTTCTTGTCGTTTGGAAGGAGAAGATTGAGGAGTTGACACCTCTAGATGATCAACTGTTGGGGAGGAACTGGCCAATCGATCTTCATGGGTCTGGGTACAGCTTGTATCAACATCCCCGTTTTTCTCTGGATCATTCTCTTTGAATACGGTGGATGGCCGCGGAGTTATAGAATCTCTTTCTGCTGATATGCTGCTTGTTATCGGCGATGAGGGATCAGAGTGGTGTCCATGTGAGCTATTTGGAGACAATTTGTGGTCCAGGCGTTCAGTCCTAGCGCGGGTTGAGTCTGCCGGAGAACTAGTTCGCTGGACGTTAACAGCGGTAGCGGCAGGCCCCACGGAACTGTCCACATGGCTCTCTTCTCTACCCTCACGTTTCCTAGATTTGGGGCTCGCTGGTTTTTCAGAAAGTAGCTGGTTTCCTCTGGTCGCTTTCGAGTGATCCCCGCGAACGACAGCAGTGCCCACTTTCGCTGGGCGATTTTCCGCTAAGGTTGGCGAGATAGGCCGTGATCCCCTAGGGTATGAGAAATTAACAGAGTTACGACTGCCCGGTCGATCTTGCTCAGACACGGTGCTCAAAGTATTAAACCGGTTATGAGTAGGTGACGAAGCCGCTGATTTCCCCTCTCGGCCTCGATCGACACTCGTACCTCGTCCGAGAGGCCTCGGTGGGGATGCTGGGGATACTGGAGGCGATCGCATTGTCGGTTGAAGACTGGAAGTTCGACGACCAGGGAGCTTTTGGTTTGATATTGTGAAGGCAAATCTGGTAACGGCGGAACATCGACAGGTGTCTGCGCATGGACGGCACCTGAGCTTGTCAAGGGACGGTGAGGCGACGGTGATGATTCACGGAAAGTTCTTGAGCTCATCGAGCCCGAGCTGCTTGCCCTGCGGAGAGAGCCGCCAGCGAGAGGACCTCCAGCGCTAGCTGCACGACGAGAGGCATTGGGGCTATTTGAGTGCACAGAGGATGCCCGCTGGGCCATCCGCTTGGTCTGAACATTTTCCACTTGTGTCGGGGTAGGTGTAAGATTACGAAGAGCGGCGGCAGCAGCAGCAGATGAAAGGCTGCTCGACGACTGTTGGGATTTCAAGAAGGCATAATTGGCCGCAGAATGCGCCGATTGAGACGCAGGAGTGGAGAGCGGCTTGAAGAACACGCATCAGTTAGCGCAAGTGTGGAGGGCAACCCAATTTTAACGTCGGCAAAGTTCGGGTTTAGTGAGAGCGAAGATTCAATCTAAATCATGGGATTTTCTTCCAAATCGGGGGGTTTTTACGTACCTGATGATGAGAATAGCTTCTCTTGCGGCGGCCGAACATTATTGCTTGGAGGCTCCTGGAGCTCTCACACAGGGGTCAATACGCCGGATGGCCAGCCGAACACTGCGAACAGCGCCGGGGTTGATCCGGGAGATTTCAGGGACTCGGAGATGATGTGGAAGAGAAGGTTCAGATAGGAAAATTAGAGATAGCGGATGTGATGTAATGCGATGCGATGCAGCTATGGAAGGATCGGAGACGTTGAAAGAGAGGAGATGACGCAATGTCCAATAGAGAGAGAGAGAGAAAGAAAGAAAAAGCAAACAGCAAGAGTGAAAAGATATGAAAATTAAGAGTAAGAGACTGAAGGTTACATGCGAGAAATTGAGAGAAGTTCGGGAAAAGAGCTTGCGTCATTGACTGGAACTTCAGGCACAAACCTTATAAAACAGGCCGATTTCTGTCCCGATTTGGGTACAAATAGTTGAGATGTTATTAGACTGTGTTCCAAGGATCAAACATTGAAGTGGGCTTAGTGGAGTCTAAATGACCCTGACTACTCCCTTCTCCCTTGTCCGTCTGACTATTCAGTGATGATCAGAGGAAAACAGAAAAAAAGAAAAAAGATAATGGATCGTCCAGGAATAAATCCCGCCAAAAATGACAAATATCGACTGTGGCTTCCGCCTGAACTAGATATATGCTTTCTACAGAGCTATCTAGTATCTCATGCAATTCAAGTCAAAAATAGTCTTGTACCAAGAACTGCCTCACGTGATGAAGATCTTTTGAATCTTATTCATCGTTCACGTGACTAACTACATGACCAATCGTCAAGTGTTGACGAAACTGTATTTTCTACCCGCTGAACCAGAGAAATTAATGCAAACAGTGCAATTTGTGCAAATATGCCCATATTTCTTTCCACATATTACTATCGACTCGCATTTTCGAAGCAGAGCCTTGATTCTACTATGTCTTCCCTGGAACCGCAAACCTAGGTAGATCTGTATGGAGGCGTGCTTTGCCCCTACTTTTTCCGTACTGGATCAGTAGATAGTGTACTAAATAACAGGGCGTCCTATCTCACTGCTCTGACGAACTCAGATATGCCCTTGTCTCCTGCAAAGGAGCTGTATCATTTGATGTAACGATATTTTGAATTTTCATCTGATAAACGGATCTTGACCAGATAATCAGCCACATCGATTGATTGGATTTCACCCAGATGCCATGCTGGGATATGATTATATGCCGCTGGATGCAACAATACCCCCAAGCTATGGAGAGATACATGGAGGATGAGCCATGCAATGGAATTTCATCGTGCGCGTGGCTCCCAGATGATGAACTGGCTGTCTGTACCTCCGATACCGCCGAAGATAACCGCGCTGACTTCCAGATCTCAGGCGGTACTATACGCGCACATCTGTAGGTGGTCGATATACGCGCGACTAGTGTCTTTCCAATGAGAAGAAAATCGAGCCGATATATGCTTTCATCTCTGATGATGAGTGGGACTCGATAATAGTCTGAAGTTTAGGATCATATGATTAATGGGGTTGTATACTCTGACTTCTGAGTCCTTCACCTTCTTGATTGTATCAAACATTGGTTTCTTCAAGAACGCCCCTAATTATGGGGTGGCTTATACTACCATTGAGACCCACGTGATATTCCATTCTATCGATATTTGAAGTGATGGTGATGTCATCTTAACTTTTTAGATCTTAGTCATACCTGAAGTGAAAGGTCAAGAGCCTACCTATGCATAGGATATCAATTGCTCTTCATCTTATATGAACAGAGTACGCATGTTAACAGTCTATAGTTTCTCAAATTAGTTTCATTCATAAGAACCTTGGAGCTGTGTATGGATCATTGAATATTTATGAATAAGTAATATTCAAATCTCAGTTCATTTTATTGCCATTTTACCTTAGTGGTTTCACTTTGAACTTTTGTTCGCTTTGCATTACTTTGAAGGTTCCAAGGCTGTCTGCCTAGGTTCCTTTTTGAGCATTTTTATCTCCCGTCGGAGTCGCTCTTCCCATGCCAGTCATTGGGACTAGATATTGAAGACAGTGTATCTGGGTGGTCAAGGCCAAAGGATTTCGATGCATAGCTGGGTACACTCTGTCATTAATTGCGAAGGAGCGTCGTATTCACCTAGTAACGCCAAGGTATACGCAAGGTTGTTCATACTGTTCAGACTAGAGGGATATTTTGGTCCAAGCACCTGGCCATTAGTTAAATCGACTTAGTGGTCGCTTCGATGGTGGGTCTCATGTCAAATCAGAAATTAAAGCGTCAGGAATGATTCTGATCGGCAATGATTAAGGATGTTTCTATTTCCACTTCATCGTAATTCATCCGAGTCAAATTAGCGATACGTTAATATTGGGGGTATTCAGTGTTAAGCCGCCAAAATCCAACACCAACACAAGCTTGTAATAGACTGCAATAGGCTGGATTATCCCGTTTAAAATCATGGTATCCTCTCACCAACAGTGCTGGTATACCAGAAGAATGTTGCTTTCCACAAGCTTCTCAAAAAGGTCCTCACCTGTCGACCAATTCAATCGTTACCAGACCGACCAGGCCCTATTAGCACATCGCATCTGTAATAGAAGAATATGACCAAGTGATGGAAAGTAGATATATGGCAATCTTTATTGATAAGTCTCATCAAAAGATATAAAATTGGGTATCTGTGATTATCATGATATCCCAGATGATAAAGAGCACCGTTAAACGCCAATGGGTAAGGGAATCAACGCCGGTATCCGCTCAAAACAATAAGAAAGACATGAGACATGAACCCATTGGACTCGACAATTTTAAACATAGATCCAATCAATCGAAGGGAGGGGTATGATTTCAAAAGCAAAAAAGACGCACGCGAATGCAATGAATGCCAAAGCATCCCCATTAAACTAAGATTCGAATAGCAAGCGCCAGTAGCAATGGTGCAAAGACTAACAGAGTCTGTTGCGGAGGATTCAACATTCCCGCACCATTACTTGCCGTGATTCCAGATGTGGTGTACATGTACTGGAAGGAGATATCACTAGAGTTGAAACAGTTATTGCGATCAACTGTTTGAACCTTCGAGTCACCATCATCGGCAAATTCAATATCAACGCACTGTAGATCGAGTTAGTATTTGAAAATTGAGGCTTTTGGGGCAGATAACTACGTACGTTGTATAGCGCCGCTCCGTGCTTAGCCGTCTCCACAACTTGAATAGTAGCGTAGTCACCAGCCTTGACGCTGATATTGGCGGGTAAGGGCACCTGGGGCAGGCAGACGGTACCCGGGTAAGGGTTGTTACTCGGGCCGGTGATCTGGAATGGAGACACAACTGGGTGGCTCATGTTCTCGGGGGTTTCGCCAAAGCCCAGGTTGACATATATCAATGCTGTGCTGTGGCCCGGAAACCAGCCGGGTTGGAAAGCTACGGCACCACCGCTGACGGGCCAGTAGGTGCGGTTGGTAGATCGAGGCATACCGCCGCCTAGTAGAGGTCTTGGTTAATCTAAATCCGGAATCGTATGGAGAGTGATTTCTTTACATGGATAGATCCATTCCATTCCGTAGGGGAAGATATATGATCCATTCTCGTATGCAACACCTAATCCATTGGCTTCGGTGACTGTGCCGTTGGTGTGGAGGTTGTTTCCTCTATAGCCGGGGTAGGTGATGACAGTGTGGGCATTTGTCAAGCTCACACAGAGCAGGACAAGCAGAGAAGCCCAGTGTGATGTTAAAGAGAGCATAGTGAGATTTAATTATGAGTTGTCGTTTGGGGAAGGTATAAAAAAGGCAGACAGAGGTGGCAGGGAAAAAAGCAAAGATTAATGGACCCAGTCCGTTTCGCTTTTGAGACGGTTCAAGCCTCAAACATCCAAACGCAGAGCAGGCCGAGAGAATAAACAGAATACAATTCACGTCTATTCAAAGCAGAAAGTCTCGATCAAAAGCCAAGCCAGAGAAGACTTCTGAGGGCTTGACCTCTTTTTGAGGGGTACTTGCTGACAGTTCTGCTGCCGCGAGTGAAAAGGCAAGATGTTGGTGTGACTGTGACTGCAGCTTGAGCAACTCATGACTGGCTCCGGGTTGGCTCTGTTGGGGAAGGGTGCTGGGGATCGTCACAGCCTTCTGCAAGTACAATCACCTTGAAGGCGAAGGCTGCTTTCTGATTGGTGGTGGCCATAGCTGGAAGCGCCGAGAAATACGCTAATGTTGTCCACTTTGGGCTCAGCGCTTAGGTAGAAAACATGGTGTGACGAGGTTTAGTAAAACTTGATAGAAAAGTACTTTATGAAGTGCTGCGCTCAAGAGGCAAGTTCATGGTCTACTGAATATGGGCCCACGTTGTGATTGAGTACTTCAGTCGCGACCTAAAGCCGCTACGCTTCCGATCATCACTTTTCGCCTTTAGTGAACGATAACAGTAATAGATTGTATCAGTAATTATCAAGTAGCAGCTTGGTAATTAGTGAGGAATTCGAATTTGGAGACGAAAGTCATGATTGGCAGCCTATTTCTACGTAGGCATAGTTATCCGGTCGTGAGCACTATGATCGTTGTCTTCAAGGTCTAACCCTCTAGTTTAGAAGCGTTGTAAAGTTCCAACGTTGTAAGATAAACCCTGAACCTTGAAAAGAAGCAGCCTAACAAAAAAAGTATAAGCATGTCAGAAAGTTCGTATTATTGCTCTTTCATCTCCGTAAGTCATCACGAGGTCACGTGTAGATACTGATGAACTAACCCCGCAAGGCGGTGTGCCGATAGGCAGTATTTATCCGATAGATATTTTAATTGAAGTTACAGATACGATCGTAGATATTGAGTTCCCTCCATAAGCTTACAATGCCACCCTCCAATCGCAAGAAGCGCTCGATCCCAGCAACTAAACGCCTCCAAGTAACAGATGACGACGGCTGGACTCACGTCACCAGCGGCAGCAATGTAAGGCGTGTATTGCGTAAAGCGCAAACACAGCCCGGCACGCATCTAGATTTAAATCTGGAGCCTGTTCTAGGTCCCTCCGAGGCACCAGGCCATCTTACACTTTCTGAACTGCAGAAGCAATACGAGATACATCGGGCGCGGTGGGTGGAATCGGAGACTTGGGGCACTTTGGCGGCAAGTCTTGATGAGCGGATGCGGGACTTGAAAGAGCTCGGGGCTGGACTTGATGCTATTGTTTGCATTGGACTTGGAAGCCCTAGTGGGTTCCTTCGAGATGGATGGGTTGATCGACGGAGTATTGTTATGTATCAGCTTGCGGCGTTGGAGTCTATCACGCAAAGACTTTCCCGTACGTCTTATTCTTCGAAAATATCATATCATATACTATTGAAATATCAGCTGACTTGGCTCCCTCCAGGTCTCGAGACAAATATCCCTTCTTTCCCAATCTATGCCCAAGACCCAGTCTTCAATACTCTTGACAGAGCACTTCTCGATTCCATCGGAGTGACAGTTCTCGATTCTCCAGCTGGATTCGAGCGCATTACTTCAAACTCACTACTCTTCTGTCCCGGCGCAGAGAGGAAGCACCTTGAGCTTGTTCTCCCGTCAAATCCACGATTTGTTTTCGGTGGGCCCTTGGAAAATACTGCGTCGGAGGTAATCCAGGGATTTGTGGAGAAGATGGGGTCGCGCTTAGTAGTGCCTTTTATGGCGAATGAGCATGCGTTTTGGAAAACAAGGCTTTATTTTCGGGTTCTTGAAGAGCTGGAATCGTGAGATTTTTATCTCAAGGTTAGAAACGGCTGCATTGTTGGAGTTGGGGGTTTTATTTAGTACTTTATATAACTGCATCACGATCTGCATTTAGAGAGCTTAGTGTACGCGAGAGGATTTCAATGACAGTTCATATTGATGATTATTCTTTCTTAACACCTTCAAGGTTGTTCTTTACGAACTGTACTGTTGATATAGGAAGCACAATGCAATATATACGTTGCGCTTATCACCGAAGGAGTAGACGAAAAGCCCGGAAGCAAGACAAGCAACAAAAAGAACCAAGGACGATATGTGAAAGCCCCGATGAAGACAAATGGGGATGGTCATCACAAATACAAAGATGCCACCAAAAACAGTGCAAGATGCTCCGTCTTCAAGATCCGGTAATAACAAGGCGGATGGAGGGATATACTGATGAACTGAGAGTTTCGAGTCGGGGACGTGAAATGGAGAAGAGCCGGTCAGGTTGGCCGGTATAAAAGCGTTGATACAGATAGAGGTAATGCGTTTCCATGTAAATATGTGTTTGATGTTCATGATCATGATCCTGTTGAGAAGTTGCGACTCAACAGATCGAGGTTTTGTTTAGGTGGCAGTCTTGCCGCCACAGTCAGGGATTGTGAGACCCTTCTTTAGAACGCGACCAGGGTCCATTAGACCCCATTTGTCTTCCCAGGCTTCGTCTTCTGTGTTGAATTCAACTTTCCATGGCTCGTCAAAGGCCTCAAACCTGTAGAGAAAGAAGAGATTAGTCGAAGAACTTGATGAACTATAACCAGCGCAACATACCAGAAGTAATCGGTGCCGTTCTCCAAGGCCTGGCAGATCCAATCGGCCATGAACTTATTCTGGTTTTCGATGCTCGCAACGGAGCCTGGAGTACTCGAGTCACAGACGGAGCTGCCACCGCAATCTTTACCACCATCACTAGGCCATCCAACCTCAGAGATTACCTGCTTCTTGTTCGTACCCTCGGTTAAATTCACATCATGCGACTGCCAAAAGTCCCAGGTCCAACCGGCGGCAACGTCAACACTGACACCAGCGAAGAAGGGATGCACATTAGACATGACAACGTCGACGGCATCAGTTAGTTTGGCATTCCAATTATCACCCAGATCGGAAGTAGCAACGAGCAAATCACTGAGATTGCGCTTCTTAAGCTGAGTCCGTACACCATTGATATAATTGATCAAGTTGGTCTCGGCGCTCGACTTGGTGGAACCGGCTCGGTATAGCGCCTCGTTACCGACAATCACACCCTTGTAGATCGAAGTATCATTTGTCTTGTCGATGATGTCGTACAGCTGCTTCAATTGGCGATCCGTGGTGGTGGTGTTAGTGTCTATCCACACTCCAAGCCAGAGTTTCATATCGGTCAATCCGAGTCGGTCAATCGCATGCAGTGTCATCTCGGTTTGGTTGCAATCCGTTCCGTACAAACGGACGGTGTTGGTCAATTGTGAGAGCACGGCAATGTCACGGGTAACGTTATTCTGCGACGGCGGATACTTCAGGCACAGCGGGTACTGGACGCCCCAAGGTGTATAGTCGATACCGGGGAAGACCTTGTGAAGAGCGTCGTTGTTCATCAGGGCCTTGATCTCGGAAGAATCTTTGCCTAGATCTGTGTCATCGTCGTCGCTGCTCGAGCCACTAGAAGATGATGATGTATCACCATCCTTGTTATTATGCTTGTTGCCAATTGTGCCGCCCACAGCGCCACCAACAATAGCACCAAGAATGATAAAACCCAAGACACCACCGACGATCAAGGCGCGCTTTTTCCGTCCGGCCATTCCTGTTTTCGCCTTCTCACTCATACCACCGCGTTCTAAACCGGCACCAGGCACTAGTCCATAGGATGGATTGGCCTGATTGCTTTTGCCGAAGAGTTTACTGAAGAACCCACCCGCTGCAGCGCCGCCCGCTACAGCAGCACCAGCCTGAACTGATTTACCTCCAGGAGTAAACTCATCCTCGCCGTCATCAACAATCTCATCTGGGTTAATAATATCCATCGTTTCAGAATTATAATGCGATTGTCTTTGATATGGGCCGTCGGAGACACCATTATAAGGACTGTGATTCTGGGAAGTATCACTTAGATGCGATGAAGACAGGCCTGGCGTTAGCCTACCCGGCGCGGCAGCTGCAGCGTCGAGAGCCATATTTGAGCCGTACTGCGAGCTCTCGTAGACTGGCGGTGGCACGTAAGGATTCTCGGCACCTGTGGTGTTGTATGCTCGTTCAGCAGGGCCTGTGTATCCGTCGTGCTCCATGGCGTCAATTCCGCTTTGTCGGTTGTTACTATTGGCGACGCCGAGTGCGAGACCACTTATACCTCCACCTATTGATGACGAGCTGAAATTGTCTAGGTTCGGGGTCACCGTTGAATTATTGCGCTCGGACTGCAGATAGATGTGAGGCGGAGCCTGATCGTTTGTCATTGGAAGAAGACCTTGTTATAAAGGTATTTAATGATATAGGAATAGTTGGGATGGAGAGTTATAATAAATCTCCCAGAAAAGGGTGGGTAGAGGAGGAAGGCAAAAAACAAGGAAAAGAAAAGAGCTGGGATTCAGCTGAAGACAGCAAGCGCGGGGGCGGCAGGTTTCGGATGTTCCAGATATATCCTGTAAGCGGAAAGAGTATATGTCTTTCTCTTTTTTTTTATTAAAGGTTCAGGATTTGAAGAAAATCACGGCAGAGAAAAAGAGAAAAAGAGAAAGGTTGAAAAAGATGAAACGAAAACGGAATAGACTTGGTGTAGTAGTTCCTTGTAAACATGGTGGTGGGCCCGACAACGGATTACTTGATCTACGTAGTAGTAGTTATCATTTTACACCTTGTTAAATTGCTAAATTACTTACTATACTAGTTACTAAAGATGAATACTACTATGTGAGGATAGATTTATCACCGTCTTCATATAGACCCTTATAGACCCTTATAGACCCTGCATTCCGATTGTGTGGGGAATATTGGTGGGTCTCATGATAGACTGTCCTATTTTCGGTACATGAATATGAGCCTTGGAAATAGGGGAAAGTTCTATGTCTGAAAGCGAATCTCGACATGTTTATAAGAAAGACATTGACTCGTTAAATGTTAGGTAAGTTCATAAAGTAATCATCCCATACATATCCATATCCCACTGTTTTGTTTGTTTTGCCACGCTTAGAAGAACCACCAGAAACCAAGTCCAAAGATAGAAAAATTAAAAAATAATCCGATCAAATCATCGATAAGAGAATAAAAGAGCAACTTAACCCTCCACTTCTTCCGCACTGCGTTGTGAAGCTGACTGTTCCAGTCGACTTCCGCTACGCTCCAAGAAACGTCTCTTTCCACGACGAGTATCAAAATGATCAGGAATCTCAGAGCTCTCTTGGCCTGCTGAGAGCATACTCGTACGCATTTTATTTCGATAAGCATCCACTATTCACGTGGTTAGTTGGAAAACCCCCGAAATGATAGTAGACGAGACCTGTTTCAGCCTTGGGCACGTGGAAGGGGCTGAAAACGGAATGTCGAACAGAAAATAGTAACAGATATCTTGGCAGAGGACTGAGCACTTACATGATCGTTGTAAAAATAGTGTTCGCCCCGCAAAAACTCGGCTTTGACTCCAACTTAATCGGTACGCAAGGTCATTGAGTAAGACCTCTTTATGGTGCCGGCGCCGAGAGAGTCTAGGCACGTGGATGTCTCGATCGCCGTCCATTGACGGTGCAGGGACCATCGTTCGTCCTACTGTGGAGTCTTCGGGATCATGAGTCTGCTCAGGATCTTCGCGGATATATCGCTTGTTGGGGAGAACATGACCGGGTGCCTCTTTCATTTGAATCGGGAAGTATGTCCGTGGATAGACGGCATTGGTCATGCGGTAGGAGTCTGGAATCTCGTCCATGTTCACCTTATCAAGCATTACCTTCACTCTCACGCGAGCGCCACGCTGCGGGTCTTCGACAAGAATGAACGTCCGCCGTTTCCCTTCTGGTAAGTGACCGAAGAGATCCTGGTTGTTAGGACTCTGGTCTTCCATGTCGCCGGCTTGGGCCATGCGGCTAGAGGTCGCGATCGTTGCTTGTCGGCCGAGAGAGCTGAGACCACTGTCTCGTAAGTGTGGTGGCATAGATGGCCCACCTGGTCCGACACTCACGGGAGTTGGAGCAGAGCCCGACTCGTGAAAGATTTGAGCAGGACGGATATCGGTGGCCAATGTTGTTGGCAAACGCCCTGTATCAAGGGAACGATGTGTATTGGGGTATTCCGTGGTTCCTATAGAAAAAGGAAAAAAAGACAAAGAAGAGATTAGCCTACGCTGTTCTTTCATGTTGGGGAATTCCTCAAGTTCACAAAACAAGGCATGTAAAAGCGCGGCGGCGTCGAATAGTAAAGCAAACAAGAAAATGGGGGGAAGCCAAAAGAAATGGTAGGGTATGTGAAGGACGAGTAAAAGAGAAACCAAATCAAACCAAAACCATCCGAGCAGCAAATCAAAACCAAAATCCAAAACAGGCCAAATAGACATACACTCATGCTTGTCCTACATCCATGGACAGGCACATGCACACTCTCCTGAGCAAACAATCCATCCACATATTATAGAAATACAAAATTGCAAACAATTAAAATATTCCATCGGTCAACCCCGAGAAGAGAATAAAAGGGGAGCAAACACAACAGGGAAAAAAAAGGATAAGAATATTCGAGAGATTCCGCCGCGCATGCCGCATAAAGAAACATCGACAGGAACACATCACATATGATGAAACATACCGCTGACTTCTTCAAGGCTCTTCGGACTACCATCGGGGGCGTGATGATGATGCAGTTGCGGGGGTCCCATAGACAAGGGTCCGATATTAGGGCGTGAAGCTTGCATAGGGACCGGAGGGAGTGCAGACTGACTAGGCGCACTCATGTGGGGGGTCACAGCAGGAACTGATTGTCGACGATTCATTTTGGCCTGTCGACGCACCCGCCGGCTGCGAAGACGAGGGTCCTGGTTGCTGTTTCGCCAGCTATCAACAGCTCGCTGGATGAGTCCTCGCTTTCCTCTCAATGTTGGGTTCAACTCCGCGAGTGCCCACCCCACAGCATTGCACTCGGTCTCATACACGAGTCGGTTTCCCTTGTACTGGTCCTTGGTGCAGCATGCCCGGGGATAAACACAGTTCTCTGTCTTGAAATCTGGACTAAGGCCATCCACGTTGACCGACTCGACGTCGCAGCGAATCGTGTACTCCATCTTCACGCGGTCCCGGGAATACTCAAATGCTATCCACTGCACTCCATTGCTATCCTGTCGTACGACTAGAGGAGTCGTTGCGGGGATAGGGCCTGGTGCAGCGCTCGAGCTCGTTCCCAGAGGTGAGCTTTGGTGGAGACCAGGGTTAGATGGCGACGGAAGGGTGTTGAGCATCGGTCGCTGCGACGATCCGGCCTGTGGTGTAGGATCCATCTTCATTGAGGGACTGCTCGACAAAGCTGTGTTCGGGGTATGTGTTTGGTGCGGTGACATCTGTGCCGTCGTAGTATGAGGGGGCATCATCATAGACTGCGTGGTGAGAGAGTGAGGTTGAGGAGACTGATGCGCCGCATATGGTGACGACTGAACTGGGTTCATGGAAGAATACGGTTGGTAGCTATACATCTGGGGCGGCATCTGCGGTGACTGTGTGTAGATGTTGCGACCATGCTGATCATGCGGCTGTGAAGCTACAGAAGCAGGGGAGTTGGATTGAGGGGTGTGATAAATGGGAGGATAAGAAGGCCTCTGCATTTGAGCTGTAGTTGCCATGAGGTCAGATGGTCCTATCTCTTATTGGATCAGTGTTGGCGCTTATGAAAATTCATTCGGGTTGTCGGTGAGATTTGAAAGACAGCCTCGTAACTCTACGGAGGGAAAGAATAGCAATACTTACCGCTAGAGGAGTATTGTGCCGGTGCAGTAACGGTTGTGTAAGAAGTTGGATGGGTGGTATAATAAGGAATATCTTGAACGGGTGGTCCGTAGATGCCGTTGGGATGCAGTATACTATTGCCTACTGAGTGTGATTGGGAATAGGTAGTCGGAGTGATGGGGATGGGCTGATGATGATGAGGCGAGATGGGATCTGGTTTAGGTAGACCTATACCTAAACCTGACCTAGGTAGGTGAAGCTGTTGGGGCTGTTGAGAGCTATCATGCCCTGAATTGTTGATATGTAGCTGGAAAGGGTGAATGTTAGTGAATGAAAGCTTTTGATGATCCCAGATTCAGAGATGGAGTCAAGAGGTGGCTTGATCGTGCAGGGTAGTACATCAATAAAACGAAATGGACAAAAATGGAGGGAATGAAAATGGTCTCCGTCAGTGACGACATAAGCGCGGGGATTTGTATGCTTCGAAAAGTGTCAAGATATTCTTCAGCTGTGGCAGGGGGAGGTTGTCACAGATGAACGATGCCTCGAACAGGGATTAGCTCAGGTGCGTAACAAATAGCCAGGGTAAGACCAGGATAAGCCGTCCAGGGCCAAAGAAGTCCACGGATTTGTACAACACCAGAGTAGCCTTGTAACAGCAAGTGGCTCTAGCAAGTGGCTCTTTTCTTCCGAGGGACAAAGCACTCCAGCCTTTTCGTCGACTGTTCATGTCTTGAAAATCACTGAATTTTGGCGTGGCTTTCATTGTACTAGTCTCCGGTGGACATTTTCCCTGTGCCAGCAACTTCTAGATGCCCAGTAGGCACAAAACAAGAAGTAATGTAATCAGGGATCGAGGCATGGCTGAAGCTGTAGCAACTTCCAATTGTTGGCAAACAATAGGTGAAGAACGAGCGAGAACCGGAATCTTGCCGGCAATTTGTATAGCGTGACTTTACATCAAGTGAGATGTCAAGCAATGCCATGGAAATTGAGAGGGCAAGATCCAGTAGTTGATCCACGGCTCTGCAGTCTCAAGGACAAAGAAGGCAGAGTGAGTAGGGGGAGTGATATTTCCCCATCATATCAGAAAATGCGGAGAGACTAAAAATGAAAAGAAAACAAGAGATGATACTAAAAGAGACAAGAGAAGACCCTGGTCTTTTGCAACTCGATGTATCGAGTTTCCTAGAACAAGTGAAAAAACCAAGTACTCACGGGATCATCAACCGACTCGACCTTGTATTTTGAAGAAAAACCACGGTCAGTTTGTACCATACCGGTCACGGAAGAGACCCTCTCTCACGGTCTGGGACAGAATCCGACTATTCAATTGCAAAATGGCAGGAGGGAAAAGAATAGAGTCTGACAAGAAGTACCAGGAGTGAGTGGTATGGCGCGTGAGGATAGAAGCGCGTGGAGGTCAAAATGGGAAAGAAGATCCCGAATGGCTATGCGCGACACAACACGGGTTCTAACACTCTTTGACTAGGGCAATGAAGCAGAGAAGAGTCCAGGGTCGTTTATTTAGATGCATTCCATGAGTCCCATCCTGGTTTCTTTCGAGGGTGAGGACCAGGCTGCATCTAAAATTAAAGGGAAATGATAAAAAAGAAATAGAAAAAATAGAAAAGATGATAAAACAGAGGAAAACTCCAAATAGGGGATGGTGTATGATCAAAAAACAAAATAAAATAAAAAGATCTGGGGTGATTTACCTGTGTTTGAATGGGGTTTAGAGTAGAAGAGTAGCTAGGAGGTAGATCCGTAGGTATCAGGATAGGCTTGTTACTAGCGGGAAGTGGTGTAATATCGACCAGGATGGATGCAGGAGGGGGAGATTAGAAGACTCGAAAAAGAGAAGCTGGTAAACATCCGAGCCTCAGAAGTTTTGAAATTAAGTCGACCTAGGACTTTTCACAGTGCCGAGATCAACGCAGATTTAAACGCCTGTGGGAAGGAGGGGGACTGATGATGTGCAGCATGCATAATATAGTGCGTGTACAGAGTCGGCAGTAGACAGTATGGAGTCAACAATCTAGAAAAAGATTTAAATAAAAATAAAAGATATATATATATATATATATATATATATATCTCTCTCTCTTTTATTTTGTGTACAGAAGCTAAGGCTGCAGTGGGGAAATGGAGGGGGTATAGTACAGCGTAGATGTGGATACAAAGAAAATAGTAATAGAAAAAAAGAATTCAATTAATCAACTAAAATACTAAGTACTAAATAGGCTATGATCTTTGGATCGGTTTTCAACGATGATATCGTTCTTCCATAGGTGCCTCTAGTCCCCTCATCCATTCCCGGTTTTTCAGTTTTTTTCAGTTTTTTTTTCAGTTTTTCCCTTTTTTTATATCCCACTTCTTCATCTGTACAGACATCATCTTCGGAGTAAGTGGAGAGATCATGATACGTCCAGGAGAATGACATTTTTGTTCCAAGGTTTTCTTCCATGATTGGTCCCCTCATGATATGCGCAGTTAGAAACAAAGGTCGTTATTATGAAGATGCTACGCCCTATACTGTACCGATAAGAGACAGACTGAATCTATGGAACGACTAGGGCTAGATCGAGTAGAACGCCTCGAATATAAAAAAAAGTCTTATGAAAGGGGGTAGACGGAAAAGGTAAAAGATATCAACCGAAAAGAGTTAAAGGCTGGCTAAATGATGATAATATAATAAAATAAAAAATAACAGATCGTGCAGACTAGACAGCTCCGGACTGAGCGGTTTTTCCTCGGAGCATATCGAGGGGAAGATCGGCGGGGGAAGACGATTTGGTGGATAAAATGTAGTTGTACAAAGTACACACGATCGAAGAACAGCTTTCCTTCCACGGCCTTAGTTTCCACAGGCTCTCTAGTCCCAATGAGATCCTCGATCCAGACTCCATCCCTCGCCCCGTTTAAATAAACTCGAAACAGCCTAAACGGCGCCCATCACATCAATTTACAATTTACCACCATTTACGATTTCCACGTCTCTCACAGTTCGTGAAGGTGTCACCCCCTTAGTCCTGACTGTACTGACTAAACTCTGTATACTCTCTGTACTCTTGTGACTCCATTATTGTGATTTCTACGAACCCATACGGGCTGTTGCTTCCCGGGTTTGCCCAACATACATTATAAAATTAAATCAAATATCACTAAAATAAAACGAAAACCGGTCTTCTGTCTTCAGATTGCTTGACTGAGGATACAACGAGTCAGAACTAGTAGGGCATAAAGGTTCACTCCAGAATCTCCCCGATGCGGGCCTCCACTTGGGTTGTCTACTATTCCTGAATAGTATTAGTTGGACTGGGCATTTATATCATACTGTTTGGAGACTGGTACCGGCCGCCACCCGGAAGTGTCTGAATTGATCCAATGATTACTCTGACCCTTAGTATCACGGCTACTCTTCCACGCTCTCCATTTCGGCCCATGCCGCCTATACCCATACACTATAGAAAATAGACCCGAGATGAAGATTGTTTTGTTCTCAACATCGAAAAATAAGTGGACCATCACGGCTCAGTCTTCATCTTACTTGTTCTTTGTGGCTTTTTTTTCCTGATGTGATGTGTTTTGTATTTTGTATTTTTGTGTTTTGTTTTTTTCTTTTTTTTTGTTTTGTTATTTTTTGTCTTGTCACATTAGGTATCCTTAATTTCGCTGCCCGGCTCTGTACTTGTTGATTTTGATTTACAGTCCCAGGCTTGATGGTTATAGCCGCTCAGGAACGGATCATTGGTTCTAAGGTTCTCTGAGGCTCAATCTGGATTGAAGAGGGTTGGGAGGAGTACCTTAAAGGATAATATTTTTTAGTTGCGCAGCATCGTGCAGGGTTACGGCGCTATGTCTCGTTCCCTCGTTTGTTCGAGTACGAAGGTACCAGTCGTCGTAATCCCAGTGACCATTCATAGCCGAGCGTAAGACGGTTGGTTTGAATGACCAATGATGAGTGTTAGACGATAGTCCAGTTATGCACGCGCGGAGACTCGACTTCATGCTGTGTCAGGAACTCAAGGGCTGAAGGTTGGGGCTAAACTCAACGGTGTATGCTATGCCCCCTTTTTTCGTTTTTTTTTTCCGTCTTTGATTTTGAATATTTCTTTTTCCTTTTTCTCTCCTCTTTGTATCTCTCGGACTGTGGATCCCACAAGGCGGTGGAAGTCAGATGCAATCTATAGTCCGTGACTGCCCGTTGAGCCGTGACCGGACCGGTCCCGTTCTGGACGCATCTTGGCCCCAATCCCTCGAGGACGATCTGGTTTGGATCATCCAGACCTTCTTAGTGGGAAATGGTGATATCAATGCCCCACTATCCACTCCCACACTCCAAAAAAATAAAAGCGGGATACTCGATTGAGTATACGGTAGATGTGAGTGGACACGAAGTCAGGGCCAATAGAATTGAAGATAAATAAAAGAAAAGAATCAAGTCGACATGAGTTTTCAGTATGTCGTACCGTTTTCAGAATACTTACCCGTTGACGCATCCAACATCTCGTCCTAACATTGAAACTAATATTCAAGCGAACCATGGATTGGAAAGGAGTATACATCCATGTGACTGACCCCTGGGCGGATCAAACGAGATCCTGCTCGATTTGCTCTACCAAGAAGCCACTACCGCTCCAGATCGACTGGTAAGAAAGACAAACTAAACAAAAGTCCTACTGGTTCAAACCCCTTTTCCATGTGCCAAAAGGAAAGTGATAACAAAAAAAGCAAAGAGAGACTCAAACTTCAGATTAACAAAGTCCTATAGTACCTACCCATAGTTACAAATTTTCAACCTCAAATCAAATCCAATTCTCTTTGTTACTTCCATTAACTGACTAACTTAACTAGGTAACTACTAACCCCAAACTAACACCTAAATTGTCGATCCAGAATACATCATGCGCCATAAAAAAATGGCCTGTGCACCCCGAGTAAGGCCGTTTAAATATGGGCCTTTCAATCGGAGCCATTTAGTGCAGCTCTAGCTCGGTCGAGTTCCCTCCAGAGGGCTCCAGACGGCCATAGATTTAGTGATCTCCCTAGTCTAGACAGTAACACCGGGCAAAGAGGCCTTCAAACTTTATATAGATTTAGTCTTTAACTACCTAGGTACCTAGGTATCTAAATAGAGAGTGTTCATTTACCTAATTTCTATGTTGAGGTACAAGAAACACGGGCCAAGTTGGAAATAAGACCCGCCTCGTGCAGATCGCAGTTGGAGATTCGGAGCTGTCCATTCCTTAGCCGGACTTTGTGCGGCTCATGGGATCTTCTTAGATCTTGACTCTTCTTCTGTAAGGGGTATACCCCGTATTCCAAAAGGGGCTATAAAATACGAAGTACAGGTATACCCACAAGCCACCTGGGAAACGTGTTAACGGCATTTGAGCACGACAAGACAAAACAAGCCTTCAGATAAGCAACTCGAGAAAACAAATTAAAGAAGAAAAAAACAGTTGGTCATCCAAGATGACCGTGGAAAATGAATTCGGCACTCGGCAAGTGTGTGTTTACTTTCTTTACTTCACTTTGCTAAACATCAGACGATGTTGTCCGGCCCCCGCCGGTTGCCTGCCATCTCATTGGCATACTCAAGTCTGCCTTTTCCCATCTTGGCGCCAATGAAGAATAAGCCACAACGTCGTACTCCGTGATAGCCCCTAAGATCGAGCGGAGCAGTAGTGGAGTGATTAAGACCTCACTAACATTGAACTAACCTGTGGACCTCGGAACACTCGGTCTTAGAGGACTACGTGAGATAATAGAACCGTGGGTGCATTTCTGGCTTCAAAGTATGTGTGCCGTGTTGAAAAATAATACTACCTAAATAATGGAAATGAATGACTCGTAGTCAAATTCAACATTGACTTCCATAGCCCCGTATTTAATTTGAACTAGCTTACTTTGAAACCCGCCTTCAAGTCCTATATCAGTGCCAAATATCGTGGATTTAAAGTTGTCGTACCCTGGTCCGCTCGAACGCACGGAAACATCGTCCTCCCTGTCTAGTCCGGGACGATCTACTTTGGAGGCGCCAACGGCTTTCAATTTTAGATTTACGCTACACACTGTACACTGTACCATGGTATTTTTGGTTTTAAAAAGACAAGGGGGGACAAAAACAGGAGGAAAGTGGAGAACATCAAAACAGGGGCATTTATTCCTTCTCCGCAATAAGGAACGAATCTTTTCGGACAAACTCGGTGATTGTCCTTTGTTCAAAGCATCCGATCGAACACGCAATACGAAATACAAATCCAGAATCCATAATCCGCCTCGTTTTCGTCGAGAATTTAAAGGCGCGGAGACTAGTACCACGGACCAATCAGAGGTCCGAATCGGGCATTATTTCGGCCCCACTATCGCCCGGAACCGAAACTATACTTACGATGTACAGATGTATACAGATAAATGATGCCTAGATCGTCATAGGTAAAGGGAATCTTGGAATCTTGGAATGAAACAAGCTGACAGAAGGATAGCTGACCGCACTTTACACCGATACTTCCTGATCGAAAAATAGAAGTTTGTGCAGAATTTGTGAGCCATCACAACTGCGGAACGTTCGAAACTTGCATACTTAGCTTATCGCGTGGCCGGAGCTTACAACTCGTTTCAGAGTCCCCCTCAATGCGATATTTATTTCAGCCTTACTCAGGACATGGAGCCCAAGCTGATGATTGACTGTATACTCCTTCTACCATCCATATATCCGTAGAGAAAACTGAGATTCTCAATTTAGATATTCAAATTCCAAAGTTCTCTCTATCACATCAAGTCTCAAAACTCAAATAGATTAGATATTCCTCCAGCCTTCCCTTTGCTTGCCATTCAACCAATGTACTATGACATACTATTAGATATCTAAGGGTCGACGTCAATGGACGCAGGGGGCGGCGAACCCAACCATGTGCTTTGTCGATCATCTTCCGTTTCAGAACGTACAGGGATGGACCAGTAAATCTAAATCGTGAATCAGGAACTCCGGAAGCGGAAGGCACATCTGGCTTTGAAACACGGCTACCTCCGGTAAAACAGGGGACATTTAGTCTTCCGGATCGACTCCCGCGATCATCCCCCACGAATTCCGACTCGGATACGATCACTTCCAGGATTTCTGCTTTAATAAAGACTCGAACTAAGTTGTTTGGAACGCATCTTGTTTTATTAAGTGAGGTTGAGAGAGAGATTCAAGGAAGATACATTACCAAGTTTCGGTCTTAAAAAAAACATGGAACCGGATATAACCATTTCTAAGCTCCGGACCTATGAAAATCAAAAGGCAAGCTTCGCCTCGATTATAAAAATACAGTATGGCGTGTCCACGGCCCTTCGCGAGATCCAAACTGCCACAGTCAAATCAGTCATTTACAACGTGGGGTCCTTTGGAGAGGCGGGGACCCACGATGCGGGACATGACTCGCAAAAATGCCTGATTTGACAATTTATGCCAACTGCAATTCCCAACCCTAACTTAGGCAATCTTGACTCCGGAACCTCGTCACCGGTAGTAAGTTGTGCCTGAAGCAGATTAGTGACATGTCTGTTATTGTCCAATCATCTAATTAAAGAGATGTGCTTCAGTCTTGCGCCCCTTTTATCTGCTCCGTAAGTGCCCCCCGCCTCCCTTCAGGTTTTTTTTTCCCATGGCTTTAAGTTTATGCATGGGAATTGGCGACAATACAGCTTGTATAAAATACCGCAGTTGTTCGGCTTCATGAATGTAAGCTTCAGCTTTAGATTAGTAATCCCTAATTACTAATTCACTAACTAGTAAGCCTTCAATGGATGTTTAATAACCTATCATATCCCGTGATTTACCTTTGGCGGCCCGAAAGCTTGAGTTTAATTGGTCCGAGCCCATTTACTCTGTATATTACTATTTCATGAAATCTTCAAACTTACCTGATACTTGTGCCATTACGTTGATCGTGCTGGTCTGTATCGAATGTTTCGTACTTACCCCCGTATAGTCACCGGCTATACGTAGTTATACGCCAGATAAAGTTGGGATATCTACATTGGAGGGCTGGGACTGAAAGCATCCAGCCATGCCCAGGCGGATAAGCATCAGATCCAGCACTAAAACATCACTTCCTATGGGCCATCACTGCATCTACCTGTCTATGTACATATGCGCCTCGTTAGATTCTTCTACATATGCGTAATCACCACCTGGGCACTCATACTCCAACACGAGACCTGCACTCTGTAGATCTCATATTGATGGAGTAAGTGACCTACGGGAGATCACCGAGCAGGGGTGGGCATATGGACGAGGGGTGTGCGTGTAAGAGAGTAAAATCATCCCCGAATAAAGATTCCAACTCGAGATCGGAGACGTAAATCCTTTCCAAGCATCGAGTAGGTCTGACGATTCAAGATTTGGCCCGATTAGTGAAGTGTTTGGTTGGTGTCGGTGGTTAGGATCGTGATTCACGTCCCCACTCACGACTCGCCATGCACAAGCTAGATCAAGTTCGTAACATGAGCAGCTTGCTAAACTTAAGGCTTTTTTAATCTTGGGCATGAATTCTCGGTCGGTACTCTGTAGTCCGTACTCTGTTCTCTCTCCATTTTTTCAGCTCGGTATCCAGCTTTGTATCTCCCTCCAAAGCTAGATACTATCAATATCACTATCCTACCTATGGAGAGCGAGCCACCGTACAACGTACCATCTCTACGCCCGGATTAAAGGCTTACTACCCCTCTCATTTAATTCATTAAGCACCGATATACATGAAGCATAGTAATCTAAAGCCCAAGATTGAGGCAATCTACAAACGTCATGGCCAGCACCAATTGATAATCGGACGACGGTATCAGCTCGAATATCACTGGTCCTAGACATATTGTTTGCTTCCAATTCACTTCCATAGACATCAGCGGCGTCTGCAAATCGCTCTGCAAACTATCATCGAGGAGAAGATGTACAGACTATACCCCATACCCTCGTGCTTCCCCCTTTTACTGTCTTTTTTTCTTTGCTTTTGATATGTACCGGATGAAAGGGTGAATATCTTTGACTTTGGTCCCTGTGAATTAAGTCCTTTGCCACCCCTTTTTCCTTCTAGGGCTTGGTGGGTTTCTTTCCCTCAGACCGAAGATCAGTGATGTGAGACTTGAAGTGATACAGGGGGTCGGAATGACAGGGTAAGACGCCTAGAAGAAGCCTGAATAATTTCCGATTTACGGATTAAAAAGGAACGTATTGGACGGATGGTAGATGGTGGATGGTGGATGCCTCGGCATTTACTACTAATACGTAGGTCATCGGCCATTCATTCTAACCTGGCTCAGGTTCGCGGGAAGGGAGACGTGGATATTTCCCGAGTTCGATGTTCCAATCGGCTATATTGTAAACTGAAGAAAAACATTTGGGATGGGCATTTCTTTTTTTGGTGTCTTCATCCTGGTCTAAATCCGCATGGAGTCATTCGTATGCAGTTCCAAGGTTACTACGCAGCTGAGTCGGCGATGTGCTGATGGTCGTACAAGGGCTGGATAGTTTAAGTGGCGGGTGCTCGACTCAGTAGTGGTCACGGTGATCAGATTGAGGGACGACAGTCTTGTTTGAAATATGACGCCGGCGTCTGAATGTATTTTTCTTTTTTTCGTCTATTGTCTAATGTGTCATTGAGGCATATAAAATGCAAGGTCAGATGTTCTATGGTATGATACAGGAACCAAGTATGCAGGAAGAAGAAGAAAAGAAATGAAAAAAAGGTTAAAAGAAGGTATTGATGCGAAATGTTTACAGTCTTCGTTGTTTGTCATTGCAAGGATGGGGTAGCGATAGTTACCAGAGTTTGTTGTCTTGGTAAGGAGCCTTTTTTATATTTATATATTTGAATTTTGGCCTTGAGGTTCCTCTACGCCAGCGTAGCGGACGGCATTCTCGAAGGCATCCTCGGCATGGCATTGACAGTAGAACGAGGACGCATTGGCAGCGTGTGATTATTTGGCTCTTTCGAAGGCGGTTCAAGCTTTAGTTGTTCATTGTCACCCTCGTCCTCGTCGTCACTGGAAGACTCTTCACCGCGACGACCATCGCGCTTACTCTTGTCCATTTGTCGACGCTTGTCCTGGATATGCTCCTTATGACGTGTGTCTTAGGTTGGGTGGTGAGTTTCAATATTTGAACTGTCATCAGCAGGCAGATGCTTACCTCGGATCTCCTGCGTCTTCACAGCATATGCTTGAATCTCTTCCTTTGTCAAGACTCGAAGCACGATGACATAGTCCGATCGCTCCTCGAATCGCTCATTCCCTGCCTCCAATGCAGCAGGGTTGACAAGTCGTCGATCGATCTTTGTCCACCGAGCACCCGGCGGGATGCCCTTTTTGGTGGCATCTTTGAGCGGTGCTACGCCTTCTCGCACGGGATTGGGCTCCTCCGGGAAACTGGGGCGGGGCGGTTTCAAAATACCCTTTGGAGCATGCTCAGGCTCTTTGGACGACGGTGGGTCGACAGCAGTGAGAGGTCTCCTAGACTCGTTACTGTCGAAGGATGATGCAGAGTGTCGAGAATCGTTCGAATGAATCACATCCTGCAGCCGCCGGGGCGATCGTACCTGCGAACGCTCTCGTGGTGGGCGGCGGGCTGGATGATTATCTTCACTGGTGTCGCTGCTGCTGTGTCGAGGGCCTGGTTTTGTAGATGGCTCACGGCGGTATTTCTGAAGATCCTCATCGTCGGTGAATCGATCCTCATGACGAGAATGTCTGCGTGTTCGGCTACGCTGGCGATCGCCCGGCTCATGGTAAGACCTGAGCTGGGTAGTAGACTGGGTAGCGTCGAAATCACGTTCGGGATCGCGAGGTCGTCTGTGATGACGTCTCGTTGATCGCTCGTGGTCGGACGCGTCAGAGAACCCACTTCCCAGAGCCGCTGTCCCGAGTCCTACAAGAGCCTGTTCATTGCCCAGCCTTGAAGAAGGTCGCTCTTCCGGGTGGTGCCGGTCGCCGTCTTGGTGATGACGGCGATGTCTACGGCGGCGGCGATGGTGGTGAGTGTCACTGAAAGAATCATATCCATCGTCGGATTCGTGGGGCAATGCCACCAAGGCACGCTCATGGCCTGCCCTAGGCCTCGATGACTCTCGGTGCTCTTCAATAGCACGCCTGGAGCGAGGCCTTCCCTCATGGTCAATTTTGTCGAAATCCCAGGATGTCGGTGGGGGTCCGTGTTGGCGGTTGTCTTTGCGCACTCGAAGAGACTGAAGCGACTTTTCGTCCATCAGATTCACGCTGATAGGGCGGTCTACTGTGGATCTTGACGGAGTACGCGGCCTGATGGGATAATCACGATCAAATTGCTCTCGCGGGGTGGTGTATGAATAAGCATCGTAGTTGTCAATGTCGTCGCCTGTCTTCAGTCCGTCGTACGTCGAAGACCGATGTCGCCCGCTGGGTTCATGTGCATGACGCATACCGTGGCGAGGGGAAGTCCGGTTCTTCACCACATCTCGTGGCGTCAGATAACCAGTATCACTCGCATAGTCGGTGCTATATATGCGGCGATGGCGGGGAGAGTGTGACGATCCTGGAGTGATATAGTGATCCGAAGATTTGGAGGGTGGACTCGACGAGGGACCAAAACTTGAAGTGATGATCGGACGGGAATGTGATTGCACTGAGAGTCTAGCCGGATTTTCAAAGGTACGGGTAGAGTCATAAAGCGATGCATCTGAGGTTGTACTGCTCCTTTGTCTGGACTTGGGTCGAATAGCATACTCCGTCAACTTCTTGAAGGACGAGTTGGGGTCACGTATTTTCTGGGAGCTGACAGGACGCGCTTCAACTGGTGATATCAGACCAGTGTGGTATCGGTTATAATCGTGGCGACCTCTGGGGATTTCACTCGGGTCGTAGGACGAACTGAACTCGACCATGCCGGTTGATGCCCGTGGTCCAGCCACGTAGTGGCGTCCTGAGCTCGGGGTTGAGCTGCGATAGAAACTAGAAAAACCCATGATGCTAGCAGTAGGGGGAAGGCCTAGGGCCTCTTATTATTCAAAAATCAAAATTGACGAAGTTATATGGATGGAGAGAGGTGAGAAGATGATGAGAGAAAGATGAGGTAAGTACTCCTTTGTTGGCTGGCCAAGAAAAAATCAATTCGGCTCGCACAGAACAAAGCTTGAACTAAGCTCAATAAAAAGCGATGACGAGGAAGAAAATAAAATAAAAAATTATGGAAAGAAGAATGATAGAATAAGCTAAGCGTCAAAAGTTAGGTAAATTGGAAGGGACTTGTGGAGATTTCAACCCGATGTAAAATGGATGCCCGATGTTTAAAATTGAAACAGAGGAAGAGAGAAAAAAGAGGGAAAAAGTAGCAGACAAAGTGAGAATGACGCAGTGAGTGGGTAGTGGGGGCGAGTAGACCCCACCTTACCTAAAAGTACTTTCTTACTATTACTCTCTCTCCCTCTCCACCCGAAACTAGACTCAAAAGGATTACTACCTCTTCAACAAGCTCCCGAGACCTCCATGAAACAATCAGCGCGTTGATTTAGAATCTTGTTTGTTCCATGGATCAATTCCTGTGGATATTCTGGGGCCGTCAATGCTACCATGGTATCTGGCCACGTCAAGTCGACAACTCTTCTCTCTATACTCCGTATTTTACATTCGATCCTGCGGCTCTGCCGAGTATCCACTTGGACAAATTCCGAGAAGTCTGACCCAGGTTCTCTCTTAATGATGCATGGCGCAGTGAAGATATTATTCTTATTCACCCGGGCTGAGTGTTGCCCCGTATATGCCAGGATATCAACACAAGAGAGATCATAATCATCTATTCTCGACTCGAGACCGGTTCCAAGCTTTCATCTTCAAACATAGATACAAATAACGGGTCTATATGACCAACCCTGACCGGAGATAGGCCTATATTCTAAATTACTCCATCTACTTGACTCGGCACAGGTCATATACCCCCTCAATATCCGTTTAAGCTAGCCTATAACCATACGATTAGCCTATAAACATACGATTGTCCCCATTTTCTATTCTATTTCCCCTCCTCGTTGTTCAGATCTTGATCCTTGTCTCACCAATGGCAAAGGCAAAGCTCGTAGTACAAATCACGGAGATGCTTTACGGAGATCCTTCAATATCACAAGATTGGCATATTCCCCCACTTTCCCATCTCGGCTTCTGTATCTGCAGCCTTCCATCTCCACAACTCCCGTCCCCCACTAGGTTCTCTAATACATGGCCTCTAATAGCCCATGTCAGGTGAAACTAAGGTGGGCTGATCCACCCCGGCCAAGACAAAAAATGCTCACTAAGACCACCTAGGTATCAAAACTGAGATATTTGCAGGTTTAACCGACTATATGCTACTTGGAATTGCCCTTTTGCTGACCGGGCTTTGAGGAGGAATCAAAAGCCAGAGCTTTAAGCTTCAAGAGTTCGTGTAGTTACCTAGATAGGTGGTTATGCTGGCTTACCTAACAGCTTACCCGATGCTCTGGTACTGCGAACTACCGACATGCAGTATCCATGGGGTATGAACTATACACATCGTGATACGTTATTTCGAATAGAAGGTATCTTTGCACTGCCTACTGCTCTCGGGAATTCGAAAACGTGAAGCTTGCGAATATTGATCATCATCCATTCACGTGCGCTTTATCTAGTCTACCTTTCAAGGCTCGGTCATCGTACGCTTCGGGACGTCGGAAACCTTCCAAGGCTGGAAGGGTTTAATATCTCGCTCTAGGTAGTCAGCCCCAGACCTTGAGTAGCGCTATAGTTCCGATGTTGTAAGATTGGCACTCAACCTTGGAATGGCTGGGAGCCCCCGACAAATCACCTCGTTGTCATTACCACTAAAAATTTACGAATGGGCTATAGATCGAGCCAATAGAAAATATGTTACTGTCAAATTCCAAGCCAAGGTTTCTTTCGACTTTTACGGGGCCCTGGGGCTGAGACAACTGCTGCCCGGGCAAATGGATTTCAATGCCAAGGTCTTTGCATCAATCCCATTCTTTCCAAGGTTGACCCTTAACATGGCACGCGCTGGCAAGAACAAACTTCAACTATTAACATTACTGGGAAAATGGCTTTCAAAGAAACTAATGATGAATTCAGATTTGAAAAAGGTCTTCATGATTTTGGCTGTTCATATGTGGGGGGTTATTCTTCCGCTCATACAACCCATCCCACCGCGCAACCCGGGATGGACGAATAAAGAAAAGGATTGCATCGAGGATACGGTGCAGCTTTCTAAGAGTTGGGTAATTAAAGAACCAGATCACAATGATCTTGAGGCTCAAATTGAAAGACGCAAAGAGACAACATCATGATCTCGCTCTTTGAAGACAAACCTACGGGGTTCGAAACGTTCAACAGGAAGTAAGAGTAAGATTTATCTGCTCTTTTTAGGAAAGAAAATGATTTCATTAACCTTGCAGCTTACTAGTCAAATGATGATTAGCGAGCCTGGACTCAATCTCAGGGCTGTCCAATGCGTACAAACCCCACAATATCCACAAGGTTTCAAAAGCATCTAAAGGAAGAGGATGAATTCAATCTGAATCCTAAATTCTGCGCCATACTTAGCGCTTACCTGCGTGGAGAATTGGAATGGAACAAGAGTTTGGTTATATTCTGGTGCAATGGAAAACACCTAAGCCAGCCTCGCCTTCTTGATTACTATAACCATATTACTTGGTGCACCAGAAAAGCTGGTCACATTCTGTCTGGATTGAAGAGATAAATTTTCCATTTAATAATCTTAGTGAACCAAGTGACTGATCAATAAAATCTCTTAGTTACATTTGAGAACGTAGAGTGAGGCTTTAGAAGCTTTTACGGTGTCTAGAAACGAGAACGGGTTTGGCAAAGTATGATTTATCTAATGGGCCAAAATAAGATTCAAGGCTATTTGATAGCTAACTTGCATTTATTGATTTAGTTAAATTTCCACCGCTGGTATTTCCCCATGAGATCAACAGGCGGCCCCGGTATCAAACTTATATCTAAGTTCCCAACAATCGAGAATTATAGAAATGATGGATGATGCCGGCGCTTCTACGCCTAGCCTATATATGGGAGATATAAGACGAATGCTACTTCTAGCTCCCCCCCTAGAATGCCAGCTCGTGTATGCAGCAGCCTGGAGGGCATTGCCATACTCTCCACCCTGGGCATTGACATCAGCGTGAGCGTCGATCAGCATCTGCACTGTAATCATCAGTGTTTTATCATTCCATATGGCGAATGGTAGGACGATCAATAAATGCATAGCCCGGAGGCTCGTTAAGTGTTTAATAATACTAGGCAGGCTAGTCTCCTTTGCAAGAAATATGCGGCACGCTTTGATACAAAAGTTAATGCGCTAACTTAAGAAGGTCGATCGAATTATAATTCCCCATATTTTACATTTAATAAGGGAATATGTCATGTGCCAACCTCAGCCCTTGGAGTAGGAATAAACATGAGACTGATACCTAGAGACCTACCACGTAAGTAGTCTTCTAAGGCTGACTGAGACTGTCACCAAATACCCAAGGTCTTTGAAAGTTACCCCTTGAGGGGCTGCTTGGGACTTTCCAAGATTATAATATTACCTAGACATGGTCATCCTTGAGACTGCTTGGATGTCAGGAATCGCCCTGATTTTCTCGCACTAAATTTGACAATTTTTTTATTCCGACATACCTAAGTTCACTTTCAAAGCTGGCTTTGACTATGACTAAAGATTTAATCTATTTGAGTTTGCTTGAGTGTTTGAAGTACAAGTCATATTAAACTACCAAATTAGGAAGGTCCATTCTACATTTCTATGGCTCATCTCGGTCCGCTCCGTTATTGCAGGAGCTATCCACTTATATGGGGTCCACTCTAGCCCTACGGAATCTATAGTCCTACCTACAGGAGTAAATACAATATATCCTCGTGAAAATGCTCAAAATGTCCTAAGTGAACACTAGTTGAAATCTTACTTATTGCAGTCATTACATCTAGCTTCAGGATTACCAAGGGTGAAAGCAGTATTCGCTGGGGCCGAATCTTCACACCAGAGAGTGAAACAGTCTGGAGCAACTAGTTAAATGTACAATATCCATCTGACACGACACTCGCGGGGCCAGCAGAAAGTTGAAAGATTAATTTGTATTACCGCATCCGCCAGTCTTTTTTTCGTTTTGTCATGTTTGGGGCCGGGAGGGAATGCTTTCTGGGGGCGGGACTAAGCCTGCTTCTTCCTTCAGTCGAGCAACTGCCGGCCCGAGAGCGAATGTACTGTCTGGGCTACTGTGATCGGCGCAGGGGCTGTGTTTCAGTGGGAGTAGCCAGTCTACCACACTATATCCCATCACTTGTTTCAAGTTTTCGTAAGGGCTACCCAGGTCAAACGGGTTTTCGCCCGGCTGGGTATTGAGAATGGCAAATACATGACCCTGGATCTGATGTTCGGCCTGTAGCCGACTGGGACATGTCAGTGATTCCGTGGGGTAGGAGACCGTGCGAAATGTAGGTGCCCAAGGAGAGTCGGCTACCCAGAGTCGTTCCAGGAGATGTTCTGGTACTCGAATGGCTAGTGTCCAAACAGCAGTATGACGGTTGAGGTTTTCTATCGTGGTGATATTGAGCGAGGCCATCTGAACGGAGGTCAGGCTCATACCGCCGGAGAAAAAGCCAAAAAGCCCGGCTAGTCCTATGCATACACATAGATGTGGATTGACACCTCCGGTCTTTTGGTGGGTCAGTCAGGAATATCTCATCGCTGAGTTGATTGTACTCACATTGCGTCGCAGTTCCGCTGTGTAATATGCACAGATAATGAGAGTAAAGCCACAGAAAATCGCTGTATACGACACGAACTGGATAAAAAACTTGAATGACGTTTCTGACACAACACCGCCAACCCTATGGTTCGTCAGCAAGTTAATCTAGGAGTGAAGAAATATCGGATGTACCAAGGACAGAAATGGTCCATTTTGCGGACACAACGATCTACTTCACGACAGTGATGCGATCTATCAGGCTTGAACTGACAGCATGTCGAACAGTACGCTGGCCGTCCGTCTTCCTCGCAGACAAATACATTCTTCGTATAGAAGCTATCCAGACCAGCTGGGTTTGAGGATTCTATTCCTTTTAGACTCTTCACCCCTCGCTCCAGGTCCGTATCGGAGGCGGCTGGTTTTTCAGTATCCCGTGTCTTACTGCGACGGCTCTTTTTGCGATGGTGATTATGCTGTTCAGACGAGTCTTTCGAGTCGGGGTTTATATGCTGGGTACTGAGGGGGACGAAGGCAGAATTCCATAAAACATTATATAGAAGGCGGATATATGTAGCCACCATAGGTATTAGGAGAAGATAATAGATGGTGATAATTGCGGCGCCGGCGCCGACTCGACGATTTCCATTGTGGGAGGGTAAAGGGTGAAAGAGAATATCGACTGTCGCAGGGATTTACAAGTCAGCTTTCAGGCTCAAGACTCTAAGAGTATTCCTAATCCTTCAGCATCTGCCAAGGGTAGAACTCACTGCATAATTGTTTTGTGACTGCGTAGCTGGCGTAGGCTACGACTCCAAGAAGCACAGGCGGCACGACTTTGGAGACGGCGAGATTCGCGCGTTTCTGTGAGGGGGTCGCCATGAGATGAAATATGCCGCGGTCACAGTATTAAATGCATTTAGATCAGAGGAAAGAGGGAAACCTCGAGAACCTGGGAGGTCTTGAAACCAGGTAGACTGGTTCAAAAGCAAGGAAGATCGAGATCGACCACGAACAAACAGCTGACTAATTGAGGCAAATTTCGAAATTCGAGATTCATTGACGACTCGACAACCACATAACACTCATGGCACCCGGGCATTAATTCATTATCATCAATGACTGAATATTGGTGGCATGAAATTTAGACCAGTTTTAACGGTAAGATTACTCCCAAAACTACTATCTCTAATCTCAAACACGGAATAAGAATAAATGCGCATATTGCGGCTGGCAATGGATGAATCATGGTTGAGTGCAGGACGAGAAATAGAGAAAGGAGAAAGGAGAATGGAGAAAGGAGAAAGGAGAAAGGAGAAAGGAGAAAGTATTATTGGGTATTTCATTTCCCGAACCGGGGAACATGAAATTGCCTGGGTGATTGCAAACATGCAGGCAGCAATCAGGCCAGCTTTACCACCTGATCTATGACTCCATTCTTCAGAGCTGAGGCTTTAACCCTGGTTTTGAGGCGCAAGACATCAATAACCGTCAAATATTGACATCACAGAAAGGTCACCGTTAGTTCGGGACTTCCGAGTCATCGATAACCTGCACTCCCAGGGTTAACTGGGCATGTAATGCGGTGAGGTGAGTTCGGCTGTGTGGAGTAATCGACTGAGTCAACTTTCCAAATTTCATCATACTTTATTTTCAGGCCCCGTCTAGATTGTAGAATACTGTGCGTTCCAGCTGGACATTAGCCGCACTAAACCTATTTTTCATGCCCGCCAAAGCAAAGCCACACGGGCGGTATGTGAGGCGGAAGCAGTAAGGCCAACGGCTTCGGGGGTCAACTTCTCGACTCTTTCCTAATTTGGAAATTCGAGAAGCCCGAGAAGCCCTGGAGCGTGGGTACCTAGTTACAAGAGATCCTGGGTTCTAGTGCTTCTTCTCTTAATTCCTTTCTTTTTGTTTCTTTTCATTATTTACTCGATTTCTAATTTTCTGATTTGTTCTTGGGAATTTCATCTAATACGTCGCTCGTCCTTAAAAGAGTCTCATAATCCCCTTCTGCATTTCCAATTCAATTCACCTATTTACAACTCAATCCAAAGTCCATACATTCCTGTCGACTTATATCAGTCTTTGAAATTCCTCTTAAAGACAACACCTTTGCTCTTATAGAGTGTTCCTATTCATCACCATTGAAGCAGTCGATCCACTTCAACATTCCCTCATCTACTTCAACAGCTACTTCAATCTCAATAGTAGCCATGGCCGATGTCTGGTATTGCTGTGACTGCAGCTTTGGACCTCACAGTCAGTCCATCCACGATGCCTGTACTGGCTGTGGACGTAAGCGGTGCTCTAAGTGCGAGGCTGGAAACCACTCGATCAACACATCTCACTCGCACTTGCACTCCCACCCCCAATACTATCCAAATTCCGACTCGGACTCAGACTCTGAGCCTGATTGTGATCACGACACGATACCTTATCCATCTGCTGTCGTACCCATTATGCCTCATACGTCCACCACGTCAAATCTTCACGTCCACTCATTATCACGGCCAAGCATGCCCAGTTCACCAAGTGGAGGATTCCGTACCCACGGTGGATCGTATATGTACATCTGCTGCCATTGCAAGGACGGACCGAAGGTCTACGACGTCCAACCGCAGTGCATATCCTGCTCCCATAAAGCTTGCTCTTCGTGCACTTACATCAAATGAAGCATGGTCTATCTCATGTATCCTTCTGCCAATTCTGTCAAGGAGGTGGTTATCATGATTCAGTGATGTCACCCCTTCTCTTGCTGTATCTTCGATATTCCCCGGCATTTACTGGTGACTTTCTCGAGCTCATGGCTGCGCATGAATCTGTTTTTACTCCTTGTTTTCTTTCGAGTTTTTTCTCTTTTTTTTTTTTTTTTTGAGCTTGCTTTGAATTTTGGTTAGGGTTGGTTGCATGGTTCGGACGGAAAGAGTTGATTCTCTTATACACATTTGGCATATCTCGGTATTTCGGTTTCCTTTTCCTTTTCCTTTTCCTTTGTTGTGATAGAGTCTTCTATACTTTGATTGCCTGATTCGGTTAGAGCGATAATGATGTAACCTGACAGGGCTGGATCCCTGTCAGCCTCGCAGTGAATTTATTGTTTCCAGTTTAGTTAGAGAAATCCCACATTCCACTTCAACTCAGTCCGATTCTCTAGTGCGCCCTCGTAATATAAAATTAAAACAGAGTCATACATGTCCATGTACAGGGTACACTTAGCATGAATCTCACATCGAAATACATGAACTAGATACCGCAGACTCATGATAGTTCGATTCTGCTTTCGTGGCGTTCAAAATGTATATTAGATCCAATCATCTTACAATATATTATTGAAGTGCAGGGCCTAGTTCCGTCCCTGTTCCCCTAGCCTCGGGCGCATTGCAGAACCCTTTCACACAAGTAACCCAACACCGCCAGATGGTCCTGCACTCTTGCTGATCCAGCCCTACAAGCCTAGTTAATGAGCGGTCTTGTCGTGCAGCACTGTTTGTACTCCACGCTATTTTGATCTCCACGACTGCGCCCAGTTGACCTATCCACACCGACTCCATCAAATATCCACACGGTGAACCACACCGACCCCAAGTAATGTTTCGTCCATCGAGGCCTCGAAAGAGGCTGTGTTAAAGACCCGCTAAAATGGATTGTGAATTATATGCACACGGTAGTTTCCGTAGTCTACCGTAATACTCCTTTTAGCACCTACTTGGAACTCCAATGACGAAGTTGAGTATCCTCTGGAACAAAGTGGAGCGGCCATTGAAAATACTGTGCAGCTAATGGATAGTACATATCCGATTCCCGATCGTGATCGCTCGCTTCTGTGGGTTTCCGTCAATCCGATTCTGCCTTGTGGGATTTTGACTCACAAAACTACCCCGTACTCTTCATGCCTTGGAGTCATCTGCAACGGGATGAAAGTACGGAGTAGAATCCTTAATGGGATATTATCATTTATTGTCATATTATGATGATATTCTAAATTTCTCCGTACTTAAGTTTCAATCTTAGAAGGCCTTCTCTACGCCCCGTCGGACTACAGTCTATAGAGTCTATACTTAGCTCCTGTCAACCTAGAGAACCTAGAGAGCTCTACGCCCAGGTACTCCATACCCAGGTGTTTGATTCACATTCCTCGTAAAGTGATGAAGATTACACCCGGGTAAGATTTCTAGTTTTTTTTTTTTTTTTTTTTTTTTTTGGGAACTTTTCATAGACATGCTTCTCGGGGATGGCTTCTTTTGTCATGCCCAGGTCAGGCCGCCATTCATATCCTGAGTCTACGTTGACACCCTGGTGAACACCTGGGTTTTATCGTGTAATTTGTGTTATGTGTTTCGAATTCTGAGTTCTAATCCTCGAGTTCGTGATACGATGCATATAGGTATTGCTGCTTTTATTGAGAGGGGCCTAAGGCGGAAAATGGTGGCAGAACAAAGCTTGAAGCTCAGACGTCACATGACTTTGGGTATAAGAGGGTAATTGCTCTTGAAACAAGTATAAGACAGATGCTGGTTGTCGAATACCAACTACCTACCTACCCGTGGACCTCTCTTGAATCGACTGCCCGGGTACCCAGTGGGTTTACATAGATCTAAGGACCCTTTTGACCTCCAGGTCTGAATGTTTCATCATGGATCCCTTCCCAGGTTCACTGCCTAGCAGTATTTCTGAATCCATGGGTATGGAGATGAAAATCAGACCTGGTTTCACAATGGGCTTATGTAATGCTCACTGAGGCGTTCAGCTTCCTGGCCTAAGATTAGCACTGCCCACCTCAGACCTCACAACAAGCGGCAAGCACTGAGCACTAAAAAGTAGAGGAAAAGCCAAGAGATGGATGTACCCAGGACCCAGGTTACAGGTATTCCAAAGTTGTTAATCGAAAGAATATGATTTAATGCTGGACGTAGTATTATAGAGCATTACATTACACTGATATGAGTCAATATGTATGTCAGACATGCAGATCTCGGGAATGCCTAGGCGCATATGCAGTCTTGGTCGGGGAATTTGGATCATGTACAGTTCCAAAGTTCCAATGTTCTCTAGGTAGAGGCTCTTTGGATCTTGCATGCCCAGTGCATATGGTCATGTTTCGGCCCGAAGGTATGTACCTACAGCGGCTATTTCCATTCATACCCTAGCAGGCCAAGTACCTAGTATCTAATAAAGTCCTAATTGAGGTGTATAGAATATGACTGCATTTAAACTATAGAGGACGTTTCCTCCAGGGCTATGCTTGGACCAGTGAACTGGCAACGAGAAAAAGACAAAAAGCGTGTGATGGGAGCCCAATTTCCCAAGAATCCCTGAAAGTGGGATTGTAAAGTTACGAGCGGGGCGTCGATGCAGATCCCTTCAACTTGGACTGGAACTAGTCATAGCACGAAGATTGATCATATCAAGATTCAGTCTCACTGAGGCTTGTCAAAGAGAACTCCTAAGAGAACCCAAATGAAAGAATGGCGGCAAACAAAAAAATATTCAGCAGGGGAAAAACTACCTCGGCGCCCAGCTAAATGACGGCGTGGTTGGGTATCGTAAAGAAAGATTGTTCATGCGGCAAATTGTTGTCGTGCAAGTTGGCCAAAAACAAAGTATTTAGTCGAGTGATATGCCAACTCACCTTCCAAGGTTGTCTGCCCGATGATTTACGGGAAAAAGACGCGCCTACGGTATGCGGCTATCTGATGGGCCATGTCGTTGAAATCATGCACTTTGCGTTGTCGCATAGAGTTGATAAGCGACTTTAGACCAGCGAGGTAAGCCCGTTTCACTTCTTCGCTCTGATGGCTATCCTCAGTATCACTAAAAGCGCCCAACTGGATCAAAATATCATGATCTACAAAGGTTAGAGGCACTGGAGTTAGCATTGGGACCGGATAGAGAGGAACATAGGAAAGAGCAACTGGATTATGCAAGGAAATGAGACAGAAAGGAGAGGGAAAGCTAGATTTCTGAGAAAACTAGATAAATGAAAGAAAGGGCAGGTGAAGGATAATAGATATCGGATGTATTATTACCTTCAACTGGTGGACTCACCACTCAAAGTCAAGTCTCGAAAATGCTGGTATTGGCAAGACTGATCATTGCACACCCCGCCGGCCAGCTCAAAATCACAGAGAAATTTGTTAACATCGATGTTATTGCTGTATTTCGTCGAACGGTAGTCGCCCGAATTTGTCTTCTCAAAGTCCCAATGGCGTCTATAAGACTTGAAGCGCTCCAATGGGCTTACATATGGGGTAAAGATGGAGGATGATTCATTCTGAAGAACATTGAGTTAGTACTTGAAAATGAAAATAGATAGACATGGAAATGTAATAATTACACCGAGCTGAAGATCAGATTTTGGTGACTTATTTGACACCAGGGAAGCGTCCATTGATAGTTGATCGGGCAAGGATCCGGCCGGCGAGGGTACACGATTCCCTGTCTTAGCATCTGAAGAAATATGGCTGTTTTGAAATTTGTAAGCATTTGAACCAGTGGCAGGTTCCGGGGGTTCATAAGCATCCGAATCTGCGGATGAATCACGAGAACTATCAAATACCCTTTCAGACTCGATGTACTGTTCGGGCTCATAATAGTCTGAATCCGAGTCGCCACTTGATCCAATCGCGGTTGGATCTTCAACCATGCTGTCAGTGTTTCCGGGGTCGTAAGAATCTGAATCTGAGTCCGAATCCATATCCATATCCATATCCATATCCATATCCATATCAGTATCCAAATCTGCGGACGGCTCCTGAGTCATGGTGGCAACTTGAATTTCAGTGTCACGACACTCTGACGGCATATCCATAAGCGATTCTGTAGACTTTTCTTCAACCATGATGGCCTGATTTCCGGTGTTATGAGACTCGAGATTCATAGCCACATCCAGATCCACAGATGATTGAGAACCATGTTCTTCGGCATTAATATCCTCATGACCAGATTTCTCCGACAAGGTCTTTTGATAAATGGGTAACTCTGGTCGCTCAGGGAGAGGATGCTCAGGGAGAAGGCGGGGCGGGATTGTTGGGGTTATCTGCGTCTCGGTTTGTGCGGGTGTTGATTCGAGTGGGTGAGTCGAGGTTGATTGCTTCTCAGAGACTGTGGGAGCTTGTTCGATTGCAACATTTGGCACGGAAGCAGGTTTGAAACCGACACCATCCTGCACCGATTGAAGAGTTACCTCCACGGCGGGCTGCTCAGGATCGTTGGTCGCATTGTCACTCAGCGAACCTAAATTGACATTTGATGGAGTAACAGGTGCTTTGGCCGATGGATGCGGTGCATAGGTGGCAGGTATTCTAGCTCGCAGGAAAGCCAGTTTCTCCTCTTGCTTCTTCTCTTCTTGCCTCTTCTCTTCTTGCCTCTTCTCTTCTTGCCTCTTCTCTTCTTGCCTCTTCTCTTCTTGCCTTTTCTCTTCTTGCCTCTTCTCTTCTTGCCTCTTCTCTTCCTGTCTCTTCTCTTCCTGCCTCTTCTCAGCCTCCGCAAGCCTGCGGCGCAAGTTCGCAAGCTCCACTTCATGTGGAGTCAAAGCAGGAGATCCTTTCACTGGAGGCGATATTGAGTTGTTTGATTTCATGCCTTCATCAGGGCCCTCGGGAGGTGGACTCAAATCCATGGGATACCCCTCCTCGTCATCCTCAAAGTACTCGTCATCACTGATGTCAATGACAAGACGAGACGCTGAACTCGAACGACCGACTTCGCGAGTAAATGCCAGTTGCCTCTTCGAAGCGGGAGCTGGCTGATCGAAATCTGCTGCTATCGGCCGTTTACGCTGAGACGTTCGGGACACGGGCGTAGTGTTAATGGGTAGTTGTTGAATACCAACAGTTGGTTCCTTCAAATGCAGTTCCTGCATCGATTCCGTCAAGAAGAGCCCTGGGATCGATGTGGAGTCAGCAGAATGGAGACTTTGGGGGCGAACAGGGAGTGGAAATTGCATCTTCGGAGGTGTCGGGGGTACAGAAGGAAGTGAGACTTGGTTTTCGTCAGCAGTTCTCATTTCAGGTTGGCTAGATTGTTGAGCTTTCCGCTGGAGTTTCAGCTGGAGCTCTTGCATTCGCTGTCTAGCCAACTCAGTCTGGGCTTGGTTCTTTTCTCTAATAGGCGCCTGCACAGGTGCTTCAGCCGCCTTTACCTGAGCGCCAACAGAAGAAGTTGCAGAGGTAGAAGGGGCGACTGATGTGATGACGGAGTTGGTGTCCTTTGGCAATTGTTTCGACGCTAAAGCCTTGGCAGCATTGGCGGCTAGCATTTTGGCAATGAAGTCCTTTCGCTCCATGGGCTTTCCTGAATCAGTTTGAGGCGCTGCGACAGATTCAACAGGATGAGGTGCAACAGGGGTTGGCTTGTTCGGGGCTTTGGTGGATGTGGCAGGGGAATGTGTTTGAGCTTGCTGATTTGAAAATTGATTCTGGTGAGGGATAACAACAGACGACTGGTTATCGGATGGCTTGCCGGTTTCTGTGGTTGTGTATATTTTCTTGGCCTGTGGCGGGGTTATTTTCAGACCAACATCCGCATAAAGACGAGCCAAGATGGTAGCATCGACGCCTTCGCCAACCATTTCATCATAGCGAATTCCGTGAGGGTATAAACTAAGCAAAGCGCCCTTCGCCTGAACTCTAACATGAAAAGCATGATCATATTCTGGAGTACCAAACGGGACGACATCCGTCGCTTCTGGGGGACTGGTGTTTGCAGAAACGGACGAGGGTGGATTATATGCTGCACACTGTAAGTTGGAGACAAGTGAGTTGAGAAGATGAAATGATACGCACGCGATTCACTCATCTTGCCGTTAGAAGGTGAGCTTTGCGAAAAACACTCACCCTCTTCCTGGTCAGAATGACGAGAAGACAGATTGTGATCTTTGGCACCCTTATCAACCACCTGTCGGTCCAGTGGACGGGCAGGGAGCGAGTGATGATTAGGAGACGATTCAATGAAATCCTTCGTCTTAGCCTCACTTTTTGATGCAGTACCTTTCTCTTCAATCACTTCGCCTTCTTCGATATTAGGGTCCGAGGGGTTGGGGCTCGGCGCATTAAGTTTTTGATGATGACGCTTCCGTTGCGCTTTGGATTTACCCTTGTCTTGCACAGTTTCAGCTGGTCGAAATGCTGTTGCAGATGGGTTAAAATTCTGGGTGGGTGGGAAGGGAAGAGGAGGCAAGAAAGGGTTGAATTGTGCAGAGTTCAAGTGATTCTGGATATGAAAGGGGGGAGGGTAGAATAAAGTGTGTTCACCAACAGCGCCTGGTGCCATCATAGGTAACCATGCGTTGAAATTTGACATATCGTTAGGATTTTGGGCTGGTTGTTGAGGGGTTTGTGTAGGATAATTGGGATTTGGAGGATATCCTGGCGGGATCAACCAAGGCGGCAAGCCAGGCGGGACTGGAAACCCAGATGGTGGTGGTTGATTAGCCATGGTGAAGGTCCCAGCTCAGTAGATTGAAAAACTACGGGGTGTGATAAGCGTTTCTTGAGAATGGATGCGCATCTCAAAGCATGACGATGTGTGATCCACCGAGGGTAATTTTCATCTACCCAAAAAACAAGTCAGCATAATCATACGATTAGCATCAGTAAATTAACATACGAGAACAAGAAATTTTATTATGCGTAGAATACCGCCCAGCTGGGAGAGATATTTGAAACACTCAGGTGAGAGTGAAGGAAGCGAGAGTGATAAAAATGTACGGAACGCGTAAGGTCAAGCGCCGAGGAAAATCAGGTGAAGTCACGTGCTACTTTGAGCACGGGCCCGAAGATCGGCGCCCTAGGAACGGAAAGTAAATAAACAACGTCACTCCCCTCCACCTTCACTTCACATGCTTTTTTGTCATCTGCACAACAGACATATTCTAAATCCTTTTTTTTCCGTGCAGCATTGTTTAGTATTCTCAAGCAAACTTCCCCTCATCTAGATCCTTCATCAATTGCTGATCATCTCGGCTATGGGAAACGGTTGGCTTGAATGATGAACTACTAAAGAACACATCAATATGCTTCCCTCACAGCTCAACAGCACACCGAAGCGTGGGAGTGCATTTATGACGTCTAGCTCCCCATCTTCACCCCGTGCAAATACAAATACACGACCCAAATCAGCTATCGTCTCATCAACAAGTGGACTAGAGTCGATGAAGGGACATCTCCGTAATTCATCAGTGTCCCAAATATGTCCTCCTCTTTCCCCAGTATCTACGATTCGTACAGGATCTAATTCGGTCCGAAATAACCCCGCGTCAGGGACGTTTGCTCCAAAGTTTATCAAGTCCGAGGAAATGCGACGTGGGGCAGACCAAATCCGAGGACAAGAAGGCGACAATGACTTTTCCGGGAACAAGTATGTGTGGCTGCGAGATCCTCAAAAGGCCTTCGTGAGAGGACTGGTTCTGGAAGAATTGGAAGGAGGACGTTTGCTGGTCCAAAGTGATGATGGTGAGGTACGACCTTGGTCTTAATAATTTCTAAGTAGAGAGAGAGAGAGAGCTGACATTTTCAGCAGCAGCGGGAAGTGGACGTTGATCAAGTCGACAAGGTCAACCCGGCCAAATTTGACAAAGCTGACGACATGGCCGAGCTTACCCACCTCAACGAGGCCTCCGTTGTCCACAACCTACAAACGAGATATCAATCGGACTTGATCTACGTGGGTCACACGCATATTCTAACAAATATTCTAATCTGTACTGACTTCAATGACTGGCAGACATATTCCGGGCTATTTTTGGTAACAATCAATCCTTATTGCCCGTTGCCTATCTACACCAATGAGTATGTGAAGATGTACAAAGGCCTTGGAAGGGAGGAGACTCGTCCACATATTTTCGCCATGGCGGACGAGGCATTCAGGAACTTAGTGGAAGAGGGCTCGAACCAAAGTATTCTTGTGACGTAAGTTCTCAATTCCATAAATGACCATCTCAGAGACTGAACTGAGCATCTTTCACAGCGGCGAATCCGGAGCAGGCAAAACAGAGAACACGAAGAAGGTCATTCAATACCTCGCAGCCGTAGCAACTACCGAGACACCATATGGCAGATCAGGAACGAAGCAGTTTTCAACGCTGTCTCAGCAGATTCTCCGGGCCAATCCTATTCTCGAGGCATTCGGCAATGCACAAACAGTGCGTAACAACAATTCTTCTCGCTTTGGCAAGTTCATTAGAATCGAGTTCTCACGATCGGGTCAAATTTCCGGAGCCTGGATTGATTGGTATCTGCTTGAGAAGTCTCGAGTGGTGAAGCCGGGTAGCAATGAGCGGAATTACCATGTGTTCTATCAGCTGTTGCAGGGGGCAGATCAAAAGATGCGCGATGAGCTCTTGCTTGATAATCTTTCAATCGGTGATTTTGCCTACACAAAAGACGGCAACGACTCTATCTCAGGTATCTCTGATACCGATGAGTGGAACTCTTTGATCGAAGCCTTTCACATCATGAACTTTTCCGAGCAAGATCAGATGTGTATCTTGCGCACAATTGCGGCTGTTCTGCACCTTGGAAACATCCCAATTGCCAAGGAGAGCCTTCGTGCCGATCAGGCCGCCCTGGGCCCCGATGGTTACGCCAGCGTGGAAAAGGCTTGTAAACTTTTAGGTATTCCCCCGGAGCCATTTGTGAAAGGCCTGTTGCATCCTAGAGTCAAGGCTGGCCGCGAGTGGGTGGAGAAAGTGCAGACTCCTGAACAAGTTCGACTGGCATTGGATGCCTTGTCTAAGGGAGTCTATGAGCGCGGATTCGGGGACTTGGTGACCCGAATAAACAATCAACTGGGACGCTCTATGGCCGATGACAATTACTTTATTGGTGTTCTTGATATTGCCGGTTTTGAGATCTTTGACGAGAATAGTTTCGAGCAGCTTTGCATTAACTATACCAACGAGAAACTGCAGCAATTTTTCAACCACCACATGTTCGTTCTCGAACAAGAAGAATATGCTCGAGAACAGATCGAATGGCAATTTATTGATTTCGGCAAAGATCTCCAGCCGACCATCGACTTGATTGAGTTAAGCAACCCTATCGGAATCTTCTCGTGCCTTGACGAAGATAGTGTGATGCCCAAGGCGACCGACAAGTCTTTCACTGAAAAGCTGCACTCACTTTGGGACCGGAAAACTCCCAAGTACCGATCCTCTCGCCTCAACCAGGGCTTCGTTCTCACGCATTATGCTGCTGAAGTTGAGTATACTACTCACGATTGGCTGGAAAAGAATAAAGACCCAATGAACGATAACATCACGCGTCTTCTTGCTGCATCCAATGAGCCGCATGTTGCGAACCTGTTTTCCGACTGCGCAGAATCTGAAGACGGCCATGAACACCCTCGCAACCGAGTGAAGAAGGGGCTGTTTCGAACGGTGGCCCAGAGACATAAGGAACAACTTTCCAGCCTGATGACTCAACTACACTCCACTCATCCCCATTTCGTCCGGTGTATTCTTCCTAACCACAAGAAGCGTCCAAAGATGCTTGAGGCTCCTTTAGTTTTGGATCAACTCCGATGTAATGGTGTCCTTGAAGGCATTCGGATTGCTCGCACTGGATTCCCCAACCGCTTGCTTTTCTCCGAATTCCGCCAGCGCTATGAGGTCCTCTGTCAAAGTATGCCAAAGGGCTACATTGAGGGACAGGCTGCGGCTCAGATCATGATGGAGAAACTCAACATGGACCGGGCTTGGTACCGTGTTGGAAGAACCAAGATTTTCTTCAGAGCCGGAGTTCTGGCAGATCTGGAAGAAAAGCGTGATTTGCTCATCAGGAGCATTATGACTCGTTTCCAGTCTTTGGCTCGAGGCTTCACTCAGCGACACATTTCCAACAAGCGGCTGTATCGGGCCGAGGCCACAAAAATCATTCAACAAAACTTCCATTCCTACTTGGAGCTCAAGGGGAATCCTTGGTGGCGCCTATTCGCTGGCATGAAGCCTCTTCTGGGTGACACTCGCACTGCCAAGGAAGTGAAGAAGAGAGACGACAAGATCAAAGAACTTGAGACAAAGATGAAAAATGACCTCTCCGATCGGCAAAAGCTGGATGAAGAAAGGCGACGCACTGAGCTTGAGATCCATAAAATCCAGCAAACTTTGGAAAGCGAACGAGCTCTCGCGCTTGACAAAGAAGCCATATTCAAGCGCCTGCAAGACCGAGAATCAGAGCTTTCTGAGAAGCTTTCCGGAGCTATCACAGATCAGGAGAAGCTTGAAGAGCAACTAGACGAACTGATAGATGCCAAGAAAAAGACCGAGGAGGAACTTAACCTCCGGATTAGCCAACTAGAGCAGGCTGGTCACATCATTGAACAATTAGAGTCAGAAAAGAATGAGCTGCATTCCAGGCTGAAAGACCTCGAACGGAAACTTTCTGAAGCTGAATCTCACTTCTCCGGTAAGGAAGATCAGATTCAAGAGTTAACGCAGGGCGTCAAAATGCTCGAAAGTCATGTCAGTCTGAAAGATCGCAAACTTCAGGAGCTAGAGGCGAAGCTGTTGAAGACGGACCAAGATCTTGACGTCAAGCTTTCCAACACTTCAAAGGAACTGGAAAAGTCAAAGAAACAGGTTCGCGAGCTTGTGGATGAGAACCGGTCCATTCGCCAGCAGATTTCGGAGTTATCTGCCACTTCCACTAGCTATGAAGATCTCCTTCGACGTAAAGAGAGCGAGATAGCTGTCTTGCGGAACGATGCGAAGAAATTCGATGAACACAAGACATCCATCGAAGCTGAGAAAAAGACCATCTCAGTGCGCCATGACAATATGCAGAATCGTCTTCGGGAGATTCAAGCTGAGAGGGATGCTATGCGAGCAGAGAAGACCCAGCTCGAACGCGAAGCAACCGATATCAAGCGATTGCTTGAAGAGAAGCGGTCCGAGGATGCCGAGGCAGGAGAAAGCAGAAAGCTGCTGGAACACCAGGTTCGTGATTTGAAAGATCAGCTTTTCAAGGCTGAGGCAGACCTGAGTCGCGAGCGCCAGTCAAGAGATGATGTTCAAATGCTAGCCGAACACAACCTCGCCGACTTGACAAATAAATACGATGCCCTCAATGAATCCAAGATTACAATTGAGAAGGAAATGTACATCCAGCAGGATAGCCTCCGCCGGGCTACAGAGGCCCGAGTTGCCGCGGAGACTTCACGGAAAGATTTACAATCAGAGTTGATCAAGCTTCGTGACAGGTTCACTGATGCTGAGAATGCCCGCCTGAATGGCGAGGCTGAACTTGAACGCAGCATCAAGAAACAAGCTGATGAGCGCATAACGAGCCTTCGTAAAGACCTTGATGCGAAAGCAGATCAACTCGAAGCTGTGGAGTCAGAGCGATCCCAGCTTGCAGTGAAAATTCAAGAACTCAATCACGCAATCTCAGAATCTGATAATTTCCGTATTCGCCATGATCAGCACAAGCAACGCCTGGAAAGAGAGCTTGTTACCCTCAAGGGCCGCTTGACAGCTTCCGAGAATGACAATAGATCTCTCCTAACTAAAATTCAACAAAAGAACCTTGATATTGCTCGATCCACATCCAAAGCCAGCGACAGCAGCCGACTTCGATTGCAGAACGCTCAGAAGGAGAAAAGCAAAATTGAAGAGGAGAACAAGAAGCTTAGCCGCCAGCTTGGCGATTCGCAACTTGCTATAACATCTCTTGAGAAACAGAAGGAGAAGCTCTCACTGAGCTTGGAAGATCTCAACCATGAAGTCAGTCGTGAACACAAGACGAGTCGCAACGCTGAAAAGGCTGCTTCCACTGCCAACCTTCAGCTCGCAGAACTCAACCGTACTCTGGAAAATGAACGTCAGATGCGCAGCCAGGCCCAAACAAATACTCGACAAACTCAGAGCGCTATTGACAGTGCAAACCGCGAAATTGAAGACCTCCATCGCCAATTAATTCTATTGCACCGAGTCTTTGAACCAGAAGCATCAGAGCCTGCTAAGTCATGGGAGGCGGTTCAACCGCACTTGTCGAAGCAGGTTGACTTGGCGCAGGTTCTGGATACTGTCCAGCACAAACTTCAGGTTACAGAGGAAAAATACGCAAGGGCTGAGGGTCAGCTCGCTGAGATGCGTCGTCGCCATGCGGATGAAATGATGGAGCTAGATTCGAAATTCTCTTCCTCTAAGCGCGCTCTTCTGGAGGAAATTGACCAGAATGAGGTGTCCAACAATCGCACACCCGGACACTTTAGAAAGAACTCCGAAAATGCCATGAAGATGTACTCGAACCCTACTACTCCTAGCCGACGACACAACATTTATGAAGCGCCAGGAGACTCAGCCCGCTCTGATAGAACTGTCGATACAGTGGGATACCAGAAGCGCATGGACGCAGCTGCTGAGCTTGAAGAGCTCCAGAACAAGCTTCAGATGACCGAGATGCAGAACAAGCATCTACAGAGCCAACTCCAGGCATTTAATCCTAACCAAGATATTTGGCAGGATGACAACCCTTCTGTCCGTCGCATGAATCTTCTCGAGCGTGAAAATGGTCGTCTTCACGACCAGCTGGACGACTCGGCTAAGATGGTTTCGGCCCTCGAACGCAGCATCCGTACAGGAGACCTCTCACTTCGCGATGTCCAGGCTAAGTCACACGAGGAATTGTACGATCTTATCAATTCACAGGAGCAATCCCGTCGCTCTCTGCTCAAGTTGCACAATGATACGATGGCCGACTTCGGTGAGGCGAAGACACACTTTGAGAAGCTGAAGCGTAGCAGGGCAGTTCTAGAAGTCGAGCTTCGGGATGCCCTATCTGAGACCCAAGAGCTACAAGCTGCTAGGGATCAAGACTTCGTGAGCCGAAACCAGCTCCTCCAAGAATTCTCTGACTTGCAAATACGCCTTGACTCTGAGACATCCCGAACTGCTGATCTTGAGTCAAGCCTCAGCTTGTACAGAAGTCGCGCGAACGAGTACTTCAGCAAACTCGAACAGGCCGAGATCACCGTTCTCAAGGCTTCTCGTGCGGAACAGTTTGCCAAATCTCGAAGCCAAGAGGCCGAGGAGACTTGCAGTCAGATTATGTCCGAGCGAAAGGAGTTGGATGCGCTTGTTGAGGATCTGCAACGGCAGACACAGTCTTTGGAAGCTCGCATGGAGGATCAAGGTGCAGAGCTTCAAGGTGCTTTGCAGGCCAAGCAGCGCCTTCAGAACGAACTTGAAGACTATCGCAACCAGCGGGCCATTGATCTTGAAGACAAGGAGACTTCTATGGAGCAGACCAGACAAAAGTACCAGCGTGAGTTCTCAACCATCAATGGAGAGCTTGAGATGGAGCGAGAGCGTTTGCTTAATGTTCGCGGAGAGAACTCTCGTTTGCGCCAAGAGCTCGAAGATCTGCGAAGTAAATGGGACAATGAAGTACTCAACAGCTCAACCTGGGCGAAGGAGAAGTCCCGCATGGATATGGTTCTGCAAGATGTCACCAACTCCCGCGATGAAGCCACCCAGGCTCACAATGAGGCACAGAGCAAGGTTGTCTCTCTCCTCTCTCAGGTGCGTAATCTCCGCACTTCAGTCGATGATGTCGTCGCGGAGAGGGATCTACTTCTGAAGGATAAGAAGATGCTGGAAGGTCGACTGGCCGAAGCTGGCGAGCGGCTGGAGGATCTTGCCAAGGGCGAGAGCCCCTCCATGCGCAACGCTGCTAGCATGGACCGTGAGCTTCTCGAACTCAAATCCAAACTTGCGCAGCAAGAAGATGTTTCCGCCGCTGCCGTTGGCAAAATGCGTCGTGCCGATGCTCTTACTACTGAGATGCAGAAGGAGCTTACTGCTGAGCGTGAAACCAACGCTCAGCTTTTCAAGGACAAAGCCGGGCTGGAAAAACAACTAAAGGAAGTACAGCTCCGATGTGTTGACCTGGAGACTAAGAGCTACTCGTCTGGTAGCCAAGACATCCGGTTCTTACACAAGCGTATCAAAGAGGTAAGCTAAGCTTCAACAATGTATCACGAAAACATACTAACGCTCAATGCTCTCCATAGCTTGAAAACCATCTCGAAGACCAGGAGAGCAAGCACAGCACTGAGCAGCGCTCTCTTCGTAACGTCGATCGCACCGTCAAAGACCTTCAGTCTCAAATTGATCGTCGTGATAAAATCAATACCCAGCTTACCGATGAGGTCAACAAAGCACGGGATAGAATTGATCGGCTCCTCCAAAACATTGATGAGCTTCAGCAAGGCGATACTGAGACTCGCCTGCAGGCTCGCCGTTTTGAGCGAGAACTTCGTGAGGAGCGAGAGAAGGCCTTGCGGTTGGAGCGCGAACTCGAAGGGCTAAAACCACTGCGCGTCGAACGAGGCAGTATCATGGGTCGATCACCCATGACTGCACTCAGCGATGCGGGTAGTCGACGAGGAAGCGTCGCGTATGGATCAAATGATAGTCCTCAACGCAAGCCCAGCAACACGAAGGGATTCTTGTGAATGAAGAATGACTTAATGAGTGTCTAACGTCTGACGTTAATGCTGGAGTTACAGTCATGGTGCTATTTTTTTCTCCCTCTTTTTTTTTTTTTTTCTTATTCTAATGACCTCTGGCTGGCGTATTTGTGCATTGAAACAGGAACACTCATGTTCATATGTCCTTCGTTCAATGTATCTGGGTTTGTATTCTGGATGTATCTTACTCTCTATTTTATCTAATGCTACACTAATTGGAGTAACTGTTGGTTTGAAAGGAAGGATGGAGGTTGAAGTTTAGGAACAGAGTTATCCAAACCCTTGGAATCTGAATACAATAATACCTTCAATTGAACAGATACAAATGTAAACCCCTCCAAATTCAAACCCTGCTGATGTTTTAACCTCAGCATCAGTTGACAGCAGTATAAAATAGAACAATCAATTGGTCAAGTAAAATACAAAGGTAAACTCGTAGCCGTAACATAGCTATTGCCAAATCCATGGATGGGTTAATAGTCAGACCTAGGTCATTAATCAAGTTAAAATTCCCGGATTACTATGAATCTAGGAGCAGCAGGAGTACTGTAAGCAAGACAAGGAGTTGAAATAGTTGAAATAGTTTTTATTGAAAGTTGGTTTTCAAACGTGCTGGTCACATTCAATACTGAGAACAACTCTTGAAGGGGCCTCAAGAATCAAGATTGTTCTCAGCCAGCACCGTGAAACATGTCAGAAACTAGATCACTTTAAAAGTGACCAGCGATAGTCTTAGGCACATATGGCTCCTCTAAGTATTTAATATCCTCTTCAGCCAGGACCTTTCCGCGCAAATGACACACGTCTTCGAGCTTATCGACCGAATTACAACCGACGATGGGCGATGTACCCTTGCTACTAAGCCAAGCCAAGGCGACGTGGCTCATCGTCCAGCCCTTCTTCTTTGCAATCTCCTCGACACGGTTGATAATTTCTTCATCCGCAGCGGTCACATTGGGGTGATGTGGAGATGGGCGCTTTGATCTGATCGACTTATCAAAGCCCAATGGGCGTGCCAGTCTTCCAGCGAAGAGAGGTGACCATGGAAGAATGCCTACTCCAGTTTCCTTACAGAAACGAATCATCTCGCGCTCTTCCTCACGGTAGCACAGATTATAATAGTTCTGCATAGAGACAAACTTAGTCCAGCCCTTCTTCTCGGCAAGGAATTGTAGCTGGGCAAATTGAGACAACCACATTGAGCTAGCGCCAATGTAGCGCACCTTGCCGGACTCGACAAGATCGTGGAAAGCTTTCATCATCTCCTCTGCAACGGGTTTCTCATCAAGGCGCTGTAATTGCAACAAATCAATGTAGTCGGTTCCTAGGCGCTTCAGAGAAGCGTCCACGGCGTTGATAATTCCGCTTCGGGTCAGGCCTGGTAAGTTGTCAGCATTTTGAAGAATCAATGTAGGCTCTCGATTTCATCCTACCTCCTTGATTGACGTAGTCCTTGCACTGGCCCATCTCATCGGGGAATGCAGCGCCTAGAACATCGATCTCCTCTCCAACATGGAAACCGATCTTAGTCATGATCACAACCTTTTGGCGTGGGATGTTAAACTTTTTGATGGCCTTTCCAATGATTTCCTCACTGAGACCGTTAGAGTAAGTGTTCGCGGTATCCCAGGTGTTAACGCCACGGTCGTAGGCTACTTTCAAGATCTCGAGCGAGGTCTCTTCATCAAGAATCCAAGGTGCAAAAGGTTGGGGCTTTCCGAAGGCCAAGCAGCCTAGAATTGGTCGTGAAACACGAAGGCCCGAAGATCCAACTTGCACATACTCGACTTTGGTCTCATCGAGAGACTGTTGAAGGGAAGCTGGTATGGGTAGTCCGTAGGGCATTGTTGTAGTACGATTAGGTGTAAACCGGCTAAATGAACTTAGAGGTAATATGCTGGAGAATGATTTGAGAATTGTTTGCTTTTTATTGATGGTTTACGAGCCTTTTATATGTTGTTCTGAACATACTTCTTACGTCCGGCGATAGTAATACAAAAGCTGCGGTATTGAATCGGGTTTTGCAAAATCCGAGTCTCGGAAGACATTTGGCCCGGACATTGCATAGATGATAATTTTTAATTCTTTAGCTCGTACGAAGCTGAAGTTTTGGCAAGTTCTCATATAGAATTTCAGCTTCAGCTTCTAAAAATCAGCTCTGTAGATGTGTTTAAAGTTTCGGAGTGAAAGTGACAATACGTGACTATGGTAATCCTCGTACGAGCTTTTTATCCGCAGAATATCAGGCCTATTCCAGGGCAAATCGGCACATAGTATTTTAGAGAGGCGGTCTTTGAAAGCAAAACTATGTGAAGTATTTACATAGAAGTTGCGATAGTTACAGAATTTACACGCTCACACCTCAGTGACACCTGTCCCTAATCTTCGACTACCTTCACTGTGCTTTCCCTTGAGGTTATGACCCTTCTTAGCTGAATCGACATGCACGTTCTGACTGTGCTAGCCTACGAGCGCTCCCGGCTCCACTAGATAGGCAACTTAATTGTAATTTTATATATTTAACTCCATTCCAATGTTGGCTGCAGTGAGTCGTCCATGGTCTCAATGCGGAACAAGTCGCTATATCATTTAGTGTCATACTCTAGTATTTATTTAGTCTTAAATAGTTAGATTACTTACTCTTAAGTAGCAAAGTTCCCATCAATGAAGCAGGCAAGGAGATCATCAGTGCCAATAAGACCCCAAGTCCCCACGATAAACAGCTGAATTTGCAGTTAGAAAAGCACTTTTTCCCGTTTACTACTTAGCAGAAAAACCTACGACAAGAGCAATGGCAAATACTGAAAAAGCTTTCCCGGTCAACAAAGTGCTTTTCTTCGGCCCAGTGAAGGAGTTTTTGTGGGACCCAACAGACTACAGTTCCATAGATGATGCTCAAAATTATTGCAAAAGCCTAAGTCTCATAGAACCACAATCCCATGGCCTTGCGGCACCGCCACTAAATCCCTGACCATTCATATACTGTAGCAAGTAAATGCCAAAGAAAAGGAATTTATACCCAAGACCATCATTTGCACCTGATTTAGCCACGATGATCCCTTGCAAGGCCACTGGTACATGCTTATCAGCAAATTTGCCCTTCATTATGGAATTAGACAGGACTGGATCAATGGCGTGACGCCTTTTTGAATGTTAGAATCGGAAAAAACAAGTGTTATTCAGTCATCGGAAATTTGATTCGGGTATAATATGAATTTATCACTCGCAAGTTTCATGAAAGCGTCAACGGAACAAAGCCAGGTCAGACCGGCCTAGATGGTATGTGATTTTATGTGGCCAACGAGGACTTATGAGCTGAGATCAGACTACGATGATCTGACTGGAGTTCAAGTCGTTAGTTACATGGTTACTGATGATGTTAAAGCAATAAATTACGGTAGAATGTAAAACCGGGTATATAATTCCTAAATAGGGTTCAATGTACGTTCTTATGGGACATTTGTCAGATGAGCAAGCTGCAATACAGAGAATATTAGCATGACTAAGGATGACACGCTCAATCAAAGAGAAGCTACCAATTTTTGCCTTCATCTAAGTTTTAGTAAACACATATCACATGATCTATGAATGGAACGGACCCATATGTCATGATCACGTGATATATATCTGACGTCCCGACTTTCACAGTTCACCCGCAGCTCTAACTCGCTTTTCTCTTCTGTGCCGTTATTATTCCACGAGCTCCAAACGCTACACGATAATTGCCCTTGCTATTCTACAAAATGGTAAATCTTATTCCTTTCAAACCTGAAGCTTTTATAAAAATTGAAAGCTTTCTAGCCCCGACTGACTTTGCTAATTCTACTCATCGGAACAGGCTCGTAATAGCGAAAAGGCGCAGTCTATGCTGTACCGCTTTCGGGCGCAGCAGGCAGCGGACATGGGAATCATCGATATCGGACGCGACCGCCGACCCAAGGCCATCACGAGCGTCGACTCGTTCCCGACGTGCGAGCGCTGGCGAGGCCAAGTTCTTCGAGAACTTTCACGCAAGGTCACTCGAATCCAAGAACCAAGTTTGACCGACTACCAAATCCGAGATCTGAACGATGAAATCAACAAGCTCATGCGCGAGAAATTTGCATGGGAGATGCAGATTCGCAACTTGGGAGGTCCCAACTACACACGTGGATCCGGTCGAGTTTACGATGACGAAGGGCAAGAAATTCCTGGCAGCGGCAGAGGTTATCGGTACTTCGGTCGGGCGAAAGAATTACCCGGTGTCAAAGAGTTGTTCGAAGCCGCGGTGCGACGCTCGAAAGGGCAGGACGAAGAGAAAGCTGTTTCTGGTCGCGGTGGTGACATTGCGACGCGAAAGGTCGATGCCAATTACTACGGATACGGCCTTGACGAAGAAGATGGCACTCTCCTCGCATACGAGCGACAACGAGAGAAAGAGGCCGCTGAGTACGTTCGTAGCAAGAACCAGGAGGATGCCGAAGATGGTTGGGAACCGTTGCCGGGTGATGCTGGTGACGGCGTGGAATGGCGACTTCCTTCACTGGATGAAGTGCAAGAGGAACTGGTTGATCGACGACGCAGACGTCTGTTGGATAAGATTGCCTAAGCCGTCATCTTCCTTATGAAATCCTTTACGCCTGCTTTCACCTTTCAGATTCCCATTTCTATCTCAACTTGTATTAGTTCCGGTGCTTTCTGGCGTTCATTTCATTTCAATTCAAATTTCCTCACCTTTATCTCACTTTCAAAGTTACTATTTTGACTTTTGTTTTCCACTTACTTCCCCTACCTTCCTTCTATCACTTCAAATAGCTTGAACTGCCTTCCTCTTCCTCTTCTCAGATACCTAGGTATGCACCTTCTGGTCTACCGCTGACCGGCCTAAGGTACCCGACCATTGGCATCAGTGGTTTCCTTGGGACATGAGACTCTGAATGCAATCAAATTGACCACATTCAGGCTCAACGTGCTTAATTTTATTATCACGGCGAGCCTTGGCGCGCTCATGATGTTCGAGTTTGATCGCCTCTTGATTCACAATACCTCAGGCATGCGACCTCAGGGATCTTCGAACTAGTACTTTGATGCTACTTGATGTTAAGATTTGAGCTCCAGGACAGCATATGAACAGTCAAAGCTACCACTCAGCCTTAACAACAGCGACCCATGTTGCATGAAATTGACCATTGACCAACTCACTCTGAGAGGTAGAGAGTATGCGCGCTTTGTCGATTTGTGCACTCAGACCCGGTTTAGTGAAGCCTGGGCACATCTTCCCTAGTTCTTGCTTACTTGCGATTGAATAGCCAGAGTATCACAAGCAACTCACTCCCACAATGACTCTATTGCATGGGATTTACGAAGACAGTCCAAGAGCTAGACCTGAAACCAGTTACTAAGGCTTTCAATCAAGCTTTTTAACACCTACCCACCATGGCTTCGATCTCAAATTCTCGATCGACGATGGAGACACCTTCTAATTTGGACAAAATCGATTTTTCTGGACACCCTGAGTCAGCCAGCACCCAAGGATGAGGATTTTTACGGCCGTCCCCTCAGATTACAGAAATTCTAGACCCTAGACCTTAGCGACGGTTGGCGAGCCGAAAAAGACTTCCAGTAACACAGACCCGACCTTTTACAAGGGCACGGTGCGAACATCAACGAAGCGACCGATCCTAGGTACATCCTCCAGAGCTCGTAATAAATTTCTCTGCGTTCATCCTGTTTTGATTGAAGCGTAACGGATGCTTCTAAGTTATGGTACACATCAAATGTTCTATGTTCAATGCAGTATTTTATTACAACCTTTTTTTCAAGACAACTATTCAATATTGGGGCTATTGACGTCGTATTTCTTTTTGCGAGATATCCTCTCAACCTTCAGTGCCTGGGTCATGCTTAAACGTGATACCTGCAAAGGATCATCCCGCCGCCGTTGTTCCTCTTCAAGATCATCAAGTAAGAATCGACCCACGTCTCCTTGTCGCCATTTCTGTATAAAGCTCAGAGCAGCACCATCAATGTTGGGTATCCCGCCCTTCCCAAGCAGCCCAGTCTTTTGCGCAAATTTTTCAAGTAAGGGCATCACCTCATTAGTAGGTTCAGACCAGCGTTGATACGCTTGCGTATCATGCAAGTTGATCTTATATAATAGGTAGTCGACCAGTGTGATGGGCGAAATTACAGCATCCTTGACACAGCCACAAAGCGCGAGCTTGAGCATATTTTCTGCATCTGACACAAAAGGCATGAATACCCCTGGAGTGTCCAAAACATATACATGCGAGTTACCCTCGCGTTCAATGATCTTCACCGGGCTACCGATCTTCCGTGTGATACCCGGCTGGCCTCCAGTCCTCAAGGCCTTTGCTTTTCCCACACCATGATTGCGAAGATGATTGATGAGAGTAGATTTGCCCACATTGGGCATTCCAACCACCATTATACGGCATCCAACAAGCTTATCAAGAGACTGAGCGTCATTGCGGAGCTGCTTGAGGATTTTATTGAAGTCTGCGCGAGAGGAAGTGTTGGTGAAGAAGACAGTGCTATCTGGATCAAAGCTTCGAACTTTGTTTTCTGTCTAGAGCAACGCTATGTCAGATTGCACTCTTTGTGAGGAGTGAGGAATCGATGCGACTCACTAGACTCTGTGCGCGTGATTGGGGAATGCTCCCAAGATCTCTCTTGGTATAAACAACCAGCCGTCTGATCTTACCCAATGCTTCTTCAAACAAGGGATTAATTGACGTAACTGGAGCCCGATAGTCGCGGCATTCAATAACATAATCGATCGAGGTGAGCATGTTCTTCATCTTGCTTAATCCTGCCGCGTGGTGTCCAAGAAAGTAAGACCTTGGAATAGCTCCATAGTGGGGAAATACTTGTCGCGGCACAAAGCTTGCCATTTCTGTAATTCCAAAAAATGATATCCTTATGTGAGAAGCCAATTATTTTTGACTTTAAAAAGTCAAACTGGTCGGAATAGACGTGAAGCCATGGATATATTGCCGACATTACCGTTTTTATAGAGGCGGTCAGGAACGCGGTATGGCTGCTAATATATAGTTAAACTTCGAGCTTGGTTCAAGCTCTCGAACTATTCTCCGTTAAAAGAGGTTTATCGACTCTAATTCATTCAACTTCTTAGTTTTTGATATTTTTAAAAGTACATAAAATTTCACCAATTGACAATCTTTAACCATAAAGCCCCAAAAAGCCTCCATCTACGAACATGTCGTCATTACGGCAAAGATCGCGCCCACGTCGTAGAAAGACAAGAAAACGTGATAATGACACTACAGATCTTGATTTTGAGGGGAACACCCAAGATCCAGATGCCCATTCGATCATCACACCCTCAAAACACACCCCGAGACCCTTCAGAGTATTGCGGGGCTCAGTGTCGGCTGGGGGTCCACTACGTCCATTTCGCCTCATAAAGCAAGATCTTGTCAATCTTCGGCGGAGATATGTGACAGACTGGACTGTGTTTAATCAACTTATCTTCGCCAGCGCAGTCTATGTCTTTTTCACGAATCTTCTGCCCGGCATCACGTTCGCTAGTGATTTGTACGTGCTGACGGGTAAGAGCTGGGGCACGATTGAGGTTGTGTTCAGCACTGGGCTCTGTGGCATAATTTTCTCCCTGTGAGTCTGCTACTTATGATTTGCTCCTCCTGATGCAAACGGTGTGGTGTTAAACGGCTTGTGTAGGTTCTCGATTCAACCCCTCACTATCCTCGGGGTGACAGGACCATTCTCCGTCTTGGCAGAGAATATATATTCATTATGCATTGAAGTGTTTGAGGTATGTTATTTTGAAGCCTTGATACTACGACTTATCTCATATTGTTCTTTCTAGGTCCCTTTCCTGCCATTTATGGCTTGGTCGTTGATCCATTCTGCATGGCTACACTACCTTCTGGCTATCGTCAATGCACACGACTGGACCATGCGCTATGTGACGACGTTTGCAACAGAGATATTTTCTCTGCTCAATAGTGTCATTTATTTTCACAAGGCTATTCAGGAACTTGAAAGAGCGCATTCAACTCTGTCCTTCGCGGCATTTCTCTATGCCGTTATAGGGGCAGTTGGTACTATGCTCCTTGCCATATTTCTTTCCACAGCTGAAAGCTGGCGTCCGCTCTTCCATCGGTATATTCGCCTTGGATTGGCAGAATATGCAGCAGCAATTTCGATTATCATCTTCATCGGTCTCCCCCATGTTGGTGATCTAGCCAACCTAGACAAGATGACTCTGGCCGTCAGCAAATCATTTCGGCCAACGTCTCCTGACCGAGAGATATTCTTCGTGGAATTTTGGAAGTTACCAATTGGATGGATCTTTGCGGCTGTGATCCCAGGTCTAATAATCACTATCCTCTTCTTCTTCGACCATGAAGTTAGTTCCATCATTTGCACCATTGACCGGTATGGAACACGCAAACCCGGGGGATTTGCCTGGGACATTGTTCTGCTCGGAACTACCACGGCTCTTTGCGGTATTCTAGGTATACCACCCTCCAACGGTCTCCTACCACAGGCGCCTTTGCACTCGGAGTCCCTCATGCACACAGAGAAAGAAGATATCAGTGTTATTGTCGACGGCGAAGAAAAGATCGAGAAGCGTGACGTGCGTCGTGTATACGAGCAACGCTGGTCAGCTTTTCTCCATTCCGGTGCAATAATGCTATTTGTCAGTCCGCCGTTTATGACGGTGCTTGGCTTGACGCCGACCAGCGTCCTTGCGGGACTGTTTCTCTTTATGGGCGAGCAAAGCCTATCTGTCAAGTGAGTTTGAGAACGTTAAACTCCCCATTCACAGTTATTAATTTTTAGTACAGCCCTATTCTGTATCGCACATTATATCTTCTTACTCCACCATCTGAGCTACCAGTTTTACCCAACTCCATGCGCAAAACTACCGAACTTCCAGGTATCACTGAAGAAACCCCGCCACAAAACCCCTCCTATATTCCAGTCCACCTCTACACGTCATTGCAGATCGTTATTACTGTAGTCATCTTTATTCTCACACTAACGCGCGGCGCCCCGGCATTTCCTGTGCTAATTATCGCCCTCGTGCCATTCCGGCTTATGGTAATGAAGCGATGGTGGCCACGCGAGGTTCTACGATTCGTTGACGCATGGGCTTGTCGAGAAGGGACCCCAGAAGATGACGAAGATGCCAAGATGTCAACAGCCCCATGGAGTTCTAGTACTGATGCTGTTGCAAGTGGAGGGATTTTCCAACAAGATTTAGATTTGAATTCAGGGGCGAGGGATCTTTCTTCGGCTGTAGAGTGCAGTGCTACCCTTAATGAGATTCGTGGTTCTGGAATGGACGTCAAAGATCGGGGTCATTGGGGGATAACTGATGATACAAATCATGAATGGATGGAGCTAGAGCCTCGAGATCTTCCTGATGAGGAACAGGGCCATGAAAAATAGATAGTGTTATTTGGAATGTAAGTTGATGAGTAGGTATGTATGAAGATGAACCGGGAGCAACATGTTATTTATTATCATCGATATTGATCAAGTCTTTCAAGGGCTGGTAAAACTGATAGAATAAATTAAAAGGAAAACAGGCGTTCAAATCATGGTTATCTTGATAAACTAGCTATAAAGTTGTGTTTTTATGCCCATGTGAAGAATATTGAAAAAAAAGTGCAAAAAATGAACAATGCCCCCACCCGGATTTGAGCCGGGAACCTCGAAGGAATAAACATGTAAGTTCCTTTTCAGGATGGATACATAAGCTTCGCGCGCTAACCAGTTGCGCCATAGGGGCTGTTGAGTTAAGTAAGCCGCTCTTAACGACTTTATAGCTTACCCATTCACAATTACGGAAAATAGCTAGATATCTTGGAGGGCTTTATTCTTACCCAACAATCGCTTTCCACGATTCAAAATAATTCGAAGAAATCAATTGTAGATCTGCTTCAAATCGGGTTGAAAAATGTGAAATCCGGGGATAAGCAATCAATCACACACCAGCTGGTTAGTTAGTTAATGAGAAGAAGTTTTTCTAGAAAAAATTTCTAGATTTTGGTGTGGAGTCTGAGCCGCTGAGTAATCTGGACTGTCTGCATTCATCATGCTATCATAACTACCCAGTTATAGGTATGGGTCATTCGGGTTTGAGGTCGAATGAAGTCGTTAAATAGCATTGCTGGGTATCTGTATCCTAGTACAACATATCAATGCGCCTGTTTAAAATCCAAAAAAATAACACCTGCTATCTCAAGAAATCCTTGCTTTTTCATGCTCTCCATCCTTGTACAAATTCATGCAGACGATCTATTACCACACCAAAGATCGCATTCACGCTGTCCCCAATGAGCTGTTCAAAGTGTCGAATGGCCTCCTCCTCTGTCATCTCGAGGTGGAAGCGTTCCTTGACTTTCAACACGGCCTTATCAGGCTCAACCCGGATATCTGGGATGTTGGCATCGACCATAAGACTGAACAAGTTCAAGATCAAGTTGGCAGATTTGCGCAAGGTTGTGTATGCAGTAAAACAGTATTGTTTAAATTGAAGATAGTGGGGTGAGGTTGTGCCGCCCATTCCCTCAACCATTTCTTTGCAAAGCTTCATCATAGGGGCAAAGGGTTTCGGATCCCGTCCAAGAATGAATCCAAAGTCGGCGTGGAAGAAATGGCCATCTGGTGCCAGGAGCAGGTTCTCCAAGTGTCGGTCGCCGACTCCGAGAAGGTAGGTTATTACGCAATAGCCTGCACAGGACTTTATGTACGTGTCCATGGTCTCTTTGCGAACGCCGAGGGGCTCGTTCTCATCGGGATTGTGCTCCTTGAGGTAGGCGAGGATGGACTTGTACTTGGCAGAAGCCGCCGAGAGAGACGTCGATGGAATGAACTGCACTGCACCTGCAGTGGAACTGGTGGCAAGAATTCGATACGGGGTAAGCTTCAGATCCAAATTTTCTTTCTGTAGAAGGCGATCCATCAGGATGATGATCTGGATGACCAGTTGATCCTGGCGAAGATCGTCGCCCACCTTGAACAGCAGCGGGTACGGTCGACCATCGGTTGTCTCGAAGGTGATAAGTAATGGAGATAGTGTCGACTTAAAGACATTAGATTCCTCAGGGTAGCACCCAACCACAGAAATGTCAGGATCTAGAGGTAAAGGCAACGGAGGATCGATTTGTATAAGGTCATTTTTCGGATCACGTAGCAACTTCTTTAGCTTCTCAATCTTAGCAGGGCGATTCTCTCTCGAGAAGCGAATGTCTTTAGCAATTTTTGATAGCACAGCAACCATTTCACCTTGCCGAAGAAGTGTTTTCCGATGTTCTGATCGAACCTTTTCAAGTTCGGCCATAAAGTAGTACTCCACTCTTGCAAAGAGCCGTCGCTGATTGGGACCGGCATCATCACATTCAACCATAAGATACCAGTGTAGGTAATTTCCAAGTTTAAAGTTCTTCGCCGCACGCGTGATGAGGAAATTGGCCAGGGAGGAGTCATGAGCAGCATCGTCTTCATTTTTGTCGGAATGCTCTTCGTATTTCAAGGCCTGAACCAATTGCAAAAGATATAGAAGAAGCTCATCGTCATCTGCCTTGCGCAGTCTTGCCACGGCATATGAACGCACCGCAGTATTATCGAAGGTGGGGCCGAGAAGCTCTAACGCATCATCCACGTCAATCTCAGTCCAATTTGGCAATATTTCCACTGCCTGTCGAGACTCTCCTTCATCGCGCCAATTGACCGATTTAACAAACTTTGTCAAGGCTCGTTTCTCCCGAGTAAGGTAGTATCTGAATTTCCAGATAAAGTCCTTTTCCTCGGCCGTCAGGTCTTGTGTAGGTTCGTACGACAGGATGATGTTCAATTCATCGCGGTTCTTGGGGTTCGGTTTGAGATCCCGATCCATAAACCCAGTCCGGTGGCTACGGATCAATCGCCGATGTTTGTCTTCGCATAAATTTCCTGCCTGGCCCACTTCCGGGTCATAAATTCGGACTACGCCCGCCCCACCTCCTCCCTCGATCCCGGGGCCAAACCGAACCTCTGGGACAGGTTTCAATGTGGAGTTAGAATGAGCAGGCGCATTTGAGGAGGAATGATGAGAGATGGGCGGTGGGGGGTATTGGTGATCAGCCCAGACTATCGAATGGTCATAACGCGGGAAATCGACATAAAGAACAAAGTTCTCCTCACTCAATTCTTCCTCGTCAGAACTATCATCATTAGAATCATGGGCCCTTGGTTTCAAGCTCTTCAGATGAATGGCTCGTTTCCTTGCAGCCTCCTCCGCTTGCATCTTAAGTTTTTCAAGCTGACGAAAGACCATCTGGTCCATCCAGTCAATTCGGGTGATTTCACCCATCTCATGTTTCTTTATCAACACCTCAATCCGCTCTAATTCCGTCTCTTCCATTGAAGGTGCCAGAACATCACGAATATTGGACTTCCGTCTTTTAGGGGGCGGGATTGATGGCGTAGATGTTCTGGAGAAGCCATCCGCAGTTCTATGTCGATAGATCTTGCATTTATGTCGCCCCATCCTTAGCTTTCCATCGTCATCGAACAAGGATATAGTTGTTCCACCAAAGGGAACATCGTGGCCCTGAGGACCATCGCCCGCCAATGGGGACAAATCCCAAACGGTTATCGCCAGCTGGGAGTTAAGTGGGACATCCTTGATGGACATGGGCATTTGCAGCCATTCATTCCATACTCTACTAGTCTTGAATGCTTTATAGGCAGTCTGTAAGGGTACACCGAGAGACTTCGAATTCGACCATAATTGGACAGTGACAAAAAGATCGGAGGACTGGTTTTGGGTGGATCCAAGATATCGTAATTCGGGGTTCTTGAGAAGACGCGTGAATGGAATCTGCTTCTGCTTGCCTTCTAGAGATCCGCTAAAGGTCTGTTAGTTAGGTCAACAATTATATTTAAAACAAGCACATACATCTTAATGCAGATGGGTAGATCCACCTGCGTGGAGAGCGCAAAAGTGAAGGCCTCCATGCTAATGACCCCATAGCCGATCTCGAGAGCTGGTTAAGCTCCACGGCTGCAGGGAGTCTGAGTCAGCATCCACTATCATCACGTGAACTTTCAGACCGCTTGTTCTCCCAATTGTTAGGTGGGAGACGACACAACTTGCCCAAATTGTAGATCATGCACTATGTCCCATTCCATACCATTATCTTATATGGATACTTCCAGCAACAATTACGCACTGGAGCTATGGAATAAGACCATCTTCATATAATAATAAGCTATCCCTTCAAAGGTAGGCCGTCTACTGAATTTTATCACGAATTGATGCGTTATTCCTAGTACTACCTTCAATATCCCTAATTACATTAAACTGCACCTGCTCAAGTGGTGATATGAAATATCGATAATTTGGTTCAAGATCTAGCCTAAGATTTTAGATCGTTTCTAGAGTACATTCTTCTTTTGGATCTCTTTGTCCATGACCCGAGTTTGAAGCGCTTGCCCAGGTACTAGACTGACCTCTGCTACTTGGTTAAAAGGTTGAGTATCCTTCGTTTGACCTACTCCAAGACTACTAGTATCATTCGTAGATATTCGACAAGTAAACAAGTCCCGCGACGCGGTCAAGGGTCACGTGTCGAGACGCGATGGCACGCGCGCCCGAAATCATTGAATTTGACGTATCATTCATTTCTGGTTTCGTTTATTTCAGGGTTCATTTTAGAGCTGAGGGGCTTTGAACTGTTCAGCTGTCTGTATTTATTTATTTATTTCTCTTTCTTCCTTTGTTTGTTTTGTCTTTTACCCTTTCACCTTTCACGTGTTCAAAACCTTGCGAGTATGGCACCCATCTCTCTGCATAATCTGGACGAGCCAAACGCCTACAACTCAACTCCTCCGTCATCTCCTGACACTTCCCCCAACAAGGAAAATCGCCGACACCATTGCGACAAGAGACATAGTGTTGCTGAAATGTCTCAGTCAAGTAAGCGACGCCGCTTTACTGATCGCACCTCGAATATTCACTCGCAAAGCTCCTCCTCGCAACAGCAGCGCCGGCAGAGCAACAGATACTATGACCCTGATCAGGATGAAGGTGAACGGAGAGAGATTCGTAAAGGGCTTAGAGATCTGACTCGTGATCTTAACGGTAAATACAACCGGCGCAAATGTTATATTTGCAGGAGTGGGATAAGATTTATGCTAATTCTTACTTCAACAGACTCTCGCTCCGAGTTTATGCGATCAGGAAATAAGGGAATATACGAAACTGTTGAAAAGGCCAACAAGCTCTTTGCCCATGTTAAGCAGACTGCCGACGCAACCATCGACTCGCGCCTCTTGGTCAACGCCGCCGATCTTTCGCACAAGAAAACGGCGCAGCTCACTCTCGGAAGTTCAGCTGCTGGTATCGATGTAGACGAGTTTGTGTCTAAATGTATCTCCTTTATGCGCCACGGTCCCGGTGGCTCGATGCCTAGCGGTGGGTCCCGCCGCAATCGAATGGGTCGCCTTACCCAAAGAGATAATGATAGTGGCGATGAAGACGATGGTGACGCTATGAACTGGGAATGGCTAGGTCGGACAGCCTGTTTCCCCCACAATGCCCGACCTCCGGTGTCAGGATGGCTACTCGGTCCACTTTCAGTGCAAAAGCGAGTGCGGCAGGTGGTCCAACGCAGACAAAATGAGAACTTTAGCAATGTCGAAAGAAACCAGCCAAAAGATTTGGCGCAAGAGGATCTCGGACAGGAAACTGCCAATCTTACGACCATGTGCTCCAATGTCAATCAGTTGCTTGCCAATCACATGGCTGACGCGCAAGATAAAGTGGACACGATCCTCAGTGCGGAGAATCCGACAGAAGATAGAGTACAGGAAGTTATGGCCGATTGCAAGATTGCCGATGACGGCGGTACTCCCCTTTTCCAATTTTGCATCAACCCCAAGTCATTTGGGCAGACTATCGAGAATCTCTTTTATGTCAGTTTCCTGGTTCGAGATGGAATTGTCGGTGTGGCTACGGACAGTCGCAACCTGCCAACCCTTCGTAAGTGACTGCCAATTAGTTGACCATTTTTATACCTGTACTAACGTCCCAGACTCATCGGATCCGTATGCGCCGAGTGAGGCTCAGAAGAGAGGCGTTGAAAAGCACCAAGCCGTCTTCAGCCTAGATTTTGACACATGGGAAAAGTTGATTGAAGAGTTCAAAATTACTGAATCGATTATTCCTCATCGCGAGGAAGAAGACGCGCAGACTGGTCTGAAGTGGTACGGATAAGCCGGCGACTTAAGAGAATGCGACCATGTGAAATTGACGTTTCTGCTTCATGTCCATGATACCCTTGTTTTGTTGTCTTGAATGGTATTTAATGTTTCTGTATTTTTGGCATATGATAAATTAGCTTGAACGAGAACGAGTTGTGCCTAAATTATGATCTGTGGCTGGACCGAGGTTGATGTATAAGCTTATGTACCAGACCCACGTCATCGATAAGTAATCTTCCATGTTCTATAGAGCCTCGATCGCAACTGCCCCTTTGACAGCTTCACCCACCTACAGTTGATTTCTTTTTTCTTCTTTCTGATCTGCTCTCTGCATCTGCAGAGCCAATCCTACATACTCCCTCCATACGCGGCCGCAAGCTCTCAACTGAGACACTCACGCAACATCTACTTACACAAGAGCTTTCAGAATGCCTCAACTTTTCCCTGCTAATCCATCGGCGCTGATGGTCATTCGCTCCGTGACACCTAATATCATCACGCACAGTTTGCCCTTTGCACGCTTTGGAATCATTCGATTCGGCGGCCGTGGAACTCTGGGTGAGTTCTCGCTGCATGGAAACTTATCTCTTACGCGTTTGACCAAGACAAACTAACTCCTTGCGTCCTGCACAGTCCGACTTATTACCGGAACCCTCGCTGTATTCTCTCCTGTTAGCCTTACCCAGGAGGTGCGCCAATCAGTTGAGTCGCTTGGTGGAAACCTGAAGTACATCATCGCACCGGATCTTGAACACCACCTGAACATCACTGCCTGGAAGAACGAATACCCCGATGCGGTCATCCTGGCTCCTGAAGGTCTTTGGGAGAAGCGTCAAAAGATTCCCGAGTTCAAGGATACCCCATTCGAGTATGTCTTCAAGAAGGACGGAACTCCGCGCACAATCTCCCAAGAGTTTGATGCCGAGTTTTCGACCGAGTACGTGTATGGCCATGGGTCACATGAACTTGTTTTCCTGCACAAGCCCTCACGTACTGTTATTGAAGCCGACCTGGTTTTCAATTTGCCCGCCACTGAGCAGTACTCCAAGACTGAGGATGGTAGCACAGCCAACTTCCTCACTCGAGTGGTCGTCCCTCTGCTATCAATTGGAATTCCTGCTACTTGGCAGCGTCGCTTTGCATGGTACATCCTCTCTTCAAAAGACCGCAACGCTTTCACCGAGTCCATGAAGCGTATTATTCGGTGGGACTTTGATCGAATTATTCCATGCCACGGTGATGTGATTGAGACTGGTGCCAAGGATTCGTTTCAGAATGTGATGGCATTCTTCCTGCGAGAAGACAAGCGACATGTGTGAGTGGGAGCATTGCACATAGAAGGGTTGAAGGATGCTCTTGCCTATCTTGTATTATTCCTCTTGTTTGACTTGACCTCTGCGTCCGATATTACATTAGTGGCTTGGGGTGTGTATAATAATTACTATTGAATCGGAAAACAGAGCTGTCTTTTTATCTCTTGTTTAACTGGGATCAGCAGTGCAGTGCATTTTCATCTGTATGAAACAAGTGATAACACAATAATTTGATCCCATTGGTCTAACCTAATTAAGGTATAGATAATATGGGTCCAAAATAAGGACGTCATAGGGCTGGAAGTATGGAAACAACCTAAACTACTTCTAGTATAGATCGTCAACTATAAGCCACATCAAGTGCAAAATCTTCCGCATCACGAGGTCACCTCGACATCAGTGACCCATAGCGTAAACAAAATTTCAATATACAGGGATTAAGCCGGTTTATCATTTCAATGACAACGCAACTGCCAACAGTTTCGAACTTTATGCTTGACTTAGCCACTGCTTGCAATGAAGACAAATTAGCAGTCCCGAGGTTACTATGATGTTTAGGCACCAGCTATTCTGATAGTACTCATCACAGCCCGATATACATTACGTATGTGATTTAGGCGTCTTGAAAGTTGGGTTTTAGTCTCTTTCCCAACCAATAATACTATAACGTTGATAAAAGGTTCTAGATAAACTAGTCCTTTTCAGGGGAATCTGACGACATGAGCGGCTCGGATGAATCGGCTGTGGGTCTCAAATCTTTATTTTGAAGTATCCCATACTAAGGAAGTAAATAGCAAGGTACCGCTACTCTAAGCTGGCCCTTTGTGGCTTGTATCTAATTTGTAATAGGTGGAGCACCCTTGCTTCATCGTTTTTTTTTCCCTGACTTGGATCTGCAGAGCCGGACAACTTTTAAAGCCTTGCTCAACCCCTTGGCCAGGCTTTGCTCTTGTCTCATACAAATAACTTCGAATTTTATCAAGTACCTGACACTTTTCTCTTTTTCGATACTACCTACTTAACCTATCTGTATTTACTTGAGAAGAGCATCGTCATGCCTGTCATCTCTCGCCTATTGTCCATTCCCCTTCGCGTCGCGGAGATCGCATTCGCTGCTGTATGTGACTTGATGGATTCATTCATATAATAACTAAGGTCTGACATTCTTCATACAGGTCGTTGCAGGAATTATTGGATACTACTTGGCCCAATTCCGCCACACTGATGTCTTCCCCCATGGTCGCTGGATCTATACCGAGGTCATAGCTGGTCTCTCTATACTCCTTGGTCTCATATGGCTGATTCCTTTCTCCTTTGGCTTCTTCACTTGGGGCTGTACGTCTTTCCCTATACACCATTCTCAATATTATCAAACTTTAAATCGTACTAATGCACTAATACAGTGGACATCATCATCTCGCTCGCCTGGTTCGCCGCCTTTGGTATTCTCGTCAACGCCCTGAACAATTTGTCATGCGGCAGCATTTGGTCGTGGAACTTTAGAGGTGACAGCGAGTGCGCGCGCTGGAAGGCTGCCGAGGCTTTCAGCTTCTTGTCTGCTATCGTTTGGCTTGTTTCAGGTTTCCTGGGTATCTGGTTCACCTTCCGTGCTCGTCGGGATGGTGTTGGTGCTCCTCCCACTGGCCGTCGCTGGGGTCGTCGTAATCATGCCGTGGTCTAAGGGACTCGATGCATAAACACGCACAGCAAAATAACACTTGCTTTCCCAGTATACTTCGAGGACTTGTTTCATCTACTTCAATTTAGATGTCAAGTCTCTTAGCTGTGGAGCCTTCCTCTCTTCGCTATTTGCCAAGTGAATCTCGCTCGCTTTATGATACATGTTAAGTTTAATTCTTGTCGGTTTGTCCTCATTATCATGGGGTACGACTTAACGATTTATGTTGATGCTGATATACCCTTGGTGCACTTGAAATGGTGCTTTGATATTTGACTCCTTATTGTCATAGCCATTCGCTTTAGATACAAAAATGTACAAATAACATGTTCCCTGTAGGTCCTCTTGGAAGTGCTAGATGGATAAGCTAAAGTAGAGACGAATATTTATTGATCTGAAACGGATAAGCCGGAGAAATTACCTCTATCCCCAATTAGGACTAATAGATTCGTTTTGAGACTACTTCCATCAACTCTTGCAACAGCTCCCTCGCTCTCTTCTGATCCCTATGGTTTTCATCAGTCTCCTTCCCTCCTTATATCCATTCCCTCTTTCTAAGCGAATAATATCTTGAATATGACGAGAAATCCTCTCAATCCAATACCGTATCTTCTCTCGTGGCATCTCATCCCATACCGTCACATTAGAATAAAGAGTCTCTACCCTTGTTTTTAGGACACCCTTCTTAGTAGTTTTTTCATAAGATATAGCAAGAAGCTTTGATAGTGTTAAGTTCAGGAGAGATTGGGCACCGAAGTAGTCGTTTTACCTGGTTTATATCATAAACCACTTGTGGCGATGGTTATGCGTAGGTGCCTTACCTTCCTGAACTAAGGTTCTAGGGCGTGTTTAAATGCATCCTTTGCCAAAATCATAAGCTTTGGTAGTGAACCCACTTCTAATAGCGATACCGGTCGATTCCACGAGCCTAGAATAAATACTTACTAGAATATTATAAAGAACATACGTCAAATATTGTCGAGTATTGCATGAAATCTACGTCTAATCGTGTATGAAATAACATATCTGTCAACACCTTAATTTTCCTACCTTTATACCTAGATAGTATACCTATACGTAGGTTTCTTCCATACACTGTGGACGACGATGACCTTTGGATGTACTTTCTCTCTTATTTGTATTTTACAATTCCCAAGAAACTCCGATACTATAATCTTTTTGGAAGCTGTGTACATGAAAGGTGAACTGTGAAGTTCTTCATTTAGATGAAATTATGCAAAGATATACATAACCAGAGAGGAGCTTCTGGCATCACTTCCTGGAAAACCAGAGGTGGACCGACTGGTGTCGTTCTATTTCATCTCCAGGTAAATGCGCTAAACTCTTGATTTTGATTCCAAATCGGCTAAAAGTCACCATATAGCCGTTCTTCATAGTGTCGAGTTCTTAAATAAAGTAAGCTTTTCTTCTCGGCTTGTTTCTTCAACATTCTGATTTTGATTGCTCCCAGTATGAAATTTTTTTGGAAGCGTCCTCTTGATGCTCCAATAATCTGGATAGGGCTCCTATACGCTATCATGTGCTTGGCTGCGCAGTTCCAGAAATTTCGATCTGAATATAGTCTCCATCCTATAATATCCGCAGAGCATGAAGTTTTTCGCGCAAATATTTTTCAGTGCCTGGTCCTCGGAAAATACCACTTGGGTGGACCTTATGTACTCGAAATTTGAACTGCTTGTTAGTCCCTGGGCCTCTGCAACTCATGGCGGGTTCCATAGTCCAGGACTATCGAGTTCTTCCCACGGTTGTTTGAATGAGATCTCGCATCCCGAGTTCCGTTCCATAGAAACCTCGATACCTGTTCCATTGTACGCTGTTACAATTTCAGCGGAAGGGAATTCAGTAGAAGCCTTTGGGCTCACAACCTAAGCGCTAATAGCTTATAGTAGTAACCAAGGTTCAGAGAAAGTCAGAGGGCAAACGAGATGTATAACGCAGGCCATATTTACTAGCGTGGGAAGTGGGCCATGTGAGGTCCTACTCCTTACTAGATTTTCTTTTGCTTACACGGATTCTAATCTTTCAGATTCAAACACTGGGAACCTATTGGACTAGATCAGTAATACTGATAAAAATCTGGCTTGTCTTCATCAAATTCCTCGACAGTCTTATTACAGTCGTCATTCCACTTTAGAAACATGTTGATCCCACACAGCCAGATGACTAAGACCCCATCCCCATCCACCCGACATGTGTACAGTACATCGTAGACATTCAATTGGTCATTAATCTAAACTCACTGGCAATTATGTCAGGGACTAGGGATGAGAATGTCTCATTTCTGCCAACAACAGAGAAAGCCTCAGATGCAGAGTACCCGCTCGAAGATTTAAGCTCGTGCTATATGGATGAAGACCCCGAAGGCGCGGGGGTTCGATCCAGCGACGAATTCGAGTTGGACGACGATCTAGAATTGGGCGATGTGCCCCTTCTCCCTGCAGAATTTGATCGACTTCACCACCTTGGGGATTCTGAATCCGATACTGTACTAAATCCAGGATTCGCGTGGCGTGACTTAAAACGTAGCCCGCTGCGTACTTTCCGAGCCTTGCTGCAGGGACCCACGGAGCCTCACGTCTACCATATCAATCCCTGGTTTCCTAAATTGCAGGCTGCGCCTGCGCGCATATTTGAGCAGCTGACACCGCAGAAGTGGATGAAAGTTACACTACTTTTGGCTGGACTGATCGTCTGGATTGCTGTGTTTTTCTCCACTTTGAAAGCCTCTGTGGGCAAGACGGTGTTGGGATATGGAGCGCCACTTAGGCTGTCGTGTCACCACCGCTTGTGGTATGTTTGAAACTCGTCGCTTTTCTTATTGAATATTCTATTCTTCGAGTAGGAAGACTAATATCATATAGGTCTAATGCCACAGATTGTGGGTTGAATGGGGAGTTATGCCAGCCTTTCGATGGGGACTCGTTCGCCTTTCGCTGTCCGGCTGGTTGTGCAAATGCAATGATCCTGGAGCCATATTATATCGGTGAACAGGAGGTCAATTATCGGCCTCTGGTAATCGGTGGCAAGCCATTCAGAGTCGATCGCCTAAATAGTGGTATTTACCGCGGCGACTCATCCATCTGCGCATCCGCATTCCATGCAGGCCTTATTGATAACTCAAAGGGCGGTTGTGCCATTTTGCGCCGTAAAGGCGAGCGAGATAAATTCCAATATTTTGCTCAGAATGGCATCGATAGCATCGAGTCCCTCTCTCATTTTCCTATGTCATTCTCTCTTACCCGTCAGGCTTCATCCTCGGGGTCTACCCAGGCGAAGCCGGTTGAATGCTCTGACATACGGTGGTCCCTACTTAGCTTCACTGCAGTGGTGACTGCTCTTTATTCCATGACCATGACATCAGCGCCAGTATTTTACAGCGTTGTTTACTTCCTCGTCTGGTTCCAGGTCGCCATGGCTTCCGATCCACCCGCCTCGGACTTCTATGATCTCATTTCAATTGCTATGGGTCGATTTTTACCAGGAGCATTTGTGGGCTTTGCCATTTACTACTTCGTCGTGCGGCGGACTCTCGACAATCTCGAGGCACATCTGGACAAAACTATCCTCTGGCTAGGGGGCTGTTGGTTCGGCGCCCTAAACACCGACACATTTGATCGCCTCCCAATCTCTCGGCTTACGCCGCATGATATCCAACAACAACCAGGCGCCGTGACGGCCCTTCTCAGCATCATCGCATTTCTCATATTCGTCTTCTTCCTTCAAGCATACTGTTTCCGTCAAGAAGGTCGCCTTCCAACTATGCTCCGCCTGTATGGTATTTTCGCCATCATCATCATCATTTTAGTCGCTGTGCCCGGTCTGAATCTTCGCATCCATCACTATATCATCGCGCTCCTTCTACTCCCAGGCACATCGCTTCAAACACGGCCCAGTCTCTTATTCCAGGGCATTCTAGTCGGCCTCTTCATCAACGGTATCGCACGTTGGGGTTTCGACTCCGTTCTCCAAACACCTGCCGCACTCCTTGAAGGAGGCCGCCTCGGCACACCCCCGCCGGCGATCACCCCGCCTGAATTGATAGATCAGCATAACCTTCGCTTCACATTCCCCGATCTGCCTTCACATGTCGATGGCATCAGCGTTATCGTCAACGATGTACAACGTTACCAGGGGCTCAAATCGACGCAGAACGGCAATGTGCCAGACTTCTTCTGGACGCGTAAGTTTGCCAATGAGGTTGAGTACATGCGTTTTGCATACTTGCATGTCAATACCCTTGGTGGTGTTTGGTATGAAGATTTATCGAGTGCTTCGACGTGGGCTACTGATGGAAACTTCTACTATCCTATATAGATAGACCAAGACTGTTTAGCGAGCGCATGCCTAGAATATTCGAGAAAGAATTGATTTAGAATGTATGAATGTCAAGAGCTATTTTGTTCAATCGATAATTCTCCAACTAAATATGGTATATATCCCAGGAAGCTGGAAGAGGCTAATTTTGAACAAAGAAGGATAGAGAGATGATGCGGCCCTATAGAACCGATATGTCGGAAAAACGCCAGTCCGCCAAATGCAATATTCAAGAGCAAATTGAAATAAGAGCCCAAGGCCAAAAGTAGCTTGCTATGCCTTGGTTTCCTTCAGATAATTTTGGCATTTCACTTGAACGATAGTCTGCTGGCCTCCTGCCTCGATTATTAGGGCAGTCAGCTTACCACCCTTCACACACCCTGAGTCAAGACCCTTGGTGTATGTGCGAATTTTCAAAGACGTCTTAGCGTCGTGGCCGTAGATGACGGTCATGACATGAGATAGTGGATCCATCTTGGCCGATTTCACACTGGAATACAGGATTGACTGGTACTTGTTGAACATCTGGGCAATGTTAATATATAACTTCTACAACTTTGAATAGACGTTTCTTACCTTGGCCCAATTCATACCAGTGTCCGACGAACTGGGAACATGGGTATCCAAATCAATGGTCCGCATGTTCATCACACTCGACGGATCCTGGTGTTCGAGCTTCACTCCCGGTACAATTCCACCGTGCACGACAACTGCTTGTCCCATTCCTTGAATCGATCCAAGATCCAATATCACGGGACACTGGTCTAGCCATTGGATATGCTCCTCACTCAGTGAGAGAGCTAATTCTCGCTCTTGGATATCTTTCGATGAAAAGAAGTTGTGTTGGGGGTCGTCGGCCTCGACTAGTGTCTTGGCCTTTGACATCTCATGGCGGACGAGAAGAACGCGATCTTCGTGGTTACCACGCACACACGAAGCTTTGTATTCCCGCGCCAGGTCCACAACGCCGGCGCTATCTGGCCCCTTATTTATCAGATCACCGGTGAAGACAAGATGATCCCCGCCTTTGGGGGCGAACGCGACTTTCTTAAGGAGATTGACCACTAAATGATTCAAAAGAGGAGTGGTGAGTGACAAGAAAGATAAATTCGCCGGGATAAAATGAACATACATTCCTCTTTACATCCATGCACATCTCCAATCACGATTAACCGCTTCTCTTTTCGCGATCCCGGGTCTTCGCCTTCTAGTCGCGCTGTAGGCAACAGTCCTGAGTCCAAGGTACGGAGCCGAACCAGGTCGTCGAACTCTGGAAGTGAATTTGTCCCGAACCATCCACCTTTTTCTGTCATGGTGGCCGGATCCAACGAATGGAGTAACGAAGAGTGTTCTTGGATGCGCGGGTATAGAACATATGCCCAGCTTGCCCAGCCGACCAGGAACAGAGTCAAGTATACAACGACGTAGCGGCGGAATCGTGGCGCCGCTATAATGGAAAGGGCTATCTGGAGCCACTGTGGGTGTTTGGAGGTGTCATTAGTGAGCGACTGGTAAACATAACTTGAGCTTGACTGCCAGCCATTTCGGGCGGCATCGACCAGGGGACCGGGGAATTGCGAAAAGCGGCTAGGGGAGGGCTGGGCGTGGGAGGCATGGTAGAAATTATTGGTATCATCCAGTTCGTGGTCTGAGTCACGGGAGGCCATTATAGTTGATAACTAAGAATGAATTATGAAATGAAAATCGATATACTCCAATTCAGTACATCACCTAGCACCTCACCTGGAAAGAAAGATAAAGCAAAAGTTGGGGGCTGACGACGCCTATGTTAAGGTCCCGCCAAGCATGGCCAAGCGGCTGAGCCCTTGTTTTATCTTGGCTTGGAGTCCCCTACTACTACCACTAGACAACCCCATATTAATCGATACGATTCAGTGCTTTGGCCCAATGAGCTTACTGTAATTGATTCCGATCATATTTTATTTTATCCACATCAACTTTTCTGTACACATCAGCGGTACTTTTCGTATTCGTCCAGCTCTTTTAACCGGAGATCCACCCGTTTAAGAACCGTCTCGTCGTATACCTCCTCCACCTTCTTTCCTCCACGAAGCACTTCTCGTTCATGGTTTGCAGCCTCCTCTTTGGTCATACATACTAACTCCTTGAGCTCGAGCGGTACAAACTTTTGTCCATCCTCTTCCCATGTCCTGTTCATGCCGAACCCTCGTTCTGGGACTTGCCAAAGAGTAAGAACCAGACGACTCGACAAGCCCGTAATGACACTCTTCCCTCTCCAAACCTCTTCCATTAGGAATGCAATATCATCCTTGGTAATGGGAATACGCAGTCCGACGGTGTTTTCACCCGCGACTTCTCGGGCAAGTTTCTCACTAAATGTCTTTAGATAGGACATAATACCCTCGTATAGCTTGTTGTGGCCTTTTGCGCCCATGTTATAGTCGATCGGGTATCCTGCCACGTTGCAAATGACGTGGTTGGCGACAGTATAACCGAACACGGCGGGCATTGTTCCTAGAACGGGAAGAATCCGAACACGGAAGTCAGGGAGAACGCCGAGCTCTCCCACCTGGCCCTTGGCATATTCCTCTTCAGGGAGAGGGAGTAGACTGGCCTTTCCAGAGCCAGGCCTCTCAGTTGAGAACACTGCTGCGACACCTGAGCTGACCCCCAGGGCTTTCAACCGATGCCGGGTGCTGCGGGAGAGGGGATCGTCGGTAGTGAGCGAGATATCTCCCACCGTCACACGAGTCGGATCAGACTTGCAGGCAGCACCCATAGATGATATCACAGGGAGTGAGTTGGAGTGACAGTAGTATAGCAAGTCCACCTTCGATATAATATTATCAATGCAATCCAGGACGTAGTCTGGTCGGCGGCTCTCCCCATCATGCGTCAAGGTCCAGGGCCCGAGAAGGGTCTCTGCTGCTTCCTTCCCAAAGAGCTCATTACGGCAGTCGAAAGTCACCCACGGAGCGATCTGTTCCAACCTTCTCCGGATGCAGTGCACTTTGGGAGTTCCGACATCAGCGAGTGTAGCCACCGCATGTCGATTGAGCGATGACAATGAGACTTGGTCGAAATCAATAAGTCGGATTTTGCCGACGCCTGATCGAGCAAGGGCCGCGGCGGCATGCGATCCAACGCCGCCACATCCAACAACGATAATGAAGGATGATCGAAGCTTCGCAAGACCTTCGTTTTTCAGAAAGACTCGATTCCGAGCAAGCTGTTCCAAAATCAAATCTATGTAATTGAATGCGATTGATCAGACAGCTTTTCAGATAAAAGAAAAGTTGTATGCGACATATACATACCATCATCATAGTCTCCCTGTTGCGCTCGACGAGCTAGAGCAGCACTACGCTCATCCTCCTTACTCAAGGGAATGCCTTTGTCTGCAATACCGAGAGATGTGAGCTGCAACATAGCAAGTTAGCATGTATCTGTAAAACTAAGTATGATCCGCATGTTCTCGGACGAAACTCACCTTCTCTGCAACATGTTTTTCGCCAATCTCAGGAATAGAGGCTTTCAGGTCGTGAACAGCCTCCTTCCGTTTATATGCCTGATATCCAAAAATTGCACCTGCGACAGCGGCACCCGACAAAACTGCAGTGGTCGCAAACTGGTTATTCTGCGACCCAGCCTGACGATGAAGCCAGGACGACATGTTTCCAAATACTCCTCCTTCGCTTGTCTCCTGAAAATCCTCTCGCTCTCGTAAATCTGGTGTTGGGGTTGGATGACTGCGGTTGCGCTGGGATTCGGCGAATCTAGCATCCATTTCATCAGAATCGAATCCATAATCAAGGTCTTCTTCGGCGGGCGCTTGCCACCACTTCGAACCCGAGGGTGACATTATAAATTTATAATTTCAACGGAAGCACAACGAATAACTAACCTCAATAGACAGACCACTGGCCTCTTATAATTTTGATAGGTGCTACCTGCAAGGCTGGTCACCAGTGGAACCACGATTGGTTATCACGTGATTTACCGAGGCCCTGAACGTCAAATCCGACGACATGTTGTTTTGTTTCTTCGGGTGATATATCATTTCCATATCCCGATGATGATTACCTCACAAGAGCTTTCATGATATGTCTGGGCAACTGGACCAAGAAGTGGATGTCATCCCTCGACGGCTTGCCCGTTTTGAAGTGGAAGAAGCCGCTGTCTTGTTATATGATTGAAAAAAAGAACAGAAATCTGAGAGATCCCCCTTGCTGCTGAATTCACCGTCTTTAATTCACTGTCTTATTTGCTCTAAAGCCGGTGTAAACTTGATATCTGGGCCACGCCCAGATTCAAGGTTCCTCGCTTTATCATCCTCTATGATATTTTTTATTATCAGTTATAGCTCTGGCCTCTAGCTACCCTAGTAAAATCGGTGACAGCTACCTGAGAGAGGGGAAATTCTATATATACATATAAATACCCAAGTAGTTTGTTCATTAATTCCCGTAAATGCAATGCCCATGGGCAAAAGTAGAGCCTAGGGGATATCCAAGGTAAAAAAGAAAGTGCAGATAAAACATGAATCCTAGACGCCATTCTAATGCAAAAAAAAATCAAGCACAGGTAGTAAACAGCTTTTGATAGGGTTCATCGAGCTCAAAAGAGTGTGGTAGAGTTGGTGGCAGAATTTGATCCAGGAATATCAACTGGAAGGGAGGCACAATAGTGTTCCTGGATCGAATGTTGATTGCAGGGGAGTACATGTACCGTCTGGCCTCACAATTTGCATGGAAGACGATCTTATTTCCCTCCCGAGAAACCGTGGCCTCACCAGGTGATTGCTGTCCAGAGCCATCAGTCTGTAACAAAGGACGGTCAGCTCTTGTGTAAGGACCTTGATCGACTGTATATGTAAATATTTCACATTATATCCGAGTGAACTGAAGCAATGAAATGAGAAGAAGTTGTAGTAGATGCCATTATATGTGCGGATGATACTAGGAGCTTCAATCAAGGCACCGTCGGTGCCGTGGATCTTGAGAATGGTCACTGGTTCGCCGACTTTCATGATGCTGTCGCTCTTTGATTCCTGGAGAATAAGGGGAACGAGAACTAAGGGCTTTCGAGAGTTCCAGCAGTAATCACCATATCCGACACTGTTTCTATCGCACTTGTAGACCAGCTAAAGTTCGCCATCAGCATCTTTGTCAATGGCGCCACCATACCGCCGCCGAAATGATTCTACCGTAGTGACATCAGCACTCACATGAACGCTCACAGAAAACCTTTCGTCCAAGGATCGCCGAAGATCCTCTCATGCTTCTTCAAGGACTTTGTACGCAGTTTGTGCCAAGCTAGTTCTGAAACCAATATTGGCTCTAGCCCTTCATAGTTGCCTGGAAAGTCCAAGCTGGGGAGCTGCCCAGGTAGGAAATATTGATCATTTTAAGTATAGCATCGAAGATCTTCAAAGCCAGCCATGGATCAATATTGCCTTCTCAAGTGATGTTGAAGGGGCATAAATAACACAATGTTAGCCTCAGGACTTGGGCATCAGGTACGAGTGGTATACTTCATGATCGCTATTTCGATCTGTAAAATGTCTCTTTGCTGCATATTTAGGTATTCAGTGTAATAGCTTGATTACCTTCGTTATTGTTACTGTTTTCTGCGTCCAGGGCTTGATGAAGCGAGAGGAGGACCTTGGAAGAAGTAGAAAGGTCAATTGCCTTATATGGCTTTTGGGAGTCACTTAATCACTCAGGGCTCTTTCTCAGGGGTATCAAATTCTTGATTTTTCAGTATCGTCCTTTTTCAAAATTAGTTAATGTAACTACCTGGGTACTTTCTTTATCAGAATAATAATCTTCCAAGACTCAACAACTGTAGGTGGCAGAAAATGTCGCGAACACGTGAGCCGTGGCAGATTATGGGGCAGAACTAGTGAGCATACGCAATGCTCTAACGGCATCGTTCCACTAGGCCAAACTGCGACCTTTGAGCGCGAGCCAACGTGGCGGGGCTTAATTTTCTCCCTAGGTATTTATTATTTAGGGGGCTCTTAAGCTTAAAACACGAACCCCCGAGAGCTTCTGTTTGCGGCACTGTGACCACCCCGAGTACGAAATACATGGAAACACCAGGAAATCCCGACATGCTATTTCTCCAATCCATCTGATAAATATTCTCCGCGAGTTTTGTTTCGCTTGCCCTTGCCGATCGAAGCTTCCGCGACTCCCAGATTCGCCCAGAGGGGTTGAATAAGCTAACCAGTGCGCGTCGCCCTCGCAATCCTGAGAGGGGTTTCGACCGGCTTTCTGATCCTAATTCACCATGCAAAAGTTTCGCAGGGCCATCATCGCTGCTATCTTCATCCTTGCTTGCATATTTTTGCTTCGTGCGAGTCGATCGAGTCGATCCCCCACAGTTCCTGGCGCTCCCGGCTATCGCCCCGTGCAAGAGATTTTCGACGAAGAAAACGAGAAACTTTCACACCCAGAACTGAAGCCAAAACCAAAGATTCGAGGTCAACAACCATGGGGAACATCGCCAACCGCGCCGCTGCGCGAGCGCCTCCGATACCAATTCCCATACGACCTTCCGGTCAACTTCCCCGCATTTATCTGGCAAACATGGAAATACTCTCCTTCATCAATGCGGTTCTCAGACGAACTCCGCGATTCTGAGTCATCATGGACTGAGCTGAATCCGGGATTCGTGCACGAGATCATCACAGATGAGACGCAAAAGGACTTGATTCAGTACCTGTACGGGTCGGTTCCTGACGTGTTTGAGGCCTACGAGGCATTGCCCTTGCCTATTCTGAAAGCTGACTTCTTCCGATATCTTATACTTCTGGCACGCGGTGGAATTTATAGCGATATCGATACTTTAGCTCTCAAGTCGGCTGGTCTCTGGCTTCCGGATGAGCTCGACCGATCAACTATCGGGTTTATTGTTGGCATTGAAGCTGATCCTGATCGCCCAGACTGGCATGAATGGTACTCGCGTCGCGTTCAATTCTGCCAGTGGACGATCGTTTCGAAACCTGGCCACCCAATCCTGCGTGATATGGTGGCATACGTCACTCAAGAAACACTGCGGATGAAGAGGGCTGGCATCCTTGAAGTCGGCAAGATGGACAAGACTATCATGGAATTTACCGGGCCTGGGGCCTGGACAGACGCGATCTTCCGCTATTTCAACAACCCAGACTACTTTAATATCCAACCCGGTGACAAAAACATCACGTATGAGGATTTTACTGGCCAGACTACACACCGAAAGGTCGGAGATGCCGTTGTCTTGCCCATCACTAGTTTCAGCCCTGGTGTTGGGCAAATGGGAGCCGAAGATACCGACCATCACATGGCCTTCGTAAAACACAACTTTGATGGTATGTTCTTCATTCACTTTGGGTGTGTTTTCTCAATTGAAATCTGACATTTGAAAACAGGCACGTGGAAGACAGATCCCTCATTATGATTCAAGCTTCTTTTCTTATCTTCCACCTACGACAACATATTTAGGTCCTTAAGTTCCTCAACAAACTCATCTTTGCTATGATCGCTTTTCACCTCGCATCAGACATACCTCTTTGGCCATGAAGGTCCCACCTTCCTCTACCACAGTTCGATGACTATCTCCCAAGCTTTGAGAATTCAAACGCTTAGTTCTTTTTTCCCTTGTCATGAAAGTCTTGCTAGACCATACTTGACCTGAGCTTTGGGCTTTTTAAAAATCTATTCATACTCAGTGCACAATACAGGCTTTTTACTTCTCTGCGACGTCACATCCATGCTTTAATGATTCCCGATTGTACATATGATTCCTATATTCGTCTTCGTGTACCATACAATATCTCTTAGAGGTCTTTTTTTCTTTGAGATGGCTTGAAAAGGGCTAAAGATCCAATGCTCGGCTTCTTTGTTACGACTTAATTGATAAATCCTATACCCAAGTGCGTCCAAATGACCGCTACAGGACGCATATATGTAATGGGGTTGCGTCTGAATACCTGGGTATGTGTCCACGGGCAACTCACATTAAGTAGATCAAGACTACTTAGTGCTACCTAGGCAAGGACAGGAAATTATGAAAAAGGAAATGCCTATACTCCTAGGAATCATGTAAGGCCGATACCTCCAGGGCTGGATTCAAAATAGTCCCTTTCAAGTCTAGGGATTGGTAAGTCTCCTTTGTAGTTTAACCTTGGAACAAGAAGCAACAAAAGAAAATTCTATGGTCTCCCAGTGTTCAAATGAAGTTTTCGAGATCTTGTCCCCAAGGTCCACTTTCCGAGGCCTTCTGAGGCGAGTACAAAAACAACGTATATGTTTTTGTCTTTTCTCTTAGATCCTAGGACGATCGTATCTAAGACTTGTCATTGTGCTACTTATGTAGCGATGTCGTTTAAAATTCATGCCAGATGTCAGGATAAAATTGTAGAACGATCGAGACCCGTATGCAGGGCCCTGTTCAAGGCCTATATCTAAGCCCCGATCGGATACAGCGTTTTGCTGGCGTCTCGCACCTGCATTATAATTTCCAATGTTAGAAGGTTGATATTGAACCGGCTCCAGGGCTTGAGAACGACATCGCTGGCGTTTGTAAAATTGATACCTGCCTAGGCTGGCCCACAGATGAATAACCTTACCACTCAGACATTAGGGGTCGTTGGAGCTGGGTAGTCATGAACCACCTAGATAGGTTCGAGGTTTGGACCTTGGAAGTACCTAAGTATTGGAATATAATCCGTTTCTATTATCAATCTTTATTCATCTAAGATACATGGTACCCGTGAACGCTTCAAGCAAAGGTATAAACTCGCTGGCTGGCGCTGTAATAGCGATTGACAGTACCTCAAAACCTCACGGCTTCTCAAATAACCTTGGGAGTGTCACATATTTGCCCTGACGGAATTCGCTACAGCATTAAAAGATTCAAAGGGCAAAGGAAGAGACAAGAGACAGGGTATTTTCGTCAAAACTGAAGTGGCTGAACAAATCGCAAGCCTCTATCAATGGGATACGAAGAAGATGGCTGACGAAACAAGAATAGAAAAGATATCTTTGGTCTGATAATGCATTTTCTGAGAGAGATCTGAATACCCTTGGGTAGGAAGAGGGCTGGGCGGATAAGTGGCGTTAGTATGGGGAAGGAGGAGGTGAAGAGAAAGGCTTCCCGAAAGCCTAGCTCAACACTGGTGAATTGTTACCTCTGGATGTCGAGAGACAATGTGATTTCCGGAAGATTAATATGTTAAAGTGCTTCAATTTTTGATTTAAGCACGATGAGCTTGATCCTGTCATAGGAAAAGTGGCTGTCAAAGCCTATAATGGCACAATGGTCTGGTCGTCTGAAACCCTCGGAGGTTGGAACAGAGGAAGTTATATGGACTTGAAGGATGAATTGCTCAGAAGTCGTTGAAATGTGCTTCGTATTTCCGCTTCAAGTCTTCCGTGTAAAGATTCTGGTGTCTTGTATCGGTGTCGGGATACTCTTCAAAATTTTTCGTGTCAGCGGGGTGGGATAGATGTGGAATAATTGGGCCTTTGACGCGACGATAAAACAAGTCATCCCAGACGATATCTTGAAAAAATGGATGCGATCTGACTCTGCCTGATCCACCAGATATGTAGCCAAGTCGTTCTGTAGGATTTGTTTTGCATAGTAAAGACACAATATTCTGGGCTGCAGGGGGCATACTCGGCGGAAAATGTATGCGACCATCAACGATCTGTTCGTATATGCGCATGGGATTCTGGTCCCAGAACGGAGGCTGTCCCACCAGGAACTCGTATATAAGAATTCCCAAAGCCCACCAGTCGACCGCAAGGCCATGGCCGCTGTTGTGAATCACTTCCGGAGCTAGATATTCCGGTGTGCCACATAGAGTGTAGGTCTCACGATTATCGACCTTTTTCGCAAAGCCAAAGTCCACCAATTTGATGTGGCCGTCCGCATCGAGGAGAATATTCTCTGGTTTCAGATCGCGGTACGCGACGCCGTGGATGTCGTGCAGGAATTCGATCGTCATAGTGATTTCGGCGGCATAGATTCTCGATGTTTCTTCATCAAAGCGTCGCATTCTTCGGAGATAAGTAAAGATTTCGCCGCCAGGACAATAGTCCAGCTGATATTGGTTAGCGCCCTGCAGGGAGAATCTGAAACATGAGATCGATCGGAGGCGCAGGATCTACCTACCACCATGTACAAGCTTTGTTCATTCGAGAAGGATGCGACAAGTGTTGTTATAAAAGGGTGTCCGGCTACCGCGGCGAGTGTCTGACGTTCATTGCGCACATGTTCAACCTGCTTTAGCTTGATTACTGTTCAGTGGTATTAGTCCTAGCTGTAGATGACCATGCGATGAAGAGTATACTAACCATCTGCCTTGCGCAGTACCTTCAGCGCATAAACTTTGGTTATGTCGTCTTCGCTTTTCAGTCTTGTAAGCCAAACCCTAGCGAAAGTACCTATAAGCAAAAGAAAAACAGAGAGTTAGATGAGGACGTCGTATCTGCTCCATATACGAGGACCGCTCACCAGTGCCGAGAGTTTTTAACAATAAGAAGTCTTTCAGCTGCAAGGTCCGTGAAGAAATGCATAGTTGTCTCTCTTGCGGATGTTCGGTGACAAGGAATGGGTTCGAGGTTCGTTGTGGAGTACGGAGAGCTTGAACGAAATGCCTCTCCTTCTCGTGCACCTTCTCTGGGATATCCTGCAGTCGCATCTTGATGTTTCTGCAACGGCGAGTCTTAGTTGCTAGGAGAGTGATAGGGGTACATGTCTCTTGCTGCGCAGGGGCCAAAAAGTATTCTCAAAAAAGGCGCGCCACAAGCCGCGTCAATGACACAGCTTCAATCTGAAAGAAGGTTCAAATCAAGTTCCAAAAATGAAGTAGAAACGATGCGAAAGCGTGGGGCAGAAAAGTAGGGGAAATTCTGCCAACTCTGACGTATCCGACTAGCCCCGCGCTTAATGGGGAATTACGATGATAAGTCGGGATCTTTCTTGCCCGTAAGCAGTTTTTGTCATTTGACCATCTATATGCGAACAAGGCTTCTTATAATACAACCCGAAATAATCAGTCCACGCGATCCAGGAGATGGTCCGGATCTCGATCCCTGTTCCGCGCGTGCTATCTGCGCCGGTGAGCCGGAGAAGCTAAAGCCGTCTGATGTGCATCTCCAGGCACAACAAAAAAAAAGATGAGAAAAGATGAAGGAGCGCTATACAGCAAATAGTATGGATTGCATAGAATTATGAGATGGCTCTCAAGACTTCGAGTTGAGGATCAGACCGACAATCAATCTAGACCCTAGATTAGTAAACTATTTCCAGGAGGATCCCTCTCTCCTTCTCTCAACACTTACCCGTATAGTCCGAGAACTTCACCAAAGATCAGAATCAAGATCATGCCGACATAGACGCGAGACTGTTGCATGTATGCTCGAACACCCTGACATTTGACGGTAGTTAGAAACCACATGCTCTTTCAAAGGGAATAGGAGAGGTCTTACCGCATCACCCACGACACCAATTGTATATCCAGCTGCCACACCTGACAGACCAACTGACGTACCAGCGGCCAGATGCATAAATCCACTATATCAAATCATCAGTCTCTTGAACTCAACCCTCTATCTCTCTGGATTTAGCTTTCGCTTTCTCCTTCCAGCGTTTTGACGTACGTGTACAAGCTCATTGATCGTTGCGGGTTAAGTGATCCAGCAATAAGGACTGCAATGACAAGTCCGTAAACCGCGATAATACCGGACATGACGACTGGGATGAGGGACTAGAATCGATCATGTTAGTCAATGCCATATCCTACATAGCCACGGTCTGCTTACCTTCATGATCAAATCAGACCGGTATGCTCCCACACCTGCAATTCCAATGCCGGACTTGGCTGTGCCATATGCTGCTCCAACGGCTGTGGTGTTTGGTTAGCTCTCTTCTTTTTCGGTTATCAAAACACAAGGTCACTAGTCAGTCCTATTGAGCCACTCACATCCAAAGACCATCTTCAGAGGAGTTATAGGTTAGTTGTAATTCATATCTGCGGTTTTCGATTCACTCACTGCTGCTGCAATGCCGGCCTAGCTCAGGATGATGATTAGTATGCCATTCGCAACTTTGAAGTTCTCCCGGGGCACTCACAAAGGAGAAGAAAGTAGCGAAAGCAGGTGCAAGCTCACTTTCCGCCATGATGAAAATATTCCTTGCCGGAAAAGCGAGATATGGTAAAAGTAAAGGTGATACTGGTGTAATCTAGTGGATCTCCTTGGAGATCGGATGTGGCAGGTCATGGCTTAGTAATTTCCCATACCGCCAACGGCAATAACTACACCATTTTCAGGTTCTAAGCATTTGATAGAGCCCCCCCTCAGGAGGAAGAATCGTTTCATTTCCCCACCTCATCTCTTTCTCAACTCCCGTTCCTTTTCTTGGGTTTCGAAGGATGCTGAGGGTATGATCGCCCAAGGAGCCCTGATTTTGCTGCGCTTAGGCTAGGGTATTGCTACTTAAACCCACCCCCCTCCCCCTCCCCCCCTCCCCAAAGCAAGCGATCAAGAGGGGAAAGCTATGGCCTATTGAACAAATTAGTTTTGCACACACAACTCTTGTCCTTTTCCTGGTCATTGTTCCCCTTGGAATTGTTCCTTCTTTTCCCTTGTCTTTTCGTTGCCTTCAATCCTGAACAGACCACTCGCGACGCTTTCAACGCTCTCTACGACCGACTCGGATTACCGACTCGGATTTACTCCCCTCCTACCTCCACTTCATTTTTCTTTCGTCCATTCGGAATCATAACCACAGTTCGAATATCGACGAACCCCTCATCGTTTACCTAGTTGCTGCGCTTGTCAAGATGGCAGACTTGGGGGGACAGCGTAACCGGAATCACCGGCCTTATGGCGCCGCAGCCTCTAATATGCAGCAGCGAGATGCTGCATTTTCTGACATTTTTGGAAGCACACCACCTCCCGGGCGCTCACAAACTATGGGATCTCAAACTCCTCAGTTCTCACAGGGTCGCGCTCACACTATGTCGTCGCACGTAGCGCCTCCGCAGTTCCAGAGACAGCCCCCTCCTCCCACTCGCCAAACATCCAACGGCTATGGACCACCGCCAATTGCGCCACAGGGAGGATATAATGTAGGGCCACCGGGTGCACAGTACCAAGCATACAATCCGGGTGCTGCAACGATGTCCTCGCATGCACCCCCGCGACCGTACCAGGGTCGTCCCGTCTACCCCCGACCACAACGCTTAGATTCTAGACCTGGCGCACCACCCCAATACCCGGACCCCGGGACCTTGGGCGGCCAATGCCTCCTCCTGCTTTGAATTCTGATACGACAAGATCACGATCGCTGGCAAAACTGAGCGGGCCATCATCCTACCACCCCCCGCTGCCGCCACCCAGTTCTGCGAGTGCCTCTCGCCGTGAGCCGTACCACCCAGGAGCTCCATCAATGACCCAATTAGGACGACCAGTTCCAGAGAGACATGTTAATGAGCGAGCTATGTCGATGACTGCATATGGACCCGGGGAACATCCCCATATCATGGGCAGCGGACGATCTATTCCCCATCGGCGACCGCCCTCTGGCCATGAGCAATCAGCTCCTCCAAGATTCGATTCAATGCCGACAAATGTAGGGGAGAACTACGTCAGAAATCGACCCCCAAGCGATGCCTCGAGCAGATCCCGTACGATGTCAATTGCATCGACTATTGCCCCGGACCGCACGATGAGTGTTCAGAGTGGAACAACACAGGTGTCCCTCGGCCAGACTACCCTCCACTCTAGCGACTCCCATCGACGTGTGCCTGTTGTCTACCCTGCTCTGCTTTCTCGGGTCGCGGATGTCTTTCGGGAGAAGGTATCACTTGGCGAGCGACAGAAGAACGGTCTCTCGTATCAGAACGCTTTTTCTGGCACTGATGCAGTAGACTTGATCTCTTCAATTGTCCGGACAAGCGACCGAAACCTTGCTCTTCTGTTAGGTCGTGCACTGGATGCCCAGAAGTTTTTCCACGATGTCACCTATGACCACCGTCTCCGAGACGCTCCAGGTGAAGTGTATCAATTCAAGGAGACTATGGGTGAAGAAACTCAGGGATCAGAGATCAATGGCGTTTTTACTCTCTTGACTGAGTGTTATTCACCAACCTGTACTCACGACAGTCTCTGCTACTCCATTGCCTGCCCACGAAGATTGGAACAGCAAGCAAGGCTTAATCTGAAACCTCAGCCGGTACTGAGAACTTCGGGATCGCATGGTAGCTTGCACATGGATGATGATGATGACAATGACAACCAGAAGCTCTGGATCAACATGGTCCCCAAAGAAGTTTCTGACGCCATCGATGACCGTGAGAAGAAACGGCAAGAAGTCATCTTTGAGATCATGTACACTGAACGTGATTTTGTTAAGGATTTGGAGTATTTGCGAGATTTCTGGATGCGTCCACTGCGTGCAGCGGGTACCACAACTACCTCCCCCATCCCGGAGCATCGCCGCGAGAAGTTCATCCGAACTGTGTTTGGAAACTGTCTAGAAGTTTTGAAGGTTAATAGTGGTCTCTGTGAGTCTTTGAACGCTCGACAAAAAGAAAGTCACGTTGTTCAGACTGTTGGCGATCTTTTCCTTCAGCATGTACCCCGTTTCGACCCCTTCATCAAGTATGGAGCCAATCAGCTTTACGGAAAGTACGAGTTTGAAAAGGAGAAAGCTTCAAATCCGAACTTTTCCAAGTTTGTCGACGATACTGAACGTCTCAAAGAGTCTCGAAAGCTAGAGTTGAACGGCTATCTTACAAAGCCCACAACCCGTCTTGCTCGATACCCGCTTCTTCTTGAGTCTGTTCTGAAACATACAGCCGAAGACAACCCGGACAGTGAAGATATTCCCAAAGCAGTGAAGCTCATTAAGAGTTTCCTATCCCGTGTCAATACCGAGAGTGGAAAGGCTGAGAACCACTTCAATTTGGTCCAGTTGAATGCGGCTTTGAAGTTTGCCCCGGGTGATTATGTGGACCTAAAGCTTACTGAGGAGAACCGCCAAATGCTCACCAAGATGGCCTTCAAGAAATCCACGGCAGAAAGCTCTGAAGTTACGGCATATCTTTTCGATCACGCTGTTCTTCTGGTGCGCATAAAGATGGTAAACAAGCGCGAGGAATACCGTGTCTACAAGAAGCCTATCCCTCTCGAGCTTCTGGTAATTGCCCAGATGGAAGAGGTCCTTCCACGGCTGGGAATTGCTAAAAGACCTTCATCTAGCCTTTTAGTAAACAAAGCAGCAGTGAATCCACCACCTGCCAAAGATGGTGGGCTGCCGATTACATTCCGACACCTGGGCAAGGGAGGCTACGAGCAAACCCTATACGCCACATCTCCAACTCAGAGACGGAAATTTATCGAGATGGTCGAAGAACAACAGAGAAAGCTTTGGGAACGCAACAGCAATTTCTACAACAAGACCATCCTTTGCGAGAAGTTCTTCAACGCCGTCAACCGGGTGAATTGCCTGGTTCCAATTGGTTAGTATCAATCATGTGGCAGTTCTCGTATATGACTTAATTTTCTAACAATGCACTAGATGGAGGGCGAAAGTTGGTCTATGGTACAGATAGTGGTATCTATGTGTCCGAGCGATGGCCCAAGGAGAAGTCGGCTAAACCACGGCGTGTCCTCGAGGCTAGTCAGGTCACCCAAATCGATACTTTGGAAGAGTACCAGTTACTGCTTGTCTTAGCCAACAAGAGTCTTTCCTCGTATCCTATGGATGCTCTCGAGTTGGCTGAAGGCCAGAATTCTATTGCTAAGCGTCCAAAGAAGATTCAGGGTCACGCAAATTTCTTCAAGGTTGGCATTGGTCTTGGTCGGCACCTCGTGTGTTCAGTGAAGACCTCAGCTATGTCAAGTACAATCAAGGTCTACGAGCCCATGGACAATCTGGCCAAGGGTAAAAAGAAGTCTGCTGTCAGCAAGATGTTCCAGAGCGGCCAGGATACACTGAAGCCATTCAAGGAGTACTACATTCCTGCTGAATCTTCGTCAATCCACTTCCTTCGATCAACACTGTGTGTTGGCTGTGCCAAGGGCTTTGAAGTTGTCAGTCTAGAGACCACTGAAACACAGTCTCTGCTTGACCAGGCCGATACCTCCCTTGATTTTGTTGCACGCAAGGAGAACGTCAAGCCTATTCATATCGAGCGTATGAATGGCGAATTCCTTCTGAACTACAGTGATTTCTCTTTCTTTGTCAACCGCAACGGATGGCGCGCTCGTCCAGACTGGAGGATCTCCTGGGAGGGCAATCCGAATGCATTTGCCCTCTCCCCTCCGTACATCCTGGCATTCGAGCCCAACTTTGTAGAAATCCGTCATGTTGAGACAAGTGAATTGATACACATCATGACTGGGAAGAACATTCGCATGTTGCATTCTTCCACTCGCGAGGTATGTATTAGTCATAGGCAAATACCCTAATCATGTACTGACCAACTATTGCTAGATAATATATGCCTATGAAGATGAAGCAGGTGAGGATGTGGTTGCCAGCTTGGACTTCTGGAGCAAGCCACAACAGGTTTGATCTCTGAAGTCTACATGAAATTTTCAAATATCTCCCTGCGTGTCCACGAAGTTGTGTTCTGGAGAATGGATTCTAGCCCAATTTACCGGGGCCATCAATCCTCTTACCTAACAAAGTATGGTATGTTAGCATGCTACGGTGTCTTATGTTTACACCTGGCTGTGTATTGCTCATAACCCAACCCTCAGCCTGCCCTCTTCTTTCTTCAAAAGGGCCCTCAAGACCTTTCTACCTTTTCAATTCTCTACGTGTACAATGGAGCGCAAATACCCTTGCGTGTCTGCTTTTTCTTCTCTTACCATTTCCTGTTGCTCTGTTTCGTCTTTTTGCATATTTCAACTCGTCTTTTCCTTAAAATTTTAGTTCTATTCAGCCCCCACCCCCTTCTTCCCTTCCTGTTCTATTTTCTGCTTCCTTCGCATGGCTTGCAAAGTGATGCCCATGTTTTTTTCAACTATTTTTCTTTTTTATCTTTGTGCTATTGAACTTGAGGTATCTACTTCTATCTCTAATGCCATTGATGTGGAATATTACATATCAGTTGCATTTTCATAAATATGAATGTCTTTACTTGCTACGTATTCTTCCAAGGCTGGGCCAGCATCTGCATTCCCTTGACTTTGCCACCTGCAACTTTGGCAGGCTCAGAAATCTTTACGCCAGAGTCTTCATGTCACTGTGATCACCGGGGCCAAACGAGAGTCGTTGAAGCCGCTTAAATACCACCTAAACACCAACCTGGTAGTGCAATATACAGGGGAGGTGGGTCCATAGAGCATTGATGGGGGTTCTGAACTCGTAAACAACGCCGTTACATGCATAGACCTCAGGACTAACTATATCATGCGCTCCTTCCAAGGTTCTATCGTGGATATTATATGTTCTTTATGCAACCATGTCAAGAAGAGTGATATATGTCCTACCTAGCCCTAGTTTTGTTTCAACAAAGCTTGGAACACGATAGGGTATATATACTCCATAGACAGTGCCAGATCACGGCAGGAAATCCTACCCAGGTGGTGAATAGATACGCTACCTAGGTATATACCTCCAGGGCTGGGTGATCTCTAAAATCAACACATGGACTGGAAGTAAAAAAGAGGCGAAGATGCTTTTTCTTCCTCATTTACTAAAAGGGCTAGGAAGACATTGAAAAAGAAGCTAGGGACGAGATATTGGGTAAAACAAAAGAGGAGAGGGAATCTTGCTGCGCTGTGGACTTTGGACTCGCCAAGAATGAAAATAGGAGAGGTTACCCAGCTGGGAAGGTAATGAGATAGGGAGCGGACGGGGATAAAGGCAGATGTGTATGATCCCATGGCCGACGAAGTTTGATGAAAATGAAAAGAATAATGAAACGGAAAAGGTGGTCGTAGTCGGGGTCTACCCGAGCCAAGGAAATCAGTGGGCTCGAGGGAATGGTAAGATGTTGAGGCAACACAAAGAACAATGATCGTAGCCACAGTCAAGGCTTGAAGAGAAGAAAAGAACCCCCAACCTGTCGATGTGCTCCGAACTCGCAGAGGCTGAAGGATCATTGTCGAAAGCTGAAGCGTTGCATTCTATTTCGGAATCTTGTCCATATTTTTGGCAGACACCATGAAGAAAAATTGAAAGAAGTAAAAAAAAAAGCTATTAACGTGAATAAACAGTCAATATTATCCCCATAAACAGAAACAAACTTCGTGCCACAAAGTCCATGATATTGGCACGAACGGTATCACATTTCGAACCGGCGCCCCGCTGAATGAGCCGTATCCGTATCTTTGCCAGTATATTTCTAAGCCTCTCCGTTGAATTCGTTGGAGTTGACATTCTGGCTTGCCTCGCGGGCCATGCGGGCCTCAATCTCTTTGAGTTGGCTCTCACGGGCCAACAACTCCTGTCGCTTTTCGGCAATCTCACGCTGCACTTTGATTTCGATCTCACGCAACTTCTCCTCCTCGCGACGGAGTTGCTCCTCCTTGAGACGGACGGACTGGGAGGCAAGGTCCTCAGGGTTCAAGGTGGAATCGTGGTTTCTGTAGTTTTGGTGAGTAAATTTATCAAGCTCAAATTCATAAAACCAGTAGGGATTAACATACCCAGAACCATCCACACTCTTGCTGAGCTTCTCGGTACGGTAGTTTTCGTAAAGGAAGTCGTGGGTGATCTCCTTCAAGTCGGCCAAATGGCTGTGGAGGAGAGCGCTGCGAATAGCGAGGAAGTCGGAGTGTCGGGGGTTCTCAACCTCGACCACACCCCAGGGGTACTGTCGTGCGCGCACTTTGCGGCTGTCAATCTCAACGAAATCCTCGGAACCAACAATAGCGAATGGCATCAGTCCACGGAGCTCAGCGTTCTCCTCAACAGTATCCTCATCATCCTCCTCGATATCGTAAGGGAAGTTGTAAACGGGAATGCGGTAGTGCTCAATATCCTCCATGATCAACTTCTTCGACTCAGCCAATTCTGAGGGGGTGAGGGAGTCCGCCTTTCCAATGACGGGAATGACATTAACGCGAGGGGACAAACGCTTCATCAATTCGATATCGAGTTCGCGAAGGCCGTGGCCGGTGGGGGTGATGAAGTACAGCAGAACGTGGACACGGTTGTCTCTGAAGCGTGGGTTACGCTTGATCCGGGACTCCTCTGCAAGAATATCATCATATTGGCGCTCAAGATAACCAACAATTTCGCCAAAGCTGTAGTAATAATAATCGGTTAGCGGGAGAAGGTTGGGGTATTTCGTTGGTCGGTAGAGACATGCCTGGCCTCGTTATCAATCTGGTCACCGAAGCCGGGGGTATCAACGATAGTCAAAGAGATACGGGTTCCCTCCTCATCAAGTTCAAGCTCTGTTTGTTGATTTTTGATTAGCGCTTGATTGGATTTTGTGGATTGAATATTCGAGTCACCTACCGACAGTGGCCGGCTTGATACGAACGCCCTCTTCGATGTGAGCATTAGCGGCGTCGTCGGCATCCTTGCCTTCCAGTACTGTCTTGCCACAGAGGGTGTTCACGAAGGTTGTGCGACCTAGAATCAGGAACGGTCAGGAGTCAATTGGGCAGGATACGATATGAGGGGATGTGCGGGCGTACCAGTTCCGCTGGCACCGCAGACCATCAGACAGAACTGAATTCCCTTCTTGACATTCTTCTTGCGGCGAATCTTAATCTGCCCACGATGGGGACTCATGTTAGCTCTGTGGACTCTTTTGGAGAAGTATGGGGCAGCAGCGGATTCAAGGTGGGAAAAGGGGAACATACCGCATTGAGGGCCGACGACATGGTGGGCTGATGGAAAAAGGAAAAAACAGGAACCAAGGGCGATAGAAGAAAGAGATTCCAAATGAAGGAATCAGTAAAAAGAAAGAATGGAAAGTGATAAAACTCTCCTGAAGGTCTGGACGGAGTAGTAATGTTGTAGGGGGAAGGAAAGGGGGGAAACAATGATGAACCCTAGACGGGCCAATCACGGGGCGCTATGTTTCTACTTCTCAAGTCTGGGGTTTTTGGAGCTTTGATTTTGTAGCGTTATGCATTGATTTCTTACAATTCTCTGGGTACAGCTATGAATATGTAATCCTATTAAATAATTAAAGATTTCCACCAAGTTGAATAACTAGAAATGAGGAGAATTACTGTCACTCACTCTCATTTCTTAGCTCTTAGATGCTCAGGGGTTGCGGGTCCTGGCCGGTTGGGTTATGTAACATGTAAGCCTGAGGCATGAATATGGATCGTGACTGCACACTGTGACTCCGCTACGTCCCGCATTTTCTTATCGCAGATCTTAAATGCGCAACTCCAGGTGAGGCGCGACAGACTTCGTCTGGCAATATTCGTCCGTTTTTAGAATAACTACCTTCCAAGTGTCTACCACTAGCCACTCCATCAACTACTCCTGCGTTGAACCCCGTCATGCTTTACAACAATGAATACCCGCCAAAATATCGATGAGACCGTGGGGCCCTATTCGCTATCGGCTACCTTCAACAGCGATAGCAGCTGCTTCTCGGTTGGCTTGGAATCTGGATTCTGTGGTAGGTGGCTGTCTGGGCGGCTCGTATGAGCTTGTCAGGCGCTTGAATTGAGATTATTACCGAGGCTAATATTAGTATCATTTTCAGTGTTCAATGCCAGCCCGTGTGAGCTCAAGGTCTCAAGAGGTGAGCCCCTTAAGTACTTTGGTTTGTTTGCACATGATCACCTCTAACATATATGTTATTTTACTATTTAGACTTCAATGCTGGCATCAGTGTAGTAGAAATGCTCGGTCAGTCGAACTACCTTGCCATCGTCGGTGGAGGTCGGAACCCGAAGTTCCCCCAGAACAAGGTATATTCAATTCTCTTAATTGAACTCTAAGATAGTTGCTGATCATCTCTAAATCACAGCTAGTTATATGGGACGATGCCAAACAAAAAGCCGCCATTACACTCGAATTCCGTACATCCGTTCTCGGGGTGCGCCTCTCTAGATCCAGAATCGTCGTCGCATTATTGAACAGCATCCATGTGTTTGCCTTTTCGACTCCCCCAAAGAAACTTTCTGTCTATGAGACTTCGGATAACCCGCTGGGATTGGCATGTTTGGGTCCCAAACTGATCGCTTTCCCGGGTCGGTCGCCAGGACAGGTGCAGCTAGTAGAGATAGAGACCGGGAACATCACTATCATCCCAGCCCATAGTTCACCTTTACGATCCATGGCTTTAAGCCCCGACGGAGAAGTCTTGGCAACTGCAAGCGAGGCTGTAGGTATTCGCAGATATTGTAGTCCTACTATTCACTGACACTTTCAGGGCACGCTAATTCGGGTATTCTCTACTTCAAACTGCACAAAATTGGCGGAGCTGCGCCGGGGTGTAGACCATGCTGCGATATTTTCTCTCTCATTCTCTCCGTCTAATACTCTACTTGCGGTAACATCCGATAAATCAACATTACATGTTTTCGATGTACCTCACCCGCGTGTCGCTCGCCGCAGTCAGTCTCCAGCAGTTGTGGCAGATGAAGGATCAAATCTGAAGTGGGGTATCTTGGGCAAACTACCATTGCTTCCACGAGTATTTTCGGATGTGTACTCGTTCGCCAGCGCCCATTTTGAGATAGGCGATGAAAAGATACCAGGATCCCCCACTCCGCAGCCTCTGGGATCACTTGGCCGGCCAGCCAAGGGTGTTATCGGATGGATCGATGATCAGACCATATTGGTGATTGGGTCTGGCAGAGAAGGGCGCTGGGAGAAGTTCATCCTTCGTGATGGCGACGATGGAAAGAGGTATTGCATGCGAAATGGTTGGAAACGATACCTCGGCAGTTGAATTTTGAAGTCATTTTCCGGTGACACAGTGCGGCTGGAGGATCAATTTGCTTTACAGCTGGCTTGAAACTCATCAGAGACTTGTGTGTTGCGCAAAATATCAGTCAAATCATTAATAACGAATAATTAAGCTTAGATACCATAGACAATCAAAATCTCCATGTGTGCTTTTTCAGAGGCGATCATTTCTGTCTCAGTCTCTTCGATCTCTGGTATGCTTCCAAGGTCCAGGCGAATGAGATTTTGATGTTCTATCTCTTCTCGATCTCTCAGATCTTTCCGGAGTATGGTCTCTTTGTGGTCTCTCAGATCTGTCCGGGGAATAGTCTCTTCGAGATCTTTCGGACCTTTCTGGAGTACGGTCTCTTCGAGATCTCTCGCTTCGATCTATTGACCGACGCCTAGATTTTCTATCCCGATCCGAAGAACGATGCCGGCGATGGTGTCGGCTAGATCTTTCTCTGCTGTGATTTCGTCGCCTAGTTGATTTGGTTTCTCTTTGGTATTTCTCAATCGCACGGGCAACCTCTTCCTTCTTTTCCTCAACAAGGAACTCTTTCATAGGATCCTCTTCGTCGTGATTCTGGATGAGCTCCTGGAGTTCTCTCTCTTCTTTAAGAATAGGCCGCAGCTCTTGTCTGTCGGCATCGCCTGTCCGTCGATCACCGCCTCTCTCTTCTTTGCGCTCGTCAATAACCGCGTCGCCCATCAGCTTTGCAACATTGTTGTCCTCCTCCTCGTCATCGCGTTTTTTGTATCGCGTATGATCGACTCGTAGCATACGACCAAGTATTGTTGCACCGCCAAGGTTATCCACTGCGAGATCGGTGCTGCGCTGGTCCTCATATTTAAGAAACGCGAAGCCTCGACTCTTTCCTGTTTCCTTGTCGCGAGCCAGATTGATATGCACTGGCTCTCCATACTGTGAGAATATTGTCACAATATCACCCTCGGTAAGATCAAATGGAAGTCCTCCGATGTAAATGTATGCTGTATCGCGGTAGTCTGCATGCCATGATGCTTCAGGTGGTCTACGAACAGGTCAGAGAGTTAGAAAACATAGACATTGAAGTCAGTGACAACTTACATGGCATGTTCTAGCTCTTTTTTATTGAGAGCCTGGACTTGGCGAATGGCATTCATGGTGTTGGTTGAAGGAAGAAAGACGGAGAAATCCAAGCTTAAGAAGCTTATTGAGTGGCAGAATAATTGGTAGCCTCAGGCCGTCGATATCCAAGATTATAATTCGGACTTCAGTACGGAGTACATATACCTGGGTAGTAGGTAGTATTGAAGTTATAGGCAGAAGATCTAGTATCTATCTTCACCTACCCAGGTAGCCTCTACTTTATATTGAATACTAGTAGTCATACTATCCATATGTGCTGAATAATATAACTTTTTTCCTTCTAATTTTTGATATCACCACCTTGAAAATCTTGAAAAGGAAGAGGATGGCTTATTAGAAGATATATAGAGAGCCTTAGAAGAGAAGAGAGTGAACAATACCTAGTTACCTAGCTCACTTTACGTACCGTTTTTTCAATGCCAGGTGGAGATTTCCTATTTCACGTGCCGCTTTTATGAGGGCGCTCAGGGTCAGGGTCACTGGAGCTGCGCTGCGCATTATCATCACGTGATAGATAAGTGATGACCAATCAACACTCAGTGAGCACTTAGTAATTGTGATTGGCTGCTCACTGATCGCTCACTGATTACTAAGGGCATATAGCACTCGGCCCCACAATGCTGTTCCTTGATTGTTGTGGTTTCTTCCATGCTGAATCGACCTCTAGGGCTGTATTATTCCAAGGTTTGCAGTCCTGCCTCAAGTGTTCCCGGCTTCAATATTTAGGTAGGTAATTGTTGGAAAATGGAACAAAGCAGTCATGTGATCAAATTGTTACTTTATAATAGATAGCAAATTAAGAATGAAACTCAGACTTTACAACCACTTCAAAGGACACATAGATATCATAGGGGCGTAAAGCGTTTCCTGTGATAGGTGTCAGAAGTGGGCGTTAGCCTCTTATCAACTTTATCGAGTTGCTATACCCACCGGTGTACCGACAGTAATACATAGACCCGGGATTCCACCTGGGAAAAACGAGAGGACTTCACCCTTGCAAACTTCCAAGGTTAGAACATATAGAATGTAACTATATATCATGACAGGATATTGAGAATCAAACACTCCCGCTCATAGGCTCAGACTGAAAATCTAACAGCAATTGTGAGAGATACACACACCCTTCTTCAGGTAATGAGGGTCTAAAATTAAGTATGATTTATGTAACGTATGTAAGGCCTGGTTAGTCCTATCTTGATCTGTTCCACGTATGATTTTATTGACACCTTGTGTACGTAGAAGACAGGCATCTAACATGGAAGTAGCTTTAAGATCCTTTTTTCCTCTCTAAATCTTTCCTGAGCTTAGACATCATGATCGCACCCAAACGACCAAGTGAGACTTTACATGAGTCGACTCACGAGCAACTTGAACAGAAAGATCATGATATCAATTTGGAGGTCGCTCGGTCTCGTAAACGCCTTAAGCCCCAGTCATCATTTGACAATCAATTCTGGGCACAAGCTGTCACCGTCGATGAGTTATTGCAGGATCGAGCAGATGTCAAGCGTGCCATTTCGCTGGGGAATTTTGAGGCAAGCGAGATGGATTGGGAAAAGACAAACGAAGCGAAGAAGCTGTTTGAGGAGATGCGCGCCAATGAAATGAATCTGAAGATCTCTAAGGCCCATCGGAGCGCTGCAACTTCTCATAGTGAAGGGAACACCATGTGCCTACCCCTCATGAAGTTCTTTACGACAAGTAAGCTTGGGCACGGAATAAGTTTTACAGGCGCTGGAGCTCGAAATACATCTGATCAATCCAATTTTCGAAATCAAATGATCGATGTGGCTCAAAGGGATTTGGCCTATATGTAGACTTGCTCTGGTGTCCAGTATTAAGATGCTACACCGAGTGCCAGGCAGCCCACTTATTCCCACAGAAAACTGGACAGCCGACAATGGCTCGATCTTCGGAAAAACTGCAAAGGAAGATCTCTTCTCAGTAAAGAATGGTCTCTTAGTGGTTTCAGCAATCGAGAAGTATATGGATAGTGGAAAATTCGTGATTATTCCGGATCTTGAGAATAATTCGATAAAGACCGCTCCAGTCTCTTGGCTGAACCATAGCCAAATGGCATATAAGTTGAAGATCCTTGATCATAACTGGGAGAAGCTCGACGTAGTTATTCATTCTTGCAACCCCTTGCTCCTTTCTGATGTATTAAATCCTAGAGCAAGACGGAATTTCAGATATATTTTTTGTCGAGGGATGAAGATTTTAATCATGATTCATATCCTGCTCTGAACTTGGATACTTATTTACTCTCTAGTAGTACTCTTGCCACAAACGCAATAATTTTCTTGCGAGAGTCCCAAGAAAATCTTGAAAGGGTGATTGGACTTGGGTAAACTCTCCGGAAACCAGTCTATACTTCAAGTGGCATTTGGATGGTCGCATGGAGTGAAGGCTCTATTAAATTTAGGTGCAGAGGCCAAAACTTGGTCCAGGTTTTTCACTAGACAGATTTCCTTGTATGGGTCTTAATGCAACTTCGTGTAGTTGCAGCACACGTTTATTATATGCCTAGGTAGTAGGTGGCATGACACATCTACTTTAAGTCAAGCTCCGTGCGAGGCACTATCTCTGAGTACTTCTAGGGGCTCTTGGATGAACATTGTACTTTTCGGAAGACGGGAATTCTGACGGGGCCAACTTATCCGGCCTGATCAAGCTCACTTGTATCTGAAATAAGCAGTACTAAAAGATGAATCTAGCTTCTAGTATTTAATAATGAAACATGGCATTTTCAATATAAATCTGGGCATAGCACTCAATACTCGAGTTGACTGGTAAACCCTTTTTGAGTCAAAGGATATATGAGATTCATTGAAATAGTTACGTTTATTTAGTGCGCTTGAGCTCATACATAGTCAACATAGGTACTTATCTAAAATCTATCGAGACCATGCAAATCGACCCCTTGATCATGCTGCCACAGAGCTCGGGTAGCTGCCCATACTATAATATTGTGACGCTGTGACGAGTTCACAGTAAATCCCACCCTACGTGTATGCCCTCTTCGGATATCAAATCTGCCAATTTTTCTCATAAGCATTCGCGCTCCCGTACCATACCTCGGCAAAGCTAACAATTCTGCTAGTAAAGAAAGCTCAAAGCTTTATTGACGTTTTCCGTACTTGGATTTACTTGGATTTACGTTAGTCAACACAACCATGCTATCGTGGTCACATTACCAGAACTAGGAAAGTACTGGAAACATATTATTGTGATCCTTGCCGATAAGACTCGGACTCCGGGCGGAGAATAAAACAATATCCGAGCCCATCCAGCCTTGAGTTGATATATCCTACCTTACCCATTGCATCCAAAGGAGTATATAAGTATATCCCATCTACACTTTTGACTTGGATTTTCTGAAAAAGGGTTAACTTGGCATTTTGTGCAGCCATTGCTTCAATCAAGCTCGTGAATTCATTAACAAAATTTGAAGGCACGAAAAATGATCTCGGCATCAGTCTCCAGTCATCGTCTCGCTGAAGAGAGATTTTGCTCCCCCTCACTCCGAAGTTCGAATCTTGTAAGGCATCTTGACGGATCTAATCTGGTTTTCTGTTTTATCTACACGTTGGGCCCGGTACTTTTGTTCAATATCTATCTGCCTTGGAAATACTGGAAACTACGAAATGAGCAAGTGAAAGTGAACAGAAATTATGCAGGTGGCCTGAAGATGGTTTGTTTACTCCAAGTTCTTCCCAATCCTCAGTTTTTGCTCTGACATTGAACTTCATTTCAAGATATTTTCATTCAGCCTGGTATTCATAGAACTTGTCCTTGCGATACTTGAGATTCAGGCAGCATCAAATGCGCTGTATGTGTACCTGGCTGCCGGTGCTTTTATTGGTTTATTAAGTATTCCACTCTTCTCCTTTTTGAACCATGGCCGGTCGATTCGTCCATTTGACGCTCTGAACTCTCTATTAATTGTCTCAATCTGTGTCGACCTTGCCCAGGGGTTTTTTCTATACTCGAAAGAAAAGGGATGTCAGGTGTCGCCTCTGAACTTGGCTTTGATCATCATAAAAATTGGGCTTTTAGGTCTAGAACTAAGAAGCAAAAGGTCGATTCTACATGAACCATGGCAACGGAATCGTTTGAAGAAACTGAAAGCTTTCTGAATCAGGCTTTCTATTGGTGGATAAAATCTTTGATACGAGATGGATATTCAAAAATATTAAAAGCGACGGATCTACCTCCAGTCCCTGATGCATTATCCTCCAGACACTTAAAAGAGAGAATGATTCATCACTAGGAGGACCGAGGTGGGTAGGACTCGACTTTTGAAGTCAACTCGTTAAAAGAAAACTAATCTATTCACTTACAGTAAACCCTGAGAAGCGACATGCGCTATTACTAGCAACGTTAAGAAGCACATTAAGCAAAAATCTATGGGCTGTTCCATTTATACTGATTTCGATTGGTCTGAGATACGCGTAGCCAATTTTGATTTCTAGATTGATTCGCTATATCAGTGACCCTCCAAGCAAAGACTTGCGTCAACAAGAAGCCGTCAAGTTAATCCTTGTTACCGTTTTAATCTACGTTGGGCTAGCTGTCAGTGACTGCTCTCTCCCAAGGTTCTTTAGATTCACTTACATGAAAATAGGTTTTCAAAGGTCGACGAGAAACTGCAGAGCGCCGAGTAGCAATCGCGACGAAAGGCTCACTGATGGGTATTCTGCACAAGAAAACCTTGAAGTCTGATAACAATGGTCATTCTGTGATCACACTCGTCAGTAGTAACGTTGAGGACCTTTAAAGGGCCATGAAATGGGTTCATGTCATATGGTCTTCGTTCCTCTCGATGTGTCTAGGCCTATATCTGCTTACATCTAAGCTTGGGTGGGTCGGCATAGTGCCTTATTTATGCTGATCGGTAAAAGATTTATAATATCTGAGGCATAAAATGCAATTTCTAATATAAATATCTTAGCTGCATCACAAGCTGGAAATTGGGTCTCTAAGCACTTCACAGGCAAACAGAAAGCATGGAGTGAGGCAACGCAGACTCGAGTGGACCTAGTCAAAATCCTGCTAGAGCATCTACAAAAAATTAAGATGATGGGCTACTCCAGCGTGATGGAGCTCAAGGTGTAGACAGCGCGCGAGAGTGAAATAAAAGCAGGTGTTGCTACTTACTGGCTTAATATTATCCTAATCTTTTGTGGTAAGAGGAATCTTTCTTGGTCTGAATTTCGCTCTTCGCACTAAGAAAGTATCTGTTAGCAACATTTTTGAACGCCCTTAGGCCTGCGATTATACTTGGAATATACACGGTTTATGCCAAACTAACTAACCACCCTCCGCTTGATACTGATCGTGCTTTCACTTCTTTTGCTCTAATCCAGATGGTCACGTAGCCCGTAAATTCGATTATGTTTATCCTGCCTGGATTGCTCACAGCCATAACCACATTTGACAGGGTGCAAAAGTTTCTCACTAGGCCTATTCACCAAAACAGTCGCGAATTAGGTCGAGATGCTATTAAACCTTATAGCCATGATAACCAGCTATACCGAGATTTGCTAATAGACAATGCTGGTAACACCGATAACACCGAAGACTACGCGATATTAATCCAAAATACAACGGTTCAGTGCAAAGAGGCAGAAATCCCTATACTGAAAGACATCAGCAAGAACATTAAGCCTAGATGGCTTATGCTTCTTACTAGACCAACGGGATCTAGGAAAACATCCCTTGCTCGGTTAATTATCGGAGAAGGTCGACTTCAGAGTGGAAAGATATTAATACTAAGTGACAAAGTTGCTTACTATGCTTAGTCCCCTTGGCTGAGAAATGGTACGATTCGCGACATCATAGCAGGCCCACCGGGGTCCAAGGTGACCGATGAGAAGTGGTATAAACAAGTTATTTTTGCTTATGACTTGGTTTCTGATTTTCAGAATCTTCCCTATGGCGATAATACTTAAGTGGGAGACCGGGGTATCTCTATATCTAGAGGTCAAAGATAAAGACTGGTGAGTGATCCCGTCTATTATAGATATGCGTCAACACGCTAATCCTAAAGGCTCTTGCTTATATAATATACTCGAAACTTGATATTCTGGTTCTCGATGATGTGTTTAGTGTATTAGATACTAGGACTATAAGCCGTATCATGCACAGACTCTTTAGTCCAGATGGTCTTCTACGATAATTCAATAAAACTATAATCTTGGTCACTCATTCTAGTGAGTCTCTCGCCAATTTCTTGATACAAATTTTCTGGGGCGCTAATTTTTGATCAAGCTCACATACTACAAGATTCTGATTGGATCGTCATTCTTAACTCCGATGGATCAATGCGTGAACAAGGGACCTAGCATCAGCCCTAAATTCAGGCTCTCTATCAAAGTTCGGAAATTCACTAAGGTGCTAGAACAATAAAGAATTGGGACGAAATAGAGCCAGAAGACAAGTTTCTCCCTGTCTGCTAAACCAAAACAGCTCCGTCCTATCAAGAATCTTTAGACCCTCTTCGAAAGAATGGGGATAGTGCTGTATATAGCTACTACATCAGTATAATTGGCGGATACCGCCTTTTATCTGCAATACTGATATTCCTCTCATCTGCGATTTTCGCCATCCTGATCCAGAGCTGGCTTCGGATCTGGACTGAAAGTAGCACTATAAGCCAACACATTTGGTTTTATCTTAGATTTTACGTTGCTTTGGCTATCGGACATTGGATTTCATTGATAGGGATAGGCATAATGCCACTTCTAGTCGTGCCTATATCTAGCAGGGCTCTATATAGTCAAATACTAAACATAGTCATCAAGGCGCCTTTATCATTCATCACGTTAACCGACATTGGTACGACACTTTCGAGGTTTACTTAGGATATAAAACAGATCGATCGTCAGCTTCCGGGTCAAATTGCGGCACTAGGAAGCCAAGTCTTTAAACTCTTAGCCCAGCTCATTCTGCTTTATATGGCCTAGTCATATAACCTGATCACATTTCCCCTTCTTGTTCTGGCAGTTTATCTGATTCAAAAGGTATACCTTTGCACCAGTCGACAACTTCGATTTCTGAGCATAGAGGCAAATTCCTTACCCAATAATAGCTTTGTAGAAACTGTTCAAGGAATAGCTACTATCCATGCTTTTGGCTGGGAACGGGAGTATGCTTTAGATAACGATCGGGCATTTGATGAATCGCAAGTCCCGTCCTACACATTACTTACTATTAAGCAGTGGCTTTCGCTGGTGCTAGATTTGATTATCGCCGCCGTAGCACTATTCAATGTTACTTTTATCGTCACACTAAAGGGTGGTGAGATAGCCGGCGATATCGGCATTAGTATGAATGTACTCCTCACAATCAACATCGTACTAATAATCACTATCCAGATATAGGCAAGTTTTGATACATCCCTCGGTGTCATTTCACATATCAGAACATTTGCTATAACCATTACACCGGAGTCCGAGCCCAAAGAGGAGGCTCCCCTCCCAGATATATGGCTAACTAGAGGTGAAGTTGAGTTTAATAACATTACCGCCGACTATGCCAGTGCTGGTGAACTCACTCACGCAATTAATCATGTCTCCTTTCATATGGCACCGGGCGATAAAATCGGTTTAGGCGGTAGAACTGGTAGTGGCAAGTCCTCTACCCTGCTTAGCCTCTTGCGAATGATTGAGCTATCTGATGGAACGATCACGATTGATGGGTTAGACATAGTCTCCGTCCCCCGAGAAAAAAGTTCGATCGCAGATAATTACAATTCTATAGGATGCATTCATTGTCCCAAGTGATTCCATTCGTCAAAATCTGGATCTTCTAGGCGTTAATTCGGATGATGACATCGTTGAAGCTCTGAGAAAGGTCCATCTATGGCCTATCTTGGAGGCAAGAGCTTCAAACATTGAATTATCACCGGGTATTTACCTGGACGTACCGATGCAGGAGTGGTCGCTTTCGTATGGCCAGTCACAGCTTTTCGCTATGGCACGCGCTCTTTTGCTTCGACATTCTCGCGGAAAACTAGTTCTTTTCGACGAAGCTACAAGTAACATTGACAAGGAGACGGACTTATTGATTCAGCAAGTGATACACGAGGAGTTTTGGCAATACACAATGATCGTAGTAGCCCATCGACCAGAGACTATTTCACAAAGTGATTCGATCATCGTAATGAAAAATGGAAGGATTGTCGAACAGGGATCGCCTGATTTATTGCTACAGAAAGGAGAATCGCTTAGGTCCATATTCGGTAATGAAGATTGATACGGCACGCGCTAGATTGATGGAAGTGAAAAAGACTTGATGCATTTCATAACAGGCTACTTAGTGTAGTGGGAAGCCCTAGAAGGCGGTCTGCGATGGCGGAATCGAGTTAGACCATTTACCAAGAAGTTGTGATAGTTACAGAATGGACACCTTTACACACATCTTCACTTTTTGACTTCCTACTTTCATTGAGCTTTCTTTCGTGGTTGTGGCTGGTTTTTCTTGGCTAAATCAATCTACACGTCCTAACAGTGCTACCTAGAGCGTTTCCCATTTCACTAGGTAGATGAGAAAGATACCTTGGCCCTTGGCTCTCGAATGAACGTTCGAAACAAAAAGGTCAAAAGATAGGCCGGAATTATTTTCTTCAAACTTCAAAGGCAACCATTTAGGTGATACAAGAGGATAGATTTTTTGTCATGGGCTAAGATCCGCATCGAATCCCATCGCGTGCATAACATGATCTACTTCCTGGAAGCTCTTCCAGTGTATATTCTAGACGGTGAAAACTGCGGTTGGTGCCTGTAGATGCAGGGGCTTACTACGCTGTAAGATTTATTTATTACAATATATAAATACTCTTCACTTACTCCTTTTAAACCGTACGTCTTTGTTCTTCGCTGAAGGACTGAATGGGATATAGGTCTATCAGCTTTAGTTACTCCTCAGTTCCCGTTGAATAACCCAGGGTTACTCCATAATCGATGGTATGTAAATCCTAGTGTAATATGACTTGTGTGAAGGACTAAAGCTAATCTTATTCAGAACTAGCTAGGTACAAACTGTGTACAAAATCCTTAAGAGACGTGACAGAGTATGGAATCGAGGATGAAAGGTTCTCTAGTCACGTGATATCTGCTATAAGCAATAATGAAGTAAAATAGCTGAGAGCGGTAGAAGAAGGCTAACCTAAAAAGGACAGTCGCGGAACCATGAAATCGCCAATTGTTTACTTCGCACTTCATACGCAAGCCCCATAATCTGGGACTTTGATAAGATTTGCTCCAGATTTCTTCATTCTAATTCAGGCTTCATTTCGACACTTTTCGTCCCCGTGCTGCCCAATCCAAATCTCCTTCCCCACTTGCTCGTTTCTAGATTCCCCTGACTACGCGCGTGCTCCAACCTCCGCCCCCGGACCCCCGACTTTCCATATCTACATTCTACTCCATTTGGAATGGTTTGTGATTTTTGAGGCATGGTGGGACTAGACCAGACAATGTCATCCAGCCCGAATCGCGGAAAAGACGCCGGTTCCAACAGCCGTCCCGCTAGCAAGGATGGCTCCAAAAAGAACATTTGGTCCTCACTGCTAGATGGTGCCGCTAATGGAAAGCGCTTGCCAGAGAAGAATCTGTTAATTCTCGGTACGTGGTCTAGAATCCATCCGATAAGCTGTTTCACGACTAGCTTTGATCGCGCTCCATGGGGAACACAGTGTTAATTCGGATTTAGGTGGAACTCCGGAGAGTCAAAGGGACTTCTTAGAAAGCTTCTCTGCAGACACGTCTGCAAATCCTAGCTTGGTGAATGATAAGCGCAAGGGAAAGACACCGCCAATCGCTAACCAGCATGCCCTGGGATACACATATCGGGATGTTCTTGACGCCGACCATGAAGGTATCCTGATCTAACCATATCTCTTTCTGGAAAGTAAATTCTAACACTCTCACGAAGATACATTGGCGCGCGTCTCCGCCTACCTTCTATCCGAACCTGCTCCGTCCTTTGCACCTCTCCTCAAACCTCTTCTAACCCCTCAATCCGTTCCGGAAACGTTGGTAGTAATTCTTATGGATTGGTCAGATCCATGGACATGGCCTCGGCGACTAAGAGAATGGGTCCGATTGCTTCGTTCTGTGCTCGTATCGCTGGATGACGACACAAAGATGGTGATGGAGGAGATCATGACCGAATGGCGCGACCGTAGAAGAGGAATGGATACCAACGCTACATCAACGAGCGCAGTCACAATACCACTAGGACCAGGTGAGTGGGATGAGGGACTGGGAATCCCAATGTGTGTTGTTTGTCAGGGAGTAAGTCGATTCGATCTATTATTCTACCAAAGCTTTAGTTGCTGACCATATGCAGGCGGATAAGATCGAAAAACTGGAGAAGGACCACGGCTGGCACGAGGAACAGTTTGATTTCATTCTTCAGTTCATGCGAACAATCCTGTTGAAGCGTGAGTTTCAGGTTCAATATTGTGAACAATTGTATGGCTCTAACAATTATACAGATGGCGCGTCACTCATTTATACCACACCTTTTCTTGCCAACTCTCTCCAGAGCCTGATCCACTCATCATTGGGCATACACTCTCTTTTGAAACGACAATCATTAAAACACAATGTGATCGACCGTGACAAGATCCTCGTACCCTCCAACTGGGACTCATGGGGTAAAATTCGAATTATTCGTGAAGGATTCGACATGGAGGGGGTATCGACTGCGTGGTCAATTGAGATTCAAGACCCCCCGAGCCATCGGACTTGCTCGCAAATACCAGCCAGGAAAATGAAGATGGGGCAGATGACGGAACAAGTGCCGTCGTTGTGTTTGAACAGACCATCAAAGATCCCAAGCGCGACTTGACAATCGCTCACCCCAGCACCATGAATGGAAATAAGATTGAGGTCGAGACATCCGACGCGCAAGGCTTCTTGAATCAACAGCTTGAGAAGCTTGACCAGCTCAAGGCCGAAGACGAGAAGGATCGTGCCAGTCAGCCAATTCCGCAGCTGGAAATGTCGCCTATGGACGACCAAGGCCGTGTCAACGAACACATAGGCCCTGTCCAGTTTAACATGGGCGGAATTCAAGTGGATGCAGACGATATGCTGAAGAAACTTCGGGTAAATTTTACCATCCTTGTGCATTGTCTTTCTTTCTTGCTAACATACTTCTCTACAGGACCGTGAAGCTAGTCGAATTCAAAGAAAAGATACTCTTCCCTCAACCCCCGGCGATGAGAAAGCGCACAACCAGGCACTAGCGAACTTCTTTGCTGGCCTCGTTAAGAAACCGGGTGCTAGTCCCCGTGGAAGTCCTTCCTCTTGAATCTCGTTCGTTTTCTTTTCCCAGGTTGTATTTTAGCTGTCCCATCGCACATATGGAAGTCAATTTTGCCGGGCTTAGAGCGAGACAGCCTCGGAGAGAACTGAGCTTCTATTTTTACTCTCTCTTTTTTTTTTTAGTAAATCCCGTTGGCTTCTGTGGAGTGATAGACAATGATACCAATATGAGTTTCTTCTGATATTCAATTACTCTAGTTGGTAGTAGATATTGTTATGGATTACAACTAATAATTGGAGATTAATACAAAATTTAAGTTCATCTGCCCCAGATCTTTGTTTATATGTCGAAAATTTCACCAGTTTTCCCACACGGCATCAGGGATTACATTTCGCATAATCTCCCAGTGCTCGATAGCACCACGATCCTGGAACTTGTGCAATCTTCCGACCTGCTTCTGAACGAGAACCTGTCTGCCATTTCTGGGAATATGCTCAAAAATGGAGGCATCGATCTCGTGCGAGGGAGGGGAAGCAGGTAGCTTTCGCGAGACTTGCTGCGTAGGTAATCGGATTGCACAGGGTTACGGAACTTAAGGGGAGTGCCGGCGGTCTTTTTGCAGAACAGAACCAAGTTGGTGAAGTTGGGGGTTTCCTCGTTCTGGCCATCAGTATGTTCGCGGAAGATACGGCAAGATGAGAAGACGGCCTTAATGGTGCGGACGATGAGAGCAGTGGGATAAAGGGTCAGATCTCCGGCATAGTTCTGGGTTTATCAAGTTAGATATCCGATTTGGTTACATATGTGATTTGAAGTTGAAACTTACGATAGCAATAACACCGTCATCCTTGAGCAGATCGCGTAGATCTGTCAAGAATTCCCAGGTGAAAAGCTCGGCAGGCTCAGCGCCACCGGTGAAAACATCATGGACGATGTAGTCGTACTGAGATGATGGGTTTTTCTGGGCCTTTTTGACGAACTTGGTTGCATCCTCGATGGCAGAAATATGGTTGGATGGAAGGTTGAAATACTCGGTAGCAAACTTGTACACAACAGGATCAATTTCAACAATCGTTGTCTCAATTCCGTGAGCCATCAAAGCGGCTGGGGTGGTGCCAATTCCAAGTCCACTGTTAATAATTAGTTGTCAAAAGTCAAATGAATATCATCAAAGTGGCTTACATGACCAGCGCCTTGCTAGATGCATCCTCACGGTGAACTCCATGGTCAGGCTCTACTAATCGAACTGCTTCGAGCATGACAAATACTGAGTAGATCGGATCTTCCACCTGGGGAAAGTAGCCAGGGGTCTTCTTGATCCATTGACCACCGAGGAGACTGTGGTCGCATCGCATCACTCGGTATCCGTCATTCTGGTTCTCCAAAACCGAGAGATATCCAGTAGTGGACTCCTTTCGGGCCAAAAGAGAAAAGCCCTCTGCGCTGATAGCGGAGTTCACGCCACCGATACCACCCAGGTGTACATCAGATGTAATCGAGAAGAGCAGAGAGGGGATTGCCAGAAGTAGCAACTTTGTCGGAGGAACAATGAACGAATACAAAACAGCAATGATGAATTGCATACCAGCTCGGGAAAAGACGATAGTGACACCAATTGCGCGGGCCAAGATGTATCGAGCAATATGCTCACTCGTGGTATAGATTACATAACAGCCAAGAAGGGGCACATGCTCCGCAGCAACCTCGCCACTAGATTCAAGATGAAGAGAAGATTGTATTTGCTTACCGGCAATAGCAACGGTCAACGTGATCAGAGGGTAGTAACCGAACAGTTCAGTGATAACTGGACCAGCCGGGTTTCCGAGCTTAGAGCTCTGCTGCATCACAAAGTATTGGAGGGTAGGGGTCCAAAATGCAAGAACAGGAAGCATGTATGCAGCAAGGCGACCAAGGCGCCTTTGGATTTGATCCTTGAGGAACCATCCAGCGGCCGCAAAAATGGCCACTCCATAGCCGTGGAAGATATGCGACGGAACAGAGCCATACACAGGAGACAGGACCATCAGCATGACGGGCGAGTAGAAGGCTGCAAGAAAAAGCAGTGCAACACCGGTTCCGAATCGATAGCCATCGGCCTGGCGGATGAACTGCGTGATAGACATTATTTTTTCAAACTATCTGAATGTCGGTGATGTAGATATAACGGAGCTAGCCCCGGGTGTATCTGCGGGGAATCAAATTGTCAACATGTGTATCCAAAGCAATGGCACAGACCTGCCGGATAAGGGAATTGTATACTTACAAGCTCAGTTATCCAGCATACCAATTTCTAGGTAGCTTGAATTTACAAAGGGGAAGAATAGGGTGGCAGAAACAAACTCTCCGCCCAGTTCCGCAGTAGTAAATCGGATCCGTCCTCAACCCCACTTGGAACTGAACAACAGTCAACATGCCACGTTTCCCCAAGGATACAGGATTCCAGACTAGCGAACATAAACCTGAAGATGTGAAGAACCCATCTGTTCAGTCCAAGAACCGCCGAAGGCGATATCTGGACCTGCATCCAGAGTATTTCTCGGCAGAGCTCGAACTAGCCGGTTTGCTTGCTCCTTCTGCCAAACACGGAATCCAGTGTTTCGAGAACTCAGTAGCGCTGGAAAATATATCCAGCTAACTAATATTAATCCACTTCTAGACCCATTGCTTTACGATCGTCTTATTCGCCGATTTCTGACACCACAGGAGAGAGAAGCACAGGGCCGAGAGAGGGGCTTCTCGGGCGTGCTGCAGGCAGATTTAATGCGGTCTGAAGCCAAGATGGAAGCGCTTGCACAACCTGATCCCCGCTCTATGTTCAGTTATACGCGCGGTCCCAATGGAGAAATTCTTGCCGAAGACCGAGATGATATCCCCTCCAGCAAGGAGGAGGGCCAAAAGCGCTGGCAGTGGGAGATGAGTCTACGTTTCATCAGAGGCGATGATTCTGATTTTGAGTACAAAACCGTCGATCAGAACGATGAATACGATGATTGGTCCATGCATCAAGACAAATACTTCGATGAGGAGGAGCCTGAGGTCGATGAAGATTCGCAGCTTGAGGGCGAAACGGGTATTCAAGATTTTTGAAGTGCATAAAGCTCCTTGAAGATGTTTTTGAATTCATATCCCAAGTTTTGAGCAGTCTGCCGCCTTTATTGGAGATATCGTCTACTCACATCTGCTATAAACATTGATGCTCTCACTAGAGATCATGCTGGCTCGCGTTGGATGGGCTATACTGCTACAGCCACCGAGGAGAAATGGCACAAGACCTAAGCCCGAGTCGTACGATTTCACGACTGAACCTTATCTAATGAAATATCGAGTATACACTTCCTATCTGGCTGGACTCAGACGCCTGTCAAGAGTCCTCGTCGGCTCAATGAAATAATGGGATGTGCTCGGAATAACATAAATTGCATTTCAATAACTTACATATCAATCAATATAAACAAATAAACTTCGTCACATGGAAGCTGATAATCGATCTTTAATCCAAACTGTATGAATTCATGTCATAAATGCAGGCCTTCTTATCAAAGTCACCCCACGGGACTACTTCAAAACAATCAGACATCGGATGGTTTTGCTTCCTCTTTCTCTAGAAGTTCGATAGCTTTCGCCCTAAGCTGGAACTTTTGTATCTTTCCGCTTGCCGTCTTTGGGAAAGTCTCTAACGGTCCAAGGAAGAAAACATGTTTGGGGACTATGGAAAGATGAATCAAAGTCAGCTTATATAGATCTTCGAAGGTTCGAAATTTCTTTTAGACTCGAACGTTTGGAGAGCATTGGAACTTACCCAGATGATTACTTAGCTTCTCCCGCACCCATTGCTGAATTTCCTGAACAGTAATAGATGCCTCTTTCCGAAGGTTCACAAAGGCAGCAACAACTTCACCATATCGCTCATCTGGTATGCCGACAACAGACACGTCTACGATCTCGGGATTTGCTAGCAAGCAGTTCTCAATCTCCAAAGGGTGAATATTTTCGCCACCTCTAATAATCAAGTCTTTGATGCGGCCGGTAATAGAGATATAACCATCCGGAGACATTGATGCTTCGTCGCCAGTCTAGCAATATTGTTAGATCCATAATCTTCAGCTTTGACAGCTCAGACCCAACTTACATGCATCCAAAGTTTCCCATTCTCGTCTGCGACCATCACCTCGGCCGTTCTCTCTGGATCATTCCAATACTCCTTCATCAGCAGATAGCCGCTGACGGCCAACTCTCCGCGTGTTTCAATTGGGAGAGTTTCTGTGATATCTTCAGGGTTTACAATCTTAGTTTCAACATGTGGCAATGGCCTTCCCACAGTATAGATTCTTTTTTCGATTGGGTCGTCTGTAGTAGTCATGGCAGAGACGGGGCTGGTCTCTGTCATGCCATAGCAGATTGTCAGCTCCGTCAGGTTTAATATGCTATGAAGTTTTTTCATTAGCTCTGCGGGAACGCTGCTCCCTGCTGCGATACCGGTCCGTAAATGTTGAAAACCATCCATAGATATCTTGCCTGATTCAATCAGGCTGATTTCCTCTAGAAACATGGTTGGAACACCATATAATGCAGTGCATTTCTCTTCTTGAACTGATTTAAGTGCGGCATACGCATCAAATGACTCGGATGGGAAGACAATGGCTGAACCATGCGTGACTGTTGCCATATACCCAAGAATGGAACCGAAGCAATGGAAGAGCGGCGGTGAACAGCAGACGATATCATTTGGGGTGAGAAGCATGCGGTCTCCAATATGCGAACCATTATTCAGGATAGATCGATGGCTAAGACATGCTGCTTTTGGCATCGCCGTTGTGCCAGAAGTGAACTAGTTCAATTGTGTTAGATTAAAGATATCGTACCTGGTGAATTGTAAGGTTCAAATTACCTGAATATTCACAATGTCATGCGGAGAAAGATCTCGCTCCATCAAGGGCTTTCTATCTGCAGATAATTGGGAATCGATTGAGGAAAATGATGTTAGACTCTTGAAAGACGATGCATCCATACGGCCGTCGGAGTTGTCAACAAGGATTATTTCCTTTAGTGAAGGTACCAAGGTAGAAGTCAGTTTAGACGCCGAGAGATCCTCGACCAGATGTTCAAGAAAAGGTATATTGCTGCGGGGACTTCTGCGAGGAAGATTGGACTCTGCATTTATGATGAGATGGCTCGACTCAAGGTGTTTCAATGCGCAGACCGCTTGATCGATGTTGAACGATGGATTGAGTGGTACCTTATTTTGGTGTTAGATGCATGTATGTATTATAAAAAATCAAGTAGGATTGTTTATTGAGGAATTTACCAGGATGCCTCCGAGTTTGAACAGTGCGTATGTAGCCTGCGTACCTGTAAGCTATGGTTCCGGATGACAACTTTCGATTTAACATACCACAGCATATTCCATGCTGTTCCCAAGCATAACACCGACTCTGTCACCTTTCCTGACTCCGACGGACTCTAGCCCTCTGGCTAGGGCATTGCTTCTGGCATCTAGTGATGCATAGGATATGCGATCATTTTGATGTCTCGATATGACACTACAAAGAAGATGGATTAGATTGGTGGTTGTGTGATTTTTAGCAGTGAAGTATTGCTGACGCTGTTCTGTCACCGTGATCTGCCACTATTTTGGCGAAGTGTTGACCGACGGTTGATTCAATTAAAGGTGGCTTCAAGAAGTGTTAGCCAACGACCTGATTCTTGATAGTCACTAACTTACATTCGAAGGCCCTCGATTATAGCTCTTTGTCAGCAATCCTCGCTTGGACATAAGCAAGGGGTATTGTTTCCGGCGAAAAGCTTGGATTATCCTTTGCCCTGCATGCATGGTGATTCAAATATCGAGGACTTTGAAAAAAAGAAAAAAGAAAAAAAAATTATTCTCCAAACACATCAACTGAGGAGCAGATGGGCATGCGTAGTACAAGATTTGTTACACAAGGTGGTGTACAATTTCCTACGACTAAAATGAATGATGCAATAGAACTATGGAAGCTTTCCCCGCATTCCGCATTTATACCTAGGTAAATTTGCGGGTATTGGTTGACCCGAGGCTATATCTACGGATATTATATAGACGAGGTTCCTCGGTAAATAAATTTGCACTAAAGCAGAGATATTGATGTCGTCATCATAATCAGTATATCCTGCATTCTGAGGCAGTTTCTGGAGTCTCTTGAACTGATGGGTGCCTGAATCGGCGATGTAGTCCACGTAATTCAATCTCTGTCAGGGCCCCAAAGTATAAATACCCAAATCGGCGAATGATGGGAGTCTTGGATCTTAGTAATGATCTCAGAGATGTAAGAACTAATATCTAGGCTCTTTTGGTGTAACGATGACGTTTTTCAAGTTGCTACACTCAAGCCTATCCACATCAGTGAGACAGTAGAAATGGCGTATCTACATGCATTATGTGGAATTGAATAGCTACGGTTAGCATTTCGAGCCGGATCTAACAGACTGAGGCTGTAAGGCCGATGCCAGGTTGCACATTGCTAATCGATTTGATATATCCTGAAAATTGGCATGAACTTTCTGATTGTATCTTCTAGCGATATCGCGTTTTAAAGTGTCAGTTTTTTGCGATAGTATTTTTCTACTATAGAGAATGCCTTCATGTCATTCAAGGCCTCCTCGAAAGGCTTTGTCCAAAGACTGCTATTATAGTAATTGTCGGTACACCTGTATCAAGAGTAGAATAGCTATTCGATAGGCTAATGCCCACTTCTAACACCTATTACAGGTTGCGCTTTACGCCCCTATAATATCTTGTGTCTCTGAAGTGGTTGTAAAGTCTTCTTTTCATTCATGGTGAGAACTAGCTATTTATCTTACAGGTTGCTCTTCTGTCTGAGACGAATGTGTTCCATCGTCTAAGATAAGAGAGCCGGTGAAGACGGGACATCGTATTTGTATGGACGTTGATCAAGGTTGTTGCTTGATGCACTACGAACAGGGGTTCGTGATGTGGTCTAAACCGGGGTGTCGTTGTTCGATATCCTAACAGTAATGCTATAAAGCAAGACCTATAGCATCATTAGAAATATGTCTTTATCTTTAGAAATCAAAGAAAGCACTAAGAGTGAAGTTGACGCTTCCATCAGCCATACTGCTATATTTAAGCTCTTTAATGTAGGGTTCGATCGGAGTCGCCATTTTTTTTACCCAGGCCCTGACCCGACCATTTCTAGCATCATTTCTAGCATCATTTTTATCGTTTCTGCACTCTTTATGGTCGTTTTTTGGGGGTATACTTAGGATCATATAGATTATTATTTTGAATTTTCTTCACAATTTCTCGAATTCTTGTCCCTTGAGTGCTGTGCAAGTAGAGCTTAGGTGCTTTAGAAGGGAGCCAGTTCTCGTTAGCCCTGCTAGCTCATCAAGCACATCTTTGAGTCCTTTATCGGCCCACTGATGCATCATCTTGAGTAGAGTATCATGAATGGTATGATAAAGCGGGGTCTTAGTAGATTATCTAGCGACAATGGATTAGAGTGTGGCGTAGCTTCCTTCTAATATGCTATTTAAGCGACTTAATGTTATCATCAGTCCAGAGCTCAAAGTGTTTTCGAAATATTTCCCAAATATCTCGATAGAAGACGTAAATTTCAGTATAAACATGAATCGTCGTGAGAACAAAGTCCAGGAGTGTATCGGCATCAACTGCTATTGGATTGATTCCTTACCATATCTCTTGACTCTCTCTTACCAGTCGGGACCTTGGGGCCCATATTTGGATGCCATCTCGGTCCTAGGGATTGGGAAATAGAAGGCACTAACCCTTAATAGAGAGGAAGTGCTTGGGCTCCAAAGTTGTGCTCGCCCTTGTGGCGATCCTGAAGATGAAGATTAGGCTTCAAAAACTGAATAAAGCGATGTAAAACGAGAAGCTTTGATGGAGATGATGGCAAAATGGTGTTAAAATGGCAAGATAGTGGAAGGAATAAGAATTAATTTGATGATGGGTTAGGCCAAATATCAAAGGAACTGAATACAATATTAAAGAATATCAAAGAAAACTCATGAGTGTCCCTACTACGTAGTAGTTATTCTTGTAAAGTAAATCCCAAACGAGCCACCACAGGCGAGCCGCCACCCCAGAACACCATAGTAAACTCGAGAAAATTGAACATCATATTTCAACAACCACCAGTTGAAATGATTTCAAATCTTGAATTTGGATTATTTGTAGTTAATTAAATAAATATATAGAAAGAAGGAATAGGAAATGATCGAGTAGAGTGTACTTAAAGCTAAAATAGATAAATTACACTGTAATCTATAATACCACCATCATATATTTATTTAATTTAGTTCAAATGAACTGATTCTTTGTGAATACTCTTATCGTTATTCCTCACTGAATATATAAATTATATCAGGGTTATGGTTGTTGAGATGTGATATTCAATTTTTTCGAGTTTACTATGGTGTTCTGGGGTGGCGGCTCGCCTGTGGTGGCGGCTCGTTTGGGATTTACTTTAGCAGCCCTCTTTGAATATTCATTTTATTCATAGTACCAATAAGATCATCTTTCTTTTAAGCCTTACACCATTACATCAAATTTTAGCCTATTCCATCGATCACCCTTGATCCTATGACTTCTTTCCGGTAGCAGCAATATTTCTTATATCAGCCTTAGTGTGTCCACATACAATAGAAGTCTAGACTCAAATGAATAAAGAAGAGCTGCATATGTATTAGGTAATATTGAGAGTTTTTGAAGCCATTCAAATCTCCGAATTATGAACACTATTTTTCTATAGTTACATTTCTTAAAGTACCACCATCTTTGCAGTCCACAAATGTGCGAAACTTCAGACATTAGCAAGAATGTAAGTCATACTTAGGTAAATTCCCAAGGTTATACCGCCCACAGCTTCACCCAGCCGGTAGGCACCTCGTCATCGGATTCCTCTTCTGCTCTTCCTGATTATACCATTAAATATCAAGCACAACGAGACGGAATACAGAGTACAGAAGAGAGCGTGAGATGGTGGAATAGTGGGGCTGAATTATTGTGTCCATTTATTACCAGAAATCACTTAACTAGTGGTGGTTGAGCCAGCCTCCAGGGCACTTATACTCATCCACCTCAACGATAGTTGCCGAAGTGTGCATGTCTGAACTGACGTAATAAATTGATGTTTGGCAGTATTAGGCGGTGTATTAGACGCGGTGCTCTGTAGTGGGGAAAGCCCTATCGTATCGCAACTGAATGTTCTTATCCTTTCTTTCCGTTCCTCTGACATGCTTCATATCTGTTGACTTCTTCATTGGCTTGCAAGCCTAAAACTTTGACATCATGCCTTCCGAACCTGACGAGGAGGCTATCGCAAGCTTCGTCAACATGCTCTCCACGACCCGCGATAAGGCAATCAGCTTCCTAAAGGTGAGCTACACATCTCACTCCTGCGTCGCATATGTACACTTGTGAGGATGTGTCTAACAAATTTATCCTACAGGCCAATGACTCTGATCTTCAAAAAGCTGTTAATGCGTATTTTGAAGATCCGATGGGTCCTCAAACTGAGGTGAATTCCTTCCCCCGCAATATTTCCAGACCATAAGCTGACCAGTTATCTCGGACTAGTCTTCTCTTTTCGATAATAACTCAGCCCTGAAACGTGCGCTTGAATATTCAAATTGATGTTAGTATCGCTGACTAACTTTTTTTTTCACCTAGCCCCTGCCTTGTTCTATGACCGTGATGCATCCCGAGTTCCAGCAACCGCTCCACCATCTCGACCTCCATCCCGAGCTAGCCTTTCTGGTGAGCTTGAGTCCAATGGAAATTCGCGATTTGCTCTACCCACACTGAATAACCCTGGTGAGCAGCTTCTCTAATTCCATTATTTTGGGTCTTATACTGACTTGCTTGCTCTATTGAAGATACATGGTCTCCCAGCGGCTGGAACTCTAACGAGACTTCTTGGTCGAACACTGAGCGCGAGAATCAAGAGCTACAACAGGCAATGGAGATGTCACTCAACGAAGGCATGGGGTATCAGGAAACTGGAGTCGTTACGGCGGCTACAGCAGGCGCCAGTAGCGAACCCCACTTTGGCAAAGCGACGCGCGAAAATTATGATGATTCAGACTGGGCCATGACTCTATTTAATGAGACAGCTCAAGAGATTGTTGTCAATCTTGAGCCCGAAGACCGTAAGAAAATCGGCGATGAGCCGGTCTTTCTTCGTCCCACGACAGGCGGCCTTCACCTTGGCGGATTAATTACGATTCTACATGGAATTCCTCTTGCCCGAGAAGCTCTTCTCCTGCGGAACAAACTGCTCTACGACTATGGGGGAGACTCACAGTGGTGGAACGGCCATGAGATAAACCTGCCCAAGATCGTGTCCTTGCACGAAGGCAATGACAATACCGACTGGGAAGATGTGATTCATGAAGCACAACGACTGATGGCGTTTCTGGATTCTACTCAGCGTGCATTTGGAAGCAGTGATGCGCTGGTACACATCAAGCAGGAGACCGACTCCTTTTATTCCTCTGACTCAGAAGAGGCTGTCTCCCGGTTCTTGGAAGCCTGGCACTCCGCAGCGGAGCGAGCAGATCCGAAAGGTTCATTTTCGACGGTTTTCAAGTCCCTAGCTTTCAAGAAATCTCCCTTTGATGACGAAAACTATGAACCTGAAGCTAAGGAGGTCTTCATTCTTGAGCCTCCTGTTGAGCAGGAGCATGGCCAGACATTGTACGATGTTTTGGATAAATCGATCTGGTCTGATCTCCCCAATTGCCCAGACTTGGATGATGTTTGGTTGGAACACGTGAGCGATGTGCTCGTAATGAAACTCGATGCACCCCAAAACGCCAAATCCGTGGATGTGAAAATTCCGGCTGTATTCTATCCAGATCGCTACTTGAGTAGCCATCGAGAGCTTTCTCGCGACTTGCGTACTAAGAGACTTCAGGCCCAAGAGCATTTGATGAGAATCCAGAGCGAAATCGAACGCTGGACCAAACTTCCCAAGCCGTATGATGAAAGCAGACCAGATCAGACGCGAGCTGAGCTCCTCGAGGGATGGGCAAACTTAGTACCTGTCGTGCTCAACGAAGCCATATCACGACACACTGACCTATTGCGACATATGCCTGACATGATGAGTATTGAAGCTGCCCAGGAAAAGGCAGAACGGATTCCGCGGCTACTCCGAGCGAAGCGGGCCAAACTAGAGCTCAAATTGAAAGGTATAGTTGCTTATGCACCTACAATCATGGCCATGGTTACTAACTGATTGATTAGAGCTAGAAAATAAGAAGCAAGAGGCCATAGAAGCCTTGCGAAGCTACTCCAAGTTTCTTACTGAGCCATCCGACTCATCCGACTCACCAGTTTTCAAATACATGCTGCGAGGAGTTTGCACCGAGCCACATGTCACCTACGTTTCGAAGCCTTCTGATACCAGTGACTCTGACGGTGTGATGGAGACCGATGACGATCAGACTCCATCGCATCAATGGTGGCGAATCAGTTTTTCTACCGATGATGGTAAGACCCAGCAGGCAGAGAAGCGACAGGCAAACAACAATGCATCCCAACAGAATGGGGATGTCATGGGCTATACTGCTCGAAAAGTGCGAGAAATCGAAGTTCTCCGGGCCGCTCGCGAGGAAGGCCGGTCAGTCTTGCTGGTATATGCCAGTGAGGCGGCTATCAAGGCTCCAGTGAAACCACTACCCCCGCAGTTGTTGGTAAGTGTCTAAACTTCCGTTGAGAACGAATGAGCATCAGTTGACCCCAAAATAGGGATTTGTGACCAGAGACAACGAGGCATTCGCCGCTGAATGCGAGGATAGCAGGATGGAGATTGAGCAGATCCAGGACAATGACACCCACGAGCAGCCCTCCAACGATCAGGTTAGTTTCTTTGACACTGAATGGTGCAAGAGTGAACAGACTCAAAACAACGATACCCACGAACAGCCCTCAAAAGATCAGGTCAATGTCTTTGACTATGAAATTTACAAGAGCGACAACGAGGACGAATCGAATCAAGAGATGACAGAGAAAGATGGACCGAGCCTCCTAGCAGGCACTGTCATGCAAGCAGATCCGATGCGCAAAGCATTAAGCGACAATGTGGAAAACGGCCAAGACCGTAAGGGATTTTGAACCAAGGATCAAAATAAGTGATGAAGTAGGAAGGTGTACTGGCCGAGCCGCCATTGAATGTGGAAAACGACCTGGGGCGTCCAGGGGACTTGAGCTTAGGATCGAAACGACTGATGAGTGAATGAACTATTTAGCTCAGCGAATCAGTGATTCTCCTGAAATTCTGAGCTATGAAATCCATGATATTGATATCAAACAAACCCATAGATCCAAAGATCCACCTACGACGTAGATGTAGTGTGATAATTGTCTCCATGTTTGCCGTGTTTGCACTCTCTAAATCGGGGCAGTCAGACATGAATGTTCATGAGACTTTCCAACCTTATTACCACTTAATTAACATTTCCAAAAATGTCCATAGAAAGCGATATGCTCGCTGGAGCTACCATCGAGCTCCTTGAGGCACGTTTGCGACGCCTGACCTACCTCCTGGGCGGCGCTACAGACTGGACAGGGGTGCCAACCACATCCAAGAAACCTTCCTCACTCGATGAAACAGTATCGCGGCGACTGGCCAGTCTAGAAAGGAATCTGGACAAGCTAAGCCGGAGTGTCCCGGCCGTTAGAGATGTGGTCCAACTCCGTAAGTTCGACCCGGCGCATTGTTTACATTACAGGCAGTCTGGCGCGTACGATCGCACCCACCCAAGCATATACTCAAGTATTCTATCTCGGGCTTTTGGAAGGCTTTGAGTCCTTTCTTTTGTCTGAATACGCTTTTTCAGTTTACTAACCAGGCCAATGAATTTCCAGACGACCGCTATCCAGACCTTTTCCAAGCACCACCCCCTCAAGATATCCCCGAAGGCCTCTCAACTCAAACCCTCGCCTCTATCGTCCTCTCATACGCAACCGCTTTCCCAGAGACATCATCTCGCCTCACATCTTTGAATGACTTGCCTCTCCCCGATGCTGAGAGCTCGGCTGCACTGATCGAGCTACAGCCCCAGATGGACCGACTAGCACAAGTTCAAGCTAACCAGGCGGAAATCATCTCTGAGCTGCGTGTACGGACAGCACGAGTACTTCAGCGATGGTATGAGGTTGGGCTTTTGGGTAGTGGGGAGTGCTGGGCAGAATGGGAGGGTCGACTTGAGGATGTTGAGCGGGAAGTGCGACGGCATGAGGTGTTGAAGGAGAAGAGGGAGAATGAGATCTGATCTATTGGCATGAAGGAGTTGATTCTGTAAACTGCGTTTTTGTCTTATCTTTATTTTATGATATCCTCTATTTTGTCAGCGCTTTTTGATCCCTAAACATCTAGATTGTATTGAGCTGACGATTGCAACCGAATGTTCTTGAATCCGAATCCGCATCCGAATGCCGAGTCCAGCACTCGAATGATACTATGTTCCTTAGAAGTACTCGTCAGGCTCCCTTGTCTTGGGTCCATTGAATGAATCGGCAATTATGACCCATCTTCCCCCCATACCTCATGGTTGTTGATACATATCGGGTCTTCATGACCCAAGTAGTTAGGTATTGTGGCTGGATGAGAAATGTTCTTACTCCAATTGTACTAGAGTAGTCTCGAAATGAAAAGATGGTATCTTAGGTACATTCCATACAATTAACAAGAATGTTGGCACAACATATGATTTTACCCCGGATTCCTCATTCGTATATATGAACATCTGGGCCGAGTGACCTATACGGTTTAGCGTACATCATACACGTCTCATTCCATCTGGCACCATGATTGAGGATTTCTGGAGGAGAGTTGGAATGAATTACCATATAGTCGTACGGAGAGAATGGAGAGAAATTGGCCAGATTGTTCACGGACCACTGGAGTAAGATACAAAGATATTCATAGACAGATCAGTAAAGTAGTGCACATACTATTTGACTGCAGGGCTGATAGACAGTGATAGGTAATTGAGGCCTCAAAGTGGATGGATTTCGACAGGGCAGATTAAAAATTGAGATAGAAGCCAAAGCACGGTCATAAGAGATAAAAACAAAATAAAAGTGGAAACTGGATACAAATGAATAAGGGCATTCCATGCATTCCAGGGGTGTAGAAAGAAGAGAGTGTGTTTTGAAGCGGGATCCACTGCCACTCTTCTCTTCTTCTCTCCTTCTCTCCTCTCTTTCCTAAATCCTCCTTTTTCCGCCCTTCACAACCGACATCTTCATTCTCTTCTTCGGCCTGGTGCTGTTCCTTCCCTCGGCACTAACCTGTTACTTCGTTTTCCTGTCTTTAAATATTTCCCAACTACGCCTCTCGTTTTCGGCCTTCGGTCTTTGTTTAATCTAAAGAGGTAGATCAGCCTCACCCGCTTTGACTCGCTGTACCCTCTGTTTTCTCTTCTATTTTATGTGCTATCAAATACAAAACCACATGGAAATGGAGATATGGACATGAGGGATGATGCAGGAGCACACCTTTGGTGGACCATCTGTTCGTAATCCAGGCTGACCAGGCGCAGTTTAGTCTCTTTCCCATATCCCTGCGACCGTCAGCTCTGCGACTCTCCCTCTTCTTCATTCCAACTGGAAAACCAAACATCAATCTCAGCAGGATTTTTTCAATTCAATCTTTTCATCCTGTCTTTTTTCAAAATCGAATCATTTCTGAAATTACCCCCCAGTCTAAACTCCAATATTCTGCGCATTTTCTCGACCTTGTGTTTCTGGCAACGAACAACGTTAATCGACATTCAAAATGGGAAAATTCCGCGCTAGTAACATCCTGGGTGACCCCTTCGCACTTGCGACTCTGTCTATCTCCATTCTAGCATGGCTGATTGCATTCGTCTCCTCTGTTATCGCCGATATTCAATCAGACTATCCAAACTACTCTTGGTGGGCCAATTCATATATGTTTTGTGTCATCGTGGGGTTAATTGTGGTCTTTGGCACCGATACGTGCAATGTCTATGGAGTTGCGGTGAGATCTTCGCGCCTTTCATCCAATACCTCCAAATAATAGCTGATAAGTTTCTAGATTGTGGGATATCTCGGATGTGGTCTTGTCCTATCTTCCTTGAGTGCAAACAACTTGGTTTACGATAGCCAAGGGTCTCAACAAGCTGCTGGAGCAGGCTTCATTCTGCTCTCGATGGTCATTGTAAGTATGGTTAGACCGGTTAGTTCTACAGATTCGTTAATTCTTTTCATAGATCATCTGGATCTTCTACTTCGGCTCTTCACCCCAGGCTACCCACCGCGGTTTTATCGATTCATTCGCCCTGAACAAGGAGCTGCCTGGAACCAGCGATTACCGCGACAGCCAATTCAACAGCAGTGCATACAGCACCAACCGCCCAGAAGTTCGGGCCACAAGTAACACTCCACAAATGTACACATCTGCCCAGCTGAACGGCTTTGAAAGTACATCTACCCCCGTGTCTGGATATCCCGGTGGAAACCCCGGAGATCGCAACTCAACACAACCTCGATTTGGAGCCACCCCAAGCCCAGGCCCAGCCGCCAATAACGGCCAAGAGGGCGAAGTACCTCAACCGACCGATTACCCGTATCGGGCGAAGGCAATTTATTCGTACGACGCAAACCCTGAAGATGCCAATGAGATTAGCTTTGCCAAGCACGAGGTTCTTGAAGTGTCCGATGTCAGTGGCCGATGGTGGCAGGCTCGGAAATCAAATGGAGAGACTGGCATTGCGCCGTCCAATTATCTCATCTTGTTGTGATCACCACATGATGTCTAATATTCTCCATATCTTGAATTTCTACCCTTTCTGTCGCAAAATCTGTTCCCAATTGATACCCTTCGGATCTTCCCTCGACGTGTCTGTTTTTCTGGTTTCTAACGTGATGTCTTGATGGTCTCTTTTTTCTGTCTCTGTTTTTCCATTTTGGCCACTGCAATCTTTTATTGTTTTTCTCTATTCGGAATACTTTATCCGACTTTGAGCATTCTTTTTTTTTCATTTTATATTCTCTGCCCTTCAATAGTCCCATCTCCTTATGACCGGCACTATAGGGCTTACAGACAGGGTCGGTTTAAATCTGGTAATCTTTTCACCGAGCCAGGATATGCATCTTTTCCATTTCTACCCTGATGTTATTTACCAAATAGCGCTAGGATACCATCTTTGAATGCACTCTGATTCTTCTACTGGTTATAAATCGATTTGAAGGACTGATGAAGTGACTTGTCTGCGCCCCCTCTTGTCTCAGTTAGATGAATCTGACACTCCAACCCGCATTGAATCAAGCCCCACAGGCTGCTGATCGAAGTTCCAAAATCTTGTACAATCATCTAGTTGATTGTGGATTGCCCCGTCTCCACATAATGCCGGTCTAGACCATTCACCTACTGATAGCCCCGGAGCCATTGAATCTGTCTGCCTGTGATTTATTTCTACCCAGTTTGGGTATTAGGCTGTCAAGTATAATAATCTGATAGTTGAATGCTTTTATTATTTTCCTTGAACTTGATGAAATCGAGCTATTTAACGATGTTTGTATGGAGTACCTGGAATTATATGGGGAAGGAAGGAAATGAGGTTCTTGATTCACAGATATGATTGGCCCAATAGAATTAAGTGGGAAATAAAAATAAATAAGTGGTCCATAATTAGTTAGTATTAGAAAGAACTTGAGTCGGGGAAGAAGATGGGAGGACATTAATAAACTATCAGAATCAATGCAGACTGTAAATAAGAGACAGTTTGTAATAATATGTAAAGCTCGTATTCCTGCCAACTATAGATCGGTACATTAGATAAATTAGTCACTAGAATTTGATCATTAAAGGCAAGTACCCTCGATCTATGCCAAAAAAGAAGATAAAAGTATTTTTACCAAAATGGAACAATCTCGCACCGCCATAATCAAGGCCGTTTATTAAAAATAAAATTGGTAGCTTCTCTGTGATTGAGCACGTTATACTTGGTGCAAGGGCCAAGTTAATCTTGGTGACTATTTTCCCGAAAGGGACATGAGGTGAGTCGAACTTGTGGATTATATACTTCGGTTGAAACCAGTTTATTACAAACTAAATGAGAAGGCGGTTCGTAGTAACAAAAATATCATGTGAACACTCTATGATCTAGTCTCAATATCTAAATATATTTTTTTAAAAACAGACTCAATTTTCCTGTCTATACTAAGAATCAAAATACATAAGTAGTATTTTTACATCTTTCGGCTTCTGTCCCCCAAGCTTCCACCCATGTAGGTAGTAGCCTCCGATGTCTATACAGATAACCTATAAACTGGTTCCAAGGTTGTTTCCCTAATCCTGAAACGGGGACTAGAGCTGATTCAACTAGAATCTCCTCCTTCTCTGGTTAAGACCTTCCAAGGATAGGATCGTCAATATTATTAAGATCATCTGAAATGATCTCATATGTTAGGGTAAGATTGGAACTCCTCTAATTAACCTGATCTGGAATCCAAATCTGTAAAGTTTTTAAGATCAGATACAACTTCATCAACTAAAGGCTGTATATCATCAGGCGGCTGTAGCTTAGAAAACCGAGACTTTGTAGACTCAGTAACCTTATCTTCATGATCAGCTTGGAAGGGCTTTATGACTACAGTTCTTGATAGTAGTTGAGACGTCTAGCTCCTAGGCTTCAATACCCCAACCTCCACTGAATAACGTTCAACACATCCATAGAGACTACTGGATCATGGCCTTGATCAATCTGGGTCTTGAAAAGCCGTATCCACTAGTCAAGGACAGCTTCAAGATCAAGCCACTTAGATGTACGAAGATGCTTTGATCTTGCCTGTAACGATGTTATTAGTGATAAACCATATTTAAGTATACCTTTGTACATTCTGCCATGAACTGTAAGGTTATGATATCCCTCCGTTTACCTGACGCCTCACTTGCCACATAGGACTAACATTGAAGGTACCTAGGTATCGAGCGACAGAGGTTAAAAAGAGGAAACGAATTACTCGAACCGAGTCAATACTACAGAGGGGACCATCTTTATCAAGTCCACATTTCCCTTTACTGGAATCGGTACCTTGCTTTTAGCTCTGAAATGCCAAGGGAATCAGACTGTCTAATACACCAGCAGATAATTTAACACCATAATTCACTGGTTCTTCCATGTCCGCACGCATACATATCTCTTATTTCAACTCATGGACTGAGTCTCAAGTGCAAGTTACCATGCTATATGGAAATTTAGTCGAGGTCAACGTCTCTTTGCTCGCATGAGGCTTCTATGACAGGGGTATTGCTAGGGTATCTGCAATGAAGTTCCCTTTGCCTGGTCACAAGCTCTCTAGACATTGATTTTGAGGTTGCGATAATTCGAAACATAAATCACACGACATGGTTTGATGGCAGCCCTTGAGTTTTTTATAATAGGGATCGAGGTTCTCCAGAGAATTGATTTGGAGGGTCTTCTAAATTTGGTGTGCTTGCATGCGATGTTCATACACTTCACAGCATCCTTGAGACGACTGTAGCTAAGGTACCGTATGCAGCATCGGTTGCAAAATCAACCAGCTTCCTTTAAATGAGTTGGTACTTAGCCAATGGAATACCCTTGAACTGCTTCTCCAGGAGACTGTATTCTCGAGCACAAGATAGACAGTCCTCCGTACACGTTCTCGGCAAGAAAACCGATTCCGAAAGAAAGCTACCTTCGGCGTGACTTTATTTGAGATTTTTCCACCTGTATGAGCGTATCCGAATCGGATCTGTTCTCTCTCTCGAAGCTCCTTCAAGAAGATCCTCATACTCATGTCTGAGTTCCTGAACGAAAGCCAAAAGCATACTTTTCGGCAAATACGATCCTGCTGTTCCCCAATATCACTTACCAGTCTCATCGCGAAGGACTTGGGATGCAATGGTAGATCGTCCATCCATTGTGTGCTGCCACGCATGCCGTAATATCTGGACACAGTAATGATAATAAAGATATCGAGCTGCAGGTCGGTGATCTGTCTTGAACATAAAGGTTCTTCCATCTAACTCCCTCCATGTTAAAGGGTCGCAAGGATGAATCATTAAGTCGAGCTTCTCCCAGTTATGATCGAGGATCTTCAACTTATATGCCCTTGGGCTATGGTTCAGCCAAGAGACTCATCACAAATTTTCCATTATCCATATATTTCTCGATTGCTGAACACAACGAGAGACCGTTCTTTACTGAGAAGAGATCTTCGTTTGCAGTTTTTCCGAAGATCGCAGTCATGGTCGGCTGTCCAGTTTCCATGGAAATAAGTAGGCTGCCTGGCACTCGGTGTAGCATCTTAATACTGGATACCAGAGCAAGTCTGTATATAGGCCAAATCCCTCTGAGCCATACACATCGATCATTCAAGTCGGAAGCATTTCGATGCACACATGTTCGTCACCATCGGGAGCGTCATATTCCATCCAAATATCAAGATTATAGAATCTCATCTAAAGATCCAAGATCTAATATCTCCAAAGTTCGGTTCTTCAATTCCAATCTTACTTTCATTAAACTGAACGGAATATGCGGCGTGAGCGGTATAATATGAAAGTGACACTGAGATTGAGACCAAAGATGAGACTGGTCTTTTCATGTCACTTGGGTCTCTTATGTTGACGTCTTACCGAGATATTGTCTGCAAGGGAATCTTAGAGTATATCGTATTTGAACAAATTCGACCATTTTTGGATCATAGGACTGTGCCCTCCGCGAGGGGGCAAGTCAGTTAAATTGAGCAGTCAATTCTGTCTCTGCGCTCTGCATCTTCCGAGGGCAGTCGCTTTGCCGTCGCCATGTAATTCAGAGCTGGAAAATCTTGGTGTTTGTTGAAAGTAGGATTATTTTTGAACATGAAAACGCATAAAAACCTCGGTGTATTTTCATGGTTAAAAAAACAAAGTATGGGCCGGGTCAATCACCATACGCGTGTTGGGAACGAGTCGATGGATCTGGGTCGTTGGATGACTTGAAGTCCGATACAACGTATCGCACGGTCTCATTTAAAGACTTGTGAATGACTTTGTTGGCTATACACCTTGCTGTCATGGAAAATCTCATTTTGACCTAGGCATATGCAATAGCACCAGTCGAGTCATGGTACTCGTGGTAGCTGGTAGCTGCGACCAGAGTATAAGAGACACAACAACACTGACATGGAGAGTATTCTTGTATGCCGAGTTAACATGTGTCGATCAGGCGTCGTCGCCACGCTTTCCAATTTAATTGTTGGCGAACGGTATATCAGTAGCAAGATTGGCAACCACACTCGAAGAGAGCAAGTGACGAGAAGGATGTAGTAGTCAACCTTGGGGAGGGAATGAAAAGAAACCTCAGCCTTCCAAGCTTAGCATAGACTAATCACTTGGAAACCTGGAAGGTAATGAGTGCGTATGCCCGTGGACAAGCCTCGACAAGCCTTGACAAGCCTCTATATCTCAAACTTGGAAGATTTTCTTTCACTTTCACTTTCACTTTCACTCTCACTCTCATTCTGTGAATACCCATATAGATACTGAGATCCATATGTCAGTAGATTTAGCTCAAGACAACAAATAGGGGTGGGTGGATACTTGTACCAAATCTACTCCAGAAGGTTGAAGTAGGACACTGTATACGGGTTCTGTTGGACCTGAACAATGCAGTCGGTCAGAGCATTTCAAACGCAGAGAGCCTATAACCTCAAAAAGAAGAGTCAAGATGCAAAAGACGAGAGGAGAGAAGAAGAATGGACAACAGTACAGACCGCCAATTCGATGGTCAATGCAGGACGTGTTTCGGAACTTAAGCGTGAGGACCCGATTTATTATTCCATTTTAATATTTTAATATTTAATGCTTAATTCTTAAATGTCCCTTCTAGAAGAATTTGAGATCCACGTGTTGTTACCCTTCTCCAATTTCCCCCTCCTTGACCTCTTCTCTTCTCACCATCACCCGCGAAAGCACTGGACAGCTCTCTTCCAACTTTCTAATATCTATATCTAATATCTAATACATTGTCTACTGTACAAGGTGGAGGAACATGCATTGAAGACCACTGCTTGGCAAATTCACTATGCTGGAGGGACGCCTGTCGCGTCTGCTCAAAGCAAAGCTGCTTCGACGATCATCTACACCTGCGGTTCCAAAAGCAGCCGAAGGAGCGGACCCGGTCCACCCAATCTCAACTTCTACATCTCGCGCTCATCAGCTTTTCGACTCTGCGAGTGAAAACATCCCGTACAGCGTCGTCTCTTCTGCTGTCAATTCCTCCATTGATATCAGATCTGGTCCCGATCCCCCCGATCACCCCGAGGGTCCGGGTCAAGCGAATACGGGGGAATCAACCCGAACATCTCCACCAACAAAGCTTCAACATCGCCTCTCAATCGATCTTCCATCCTGCACTCCGCCATCCACCGAGCCCAACTCCTCCCCGCTTCACACACCTCTTTCAGAGCTTCCTTTCTCCCTCCAGACCCCGCTTCCCACCCCTCGGCCCTGCGACGATACCTCACTTGTAAGCGCCCCAGAGCCAACTCTATCCGAAATCCAATCGATCCCAAACCTGGACCCTGTCACGGAACGCGTCTCTGAAGGTCGACGAAAATCGTCATTATTGTTTCCTCCCCAACCTACCAAGCGCCCTACTATTGCAATACGTCGCCAGTCTCTTCTCCCCGCATCACATCAGCATTTGATCAGCCGTCTGTCGGAGCAGAACCTGTTCGTTTCACAGGGTGATCCGCGTAGCGGTCACCCACCGGCTATAGCCACTGCGATGGTGCAACGTCGAGTTTGGGTCAAGCGGGTAGGGGGCTCAGCCACACTTGTGCCTTGCTTAGAGGATGCAGTAGTGGACGAGCTGCGAGACCAAGTGATCAGAAAGTATGCGAACTCTCTGGGGAGATCCTTCGATTCTCCTGATATCGCGATCAGAATAATACGTCGAGAAGGATCGACTCGCTCGGGAACTCCAGAACGCCTCTTAAGCCCAGAGGAAACACTGTCGTCCGTACTCGACTCATATTATCCTGGAGGCCAAACAATCGAGGAGGCGTTGTTAATCGATGCGCCAACCTCCCGAACCCCGAAACCATCACCCCGTCACCTAGTATATCATCACAACCACTCTGAACCCGGCGAGCATGGTGAATACTTCCCTCTCATGCCTGCCAACCCCAAGGTTCCGACGCCACCTACTCACGTTGCGGCTTCAACACCAAATGCGCCCTCGATATCTATCCTTAACACTGGCGTGGCTCCGCTGTTGCCATCACCAGGGAGTCGCGCGTCACGTCATCACCGCCGACCACCGCTCAACAGACATACAACCAACTCTCCGACGTTGCTTGGCCAATTGCCCACCATTGCCGGTAAGCTTTCACCTTGTAGATTGATTTTATCATGAAAGAAAACGGGAAGAGAATTAATGATTTGCAAAGATACCAGCATCTCTCCTCATTCGCAACCCCCTCCCACTGCTCCAGTACAAGCTGTTCCGACACCACCTGTAACGGTTGTAGAGTCTCCTCAAGCCAAGTCACACACACCTCCTGTACCGGTTGCATCCCCAAGGAACATACGCAAATCAAAGGTTGCTGCTTCTCCAGGGGCAATGTTTGGAGGCTTGATTGATGGCACCGTGCCACCAATCAATGTTCTGATTGTGGAGGATAACATTATCAATCAAAAGCTTCTTGAAGCTTTCATGAAGCGCTTAAGTGTCCGGTGGAAGTGTGCAGCGAACGGCGAGGAGGCAGTGCGGAAATGGAGACAGGGAGGATTTCATTTGGTGTTGATGGATATTCAACTACCTGTTATGAACGGCCTAGATGCCACAAAAGAGATCCGTCGACTGGAACGAATCAATGGCATTGGTGTCTTTCCAAAAACGGCATCCGGTCGATCCAGTGCTTCAAGTGCCACCGCCTCTCCACCGGAGAAAAGACCGGGTCTCCATCGGTCAGTCAGTGAGGAAGATACACTGACCGATCTTTCATTGTTCCGAAGCCCTGTGATCATTGTCGCATTGACAGCAAGTAGTTTGCAAAGTGATCGTCACGAGGCCTTGGCTGCTGGATGTAACGATTTCCTGACCAAGCCCGTGGGATTCCCGTGGCTTGAGCAGAAGGTCTCTGAATGGGGCTGCATGCAAGCATTGATTGACTTCGAGGGATGGCGCAAATGGCGTGGATTTTTGGATTCCCCTCAATCTGCTTCTTACAACTCGGACAGTGCAGCTAGTCCGATGCAATCAGGTACCCGGAATGAGTCTGCCTCTCAGCCAGATGTGGGATCACCTTCCGTAAATCGTACGGCCAAGTACAAACCAGGAAAACTTAAACGGCCTCATCTACCAGATGCGGAGGTCCTGCGCGAAGACTCATGGGGCAGTGGTAGCGGTAGTGGTGACACTGCAGATTCATTCACCAGCCCTGCTTTACCTTCAGCCGGGATAGACAATACGTCGGCCCAAGCTACTTCCAATCCGTCAGCTGGACAGTAAGTATGATGTGCCGAGAGTCGTCTCGGTAAGATCATATGAATGATCTCTGATCTCCAGCTATATACGTCTTTTCGTGTCTCGACTACTGTCTTTCCATTGGATACCCTAGCAACTACCTCATACATAACTTCTCTATCGTTTCCCATGATCATATGTGTTTTAAGCTACGTATCAAATATTAATGCAAGCTTATTCTAAGGACTTCACTTCTACATCACTTTTGTATTATTTCCATTTTAGTTCCAAGGCCTCCAAGAATTCTAGGCTGAGATCAAGATTCAATTTTGCATTGTGAATGTTCGAGGCAAATACTGACCTACATCAGTAGTTTTCACTTTTCACTTCTCTAACCCCTAGGAATTTGACAAAATAATCAATTATGGGAGTCACATTACCTTAACCGTAGATCCAGATCCTTTGACTCTATCGAGGAAAACCTGCCACCAAACCACTTTCTCAAAACGAATTTTCGCAACCTGAAAAACCCATGTCAAGGAAGCTTATTACGTGATGAACGACCCTGATAATATTTTCAAGAACCAGTGAATCTTTATGTTCAATCTAAATGCTGATCAGTTGAAAAAGCTCCGAACCGAAACTCGACTGGGAGGGCAAACTCCACCGAGACAAGGAATGATGATTTAGAAACAGCCTAGGCATGGTCAGGATCGTTATTTTGACCATCGTCAGGCCACAAAAAGTGGTTTTTTTTTCGAAATGGTAGCTATTGCTAGTGGAGGTGCACCACGGCCTCCAAGCATCCTACTTTGTCTGGAACCCAGCCCCAAAACATATGCCGCCCCCTTAACAGCAGTTGGCGAGTGACCATCACTCATAGCTCTACCAGCATGTTAAAGTCACCCCAATGGCTGTGTGGGAGGGTTCGCTCATCATCCCATTCTACGTCCTCACGGACCGGTCTCCGCGAACTAAACTGGAGAAACTGGCAAGCAAAGATTACCGAATGGGTTTTCATGGAGGACCTGAATGCATTTTTCGGATAGAATAAGTGCCCCCTCAACAAATGCCATTTCAACATTTATCCAGATGCACATCCAAATTCCATCATTGCTCGGTTTCTATCTCTGCCCGTTCTATGTTCCTGGTTTCCCAGATTGGTTGCTTGGCACGGTAATATTTATTCTCATCAGTCTACTTTGATTTACCTCAACTCTTGCTTCACATCTATCTTACTAAGCACCAGATTAGTATACAAATTTTATCGTTGAAATGGCATTTCAAGGTTGAGATACTCCCATCAGATGTTGATGTATAAGATAATTACCTAATTAGTTAGTTAGGTAGGTAATCACCGTGAAGTCTGTCTCCATTGAAGTAAGCAGTAGTAGATCGGCGGGTTTTATAGATCTTATGATTGTACCTACATGTGACGAGCCAATCATGTCTTCTTCTATGTAGATCACTACATAGTAGAATGCGGGGAATGCGGAGATCATATAATTCTGTTTTGAATGAGTAATCTATATTGTGTGTACTCATTTGATGGTAGATCTTTATGTGGAGTGGAACCTTGAACACAGAAGTCATACTCTACCTAGTACACCTGCCCGTGGACCTAAGGCGTTATTTTCAGACTCTGTGCTCGGGTGGATACCTTGACTTGTGTGGAGTTTTGAGAAAAGGCTAGACAACACATCCGAACCAGACCACATCATATTTTCAGTACACCTAGGTCTTTTTCAAGTGCCAGAGTTACATTCATCAAAGAGTTCGGGAGTTTGGTCTATTTCAACCTCAAACTTTCGGTTCGCTCCGGGCCAGAATATCCACTTTGAGGCGTGGCCAGATCAGTCTGGAGTGACGCCTCATCCAATCACACCAACTTGCGGTGTAAGTTTTCCCCCTTTCTCGGATACTTCAATTGATTTATCGGGATTTCCCCTGACTGCTGGTTATTATTGTGATTATGATTCCTGCTCAGAAACTTGAGTCAGGAGATAGATCATAAGATCACAAGTCTTCTAATCTTATTTGCCTGATCTGATCTGATCTGGATCTGATAATGGCTGAGAGCATCTATGATATTCGGGAGCTTCCGCCGGACCAGAGAATCCTGGCAGGTCAAACATATCGGAATCGTCTCTATTACATAGCACAGGCTGCAGTATGGACGACCTACCTTTATTTCACCATACGGTTGCTCTTACTTCTTACTGCTCAATCGCAGACATGGCAAACTTGGGCAATGCTTTTTGTGGAAGCTATCTTCGCTCGTAAGTTGTGGTGAATTTTATTCACAAGGAATCGGAATAATCTAACGTACCCTAGACTTTTCTTGGAAGGAACAAAGCCTGTCTGTTGCTGCAAGCAAGGTCTCGCAAGGTGGACCGCGCAAGCGGCTTCGTTTGCACGGGACCAAGAATTTACCCCGTGTTGACGTGCTTATACCATGCTGTGGCGAGTCAGAGGATGTGATTCTAGACACTGTGCGAGCAGCATGTACTCTGGACTATCCAGTCACCGACTTCCGAGTTCTAGTACTCGATGATGGAAGCTCAGCCCTTTTGAAAAAAGCCGTATCAGAACTGCGATCTCAATGGCCCCATCTCTCATACAATTCCCGTGGCCAACAGTCTGGCCAAGTGTTCGCCAAATCTGGAAACCTCAACTACGCCCTTGCCACACTGCAGCAGGACGTAGTGCCCGAGTTCTGCACCATACTAGATGCTGATTCCATCGCATCGCCCGAATTTCTCCGTGCCACTCTCCCACACCTAATTCTTAATCCAAAATCTGCATTGGTTTCCACACGGCAGAACTTCTCCAATCTTCCCCCTGGTGACCCGCTCTCTCAGGCCCGCTGTCATTTCTACACCTGCCAGAATGCCGAGCTGGATATTCTCGGGCGCGCTATAGATGCGGGGTCTGGTGCTGTTTTCCGCCGCAAGTGTATCGTGGATGTGGGCTTGTATCCGACTTTCTCCTTCTCAGAGGACTGGCAACTTTCTCTGGTCTTGCAAGGCATGGGTCATCACACCATGCAGGTACAAGAACCTTTGCAATACGGTCTTGTTCCAACATCTCTCACTGGGCATATTGCCCAGAGAAACCGGTGGAACATTGGACACACGCAACAGATCATTGCCATGCTCTTTGGAAAGCATAGTTTCCCAGCAAGCTTACGACGGGGAATTGCGTGGAATGGTGTGGGAATCATTGCTGGTGAATTGCTCTGCTTGATAGGCTTCGCTGCAGTGCCACTGCTCTTGCTTTCGGGACCAGTAATTCCGTCCGCTTGTTCAGGAATGATCATGTTCCAGCTTGCTCTCGCTGTTTTACACGTGTCTTTGACTTGGGCATATGAGTATCTACAAGCTGCACATGGTGGATTCCAAAGCGCTCCATTTGCCCACTTAGAAAATAAGTGGCTAGCCGGTGGTAAGTTTAAGATTTTCCCTGTGAATATCGGAACTAGTTTAGATACTCACATCTTCCCAGGAAATATTTTCAGCATCCTACGATTCTACTTGTTCTCCAGCAAACCGAGGGGATCCTTTGTCACGGGAAGCACCGCCAACTCCTGGAACCGCATCGCTGCTGTATCTTCTTATATGAGAATTTATCGAGATTTATGGCAGAATGGCATTTTTTACAACTTGCTGCTCCTTCTTGTCACGCTTGGTGCCTTTTTGTACTCCACCGCTGTTGGAATCTTCACGAACGACGAGATCTTCACTACGAGGCTACTAACAACTCTTGTTTGGCCACCATTGTTGCACATTTGCTACTTGGCCCTTGCAAACAATTGGGTCCCAGTTGCTTACCTGCTAGATCCACCGCACTACCCAGAGCGTAAGACTGAATCCATCATCTCTCAGCCTGATGAATTACCTTGATATCTGCCCAAGCCACTTCCCGGTACAATGTACATGGAAGATGGACTGCAGAGTATAGAGGACCTTCAGTCCTAACTACGATTCTAATTCGCAGATGAACGAATATTTCCATTATCTAGAGAACGATAAATAGGTTAGAACAGGGTTTGTTTAATAATATTCTTAGAGTTTATAAACTTCATCTCCAAACTAGATGTAATGATACAGTTCTTGACCCGCATCTGAGGAGATAGCCGGCCTCGCAAGACCATAAACACAAAGTAGCTCCGACCGAAAGTTCTCATTTGCAAAGCCACATTTAGTCAAGACAGCCCGGCTCCCCGGATTGATCTTCTCAAAGATAGCATAGACCTTCTCAGCTTGGTTATCGTCATCATCACCCCAATTTCGCCGTGGAAGGTCCCACCACATCTTCAGCATCATTCTCAATGCTTCTGTTGCAAATCCCTTCCCCCACGACTCGGGAAGAAGTGAGTACCCAATCTCCGGACAAGGCTCTACTTCATTGATGCTCACGTAGCCAATGACCTGCTCGTCTGTGTCTGGGATTGACTTGTCTAGAATGACAAAACTGAATGAGCGGCCAAATGCCGCGGCTGGTTCGGTGAATACCTTTGATGCCCACCATTCTCGTGTTTCCTTAAAAGTCTTGAATGGCTCTTTAGGGTAGCTGATGGTTATCAGTTCAGTCCAAAACGAAAACTAGATTGAATAGGCCGCACTGACTTTGTTGCAGCGACTTCTGGCCGGGATCGTACGGCGAAGAGGGCAGGTATGTCGGAATCGGTGGCTGGCCGAAGAATGAGTCGACTGCTCTCAATCGACGGCGCGACTGGTGGGATGACCGCACGGAGAGACTGGGATGGGAGCTCAAAATCCATCCCGGTTGGTATTAGGTATGGTTCTTGCTGATTCGATACAGCAGAGAACACCAGAAACCTTGCGGCTTTGAACAGCTTTATACTTCAAGAGCCTCGTCGAATTGTGGGGTACATAAAAAATATAAAATCCAACGTTGCTGGACCAGATTGAGAGCCCGATATCGCAGTTAGGTAAGCCTAACCATGGGATTATAAGCGGGACCCTGGGGAATCTTATTAGATTGAATAGACGATTCCAGTCAATTTCAGTGATCATGGCACCACTAAATCAACTTGGTTGAAACCGTCTGTCAATGCGTTATGTAAGCTTATTTCTTATCGTGACGTTCATCCTCTTACGCTGCAAGCTAATGTATTTTGATTGGTCAATTGCTTATCGGCTTATGCCCCACTATACTATCATCTTAAAGCCGTATTTGTTGATGCTCTTTCTTCCATTAGCACCATGGATAATCGAAAACGAGCTACTAGAGCGTAAGTTTATACACAGAAGTATAGTTACTAAGCTCACCTTACCTAGTTGTGATGAGTGTCGACGTTTGAAGGAGAAGTGTGAGGGCGGAGTCCCCTGCAAGAGATGCTCTCACTTCCATCGACAATGTGAATTCAAGGGTGTCATGTCCAGAGCTCGAGAATTCCGTGCTTATGTTCCAAGGTGATAAATGCCAAGTCTTTGTTATGGGATTTTGTCTAACCAGAACTAGGGAGAGAGTGGATAAGCCCGATATTCAAGAACTGATTGCACGATCCAAGTATATGGAGCGAATATTAAAGCGCACTGTCGATGGTATCAGGCTTGACACTAAGAGTCTTGCTCAATTGGCAGACAAATTAGAAGCTGACCAGGGTAATGGAGACTTGCTTGAGGCCGACCTCGAAGATGTGGAAGGCTTGACAATAGACGACGAGGCTTATACTATAGATCCTGTCAACGATACGACCACACGTATGTCATCTGAAGCTTAGAAACTCAAAAGCTTGGAAGCCTTATTAAATTTTTGAATACGGGCTGATGATTGAAAGATTTCTCTGGAGAGTTTTCCTATTGGAATTTTTCCATGCGGGTCAAGCAGCACATTGAGGAGCAAGTCGGAGGATTGGAGAATGTAAGAATCGCATATTGCTATGAAATTCAATCTCACTGATACAATTGCAAGCATAATAATGATACAAATCATACTACAGATTTCCCACGCGCTCACCAGCTGCGTCCAGGGCTGCGTCATCTGTCAGCAGCAATATACTGCTGCCCTCCTCAGGCCATAGCTGAATTCTTGGCAAGGACGTTCTTCAAATACGCCGACATGTACTATTTCTTTGTCGAAGAAACTTGGTTATTTGAAAAATTGAAATTACTCTACAGCGATCCTTCAAGGTTCATAGAGAACAAGGGCGAAGTGACCATCAGTATTGTTCTTACAATACTTGCAATAGGGTCTCAGTACGCGCATCTTGAGTCTTCAGGGCAGGATCATAAAACAGCTTCTGGATCAAAAACGTCCGAGGAGGATATTGGTGCAACATTTTATGAGCAGGCTGTCCGTTTACTGCCAGAGATTATTGAGCTATCGTCTCTTGAAAGTGTTCAGGCTTGTTTGCTCTTTGGATACTACGCACTACCTGTTGATGCTTCTGGATTGGGGTATATCTACATCAATCTTACAATACGACTTGGAATGCAAAACGGGATGCACCGAAGGTGTAAACCTGATGCTTTTTCACCGGCCATGATCGAGAGTCGCAATCGAGTATGGTGGACAGCATATCTGCTCGAGAGGTTTGTCCCACATCTCAGAAACCATCCCTAGGGTATATGCTAAATTTCGAAGGAAAATATCCATTTTCCATGGTAGACCTCTTTCAATGCTGCGATCTGACATGGATGCGAATCTCCCGACCTATCGAGCCGATCTAGGACTTAGTGAAACGCGAGAGAATATTGAACGAACTAACGTCTCTATCCGACTGGCTCATTTTCTGGAAGACCTTTTTGAAAAAGTGTGAGTACTTGAAATCAAATAAACTGGGATCTTGGCTAATGAAATTTGCAGAACCTTGCTCCGCAGCTGCGAAAAGACTCAGGTCCCAAAAATAGTCTCAAAACTGCTAACCAGCAAAGCGGACTTGACAAAATGGTGGAATTCTCTCCCGGAAGAAATAACAGGTGGTGGATCTCAGCATCTACTCCACGCGCGTGCAGCGATGCATTTGCAGCTGGAATATTGCCTAGTCCGAATGTTCATCGGCCGGCCCTTCCTACTGAAGAAGAGCACTTCTGATTCAGAAAATCCATCCCCTCGCTCCGAAAGTGACCATAACGAAGGAGCAAGTCAAAGATCTGTCTCGGGTCGTAAAGACCTGACCGATGACTGTGTTCAAGCGGCAACGTGGGCTTTGGAGATATGTCAGAAGCTCCGGGACAAAGAGCCCGGTCTAGCGCGGGCTTCTTACATAGAGTATAGCGCATGTCGGGCATCGCTGTTAGTATTAATCGCTTACTCAATTCAGAGGTTTTCGGAGCAGTTCCGTAGGTCATTGTACAATGGCCTGGATATGATTCGGGAGATGTCGGCTGCTGGAGAGTCTGCTCGATCTGAAGTCTCTTTGATTGAAACTCTGGAGCGTGCACTGGCTTGTCTGCATTCAGGGGCTCAGTACTCTCAAGACGCACCAAATGTCGCATCAATGTCAGACTATGAAGCCTTTAAGCACTGGGGTGCAAGGCTGAAGGAAAGTCTGCCATTGGAAGAATCTGCTTCTGGAGCAGGTCCGCTTGCCAGCCAAGCTTTGCTGTCACAAGCTACGGAGTTTTGTTCCAACCAAATGATTGGAATTGATTATGGAAATGCAGCGTTGGCAGCTGTTGATGATCACAACATCTTTGATTCTTTTGTTCCTTCCTTTGAGACGCCTATATTGAGTGCAGAAAATCTCTCGTCATCAGCTTGGCCGACATGGACTGAAGCACAGGTCTTGGAGCATTTCCTCACAGAGGATAATTAGCAGATTAAAGAACCATCTTAACATTGAAACCTCCAAATTGACTTCTTCTCTTTCTCTGCGAATCTTGGAATGTCTATTAATGTCTTTTTTATTCTATTACCAGTAAAATCATGAAACATCAAATACATCAAAGGGAAGCAGACACAATACTATCCGCCATGAGAGGTAACGAATCCTCAACAACATCCAACTGCGCATCGAAAATCTCCGCACAAGACTCCTTCTCATAAATGGTACAATAAGCACCCCGAAACCCAATACTAACAGCAGCAGTAACATCCCACATATGAGCAGCAGCAAACCACTTCGCATCCTCAGGCGCAAACTGTGCAAAAGCAGGTCTATACGCTGCAAGCGCAGGCTTAGCAACACCCTGAGAGTCACAACTAATGAAGTTCTCAAGCGGCATATCGACTCCACCACGCTCAAAGTACCCACGAACACGCTTAGTGTCGCCAGTTGTCAGACACCAGACTGTGAAACCTGCATCACGCAGTTTGGCAAAACATTCCTTGGTCCCTGGCCTGATTTCCAGTTCTGAGTAGCCCTGGACACATTGGTCGCGCTCGGCGTCTGTTACTAGCTCGCGGGGGTTCTCAACTCCCATCATGTACAGTGATCGATAAAATAGTGCTGTAATTATCTCTTTATAAGGCTTGTAGCGCTCACTGATTGAGAGGAAGGTGAATTCTAGCTCGGCGGCTGTCATCCATGAGAAGCCGAACGACCGAGCTGTGATATTTTGAGCCAGGAGCTTTTCGCCAATCACTCGGTTGATGCAGTTGTAGAAGGCATCGAAGGAGACGCATGTGCCGACTACGTCGAAGACAACATGCTTTTGAGTCATGATGTGGATGTAGCTTCTGATTAGATTGAAACAGAGTAATTGATGACGCTGTTGGCTTTGTAAACGTTATAGGAAGGATGAGTAGACTTGCCAAACATCAGAAGATCAATGATTCCCCAATTATTATCCCCGCACAGAAAGATCTGTCTTCTTTCTAGCTCTAGCCGGTGATGAGATGGTCCTAGACTCGAAATAGTATGTGGGTCCAACTTCCTAATTTGGAAGTACCGGCCCGGCATCCTTTGAGTACCTTGATGTCCATCTGAAGTCGTATGAGAAGCCGGATTATGTGACTCAGAGAAGTTCCAGCGGATCTGCAGAGTAGATAAGAGAAGCCATGCCCTGTTAAATGTTTGAATCCAGTTCTAATCATGAATTGAGGAAGTCACTACCTACCTACTATGTGGTATCGAGGTTTTGAGAAGTAGACCATCAGAACGACATGAGATAAGACTCTGCCAAGAGAGGTTCATGCTTTGGCTTCAAGATGTGCATGGTATCTACATTCCTAGGTATACTCTTGGACGATTGGAGTATTCATGGATGTCTCCAGGGCTAGGTCACCTCCAGGGCTGCCCAGGCGGGCAGCATACTTTGTCTTCCAAGGGTTGATTGTGAAACTGACCACTAATGAGAGTCCTGGATGCAACAATATGATTATTTATCACTACAACTTTATAGGTATGCAATAAGATACTAGACACGGAATTGTTTCATTTCTTCATCAATTGATGAGCTAACACTGCTAGGTAAGAAATAAATTTTGATCGCCTGGCAAGCCTGGCAAGACTATGACCAAAGAATATTTAGCTTCTGCCAGCCCTTCTTGGGTTCCGGCTCGGGCTCGGGGTTGTTTTGGAAGTCTTCAATGAAGGGACGGATGGGGATATCCTCCAGGGGGATAATCTTTGTCTTCTTCCAGAATTTGTAACCGAAATAAACGAGGAGGATGAAGGGTAGGTTGAAGTAAGAGGAGACAAAGGTCTCAGTATCCCAATGGCCGTGCATGAAGGTAGAGTAACCACCAGTAAAGAAGATAATGATGAACAAAATCAAAGAGGCCCATGTACCCCAGGGCTGGAAGGGAGCTGCCCATGGGAGCTCTTTGTGTCGGTCAATACCCTGCTTCCGGCATCCGTAGAAGAATCGTAGGTAGGTCACGCAAATAATAGTCCAGTTGACCAAGGTGGCAATGGACACGAGATCCTGGAGCCAGCTGAACACGGTGCTGGCCGAACTTTGCAGTGTCATGTAACCAAGGGCCATGAAGACACCGTAGAGAGAGACAGCGACCCAGGGAATGGAGAAGCGGTTGAGCTTGGTAAAGATCTTGGGAGCGAAGCCTTGAACGGCCATACCGTACAAGATACGAGATCCGGCGAGCAGTGTAGAGTTTCCAGATGACCAGGCCGAGGTGATGACAACGGCGTTGATGATCGATGGCACGACCTTGATTCCAGCAGCGCGGGCGGCAATGACGAAGGGAGACCGTGCGGCAGTACCAGTGGATCGCAGAAGATGTTCATCGGCGGATGAGACACAGAGGGTAGCCATGAAGATGGTCAACACGTAGAAGAGCAAGATACGGATGAAGATACGTCGAGCAGCCATGGGAATAGCACGTCGGGGGTTCTGAGTCTCGGCGGCAGCAACTGTAATGTTCTCGATGCCGGAGTAAGCATAGAGAGCGTTATTGAAAGTCTGCCAGAATCCGAGGAATTGACCAAGGGAACCGGCAACGCCAAGATGCTGAACGAAAGGACCGGTAGGACTGTGCCAGTACCTGAAGCCAATGGACTGATGATCGGGTCCACCACCACAGGTGATGACCAAAGCCATAATGTTGATTCCAATGATAAGCATGATCTTCAAGATGGAGAAACTGAACTCGAGCTCTCCGTAGACACGAACAAACATGAGTGCAGTTGAAAGCATCAGAACACTGAAGACAGAAATCCAAATGGCATTGTTGACGGTAATCCAGAACTCGACGATGACAGAGGCGGCGACAATTTCAGCGGGAATAGAGACGATATCTGCGTAAACCTGGTTCCAACCATCGGCGAAGGCGAGGGCGGGGTCGCAGAAGAGGCCTGCGTAACGAATGATACCACCGTTGAGCGGAGCGAGAGATCCCATCTCACCAACACCAAAGACAACACTGGAAACAGCACAACCGATAATACCATAACCGAGGAAAGCTCCCAAAGGACCGGCAGTTGCGATGGCCTTTCCAGAACTCAAGAAAAGACCAGTACCGACAGTACCAGCCAGGGCAATCATTTGAATGTGACGCTGCTTGAGGCCTTGTTCGAAGTTCTGGATTTCACCCAGCTGTTCGACGGCATTTTCCAAATCGCTATTCTTGATTTCCGTGCTGTAGACGGGAACCTTTTCATCGATCTTAGAAATTCCATTGCCCTCAGACAGAGGGGTCCCAATGGAATGAGACATGGTTGTTCAATATCGGTGAACACCAGAGAGAGAGAGAGATGGACGGATGAGAAGTGAGAGATGAGAAGTTCTAAAGATGGGTTTCTAGAAGTTTTGTATCTCGCCTCCTGACTATCTCATCTGTTATCGTTACACAGCATTGTCTAACAAGGCATAAATCCTCGATAGCTTATCATTAGTGCATCTAGCAATATGCATGTATTTGGTTAGAATATTCTAGGCGCAGGAGATAAGGACAAATGAGAGGCCTGATCCTTGCAAAGGTGTTCGTAACAGTTGAAGAGATAAGCATTGATATTGTTGGTTTAGAGGCTGAGTTGTCAATTTTGCCCCATGCAATACCCCAAAGTGGAACTACCCCAATTGCCTCATATCTAACTATACAGTGCCCCGTTTCTAAGTAAGGAATATCCAAGGTTACATTCTGGGTGGGCCAATATATGGAACGGGCCGTTCATTCTAAATGGAGTAAGTCAATTCCGGTATTACTATTATCTACACTATTCCTTATCAAGCTGTGCCAATAAATTAGCAGCTTTTGAACCTATAATATTCCTACATTTCTACTTTTTTTCGAAACTAAGCTTCGCTAAACTTTTCCCTTGATTCTTGGTATCTTCTTATCTTTCCATCATGTCTTCGGGGCGCACTGAAACGCCCTGCTTCCCTTCCACCCTCCTTGGCGAATGCTTCTGGACAACCCACCACAGAGATGATCTACAAGACCATCGATCAACGGAGCAATTACCCGAGCACAGTGATATCGTTATCATTGGCGCAGGCTATGCAGGTGTGGCAATTGGCTATCATCTAGTCAAGGACCATGGCAAAAGTTCCATTACCATTTTAGAGGCTCGTGGCGCCTGTTCTGGTGCCACTGGGAGAAATGGCGGTCACGCGAGACCTGATCTTTATGGCCACATTCCCACTTACATCGATCGTGCCGGCGCAGATGCTGGTGCGGAGATTGCTGAATTCGAAATCACCAATCTGCGTGCCTTGAAGAAGACTATTGAAGATGAAAACATTGATTGTGATTTTACCTACGCTCGATCAGTCGATGTTTGGTGTAATGAAGATGCTGCCAAAAAGGCGAAAGAGGTTTATGACTCCATGGTAGCTCATAACTTTGAGTATATGAACGACGTTATATTTCACACCGACCGTGACAATGTGGAGGGGGTAAGTGATCCATTAACAGTCTCCCATGAGGTATACCACTCACAGTCAGTAGATCTCCGGAGTCAAAGGTGCGAAAGCCTGTGCCAGCTTTACAGCTGGAACAATGTACCCTTTCAAGTTCATCATGCACTTGATTAGGACCCTCCTGACGGCCGGCGTCAACCTGCAGACGCATACTCCTGTCACCACCATCACAGCCGACCCGCAAGGAGGTTTCATCATTGAGACTCCTCGTGGCAAGATGCACGCAGGAAAAGTAGTTTACGCCAATAATGCCTATGTTGCGGGCCTTCTTCCACAATACAAGGCAAACATCATCCCCTGTAAGGGAATATGTTGTCGAATCACCATTCCAGAGGGCGCGACAGCCCCGCTACTCAACAACTCCTACATTCACCGGACCGAAGACAATGTACTTTCGTACATGATCCCTCGCGCCGATGGCAGCATTATTGTGGGAGGGGCTTCTTCCCTGTTCCGCCCCCACCGGGATCAGTGGTACAACAATGTGGATGATAGCGTGCTTATCGATTCCGCAAAGGATTACTACATTGATTACATGCAGAAAAACTACCGAGGCTGGGAGAACTCTGACGCCAAGGTGGACCAGATCTGGACGGGTGTCATGGGTTATTCTTACGATTCTAACCCACATATCGGCAAGGTCCCTGGCTGTGACGATCAGTTTATTCTTGCAGGTCTTAACGGTCACGGCATGCCTGTCATCTGGCTGTCCTCGAAGGAGTTAGCCAAGATGATTGTCCAGGGTATTCCATTTGAGCAAACGAGCATGCCGCGACTTTTCCAGACTTCGCAATTTCGCATCGACCGCGCACAAAAGAGTGATCCTGAAAATGGAGATATCCTTGGTACTGGCAATTTCCCAGCTACAAAGCCATGATCGATACTTAATACCTATATAGTACATAATATCTTGCAACCTTGAATTATTTATGAACTTATACGATTTAACACAATTTTCCCTCTTGTCTAATAGATGTACCTGGTACATTTCTAAGGTTCAAGCGGTAAATATTAAGGTTAGTATTGATTGTCAATTGCGTACGGAGTAAATATTTATCAATTACGATGTAAAGCTAGGAATAGTTACCAAGATAGACTTTTTACGTAAAAGAAAATAGTTTAAATCAATGACATCCTACTGTTGCTAGGCAGCGAAGGATTTGCTGACTGATTCGGATTTCGGATTTTGGATTTGGGGACAAGGCTCAGATCACCCCTCAGTCGGATTTCATCTCCCCAATCAACATTTTAATTTCTGTATCTAGCCTTGGAACCCTATACATATCATTCCGCATTATTAGTAAACAGGGATCAGACAATGGATTCAGCCCCAGCTTCAGCTTTCACAAAAGAGAAGACATTCAGCTCATACAATGAACAACAAGGCAAGGCTTACGCCCAAGCCCGCCCAGACTACCACCCTAGTCTCTATGAAACCGTCATAAACCATCACACCTCAACCGGCGGCCAGCTGGAAACTTTACTAGATCTAGGCTGTGGCCCCGGCAATGTCGCCCGTGCTATCGGCACCCAATTCACCCATGCGATAGGACTTGATCCTTCAGTGGGCATGATAGCGACAGCCCGATCCCTAGGCGGCAAAACCTCAACATCAGAACCAATCCGGTTCGAGGTAGCCACGGCCGAAGACCAAGGCGCGAACCTCTCGCCCCCAATTCAAGATGCCAGCGTTGATCTCATCACGGCCGCAAATGCTGCACACTGGTTCGATATGTCGCTCTTCTGGCTAAATGCTGCTCGTGTACTTAAGCCCGGTGGTAGTGTTGCATTGTGGGTCAGTGGGAGATTGCGCCTTGATACATCCGTACCTAACGCTGCTGCTATCCAAGCTGCTTTGGATGTGGTTGAAGAAGAAGATCTGTCGCCATTCTTTACGGATGGGAACTTAATGACTCGTAATCGATATGCCGATCTCCTTCTCCCGTGGACATTGGAACAGCCAGTTCCACAATTTGACGAGGGTTCGTTTTTCAGGAAGAATTGGGATACTGCTGACGACTTCTTCGCGTATAACACCGAGGTGAATCTGGATACTTTTGAGCTGTTAGCTGCGACGACGAGTCCGGTTACTCGGTGGCGCGAGGCACATCCTGATCTTTGCAGTACTGAGAATGATGTGATTAAAAAGTCACGCATTATGATTGAAAGGCTTCAGCAGGAAGCCGGAGTTGAGAAAGGGAAGGAATCGATTAAAGTCGCTATGCAGGGAGCAGTTTTGATCATCAAAAAACGTGATTAAGTGGTAGTCTCCTGGATTATAAGAAAATCAAAACTAAGAACGGACAGACTGGAGATATTATAAATTTATTATAATAGGAGTTGTTTTAGTTCCAGTTAGTATTCATCACAGCTGTATAGACAAAAATGGAACTGGCTAGGGTCAAAAATTTACCGGTCATTTTTCTACATGTATTCTTAGATCGGTACCAAAATTAACTCATCAGATTTTAACCTTGAAAGCCCACTAAATTATCCCAAGATCAGCCCCGGTAATAACTAATAATGAATGGTATTTAGTGTGAACTTTTCAATTATCTTCTCACGATAAATGCTGGGATTGTGCTTTTTTTCCTTTTCATTTCTCAAATTTTTAAGCTGAAATCTGGAAAGTGGTTATTCCCTCCGCTGTCGTATTGTGCCGTTTTAGCGTATACCAAAGTGGACTATAAATTATAGCTATCATTGGCTATTAGCTCAGACCGCTTTTATAAAATAGTAATGCTTACCCACTAGTATCTTAGCCAATGATATTGACCATTGGTAGTAGTAGGGCTGTTGGAAAAGCTATCATGGATTCTAATTGGCTATGATAGGTATCAATTTATTCCTTTTTCGGATGTAATTATGGAGACTGTATTGGCAGAAAAAGGGCGCTAAAACGGCACAATACGACAACGGGATAGATTTCGGTCGATGTCGAATCGGCGCTAATCCATTCAGGGTTAGATCTTCCCATGTGGATTAACAGCTTGAGAAACTTCTGAACTTCGATTGACCAGTTGACCAAAATTGATTAGTGGAATTGGATATGCCAATCCTAAAGGCTCTCCAGAAATTAATCCTTCTGTTCACATTTCTCAACCTTATTTATGCGACATGCACTGATCAAGAGAACCCAGCGCCGATCGCCATTAATATTGGCATCGATGCAATGTACAGCCATATATTCCCTACTCCTAGATTCATGCTAATCGTACCGACAGAACAGCTGTCTGTGCTGAATCCCAGACAAAAACCAGTAAAATTGCCACAGTACTGGTTTGGGGGAATGATCACGACACTGCGATGTATGGCAAAACCATGATGAGAATGAGATGGGAGTATTTTCGTCAAAGTGCTCCCCATTTGAACCAGCCTGCAGGCTTTCTTTCAAAGCTCAAGAAGTTCATGACTAGTATCTCTACAGTTGTTTCGGATGTAACCCTCTACTCAGTGGAGATGGTGCTAGTGTTGCTCGGGGATTTTGAAATAGATCTACTCAATAGGTATATTTTGATGCCTGTATTCCTCATGGTAGATCAACTGGTGAGGCCATTCAGCAGTCCACACCTGCGTGGAGAAACAGAGCTAAGGATCAATACATCCGAGGAACTCAAAGCAGCTTTCCTACAGGCGTTTCAAGTTCTGAAGAAAGTGTCAATGGAAGAGCGTGGAGTGGATATCACATCATCCTATGTTCTTTTCCCGACTTTCCTCGAGCATGTAGCCCACCATGCTATTAGTGAGGCGGCTCATGAGGCTGGTTTATTCCCATACCAAATGTGGACTCCCCACCAGATGATCAGTATGTATAACCACATTCTAGACGAAAGCCCCTCTGGTGATCCCTTGGAAAAGTCATGGGGAACTCAACCAACGTTGATCATTGACTATGGCTTATCTTATTTTGATGTTCAAATGAGGGGTGTACCATATGAGAAGAATAAATTCACCATGGATACGATGGGAGGCCAATATATTGTCCAGCATATCATGCGAAAGATCATATCCAGTGGTCAAGATATACCCGAGGAGCTTGCAGAGAATGGAGCAGCACAGGAAAAGATGTTTTGGGCAGTGGCCAACTCAAGACTGCGCATAAAAGAGCAAATAGGACATGAAACATGGGAGTCACTGGAAGATGGAGCTCAAATAAAGGAATGGCCTGTCACCATCAAGGGTCGGGGAGATGTGGAGGATGTAGCTGTAATTTCTTGGGATTATGTCAAAGATGCGGAGGCTGCGTATGTGGAATGGCTGAGAGAGTTTCTAACACTCCTCATTGAGCGCTTAAAAGGTTGGTGACATTCTCTGAATATCGCTTCAATCAAACTAACCTGGTCAGCTTCGTACTCTGAAAGCATTAAAAAGGTAATTATCCTTGGAAATGTACAGGACCGGTCATTGGTCAGTCGCGCTGTTCGAGAGAGCTTCGGTGCTGAAGTCGGGATTATTGGGGGTAACGATGAGCGAGATATTACTCTTGAAGCACAAGGGGGTGCACGTATTGCCTGGTCAGTCTACGAGAGAACACAAAGGGCAAACGAAGATGTTTGCGAGGATTTTGTGCATGAAGATTTGTAGGAGCCAAAGCACCTTTTTTCTAGTCTTTGATGAACGAGACCTGGATCTACGAGTCATATTGCAAGGCTTCATTCATGGTGGCACCTTCTGGCCTCTTCTCATGCATATTCCCAAGATAATTAAATATGACGTACAAACCTGAGCAATTTTCTGTATCATGAAAGTCGTCAGCATTTAGTGCTGTATGTACACAAAAATATTTATCTATTATACATGTTCTCTACCAGATAAGGGATAAGAACCCCCTTCCACAACATCCCGATCTGCAGCAGACTGCGTGACCTCGAAAGTCTGATGCACGCCCACTTCAATCCTATTCCTGTGGGTTTTCACAGAGGTTAGCGCCTCTTCGCTACTATTTGAGCTGGAAGTAGATGTCCAATTGACATCTGCCGTCTTTCGTCGACCTTCCACATTTGTCGTGAGAACTGCCAGCATATCAGGTCTCAGTCCGGGATTTCCAGTCTTGGTCCCGTCCATCGAACTCAGTGGCATTCCACGATTTTGGTTGCTACCTCCGAATGGGTATGAGTGGCCTGTTCGAGGGAATCCGGATTCATGATCTGAGTCGTTGTTCGTTCCGAGCCAGTGGCGTAGGAGGGGACGGAGGGTTGCAAGACTTCCAGCAGTGATACCGAGAGCAGCTTCGGCATTGGACCAGATTGCGATTTGGTAGGTGGAGACTGGAATGGAAGTTAGTCAGCTATATGTCGTATCAAATGGAAGACCGTCGCAAACGTACATAGGAAGTTACTACTTCGGAATGTTTTGACAAAGGGAATACGAATAATAACAGCACAGGAAGCACTAAAAGTTTGTCAGTCAAATAGCTCATTCAGCATCTCGTGGTTTTTGAAGCCAAAACGTACATGCAGGCCATACTCAGAATTCCAATAATAGCCAATTTGGCTTGTTTTTTCATGTGTAGGCTTTTGACAAGGAAGATCGGTAGAATCCCAACAGTAAAATCGCACATAGCCGAGAAAGCACTATAAACGTAGGTCATAGTGATAATCACATCGATACTGATGCAGTATCCTGGAATTGTAGGATCTTGAAACACTCGATTCCAAAAATAAGAGATTGGATGACACTGCAAGAGCATCAAAAACATGAATATCAGACCGGCGATGCAGGTGAAAACCATCGCAAGGTAAAGGATCCAGATATGAATTCGTTTGATAGTGATTCGCATAAGGAAAACGCAGACGGAGATCTTGCAAAAGACAGAGGCAAAGCAGTAAGCTATCTCGCAGAGCCACCAATACTTCAGAGTGTTAGATGTTGTAGTTATAGATGAAAAGAATGCGCATCGGTACCTTCATAGCTACTACACCGTCCGCCGGTTCGATATTTTCAAACTTATAGCCAGTTCCATATCGGGTGCCTCCAATCTCACATGCACAGAACATGACATAGCACAACTATGATCAAATTAGTAGGCTTCATAGGTTGAACTCAGTTGGTATATAATTACCATTGCAAGCACCATCGTTCCATCATCCCATCCGAAAGCTTTCACTATAACAAGACGAACATAGCATCGTAGGAGTACCGAAATGACTGCAATTGGCATTAAAACGGCCGCAACGATCTGGACAGCCAGACACCGTTGCTCTTCTTCACCCATTTTGAGTGTAATCAAGTAGTATACCGAGGTAGGTGAAACACTCCTCTGGCGGAGGATGCATGGACAACCAGTAAATAAGATGTTGGCATGCAGCACTAAAGATATCGATACTTTAAACGACCCGCGTCCATGTTTTCCAGGGGCACACTTTTAGCTTTTTTAGCGTCCCTTATTCGAAGAGGCGAAGAAGTATGCCAAGCGAGTGAGTAGCGAATGATAGGGATCGTCAGTGTGATAAAGTGTCTAGACTCAGGAGTCAAGACGCAGAAAAACTAGCTGGAAGGACGCTTGGGCATGGTGGATGCGTTCGAAATGCCGAGAAAATGTCCGGGTGTAAGGTTCAGGATTCAGATCTCGTTTGGATATCAAATTGGAAACCTTGAAAAAGAGGGGCTTGACAGTAGGCTTAAACGTAGGAACATTAAACTAAATTTACCTATTCAGGGCTGACCACAATCGTGTCCCGATCCTCCCTGTCGGTACTGGACGGCTGATACATAGCCAACCAGAGCAGTGCCTATTCAAGCCGGATGGGGCATTGGAGTCTCCGGGTGGATTTAGTTCATTGTCACCGGAGACATTTTTTACCTGAGGACGGAGGACGGAGTACGGAGTATAGCTCCATATTCACTATTAATTGGGAGGGGATTCTAGTATGGAGAAAAGACTTTTATAAGTCTCTAACGTGGGTAAACAACGCAATTCCTGAGAAATGGGTTGATATTGGAGGAAATTTGAGTTTAAGATTAATTGAAAAAAGCGTTTGATAATATTCTGAAGTTCACAGATCTTGGTTTTGTATGCAGGATCAATAAGAACCTGAAGACCTCGGCAACATCATCCTTCTTCAAATAAACATTTTACAGAGTAAGGTTAGGCCGAGTTACTAGCTGCAAACAAAACTTGATGAAGCAGTGGGTACATGGCACTAGTAAGCCAATGATCTCACTATGTCACTTGTGAGCCCTAGCCCGGAACTGCCGGGGCCCTAAAAATCTCGATTTAGTAGGCATCTTTGTATGTTTTGACCTGACACGATATCAAACCATCACTGTCACTTTGATTGGTTTGTTTCAAGTGATAGTTCCGCTATCAGTCTCACTAGACCAAGAGTTCGTTGTGTCGGGAGAATAAGGGTCGGTTTTACCTCGGTAGATATATCAGTACACACGTACATCAAAATATAAACTTCTGTTATATATACACTTTCGAGGCGGTCCCGCACCAAGAGCTAGCCTGCCACTAGAATCTACCGATTTCCAAGTACCCACGTTTGAAGTTTTAGGAGCCCAACTTTGAGATTTGATATCATATGGTTAAATGCCGTCAGATCCAAGTGAAAGATGATACATTCCCCCTTACAGATCAAGGTTCCTTCGCAGGAAGACAAATTCTACATTTTAAATGAATAAACTTGTTTAAGCGCTTAATTAGATACCTAGCATGAACCTGGTGAGAGCACGAGCCAGTAATTCCATAGGGCGAAACAGAACCATGGCTCTCATGTAGAAAGATCATCCGTAACACTCCGTATCCGAAGTGACCTAAAACGTGACATGACTGAAATCAACCAAGATCCACTCAGGCCCCGCCTCCGTTCATGTACGACTTATGGATCCTGATCGACTTAACTTCAAGATGAACTAGTTAATTAGCACCGACTAGTCGATAGGCACCTCTCTAGGTAAAACACAAGTCCAGGAAATGACTCGTGTCTTTGACGGATCTGCTGAACTAATTAGGTCTCAAACGTCCGCGCTGTGCCGCGTTGCAGCTACGGAGTACTCCGTACAGAGTAAGTACTTATTCTAGGGTCCACGATCTCATCTGCAGCAGCAATGCTACTCCATACTGTACGTTGTGGGTGAATGATGCAGTTTAAGGCTTCTTACATCCATGGATGCTGTGCTATCCCTTCTTTTCGACATACCTTATCTATGCCGTCGCGACATTGTCACATCCAGAAATGATATATGTACAAGTGACACATGTGCAGACAAGATTTCCCAAGTTTCCCAGAAATCAGGTCATGGAATTTGCAGGGTTACAAGGCTCTGATCTATTGCTTGGTATTAGTAGCTTAATCTACGGACGGCTGCATTATGTCTCAAATAGAGGATATCATAAAATAAAGATAAGACAAAAACGCAGTCTACAGAATCAACTCCTTGAAAAGTTTGAAGATAAGGTTATATGGCAGAACATGATAAGTTGGAGAACATGATCTACGTGACATCCCAGCAATGATCAACCTCCCCAGCGGTGAGAAAGGCCAAAGCATACGTCGTAAGCAAAGAAAAAAGCAAGCATACCCAAATATTCAGACATGCATACATAGCTACTCTTTTACTGGCCAAAGATCTACACAAACATCACATCTTCTCCTCTCCAATGCGCATCCTTACCATTCCTAGTCACAGATATGTAGCTGTCGGTTGGGGGTTTGGGACTTTCGGAATTGATTGGATAATGTAGTACAGAAAGCGGGCTATCATGTCCACCTTCAGCTCTTCATGTGAAAGGATCGTTTGAGACTTGTCTGCATTTCTAAATGCCGCCAGGATAAATGGTGAAAATTCTGCATGCATGATGCATCAGATCAGACGAGCATTTATATTTGAGCTATCGGCCAAGTCCACTGGATTCTATTATCCAGCTCTGACTATTAATTAACCTTGAAAAGTTGAGAGGGTTGATTTAATACAAAAACAACTATAGCCCAAGAACAACCCCGCCATTGTCTATCAGTACTTGAACTTTGGAAAGTCACCTGGCAACTCCTTTGTTCAGTCTCAAGTCTCAATCTTGAGCCTTGGAAAGTCTTTCATGACATATACCACGACCACCTACCTATAAAGCCACTTGGGAAGACCTTCAGGGCTTGCGACAAAAAAAAAACAACCAAAATATCCTTCCATGTCCTTCTCGTCCCAGGAAACTATACCATATATTACATCTGCAGCCATGAAATCTCTCACCATGTTTCCCATGTCTCCTGATTCAACTACGTTGGGCCTGCATACTACAAAAGGCTGGGTTCAGGGTATTTTTTCCTCCATCATAGGTCTCTTTGACCACATTACCGAAACACAATCTGAGTCCGATGCCGTCGAAGCGTGGGTTGGCATGCGAAATGGAAGGGGAAGATGTCGGTCTATCGGGGAGATTCAATGATGAACCGATACTACGATAAGGATATAAATTGGAGTCCTCGGTTATGAGAGCGCATTTCCGGTGGAATTTTGGGCTCGGGCTTTGCTACGCAACTATGAATGCAGTACTACGACCTGTTTTGTTTTGTCAAATACGAATCGCTCCATTTAGGTGATACCTGGATATATAGGTATGAAGTATGAAGCAATCACCTGGATATAGAAATCAATGATTTGGTATAGATACATGGGTTAATCGAAACACGTAATGTTGTATAGTACAAGTGAATCCATCTCGTCAAGGACAAGATGACACTGGGAGACGTAGCACACCTTAATTGAATAGGTGGTATTTAATCCTATGAATGCGTTTAGGCTTCCACGCGAGTTGGGATCTTAACCACGCCGCGTTTGCAGTCATTCACTGGTACACCGTACCGCTGACCGGGGGCCCAAGGTGCCCGACCATCGACACCGGTGGTCTCCTTGGTATACACAACACTCTGAATGCGGTAGTCAAATCGACCACCTTCAGGCTCGACATGCTTAATCTTATCCTCACGACGAGCCTTAGCGCGCTCACGGTGCTCAAGTTCAGTCGCCTCTTGCTTCGCAATACGCTCAGCATGACGCTCAATTACAATGCGACGCTCATTAGGATACTTAACGCGGTCGATTTCCATCTTGACCATGAGCGGGTGGGGGATACGCACATCAGCAGGTTGAAGGACCTGACGAGCGTTATCACCTTTACCAACCCACTCAATCGAGTTAGGCTTCTGAATAATATCATCGATGAGGTCGGAGGGGTGGGAAATCTTTGCGGCCACTTCATTCTCCAAGGTCGGAGCACCGGAGAACACACGACCCGCATCTACACGAGTGAATGGTCGAGACTCAGGGACAGGGTAGAAAATCTGAGCGCCAGTGGTAGGATGGGCGGGTAGGTCGTTGATGGGCTCGTGGAATGTTTGGCGCTCACCTTGGTCGGCAAGTTGAGTCACAGGAATCATTTCATGAATTGCCTGGGCATATGGCAATGCTAATGGTTTACCCTGTTTAAAGGAACTGTCAGTCGTGTCATAATGACTAAACGTGAGTGCAAAGGGGGATAGTATCGAGTGTATCAGAGATATAAAAGTTTCTAACCAGCCAAGCCTGAGGCCTGTGTCTTCAAGACTAATCGAATTTTTTTGTTGTCTCATCATTTGAAAGGAAGGGGAAATGGAAAAGGAAAAGAGAAGCGAGAAGGAAAATCTTACCTGTGCCCGTTGTCTGTTTTCCAACTCTACCAACCTAACCACAGCAGCAATGCGCCTCATATCGATACCCATTTGGGCACTAACAGCACGGATACTGTTTTTCTTCTTCGCAACCCGCACGTAGATCTCATTTCGGAGATCTTCGCTCAGAACAGGCTCGCTAATAAAATTTCGGTTGTTGGGGAACGGCCGTGCGATATCAGATGTATCATTATCACGAGGTCCTCTCAAATAATTTGTCTCGCCAGGAATGTGATGTTTTAGGGCAGCTCCTTCGGTGTTGAGCCATTCGAACATTTGCCGGCGAAGCTTTGTTTGAGGAGCAGCCGTAGCGGAGAATTGCCGAGAAGTGGAGTGTATGGAAGGACATAGTGATTGAATGGAGATGGGAATTGTGGATGGAGATGTGATGTAGGGAAGGAGAGTGTTTGACAAGCGGCTTTGTACCCGGGGTGCCATAGTTACAAATTCCGGTAACCCGGAATTAAAAACCAGTGCTAAGAGGAGAAATAGATAAGAAGAGAGTAAAATTGCAGCAATAGCAGCGGCTACAGACAGCCCGTGCTGCAATTGAAGAGGGTTGAATAGCGCGGGTGGGAATAGGAACAGGAATAACAGGTGTCTTGGGGGGAAGAAACTTTTCTCGGGAAGGTCGGTCGGTGCATCACGTGACAAAGTCCAACAATTCTCGGTTCCCCTTCACTATCATGTCAACCTTAACTACCTCCCCTCTTGTTGTCATCATTTTCTACCACCTGTCAGTCTACTTTCCTTCTAATTTCCTTCCTAATTCCTTCGCCCTTCTCTTTATCTCGCTGTCAACCTGGTTTTTACCTTTCTTTCGCCACCCTTCTCTCTACCTTTTCGATGGCTTTAACCGACTAGCTTTTGCACCATCGGCCTGAAGCCATCGACCAAGGATGCTTTAGGGCAATACCCTCCTCCCCGAACTACTTCGGAACGTCAATAATAAACCGGAATAGAACTCACACCCTTGATCATCTTTGGACCTACTTCTGCCAGCTTGTGCCTGGAGAAACAGAGCGGGGATCTTGGGCAAGGCGCCTTAACTGGCTGTCCTGGGTTGAGCCTACCTCGACAGTTTATTAATGGTTTTCTGGAGTAGCGACGAGAGGAGGTGCCACTTCGGAACACAAATAATAAACCGGAATAGGACTCACACCCTTGATCATCTTTGGACCTACTTCTGCCAGCATTGTGCCTGGGGAAACAGAACGGGGATCTTGGGCAAGGCGCCTTAACCGGCTGTCCTGTGCTGAGCCTACCTCGACAGTTTACTATTAATTCCGGAGCAGCGATTGAGAGAAGGAGCACCTCGGAACGCCAATGATAAACCGGAATAGGACTCACACCCTTGATCATCTATAGACCTACTTCTGCCAGCATTGTGCCTGGAGAAACAGAACGGGGATCTTGGGCAAGGCGCCTTAACCGGCTGTCCTGCGCTGAGCCTACCTCGACAGTTTATCATTGGTTTTCCAGAGGAGCGACGAAGGAGGAGCCAGTTCCGAATGCAAATAATAAACCGGAATAGAACTCACACCCTTGATCATCTATCCTACTTCTGTCAGCAGATGTACGCGTGCATAACTGTGCGCATGCTAATAAGCAAATACCTTTGTTGACATTACTGGGATCTTGGGCAAGCGGTCTCAACTAGCCTTACTGGGCTGAGCCTACCTCGACAGTTTATTATTTGTTTTACGGAGCAGCGAACAAGAGGAGGAGCCAACTCGGAACGCTAATAGTCAACCAGAATAGAACTCACGCCTTCGATCATCTTTGGATCTTGATTCTTTCAGCACTGTGTGCAAACATATGCGTTGAGAGTACTGGGATCTTGGGCAAGGAGCCTCAACCGGCTGTCTGCGCTGAGCCTAATTCGACATTGATTTATTATTGGTATTTCAGAGGAGCGAATGAGAAGAGGAGCCACCTCGAAACGCCTATCAACTCACCTAATTGACCGCCCAACTGACTGACTATTAGCTAGGAGGTACGTACTCTCACTGCCCATTTCCCATGTCAAGAAACCAGTACAACGCCACTAGACCAAAAAAGCCCCAACATGGCTCCCCCAAAAGTGGATGCCACTCGAGTCCTTGCATCACAAAGGCCATTCAATGTGACTGTTTCAAGTGTCTTCGTATTGTTCCAGTCGGCTGGAGATGGCAACGAACAGGTTTTGGAAATGGACGTTATGATATGCTACGATAAACCTGTGATTTTCTTGCGGTTCGGCCTACCTGTCTTTGACCATAGCAACGGAAGAAAGGAGGAGAAATCACTTTATCTCTATATCCGTCGACCAGACATCCTGTCACTCGACTCCTCCAAAGTTGATGATAAGGCCATCGCACAACTTAAGCCAAAAATTCCATCAAAACTTGGTCATGATATAAAGCTCGTCCGATTTCACCTCAAACACCCGGGAAAGGTGATCGAACCTATCCAAGAGTGTTCATTCAAGTCTGGGTCAAGCCGCAAAAGTGAGCTAATGTCCTCGTTGGCCGAGTTGCGCGAATTCAACGTCTTCATGCGATACAAGTCGTTGTCTGAAAAACGAATAAAGTACCTCCGTCAAGCCCTTGCTTCACCAATAACACCCTCTGAGGAGGCAAAACAGCGTAAAAAGGATGATTGGTGTCTAAGCGTTGCGTATGGTGGTTTGGGTGGTAAAGTTCGTACCACCAACACTGCCACTGCCGGTCCCAATGCAATAGACAACTACGACTCTGAATCAGGGGACTCTACCATTGCTACAGCTACCCCGCCGCCATACCCAGAATCCAGGGTGCGTAGTGTCAAAGGCTCTGTGACGGAATCTGAACCCGATGACGGTGTTCCCCATGAAAGTCCACCTCGGTATGAGGCAGTTAATTCAGACTCGCCTGACCATGAAGGTGAGACGTTGGGTATGTTTCCAACCAACGCTCTTCCCTCTTATCAAGCATTCCACTGACAACTTGTTGCGGCTCTAGGCAAACGACGTCGAGATAGTGCAGACATACCGACCACCACATTTTCCCGTAGGCCTTTTGGTATGACATTTGACCACATTTTGCGGAGAATGCAAAACTTGGAAGAGGAGAACGGCAAGCTTAAGGCCGCCATGGCTGAAATGCAGAAAACGCAACAAATGATGCAAGAGATGTTTAATCTACACTCCCAACTGCAGGAGAGCCAGTTCCCAGGTAAAATCAGGGTCGTCAATCGCAACCCTAATGTGGAGAAACGTCTCGACAAAGTCGAGGAGCAAGTCGCTGAAGTCGAAGAGCAAATCGCCGAGCTCCAAGACGGCCAACAAGAACTCCAGGAGCAGCAGGACATCTTCGAGATGGACGCGGATGACAAAATCGACGATAAAATTGACGCGAAGCTCCATGATAAGCTTGACGCCAGAATTGAAGATATTAAAAGCGATTTCAAAGATGTTATGCGCCATGCGGCAGATGACTTTTGTAATGCATTAGACCAATTGTGAATATCATTTATCCAATATTATTTATCTATGCTGGCTGTCTCGGATGAAATGTGACCATGATTATTCCTATCATAACAAACCCAACCTTGGAACCTCTTCCGTAGATGCTTCTCGTACGAAACTGGGCCAGCAATTTCGAACACCTGAAGACTATTACCCTATCAGCATGTCCTTGGATAAATAATCTGTCTGCATCAAGCTGAGCTGTAAGCATAGACGCTGCTGATCTCACCTAGACGTATTGAAATGTTATGGGATGAAATACCATTTAAGGATTTCCAAGATACTGATGCTTGTCAACAGAGGTAGACTTCCAAGGTGTACCCGTCTCATATCAGCCTGTGTAACGTCAGTAGAAAGTAAGACCTTGCTACCTACATATACCGTACCCGTGGAACTGACCTACAAAGATATCTAATACATGTAGGAATGGAAATATAGTTTAAGAGCCATCAAGTTGCAAGTTGAAAATTGCAATTAATCCATTGTATCAAGAACATGTTGGAGCAGATTTGTCAAGATGGAGCACCAAGCAAGCAAGGAATCATGTAGGTGAGATGGGAACCACCCAAAAGACTTGAAAATCGATTGGGGGCTACACATCATCTTCACACTGTAATCCCGGTAAGAAGAAGAGGACATAAGATAAAAAATAAAAACATGAGCGAAGCCAACAGATCATAAACCATTTGCACCAAACGCCTTCCATTGGAAATGTAAGCAAAATGCACCAGGCGCGAGAATGAACACGCCTTGAGATGAATGAGGCAGACACCTTTTTCCTCATTGATGGAAGTGTACGTTGTGGAGGACCAGTCAATCGAATGCGTATCCATAGCGCTGAGTTTCCGTAGATGATCATGTTGCAGAGGCAAAGTCGTAGCCAGCGCGTTGTGCAAAGTAAAGGGGGGGGGGGGGGGGGGGGGGGGAAAGGCCTTCTTCATTCATAATCTCGACGGACGAGAACGTGTTGTAGCTAACAAGAGCAAAATCCAATCCGGTCGACACATAACGATGCATTAATAAGGTGAAAAGAAAAAAGACACACGAATGAGATATGGATGAAGACGGGAATCACGACCAAACAACAGAAACGCCGGGAAGATCTTGAAAAAGGCAGAGAAGGCAATACGAAGCAATAAATGTAGAGCTGAAGGCCTAAGACTACCCGGGCGAAGTAAGATAAACAGATCCAGAAAGGGGGGGGGGGGGGGAAGAAAAGCAAAGCAACGCAAGGGTATGAGAGAGGTGATGAAGAACGCACATGATCAAAGGAACAAGCTGTGAGCGCCGCATACCAGAATAAGAATACAAGCTGGGCAATGACCTGAAATGCAATCCTTCCAAGGGGGAAATAGAGAATGTGAAATAAGAGCGCCCGAATCCCGATGCAGTAAAAGAAGACGTAAAAACAGATATTAAATCGGGAAGTGATAAAAAGGGGGAAGAGAAAGAGTACCAAAAACAATACTCCCGAGAGGTATGCAGCCGCCGAATGCTGGTCTAGCTCACGAAAAAGAAAACGAAACCCCCAATGCGCCAGATTCGTTCGTTTATTAAACACGGACATGATCACATCAGCTAGCGACCCATCATGTAGTCAGGGTAGAATGGAGAATATCCATGGGCAGCTGAGTTGGAGCCCGCGGCAGGAGTGTTTCCAGCTTGGTTTCCGGGTGGGGGAGGAGACATCATCATTGAGTTACTTCCGTTGGATCGAATGCCCAAACCAGAGTTGTGACTGAAAGAGCCATTGGGAACCATGCCGTGATGGCCACCCTGTGAATGCAAGATGCTGCCATTTCCGTTGGCGTTGCCACCGCCATTTCGCATGGGCATAGGCATGACAAGACCCGGGGGAGCAGAGAGACCGGGGGAGGGGCCATTTACTGCCGAAAACATAAGGTGGTTTGACCCAGACATATTGTTTCCACCAGAAGGAGTACCAGGTCCACTAAGCGGGTTGGCTGGGTTCATGCTGCCTGGCTGACCAGATCGAACACCAAGAGGATTCTTTGAGAAGCTCAGACGAATACCTGTCTTAACACTGTTGGACAGTTTGTACCCGTACAGTTCGTTCAACGCCTTGCTCGCCATGGCCACCTCGTCAAACTCCACAAAGCACATGGGACCGTTCTGTTTGTTGCGGAAGCAAAGTCGCTTGTACCCACGCTGCTTCGAAAAGAGCGCCTTCAACTCCTCCTCTGAAGTGTCGGGTGGCAGATTGCCAACGTAGAGTGTGTTGCAAGGGGGGTTCAGATCATTAGGGTTTGCGGCGGGCAAGCTATGGCGCGGAGTATGTTGGCTACCATAAGGATAACCATGGCCATGGTTCACATTACTGCTGTAAGCGGACGAGGAACCACTGATACTCATACGCGGTCCAGGGCCACCGGAGCCGTAAGGAGGAAGTGGGGGAGAAGACATTGAGAGGTTTGCAAAGCGACCGGTCGGAATCTGAGGGTTGGTTGAGCGACGTGCGTTGGCCGAGTGGCCATTTTCTGCATAGCCCACGGGATCCTTCAGTAGCTCTCCGGTCTCTTCATCAATATCCTCGTCAATCATGGATTTGCCAGAGATGCGTTTATAATCACCAACACCATTTCCGATGGGAGATTGTGGGGAGAATAGGTTGTGTAGGCCGCGTGAGCCAGGCTCAGATGTTGAAGGGAGGCCCTCGCCCATCATATGAGATGGGTTGCTGGCAGAAATTCGCTCCAGGCTCTGGAAGGTACCGTTGAAACGCGAAGATTGGCGCGATCCACCGAGGATTCCACGAGTTGCGGTGTGATCGATGGTGTTGCGACGCGTGTTAGAGAAACTGGAGCCCACGGCACCCGGGTACATTTCCACAACCATGTTCGCGTCGTTCTTCGAGTTCGGCTTACCGTTGAGTAGCGAACGAGCTTCCTCGGCCGCAGGCAAAGTGTTGAAGCGTGCGATCGCGCTCAGAAACCCATCATCTTCTGGTAGGTCGGAAGTAACAAAGTCGACATCCAAAAAGTCTTTAGCGAAGAGTAGCATACTGCGAAGTGCTTCCCGACTCGTATTGCGCGGAAGCTTGCGCATCAAGATCGCGCCGCCGCTGTTTGCGCGCCCCAAAGCCGGAAGACCGTGGGGGTGACGATCAGAATCGTTGAGTCGCATACCGCCGTCGAAAGAGCTCGAAGAGCCGAGAGGCGAAAAAGGATAAGTAAATGTTGGGCCTAGAGATGTTGGTGCTTGAGAGACGGTCGGGTGATACACGTCGGTCGACATCGCATGCTGAGTCGATAGAGGTTGGGAAGAAAGTAATTGCTGCTTGGGTGATGCACCTGATGAAACGGATGAAGTGCGCTGGGTTGTTCCGATAGAGCCTGGGCTCGTTCGACTTGACTGATTTGAGCTGCCGCTCATGCCTCACCAGATGATGGGAAATTGACTTCGCAACACCAGAATGTAAGAAGCGAATGGGGGGAAAAAGATGATTAGAGCGTAGCAGCAGGTTCAGTGTGCGAGGATCTGCTGCCGCAACCTAGAAGGATGGCGCAATGTTTCGAGATGACTGATTCAATCGACTGAGGGCTCGATATGCGACAGCGCGTGGGAGAGAGTAGTTGAAGGGCGTCGCGAGAAAAGAAAAACAATCGCGCAAGGGTCTTGAATTTGGGGAGTGAAGATGGATATGGATTGGAAGAAAGGATGGAAGTGGAGGGGAGAGAGAGTGTGGGTTTAGAGGATGGGGGGGGGGCAAAGAGGAAGGGGGAGAAGGGGGGAAAAGAAAAGAGTCCGGAACGGTCGTAGGGACCATGGTCGAGGGTGCCAGAGACCACCAGAGTTTGGATCTTGTTACAACGCGCTGTACTGTAATTTACAACTTAGTACTTGGATTGGTGGGGTATTCCACATATGAAACACATGTCACTCTAATTATATTACACCATTCTGTAATGTAATTACCAACTTCAGAACTTCTTGCAATACCCTGGTCGTGCCGCTTGCAGACGTGGGTAGAAGTGCGTGCCCCGACATGCTTTGGTAGCTTTTCTTTCTCAACAATATACTCGCTACTTTCCCCGTTTTCCGTCTCTTTTAATTTAATTTTAATTTTATTTTCTTTAATTCCCTTTACTTATCACAGCCCATGTGTTCTATATGATGTCTGCAGCTTCCCGTTCAATCTCCGATCAAATATTCGGGATAGTGAATACTATATTCAAGCATAATAATTAATATAGGTTAATTAATTAGGCAGTATACAATCTACAATACGAGGTGCATATATAGTGCATAGTCAGATCCAAAGACAATACACCTACAAAAAAAAACAAAGTTTCTCGACTCTACGAAGTAAACTAGTCAAGTAAACTCTTAACGGAGGTGCAGGACGCCCCAGGCCAGAATGAAATCGATGTGACTGATACAGATCTTGAGATTACTAAGTATATATATCTCCCAGATTAGGTCAAATCTTCACATGTCCAAGCCTTTTTAAATATCTCCACTATGGATATCTGTACTCCGTAACGGAAGTCGGTACTGTATTGTATTTGTATTTATATTTATTTTCTGGGGGAAGTCAGTGCTTCAGGCACCCACTGCCTTAGGTTAGGTCCAAGCTTGAATCCTCGAACATTGAAACTTGACTCTGTAACTCGTATTCATGGAAATACACGAGATTTAAATCCATGGATTCACAAACTTCAAAAACCTGGCGATCCCTTCCAGCTGACCAATTCGGGGTCCACGTTAGTTCCTAGGATTGGCCAGACCGAGGAAATGGTCTGGGCTTATCAACTGCCGAGTAATGAATGTGGTTGGGCCGTGGAGAGAAGCGTGCAAAAATACACAAAGGACTCCCGGCCTAATATAGTCTAGTTCTATTGGTGCCTGGTGAGGTTCGTGAGCAACGATCATAGTCGCGTCAGCTGCTCTAACCCATTTTGTATTATGGAAGCTTATGTATATATGATGCTTTTTTGCCAAGGGGTATGAACTCATAGCACATACCGCTATTACTGCTTGATCTTGTATAGTACAGGTACTTGATATTGACTTAATATACAAGTTCGGAATTCCGAACATCATCTAGACTTTCCCAAAGCCCCAATGAACGCCTCAAATGCCGGGAAATCAAAACAAAAGAATAGAAAAGTTGAACGGCTTAGTCAGTCCTGGAGTATACACTTGGGATCAACATGCTAGTCAAGCTTGAAAGCGATCCGAATATTGTCCAGTTGAAGGACAACGAGGCTCTAGTGAATGCCGACGCGGCCTCAATCAAAGCTAAAAGCGAAAAGCTAATATCAATTACACCTTGGAGTGAGTAGTGGGCTTCGGTTCCACCAGGCCAGCCTGTACAAAAGGAGTAACAAGTAAGCTCATGTTGACGTTTCATTTTGGTTTGATCCTCCTGAGAGAAACAATGGCTAGGATGAAACACTCCTAAGAGAGAGAAAAGGCCAAACTTACCATTGTCATAAGCTTCCAGACCGGATCACTAGGCTGCGCACCGACACCCAGCCAGTACTTTGCGCGTGATCGATCAAGCGCAATATCTTTATATGGGCGCGCATTGGGGTTGTCATCGTACAGATTTGTAGGAAGCTTCGGCACAGGGTTGTATGTACCAATGACCTCGAGAGGCTTAGAACCGCGAGCAGAGCTACACAATCAAAGTCAGTTTTCAGATTCATTTTATAATAGTCCTTGACTTTCATCCCTCAATTGCCGGAAGGGAAATGAGGGTATGAAGGAAGGAAGGTTTTGAGGGTGGGTTGAACGGGGATATAAATAGTCACGCACCGTGCCTGCGCAACGACAATGTTGTATAAGGGGTTGTGTGCGTTGCCGAAGCGTGCCAGCCGAATTCGGAGAACCATGTTGTTGGATGTGTGGAGGATCTGGAATTGAAATAGACAACGTAGACGTCTATTTGCGAGGCTGAAATCCAACTCCGCAAAAGTTGCAGGAAGTTACGGAAGAATAGATTACCCGGATTGCCTTGTGTGGATTAGCGTGGGTGGATGATGTAACTATACAATTCAGCTTCAACTTCTACCAACTCTTAAATCAATCCAAGGTTTCGATTCTTTCTATGTTCTGGAAATAACACTTTGAGTTTCTTCAAATCCTGGGGCAGTTGAACTCTCACTGTATTTTCATACTCGTATGCTTCACTCCTTAACCATACGCCCCGCTGTTCGTTGTTACGCAACAACAATAATGTCGCTTAGGGTTGGTCAAAGCTATGATTATTGAACTGGAATATGATTAATGAACACTCGCCAACAGGCAATATCAGCAAATGATGCCGCTTCCCTCGATAGGGATTTGATGGATATGGGCGGCTGGTCGCTTGATCAGCTAATGGAACTCGCCGGGCTTTCGGTCTCCCAAGCAGGTCAGCAACTGACACTTAAGAATCCACTAAGAAAGAATACTTTATTGAAACAGCCTGATAGTGTGGAGAGTCCATCCTATCACTGCAGGCAAGAATGTCCTTGTTGTATGCGGACCTGGTAACAATGGTATATCAACAAAACATAAGTCTTAATCTAGCCAACATATCTGATCTAACAACTCAAATTCCAGGAGGAGACGGCCTTGTGGCAGCACGACATCTATCACACTATGGATATAAACCATCCGTCTACTATCCAAAGGAAGGAAAAAATGAGCTCTATCAAGTATGTGATTCAAACCAACACCAACAACCAAAGCTGACACGACTCCAGCGCCTTAAAACCCAACTACAAAATCTCTCAGTCCCATTCATAACTGACTTTCCAGCCGCTCTCAAGACCACTGACTTCCTCGTTGATTCTATATTCGGCTTCTCCTTTGGTGGGCCCCTACGTGATCCATTTGGCCCAATTATTTCGCATATTGAATCGTCATCTGTACCTGTATTGAGCGTTGATGCCCCTAGCTCATGGGATATTCAGAGTGGCCCGCCAAAGGAGGGTCCTGGGGCTAATTTTATGCCCAAGGCATTAATTAGCTTGACGGCACCAAAGCCGTGCGTCAAGTTCTACCGTGGACGGCATTTTATTGGAGGGCGATTCTTGACAACGTCGATTACGGAGAAATATGGGATTGATTCACCTAAGTATCCGGGGATTGACCAGGTTATGGAGGTTGAGGTTGATGCGGAGGGAAAGGTTTGATTTTTCCCAACTAGGTAATTCTATCTAGTAAAGTGCCGAACAGAATGGGATATTGGTGTCATGGAGAGTTGAGGCATTGCATTGTCATCACGGGATTAAGAACCTCAGAATCTAAACTAGATATCCGGGTGAAACATTCATACATCACTATTAAAGAGTTTTCCGAAGCTCGCCGATGACGCCCTTGATACGGGGCTCTTTTCCTGGGGCAGACCCGGAGACTCGTGTGAGAATACTGCCGACCTCGTAGATATCCTTCGCCGCACTCTTCACCTCGTGTCCGAGAGTCTTGACCAATGTTCCCAAAGCAACAAGCGCCCGATAGACTGCTTCAGAGTCTTTTTCTCCGGCGAGAATCTTAGTAAGGTTTTCAAGAAGAACCAAGCCACGCTCGGCAGAGTCAGGAGATGAGCTATCCGAAGAAAGGTGGACGGCAAAGTTGATATACAGAGTTGTCACGGCAATGACGAGATTACGGTTCGGCGAATCTCCAGCATTTTCCAGGGCTGACTTTACTCCCGCCAGGATTTGGTCAAAGTGGGCCATGGCCAGATCTCGGCCGGGGTCCGTTTCAAAGAGGTTGGCGAAAGTCCGAATGGCAAGCATTGCGTTATTAACGTTGAAAGGTAACTCGAAAACCTCACTTTCCAGAATAGCTGTCACAAGATTTTCACCATCGTAATTCAAGGTCGCACTAAGCGGTGAGGCTGCAGCCAGGAGGCGAAGGAGATCCAGGCCTGGAAGCCTATTGATATCAGGCCATGTAGTTGCGATTTTAACAATCAATGGCACTCCTGATTCAACGATGGGCCGCGAGGATTCTGCAAGTTTTGGGGTCGATTCCAACTGGTCGCACAAGGCCATTACATCTTCCACTTCAGAAGGACTCAACGCTTTATTTTTTAAGCCCTCGTCGATGAGCTTCTTATTCAATTCCAAGAGCTTTTTAGAGACAAGCTTGAGGTTTGCAGATCGGATAGAGAGATAGGTCTTCTGGGGAAGGACCTCTGGGCGAGATTCTGGAATTGGTGGTTGAGCGTTTTGGTCAGCAGTAGCGTCACCAGGACGATAACGTCGATCCGAGCCCCATGGATCTGCGCCCTGAGATGCTGGTTCTTGAGGCTGGCCAAGGGTGGCACCCTGAGTGTTTTGTGTTATAAAAGCTGCAACTTGGTCCAGATAATTCATGGATAGTTCGTTGTCTCCAATGAATTTAGTGGCTGCCTCGTATGGATTCTGGGAAGCGTTGTAAGGAAGCTTGAGCGGGGGCTTTCCGTCTTCGATATCGACATCAAAGACGTAATCATAATCTTGTCCAAGATATTCAGTTTTGCGTCCACTGCTTCCTGCAGATTCAACAACTGTACCCACGGCAATCCACTCCTGTGATTGGGAGGACCATGTGTGTGCGGTCACACTTCCATCACTCTCGTGAATCATCTGGACTTGACCCTCCTTCGTCCCCAACTTCTGCTTAAGGAACTCTGGGCCAGGCAGTTGTTCCTTATTAACTGATCCAACTTGCTGAGCCGGAATGGCCGAGTCTTTGACAGCTTGATCGAACAGCTGAATCACTTCTGGGGTGGCGTGACGGTCTGGGCTTCTGCTGAAAACACGAGTAACACGATCACTGGCACCTGTAACGATATCTCCATTCTCCTGGCAAGCTGCAACGCTCCATACAGAGATGGCAGGGTGGGTGATAGTCTGCACACATTCTGTACCATTCCAGACTCGGACGGTTCGGTCCTCGCCGGCACTCACAAGCTCACCAGATGGAAGCGCGGCGAGAGAGTAAACGAAGCTCTGATGACCCTTAAGAGAGGCGACCAGATCCCCCTTCAAGGTATACAATCGAATTATTCCATCGTTGCTAGCGGTTGCGAACTGGGCGCCTGTGGGATTCGATGTTGGGACCTTACATAGGGCACGAACGACGTCATCGGAGTTCTTGAAGCTTCCAAGAAGGGTGCCTGTGGTATTGAATATGCGAATCATTTGGTCGGCGCATCCTGATATGAAATTAGCACTATTATTCCACAACAAACTTTAATCGAATATATAGTTGGCGTACCAGTGATGATAGTGTCCTTATCATAAGCCAGGACCGCCCAAACACTGCCCTCGTGACCCTTAAAAATCACCTCGGGCTCCCATTTACCGATCTTCCAGAGGCAGGCTGATGAATCCCAGCTACCACTGATAATCCAGCCACCATCAGGAGATACATCCAAGGAACAGACGTTATGAGCATGTCCGAGCAGCATGGCATCAGCATTGTCACTCGCAACCTTGTTGGGGTGTCGGGCCTCAATGATGGTATCCTGACCACCCGATAGCACGAGGCCCTCGGGGTACTCAAGTGTAGGCGGGAGGCAAGCTAAGCTATTGATGAAAGCCTGTCCATGTGCCGTGATTGTATCGTCGTAAGTGGGTGGTGGGGAGGAAAGGAGCTTCCAACGTCGAACGGTCGCATCACGAGAAGCAGAGAATATCAGATTGGGAGAAGGAAAGACCACAGCGCGGACCTGGAGCAAAAAAAAGAGATGTTAATGAGCTGCCCTTAGTGAATCATGAAGGTTTGAGGTAGTGAACTATTAGAGGTCTGGAGATCATACATCATCGCTGTGGCCCTCAAGGGACGCCGAGATCTTGAAGTCAGGCATCCAAACAGCAGATAAAAGAATTGGAATTGGGATAAGGAAAGAAAAACAACGACGATATTAGCAATGCAGGTCTAGTATTGTGAGTGTTGTTCTGGGGTCCCCGCTGCGCATCATATCACGTGGGCGGTGGAGCTATGACGAACCTGCTAGAAGTGATTACGATAACAAATCTTGATATGTTTTGGATAGTTATTAGTTCCAATGGATATTCGAGGGCAACAATGGAAATAAAATTTGAATATTTCTATCCAGTGTATTCCTGGGTGACTTGAAATTGAACTGTATACAATATCTTCTACAGTATGCTACTAGAGCATACTAACTAAATCAAGGGTAATTGGTGGCCCCGCGAGTCATTGATGAGATATGGAGAGTCGAAAGTCCAGCATTCCCCAAGAATATGACAGACTGAAGAGACTAAATAAAGACAGATTCCAGAATCTTGAATCTTGAATTTTGAATCTAGATACTCCGTACTTGTAGAAGTCAAGATCAAATTCAGTCAATCACACGTGTTGATGCAAGAGTAGTGGGGCGATTACCTCATCAGGGCTGCAGTGACCGGGGCCGTTAATCAATTCGACTTTAATCGTTTTTAGAATATTAACCACAACTGCACCTTCTCCGCCAAACTGCGTGGGCAGTGCAATTCCCACTTTCAGTCCTTCTATATTCTACTTGATGACTTGACGAACCCTGACGAATTTCTTTGACTCTCCTACTCTCCTTAAGAAGGATCGGTGGCTCAAGTCTCACACTTTTCAAGTCCAATCTCAGTCTCGAGATTATAACGTGGAGCAACCAAGTTGCTTCTCTGATCTCTTTTCCCCCTCATCGCCCCTCGTCACTCCCCTATTATCCTTAGAACTCATTATCAACCCACAGAATGACTGTTGGTAAGTGAGGCTTGTGTCTATGTACTCGAAGCTCGCTAAACAAATCTCCAGATATCCCGAAGGTGGTTCCTCTAACCTGCCATGGACATTCTCGTCCCGTGACACATCTGACCTTTTCCTCGACTGTCGAAGAGGAACAATACTACATTATCTCTGCTTGCAAAGGTAGATCAGCAGTGTGCGTTTATTAAGATGAAAGCTCATGCTTTACAGATAACAACCCTATGCTTCGAGATGGTATCACCGGTGATTGGTATGTCAATATCCATTCATTTGGCACCGACAAGGATCCAGGCTCTGACATATCTACAGGATTGGTACATTTCTAGGCCACAAAGGCGCAGTATGGCAAGCTCGTCTATCAGCCGATGCAGCAATTTCAGCCACTGCGGCAGCCGATTTTTCAGCGTATGATTTAAAAGCAAACCTGAGTCAAATATGAAGCTGAGGCTAATTACCTGGATAAACAGAAAGGTTTGGGATACATACACAGGCGAATGTTTGCACACTCTACAACACGCCCACATCGTGCGAGCCATCGCATTCCCCATGCAAGCAAACCCACAAGTTCTTGCTACCGGTGGCGCAGAGAAGAAGCTCCGAATCTTCGACTTGACCCGGGGAGCTGGTGGCGGGGGCAGCAATGACTCGACACCACCGCTCCCCGCGCCAATCAGCGGTGGAGAGGGCGGCTCGGAGGTCACAAGCTATGAGATCGGACCGGGTGTGCACGGTGGTACCATCAAGTCTATTGTTTGGAATCAGGACTACAACATTGTCACGACAGCTGCGGAGGACCGGAAAATTCGCTGGTGGGATCTGCGCTCGCGCCACCCCATATTCGAATTCGGTGTTGATGGCACTATTGGCTCTTGCGAACTCAATAGTCTCGCCTCCCGGCCTAACGATGGTGGTATCTTGACCGTCGCGGCTGGTAAGAGTGTATACCTCTTTGATGGGGTGACACCGGGTCGCTTGTTGAAAAAGACCGATTACAACTACGACGTTGCCAGTGCGGCTGTTAACAGCGAATCTGGCCGTCTAGTTACTGGTAGCGCAAATGATACATGGGCGCGCGTCTATGATCTTCACACAGACGAGGAGTTGGGTATGTTTCCATTCTATTGAACTGTAAACATGGGATGGAACCTTGGAACTAACTATGAATATAGAAGTGCAAAAGGGCCACCATGGTCCCATCTGGTCCGTCAGCTTCTCTCCTGATGGTAAGCTCTACGCTACTGGCAGCGAAGATGGCACCATTAAGTTGTGGAAGGCATGCCGAGAGCCGTACGGTCTTTGGCGGTAAAAGTAGAGTGTTCACACTCTGTAGTGATAGCATATAAATGTTTCCAATGGCCACGAATCCTTGCTCCTTGCTCCTTCTGGGTCGTGACTTCTTGCTAGTGCAAATGCTTATGTAGTAAGGAGTCATCCCCTGAAGAATCTAGCTCGACAAGAGATATTTGTTGATATGTTGGCTCAAGCGAGTCCATAAATTGCAGGTAAGAAGATCCAGGTAAAGTAAGGAGAGAACCGGCATCCTAGAGAGATAAAAAAAAAAGAGAGAAAATCACGACGGGTAAGATCACAGATCTTCACTGGATTTCGCGAGCAATATCTTGAGCAAGCTTAGGCGAAAGACGAATGAACCCCAATTCCTCGGCAGGCATCAACCATCAATTTTATGTTGCTTCCACCCTTACTCGATCATGTCGATATCATCATCCGTAGCGGTGACGGTAACGACTGGAGCGACGACGGGGTCTTGCTGCTGTTGATCAGGTTGTTTATCGCCGTTGTTGCCTCCCCAGTAATCATCCATTTCCTGATCAAGTTCCTCCTGTGTTTTGTGTGGGCGAGCTCCCGAACGACGTCCTCCATTCTCTGTGTTGCGCTGGCGATCGCGTCCACGGCCACCACGGCCGCCACCATTGCGGCGGGGAGAGCGTGAACCAGGAACATAACGGTCGATGTTCTCCGGAGCAGGCTTTGACACATCGCTGCGACGCATACGGCTACCGGCACCACGGCGTCGGTGGGCACCATCTTCGTTGGCACGGTCGCTTGTAGGACTCAGACTGCGATCATCGCGGGGGCGCTCCACGCGGTCGAAAAGAGAAGAGCGACCACTGCGGCCGCTACGGTCATTGCGATCGTTGCGGTCGGCACGCTCACGGCGGCCTTGGACTAGAGAGAGACGGATGGGTTGGCCTTTGGCGTTGGCACCGTCGAATTCTCGAAGAGATGTGTGGGCGTCTTTGAGAAAGGTGTAGGTGATGAAGGCAACACCCTCAGAGCGGCCAGCGCGGTCAAAAGCCAGGTGGACGTCTGAGACGGGACCGATGCCTCCGAAGAGGTCCTGTCAATAAGTGTCAAAATCGCGACAGAGGGCTTCAGCACGATGTTAGAGGGGGTCATACCTCCAGATCGGACGCAGTGACATCGTAATGAAGGTTATCGACGCGAACCTTCGTCAAAGTTGAACCACTAGTATGCGCATTAGTATTGTAACCAATAAATGTGTTTTCCTGACATACCGGCCAGGTGATCCTCCACGGCCTCCTCGGCGACCACCACCACGAGATGGGCGAGCTGCGAATTGTAAGAAGCAATATAAAGAAATATACACAGAGTGAACATACAATCCCGGCCTTCATCATTGCGGTCGTCAAATTTATCATGTACCCAGTCACTAGTAACCCAATTAGCTCGTGAAGAAGACGAGACAAAGCAAGGAAGGAGATATTCACAGGCTCAGGTCGACACGGTTGGAATCGTATTGCTGTTGCTCAAAAGCTAAGATGTTAGCTCGAAGTCTCGCATTGTGTGCGCTGTTCGGTGAATTTCTTCGCGGTATTCCCATTGCAGCGCCACAGGAGTAGTTGAGGCAGGAATAGGAGGGCGGACCTGTAAGAACAGAAACAGTAAGCCAGTGAAATCTGACATGCGCATGTCGGTGTTGACATTACCTTTCTTGGGGCATCGCGATCGCGACGGCGACCCTGATTACCACGGCCACGGGATGACCGGTCCTGCTTCTGTGATCCCTGTCAGTATTCTGCATACATCAAAGATTGGAGTTCCATCAAGTCCTTAGTGCTTACTTGGTCTGCACCAATTATCTCATCCAAGCTGCGGTCCATGGTGGCGGAGAGACGAATTCAGGAGATGCGAGTGAGCAGGGTTGTTGCGAAAGGAAACGGATGCTGAAGAATAAGCCACTTGTAAGGCTCGTGTTCGCCTAGGTGAAAAAAGTGAGCGGTCAAGCAGTTGTTGCAGGACGGCTAAGGCAGTTTAACAGCTCCGCGGCGATTTGACGCTGAGTCACATGATGTGAATGTGAGGCAGAATATTATGTAATATAGATTTGACTCGATTCACCTTCGATTCTACTTCCTGCTTGGAAGAAGAGAAATGAGGAACTTTAATACTCGACAACACCAAAACGCATATTACTTGAGATTTTAAGTTGAAAAGTTGAAATTCTTTCACCTTCAATTGCGTTACTCCATAAACTAGGAGTGATGGGAATTCAAGATAGGGAGTACCCTTGCATAGAGTCTGAGGTTTACAAGGAGATAGCCCTAGATGATAACGCAACTAGGTAAAAACTTGAAATTGAGCAATAGGGCAGAGCTCAGTGAGAAGAAGGCGGTATGTAAATCATTTGTTTATAAAAACTACCCTTAAAGTAGAATTTACAATAAAACAAATATTCAAGCTGTTGAACTTTGGTCACGTGGATGTGAAATGATACCTTTGAGTCCCAGAAAGGCTCCTAATTGTTAAATCCAATGGTATCCTGAATTATTCCAGTGAAAAACATGAAAAGACAGGCAGCCACCAAACCCCAGGAATGCATGATAAGACTACAAAAGAAAGATACAGGAATAAGACACCAGAAATTCATGAGCATGGAAACAGTTGAACACCCTATCAAAGCAGACCCTAACAGCTGTGACCGGCTGACGCTGTGCAAAGAATTGTGACCATTTCCTCATTCTTTCCCATTCCTTTTATTCGCCTCGATCATTTTCTCCATGAAACTGATGTAGTCAAACTTGGCCAGTTCCCGGTCTTCAAGGAGATCAGGTCCCTCGTGTGGGGGCATAGTTTTGACTAGGTGCTCAATCACTTCATCTGGGATAAGGGAGTGTCGGAGATCAAGCTCCGTGACATAAGGCTGGGAGTAGATGTCAGTGGATGTATTTAGAGAAAAGAGAAAGATCTAGAATTTACCTTGCCATCAGCAACCTCCTTAAAGCTTTGGAAAACCTGTTCAGCAGTGTTCTGATCTTCAGTCACGCTGACCATGAAGCGAATGAACTGCTCGAAACTGACTCCAGCGTTCTGTGCTAGTCGATCCTGACCACAGACCTCGACGTAAACCTGGTGCATCTCGTCTTCGTCATAAACCAGGCCAAGACTGGCGAGGGCAGCAGAGAATTCCAATTCATGAAGGGTGTTAGACGAGTCTCGATCGAAGTGGCGAAAAACTGACTCGAACTCTTCCAACTGTATGGGAGTCAAATTAGTCATACTGCGAGCAACCATCTGATTCTCGAGGAAGGCCAGCTTTTTTGAGATACTGGATTTCACTAGACTGAGCTCATACGAGAGTTCATCAAGTGTATATGTGGTGAAATCGTTTTCTTCGATGTTAGCCTCAGCACACTGTTCGTCCAGCTCTGCGATAGCATCGAGGAATTCGTCAAGGGGTGGCAGTTTGACGTTGACTGCATTGACATGGTCCAACTGGTCCTCGACATCGCCATCGAGTCCTGAGATGGCTAGCGATATCGTCTTGAGTGTCAACGCAAAATCATTTGCTTTGTCTGCAAAGGATCGACGGAGGGCGTTTTTGATATCCCTAATAGTCTCGTTGATGAGTTGACTGCGCTGGTGCTCATCTCGGGTCAAATTCTCCCACTCCTCGTCACAGATCTCCACACTCAGTTCATGTGGTGGCTCGTAAGAGCGCAGTCGATAGGTGCCCAGCTTTGTCTTGATGTTGCCCAACAAGGCGGCCAAGTCCGACTTTTCTGCAACCCATTGCCGTTTTTCATTTCGCTTATAGAGCGAGAACTGATGCGCCTGCTCCTTGACATCCTTATATGTCCCCTCGAAAGAAGCATTCTGCCACCCCTCGCGCTGGTTCCGAATCAATCGGAGAAGTTCTTTCATTCGACGCTCGTAGCCGCTTTGCATATCCCATGCTCCATGCATATTATTGACGAACTTCTCTACACGGCGTCCGGCGTTTTCCACCCGTTCGAGTTGGGAGAAGGCATGGAACCAGTAGGCAATGTAGGTCATGAGAGATCGTTCGTCAGGTCGCGGCACATCACACACATCGTCCACATCAAGGAGGTCGGGGATACCGATTTCGTTCGAAGCGATGTCGAAAGCGAGTTTCATGTTCCCCCGGTGGTCATTCTTATCCAAGGAATCGAAGTCGATCAAATCGGGACGGTGTATATCGAGCAGTGCACAAAACGCCAGACCGTCATTCCAGCTGGTTGAGAAGTCTCGGACCTCGACCCCCTCATAGCATGCTGTCTTTCGTTGACACCACAGGAGCAAACCTTCCTTTGCTGTCATACCCTCTTCGTTGATGTCGCTAATAGTGAATCGGAGAATCAGCGTCCATATTAAGCCTAGAATGATCTTTCTATTCCCGTCGACGATATCCTCTGCACCAATGTTGGTCATCTGAATTCTCCTTCCTTTGATAAAGTCTAGACTCTTGTTGACATTTTCGAATCGCTGCACTCGCAGCTTTGGCTTCGACGCATATCGACCGAGGGACTCTCCACCCAAGATCTCAAGGAGATGGATAAGGATGACCTATTTGTAAGAGAAGAGTCAGCCCTAGTGTTTACGAGGATCGTGCGACGCGATCTTCGGGATGTGGGTAAGGGGGGGAAGACTTACACCATCGGAGAGATCTGTGACCAGATCCTCGATCGCCAGACCCTTACGGGCCTTCAACTTATTGTTAAGCCTTTTTAACTTGGGATTAGTGGGACCGCACTTGACTACAAAAATGGAGGGGCAACGCACCATTTTGTGAATGTCTTTTGCTGAACATTAATCCACTGCTTCTCGACCGTCAACATCTTCAAGACGAAGACATGCCACGGCCGAAGGGCTGAGGTAAGGTACCAGGTGGGAAATCAAGGGTGATTGCTGTGAGAGTAGAGATTTTTTTTTTTTGGCTGTCACTCTCCGATTTGGACTAGTGGTGTAGATGAGGAAGATGCGTTTAAGATGTTCGATTAGGGGTGGGGGTGTGTCTCCTTCTCGGGCCGACAAAATCCCCCCAGCAACCAATATTGACCTTCTTTTTATACTTCTAAGTGCTAAAGGTTAAGTCTCTTAATGTTTTCATTGTTCTGAAATCTGGAACCAATTATATTAAATACTTAGTATACTGACAGGGGTAGTGGAATGCCAATGCAACCATGGGTTCATGATCGGCTCCCCACAGAACTATATAGATCGTAGTCAAGAGGTCCAGTGATAAGAGCCCTGGCGGAATTGAAGCTGGGTATGCTGAAGGTTTCTATGATTTTATAGTAGATGATAGTAGGAAGCTACTGAAATTAGTTGATTATTACTTGGCTTATTAAACTGCATAGTTCAAGCCAGGAACGAGAATCCATTTTACAGTCTGAATAATCAATTAATGCTGGCTAATAAAAATAGAACAAAAGTAGTTAATTTGAAATGGTGTACTCGAGTAATGGTGAAATGATATCATTCGATCCGGTTCCAAGAGCGGGGCTCAAGCTCTCTTAACCCTTCCAAGGTTACATACATTACATAAATTACACCAAATGACTGCTTTTAAATTCTGACAACTTCCTCTGATCTACCAAGACTAAGTAAATATTAGGTACTAAACTACAGACATAGCTAAAAAAAAAAAGATATCAATTTCCACGACTTTTTTTAGACTTCCCATGCATGTCCTCTCTTGATCAGCTTTCTCAGCGATTTCATAAACTTTTAACTTCATGTTTTGACTTGGTCAGAATTGAGAATTCCTGTGGTTTTGATATATCGACGAGAATGATTATATTGGGCGTGACGTGATGCCTAAATCGCTTTTGTTTAATCAAACTTCCGCTGACCTCTTTAACTAAAGTAGCCTGGACATTGGCTCCTTTCTTTAGCTTATCTAGTGCTTGTTGAATGTGAGAGCTAGGGTTCTACTGATTTATCCAATTACCAATACTTCTGGTTTTTTCAGCCGTCTTTGGAGCACTGAAAATAGTATTTTGCGAGGACGCTGGTTAGATTGCCGTTGTTGATTATTAGGGTTTTTAGAGTATGGGTTATATGATATCAAAATCCTCTGCAATAGATTCTCAATTCATAAGCCAACGATCTTTGAGTTAAAGACCAAGCTTGATTATATGAAGACGAAAGCTTTTTGCGGATTTGCGCGATTGAATGGAGAAGTTCGTCGTTTGTAATCTTTTGACAGTCCTTGTTGCAGCTTTAACAGCCTCACCATGCCAATGTTTATAAACACTAAAAACATCAACATCAAGAGGCTGTAGTATATGACTCGTGTGTGTAAAATCAAACGAGATTCATTTTATGGTCATCACAGAATTCGATAAATTTTCTGTCTGACACCGATTTAGAAAAAAGCTTCGTCGAAATTATAGATATCTCGAGGACAGATCCTACATTCTGTTACAACATGTTTAATCCTCAAAACACCTCTCTACCACAGATTTATCAAGAGCAAGACTTTGTTCAATATCCATTGCTATCCGGGATGACGTTTAAGGAAACGGTTTGACCAGTAGTCGTCGATTTGTGGTGGTTATATGATCAAGTCTAAACGGGCTTCTTCAAGAATTGAATTGGCTGTAATTCCTATCTGTCCTCGATGGATCGATTCTCCTTTATCAAAGTAGTTGATATATTCGCAAAGAGCTAATTCTCGTACAGAGTCAAGTTTGCCACCGTTAGGTAACTTAGGTTCAATAGGTTGTCGTTCAAATAACGATTTTTCGCTATACCAGCGCCAACTAAGTCGTGAAGATGTTCAAGGGCTTCAATGACCCGATCTTCGATTTCTCTGTTGTTTTAGGGCATTTTTGGTGGAGTTATTGATGGTGACGTCCGTTTGGGTGGCGGTGAAGCGACCTGAAATGAAAGGTTGTAATTTATGTAACGTATGTAAGGCCCCATCAGGTCTTAGATTCTCTCTTTTCTCAACTCCCCTTTCTCTCACACATCCCATAATCTATTCTCCCATAATGTCACTCAAAATAAACGACACTATCGAGCTCCCCAATAACAGCGCGCGCATTCCGCGTCTGGGTTTTGGTGTCTACCGCTCCCCGCCAAACCAATGCGTTCAGTCTGTCCTGAAAGCATTAGAGGTCGGCTACCGACACATCGATACTGCGCAGTTCTACGCCAATGAATCCGAGGTCGGTGAGGCCCTCCGCAGCAGCAGTGTACCCCGCGAGGAGGTATTTGTAACCTCTAAGATTTTGAGTCCCGCGGGCTCGCTCGAGGCAACCTACGATAAACTCCTAGCTAGCGTGGAGCAGATTGGCGGACCCGGCGGATATGTTGATTTGTTCCTAATTCACAGCTCCAAATCCGGTTTTTCGGGACGAAAGCACCTGTGGCAGGCGTTGGAGAAACTCTACGAAGAGGGTCGGACGAAGAGCATTGGAGTAAGCAATTTTGGTGTGCAGCATATCGAGGAAATGCGCTCGTACGCCAAAGTCTGGCCACCACATGTGAATCAACTTGAGGTAATTTTCTTCTCTCGTTCTATCTATATAGCTTGAAGTGACTAACTTGCTCTCAACCCATAGCTCCACCCTTGGTGCCAGCAGCGGACAATCGCCGAGTACAACAAATCGCATAAAATCGTGAGCGAAGCCTACTCCCCAATTGTGCGCAATTATAAAGCCAGTGATCCCATCCTTGTGGAGATCGCGACGAAGTACAACAAGTCAACACAGCAGGTGTTGATCCGCTATGCGTTGCAGAAGGGTTGGGTACCACTTCCCAAGACCGACAACCCAGATCGCATTGCCGCGAATGCCGATGTCTTTGACTTCGAGATTAATGAAGAGGACTTCGGTGTTTTGGACGCGCTTGACCAAGGAAGCGCAGGAGCTATTGTGGAGGCTGTGGTCAATGAGTAAGCATCATGCTTAGGTACTCGACCAGCTTAACCTGGCTTCCTGGCCAAGGAGTCTACTGAATCAAGACATCAAGAAGGCATTCACAGATTGGAGCGTCGAACGGGACGGATTCACGTCGTGTTTGGACGAAACGATCCAGGCAAGACGCTGGCGAATAAATTGTTTGCCAATTATTCGCCCTGATTGAGACAGATCAAAATTTCCTGTGAATATATTAGTTCTGGTTTCCTTTTGGAAATTTCATATAGTTTGCAATTAATCAAAGGCTTAGAAGACCTACCATCATCATCGCAAAAGAGGCAAATGATCGCCAGCAACGCACCAGCCGAAAGATCCTTCCCCGTATCGCATGTCACAAGCAGTGACTGAGCGGGATTGGACTCGAGTTGCGCCTTCACAAAATCTCGCACTTTATCTAACAACTTTCGTAGATCACGACTGCCCAGCTTTGCCGACGCACACCCCAAGTTGAGACGCTTAGGATTCCCTTCCACGGCAGAAGGGGTGCCGTTACAATCAATGATAAGATCACACTCGCCGACATTCAAACTCGGGTCAGTAGAGTTTATATAGAGATAGCGAGTGGGCGAAATGAGAGTGGCTTTTTGGCCACTGCGTTGCTGTTGATGCTTAGCCACAAGCTGGGCAATCAGATCTGGGAGTTCTTCCTCTGGAGTCTGCTTCAAAGCAGCCTGATTCGCCCAAAACACCGGAGGAGTCAGTCCATGAGCCCAGCCCTCGCTGTCGTCACCGGCCCCTTGGATGTATCCCCCCTCGGACATCTCTGCCCCGTGTACACGTCTTGAGGCGGAGCATAGGACTAGGAGGCAGTAGCTATCACCTTTGTGCAGATCGGTCGGATGGAAGTACGATCTATTCGCCCAGGCAACCTTGATAGGCTTCCCGAGCTGTTCACGAATGTGACCAAGATCGAGCTTCAGATCCTGTTTGCGAATGTCAATTACTGACGCAATTGGCTACTTAAATAGGAGCAAAGTAGTCTGTTTTGATTGACAATCCAGGGCTTGCATACCTTTAAAGAATTTACAAAACCGTCGATGCGTAATTCGATTTGTGATTCTTCGGAATCACCAAGGAAGTTTGGAGGGAGCTGTACGGCATGATATGCGGTTTCCGCCGGAAACAGAGCGCGGTTCAAGACGGCACACCAAATTGGGACAGTCTTGGATAAGGCATCAGGCATTACTGTAGATAGTCAGCGGAGGGATCTTACGTCGACCCATTACAAGTCAAGGGCTGGTACTGGGATGACATATTGGACACACATTTGCCTCGGCGAGTTGAGTCCACAATTACACATCTGACCGAATAAAATAGTAGATTATTAGTTCGGATATCTTACAAATGATTTAATCGAGTATCAGCTAAAAGAAGTAAAGAGAAAGCCAGAGCTCTACTCCCAACCCCATTGACACAAAGATTCACATCAAAAGCAGCAGTAAGGACAAGATCACTTACCCGCCATGTTCTTTAGCGAGCGGAAGAAGCTGCAAATTCAACCTGCGAAAGCTAAAGTCCCATTGTCCAGAATGGCCATCTGTACTTTTGAAATAGGCACTACCAGACTTGTCATCAGGGGAAATGTACCAGCTGCCACAGCGCTCATTAGCAACAAGAGGGAGATCGTAATGATCCGCTACCTCTTGCACGAAAGCAGCATCTGTCTGAATTGACTGGAGTCGATTTGAGATGGACAGGGCTGAGCGACGGAGAGAGGCGAGAGTCTGTGAGATGGACTGCTGTGCTGATGGGAAATGAAGAGACTCTAATGTTGGAAAGGATATGTCCATTTTGGCCAGACTGCCAGACTCAGTACTCTGATCTGTACTTCGAACGCACTTGAAAAATGGCGGACGTTGTTGGTCCAGGTAGACCAATCAGCATGGCTGTTTCAGGTAAGTGGGTACGCTCGGCTTATTGTCGGTATATACTGACTTGTACTCAGTATTCGATTGAAATAATAGATCTAGATCAAGGTTTTTAAGAAAAGTCTGGATAAATTGACAAATGAGATGAAAGGGCTCTCTTCGCTTGATTATATGGGAGGGAAATAAGATATAATTCGAAGTTAATTATCGTAGTCTCGCTCTGATATCAACTGAACATTGAACTACATGTGCTTGTTTTTTTTCACTTTTGCCAAACAGTCGAGCTGTCATATGACTTATCATCTAGCTCTAAAATGCCATGCTAGAGCCCGAAGTATATGCCTTACCTAGGGTTCACAAATGAACGTTATTGATCGGAATGGGTTGAAAGCAACTGACCGTGAAGCTCCAAGGCTTGGATCAAACCTATGAAACAATAAATGCTGCATCCAATGTGTACTTAAGGTAAAAGGGAGGTGAGTTTAACATGTAGCTGGCCGTATGATCTCTCATGTCCTGAGTGTCTGAGATGGCTTTGACGTCGCTGACAACCCTTCGAGCCGTTAAGCTCACAGTGGAATGCATAGCATTCTGGCTTTGTATGTGTTATCGCGTAACCTTATTAGGATCACTTGCTTGTTTCTTGGGGCGTCTGTGGCCCGAGTTTGGTAATGTTCAAGACCATCATCTACCACGATATCTGCCCATGTAAACTTAAGAACTCTTCAGTATTCCAAATATGGATAGAGGTTCATACAATAGTAAAAGTCCAAGCATCCTGATATCCAGTAGAATGTCTGGTTACGCTCCCCAGTGGTTACTTTCAGGGGACAATGAACTTAGAATAGTAGTCGTTAAAACTTCCAAGTTCTTCGATTTTCAAGGGTGGTGTCAACCTTCATCTGACCATTGGCGTTTTTTCTCTAGCTCGTCTGAATTGATATGTATTTACCGACACTCTGACTTGCGCCCAAATTAGGCTGAGCTCATGCAGCTTTTTGGATTACCAGCTTTCGATGAGGGCCAAAAAATGCAACTGTGCTCCTATAAAACCATTGTTGCTATCAAAGCACATTCACTTCTCTTTTACTTCAATTTGATTCCACTCCAGGGCTTTTTGCTTGGATCCTGGATATTGTAACTCAATAAAATCCTAGGATGTGCATCAACCCACCTGTGATCCGTACGACCGAACGGCATCATTTCAAACCACTTAGCCTCCGAGAAAAACATCCAATAGAAAGTTGTATATAGTGTCCGTGGCCCTTTTCATGTCACCCTATTATCCAGCTATCCTCGGGTGAGATAATGGCAAGGGATGGATGGATGAGACATAGAGGACTACCAAGACGTCAAGCCTCCAATCTAGGTAAAGTATGAATGGAATGCATCCATGATCATGCTACCATACTCCTCAGACCAGAATAGACCCGGTGAATGAGACTGAAACCAAGTCTTCTTCTTTATTCCGACTTTCAGCGATGACAAGGCCATTCACTAACCCCGGAATATACTAGTTGTTGATAATAAGTAGCCTGATTGGTGGATGAAGGGACTCCGCTGTGCCTGCCCTAAATAATACAAGTATATGATACTTGTTTTTACTAGTCAATAACACCAAGATACAGGTACCCAGTACGCCCCACTTTATGACCTCAGCCCCCCGCCCTAATTATCCGTTCCCTGGCGATTCTTATTACGGCGTCATGGATTCCCCATAAATTCTCTAGAGTCAAGTCGTTGTTTCCTTTAAAAGATTCTGGGACGCGTCCCTGATTTCCCCTCTTTAGTAAAACACCTACAATTGCCCTCTTTCCTCCCTCCTTCCTTTCCCGCCTTGTATTTTACTCCGCCTTACCAGGTATCGGAGCATTTTCACTTCTTCTCATCCCACACACTGAATCCTGAAATTCTGAGGATTGTAGATCTCTGATCTTCCAACTTTCATCATGCCTCAGGTCAGACTGCCATTGAGAGTCATTCTGTCAACCGACGCTAACTGCCTGACTGCAGATCACGGAAATCTTCTTTGACTGTGATAACACGCTCGTTCTCTCCGAGGAACTGGCTTTCGAAGCCTGTGCAGATCTCGCCAATGAAATCCTCGAGACCCGCGGCATCTCGGATCGCTACACTGGCGACCAGCTGATCAAGGACTTTGTTGGACAGAACTTCCGCGGAATGATGCTTTCCCTGCAAGTCAAGTACAATTTCGAGCTGACCAAGGAAGAGCTCGAATATTTCGTCACCAAGGAGGAGGACAAGGTCATTGCTAAGCTGGAAGCCAAGGCCCAGCCTTGCGTCGGTGCTAATGAGGAACTCGACAAGCTTTACGCGTCGAAGAAGTACGGCCTTGCCGTTGTTTCATCCTCTGCCCTGCGTCGAGTGCGCGCCTCAATCAAGAAGGTTGACCAGGACAAGTACTTTGATGAGGATAAAGTCTTCAGCGCGGCCACTTCCCTTGAGAAGCCCACTTCCAAGCCCGATCCAGCCATCTACCTGCACGCCCTGAAGAAGGTCAACAAGACCGCTGAGGAGACCGTAGCTGTGGAGGACAGTAAGTCTGGGGCTCTCTCGGCTATACGTGCCAAAATCCCCGTCATTGGATACGTCGGTGCTTATCCTCCTGATAAGTATGATGAGATGAGCAAGGTCCTTACTGACCTTGGCGCAAAAGTCATCATGAAAGAGTGGACTGAGTTCGAGAAGTGCATGGAGTTGATCGAGAACCTTCCGGCCGCTCAATCCACTCTGTGATTCTGTTTTTCTTGACTGACTCCTGAAACGCCCACATAATTTCATGACCATTGAAAGCAAACACATGGCCGTTTGAGGGCTGATTTTTCTCTTTTTCGGTTCGAACTGAACTGAACCTGTCTGCGTTTATACCATCTCGAGTTTTCGTGATGGTTTTTATCATGAGTATATGAATTTACGCTGGATCAATAATTGAATAAGCGCTTTTTGACCTTCATCTCATCCTATCTATAGCGTAATGAAACTGGGGTTATAAACAACTGCCACATCAATTATTCCGCATGACAAGGCTCTAAAGATGTTTGTTTCTTTCCTCGGTTGTCAACATGTCGGTAACGAGCAGTGATTTCGATCTGCGCTAGAATAGAATAATTCACGCTCATTTGTTACTCCCTTACATCGGGGAAGATGCGAATGCAGACACCCTTGTAAATCGAAGCAAGTGATATATCTGCGATAAGATAAGGACCAGCCCCACATTTTACACCGACATCTTCAAGCCCAGCCTTCAAGTCAACCTTCAAGTCAACCTTCAAGTCCTTAATCTTCTGGAAATAGCTATTAGATTCAAGCTTTTATTCCAATCAGACAAACCTGTCAACTATCATCCTCATCACATTTCAATTGTCTATTATCAGCTATGTTCCCACCTAGTACCCTGACAAAATCTAAACAAATTTCCACGGGGCCTTTGGTATGTTCTTTGCTTATGTTCATTCAATCATTGGTCCCATAATTCACTCTATGATAAGCATCAGACGGGCCATGAGCTAATTACTTCACCTTGGCGTATAGGATCCCGCGGAGGCGCAATGGACTCGATTGGTCAAGACTACGTACTCTGATCCGTTGGGAACTGAAAGAACATGGGAATTTGCGGAGCGTCAGGTAAGCCTACACTGCCTCTTTACTCACAAGACCCTATTTTCCACGGGCCTCCAACCATGCTTTCGCAACCGGTTCTATCATCTTATCGGTTATTTATATAAACGGCCTCATTGGACATCTCAAATTGGCCCGTCACTATTCGTCTCACGATCAGATGTATATAGCTGCTGCTTCTGAGCTGGACTAACTAGAATCAACAGACACGCCCAGCTGGTTGCGAAATCGATGGTGTGGGTGTTATTGCCATTCTCAAAAAGCTAACCGGACCCGAACTACTCCTCCAAAGGCAATATCGACCCCCAATTGACAAAATCGTCATCGAGGTTCCTGCAGGTCTGATTGATCCGAACGAGACTCCGGAGCAGTGTGCCGTACGCGAGCTTAAAGAAGAGACTGGCTTCGTCGGAGTAGCGGAAAAGACCAGTTCTATCATGTATAATGGTTCGTTTCTTAATATTGTCCTCTTTGGGTCCCAAGACATCAGCTTATTATCGTATCTTTAGATCCCGGGTTTTGCAACACCAATCTGAAGATGGTCCATGTACGAGTTGATATGAGCCTACCAGAGAACCAGAATCCACAGCCAGAGCTTGAAGAGAACGAGTTCATTGAGTGCTTTACAGTTCCCTTGTCTTCCTTGTTTGAGGAAATAAGGAAACTTGAGAAAGAGGGTTACGCTATTGATTCTCATGTCGCAACTCTAGCTGAGGGAATTGAACTGGCGAAGAAATGGAATCTGTGAGGTTGGTGGACGCACATACGGGACTGCACACTGCATGCTAGACATCAAACTCTTCATTTATCTCCGTACATAAGTTGAATGGGCATCTGGGAAAAGCCCTAAAATATATGCTATTAGACTTCAATTTCACTTCATTCTTTTTCCATGAGTGAGGTACTGGCACTACAGTTTCCCTTCCTGTTGTAACCCCCTATAGAGCGCCCATGCCGCCAGAGTCTTCCCATCCCGTAGTCCTTCCTTCCATAGATTCTCTAGAGGAACCAATTTCAATGTGATCATCTCACCATCCTTCCTCAATCCTGTCAATTTACCCTGCAACTGCTCAATCTCCTTGAGTGGCATGCGTTTCTGGCAAAGAAACAGGGGGATAAACTCATCACTGCCACCCGCAGAAGGATAGAAAGCTTTCTGTAATTTCTCTCCATTAGCAGTCTCGTTGACCGATTGCAGAGCCAGCGCAGTCATATCTGTTAATTCACTTTGCTGAACAGATAAACCAGTCTCTTCCTGAATCTCCTTTGCCGCAGCCCCGGAAAATGTCCCACTGTCATCAAGCATACCAGCTGGTATTTCAGAGAATGCCAGGGATCCCGCAGGGATACGGGGCTGAACTGTAAGAATGGCCCTCTTCCCATGATCGTGCTCAGCAGGCAGATGGTCAGGTTGCAGAATGAGCTGAAGTATGCGCATTAGCAACAAAGTCTAGAGCGAACGATAATCCGAATCTGATAAATCCGAAAGCCAAATAGAAAAAAACTAAAATTAAAATTAAATAAAAGAGACATTGACTTACCAGCATGCCGACACTGCCGCCTCGTAAGAACACAATCCCGGGTAACTTCTCCCCGAGACTATTTGATACGTCGGCTTTCAATTTCACGAAACCAAGCCGTCCTCCTCCAAATCGGTCAGTGGATTGAATGTCAATTTGGCGGAGAATGTATGGGTTTTGGTGGAACTCATGGGATACGGTTTTCTGTCGCGCTAGGGAATGCTGGAGTGTTGACATCCATATTTTGAAGGCTGGGAATAATAATAGCTCATCCTGGGTGAGGTCCGATGTGCTATTGACGCGTATCTCGGAGCCTGGGATCGTGAATGTTGACATGGTGGCTTTTGCAATTTGAAGGATTTGTGTCGGATATCGCGCTACGGTACAGTGCAGGCGAGATAGCATGGATCTTGCTTGGTCGTAGGACTTTGAAGGTCAGGCGGTGTGTTACAAGGGTGCTTTGAGAATACGTTCTGTTGCCTTTTTGATGTCCGGGTGTCGTTAAGATGCTGGTGGTTCGTGAAGTTGGTGTTTTGATATGACGTATCTCGGAAGCTGAACTTCTTTATCCGGGTATCTACTATCTATTTACATCCATGTACTTGGATATTATCAGCATTATCTATATGATTTTCACATATCTTATCGTTGGATGACGTCCATATTAGTTATCTATTGTTTAATGCAGGTTATTAATTGATACCCCTGTAACTCCGAGGTTTCACAAGGTTGGAGCTCTTCTTACATCCGCCTCAACTGTTGCTCATCAAACTGATATGAGCCATTGATAGATGTGATAACCTTGGAAATAGGTCAAAAGTGTGGTATGAAGATGAATCCATCAACTATTAATGTATTTCTTGTTCTTCACGAAATATCACAACTCATTCAACAGTTTGACTGCTACCAATCTGTACCTCTACGAACATTCTAGGATATTCTAGAGAAATTTCAGAGGTCGCTGACAAGACTCACAGCCACAGCTCAAACAAGTGGTGCCACGTCATTGGGCAGTATTCGACCCACTTCGTCCTTGTTAATTAATAGATCTTGAACGATTCGCACCAGCAATCAAACATTGACATGCATGCAAGCAGTTGAAGCAAAGCCTTGAGCTATGCCAGCGAACCTTTTCAGTCTTCTCGCCAAGGTCAGCCATGAGATATGCACCTATTCCCTCGTGCGAGAGAAGCCTAGCAATCTCTGGGACAGAGATTGGGAGTTAACACCCGATCTCCTCGCCAAAAAAAGACGATCCTCCACGAGGCCAGGTCACTACTTTCCGGCCAACATTAGGTATCTTTGACCTCTTTGTCTGTAGCATAGACAAGAAGCCCGAGGTTATACCTCAATTTCTTTATACAATTGGCATAATCAACGTATCTCATATTCATTATCGACATTCCCACCTGGTATCATAACGATCCTGAAGATGATAGAGTCAGCATGGGGGAAGACAGCCTTTGTATCCTGAAATAGATCCGGTCATACTGCACTAGTGTAAAGACGCTTGTCACAGCTTTATCAAGTACAGATTCCATGGAATTATCACTTGTTTCATATTCTTCTGATACATACAATCCGTAAATTTGTGCCTCGAAGGCATTTGCACTAGTTAATGCGCACTTCAAAGCATTTACATCTGTGTAGAAAATCCTCGTAGAGTGCTACTTTCCTAATAGGAATCTCATATCGGATATCAGAAGTAGCATGTAGGGTTATGCGTGAAGGATAGGTAAAGCCGATCGAAGTGGAGTGGTTAGATCCCAATTCGGATGATGGTGGTAACGATGATGATATCACCTGGGTATTTCTTGAATCTTCAGATTAATATATACCTACGTAATATGACCATGAATCCGTCATTTTTCTACTATCGTGGAAAAATTCATCCAGTGGAAGCAGCTTTGCCTAATCATTCTTCAGTGCTGCCCATGTATCCATGGCACATGAGTGAAAGCGACTTAGACCTACCTAGAAATTAATTCGATACGTCCATGGATGTGATTTAATTTCCTGTTCATGTTATTCTTCGTGAAAAAAAATTCATTCGTGTGCCATCAATGATGTATCGATAATCGTATTGCGTATCTAGGACTACCTTGGCAGGTGAAATGACCTGTCCTTTCGGATATGACGATATAAATGGATTTTCAAGGTTGTTCACGGTTATCAAAATTGGGCCAGTAGGGAAAAAGCCAATGTGCAGCATTGTTGCACGGATTTAAATGAGAAGCACTACGTGAGCCTAGAACGATCCAATGTTGTAGAGGAAAACATCACCCAGGTTAGCCATAAAACCCCGGGTGCACCTGCATCAAATTATCACTTTATCTGGCACTATCTGATCTCCAATTTCACCCGGGTTAAATTATGCTGCCGAACATCACCTGCCGAGTCCGCGACGATCCTGCCGCCCGGAATTGACCCCCGTCCTTGCGCAAACGTACATGGTAGTTTATACGAAGCTGAGTCAGTGACATGGCTTCTGTGCCGTTGATAGAACTGGATAGAATGAGGTTGCCTTGCAGGCAAGGTTGCGACCTAGCATGATCTACTACACTTTGTTTGTACTACTTACCTTTTGACCCCTTTACTTGAACGGGTCAGTACCTGAATATTCAATAATTAGGTACTGAATTCTCATATAATCGAAGTTGAAATATTAGACTGGATGGCTAGGTAGAGCGGGAATAATTCTGGTTCGCATTTTTGGTATGTACTATCTACACAGTTTGGCACAAAGCGGCTCAGAACTACAAAGTAAGAGTCATTTTGCAGATGTGACAGAGCGGATAGGTGGAACTTGCTAACGGCATCCTTTAGAGCTACCTTCCTATATAGGTAAGATATCATCGCCACTAAAGGTCTGTGCTAACCTTGGAGACTTGCGCACTTCGTGTGGCAGTGCTTCTCTACCCTTGCAATACCGATGTGCTACGAGGCAATATAATGACGATCTATAAAATTCAATAACATAAATCCAGGTATCAGACTTTGTTGCCAGCTCATGTGTTCAAAGTTCATGATCTGTACGACCAGACACCAGACAATCAAGGATAGGACCTCGCGATGAGGAAAAGTATTGTGTTCCAAGGTTTAGCTACGAATTATAATCTAATCAATGGTGGCTCTCAAGGCGCTAAAGCATCGGGAATAGTTTCTGATGACCAATGAAATGAGTTTGAGCATCTCTAATGCCATGTGTTTGATGAAAATTGGGATTTTTCATGGTTCCAACCAATCATGCATATATGATCAGATCCCGAGACCTTCGAATGTCCAACACATGGGCATACCGCATTCGATGCCCACTGAGGGGTCATGCAGACTGTGACAAAACGAGCTACTGATATTAGGGCTGAGCTCACCAGCATGTGTGATATGCGGCTTTGATAAGCCAGGAGCTCTTAGGTAGTGGCGTTGATGTTGGACGCCTATTCGTCTTGATCTCCGATTGCATGATTCCGAAGCAACGCCGATTAAGTATTGATAGACATAGTCCTAAGTCATGCTCTGTCCGGTACCGGCTTGTTATACCTCAGTACCCAGGTTGTACATCTCATATTGTGTGCATCGCTCCAAGACCAACTATCGGTGTAGACTTCAAGGAGGTAGGTAGCCTTGGAAGCGGAGTCAATTGGGTATGCAAGGGTGAATTAAAAAGAGCCAAAGAGGAAAAACAGGTCAAAGAAGGAGCAGGATTTGTTTTAGGGCCGTTCCAATGTGTAGAGGGCTAGTTTATTGTGTGATTTGGAGCCATCAAGGGGTAAACATTTGGTGAACCCATGTATGTGGTAACGGGGTGAAGTGCGGAGTATGCTAGTCCCAATTTTCCGGGCAGTCAAGCCCATAGCTAAGCGCTTTAGTTTACAAGCTAGGGCCAAGGCAATTCTCAAGCTGAAATTTGGTCTCAGTTGAAATGAAAAGGCTGGAGGCTGAAGTTGTTAGTGCAGGAATTGATTTGTATGGTTTAACTAGCAAATACTAATTCCAAAGTGAACCAATAACTCCGAAATAGTGTAATTAATGTAAGTAGGGATAATAGTACCTACCCTTGAGTGGTGAGAAGGCAACCGCTAGAGGTCAGCGGGGTACATTCACTGTATACACTTATAGGGGAAGCTGCCTGGAAAAATTGCAACATCGTAGGTTTATAGAAAATAGCATTGATTCCTCCCGTTTCAATTTCAAATTTCCAGTCCACATTAATAAAAACTCGAGATGGTTGAAAACCAGAGTTCAATGTTAGTGCCCTGTTAGTACCCATTTTCTAAGGTTCTCCAGTGCCCAACTTACACATCTCCCATCCCACCGCTACTTGCTAATCTTGATTCATTTAATCCCCCGACAGAATTTGCATTTGGAACTTGAAAAAGATTCATTTTGCTGATAACCCATCCTGTCAGAGGAGCAAGGAGCAGCGCAACTGCCATCACAACGCCACAGTTAACCAAAATAGGTGCCAAAATTGCTGATCAAAGGATGTTTACTAGGTCAGCTCATACCCCTGGACACCCCCGATGTCCCTTCTTTAAAGTTAGTTTGGTCTCTGATCACCTCATCGGTAGACAACCCATAGAAAGAAATCAAAGGATGTCTTCTCGAAGGAATGGTTCAACCCCAACTTCACCCGTCAGCTTACCTTGTTTAAGTGGGACTCGGAGGTATGCCAACACCAATAGCCATGTACGAAGAGTGAGGGTTCCCCTTCGGACTGAATTAGAGAGGCATCGTCGCAGAGGGATCCCTCAAGTTCGAACTGCAAGGAGTCGACGACATACAGATGCCTCTCGTCGGATGATGCAAAGGGCTTCCTTCGTGCCAAGTCATTATAATGCAAATAATGTACATCCAAGCCCCACTGTCTCTGAAGGTCTACCAGTTAATACGAGGAGCATTGTCGGCATGGCAATGGAGGATTTGTCTATTTCTCACACAAGGTCATCAGATGATGAACACATGGGAAATACAGCCCGTGGCTCGTTTGAAGGACAGCCACTTAGTCCAATATCGATGACATATCAAAACATGCTGCTCGAGGCCCCAACAAATAGGGTGACAGAGGAGAATTTGATCGATAGCGTGAGAGCAACATATGCCACGCTTGTGATGCTTGAACGACAGTGTATTGACACGGACAAGATAATGTCAGAAGGAACTCAAAAGATAACGTCAGAAGAATGGGAATGTGCGCTGAATATGCACCAATCGCTATTAGCAGAGTTTCATGATTTCTTCATTGTAACCCAACATGAGTGTGCCAGCAAGGTGGTGAGATGTCTTCCAAATACATACGCCATGCCAGCTCGCCTTTGGAGGTATAGCATCCATACGTTCTTGGAGCTGCTACGACAGAATCTGCCAGGGTCTTTTGATTTTATGCTCGAATTCGTTTATATCGCATATAGAGGGATAGCTTTGCTGCTAGATCAGCTCTCGGCATTCAAGGAGGTCTGGATTGAGTGTTTGGGGGATCTAGCGAGGTATCGCATGGCGATTGAGGACCAGGATATGGGAGACCGCAAGGTGTGGGCTCAAGTCTCGCGCCGCTGGTATAATGAAGATGCAAACCTTAGGCCAGGCGTCGGTCGAATTCAGCATCATCTGGCGGTACTATCTCGGCCAGATTATCTACAGCAACTCTTTTACTACACAAAGGCACTTGTCAGTCCTCAACGGTTCGACAATGCCCAGGAAGGAGTCAACATAGTTTTCAGTCTACATGAGAAATACTCTTTTAACCAGCATACACTGGTGACTGCTTTTATCACCACACACAGAATTTTGTTCAAAGAAGACCTCAATGAAAAAGGCCATATGGAACACTTTATTGCTATGGCAAATCACTTCTTGTCACTTTTACGGGATGGATTTTGTCAGCTAGAGCAGCGGAGACAATATGGGGTCTATATCATGTCCTCCAACTTTGCCTCGATGCTTGAATATGGCAAGCCAGAGTCAATAATCGCATCTAAAATCGCCGAAATCACACACGCAAGCACTGACGAAGCATATACACATGCGCTTACATGCTCTTATAACGATCCGGTACAGATTCCACCAGTACCCACTGCCTTCCATGGAAGTTGTCTTTCTTTCCACACTCTTTCTGTCCTACTTGATCGGCCAGGCGACCCCGATATTTACCCGGGTTTCCATACCTCATTAGCGATGATCTGGTGTCTTTCCCTCCAGCCACCACTCATGCAACACCTCCAGCACATGATTCCCTGGTTAGCAATTGTCCGTTGTCTCAACACCATCTTTTCTAATTGTAGCGATACTTTACCCCCGATCATTGAAGACCGCGCTTTCCCAACATTCAGCTATGGAACACTCCGTGAAGATTTCCTTATTCGCGCTCAAACATGGAGTCGGCTATACTACCCAAAGAAGTTTTTCGAAAATGCTATTTCAGAAGACGACAGACCATTTACTGAAGAGGCAGAAGCGACAGACGTCAGACAGTACAGGTGCTTATGGTTAGGAATTCGGATTGCATCGGTTTGTTTCTCCCGAGGTCTCGTTAATACATTCTCATTGATCTCGCTTCTCACTCATATTATAGATTGGTCGATGGATAACTTACACTTCTAAACAAAAATTTGAAGCCACTAGGCTAGCTTATGAGTCTGCTTCAATGGCAGAGTCTTGTGGAGGTCTCGTTAGCAAAGCGCCCATCGTAATTTCTTGAGATGAGGACCTTTTGTCTATTCGGTGTATGTAAGCGCGAATCACGGTTAGCTTTGCTAGCTGAACGTTGATTCTAGGCCCTCGATGCACATAGTGGCCTACTGTAGGCCTCATCTGTTTGTTTTTCTCCCTCTCTTGCTGGCTTCATTGTCTGGCTTCTTGTTATATCCGAATACTTTGAAAATAAAAATCGTCGAACCGAGGATCACGACAGTCTCGATCGATATAAGTAGCTTTTTCTTCCAAATTCTTCCAAGTTGGAACGATTGCGCTCATAACAACGGTCAATTTTCCTTTATGAGCTGTGCTATCCCCTGGTTGTTATGGATTAATCAACGAACAGATTTTTCAATATTCGCCCGAGTTGACGAATCGTCGAGATGAGAAAGATAGCATTGATATTAACGTAATCCACAGTATTTACAAGTTAAAAAAGCAGATAACCAATTAAAAGTCACTAAAGTATTTCACCACTGAACGGGTCACACTACTGAACGGGTCACCCCACCAATTTTACGCGTCAGTCTGGTGTTTCCATTTTCAACTACCCACCATGCCCCCCCTAAATGCTCTATATGTCCAAGACAAACAGGATCAGGAGAATAGGGTCTTATTAGCTTACCAAGCTTACAAGAATGGCGATATATCATCAATGCGTAAAGCTGCAGCTATGTTTAATATACCATTTTCAACCCTCCAACGCCGCCATTCTGGTGTCCAATTTCGTCTTGAAACACACCCACCGCAGTCTAAACTGACTGAATCTGAAGAGGATTCATTACTTCAATGGGTCGTCTCTCTAGATGATCGCGGCTGTGCTCCTAGAACTAAAGATGTTGGTAGAATGGCTAATATCCTACTCGCCGACCGCGGAACCAACCCTCCTCTTACGATCGGTAAAAACTGGGTTACTAGGTTTGCGACGCGTTTACCTGAACTTAAGACGACCTATTCAACACCGCGCGATTTTACACGTGCGCGTCAAGAGGACTATAATGTGATCAATAATTGGTTCAAACTGGTTGAAAACACGATCGCAAAATATGGTATCACCACCGACGATATCTATAATTTTGACGAGACTGGGTTTGCGATGGGACGATGTGCGACCGCGAGAGTGGTTACTAGAGCTGGTTATTATGGTAAACGCGCAAAAAAACAGCCTGGTAACCGGGAATGGGTTACTGTGATAGAGTGTTTAGGCGCGTCTGGTTACGCACCTCCACCCTGTATTATCTTTAAGGGTAAGGTGATGATGCAGAGCTGGTTTGCTCCTGATCTAGGTTTACCACCTAATTGGCGTCTTGAGATTAGTCCTAATGGCTGGACATCAAATCAAATAGGGCTCCGTTGGCTTGAAAAGCTCTTTATACCTGCTACTGCTCGTACTAAAGGACGGTATCGCCTTCTGATCTTAGATGGCCATGGTAGCCATTTAACACCTGATTTCGACAAAATCTGCCAGGAGCATGATATTATACCATTATGTATGCCTGCGCATGCGTCTCATCTTCTTCAACCTCTTGATGTTGGGTGTTTTGCGGTGTTAAAACGCTCTTATTCTCGGCTGGTTGAGTCTAGAGTAGAGCTTGGTTTTTCCCACATTAGTAAAGGAGATTTCCTAGAGATATATCCTACTGCGCGTATTGAAGCATTTGCATCTGCTTCTAATGCGTTTGCTGCAACTGGAATCGTGCCACTTGACCCTACTAGGGTGTTAAAAAAGCTTACTATGCGCGTCGATACACCACCACCACCACCCTCTATAGGAAGCGATTCAAGTCGAAATTGGACACCTAAGACGCCTAGGACGCAGAAAGATTTACGACGTCAACACCAAGCTATATTACGCACTGTATCTCGAACGCCACCAACACCATCTAAGAGAGCATTAGACCAGATAGTAAAGGGTGCAAATTACCTATATCAAGAGAATGCTCTCTTACGCCTGGAAAACAGAGATTTACGCGCCGCCCATGAGAAAAAGAAAAAACAAAAAGAACGTCCGAATCGTCAATTAACAGTAGTAGGGGGTCTTACAATTCAGGAGGGATTAGACCTGGTTGACGCGTCGAATGGTGGCCCTAAACTTAATGATGCCAATTTACAAGAGGGCCAGGCGCCTGTAAGGGCGCCTGTAACCCAACGCCGGTGTGGGATATGTAAGACACCTGGACATAGGAGGGAAACCTGTCCTAGTAGGCCCATTCAGTAGTTTTTTTTTACTATATTACATAGTAAATAATGGAGTTATTGGGATTCATAAAAATAAGTGGGTCAAACTGACCCGTTCAGTAGTGTGACCCGTTCAGTGGTGAAATACTTTAACTAGTCGTTCCAAGGTTATGTCAGCTAGCACGTGGGGACACTCCACTCCATAGTTGCCGTTGCGCGTCGCGGAAAGGCCAAGCTGGCGATTACTCCTCTTTTCGCTCTCTCCTTCCCCTCCACGCCAATGGGTCTTTGTTCTCTATCATTTTGATGCGCCTAAACTGATCTCGCGCATGGCTGGGTTATCGCCTTCTGCATTCCCTGGGCATCTTCTCTACCCTTCCTCGAATCCATCTCATTCTGCCCATTTAAATTACCGACATCATGGCTCACTGGATTGATATTTGCCGCCAGTGCGTCGCCATTGTGGCTAATGTCCCTATTACGATTCTACTTGCCAGTTTGAGCTCTACCTTGCTTGGACTGTTTGTCCTGGTGAGTCTCTTTTCTGCGCTGCTCGAATTCAAGCTTCCGACCCACAGCTTTTGGATAAGCTCAGAAGCAGGGATAGACTAACACTCGATGATCTTATAGTTCTATATCTGTTTGTTCTACGTCGCACCAGTACCACGGGAATCTCTGCCAGAAGAAAAGAAGTTTAGGGCCCTTGCGAACGATGGTACAATCACAGACCCCCAGCCACTCCCGAGCTGGTTCGACAACCTTGATAAACAAAAAAGAGCTGATTCAGCTACCAATAACGCTGCCATCGAACCGGCAGAACTGTTCATGTCGGTAGTTGTGCCAGCCTATAACGAAGAAGACCGATTAGTCGGTATGCTGGAGGAAGCAGTCAACTATTTGGAAAATACGTATGGGACATTGAGAGAGAGTAGCGCCAACACAATCGAGACCCGGTCTATGCGAAGTCGAAAAAATGAACAAACACCAAAAGCAATCCCGGCGCTGGATCGAGGGTGGGAAATCATTCTCGTCTCAGACGGATCTACGGATAATACAGAAGATGTGGCGTTTCGCTTTGCGAAAGAACACCAGTTGTCTTTGCACCCCAAGGGTCATGCGGGACCTTGGACCCCGAAGGCTCAAGAAGGTGTTCATATACCGCCAGGCACGATTCGGGTCGTCAATTTAACTCATAATCGCGGCAAGGGTGGTGCTGTGACGCATGGCATGCGACATGTTCGGGGCCGCTATGTTGTTTTTGCCGACGCTGATGGAGCAAGCAAGTTTGAGGATCTCGGGAAGCTGGTCACTGCGTGTTCGAAGGTCGAAGATGACCGTGGTCGTGGTGTGGCTGTCGGCTCACGAGCACACATGGTAGGCAGCGAGGCTGTTGTTAAGGTGAGAACAACCGGACACTCCGAATGAATTTCGGATTGAATACATGGGCTAACTGGATTAAATGAACAGCGATCTAAACTACGCAATTTCCTTATGCATTCGTTCCATAGACTTTTATGGCTGATGACACCACCCAAAACAGCTACTGTCAAGGATACACAGTGCGGGTTTAAACTGTTCTCGCGTGCGGCACTGCCGTATATTGTGCCAAACATGCACTCAGAGGGCTGGATATTCGACGTTGAAATGCTCATGTTGGCTGAATTTGCTTATATCCCTGTAGCCGAGGTGCCTGTGGGATGGAAAGAGGTTAAGGGAAGCAAGTTGAATGTTCTTCGTGATAGTATTGGCATGGCGTGGGGTCTTGCTATCCTGCGGGCAGCTTGGTCTTTAGGTGTCTACAGACGGAGATAAAATCGATTCATCTATACTGCTTAACTATCTAGTAAAATATCTCAGTAAATAATCTGATGACATCTGTTCATAGGATTACACGTAGGTACCTGGGCAAGTACCCACACGAGCAGCTCATAGGGCACGGTCATAGCCGAAAATACGCTCCGTAACTAGGGACCTAAAGCCTAAGCGCTTGAAAAATGGGTTGACGAAGATATTAAGGATTCATCACCTGATCAAGGTGGAACCACCACGATGATTTCCCGGCCTTGCGACCCTTAACTCCCTATGTGACTTCCAAGGTTGATTAGGTTATTTTCAATTCAAACTCAATACCTGGCACCTGCAACATTGAACATTCAGGTTTCCATTCTTTCCCAGGCCACATAAATCTCTAGATAAATCCCGAAGGAGTAGTACCTAGAGTCTATAGAATGCGCTCTATATAACTTTGAGCTAAGCCCTGGAAATATTAACTTTGAGCTAAGGTCTTAAAATTTTGGAATCTAGAATCTGGAAGGATAAAAGTGGATTTTCCAGGGCTGTTATTAGCCTTCAATGTTCAACATCCCAAGTTCTGGAGTAGCCATTGGATAACACTCAACTATCTAGGTTACTAGGTACTCAACCTTCCAAGGAAATACTTGGAGAACACATCTCCCCGTTGGAATCTTTACACGGTGCAAGCAGTTACCTAGATGGGTGTTCTTGGTCCTAGGGCGACAGTGGGGCGGTGGAGCCAAATTAGCTTAATCAAATAATGCGAAAACGCATGGAACGTATCGTTCCCTCCGTAAATCGGAAGTTGTCATGGTGTGATGGAATAGGAACCTGGAAGGGTCCAAGGTCTGCGTGAAATGAGTCAATCCGGTGTTCTCCGTTACTTGGGTATAGTGATGGCATGACGAGGACGCCACTCTTCCGATCTTAGGAAGATCGATAAAATTTATAAGCTTTTATAGCAATTTTTCTGTACCTAGTGGGTCAATTTTTTCTTTTTTATATTGAGAAAAACAGCAAGACAAATTTATAACTTGCCGTCCATAATACTCATTGTGTTATATACAACGAAAACTTCACGACTTCACTATAATAACATCAAGGGCTCCATATAAGTCATTTGAAGTGAAACATCTCTCAAGAAATGGAGTCGAATAAATCTACCCCATATTCAATCAGTGCTTCACAGTTCCTGCGATTGCCAACAGAATTACGACTCAAAATATACGAATATGCACTCTCAGTCCCAAATGAATATCTAGACAGGCCATTGATCGTAGTGCACGATCGCGGCAATGTCTTCACAGCACGAGGTCGATACAGAGCTCTATCAATGTGTCCAAGCTGGGTTGGTGAAGATGGCACCGCACGAAAACTATTCGCTGTCAACCATCAAGTACACGACGAAGCAGAAGACTACCTCTATTCCCAACACACACTATTTTTCCGAAACTCCTTCGATCTAGATCGACTAGGTGATTTTCTCGATACACTAAGTCCTACAGCACGACGGCGTATTCGTAGTGTTGGGTTTGAGGTATTCTTCTTCGTTCACAATCAGTCTGGCGTGCCGAAACGCACTCTGAAGCAGTATGAACATGCTCGCGAATTACTTGCCCTCAAACTCCCGCAGTTGAAAAACGTGCTCTTCTACATCGACCCTCGCTTTTACTTCTCTGCCACTTCAGTTGGAAGTCGGGAACTTGCCGCGAGGGGCGTTCTCGATCTTGCGAAGCGGTTTGGGTCATTGTGCAATGTAACTTTCTATCCGTTGCCGGACCGCCATCATTATCTAGTTGAGAAGGCTCAGCAGATTCTTTGGCAAAGTCCTTTGTCAAAGAGATACGCTCATGTCTATGGTGGAATATCGATGGACTCGAAGCTGGATCTGGAGCAGGGTTATGCAGTGGAGAAAGCGCAGATATCGAGCTTACGACCGATCGAATCTTTGAATTGGTTGTGTACCTAGGTACAAAGGATTTGAGATATGAAATATGGATATACCCATTGCTTAGATACGGAGTTGACTGTGATTTGGGGAATTTTTATAGGTGTTGGGTAGTTACGGAGTACAAAGGGATAGTGAATAATCGAAAATAATAAAATGAACGTTTAAATAAATGTTTGACTTTCTAATAGGAACAAGTCTAGTCCTTGACATCTGTATTTAGTCCTGCCGTAAACGTAGCTCTTCAAGCTCTTCGAGCCCGCACCCTGACACAACCAGTTTTCATGAACTTTACAGCTTAGAAGTTTACTCTCAAAATAGCTTAATCCGTTATTGTCACTGAGTCAATTACATTACTATGCTCTATTCTACAAAAAAAGTTTCAAATTATTGTGAATGTCGTCAGTGATATATAAAGAGCTGTGCGGTCAGCCTAATCCCAACCCCCCAAGAACCATTGGGCCTAAATCTAGACCGTAGTTGAACAATTTTGGGGGGAATAGACAACGTTGCAAATGTCACAATTGTAGTCTTGCAATAAATAGTAATAAGAGAAGGTCAGAAATGGCATAGTATTTCAACTAAGTTTCAAACATTGAATCATTAGTGATACGCGCTCTTTAGGGCTTTCAACTCTCCCGATTTATTTCATCCTCACTTTCACTCTCGCTTTCACCTATAGCTATCTGTTATCCATGAACCAAAAGCGAGTCGAAAAATATAATTGAACTATGGAAGTAGACAGTCAACATTGGAAGGGTACTAGGTAATGACTCGAACGACATATATGCTTGACTAATGTAATCAAGATAAAAGGAAATCTCATACTAATAATCTTATATACCTTTGAAATCTAGAGAACTCAAGAGATATTTCCAACATCAACATTGATTAGAAATAAAAGGTAAACACATTTAAGAAAATAAAAAAGAAGACCCCCAGCCTCCTGCTTCAATCCGCATAACCAACTCCATTGAGGTCAATTGAGTGTTGAGCAGGAGGTGAATCGACTTGAAACTCCCACGTGTAATTGAAACTGCGCCTTTTCCTTGCCAGGTAAAATTTAAATATTCATAACACGCCACCAAGACCATTTATTCAACTCTGCTTTGGGAAAATCTACAGATCGAGAGTCTTGAAGTCGGCACCAGCCTGAGCGCTCAGAGGCTGAGGACCCGCCCGAATATCACTGCCGACGGACTGGAAACTGTAGTGATTGCCAATTCCAGCTGTGGCGGCATTCACAAGCATAGTGCTGGTGTGCTCGTTAGGACCTTGAATGCTGACTGCCTGCAAAGCATCCTGCGCCTCCTTAACGCGCTTCTTGAATGCCATCCGATCCAGGAAAAGCTGCTGACGTGCCTGCTCTAGTTCACGGCGCTCGGCGTCGATGATTTCCTCCATCTCGTTGAACTGCTGCAGCTTGATTTCAAACTTCTGCAGAGTAACGTTGACCGCGGCACCGACCAAACGGGTCATCTCACGCTCTTCGTGTGATGCAAGAGCTCCAGCGCGCGCAGCGGAAGCAGCCAGGGCAACAGTGGAAAGAGCCTCCTTGGGCTTCTCAATTTGTAGCTCAGTCTCACGGACATCCACCTCCATGGAATCTTCCGCTTTGACTCCCTCCTTGCCTTTGCCCTTCTCAAGCTGAGACCGCAATTCCTTGCGAATCGCTTCAACGGATCGGCCAGCAGCGGCGGCAGCCACAGCAGGTTCAGCCATCTGGGCGAGGAAAGCGACCACAGAGAGAACAGGGTTTTCGGTGGAATTGATAGGGTCACGGCCAGGAGCTGCACGCAGCTCTGGCATATCTTCCACGTATTGGTCCTCAATCTCCAACTGCAAAAACTTCATCACACATTCTTCACGAGTCCGAGTTCCCACGTGGGATGCAATTTGTTCCCAGTTCTCATCAAAGCTCTCCAGTCCCTCCAGAAGCAGAAGAACTTCAGCGTCTGCCCATGGAGTATTCTTGTCAGGTATGTGGCTGTAGCCCTTGTCTTCGAGCTTGACAAAGTCTGAAGCGCTGTGACTGGATGGCATGCGGCCTTCGAGGAAACAGTTCGGGCATAAATCATACTTGGCATCTGGAGTGGCGGGATTGGCTGACGTCGGTGTCGGCTTGGCGAAATGGAAACGAAGTCGTGAGCAGTCAATACCGCAGGAGAAGCAGTGTGATAGTTTCTTGGGTTCTCGAATATCAACTCCGTTTGTCGCTTCGCCGTTGGTCTGCTTCTCGGTGTCATCAGCAGGGGTGAGGTCTTTGCCATTTTCGTCATAAATATTACGGCGGAGGTCGATACTAAGTTCGCTCTTGGCAGCAGGAGTAGCGGAGGCAGCGCGGTCGGTTGCAGCATGAGGCTTGCCGGCGGTGATAGAGGATTGAGGACCGGGCTGGAAAGGCTGCAATCCCCGAGGGGTATCTGCAACGACTCGGAAGTGACCAGTGAATGGCGGGCCAATGTTTGAAGGGCGAGTTTGGGGGTCAACCTATTCAAGTCAATTAACGCCTAAAAATGGGACGAACTATTGTGTTGCTCACCTGGTAGTTGATAAGACCCCACTGCTCCAGGAACGAGTGAATGCGCATGATCGCGCAGACGTCACCCGCAAGGTTACGACGACAAGCAGTAACAGTGAGGTATTCAATCGGGTTCAGTCGGTAAGTATTAATCATAAAATCTCGGTAGTCCTTATAAGTAGCCGCCGTCTTGCTGCGGTTGCGAGCATTAAAATACTCCGCAAGAGCTTTCTTTTCAATGGGGTTGATAGTATTCATGTCAAACCAGGTGGCATAGCTGGGAAGAATGATGGCGTGGGTCTGCTGAACGAGGTGCTCGCGGGCGGAGGCCTCCAAAGAGGACTTTGTAGGCGCAGGCTGATCTTCGCCAACGGCATCTTCCAGACCTTCGGTAGCGTCTGCGGGTGGTTGCGACTCTCCGGCAGCATCTTCTAGGCCATCAGTATCACGTTTGGCATCGGGCTCAGTACCACCCATCTCCTCATCCTCTTGCTCTACATCGCCGTCACGGGGGTTGGGAGATGCTGGCGCATCAAGGGGATTATCAGACCCCTCGACCTTTTTTAGGGGTGAGTCTTGACGCGATTGCGCTGTTCCGGTTAGTATTCTTGCCTTCTTCTGTGATTAACAGACATACCGGTGTTTGGTGCGTCCATGGCACTATCAGACCCAGTTAACGCTTGAGAATTCTCGTGTACCGCAGCTGAGTTGATGGATGTGTCATCCATGATGAATCAACCTAAAGTGGCGGCTGTCGCGGGCGACAGAAGATAGGACTCCTTGCTTGAGTTTGTCGGGTCTTGCACAGTGCAATCCGACGACGCGCAATAGAATCAATGACCCGGTAGAATTAGAGCAGAAATTTGAACTGGATTCCGCTCTGATGAGGGGAATCTGGATAGTGGATTAATCTGGGATAATACCAAAAGACGGATGGTGTCTTGTCGCGAACACGAAAACTCATCTTTTCAGGACTAGCGCCAATGGAGCGGTCAATATTCTGCCCACTAGCTACTGTTTTGAAGTCTTTAACTTTTCTTTGGCAAATGAATCTTTAAGGACATTATACATGAAGTACTTAGTTTTTGGCTCTTGAAGCCAGAAGATTTCGATTATGTGTCAAATATTATATTTGGTGTTAAGATAATGTTTCGCGGCCTCTTTCGTCAGGCACATCAAAATGATATTACTAGTTGTCTGCCGCCTTGGCCGCTGCCTCGGCCTGAGCTGCAAGCACCTTCTGCAGCAACTCATCTTTCTCCTTTATAGAGTCTCCAACATAAGGACGGGCCAGCTGACGATTCAGCCAGGCATCAACGTTTGGAAACTCCTTGGCCGAGTCAATTTGGAACATAGGGAGAATACCGAACCACGGGACAAAAGCCAGGTCAACATAGCTAAATTTGCCGCCCACAAGGTACTCTTTATCAGCTAGTACCTTGTTGAGCACGCCAGAGACGCGGCGGATCTCGTTGACATATCGATCCACTGCGCTCTGAACCTTCTCGGGGTGTCCGCGTGTAAACCACACGGCCTGGCCAAAGTAAGGGCCCTGTCCAGATGTCTGGAAGTGCAGCCACTGCTTAGCGAGGAAGTACTCTTGAGAGCCAGCGGCGAAGCTGAACTTGTGCTCCTTGTCGTAAGTCTCGACCAGGTACTCGAGAATGGCACCAGATTCCCACAGGACGACTCCAGTGTTGGGGTCTTCAATGGCAGGGGCACGGCCGTTCGGGTTGATAGACACGTATGGCTCTTTCTTCAAATCTGGGAATTCAATGTTTTTCGTTTCAAAGGGGATGTTGAGTTCTTTAAGTAGAATGATCACCTTCCAAGGGTTGGGGCCGGGGCCAGCAGCATAGACGGTAATTGGTTTAAGAGACATTATGGCGTTGAGGTTTGTGCTTCTCGATAAATCTTGGAAGATGGTGATAGGAATTTGTTGAAATTGTGAATTCCAAACTTGGGCATAGGGCAGCTTATATAAATATTGAAGTACAATGTTTATGATTGAGATACATAAGCTAACCCTGAAACTTCATAGATAACTTCATTCGTTCGGTCAAAGAACTTGGTGGAGTACGGACGAAAAAGGACGAATGAACTTCGTTTATAGAGTTGATTTCATAATTCTATCGACAAATGAATCCTTCACACTTGAAATTCGGCATCCTTCAAACTTGAATTTGTAATCGCGCTGAAAATAACGCCGATGCCGAGATACGACGCACTATGTATAACTAGTTCCCGTTGTGGAGCTCTGACCCCAAAATGCAAATACCGAGTTACCGAGCCCCTCCCTACTGTGCAAGTTCACTTATTTACTTGCCTAGATAACCTTAGCATACGACTCGACAATCTCAATCCTTCTAAGCTTCCACCTTCCACCTTCCATCTTCCACCTGGACAAGCTCATAATACATTGGTATTGGATCTTCTGAGTTGTAAGTATTGATTAAGAGTTGTAGTCAAACATAAGTATGATACTTTAAGCGAACTACTCTGATCTGGATTCACGTGAGTTGATATACCGATTAGCCAGACATGTGACCCGATTGGTCATCTACTAACCATGTGACCCGATTACGATATCGAATCTCAAGTGAAAAGATCATCGAAACTTTAAGTCAACATCTTTGGCAGCTTTCAATTGATGAAAACACAAACTTCATTTCATTTCTGACTAATATTAACTCAAGTACTAGTCAACTCATCGCTGTTCACATACCTAGACGCTATCATCCTGCCCCGTATAAGTTTGAGATTGAATTGTGAGCACTCCACTTTTATGGAACGAAACCCTTGATGGTATGGTGGGTCGAGACCTTCGCTACCTATGGCGATAAGTTCCCGTCGCTTATTATCACCGTTATCCGGTGTTAGAACCTTGAAACAATTGACAGCCAACTTTTCATGCTTAATCCTAATTCCTTATTCTTTCCCCCGCTTTCCTGAAGAAACTTCATTTCCTTTTCAGTACAGTAGTCTTTTTTCTGGAATGAAAGTATGTCTCTTTCGGCCGCCCGCGGGCCAGATCATCCTCCACCTTCAAAGGCTGAGAAAGACCGCATCCGTGAACTTTCTAGGTGATTATTACCCCCTGTTCAGCTTGTGTTACCAGCTTCATTTGATGCTAAGCTCTCTGTACATAGATATTATTGTACCTTCAATCACTCCGAAAAAGATTTCAGTTCATCTGCCCCACAGGGAGATGAACAGCCTGGAGTCGCAAATCTCTCTCCTGACATCGCCCTAAATGCTATAGCACAACTAGGCGTCCTTCGGTTTGGGGCTAACAGGTCTTTCGTTTCCATCATCGATGGCCAGAATCAACTCATCATTGCTGAGGCGACTGGATCTATATCTTTGCGAAATAAAGACCAACATCTACCCGACGATGGCATATATTTGGGTTTCATCTCTCTGGATCTCGCCTGGGGTGTATGCCCCCATACAATCAAACTGTTCACATCCGTGGATAACGCAATGGAGATCGATACTCCCAACATAACTGCCAATCGAACCCGCTATATCATTCGCAATTTCACAGCGGAGGAGTGCTTCCGAGATCGACCCTATGTAGTCGGATGGCCTCACATGCGCTTTTATGCAGAAGTACCTCTGTTCAGCCCCTCTGGACATGTACTAGGCTCGTATTGCATCGTGGATGATAGCCCGCGTTCCGTCTTTGGGGATACTGAGGTCGCCTCGCTACAGGAAGTTGCGGACGCCATAGCTCAACATTTAGAGAACACTCGAATTGTACACTATCATCGTCGTGCAGAAAAATTAGTTAAGGGAGTAACAGAATTTGTTACCGGTCATTCAGAACTGATTGAAACTGAGCAGCCGGCTGCCCCGTTATTCGATCTACCCGTTCATTCCAAGCCATCGGCTGACGATGGAGGCACCCCTGAGGACTTCGATCCATCAGACAGTAACGAAGAAACATCACTATCATCCTCTTATGACAATTCCGAAAATACGGGATCGACATCTCCCATGGTGGGGTTCACGCCAGTGCGGGAGAAGATGTTGGATGACCTCTGGAATCCCGATACTCAACCTGCATCTGACGATACTAGTGCCAAGCTTGAATCTTCAAAGACCAAATCCGACTTAGTCATTTCAAAATGCATCGCTTCAATCTTCTCCCGTGCCAGTACTATTCTTCTAAGCTCAATGGAACTCGATGGAGTATTGTTTGTGGATGCATATCGAAGTAACTCTGGAACGTGGGTTATCCGTCATCCCTGCCTATTCTTACAAAAAATCTAACAATCACAGCGTATCATCTGAAACCCTCGGTGCTTGGGAGCCCCTACCCAAAGTTCTACACACAACCTTCCCAAATAACATTCCACCAGATCCATCAAAACTGAAAGAAGGGAAAAAGCTATGTGATAGCTTCGGACATGCCCTTAGGAGTTCATCGGAAAGTAGTGCCGATGATAAAGACCGTAGAGTCGCCGTAACAGAGGAGCTACTGCAGAAGATGATTACGGTTTTTCCTCACGGCCAGATTTTCAATATGAGCGATCGGGATGATGGTGCAGACTATCTTTCCTATGGTAATGCAGGTGGCGAAGCTGGCACTGAGTTGCAAACTCTCCATGAACTCACATTTCAATTATCACAGCAACTGCCAGAAGTTGATTCTGTTCTCTTTTTGCCTCTGTGGGATTGGAACAAATCCCGCTGGCTGGCCGGGACCTTAGTTTGGTCGAGCAACAAAGAGCGTGCCTTAGGGTTGGAAGAGCTTGGCTTCTTCAAGGCTTTCAGCAATTCAATCATCTCTGAAGTTGCCAGGGCTGAATGGGAGATCGCAGAGAAATCAAAATCCGATTTTATCTCCTCTGTTAGCCACGAGCTCCGTTCTCCACTCCACGGGATTCTCGGCAACGCTGAACTACTGCAGCAAACGGATCTTTCGCCTGCTCAAGGAGATATGCTCAAAATGATTGAATCATGCGGCTCGGCGTTGTTAGACGTTGTGAATCATCTGTTTGTCTTGCCTTTACTGTCTGTACATGCTCATACTAACTATCTCATAGGTTGGACTTTACAAAGATTAACAATCTGACAAGATCCAATACACTCGACAGCGACTATCCCTCAAGGTTCATCACTGTTTTCGATTTAGGGGCATTGGTAGAAGAAGCGACCGAAATGATATATACCTCGCAGATGATGGGCAAAAAGAGCATCTTCCAGTCCAAGGACATATATTCATCGGCCTCTCATGATACAACCAGTATTGAACCTCTTACTGTCATCGTTCGGATCGAGGAACTGAATAGTTTCAAGGTGCGCTCAGTGGCTGGTGCTTGGACAAGAATCGTCATGAGTCTGGTCAGCAACTCCATGAAATGGACGCAAGACGGATTTATCGAAGTCTCTCTGTCCAATGTCATCACAGAGCCCAACACTGAACCTAAAATGGTCCTTCTATCTGTGAAAGATACGGGCTGTGGAATATCTCCTGACTTTTTAAAACACTCAGTCTTCTCTCCGTTCGCTCAGGAGGATTCTCTTCAAGAAGGCGTGGGGCTTGGACTCAGTATAGTGCACTCGCTCGTGAGCTTCCTTGGAGGTGATATTAAGGTAAAAAGCGAATTGGGAGTCGGAACGCAAGTGGACATCACCGTACCTATCCACATCTTCGACTCGGGCATTGCAGAAACCACAAGTTCTAACTATGACTTGCCCAAATCCATCCCAGCCACTCGTGCATGCCTCATCGGCTTCGATGATTACCCAGGCATGTGCGAACCTCTTGGCAACTTAAGTAAAGAATCAAAGCGCAAAGTGTCGATTCAAAGCTTCCTAAGCAATGTTTTTTTGGCGCAACCGAATTGGAGCGTCTCGTTCGTCGAGGCCATTGATGAGGCCCATGGGAAGGTTGCGATCATTGAGGAAACGAAACTGCATCAGTTGATGCAAGAGGACCCTTTCTCTTTGGACCAAACGATGTTCAAATCTTTCATTGTGCTTGGAGACAAATCTCAAAAATTGAAAGACAAGACACCTTTCAATTGGATATCTCAGCCGTGTGTATCCTGAATCTCTGTTCTCGTTTTTTCTCACTAACCTATCATAGATATGGTCCTCGAAAACTAAGAAATGCCATCAAATCCCTCTTTAACGAAGCCGACTTTGATCCCAACCTATCAGAAAAGCATTCTCAAACAACGTTTGCTCCAGAGCTCATTCCTCCTCTTGATATACTTGAAATAATTGAGACTCAAAAATCTCCCGAAGAAGACTCCCCAACTTCAACTCAAACAATACTGGGTCCCTTACCACCTAATCCTGTCATACCCGAACTACCCAATAAAAACGATTTTCACGTGCTTATTGTTGACGATAACAATATCAATTTGAAGGTAGCCTTTATTTCCCCTCATCAACCTCAGTTTATATGCTAACGATTTCAATCTCAGATCATAGCTACATTCATGAACAAAATTGGCTGCACCTACGAATCTGCTACCAATGGGCTAATTGCGCTGGAGAAATACAAGGAGTCAACCAAACGATTCAAATACGTTCTAATGGGTTCGTCCATGGCTCATATTTCTGAAGAGCCAGTTTCTAACAATCATCTTCTAGATCTCTCCATGCCGGTCATGGATGGCCTCGTTTCTACGAGCAAAATCCGTGAATTTGAAAAGGAGAGCAGACTAGAACCAGCTCGCATTATGGCCGTTACTGGGGTCGCTTCTGCTGAAATGCAAAAGAAAGCCCAGTTAGCCGGTATTGACGACTACCTCATCAAACCCGTCTCCCTTCAGTCTTTGAAAACGATGATGACATGATCTTGATGAAGCGATTGGCGCTTGTGACATGTATTCTCTATACTCGGATTTAATTTTGTAATTCATTTCTTACTTCTATTCTATGAACATATCATGACCTCTGGAAGAACACATCACCCGAGGTCATTGTCCTTCAAAATTTGAGCCGAGAACATACCTACCTGGGGCTAATAACGAATTAGAATGATTCAAAGTACATGTGAGTTCTCCCCGGGTCCAAAGTAAGAGTTTTCTTCGTCGGGTGGTATGAGTGACTCCATTCCGATACCCGTCGGACTACCCGTCGGACTAAAACTTTGCATATCGGAATGAACAACTCCGATATTCAACACAACTAACCTTCTACAGAGAAAACATGAATCTGAGAAACTTTTGTGACTTTGAGACTATTCATTGTTAGAGAATATTGAAGATCAAATGATCAAAGTCAACCGATGTATTCTTCATGGCTAGAACAACCTAGGCAATATCGAACAGTCCATTACTCCTTACCTAGGTAGAAGGTACCTGAGAAGTGGTTAATCTGGCATAACCTGAATCCTATTATTAAAAACAGCCAGCTAATCCTACTTCATTCCGTTCGTTAACTTACACTCCGTGCCTAGGTATACCATTCTAGAATCCATTCAACTACATTACCTGGTGTCATATAATTGTCATTACGCCCGCTGGTAGCCGCGAAGGAGTCTCGCCCTCTATTTTAGGTCTTCCATACAGCAGACCTTGGTTCACGTGTTGGAAATTTTCTTCTTTAGATTCAGTATGTGGGGCTAAAGTACGGAGTACTAGTTATGGACCTCATCGGGTAAATAGCGGATGCCAAGGTCTAGAGCTGAGGAGGCGCAACTGTAGGCCTACCGAATCCGGAGCCCGCTCCTTCAACTACAGTAGTGAGTCAGAAATTGACATCGGAAGGGCGTTCGTATTATGTCGACATTTCTAGGCAGTGAGTCAATAACTGGCTAGATGGATCAACTATCCCTTTTAAATCATTGGTAGTGAGTGGTATGATAGCTGGTGTGATAAGCCCCGGCCGAGAGGGCTTGGTCTTGGGTCCTTCGGGCATACTTAGTAGATGGAGGACGGACTTAACTACCTAGTTAGGCTAAGGCTTGACGGACAAAATTGTATTGACCGAGTAATCAACTATTACGTGCATGGCAGGATTGGTCTTTCATGAGAAGTCCGTTTAGTCCGAGTCTTACTCCGAATGGGTTCTGTGACGTCGTGTTTAGCTAGCCTCGACTCATATTGAAGGAGTGGATACGAGGGTTTATAGAGTTTTTTAAGTTCGGACTTCCACTCCGAACTATACAGATGTACTTCCTATATAAAGACCTCGCTTTGTCGTTTACTCAAAACATCCAGCTCAGATCTTTCACATCTTGATATTCATACTTCCTCATTCGATCACCTCAATCTTCCACTATCAAGCTTCTACAGAACAATCCATTACTCTACCTCATCTCCAACTTCATCAAACTATCAAAATGGCCGGCTTAAATACCAGACCCGCTACACTGGGCATGTTCTCCTCAAAATCCACAACCTCCACAACAAAGCCCATTTCCACAACCAAGTCCGTCGCAAGCTCAGTCAAGTCCTTCGACACTTCTACCACTGCTCGCTCATCCCTCAGCAAGAAATGGTCCTCGCTAAGCTCTAAGCTATCATTTGAGCCGAAGCCTTCCAAACATTCGGGCGAATACAACGCTAAGAAGGCGTTACACAACGAGGCTGTCGCAACATACTTCAGTGTTGTGCGCTAGACTGGAAGCTCAGAAACTACCTTTTAATTCCTGAGCTTAGATTCAATCCCTCCGTTGCCAATTCTTACGCTTGTTCCTGCTGCTGCGACTTTCATTGATACCACGCTTTCGACTCGATAGTGGCCTACCGATTTGAGGTCGATGGAATGACTTTCACGATACCTATTCTATAATAATCTACCGATTTATGCGTTGCTTTCAACCTTTGAAGGCTGACAATAATTCACCTGACCTTCATATACATCCATTTGCATGTTATTGCCTCTTCCACTTGAATATTATCTAAGTCTAAGAAGTGAATTTCAGTTTGATCAATTCATGATCTATATACTAGAAACTTTTCTAGGCTTGACTCGTATCTGAATTATACCTATTTACACATGAACATTGACCAGTTCTCATCCTTCTACCTGGATCCTGCGTAAATCATAAAAAAAAGCACTAAATATGCTCACCTGGGCAGCTTAAAGCCCAACCAATAATTCATTCATCGATATAGGTTTACGCACCGCGTTGGAAAATCCTTCGTGGTATGTAACCCACACTTTCCTTCCGGCCTTTGAGGTGTCATCTATTTGACGATCCTCTGAGCCGTTGACGGGCGTGGGCTCATCAATCACCCGCCCAAAGAAATCACGCTTGACAACGCCTTCTCCCAGCGCCTTTTGAACGACGTCACGCCCATCAGCTACCTTTCCATGAGGTATCCCACTGGCCGTAGACATGTGGTCAGATTGCTTGCGCTTTATTTCTTTGCGATACTCTTGGTCTAATACCTGACGAACGGCGTAACGAACAGGCGCAGAGCTGCTAGTGGAAGCCAAAGTACTTCCAGCTTGGGAGAAAGCCACAAGCTCGTCAATGGGTCTGATTGTCTTGTTAGTCTTCATCTTTCCATAGTTTGGGTCTTCACTTACGGCTCCATTCTGTAGGCCCATCCTCCGTGACTTCCACCTTCATGCTCCACTCGGACTTTCTCAAATGTCACCCCCATTCCTGCCATCACTCGCACAGCAGACTGGACAAGAACACGCTCTGATTCTTTGCGAACGCTAGCTGTGCTCCTTTGATCGCCTTGACCGCGGACGATCACTGGCTTGACATCAGGCGAAAGCATCCTGACCAGATGCGGAATTAACTCGGTGGTTACATTGTCGCCTGACCGGAACAATCTAGTCATGGGAGCTGAGAAGGACGTATGGAATCCGTTCAGGATTGCGCGGTTCTGCTTTTGTGCTTCGAACGCGGCAAAGTCTGCTCTCGGGCCGGAAAATGGATGTTCTTCGGTATCATCATCTTCCGCCCTTTCAGGGGCCTCGATCTTACCCCTGGCCGAGGCAAAGAGGTGATGGAAGGCAAGAACAGATTGGCTCAGATATGGTCCTAATTCCCACTCTTGAGAAGCATGCACCTTGTGGGAAACTGTATCGTGGAAGTGGAGCCAGTCGTAAGCAGCACCTGGTTTCGAGAGATAGTTATCATCTTGGAATTGCTGAATGGGATATGCGGCGAAGCAGTCATTAATGCACTTGTCATGTTCGCCGCTAGCATCCACCATCTCTCGTAGTCGATTGATAGCATGTCGCTTTCGTAGATCTGCCACGCCGACGGGTAGTCGGTCGTTGGCACCACCAAATTGATCCTTAAAGCTCATACCCGTAGGAGTATCAAAGCCACCTCCGTCCGTAAAAACGCGGTTCACAATTTCACGCACTCCGCCTCGGCTCATCTCCTTGAAGAAAGAGCTACCTTCAGTTGACGCACTGAGGACTCGTTGCTCCAGCCAATTTCGAGTCAATCTCGCCGACGAAGAAAACTCGTTCCGAAGCTTGTGCGCCACCCACTCTCCAGCAACAAGGACACTGCGAATATCACCCTCCGCAGAGCCCGAATTCTTCGAGCTACGTTGCCGTTTGCTTACTAGTCCCCAGGAAGCTTCACAAAGCCTTCGGGCGCCATCACCGTCACATGGAATCCCTTCTCGAACAAAGATATCCTTCACACGCTGAACCATATTTTCCATTGGGGCTTGTCGAACGTTAATCATCTCAGCAATAGACGCAGCTCTCAGTGGCCGAAGGCTGGGATGGTATAGATCGTTGCAAACCATGATCAAAGGCCGAAGAAAACGAAAATTATCTCCTTTTCGTTTCTTGCCACCTTTCCCGCCATTCTCAGCGCTTCGATTAGAATTTCGCTGGTCGAGCAACACAAGGTCGACCAGGGCTTTCATGAAACCGCCCTCGCCGCCACTTCCCGAGCCTCCAACGACACCATCAACTTCATCCACAATCACACAGACAGGCCTTGCGGCACGGCGCACCTTCTTTTCGCCAATTTCCACGTTGGAGCCCTTGATGTTCTCCGTTCCTAGAGCATCTCGTATACGTCCCTTGACCACATCCTTACTGCGGTCATCACTAGCATTGATTTCAAGCACTTCGTAACCAGCTTGTTTGGCACAGACATGCGCCAAAGTGGTCTTTCCGAGACCAGGAGGTCCACTCAGAAGAAGGACCTTTCGGTGCATTCGTTCCTCGCTGTCATCCTCCTGGTCATTGCCAAGGCCATGATTCTTTGTCTTCGACCGAGCGAGACCTGGAAACACGATCGGTTCCCACCCTTTCATCCAGCGGAGAACCGCGCGGTGAGTGCGCTCATCTCCAATCAAGTCTGTAAATTTACGAGCTCGATACTTCTCCGTCCACATCATGCCATCCGACTTCTTTTGTCTGACATCTCTTTCGGGATTCTCGACGGATGGCTGGACAGGAGGTCGAGGTGTTGATGTAGTGGCCTTCGCCTCTCTTGATACATCATCCAGCATTTTATGGATTTCAATGCCATAGTAGCTCTTTGTCGCTCTTCCCTGAGTTACCTCAGAGCGACTGGCAATCAAACGCTCGTAGGAAACAGGAGCCTGTGCTTTCTTAATGGGGATCTGATGTGTTCTGCCTGAGCAGGTTTTGATCTGGACTTTCCTCGGCGCGGGCCGAGATGCTGCTTCCCACTGAAATGTCGGGACTATCTGAGATGTAGAATCGGCCGTCTGGGAGATGTCCGTAGTTATTTTTGGCCGCTCTAGATCGTGAATGTCTGCTGGCTCGGGCCCGATGTACTCCTGCAGCTCGAATTGATTCTTCAATTGCTCGTCTCTAAGGGCTGCAATATCATCGTCTTCGTCATCATCGTCATCAACGAATCCACCTAGCATTCTTTGCCTCTTAGGTTCAACCTGCCATGAGTTTTCGTCGGCCTCCACGGCCTTTCTTTTCTGTGGATCGTCGTTAGAAGTGGCGTGTGCCATAGCGCCTGGTGATGCTATAAACGGCATTCTTGTAATTGGAGGAGACGATGGAAGAAACACCAAACTCTGAGTTGGTGTTCGAGTAGTCGTTCGCGGAGTCTGAACAGCGGCCTTTGTCGGGGTAACTACAATCGCATTAGAACAAGGCTTTAGGATTTCAGTGATGTCTGGAAATCTCACTAGGTCCTATTTCGTCGTCACTACGAAACACATCCGACAAATTCCAGGCGCGGTGTTGTATCACGACTTTATTGCGTGTCTGCTGTTGACGCTCTGTATGGATCGCCTCAAGATCGTCGTCGAAGCAAGATTCGGAGGGAGGATTAGCGGTGTTTACAATGTCGGAATGGAGTTCGAGGGCAGGATCAAAAGAGGTTAAGAACTGAGGCGATGAGAAATTCATTCAAACGTCAAGGGTATATTGCACTTGGTCTTAGTAACTGATAGTACGGAGTACGCGTCGATAACGCGCCCGGATTTGCGCGAACAGGCCAATTTACTGCCTGAGGCTTAGAAACTAGTCCCATTTTAGCGATTAATTTCCACCATTTATAGATGATGGCTATTACAGAAGAATGTCTTCAATGAAGTATACATATTTGAAAATCATTCACGTTTCCTTGTATCAGACATAAAATTCTTTGTTATTATATTGCAGAGTGACTGGGCCCGACGACTCCAGCCTTCTCACCTGTGGTATAATATTGAACATACAAAGGGAAAAAAACCTCCAAATTGCTCAATCAATTATGGCAAATAAATCAAAATATAGCCTACCTAGAGGCTGACCCGCGGTATCTAAGCGCTTTTCAATTTTTCGGTCAACTCAGGCACCTTTTCAAAAAGATCACCGACAAGGCCAACATCAGCAATTTGGAAGATAGGCGCATCGGCATCCTTGTTGATAGCAGCAATGACCTTGCTGTCCTTCATACCAGCCAAGTGCTGGATAGCACCGGAGATACCAGTGCAGAGGTAAAGCTGAGGAGCCACGTTCTTGCCAGTCTGTCCAACCTGCAAGCTGTTGTCGGCGAACCCACTGTCGACAGCAGCACGGGAAGCACCGATAGCGGCACCAAGAGAGTCAGCCAGCGGAATCATAATACGATCAAACTCTTCCTTGGACTTGAGACCACGGCCGCCAGACACAACGCGGGTTGCAGTGGAGAGGTCAGGACGTTCGGACTTGGTCAGCTCCTCGGACACCCACTCGGTCTGGGAGGGGGCATTTGAGTCCACGCCATCCACAATCTCGGCAGAGCCACCTTCTGTCTCGACCCCTTGGAAGGCAGTACCACGAACAGTGATCACTTTGATGCTGTCGGTCGACTGAACGGTCAATATGGCGTTACCGGCGTAGATGGGACGAACAAAGGCTATATTCTTAGTTAAGAGGCCGATCACATGTCAAACTCACATGTCTCGAGAGAAGTACTTACTGTCCTCACTCTCAATTCCGGTTATATCCGAAACCTGTTGAACATCCAAGAGAGCAGCAACACGTGGTAGAAGGCTCTTACCGAAAGCTGAGTGACCAGCCACGATGTGAGTGTATTCGCCCTTCTTGATATTCTCGACGAGGAGCGGGGCATAGTTCTCCGGAAGACCCTGAATACGTAGAGTTTCACGTATTAGCCACTGCTTCCAGGTACAACAAAAAGCGCAAGAGGTGATACCTTCTCATATGCGTCGCTCTCCACAGCAATAACTTTCTCAATGCCTTGGATCTTGGCCGCCTCGGCAGCAGCGGTGCCCTTGACACCACTTCCAGCTAGGAAGGCTGTTACCGGACCACCAAGCTTCTGTGCTGCCACAATAGCGGATAGTGATGAGTTCTGCAGCTTGCCATCACGCTGCTCAAGGACGGCGAGGGTCGAAAGAAGGCGGGCAAGCGCCGACTGTCCCAGAGTACGAGTTGGTTGAATTTGGGACCGGGCAGCCCGTAGCACTGAATATCTAGCGATTGGAATCATGGTGACAACTAAGTGAAGAGAACTGGTGTTCCCTTCCAATGACGCTCAGAGTGGGACAGAAGAAATCTTGGCGATTGTCGGTGATTTGAAGTGGTTATCGTCGGACCGCCAAGACCGGCCTCCCGAGGTCGGACTCGGTTAAAGAATACCTAGGTAGTATATCAAGAAGAAAAAAAGAATTTAATTTAGGCGTTTAAAAAATATGGTAGATTCAAATGAACGAAATAGTATTCTTTGTAGACATGAAGATATATTGAAGAGAAGAAAGAAAAGACACACGTGATATTTTGTACGCCGAATATACCTTTACATGCAGAACATTATCTAGGCAAAAATTGAAGTAGGACTCGCAATCATGAGGTGGTAGACTTTGTCTTCTTCTTGGTGGTCTTAGACACAGCCACTGGCTCACCGTCCTGAAGAGCCTTGGCCTTGAGCTTCTGAAGCTTCTCTTTCCGCGCCGTGGCAAGCAAAGCCTCTTCCTCGTCCTCAGCAGACTTGGTCTTCTTGGTCTTCTTCTCCTCAAGCAACTTCTCCTCTCCAGCGTTTTTGCGCTTCTTGCTAGGCTTGGCTTCGACCTCGGGGAGTGTCTCGACAACATCTTCATCTTCAACCCACAGCTCACTGGCCAGCCAAATGGGCATAGCCATGGTGTTTGCGCCCTTCACATGAAGCGCCTTGATGTTCCTCCAGCCCTTGGAGACAAATTTCTCCACCATACCGTCAACGACAGCGGCAATATTCTCAGACAGCTGATCGGCGGTCATCTTAGAGGATCCGACACGGATAGCGGCAGTAGTAGAGGGTGCAAGCTGCACGGGAGCGCAGTTCAACGTCCGCTCGATCTCCTTTGCAACGATTAAAGGGCTAGCAAATGAAGCGCTACGGTCTTCCTTGGCAGGCTTCTTCGCCTTAGGGTCTTTCTTGACCCTCTTTCCATCAACCTTCTCGATCTCGGAGATGCGAATGGGGATTGGGCGCTTGCTGGACTTGTAGAATGTCTTTCCAAGAGTCTTCACCAGGCGGGTCACGATACGGTCATCAGCAAGGAAAACATCATACTCAGAGAGCAATTGGCGTCTGCTCTCGAAACTCTTGTAGCGTGCGGCCAGCTTGGAAAAGCCGATGACCTTCTCGATACGCGAGGAGAGTTCTTGGGGGAATATGGGATCGGCGATGATATCCTTAACGCCACGTTGGGGGTCGGCGGTAATCACGCAGATACTGAGAGAGGGCGAGGAGTTCAAGGAGTGCGGGATGGGAATTTTGCCAGGCTTGAGGCGGTTCTTATCCACGACGTGCTTCTTGGTGGTGAGGACCAGCCACACAGCCTCGTTGTGAGCGGGAGAATCTTCGTCATCGGAGTCATTATCGCCAATCAGAGTCTTCTTTGTCGCCAAATTTTCCTTCGCGTCCTGGTTTGACTTGATGTGCTTAAGCAGTGCGGAGGAAGCTTTCAGGACCTGCCGTATGTTAGTGAGTGTTGTATTTAATTTTTCTTCGTTGTCGTGATCACATACCTGGGGTTGGTCCAGTTGGTATGGTGAACCTGAAGCCACCTTCGATGTGAGAGTAGTAGTAGAGACCATTTTTGCGGGTTGAAGACTCTACTCCAATTTTTCTGTAACGCTATCGAGACTCAAAAAAAAAATCTCGGAAGGCGGTGGCAGTTTGTCCGGGCTTGGCAGTCCAGACCGACGATCTGCCGCCTGAGGCAGCTGTCTTCAGCACGTGATTATTTTAGAAATCGAAGGTGCGACATATTGACTTGTGAAAGTACAGCGCGTACATATCAACCAATCTACCAAGCATCAAAGAACCTCTTCACTTATCATTTATCCTGATATGCAAGCTCGTAAGAGACAGATACCAGCTAATCAATGTTTAGCGCCCTATTCGTACTATGCTTAAAGACTTGCTCGCAGTGATGGATGTTTTGGATAGCACTTTCGTACCGGTGAAGCTGATTGGGAGACTTATGCTGTGAAACCTGATCGGAACACTAGGGTGTACTACGCTATGAACGGACGCCCGATCCAGTTACATTGATCAGATGCTATGATTTCAAGACTGATGGACGGGCCCAGCGTATTCCTCATTCTGCTTTTATCAATCCAGCGACTGAAAATGGGTCTGATAGACAATCGAAGTCTGCCAAACTGGGGTTTGGATACTCATTCAGACAATTATAAGTGTACTATAATGGCCTCTTGCTCGACTAATGACTTCGCGACGAATGCGGATGAGAGCAGCTTGCGCATGCGTCTATGCTTTTAGGGTCACGCTCGCTCCCGATGGAGAGAGAAGTGAAGCCAGCTCCGTAGAGCTCGTAGAACTCGCTTTTAATGGGAACTGATTTCCTTGAGGCTTAGCGACCATATATGGCCTTCTAAGACTTAACTGACGCAAATGAGAGCTAGTTGAGTGAAACCCGGACGACGTTCCATATGGTGTTGGTTTTTAATACTGCTCTGGCTCTGTGTAAATTGATGGAACAGATCGTATTTCTTGTGTTGTCGGTCTATGGCTCTGTGAAATCTACCGCCTATAGAATGATAGATTTTCCATATCTCTAACTATTCACTATTATTGGGCTTCATAACTCATTTGACAGCTGAAGGGTTAACGAGGAAATGGTGCGATTAGAGTTAGCTCCTGTACATGGGATTCCGGATTTCCATCTATGAATTTGACATTGCTTCAATTATAACGAGAATGAGATAGTGAACAATGGAAGATGCCAAGGTTGAGTGGATTTAGTAGAAATAACATTGGAAATTGAGACATATTCTCTAACGTGACCCGTGGACTAGCCAGAAGTTACCTACCTAAGTAGGTAGAGGATCATCATCATACCGTCAGAGCCAGCTAAATAATACGACTTCGGGAAGACAAATGCCACATCTACAAGAAAGATCTTGGAGGTTGGCTGGCTACATGGCTATTAGCAATGCATCATAAATTCATCTAATGCCAATTTTCATTAAATTGCTCATACTGTTCGCACCGTTGATGTAGTCGGTGAAAGTCACATGATTTCAGTGCCATCGGATTCAGCGTTATTGTATCCTTCAACCAACTTGATGGCGATATCATAATAAACCTTGGAAGAGAAGTTGAAGAATGTGGAACAATATGTGTCTACTGAATCTACAAAGAGGACCTGTAGACATAAGCTGTGTAATAAGAGAAACCTATGGGCTTGCAGAAAACCTTTGAACCTCATTGTGCTCAAACGTTGGAAGGAACTCTTTTGCCACTGCATTATTACCGAGGTCTCAGATGGATCCTGCTAGGTACTACCTACGTATGAATTGAGATGACCCGGAGACGTTTCATCTACATGACCAATTGACTTGATTGACAGTGCAATGCCATTCGCATATTATATAATGTCTTGAACCCAGGTCTAGACCGAAGTTTCTAAAACTGTTCAAAGCTCGAAATACTCACGGGTAGCTACAGTGTATATTGTTTAACTGAAGCACTACCGAGATCTATTTATAGTGCCGAGCCATGTGAGTGAGCCGTAATCTGCTTCCACCTACTGTACACAATAGAGCAATTGAACCAGAGTACACTGTAAGAAAGAGAACATAATATGGATAAAATGTCAAGTGCATAGGATTCGGAAAGCTAGGGGACTGGCTTATACGTATAGATGGATCGGCGCACGAGGTAGATGACTGTGCTTTATAGGATTAGTGGCAGGATTAGTTGGCAGGATTGGTTACAGAATCAGTTTGATGAAAGCTCTGCAGGGAGCATGCAAGGTACAGAAGTCAACGCGTCCCCAATCTCAGAGTGAAATGAACCTCCGTAGGTTGGCCAGTGCTGGAGGGAGTGTCGCCATAGTTCCAAGGTTAACGGGGTTAACGAAGGCACTAACATAGTGCCAATGGGCGTGGGGCTAACTGGGCTGAATGGGCTAAAGCTTCTAGATCGTTGAGGATTCCAAAATTTTCATCCCCTATGAGCGGTGGAATCAGACTGTTGTCAGTAAAGAGATTGTTCCGGCACCCCACAGAGTAGACCAGATAGACTCGTCGTACACACTAATCTTACATTAAACTAACAGAACCGCTAGTATAGCGCGCCACGCAAGCAGCGCGTCTCTGATCAAATCAGAAATAAGAGCTCCGATGGATAGCACTAGAGGGATAGGAGTGTGTAGTGAGAAGAAGTATGACGCGGATTGCGGACCAAGAGCCGGGGTTTTCAGACGCCATAAAAGACTATCAAAGACTATTGAAAGGAAATTAACATACTAAGTAGAACTCACCGACTTCTTAGAATAGGCTGGTTACGGGGTGTGTTCTATGTTCTTTTGGATATCTATTAGAAATTGGGTAATTGTAGCGAGTAAAAGCCCAGAATTTGCATAGGGCTGTATACTAAATAGATTTTCGATGATATTCGTTGAGTGTTGAGTATTGAGTATTGTATCGAGTATTGAGTATCGGTATTATTACCCCCCTGGCGTGCGATCAGCACGAGTGCATGATTAACCTTGCATAGCATTGATTGGATTTGAACTGTTGGTCTCCCTCTAAAGATCAATCCGAAACTACTTTCTTAATTTTAATCCAGTACTTAAGAGTAGAGGTTGCAGTCGATAGTTATTATTATTGCTGATAGAAACTTGGAAGTGCTACTCATATACCCATGGATACATCAGGACATTCCGAAGTGGTAGAAATCTGATTGGTGTACCTGAACGATATTGTATGGTTCTTATATACATTGATTGGACAGTACCTGGGTCATTTTAATTATACCCCACTCTATCTCTCAAGGTAAACAATCAAAACTGAACGTAGGATGGGCTCGGGCAATTGGTAAAGTACTATACCAGAATGAGTTTAGACCAAGATTCACCATTAAAAGGAGATTAAATGCTGTAATTTAAACAGGATCTAGACAGTACAAAAATACCTAGAAAAACACTGAGTTATACGGGGACTCCACTGTTGCGTGGTGAGACAAGATTAAGCCCCTTTTTTGCTCCTTTTGTTAAGGAAGTCAATGTGGATACTATATACTTGTATGTTTCGGTATCCAATAGCCTGTAATATGGTCGTATTGGCCCGCAAATCTTGGACTCCCCCTGTGGTTTTACATTTTACTCTGTACTTCTTACTCCGACTTCCACTTCTTCTCTCCCTTCTTTTCCCTAGCCTTAGACTCTGTATTTTCCCTTCCCATCCGACCTGAGGGATTCGTTCTCTCTACCTACACTCATTTACTTCGAAAATACCACATCGTTCTCTCGAACTTCCCTTTCTATCGAATCCCGCGCGACTGGCTTGCCGTCATTTGAATGTACGTTCTATCCTCGTTTTGGGAGTTATGAGAGAGATGGGGTCTTTCAAGAAAGATATGTTCTTGGATCGAAAAAGTGTTATTCTGCATCATCCTCCACTTCTTCAGCGCAATGACTTGCGTTCGTCAGATCTTAATGCGACTGATGGTGGGGGTGGATTCGGATGTTGGATGTATCGAGGGACCAAATCGATCATGATCACGAACTGACTATTGTTGTTCCACAGTTCCACAACTTCAACACGCAATTCGGATTTAGCTCGACGCAATGAAGTACTCTCTTGCGCTGACTCTGGCTTCGGCGGGCTCCCTGGCGGCCGCCCACGGTCACGGTGGTCACGCCCAGTTCCACAAGCGCGTCGTCGATACCGAGACTAACACCATTGAGGTTGCTGGCCCGACTGTCTACGATTTCGTTGTCCTGGAATCCGGTGTCGCCCAGCCTATCAGCGATGAGGCTGCTTGCGAGGGCCTTGCTGACCACGAGTTGGAGTTCCTCGGTCCTTCCATTGCTGCTGCATGTGCTGCCCTAAGCACCAGCGCCAGCGTGACTTCCACCTCCATCTCTACTACCTCCACCTCCACTACTTCCGTCCCCACTACTACTCCCGCCCCTGCAACTTCCACTATCGCCCCCCTGGTACTCCTTCAGACTTCTGCTGCTATCTCCTCCATTTCCAGCAGCTCTACTGTTGAGTCCTCCAGCACCGCCGAGGCCGCTGCTAGCACTGCCGCTGCCACCAGCTCTGGCACTGGTGTTGACCGGACCTTCGTTTCCGGAGAGCTCTCTTGTGATACTTTCCCCAGTGATTATGGCGCCCTTTCTCTCGACTACCTCGGAATTGGCGGCTGGTCCGGTATCCAGTACCTCACCATCGTTGATGAAATTATCAGCAGCATTTCCACTGCTGTCGCCGGTGGTGATAACTGCACTGAGGGTGCTATGTGCTCATACGCATGCCCTCCCGGTTACCTGAAGACCCAGTGGCCCTCCCTTCAGGGATCCTCTGGTGAGTCTATCGGTGGATTGACTTGCAAGAATAACAAGCTCCACTTGACCAACTCCGATTACAGCGACAAACTTTGCATTGCTGGTACCGGCGGTGTGAACGTTGTCAACAAATTGAGCACCCATGTCGCTGTTTGCCGTACTGACTACCCCGGTACTGAATCCGAGACTATTCCCCTGTCTGCCACCGCCGGTGATACCCACGCCCTGGCCTGCCCCAACAGTGCCGAATACTACAAATGGGAGAACAAGGACACTTCCGCCCAGTACTACGTCAACAACAAGGGAGTCTCCACTGAGGTAGGTTGCCAGTGGGGTGATGGCTCCGCCCCCGTCGGTAACTGGGCCCCCATGAACATTGGCGTCGGATACACTGATGGTACCACCTGGTTGTCCATGTTCAAGAACGAGCCCACCACTGACGCCGACCTTGACTTCAAGGTCAAGATTGTTGGTACTGGCATCAAGGGTGAATGCTTCTACGATGGTAAAGGTACTTTCTACGATGCCAGCGGCGCGATCAGTGGTACCAACGGCTGCACTGTAAGTTAATCAACCCGCGTCTCCTAGCACAATCCACTGATCATCTTCTTCAATCTTTCAGGTCAGCTTTACCACCGGTGAAGCCTACTTCCATTTCTACGAGTAATTGCCTAATTCCTGAACTACTTGGTTTCAGAAGTCCGCAAACTCAAAACCGTACGGCCGTGGACGAGCTTTCATTTTCCCCTTCAATCGAACCTCACTTGAGCATGGACACAAAGGATCTCCTCTGTGTCCGGTGCACGGGTGCTATTGTGCATATCCAGGTTTGTTTGAAGGGTTGTCTTCTTCTTGTGTATCTTACTTTATCTTGTTTGACGCGGGCTTTTTGACGGTGGAAATTCAATCCTTGTTACATTTTTTTTTCTATTATCAGATGCCTTTCTCCCCTAGTAGGTCGGACCTTTAGGGGAACTCGGCTAAATTGATTACCTCGGTGCCTCAAGTGCAAACCATTTTGATTGTCTTCTTCTTTTGCCTTGAGATTCAATTCTATGTTGTCTCCTCATTTTGTGTTTTCCCTTTTTTTTATTCCCATTATGCTGATCTCATTAATTCCCTTTTTGCTTGATGCAATTACCTCTTTCTCTCCGAAACCGTGGATCTGCGTATTCGGGACATGAGCCATGTTTTAACGCTTATATCAGATACCCAGGTAAATCAACTAGCAATGATATGAAGGACGCTTCTTCTTTACACAGTTCATAGTGAAGATTCTCGTAGTTGGAGCCGCAGTGATAGATGTCACATGACTTCATAGCCCTAGATTCCTACCCATACTCAGATCCTGCTACTAGCAGGAGCACAGGTGAGCCAGACAACGAAGACAGAAGACATAGTCAACAACGCTATCATCAAGAAGTCCTGACTCAAGGCGTTGTGCTGAGAGGCGAAGAAGCAAGCTCGTGGTAAATTGCTAAGATCAGGATCTCCCTGCGTCAATTTGCGGATTAGGCGTCGACGTGTGGGTGCTTTAAGCTTGGAGAAGATTTAAAAATCATCAGTTTGCTCATCCTATGCAGGTGCAGAAAATTCCAGCTGGGCAGTATCCACACCAGAAGGCCAACTAGGAAAATAATAGAGAAAGAGGTCTTGAAGTGCCTTGAGTCGAAGGCCTTCTGATAAGCATGAGTGGCTACGAAGGCCCTCATACCTATATATATACAATCAATGGCCAAATCAACATATAGTCCATTTCGCGAAGATAGTTGTAGCTTTGACCCATGGTCCAAAGGGTCCACGAGTGAAGCAAAGGGTAGCTTCGAGGGGGAAGTAGTGGCATAATGCCCATTGAACCCACTCCGGTACTTGTGGTTCGCCAATGTTCGTTTCACAAATATGTGTGTGAAAGGATTCTGGTTTTCGTACGGGCCCGCATAATTGGCACTTGTTCAACAATGAACTAGCTCGTTTCCTCGCAAATTTTCAGCAATTTCCAACAGACGTGGTGGTATATAGATCCTCCAACGTCTATGCAACTAGGCCCCAGATTGATAATTGGAGTCGGACCAATAGTCCTGGAGGAAATCGGGAGCTAATGCGATATGGGGACCCAAATGGATGCTCCTGAGCCTTGGTTGTAGTAATGACATGTTGTTGGGAAAGGATATTTGTCTGGAGAAATATCCACCCCGGAAACCCCTGCTACCCTCTAGGTTTGGTAAATTCCAATTTGAGGAGCGTAGATACAAGAAAGAGTAGGGACATATACTTTGGAAATTTAACTTGTATAGTGATAGACATCTAGGTGCCTAGACAGAAGGAATGTGAACGTGAAGGTGAGTAATGTAGCATGGATCCTTGTAAGAATAGATGGAAGAGAATGTGGCAGACTATGTGCTTCCAAATGATATCGGTTTTGCTGAGCATCTGTAAGTAACACCCCAAATACGGTACTGAGAACTGAAAAATCAAGTAATTCATCCAGCACTCGAAGAGACTCAATGGTGGTCGCGAGGACTGGAAGATTTGTAAAAGTTCGAGAGAATGGGCGCTCTTCCCTGGTCAGGCGTTTGAATTGCTGTTCAGTCTTGAGTAATATGTCTTATACAGTTTTCGTACATGGAGTTGGTCGTTTTCAAGCATCTCCAGACATTTGGAAAGAGGAATTGGAGTCTAATACATCGTTGAGATTTCAGAATTGAGATAAGATAGCGCTCAGTCTTCCCCCTTTGATTTTGCTGCTGATTTATAGCTTGTTAATGTTCTTAGATTGTTCTTGTCGTTGAGCTCGTTATGTGTTCGCATGATAGCTCAAGAGATTCTCGGCGACAGCCAAAGCTTTAGGGTACCCAACTTGCATTTGTGAAAACCAGCAGGATTATAAGGTACTGAGGTGACTGAAGCTTCATGCAGCATTTGATTTGTGCGTTCATTGTTGAATTTCTAGCCAAGCAATTTCGGATGATTCTTCTTACCGAATCGAATGTAAGGAGTTTGGTATACGCCGAATAATACGGCCGAAACCCCTTTAGTTGACCTCTCCATTCGATATTCATTATCACAACGGACCCGGAAGTATGAGAGACCGATGATTTTTTTCAACGAATCAATGAAGAAGAAAGAAGATGGAAATAATTAGTAATTCTTAGATTCTCCAAGTCGGGTCGCGTCGGTCACGTGATTAGGTCTATGCAGGACGCGTTTATATACTGTAGCTGTATAGAATCAAAACGACCAATTCCTATATTTAGCCCATACTCTGTAATTTTAAACCCTTATTAAATATCATCAAATGAAAGTTTGAATGAATAGTTTGAATAATTGGGTTACTAGGTAAAAAGAACCTTGTGGATGGAAAATTCATTTTCTCTCTGAACGCGTCTACGGAGTCGCGGGCCAAGATCGAACCTTTCTTCTACCTCTCCTCTTCCCTCACAAATTTCCCCCTCCAACCCATTCCAATCCCCCACACATGTTGGGTACCTTCTCTTTTGGAGAAGTCCTCTTTTGTTAAGTCCTTGTTTAGAAACATTTGTCTGATTCTTGAATACGCCACGACGTGAACTTGAGCTCGAGAGCTTGACTCGTTTCTCGTCTCATAAAAGGGTGTCAGACTTGGGTTGTTACAACAGAAATCATGGAATCTTCTCCACGTCGGCTCTCTTTGGGCATTGTGGCTGGCGTTAAACGTCCTGCCGCTTTGCTTCCTGCGTTTGAGCCCATGAGTTCATCCCCCTCTCTTCCTCGGGCTCAGAAGCGTGTAGCTCGCGAACCCTCCATCTCGACCTACCCAACCCCCGTCCCTACCTCGTCGACTAATATTATGTCATCGTCCCCACCTGGAAACGTCGTTGGCCGCTCTACGACGCGTCGTATTTTCTCTGCTGCCTCGGAACGAACCCCATTGTCGACCGTGCCTACGCTGATGTTGCCGGAGAATGGCGAACCCCTTCTGATGGGCCGATCTAGCGTTTCGTGTCACCATCAGCTTGCTGCTAGCCGAATGATCTCTCGTGTTCATGTCAAGGCAACCTTCAAGCCGGCTCCGAACCCTTTTGATCGTGAGAGAGTGGAGATAATGTGCATGGGTTGGAATGGAGTTAAGATTCACTGCCAGGGGAAAAAGTATGATCTGGCTAAGGGCAAGACTTTTACCTCGGATATTAAGGATGCAGATATCATGATTGACGTGCACGAGGCCCGGGTGCTAGTTCAATGGCCTCGCCAAGATAGTGATCGAAAGGACTGCCCGTCGACTGACTCGGAGCAGACCTGGGACGAAAGCACTCCTACCCAGAAAAAGCACTCGCGAAGAACATTGCAGGACAGCCCTTTCATGGACAAGCCTTTGTCCTTTCCTGCTTCTCCATCTTCTACTGCATTGCGGGCTATACCTCCTTCGTCGCCTATCTTTGCACTCTCTCGAGCCCGTGATGCTGTGGTGGTTTACGAAGACGCCCCATCATCCCCATTGAAACGACACAACACTGTCATTGGACTTACTTCCCAAGGTGTTTGTCATAACCGTCGAGGTAGTTCAATTCTCGACAGCGACCTGGGTAGACACGACGAAGAATCTGACAACGATGAGGAGAATGATCCCATTATCCACTCATTCGGGCCTTTCGGTGAAAACCTGCTTCCTCGCATGGCCTCGTTCCGTGCAAATGACTCGCCCATTCGCTCTTCCTTGTCCTCTCAACGCATTATGTCGGGCCCATCTCTGGAGCCCACCCAGTCCGTGAAGGAATCATCCGAGGTCCCTGAATTCAAGGAGACTAGTCCTATTGAAGAGCTGTCTCAACAAAAGGACGAAAACTATGAGCGTGTCCGAAACCATGCCGCGAATCAGCTTGCGTTCTCTCGTCTGTCCTCGACTCCTTTTTCTACCATCCTGAATAACCTGCCTCCTGCCTACTGGAGGTCTAGTGTTAGTAAGCAATCTGGCCTGTCGCGTTCGGAAATTCGCTTCATTCTTGAGAACACCAAGTGCATCGGCAAGGTTGCTCGTGAGGGCAAAGATGCTGCGGGAAAGCCTCTCGAGAGCGAGTACTATTACATACCAGACGATGATGATGACGAGATGCGTCGTGGAGCAGTTGTCAATGATCTCCGAAAGCCTGGACTCCGTAACTGCCGTAAGCAGCACAAGGTATGTAAACCCTGTTATTGCTATCTAAAAGTCGGCTCTAACTTTTCGCAGCAATACTTTTGGCGTAAGCCCAAATAGATCTGACGAAGCATATCCGCCGTCCCAAAGGTCGGTGCGGGTTCTTCAGTAAATATTTGCAAGTGTTCTTGGTCACCCATTGATACCTATATATCAGGGTGAATTGCATAGCGTGGCGTGAGGCATACCCTGTTTTTTTTTAAAATTTTTTAGCCTAGTTTCCCTACCCCTACCCCCTTTTCTGGCCTTTTTGCGTTTTCAGCATGATTACGAAGGTATGCGATATCGCAGCATCAGTGGACCGTTGCTGGTCCATTTTCCTTTGACTTTGTGTTTTCCCCATGCGAATGGATTCTTTGAAATCACCGTCCTGTTTGCTCGTTCCAATTTCTGAGTCCTTCCCAAATCTCTCTCTTTGACCGAAAGCGTGCAAGTCGATCCAGATGGGCTTGTGCCATCTTGACTCTATTGCGTGCTGGCCTATCAATTGATGTACCTTATGTCTTTACTCAACCCCTCCTGTCACCATTAGTTCCAGATCTGTTAGAAGATCGGATGTACCTAGATAGTATACGACTTGTAGTTTTAGCTTGTGAATTATTAAAAAAAATTTTATTAGTTACTTTTATTGAACGAATCACGTGACCTAGTATAAATGTATTCTCTCATGACGTAATAAAATGTCAAAAAATGAGTTAGGAAAGATCATTCCTCCCAACCTGTCATAGTTCATTTCGGGAGTTGTTGGGGAAAAGAGCATATGCTATTACCTAGGGAGCATTATGACTCGGCTCTGATATAATATTTGCAAGTCAATCGTTATGTTGTTACCACAAATGAGGTAGAGCCGGGCACTCAGTCCTATCCTGTCATGTAACGTGTCTACTTCACAAGGTAGTGGAGGGAAGAGGGGCCAATCACAGGTGTTATGATCCCAAATACAGCCCTCCTTGAGCCTCATCCGACTTGGATATGCGCGTAGTTCCTTGTACTTGGGCAACCTGGTTTTCCATTCGGCATGAAAGCAGCTATTGAGTCGGCAGGGACAATCGAGTATTTGCTATCGTTCTGTGCATACCAGTCTATTGGACGTTGGTCGCTGCCTCGTCTCTTGAATCTTTGTGCTCATGGCCTCGAGATCGAATCTAGCCACCAATTTTCAAGAGCATGGCGGGGTTCTGCTTTGGTGTAAGATGAACAGCGCACACGGTTGAAATATGGAAAGTCGATTGAAGTCCAACTCTAGTACAAGTTGAATGAAAAATCTGAATAAAAAAGTCAATGTTCAACTGAGGCGTAGTTGACTGGAATAGTTCCCTCCGCACCGCCTTACAAACTGCCCGCTTTTCCCGCACAGCTTCAACAAAAAGATACAACTCCCATCGCTTTCCTTCGCTTTCCTCTGTGTCCCAGATGTAGTGTTCTCACTGCGACCCTTTCGGAACTTCTGAAAGGACTCACTTGAGAACTCCCTACACGGTCATGGAGCGCCATAAGAAAAGTATGTTCGATCTTGACCTTCGCTTGTGACTGACACTGACCTCTCACTTCTAGGAGAGATTCGCGATCTGAATGAGAGAGCTTGGGCGGGTGAGACTGGTATGGTTCTCAGAATAAGATTCCAATTTGACCGCTCATTTTCACTGATTCTGACCAACCCCTCTAGACTTATTCCCCGTCAACAAATCTCTCGACTCAGCTCTCAAAAAGAACACCGCATTTATCAAACGACTTCGCACTGGTATCATCGCCTCCGCGCAGGCAACCTTCTTATCCGATATCCGTACCCTTTCCCTCCACAAGTATCTATCCGAAATCATCTCCGCCTGCTATGAGGGCATCTGCAAGCTAAAGTCCCCCGCGGAAATCGCCGTGGGCGTGGAGATTGTATGCGCTTTGCATCAGCGATTTGGTCCGGTTGAGTTCACTTGCCAGATTGGCTGGCTCCTCGGCCGCGGACTGAGCTCACCAGATAAGGCGTCGCTAAAGTCGCTGAACCAGGAACTCCGTGAGCGGGAGGAGAAAGACCGTCTGTCGCGCCACCGCGTCTTGCTTCGCGTTGTCACTGAGCTATGGCTAGTTGGTGTCCTGCGTACTTTGGACGACGTTGAACGGCCGGAAGATTTGGGCGCAAAGGGAAAGGAGCAATCCCTCAAGCAATCGGAACTCCCATTCAAATTGAAGACACAGTTTTCGAAGGACCAAGACAAGCAAGGAGAGCCATTCCCTCTAGAGGTGCTGAAGGAGCTACTCGGTCACGACCGCGACCATACGAATTTGCCTCTCGCAGTCCTGTTCGTCAAGAGTTTCAGCTGGGATATCTTGGGTACCAAACTTGCGGAGGACGGTCGCAAGACTGTGGAGGCTGATGGGGCTACAATAGCTACGGAACAGGAAAACACGGCGACTAGCGCAGAAGCCATCGTGGAGGCTGACCCGCCGCTCGTTTCGGAAAAAATTCGCCAGCGCTTCAAGAATGTCCTGAACCGGTACTTGGAAGATGTCAAAGCGCATGTGATTCGCGATCAGAAGGCATTGGCTTCTCAAAACCGCCGAAACACTGAGGCATACGTGAAGAGCGGTGAGATCTTTGAAGATCGTCAGTCCAGCTATGAGAAACAGTTGAAAACCCTCGAAAGACTTGTGGCAAATACTCAGGTGCTGTGTGAGGCCCTGGGGGCCGATATGCCCGATCTGGCACAGAAAGAGACCAATGAAGCGTCCTCTAACGGCGGGATTGGCCTTGTCAAGACCACCGACTACTTACGTGGCCAGGGTGATGGTGCCGGTATTTGGGAAGACGAAGAGGAGAGACGATTTTACGAGAATCTAGCCGATCTCAAAGGGAAAGTGCCTGCAGTTCTTCTAGATGATGGAAAGAAAAAGAAGAGTGAGGTGGAAGAAGGTGGCAGAGACGATGGTGAGATACTAACAGACTCTTCTCTAGAGAAGGAAAAGTCGACCGCAGATTTAGAAGACCAGTCCACAATTATTGTTAACAAGACCGTCGGAGCTCAGGTGGAGGCTCTTCTTAGCAAGCTTCCGGAATTGCAGAACAAAGACCAAGTCGATGAGTTTGCCCTTGACTTTTGCTTCGTCAACTCGAAGGCATCCCGCAACCGACTTGTGAAGGCCGTTTCGGATGTTCCCAGAGGCCGCCTTGATCTTTTGCCCATCTATGCCCGTCTGGTGGCTACTCTTGGCCAATATTTGCCAGATATCCCCCAAGGATTGACTGCTTACCTCGACGAGGAGTTCCGGAGTCTCCAGCGACGTAAATCAAAGGAGTTCCTGGGTCAAGTGCGTATGAGCAATGTGCGATACCTTGCAGAGCTGACCAAATTTGGTGTGGTACCGGAGCACATTATCTTTCACTGCTTCAAAGTCTCGCTTGACGAATTCTCACGAATGAACATTGAGATCATCGCGAATCTTTTGGAGAATTGTGGTCGTTACCTGCTGCGGAACCCTGAGACCTCGCCACGAATGGCCTCCTTTTTAGAGACTCTCAACCGGAAGAAGAATGGTCAACACTTGGGTCAGCAGGAAAGGATGGTAATTGAAAACGCTATCTACTACGTTGATCCGCCGCCACGACCGGCCATCCAGCAAAAGGAGCGCACGCCAATGGAGCAGTTCATTCGCCGTATGATGTATCTGGAATTGAATAAGCGCAACTACACCAAGATTCTCAAGTCTATCCGCAAGCTTCACTGGGAAGAACAAGAGGTTGTTGACATCCTCGAACGCGTTTTTAGTAAGCCGGTCAAGGTCAAGTACGGCAATATTCATCTCATGGCAATTCTTGCTGGTGCACTTTATCGCTACCATCAGGAATTCGTCATCGGTGTGGTGGATAACACCTTGGAGCAGATCACATTGGGTCTGGAAATGAATGATTTCAAGTTCAACCAGAAGCGCATTGCTGAAGCTAAGTATTTGGGTGAGCTTTACAACTACAAAATGATTGACTCTCCTGTCATTTTTGATACGTTGTACCGCATCATCACTTTCGGCCATGAAGGTGGCACCCCAGTTCCAGGAAGGATTACGCCATTGGATCAGCCAGACGACTTTTTCCGAATTCGCCTCGCGTGTACCATCCTCGATACCTGCGGTCACTGCTTTGATCGCGGATCTGCAAAGAAGAAGCTTGATTTCTTCCTTGCCTTCTTTCAGTACTATCTGTTCACGAAAGACCCACTGCCTATGGATGTCGACTTTCTGGTTCAGGATACGTACTCCCTCGTCCGTCCGGAGTGGAAGCTAGCTACTAGCTATATGGAGGCTACTCGTATCTTCAGCGAGGCTGTCGCTCAGAATTATAAACAGGATGCCGAAAGACCTATTGAACTTGATGAGGAGGATGCAGAGAGCAGTTCATCGGATGAGGATCTTGAGGACTACGTGATTCCGGAGATTGAGGATGAGCAGGAAGTCAGTGATGACGGAGAGGTAAGCGTTTAACGAAATATTCCATAACACCAATTTTTACCTTGGAACAAATATTAACATGCAACAGGAATCTGGTTTGAACTCCGATTTAGATGATGAATCTGACTTTGAGGGTGAACAGATCGTAGTCACTCGACAAGAGGAGGAAAGAGACCCGGAAATCGAGGCTGATTTCGATCGTGAATACGAAAAGATGATGGCAGAGAGCATGGACTCTCGACGATTTGAGCGCAAGGCCGGATTTGATATTCCCCTGCCCATGAGACAGCGCCCGGTCCGTGAGATGGCAAACGTCGAATCCTCGTCCGATTCTGCCCCCGTAGAACCAGTGGCACCGATGCCAGCCAGCACTGTGGCTTTCTCTTTGATGACGAAGAAGGGAAACAAGCAACAGGTTTGTGCTTCATCTGACGTTGAGTCTCTATGGTTCTAATGATTATATAGACTCGCACTATCGATCTCCCATCTGACTCGAGCTTTGCTGTCGCCATGCGGAGCCAGCAGCAAGCTGATCGCGAAGAACAGCAGCGCATCAAGAATTTGGTTCTGAACTATGAGGCATCGGCCGAGCCCGAGGCTGAAGAATGTAAGACAATTTCCTGTCCACCAGCGATGAACTTTTGCTAACATGTGAACAATAGCCCCGGAAAAACGTGGACCTGTTAACCAGCGACTGGATAAATCAGCTGCGAGCCGATCTGCCTTCCGATCCCGCAAGCTTCAGCTCAGCGACGTTAATTGGTAATGAATGAATTGGCACTGAGTGCTGCGAATCAGAGATTATCATCCCTGGTTCCTCCTCACTCCAACGTGCAATTTGTAAAGAGAAGCTCGATCTAATCTTTTTCCGAGTGCAGCTCTAGAAAGCTGAAAACACGTCAACAAGGCCACAGTCACTTGGGAACCCCTTCCCCGACATGAAGAAGTTACTAAACTCCTGGATATGGCACACCGTGTATCTATTCCCTTTCTGCACAGGGCCAGATCCCATCCTTCGCAGATGTCCACTGGATAAACTCGAAGCGGGCTGTTTGCCCCTTGGTTTACAACAGTACGCTGCTTGAAGAGCGTAGGGACGAAGGTACAGATGAATCACAATGCAGATTTTACCATTACAAGGTTTCCTCAAGTAAATCCTATAATTTGTAGAAAGTAACACTTAGAATTGTCCTATAGTTATTGAATGTCGAGGCAAATGCTTAGCAAATCTAACCTCAGCTGTCAAATTCTGTTTCCAAGGGACTACGTCTGTGCGGTCTGCTGTAGAAAACATCCACGGGTCAGGCGGCTCTATTGATAAGAAAATAAGCCACTGAAATGGTGTGATTGTGGTTAGCTTCTTTTAGCCCTAGCGCCAGGTAGGTTACATAGTGGGTGGTTCGGTATCATGAGCTTACGAAGCTCCCTTTTTTCTATTGAGAACTCGTATCTTCCCCTGCTTTTTCTATTGATAAGATCTGAGTCCTGACATAGGTACCTGGGAAGCTAATCATGGCAGGGATTACGGAGGAGACGAAGGGAGACTACGTCGTACATGATGTTGAAGGTCAATCACATCCACCACACCCAGAACAAATCGTTTCCCAGTACGAACAAAAAAATTTGATCCGCGGTTTATCACAACGCCATGTGCAGATGATCGCTATTGCCGGTGCAATTGTATGCTCTTTTAAATCCTATATTTTCACTTGCTACGTGGATTAGAGAATAACTAACATCGACTTAGGGCACGGGTCTGTTTCTTGGTCTTGGTAGTTCGATTGCAACGGGTGGCCCGTTAGGCGCCTTGTTGGGCTTTCTATTCGTCGGTCTCATTGTCTGCGCAATTCAATTTGCGCTGGGTGAAGTCTCTGCATTGCTCCCCGTCACCGGTTCATTTGTTCGCCATGCAGAGGTTCTCGTGGACCCAGCAATGTCATTTGCAGTCGGTTGGAATCTCGTATATGGCTGTTTCCTCAGTGTGCCGAGTGAGATATCTGCTGCTGTAGTACTGATACAGTACTGGACTGACATCAATGCTGCGGTATGGGTGACGATTCTGATTTTGGTATCTGTTGCCGTTGCCGTCTGCTTCATCCGCGTGTACGGAGAAGTGGAATTTATATTCGCCATTCTCAAGATCCTCCTGGTTGTTTTCGTCGTCATTCTCGGTCTAGTCATTGATCTTGGTGGTGTGCCTGGTAAGCCTCGATTAGGCTTCCACTACTGGAAAGACCCCGGTCCTTTTGTCGAGTACATCGGCACAGGATCCTGGGCCCGGTTTCTCGGTTTCTGGGCTGTCATGACCAATGCAGTCTACTCCTTCGCCGGAGTTGAGTCTCTCGCCATGGCCGCTGCTGAAACCAGGAACCCAAGACACAATATCCCTAAGGCTTGCAAGCGGGTCTTTGCTCGCGTGACCATATTCTATGTCGTCACGATTATCATTGTGGGCATGCTGGTATCTAGCGCCGATCCCCGTCTCAGCGATGAGTCTGGAACTGCGACACAGAGTCCCTTCGTGATTGCTGCCAGCGATGCAGGCATCAGGGCCATCCCCTCAGTCGTGAACGCCATCTGTTTAACATCAGCATGGTCCTCGTCCAACCAGGCCATTCTTTCCGGAACAAGAACGCTCTACGGTCTCGCGATCAAGGGCCATGCCCCCAAGGTCTTCCTGTGGACTAACAAGTGGGGTGTGCCGTACATGTGTGTTACTGCGCAAGCACTCTTCTCCCTCCTAGCATACATGTGTGTGTCGAACGGAGCGTTGACTGTTTTCTACTGGTTTGTCGATCTGACCTCAGCCGGTACTCTGGTCTCGTGGATCGCTATTGCATACAACCATATTCGTCTCTTGCAAGCTCTAGACAAGCAAGGGATTTCGCCTAAGGAATTGCCGTGGCACAATCGCTTAACTAGTAAGTTTTACACTACTCCCCAACTTTGGTGTTAGTGTTGGTGCTGATGCTGATATCAAAAATAGGATATACCAGCTGGTTCGCCTTTATCTCCTGCATTGTCATTCTATTTACTGGAGGCTTTACTGTGTTTACAGCGGGTAACTGGGACCCTTCCAGCTTTATTTCTTCGTACTTGTTAGTATTTCCCATGACTCTCATATTCAAGAATTGGAAACGCTAACGCTAGAGACAGAGATATTCCGCTGGTGATTTTCGCTTACCTGGGCTACAAATTTATCCGTCGGACAAAGATTGTCCCTCTGGATGAGGTGCCACTTCGACAGGCGTTAGAAGAGGCTGATGAGGATCCTGAAAACGTGCCGCTTGCGAAAGATGGCATTTGGGCTAAGATAAATATCTTTTGGGGTTAATTGTGATACCCCCAAGTCTTATGACTACATGTGTGCTTTACTTTCAAGCATTATGCATAAACACTAGCTAATTATGAGCATTTAATACATGTTAATTTGACTACCTAAGTATGCGAAGGAAGCTTAGAAGGTTAAGCAAGTAGGTCTCCCTACGAGTATGAGATAGATGAAAAGTTAAAAGGAATTCATGATGCAACAGCTTTATTCTAAGAACCCTCTTTTGATTTCCAATTAAGCAGGAATGAAGGCCATACCAATACACTAAGTTACACGGAAATAAAATAAGGAAATAGGAGGAGCGTGGGAGATGGAGATGTGGATGAGATGATGGAGAGGTGCATGGCGATCGGACCAAAATCGAGGAGAGAAATGGCGGAGAGGGCTTTTATATAATACACACCCCGATCATGGTCCCCGGCATGCATTGCGGATATGTAGGAGTCAATGTATCAACACCCTGCCTCTAAGTTGTGAATGGAGATTATAGGTGGTCAGAGAAGCTTATTTCTCAGCCTTCTCGGTCTTCTCTTCTGTGCCATGAGCGGCCTTGGTGATCAGAGTCTCGCCGGTGGACTCTTCCTTAGGGGCATCATCCTCGGGGGTGGTGGGTTGTTGCTCAGAGGGAGCGGGAGCTCCACCTTCGTATTCGTCGTCATCTTCCAACTCGGCGCCGTACACATCGGGATGTAGCCGGAAGCAATCTTGCATACCCCTGCAGAAATTGTTATTATGTGTAAGCGATATTTAAACAAAGAGAAGCATACTTGAACTTGTCAATGCATTCAATGCCCTTGGGCTCTTCTTCAGAGTACACGAAGCAGCTGAACGCTGCCTTAAATTCCTCTCCACATGGGCCGCTGGCCATACCGCCTAGACAAGGGCAATCCCAATTGATCTCACCAGTCTCGGGGTTGAATGCAGCTTGTTGGCCAGCCTCTTCCTCAAGCTGGTTCAAGCCACCTTGAAGAGCGACCTTTTCGGCCTTCCGCTCTTCACGGATCTTGGGGACGACGGAGTCAAGGGTCGGGAGGGATTCATCGCCATTGTCGGTTTGCAATGAAGAGAGGATGGAGACTAAGAGCAGATAATAGAGTCAGCGGTACTCCGGTATATCCAAAAGCTAATAGCACATGATGCGACAGCTCCGAGTTCGCCATCTTGGTTACGTAGGAGCGAGAGAGAAGGGAAAAAAAACATTGCGAAGCTGAATCACATACAGGAAGGCTCCTTAGCGAAAACATCACTAGTGTTGTAGTAGTACACAACACCACCAGCCAATCCCCACCGAACAGCAGCACTTTTCCAGCTTCTGGACTTCTTCGGAGCAGTGCTTATCAATCGGCTAGTCGCTGGCGTGCGGGCTGTGACAGGCGCGCGAGCGAGCGCTCTGACAGCAGGACGAAACATGATTCAAGGGAAAGGAAAGGGATCAAATTGATGCCACGAGGGACCTCCAAGGAGCGAGATGAAGAGAGGAGGAGAGATTGGCGCGGAGGAGAAGATGATGGAAAGAGAAGTGTTGCGGCCTGAGGTTAGTCACGCTGCGGGCCCTTCACCATCGGTCTTCCTACCTTGGGCCTAACCTGCGTTAGCTGCCGCATCGGATTCGCACAAAATTATATATCGCATTTTAGTAGTGATAATAATTTACCAGTGCTTATAATGGAGTGGGATCCGAGTCGCTTCTTCCGTGCCTCTGGCAGTCCTTTTCCCTATGCTTTACTGGTGCTCAATCAGCCAATCAATGAAAAAGCAGTTGGAGTACTAAGTGAATATGGTAAGTCTGAGGAACTGATTCAATATCCTAATTTAGAATCTGATAACAATCTTGGAGTTTCATAGGGAACGATGTACTCACCTTTTATAGCTTCTTATATCATTTGCGCCGATGGTGGTGCTAATCGATTGCATGATATGCTGAAGAAGGAGGGGAAAGAGTCTAGCGAAGTAAGATCAGTCCTACCTATATTCCAGTTCTCAACCGGGAACAAGCCCACGATGCTTCAAATACCAGCTAATGGATCTTTACGCGAAAAGAAAATGTTGTTGAAACTATACTGACCCGATATCTAGCTTCCCGACATCATCATTGGAGATTTAGATTCTATTCGCCCAGACGTGTATCGACACTATGAAAATCTTGGAGTAACCTTATTGAGAGATCCAGATCAATACTCAACAGACTTCACCAAATGCTTAAAGTACCTCAATACACACGCTACAGAGATCGTTGCATCTCCCCGCCAAAGCAGAAAATTTGCAGAAAAGCTGCAAGATGCACCCCTTGAAGTTGTCATTCTAGGTGGTCTAGGTGGCCGTGTTGACCAGGCCTTCTCGCAAGTCCATCATCTATACATGATGAGCCAAACCCAGCGAGAACTTCGCGAAGCTTCAGAGAGTGACGAAGATTTAGGTGACAACAACCAAAACGCGGGTGGAAATCTATATCTTGTCTCTGAAGAGAGTGTTACCTTTGTGCTGCAACGAGGGAAGAATACTATTTGCACACCAGCTACAAGGCGGGCAGATGTCGAGGAGCAGGGACAAGAGGTGGAATACTTCTTCGAAGAGAACATTGGTATTATTCCTCTCTCTGCACCTGCGTCAATCACCACTCATGGCTTTGAATGGGATGTTGAAGACTGGCATACAGAAATTGGAGGCCAAATATCAACAAGCAATCATATTCGGGCTGACAGGGTGGAGGTGGAAACATCGGTGCCAGTTCTATTTACTGTGGAATTAGCGGAAAGATTAAAGCGCAGATAGAATCTGCTGGTTTAATTGAATGAGAGTGACCTGATGAATAATGCTTGAAATGATCCAATCCATTGATGCTCCATGGTCGAACTAACAAAATCCTCCCAAAACAAGGGGGAAAGGATACACCCCCAAACACGGTCGCCTCTTCTAGCTCAAGTGATAGAAAGAGAAATAAAAGGCAAAAATAAAATGATAAAATGAAAAGACAAACACAAACACAAACAGTATCAAATATCGCATCGTCGCATATCCCAGAAACTGAAATCCAACCATAACCCGCGGGTCTTGAAGCAACCAACGCCAGAGGCAGCGATCCAAAGCCTTCCAAAAACCACCAAAAAAAAAAAAAAAAAAAAAAAAAAAAACCAACGATATCACCCTACAGTCAAGTCTACACCACTCCAGACTATGCGCCAAAGCTCCAACAGGGGAAGGAAAAGGAATGAGACGGGTTAAGAGAAAAAAAAAATAAAATAAACCAGATCAACGAATCCCAAAAAGTCGACCTGGAATCAAACGACAATTTCTCGTTTGCAGCACAACAACACTTTCATCTGTATAGTCTAAAATTAGACGTAAGAAAAGTAGCCAGCCATTTACGAGCGGCGCAAGATGGCCTCGTAAAGAGTGCCAATAACACCGATGGCGGTCCCGGTAAGCATACCCTGCCACTGGCCAGGCACGGAAAATCTGACTTTGCGAATGCTGTAGCTGCTGAATAGATCGAAGTAGCTAAAATGATCAGCGTAGACTTTGTACACCAATAGCGCCTTGGCAATGTTGAAACTGAGTGGATCAAAGCTGGCGCGCGATGAGGTAGGACGGAGTCCACCAGTAGCCTGCAAGCTAATGTTGATGAAATAAGCCGCAAGAAGAGGGAGGATCAGGCTGGTGAGCGCCCACACGAGGAGAGGTGCCCAGAAGACACTAGTCAGGAGCACAAAAACGTCTGGAACCTTGATGGGAATGGCGGGCAGGTGGATAGCGGAAACCTCGGGGGTGGTGAGGAGATAGCGGAATGGGACGAGTTCCTTGAGAAGGCTACCGAGTTCCACAAGAGTAATGATGGTCTCGACAACTTTGACACTACTAAGGGTTGAGCGCAGTGAGTGCGAGCACTCTAGAACACCAGATGCCAACCACGCATCTGCAAGGCCTTCGCGCATCTTGGTGGTCTGTCGGTCAATGGCGTCGGTCACTACCGCGGGAGAGGGTGGCAACTGCGCCGATGCTGACTCGATGATGGAGCGCGCACTTGTGCGCAGTGACGAGATGGGGGTCTTAATAGTAGTTACATTATCAGGCTCGTCGGATTCACTGTCGCATTGGAGTTAGTACGTTGATCAAGTTCGATTTAGCGCAATGCGACTAATGAGTCTCGAGTGCACGTCGTCTAGCTAATCAAATGACTAAAAGGATAACTGCATCTCAAAAAATGCAGCTAATGATTGAAGTGGCTTCTGATGGTATTTTCTCGAGACTTCTCTCCAGGCGCATCGCTTGCATTGAGGGAAGAAGGAAGTGCTTACCTAGATTCAGACTTCTCTTTCTCTTGAATCTCTTCTTCCTTTTGCTTAATCGATCGCCGACCGGGTGTCTTCTTCTCAGTAAATGGAGAGGCTGTGGAACGAGGTTCGCGCTTCACTGGTGATCCACCCCGCCCTGGAGTCGTCAAGCGACGGTAGAATTCGCTGAGCGCCTCGTCATTAGAGAATATTTCTTGACACTGAATGAGGTGGTCATCCAGAGCGTTGATAAGTTCAGGCTTAGTGTATTCCCCGTAACTAAATCGAGATATTGTTAGCTCCGGATGTCAAATGTGACGGTGCGCACAACATTGCGCGCCGTGCGCAACACGCTTGTAGAGCATACTCCTGCAGGTCGGTTTTCTCGGCGATATCAACAAGCGCGGGTTTCCGGAGTCTATTCAGATAAGCTATACCAAGAGAAGGCATGTTGGATATGATGATGCTGATTAAAAATCAGAGCTAATTCGAAGTAAGGTATGGGATCAAATAAGGTGTACTCCGTAGGGCTAGAGTGGGAGATGAGGGGGTGGGGAAGATTGTTTTGGTTACGTAATAATCAAAATAAACATCCTAGTTTTAGAATTCTATGGCTTCTTTGACCTATTATTAGGGGGAAGATTGAGTTTCTATAGTTCTTAGCTAATAAATATGGTACAGTTTGGCCATTGAGGCTATTCTAATCTATTACAAATGGAAAATAGGTACACAGTATACACAAATGATCTCTCAACCCGACCAAAAAAGTAGAATAATGAAGACCGGAACGCCACGCCAATACAAGGGACCATCCCCCAAATGCAAGCTGTTAGAGAGGAGAATAGATCAATCATTAAAAAGGTGAGCCGTCCAGTGCGTGGAAGGCTTCAAGTTTTTTGAGTAGGTACTGGTACATGACAAGCATCGTGCCGGACTGGATGCTGGTCCATACACCACGAGGACCCACACCCCGGAACCAACCCGCAAATCCTTCTGCCTGGTAGATCCTCATTAATCCTGTGCAGACTGAAGATGTGTCCAACCGAGGTGCGCCTGGTGGTGAAATCGAAGTAGAGGGGGATGAGGTACATATTGGCCGTGAGTGGGTTCGTGATGACTTAGGATTGGATGAATGAGTATGTGGCCGAGGGCTTTCTTTAGGGATATGATCGGCAGAGTGATTCGCTCCGGACGATCCCGTAGGGTTTTCAGGTACGTTCTGTTGGGTTTGAATGCGAGTCTTGACAACGTCCAATGGACATGTTATCACACCGGCCATACCACCAGCAGTGGAAGCGGTGATAATCTCGAGACCCAATCCGATATCTCGCTGGCCAACCCAATCCTTGGCAAGGGCTTGTTCTTTTTCATAGAAAGCGAACTGCAACGCCGAGAACGGTAGATCGCGGAAGATAGTGGCCTTATATCCATGGAAGAGAGCAGAAGGACCTTCCTGTCGCACAATAGTCCGGAATGCATCAGATGTGCCTCGATAGTTATATCCAGAATTAAAATAAGGGTTGTTATGGCGACCCTGCAATTGAAGTCGAGTTTTGAGCACCTCCGACGGCACATAAACAATGGAGGCAGCCAAATCTGCGAAGAAACCTCCAGACAGATATGCAAGATTGGGATTGACCCCAGAATCCAGCATCAGCCGCTTGGTGAACTCGTATACTCCAAAGAAGAGCACTGTGCCTGGGAATGAGCCCAGGAAGGCCGGTGTGACTCCTCCATACAGACCCCGAAATAATCCTTCTTGGCGATAAATAGTCGCATATGACGAGGTCATCGACGTGTATTTAGACGGGAAATGTGGATCGCCTTGTTGACGGGTCTTCACTGTATCTAACGAATGCATCAACATGTCGCCGCATGTACCTCCAATTCCACCGGCTATCATCGCCTGTGAGTAATCATGTTAGTCTCCTAAAGTCGAAAAAAGTACGCTCGTAGCGATAGGGGAAATCGTACGTGTAGATAAGGCGGGCGAGGCTCCTGTTCTTCTAACATAGTGCTATCTTGTGCATCACGGGTGGTGACACTGATGCCAACCCCGTCATTGAAACCGCCTACCGGTATAGAGAGCTGCGCCACCGTTGATGAATTTGACCCATTTCCAGATGTAGTTGTAGGGTCAGAGGTCTCTGAGGTCGAGAACAAGCCAAGCACTCGTGAAGGCAGGCTCATGGCAATATTGGGCCGTGACACTTAAGACAGCGGTAGGGGCCGGAGGAGGGATAGAGGGGGGCGATTGGAGAAAGAAAGATCACCCCCGGCGAATCAAGTCCAAAGAGTGACGAGCAGAGGAACAACAAGAAATATCGTCAAGAGCGATCTCGGGAACCAAATTCTGATGATGTTTTTCGCCGCATTGGCGCCTCAGGCAGTAATTGCTAGTCCTTGACCGCCTTTGGATCCTTCTAATGCGCAATTTAACTATTCGATTGTAAGGTTCGATAGAGGAAATAGGAAGTTGATATGGTCGAAATTGAATATCCTCCTACAAAACGGGCCCGACGAAGTACAAAAAGGTGTCATGAATGTGTTAGACGCAAGGTAAAATGTCAACTAGCCACCGAGGATGTTGCTATTTGCTCTGAGTGTATTAAGACTGGAGCTCAATGCACCTTGCAGTCTCCAGCAACCGAGAGCCTGGAAAACGCTTTTTTCACGAACCAGTCGGATCAAGAAGAGCGGCTGAAACGCATAGAACAAATGCTGCACAATCTGGTAGAAGCGCAGAGAGCCCAAAATACGCAAACACTGCTAGAGACAGAATTCAATCTACAACCGGCGGTCAACTGGACTGAACTAATTAATGAGAACATATTTCCGGATATTGGAGTTCAGCCCACACAATTTGACTCTTTTAACCCATCAGAACATCTTGAACAGACGGATTCAAATGTGGATATTCCACGGAAGGGCAAAACAGCCAAAGAAAGCCTATTAAAACTTCTTCCATCGCAAGGCGACATAATCAATATTTTGAGCCATACAGGAGCTTGGGCTCTAGAGCTTCCAGCTCCTCCAGGATCAATACGAAGCCTCAAAGTCTCAACACAAGTTGAAGCTCGCAACATCGACACTGCCCCTCGACTTAGTATTATCAATATTGCCAAAACTCTACTGTTTCTTGCGCTATGTCTTCAGCAATTGCCTCCGAACTTTGATATCTCCCAATTTAATATGGATGACACGGAAGATCTTGTCAAACAATACACCCATTCTGTGGCTTCCCTTTGCTCTTGCCAACGAAGATAATATATGCACTACTGAAGGGCTAGAGTGTCTGCTGCTTTTAGCCACGATTCATATGAACGAGGGTGCCTTAAAAAAGGCATGGATGACTTTCAGACGGGCCCTCGACGCCGGAAGATTGTTGGGAATTAATAATTGCTTTGCCTCTTCAACACATAATTCCGAATCTCTCGACATGTCTCTCCGTCGTCGTTTGTGGCTCTCTACAATCATGGGGCACTGTTTTTGCAGCCTGCTTCTTGGCTTAGAGCTTGAGGCAAATAATGACTCATTAAGTTCAGACTATGCGTGGGACGATCAGCCTTTCGATAATGAGCTCGACTTCCAACGCCGTTTATGTATCGTTTCTGTCCAACTCAGTCAGCGTAATACCCGCGGGCTCCAGCATAACCCTGAAGAAACCCGAAAGATCAACATGGTTCTCGAAAATTTGGAGCATTCTATGCCTGAAAATTGGTGGCAAAAACCGGAAATGTCCCAAGAGCGGAGTGTTTACTGCGCCAATGAGTATGATAGACTTCTCTGTCATTTATGGTTCTTCCAGGTTCAAATCCTTGTCAATGTTCCCTTCCTCTTTGAATCTAGCGATGAAGCACATAGCTCTCGGGATCGCTGCCTAGAAGCAGCGAGAACAACCATATACCGATATCTGGGTCTTCGGCTGTCTGGAAATATTCAGCCTCACTGCCGAGTTACAGAAATCGCCATCTTCCTAGCATCGTTAGTCCTTGTCCTTAGGTCGGGTCGCCGCACCAGCTCAGATATCGCACTTGTGGAACAGGTTATCGACTCGACCTCAAGCCTGGGGAAAAGTTCTATTCGGGAACACGTGGCCAAAAAGAGTGCAGAAGTCTTGACTTTGTTACTAAAGAGACGCACGGAGACAGACTCTCTGGAGGATTGTTTAAGGGAAGATATCTTTACGCCGGCAGCACTTCACCCAGCCTCAGATACATTGACCACAAGCTGGCATGAAGATTTGATGGCTTCACTTCGGCGAACCCTGGAGCAGTATCCAGAATCGCGGGTTCTGGATCCTATATTGTAATCGTGGTTTAATCGACGTAATGTCGCTTGAATTGTTATTAATTGCCCTCCAGTGCCTTCAAATGTTCTCTCCCTTCCTTCACTATCTGCTCGTTGTAGATTATAGGCCCCTTAGCAGCTCCCCCAGCAGCCAAAAAGGCCATATAAGCACCGAGATCTTTATCCTGAATCATCCCAGGTACCAACGCAGTAATAACACTGCCGAACGCCCCATCACCAACTACGCCGCCTGGACGAACAATGATCAAATCCCACCAAGGACCCGTTTTTTCAGCAAGCGCAATAGCCGCCATCTCATGGCGTCCCTAGTCACACGTCAGAATCCTAGCGGGAAAAGAGTCTTTGTTGCGTAACTGTCTACCTTCAGTCTTCTATGGAATCCCATGAAGAAAAGTGTTGTGTCCTGATCTTGTCGGACAAATTTGCCACTGAGGTGAATGTATCTGAATGGTGCAGGTGGATCAGACTGCTGGCTACGATGCTTGATCATAGCCTCCTGGAAAGATCGCGGCCAATCAAAATCCACCATCTGGCTTCCCTCAAAAGATCCCAATGCCCTAATGTATCAAAATCAGTTTTATATCCACAGAATGGCCCGTATAGTTCGGAAAAATAGAAGTACCAAATCATGGCCTTGGCATCAGCGTGCTTGTTCAGTAGCTCGGGTGGCCATTGAGTGAAATCCTCCATTATGACTGTTTCTAGCTTTGCGTGCGAAGATATGTTTTCTGGCAGGCTTCGACGCGTTAGGGCAACAACCGAGGTGATGTCGGGATGGGCAAGACACTGAGTTAAGGCAGCACTGCCAATTTTCCCGGTTGCGCCTGTGATAAGAACTTTCATTTTGGGAGTATGATAAGAGGTAGAAATTGAAATATATTTACATAAAATGAAATGTTTTTTGAATGGAAATTTGGTACGTTTAAATAAGCGTTCGAACAAGGAGTCAAGGGCGAGTCGTCGGCCGACTCGGCCGATGAGCGCTAACACTTGTTGAGCCATGGAAAGCTGTGACATTCCCGAAACTCTGTAATCTTTGATTGATTAGAAACCGCTAAAACGAGGGCAAAAGGGATTGATAAATATCTCCATCCCCGCTACGCTTAATTATGGAGGTTGACAGAGACGAAACTTTGACGAAGTGCATAACCGAGACTGAGAGTGAAAAAGAAAAGTAGAGGAGGATCCATCGAGAGCTTCTAGATGATAAGGAAGCGATGCAAAAAAATGAGAGATGGCGTTGCATTGCATAGAACATCATAACGGCGGAAATCCTCCACTTCCGCCGCTTTTCTAAAGGTTCAACCCTTCAGTCCATCCCTCATAAAAAATAAAGAGCAAACCGCAAACCGCAACATTGTGAAGAACCATTTTCCGGCGTCAAGATTCACCAGCAATAGCACAGAAAGATTACTCGAAAGTGAGCATGCTCCATTAAAACACCCGAAGGCGCTTACTGGGGCTTCTTAGCAGCAGTAGGGCCAGAGATGAAGCGACTGATATCGGTAGCCTCATAACCCTGGCGCACGATACCCTTGAAAGTCTCCCAAGCTTGACGCACGGGAGGGGGTGTACCCTGGTGCGAGATCGAGGCATCGGCCCGAGCGACAAGCTGACGAACGACCTGCTGAACAAAAGTGCTCTGGGCATAGCGGGCACGGAAGAAAGCAAGGTAGACAACCAACAGAACCCAGCTGCCCTTAGAGAAGGTGATAGCTGACAGGATAAGACGAAACAGGAGGGCAATTTCAAGGGAAGCGACGATACCCATGCTAGCGTCATAGTACTGTTTAACAAATCGGCCGATTTTCTCGGCGATGGGGTTCTGCACTGACTTGGAGCTTGGCGAGGCCGGCGAAGTTCCTCCCGCCGCAGCAGGCTGTGGCTGCAGGGTGGGGACCAGATAAGTGCGGGTGTAGGTCGCAACGTGGAAGACTGAGTAAACGCTAAAGGGAAGGAGAGCCAAGATGAGCTGGCGCGAGTAGAGCCAGACGAGAGCCATTCCTATACGATAAAATTACATCAGCTATATGGTCCCGTTGCATGATCGCGTGCTTTTTCGTATCGCCAACAACTCACCTAGATATTGTACATTCTCATCAGAAACGAGCTTGAGAACGATATTGGGAACGCTGCCCTGGACGCCCCGGGCAAAGTGGCCCTTGTATACAACGATTCCATATGTCACGGCAGCCGAGACAAACGCCAGGCGATAAGAGATTCGAGCGGGGGTGGAATACCAATTGAAGACGATAACAGAGAACGAGTAACGGAGGACTGAGAGCAGGAGCGTCAAGTGTCTAAAAATATGTCAGTGACATACACTTTGCGATATGTGTTCATTTATACTCAGAGAGCCGACATACCCGATGAACCACGCGAACCTGTGAAAGATTAGATTAATGTTTCAGAGTTCCATGCAAGTGAGTGTACAGACGGGGAACGTACTGGAGGGTCTGAGCGAGGACCTTCAGTCTTTCAACCAAAGGCAGGGTCGCGGGAGGAGGGGGAGCCATTGTCGGTAGGAATAGGTTGGGAGGTTCCACAGGGAGTAGAAAAATAGGAGATGTAGGAGGATGAAAGCTGGGATGGGAGAAAAGGAAGAAGAGTCGCGAAAGGTGGCTGGGGGTTGTGTGTTACCTGTGCGGCAGCTTCAAGTTCTCTCTCCGCCTTCCGCCGTATAAAAACCCACATGACGTCGACTTCCATGATGCAATTGATTTTGATTCTTTACATCTTATCATCTCTTCAACCCTGGATCGGATATTCAATATCTGTTCAAGAACTTGGTTTGGATTATTTAACATTTCGCTAATTCCTGGATTGTATTCAATTATTCTGCCTTATTGACTAACACGATTTTGAGAAGCTGAATTAAGTCAAGCTTTAGAGCTCTCAGCTTCTGAGGTCCTGACAGGCTTTGGTGCATCTTCTTCATTGTTAGCTCGACTGAAGTTATCATATTTCAACCTGAACGCTATTTGTGGCGCTCTCGGGATAAGTAGCTTCGGCAGTTCGAAATTGAAACGGACGAACTTTGGAACCATGTAATCTTGGTCACTTTGGGCAAATTTTGTAGATATTTTATCTATCGATATTTAGAACATTGGAAGCTTGCAGGAGATCTTAGTGTGCCATCACTAAGCCGATCTAACTCCGCAAAATCGGGATATATGGTGGATCTTGCCGATCAAGTCCACGGGTTGACAACCACTTTCGACCCACTACTAGGTAGGTACATGGATGTTCTTACAGGTCACTGCTATTGCCCTTGTACCTTTCAAGGGTAACATAAGGATTTCCAGTTGCCTAGGTACTTAATGATGGTTGAACTAATTATCTTGATCTGCTTCGACATGAATATTCCAAGGTTGTAGCAAATGAATTAGAAAATCGAAACTTGTGAGCCTTATATATAAGCCTGTCAAATATCAACAGGGCTGTCATTACGATAGTGAGAATAGGATATTAATTAGACAGAAAATGATGCGAAATTAGCTCAAGCTTCCAAGGTTGGAATGCCCAAGTGGAAGGAAGCAAAAGGCTTCCAAGTCAAGGCTTGGTATATCACCTTCCATGTGCATTACCCCATTGCCCATCAGGTCCATATTGGGCCGGAATCTCTGGCCAGGTGTCTATACCGTCCAATATTGCGAGGCTACAGCAATTCATTAGCACAGATCATTCAAATAACCTTGAAAGAAAGCTCATCACTTACGCCATGCCACCAGTAAGGTGCGGGTCGATATGGCAATGGAGGAAGAAAGCCCCCGGGTTTTTAACTAGAGAAAAAAATGTGGTGAGCCTTGAACTGATCACTATTTGAAGTCCACTCACCATGATAGCGAATCGCCATCCAGCTTTGACCAGCAACAGCGGCGGGTGTCGTAAAAGTATCTATGGTTCGCGTTAATAGGTTAGTGTGGATCAAAAAATGCAGACATGGTAACTATACGAACCTCGAATTGGTGGATTAATTAAGTTGAAGCTGTCAGGGATAGCCTGGGCGGCCTCTGCAACTGAAGTCCAATTGAAACTGCCGCTGCCGGAACCCTTGAAAAAAGAATTTAGTCATGTTCAAGTCATGTTCAAGTCATGTATTGACTCTCTTTGGGAACTCACAAGTACGTATACTCGGTTGGAGTGCTTGTGCAAAGGATGGGGAGGTTGAAGAGTGTTCGCCTGTCCAGTCATGGCAAAAATGATATCCACCCAAGTGTTGTTCTTCGTACCGATAACCAGGGCACTATCGTCTGCCTTTTCAGGATTCCATAATAAGGGTCTTTGAGCTTCTAACTCCAGCTTGTATGAATTATCCCCATTGAGAGACCATTCCCAAGCCTTCTGCAAGCGGCCAGAGCTGAGGATATATGTTTGATCCGGGTTGTCTCTGGGCTGATCTGGAACAAGTGGTTCAATGACACTTTCATCAAGAGAGACGACAGAAGCGCTTGTGTTGGTACCACCATAATCGATAGAAGCGGTCGACTGAACATCTGAATTTCCATTTTTATAGGAAAGTGTACCGTAACCTGCAATCTTTTGATTGATACCTGAGCTAGCCACATTGATGGGATATGCTCCTGGAGTGTTGTCCAATTTAATCAAGGCAGAATAGCGACCGCCAACGCTGAGTTTTAAAGACTGGTGAGAGATATAAAGTCAGCAAAAAGTCAAAGCTGACAAGCGCACCGTCACAGGAGATCATACGTCAACTTTTGTTGGCTTGATGTACAAGCCGTCGACCTCGTAGACCCAGAGGGGATGATTGTTGATAGAGACTTTTCACGTCAGCCAAGTTGTCACCAGTTCTCATGAGTCGGTATAAAACATACCAATGGGAGCCAACACAGATGAAGAACCGATGAAGTTCAGGCTCGCCCAGCCATTGCTTGAGTCAACTTCGATGACCTCCTCCGTTGCGCCTGTAGCATTGCATTGGTCGAAGAGAGAAACTGGGACTTGATTAAAGTCGTGCGAATCGCCTGGCTGGACAAATGTGTTCTGGAGCGGAATGCAACTGTGTATTCATTACAGTTAGAATATGCCAGCATATAATGTTGCTTTGTCGACTTACCCTTTCGGGGTATAAGATAAGCCTTCGAGGATAGGTGCTTCAGCGGCAGAAACCAAACTATTCAGATAGTCCACACTCTGGCAGTTCACCCGACCCTTTCCGTTAATCAAAACGGAGTCCGTACATCTATATTGATAATATATCAGCTCCATAGTATCAGGAAGTTATTTGTCGCTTACACTGTATCGATATTCGCAGCCAGAGCAATGGCTCGGAGATCCTCTGATGTAAAATGCATCCAATCGGAAAGCATTACCAGAAGAGGGGATTTGATGGCGTCTTGAATCTGTGCTTGCTCTGTGCTATCACTTGTGATTGCAGTGAGAAGATCGTTGTTGATTGTTTGTGGCCTAGTGGCATATCGGTTAGTGGCCTGCGATAAATAATGATCTGGTTAAAACGCGTGATAGCTACCTAACGTAGATAGGTCCATAAAGACCATCCATGATTTGTCCAGCAGAATGTGAGTGATACCTGCAGTATGTTAGCCAGATTCTCATTTATATCGACAAATAAACTCACCAATATGTTCCATATTGCTCAACATTAAACGCCGAAACAAATCTCCCGCCTGGAGGGATAAGATTTTGCGAAACGCCAGGCACTCCATCTGACCAGGATGTTCCTACTTGTCTAATTCAGAGCTAGTAAGTAACTGATCGCGGCGAGATTATCAGCCTTTGGAAGTGCAAACTCACTCAATGCCGTGATAGTGTACGGTGGTGTTGAATGGCAAGTAGTTATTCACAGTCACCTCGACGTGGTCTCCCTCATCAACTATAAGTGGAGGTCCAGGGAACTGGCCATTGATCAAAACTTGCATGCGCTCAAATCCATCAGGTGCCGAAGCTTCCCAGGTCAAATTGAGCTCAAACTGTTTTTTAGGTGCATCTTTAGAGACGACAACATTCTTTTCAATGGCAAGACTAGCCCCTAATGTCAAGAGGGACGACAGCACGGCTAACTTCATAGCTGCTAAATCCTACCCAAATAGTTCACAAGAGTGCAAAGATGTGAATGAGACAGGATAATCTAGTACATATGTAAATTCATGGAATCCAAGACACACTAGGGGTACGTATGCCCTGGTGTACATTAGGCCCCGCAAAACTGATCCATAAAGCCTCAACATGCAGATGCTTTCGGTGGAAGGCCCTCTCGTACCTGAGTAAATAGTGGCGCCCCTTGCAGATCTTGACAATATACGAATAGCCCCTGTTATAATTAGTGACCCCTTTGTCTCGACCCTGGATTGAATACCGTTATAGTAAGCCAATTGACTCGGATGCAGCTCGGAAATACCCAGGAGTAGGTTTCAACCCTCTCTCATTGCACATATCTGTTGATCAGTCTGAAAACAAGGTAGAAGGCCCAGCTTCTGCATTCCGAAGCTGTTAGTTTATGCAACCGTTTCAGAACCTCAGAAGCCTCCAAGGTTTGGCTAGCTACGCCTTAGGTCTTAGGATCTTTATTGTGTAGATCTATGTATCTTTTTGGGAGATCATATTGTACATTATCGAGATTATTACCTCAACACAATGCACCTAATGCTGTAGCGTGCGTGATTTTCCAAAGTTGTTGCCCAAAAACTAAGAGTTGATCTTACTGCGTACAGGGACGATGACGATCATTGCTAAATCCCGCGCATGGGGCATTAGCCCGAGGGACTGGTCAACTTCCCAAGAATTTGACATTCCAAGTCCTCTTATTATTCTGAATTACGAGCTAAGACCCATCTATCAACTTTTAGTATTAAGTTCTTTGAGTGTATAGAACTGGTCAACTCGTTAATGAAGCCGTTTTCAAAGGTACCCCTGGCATCTACATAATAATTACATTATACAGCGGGCATATTGTGACACGTGTTTTGCATGTAAACCGAGCCGCGAAAATTAAATATTGACACGAATCTTATCTCGCGCATAATGCATCCCAGGGATTGATAGGCTTATTGGGGCGTTCAATTCTCACGTCTCATCAATCAATATCACACATCTGACCTGGATCGCCCCGGTAGACACTGCCTTAGTAATATGAAAACAAGGAGAATTCTATTTATAAATACGGGCATATCCTAGAAAGATCTTGATGTTGGTACTTTTTAGGTAGGCATAACTAATACAAGTTTTTTGATATTTAATTTTCACCCAGCCATGTGGCCATCTAAATATTCAATCAATTGATGCCAGATGTGATTTTGACAGTTTCTGGATATCTTCATTTACCGGGATGTATAGGACATCAGGATCAGAGCCCTGGAGGGCTTGCATTTAGCCTTGGAAGTGCCCAATGCTCAGAGGGTAGCAAGGCAGTCCCAGGAGTTCCAAGAGTTCCAAGGCTGCCCTTGCATAACTTACAAGACCTCGGACTATCATGGCACCTCGTATGTATATGTACCTAGCTAGCTAGGTACGCAGTGAGATGCCAGGATTGATCACATCAGACGACATTAGTCTCAAAGCGTGGCATCGCTCCAAGAGGTTTTCTTCGGCCAGGGGAAAATATTGTGCAACCGCGGATTAACCAATTTCTGTATACGAGAAATTGTATATGAGAAATGAGAGGACAAGCAAAGTTAAAATGGGAAATTAAGTGATGATAATCTTCCAATGTTAGAAATTGACAGCGGTGACTACCGAGGGAGCTGCTTCTTCGTATACTTCGAGTACACGGTAGCTATAATCAGTTCAACTAGTACTTCAATGATGGCTACCTTGGTTATAGCCGCTAATGATAGGTCTAAGTCCAGATACCGATGTGACCAGTTTCGGATCTCAACGGTCATAAGCGAATCGATAGATATGGTGGCCACCTGGGCATAGTCCTGCCCACCAGCAAAGATATAATATTCTTGAATAGTCTCCACAATGCCAAATTTCACCTTTTGCCTCCAGTGTGGGTCGTTTAACCTTTACGGATCCTTCTTGACTGTGGATATCAGGTTTCGAAATGTTGAAGCCTTTAGCAAGGCGTCACTGTGTGTGTTATGTTTCAGATCCAGGTATGTTAAGGCACAGAAAAGTGTATCTTGCCCCATAGAGGACTAACAGACATATTGGCAGGAGATTTTGTGCTGCTCATATCGATAATATAAGGCTGGAGATGCAGCTCGGGGTTTCCACAAATCATGGCAACCTCAAATGTATCTAGAACTTCCTGCTCTGATATCAGACTCACAGATCCTGATAGCATTCGGTCTTGTCTCTTGCGTTGCTAGAAATCTCACTCCACCTAGATTGACTACGGAAGCTGGGGTCCTTTTTGCAATCAATATTGAGCGAACGAAGAAATGAAGGCTTTCGCTGAAGAGTAGTTGACTTGACCGGCTTTATCCATAACTCCAGTCATAGAGCCACAGACGACATAAATTGGAGTTAGGCTCATCGGCCTTCCAACACATTATGAAGATCCCATGTTACCTTCAGGTCTCTACATACGTAGTAGAGAATATCAGATGCTCTGAATGGGGTGAAGGAAGATGATATTCTAACTTAGATAGATTCGTAGCATATTGTATAATAACTCCCTTTTATATTAGTAGGAGCATCGACACCAGTTCAAACGCTGCCGGTACGGGCTGAGTTATCCCAGCAGTTCTGCTCCTGGGCGACTGCTGTTCCAGCCCTAAGAGCGAGAACGGTGTCGGATCGAGCAGCATCTGCGGCAAAATGCATCTCCGAAAATGAAAGGAGGCAGTGCGTGGGGCTGAAACAAAAGACATAGTGGCCGGTGGAGGCGATAGGAAAGAAAGGGGGCGGCGATGAGTGTAGGATAGAGGGGATTGAGAGAAGAGAGTAGGGAACGGAATCAGGTCAAGAGGACGATGCCAGGTCTTTATGTCGGGTGGTCTGAGGGGAGCATGATGGCGTATCGTGACGCTAAACCATAAAAGGCAAAACTAACCGGATGCAGTAATTCACAGGTCCGCCGTTTACAATAAAAGTTTAGGTTTCTTAAACCATTCAGGTTATATTAGAGACACAAAAGGTCGATGGCTGAGGACTGTGCTGAGCAATCTTTTATAAAATTAGCGAAGTAGCAGCCAGGAAGTCAGGATTTAGATGATTGTTCTTCAAATAACCCCAAGACAGTCAGTGATTACAGGCACTATTCACTCTCCATCCACTCACAACATCCATGAACTAGGAGACACCATTTTCTCATTGGCTGGTTGCTTCAACATTGAAAATAAGGCCCTTGTGAATCATGAAATGTCCAATACCATATTTCTGTGTGAATGTAAGTGCGCCCCATTTTTCATTCTGAATAGGCGCATTAGGACCTTTAGACCCGAGTTCTTTCTGCAATTTTTTATATTCCTCCTTGGCCTCTTGATTGAATCTTTTTTCGAAGTAGCTTTTCATTTTCGTGACCAGAGGATCGTTGAACCCGGAGGTTTTCAGGCATGTCCTATCTCCTGCAATTGCTTTTTAGGGTCATTTTTCGTGTCTTTGTTTAGGTCCCTCAGATTAGTCGCGACATCCGAATCTATGGATTTCATAAAGCTCTCCATATTGACCGTTAAGCATTGCTGCGCGATTCCAACATTAGGTTAAATCCGTCCCGATGTTGATATAGGACAGCTGAAAACTTACGTTCAGTAATCTCCAGTATTTGAAATTCTTGACTGTGGAAGCCCAGAGTGGCGGACTTGTGTAATAGTTAGTTTGATGGAATTTTTAAGATGTCGGTTTAAGGTACTTACTTTGAGCAAAGCGTAGTATCGCCGCCTCTCGCAGTCCAGGACATGGCTAAGCTTCGGTTGAGCTTGCTCACTTCATCTGTACTTTGGGTGCCTTCGGAATGCCCATATACTGCCGAGGCCCCTACATAGGGTGCAGTGAAGCTGGCACCAGCAACTACTTGCATCCTCTCTTTTATCACCTCGATCTGGACCTTTTCCGATTGAGCGGTCTTTCGTGTATGTTGCAGGCGTCCACCAAGGCTGATCTCACTCGCAAAAGCATGTCCTAATTGTAGGCAATTAGCATTACCTACGCTCCATTGAGATTCAAAAACCCTACCATATTTGTCGAAAAAGTCTTCTTTTTCTTGTTTGTTGGAAATATTCAGCGCATCATGCCTGCATTCGCTAGAAAGCTGTATGGTTTCTGGTTCGAAGGTGACAGTAACCCGTGGGAACTGGATGAAGATTAGTCACCATCGGCGATTATATTGATCACAGACAGTGTTTCTCGAAATACTCACGTTATATGATACATGCAATTCATCGGCTTGAGATGAATCTTGGGTTGTAGTAGCAGTGCTGCGCTCTTTTTCGTAGGAAGCCTTAATAGACGCAGCCGTGCCAAAGTCACTTATGCTAAGTTAGTTTATGAAGCGATTATTCAAAGAATAGCACAAACTTTGAAGCCCCAACGGTGTTAGCTGTGAAGCCCTCGTTGGCCAGTCGATGCTGAAATGCATCGCCGATTTCAGTCACTGTCACGCCCGAGTCATCGTCAATAGCAAATAGCGGAATCCCTGGAGCACCGTACTTTGGGCAACTTATTCAGCATTGAAATATACTTGGAAGATAAGATGATACCTACATAAGGACTCCAAGAGTTTTCTGAAGTCTTATTCAGAGTTCCAGGGACTGAACTGCAAATTTCGAATGCTCATCTTTTAGTTAGCATCTCTAAGTCGTCACATCTGAGAATAGAATGACACACCTCTTTTAGGGGCTTTTTCTAGAATGAATGATGTTACACTGCCAGCGGCGTTTTTCTGCTTTTTGTGAATCCAGCCATGCAGGGCCTTGTTGTTGAATAGAATCTCTTGCCAGTCGGTTTCTGTTAAGGAAGCAGGGGAAAAGACGCTGAATTATTGTGATATAAGCGGTGGACCTGTATCAGGGTTCAAATTTTCGCAAGGGCACCTACTCTGTGTTCGGCTTATCAGTTGTAAATTGAACTTGGTCAGCCAGACGCTTTCCGATAGACTTCGATAGTTGCTGCACTTGTTGAGACTCAAGCCCTTTGACCCCACTGAGCGAGTCCTCGACGGCCTTGAAGGCTTTGTCAAAATCCGGCTTGGCAGGGCGGGCGATTGCCTTGTCTTTGATTAATTTGACAGTAATAATCGGAATGACAGCAACGGCGGAGTTGATGACGGTTTGTTTGTCGTTAAGGGCGACATTGGAAGGTGGTTGCGAACTGCTTCCTTCTGACAACTGGGACCGATTCTGTCGTATTCGAATGAATGTTAGCTCTGGAAAAGACAATATTTGGTCAAGGAGAGGAATACACTGGGAGTCAAGGAAACATAGTAATCGAGAGTAGTCGAGTCTGCAATGGAGGCTTTACCATCTGTACTGAAATTGTACTTCCTAGACCTATGCTATAGATTAGCGGTGGCTAGATAAATAGTATATAACAACTTCAAGTTGCTACTTGAGATATAACGCTTACACATTGCATCTTTCCCGTATCTGAGTGAGGGTAATCTCGCTCAGCATATGGCCTTTACGATCATCATTCATCAGATCAGTATTCTTCAGGGAGGGGGAAGGCAACTTGATCAGAGCTATCAAGTTGGATATGGAAGGGAGATGTTTCAGTCATTTTGACAAATTTGAGGCCTGGGCTTTAATTGGCGTGGTAGACTTAGAAGAAGAGACTCCTGGAGATGCTAGAAGTGTTACAAAATCTAAGTTCGAGTAAGCTGAATGAGTTGATAAATTCAAGTTGATATGGGGATTTAGCCACAACCCACTGGCATTCGCATGACCCTTTCGAGACACATAATGCCTTGTTCTAGCACTGCAGCTGAAACCAAAGATTTCTTCCTTCTCCACCCGCCTCAATGTAGTTATACTGCATGATAATCCCATCTTCATTCCTGCATGTGGCGAAAACTTGCCAGGGAATGTTTTGGTAGTCCTAGCGATGCTGGTCCCATTGGGAGAGCGCCCCACGCAGAGATCTTGCCCAGATGGCTGAGATACGTAAGTAATGTAGGTAGGTTCATACTGTAGTCGCATCGGTCAGACCGCTTGTCATGAGTGAAATGAGGAGGAGAGAGGAGGGACGAGGTAGTTACGAAGTAGGCAACTATGTACCTAAGGTTGAAAGGGCTTAATTGGTCAGTTATACCCACAATATCATAAAACGGAGTATGTATTGGACCCGAGACTATGTACTAACATTCATGGATGGTTCCATCATCTCATGGGGATGTGGCTGGCTGTAATGTAATTAATCTCTCTCTCGAGGTCTCTCTGTACGTCACGGCTAGTTTGAACTTCTCCTTGGTTTTCTTGGTTTCAATAGAGCATTTTGCATGGTGTAGGTCCAATACACCAGTCTCCTGGAGGGGTGGTTGGTTAAGCTGCCGTTTAGTTTTAGGGCGCCGAAGAGGTTCCCGCTTAACCCTAATCGCCTCCACTAAATTTTCAAGATTTCGACACTCTTCTTGGACCAATTGAGCATGACGACAGAGATATTCAAGACCTCTTTGAACCCTTGGTTTAAGGTGTTGATCAATATCCTTGAAAATCTTCTCTTGGTTCTTCTCAAGTCGTGATAAGGTTTTTGGCGGAGTATATTCAATACTAGAAGATGAGTGCTGGAGATGGTGTGCATTCATCATGGTGTTTCCTAAGAGCACCTATAATATTATTAGCTTTACTATAGTAATATAGGTATATAGAGATATAAACATACCTTCAGTAACAATAAGATCTGGTATTGAATCCCACTGGCTAGGAAGCTGACTTAAGATCTTCTCACTATCCACTGGATAGATACCACGGTCTTTAAACCCATCTCGAATAATGCGTGACTGAAATGCCTCTTCTCGAATAGGGTGAATTATCATTAAAAACTCTGATTTTATCATAGACATACCAGCATAATAGGAGATATCATTATTTTGACGTCGAAACTTCTGTTTATAAGCCAAAAATGGCTTCCCATCAAGTTGTTGGCAGAGATGTGTTATATGCGGTAGAAAATAAAATGGTATAATATTATTCTGCTCGCAGGTTTGCAGGAATTCAAGGATAAGATGCGATTCATGGCCGTCAAAAAGAAGGATTCGACGCTTTCCTATAAACCATATATTAGTATAAACTATAGTAAATGCATATGGCCATACAAATGATATAATATAGCTATATCATAATAAATGCAGGGATATAGGGACATAAACTGTAACGGCGTGGGTTACAACAAGAGTGACTAGATTGGGAGCCGCCAAAAGGCTGAGAAGGGGAATGGACTCTCTACACAAGTTGGCTTAACTAGCGGTTAGGGATCAGCGGAGTCGGTGAGGCGATCCAAAGATCTGCCTCGAGATGATAGCGAGTACCGATCTCTAGAAGCACCGACGATCGCTGGGGAACAGAGATTCCCCGGGTGAGCTACTTCGTAGAAGGCATGAATCTGCATTGTGTGCGATAGGAATGTTTCTTGTCTCCGTTATGACGTGTTCTCTGCCTTGGTTCTCCATCATCTGGCTGGCTGAATATACTGGGCATAGCTTGTAGGGTTGTTTTATCTTACGAATAGTAGTGGATAGATATATATATATAACAGTCTACCCCGATCTTCCCTACACAAAACGTAGAAACATTCTTAATACACATTACAATCTTGGAAACTCTCTTTGATAATTCATCATGTCCACCATCACAAATTCTAAGACAACTGAGGTTATCGAAAACTTGTACAAACTCCCACTAAAGGCAGTCGCAACGGTCCAGCCCCCGGATGGCTCGGACAGTCAAGAGCCAAAGGAAAAGGATTGTTTTATATTAAAGTGCAGAAGCTACTATGGTATACCCGTTATTAAACCGCGAGAGCAACATCTATCATAGCCGCTGACTATACATCTGCAGACTTGCAAGCTTATTTGTTTGCGGGCATGAAGTTGCCATCAACATCCGAGGATTATGAGAGACTCTACCCAAAAGTCAACTGTGCGAAACTCACTGAAGTTGATAGTGGCATCTATGAGGTATGTTGCAAGAATATGGTGTCTGTTATTCAGACTGACATCATCGAAGATAACTAAAAAAGGATTTTTGGATATACACAACTCTTGTGAGCGATTTAATCGAAAAGACTTAGGTTATATTTGTATGTGTTTGCTCCACAAAACGGAAATCCAAAGAAAACTCTAGCTAACTGAAAGTAGCCCAGATTGCAGGATTGGTTCAAACGTATTCTAAGACTGCCATATTTCTAATGGAAGGCGACAAGCTCAAGGGACAGGTCGCTGTCGTCCTTGATGACAAGTATGAGGAGGAATCAAATCGCGACAAAAAGTTCAATGACTCCAAATATGCCTGCAGAAGCCTGCTTCAGAAGTTGAAAAACAGATCATCTGAAATTGCTGAGAAGATCAGCGATGTCATCACGAGGATTGAAGGGGTTTGTTTTTTTCATTTTCCTTGTGTTTTTCCATCATTAAATACTAATTTATTCGACTGATTTCCGAACGCAGTTTCAAAACGAGACTGAGCTCAATTATAAGGCAATCAATTTCCTTAAACAAGAATACAGAACAGGCCCCGTCGTGGACAGTCTTACCAGAAAGGAGAAGCTGGATGAAGAGCTAAAGCCATTCCCCCCGTACTCTAAGTACATTGATGGGCGAATCGAAGAATTGAACAAGGAGGTCGAAAAGAACATCAAGCGAAGAGACGAGGAATATGAGATTTGGGTGAATTCTATCCCTAAATTCTCAGATATGTAGTTGCTAATGATGTTCCGGCTTGAAAATAGAAACATTCCACGATTGTTGCCTCTACGAGTGTGGTTTATATTTGGTGCCCTGCTGCATCTATTCCTGTTATGGCTGTCTTTACGGACAGGGCGATTAAAGCAGATAATGCGTGGCAAGTCGCTAAGATCGCACTAGCGCAGAACAAAGCGGACATTACAACTTTGACAGCCCTCAGTGTTAATATCACTGGACTCTGCGTTCTGTTTGACGACCTTTGCAATAAGATTGCTGCCGCCAAGGACGCTCTTTACAACATCAAAGAGCTATTCGACAAACAGTCCCAAAACTTCGGTGACGCAATCAACATGTTCAGTACTGCTGATGAAACTCTTGACGAAAGTCTTTTCTTCCAAAAACTGATGCTGCAAGACTCTATCGATCGGGCAATTGGAGCATTCAAAAAGGTATGCTGACCCCAACTTGAAGAAAGTTACATAGCTCTTCCAAACTAATATCAATAATCAGGTAATTGACTCCGCGGAAGATTTCAAGAAGACTGAGTTTAAGGTTGAGCCTATCCCCGACGTTGGTCGGCTTCCAGAGCAGTCGTAAGAATTAAATTCTGGTTCCTACACTTTCAATATGATTTTTCAAGATTTTTAAAAATCACTATCTGTAGTGACTTTTTTTATTTTCGACATTTAGTTTTTATTTAGTATATACTGTATGTTTGATTTATTTGATTTATTGATTTATACGTTTTTATAAGGCAGCATTTGTCGATCATCACCCAGATGCGGTCGCTATGCATCGGCCTTCGGCATTGGCTCTATAAAATCGGGGAGATCGACTCTGATCGGTGTAGCTGCGACGAAGGATCACAGATTCCAATGCATGTCATTCTCCAGTGCTCGTTATTCGATGATCAGAGAGCATGGCTTCAGAGAAAAATTAGTGCGACCGATATATGTCTCACCCGCAGTCGATCCGCTACATCACCAATTTCATGCACCAAACAGGCCTACTAGAACACATTGGTCCGTATCCGGACCAATATGGCTACGAATCAATATGTCTCGCGGTCATTGAAGTATGAGGTGGAGAGGATGGGTAACGACACTGTGAAAAGACTGGGCACCGAGCACCTAGGCCACGAGATCGGAAACAAGCCAAACGAGCTAGAAGAGCCAAAAGAGGAAAACCCTATACATAAAAGACCAAGTAGAGAGTGACAAAGAGGAGAGACAAGAACAAGAGAGACGGGAACTGAGGGCAACAGGAATAGGAGAGATGAGTTGACAAAGCAAGAGATCGAGTGAGAGATGACCAAGAGATTGGACTAGGAGAGATGGGGGAGCGAGAAGTCTAACGTTTCTCAAGCTCATCCTGTCTCTCCTTCGTAAAGCCACTGACCCTCAATTTATTGAAGACATCATCCAAATCGATACCGTAGTTTAAATCGTTTTTCTAACCAATTCAGATCATGGCTTGATAATCCTAGGATCCTCTAAGAGTATCCTCTTATAATCATATTTCCAAGAAATTTTTTAAGACTTGGACAGCGCTTAACAAGCTGTGATAATCAGTTTTTGCCTATAGAAGAAGTAGTTGAAGAGGTGGCTAAATACTATGAAGTAAAGATTGAACATATCTCTCAAAATAGACAAGGTGGAAGCTGCATTTCTCTGGTCCATAGAGATTAGCCGCCTCTCTATAGAATTCTCTTTAAGAGTAAATTCATGACCTGATGGTCGTTTCTCAGTCTGTTTATACAATCATATAAGATTAGCTTTGATTCATTGAATAGGTACGCAGCAGCTAAGGTGGAGATAATTATCCCATTTCAATACAATGGCCACTTCCATACAGCTCTCCTGGTCGATATATTTCTGCTGTTTTTACGAACAAATCGGTGGCATAGTGGGTATTTGAAAATGGAGGGTTGCTATAGAGATAACATTTTAATTGAGCTTCCGGAACGTTAGATACAAATTACCTTGGTCATTGTATCTCAGCATCTCTGACAACCGACACAATGATCAGCATGCCAAAAATAACCCTCTTTCATGATATGGTGCTGAATACCGAACTAATTTCAGAACCCTCGATGTCTGGATCCATCAAAGAAAGAATCTTGGAACCATATTCATGGATTGATTCCACAAAGACAATGAAACAGGATAATGAATCATGAGATTATTTAAAGTCCATTCTCCTCTCACTCACAAAAAGCTACATAAAAACAATATCCTTGATAAACTAGACTTTACCGAGGCATAATCTTACAATTCCTAGGTAGTAATGTCGAAACTTGAACCTCCAATAATGCTGGCCTTAGGGCTCATTGGCGCAGTCGCCTTGTCCATATTTTTCCGAATCTTTGTCAGCTCTTCTCGACATAAATCCGCTTCTGCTCGCACTTCGAAAAAGAGTCGTGACGCTCAATCTCGTGTAGAGTCAGCTTTAATCCAGGCTGCCAAAGACAATTCAAAAGAAGCAACAAAAAAAATACTTGCAAATGCTGATGTTACTTGGAAATCAGACTTTTCTTGTCATATGAAAGATAATCGTTGGCACTGCAATCCTGTGACCAAAGAACACCCCATCTCATACGCCGCCACGTTGGGCCATACTGCAATTGTTGATCTTCTCCTGCATGCCGGAGCGGATATTGAATACAAGGACAGCACGGGCCAAACACCTCTTGTACTAGCTGCTAAAGGAAATCATCTTCAGACTTGTTGTCTTTTAGTGGCGCGTGGGGCAGATATACAGGCACACGGCATTCATGAGTCCAAGGGCGTGCCATCTAGAACGGCGATTTCATTTGCATGGCTGAATAAGAACGAAAAGATACTCGATCTTTTTCTCCAGTCCCTGCAAGAGAATGCCGGCAAGCGATCGGTCGAGTATATCAAGGGTGCTCTCGCCACTTTCATGTGCCATGCGGCTATTCGGAATGATCTGCAGCGAATGAAATATCTTATCTCTCTCGGTGCAGATGTGAACAACCAAAGGTCCGAATCAACTACTACAGTGCTGTGTATTGCAGCCCGTCATGCCGATTTAGAAACGGTCAAATTCCTGCTTATAGCCGGAGCGAACCCGAATGCGACGGTTGAGCGTCGGTCAAGTCCAACCAAGGGTAATATCACCGGCGCGACTACGCCATTGGAATCTGCTGTTGTGAATAAGGAGTATAGCAAGGAGATTGCTCAACTACTGATTAGGAGTGGGGCGGTTCCAACAAGAAGTGATCTAGAGTTTGCCCAAGCGCATGGGAGTCCAGAGGTCATCAAAATGCTGGAAAGCAAATTCCATAATTGACGATCCAGTGGTCTAGAAGAATCGGGCGTCCAGGTGATGCTAGCTTGATATGAAGTATTTCAATATGTATGGAGAGTAGAGGGAGTAAAAGTTGTAGATAGCCCTAAACCAGTGACGGGGCTCATAACCCCGGGTTTTGACCCCGCACTATCTCCGCACTTTCCACTTTCCGGGGGTGGAGATCCCCGGCGACAATTGCCTATATTCTACTCCTCATCGCCAATTCACCTTTTCCTAATTCTTTTCAAGGACTTCTATTCTTCATGATGCGGAACAAGGTGGTTCCATGGTGAGTGATAGACTAAGCTCCACACTATTGGCTCCTACTAGGCACTAACATAGCCCTTCTTGAAAGCCAGGAATGCCGCAGTAAGTATCCCATACATAGATAGGTCAATTCCGTGGATATAGGCTGATCAAATTTGCTATCAGACCGTCATGTGAAATGTGAGTTCTCACCATGCACGGCGCTTTCTGTATATATGTATCGTTATCTCACTTAACTATAGGTGATGGGAAAAAACCAACTTGTCACCGATGTGAGAGAACGGGCTCTCCCTGTAACTGGCAGGCTCTTCCATCGGGATTTCGCCATGGATCTAGTGCTAGTGCCCGGTATGATTTCGCAGATGACCAGCCTTGGCTCCCTATCGGACATGGTCTGTGAGACCTTTACCCCTCTCATCTATTTTGCCGGGAATATTCCGTCAAATGGGATACTATCGGCCTATGGAATTTCCATTGATGGTTACTGACTTCGAAATGTAGTCGATTACAAATATATGGATGAAACAGCCGACATAGCCCGACACTATACCCTGGACTTTGACTGCAATGCATCAGTATCATCATCTGTGATCGACAAACGAGAGAGTGTGGCGTCGGCATCGGCATCAACTGAGACGTACAATTATGCCGAAACCACCATTCCCTGTGATTCTCTGGGATTAAAGTCATCTGATACTTTTCTGCTGTTACGAAACGATAGTACCTCCCTGGCTGATTACTCTCCATACGCCATTCAATTATCGCCTGAGAACCAATCCTCTATTTCTTCCGCCTCCCCTGATTTTTCTCATAGTAGCCTCGTCTCTTTTGCCTCTCGTGACTATGCCGCTACTGTCGATGGTGGACTGCCAACCTTAGATGAGCATGAGGCTTGTCTAATGCGGTATTTTGTGGTTAATCTTGCTCCTTGGGTATGCCCCCTTGGCTGTTGCAGATACACTTCATATTTCGGCTGATGTCCTCTTCTTTCTCAGTTCGATCTATGTGACGGGAAAAGACACTTTGCCTGCACTGTACCACTTCGAGCTCGAACATGTCCACCCTTACTCAATGCAATATACACAGCGTCAGCACGACATTTGAGTAGGATAAAGAAGTACTACACCGGAAATAGCGTGCATTATGGAGGCAAGGTTCTTCCAAACCTGACACCCGAAACCGCCATCCACTACCACAACCAATGCATCGCTCATTTCGTGGCTCTATCAAACCACTCACATGAAACACGTGATGAGAACCTTCTCGCTGCAGCCGTGATTCTTCGATTTTACGAAGAAGTAGATAGTAAGTGTCATTCCACTCATTCCAACATAGTGGTTGTTGATTATGTATCCCTTTTTCAGTACCCTTAATTGGCCAAGATACAGAGAGTGCACTCCGAGGAGTTCAAATCTTTCTAGACGCACAAGCTATCTCTGCAGTAGCAGGGTCAGGACTCCGCCATGCAGCATATTGGATTGCACTACGACAAGAGATTACAACATCATTCAGTAAACAGCGATCCTTCCGACTACCCTTAGGCCCATGCGACCCATACCGATCATTCGACCCAGCAGACGACTACGTCTGGGCTGACCGACTAGTCATCCACTGCGCAGACGTTCTCCAGTATTGCTTTGGGTCGGAAGAGGAAAACGTCCCACACGCCCAATACCACAATACTTCCAGCGCGGGGATCCTCCACCTAGCACCAGCAACAGACGTGCGTATAGCTTGCTACGATGAGCTCGTCGCATTCGAAACACACTGGACCGAGCTAGATCTACCCGGCTTTAAGCCCATCTACACACGCGAGTCAGACCGCCAGCGCGGAGAGGTCTTCCCCGAACTCTGGTACCTGAACAACTGTCATGTAGCCGGTCTGCAGTTTTTGGAGCTCGCGCGTATCCTGCTCACAGTTTATAATCCCAGATTACCGCGATTGGGTCTTGGCCAGCGTACAGCGATGCGATCGGTGGATCTTCAGGTACGGTCGATTGTTGTGAGGTTGTGTGGCATTGCTCTTTCCAATCCTCATAGTCCACCTGGTCTTGTGACAGCTTCTGCTGCAATTGGGATGTGTGGGGATCGATTCTCGGATCGACTTGAGCAGGAGGCTTTGCTGGGTGTTTTGATGAAGCTGGAGGATGAGCATGCATATCCTACTTCTGGAACACAGGAACAGCTGAAGAGGGCGTGGGGCTGGGAGGGCTATGATGGGGAGTAAGAATTGATATTTGACGCATACCTACCTACATAGTTACCAGGCAATGGGATTTGAAATAAATCTTCTCAACTTCTCCATCGCAGTAATTGAAGAAATTAAAGCTCTATACAATTCTCCCTTGATTATCATTACTTTGCAACCTTGGTACAGAGTTCGACTGAGTGTAGGGTCAGTCAATTGATCAAGCAGGATCAAACTAGATGTTTGCCTAGCTGTTTGCCTAGTTAGGTAAGTATGACGATGTAGATCGTGAAAAATGGAGTGCGGGGAAGTGGAGACTCCATGAAAGGAAACGCTCGCCGACTTTCCACTTCTGAGAGTATGCACCTCTACAGCGGTGTAGAACATAATTAGCAGGGTACATATATAACATACAGCTCCAATCCAACTAACCTCGATCATCTCAGGAATTTATCTCATTTTCCTTCTATTTACAAGACCCAAACCCCTTCAATCAAATCGCAACATGTCCGAGAAGCTCCAGGTAGCTGTTGTAGGCATTGGTCGCATGGGTAAATCCCCTAACCTCTTCAATTGAAGGCATCCCAGTATCTATGGTTAAGCCCTGACTTGTTTCCTCTAGGAATGCGCCACGCCCGCCATTTTGCAACCCTCACTCCTCGTGCCGAGCTTGTTGCCGTCTGCTCGCCCGTGCAGGCGGAGTTGGACGCTGCAAAGAAAGAGTTCGGGGTCCGCACCTACACCGACTATGACCAGATGCTCCAACAGGAAGAGAAGCTGCAAGCTATTGTGGTTGCCAGTATCACGACCGTGCACGCTGAACAGGCTATCAAGGCTATCGAGCGTGGACTTCACGTTCTCTGCGAGAAACCTATTAGTACAAGTATTGAGATTGTAAGTAGCACACATACACGCAATTCCAAGGTTCCATGTCAGCCTACATTAAGGTTAAAGAGGAGGCTAACCAATTTCCATAATAGTCCCAATCCGTCGTTGACGCCTACAAAACCTCCATCAAGAAGTATCCCAACCAGAAAGTCATCTGCGGCTTCTCGCGTCGCTTCGATGCATCCTACCGCGATGCACACAAGCGCACGGCGGCAGGTGACATAGGTACACCTTCTGTGTTCCGATCTCAGACCTGCGACAAGCTCGATCCGAGTGGATTTTTCGTTGCGTACGCCGAGTTCTCGGGTGGAATCTTCGTTGACTGCTCTATTCACGATATCGACCTTGCATTGTGGTTCTTTGGGGATAATAGCAAGGTTAAGAGCGTTGCTGCTATTGGTATCACTGCTGTGCAATCTGACTTGCGGAAACATAATGATCGGGATAATGCTTTGGGCATTATTGAGTTCTATGTGAGCATACACTCCCTTTTCGTTTCGTTTTACCACTTTGTTGCCTATTTATTCAGTCTGGATTTTGGAACCAACTAATCATATCATAGGGAGGCAAAATCGCCCAACTTTACTGCTCTCGCATGATGGCTGCCGGCCAAGAAGACTGCACCGAAATCTTCGGTACAAATGGCAAGATTGCTGTCAATACCCAGCCTCAGTTAAACCTGGTAAACCTGTACGAGCCGACCGGTGTCCGACGTGAGATCCCTGCAGACTACTACGGTCGATTCCGAGAGGCGTTTATCACAGAGGCGAATGAGTTCACGGCTTCTTGCTTAGACAACACTGCGCCGCCGCTGGAATTGGATTCAGCTGTCAGGGCTGTTAGAATTGGATGTGCGTTGCAGGAGGCGCTGATTACTGGCAAGAAGATCGAGTTTGAGGAGAGTGGAAAACGGATTGAAGCTGCCAAACTGTAGATTCTATCTATCCTTTTGTGACGCTCACTTTACCTTGTCGTGATGGAAGTTCGGTTTTTGAGTCGACATTACTAGACAGCCTTGAGGCAGAATGATGTTCTATCGTTTCATGATGTCTCTCTAAGTCACATCTTTAGTAATGAGTAGTAGTGCTGATAAAAGCATTACTCTACACTCCTTAATCCATACCCACTACGTTGCATAAGACTAGAGAGATGCCGAAGCGCTGCAATTGACTAGCTGATAGAGAGCCAAATGCTCCAAGAGAATAACAGTAAGGGAAATAAAATTCAACGACAAAATGAGCGGGTAATAGGGCACACAGAAAAAGGCGACAAGAACAAGATATGGCGTAGCAAAAAGTACATCACAAGAAGAGAAATAAGGTCTTCAGGCGACCCCCGCGGATCGTATTATCAAAACCATTCTTTTTGTTGCGATGTATCGGCCCATCCAGTGGAAGATAAAAAATGGGAGCAGCGTTAGGTCAAGTAAGTGAGTGTGATAGAGCGACAATAATGAAAATCGGGCGAGGGATATCGGATCGGAATCAAAGTCGGAATCAACGGCCGTCAACGGCAAACGCAAACTTAACGAAGCGAGAAACCCTTGCGTTTGGGTTCCTTCTCGATAGGACGACCACTCTCGAGGCGGGATTTCTTCTCCTCCAGCTCCTGGCGTTGTCGGTCTAGCTGATCCTTCATCTCGCGATGCCGGGCGTAAAGTTCGTCTTCGCTTTGCTTGAGCTTGCTTTCCTTCTCGGAAACCTTTTGTTGGAAGACCATCTTCATTTCCACCTCCATCTTTGAAAGCTTTTGTTCGTGCAAAGCACGCTCCTCCTCCTGCTTGACGGCAGGGTTGACCTCCTTGAACACGCTGGGGTCCTGGGCGACACCCATAAGGGTGAGCTTGTCTGAGCGGTAGTTCTCGTACAAGAAGTTGTTGGTGTGCTCCTTGAGCTCCTCCATATGGGTGCGAATAAGCATCTGGCGCAGCTTCACAAAGTCGCAGTGGTCTTCGTTGTCGACCTCGATAGTACCCCAGGGGTAGCTACGGCCACGCACGCGACGGCCATCCGGCGCATTAACCTCCGAGTTAGCACCAACAACGGCGAAAGGAACCTTGGACATAATCTCCTGGTTCTCAGCGATGGTCTCCTCGTCGTCGAGCTCGTAGCGAGGGCCCTCGAAGATCTGGATGGAGTGGTGCTCGATATCGGAAAGGATCTAGTGAGAAGGATGTCAGAAACCAAACTATCGAAAATCAAACCCTCAGGAATCTCAAAAAACCTACACGCTGCTTGAAATTGGCCACTTCCTCGTCAGTCAAGGTATCAGCCTTGGCGATAACGGGAATCAGGTTGACCTTGGTGTGCAGGCGGCGCATCACCTCGATGTCCAGGGGCTTCAGGGAATGCCCAGTAGGCTGGATGAAGTAAACACAGGCGTGGATGCGGTTGTCGACAATGTTGCTACGGTTGACCTTGTTCTCGGCCTCAAGGTAGGTGTCGAAGCGCTGCTCAATGTTCTCGACAATAGGGCGCCACGAATCATCGTTGTTGACAAAGTCACCGAATCCGGGGGTGTCAACCACAGTCAAGCGGAGGCGGACACCATTCTCCTCAATATCGGCGCTCATGGACTGAATGGACACGGTCTTAGGAATGATATCGGCATTGGGTCCAGGGCGCTCCTTCGGGGGTAAAGGGAGGTGTTGAAGAGGGTATTCACGAGTGTCGATTTTCCGAGGCCAGATTCACCTTGGATCGCAAAATCAGTCACTCTGTCTGCTTAGAGGTAATTGAGTGTTTGGGTTATTTTGCCTACCAACAACCATAACATTGAAGTTGAAACCCTTGCGGACACTCTTGCGGTGCCACTGGTTAGGTAGGTTTGCGAATCCAACGTATCCGGTGAGCTTGCGGCGAACGACGTTCTTCATATCAGAAGCGGCCTGGGCGGCAGCCTTGGGGTCGCGAGAGGTAACGGTCTGAGCGATGCCGGAGCCCATAGGGTTGCTGCGCTCAACGATAGGCGACTCGGTGCTGGCGGGCAAGGCAAATTCGCCTGACACCTCAGGGGAGGTAGAAGGTGAAGCTAGTTGAATCAATCAGTGTCCGTTTCCAACGCGCAATTTGCTATTACCCAACAAATTGCCCGTGCTGGCGATGGGCAGTTCAAGTTCGAAAGGACAGCTTACACATGGCGAATGTCTCGGGTTGAAATTAGTGAAGGAGTTAGGAACGGATAGTAGTCGAAAATCCCCTGGAAGACAAGATTGAATTAGAATCTCTGTGCTCAAAGTTTAGAGTGGGTTCCACTGGGAGAGTGGGCAAAGCAAAAATATTCAAAGGGGGGAAAGATCGGAAGTGATGGGGGAATATTCATACCTGAAATAGCAGAAAAGGGGGGAAGCGAGATAAAATGAAACACCAATTCCTAAGCGAGTGACCGAGAAGAACTTCAAGCGGAGGCTTAAGAAGAACAAAAGAGAAGGAAACGAGAGGAGGGTGATGGGGGAAGGAAGAAGAGTGAACTACTAAGGTAAGAAGAAAGGGGGGCGAGGTTAGTAGAGAAGTGGGTGATCGACCTGTGAGAGACCACCAAAGTCTGGATTCATCACTTCTACTACATTTGATCACTACATTCTTCGGAGTATTTTATCCTCGTCTCGTTATTTTAAATTACACTAATATAATATGATATCGCACCTTCTCGTCACAATTGCCTGATGTTGAATGGAATGCAGCCCGCTATTACTATAACTACCTGATTACATGAAGATCCGGAGTATTGGCTGATACATACCGGGCTCAACGACCCAATGAGGGACTGAAAAAGACAATAATACGTTCTCATGCTTTGGGGATTTCAATGGCCCTAATGCGAACCCCCAAGTTTGCATTACCCCTGGGTACTGCCTCGACGAAATGCGCAAACACGTAAACAACGGCCAGTATCCTCATTCTCCAGGATCAGGGGTTGATGGAGATTGGATCACGTGAGCTCCACTGGGTGGGTCTTTAAATAGCAGTACAAAGTACGGAGTACGGAGTATCAACATTCTTTAATTACGGAGTACTACGGAGTTATGGACATGGACATCTCTGGGGAACAATGTCTTTTTCATTGCACAACAGTCATATCAGACTGGAAATAAGAGAAATTGCATGTCTATTTGCTGACCTTGGTCTTCTTCACTGGTCGAGAATCTCCTCCGTCCGATTTGCCGTCGTCAGCGTCGTCGGCATCAGCCATCTCAGCATCACTATCACTGCCACTACTCTCATGGTCCTCGTCATATTCCTCTGCAGGATCAGAGTCAGAGGATGCGTTAAAGTCCTCATCCGGTGACTCGTCGTCTTCATCCGCAGAGCCGCGGTCAGCTCGTACAGCCTCATCGTCGCTCGATTCCATCAGAACATCATTATCAAGCGCAGCCTTCAGGATGCCGGATGTGTCATCAGACATCTCATTCTTAATACGGATACCCTTGGTCTTGAAGAAGTCCTCAAGGGGTTTTTGCTCCTCACTAAATCAAGTTAGAGCTAGACTAGGATTAAAGGATTGAATCACTTACCGGTTAATGTTGCTGAATTGGTGCTCACCACTGCCCCCCTTCAAGGTGACAGTAATATCAAATGTCCGGCTGGCCGAGACGGCACCTCCAACACGCGACATTGTGACCACCGCAACGTTCTCCATTTGGATGTAGGTGGCAGGCTTCGGAACGAAGATGAGACTCTTGTCAAGGAAATAGAGCAGACCCTCGCTGGCCTTGATGGAACACTTGACACCGTGATGACCGTGGTGACTCACAAAGTCCTTAGACGGCATGATTACCTTCTTACCGGAAAGTCCACGGAAAATCTTGGTCACCACCTGGTGGATCGGCTCCTCGTAGTGTGGTTGCAGCTTGTCCTTATACTGGGTAGTCAACAAATCCCTACAGCGGGTGTCAGTAAATTCATAATCGATATCAAGAAACCAAATAACTGACTCTGTCATATTGAGCTCAAGACTGATCTCCTCGTCCAGCTTCAACTGCATAACCAAGAATGGGTATCGGGTCTGACCCTGGCGCAGAGGAGGGTCCAGACCCAGTACAATGAGGGTATGGGTATCGTCATTCTTAGGGAGCAAGAAGAACTTTTTGATAGCGGAATATTGAATCTTGTAGTCGTAGGTTTTTCCACGAAGACGGAAGGATGATTCGTACATATCGATATCGAAACGACCTCTGAGAATTGTGTTAGTAAATAAACCAAAGGCGCTAGTAGAGAGAGGGCCAACAAACCTGGGAGTAAGGTGAAGAATATCGAGGAAGGTAGCAAAGGTATCGCCGGCCACATCTCCAATTTCGGCCCGAGTCATAAGTGTCTCATAAAACAAGTTGGCAGCGTTCTGCTCAGCCACTTCCTCCTCGTTGTCATCTTCGCCGTCGGCATCATCGGTCTTCTCCTTAGCAGTAGTACCAGGAATGTAAAATCGCATCTCAACCAACTCATCGCGACCCGCAGCGGCTTTCCGACCCCGGTTCTTAGTGCTCCCTGCAGGTTGTCCCTTGGAGTCTCCGCCAGTAGCAAACTCCACCGCCACTTCATTCTTTCCTGCCAAGTTGGTGTTGGAGATTTCCGAGTACGGAATGTCAAAGGCAGGTCGGTTCTGGACGTTGAAAGCTAGCTCTGCCTTGGTGAATTCTGCCTTTCCCCAGTTCCATCCTCGCAAAGCGTGCTCGCGGGTCTCAACGTTGATGCCGTACCAGAGTTTGAAGGCTTTGGTCAATCGCTCGAGGTCCTAAATTGGCGAAAAAAAAAAACAAAATTCGTGAGCCAAAAAGGTCAATGCTGCGTTGATTTATGATACACGTACCTCTGTTTCAAACCCATCAAGCTGAATCACACCCGCCGAACGCGACAGAATCTTCAACTCAAACCCTTTAGAGGCTCGACTCCACTGGGCACCAGTGATGTTGCTGCTATCCAATGTGAAAGTATCACCGCCACCCGAAGGGCGCCAGCCCAGACCACTTTCAGCCAGTCTGCATTTTCCGGGTTCCTTAGAAATGTCAAGATGGATGTTGTCAAAGCTCTCCCTGGACAGTAGTCAGTAGCTGGATAAATTGCAAGATGGGCACATATATTACATGATGGAGAATCTTTTATTTTAATATTTCAGCTTCAAAAACAAAAAAAAAATAGCAGGCGAAGATTGACGGGTTGTGAGATGTAGATTTGAGGAGGTTGAAGCTTTAAGATTTCGCGTCGCGCAGAACAGTCGGGAGCACTTTCTCCCAAAGCAGTTTAGCTTGATGCCTAATATATATGGTTACAAGTTTGTTCTCCACCTTTATTTTTATCATTACCTCAAGTTTCCTAAAGTAATCTATTTTGACCATTTACTACCTAGGTTTCATAAGGCTAATTTCAGCCTGGAATTTCCAAGTAAGTAGGTTTGTATATCTGCTGCCCAGGTAGTATGTGGCAGATTACCTAGGTAGGTACCTAGATATATATAAACATCTATCCTGGACCATTCATAAACTATGCCGGCGGTCTATACGAGATGGGACCTTTCGAGGCTGGAAGTGAAAGTGAACTGTGAGATACACAGCCCTGAAGTTGGCACCCGCGGACTGAACTCTCCAGGTCCATTACCCCCGAGGCATTTGAGCCTGTTGTCAGATAAATCTGGCTACCGAGATGGTTGTTACTGCTTAGGATGAAAGAAGTTTGGAAGAAGCTCGTTTTAGTTGACCTGAAACCCCTTATAAAAGCTGGAAAAGGCCTTCTATCGATCTATGAGGTTGGCATACACAGTAGTATGTTCTTAGAACCTTGGAACCCCAGTAGTGAACGTTGAGGAACACTTGAAAGAGTTGTGGATGAATATTTGTCATCCTGATGGATACCCATTCCAAGGTTGTCCAATATACTTGGGCAGATATAAAGTAGAATTATAGATACCCCCAGGTTCTTTCGGTCTCCTAAGCAAATGGTTCTCTGTGGTGGGCTAGACGGAAGCTACCGTTAATTTCAATATGAACTGCAGCTGATGACTGCAGGATGATATCTTTATCGATACAAATTGTCAGGCCAAGGCTCTTATGCAGTCAATACATTCGTATGAAGCATCAGACTTGTAAATTGAAAGTCCGCTTTTGCTTGTCATGTTCAGCAGAAGACCCGCGTCTCCCATTGTGGGCCTGCGACGTCCACGAGTCCGTAATTAAAGAATATTGGATGCGGGGCCGGATCATGTTCGTTTCATCCACTTAGTATCGGAGCTAACGGATGTAAAGAAGATTGAGACTGTAGTCAGATTGACATCATGCCTTCTGATATCAGATCCCCAGTTTATTAACCTGTTGCATGATTATGGGGGCTGTGCGCCACGACCTCAAAACGCCCAAGTCCAAAGCCGATCGTGTCAGAGTATGGAGTGTATATGTAGATCTTCATATAACTGAAGATCAAAGTGATGTTCTAAGGTTGACGAGATAGAACGTTTCGACTTGGATCCAAGGAGGGTTCTGATCAAAGACACAGGTCAATGAGTATTTCTTTGTACGTCGTATGCCGTGTTAGGTATCTTTGCGTCGTTAGTGATTTCTTTAGAATACAGAAACAGACCCACCACGGAAGGCTTTTAGTTTTGATACAGTATTATTGTAGTGGGTCCCGGGGCAAACGGGCTGTAATTTATGTAATATATTGTATTTTAAGTACTAAGCGTAATGTTATTATTTTCCCCTTCCCGCCCCTGTTCTGGCTTCATTCCACCTTCTCACTTCATTCGTTGATTTTTCCAGTTTTTCTCGTGTTTTCTTTTGGGAGGATTGGGTCTTGATATGCGTCTCACATTCTTTTGCATTTAGAACCTTCCATGCCACACTCACTACTTTCCTTTTTCAAGTTGTCTTTCTTCACTCATACACTCTCTTAACCTTCCTTGACCTCCTCCCTATTAGAGCCTCTTTTTGATTGTCGTCGCACCCGAAACAATGAGGGTTTCTTCATTGTTGGGGTCCGCGGCGGCTGGCATGTCTATGCTTTCTGTCTTGCATGTACAAGCCTTGACTTTTGATGCTATTTCAATCCCAGACCTGGATCTCTCTTCTCTGGGTCGAGTTGCTATCACTGGTGATTTTAATGGCGTCTCCCTTTACCAGTATGAGGGGCAAACTGAAATCACCAAGCGCGATGGTGCCTCCATTCTAACCCCCCTACCTAATGGCATTTTGACAAATCTATCCTCCGCCGACGCGCAGATCCGATCCATGTGCTCCTTTACGAAGAAGGATGGAACTTTCGCGGGCATTTTTGTTGGTGGTAATTTCACGACTCTTGGCGGTGTTGACTCACGCGGCGCCGCTCTTTTCAACCCAAATTCCAGCGTGGTAACGGCCTTGGACGGACTGAATGGTTCGGTGTCGACCGTGTTATGCGACCAGGATACAAATCGTGTCTACGTGGGTGGAAACTTCTCATATGGCAACAACACCAACGCCGTCGCATGGACCCCCGACAATGGTTGGACAGATCTTTCGTTCAAGGGACTCAACGGGCCGGTGGACTCGATCTTGAAGGCGGAGAATGGCCACATCATCTTTGGAGGATCTTTCAGTGGACTCGGAAACTCCACCAACTCCACTTCTAACTCTACATCCACAAAGAACCGACAGACTCTCAATTTGCAGAATGCCACCATATCTTCCGATGCACTATCCTCCTTAAGTGGCTACGAGGACCCCAAGAATATCATCTGTTCGACTAGCGGCAAGGCGGCCGAGGGCAAAACATGGTTACTTGAAGATTATGCCCCTGGATTCTGGAGGGCAGACTTTGGATTTGATTTTTACCCCACAGTTGTCCGCCTCTACAACACCCACTTGGATGGACGCGGTACCAAGACATTTTCTTTCAAGGCTCTCCCGGATGATGGCATCATGAATTTGACCTATACGGATGGCTCAGGGAATAAAATGGCTTGCGATCAATCTTGCACGCTTTCTAACAGCACAACAGAGAAGTACCGTGACTTTACCCTAGTCAACCCTGTCGGAATGAAAGGATTTGAAATCAATATTCACGATTACTACGGCCTGGGCGCTGGCCTGAACGGAATTGAAGTTTTCCAGGATCGGATCATGGCCTATGCAATCGACGAGTACAATGAACCTACTTGCGCTGGAATCAAATATCCTTCCCAGTCGACACGGACTGGCACCTGGACCGTCAAGTCTGAGACCTATATGTCTGCGCAAGTGACTGATTCAAATTCTGATGACATTTCCACCGTTTTTGAACCCGATGTCAACGAATCTGGCAATTACACTATTCTTCTGTACACCCCCGGTTGTACTCAGGATGATACGTGTGACTCCCGCGGCCAGGTCAACGTCACTGTCACCGCCATAAGTGATACCGATACCGAGTATTCGAACCCATCGTCAACAACTATTTCCCAGACGAACGAGGACGACAAATACGACCCAGTGTACACTGGGTATGTTGATGCCAGCAGTGGCTCATTCCGACCCCGCGTTACCCTCAGACCCATCTCCGGTCAGGGTGATATTACTGTTGTTGCCTGGAGTGTTCAATTCCAGCTGCTCTCCAATTCTACATCGTCAGAATCTTCATCGTCGTCATCTTCGAACTCGACAGGAAAATTGAACGGACTGTATGACTATGACCCGACCTCTAAGACTACCGCCAATGTCGGCAAGTCAGCTATCAACAAGGCTGGTAAATCACTTAGCACAGATGCCTTGGTCACGAGTTTGGCTGAGGAGAGTGGCGTGATCTATGTTGGTGGTGCTTTTTCTGACAAGGACATCCATAACATTATGTCCATCACCGACAGCAATGCGACCGCATTATCAGGTGGTGGCCTGAATGCGGGAGTACAAGCCATGACTATACTTGACAGTACCTTGTATGTCGGAGGCAATTTCACAGACACATCCGATGGTGGCTCCGACGGCCTTTATTACATTGCCTCCTACTCATCCTCTTCGAAGGAGTGGTCGGCTTTGGGTGAGGGTTTGAACGGCCCAGTTGACACGATTTATCCTATCCAGTTGAATGTGTCGTCTGAGGTCAATGGAACTACGATTGCTGTAAGCGGTCGTTTTGACCAAATTCGTGCTTTTGGCAGCAACTCCGCTATTTATGTCCCTGGCTTCGCTATTTGGCTGCCTTCCAATAAGACCTGGCTCCAGAGTCTCAATGTCACTCAGATGGAATTTGCCGGTCAGCTATCAGCAGTGACTACTTTTAACGATACATCCATTCTTGCAGGCAGCTTGTCTACGGCTGGACTCACTGCCTCAGATGCACTGTGGCTGCAGAACCCCTCTGACGATTTGAGCGTGCTTCCCTTGTCGATGAATATTAACACTACTGAATCGCTTCTTGGACTGGTTACTGGTACATATGACACCGATTCTAGTCGCAATTTCACCATCTTTGGTGGCCAGTTCAATGCCAAGAGCAGCAATGGGTCAACCATATCCACCATTGCCTTCCTGAACGGCACTGACGGCAAGGTTTCCGGTCTGCCTCAAGGCCTGGATAGCAACTCTACGGTTATTACGATGCTGGCGTACAATGACACACTCTTTGCCGGGGGAAACATCACTGGAACTGTTGGTGGGTCTAGTGTGAATGGTTTCGTGACATACAACTTGACTACCGAGGAGTTTACCAAGACCCAGCCTTGGCGGCTTCATGGTGACAATGTCACAGTTAACGCCATTGCTCGTCAACCTGACTCATCGAATATCTACATTGGAGGTAGCTTTGATTCAGCTGGTTCACTTCCTTGCGACACTGTCTGTGCTTTGGATTCAACTTCTGCTTCATGGAGTCAGCCCGGTGTGACAATCAGCGGCACTGTCCTAGCCCTCAGCTGGGCAAGCTCTACAACTCTGTATGCCGCCGGAGATCTCGATGTTTCCGGTAACAGCACTGTTGTTGCTACATACGATACAAAGTCCCTGGCTTGGACTGCTCTTCCCGGCGCATCCAAGTCCGCAATGCCTGGTTCTATTGCCGCGTTTACTCCTGCTAGCCAGGACAATTCCCAATTCTGGGTTGCCGGTACAGCGAGCAATGGCTCAGCTTTCTTTTTAAAATACGAGGGCTCCTCGTTCAGTTCACCGGGCAATATGTTCTCCGAAGGTACTGTCATTCGTGGTTTGGAGATCCTCCCCATCAAGGATGATCATTCTTCGGTCTCCCTTTTGAACAACGACCAGAGCCTATTGATCATGGGCCAGTTGATCATCCCGAACTTTGGAAATGCGTCTGCAGCGCTCTACAACGGCACTGCAGTCACACCGTTTATCCTTTCTTCCAAATCAAATGGCCAGGCTGGAAGCATGTCCCAGTTGTTTACAGAGGGCCAGAACCCATACAGCAGCAAAAGTGAGTTTCTCTATTGTCGTTAATTCCTGTCGAGTCTTGTTAACCTGAAATTAGCGAAACATCATTCAAATGGCATTGTGGTCCTGGTAGCCTTCTGCTGTGCACTCGGCTGTGTCTTTGTCATTGTCGCTGCCGGTATCGTCATGAACAAGATCCAGCGTCGTCGCCAGGGTTATAGCGCTGCTCCTCAAACGTTTGGCACCGACCGACCGACCGATATGCAGCGTGTGCCCCCCGAATATCTGTTTAATTCTTTAGGACACGCCCATCCGGGTGCTCCTACCATCTAATAACACCACTTTTCTCGACTCTCTCCTGCACAAAACTCTTATCCCCCGTGTGATACTTCTTTTTTCTTCTTTCTTGAGCCGTGCCGCTTATACCCCTTCTTGTTGTAACTTCTAATGTTTGATTTGCTGGCCCATATCCTGTTTCGCGCTGGTCATTCCCGCGACGTTTGTTTGACTTATTTTGAGGAGTCTGATATTGTCGTTATCAAATCTACCTTTTCCCTCAAATGGCTTCATATGACCTGTATCTATTAGCGAACACGTCCTGTGGATGTCAATAATATTTTTTTTATCTTAAGATATACGTACTGTGTGCGTTATAAATAATTTAGCTAGTATTTTAACAACTTCTAGTAGTGATATAAATAGAAGTTGGGAGTAACGTGACTAATTGATAAAAGTGGCATGATCTGCTAAATGATGAACATTGAAAATACAAGCCGTGGTTTAAATGGTTCGCCAATTCCTATGTCCTATGCGCCTGAAATTCTAAATGTAAACTGAAAGCCTGGAAAAACTGATATGAATAAGATTGAGAGAAGAAACAAGAAGAGACAAGTGTGGGGGCCATAACTTCTGCCCCCCGGTCACCTGCTTTTGTCCCCGCAAACTCCAGATTTTCGATTTCGGTTTTCTTCCCGGTTCCACTGATGTTCGCCCGGCATGCGCTCTCGAACTGGCTGGTAAGCATAAGTACTGTAGTGAACGGCTAATGCTAAAAATGATTATAGCTTGACATGCCGTACTCGGAAGCTCAAATGTACCTCATCGTCGCACTTCCATCCCTTCCCAGCTAACTTAACTCTACAGGTGATGAGCAAAAGCCTCAATGCTCACAATGTCGCAAAGGCGGTCGAGAATGCCGTCCTAGTGAGGGAATCGTCTTTCGCCATCAGCAGAACGCATCTATGAATAATGAACTCGGAGAACCACCTGAGGGTCGAGGGAATCTCAAAGGCTTCTATTCATACAAGAACACGTTCGATAAAGATAGCGTTTGGCTCGATGTACCAGAGCGAGGTACGATAACCAGAGACACTAGTTTTGAGGGAGCCATATGTTGATCGATTCAAAGTCGTTTTCGTTGATAATTCCGACCCTTACGTCGATGATCTCGAGGCCTCCCTGGCTGAATCGAGTGCAATGGCTCTGGCCCAAGCGCAGTCGCAAAGATGGAGTAGTGGATCTGGATCGAGGGCAAGCGATACAGATTCACATAGTATGGACGCCATGTCGACGGTCGTAACCCATGATCGACTTCCATTCTCTCCCTTAGACCACCCCTCCGTCTCCGATAGTGTCTCGTATCCTTCTCCGAACCGACCGCGCAGCAGTGCCATGCCCCCTCCGAGTTCGCCTTCAATAGCTCTCTCAGCAAACAGCAATAACACCAATATTAACTTTCTCCTTAACCCGTCTCAGTCGATATCACCGCCGGTCGACCCCATTATGCAGACATCTAGTCAGAGGCGTACATCACAACCCCCAAGGCATGCTCATGCTCTCTCACGAGGCTCAATAGATCACAAGGTGGATACGAAACCTGAAACAGACTTTGAAGTAGCTTTTCTTCTGCGACATTATTCCAAAGGGCCGGGGCTGTGGTATGATACCCCCACTGTACCACCGTGTGGAATTGGTAAATAACTGTTTTTCTTCTTCTTTTTCAGGATGGACTTGTTCGACGAGGGGACTTATTTTGCTTCAAATGTTCCCGTGAGAGCAATTTCAAATCCCCTTCTCAAATACGCCGCCTGCGCATATGCTGCAAAACAATTGGGTCGAGTCAGGGATGCCCGGGCTAAGATGGGTGAATGCTCGCGACAGGCCATGATGGAGGTATGGCCTGATAAGGATACTAACTTTATGTGGGTGGGGGCCAAGTATTATGAAAAGGCCATTCAGTTGTTGATGAAGCAGCTGCAGCCCGACGCAGAAGGCCCACCGCCATTAAGCACACCGGAGGCTTTTGGTCAGTGGCAGGCAGCTGAACTTTGCGAAGATGGGCAGACTCATAAGCGCCGGAGACGCTTATCAAATAGTAGACTTTCACGTGGTGTGCATTCAGATGAGGTACTGGCTGCAACCGCTATCTTGTCAGTATATGAATTTCTGGATGCAACGGATCCTGCATGGAACCGACACCTGAGCGGCGTCAAGGGTTTGCTCGACGTCGCTGAGGTCGGCATTATGCCGCTGGAGTCGCGATCCTCGGACGGGGACAGCCCCTATCATTTAATAAATAAGTCTCGTCTGTCCAAGGCGCGAAGAGCAGCATTTTGGAACTTTGCTCGCCAGGATTACCTAGCTGCTTGTGAGTGCATTAGTTCTGGTTTTGTGGGCCATTTTCACTGACAAAATCCGCAGTCATTAATGAATGCCACACAAGGCTGAATACTGATGATCTGATCCTTTGGACGGAAGCTGGCCTGCATCTAGACAGCATGGGTTTTGTGCGTCCTAGCAACACTACAACCCCAGGGTCTGAGAGCGAAGATAATATGAAAGAGGATCAGATCTGCAATTCGCTGGTCTGGATTCTGTCCAAAATAGTCAATTATATTAATTCGAGCGAAGGCCTGAGCCTGAACGACGGTCAGTCTATCGATAACGGGCCCATGAGTGTTTCGCAACAAATGCTTTTGGAGCGATGGTATCGTCTCGAAGCCGAATTAGACACATGGTACAGTGGATTGCCAGACACATTCCGACCCAGTGCCCGAATTGGACCATCGTATCTCCCGCACTGCAAAGAAGCTAAGGACCTAGCGACACTGCAGGAAATATGGCACAGTATGCCCATGTGCGCATCAAGCATGCAACATTACCACATGGCGCGTATTCTGCTCCTCATCAACAAACCTGTCGACTCGACAAAAAGTCGCAGCACAATAACTCTGCGACTTCAATCGTACCGCTCAATCGAGGTTGAGATTGGCGCTCACAGTCGCGAAATCGTTGGCATTGCGCTTTCTCGCCCGGATGGAAGTGTCCGGATTAATTCACTGCAGCCGTTGTTTGTTAGTGGGCAGTGTTTGAGTGACCCGCGCGAACGTCGCGTTACAATTTTCCTTTTGCGTGATATCGAGTCGGACCTTGGCTGGGCCACCGAGTATCGGGTTCAGCAGCTGCTCAAGGAGTGGGATTGGGATGAGAGCTTTCTTCATTCGATAGAGACCTGATAAGCTATTACGCTGATATAATAATGATATTTGTCACTCCAAGCATATTCGTATTTTGCAGAGTACAATGCAACCTTGGAAAATAGTACAACGGAGAATCATCGACATTTAACGTCGACATTAGCCAACTAGAGTATTGGCGAGCCGAGGAAACTTAGAATGTCTCTGATCTGAATCTGCCTGTAGACATGGCAGAGGCCGAATGCCCCAGGACATTGAAATAAGGAAAATGCAAAGGAGAGCCATCAGAGCTCGATAATGAGGTGGAAGTAGATATAACGTTGGAATAACGTTGGAAAAGGGGAACCACCTGATTTTAAGGCGAGAAGAGTTTAAATAGAACTAAAACGACCCTCTTCAATATTTCCTTAATGAGAATTCCCAACTTGATTAACTTTTACAGGGTCTCGGTGGAGTTTCCTTGCATTGAATGTTTCCGGCAAGTCTTGATCTGCGGTCCCAACTCGCTTAGCGATGGTTACCCTAAAGGTTTAGAGATCTTCTGTCTTCGCCTAGATAATGTGCATAATATTTTCAGCTAGATATCATTAAACTACATAGTGATAACGATCATAATTCAACCAAGTCACCGGCCGGTCTTGACTCTTCCCGCCCCCACTAAACGGGATCTTCATACTGTGGCAGGTTATCCGAAATAGCCCCGCATGAAGACCGAATATTCGGGCTAACAAACAGGCAATCCGGTGAATTATCATAAGGAAGAGAGAAGGTACGGCGATGTTCTGAGACCCCGAACCTCTGAAATATGGACAGCTCGGTATTTGCCCTGGTCATTGACAGGGACGTTAACGTTGGGACGAAACGTGCAGACGGGAAGTGTCCGTGGATCACGATAGACCCGTTTATTAGCTAAATAGTTATCCAAGCTACTGTAGTAAAACTGAACTCCATCTCCGCCTTGAGTGCACATACATAGCATTCGTGTCCGTGTTCTCTGGCGCATGGATATCTGCGGATTTCGTATTCGACCAGTTGAGTGCCAGTGAGTGCCGGCCAAATGAGACATAAGAAGTCAAGGTTCATGGTTGGAGGAGCTCACATTTCAACACGAAAGCCATGTCCTATGGACCACCTACTGCATGGATGCTCAGCTTCAGCCCTTGATGGCTGGCTGGCGGAAATAATATGGTTTATCAAGTGTGACGAGTGTTGCACGATAGCCTATGTCACTTAAAGTGATACACAATGACATATCACGTTATTGACCCCTCGTTCTGATCCAAGCTGAGCAGCTAAAGTACGTAGTTGAGGGGCTGACAAAAGGACCCGATATCGCGATGTTGATAGGTACTTGTTTTCATAACCCCGCTGACCGGGATACCAGTAGAAAATTTCAAAATCGAGCGAACTAGAGCCTGTTCCATCTGTTCAATCAGATATCTAGATTGTTTAAAATGCCTGTTGGAATTGCAATTGGCTCCATAATGTGGCGAATAGCGGCAAAGATCACAGCTGAGGTTGAGACATCAATGGTGATTGGGCACCTTTGGCGCAGGATTTACTGCAAAGACCATGCACTCTTCGCACCGACTACGGGGTAGTCAAGACAGTAGTCGATTTGAATGACTTAGGACCGAAGGTCGAATAAGCGGGTATTCAGGGGCTCAGGGGTGGAAGGTGCATCTTATCCGCGTAGCTAAACAGGTACCTTTGCATAGTCGGCTACTATGATCATACAATTGACATGTATCCAAAATCTCTCCGAATCGGGGAGGCCCAGAGCTGCGGGACAGGCAGCAGGATCAAATTAAAAACGGGGTGGCGTTCCAAAAAAAAGTACAAGCTAAATCCACCTTGGTATCATACTTTCGTTACCCGGCCAGCTGGTATAGTTATTCAATCTAATGCACCTAAGTATGAACTGAGTCTAGAAAGAATTGACAGCTCTTGACAGGTCATTTATAAATGGACTTACGATGTCCTTTAGTTAGACATACTGAAACTGGATAACAAGGAAGCTTACGTAGATGGGGTGCAAAGTAGAAAAAATGAAGATCTTAACCCCCCTGAGCCATCAACGCCCATCTAAATTCCACTTTTTTTTCTTTTCTTTTTATAATCCTGACAAAACAGTTCCAGACCAAACCAAGCCCCACTAGGTATAATCCATTGCTTTTAGTGCTGGGTGCGACATGCTTGATCCAATTACAGACAGCGCTGTACATGTGCTCATGGGCCGTGAACTGACCAACTACAGACCCCTAGTTAATCCACTAATACAATGTCCACTTGGGTTCGAGCACTGGAGTGCATGTAGTACTATCAAGTTTACTCATAGTCTTCTTATTTTTATATCGGTCATACCCAGCGCCTGCCACTGGATTTTTCTTTGCCCTACTTTCTCCGTTAAATTAAATCTCTCTTTCTCTTAGAGATGAGGATATGCCGCATTTGTTCATAACCTTTTCATCATGGCCATCTTAAAAGGAGAATGTCCTAGTCCCTTTTTACAAGCTTCCCTGTTCCCAGAGGTTGGTGGATGTATGTGTTTACGTTGCTACTTCTTGAACCTTGGAACTCCCCATTGACCTCCTTCTATAGACATCGACGGGAGATACTGCGCAGAACTCTCTACCAATCTCACATGCTGCATCCCATGTCCTCTTGCTGACTGGAGATATCCCAACGGTCAGTCAGTGGCCAGTGGCCAGTGGCCCACATTGGACTCAAACTAACAAACATCTTTACAGATACCTCGGCAAAAGCCAATATCGCGGGTTGGATTAGTGTCGCCCTACTACCTCTTTGTATCTTCCTTCTGACCTCATACGCCGTTCTTCCTGCAAAATGGACGAACCGTCACTATCTAAGTACATGCATTACTTTGGGCATCTTCTGCATGGAGGTAAGTCAAGTAGAACGCAATATGAGGAGCCATCGCTAACAGATCCGAAGATTGCATTCATTATCCCCCTCGGCGCAAAACCTGACCTATGCTATAATGAAATCACACCGAACGATATGTACTCCAATCTCTCCTGCGCTTTCTCGGGATCTCTATTACTATTCGGTGGATGGATGGTGTGCATGTGGAGTATGTCTTCAAACTATCAAGGATAACAACAGGGCCACTGACATATTGATAGGTTTCATCCGAACGATCGCGTTTCACCTGCAGGTGTGCTGGGAAGTCGTCTTAGGACGAAAATTTATGTGGGGAGCTTTCGTTTGTGGAATTGGCATCCCTGCCATTGGAATGACCGTGATGCTGGTATTAACCGGTGTGTCATTCCGATTTGGGGAAGTCTGTCATATCAATATCCCCCATGGACTGCAGGACTACTGGGCACCTTTGATGGCATTCACAGTCGTGTCATTGGTTCTACAGCTGTCGACAATGAGCTACTGCATACACATCTATCTACGGTCATTTTTCGAAAAATCCCATACCCACAGCTCCTCTGGCCTTCCCTCATACGCATCAAGCGTAAACACTCAGTCCGCTCGCCAGACTTACCGCCGTATTCGCAGTGTACTGAAGCTGCAGTGGCGCGGAGCTGCCCTCGTGTTGATCATCATCGGCAACGTGATCTTCTTCTCTGTCATATTTGTCAAAATGGACAAAGAACTGGTTCTCAACAGTACCAATATCGCCAAAGCCATACCGTGGCTAGAGTGTCTTGTCGAAGGTACTAGCACAGAGGAATGGCAGGCATGCAGAGGCAAGGCGGCAGGTATAGGACCCAACGAGGCGACTCTACTCGCCCTGATCTACCTCTTAGCTCTAGTCGGCTTCTGGAATTTCATCCTCTTTGTGCGTCCATCCATGTTTGTTGGCTGGGTCGAACTGTTCAAGAGCAAGTTTACGAACAATCACGAGTTCATCTCAGTTGATGCACACGGTCGCCGTGCTGATAGCAAGGGCTTCGAGATGCTTACGAGCCAGGTCAAAAGTCCTGAGCCAGAGACGTATATGCGATCGCCCACTCCTTCCGGCATAGTCGGGCACACTCTCAGCACCAGAACCACCCCGAGACCGAGCCTTGATGTAAGGACTCCTATGGTCAGAGAGGCGCGGTATGTCCGCCCGTCTATGAGCTTCTCAGCCCCCAGATCACCGTCGGCTCAGGCCCGGAACGAATGGGACCCTTCATCGTCATTCGCTCCGGGTAGACAAAAAGAGTCGAATTAAATTACGAATCCTGATCCTTACAGCGTATAATCGCAGTGTTACAGAAAATGACTAGGTAGTATCCAGGCGTCAGGGGCATTCTTTTTTACAATTATTTTTTCTTCTCTATCTTACATACAGCTAGTACTATACCCAATTCATACATTTCTACCCGTTTTTCAGATTCTACTTTGTAAATTGTAGGCTCTCCCGTATTCCATTATTGTACATATCACGCCTTAGATGTAGTACTAGAACCACGGCAAACCCCGCGATGACGATTGCATCGATCGGTCTGTGACACATCATCCTAAGGACCTTGGTGATTTTCTAAATCGCAAATCCATTACGCTTGGGTCATTTCTGTACCGAGGAAGTGGGTTGGTAGGCCCGGTCCGGTACTCCGCAGGATGAAACACAGGCCAGCCCTAATGTGGAAAATCGCCCGTTCCTTCGGACCTGCACAAGCGGGGGAAATTTCCAGACTTTCTTCATGTCCGTATGTACCTGGACTATCTACTTACTCTAGCTAGATTTGTCGTCTTACCGAATGTAGTGCTTCTGTCTACCTTGCTGCCGAAGCTATGATCATTGTGGAGGGGGCTTGAACACACGGGATCTATACGTAAAGATGCTTCCTATTCTAGAATCTATGACCGGTGAGGTTTAAATTGCTCTATGGATTTGACGGCTCCACCCAACATCTACAAAATTGCGTCGGCTGAACGTCAACGAACTACTGAAGCTTGTTCCCGAGGCCAGTGAATAATAACAGCTAATTCACAACGTCTGCTCTAGCATTGGATTATATTCGCATTGATTCAGCACCTACGAACAGTCCTCTGGGTGTGTAACTAATACGTTTTCCATGTATTTACGCCTATCAATGTGAATATGGCCAATTATGACCTTTATAGAGTAAGAATAACTACCTTGGTATAGTATTTGTTCCGCCCGTGATCTCCTGTCTGCGTCATAGAATTTTTCGCATTTAAACCGGCGTCGAACCTTGGAACGCGTGTTCTTTAATTTCCCCGGTCAGAAGCTTCATTTTTTTGCATTCTTCTAATGTTGCTGTGGCATCAGACGAAGGCTCCACTAGGTAATAACTTAAAATTTTATTAATAGTTCCTGGGTGACTAAATCTATTTAGGATCTATAGTAACTAACTTATTACGCATATTTATTCTGTGCTAGTTGAATAGTGGAACGATTCGTCACCCCTATACAACCCCTTCAAAGATTCCTAACTTTGAAGGCTCAATCAATCATTTAGCCTATTACTTACCAAGCTCTTCGCATTCAAATTCTAAGCGAAATTGCGAATCTCTTCTAAACATACCACGCAAACTTTGGAAGCATGGACTCAGTAACATCTTCTCCCGTAGCAATATTAGCTGAAAACCTATAGGTGGAACTCAGCCCTAAGTCCGCCAAGAGTGATAAAATCTATTGAATAATAGTGCCTCCTGGTGGCTCGAGGGGTAAGATTCAAACGGTATTTTTGAGTTCTTGCGTTATTAGAATAAGTTACAACTATGGTAGCCTCTCGAACTGAATCGAAAATACAGTTTAAGCATTGGAAACTGCTTTGCTATTGTTGTAGCTCTTCTATAATATTGTAGTCAATTTGCTTATCGTCGGTTCTGTGATGACGATGCATGCAAATTGACATGTATGGAATGCCACTCGTCGTTTAAGGATATCACCGTGATCGTTTCAGCTCGCATAACTAGGTTCGCTTATGTGAAACTGTGATAAAAAGCGTTCCAGACAGAAGAGCTCATAGAAGATAGTTGAGTCTTGGAGACTTTGAGAGAACTGAAGATGAATCTAGGTAAAGAGACCAAGATTTCTTTTCATAGATGGCAGAAACTATCTCACCGCCAACACCTCAAGTCATAGATTGATGTGAAAGTTTCGAATTACTTTCTCATAGTCACTAACGTCCCGAGGTCATGTCAAGCTCATGCTATCGGTGTGTCACCTGCAATAAAACCTACTCCAGTAAAAACCACCTCCGACGACATGAGGCGTCGCTTAAGTCATCTTGAATGGACCGCCAAGCACAGGCTTGACATTTCTCCTCAGATACACAACCTCCCATAGAATGTCAATTCTGCGGTCACAAATATTCCAGACGGTAAGAGAGATGAGTCGACTGAGTATTTAAGTAGCTGATGACTCAAACTTGCATAGTGACGCTCTCCGAAGGCATTTCAAGAGTTGTGCTAGTATTGGAATTCTCCAGGCCGAACCTAGTAAATCCGGCCGCCCACGCAAGGCATGCGACAATTGCGCCAAAGAGAGAATTACTTGCGATGGAAGTCATCCATGTAGTGCTTGTCAGTCTCATGGCGTTCATTGTACCCGCCAACGTCTTGCAAATCATGATCATCCTGAGCCGGCTCAGCTATTATCAAATGTTCCGGGTCTTTCCACTGGAAAGCAAAGCATTTGCAGTGCTTTGCAGTCAGATGAGCAAGATCAGGACAAAGTACGTAGTGTACCGTTCTTACTGAACTTTTCACGGTCAGGAAACAGAAATCTGGGGGATGTCAATCAAGTTCTTTCGCAACTTTCGGCAGCAGAGTCCCCTGACGAAAATTCGAACTCTGCATTACCAAGTCATGAGATTGAGGCCGATAGAGCAGACCTGTTCTTCGAAGAATCATGGGAAATCTTCTTCGGTTCATATAAGAATGATGCACAAACTCGAGGCTCGCCACTAGCAAGAGGATTGGAAGACCCAGATCAACGCCAGATGGCAGCTATACAGATGATTGATTGCATTACCGGAATATGCCATGACTGCAAAAGAGCTGAATATACTCTTGATGCTGATAGGATTCGAGAATTCTTCTCAGAAGACGCTGTCTACAACTTTATAGAGGCCTATTTTGAGCGGACTGTCCGTCCGCGGTCTCGGATCGTATTAAAACCATATTTCGACCTCGCAACAATCTCCACTTCACTCCTTCTATCGATTTTTTTGATGGGAGCCATTTGTGGCACATCTGATAGTACTATCCAAGCTCTTGAATATGCCGAAATGGCGGAACGTGTGGTTTTTGAAAGTCCAGTGCTCCAGGCATTGATGCACAGAAAACAAGATGACGTAGAATCACTTCAGGAAAGTGAAATGGAGCTCATCCAGGCGGCAATTCTCATTATTCTAATCCAAATATCAAGTCCTAACACAGAGACACGGCATCGGACGCGGATACAACGATACCCGGCTCTCGTGTCGGTAGCTCGAGCTACACGTCTGACACAGATCAAGAATAACTGGCAAAAAAATGACAAATTGAGCTACAAAGAATTTCTGAAAAATGAAACTTGTATCAGGTTTGTTCTTTCAAGCGAATAAAATCCTTATGCTTCAACTTGTATTGACATTCTTAGGGCAATGAGCTCAATTACAATGATGGACGGTCACTTTACTAACTTCTTCAATAATCCTCCACATCTCATGGCCACGGAATTAAAATTCGATCTTCCGGTAGACGAGAAAGCAATTGACATCTGGGATGCTACAAAATGGAAGCTATGGGCAAACAAAGAGATGAAGCACCAGCGACCACCACCATTAAATCAATTTATACAGGATCTTCTTTCAGATAATTGGCCTGGCTTTGATGACCCATGCTATGAAAATCTTAGTATTTTTGCTCTATTTCTAGCTATCTCCGGTAAGTCATTGAAGCAATTGAATTTTGAATTTCAAAACTAATTAACCGAAGCTTTCCATCCGATTGTCTTCAGCGTGAGATCTAGTCTCTGCCATATGCCTGATGTAGTGAGACAGATTGAAAGAGCTCTCGTTCGCTGGATGACGTTATGGGAAAGGCTACAAGCCAGATTAAACCAAGATCAAATCTATCGAGCTGGAATTTTGATCCATGCGCAAGACTTGTGCATTTTTGCAAAGCTATTGCTTCGAACTCCATTGTCTGAAACTGGTGAGATTTCACGAGACTCGATGGCTCGTGTCTATGAACTTTTGAGGAATGCTCCGAAGTGACTTGCGATATGTCTCTATAATGGCTGGCGCAAGAATTGGCTCAGATCATTGGAGAAAAGGTCATAATACATTTCTATGGGATGGAAGAAAGAAGAGAATAAATCCTCATGCAGTCCTGGCTGGTTCACACTACGGCTTCACAACAACAACAGCATATAAGACAAAAGGACAACGGACCGAGAAATCGCCAAATACGCTTCAGAATTTATAAAGAGCCAAACCAAGCGAGGCACTCACACTGCATGCCAATACAATATAAGATGCCCTTCCACTATTCGTCTTGCTCATTAAATGTCCCGTGTCATACACCAAATGTTTGAGTCCATTGAACCCATGATATGTGAACGGAAATGAGACGCCAAACTTCAGTGCCGTCTTAACAACCAAGGGAAGAGATCCAAATGCTTCTGCCATAGGGGCTGATTCAAGATGCAGGCCCAGAGCTGGCGCAATTAGATACAGCGTTGCAAAAGTATAAAGTCCTCCGGCAAGCATGACCCCGGTGATGCGGTGCATCGCAGAAGTCACTGAGACATACTCCCATTTGTATATCTCAAGGTGTGGAGCGAGGGGACGGTTTCGACGCTGGGCTACTAGGCGTTCCTGGGCAGCTTCGGCTGTCATTTTCTGAGTGGAGATGCATTTTCTTTAAGGGTTGGAATAATTATGTTAATCTTTATCTGCAATTAATGCTAATAGAAATGGGCTGCTCACCGAGACTGTGCAAGAAGGAACGGAACAAAAGGAGTTTTGGCTGATAGTGGAAGTCGAGACGAGTTTCGCAACATGGCAGAGGTTGCTATATGGATAGATCCAAGGATTAGGGTAGGGTGGATAGGTGGTTTAGATCTTTTCTCTTACCATATCGATACATCTTGACAGTAATAGCAGATTGAAATAGTGAATAATAAAAAGGGGGAAAGGATGAAGTTCCGGGATTTTCCTAGGTGGCTTATAGCAACGCATGATATTTCTAGATCTACTTGGGAAAATACCCACCGGAAAATACCCACTATCAAACACAACAAACAGATTGTGGGGTGATCAGGAGGCTTAAAAGTCGCCTGCCCAGATGGTTTCCCATGTTCATTGTCGTGACTCCAAGCTTCCAAATTTTTATTTTCTTTGGGTTTGAAATTGGAGTTTGAATTGATACCTAGCTTGATTAATACTTGGCTCAAAGGTAACATATAAATAAATAACTCAAAGAACAAAACCAACTGAATGTCTGAGGATGGGCAGTAACTACCTATAGGTATAAAGGTCCCAAGGTCATCAGGTGTGACCAGATTGGCTAAGATATCCGTCTATCGCGTACTTCTTAGCTTATTTTTAGCTTATTGGTCATTGGATCCGCCTCTGGGCCTCAAGGCGAGAAAGGTGTACACTGACGAAGTGTTTTCTTTGCTCGTTTATGTCACTTTTTCCATACACAGTACACACTCAAATTTCAATTCACTTTCGTGTTACACATTTTATTTAGGTATATCTGATCAAATGTCTTCTTTTAAGTCTTGGATACAAGGCTTGTCCGCAATTTTCGAATTGGGTTTTATCATCTCTTTACCCCGCAGAATATGGTCCCTTCGACTGTCGCCAGAGAGAAACTTCATCCCACGACAGGCAAAAATCAAGCTAGTAATTTTTTACTAAAAGATAATTTTTGAATGATATACTAACTTACATCCTTTCAATTCAGGTTCTTGCTATGATTTTTGTGGCCACTCAGACAACAATACTTTGGAAGAGCTTATTAACACCCATATTTTCACAGCTCATGCTTTGCAAAAATCTTGTTTCTCTTCTAGCAGCAATTGGAATGTTCGTTATTGCCTTTTGCGAGAAAAGCAGAAATCAGCTACCATGGCGCATCCTGACATTTTATCTTGCTTTCTCACTGGCCACAGACATTGTTTCGATCTTTCTAGGGCGGGATATGTTAGATGAGACCTGCACATACCTGAAAACAGGAATGGCATTTTTGAAAGTAATGTGGTTAATTACAGATATTCAGATTGATGAGCTGCCTGCTGAACAGGTTAAATATTCCGACGAAGAGGCTGCTAGTATTGTCAGTAGTGTATTTTTCTTGTGGATTATTCCTATGCTCAAGAGGGGGTATAGCACGAAACTCTCATTGCAAACTTTACCTGAAATTCACTTCATGCTAATGTCCGAGGCCCTGCGGGAAAAAGCACTTGATATATGGAGCACACAAGGTCAGATATTTGCAATAATCCACCAGGACAGAAAGTGACTAACATAAGTCTCTTCAAAGAAAATCCGTCCAGCAAATGGGCATTACCATTTGTGTTATTGAAGTGTCTGAAATCTGCTTTGATATCCCCTATAGCTCCGCGAATATTTCTCATCGTATTTCGCTATCTGCAGCCTGCTTTCATTGGTCTTGCGATTGAATTCGTCAAGAATTCATCCCCTGAATCTGGAACTCACCTAGTACTTTACGCAGGAATTGTTTATTCTGGGATGGCTGTAAGATTTGATATCTTGATTGGAAGGCGATCTTATCTGATTATTTAAGGTTTCAACAGCAGTTTATAAAAACCGGATCAATCGATTGCAGGTCATGACTCGAGGAGCTGTGATTGGTCTTCTTCACCATCAATCTTTGAATATTTCAAGAGATCCTGAAGATTCCGAGGTACTGACTTTAATGGAAACAGACGTTGATAGCATAATATCGACAGGGGAAATTTTTCACGAAATCTGGGCCCAAATTCTGGAAGTTGTTATTGGAACAACAATGCTTGCTGTCCGTGTACACTGGCTGGCACTTTTACCCTTGATTGCAATTTACGGTAACTATCGCTCTTGCTTGAGATAAATAGACATTAGCTTAATTGAACTAATTAAGGAATAGGCTGCTCTCACATGAGTAGGTTCGTGGCACAACATCTACAAAGCAAGCAGAAAGACTGGAATGTTGCGACTCAAAAGCGTATTGCAACCATCACTTCAGCTTTAGCTGGCATTAAAAGCTTGAAGATGTTGGGAATGCAAGAAGCGATCGAACATCAAATATCGGATTTGAGAACCCAAGAATTGTGCCTATCAGAGAAATTACGTTGGATTAATGTTGCCTATAATGCGAGTGGTAAGAACAACCCTAAAATGAAATCCCTGCACCGTTCAAAGCATCTGACTAAGGGCTTGAAAATGTTGATAGCAAACGCACTGGGTATATTCGCTCCGGTATTGACACTTATTCTGTATTCATTCTCTTTGAAGGATAATACTCTTCAGGCCAATGAAGTCTTCACATCCGTTGCTCTCCTCGCTATGGTTACACACCCAGCTAATATGGTCATGACTCTTGTCCCGCGCGCTATTGCTGTTACTGCGAACTTTTCTCGAGTGCAAGCCTATCTCAGTAAGCCACCAGTTGAAGACTTACGAAATTCCAGCCATCAGCCATTATTACTCGACAATTTATCGATCAAGCTTGTTTCCCGAGGAGAACCAATCCTTAAGAATATATCTCTGGATGCACGGCAGGGAGATCTTGTGGTCTGTGCTGGCGCTGTAGGTAGTGGGAAAACAATCCTAGCATTAGCTTTGCTCGGTGAGATTCCCACTACAACCGGAGCTATTTCTGTTTCATCAAGAGAAATTGCATACTGCGCCCAGAATCCTTGGCTTCCAAATGTCACAGTTCGTGACGCTATCTCTGGAAGGTCCAGCGGGCTGGATTGGAAATGGTATAATACCGTGATTGCGGCATGTGGATTGGTGCCCGATCTAGACACCTTTAGTGATGGTGATCTGACACGTATTGATAACAACGGAATGAATCTTTCTGGCGGACAGAAGCATCGAATCGTAAGCCAAATTTTTTCGAAATGAGAGCTTTTGCTAATACTTAAAAAATTGGAAGGCTCTTGCGCGCGCAGTATACTCGAGAAACAGAGTGATGATACTTGATGATCCGTTTAGTGCTCTTGATCAGAATGTGACGAACCAAATTGCAGAGAGTCTTTTTGGTCCAAAAGGAATTCTCAAACAGATCTCATCAACTGTCTTTCTGATAACGAACTGGAGTAAGTGGAAACAGATCCTTCAACTTTCTTCTAACTAACTTCTTGAAGCAAAGATATTTCCACTTGCGGACAAGCTTGTTCTTATTAGTGACATGAAAGTAAAACGTCAAGACCCAACAGATGTTAAACAATCACAATTAGAACACCCATCAGCTCTTATATCTCCTGAGATTTATCCGGACGAAAATCCACTTAAATCCACCAAGCCAAAGGAAATGGGTAAAAGCTATCGAATGAATGATGCAATGGATGACCTTTCACGAAAATCGGGAGACACAAACCTTTATTGTGCGATACAAAGCTTCTATTATCTACTACAATAAGCACTAATGAAAATACAGGGTTTTATCTCGTGGCAGTCGGTCGACTTAATGCCTTTTTGATTCTTGGTTTCACAGCGACGTACTCTTTCTTTTTGACTTTTTCTCAGTATCTCCTCAAATGGGCGATTGAGTCATCTCCAAAGGACCTATGGCTCTATATGAGTTTATATGCAGCAGTTTCAGTCATCGCATGGGCAGCCACTAGTGGAACGATGTGGTGAGATCATTGATAGACTAGGTATACAGATTGAGCAACTAATACTATATCTTTGGAAAGGTCGACCCAAATCAAAATTGCCATTCGGTCAGGCGCAATACTACATGCACAACTACTCCAAAAGGTTCTCGGGTATGGGCTTCCTTCTCAATTCACTCCAATGCCTTCTATTCCATTCGTTAAAGAACTAACTAGATGAATGAAGGGCACCATTGGCCTACTTTACCGAAACAGATATCGGTGTGACTCTTAATAGGTTAGTATCTGGTGCTATTTCATTACCTAAATAATGAACAAGCATTGGAATTTACTAACGAACTATCTTGAGGGCAGGTTTGGCCCGGACATCAATCTCATAGACAAACAACTTCCTCCGGCATTGGCAAATTTGAGCACCCGTAAGCCTTCATCTTCCGTTGCTTTTGATCTTCTTTCTAATATCTATATAAAGAGATTTTTAAGCTTCTGGCACAAGTCATGACAATTCTGAGCGTCCATCCTATGATAATAATTACGATTCCATTCTGTTCCATTTGTGTATACTTTGTCCAGCGAATTTACCTTCGAGCATCTCGCCAGCTACGCTTCCTTGACCTGGACTCAAGATCACAGCTATATGTCAACTTTCTAGACTCAGTGTGTTTTATGATCTCTTTCAATACTTAACTCGTTTAACTAAATTTGACTAGGTTAACGGTGCAATCACAATCAGATCATTTGGTTGGAAGAAAGATTTCAAGAGCCAAAACACCAGCGCGCTGGACCTTTCCCAAAAACCCTTTTATCTCTTGCTGAGCCTGCAATGCTGGTTAAGTGTTACATTAGACTGCTTGATCACGATTGTAGCAGTAGGTCTGGTTGCGCTCACTGTTATATACAAGAACACTACGACTGGGGCTGACATTGGGCTGGCTCTCAACCTGATTATAGTGGCTAATAGTACTCTCCTTAAGCTCGTTGAATCATGGACATCCCTAGAAACCTCGCTGGGCGCCATATCTCGATTAAAGAGCGTACAGGATTACGTGCCAAGCGAAGATCGCCCTTTTTCTACCATCACTCCAGGCCAGCACTGGCCCTTTTCGGGGAGTTTACGGCTGAACAATGTTTCAGTATTCTATCCTCACTCTTCAGAGCCAGCATTAGAGAAACTTTCTCTTGAAGTTAAAGAGGGTCAGAATGTTATAATAATGGGTCGGACAGGAAGGTATGTATACATAGCATAACGTCTTTGAGGATCTTCTTTTGTCAAAATGCTTGGCTGAAAATTAACGATACACGTAGTGGGAAAAGTACGCTGATACTATCACTACTACAACTTTTGGATGCTCGGGAAGGCTCAATACGGGTAGACGAAGTAGATCTCGCAATGATTTCATTGCCTGTCGTTCGACAACGAGGGTTCATTGCTGTTCCACAGGATGGCTTCAACATTCCAACCGTATCGCTGCGGTTCAACTTGGATCCTGAATACGTCAGCTCTGAGTCCTCCATAATTAAGGCTTTGAAGCAGACGCGACTCTGGCATAAGATATCAACCAGCGCCATGGGAAAGTTACAGATGAATCCAGATACAAATGACGAATTCCAGCACATACTGGACTGCCCAATGTCTATTTTTCTGCCCCTCTCAGCAGGAGAAGTGCAACTTTTTGCTTTATGTCGAACGCTGATTCGCGTCTGGGCAAGTCCATTGACAAAGCCCATCATAATCCTAGATGAAGCTAGCTCTTCGCTTGATTCAATGGCAGAGTCAGTCCTTTGCGAGATTCTCCGCCATGATCTGAGAAGTCATACTGTTGTTATCATTGCTCATCGTGTTGAGGGAATAATGAAGGCTATGAGAGCTGGAGTTGATTTGGTTGCGGTAATTAAAGATGGGCACTTGAAACAGATATCCACGATTGAATAGGCACACTTCATAAATTTGATGTTTGCATCTTAAGACCCGTGATTACATACGACCACTTTTATTTCATCCTTTACATTATTTATCCCATAACTCCATTGAATTCAGTAAAAGTATGTAAATAAACTATTGAATCGGGCGCTGTGGACACGTCTCTCTCCTATGCCCGGTTTCCCGACATATCCCACACCTACGTGGCCGATGGTCTGGTTGAGAAGAAGCCGGGGTTTGGTGTTGGTTCACACCATTACTATCTTCAGTACCATTAATTGACGCATCGATAAGCTGTTGTGCTTCCTGTAGCGCAAGACCATCTTCAACAACCATTCGGCGGTTAGGGCGTGCCCTTTTTTTCTTCTCTTTTATATTGGCTTTGCGAAGAGCGGCGATTTCCTGGTCTTTTATTGCCATATGTTGGTGTATAGCTACTGCGCCTTTCAAGAACTGGTCTAAGATCTGCTTTGTTTGTGTAGATGGCGATCGCGACACTGTACGTAATAGAGCATTGTGTTGGCGACGTATATCCTTCTGTGTCATTGGTGTCTTTAGAGTGTAGTTCTGGCTAGAGTCGCTACCCTGGGATGCTGGTGGTGGTGGTGTTGGCGTACGAAGCGAGATAGTAAGCTTTGAAAGCACCCTTTCTGGATCAAATGGTGTAATTCCAGTAGCAGCAAACGCACTAGATGCAGATCTAATAGCCTCTTCGCGCGCGATAGGGTACATAGCTAAGAAATCTCTCTTATCGATAGAGTTGAATCCTAGCTCCACTTTAGAGCTAACTAGCTGGCCATATGACCTCTTTAAAATGGCGAAACAGCCTACATCTAGAGGCTGTAAAAGATGGGATGAATGCGGCGGCATACATATTGGTATAATGTTGTTCTGTTGGCATATCTGGTCGAAATCAGGCGTAAGGTGGCTACCATGGCCATCTAGAATCAATAGCCTATATCGCCCCTTCGTACGTGTTATAGTAGAGGGGATGAATAGCTTCTGTAGCCAACGAAGGCCTATTTGGTCTGATGTCCAGCCATTAGGGCTTACTTCAAAGCGTGTATCAGGTGGTAAATCGACATTGTAAAACCAGCTTTGCATCATGTCTTTGCCCTTGAATATGATACATGGTGGAGGCGCCCAGCCAGTTGAATTTAGACATTCAATAGCTGTAACCCATTCGCGATTGCCAGGTTGTACCTTCTCTCGTCGGCCATAATAGCTAGCTCTAGTAACGATTTTGGCAGTGGCGGTTTGTCCCATCGCGAAACCAGTCTCATCATAGTTGTAAATATCGTCTTCATGAATCCCATTCTCGCGAATAGTCTTCTCAACTAAGATAAACCAATCGCGAATAATCTGAGGGTCTTCTTGTTTTGCGCGCTCAAAATTGTAACGTTTTGAATAGCGAGTTTCGATTTCAGGTGTACGTTTAATGAAGTTTGAACCCCAATTTCGTCCGATCGTAAGAGGTGGGTCGATTCCACGGTCGGCGAGTATAATGTTGGCGATTTGAGCGACATAATGAGGTCTAGGGGCAGATCCACGGTCGTCTAAAGAGAAAATCCATTTTAGAAGAGTTTTCTCTTCAGATTCAGTCAATTTATGACCATTTGCGCGCTTCTCGACGCGATATTCAACACCAGATAGGCGATCGTGGAGGGTTGAGCGGGGTACATTAAAGGTAGATGCAGCTTGGGTTGTATTGGTAATTTCGCCATTATTTAAAGCTTTAATAGCTAATAAGACCCTACCCTCCTGTTCAACCCGTTTCTGGGCTATTTGAGCATTCTTGGGTGGCATGATGGGTGGTTGAAAAGATAAGACATGTAAATGACGCGTGAAAAAAATGAAATTCACGAGTCGTATGTAATCACGAGTCGTATTTAACTATTGTAGTGGGGAGCCCTAAACAGTATGAAGGAAAAAGCGGTCTGAGACGGCAGAACCATCTGATACCATTCATCTAGAAGTTGTGATATTTACAGAATGTCCACCTTTACACACCTCTTCACTTTTTGACTCCCTACGCTTACTGAGCCTTCCCTTGTGATTGTGGTTGGTTTTTCCTAGCTGAATCGACCTGCACGTTCCCACCGTGCTGCCTAGAGCGTTCCCCATTTCACTATGTGTTTTACTCTAGTTATCGTCTAATCCAACATCTTCTGTCCTTTTTGCAGCCATGAATCCACTCCCATGATCAGTCTTTTATAAAGATTCACATTATGCAATATAATTGTTTTGATTTGCTGTGGGTTGCCAGACTCCATCTATCGGCATTTCGCGTCGATATTGCCACGTTCTGGCATTAAAGAAGAGAATTGAACCCGTAAGTGGTCTACCAAGAACACTAATAGATCTCTTCGCTGGTATCGGATTAAAAACTACAGAAAAGAGTATCTGGGACTGGCCTGAAGGCACGTGAATTTTCTTGCACCTATACTTGTTGGAAGTGTATCAGATTGCTGGAATATTGACACTTCGCCGGTCTCGACACATTAGTAACATCAGTCATAGGGTACATTAAAACCTTCAAGTTGGAGACAATCGAATGCATGTCCTTGAAGTCCGCTGTGCTTGTATAATGCATTTTGGCCAATCTTGAGCGCCTCGGCTTGTATGGAGTGAAAGCCCAGATGAGGATATCCTTCAATACACGGACAGTAGTTACCATCAGATTTCTCAAAGTCGAAACTTGTTCGAATCTGGTGACTTATAAGGAGGATCTATATGGGGCCCCTTGGTTTCCATCCATACTCCTGTATCCTGTCAAAAAAACAGACCATAAGAAAGGCTCAGCTACGATAGTACCGGTTTGAATCTCTGAAAAGACTACCAGTAGTAGTACATAGAAATTCAACGTTTGAGCATAGATTTTGATGATATAATTTGTTCAAAATTCCAAGGTTTTAAGCAAAATCCGAAAGAGGTAGATGATGTTATGCACAACGGGCTCATGTTTCCAAGACTATAAGCAACGATTGATGGTTGACGATTGATGACAAATGGCGTTGCTTACAGCAATCAACGAGCCAGACCCTTTCTAAGCAGACCCAAAAACCCAGAGTTCTCCACGGCAAGCTGGATAGTCCAGATGGAGACACCTCCAAAGTTTTTATTCTTCAGGTAAGGCGAAAGAGCAGTAAGGAGAGTTGGTGCATCGACATAGCCTTGGTTAGGTGAGACTGTTCCTGCCTGGCTACCAGGAACACCAACAAAAATCTTGGTTGTGCCGTTTCCCTGGCCACTCAAGGCCAATCCAGCTGGAGTCACCTGGTTACTGTCATCAATCTGCTGGGTAGTAATCGACTCGGAAGCCAACAAAAGCCAGGTTTCCAGATTGAAAGAACGCTTCATGATTTTCGATCGACTGTTCAGCTTGGTGGATCGTTTTTGATACCCAGCGGGAATCCCACAACCTGGAGCACCATAGAATTGCACGAAAATTGCATCGAACCAGTCAAGATGCGGAGTCAAAACGGAGCCCATGTTTGGGTCAGGGTACCAGCAGCCCGGTGCTGCTGTCAGGAAAAATTGTCCATCCTTGCCATCTTTTTTCCGGAGGTCAATGATCTCCTTAGTGAATGCGACTAGGTTGGACATAGGAACCTCGAAGTCGAAATCAAACCCGTTTGTTGCTAGCGTTTTTCCACTTGGTCCATATGCTGCGTAGAGCTTTTGAGCACTCGCCTGTGCCTCTGCGACAGTTGACCAACCACCCTCCATGTAAAGCGATCCCCCGAGAGAGACCATGATTGTCTTACCCTGATCCTGGCATCCCTTTACCTCCTCCCTAGACAAAAAGCATTAGAGATTTTCACAAAATAGATGATGCGAATGGATGGAATCTTACGCCGTAAAGTCTCCTCCCCAAGCAGCTACGGGTTCGCTGCTTAGTGATTGGATGAATGCCAACGGGATAATCTAGACTTATTAGCTACTCAGGTGAAAATCGATATCTCGCAGACGCAATGTTTCATACATCGGTAGTGTTTTCTGAGCGGGACAATTAGTTATTTGAAGGGGACAATTAGTGTCTGATATCTACTTACGTGAACAATAGGTTGACAAAGAGCCCCCATCTTGAGGTGAAGTGTTAGCCTTGCGCAAATAGGAGTAAAGAGTTGGTTCTTTCATACTGAAGTATCCGGCAATCCTTGGACCGTTCTCAAACACAGTAGAACCCTTCACCGCAACGAGGACCGTCGATAAAACAACGCTCTTGAGCCACATATTGTAGCTTAGATAGCTTCAGATAGCTGAGAGGTTCAGAAATGGGAGATAGACACGAAAGCTCTGCTCGGCTGAAAGAAATGATATAACAAAGATGGCTGGATAGATAAATAAATAACTCTGAAATGAAAACTCAGATGGGCTTTCAGGTTGATATAACCCCCGGGTCAATATGAAGACTAATTACAGTACCAAGTAGTATTAAGACAACCCTACAGCCAGCCCATGTCTGGCAAATGTTGCGTTTTATCTGGAACTCACCTGGGCGCAGCCTGATCCTTTGGACCCTAGTCTGATCCTTTGGACCCTAGTCTCCACTTCTTGTTTCATTCGATCCCTCAGAAGTACGTTCCTAGGGGGAGAACACGAGCTATTTCAGATCCAGTGCATGTCATTCAATGTTTCCTTGCAAAATTGTTCTAATGATCTATTTCACTCACCTTAAGTTCACGGGTATCACCTCACTGACCTTGGAAGCCTTGGATTAGATATTTATGACAACCTTATGGTCCCCAGTCACCTTCAATTCTTTAACCTTGGAGCATTAATTCTATTTTTAAGGTTTGATTACAGAAGCTACGTGCTTTAATCCATGGATGCTGTCTCTTTTACCGCAGTATATTTAGTTTTTTTTTTTCATTTCGGCAGCACTCTCTTCATTATTCTCTCCAATAAGGCTTTAGGCTTTGAATATGCGCTGTATACTTCCTACTTCGACTCTTTAATCTTGAAGTTGATGATAATTCTTGACGATTTTGTGGTGGATAAATTTAAATTGGAGGTTTGACATGGAGACAGCAAGAACTACAAATTAAAATAAAAGGTCAATTAGCAATCATCAACAAACAACATCACGGACCTAGTATTCAATATGAGACCACTGATGCTAGTAAATAAGCGCCGACATACAGCCAAGCAGGATACAGTACAGAGGCAACTACCTAAGGTAGGTGGAGCGATAATCACTACCGAGGTCCTCGTATTGACTTCTCGTTACATAGAAAGCCGCCCTGACATGGATTTGGTGTAGCTTCTAATCTCTGACTAAAAAATCAATACTTGAGACGCTGAATCGTCAATTACCAAGAGTGACCACATGTCAAAGTAAAGCCCATCTTCGGCGGTATTATTTCGGTCTAATCTTATCCATTTTTATTTAAAGAACATCAATGTTGGAAATGTCAAAGCCATGGATCAGACTGCAGTGGCTCTCCATTTGGTGAATATACTATGACCTTTGCAGCGTCTAGAATTATGTCGTTTTCGTTTAAAGGTTCTGACCGGACATCAAACCCAATTCCTAGACTTGTCGTGTACCACTGTAATAAAAGATCCATGCAGGTTGTCCCCTAGACGGCCAAGAACCGTATTACCTTGTCAGACGGATAAAAACGTTAATATTGTCTTGGGTTTATCAGTTTGCGATTTCCTTGTCAATTGGATTCATGGTGTGCTTCCGGAGGGAATCAGCTCCAAGTCTTATTTAGATTTTGGTCTCTATCATACACAGTTTCAACTTTAACCTCACTGATAGTCACCCAATCTTAGAATTAAAATTAAAGCCACAAGCCCACCGAATATGTCACGCGTCGGGCACATGTGTGTGGGATTGATAGGTACATAACAGACGACACATTGAACACATTAAGCCTAGATGATACTGAGAATATGATAGTGTTGTTGAAGATAGAATAGGAAGCCCGATAAAAATGGAGAATAATACCAACTGGAATGTCAATATCAAGATACAGCTCCAAGCCTTTGCTCTCGCAGTAAGGGCCTTCAAAGGCACGACCGAGAAGCCGAGCTCTCCCGACTTGGACATGATATGGCTAGGCCATTGTGGTATCGATTGCAAGGCCGATCTTCCCTTCTACCAAACCCCGAATGACCCTACTACCCCTGAACTACGACATTCACATCCCTACTGGCGTGGCGCTCCTCCAATTGAACGACCAGATTATACCTGGTTGACTTGCACTATCGGAGATAGCGTATGCTTAAGCATGTATGCTGTGAGCTATCACAGAGTCCAGCAGATCCTTAACGCACGCACTGTTAGTGAATCCTTTTGTTCCCGCTGAGGAGATCGATATTAACGTCCAATTTGACGTGTCTCTCGGCCGTATGTGTAGAAATGAATACCTGCGCTGCTTTGCACCTTACCCAGCCTCACAGGGGCTTTTCGCTCTGCTGCAGGTACGGAGAAAGTACCTGACATGCATGAAGGAAGTGGAGAAGCAGTGGGGTTTGCTAGCTGGGGTTACTACGGAGGGTAATAACTGCCACCGCGAAATAACCCATAAAACTGAAAACAAAATACGTATTTTACACCTGGCAGAATCTTTGAATACCCGTATCACGTATCACTCTATATTACTAGTCGATAGCCCTAAATTGACCAAGTCAAACTTCAAATACTATTACTACTAAAATAACGAATCATCTAAAGTTTGTTAGCTACTCGAAGACTCAACTTATGTGCGCGAAGAACTTGCCCAGCTGCCCAGCCGATTCAAATGATCACTGTGTAATCAATTAAAACGTAGAAATGTGATTATTCGTTCCGTACTTTACGGACTTATGCTGGAATCGGAACAACATCAACATTTTAGCAGGCTCATAAAAGGATTGGAGCATCTTCAAAATTTCCAAACTTGCATAATTTCTTGACCCCTTTTACGAAAGTGCATGCTGGATAAGTACCTTTTCGCAATGGCCATGGTTATGTACCCCAACCCGGTAATGGCACATTTCAAGCTGGTGATTGTAGAGCCGAAAAATTGAAGACGTTCATCAGGTAAAACTGGATAGTTCTTGCTTTTACTACAGTAGACGACAAGCTCGACTTGTACAAGATTTAAACAGCACTGTTACGAACATGAAAATACCCAAGAGTAAAGAGAGCTACCCTGAATAGCTGAGCAAAAGAAACCATGATAATCAACAGGGAGCCATATGAGGTTTTTCTTCCTAAAGGCAACCCATTCATTTGCTATAGAACTTGAGGATCAGGCTTAGACAATTTTTGACCGGCCACAGACTCGATCGAATGAGAATGGCCCTCACGGATCTGTAGCTCTTTGCTCGTCTTAGGAAAGGGTTGCAGAAGTGATGCTAATTTTGACTCACATCGCCGTCAAGCAAGGTCAGCACGTATCAAAAGCGAGTCAGATCAGCCTAAATTCCCGTGTGCCCCTATCCACAGTTCTTTTCCTCTTTATATATACTCGAAGATTTACACTCCAAGTCGCTTGGCCCTATATATTAGGATATATCCAAGGATAGCCAATAAAATACAATAGCTGACTACCATAGCTTTTGTGGACAGTTCTCCCATAGTGGCTTCACCACATGCTCGCAAACCGACTTTCTGAGTATAGAATCGCTCCATTCGGGTGTTGCTGTTGTCGTGGCAAATGTGCATTCGATACATCTGGTTACCAATTCCAGGTAGAACGGAAGCATATTATCATCGCTGAAGTTGAGCCAATTTTTGGCTATTTCATAGCGCGTTCCATAGCTATCGTTTATTTGGAGATTTCTCCTAGATGCGTAATAATCGATGGATTCCATATGCCAGATTTCAAGAAGCATTATCCCTAGCTCTAGAAGGGAAGTCTTTGCGGTCCATGGCGATGTGGTTCGGGTCTGGGTAGGAAATATGCTGACAATGAACGGCTGAGGGGTATTTCTAAACCCGAGAGAATGAGACATGAAGCGTATAGAGGAACTGGTTAGGGGAGCTTTCAACCATGGCGTAGAGTGGAGTTGCATGATAGAAGATGTAATTTTGAAGGCAAGGGCCATTTGTTGGTTTATGGTCCACTTCGGCGTACTGGGTTTTGGATCCTGCATCATGTACAGGATATCTGCAAGACTCAGGGTATCGCAAGTCAGCTCATTGTTGATGCTCATTTCTATGCCTGGATTGGTTGAATCGCTGTAATAGCAAAGTTTGGCACATCGTGATAAGTAGAGATGAAGTCCTTGTCTGCTCTCATATGCTCGGTATAGGGATTGACAAAGGTCCTCAATTTGTTGTGGTGAAAGATTTGGATGCCCTGTGGAGCTGGGAGGGTTTAGTTTTACCACTGGTGGACTGGCGTCGTTGGGTTTAAGGCTAGTTCTTGTCAGCCTATATCCAATAATAGAAATATTTAGGTCTCACCCGTCGCCAAAATTGTCCAGATCTTCTTCCAACACTTTGACTTCATATTTCTTGCGTGCAAATGAAGGATCCAAGGGAATAGGACGTGGAGAGAATGTCAATGTGAAACTGACAGCTGTCATTTTGAGGGACTTGGGGTATTTCTGATCCATTTCTGGCCATCTTGTCTGCAGAAATAACCTCGCCTCATGCTCTGGATGGCACCCAGCTATGCAACCATAAGAAACGGCAGAATACAGACATTGGGCGTAATTCTGAACAATATTCAAGGCTGCAGTGAATCTTGTAATGGCTCTGGACCTTGGTTGTGTTGTGACATTCTGCCTTGCTATGCTATGATCCCTCAGTCGGCTTAATGTTTTTGTGGATTCGTCGAGTTCGTATATTTGCCGCTGTAAATCTTCTTTTCGGACGCTGAACTTGATTCGCTTGGTAAATTCAAATTGACCATTCTTTCTCGGCTGAGCCTGGAGAATCGCTGAGAGGTCATTTCTGTTCCACTACGATGAGTATGTTAGTTCTTGTATCGGTTATCCACGAGAGCGGACACGTTACCTGATTTGTTGATACGAGACCACTGATATTTGCAACGATATCGCTGAGGATACATTGACATCGAGCGACAGCATTGGTGTACAGCATAAAGCCTTCTCCCAGATATTCTTTGAGGGCGTCCGCGACTTCCGGATTCTGAAAAAGATTTGAGCCCTGTTCATCTATTAAGGCGATGATCTGTTTCTCCTCGAGATCGATCCCCCCGAGCGCTAAGCAAATATCGGTCATAAAAAAAAATCTTTGCTCTTCTAGAGACTGAATTAATTGATTCAGGAGAAGCTCTTTCTTGACGATGAACTTGATCTTCTGGCGCGTGACTTTGTAGCTGTCGAGGGCAGAGATGATTAGCGGGATAACACCCAGCACGACACCAATAACCTCAAATCCTGACATATTGGCCCATTCTACTGAGAAGCATAAAAAGAGATATTTATGGAAAAGTTCTCGATGTTTGATAGCGGGATTCTGTGGTTAGGAGAAGCGGGGTAGTCAGCGAACACACATGGTCATTAGACGATGCTCGTCAAATCATGTTTGCTTTTTTCCATGTTGCAAGTTCGCATTTCCTCTTCGACCTTTCTAATACCATACTGCCCAGTGCCTACCGAAAGAATACACGTTGCTAGTATTTTCATCCCACAGTTGGAACAATGATTGGAAACTCAAAGCCAAAGAGTCTCACCTTCATGGCCCGAAAGACCAGTAATAACTTTGCACTGGCGGAGCATTATCTTTCAAACAATTACAATCTTTTCAACCAAACACAACGCTTTGAACTATGGGCAAAGAATTTGGGGCTTTATCATCTAGGCCATAGCTCACTCGACTACCGATTCCGAGATGCACCCTCTCTACTCGAATATACCATGGGTCTGTTGCGTAATCTGGAGGGGCTTCTTGCACAGTGTGAGTAGTTTAATTTCTGTCTGTATTACTTGATCCAGAATGCTAAAGTTACCTCAGTCATTCACATACGAAATCCTGAACATGTATCGACTGTGGATGTAAAGAACACGACAGACCTTCCTATTACGTCCCATGAGCGACTGAGTGATGATTCAGAAGATGATGACTTTGAATCTTCCGATGACGAGTCTGTTACCGATTTGTTACTGAACAGTGTCAATGCCACCATTGACAAGCTTTATCGCCTCTCATTCAAAATCCGTAACCCCGCGATGAGGCTGGGATTTTCCAGATCGCTGAAGTATCAGAAAGTCGACCCAGAGACTGGAGTGAATCTTATAGACCAGTTCCGAGAAAATGATCAACGTCATCTTGAGCAACTTTTTGCCTGTTATCGTTCAACCTCCGCAGACGAGTTTGAAACCCATTTCCTGGTTCAGCGTTTAGCTAAAGGCAACACTCGACGGCGACAACAGTTTGGATATTGGAAGAGAAGAAGAGGCCAGTTTGAGACTGAGTCAAAAACAGAATTGGAGCCCTGCCTCGTTCCACGGAAGTCCGAGAACATTGCAAATCCTAATATGCTTAAAGTCCTGATAGCGTCTTCACGGCCGTCAACAGCAACCCATCTCGATGTGTCTAAAGTCAAGCTGGAGGATAATACATCAATAATATCAAGCTCAACTGTGGTAAATATGGATGTTGAGGGAAATGGTGATTACTTTTACATTCCTCCACCGCCGAAGCATTTGTGGGATAGAGAAGAGTTTGAATGCCCGTATTGCTTCACTCTGTGTCCACGCAAAATGCTTCATCAAACCAATTGGCAGTAGGTATAATAATTCTTTGAGCTTGCGGAAGACTGATAACTGATGGTATGAAGAACCCATATTCTGCGCGATTTACGGCCATACATTTGCACCTATGAGGAGTGCAGAGATGCAAATCAGCAGTACGATAGCTTCAGCGACTGGATCAAGCATGAAACATTTATGCATCAAAACAAATCCGATTTGGCTAATAGTGCGAACGTAAATATGCCTATTTTGGAGTCTCGGAAATGTCCATTTTGCCTCGAAGACGCAGGGCCCCACCATATTACGACGCATCTTCGCAGGGTGGCTTGCTTCTCTCTTCCAAGATTTATTGAAAATGATGATGGCTCACTGCAAGGAAACCAGATATCCAGCGGAGCAGACAGAAGATCAAACAATACTGGGTCTTCTGAGACAACAGGTGAAATCTCAATCAGTGGAGATGGGCCCGAGTCTGAAGTCGACAAGAAGGCTATTTTTAGAAAGAGTTCTCTGCTCACTTCGGAATCCCTCCGTGCACAGCAACCAGATCGAATTGAAGAAAAACTCAAAGTGAACTGGTTTTTGGACAAGCTAGAGACTGAATCGCATTACATTGATCTATCGAGTTTGCTCTTTGATGGTATGAAAGACACAGAGGCCGACATAGATCACAATGCGAGAGATGATGCCATACTTGGATTGAAATTGACCCAGGAACACAAAGCGGAGTGTGAAGCGGCAAAAGCTGGAAATTCGCAAATATTACACCAACAGGGCGCCGCCAAGACTCTGAATGCTCCCGTCAACTATGATGCCGAGAAAAAAGGCGTGGAGAAGAGGGACAAGGCGTTCCCAGAGCGACTTGAGGACCGGTGGGAAGAGGCGGAGCAGCTCGAGGTGCAGGTGATAGAGATGAGCAAGACGAAGCTCATCGAGGACCATCCCGACACGCTGACGAGCATGGCCAACCTGGCGTCGACGTATAGAGACCAGGGCCGATTGGAGGAGGCCGAGCGGCTCGAGGTGCAGGTGATGGAGACTCGCAAGACGACGCTCGGCGAGGACCATCCCAGCACGCTAAACAGCATGACCAACCTGGCGTCGACGCTTTATAGCCAGGGCCGATGGGAGGAGGCCGAACGGCTCTTTATGCAGGTGATGGAGACTCGCAAGACGACGCTCGGCGAGGATTTTCTCGACACGCTAACGAGCATGGCTAACCTGGCGTCGACGTATAGAAACCAGGGCCGATGGGAGGAGGCAGAGGAGATGTACCAGCGAGCACTGGCAGGCACTGAGAAAGCCCTAGGTCCAGATCATACATCCACACTTGATACTGTGAACAACCTTGGTCTTCTCTACTCTGATCAGGGCAAGCTCAAGGAGGCAGAGGAGATGTACCAGCGAGCAATAGCAGGCTACGAGAAAGCCCTAGGTCCAGATCATACATCCACTCTCGATACTGTGCAAAACCTTGAGAATCTCTACAGAGAGAAAGGGAAGCCGAAAGACGCAGAGAATTTGTACCAGGGAGATTTGCCAGACAGTCAAAAGGCCCCACGTCGCAATGCTAAGAGGGCAGGGCGGGCTATAGCTAAACTTACTGGTTGGCTTAAAAAATAAGAGTGAATAAACTTTATACTCACAATGCTTTTGAGAAGGACGGTCATGTGTATGAGTCAGCTATAGCGAACAACACGGCATCACATTAGAGCAAGCTTCGGCGAAATGCTAATACTGAGGCCTGAATATAAGTATTCTTTGGAGAGAGTTTACAAAAGACACGCATGGAATTTACTCAAAGTCCTAGGTCAGCCATATTTACCTCAGTCGCCTTTTCAACCACGTAATTTAGTAAATTACATAATAGTGGGGATATTAGACATGTGCATGGGTTGGGTATGGGTCAAAATTCATACCCATACCCAACCCATGCACATGTCTAGATTCTTCAACAAAAATCGGCCACCCAACAGATGCAATATGCAGGGCACTCAGGGCATATCGTGCACCTATCCACATTCATTTATTTTTATAAATCCATGTATATAGCGACTCGAGATTTTAAAGTTGCTCCAGTGTCGGAACATGGATATTGCAATCGTGCAATACGATAAACCCGGAACGGAACAAACAGACCCCGAGTCACGGGGAAACGACTATATTAGGAACTCAAGTAGCTACATGAATCGAACATATTTCACACCACCTCGCACAACGTATATACTAAGAATCTAGGACGAACCATACCCTTTTCCAGTGTATATAGTGCAACGTGTGAACCCTGTCCTTTCAACGTAGTTGATCGACAATTACCTTGTACTACTCGTCGAGGCCAAGGCTAACCTGGTTAAAAATTCAGTTTCTAAAGTGCGTATAAATAGGATTGAATCGGCCTTTTAGCTAATTCACCGTCTACAGTTCCAAGTTTGTCGTCTAGTAGGGACGCAACAGGAGGGTTGAGACTTGAGTTCCAACGGTGCAGAGAGGAGACTCTCGACGTATATCATTGAATGGTCTGAGAGACTTGGCTGTGAAACCGTGTCATGGCGACCGTGACCTTCTCTTGAATCCATCGATTATTCCTCAATTCACATCATAGTTTCGTTCTCCTTTATTATACAAGGCTTTAATAGCGACATCCATGAGTTCCATGAATCTTTCCTTCTCAATATAAACATCATCAGAGTGCCAGTCTCTTCTTCTCGTGGAAGGAGATTCTGATGCGTGAGCGCTAAAATATGAATGTCCTCGGAGAGCGGCCACGTTCCGGAAACCTTTATGGTTTAGACCAGGTGGTAGAATTTCTACCATCGACGAACCGGATGGTAAGAAAATTCCATGGGTCAAACCCGCACCGTGGACGCCAACAAGAACGTCTGTTCCTTGGATGGTCTTCAATTGCTCTTTATAAGAAATGGTCGCAAAGTCTATTGACTGAATCTTCAATGGAGGGAAATTGGACTTGAGCTGTTCTAAATACAGCTCGTTGTCCACAAGTCTTCGGCCGCTCATCCGGTTGATAAATGTCAGCACAATCTGCTCACCTTGTCGTGGCTTGAGATGCTCTAGTCCATATAGAGAAAGTACACGGTTGGAGAATGTTTGGAGCAACGCTGACTCTTCACATGAGTTGACTATCCAGTCGCCCTGCCATAGCGTGTTGCTTCCACCGGCTAGCGGAACGATAATATTCTGGAAGGTTGTACTTTCGGGCACATCCTTCAGGCGCAAAATCGGCTTCTTTGCAAAAAGCGACCACATCTCAAAAAAAGGCCCATCTTCTTTATCATCGATTAGAACTACCTGTGTATTTGCAGCATCTTCAGCAGTAATATACGGCCCTGTCCCATCTGGCCGATTTGTTATTTGAAGAGTATCCAATGTCAGTGTCATGGAATAAATCTCCATCAGCGAGTGCCAGTGGTTTAAAGCGCCTTCTCGCTTGACAAAGATGGTATAATTCCTTGTACCCTCTGGTGGTATGTCGTTCCCACTTTGAAGTTCAACCCAGCCGTCAAGTACAGTTCCCGGACCTGTCTGAAACCAGTAGTTATGGAAACTACCATACTTAGGTAGCGATAAGGCATCTTTCGGCCCCTTTCTTTCCCCCAGTTCACATTTTAGGCTGAATTTCCGTTGACCAGGATCAAACTTGGCATCCTTTCCAAAGCAGAAAGTGTCCCATCGACCCTCCTTCATAGCCGTCTTGCTATGGAAACAAGTCAAAGAGAGGGACTCGTTGCAATATTGAGTTGCAGAGTCACGAAGATTTTCAAGGTAGGCGATTCCATATCGGTCCGCACAGAAAGGAGATTCATCTGAAGCGGTTGTATACTCGGCGGGAATCCTCAGTTCTTTAGAGGGATTCTCGGATTTAATCACACCGAGGACGGGTGCCGGTAGATATTTGTTTTTTTGATGGAAATTGAAGCTAATGAAGAAAAGTGTGCAGGACAAAAGGAAAGCCGATATTAATATTGTCCATCGTCGTAGGGTGAGGTTATACTGAAGCTTCAATCCCCTCATTCTCAATTTTTTTTTCTGGATTGACGGGAAAGCGAGAGGCAACTCTGGAATATCAGTGTTAATACAGGAATTGCCGCCTCGTATAAGCTAGGAAAAAAACGCTTAACTAGGACTAGTGGGCTTACTTTTTAGCCGGCCCCTAAAAGTGGGCTCTCGGTTGGGCACGCAGAATCATCTTATATATATGTATCTTGACTCGTGCCAGACATTAGCGTGCTTCCATATTGCATTGGCTCGAAACAAAAAGTACGGAACATGCCCGAGTATGACATTAGCGTCGGCGGCAAGTAGTGACCTTGATTAGTAGCACTAGAATCAAGACACCATCTGCGTAATTACGAAGAGAATGTATGAGGCAGTGAAAATTATTATTCTCACCCCGGAGAACTACTATGTATATTTGCAGGGCTGAACTCGCTTTGCTCCACTTTTAATTTCAAATAGAAGGCGGTCGTTTCATCTCATACATCACATACAAAGTACAGTGGGGTCTGATAAAAATTTGCACGGGAATTCACATCACAACTTTGAAATTTTTTAGGAATATACTGTGAGAGCCAAACAGATCCAATGTTGATATAGTGGAGTATCATGATATAGTACCTAACCTTGGAAATAACTATCTACCTAGGTTTGGCTATTACTTAGGTAGGTGCGGTTTACACCTTTCAACAAGAGTAGATTCCGTCTTCCAGGGGTTCTTCTTAGGTGATTTTGACCTTGGAAGCGACTTACCTAATGAGTTTAGCGTCTTTTTCTGTAGTATTTTATTTTCTGCTCTTAGAATCTCGAGTTGAATGAGTATAAATGCTAGGGACTTTTGGCTTCGTTCGGTTCCCTCTCTTCTTTCACGCATTCGATCAAAGCTGGCCCGCAATTTGTCCCATTTTTTCTTTCGGCGCTTTTTGTTTTGCATCCTGAGCACGCAAACCTAGCTGTGGCTTACATTTAGTGGACTATGTATAGGCCTTCGAGGCCAGCTTTGTGGGACCGCCTCTCTACCATCTTAGCGTGGTGGTTAATTTTCACTGATTGCACTGTTCACGCGGTATCACCATGGATTATGGCATGGTCTGACGATAAATTTGGCCCTGATGGTCCTTGGCAAGCTGTTTCTGTAGGCGTAGGTACACCTGCACAGACAATTGCCCTCTATCCCGGTGGACGGTGGTCAAGTGGTATCCTTTTGACGACAATCTGTGATAACCAAACGACATCTTCAACCTGTTATGCCAAAAAGGCCGGACTATTTGATCAAACTGAATCTTCCACAGGAGGTAATGTCACGCAGCCAACTTCCTGGGCAAGCTACTCTTCCGCTTCAGTTGATGGAGAGGTCTGGAAAAACACGTTTTACGACCAGGTCACTTTAGCAGGAGCTACGACAATCCCAAATGTCAGTATGGTTGGTATCCACTATGCATATCAAACATACCCGAATGGACGCAGCTATCCAATTGAAGTAGGGACGCTATCACTGGGCGCACCCGCATTGAATCACGTTTGGGAGGTCTACATGACCTTTATCACGAGTTATATGTGGACGACGGCTAGCAGAAGAATACCATCCTACTCTTATGGACTGCATATTGGATCGGTGGCGCTTGGAATCCCCGGTTCTCTCCTACTTGGCGGATACGATCAGAATCGAATCATGGGGGCAGTTTCATCGCAGTCCTTTTCGCCATATGGAAAACGTGCTGGTGGCAACCTGGTAATTGGACTACAAAGGATTGAGATTGGAGTTGCGACAGGAGGCTCCCCGTGGAACTATACAAAGAAGGGAAATCTCCTGACAGAATCGAATTCGAGCATGATCGCACCTGTTTCAGTAGAACTTGATCCTTTACGGCCTTACCTGTACTTACCACAAAGTACGTGCGATGCCATCACCTCACAGCTTCCTGTGACATTCGATAACGGGCTCGGTCTCTATTTCTGGAATAAATCAAGCAGCCATTACCGATCAATCGTATCGTCACCCGCCTACCTTTCATTTATGTTTCAAAAAGATTCAACAAACAACCAAAATATCACCATCAAAGTCCCTTTCTCACTCCTGAACCTCACTCTGGAAGCACCCCTAGTTGATTCGGATACTTCTTACTTTCCCTGCTTTCCTACAAATGAATCTTATACTCTCGGTCGCGCATTCCTTCAAGCGGCCTTTATTGGTGAAAACTATGCAAGCGGAGATGGGAATGGAGCTTGGTTTTTGGCGCAGGCACCTGGACCTGGAGTGATTGATACCCCAACTCAAGTTAACATCGAAGTTGACGATCGGACAATCGCTGGTACAGATGACTCGTGGGAAGTCAGTTGGGAAGCACACTGGACACCGCTGGCACTAGCGAATACGACAGCCTCTGACTCCAAATTGAGTCAAAGCTCTACAGGCCTCTCAGAAGGAGCAAAAATCGGCATCGGTGTTGGTATTGGGTGTGCATCAGCGATTGTGATATGTGCTCTGGTTTGGTTTTTTATCCGTCGGAGGCGTAAGGCAGCGGCTGAGAATCAGCCACATGTTTCACAAATGACGCTCCACAGCTATTCAACACCTTTGACTGAGAGACAAGAATTGGCTGATAAAGATACCTCTTCTCGCATTCATGAGGCGCCGAACGATGTATCTCACATACGAAATGGAACTTATGAGTTGGATTAGTGTCATTAGAGTTTTCGAGTTCCGCGTTCAACTTTGCGGGAACGAGATTGGATCATGGGATATTTTTTTTTAGCTTACTACCGAAACAATCAATATAATTAAGAGCTATTTGCTTATGCCATATTATTTTAACCATGACAAGTTCTTGCACGTGTGCTATAAGTGGCACTTAATTGGACAAGAACGTAGCAGTATATGATAAGTACAGGTCGAAAGATGCAGAAAAAGCAAGCATGGTAAATGTACTCGATAATGTTTTACTAATACTCCGTAATCAAGTTGAGATAACTGTTATGTAACCTCTCCGTCAATGCTCCGCTGCCAATTATAACGAAGCACATCAGTCTTAGGACTGCACATAAGAGAAGCCACACCACGCTAACTGGAGACACGTGAGACTGGCGATCGCTGAAAGGACTCAGCTCTAAGTAATATTACGATAGTCAAACATGCATAAAATATAGTGGGGTCTCATAAGTTTCCGGACCTTAGTACTTCCGTTCTATACCGCCTTCCCCATTAGAAGTAAATAACGTGAGATGGGGTTGATATGAAACTAGTGGCTAGCTTTCACATTTTCTCTCTTCTTTTTTTCTCTTTTCTCTTGTGTCTATTGATCAAATCTGATATACTAGAGAATGTATAGCCCTACATTAGGACAAACAGAATAGACACCTCCAAAACATCATGAGAAATATCGATGATCCTTATTAAAAGGGCTAATTCTTGGCAAAACTTCGCTCTTGTGGCTCTGCCTAGTAGCAAGACTCAATGTACCCTCCTTATGTGGGTGTTTTCAAGGCGTAATTTCCTGTTGGCACCATATGAATACCACTAATGCAAGCCAATAATCCAGCCCCATCCCTTCAAGCACCCTATGCAATCACTCATCCGGCCCAACTGGCAAGGTTTACAGGCATTATTAGTAGGTCCCTCTAGCTACTCTAGTGACACCAACTGTCTGATAGTGTGGAATACCCTCGAGTATTTTACTTCAACAAATTCGGAGTCATCCTCAGTGCGGCTTGAGACCAGCTTCACGAAATCCAAGTCAGCATATTAAGAGTTCGTCTTCTTTATCTGAGGCTCCAAGGCTGTCATAGTGGATAATCAAGTCTCTTCCTCGACATGGAGGTGCCTAGTATGATAAGGGGTAGTCCGGTACTATTGCTCTTACTCTCTTTTCTCTTCATCATTCAGTCACAATCAAGTTGCCTTCCTGAACCTGTTGGCTTGAGGATCGGAAATGTGACGTTGAAGAATTACAACAGTAACTCTATCAGAGGGGTAGACATTTCTTTAGGGAGTTCTCAGCAAGCGTTTGCATTCACTCCGCAAATGTAAGTTGCTTCATCAACTCTATTATTGATTAATAAAGAACGACTCTTCTCATGACGCTGACTTTACTTCACCAGGCCGCTCAACGACAGTTTCGTGTGGTGGGAAGGTAATGGCTTCTGCGGCACTGGCCGCTCAACGAATGCATGCGCAACCTTCCATGGTGGTCTATACGACAACACATCAACCTCACTTGACCCTGCATTCTCGAACTCCTCTACAAGCCTTGGCAGCAACTACCCACCTTGCCAATTTGTGACTGACAAGATGACACTCAACGTCAATACGAGCCTGAGCAACTTCTCTTTTGGTATTGCGCAGAAGGATATGCATGAACAGGGCTACCACCCGCAAGCTGGTCTCGGGTTAGGACGCAATTCAACCCTATTGAATTATATGAAAAAAAGAACCTTATTGCTTCTCGCACATGGGGCTATTTCTGGGGCCTAAACGGGGGGACTAGCGACAGTCAGATGGACGGCAGCCTTGTTCTAGGTGGATATGACAGTGCGAAAGTTTCGGGTATAAATTATACCCAGAATCTACAATTTACGAATAATCACTGTTTAACCGGAATGCTCTCAGTCTTAACGGACATCACTTTGAACTTTCGGAATGGTACCAACAAAAGTTTATTCGGTGGGGTGAGCTCCGCGGCTATGAACACTTGCCTTGACCCGGATTCTCCGGTGTTAATGAGCATACCGTATAGCCCTTACTTTACCAATTTTGAGACGTACACTGATGCGTCTATTGATAAGCGATCATTTGGAATCAACTATTATGTCATGCGTTATATCAGTGGTCAGACTCCGTATGTCATACCCTTCCACTCGCAATTCTCCCATTAGCAGAACCGATGGTAAAGCTAACATTTTATTAGATTTGATGGTGATTTAACAATTAGCCTGAGTAATGGGCTCTCTGTTCGAATTCCCAACAATCAGCTTGTGGTGCCAGACCTTTCTATCGATAAAACCAGCGGAGCCGTGACATACAATTACACCGACCCAGACCTCCTCCTGCTGTCTCTCCAGTCTACAAACTCAGATGATATGACGACGCTTGGACGAAATTTTTTCACGAGTGCATACCTCATGGTTAATCATGATACGAGCCAGTATACTTTATGGGCGGCCAACGCAACTACAGAGAAAGCGCTCGTCGCGGTGGATGGGAATAACCAAGTATATAAAGACCTTTGCACTGTTGATACCGCAAGCCCTCTGAGTCCTAGTACAACTACAACTACAACTTCTTCCAAATCTCAAAACGGACTTTCGTCTGCTGAGATAGCGGGTATTGTTGTAGGAAGCGTTGCCGGGGTAGCTTTGGTTCTTGGGACCCTGCTTTTTTCCAACGTAAGAAGAAAGCCAAAACTCAACCGGTGGAAGCTGGAGGCTATGGACCTTATGTCTCGTCTGCTTCGACCTCAACATATGTTGACTTTCAGGAGCTCCCTGTTGAAGTGCATCCGCATGAGCTCCCTGGGACTTTCTCTCAACATGAGCTTGCTGCAAAGGAAAATCCAGTGCGGCCAATAGTTGAACTTGAATGAATCTCCATATGGCGGACGAATTACTGAAAAAAACTGTTCATGCATGATGTACACCGCGATTTGTCTCTTGAATCAATCTTCATATGGCTGACAAATTACTGAAAATACTGTTCATGCATGATGTGCACCACGACTTGTCTCTTGTTCTCCTTCTTTCCTCCCTTTTGATCACCCTCAGCAAATACCATTTCGTCTGTCTCTTCCATTTGAGGCCAATGAACATAAATAATGTTAATAACGTAATATTGGGACCTGTAAATTACCGCATGCGGTTAGTTTTTCCTTTTAAGGACTAGTACCTCAATACACTGTCACGTAATCTCTCCGTCAATGCTCCGCTGCCAATTATGCATCTGCCGAATCTCATTCGATACCACAAATAGCTTGAATATTCGCAAAAGTTTCATCTCGTATCTCGCTTAGTTCAATAGTATCATTCGTTCTGATTTACCTCAGCTAGGGAAAATATCTCAAGGAAATGCGACTAGCAATGAATAGATTGGAATATCATCTGGGCTGAAATGGAAAATCCACCTAGTGGATCGTGTATTATGGCATTTAAAGATTTCAAACATCGATTATGGGATATAACGAAGCACGTCAGTCTTATGACTGCACTCAATTCATCGTGGCCCGCTTGATTGGTCGGCGCTGAGGCTTTAGTATGGTAGTTAGGCCCAAAAGGCTGTAATTTGCCAAGTGAATTTCAAGTACGATTGTATAATACTGGTTTTTGACCCAGGCAATTTTTAGATGATATAATGTCGGTTTCAAGAGGTGATGTATGCACTAATACTACAATAAGCCAATCGAGCTATTGCACTGTACTTAGGATGTGTCTTATACAAATTGCAGGAGTTATTAAGAAAGAGGACTAGACGATGATTCAGTAATTAATGTGGTAGGAATCGGTAAGCAATTGTGATGAGCAAGCCAAATGCAGTCCATAGAATTCAAGGGTCCATCTGAGTTTTGGACCCTTGGTCAACAGAATATCTAGGGCTCCGATTGGTCTGTACATTTCACGCGCTCTATTAAACTGTTCAAATTACATGTAAAAGCCTGAGCTTGATCGGACTTGAAATGCTGATAAAGCGGCTGACCCTAAATTCGTGAAAATGCTTGGTCCAGCTGAAGCTTCTACTTTGCTGACCCGTCACAAAAGAGACCTGACGAGGTCCTATACGTGCATGCCGATATGACTCACCCAAATATTAGCCAAATGGCCCATTCCATTGGCTCGCAGGCCATTGTGCACAATTCCAGCCCCGGTGGCTCCCTGCGAGGATGCGCCCAGGCTAAGGGCATCAATACTATTACCATAGAAGTAAGTTTCTCATGTTGGACGACAAAAGAACCGAAAAAAAATGTTAATTTTTGCAGATTGGTAATCCTAGCATCTTTCAAGATGGACTGATCACAAACGTGGTTTCGGGAATTAGCAATGCTCTGAAAGTCCCATTCGATCATCCGTTATTTCGGGATTCCAGTCTCAAATATCCAGAAACAGCATCAGCTGTATGCTACAGAAGTGTTAGTGCACAGTTTTTGACTAATAAAACCCCTTGGAAAGCATTCAGCTGAACTAGCATATACAGTACTGGGTTTTTTCTCAAACCGCAGGCATACTTCGAGGTAAGAATATTCAAATGCCACATGTTTAACCAATTTTCACCACTAACACCTCAGCAGTATATAAGATAGTAGCAGAATCTATGAAAAGAGGAGAGCTCATTGCTGAGGTTCGTTCAATCTTTGGCGATGTCATCGAGCAGATCTTCAGCCCTATGGATCAGGACACTGTTGTGGTCGGCATTGAGGCCAACCCAGTCGCTAAAACAGGAAATCGTATTGTGAGTATTATGGTCTTTTTTGAGATGATTATTTTTGCTAATTGAATCTGAAGGATTCACCTTAGAGTTATTGGCGATGATTTTAAACCAGGGGTATGTGACGGTCATCTTTAGCATGCATTACTTGCTACGTTCAGCATTCCATATGTTATGTCTACGTATTGGCAGCAATTTGCTCTACTTCTGTACTTCGACCAGCGAGAAAAGAACTGGCTTTTGGATATGGAGTACCTCTATGTACCGGCATTGGAGCTTGATTTGATTACAGAGTGAACGACCTTGAAATTTTGGGCATCTATGGATAAATTCCTTGGCTGATTTGATCTATTTATTTTATAATAAAGCATCCTCTCTTCAAATGCGTGAAATCCTGGAGTAATTTAAGGAGGGAAAGAATCCACCTAGGTACAATAAGAGAAACATAAAAATGTTCACTGCCTTCATTTTGAGTTGGTTGAGTTGGGGGAAGTCAACCCAAACTTTAGGTGTAAACTCAACTATTTAAGGGGTGCAGTCCCTAGAATTCATTCATCTGAGTGGAGATGAGATGTCCTCACAAAACACGAGATAGGGCCGGCTAAATTATTTAACAAGAGGCACATTAAACTTGGATCCTTTATTGGAAGTGTCGCTCGCCTAGCGAGCGTAGCTAGCTAGTCGCCGATAACTGAGAACGAGGTTTTACTGCAGTAAATAAGGATTGGTGATCTTCAACTAACTACTACTCAACACCGTAGACAATCCACCGATCTGGTAGTGGATTCCTACTAGTTGAATATTGTAGTTGTTGTGAAGTCTGCTTTTTCATTGATGAAAGAACTAGCTACTTATAGTATATGGGTGCCCCTCTGCCCTGGACGAATTTCAACATTCGTCCGAGACAGAAGAGACGGTGAAGACGGAATATTACTGTCGCAAATGCACATCGCTCAAGGGTGTCGTTTGCGATGAATGTATATCGTTCAAGGATGCCGTGATATACTAATATAATTCCAGAGTCACTGTCGTGGCAGAAGCTTTTCGGCCGAAATACTTTCTGTCTATTGATGGCCTTGTTTCTCGGCTGTCGCAACAGGAAGGTTGATGAAGAACTGAAATCCGGAAGTATTTAAGCAAAAACATCAGTCGCATATCGCTCTTTTGTCTTTAAATCTTCGAAAAATTGCTCAGCAGCCGCATTCTCGTCAGGCTCAGAGTCAACCTCACCCCTGCCTTTTGCTTCAGTCTTCTTTTCACGACGCCTGTTCAGGTAAATTTCTTTACAGGCAGCGCGAACCTCCCGACCAACAGCAGTACTACCACACACGTAGATAAATGCTCCCTGGTCAAATAACTCCACCACATTTTTGAAATCCTTTCGCATTAAATCTTGAACATGCTGACCATTCCCATTTTCAGGCCGGCTATATGCCCAGCGAACGTCAACAATGCCCTGGGCAACCCATTCCGCTAGCTCATCAGCGTGAATGTCATCTTGACCCTTTGCACGGCAGCCGATGTATAATACTGCCTTAGCAGGTCTCTCATCTTCTGGTAGGGCAGCTGTATCAAGCATTGAATAGCGACCGCGTATGCGCTCGGCACGATCCATGACAAATCCACGGAATGGTGCTAGACCAGTTCCCGCGCAAGCCATTATCATTGGAGTTTGAAGGTCCAGTGGAGGTTTAAACCCCGAATGGGAGGGACGAACACTGATTTGAGCGTGCTCACCTACTTGTAGCTCAGAGAGGTAATTTGATGCAACACCATGATACTGCTGGATTAGCTCTGTACCGGGCTCATTTTTTCCTGAGAGAGCCGGGGCACTGAGAACGGCGATAGTGATTGAGCATTCAGATGGGTTGAATAGAGGCGACGAGGAGATAGAGTATTGCCGTATACGCATAGGAGGTAGCATAGCAAGAAAATCGCCAATGGGTAGATTGATGGCTGGGTACTGCATCAATATGTCCAGAATGCTTACGCGTTTTTCCACAAGCTCAGCAAACTGACTTGGACTCGATGCTAGAAAGCGTAGCTTAGCCTGAGCCTCATCATCTCCTAAAACAGCGTCAGCCAATATAGTTAGATCACGCTTAGACACAGGCTGTGACAGCTCCACATATGTAGTCAGTAGCTTAAAAGCAGAAATTGGCGTATCAAGTGGGATGGTTGTGGATGCTATACTGTTCGAGTCCTTCATGTTATGAATGCGAAGAATTGCATCCCAGGGAATGTCAAGGCGGCTCATCGCTCGTCGGACAACTTGGTTGGGGTTCATGGGCAAAACTGCCAGGTAATCGCCACACTGGTAGGTCATGTCAGATGGCAACCCAAATCGAACTAGACGCTTGGCAGGAACGCCTGGCTTTGTAAGGAGCTTGTTTTCAAGCACAAAGCCTTCTTGGAGCTGTATTCCAGGGGCTGATGCACGTGTGCCACTAGTAGTTATATCGACTTGCAACGAAGACTTGGATTTTGGCGTTTGATTATGGCTTCCGCCAAACTTTTCCGTAATTGAAGGCCAGAGGAGTTTCTCACCCCAGGTATCGAACTCCGTAAAGATGTCTGAGCTGGCTGTGTCTGCGAACCCAATCTCGCAAAGACGGTTTCCTCCATTTTCAGAAACGAGTTCATATATTAACTTAGGAATTCGGTAGAGTGTGGCAGCCCAGTCACCTAGAACATGTTAATGGTGATGGAGATTTCACCTCAGTAATTTAAGATTAAAACTCACGATGACCACATCCGAAAACGGCATAATTGACAGCTTCCAAACTGTTTCCTTTGAGCCCACTTAGCCACTCAAAGAAATGGGCGGCATTGTCTGGAGGTTGGCCTTCGTATGAGGAGCTAATAAAGATGATAGGGTCTAATATCGTGGATAAGCTCTGTATCGCTGAATCCAAAGAGTCGATCTGCGCTGAGAAGCCATAATCAATAGCATCATCTGCCAATCTATGTGCAAAGGCTTCACAAGTTCCAGTGTTGCTGCCGTAGAAGATATGCAGAGGCTTCAAACTACCATTTGTACGGGTGACAGCAGGCTTCTTCTCCAGATTGGCAATATCTGCACCATGAGTCGTACCTCCATCATTGTTCAAGACCAGACCAAGCTTTGTTGGATCCAGATCCTCACGCAAGGAAGCTCTCATCTGAAGATCCTTAGGTTTGATGGTGAGGGTCTGCTTGATACGTAGATCATAACTCGGGTTTTCCAACTGAAAGTTGAAATTTTGGAACAGAATTGCAGTTACCAGGAGAATTTCTTGCCATGCAAATGGTCGCCCAATACAGCCGCGTCTTCCATTTCCGAAGGGTTTCCAGGCGTTCTTGGGTAATTTCTCAAATTCCTCATCTAACATTCGCTCCGGTCTGAAATCATCTGCATCGGCCCCGTATATCTTTGGATCACGGTGCACCTTACCCAACAAAAGGGCGATCGGCTCATTCTCATGAAGAACGTATTTACCACCTCCAAGAGTCACTGGCTCATGATTATCTTTGTTTTCGTAAGCACCCACGTGAATTACGGGGGCCGGAGGGCTCAGACGTAGAGTCTCACGCAATACTGCGGTGATATAAGGTAGTTTCGACAGATCTTCAATAGTAATCTTGCGTCGGCCAATAATACGATCTACCTCTTCCTGGACCTTTTTTATAGGCATGAGGAGCTTTGAGCAAATAATAAAACAAAAAAGAGAGGGTACCGGAAGTGGTTTCATGACCTTAGCAAAGTCAGTTCATTTTGAATAAACAAAAAAGGAAATGCACAAACCGGCGATCAAAAAAGTGATCATATTATCAACAATTGACTCCTTCGTCATTCCCTGGCCAGTCTGTGGATCTCGACCCAGAATCAACGCATTCATGAGATCCTTCTTGTCCTGTGGATTATTCCTGCGTGTATCTACAAGCTCCTGCGCCAGGGTCCGCATATAAGTAATATCTTTGTGATAATGAGTATTTGCAGTAGTAGGAAGACTGTTGATAGCTGCTGGGCGACTAGCACGGTTCCCTGATCCAATGAGCAAGCCAACCATTGCCTCGATGAAAGGATGCATATCTTCGTGATAGAATGAGTTGAAGCGGGTACCCATTGCACAAAGAGCAAGAGTATCCAGAGTCAAACGCGTAAAGTCATTTGTTACGGTGATAGGAACAGTATGACCTTGCCGCGCCCACTTCATTACAAGCTGGCTTGCGATATCATACATTTCTGGAAATTTCCAAAATTAGCTTGCGTAGGTAAGTCGCAATACAAAGATCGATCTCGAGATCCTTACCATCAAACATCTCGCGAATCATTAACGGTCCGAAAGCAGGTACTAAGATCCGGTGGGCTACAGCCCAGTTCTCTTCGCCGGGGTAATTGGCAGTGAATAGACCATCGTGAGTCCCATTTCGAATTTCTTTCAATGGACCAACGACTGCCTTTGTGAAACGTTTCTCGTTGCAAACCTCATCTACTAGTTCATAGGAGCTAACAACCACCCTAGACGAACCCAAGGTTTTGAGGCGAAAAATTGGACCTATTATAGGATAACGTGAGCACTCAAATAACGCTTTAAGATCAAGCTAAATATCCAATACCATAGGTATCTGCAAGCAGGTTTATACTGTTGATGGGAGCTTCGGGATCGAGATCATAGATATTCCCTAGAAATGGGATCCCTTTGGGTCCAGGAATGGGTACTTCTTTCACGGGGTTCGTATTTGACATTCTTTCTTCGGGTGATTCAAGTGATTCAAATGATTGAAAGTTATTGGAAAGCCAAAGTGCTTTTTATAAGCAAGAGAATGAAGATGCAGGATGGTGAGGGGTTTCGAAATCTACCGAAAACGTTGTAGACAAGTACTTCGTATATGCAGGTGACGTCGCATGTTGTATATGATGCCACATCATTCAAATTTTCCAATTTTCTATTCTTTATTCATGGATTTTCCATGAATCTTTCAATCCAAACCCTAGGTTCCGCAATAGATAAAGGTAGATTCGGGGCTTTCGTCCAATAGACTCTAGAACTCTTTTTCGAGAATGCATGAGGTTGTTGGTGTGACTTTTCACATTGATTGCCTGTGCATCCATATAAATCGTTTCCGGCTTTTCCATGTAGACTCTGTGGAAATTGATAGCGGAAATCAATTGGACAGGATCAATGATTGGAGGGAGCATTATTCGGGGTAGATTCGATGATCAAAGTCTTATCATCAGGAATAATCGTGGCAATGGTAGCCTTGCATGTATAAGGTGGCCATAGCATCACTTGGGTAGCCAGGGTGGTTGAAGTTGAGATATAGAGGTGTGAAAGATGAAGGAAAGCGTACATTACAACTTGCCAACAATTACTGACATTTGAATGGTCCATTGGATGAATGAGTAGGGATTAAATTAGAATAGATATTTTTTTCTGCGCAAGGTCTGTCCAAAATCAGAGTCAAGATCAAAAAGTAGTGGCAACAATGCTTGTGTTGTTTTCTGCTATTTTAAGCCGTTAATCAAAGCTCTTCCTTACCAACCTCTTTTCTCGACAGGCCAACAAGTCTTCGGAATGCGACATTTGACACAATCCAACCATTTCCAGAAATACCCTCTCCACTTAATGGCCTTCCATCTCCCTTTGCTAGATTGGTCAAAAACTTTCCAAGATATTTCGTCGGTGATACTTGGCTAGGCAACGCATATCGCACTGCAGGGCCAATAGCACTTCGAAGCAGCTTCTTTGACCAAACCTGCTGATCTGGTCGTTGAAGAACATGCTCCAGGACCTTTGGATCATGAGCAGGATCCACAAATGCTGGTCTAACAGAATATGGCTTCAGAGAGTGATATGTATCAGAGAGAGCGATCAAAGCAGCTTCACACTGGCCTTTGATGTCACCAAAGAATGGAGTGAATATGCCCGGTGTCTGGGTAGCCTATATTTGGAGTCAATGATAATTTTTCTATGTTGATATGAAGCACGCCTACCCCTTCCCCAGAGACGTAGACAAAGTTGAAAGAATCGGATAATCCCGAAAATGCTTTGGCTGCAGCCGTGGGATAGTCCAGGGTGATTTTCACGTATTCCCTATTCCATAGAGTCAGACCATGATCCTTCTCAAATTTTAATAGATACTTATCTGTATTTTACTTACTCCTTCGAGACCTGGCTTTGGGAGATTCCCTGGGCCCAAACACAACCGCTTGCGCCTTTGAGTTGTTCTAGCACATCGGAGGGATAATTATTGAAGTCTTTGTGTTCGATGACAGTCACGTTGGGGTAGTTATTTGCCATTGGAACAGGGCCTCTGCTAAGAATGAACAACTGCGAAACTTCTCCCTTGGGTAAAGAGAGAATGTGCGTTAGGACGGACGATCCAACCAGGCCAGTGGCACCAGTTAATATGAGACGCATCCTGGACTTGGGGTTTTGCGTAAAATTTAGACTGTATACTGGCAGTTTGGGTAGTGAATTCTAACTGATGTGTCTTTGGAGGTCATTCTTATAGCCATTCTACTCCGTATTCCGTCGTTAATTCCGGAGTATGTGGGGACCTGAGGCTGACTATGCTGACATACGCTAACTTAATTTGGCATAGTTAGCGGACTTAGCATGAGTCGGCCAATCAAGACCTTGGAGAATCGTGGAGAATGGTGGAGAACCATACTTCGACCGATCTCACTCTAATGAGCTTGAAGCGATGATGGACGATCGCCAAAAAAATTACAGGGCAGAGCATTGCAAAGTCAAGGCCTGTAGTTTAGACTGCAGTCATTCACGGGCTGAATCATCAATCACTGTGCCTTACTTCTCAGTCATATCAACTAGCGCTGGAAATCGAAGCTAGTTCTTATCGCTACCAACTGTCGCCTGTTTGCACTATGGAAGAATAAATAGAGGACTTCGCTAAAACAACCCCTTCTGCCTGATTCCTAAGGTTTTTACAGCATAATTAGGCACCATTATAGCAATAATGATTTTACCAGATATCCTGCCAGAACTATTAATTCGGTATGGAATAACTATTAATGCGATACCTATAGACTTTTGGTCGCATCATGATTTCTCTTCTCTGTTTTACATTCCCGTATCTAGTTTGTTTTACATTCTGGTTTACATACTTAAAAATATATTTTACGGTATATAGTTACGTGTTTATTTTAACCTGAATAAAGCCTTTGATTTGAACTAACAATACTAGGAATTGGATCGATTGGTATGGCCAGAGGAGAGTTAGAATCCATTGTAAAATAAGTATAGAATATGCAGATTCTGAAAATAATGCGGTGAGGAAAGTGGAGTTAAGACCTTAGGAATAAGGCAGCGGGGGCTGGAATAGCAAAGTCCTAAATAAAGTATTGGTAGTACGACTCCTAAGATATGGTATCTTATTGAATCTACGCCCAGGATGGAAATTAATACCATATCATATCTTCGAACCGCGAGCGTGTCCAAAACCTCGTCTATACTCGCGCTCACTGCCGATATTGCTTGATTACGAGGCTTAAGTCGTTGTGGATCCGGAAGTCATCAGGACCGCTCTACTGGTCCGCCCCCATCCTCCAACCAAGTGCCCAAATTTGTTCGGGAATCACTTTTCCTTCTGACAGTATTGATAATCGACAGGGGAAACGGGACGATGGAATTAAAAGGAACAGGCAAGATTCTACGATCGAGTTTCTTGGGTTCTGATGGTAGCCCGGTAGTCACAAGGCTGAACGCCAAAGAAATTGACAGAACTATAAGCCGTGAAGCCTGGTTCCGGGCAATCTAAAGATTGCCGTCTATCAAATCTGAGGTCTATTGAATTAATATTGAATTAACCTCCACGCCTTGACGAATCAAACCCTCAACCTTGCCCTTTGTATTATTGGGTGGCATTCAATGTCAAGTCAAGGAGTACCCTGCGTCGCTATACACTGTCGGTCTATGAAAGAGAGATATATAGCCCTGAAGGACAACAGGTTACTCGGGTAATAGAAGTCACTCGTATTGGTTTCGCCTACGTTTATTAAAGGGATCGTTAGGAACTTCCAAGAAATTCTAGTGCCTCCCAAGGTCCACCCGACGGGGATTCTAAATTTATCTTGGGGCCATTAAATAGCTTACAAAGGTGTATAAATGGAGCTAGGGATCCCGAATCTAAAATTATTGTTCAATACAGCAAATTGAAGGCTGACACGATTGCACTCGAACTTCAGAATGCTGCTCAGATGCTTTTTGGGGTGCCTCCTAGCAGTCTCTGTGATGGCCCTTGCCTCCAATGACAAGCGAGTTACCCACACCAGTCCACAAATTTCAGGATTCACAGGCCAGAAGAAGACCCAGATTGAGGATGCATTTAGCGATGCCATAGAAATGGCAAAAAATGTTCTTACTGCGCCCACCATAGCTTTTGAGTCTATTTTTGATAAATATTTCCCTCCCGACGATAAAGCGACAGTTCTAAGTCAGTTTCAAAAAATGCTTTTCCAAAGCTGCCTTAAAATGCAGGGACTAATTATGTGACCATAAAAAGGTGTCTTCGAGACGATTACTGGCGGAAGTGCGACAGGATATGCTGGCAACTCTCGTCTAAGTGATATGACTATTATCCAAGACTACAGACATGCGGATGGTTATACATCTTGCACTGGAGATCAAGTGTTTGCAGAGCTGCTTGATAATGAATCCAGCAGCCCTAAATTGGTTCTTTGTAATCCAGCATTTCTGTTTGGTGGGATTGAGAAGGGCTATACAGGAGTGGACGCTGTCACCTGCAACAATGTTGGAAGAAAAGTCAGTGAGTACATGGACACATTAGGTTCGACATTGTTGCATGAGTATACGCATTTTGCCAAGTTGGTTGTACCCCCACTGTTTTTTCCAACAGTTGATCTTCCTAATGGGTATGGAGCTTGGAACGCCCAGAATTCGATTTCCAACAGTGATGCGATATCCAATGCCGACAATTATAATTGGTTTGCAACTGAGCTCTTCTGGACTGTGCACTGCACGCGTTGGTTTGAAGCTCCTGATGAGCCTACGGAATGTTTATGGTAATTGAGCTACCTGTTTCATTAATTGACCAGTGGTTCAACCTTGAGCTAAATTTATTGACTGCATTTTTCGATCAATTCCGAGGTTTAATCTCAATGAGCTTAATGAGATGGCCTAGGCTAGTTAAGCTCCAGTGCTCTATACCCAAAATTTTCAGCCCTATCTTGATTACCTAGTTAGAAAGCTACGGACATTAATACACTCATAATGACCTAGCTTACAATAACTTTGAGAAAGCATACCGCTAAAGCAGCGCTCACCCATTGCTCACCAGGGCGACACACACTTGACTATAGTAGCTTTATAGCTCACTTTTGTTATCGTTCTATCACATACGACCACAGGGTGTGGAGAACAGGGCTTCCCGTCCGCTCAGCCGTACTTAAGCCACACGCCGGTCAGTTAGTAGTATGGTGGGTGACCACATGCGAATCCTGACTGTTGTATGTTTTTGTTTTTTAGCTACTCTAGAGCACCCTGGTCCCTACGGTCGAGTCTTGAAGCCTTCTTCAATGATTAATCACTATATTATTACCCATATACTGCTGATCCATGTTATATATTCACTCTTTGTATCACGTTTACCTAAATACAATTTCTTTTTTGGTTTAGGGACGCAAGTAAGCCGGTGACACAATTAGTCATATCTCTCTGGTACCAAAGGCACTTAGTTATAGATCTTAATTGACGGCGTTAAAATATAGTAGATAGCCCTACAGTAGTCTTGAAACTTTTTTGATATACGCGTTCTATAGTTTCCCAAGGCCTATAGTTGATGTGACATGATGTCTTTTCCATGGTCCTTAAATGCTTACAGCTTGGCTTTTTTCTCTTCGCGGCTTTCGAGGTTCGGGTGAGGAGTCCGGACAGGTCGAGTGACAGCGTAAAATGCAAACCCTTGAGACTTGGTCGAGAACTGAGATAAGGTAAAACTATGTTAGTTTATTATTCCATATGGACATGGAAAAGTGAGCGAAAGGTGACAAACCTTGACCTTGGATCCAACATAGAAGAAAGCAAAGTCTCCAGCGACAAGGTGATGTGTGATTCCAGTTGCCTCGTCCTATTAATGAACCGTGTCAACATTCGTTATGAGGAGGGGTAAAGGCTGGAATAAATCTTCATGTAGGTAAAGTAATATAGCATACCAGAACATCAATTTGGCCACTTAAGACATATTTCGTCTCCTCGAAAGTATAAGTCGCTGGCTTTTCAGGCCCAGCTTCAATTTTATAGAATCCCGAAGTAAGGTACGCCGGAGCTTCAGTCTTGGTGCGAATTGAGTGGAAGTCCGCTACAGTTGCATTCTCGCCCTGAGGAAGAGGGATGTGTTCATGACCTGCGCCTTTGATGACAGTGAGGGGGACGAGTAAGCTGGACACTTTTGAAGACGAACTCGAGTATAAGCAATTGAAGGGTATGGGTGCTTGTAGGTTTCTAACTTACTTTTGGAATATGGCTTTCTGTGAGCGATTTTGGTAAATTCAAGAGGTGAACTTGTCCGGGGGTACCCCTCACCTGATATGATCAGATGGAGTGCGGAGTGCGTAGTGCGGAGAAATAGATAGCGAGACGGGCCGTGTAATTTATCCTGAAAGGGACAACAAACCCAGCTCTTGAGGTGACTGAATCAACCATATTCGAAAACTGTCTAGGTGACTCCCATAGATTGGACTTTGAATGTGCAGTGTTTCCGCAATGAGCCTTAGAAATAATGGAAGATGAAATAGAGAATGTAAGGTAAGAAAGATCTGATTGTATTTTAACCAATCACAGCTCACTTGTGCCTTGAACTGGACCCACTTGTATGCTATTCGGACAACTCTCGGGGTCTTATACCGCCTACCTAATATAGCCTAGTGCAATACAACACTAATTCAGAAAATCGGCTGTCCCAAACTCTGTCCTAGACTCTACCTTCGAAACAAACTCCATTACTCCATTATTACTACTATTGAGCCAATCCAACCACTCTGAATCACGGTACGATGATGATGATGATATTGGCAGTAATCCCAGACCCACCTATACACCGCCTAATACCGCCGTCCAAGAAGGCTCCTGTGTCACGCGATGAACTTCTCCATGCACGTTGATTCGTTCCTCTGACTTAGCGAAAGAGCTTATCCGCCATTTATCCCTTGTTGTCTAATAGACTACCCTTCACCGTAAGTCATAAAAAGGGGATAGAAAAGGTGCATAGCACTCCGGAAGCCTCCACATTCTGAACCCACTCACCAGGCTTCTCTTGAACGGGCTCTAGAGCATCTAAACTGGACCCCCAAGCAGTGGAGTAAGTATTATGGTCCGATCAAACTTGGCTTACCTTGGTTTATCATAGGAGACTATAGGTAATAAGGAAGCTTGGAGAGTAATTCGATGGCATCTCTCTCTCATCGGACTAACCTGTCACTCTAATTCGAAGTTGTTATTAAGGATGAGATTGTTGTATTGATTAAATTATCTGTAATTTATTATATCTATGTGTAATAGAAGTATTTAAATACACTGTGCGGTATTTAAAAGTGCCAGGAAAACCTCCACGGTGGGGCCTGGAAGTAACGCGACCGCAACGACACACCACAGTGGACCTCAATCAGATAAGAATGTCAGACATCTAGACCGGTTCACCCGGCACAGCGCTAATGCAGGTCCCATTACGTAGTACAAACTACAGAGTAAGAAATCCAGGGGGATTCACACTTGGATTCACACTTGGAAAATCCGGCTGATTGCAAAGCCGGTTGCTAGATGGGATCAACCAGATAGTATAATAAAGACAAATCCTACTTGAAATTAGAGGGCTATGGGGTCCACGGATTTACCCCTGTTTAGGTAGAACAGTATTTCGAAACAGTCTTCTGCCAGTTTCTAGTGCGTCCACCATTAGTTACTAATATTTGTCATGCTTGTAAAGCTGCAAAGGGATCCACTTCATTCCACCTTAATTGTTCAAGTGGCTTGAATTTGGCTTGCAGATCTTTCCACTAACAATTTCTGTAGTCCTGGTGAGGCAGTTTCTTAGACGATGGTATCCACATAAACTTGGCCAATTTGAATGAAGTTTGAGGAGATCCTGGAGGAAAATGGAGCCGTATAAAATGTCGTTAACTCCTTTTCCCTGAGATCTGGCAGACCTGTTCCATTTTTCATTTTCAATATGCGGTTTTCTCAATCAGCCCTGCTGGGTGCTGCTGCTGCTGGTCTTGCTTCAGCTTCTAGCTTTAAGAACCATCACTATGACTACATTGTTGTTGGTGGTGGCCCATCTGGTATCATCACTGCCGAGCGATTCGTCGAAGCCGGCAAGAAGGTTCTGCTTCTCGAGAGAGGTGTCGGTCCTACCGTTACAACCGGTGCCACTGAGACTCTTCCTTGGAACGACACCCTGACCACGATCGATGTTCCTGGTCTCTCTGCTGATATTGGCTCTCTTCCTGCGTGGGAGGAGTATGCCTGCTCCGACGTTGCTGGTCAAGCTGCCTGCGTACTTGGCGGAGGTGTTACATTGAACTACATGGTCTTCGTGCACCCTCCAGACCACGACTTCGATGACAACACCAACTGGCCCAAGGGATGGAAGTCAAAGGACCTTAAGCCTGCCGCCAAGAGACTCTATGAGCGCAACCCTGGTAGCACTTTGCCTTCTGCTGATGGCAAGCGCTATGACCAGAACCTTTACACTGTCCTCTCGAACCTCTTGTCCAAGGTTGGCTGGAAGTCTGTGGACATGATCACTCAGCCCAACGAGAAGCACAAGGTCTACAGCTACCCATCCTGGAACATCAAGAACCAGAAGCGTGCCGGACCTGTTCGCACTTACCTCCCTCTGGTCCAGAAGAACGAGAACTTCACCCTGGGCCTCAAGACCAAGGTTCTCCGAGTTGTTCGCTCGCAGGGTCTGGCCACCGGTATCGAGATCGAGACTGCTTCTAACCAGACTGAGATAATCACCCTGGCCAAGAACGGCAAAATCGTCCTCGCTGCAGGTGCCCTCTCTACCCCCCGTATCCTTTTCAACTCCGGCATTGGCCCTGCCAAGCAGATCAAGACTGCTCGCAAGAGTGGCATCAGCGTTCCCAATGAGAAGGAGTGGCTCAACCTCCCCGTTGGTGTCGGTATCATGGACCACCCCATCTTCTCCATCAACGCCAAGACCCCTGGTAACTTCAGTCTGCCCGACTACACCAGCATCGTGGACGGCTCCGACACTACTGACATTGAGCTCTACGAGAAGGGAGATGGTCTCCTCACCGAGGGCAAGCACCGCCTGATCTTCTTCAGCTCGAATAAACTCCGGAACCACACCCGCTACTACCAGGGTTCCTGCGCCCCTAGCGGCGATGCCCTTGTCAGCATCACCACCTACATGACTCACGGTCTCACCTCGTCCGGTGTCCTGGGTCTAGACGAGAAGCAAAACACAGTCTTCGAGAAGTCCCCGTACATGAACACTCGTGGTGATATTCTGGCCGCCACACGCTTTATCGACTCTCTTGTCAAGGATATCAAAGCTCCGGGCTCTGGCTTTGAGCTGCAGACCAACCTCAATGTCTCTGCTATTCTCGCTAGCCAGTCTCCTGGTATCCACTACACCTCTTCTGCCAAGATGGGTACCGATAGTGGTCTTAAGAACGGCACTTCTGTTGTCGACGTAAACACCAAGGTCTATGGAATGGACAATTTGGTAAGTTACATCAATCACCTTCTTCCCATGGTGCAGTCGCTAATATCCACTTCTTTTAGTATGTCGTTGATGGCAGTATCCACCCTGACCTTCCTACTGGTAACATCCAGGCCACCATCATGGTTATCGCCGAGGCTGCTGCTGCGCGTATTCTTGCGCAGTAAATAATACATCTGGAATCTTTAGATAGAATTTTCAGTTAATTACGAATTATTGAAGTTGAAAGCAACAAGAATACAATCCACCGTAGAACGTAAGAGTCCATTCACCAAGCCGAGCTAAGCTAGGTTGTCGACACACTGAACATGATCCAAATCTGAGCAACGCTCCATCATTTTGATCGACGAAAAGTCTTGGATCTGCTATGATACATTTGGTTTAGAAATATTAAAGAAAGGGTCAGTCCAAGCCGCCGAGACACTCCAAATCATCACCAGATCACCAGGCGTCCACATCATAGTTTTCCTCATTGAAGTAGGAAACAACGACGGTGCGGTCCGAGAACTTTCGACCAGCGAGCGCCTTGAGGGCAGCGGTGGCAGACTCATCTTTGTCGAACTTGACAAAGATTTTTCCAATACCTGGAACCTGTCGGTTGCTGCCGATTGGGCGAGGAATTTTGACACCGAGGACCGTGCCGTACTTTTCGCACTCTTCACCCACGTCCTCCTTAATCTCTTCATAATCGTTGTTATCGATGAGCTCGTCCACGGTGACCATGTTCAACAACTGCAGCACACGACCCGTTCCGATGTCCGAGGAGGTGGTTTTAGCAAACATGGACATGGCGTTAACACCCATCTCCAGACCAGATGCTTGAGTGGTGCCAACACTAGCACGGGTGACCTTGAGGTTACGATCACCTAATTCCATACCATTCAGACCCTCCACGGCAATGGGAGTGGCTGCCGGGTCAGCATATTCACAGAAGGCAATCCCCTGTAAGTTTAGATGTTAGCAATGAACTGCATATAAGGAGTTGAAATAACCTACCCTGGACTCCTCAGTGTATTTATCCTTGGCGAGGATGAAAGACTTCAGTTCGCCAAACGACTTGAGCAACATGACAACAGCCTCGTCGGGGATGTAAGCTGGAATGTTTGTGACACAGATCTTGTTCGGCGAATCTGGGACCTCATTGAGAAGTACACCTTCCTGGTACACATTTTCTGTGCTTAGATCCGGCACGATGTAGTCCTTCGGGCGTCGAACTTCGAGACCCTCATTCGCATTAATATCGTCGGACATGGTGACACCGTCAAGAGCCAGGGCAACAGTAGCATCATTGGGCGACTTGAACTCCAAAAGAGCATATTCTCCGTCATCGGAGACCTGGGCTGAGATACACGGGTCGTCGCTCTCAATGACATTAAGGCCGTTCAGGTTCTGGTTAAAGAAAGATATGATCGCGTCTCCCTTAATGTCTGCGGGGATCTTGTGTACGAATAACCGCTTAGATTGGCGGGCATTGGACAGCTTCAGTGCCGTGTTTTCAGCCGTACCGCCAGCGGGTGGGTTCATAAAGGCCTGAAGTCGACTGGGGTCCATGGGTTGCTGTCGGGGGGCTCCTGGCAGAGGGAACATGCCAGAGAGCTTAGCTTGTTCGGCAGTAACATTTTCGTAACCGGGGGGCTTCATATCCCACTGTGTCAAACGGCGCTGGCGCGCTAAGATGGATTCGGCGTCTGTCAAATCAGGAGTAGGCTCCTTGGGACGTGGAGGAGTAGCGCTTCGGCGGCGTTCTCTTCTGGAGTCAGCACCAGCAGCACTAGGGCCACCGCGATCACTGCGTTCGGGGCGCTCAGGGCGTTCAGGGCGATCATTACGGTCGCGATCACCACCTCGACGATTGCGATCATCAAAGAGATCTCGGCGATCAAAGTTACGTCGGCGATCGCCGCGGTCTCCAGTACGGTCTCCAGTACGGTCTCCAGCACGGTCTCCACCACGTTCTCCAGTACGGTCTCCAGTACGGTCTCCACCACGATCACGACGGTCACCGCGATCACCGCGATCACCGCGTTCTCTATCCCATTCCCGGTCATCCTGTCGAGTGGAGGAGTAGCGATCTTCACGTTCACGGGCACGGTAATCCCGACTAGATGAATAGGAGTTTACTTCGGTTTCACGGCGTTGACCGCGAGAGCCATAATGAGGTGAGCGCGATCGGCGACGCTCACTTCTCTCGGGTCGTTCTGGTCTGGCGCCCCGATCACCACCTCGATCGCCACGGTCACCTCTGTCTCGACGCTCATCGCGCTGGGATTTGTAAGTAAGTAATATTCAGAAAGCAGGACGGGGTATAGAGCCTACATAATTATCGCGTGGGCGTCCAGAGTCTGTCGCTTGTTAGCATCATCTTTTGAGACAGCAATTGGGGTTACTAACCTCTTCCGGAGTAACTTCCAGAGTATGAATCAACGTTCATGCTGGACTTATTGAGTATTGAAGCTCTGATCTAGAACTTCAGCAAGGTGGAATACTCGAAGCTCCTGCAGGGTTGATGATTTCTTTTTTGGGAGGTGTTGGCGGAAGGGACTCTTTGCTGCGCCAAATCATGGACAAGATGTATTTGCTACACCGCCTAATTATACCGGCAGATCACAGCTCTTTATCTATATTCAGTGAGCTATAGGTAACTGGATACTGTATGGTTCTTATACGCTTGTAGGGGTAAATTTTACTATAAATTTGGTTCTGACCTTTCTCGGAGCTCAAAACTGCTATTGAATGTTCTAAAAGACCTAGCACAGACTGGATGCTTTTCAACCTGATGTATTCAGTCAGACTAGCCTACCAGGTTACATACTACTACACATTTTCAAATGGATGATGAACCCGTGATCTGAATGCATTCTAAACTAAATTCGCAGGCTTAATCATACATATAACTTCCGAGATCAATCGAGATTCAATGATAAAGCCTGTCTTGCAGACCGCTTACTATAGTAGTAGGCGGTAACATACCAAAGAAGTATTCGAGAACATCTTCATCTTGAGCTTCCATAGATATTTTTCATGGCGTTATACTATTATAGTTTGATTAGTGCCTCATTAGTCTGATTTCATTATATAATTACTGAGGTATCAAAAGTGGCCATTAAAAGAAGCTCCTAGTAGCTAGTTAGCTAGAAGCATAAAAATGCGATATTACATAACATTCTGCCATTCAAGCTACTCTTATCTTATCATAATCTCGAGACAAATTCAGAAGATTTGATTTCCACGGGGCGAAACACAGACTTGAATACACAATTAAAGATGGGAACTTTTTCAGAATGGCGCAAGCTATCAGTGGGCTTGTCTGAGTTGTGCATCAACACGACTCTGCGCTGTGGCCAATCCTTTCGGTGAGTTTCATCTCATGCACCCGTCAACAGCTTCCATTCTGACCCCTTTAGATGGCAAAACATTCCTGAGACAGGAGAGTGGCGGTGTGTTCTTTATGGGACTTTGGTCTCATTACGACAGGACTCAGAATACCTGTATTATCGCACCTGTCAATCAAAGTCTCCGTCTATTTTACCTACGCCCCCAGCCTCGAAACTTCCCTCGCGTGCGCAATCCGATACGAACGATGACAGCAAAGATGACCATATTGTCCGCGTTTTGAAGCACTACTTGAACCTTTCTCCTAACCTGACTGAACTCTACGCACAATGGTCTGCTCAAGATCCCAATTTCAAGAAGAAAGCCACTCAATTCTCCGGCATTCGGATATTACGCCAGGACCCTTGGGAGGCACTCGTATCGTTCATTTGCAGCAGCAACAATAACATTTCTCGGATCTCACAAATGGTTGAGAAAATTTGCCTTAACTATGGCCCATTTGTGGCCAAAGTGGATGGGCGCGCCTATCATGATTTTCCAACTCCAGAGGCATTGACTGGCAAGGATCTTGAACACCAACTTCGCGGTCTAGGCTTTGGATATCGAGCTAAATACATTTACAATACATCCGTTATGGTCTTCAAAGAAGAAAAAGGGTGGCTGAACAGCTTATGCAACCCGGAGTCGCCTGCATATGGATTGGAGGCGGCCGTTGGTGATGAAATGCGACCAGAAGGAAGACAGGGCTATCTTGATGCCCACGAGAAACTACTTTCACTGCAGGGTGTTGGGCCGAAAGTAGCAGACTGTGTCTGTTTATTTGGTTTAGGTTGGGGTGAATCTGTTCCGGTGGACACGCATGGTAAGTAATTCCTTCAAAGGAAGTATCATACCAGTCTAATCATCCGCAGTATGGCAAATTGCCCAGCGTGACTATCGCTTTGGCAAAGGCTCTCACAAATCTTTGAACAAGGCCACATCTGATGCTATCGCAAACCACTTTCGGAAACTTTGGGGACAGGAAGCTGGTTGGGCACATAGTGTGCTCTTTACTGCAGACTTGCGATCGTTCTCGGATCGACTTGCAGCAACTAAGAAGGTGGATTTATCTGTGAAAGAAGACAACGATGAAGACGTAAAGATCAAGACCGAGGTCACCACCACTGTGACTTTGGCAGCTGTGAAAGAAGAGCCAGCACTGAAGGAAGAGACTGGCGACATTAAATTGGAAGACTCAGAAAGCAAGCTGGTTCCGACAGTCCCAAGAAGAAAGCGCAAGGAGGTCACAGACACGCTTGTACTTGCTGCTCAAACGACAGAGACTCGGAGAGTGTCCAAGAGACTCCGCCAGTAAACTTTCACTTGATATTATCAAGCACATAGACTGCCATTGGCAGTAAATAAGGCAACGATATCACATACAATGGAAGATTAAGAGTTTCTACAATGAGTGGAAGAATTATTGATGTAGAACAAAATTTCATTCGCCGTCATAAGACGCAGTAACTATCTGGTTTGAATATTCAGAGAGCCTATGAAGCCAGTCAGTAAAATAGCTTCATCATATGGAGGACAGAAAGTTCAAAGTTTCTCGAAAGAGATCAGAAGTCCGTTTAGATCATCGAAGACGCGTCCGAAAACGCGGCTTCTGACATAAGAGGTACCAGAAATAGTAAAAATGAATGTTTTCATCATGAAAGAAGGTAGAGAGGGCAATGGGGTAGGGGAAAGATGAAACTGACCCTTTGGGATTGGTTAGTCGAGAAATTGTTGTGGAAAACAGTCCAAAACTATTCATAATCATCCATCTTGAAGATTCTCAAAGCTGAAGTCGTCAAGCAAAAGCAAATTAAATAGTGGAAGAGGTTGATGCGGAAGGCGGAAGAGAAATTCTCGCAGAATAAGCGAAGCACGTGACCCACACAGGCCCATCTTCAACTCCTCCAACTCCACTTACATTGAAACTTTTCTCATCCACCTCGACAACCTCCGACCAGATCTCCGCCGGAAACTTCAGCAAAAATGGGTCGTCTTCACTCCAAGGGCAAGGGCATTGCGTCCTCTGCCATCCCCTACTCCCGCACCGCCCCCGCCTGGTTGAAGACCACTCCCGACCAGGTTGTTGACCACATCTGCAAGCTGGCCAAGAAGGGTGCCACCCCTTCCCAGATCGGTGTTGTCCTCCGTGATAGCCACGGTGTTGCCCAGGTCAAGATCGTCACTGGTATGAAATCCCTGGACTTGGAGATATATCTTTATCCATATAGAAGATACGGATGTGAGAAAAAAGATCGGGCACTAACATTTTTGTTGGAATAGGTAACAAGATCCTCCGTATCTTGAAGTCTTCCGGTATGACTCAATTCGCCAATCCTTTCATCGCCTCGTTCGGTTGAAAAGAACAACTGATATTGTATGGGGATTTCCCCGATCGAAAATTTATTTTTCGGCGGGTCGAGATCTTCCTGCAATATCTTGTTCTATTCTCCGATTACACCCCCACAACTTGGTAGCAGAAATGCACCAGCAACTAAGCCTCTGATTGGTTTGAAATAAAACTGACAGAGAGATTTTTGGAAATATAGGCCTCGCTCCCGAGCTCCCCGAGGACCTTTACTTCCTGATCAAGAAGGTATATTTTTATTTTATTTTCGCTGTCAATCTCCGATGAATCGTTTCACTAATATTTTCTCCCCTAGGCCGTTGCCGTCCGCAAGCACCTTGAGCGTAACCGCAAGGACAAGGACAGCAAGTTCCGCCTGATTCTCATCGAGTCCCGCATTCACCGTCTGTCCCGCTACTACAAGACCGTCGGTGTCCTGCCCCCCACCTGGCGCTACGAGTCCGCCACTGCCTCCACCCTTGTCGCATAAGCGACTTTTCTGTGTGGTGATCTGTGGTGCTTGGAGATTTGGTTGTGAAGAGGATACCAGGGTCTCCCTGGAGTTCTTTCATGTGCTAGATATGCCAGCTTAAAAAGAACTATTACGAGTGATAATACCCCCTTTGATATGATCCGAGTATTTGTAGTGTAAATATCTTGTGTATGTCACCTAGACTATATTTGATGATCTGTGAATTCTTGACCTACTTATTGACTAGCAATATACCCTTATAGAAAAATGAGAAAAAGTCCTTCGATTTACGCTGTACTCCGCACACCATCCATAGTGCTTCAGCGATTATGGTTGATTAGTTGCTAGCTGATCCACCTATTCGATTGTTCCTCGTAACTTCTCCCTCCCAAGCTCATTTTACTCCATGTCTTAAGCATCCATACCGTATATTGGAATCTACATTTACAAACAGCCTACTATCTGAACTGTGAACATAATGACGTTATACTTAGATTTAAACCACTTTCAAGCTTGCATACTGCAGGTGACCAATACCTTGCATCTATGGTGTTGAGATTATTTGAGTAAAATACAAAAGGTGACATTGATTATTTGATTGCTTGACGCCAAATTTTCCCTTGGTAGATGGCTCCAGGCCCAACAAGAAGGCAGATCAAAATTAAAAACTCCCGCAACAGACGAACTATATCCCATCTTTGGCGAGGATCTACTTGGAATTCCATTTGATTGTCTTAGCAAAGGGCATTCCCCCTCGGTCATATACGGCCATCGCCGAATTGCTGTCCAGGGACGTCACTCCAGGCCAGAAGCTTGGCTCCGACGAGATCAAAGTTGGCGCGCTCCATACCATCTGTCCATTTTTCGGTGGGCTTGAGAATACAGCTTTTATCGAGGCATGCTTAGGCCATTGCACCTCATCCGAGTCCTCGTCAGTCATGAACACAACCACCATAGAGCCATCTAAAAAGGAAGCAATTTGGGGAGCACCCGCATTATGACCGTGCTGAGGACGAAATATGATGCCACCGCTAGTCCATGTGGATCCATCGTTGTAGGAGATAAGAGCCTCGATATTAAATGTGCCATGCCGGTTCGTTTCGAAAACCATGACGAGTGCGTCACGGCCATCATCACTGGTCTTCGCGATTCCGTTGTCATCAAAGGTCTTAGTGATTCCGTTCATGCCATCCCGTAACGCCACATTGGTACCAGATAAACAAGCTGGCGCGGTCCACGTATTTCCCTGGTCACGCGAAACCACACGCATGGTGCACTGATTGTCATGTGCATATTCTTGTGAGAAGGTGAGCTGGACCTCCCCTTGGTTCCCGAGTCGCATAAATGGCTCCCAGAGTCCTAACGGGGCTCTTTTTTCTGTGGCCTGAGATGCAAACTTCCATGTACGACCTCCATCTTCAGACCTGCAGACAGTAATGCGATAGTGTGTAGATTTGCCATCAGGATCTTTGTCATGATTGCGAAAGGACGCTAACACAACATCCTTTGAAACCTCGAGTAGGAACATATTATCCACATCTCCTACCGCTTGGGTTACTTCACCAAAGTCACTAAAAGTGCGTCCACCATCCGTACTGCGGGCCACACCCAGGGAGCGCCTGTGATGCCCGAGATGGCGCGTGAAGGATGATAGTATCGTCCCATCGGAAAGTTTTGCCAGACGAGGATATGTACCTCCGTGGGTTGCTGAGCATACTAAACGCTCATCGTTCAGCACCACTAATGGAGAGCTTTGTCGGTGAAGTGCACGTGCGTCATAAGATGATGATGTTGGTGCAGAGAAGGTACCGTGGACAAGAAAAGCGTTCACACTCAATAGAGTCCAGGCAAGTTGCTGGAATATATGCATATTGCAAGAAACATTGAGATAAAATGGCCAAATATCTCTGAGGGCTAAATTAGGAGGGTAAAGGCTGTATCTGTAAAGAAAATAATATATTAAGTAAGACCTAGTACCTGTTTCAGGATTCAGGCTCGCAATGTATAAGTAGAGCCTAAGATTGGGGGCAATAATCCTTTAGTGAGACTGCGATATCCACCAGGCTGGTATGAGTTTCAATAAGCAAATGAGGATACGAGGCAGGCTTCGAGTGCAAAATCAGCCTCAAAAGTCAAAAAATCCCTAATTAAGCCATATGCTGATAAAAACTTGAAGAGACGATTACTCTTTTTGAAGCATATTGTGGTTATCGATCAATCACCCTCTCCTAACTTCTCCGCCCATCCCACTCTGCTTTATAGCCCTTCTCTGATGGAAAACATCTTACAATATTATCTCACCACGAGATCCATGAGACCCCCGGAATTTGGCGTCGAACTATCACCAAGGCGGAAATATCGGGACGCTAGGTGGCTTTGCGACCCTGATTTGTAACTCATAATGGTTTCCTGACACGTTATCGGCGAACGAAACGGATTAGGAATGGATCAGTTTGGGTTATCCATCAGATTGACCCGACCCCAGAGGTCTACATAAGTACGTTGAAGCCTTTGCCTAAGTGAATATCGAGCGCAATATGAAAGAATGGAATCAGATACTACTGTAGCCGACAGCTCATGATCGGCAAAACCCCGTCGAATACACTCTTGAACTTGGATATCAGTATGAGCTCGAATCAATAGCTTCTTATACAACAGAAGTTAACAATATCACCGTCTGCCCAGTTTCAGCCCCAATATTGGAAAGGAACACCATCTAAGATAAAGGCAATCATCTGCTACTTCAAGCGCGGCCCTTGAAGACCGTTATAGCCCAAAGGTATATTCATATAATATGGGTTGGCCTCAGATTGTATCAATATGAATTCATAAAACAAGGGCATGGATGCATGGATTTTGCGAAGTCCCTGCCAAGGAAGGCTAAACTTTAAGATGACCAACCATAAGTTCCGGATCTAATGTTTAAATATCGTGCCGATTCTCATAGTTCCTGAGCATAAGATTATTCGAATCATCAGCAGGATTACTTCCCAAGAGAGAACTTGCACATTTTTTCAAGTTCCAATGTGGGGTTTCGCATTGGCCCCGTGTTTAAATCAAGCCACCCGCTCGGATTAGCTTTGGCCCCTACACTGTCAACAACTAAACATCCGAATTATTAAGAAAATCTCCCATCGACCCACAAAGGATCATCATAAGAGAAATGGGAACCATAGAACCTTCAATATGAAGATTTTCCACCTTGTCTGACGAAACTACGAGCAGCAATAAGCTAACCTCGAGAGTCCACAACATACTATAGTCGCCTGTCTATCTAGATATGGCTGCACTCTAGAACTATTTATATAGCCCCATTGGTACCAAAGTACACCCAGCTGGTCCACTCTGTCCACTCTGTCCACTCTGTCTACTCCTCTAAGTTTAGATATTTTTGGATCTTTAGGGCTAATTGAGTCTCATTCTTTGCTATTTTCTCTTTTCACATAGCCATCACTCGTCACCCTGTTGATACATTATGTTGATTCTATCTTTTCGATGGCCGATTTTACTATACATGGCCGGCATGTTACTGAGTTTACTAGCTGCTGCTACCGACATTGAAACATCCCAGACATATAAAGTCCTGACAGATGCCGACAACATGGGTGGCAGTTGCACGTCCCGACTAGCCCAAGTGAACAAACTCATCGCAGAAGTCCAGCAGCTGATACAAGCCGCTACTGACTCTATCGATACTATTTTGAAGTTTAGTACTTCTAGTATAGTAAGCTCAAGCAAGAAAAACGAAAGACTGCGCCTTCTTCTCCTTGCACAGCGGTTCTTCGGCACTAAGTACAGCTCGGTTACTTTGCAAGTCTCCGACAAGACCTCACAGACCAATCTCAAAACTCTCAGAGGTCAGATGCTATCATGAAATACGATAGGTTATATACTAACAAGCCGACTCTCATATAGAAAACTTCAATAAAGTCAGCAAGCAGATAGATAAGCAAGACATGGGATGGCGATTTTCCTGTGACGACACTTGGACTAAGAAGGTCGAAACATTACAAACGGAGTATGGCTCATATCCAAGAGGCGAGCGTATCAGCGCAGTCGGTAAGGATATCCCGTTTCCAAGGTTGTGCCCACTGAGCACAGCTAATTCGAGTTTCAACATCTAGCTGGACTGAATGGCAAGATCGGCACCACAACCATCACCTATGCATTTTTCGACCTTGGAGGTCCGACGATGAGACCTATCGATGACTGTATGGATGAGAATGAGAAAGTCGAGGCTCAAATATCCTGGTATATCAATAGAAATAGAGGCTGGTTTGAGGCAGGACCATGCACAGGAATTCAAAAAGCCGGCGAAGCTCTTTCGGTTCCTTACGCAGCCACACTCAGCCAACAAAAACTCATCTATTTCTGCCCTAAGTTGTGGGAGGATGTGGGATCATCACTCAAGGAAGACCTCACAACACTGAAAGGTGCAACAATTTCTACCGCCGATGATAACCTGCAGCACCTGGATCTGTATATGAGTCCCGGAGCAACTCTACTCCATGAGATGACACATCAGGTTTTTGATTCAGGTATTTCCTCCCTGACCCCAAGCGTACCTTCTCAGCTAACTATCAACAGTGGACGACGCTCTCGGCTATAACTTCAAGAACGTTGAGAAAGGAGAGAACCATCCACTGTTGGCACTCGAGAACGCAGACAGTTACAACTTCTTTGCCGTGGCTGCGTATCTTTCTCAGGTTGAATGGCATACTGGCGTTGCACGACCGATCGGGTACAAGTCGAAGTGAGAAGATAGTAGACAGCTCCCAATTAGAGATATCATCTGCTATGGATCCTCATTGGATATAAGCTACATTATCATACATAGTCCATTTCCCTTTCTCATCCCTAAGTATTCATCAGTCACCAGTGTGGCTGTCACAAAACGACTCTGAATTTTTTTAGCCCCTGAACTGGCCATGTAAGCCTGCAGATCCTCTTCCCATGTCAGTTTCTCCTCTACCTTGCCTAGCGTCTGACAAAAGACGGCTCTTGTTTCACTCTGGTCAAACTTCATTGACTCTCTCAAGGAAGAGTCCTCAAAGACAGCCGCGCGGTCTTGGAGACTTTTCCACTCAATACAAAAACACAGGGCCTCCCGTCCCTCGATTGATTCAGTAAAAACAGCAGTAGAGGTAAATGATCTCACTGGCACGGTCAGTAGCCCTCGACATGACTCACCAGGCATGAACTGGTCGAGGAATGCCTTGAATAGTAAAGGACGCTTGCTATCATACAAGGTCGTAAATTCGAGACATTTCGATGCTTCATCACCCGGACGGACAAGTTTAATCTCATTCTTAAATCTTGAGACAGATGTCACAGAAATAGGAGCTTTCAGTAGTGGTGAAAGGTTTTGACTGAGTGGCGAGACCTCGGATGCACATATGGCTTCAATGTGCTTGAATCTTTCATCCGAACATTGCACTATCATGCATTATCGTTAGATATATGTGAAACCTTGACGAGAAGGTCTACGCACAATATAAGTAAGACACTTGATCAGGGGAGTTTATATCCACACAGCAGTAGCTGTAATAAGAGCTCATTCCAGCCTTACTGCCCGGCTCCATGCCCATATCTCGTAATACCGTTAGGCTTTTAAGCCATCTTTTGTGCGAGGGATGCGAATGTTTCTCTATATCAGTTACAGAGTCACACAAAGTGAATGAAATCATGCAAGACATGACAGTGAGTGATGATAATGGGAGGAATTCAAGGTGGAATTGATTTCGATGACGTTCGAGCGTCAGCATCAGCGGCCCGCAATAAGCTTCACTGTTGTCCCGCTCGTGTAGGAATTGTCTGCGTCCATTTATCAACTCTTCGTTGCCCGTTTAGATATTTGCAAGATTGGCGCCAATTGTAAAAGTAAAATATGCTCTTCATTTTTCTCATTGGAGTATTCCCACACTGTTCCCCAAGTCATAAGATACAAAACTTAGAATCATTATTGAAGCATGCCAGGTGGTTGACCATCATCGAATATGTACCAACTCTATATACATAAAATCATTTAGTTCGTCTCACCTCCCTCGCAACAGCATTACACAACTCAACCTGTACCCCAGCTGAATGAAGAATATGAATCCAAAGCCGTTGAGTATCACTAAGCCGATCATTCTCCGACTTGACCTCAGAAAACAAAACAGTCTTCGTCTCAGGATTCCACAGAAACAAATCTGGGATTCCGCCTCCGCGCTGCTGGTATTCCTGTGCCAAAACCTTACAAATGGTAGCAAGAGCCTCGCCTCGGAAACACTGAGCGATTTCAACCAGATCGTCCAGTTCGAATGACCAGTCGATGCCAATGGCGCAAGGCTGGGCGGCTGATTCACGATTATGGATCTCGCGAATTATACGCTCTGCACCGCCGTTCGTTATATCTACTAGGCGATGATTTATCTCTGAGGCGCGGGATGGGAAGAATACGTCTGTGTGCAGATCGAGTGGACATGTCTGGAATGCGGTTTGGAAGACGTTTGGAACGTAAGTGAAGAGGATATCGTAGAAAAGGTAGCCGAACTGTGTTTCCCCCCTGTTGGTAAGTATACGCTGTAGGTGTGAAGTGTGTGCTGCTCTCACCAATGTCCTGACAATACCTCCCTCTGAATGAAATCCTTTCCAGCCTTGATCTCGATACCAACTCAAACACATGCTTTCCACCCTGCACTCACCACCTTCCCTTTCATCGATCCAGATGGTCGGCTTGCCTTTGCGTGCAGGCCCATCTCGCTCCATACGAATGCCCTCGATGGTTCGCTCAGCGGGTTTGCTCAACATTGCGTGTCCAAAGTCATGCTGCTCTCGTTTAACTATCCTCAATGCCTTCTCAAGCTTAGTAATTCGCTTCTGTAAATCATAGTGAAATATAAGGTGGCAAAGCGGATCCTCTAACCCATTTTCACAAGTGTGTAATGCCTGTCGTTTCCAGTGTTTACGTTGCTTTTCCTCATTTCGTTCATCCGCGGGTATGAGCGCCCACATGTAGTGCTCTTCTAACAGTGCTTTTCTCTGGTACCAGGCACCGCGGCGGGCAGCATGGAATAGTCTCTGAGATAGAAGTTCGGAAAGAACCTCGTGCTCACGCTTGTGCTCCTTGAAGCGGCCAAGGGATGTCAGGCTCTTATGAATGATTCTGGTGTACACCCAGCCCGGTGAGAAACGACGAAGATAAGCGCCCTCGCCACTTTCATATATGCAATCTTCCTTCTTTTGTTCTTCTTTCACATAATCCTGCCATCGAGGATGAAATTTATTAGCAAGGTCTATTATTCTCTGCAATGATTCGGTAGTTGGAGTGCCGTTGGACTCCAAGATGCTGTCGATTTCAAACTGAGTCCGGATAGCAGCCTCGAATTCCAGCAGTGCAGCCCTGGACGCGAAAATGGAGTTTGATCGACAAACAATGTACTCCGGAAAGTTTCTTCGAGATAATTTGGCAAGGATTATAGTTGTCAATGATTTCTCTGTCCACTCACTTGATCTGTAAAAGACCAAATGCACACGTTCAAAGAGAGCGCAAGGACCGGGGGCGATTCGAATGCATGGACCGGTATAATCTAGGATCTTCCGCACAAAATGATCATCTCTATTGCCCTGTAGGATTTTCTGCTGATCCTTGAAACCTAAGCCACTTTGTGTCTGGCTAGCTTCACAAAGAGCTGCCAGAAGGTCTTTTTTATTCTTACCCTGTGCCTTGACTTCTTTGGCGAAGGCTTTTAGCTCGTCAAGTAGCAGAAGGGACGAAGCCTCTTCTAGCGTGGTAATCTCCTCACTGCCATCGGCAAACCTAAAGGTGTCCGAAGGATCTGATTCAGCCGGGTCTTCATATTCAGCTTTGGGCAAGGCACGGTCGAGTTGGAGGTCCGTGGCAACAACAGACAAGTCTGATATGTCAGAATGATAGCCCAGCCGGTCGATGCGATGCCACGCAGAGCTTTTGCGCAAGAAGAGCCGCACATATCTAATATTGTTAAAACTCCGGATTTACTGAGAATAAATGTTTGGGTTCATACAGGTATTGAGACTCATATGATAGATTTTTCCACTCTTGGAATACCCCCAACTCCGGCTCATTGAAGAGATGGGATTCTTCATTCAGCACTGTTTCCAGTGCTAAATTGAATGCATCGACATATATGGAGCTTTTCCCCTTTTGCCAGGAACTATCGCGCAGCCTTGCATGTAAACCATCAGAATCTTTGATCTTCGCAGCGTGCGATGTCTCGTATTCTTGAATAGCATTTGTATCCGTCTGAATTACAGGGAGCGAGGTCTCCAGATCTGTTTGGCTGCTAAAGATCTGGGGTGCGGCCTCACCTGCTAGTATGGTATCCGATGGACTGGGACTCGATGGGGGCTTGAAACTTGTGTCATCGGTATCTTTTTCTGTCCCAGAAGTCTTTCGGCGCTTCGCAGATGGCTTTGTGTCCCAGAACCGCTCCAATGACATGCTGTCGTAAGGCCATTGAATTTAGACGCAAAGCATCGCGTCGAAACCAAGATCACCAAGATCACACGTGGTCACGTGTTCAATATGACCTGATCGAGTGTGTTTGGTGTGTGTTTGCAGGACTCGACAGTCAGCATACTAGCACCATGTTTGGAGGGGTTAAGACTTCCAAAAGTACAAGTTGACATATATAACTATTTCAGCTTTGAAATTGAGTCGAGTGTATTCAGCAGTATCTGCAGGTTGTATTAATCATGGCCAATGTACCGGTAAGAAGATATACCATCTCCCTCATACCAGCGGGAACCAGCTTCTAGAAGCTCCACCCCTCCTCCGCCTTGCGCAATCTTGAGAAAGAAATTCAAGCGTTTTTTCTTATTGTTTACTTTCCCTCCGCAAACCAAACCTCTCCTTCAAATCCTATCACATAACACAGGGAACACTCTCCTGATATTCTGTCCTTTTTTCTATCGTTCAGCCTCGACGCGCAACTCTTCCAGGTCAAGCATCTGCACCTACAGCTCCGCACCTTTATACCGAACAACCCTTTCACATCCGGATACCTACTACCAAAATGGCCGATACAAATGGTATAAGCTCCAATAGCCCGGTTGGAGACGCGTCCACCCCGCTCACCCAGGTTCGCCCGGGAGGTGCTCCATCGCGCGTGTATCTCAACGCCAAGGTCGTGCCGCAGCTTCTCGAAGGAATGAAGCTTCTAGCAAAGGATCAGTGGGTCATATCTGTACAATTTTTGCTATGTACGGTTTGTTTTGCTGACTGCTGTCTTCACTAGGCCTGCCATGCCTCTTAAGGTACTTGGAGAGTTCTTACTTCGTAAGAGCAATGAGATTGAAGGCAATGACTCGGAGTAAGGTACATATCAGGGTTGGGTTTCCTTTTTATCGGCGTTTTGGGATACTCATGAAACTTCACGATTTAAATTGGTATAACAGTTATTATTTTCTATTTTCTCTTCTATTCCTAGTAATCCTATAATACTCAACACTAGGGCAGTGATTACTATATAGTGCCCTCTCTGATGGAGAAGCTACGACAAGAACGACCATCACTACTTTGATTTTGCACGTACTAGATTTGTTTGCTCACGGTAAGGGACAGACAACGCAAACGACAGCATTACTGTACTCAACAGACGATAACCAGATGGGCGAACTCTCGACTACTAGAGGGTCCAAGCTACGTGAACGAAGGATCTTGGGAGTTAAATTTGAATCCATCAGCTGACCTACCTAAGGTGTGTAGCTGCACACTGGCTGTGGGATAATAACAATCACTGGACAAACACGGTCCTAATGCCCGAATCTTCCAAAGTTGGTATCTTTTATATCCCTTAGTGTCCCTCGCTAATTGAAGGAGTAATGCATATTCATCAAAGTCGTCCATGTTATTGGATTGTGCATTGATTGAAGAATATGAATTAGTAGCTTGTGATGATCTTCTCAGTTCCAGTAACTGGTCTGGGGGTGCAAATCTCGATAACCTGTAAGGTCAGGTCACTGTTCTCACTTATTTCAAGTAAGCATTAAGAGAGAAATCATGTTATTACGGGAAATAGAAAAAGGGCAAACGAGGAAAGGGAATATGGCATACTCGATGATACGTTGCCATCTCAGATCCTACCCCTACCTTTGGGGGGGGCCCTTGGGGGGCCCTTATGGGTCTTTTGGAGGGACTTTTGTGCCCACTTACCAATATGTAGCATTAATATTGGCGGAACTACAAGCGCAGAGCATTGGTGAGGACGATAGAGAGTAGTGTAGTAAGGTGAGAGAGTTGAAGGGTGAAGGGTGAAGAGAATAGAAGGCGATTAAGTCTGTTGAATACGACCGGACCGTTACTGATGGATGTTGTGCATAAGGCGAACTGTTTGACGGAAGAGTGCTGGGCCTAATCTTTCCTTCCTTGCCGCTAGATTTTCCCGAAGTTGCGTGACGAACAGATAAGAAGACACACATCTGACCAAGAGAGGCGACATAATTGAAGGTGTCGAGTTTCGTCGGCTGATGGTGCTTGAAATTGTTGAGACGATGAGAAAACAAAAGCAGCGCAAAATAAATCAGAGGAACAAAAAAAACTAGAAAGGAAACACCCGTTTTCCGACGCTCAAATCCGGCATTAAAAAACTTGATAAAATAAAAAGGGAAATTGGGGAAACTGGGGGAAGGGCGTTCATAACATCTCCAGACTTTTTAGGGGGAATACTTTACCGGGCAGGGTAGCGGTCCTCGCCACCACGGCCCTCGTATGAGCGACCACCAGCATAGTCACCGCGGGGCTCGCGAGGGGGAGCAGCTTCGTAAGCCGGAGCACTGGCGTCAGCACGGTCGTAGTAAGGGCGACCACCAGCCTCCTCACCACCGCCAGTGCCGCTAGCAGGGGCCGAAGGAGCACCACCGCGGCGGTCGTCACCACGGCGATCATCACGGCTGTAACGGTCGCCACCACCATAGCGGTCGGAGCCTCCAGCACCACCACCACCACGGTAACCGTAATCATCACGGGAGCTGCGGCGATAATCACGACCACCACCCTCGTAATCACGGCGGTAATCGCCACCACCCTCGCGACCGTAACCGCGACCACCATAGTCACGGCGATCGTTGTAAGAGTCGTAGCGGCCACCACCACCACCGCCAGAGCGATAGTAGTCGTCATCACGGCGGCGCCAAGGGCCACCACCACCAGGGCGGCGGCGATCATCGTAACGGTCACCACGACCGGGAGGTCCACGACCACCAGGACCATCTAAGACAAGGGACACGTAAGCTTGGGTCAAGATGAAGAAATAGGAAAGAAACTTACCACGCTTGGGAGGACCATAGTATTTGCCAGGAGTGGGAGTACGAGGACGACCGCGGCGGGCCTTTTCGATGCTCAGAGTGCGACCTTCGATAACCTCACCTTGAAGACCTTCCTTGGCAGCATCAGCCTGGTCGGCAGTAGCCATATTGACGAAACCGAATCCACGGGACTCCTTGGTGTGGGGGTCGAGCATGATGGAGCAGTTGTCGACATCACCGTACTTCTCGAAAAGACGCGAAATGTCGGACTCGGTCAAGCGAGGGTGAATACCAGTGACAAAAAGGTTGGAGCCGGAGTTGTTGGCACCTTCCTCGTCTTCATCCTCGTTCTTACGGGTAATGACTCTGGAGGGAAAATTAGCTGGAATTCAAGTGCAAGTTTGATTAAGCTTACCTGTCATCGGACCGGTTAGGAGAACGGCTGCGCTCACGGGTACGGTCTCGGGGTTCATCTCGAGGAGAGGCGCTACGATCACGCTCATGGTCGCGATCCTCGCGCTCGTAGCGAGGCTCGTCTGGTTCATCAAAGAAAAGACGTGAGCTTTTAATATCAGGAAATAATTACGAAGACTTACCACCATATCGGTTTGTTTCGTTGTCGTAATCAGCCATTTTGAGTGAGATTCAAAAAATGAGTGAGGTGTTGGAAGGAAGGAGGAAGAAGAAAGTCAAACTCCGATAAGAATGAGGCCGGAAGGGAACAACACACCCGGAAGTAAATGTTCAAGAAACACCCTCAACACAAAAACGAGGGGAAAGTGGAAGAAGAAAAGACAAAGAATTAAAAGGGGAATTAAGGCGAAAAGAGAAAATAAATACAAATGATAATAATAATAAAAATAAAAATTGAAAAAAATGCTTGCTATGGCTACTGCTGTTACCCCGAGATCAGCAGTAAGACTTTGCCAAGATCTATTACAGGACACCGAGTACTACATCCTTGTACTTGTACTTGTACTTTTACTTATTCAAGGGCTTATTTGATCTAATTAATCTTACTTATTCATGCATTGGTAGCACCTCCTTGACCCTCTCAATACTTAGATATCTCTGCAGCTACAATTTACCCCCATCAGCTCCCTGTATTCATGGCTTGTTTGTTCGAAAGCCACTTGCATGATATGCATCAAACGCCTTGCTTGGTACCTTTTGTGGCGGCTCTCTTAGCGTGTTTGAAGTCTTTCAAGTGTTTGAAATGGTTTAAAGAGTAACCCTGAGGACACATCGTAAAATGTATGAAGAGTGATATTGGATGGAATACAACCATAAACTATTACATGTAGTGACCTGGGAATGTCGATTAAACTCACAATCCTCTCCATTTCGTAGACCCAAGTAGCCATATCCAATACTCCTACAAGCGCCCATTGCTAAAAATAAAGATAAACGAACATCCAAGAAATCACATAAACCGCCCTCGGCGAGAACGTCGGAAGCTTTGCTTTGGTTTTGCTTTGCCAGTCGACACATTTGCTTCGTTCCGACCCTGGGACTCATCCAGCTCGTCGTCCACCAGGTCTTTCAACTCATCCTCATCCATATCACTGAGTTCCTCACTCATACCACGCATAACGTCTCGTCCTGTCCATCGTTCTTCGTGGACTGTTGTGCCACTAGGATCAAATGGCTGCATATACCACTGGATTCCTCCCTGGGCCAAAGGTAACTGTTGGTCTTCCTCGGTGAGCTCAGGAGTCGGATGTCTGTTGTATATTATGTTGACATTGGGCTTGATCTCTGTACCATTGACATTCTCCACAACAGCTTCCTGGGCATTAGTGATGTCACCATTGAGTTGGGTTTCGCTGGAAATCTCAACCGTCTGCTCGACACCTTCCATAGCATCAGTCTGAGTCTCGAACTGGGCATCCCCGGGATCGGTGTCGCCCTCGGGTTCAACAGATTCAACTCGGCGAGATATCAAGCTGTGGTCGAAGATCACATCTAGTTCCTTCAGTTCCTTTTCAAATGGCTTGCGATTCAGCTCACTCTCCTTCCAGATCGCATCCTCGAGGGCAGGCTGAATGGACTTAATAATCCTCTTAGCCAGTTTTCTCTTCTCACGCTGCTCCAAGCTAAGCTCAGGAGCGCGTCCGCTAATCTGGGCTTGGAGTTCAGCAGTATCCCCAGCGGGTCCGACGCCGATCTCCGAGGTGAACAGACTAGCCAGATCAGACGAGAAAGAAGCAACAGACGGGTAAAACCGTGCTTCGAGACGCTTGCGGATTGACATCAGTCCTGCGCCAAAAACACCCTTTCCATCCAATCTGTAAAATTCGTTAGAATATAAAATCAGGGATTTGTGGAAGAAGCACATACAGAACAGCTTTATGGAATATGGGCCACAACAGTGGGAAAATCGGAAAGTAGACAATGTCGACAATGCTTCGAAGCATCTCGGCATCCTTAAGCTTCTCCCTCTCACGCTTCTTTACCTCATCGCAAAGCATTCTCAATCGGTCAAGATCCATGTAGAGCCGATCGCCAAACTCAATTCGACGATGTAGACGCTTGTGGCCGGTGACACCCATAGCAACGTAGTCGCGTCGGGTCATCTCCATCGACGAAAATGTTTCCAGCTGAAGCTGGAGTCTTTTGAGCAGTGCCGCTCCACGTCTAGCCTCACGCTTGAGTGTCCAATACTTGCAAGCTTCTTCGGCATATTGTTTGCGTCCGCGAACAGTAAATCGTTGCAGGGACGCCACAACAGAATTCAAAACGACTTGTGGGATCACAGGCGCTCCAGACGGCAATTTCCAGATTGTCTTGGGGATCCTTTTGCGCCTACTTCCACCAACTGTCAAAGTGATGCGAGGGGTCACAGTCGGTTCCTCTTCCCCGTCCTCGGCGTGTGGAGGTCCCAAAGACAGAGCGGCAGCCTGACTGTCGCCCCATCTTCTACCCATCATGGTGTTGCGATAAAACTCAATGGCATCTGCAGTGGCGGCATCAGTGCCATGTTCAAGTCGCCAGTCGGGTGGCACATGCTTATCACAGAAAGCCTTGAGAAGATGTGAATCCATGAGTCCGTGTCCGGCTTTCATCTTAAGATAAAGTTGAGCTCGACGTGCGCAAGACACATGGAATGCAACGAAGCAGTTCTTGTTGCTACATTGGATTGAAGCACCCATCCTCTGTTTGCAGATGTAGCAATTCAGCTTCCAACGGCTCCGTGGCACCTTTTCAACATCTGTGACCGGCTCCATCAAAGATGAATTACCAATGGACACTTCGGGAATCCAAATGGAACAGAGAAGATGGGCCCATTTAGAAGAAGTGGTCTGCTTAAACGCACCCTCAGTGTTGGGGCAAAAGACACAATTTGTGCTTCCTTGTCCAATAAGCTGGCACTTTCGACACAACCACTGGCCCTCAGGAATAAAAGGAACCCCGTAGCACTCCTGATGGACCGCCAGATCGCAGCCATCACAGAACACAATGGCGTTCGCGTTTTCACAGTCACCATCATCGCAGATAACGCACTTGCTGTCCTGTTCTTCTCCGGTATCAGCATGCTCACCATTCACTGCGGCTGCGGAGCTGGAACGAGGTCGCTGAGTCTGTGGGGGCTTAGGATTTGGCTTCGGAATCCGCTTCTCGAGCGCATGCCACTCTTTCTCGATCTTGGTCATTGTGATCTCAAATACAGCAGGCTTTATAGGCTCAAGCTGATCCTCCCTACGTTTCGCATTATGATCCTCTAGCCATTTCTCGTCCTGTTCATCCATGTCGTATTCTACCCGTCCGATGGTTGCATTAAGATCACCCTCTGCAGTCGTGGGCTGAATCACATCCATATCGTCTTCTTGGGCGCCTTCAGTCATCCTAATGAAGCGACGGTCATGGCGAATGAACAATTCACTCTCCTGATACCCTACGCTGGCCATTGTTCGATCAACATAGTTCTGCTGGCCCACCCCCTTCTGCTCATAAAATGTGAAAGGGTCCCGCAGACGGAACGACGGCTTGGGAAGTGTCAACTTTTCTCGGGGGTTAGGGCCAGGCGGAGGGATGACCTTGTGTCCTTGTTGAGCAAGAAAGGCATTAAGTATAGCTTCGGGGCGACGCGGTGGGCGGCCGGGTTTACGCTTGAAGGGTAACGGCGAAATCATGTCGCCTGAAAGCATAATAGGTGATCCCGAGCTATCATGAGACAGCGACTCAAGGCTGAGCGCACTCAAAGCGGGATCGACAGAATCTACCTCTTCAGCCGTGAAAACAGCAAGCCTGCCATCGATGTCTAGGTCAGGATGGAACTCCTCCCATCCTCTCTCTTCACGCGGTTTGTATCCATCGCCTTGTTGCAAGGCGAGCGCAGCAGCTGTCGAGGATGGGTAACGACCGCGCGTCGCGCTCTTGTCTCGCCTGGGACGCGACATGGATGGAGGTGTCGTTGGTACAGGAGGAGGTGGTGGAGGGGCGAGGAGTGGTTGTTCAACCTCGCGTATAGGACGACTGCGCACACTCAAGGACTGTCTGTTTGGAGTATTAGCTTTCTTATTCCTTTTCTTTGGACCCCCTCCGCCGAGGCTGGTAGGTACGTACTTGCGCCTCTTTTGCGGAGGACCTTCAGGCGAAGGATTTACGCTGAGTGAGATCTTCAGCGAAGATGTGGGTTGTACCCTAGCTTTTCGTGGCATCGTTATTTTCAAGCTTGGAGCCGTATGTTTATCAACGCTCAGCTGGTGATCAACACTGGGTCGCACTTTGATAGTTGGCCGACCAAGGAATTTTGGGATATCGGAAGAATAAAAGAAAGGAAAATCGATCGCGAGTGAGTGATAAGGAGAAAACGAATGATAAAAACAGCAGCAGTTCCAGTAGGCGCTGAATACGTTCTCGAGCAACTTGAAGGTGTTTGGTTAAGGTATCTCTAGGCGCCAAGTCTTTATGCCTCAGGTGTCTATTATGTCAATCCACGTCGGAAGTGTCACAGCTTCCCCGCATCTTCTTCCTTGCAATCGTGTGACAAGCACTTCATCAACTTTTCCTGGAAATCATGAGTGGTACCGGTGAGACCAAGTATGTATAACTATAATTATAGCTTCAGCTTCTGTCTACTACACACCCTTTCACGATTGCTAATCTTACTCGTTCTAGATGGCGCGGGCCTAGTCGCCAATCGTCACAACGCCAGGGCAATGGCCAACGTGATCGAGGTGTTGGTGGCGGTACTCAAAGAGGTATCAATTCTCCTATCCGAGGCTTGGATGTGGCAGACAATGCGGCAACGGCCAAGGTCATTTTCAGGAAAAGTAGATTTTCTGAAGAAATAATTGGACAGAACAAGCTAACATTGACAATTTACAGGTAATACCGACCTTTTGAAATCCATGCTTTCTCAATTGACGAACTAATAAGCTCCTGGTCACAGATTCTGTGCCTAACCACTACAAACCTACCGCCAAACCTACCGGTAACGCCAAATCTACCGTAAACGCCAAACCTACTGGTAACACCAAACCTACCGGTAACACCAAATCTGCCGAGAAGGAGTCGAACAACCAGGGAGATGCTGCAGGGATCGCAAATTGTATGTTATTTCAATATTGTGCCACTCCTCAGGGAATCTGACGTGTTCGCTAACACAATGGCATTGCAGCAAGCAAGATGGCGAACGGCAAGGATTTCTTCGACGAGCTTCGAAAGCAAGTCGCCGAGTTGCAAAAGAATGGCCCTACTGTCGGTGGCTGATCAGCAATAGCGTGAGAACGATTTCTTTGATTCAAATACTGGATTGCACGGTGTGCCGGTCCTGAGTTTTTTTATTTGCATTGGATAAACGGCGCGATATTCTACTGTGGCGGCATTCTGGAAATTAAGGAGGGGAGGACATGAGTGTGAAGCTCTTTCTCAGCCACTGTGCTGATACATCGCATCGGCGTCTTGGTTGAACTGATTTTGGAGTTGAATTCTGCTTGATATCCCTTGAGTAGCGTTCTTCTCACTCCAACGAATTGAATTGATATTTCTATATCACTCACGTGCTTAAAACCAAAGTAGAATGGTTGGGATTTGTTGTACAGTCTAATATAATATACAGGTATCACTAACATACACGCCATCTCAAATAGCTGCTCCATCCTTGATCCATCCATCCAGGCCTAGGATTCCACCATCCTCGGCTTGCGAATCAAGGGTCCATTTACGAATAGCACGACACTTCAAATCTGTGGTATAGCCGCTCTCAAACATCTCAATGGCCGCCCATCCGATCATCGCAGCATTGTCCGTGCACAAGTATGGAGGTGGTGCAATAATTTCCATCTTTTCAAAGCCACGCACGTCCAAAAATGATCGAAGCACCGCCATGAGGAATTTGTTCGCTGCAACACCGCCACTGACTACCACAGTTTTGATCTCCTTTTCATCACTGTGGCGTAGGCGCAAAGCATCGAGGGCAATGATAGTTCGCGACGCAAGATGCTCGAAAGAGACGCGCATAATTTCCCGGCCCAGATCCACTCGTTCTTCACGCGACATTTCCCCATCCTTGTTCTTAATAATTTTATTCACCATGCTCGCGACAGATGAAAAACTGAGCTGCAGTGTGCGAGTATTTGCGAATGGGGTTGTAACACTCCAACCCCATCGACTTTGTCGCTTGATCACTTCCTCTCCTCGATTCATTGGCGGACGATAATCCGCAAAATCTTCTTTGCCATTTGGAAAGACGAATTGTTCCAGGGCTTTGCCGTACATTGTGGTCTTAGACTCCTTTAGCAAATCCGCAGGGATGATCTCCCGAGCAGATTTGTCAATTGTTTCGCCTATCGCGATATCTTCGCTGGAAGCCAGAATCTTATGGTCCGTCATAGACTTGGAGTGGACCAGCATCGAATGTCCACCGGATACCAGGATTGATAGGAACGGAAACTGGAGTGATGCAGTCCCTTCAGAAGTTTGACTTTTTCTTTCTTCCAGACATGATACCAGCCGTGGAGTTAGCATGTGTGCCTGCATATGGTGTACCCCGACCATGGGAATCTGCCAAGCAACAGAGAGTGCCTTTCCGGTATCGAGTCCGACAGACAGATTTGACCGCATCCCAGGTCCTCGGGTAGCCGAGATGAAATCCGGCCGACGGCACTTTGTTCCGTCTGCTAGATCTATTGACTTCTCACCGTTACTTGGCGACGGTAGATATCGGAGAGCTTTGTCGACGAGACATGCAAGGTTCTCTTGATGAGATTCGAGGGCGAGGATCGGGTGAATGCCACGATGTTCTCGGCAATCAGCCGTGATGTTTTCCAGGAAATGGATCTTGGCTTTTCCATTGTTCTTTTCGATAACCGCTACAGATGTATCGTCACTATTGCGCAAGACATGTTAGCAGAGCCAAGTAAAAACAAGAGGTCTGTCCATTACCATGATGTTTCGATTGCTAGGGTGAGTAGGCCCCGATAATGCCGACATCCTAAGATATTTCGCGACACTCTTGTCGAGTTTCGCAAAATCAGAACTGAAGTTGAACAGAACATGTTCAACTAAAGACATGGAATGTTGCGGGAGGACAGAAAGGATCGGAGACGCACGGACCATTGAGCCCTCGAATGCTGCCCTAACTCTTACCAAACTTTAACATGATCTTTCTACGAAACAACGAGTTTCTGCTGTACTTAAACCATTCAAGCACTTGGAAATGAACACTTGTACATATTTTGTCTGTCACAGGAATCCCAAGTGCGGGATCGGCGGCGACTTCCCTTGAATAGATAACCCTTGGAAGCTGAGTATACATTCACGAGTCCAGATTTATGGATAGCTACAGTCCATCTGAGTATGGAAAACTAAAGAACACAAATTGACCCGAGTGGGCTCTGAGTCAATAGGTAGACGTGAGGATTTTTTACGGAGTCCATGGGTCCTTTGAAATGGTCTGCAGGTATTAAATTCAACAGTACCTAGGTAAAGACAGGCTAGGGTAAATATGTAAATGCAAATGCAGAGTCGTAAATCCATCAACGTCATAAAGACAATCGTCTCAATAGTCCATACACATTTCTATCGTCAAACTTCTGTCCAACTGTATCAAAATTGATGCACGTAGGGTATCTCAAGCCTCCCAGAAGGATAACAGGTCCAGTTTCAGTCGTTAGAAAGAACCCGAATAAAAAACGACCGCATCGGCCATGGAGTATGTGAAGGGGGCAAGATGTGTTCTGCTCCGGTGTGTTCCATGATCAACATTGATTTCCTTAGGGTTATCGCTGGTGATGATCGCTTTAGGTGTTATACAATGTCGCAAACAACCACCGAAGGCAGGATGTCATTGCCTGTAAATTGGCACTAAACTCAAGCTTGGTTTTTGGCTGGCTGATGGCGATCATATCATAGAAAGTCGAAAGCCAAGTTTACTCTCGGACTGCCCATCGTCGTTCTTCTCGAGACATCTTGGTGTGCTTGCCGTAGTATTCATCTGGGTTTTCAATTGGTGTCACACAGTGGATTGTTGGTGTGCCTTTAAATTGAATGCGTTTCCCTACAGCACCTGGTTGTTCTGATGTGTGCTTCTTGAGAATGCTCTTTGCCGAACAGGAGTTGGCATAGCCATATGCTGGTACCGGAAGAGATGAGAATCTCATGACTGTTGGGCTTGCTGAGACCGGTGAAATTGGAGTTCTGGGAACAGCAACCGGTGACTTGAGCGATAGCGATGGCCTCGCAGCAGAGATATTCAAGGACAGTCTTGGCTTTGCGTACATATTGACAATGATGCACTGGAATTTGAGAATGGATAGAAGATAGGTGTAGACGTTTAAAAAAGGGAATCTTGATCAACAAGAATACTCCGGTGTGATGGTAGAAATAACAATTATTGACGTAAATAGAAGACTGGCAATAGAAGAAATATCGTTTGGACCAGCCAAGACGAAGCGCGATACAAAAATAGAATAAGTGAAAAATAGAAAATCTCAAACAACGATGCAGAAAATAATGGAGTAAGGGGGCGAAAGGGCAAGGTGGCGGCTATATAAGTCGCCCTGGATTGAGCGGGGAAGCAATTCACAGCCAACCACAGCCCTCGCTCGAAGCGCCCATAATATCATCACAACGCATTATCACTTCTTCATCACACATTGATCCCAGCCTTATAGGCTCCCATGCCAGCCTTCAACTTTTATAAAGTTGCCACTATTCCAATCTAAATTTGGATTGGGGCCAATATGTGATACAGGGACAACCCAGCATTTAATTGATGCAGCGACCCAGGGTCTGACGAGTAATAGATGCACAATCTGGCTTCCTGGATAGTTCTTGATCACCATGCAGAATGTCGATGTGATAGTAGACTTCAAATGACATTAGCGTAATATTACTTCAATCAATAACATTCCAGACCTTCATGAATTCTGGGCCTTCTAGTCACTTCATGAATCCCCCTATGTTCCTTCCATGCATGTGGTAGATAGGTTCCTGATCCAGTGACGTTTGCCCTGATGGTCTGAACCTTACAACTACTAGGTAGTTATAGGTAGTCTACCAACTTGGAAAACACTACCAATTTAGTTTAGTAGGTAGTACCACCGGAAGACATTCGAAAAACGATGGGCACGTCCAAATAAGAGCATTGATTGAATCTGGAAATGGAAACTATCTGGAATATAATAAAAATTTTATGTATGCAAAACAAGAATGTTTTAAGATTGTAGGAACTAGAGTGGCTTTTATTCTCAAGTTACCTAAAGTAGTAGGTGCCTAACTATTCATAATGTATGTACCTATGTATATTATAGCCTTTGGCAACCTTAGAATCCATTGTCTACCTAGATACCTAGGTAGCAGCTTCTGATGCGGCGAGTATCTAGGTGCCAATAGACCTAATCGTTTAATTTCCTGGATTTTATCTTTTGATGCGGTGTCCAAAGTACATCTTCCACCATGTCAGCCCTCGAGATGAATGTCTTGTTTTTTAAAAAAAAAAATCCAAACAAATTCTCCCTAGGTCTCAATATGGTGGATCCATGGATAGCTACCTACCTTGACAGGTAGATAGAATTGCCCAGGTATCCATGATAGATATAGAAATTTACCTAGGTATATCCATGGATATATATACCTACGGGCACTAAGTGTTTGTTATATTATTTATTACTCAGGTCCACGAGTAGATGAGATGCATAATAAATCGCTAAGTCCAAAAGCTCAAGAATAAAAAATATCAAATTTAGGATACACATACACCCCGTATAGCTTACTCGATCGCGTTGATACAAATTAATAATTTTTGAAGAAAATTCAAAGGCAGTGTTTTGGTAGTGAGCTTGGACATAATTTGAGTTTAATCAATTCCACACATCAAATGGTAAGGTGGCCGAGTGGTTAAGGCGTCAGGTTTAGGCCAACCTAAAATACAATGTATCACTACATCCCCTGATGGACATCCGTCCGCGAGGGTTCGAATCCCTTCCTTATCATCTTTTTTTTTCTAAATTTTTTTTTGGTCAATCTTCTGATTCTTTATTTTTTTCCCTCATGAAATCCATGTGACATGTATATTTCATTTTATAGCCGAATCATACTTTTTGTTTTAGCATTTAGTAGTGCCCTAAGAGCCTGTCTATCATATTTTGTAGTCTTTGATATTGCTTGGTTTCAGTGGTAATCCTTACCGAAAGAGGAAAGCTTATGCGTCATAACAACAACATGGGATCAGACGCCATCATCCCACGAGGAACAGGAATCCTATCAAACAATGATGTACGCTTGAATTGATCATATTATGCAGCATATCATTTTATAATTGTAGTACATGGGAAGACTCATGCCATGCACAGTAGGTAAGCGCATCTCGTGCGGAGTTAAGCCGATATGCAATTCTTCTACTCCAACTTGTGTACTTTCTCCACTTCCAACTCCGCACCGATTACGGACCGGTGCCTTATGCCATGTCAGTGGTTTCAGCCCTGAAGCACAAAGGTCAAATCGGACCATAAATATATCCGGTGCCCCGTATATGATTTTATATTTCCCTCAAATTGCCTTCTATTGTCAGTTCCGATATTCATTGGTTCGGCACTGTTGTCCATAGTGGCATTCCACAAATCCCATGCTTCTTGATAGTATACTGTGCTAAGTAGTCTATGCCACCGAGTACTCATCTCATATGAGCTCCACCGAAGTCGAGAAGATCTAAGTATACAATATGATATTATTTATATTTATACAGTTATACAGTAAGAAGGGTAATATCTAGTATTAGCCGTAATATTTGTTTAGATCTAGCCGGTGCGGGTAAATAAAGGTAAGCAGGCGGTGAAAAAATTGGATCTCAGTAAGCCAAAATAAAGATCATCTCGAAGATAAACGGAACACTCATATTAGGAAGGTTGAAAGTTAAAAATCTTAAAAAAGCGTGTCATATTGGCGCTGAATCTTTTCTTGTTCATCCGGTGATCAGCCGATCTTTTTTTTTTTTGACTCAAACTTCCCCTTCTCCACTCTTCAATCTCACTTCCACAACCCTCCCTTCCTTTACCCAATTGTTGTGCTGCGGATTCTCGCATTCGGGTTTACCACTAATTAAAACTGTTGGTTCTGTGACACCATGACTAGCGTCAAGGAAACTGTGAAGGAGCAATTGGTGGGCACAACAGAGGAGCCTCAGCTGTCGCACCAGGCCCGATCCAACTTCTTTCGTGTTGCGCAGAAAGATGAGAACGGAGAACCGTTCATGACTGAGGAGGCTTTCATCAATGCAATTGCTCCCAAGCATGAGGACTACGTAAGTTACGCCCTACATTATTTGACAAATCCCGTAATCCAAACAATCGAGCCAAGTCGAAGCACATATACTGACGTGCTTTCGCCCAATTAGCACAAGATCAAGCGCGAGCAGTATGGAATCCTTTTCCAGGTTGCGGATCGACAGAAAAATGGCAAGCTTACCCTTTCTGACTGGGCCACTTTTGAGAATCTCCTTGCGAAGCCCGATGCCGAGTACGAAATCGCATTTCGTCTGTTCGATTTCGATGGATCCGGAGCTGTCAAGTTTGATACCGTGCAGGGATTGGCCAATCTGAACAAGAGCGCCGATAGTATTCCCTTCGATTGGAACTCAGAATGGGCTTCGCTCTACACCGGACGTACCAAGTCGCGACACGATATGACCTACCCTCAATTCTCCCAGATGTTGCGCGGTCTGCAGGGCGAGCGCATTCGTCAGGCTTTCCACAGCTTCGATAAGGATGGCGACGGATATATTCAGCCCGAGGAATTCCAGCGTATAATTCTGGAGACCTCTAAGCACAAGCTATCGGACCATGTCCTCGAGAACCTGCCCTCCCTGTGCAACATCTCCACTGGCAGCAAGATTTCCTACGCTACCGTCCGTGCTTTCCAGAACATTATGGTTGAGATGGATATGATCGATGTGATTGTGAGCGAGGCCACAAAGAAAAGTGGCGACGGAAAGATCACTCGCTCCGACTTTTTGAACGCCGCCGCTCGTGCCACACGTTTCTCTCTCTTCACCCCCATGGAAGCTGATATCCTCTTCCACTTCGCTGGTCTTGATGCCCCATCCGGACGGCTTTCACAGAAAGACTTCGCCAAGGTCATTGATGCTTCATGGCGTACACCTGTTGCTCTTGCTGGCCAGACTGTTGAGAAAGCTGCTGCCAAAACCACGTCCTTGCTCCACAACGTGTTGGAATCTGTTCATCACTTTGCCCTCGGCAGTATTGCTGGTGCGTTTGGTGCTTTCATGGTGTATCCCATCGATCTGGTCAAGACTCGTATGCAAAATCAGCGATCTACACGCCCGGGCGAGAGACTCTATAACAACTCTCTCGACTGTGCCAAGAAGGTCATCCGGAATGAAGGTTTCACTGGACTTTACTCTGGTGTTATTCCCCAACTTATAGGTGTCGCACCAGAGAAGGCTATCAAGCTCACTGTCAATGATCTTGTCCGCGGTCACTTCACAGACAAGGATACCAAGAAGATTTGGACCCCTTGGGAAATCCTGGCCGGTGGAACTGCTGGTGCTTGTCAAGTGGTAAGAATGACCGGACTAAGCATCACCTTGAACTATGTATACTGATATAACTTCTACCTTTTAGGTCTTTACCAATCCTCTAGAGATTGTCAAGATTCGTTTGCAGGTGCAGGGTGAAGTGGCTAAGAATGTCGAGGGTGCTCCTCGCCGCTCAGCTCTTTGGATCGTGAAGAACTTGGGCTTGGTGGGCTTGTACAAGGGAGCTACCGCCTGTCTCATGCGTGATGGTAAGAATCCACGTCTGACTGATTTTTGGAATTAATCTAATATGATTTTAGTCCCATTCTCGGCCATTTACTTCCCAACATACGCTCACTTGAAGACTGATATGTTTGGTGAATCGCCTACTAAAAAGCTAGGCGTTATCCAACTTCTGACTGCCGGTGCTATCGCCGGTATGCCAGCAGCCTACTTGACCACTCCATTCGATGTAATCAAGACCCGTCTGCAGGTCGAGGCCCGCAAGGGTGACACCAAGTACACTGGTCTACGCCACTGTGCCCAAACAGTGTGGAAGGAAGAGGGTCTCAAGGCCTTCTTCAAGGGTGGACCCGCTCGTATTTTGCGTTCTTCTCCGCAATTCGGGTTCACCCTTGCTGCCTATGAAGTTCTGCAAGGTCTGCTCCCCATGCCCGGCTCCGAGGATGTGACTCCAAGCGGACACATCGAGCCTGGTGTTGGTCTGCAGAGTGCCACAGCGCCCCTCCCCTACCTCCGATCAAGAAACGCTTTGAAGCTCATTCTGGATCTGGATCAGAATATCGGCCGAGTGCAGGTCCCTCAGCCTGAGAACTGGCCCAAATTCCTGCAGGGTCCCAAACAGTGATTTCTCTTTAGTTCCATAGCGATGACTTTCTTTTTGTCCCCTTGCCATTTCTTCTATATCTCTTATTCTTGCCCCTTGTTTAGCATCAAATCTCTTTTGACCATAATTTCTTTCTCTCCGCTTTGCTGCAACTCGGGTCGGTTTTCTTTCACAAACCCCTGCAAAAATCATCCTTCGTTCTGTCAGACGCGCGTGTATTCTTTCAATAGATATGAGATTAGGGAAATGCGAGGTATTACAGGGATTCTGATCGGGTTGTCAGTCCTTGCATGCCCATCGTGCAGAGCATTGGTCTACGGATCGGTACTTGCTGCATTTTTCTGCTACTGTCTGGATAAACTGAGTTATGTATAGTACCTAGATCTAGATCAGATAGAATCGGACTTTTCTATTCACAGACGCAAAGACCAACTCATCTGTCAGTTCTATATTCTCGAGTTATTATTTAGAAATAGCCAATGCTCAAATTTAGCGACTTTTGTGTATAAGAATGTGTTGAAAGGTCGGTGATCCGTCTGACAAGCGAGATGGGTATATGCTCTCCCACTAAATCGTCAGGTGGAGTGTGGTAATAATACAGTTGAAATTCCGAGAGACCTAACTGCATGCACGATAAAAGACTCCCGGATTGGGAGATGGATGCACCATTTCCATGAGGGTCAAGGCACCTGATGCTAGGATGGCTGCAGTGTGGAAAGTGAGGGTAACTAGATATATCTGTTCCCCAGTTGGGCATTTAAAGACGAGCCCGAGACATTTAATCAATCGGGACCGTCTTTAAATTGACATCTTATGCAGTATCTGCTTAGAAAAAGTTCGCCTTCCGTGTAGACTGGGACTTGGTGGTCTCGTTATTTGTGCTCGCAGCGGCCGATTCCTCCTCTTGAGCTTGCGACTGCTCAGTTTCAGCCTTCTTCTTCAATTCTTTGGATTTTTGCTGCCAAAGAGAGTCTTCTTGTTTAATAACTTGTAGGACTAACGAAAGCAGAATCGGTTAGATTCTATGTATGCTTAGTGAAAGAACATCATGACAAACCTTCTTCCCACTCTTTCTCCTTTGCCTCGTCTCCTGTTCCAAGTAGCTTTTCGACATCAATGTTCTCTCCGTTCTTGATACGGCCAATAACTTCCTTCAAAAGCTCAATCTTTGCGTCTGTGCTGCGAGTGTATGCGGCGTAGCTATTCTTCAAAGTGAGCATTCGGATGGCTTGGGAACCAATCAGAATGAAGATGACGATGTAGAAAGTAGCTGGATTCCATTCTTTCGAGGGTTTCACTTTGCGCGACTTGCGGTCTAGTATAAATCGTGGGATCATTGACGTCCATACTGAGGTATTGGCAATCTTCGGAAGGGAATTTGAAGTAGCGTACGATCGCTGCGTGGCTGCGAGACATCGGCGAGTGATATGGGAGGTACTTGAGGCGGGAAATAAATGTTGAATGAGCCCATAAGGCCTGAACTTAAATGTGGTGGCCATTGCTGTAGATTTATCGGCAGTTACAGTAGATCGCAAGTCGACGGGCAAAAGTGGTTAGTTTTGGCCTGAGGCTCTCAGGCCGTTACCCTGATAAGGAATAGCGTTGTTGTTGCTGCGACAACACGGCCCGTTTCGAGGCGCACTGTTGGGGTCGATGATATTAGTCTTCAAAGCCTCGCATCTCAATGACTGCTGTACTGATACGCGCCTAATGATATTGAAATGGCGGTTACCGTCCTACCTACTAACTCCATGACCGACTCAATCAAGCAGGCCGTCCGGTCAACAGCAACATGCTCAGACGCCACCGTGTTGTCCCTCCAAACACTGCTCCGCGGAGGACCGAATGCGACCGAGAAACTTGCGCGAAAAAACGTTAAAACAACTACGACACCAGCGGCGCGCGCCACAAAAACTCGAACAACAAAAGCACGTTCAACGAAAGAGACCGCGCTGCAGACAGTTGCTGATCAGGATGGACCTGCACTTTCGGCCCAAGAGAAGCTGGTCCTCGCCACAGATGTGTTTAATACTACTTTAAAAACTTTGACGGAGGCAGCCAGGGTGTCCACAGGAAAGCGCCAGGCATCTGCCGCCGATAATGTCTCAACAAAGTCGACGGGAAGAGCAGCTAGCGCTGCTGTTGATGTGGGAGTTTATTCAGCGGCCGAATGCGCAAGACTTGCCCTTTCAACACTGCGGTCAATCAAGCTTGACCAAAGTGGTACCGAGTTCCCGAACATGCAACTGGAGCAGGGTGTATGTGTCTTGTCCGGAAAGCTGATCTCGCTTGGATTGCATGACATGGCGTTCAAGGAATTGCGATCACTCAAGAAACGAATGCAGCAGTATATGGACTCAAAGAAAGCCGGAAGAAAAACAGCAGAGGCAAAGGAATCTCCAGACGAGGAATCTGTAAAGGAGCGTATGTCCGATCTCATCACCTTCTCGAATCTCTCAAGCGCCCAACCACTCTACGGCCTTCTTGTTCCTTTCCACTCAAACGTGATGAGACTTTTTGCCCAAGAAAGAAAAGCATCGACTACTCAAAATCTATGTCCTTTGCTGCAACTGTCTGAGCCGAGTAGTCCTGCCCAGATCATCATTGCTGCTTTGAAGGCGAAGTGCGTGACGAATGACAAAGCTGCTTTACAACTTCAGTTACTTTCTAATACGGTTTTGCTTCTATGTCCCACGAAAGCTTCCAGCGAAGATGTACTGAAGCCTGTCACAACACTCACTCTTCAACTTCTTTCTCTCGAAATCCGAAGCTTGGGATGGAAAATCTCTGGACATATTTGCGATGAGAGTAGAGAATTATTAGACCCTCTCCTACGGTATCTCGGTACCTTCTGCCACCGAATGAGAGGAGTCGAGAAGTTGGAGTTTACAACAATTTATCAAACGATTACTCGAATCCAATCATCAATGACAGAGATCAAGAAAAAGCCCCAAGATTCCAAAGACATGAACCTAGCCACCAAGATCACGACTACTCTTGGCCAGCTCGCATTAGACGCTGGCTGCCTCGATGAATCCATAAAACTGTTCGGTCAGGCTATTGCTCCCCTTACCAACTCTCAAAGTCTGTCCCTGGCCACAGTACAATGCAAGATCGCCTCTGTTCAGTTTCAATTATTAAAACGTTCAGGGAAGGATGTGTCACATGCTTTGAAATCCACTTCAGAGGCGACTATAGCACTGGGGTTGCAGCTCCGAGGCAGTCCAACTGATCTAGATGAACTGCTGGTTGAGGCTGCACGAATAAAAAAGTTCGCTTTGACCTGGTTTGGAGACGCAATAACTAAGAAGTTTGAAAGCGATAATGATAAAAACGAGGCTGCATCCCAAATTCGAGAGTATCTCCAGGCTTTTCTACGATTTCTCAGACGCTACATTGGCCGGCCACCAGCAGAGGATGGTGATCCAAAGGAAGAGGAAGTTTTCAAGACTCGCATTGCCATGTCTAAGAACATCGTCCTTGCTGCTGTTGACTCCAGTATTGCTATAGGAAAGTTGTCTATCATGTCCCAGAGGCCACCATGGGATGACATGCTCCCTATTCTGACGGATTCTCATCGCCTTCTTACGAGTATTGACAGCGCCAATGAGAAAGATACAGATGCTTATTTGACCGAGAGCATTGGTTCAAGTCTTGTCAAGCTTTCCAATCTCTTCTGGTCACGATACATTAAAGCAAAAGAAGCTAGCCAGGACTACCGCGAGCTCATCCCACTTCTGAAGCAGTCTACGCAAATTCTGGCTGGCTGCTCTCTATCTCATCGTACCACTGCGTTTGCCGCTCTTAAATTCGAGAGGATGGCCCATTTGTACTTGGAGGGCAGTATGCACGGCGAGTCGGAGAAAGCCTTCCGCCAATCTATCACCGAATACGTCGATTCGGGTACTCTGGAGCAGATCAGCCCAGGCACACACCCAAAATCAGCTAGCCAAGACCCGCAAAGCCCTGGTTTCTCACTAAGCCGGGTTTTATCAGCGTTCCTAAAGTTGAAGTTACGGAGGAAGGGACCTAAATCTGTTACTATATACGATGATCTCGAGCTTGAGCCAGATCGAAGAGGCCTATTGCTTGAATGGCAGATGGGTCTGCTCACTGAAATGCATGGTTACTGCCCCAGCGAAGACGATTTTTGCTCAATATTTAGCCCAGTTGTATCCAGTGTCCTTGACATATATCAGTCGGACATTCATCCCATTCGCCATAGTCGCGTGGTTATTTGCGTACTCCGATTTCTATTGGAACACCCCAACTCTCTTGACCAAACAATCACTGAAGAACTGATGGAAGAAGGGTCTGAAGCCTTGAGATCTGGTATCGAAACCGGAAACGACACAGACTTGGCTTCATTTGCGAAGCATATCGCAAACTCATTACGAGTTATCATTGGCTTTCACAGAGGGAAAATAGACGAGTCTGAATTAAATGACACACTTGCTTCGTGGGCTGGCATGGTTCGCCAATGCGCGGACTGGAAATCTTTGCTTCTCCGCGTCAACGATACTGATTACTGGGTTCTCCAGCTGAAAGCCTTGGTCGACTATACGGAGATTCATGGGCTCTGGAAACCCCAGCTTTCTGCCCTGGAGCTCATCCTCCGCGTTGCTGAGCTTCAGCAATCCTCAGATCTGTCAGATGCGATGGTCATTCTGTCTCGTCTGGTACTGCAGCATTGTCGCCTTGGCCATTGCCAAAAGGCTGGTGACCTTCTCTCGCGCGGCGAAGCATGTGTTGCTCAACACAATGTGTCCTCCCTGGCTAAAATCTCATGCAGACTAGCACGTGTGGATTATCTCCTTGAAACAGGTGAAGTTGACAAAGCTGCGACTGCTTTTTTGTCTGCTCGATCAATGTATGAAAAAATCCAAAAGTCGGATGAGCTCAGCAATTTGTCAGTCTTGTCGAAAATCTCCTGGGAGAGACTGATTGCAGATTCTGCCTTTGTTCAATCTAGGCTATCCACTGCACAGGGCTCAATGACCCAAGCACTGTATTTTGCTAAACTGTCGGTGAGATTGAACTGCAGAATCTGGGCCAAGGTCGAAAAACTGGCACAGCGGAAACAAGACAAAGTCTTGCCAGCTGCAAACAGCTCTGATGTTGACGCTGTCACTGAGGGCGTTGCAAAGCTTGATCTTTCGCAGACTGGGTCTTCTTCGAACGTTTCAGCTAGCTACATTCAAGGTGCCCCCTTCTGGCCACACCTTGGCTCACATCATACCTGCCTATTGAACCTCGCAACACTCTCGGCCCATCATGGTATATTCCAAGATGCTATCTATTACGGGGAGCAAGCTTTGAAGATTGACAGAACACTCGATGCCAATATTCGACTAGTTGCGGCACAAACCCAGTTGGGTTGCTACTGGATATTTGGTGGTCATGTGGAAGAAGGCCAAAATCTGCTCACTGCCGCCTCGGAATCGTCTAAACAGGTTCCGTCGAGTATTGAAGCTGTCTCACTACACATGGCCCTTGCTTCCCTCCACAGGGTACAGGGCCAACATGATAAGACATTGCGCCTGCTGCAGGAAGCTGATAATATCACTAATTCTTTGATATATTCGGATACACACAGTATTTCAGAAACGGCAAACATGACAACAGCCTTAGAGGAGAAGATGGGAAATCTGAACGTTCGAAGCAGTCGCCGAAAGCCTTCAGTGGCTACAACAACCACCACTACCGACCGACGTACTCGTGCAACCAGTGCAGCCAGCTCAGTCACTTCAGCCAGCTCAACTACCACCAAGAAGGTCGCAAAACCCAAAGCTCACTTGCCTGAGGCTCAATCGAAGTCTCTTGTACGTCTCAGGGGTGATATACTCCGACAGCAAGCCGATTGCCTGCGCGCACTGCATGAATTTGAAAAGTCAGCCCGCACTCTTGAGGAAGCCCGACAATTCTCCACTGCCCGTGAAAGCAAAGTTTCATTGGAGATTGGCGAGAGTGAACATCTTCTCGCAGACGCTATCCGCCACTTTGCAAGCCATGCAGTTTACTGTGTTTTACCTGAGTCTACTATCTCACTGCCATCTCTCAGAACACCGACCAAGGCGACTGATGAAACGGCCTCTCTAGCAGTCAAGGCTCCAGCTACACGGAGGCCCAGGACTGGGACAAGAGGAACTCGTACAAAAACGGCCAGCGAGGATTTCTCCGTCATGCTGTCGAAGGCCAGCGATTGTCTCACTAGTGTGTTTGCCGACGCAACTGTTCTCGGTTCCACCCTTGAAAGTCACGCAGCTTCCCGTTTGATGAGTCGGATTTCTATGCTTTCGCATGCTACTAGCTCTGGAGGTCCAGCAACCTGGGCACAATCACCTGCGAGCATGAATGGTAAGTCATGGGGACGACGAAAAAAAGAAAAAATGTCAGAAACTAACATGTTTTACTTAGAAATTGGACGTGTTGGTGCATTTGCACGAGAGCGTATGGCCATTGATTTTGACCGGAAGTTGGCAGACTTTTCTGATCCACTACTATGGCCAACTTCTTTGTCATCTACAATTGATGATATAGGCGACGAGATTTGTTCAACCTTCACCGAGAATTATGTCGATATTCTCCCCGAGAATTGGAATGTACTTTCTCTGTCGTTGAGTGCCGATAGAACTGAGTTTGTGGTCTCGCGGCTACAGAAGAATCGCTCGCCATTCCTGCTTCGGCTTCCACTTCGAAGGGGTAACTCAGATGACGACGAAGAGGAACAGTTCACCTTTGAAGATGGAAAGGAGGAGATGCAGGAAGTTATCAAACTGGCAAATCAGAGCGCCCATGCCGCTAAAGCCCAAATAGACAAGCAGATGAAGAAGGAGTGGTGGAAGAATCGAGAGTCGCTCGACCTCCGAATGGAGAGTCTCCTCCAGAATATTGAAAACCTTTGGTTCGGTGGCTTCCGAGGCGTGTTCTCTCCCCTCTCACGGGATAGCACTGCGTTGGCTAGGTTTGCGACTTCTTTCCAAGGAATTCTGGATAAACATCTCCCCTCTCGGCAAAAAGGAGGCAGGGCCTCGTCGCCTCGCCTTACCCTTCACCAGAACGTTGTGGAGCTGTTCATTGGTCTCAGGGACCTCGAACAACAAGAAGAGCCAGAAGACATACTCATGGATCTTCTCTACTTCGTTGTCGACATTTTGCAGTTCCAAGGAGAACGCAATGCCTATGATGAGATTGATTTTGACATGATGGTCGTTGACACTCTCGATGCTCTACGAGGCTATCATGAAGCCGCACGGGAAGAACTTGCATCTAAACCACCAAAACATACAGTTTTAGTACTGGATAAGGCATTGCATTTGTTCCCATGGGAGTCTCTGCCATGCCTCCAGGGATTCCCCGTGTGCCGTGTTCCATCCCTAGAGTGTCTTCGCGAGCGAGTGCTCCAATTTCGCGGGAGTCAGTCCGGCGCGGTTCTCGATCGTACCTCGGGCTCCTTCGTTCTCAATCCAACAGGTGACCTACGCACAACCCAAGCAACCTTCGAAGAAGACCTCTCAAAAATGAAGACCTGGACAGGCACAATCAACCGCGAGCCAACAGAGGACGAATTCCGCAAATCCCTTGAAACAAACGATCTCTTCTTGTATTTCGGCCACGGTAGTGGCGCGCAGTATATCCGCGGCCGCACAATCAAACGACTAGATAAATGCAGTGTGGCCTTCCTCATGGGCTGTAGCAGTGGTTCTTTGACTGAAGCTGGCGAGTACGAGCCCTACGGCACACCCATGAACTATCTTCATGCTGGAAGCCCGGCGCTTGTTGCTACATTGTGGGATGTCACCGACAGGGACATTGATAGATTTTCAACTTCTACTTTCGATACTTGGGGTCTTATTGGGAAGGATGGGAAGTCGGCCCGCACACCTGGTCTTGGGTTGGATGCTGCTGTTGCTGGTGCGAGGGGTTCATGTGTTTTGAAGTATTTGAATGGAGCGGCGCCTGTTGTTTATGGCGTACCGGTGTTCCTGGGATAGAATTAGTTAGAGCATGGCGCTATAATTTCGCATAGAATAGGTGTTCTATTTTTCTAATTTATCATTTCCGAACTTGGAAAAACATTCTGGGTTCACATCTCACAGCAACATATTAGCATGTACTATGATCAAAATCCTGGAGATTTACAACTAGTATCTAAAAGCTTCTAAGACCTAAGTTTTCAGTAGAACTTTTATAGTGCATCTTACCATTTGACACCTTTCTTTTTCCACTGTGTGCAGCATGCGGATTGATACGGAATTCTTTACTATTTCGGGAAATTTCATGGGCCGCTTTTATGGAAGTTGAGTTTAAGCAGTGGTCTCTAAATAGTCACGGACCGGACCGTCCTCGGTATATAAGCTCTAATTAATAAAAGCGGCGAGCATTGACTACTAGACTAGTCAAGTTTCCCCTCATGCGGGACCAAGACAACCCCGCGGCGATAACGAGTACGCTATTTATTTTAATCTTTTGCCGTTGCCAACTTGGCATTTTCATATCCCGAGTCTTGAATTTATCACTTCTCAGCATCATGGCCGTCACCACGAAAGCAACCATCGCCTCCTTCGGCGGCAAGCTGCTTAAGCTGAGCCACAATGCCACCACTACCCGCTGTGAAATGAACTTCAACCTCTATCTACCTCCTCAATCTCAAACTGGCAAGGTTCCTGTTCTGATTTACTTGTCCGGTCTGACTTGCACTGCCGACAATTGCTCTGAGAAGGGCTTTTTCCAACATGGTGCTAGCAAGAAGGGCATTGCTGTTCTCTATCCCGATACTAGCCCACGTACGTCTTGTACTCAATAATTTGAAATAAAGTAGAGAAAGATTCAATGGACTAATTGCTTCGAATAGGTGGCCTGAATATCGAAGGCGAGAATGACGCTTATGACTTTGGCTCTGGGGCTGGCTTCTATGTCGATGCTACCAAGGCTCCCTATGACGCTGGTTACAACATGTACAGCTATGTTACCGAAGAACTGCCACATACAGTCTTTGCAGCTTTCCCCCAGCTAGACTCTAGCCGTGTTAGTATCACCGGTCACAGCATGGGTGGACACGGTGCGCTCACTTTGGTAAATCATCTCTACAATCGACACATCCCATACATGAAGATCTTAACAACCTATCTAGTTCCTCCGCAACCCTGGAAAGTACAAGTCTGTCTCGGCCTTTGCGCCCATTACCAACCCAATCAATTGCCCTTGGGGTCAGAAGGCATTCAACGGCTACTTTGGAGAAGACAAGCAAGACAAGTGGAAGGAACACGATGCCACCGAACTAATTAAGAAGTGGTCTGGTAGTCCACTCGACATTCTAATTGATGTGGTATGTTGTCAATATCACACCCCACAGAATTTAACATATATTTAACTTAAACTCTTTTACTCCAGGGCACCGGCGATAACTTCTACAAGCAGGGTCAACTTCTCCCCGAGAACTTCCAGGCTGCTGCCAAAGAAGCCGGCCTCTCAGGCCTGAATGTGCGCTACCAGCCCGATTATGACCATTCGTACTTCACAATGGCCACCTTTGCCGATGACCATGTTGATCATGCGGCGAAGTACCTCTTTGCATAGTGTGTTTTTCCTTCCATTGGATATCATTCGTGTATGACTCGGCTCTATGGATCGAGCAGATTCTAATCATTGGTGTTCTTCTTTCGCTCAAGTGAGCGCCAGGCGAGGTCGGTTCTTTGACGAAAGTGAGATGAATACAAAATTAATTATTGCCCTTTTTACGAATACCGCACTTCGATATCAATCCGTACCCGTATCTACCTCGACCTTAGTTCTTTGACTTGATAGTTTTGATGAATACTGGCGCATATGCGAAGTTACTGTTGGAATATGGAAAACAAATCAGCCACGTGATCAAATCGACACTATAATAGCTAGCAAACCAAGAATGAAACTCAGACCTTACAATCACTTCAAGAGACACCATATATTATAGTGGCATTCAGTGTTACCTGTAATAGGTGTGAGAAATGGGCGTTAGCCTCTCATCCACCTTCGTTATCGAATAGCTATTCTACACTTAGTACTAGTGTACCGACAGTTACTTACGATGTACAGCAACACAGTCACTCCTCGGAGGGCGGTGGGCTCTATCATTCCCTCTACTGACACGTTGGTACAGTCCTCTTTGATCCGGAGCGTCTTCTAATTTCTAAAGGGTTAACAATGATCGAATCAATTACAAAAAATCAACTAGAAGTGTTAAACTAAGCGGAAAACATAGCAGTTATTAACAACAAAGTAGTTGACTCAGGGGCCTAGTGCAAAATGAGTATAGAATATAACCATTCTCAAAGGATTTGACATACCAACAACATTATCACTTGGGCTGTTCTGAGCTGGCCCAATATGATTGCGGTCCGAATGATCAACTGCCTATATTAGAACAGATATATCGATGTATATATATATATATATATATATATATATATTGTGGTATGGCAATCTTGCAAGCTTGCTTTGCTATTTGACTTTTGACTTTGTTGCTTTCATGTTGTAACTCAGATGGCTGGGTTTCATCCTCATGACCATGACATGGTGACAAGAGATACCTGATGGGTTGCTGATCACTGCTTTCACAAATTTCGGGTTATGATGAGGTCGTTGACTTCAATCTGGTTTATGTTGTTTGCAGCGCCCGAGTTTGAAACAAGCGACAGTAATGCTTCCAAATTGGTACCGCTCGACTGATTGTTCAACTCTTCAACCATCAACGTAAGTGGCGGCGCCTGTAAATTGGCTGCCAGCAGTGCTTGGAGGGTCTCTGGAGTGTGAACCCCGGCACTCATTATAGCACCAACGCCTGCCTCATTTCTTGAAACATTCAAATTAAATTGAGGCCGAGAAGTATCGGTGCCGAATACTGCACGACTGCCAGCGCCAGCTTTATTTTCCTCGATGGTGATTGTTTTCACAATCTTCTCTGCCTGCACTAGGCTTCTCAGACTTTCTTTAATCTGATCACAATCTGCTTCAAGCGTTTTCTTTGCCGACTCATTTGATTTGCTTATTCTTTCCTCTAGTTGCTCCAACATGATCTGCAAGTCTTCTCTGGTACCTTCTATGGATTCATTGAGCTCTTCTAAAGAGAGTTGGACTATAGAGCCATCTGCTCTATAGAAGGAGAGAGAGAGAGAAAACAGTCAATAACCTATAGTCTCGAAAAGCGCGAAGAAGAACTTACATAAGGATAGACGCCAGGCTGATGCTGAGGATAGACTTGAAAGAAGCGATCCGATTCTTGATTTCTTCGAAAGATTTCTCCTTGTATTGCATGCTAAGCCAGTCCCGCACACTGAATTGTCCCTCTTTAGAGTGGGCTGTACATGCCTTGAGCATATCGTGCATTTCTTGGCAAGCTTGCAAACAACAGTTCAGTGGATGACGGAGGGATTCAAGCCTCGATGCATCTCTTGTGGTTTTAGCTTGGACTTGGATAGATTCAAGAACAGATACCAGAGAAGTCAGATCGGACCGAAGATCTTTGATTTCCTTTTTCTGGCTCTTGATTTTGATAACAGCCTGGTATAGCGATTTACTAGTGTCAATGGCAAATAATGCCAAAGCCAGCACAGCAGACGCATATTCCGCCATATGGATAGTGAGGTCGAAAATTTGTGCAAATTCTAGCAAAGCACAACATGGAGTTTTATAGTGCAGACTGCTGGCTTTTGTAAGTCGATTTGCTGTTCAAATTAGCTTGCACCTAGCGAAACGACTTAAAGCGTTTCCATTGGCTAGGATATGATCCCTACATGACCATGTAGGATAGAGATATTTGGTCGAATTAAATCTCTTTGCGTAAAGTACGTTCTTTTTATAGATTGTTTTATCCCTCTCAGCTGGTCTACTGAAGCCGGACACTAGCCTAAATCCAGATTTAGCCTGCAATTCGACGCAGTAAGTTCCATGTGTTATAATGTGATTAGTTAATATTCCAAAACTCACCTGCTAACGGCGCTAAGAGGGCCATGTTAGCAAGTCATCTTGTTCCATGTCGAGCCCCTTCTATTTAATTTTAATCGAGCAATTGCCGTAAGACAGAGCCAATTAAGAAATATTTCCTCGCAGAAAAGCATATTCATTTCAGAAAGCTCTGAACATTCTTACATGCGCTCTTATACGAAATTAAAGGAATGGCAACCCGTGTTGACATTCATGGTAACACTGCCCAAACTGGATCCACTCAGATAAACAATGTCGCCTATATCACTAGTATATTGAACCCTATGCCAACCAAAATTGACCGGAAGAATCTCATTATTATTCCTAGAGCTTAACACCGAAGATCGCGATCGAATTTGCCTCGACGCTTTAGACTGCCCAGATTCGCAGAGTTTAAAAAACTCGCTGAAGGCGAAAAAGGGCAGGCTACTCCCCGAGTGCATCAAATGGATTCTTGAGCATGCGCTGTATCAGAGTTGGAAAAACGGAGAGGATACCTGTCTCCTTTGGATCAAAGGAGGCGCAGGCAAAGGAAGACTATGATCTCGATCGGTATTATCGAGGAGCTTTCGCAATCACACCATGAATCTACCATTGTGGCCTACTCTTTCTGTCAAAATGCAGACGATAGGTTCAACAGCCTTGAGGCGATCATCAAGGGTCTTATTCGGCGATTAGTGGATCAACAACCGTCGCTCAAAAAGTCTCTACGAGACCGCTGGGACACTAAGAGAGATCGTTTCAAGGAAGATGTTTCTTCATGGCATAATCTGTGGAACATCCTTTTGGAGATGTTAGAGCTTTCCAAGTGCCAGAGGTTATACATGATTGTGGATGCTCTTGATGAGTGCCTATATGATGGCATGGCCGATTTCTTAAAACTCATTGTCCGAAATGGACTAGATCGCCCTGCCAAAATCAAGTGGATGCTGACAAGTCGACCATTAGAGAGCGCAGATAAAGTCTTATTGGCAAGAAACGACCAGGTACAAATCAACCTGGAGCAGCACCCGAAACAAGTTTCCGAAGCTGTTGAGGCTTACGTCGCTTCTAAGACGCGTGAGCTCAGTCTTCTTCAAGAATACGGGCAACCCCTAGAGCGAAAGATACAAGAAGAGCTCATTAAGAAGGCTGAGGGTACATTCTTATGGGTTGGTTTGGTGTGCGAGATACTTGAAAGTGTCTGCCTAGATGAGGCCTTAGCTGAAATTGAAAAGTTGCCACCCACTCTAGATAAAATTTATGATCGGATACTGCAAGAGCTGAGCAAGAGTAAGCGAAGAGATGTACAAAAACATATGAGATTGCTTACCGCGATGATGCTGGCATACCGGCCATTGAAGGTAGAGGAGGTTAATAGCGTGACTGGTCTAACTGATACAGAGGATGATATCAATGCGATGGTCGATCGATGTGCTTCAATCATCAAAAAGCAAGACAATCATATCGAATTTGTCCATCAATCTGCTCGAGACTACTTAGCAGGGGACAGTGGAAAATCAATCCTTGGTACTTATGGCACTTATGGCCATGGTGAAGTTGTGCAGGGATGTCTATCTTATTTATCGGACAAGCTCACGGTCAACCTCCTCCAATTAACACAACCCGACTCAACCAGAGACTGCTTGAAAGCGTTCAAGGACAAGAAAAGAGAGATTCTACTCGCTAGCGTGGACTATGCAGCTATATTCTGGGTGCAACATCTCGTGGACGCCAAAAATCCCGCGTTAGAGCAGGAAGCACTCGCTGAAGAAGGCGCCGTCAGTACGTTCCTCCAAACCAAGTTGTTGGAATGGGTAGAATGCCTTAGTTTGCTGAAAATGCTACCGCGAGCTGTAGGAGCATTGAAACAATTATCAAAAATAGCAAAGGTTAATATTGGATATTTGCTTTTGGCAGCCATCTTTGCTAACCAGCTACAGGACAACCATTGGGCATCGACACTTGTGCAAGATGCTACACGGTTTTTGCTGCGACATTACCACGTTATATCAAATTGGCCATTACAGACGTACACCTCTGCTGTAATTTTTAGTCCTGATTTAAGCATTGCAAGGAGAAAAAAAAACTTGGCCAAGATTCCCCGGTGGCTTAGAAAATTACCTCATGTGGAAGAAAATTGGGCATCTTTGATCCAGACCCTGGTAGGCCACTCTGGCGCAGTCAGGGCCGTGGCCTTCTCTCCGAACGGCAAGCAGATTGCCTCCGGCTCTTTGGACAATACTATCAAGCTATGGGATGCCACGACAGGCGACGCTCAGAAAACCCTAGTAGGCCACTCCGGCGCGGTCACGGCCGTGGCCTTCTCTCCGGACGGCAAGCAAATTGCCTCTGGCTCTTACAATACTATCAAGCTATGGAATGCTACAACAGGCGACGCTCAGAAAACCATAGTAGGCCACTCCGGCGCGGTCATAGCCGTGGCCTTCTCTTCGGGCGGCAAGCAGATTGTCTCTAGCTCTTACAATAATATTAAGCTATGGGATGCTACAACGGGAGACGCTCAAAAAACCCTAGTAGGCCGCTTCGACTATAGTACGGCCGTGGCCTTCTCTCCGGACGGCAAGCAGATTGCCTCTGGCTCTTTCGACAACACCATCAAGCTATGGGATTCCATGACGGGTGACGCTCACAAAACCCTAGTAGGCCACTCCGGCGCGGTCACGGCCGTGGCCTTCTCTGCGGATAGCAAGCAGATCGCCTCTAGCTCTTACAATAACATTAAGCTATGGGATGCTACGACGGGCGACGCCCAGAAAACCCTAGAAGGCCACCTCGACCACGTTGCGGCCGTGGCCTTCTCTCCGGACGGCAAGCAGATTGCCTCTGGCTCTTTCAACAACACCGTCAAGCTATGGAATGCCACGACGGGTGACGCTCACAAAACCCTAGTAGGCCACTCCGGCGTAGTCAGGGCCGTGACCTTCTCTCCGGACGGCAAGCAGATTGCCTCTGGCTCTTTGGACAATAATATTAAGCTATGGGATGCCTCGACAGGCGACGCTAAGAAAACCCTAGTAGGCCACTCCGGCGCAGTCAGGGTCGTGGCCTTCTCTCCGGACAGCAAGCAGATTGCCTCTGGCTCTTTCGATGACACCATCAAGCTATGGGATGCCTTGACGGGCGACGCTAAGAAAACCCTAGTAGGCCACTCCGGCACGGTCACGGCCGTGACCTTCTCTCCGGACGGCAAGCAGATTGCCTCTAGCTCTTTCGACAATACTATCAAGCTATGGGATGCCTCGACAGGCGACGCTAAGAAAACCCTAGTAGGCCACTCCAGCGCGGTCACGGCCGTGGCCTTCTCTCCGGACGGCAAGCAGATTGCCTCTGGCTCTTTCAACAACACCATCAAGCTATGGAATGCCACGACGGGTGACGCCCAGAAAACCCTGGTAGGCCACTCCGGCGCGGTCAGGGCCGTGGCATTCTCACTGAACAGCAAGCAGATCGCCTCTGTTTCTGACAACGGCACCATCAAGCTATGGGATGCCACAACGGGCGGCGGCATTCTGATAGAAGCTTCAAAATATCTTTGGGGCATTTTAAGTAGCCATTGGAAGTTCTCTCCGTCGCAAGAAATCTCGACACCAGGGCGGATACACAATTTAAGATTATCACGGAATCCCCAGCTCGCAGCCAATATAGGTTTTGTTGAACAAAGCAGCAGCTTGGCATCATCCCTTGATATCCATGTGAGTGATCAGTGGATATGCTATGGAGAAATGCACCTCCTTCGGCTGCCGTCGAATTTTATTCCAAGTTGTTATGATTCGCGAAGTGATCAATTAACGATAGGATTCCAGAATGGTCGAGTTTTGAGCTTTGCATTTGACGCAAGTAGCCTCCAGTCGTTGATGTAAGATCGCTCTAGACACTCTGAAGCAGTCAAGACCGGGCCCATTTTCTATATCAAACGATTAGGTCGCTTTCAGAAATGAAACCCCAATATCTCTGCCTGCTGAGTATCGCATATATTAACTATTCGTTGTACTTTATGTATTCTTGATTGTTTTCTACCTTTACAACAACAGGGTATGAATAAGCATAGCACAGTATATACTTCTTTTTTGATAACCTTGGATTTTTAAGGTCTTTACATCATTTAGAATGATTTAGGAAAGAACTATGACATGTTACAGCCTAGTCAGTCGGTCCTTAAGGGGTGTCTCGCGGCGTTCGAGCAATACATATATAACTTACTCACGTTCGTAGCCCTAGATTAAATCCAAATGTAGACTATTGCCCATTTGTGGCGCTAAGAAAGATCGAAAGAGTGTAAATCTTGAAGCCAAACTTGTCGTCTACTATAAGATTGGAAAGAGTCTTATTTCTGAGCTTCAGGCTTCAGCTGGGTAAACCGCAAGGCGAAACGCTCATAGATGCAAATATACCATGGAAGAATGGTTTCCATGGAATGAACAAAACAGATTTGGGAAGAATTAAGCTTTTTTTGTATTGTATTTTGTAAGGGTTTCATTCAGCCCTGGAGATCTGGGGAGACACCTCGGTGTCATATGATGGGTGGACAATCCAGCGAGGAAAGACGTCACCTCGTTCTCGAAAAGAAATTTTGCAAGGGGGAATCTTAAATGAAACAAGGAAATGGTCGTCTAATGGAGGCTTTTTATGAGCTGAGACGCTGGATGAAGGTCTAGTAGGCAGTTAGCAATGAAACTTGAATGAAAGGAAAGTGAGGATTTTACCGGGAAGAACTTTCGGAAGCCCTTCATGTCCAGCTGGCTCAATGCCGTCACAAATTCTTCGACGACATCCGGGTTCATGCCCATACCTGGCAGTTCCTGGTTGCGTAGGTAGTTTATGTACTCCATGCCCGTCTTCTGGTAGATGATACGTTGGAGACCACCCGCCTCGGCAAGAACCAGTTTTGCCTGTGCGTCTTTGGGATTAAAAGACGGAGTTTGAGGAAGTGCCCAGCAAGGGGGCGAGAATCGGGTGATCATATAGCCGCCGAACCCAGGCAATGCAGTCTGGGTGATTGGTGCGCCATCAGTGGCACTTGGAGTGAGGTCGGGGCCTCCCCAAAAGCTACCCATCTTAGACAAAACCAAAAATGCCATTTTGGCAGTGGTGAAATCCTCAATGTCCTTGGCGAAAAGCTCAATTGTGGTGATCAGGGTCTCGAAGATTGGTTGGTTTCCTATTTGAGTATTAGTGAGAATTTATAGAGAAAAAGTAAAGAAGAAGGAACCTACGCTCACTGATGATCACGGCCCCCAGATCATTGTTCAAGACCGCAAGGAGGAAGTTAAGATACTCGCGCTTAAGTTCCGCAAGTTGGATCTCATCATCAGTTCCGGTAGTAGGATCGGCAAGTCCAGAGAACACACGCTGCAAGAATGGGGTCAAGAGGGTGTCAAGGATGTTGAAAACTTCGCCCTTGAATCCAAAGATTACCTGATCCAAAAGACGAAGGAAAAGGGCCATCTCATCGCGTGTCGAGGTCTGTGTCACTAGGCCATCAATCCACCGGGGCAATTGAGGCAAGATGCGAGCTCCCACGACGCCAATAAGTCGTGAAAATGTAAACCGAGCAGCCGTACGGACATTGAACGAGAAATTGAGAGACTCGAGGGCGACAAGGGTGGCTTCTGCCACTTGGCAGAAGACTTCGGAGACTTCAGGGGCGGGCATGTTGGCAGGGGTGGTGGTGCCAGGAACCCAGTCTGAAGAGCCACGGGCAAGAGTGCCGAGGGCCATTATGTCATGATGTATTTGGAGCATGGCGCGCTCATCGTTGGCCTTTGCTGCCGCGATGTTTCGTTCCATGTCCGCAAAGATTGGGCTCACTACGGACTGAACGTAAAGAACCTGTTTGTCAATAGGAACTCCCTGAGTGGAACATATGATGCTAACGGCCTCGAAAAGGTACAGCTGGCTACTGAACACGGCATCTGAAGAACTCTCATGATCGTCCTCATCGGCATCACTGCCCTCTGAAGGCAGCTCAGCCTCAATGACGAGCAAATCACTAATAGCTTCGACGACATTTTGGGCAACATTCCCAATGAGCGACCGAAGCTGTTTCACTAAACGCTGGAAAAGATACCAAGAACGAGTCTTCACTTTGCGGACTGGGTGATGAGCCAGTTGGAGGAAGCTCTCGAGAACACCCGGGATGAGATGCGGGTGGTGGTTGAAGAAAGAGCTGTAGCGGACACAAATTTCCATATACTGCAGCTGGGTGGCGGGGTGAGTGAACGATCGAATATCTGTGTTGATTGTTAATTTTTCGGGAATTCAGATAAATTGAATTTCGTAATTGGGTGACGTACCTGACTCGACCATGCGCAGCATCATCTCAATAAGACGAGCGGCAGCAGGGCCAGTGGGGGCACCTTTAAGGTAGATACCTCCACCTTTGACGGCCAAGTCACCGAATAGGTACATTTCGTGCAGAGCTAGATCCAGGTCACGCCAATTGATCCGTCCCTGGGAGGCGCGCAAGCCCTCGAATGTTGTGCCAACCACCTCAGAGATAGCATCAATGTAGAGCTGTTCGTCAGCAGCAGCGATAGTCTGTTGCAACCCACCAAGTCTCTTGCGCAGATCCTGGAACTCAGCCTCGTCTGTCCGCGAGTCCTCGTCATTCCAATCCGAAGTGTCATCATATCGCATCTTGGAAATGATAGCCTTGAGCATAGGAAGAAGGATGACCTTGTTTTGTCCAACTGTGGCTGGATTCGCCGTGGCAATCTTCCGAATGTAAATGAGAATATCATTGACGCAAGGAATAATCGTAGAGCAGACTTCATCGTATTCATCTGAGAAGAACCGCAGCACATGAGGAAGGAAGACCTGCAAGAGCTCATTCGCCTTGTCCTTCACTGGGCCGTCTTCGTTCTCCAACACCCGCACAATATCCATCACGGTGATGTTGACAAGCTTTGCCACGGTCTCTGCAAGGTCAGTGTCGTACTTGGGGGTCGATCGGCTGGCATGTAGGGGCGGGCTGTTCGACAGCTGCGTCACGATGGTGTTCAGGTTAAGGAAAATGATCATCTCGATCTTGTCCGTTGGCTTCATCTTTTTGGCAATAATTTCGGTAAAGACATCGACAGCTGCGTCTCGCACCCGTTGTTCGCCCTCCCGCAGGTCCTGTTTCTCAGCCCGCCCAAGCTGTTGGAACAGCAAGTCCAACATGGTCTGGTTAACAACAAGATTAATATCAATCCAGCTGACCCAACTACCAACTGCCTTTAGGGACAGTTCCACAATCACATCATCGCCATCCATCCACCCAGACAGAATTTCCTGCCAGGAGCTGGCAATCTTCTGCACATCCCGGTCCCGAATAAGATCCTTGAGAGCATTTGCTTTGTCCTGTTCTCCACGAGATCTGGAGACCAGAACGTCGCCAATCTCATCGTGGATGGAATTCACCACACGCAGGTAAAAGACAATTCCCAGAGGGTTATCGCGGCTGGTACTGGTGGAGGTTTTGTAAGTCAAGCCTAGGAGATCATCGAAGCAAGTCTCCCATCCATTAGCGTAGAGAGCGGAGAAGAGGAAGGTGATTGTTTGGGCGATTTTGTTCTGGATGTAGGGAGCATCAGGCAAGGCTGAGCCATCAGGGCCGTAGACCTGGCGGAGGTAGGAAAGCAATCCATCCTTCACTATGACAAGAGACGCCAAATCAATCAAGCCAGCCTGAGCGGCACTGTTGACTATCTCTAGACTAACATGACGCACAACCTCTGGGCATTGAGGGCTTTTGGTGAAGAGGGACAGGCAAACCTGCCAACCGGAGGGGTCTGAGCGGAGTTGGTTTAAGTAGTCGTAGGCTTGCGATTTGAGAGTCGATTCAGATAGAGGATTCCATGCAATCTCGATGGCATTTGCTACCTATATATATGCAACAAACATGTCAGTCAATGATGCGGGGGTCAAGCCCCGGAGACGAGGGGTTGGTGATGCGGTGGGGGCTGAGGGGTCATGAGGTTTTTTTTGAAAAAATCATTTTTTGTGAAGGAAGTGAGATATTAGGGGATTAAACCCACCTGTTCTTCCATCTTCGACTAGCCAAGCTCCCTTTCAGAGTGTTTTGAAGGGGAGAGGTTAGACGAAATGGGTGACGGAGTGTGTGTTGGGTTCAAATTTGTCACCATAAATATTCCGGCAGTTTAGGCACTCGCACAGACCGACTTAGTCACCGCTCAGGGCTATTTACATCAAGCTTTCATTATTTACTCCGTACTTTGAGATGAGTCACTATGAGGCTCCATATCTCCAATACATAACTACTTATTGATAACTATTACTCAGCCCACTCAGCTCAGGACTGTACGTGACACAGTAAGCTGTCTCCGAGTGCCTTTTCTCGTCTCATTTGGGCCTTCATTTTAACTTTTCTGGGTTGTTACTAACATTAACAACACCCGGGCAGTGTTTACCTACAGCATCTTGAACTGGCATTAAATAAAGAAGAAGAGAGGCTGAGATAATAGAAGTTGATATTTACGATATAAAAGACTAATTTAAGGTTTAGTGCATCCAATGAGGGCAAGGGCCCTGACAGCTCGCAGTAAGCAAATACAGTGAAGTGGAGGGTGATGAAAGGATCTAAAATGGAACTGGAATTCCTTCTAGCTCTTCTGGAACTTCCATTTCTAGTGATTTGTCTTATGAAAAGTATGATTTGTGTCTTTTGAAACACCAACGTGCGGGGTATCATAACAGCGTTGACTGTTGCCGCTCATAGGGCGAACAAAATAATCTACCGGATTTTCTGGAGGCCATGCTCTTGAGCATTTATAAAGTATCACCAAGGAGGGATTAATGCTTATGTTCTTTTTCTTTGGGCTCCTGGCTTGCTCCATATTCAGGCGTAATGAATTCCTCGGAGAAGGTAAGTTCCTGCTGCTTTGTAGGAACAAAGCGCACACGTACTCGCTTCACACCACGAACACCAGAACCAATATTCTTGCGGACAGCCTCCTCCACAGCTCGAGAGCGAGTGATTGCCCATTCCCCGGGCACAGCAAGCTCAATTTCCATCAAGTAGTTTTGTCCTGACTTCAGGCCTTGGATATCACGAATGATCACCTGCTCTCCATCTTCGTGAGCCTTCAAAGCTTCGGAGGCGAAATTGTGCACGGAGGTCTTGATCTCATCGTCCACTGTCGTATCTGCCAGCTCCAAGAGGGATGTCATAGTGTTGCCCCAGCCGGCCTTGATGACCATCAGAGAAATCAAAAGGCCACCAACCGGATCCAGCCAGGAAGCGTCTTGGAAGAGATAGCTTCCACCAATTGTAAACAGTGCCACAATACTTGTAAGGGAATCAATTCGGTGGTGGATAGCGTTGGACGCGAGGACGGGTGATTTACGCTCTTCGGCAACCTTCATGGCTTTTGGGTGGAGTTTATTAGCTGTTATATTCGCGGAGGTTGGTCGAAACCATGTATAGATCACTCACTGGCATGGTAGAGCCATTCCTTGGTAATTATGGAGGCTCCGGCCAACCAGGCTGCATGGATGCTAGGGCCTGTCACGTCAATTCCATGGCTATGTGAATGCCCGTGACCTAGAAGTCCCGAGTGGGCTAGTGTTTCAGCTAATTCGGGGTAGCAATGAGACAGCAAGACCTGTCCTGCATTGAGTCCCATGAACACGCCACCGCAAAGCAACAAGCTGCTCACTCCGAGAGCACCGATGCTCTCCACCTTTCCATATCCGTTTGGAAACCGTTCACTCGGAGGCTTGAGAGATAATGCAACGGTGCCGAGGGTTAAGAAGTCAGACACGAGATCCATAAGGGCATGGTAGGCATCGGCGATGAGAGCTTGAGAGTGGAAAACATATCCGCCGATAAACTTTGTGATAGCCATGGTGAGATTGGCAAGTAGGCCAATTCGAGTAATCCGAACCCCAGCGTCATTCTTGTTAGAAGATGTCAAGTAAACGTTGTCGTGATGGTGGTGGTGGTGGCCGTGGCCATGGCTATGGCCACTATGGCTCCTAGTTTGCGCCATGGATAATGTTGGTATCACAGCTGAAACTCGTCTTAGGGATTGGACTCGCACATATGAGTGTGAACAGGAGGTGGATTCAAAGGGAAGAAACGTAAGCACGCGCCGTTGAGCGGATCCTCGGATATTAGAGATCCTGGAAAGTGAGTGGAGGGAGGGACGAAGCCTGCAACGCAGGGGCTGCGTCAGCGGCATAACGGATCGCGTTTAGCTCGAGGCAAGCTCGGACAAAGGTTAAGTGGACAGAGTGTTCATTTCACGTATATCCTAAAACCTTGAGTCCGGATTGAAATAAATTGGGGATCTTGAAGAGGGGGAGAAAATTGGGATTCATGATTCAAGTTGACCCGATCATGTAATCCGGCAGATGGGGATTCCAGATGCGCTGATGCCGCAACTTTGATTACTATTCTCCATATTTCTTCTTTCTTATTGCTCCGATCAGAGACACTTAGATCTACAGGGATAAATTCTTAAACGTTTGCAGGCCTATCATTGGCTGGCTAAATATCATTCAGAAACCCTTCAGGACTTTTGAATCCCGCGAAATTGCCGTATATCGCCGATACACCTAACTGCACTGGAAGCTCTCTCTCGATTCTAACCTCAATGATATTTTACTCAAGATGAGACCTACGATTCGCATTCCATTTACAAGCCCGTTTCCACCGGCTATAATAGCCCCCAAATCAGCTCAGTCGGCGGAAGGGGCTATCGATGCCGTTATCAACTTCCTCACAGCTCGAGCTCCTCAGAAACTAGAAGGGGCCAATCTTCACAAGACTGTCGTACTGACCGGTGCAGGGGTCTCCGTTGCATCTGGATTGTCTGACTATCGGGGTGAAGATGGAGTCTATCGGAAAAATCAGCAATACCGGCCAATATACTACCATGAATTCGCAAGCAAACATATATCCCGCCAGCGATATTGGTCGCGGAGTTTCGTTGGATGGCCAGGTTTCCAAAATGCAAAGCCCAACTCAATACACAGAGTCATCAAGGCCCTACATGACAAGGGTTATATCAGCTCTATAGTGACACAAAATGTCGATTCTTTTCACTCCAATCTCGAAATCCCCGTTGTCGAACTCCATGGATACCTTCGAGAAGTTGTCTGTATCCATTGTCGCAAGCATATTTTGCGTGATTGGTTTCAGTCCCAGCTGAAAGAATTGAATCCAGATTGGGCCCGTTTCCTAAAGCGCATGATCGAAGCCGGTGCACTAGATGCGAGAAATACAGACAAGCAGATTCAACTGGGACTCAAATTGAATCCCGATGGTGACGTTGACCTTCCGGGGGCACCATATGGCACATTTCGTTATCCGGCCTGTCCGACATGCTTGAATAGCCCTCCTACATTGAAAGATGGAACGACAGCCCATGTAGAGGTGGACGACGATGGCGCATGGATGCCAACTTCCAACGCTGGTATCTTGAAGCCAGCAGTAATCATGTTCGGCGAGAGTATCGATCCACTCACTAAACAGAGGGCAGAAGAAGCAATTGACGGTGCTGGGCGTTTGCTGATTCTGGGTAGTAGTCTCGCGACCCTATCAGCGTGGCGCCTAGTGGAACGTGCACATCAGCGAGGCATGGCTATCGGGGTGATTAATGTTGGTGGTATAAGAAACGAGAAAACTATCTTTGGATCGAAAGATGAAACATCTCATGTTCGCATAAATCAGCCTCTAGAACAGATTCTCCCGACCGTATGCGACAGGCTCCAATGACACCATGATAATTGGAAGAAAAGTCATATATGAATATATTGGAATTTGTGTGAATTGAAGTTTAAGCAATAATTTTTAAGAATAATAATAACAAAGAATTCAACTTCTGAGATATCCAGAATCATACAAGCGCGAGTACATAAGCCGATGTAGACTTCTCCACTTACAGGCGCGGGGCTGCGTTCAAGCACCATGGAGCGCGCCAGGGATTCTGCAGCTACTTCTTTACCTCTCGTCGCCCCGGAATCTTTTCTCTTCTCCAACCATTTCAAACCCGCAAGAACGGTTTCTTCCAAACATTCGCGCACCATGGATAAGTCACAGCAACCCAGCTCTTTCCAGCAGCTGGAGAAGGTGAGTCTACCCCCGCTATTTCCTATTCTTACGGTCTGCTAACTACTTTATTTACAGCTCGGTGAAGGCACCTATGCCACAGTAGGTACCCCTTACGAGGTCTAGGACGTGTAAAATACCTCCCCTTTCCCCCACCTTTTGCTGACAGAATATAATTACAGGTCTTCAAAGGACGCAATCGCCAGACGGGCGAAATGGTCGCCTTGAAGGAAATCCACCTCGACTCCGAAGAGGGCACCCCTTCGACCGCTATCCGCGAGATTTCCTTGATGAAGGAGCTTAAGCATGAAAACATTGTGTCCCTCTACGACGTTATCCACACTGAGAATAAGCTCATGCTGGTTTTCGAGTTCATGGACCGCGACTTGAAGAGATACATGGACACCCGGGGAGATCGCGGTCAGCTTGACCCAGTCACCATTAAGTCATTCATGCACCAGCTGCTCAAGGGCGTCGCCTTTTGCCATGAAAACCGCGTGCTTCACCGTGACCTGAAGCCCCAGAACCTTTTGATCAACAAGAAAGGGCAGCTGAAGCTCGGTGATTTCGGACTGGCGCGTGCTTTCGGCATCCCTGTCAATACTTTTTCCAACGAGGTTGTCACGCTTTGGTACCGTGCTCCCGACGTCCTCCTGGGCAGCCGCACCTACAACACCAGCATCGATATCTGGTCTGCTGGGTGCATTATGGCTGAGATGTACACCGGCCGTCCGTTGTTCCCCGGCACAACCAACGAGGACCAGCTGGTTAAGATCTTCCGGTTGATGGGAACCCCATCTGAGCGATCATGGCCTGGAATCTCCCAGCTCCCTGAGTACAAGCCCACCTTCCACGTCTATGCCACCCAGGATCTGGGCCTGATTATCCCCCAAATTGACCCCCTTGGTCTGGACATCTTGAACCGCATGCTGCAACTCCGTCCAGAGATGCGTATCAGTGCTGTTGACGCTCTGCAGCATCCTTGGTTCCGCGATATGCCCCAGATTAATGCTCAGCTGCAGCAGCAGAAACAGCAGCAGCAGATGGCCGGTGCTTATGGAGGCATGGTTCCTCCCCAGCAATCTTACTAATTGCATTACATGACGTATAACGAGCTCGATTCAAATGATCGAAAATGGGAGGATTCGGCGTTTAACTGTTATGTTTCATTTTATCATACTTTCGAACTCTCACAGGGAAGAGCATCTTGAGAAGCACTTCGCGGGACTAAGATCGGGATGCCTCCCTGGCGATGAGGCAAAGCTCTTTTTGAGTTAAAAACACTAATTCGTGCCTAGGGCTCTGGAATACTTTGTGACTTTGATCGTTTCTCATAATGTTTCCCATCCCATATTGACGATGTATGTAAACCTTGGAAGCTTAGAGGTGGTCTATACATATTCATGTAGACGTCCATTTGAACCACCTAAGTACATATAGATGTACCTGTGGACTTAGGTAGATAGAATACTGGGAGATCAAAATATTGCAAGCTCAACGCAAGACCCCAAACCCCATTATGTATACAGTTCCTTCATATGAATAAAATTATGAGTTGAAGTCCTCCTTGGAAAGTAGTGACAAGCAGGTCTTGTTGCAAGGGCATATAATCGAAGCAGGAACAACGCAAAATTACCTGAAATAAACGTGTGGAGCGCGAGTTGGATGCGCAAGCTTAGAATACCATTATATAAATCCTAAATTCGGAGGAAATTCTGTGTATGAGGCGTCCACTGGATTCGCTCCAGGGTCTGTTAGGTTAGTATCAGCTTCAGGCTCTCACTAAGGAAGACAGGCTTGGGATCAAGCGAGAGCACTTGCCTAGCGATAGATTTTTTTAAATTTTAAATTTATTCTATAGACGAATAAATCGTCACTCAGATTCTTAATATTTAATTTCAGACTCTGTTTGTTTTTGAAGGATTATGGCCGCTGGTCGACAGGGATAAAGGACATCCATGGATGAGACGTATCAAGCACGACGGGTGTGATATCAGGGAGTAGGGACAATATTATTTATACATAGACTCAGTGAACATTAACCCCGAGCGCATTACTCGGGTACACGAGTAGCATGGAGACAAGTCAATATAGGATTGTTTCCACCTAGAGGTCTGGGATTTCTGTTCCACCATGTATTGTATACTTGAAGAAATATCTGACAGACCAACAACCCCGTATTTGACTTCAACGGAAATTCCAATTCCGGGTCTTTCCTGCAATATATGTTCAAAGAAACCCACGCCTTTACCGAAACGACTATCTCGAAACTCAAGAAGTTCGGTAACCGAATGGTCTAAGGAATGCGACGATAGAATGTCACCTTTGATCTCCTTGAAGCTTTGCTTAAGGGATTTGGTAGATTGATCCTGAGTTGGCTATTTAAGAGCTTCAACTTCGAACTAGGTTGGTGGCTTCACGGCCTTGTTTTAAGTATATCTTTGATTGCCGCAGTGACCTCCCAGCACACTATAAACGCAGTATTCTCTATTTGGAGGATTACCGTGGCAATTCTAAAGCAATCAAGGAGCGAACCATTCAGGGGTTGGGCATCTTACATGATACCACCATATTCCGTGCTGAAAATACGCTCAAATTAGGCGGCGAGGCATCCGAGTCAATTTCAGTAGAGAGATGTGTGAAAATTGCCTCATTTGGTCTTCAATGTTCAGGCAATGATCTGCTTCTTCTCGAAGGTATCAAAGTTAAAGAGTGCACTTGATTTTTCCAACTTTATATCAGTTTATCTTTACCGTTATCAAAACAGTGGCATCGAGCACCCTATCTGGTTGAGTGGTAGTGTTGATATTGATTTTTGACGACATCTCTCTGCAAATTCTGAATTGTTAAGCTCAGGGTTGTTGCATATTGCGATAAGGCGAGCAAAGTAGCGTGGCCTAAGTTATATTCAGAGACTTTTAGGTCCCTCCGCGCTAGACATCCAGATCTTCATGTCAGGGTATGTTCCGTTGTTGGATGAGAATGAGGCAAACGACTCCTCAAGAGAATCTCAAACCAGTCAATTGTAGAGACAACGAGCTCGCTCTTGGACTTGATGTATTAAACTATATCGAGTGTAAACATAACAAACATATAAGCAAACAGAGCAAACACAACGTAATTTGTCGCGTCTCCACAATCCTCGAGCACATCCAAACACCAAAAGTAACATCAAAATCATATATCTAATCAACTCGCGATGTCTGAACCTGGTCTAGGCCTCAGGGCCACACGTCTTAATCAAGTTTTTGGTCAGGCACTCGCTCGAACTCTGCGCGCCAATTCATACAGCAACTTTGCGGGCTGTTTCCCTACACCAGCAAAATACGTACCCGCTAGTCTGGAGAGTGTGTGGAGACAACTCAACGCGAAATTGGAGGAGAGTGCCTCGGCTGAATTTGACGAGATTATTACCGAGAGGGATGCAGTTGGGTATTTGAACGAGCTGGACCGATTGTGTAGCGAAGCTAAGGCCAGGAAAGAACTCGAGGAAGGAAACGGAAAGGAGCCTGGAGACGCGTACGTTTTCTTTTGTTTTGAGGTTTTTTAGGCCCTGGGCTCATGTTGACTCTTACTAGGCCACATACACTAGGTGCGGACGAACTTTTTAACGCGTATCTTACTCCTTATCTTCAGGAAGCGCAGTCAACTCTAAATAAAAAGCTTGAATCTACGCAAGCTGAAAATACAGAGCTGGCTCAAATTGTCCAAGCGCAGAGGCTGGAGATCGAAAAGATATTATCTCACCTTGAATCGATTCTTGCGGATGTTGAGGGGGCTGCTACGGCAGCGACTAAGTTCAGTGCAAAGAGCCACCTCCGCCAGGATGCTATGGAGATGAATGACGAAGTCAAATAAAGACGAAGACAAGAAAACCGGAAGGGCGTCTAAGGGTTGTCATAGGAGTTTATTTCATTTCTGGGCGATCACTTAAGAGATCAGGACACTCATATCCATGCCGTCGACTGAGCCATCCTCCACCATGTCCTGGGCCACGTTAATCAACGTTTCCAAAGCTGTGGCCTTGAACCGGTCCAGCTTTGTTTTCTCACCCTCTATGGCTGCAGCAATCGCCTCCTTACACGAGCCATCTCGCTCTTCCTCGGCAGCGCCATCTCGGCGAGCTAGGGCAGCCGCTCCTCGATAATAAGTTTGGGCATTTTTCAACAGCATGGCGCTATTTTGCTGGGCAATGGAGTAGTTCCAGGGGGCCATACCAAGCCGCCAGCGTTGCATCTCTGCATCTCCTCGGGCGAGATGAATCTTGGGCAAATTTTCGGCACTCGGCAGCTTGGATGCTGCGGCAAAGGCAGCCAACGCAGTCGAAAGGGATTGCCAGCGCACGGACAGCGCGGCATTGAAGGCTTCCTGGCTCTCGGATGGGGGCAGATCTGAAAGTGCCCCACTTAGCGATGTCAAAGCTTCTGCCTTACTGCACAGGCCCTCGGGGTCAAGAGATACATCCAGGTCAGGTCCAAAAGCCTGGCTAATCTCCTGCTGGTAAGTTTCCATATCAGTGTGTCCGCCTCGGTATAGCACGTCGGACAGCGCAGCAATAAATTTGCCTCGTGCCAATGCCGCCTCGTACTGTCTATCAGATCCCTCCACGTAGGCTGGGAGTCGAGTTTGGACAAGCTCTGAGGAGTACTGCTGCACCCAACCAACACCTCCACCACCACCGGGGTTCGATGTCAATAGATTGCACAAGGTAGTCATAGTATCCAACTGCGCAATGGCAGTATCCACCAGCGTATTCTTCGTAACAGGCTCCACAATAGCAGCCCATTGCTCTTGTGTTTCATCCGAGGCTCCTTTCTCCGGCTCCGATTGTTCAATGGGCTGAGGTTGAATCTCTGGATCAGCCGATTCTATCTGCTCAATTTGCTCCTGCATTTCTGTGTACTTCATCTCTTGTATCATCAGACACCGCTGAAACAACTCCACTGCCTCCTGCAGGTATGTACAGGCCTGCATTAGCTGTTCCTCGTCTGGGTGCTTTGTTCCAGACAGGGCTTCGGCCAAGCTGTTTAAAACCTGTCCACTATTGAAGAGCACATTACCATTGTCCTGGTCCAGTTTCAGCGCGAGCCGGTGTGACTCCAGCGCAGTTCGCAAGACATCAGCCTGTGGTGCTGGAAGCTGGGCCGCCAGCTTCGGGTGCTGAGTTATTTCATATTGCACTCGGGCTCTGTGTACAGTCAGCATATATCCATGTAGTCACTATCTATCAATGAAGTCGACAAGAGACTGTTGTCGTAAAAATGAAACAAGTGAATCAACAAAGAAGTCAGACACACTTGTTGTAGGCCAAGTCAAAGGCTCCTGGGTGTTTCTGTAGTCCCTCATCATAATTCGTAACGGCGCGCATGAAGAAGCGCATGGATTTAATGGCGTCACCAGCGCGCCATTTCTCGCCCGCTTCTTCAAACTCGACACCGGCTAAATCAAAGGTTAATCAGTGGATCTCAATGGGGATATGACACAATGCCCACCAGCAAGGAAGTCATCGGCTGTGACGGGTGCCAGTTGCTATTGTTTATTAGTACTGCATAGTCGGAGTGTAGAGCAGGGGATACTTACCTGCTTAGTCTTCTTCTTGGGCTTATCCCTCAGAAAAGACTTGGGCTTAGGCATGATGTAGTTGGTGGAGAAACAAGGTGTTGAGTGGTTCAAGTGGATGAGCTTTGGAGTTTTCTGATGCCAAGCCTTTGTGTACATCTTACTTCACCTGAAACCAGAACCAGTGAAGAATACCATACGACATGTAACAAAGTACTCCGTACTGGAAATCGATATAAATCAACATTTACGATTGGTTCAAACTAGGATGTTAGACCTAGAACTAAATACCCCGGTTGGGAATTATTTATACTACTCCGTACTTAGTACAAAATCTCCATCCTGGCTGATTGATCCGCACGTGGCGAAGTCCCACTAAGAAATAAAGTCAAATGGGACTTTCTTTCAGGGCAGAGGCGAAGTTCTTATTTTTAGTTGGAAGTAGTTGTAGATTCTGATACTTACGTAGGTGTGTAGGTGTTGGCTGCTATCCCGCCTCCCCCTTTCTTTCTCTCTACTCCGTACCTCACTCGTACAACCACTCAGTGAATTCCTCTCCCTTTCTTATACCCCACTGTTCCGGCCCACCTCAGCCGTTTTGCGCCTCCTGAGTCGTCTGATGTCCATCGACGGCTGCATACTAGTTGTTTCACTACCGCCCCGACATTCATTCTTTCTTCTTCTCAACGTCTTTGCAAGCGGAACCCTCCACTCAGCTATCGATTCCTGTATGTTCCCCCTAGATCCAGGACTGGTAAAATGGAGGAAAATCCCTGCTGATCGCCCTTTTCCACATGCAGAAAAACCCGAATCAGTCTTATTCCACATACGTCGTAAAGACTTGAAAAGCTCTCCTTTCCCTCTAAAGTCCCTAGCAGAAATGGCTCGTCACACTTCTCTCGACTCTGAACGACCCATCATGACTTCGGTACGTTTGACGACTCACGCACGACTCACGAAACCCCTGCTTTCGTCTTACTTACCTTGTCGTCTTCTCGCCTTCTCATCTACCTACAACTCAGGAATGTAAAATTTGATCCTAACCTTTTCTCCTTCATCAGAACCGAGCCTCGAAGCGATTTTCCACCATCAGTGGTAGCCCATCGGTTGCTACATCTGATCTTTCCAACCCAGATCCCAGAATCGCCGATATTGGCCACCTCCGTGATGGCATTGAGCGCCTAGAGAACAAGCCCCTCCAGGCACAACGCTTTGAGCCCACTGAGGAGAAGTCAGACACCCTGAACAAGCTGGCCCTCGGTGCTAAAGTGGAACGTGCTTTGGGCCGACGAATGACCAGCCAGGATGCTGTTATGCGCAAGCCGCTGGATGAAAAGGCAGCCATCAGTGCCTCTTCTTAAACCCGCCTTCTGTTCCTCTTTCTCTCTCGACTCTACTCGCCTTTTCCAAGTGGTCTCGTGGCTGTGTGTCTTTTTAATTGTGTCTATTCTTTGATCCTCCACGAGCTCTTGAGCTTTAAGATCACTTTTATTTGTATCTATCACCCGTTTCTCATGCCTGATCATACCCCACCTTGATATTTGAAAATTTACTAGCGTTATACTTGGTCTGATGATATTCGCATGATTCCTCTATATAGTAACTTCGGTAGTTTTTGACATCTCCATATCTTCCTATCTTCATATCTTCATATCTTCAAATTCAATTCCAATCCTGAGACAGTTCATTGGAAGTCCACCGGATGGTATCTAGGTAACTCCATTCAATCTGCCTGACTTTATATACTTCCCCAGATTCCCACATAAGTTGAGGAACTGAATACGTGAGAATCAAGAAAGAAACCAATTATTTAGAACACCATTCCAAGGATCATCCTTCTCATCCTCAGCCTCTTCAATCCTTCATTACAATCATCTCTTTCCCTTTCCAAAGAATCCTGATCTTCCCATCCTCTGAACTCATTCAATACTCACCTCTTTTCCTCTGGGCATTTCTGCCGGGCGGTGAGTCTACACGCGAAAGGGCCCGCACGGAGCGACTTCCTCCAAGTCGCTTTTTCTTCAAGACGACTTTCATCTCGTCTTTCCTCCATCCTACACCTCCCCCCACCTTTCTCTTCTTCAAATCTTCGCCATCTGGTTTTTCAATCATCTCTCAATTTTACCTTCATCGACCTTTGACTGCAGAACTTTCTTCAATTATCTCTCAACTATACTTGGACACTCTCCGCATATTCCAGAGCCAGCAATCCTGCTTCTCTGATTATTGATTCTGCCCCTCTTTCTATCGCCTTCATTTGCTCGTATAGGCGCTTAGCTCTTTTGGCATTTGTGAGTCCCACAATCAATTGAACTCAAGTCGTGGCGAAAACACATCACTGACCAAACTCACAATGAAGCAAGCGGCAATATACACGCCTCCATAAAACTCGTTACAACGTAATTCGTTGTGACCTCGTCTTCTTCATCTACAACCCTTTCGTCCATCACCGTACCTACCCTCAGTCGCCCACTTTGATCCCGTAACATACCGGATCATCAACAAAAACCCGTTAAATCTTCAAATTTTTATCCCAGTTTCTTTTTCAATCAGAAAGATGGCCGAGCCTCAGGTTGCTACTAACGGCACCCATGCTGCCCACCAGGGATTCCCCGAATACCCTGCTGCCACCCCTCTGAACACCGTTTCCACCTTCCAACCTGCTCAGTCGTCTACCCCTACCTCCGCAACTGGTACTGAGCAGCAGAATGAGATTACTAAGGATGAAGTTGGCTGGTTCTTCGTTGAGCAGTACTACACTACCATGAGCCGAAACCCTGATAAACTGCACTTGTTCTACTCCAAGCGCTCGCAGCTTATCTTCGGTACCGAGGCTGAAACTATTCCTGTTGCCATTGGCACCAAAGTAGGCACTAGCAATCGGAAATTTCTCCATTGATTCCCATTACTAACGTTTTCTCCGCTTTCCAGGCCATCAATGAGAAGATCAAGAATCTTGATTTCCAGGATTGCAAGGTACGCGTGCAGAACGTGGATTCCCAGGAATCCTTTGAGAACATCCTTGTTGCGGTCATCGGCGAGATCTCCAACAAATCGGAGCCCTCTCGCAAGTTCTCCCAGACGTTCGTTCTGGCCGAGCAGCCCAACGGCTACTATGTGCTGAATGACATCTTCCGCTACCTTGTGGAGGAGGAGGAAGAGACTGTTGAGGAGGCTACCTTTGAGGCCGTTCCTGAGAGTGCTCCTGTCGTTGAGTCGACTCCTGTCGCTGAGGTCGAGGTGAAGGGTGACGAGATTGCCACCCCCGAGGCTGAGGTGAAGGCTGAGGAGGTCAACGACGTGGACCAGCAGCCCGAGGAAGCCGCCCCCTGACTAACGGCACCCCCGAGACTCCCGCCCCCGTCCCTGTTGTTGAGTCGGAGCCCGAAGCTGTCGTTGCTGAGAAGGCTGTGACCAAGGACATCGAGACTCCCGGGAAGGCTGCTCCGGTTGAGAAGCCTGCTTCTCCTACCCCTGCCGTCCCCCTCAGCTGGGCCAGCATTGCCTCGTCCAAGGCAGCTGCTGCAGCTGCTGCGGCCGCCGCTCCCAAGGCCCCCGCCGTCACTGCCGCTCCTAAGGCGACCGCTGCTGCAACCCCTGCTGCAACCGTTACCCCCTCGGCCCCCGTTGTCCCCGCTACACAGCCTGTGACTACTCCTACCCCTGTGGCCGAGAAGGATACCTCCAGCGATAGTGCTGGCTGGCAAACCGCCGGTGTTGACAAGAAGACTCAGGCCCGCGCTGCTGAGGAACCTCCCGTTCTTGCTTTCATCAAGAACGTTGGCGAGAAGGTCGATGCAGCTCTGCTCAAGGCGGTCCTGAACCGTTACGGCAAGCTCAAGTACTTTGATGTCGCTCGCGGCAAGGTTTGTTCATTATTTCTCGGTTCTACATATCACGCTCTTGCATGCTAACGTATTATCTCTAGAACTGTGCTTTCGTCGAGTTTGCGGAGCCTGCAGGCTATTCTGCCGCTTTTGCGGCCAACCCTGTCCAGGTTGGAGACCAGCAGGTCATCGTTGAGGAGCGTCGCGCTCGTGGTTCCTACGGTACCGGCTACACTGGCCGTGGAGGTCCTCGTGGCCGCAACGACCGTCCCGGTAGCCAGGGTCGTGGAGGCTTCCAGCGTGGTGAGGGCCGTGGAGCCTTTAACCCTCGTGGTCGAGGCGGCAATGCCAACGGCAATGTAGCTTCGAAGGGTCGCAACCAGCCCCAGGCTGCTTAAGTGGCCTCTTTCCAATGAACCTAATGGTTGAACATGACTTGAACTTTTTAGAATCTTTTCCATGATCTCGACGATTCTCTTCGACTCATGACATGACGTGACTTTTCCTTTCCGGTCACAGTGCATTTTAGCGGTTGGGCTTGGTGGGCTGGAAAAGTTGTGGTCTCTTTCCCTGCCCTAGGGCTTTTTATTATTTTCTTGTCCCTTCTTTGGTTTCCCACTGGCGTGTAGTGCTGTTAAGCGCACGCACGATCTTTGGTGATCTCCAGTCTTTTTCCTTCTTATTTATTTTTTTATCCTCTATTTTGGTGCTACGTTGTTTGAGTCTTGATCCCAGGTTTAAGACCCATACATCTTATCCACCTCACTTAGCATAGCAAGCTTCCAGGGTCTGATTCTCGACATCATTTGTTATCCTTCTATTTCTTTTTCTTTTCTTTTTATCTCTAGGTTGGTCTGGTGTAAGCTTATGGTTGATTTGTAAATGAAAAGTTGGGAGGATGGTCCTTAGCATATGCAATTTTACAATGTAGTATAACAGTACAAAGCCCTTGGTTGATATTTTTCCTATGAATCTAGAATGTACTATTTACTGAACATAACTAGGTATGTACTCCGTAGTGTCAACATAAGCTGAGATGGATATGAATATGAAGTGGAAGGTTCTAGATGTTGTAATGGTGCCTGAGGCATCAACAAAGAAAGCTCTCCCCAGTTCCTAAAGACAGCTATATTTGTGAAAAGTGGGCTTCAGCAAATAAAACTGATTTTTGAGATATAATTGAATAGAGTCCCCATAATCCTATAGAAATTAAAGAATTGAGGGGCAAAAATAAGGGAGTTGCCCGACCGACCAGCGGTGGAAGTTGCTGGATCAGCGTAGAAACCCACTGGAAATTTAGAAAAATTTAGAAACACAAAAACCTCCCAGAATCTTCTTCCTTCCTCATCGCTGCTTTCTTCCTGGCAGACTTTCTATAAAATCCTCTCCCAGTTTTCCGTTTACCAGATCTCTTCTCTTCTTTCTCACTTAGCCATTCCTGTACGTTGACACTACCTAATCTTACCCTCTTTCCCTCTTTCCTACACTCCCAACCTCTTCTCTTCATCCATCCATCCCCCCATCCACCACTCTGAAAGCCTTTCAAAGGAAACCCCCCATTTCATCATTTCCTAACTCTCACTTAGAATTCACAACCGCCATCATGCCAGAGACCTTCGAGTTCCAGGCTGAGATCTCTCAGTTGCTCTCTCTGATCATCAACACTGTTTACTCTAACAAGGAGATCTTCTTGCGTGAGCTTGTCTCCAACGCCTCCGATGCTCTTGACAAGATCCGTTATGAGTCCCTCTCAGACCCTTCCAAGCTTGATTCTTGCAAGGATCTGCGTATCGACATCATCCCCGACAAGGAGAACAAGACTCTTACCATCCGTGATACCGGTATTGGTATGACCAAGGCTGTAAGTTTCAACTCTTTCATTTTCAGCTTGATTCTCAATGCTAACTTTTGATCTTCTAGGATCTCATCAACAACCTTGGTACAATTGCCCGCTCCGGTACCAAGCAGTTCATGGAGGCCTTGTCCGCTGGCGCTGACATCTCCATGATTGGTCAATTCGGTGTTGGTTTCTACTCCGCTTACCTCGTCGCTGACCGCGTTACCTTCATCTCCAAACACAATGATGATGAACAATACGTCTGGGAGTCCGCCGCCGGTGGTACTTTCACCCTTACCCAGGACACCGAAGGCGAGCAGCTCGGCCGCGGTTCCAAGATCATCCTCCACCTGAAGGATGAGCAGTTGGACTACCTTAACGAGGCCCGTATCAAGGAGGTCGTCCGCAAGCACTCTGAGTTCATCTCCTACCCCATCTACCTCCATGTCCTGAAGGAGACCGAGACCGAGGTCCCTGATGAGGATGCTGAGGAGACCGTCGAGGAGGGTGACGAGAAGAAGCCCAAGGTCGAGGAAGTTGACGAGGAGGAAGAGAAGAAGGAAAAGAAGACCAAGACCATCAAGGAGTCTAAGATCGAGGAGGAGGAGCTTAACAAGACTAAGCCCATCTGGACTCGCAACCCTGCCGACATCACCCAGGAGGAGTACGCCTCCTTCTACAAGTCCCTCTCCAACGACTGGGAGGACCACCTCGGTGTCAAGCACTTCTCCGTTGAGGGTCAGCTTGAGTTCCGCGCTATCCTCTACGTTCCCAAGCGCGCTCCCTTCGACCTGTTCGAGACCAAGAAGACCAAGAACAACATCAAGCTGTACGTTCGCCGTGTCTTCATCACTGATGACTGCACCGACCTCATCCCTGAGTGGCTCAGCTTCGTCAAGGGTGTTGTCGACTCTGAGGATCTTCCTCTCAACCTGTCCCGTGAGACCTTGCAACAGAACAAGATCATGAAGGTTATCAAGAAGAACATTGTCAAGAAGACCCTTGAGCTCTTCACTGAGATCTCTGAGGACCGTGAGCAGTTCGACAAGTTCTACGCTGCCTTCTCGAAGAACATCAAGCTCGGTGTTCACGAGGATGCCCAGAACCGCAACACTCTTGCCAAGCTCCTCCGTTACCAGACCACTAAGTCTGGTGATGACATTACCTCTCTCACCGACTACGTGACTCGCATGCCTGAGCACCAGAAGAACATGTACTACATCACTGGCGAGTCCATCAAGGCTGTTTCCCAGTCTCCTTTCCTTGAGTCCCTCAAGCAGAAGAACTTCGAGGTTCTCTTCCTTGTTGACCCCATCGATGAGTACGCCTTCACCCAGCTGAAGGAATTCGACGGTAAGAAGCTCGTCGACATCACCAAGGACTTCGAGCTCGAGGAGACCGACGAGGAGAAGGCCGAGCGTGAGAAGGAGGAGAAGGAATTCGAGGACCTCGCCAAGGCCCTCAAGAACATCCTCGGCGACAAGGTTGAGAAGGTTGTTGTCTCCCACAAGCTGATGGGTGCTCCCTGCGCCATCCGTACCGGCCAGTTCGGTTGGTCCGCCAACATGGAGCGTATCATGAAGGCCCAGGCTCTCCGTGACACCTCCATGAGCTCCTACATGTCCTCCAAGAAGACTTTCGAGATCTCTCCCAAGTCCTCTATCGTCAAGGAGCTTAAGAAGAAGGTCGAGGCTGACGGTGAGAACGACCGTACCGTCAAGTCCATCACCCAGCTGCTCTTCGAGACCTCTCTACTTGTCTCTGGCTTCACCATTGAGGAGCCCGCCAGCTTCGCTGAGCGCATCCACAAGCTCGTTTCTCTCGGCTTGAACATCGATGAGGAGCCCGAGACCGTTGACGAGACCGCCACTGAGGCTGCCGCTCCCGCCGAGGCCACTGCTGAGTCCGCCATGGAGGAGGTTGACTAAACGTCTCGCCCCTTTTTTTTTTTAATTACTCTTTATTCATTTGCTTAACAAACTTCTTACGGGAAACGGGAAACGGGAAACGACCCTTGATGCTTTTTTTCTAAACTTCAACTTTTTTTTTTTTAAATGGAGCTTAACTATTAACTTCCTACAATTCTTCCCAACGTAAAAGAGCACGTAGTACGAAGTACTTTCAAACGAAACAAACGTAAAGTAGCAAGTTTTAACCGTATGATTAAGATGATATGTACGGGTTAACCTCGGAGTTACCACGGGAATAGAATCAACATTCCACTGTGCAGTCCGCTTAATGTGTCTCACCCGAACTCTACCGGTTACGTAGCCCGTACTCCATTGGATTCTATATAAAGCTCCATATCCTCCTCAACCATCAATCCAATTCACCCCAATCCCATTCGATTGAACCCAATTGCCCAAAATGGTTTATACAATTGTTGTCCGTACGTAATCGAGCTTCTTACCCCCAGCCCAAACCCCCCACAATTCTAACGATCCCCTCCAACCAGACATGCGCGCAAAGGCAGATAAGGAGTCCATCTCCAAGCTGCACGCCAAGCTCCTCGAGGCATCGGCCGTTTACTCCAAAGACAAGGAGACTATCTCCTGGTTCGTCATGCAGTCTATCCACGACCCTCAGGACTTCACTATCGTCGAGCGGTACGAGCAGGAGTCTAGCCAGGCTTACCACCTCAACAACCCCTACTGGAAGACTTTCGACCCCTATGTTATTCCTCTGCTCGAGAAGGACATGGACTTGCGTCGGTTTGAGGAGCTGGTTGAGCCTTCTTCTTAATTGTGCTGGATCCCTGGAGGTTCCCAAGATTATGGGGGATATATGAAGGTAAATTTGGTGGCTGCTTTGAATGAAATGAATTTATACAGTACATACTTAACTATATGTGGTTGAAATCTATGGATTTCTCTGGTGTGTATAGGTTATTCCTGGATTTCTAGCTAGGTGAGAGGTGTCATATGTGACCTGTAAACCCTTCCTAGGTAGATAAGGACAGAAAAAATTGAAAATAACAAAAGCAATAGCAAAAACGCCTTCAAGTGCGGCCTGCCAGCACTCTGTTTTGGACTTAAATGCCCGTATGAGTCCGAGTGACCCCGTTAAAAATCTTAAACCCCACTGTTTCAGACCCCCATACCCCTCCACCCCATTCGTGACTATGCGTAATGATTTGGAACCTCCTACCAGTGTTCCAGCTGCAGTTCGGACAAACTACGCACTGGCAATCCCCACGTTCTAGCGAGCCAGAGCGCCAGCCCACCCACAACGCCAACGGTACCGACAATCTGAACGAGGATCAAACCACGTCGTCCCAGGTCATCTATCCAGTCAACAATACCTAGCGGGTCATGTGGATTCAGGTTAGACATGAGAAAGTCCGGTGACGACCCACAGCGTCGCATGGTCTTTTCGCCGGTCGAGATGTTTAGACCGCAAAAGCCTGGTGTTTTGGAGATAGGCACCAGCGAGCCATCTACGATACACTCGCCTAGTCTTTCTGTAAGCCATACGGCACGATCGCCTCGGGCTAGCATTGCGTATTGATCACGTTCGTTTTGTAGACTTCGTTGCAGATCTGTTGCCCACTGCGCAAGACGGACTTGAGCTATGCACTCCTCATGTCGTGTGTAATCTATGATCCGCGACATTGCGTAGCCGGGTTGTGGCTCGTATAGGGAGGAGATTGAGGAGGTCATAGAGGCTCCGGATGCAATACGCCACTCCGACAGCCTCTGTGGGCCAGTGGTGCCAGAAAGAGCATTTTGCAGGAGAGGTGCCCGGCCAAAATCACCATATCGCTGTATCAGTTTCTTGGAGGCGGAGTGTCTCATCCAGGCGAGATTGTCGTGGTCAAATAACTTCTGCACTAGGGTGTCTAGTTCTGAGATGACCAGTGGCTGCACATAGTCCGGGCTCATCAAGGTGCTGGCATCCATCGTTTCCATGTCCGTGGTTCTCTCTGATGAAACGGCATATGGTGGTTGAGGTGCTCTGTCGAGTTCTGGGGGTGGATCTCCAAACAGAAATGGCTTGATTCCAGCATCATGGGCCTTCTGGTGAAATTGAGACTTAATTAAGGCAACTTCTTCGTGAAGAAGATTGTCAGCCTTGGCCACAACTGGAATTACGTTGGTCAACTCGCAGAGCTTGCGGATACATTCCACGTCTTTCAAGAGGGTATCTATGGGATGTCAATAGTGGTCTGGACCTCTCAATAGGAAGGACATACCTTTCGAAATCAAATATAGGATTGCATCGACCTGAGGCCCACCATTTCCTGCCAAGAGATTTTGGAAATCAATAGTTGGCCCCGCGATATTCGTAGTTGCACGTTGCAACTGTTGCAACATATACTGAAGGATCGCATCGGTCTGGCCCTCTTGATTCGAATAGGTGGCAGGAGTGTCTACGAAGCAGATATTGCGCTCCAGTACTATCTCACCAAGACCCTTACGGCGCCGTAAAACGCGCGAATCTTCGAGGTCTGACCACCATGCTGGGTACGGTTTGGTGCTAGCGTAGATCTCTACCACCCCGCGAGTGGGGACGGATCCAGAGTGGGGTCTTGAAGACCGGCGGCACTCAAGAGGATTTATCGTTGGCATGCTATCGACATGCACGATATCCTCACACTTCTGAACGATGGCTTTGATCAGAGATGTTTTTCCCGATCCTGTCAATTGACTCGTTGTCAGTGGTAGAACATGAGAATACCAAAAAATTTCCTAGTGGAAACATACCCGATGCTCCAGCTAAAAGTAATTTGAATCGACCCATATCTTTTCCCCGTTCGGTGAATGGCCGGCGACTGGGCATCCTGATACTGGGCATGATAAGCTGCGAGGCTCCTGCAGGTCCCAGGAGGGGTGAAATGCTGGACTTGTCTTCCTCGTCCCCCGATCCAAAAACCTGGCTATTAATTTCATCTGTAATGGAGATATCATCCAGAGGTCGAAGTGATTGATTTGATATTGACTTCGGACTACTAGGTAAGGAAGAAGGTTCGTCTGGGTTAAGCGGGGTCAAATGGTGGCAGATAGTGTCGGAGGTGGGTTGTTGAATCGGCGAGGCCAGAAAGCCAGCAAGTGGTTTAACTGTGGAACGTCGGCGCAATATAGGGGACTCTTCCAAATCATCAATTTTATTGAAAGGGGTTCTTATCGGTCCATTGTCTGCGGGGTGGTCGATAGAACAGCTTCCAGCTAAATCTGATTGGGAGAGAGTATCAACTAAGCTCTGCACTCCATACAGGCTCTCTTTAAAGCATTCTGTATCTTCGATAGGGGATTCAGGTTCCAGATCGGAAGCATGCGGGCTACGTGATAGGAAGAAAGTCGCAGGCCCCGCGGTGCGGGGATCGATAGAGGGGGAAGAATGGTCAAAAGATCCCTTGCGGGGGAAGGATGATATATGTGGAGTAGGCCGCATGATTTGAGAGCATTCAAGAAGAAGGACCAGGGTTTCAGGGAGTTTTTAAGGACATATCATGTCTGGGTTAAGATCAGGCAGATTTGGAGAGGGATCTTCGAGGCGCGAGGGGTCAAGTGATGCGTATGTAATCACGAGATCCGGGAAGAATAAAGAGATGAAGTAATACATCATGCATTGATGGGACGATGAGATGAAGTGGTTTTAATTTAAATTATCTACTTTCTTGAAACGAATATTGGAAATGAATACCATCTGATTCTCTCGGGCGAGTTGGGCAAGTGAATGTTATGTGGGCTGTCATCTGTCGTCTGTCATGACCTGCAGTGGAGTGATCTGGGTATAGGTACCTATGGCGTAATCTATGTTAGTAGTACTCCGTACACTATAGAAGAGTTCGATCAAAAGTGTAAGTAGTTAGTACCCACCTGGGTACTAAATAAGGGGCCGTATATGGATTGGCCGAGTCTTCTTTCTTTCAGATTATGATCGCGTGAGTAGGTACCTCTGCCACTTCTTGGCGTTCCATCTCCGTATTAGTGCCCATTATCCATTTGGCATCAGTTCGTTACAAATTTAATGTTAAAATCCACTATTCAATCCTTGATAGCCGGTTATTTCTATAAATATTCAACTCTTTCATTAATACAGAACCAGGTATTAAGGCGAAATTCCGGCAGAATTCAGGCACCAGTCAGGAGTCTGTTTAGCTGGCCTGTCTAGTTGTCTCCTGTCGCTCGAAAGGGCGATATTCGAATATTGTACTGAGAATAGTAAACGTTGTGAGCTCCAACAAACCGCTACTCAACACCGTAGAAAATCCACCGGGTGTAGTGGATGCTACGATACTGAATATTGCGATTGTTGTGAAGTCTACTTTTTCATTGATGAAAGAACTAGCTACTTATAGTATATGGGTGCCCCTCTGCCCTGGACGAATGTCAACATTCGTCCGAGACAGAAGAGATGGTGAAGGCGGGATATTACTGTCGCGAATGCACATCGCTCAAGGGTGTCGTTTGCGATGAATGCATATCGTTCAAGGATGCCGTGACATACTAATCAGGTTCCAGAGTCACTGTCTTGGCAGAAGCTTTTTCGGCCGAAATACTTTCCGTCTGTTGATGGCCTTGTTTCTCGGCTGTCGCAACATCTCCTACAAAAACTACCTTTTCAGACTTCCTACATCCGAACACCTCATTTGAAATTCAACTCAAGCATGTCTGCAATGAGTTCATATTCTGATACTGATTCATCTGGGTCTTTTTGTACACCGCCGCCAGCACCCGCATCGACAGATCTTCCCAAGCCTCCCCTGCCATATCAAACCGGCTGGAAATTTACAGCACAGCATCATGTTGCTCCGCCTCCTAAGGCCACAAGAATTATGCACCCCTTTTATGCCAAGAAAAAAGATCACGTCGAAAGGAGTCAGCTCAGTCCATTCGACCGATGTTTAATACACCAGCCTCTTCACGAAAAGCCACCGAGTATCCAAGGAGATGACATCATTAACCTAGAAATTCTTGGAGTTTTAAAAGTAGGAGTTGCGACACACTCTCAGGTGGTCACAGTCCGACTTCAGACCTCCACTAACCAGATTCCTAATAAGACTCTTGTTGCTAAGATTTACGACCCGCTTTATGTTGATGATGAATCTGGCTACACTAACCCATTTAAACTCGTTAATGCCTGTTTCTCGAACGAAGCAAATTCATATATCGCGCTTAGCGATATGCAAGGTCAAGGGATCCCAAGGTACTATGGATCTTACTTTTCGGTCTCTCGGCGGACAACACACAAACAGAGTCTTTACCAAAACGGATAATTTGCATGATCTTGATTGAGCATATAATCGGAACTACAATGTCCCAGGTCAAACCGGTGAACTTTTCTTAGCCAGCTCGACAAGGCTTTCTAAGTTCGATTATCGAGATTAGTGTTCGTATTCACGAGCATGATGTTATACTTCGAGATCTTGTGCCGCGGAATATCATCATTATCTCTACTAATAATAAGCATCAAAGTTGTGTGCTTATTGATTTTGACTTTGTCCATTTCCGTAGCGCTTTACAAAAAATCGGGACATTGACAAAAGGAGGAACTTATCTCTCGCCATTACTTGGTTGGAGATCCCCGGGTAGTGCACATGACTTTTTCGAATGGATTGACTGGGACTGGACCCCTTGGCTTGAAGTAGAATTCGCTGAAACTGCTTCAAAAATTACGCCAGAGCAAGAAGCTGCGTTTGCCGCTGACAACCATCCCTTTGTGGAGGAAGACTTCTATGACGAGGACGATTGGATGGAAGATTAGATGCTCGGGAGTTAAAATCTCAAAATTCACCAAAGTACTCAATTGAGAGGGATTGATTTGCCTATTATAGAGCAAAGATACTTTTTGATATGTATTTCATCTTCAGAATCTGTCAGGATAATGTCAAAACCTACGGCCAAACCCCTGGATAACCCTGTTCCCATTCCTCGAGCTCCTCCATCACCATAGCAAATAGTAACTGGTGAAAGTTCAGAGTGCGGCCTGCACCCTCCTGGAGAATAATTCCATGAACTAATAGATCGCGTCGGCGGAATGGAGCAAATGTCAAGCCCACCATGGAGTACCAGTCGAACAGGATAACTCGTCGACAGAATCTAAAGTATTTGGCCGCTTGCTTTGAGAGCATGATGGCATTGTCAACTAACCAAGTACCTTTTCTATCATTCTCAAAAATCCCAGATTTCATTTGCCGCATCTTTTCCTTAGATGGGTTTTGCTGGATTTGGGCGCATTGGAACTGGGACCGTTTGATGACATTGGGCCGCTTCATCTCGAAAATTAGGAGATCGGCAAGCTTCGTGAAATTTTGATCATATAGATTAAAAGCCACGTCAAATCTCCCCTTGCAGTTAGATTCAGTTGCCTCGGATCGAACAGCTATCATCGTGCCATTTTTTGCTAGGTCGTTGAGGGCCATTACCACTTGATTGATGAGGAACATGTTGGTCGCTCTCACGACATCAGCCTCTGTGTTTAAAATCATGCCAGGCTCCCGAACTGGAACCAATTGATTAGTGATAGGAGGAGGGGGATCAATCAGGGCCGTATTAATTTGATTTAAACAGCCTGGCATATATGGCGAACGGCCCGAGCACGAAATACTTAACTGGATCAATGTCCAGGGTTGACGCGGCAGATGCAGAAACCGTGTGGAAAGCTAATCTGCCACGCACGGTATTCTTATCTCGATCTTCCTTTTCCAAGCGACATCATTTAGTGTAGGTAGAGTAGAGCCGCGTTGGAAACATGCGTTTATCGTTCATTGCGCTATAGTGATTTGAATTTTGGACGAGTATCAGAACGAAAGTGTGAAGAGCTCATAAATAGTCGGGCAAATACTCTCAGTTTACTCTCATTTCTACTCTCAGTTCTACTCTCAGTTCTACTCTCAGTTCTACTCTCAGTTCTACTCTCAGTTCTACTCTCAGTTCTACTCTCAGTTCTACTCTCAGTTCTACTCTCAGTTCTACTCTCAGTTCTACTCTCAGTTCTACTCTCAGTTCTACTCTCAGTTCTACTCTCAGTTCTACTCTCAGTTCTACTCTCAGTTCTACTCTCAGTTCTACTCTCAGTTCTACTCTCAGTTCTACTCTCAGTTCTACTCTCAGTTCTACTCTCAGTTCTACTCTCAGAGTTCCATCCTCAATCATATTCTCGTTCGAGGGATAATTGATTTATCATATAGCATAAAATAAACCGTATCATGGGGCCGAACACTTTAAGTATAGACTGATCGTGGACTGAGTGCTGAATAGATGCCCTTAGTTAAAACAAGGTTTCCTTGCTTTGTCAGCGGAAGAAACCGATCCCGGTGGCCACTTAAATGCCGTATCGACAGGTTGATAGATAGATAGTAAAAATAAGTTTATTTATTGCAGATGTAAATTGCCCAGGTAATTTGGTAATAGTTAGATTTTCAAGGGTAAATGTGAATATCTAGACTTCGGGATTTTTAAACATTTAACTACTAGTAGTGAAGGTCTTACTCTGTATAAAAGTTGGAATTTCCATGCTAATATGGGAAATGGAACTCAAAATACTGTATTTGGATTTTAGTTACAATTTTCAGGCAAACAACTATCACCCTGGCAAGATGGCCGAGTTGGTCTAAGGCGCACGGTTCAGGTTTACTTGAACCACAATTCCGTGTCTCGAAAGGGGCGTGGGTTCAAATCCCACTCTTGTCAATTTTTTTGGAAGTTCTGTGGGTTGAATTTTTATGTGTGGGCCAAAATCTTTTATAGTGGGGATGAAATGGAGTTGGTCGGATGTTGCGAACCCTAAAATATACTTAACTTGACCTCACTTCCGGAATAAGTCATCTAACTTCTTCGAGTCCTTTGTTAATAATGGTTTCAATTTTTAGATATGAAAGGCACAGCGATAAGGAATCACTGGGATGTGGTTTTGCTATGATGACTGCATGGTAAAGCAGAATCCAAGTGTTCCAAATTGCCCAATTAGCAATCTGCTAAAATCAATGATATGGTTTCAAAGACTCTTAATCGTGATTTTTCATGCTACAGCTGCATCTGGCGCTGGGGAAACTTTCTCCGCTACTGGTCTAGATTATAACTAGCCGGTATTGGAACCTGAAGGCGCAAAAGTACTTACATTATGCTATTATATAGTGCGGATCTTACTGCACTATATAAGGGAACAAAGAGAATTTATCGAAAAAAAATTGCATTGCTTCGGTATCCACGGCAGAGGAATCCAGAGCCGCTAGCTTCAATTGCGTACTTTCCTTCCAACGGTGACTGATACTGGCTGTAATATTTCTTCTAGTAATTCTTGATTCAAGAGAGCTAGTATAGTTTCCCTCCATGACTACCTCCTGACAGGGTCCTAAGTCTCTGCTATAAATTGCCTAGTGTGTACAGCCTGTCTGTGACTCCGAAGTCTATCCTTGCGATTGAAGATGTGCCCGCACTGATCACACTGGTAGGAAGCAGGCAAGTGAGTGGATTTTATATGTCGCCATAGAGATCCATCCTTCGAGAAAGTGCCCGCATATCTGCAGTCTACCCATTTGCACATAATAAGCATTCTTTGATAGGAGATTAGAAATCAGCAGCAGTAGGATATGGTGAGATAAATAGCTGGAACTCACCCGCCAGAAGCTTGATCGTGATCCATCATATGGTCTTGTGAAGTCATGACACCCCTCAGAGTCAAGTCTTGAGCCCCAAGTTGTATTGAACTTGATAATGATGGGCCAGCGATGTTATAGCTAGGACTTTGTTGACTAGGACTGTTCGACGATATGGCACTGCCCATAGTTGCGAATAAGTCTAGACTCGTCGGGTTTTCTTCAAGGTTGACTCCGTACATCGGGTGGGCAAATGTGGAAAGAAAGGTTGAGTTGCTTGGCATTGGTATCCCGGAGATTTGAGAAGTGCCTAGCATGCTATGGCGAGTAGATTCATGTTGGTTTATATTATAATGACTTGAAGAGGTGTTGACCTGTTGATCGGCTGATTGGCTGATCTCATCTCCCAAAGGCATAGTTGAAGTTCAATTCTGTACCTAGGTACATAGATATATATCGACCTTTTAAGATTGGAAGCGAAAGGCCCGGAGGTAATTTTGATAGATACCTATTTAGGTAGGTACGAGCTCAGAAATAGTCACGCTTTAGCCCATGGAAATTCCATTCCAAGGTTGAAAGCTAAGTGAATGTTGAAGAAGAGCCAAGACTGAAAGATGCTCTAACGCTCATATTTATAAATAAATTATCAAGGTCGGGCTGACAAGACTTGCTCTAGATACCTGGGCTTTTCTGGTGCTTTGCTGGTGCTCTGCTGGTGCTCTCGACTCCTAATTTGGACATGTTCGTCTCCGATCGTCAAAGCGTAGGGTGGCAAAAAGGGGCAACCTTGGCACTTTATTGGTTTAAATCAGCCCAGATTTACTGCAGTAAATCTTTGGCACCCACGTCAGGCGTCAGTTTCGACAGTTATGGCGCCATCATTGGACGTCTATTTGTCAAGATCTCCAAAGTAAACTGAGACAGAAACACCGCCACCAGGGCCAGAAACACTAAAACAGTAAACAAAATACGTATTTTACACCCGGTAGAATATTTTATTACCTGTATCGCTCTATCATCCCAAATTGAAATTGAAATTGATCAAGTCCAACTCGAATATCCTAACTCTAATACAATTTACAAGTCTAACCCCAGTATAATTTACTAGTAGTAATAAAATAAAATAATGCATTCAATTGCATTGATTAAAGCAGTAAATACTCTAAGAAATAAACATGAGAACCAATAACCTTCATTCTATTCTTCGACGAAGAATTCCCTTGCTTTGATGTGTGCTTGGACGCGCACGTTTGCCACGAGATGGAGTAGCTGGAGCTGGAGCTGGAGCTAGAGTGATAAGAGCAATTGGTGGATCAGGAGTAGTAGCTGGAACCACCTGAATTGGCGTAAGTGGAGATGTTGGAATTATATGTTCATCAATAAGTGTAATAAGAGATGCTTCTGGAGAAAATACTTGGATCATTCCTGGAGATTCATCTCGAGATGAAGATAATAGACTCTTACTCCGACGATCAATGATAACATGGAGTTGATACATGTTCTTATGGATCTTAAGCTTTTTACAAATATCTCCAATAGTTGTATTCGCAAACCATCCTATCCCAGGAAGAAGTTGAGGGGATAGATACCCTTTTGATCGTCCAATATGATGAATGTCTTTTGCAAGGGTATAATGATCCTGGTAATGAGGGTAAAATTTCGATCGGTGTAGCTCTTTAATTGAGAATCCATTGATTCCGAGTATATATCTATCAATGAAGTCAGGAATATCAAAGATAGAATATGAGACATCAAAGGTAAAAGCAGCAGAGATATCAAGCCGTTGAAGTCTATCCCCTTCTTCCCAAAGATATAGCTGAACATATATTTCAGGTTCATTTTCTGTGAGAAGAGATTCGACCTATTGATAGGGCTTCGCCGCTTCGGCTTAGTACGAGGAGAAGAATTGCTGCTTCTAGATCTAATTCCTATATACCGACTCCGAACACTCTGAGCGGTGCGATGCCGAATGACGCGTAAAAAACCAGGATTGGTATTTGCATGGGCAGGAGTAAGAGTGGAAGTAATGGTAATAAACATGTGTGCATGAATATACCAATTGCCCCCACCAAGACTCAATTCTTTGGTTTTCGGTGCTCCGTCCAAAGAAGGGCAATCCTGTAGCCGTTGAGGTCTTGAATCAAGAATTGGATCATGAATTAGATCGCGAATTGGAGCTGATTGGCGAAGAGCAAAATATGCATCAGCTAATAACATGATTTTAGAGCCAAGATCAGACCGTAGATTTCGTGGTAAGAACCCATTTACCGACACATAGTCTAGATATTGAGATAATACACTGACTGCTGTCCGCGTACTAATGCCCATATATACCCATATAATAAATTGAGAGTAACCATCAATAGCTGCATATATCTCGAATCCAAACTGCTTAAGCTTTATATGGCTATCAACATACCATATCCAGTTTGGACCAGGACAGATATAAGCACCTTTTCGACGTTGAAAACCGCGGTTTTTCACAGCATCTGGATTGATCGTTTTATAGATATCAAAGATCCTATCACGAGCAAAGAATTGACCTTGGCTCCGTAAAAAGATATGTTGATATCTTTTACCATATGTATTGATATCTCCAATATCGCTCTCAGTTCGTAATATAGCCTCAATCTGTTGTTTCTGTCTCTCGCGTTCTTCAGGATCATTAATCCGAAGCTTAATACCAAGTCGCTGCCGTATCCTACAGAGTGTACGTTTTGAGCATGGTATCTCTTTAGTATTAACATATTAAATAAGATTAGTGGCGGTATTCTGGCCTGGAGTATCTCTTCAGTATTAAGTGATCGAATAAGATTTGAAATAAGCTTTTCAGTATCCTGACGTTGGATAGATTTCGTTGTCATAGTATTCCACTGATTTAGGTAACGTCGAATAGTACGGACAGCAACACTGATAACATAGGTTTGGTCCAGAAAAGTGCAAATATCCTTAGTAGAGCTAGCAGCTTCATAAAGATCGATGATCGCTTGTTTATGAGCTTCAAGAGGGATTTGTGGGCGCGGCATAGTGGATATGGAAGTGGAAGTGGAAGTGGAAAGATGAGAGCAGATTCCAGCACTTTGTAAACAGTATTTAAAGCTCCCCGATTGGTCGATCCCGATTACTAATACGTAATTACATTACAGGCGGTCAACTTGCATTTTGGGATTACAGGATAATACGTTTTGGCCCGGTGGCGTGTATCGCCTCCCGTAATCACCTTGGACATTCTCCAAGACTTGTGCTACTTGGTTGGTGCGAAAGCCCAGTCTCTTGCTAACAGCACCTGCGCTTGATGAATTTTAGCCTCCTCTTCAGCCTCAAAATATCTATGAACCAATAACTGCTCTCGTCTGACGGGGAGAAGTAGGGGGAATCCACCTCACACTGCGTGTATGTGTTGGGCAATTCACCTGCGTACAAGAACGCTCGCACATGACTTGCAATGCACACCGATGGTACTGCAATATAGCAATGTCCATACCCCTTGACCTCGATAATCTGCGAGCCCTCGAATGCCTCGTTCGCCGACCTCGCAGGTATGAGGGGACAAACGGGGTCGTAAGTCGTCGAGAGAATCAGCAGTGGATGTATCGTCTTCACACCTTTGCGCGGCATATAGTGATGCGTCTTTGGTATAGTCCAGTGCTGGCACGCGTAGTAGAGTATTGTGTGAGTAGGGCTAAAAGGACTCTGGTTGAGGAAGGGCGCCACCTTATCCAGGAACGTCTGTCTGTCCTGGGCCAATTCTCTGGGCCACTAATGCCGTCATTCAGAGTGATGAACTCCTTTACTTCATGATGCCAATTCCCCATTTCTTCATTTGCATATGCTAGAAATGAAGATGTAGCCTTCGCCCATTTGATGCCTAACGAGGTTCCTTTTATATATGATACCTAGGTATATATATATATACATTACTATTTTCACCTAAATATAAATCCATTCCACCTCCAGGGCTACATAAGTAGGTAGGTCTGTTAAGTTTGTTCGTATCCTTATGTGAAGTGGATTGAACCTTGGAAGATAGGTATATATATGCAAAAATAGACATTTTGAATATCGAACGGGCAAGATGGCCGAGTTGGTCTAAGGCGTCAGGTTAAGGTCCTGATCTACATTGTAGGCGTGGGTTCAAATCCCACTCTTGTCATTTTTTTTGTCAACTTTCAAAATTTTTTTTTTAGTGGGCCGTACTATTTCAGCTCTCGCTTCGACCAATCACTATTAAAATTTGTAAATAACTCTTTAGCTATATATTTAGTTAACTTAACTTGTTAGAGGGGTTGGGAACTGCCCAGGTGATCAAAAAACCAAATTAAATTTAGAACACTATTCTATTACCCTATTGCATATGCAACCGTCTTTTTCCAAGATTCCGTTCCCAAGGTTGTGCTTTGTCTTATCCATATCATAAAAAACCTTGTACAGTTTTGTATTCCGCAAGGGCTGAGTGCCTCTTTAGTAGACCAACTTAGTTGAATTCATGGATGACTTTCATTCGATATAGATCGTATGAAGTATCATAATTTCGTCACCACCTCAGTACACCCGAAGTTCTTCAGTTAGCAGCCTTGAGAGCACGAAAAGACTGCTCGAAATCGGCAATTATGTCATCAATATGTTCTGTGCCGACTGAGATGCGAATGGCATCCTCGAGCACACCGGAATCAGTACGCTCTTCATCACTGAGTTGCTCATGAGTTGTGGACCAGGGGTGGATGGCCAGGGTCTTGGAGTCACCAACACTGTAGAAGAATTAGTAAATATAGCACATAACAAAAAATAAAAAAACATACTTGGCAAGATTGGAAATCAACTTGAACCCATCAACAACCTGGCTACCAGCCGCAGCACCGCCCTTGATACCCACAGACAACACACCACCATATCCACGAGTCAAGTACTTCTTTGCAAGCTCGTGAGAAGGGTGCTCCTCGAGACCGAGGTACGCAACCCAGCTCACCTGCTCATGGTTCTTCAACCACTTAGCCAGAGCAAGAGCATTACTAGCGTGCCTCTCACATCGCAGACTCAAAGTTTCCAGACCAAGGATCAGTTGCTGCGCCGCGAAAGGATTCAAAGTTGCTCCAATATCACGCAGAACTTCAACTCGTACACGGAGCGCAAAAGCAAGCGGGCCAAAGGTCTCCCAGAATTTAAGTCCGTGGTAGCCTGGTGAAGGCTCCACAAACTGTGGAAAGCGAGCAGCATTCTTGCCCCAGTCAAACTTGCCACTATCGATAACCACACCACCGATCGTGGTTCCATGTCCACCGATCCACTTTGTGGCACTGTGCACGACGATATCGGCACCGTGGTCAATAGGTCGCGCGAAGTAGCCACCCGCTCCGAAAGTGTTGTCCACTACCAATGGAACACCATGATCGTGGGCCACCTTGGCAATGGCCTCGAAGTCAGGCACGTTATACCGCGGGTTACCGATCGTTTCAACGTAGATAGCCTTAGTCTTGTCGTCGATGGCGGCGGCGATATCAACGGGGTTGTCACCCTTGACAAACTTGGTGTCAATACCCAGTCGTGGGAAGGTAACTTTGAATTGGTTGTAGGTACCACCGTACAGGTTGCTGGTTGCGATGATGTTGTCGCCAGCCTGAGCCAGGGCTGATATAGCCATAAACTGGGCAGCTTGGCCTGACGAGGCAGCGATGGCGGCAACACCACCCTCAAGGGCAGCAATGCGCTTCTCAAACACATCCACAGTAGGGTTCATGATTCTGCTGTAGATGTTACCGAATTCTTTGAGGCCAAATAGCCTCGCGCCATGGGCCGAGTCATTGAAGACGTATGAGGTGGTAGCATAGATAGGCACAGCTCGGGAATTAGTGGCTGAATCAGGCTCATGGCTATTATTTTATGTTAGAAGCTGAAAGCAAATACGAGATAAGGGAAGAAACGTACCCAGCATGGAGCTGGAGAGTCTCGAAGTGAAGGTTTGGTTGCTCTGACATGGCGGAAATTTTCGCAACCACAGCCACAAATAGGAAGTTATATGTGATATGAAAGTCTGAAAAGAGCAGAAAGAAAAATATCGTTCCTGGTTGAATTTATAGAGGGGCAAATGAGGCATGGCGGCATCTCGATGGCGTGATTACGCCATTGGAAGCTTCAACTCTAAGTGACTTGAGTGGAATTGTAATTGACATTGAGCTCCACCAAACCTCTTTTAATTTGCTGGTGCAGTGATTAGGACATCAGCTTATGAATATAGTACCCATTGTTCGTACCTATTCAGTGATTCGATAGATGTGTACTTTGTAGCAATGTAAATAAGAGTGAATATGTGTGGGGTAGGTTCCGACATCGGTGGCTCTTAGTCATTGATGATCCCCACTTCACTGCACGGTTTGTTATCCCCACTTTTATCTATGCACGTCCAAATACTTTTGAAATGTACATCTTTTCTGTTGACTTGATTTGATCCTTTACTTCCATCTTTTGACCAAGCATATACCAAATTTGAAATTGGCACCACGTTGAGCCTGTCCAGCAGTGGATTCCTTTTCGCCCGGAAAATATAATTCTGATTCCTACAGTGTCAGACCAATACAGAAATAGGAGACTACTTCTAGTCCATCGATTTTGACATGGAACACTGACGTAATATCCCCGCGAACGAAAAAAAGAGTAACAGATCGTCATATTTATTACTAGTCTTGATACTTTTGTGTTTCTCTAAGTCTATAAGCCAGCCTTACAGTAAATACTAAAGGATGACCGCATCCACGGCTTCTGGATCTCAAGCGAACGTGATGATACATCCATATACAGCATGGGGTAAGTAGACACCTGCAACTATGACTCTGCTATTTAAGGCACGGTCTATGACTTCTGATTCGGAGACGCCTATACACAGGTTGTGTCTGGGGGTATAATACCTTAGCCAATTCGATAGAGATGCGCTTTGTTGCGATATATTGGATATTGGAATCTAATATACGGACCCGGCATATCAACCTTCACCTGGATTCTTCGCCAATCAAACCTTCCCGTATCTTCTTAACCTTGATGACTCTAGGTTGTGGGTTAGTAGCTGGTGACTTCAATCCAATCTTTGACGAAGACGCTAATTTTATTGAGAAAAGTGACCTGACGGATGTCTGGACATCTCTTCATCCTGAGAATCCTGTCTATCCATGAAGAGTGGATGGGGAGCAACCGTTCTCGCCAAATCGACTTGATAAAATCTCTCTTCTAGGGATAAACCCCTCTAGTATCAAAGTTTTGGATTCAAAATACTTTGTAATGATAGGGCTGAATCTCAACTGACTCAGGCCACAGATGATATCCCTTGAAGTGGCCATCATGCTTTACTTTTTTCTTTCGATTTGATTGACCGTGAAGCAGCCTTTTCTTGCTGAGCAGATTTAACAGCCAAAATAGAAACAAGGTATCTTAGTGGGGAACCTTAGAAAATGCCCCTCTTGGTTATTGTGTATCGTTATGTTCAGTTGCAGAGCAAATAGCGGCTCACAATCACCTGTTTTCAAGCCCATCCCTTAAAAAGACCTCGGGACGGGTTGGTTAAGAAAACCCAGGTATTAGAAGCTCTGGACGTTGTTTAGAGGTGCTTGGGCCTTTAAGGATAATAGGATATCCATGGATATACCTAGCTATATAGATATCTTGGGGTTGCGAGGGAATTGATAGTGGAAAACACCTATAGATTTTTCAGGTTTGCTGCCAAGGTAGTTCCAAGGTTATACATACGCAAACTATACAAGTAATTTATGGATACTTGAAAGTTCACTCTAAAATTTGCTATTGCATACATATAACATGTAAGATCTAAACTAGTTTTCTATTATAGACTCCATAGAGCTATAGAGTGATTAAAAATTAAAGACAAAAGGTCAAAATAAGCGTCAAAATGGAAGAAGTACTTAGGTATAGGTGGGGTTGTCTCACATGACGCTCAAGCGCCCAGATCTGAAATCTTGGAATATCCAGGCAGCGTCAATTACATTGTCGATTGGGTCGTTGTCGATTATGTACTCAATCAGGGATAAAAGGTAGCAAATGCCCATTAACCTTTGTTTCCTTTCTTCCCCAACTTTGACCAAATCTTGGATTTACTCCCACCTCAATCTAGTCTCTAACTGGTAAGAATCAATACACGTCAGCCCCAGTTTCCTTACTGCAAGCCACATGTTGATCATTCATCGATGACGCCGGTGCAACGATGGTGGCTGATCAGTACAGCTTGATTTCATGATAGCTTTCCATCTAAATTTACTGATACGTTTCCCTTTACTTCTTAGCTCTCCAGATTTACATTCAACCACTATCAATATGACCATCCCTTGGATTTGGCCAGTGCGCGCTGCGCAAGTCCTCTTCAGCTTGATCGTTATTGGACTGACCGCATACGGTTCGTGGTAACCCTTAACTCAAAACACATAACTTTTACTGACTACTTCGCAGTCGTTGATGTCTCGGCCTGGTGGTCCTACACCAGTATTGTCAACTTCCTGCTCTTCGTCGGCTGCTGGTCTGCCTTTCTGGCCATCCCCTACCTGGTAGCCCTTGTTTATTATCCCAATCTCTCCAACCGCTATCTTGTGCCCGCTATGGAAATAGTTACCACGATCTTCTGGTTCGCAGGATTCGTTGCCCTCGGTGCCACACTGCCTCCAGCTGCAGTATGCTATGGCAATGTCTGTCGTTCTCTTCAGGCAGCGACTGTATTCAGTGCATTTGAATGGTCAGCTATAGCTCCCCCCAACTGAAGTTATATACACGATCTCTAACAGGGTTGTTTTCGTACATAGGGCTCTCTTCATGGTCACCACTTACTTTGCCATTATGGACTTCACTCACAACCGTCACTGCGGTGAGACCGCCAACAAGTCCCAGGGCCACACCAACATCAGCGTTTAAGCACCAAACGATTGTATGATGACGGAGATCTGTTCATAACTGGGTTCCATGGCGTCGACGTGAATTATTTTGACTTTTATTGTATGACACTACCCAACTCCAAGATCCCTTAGGGCTCAAGTTGCAAATAACTTTTTTATTATTCGTCACTTAATACTTATTCTGCATGTCATATTGATTTGTAGTTCGATTATTCCTATCGGCCCCACTCATCCCAAATTCCGAATAACCTGAAATAGCCACTTAATCGACGGAGTTCGCCGTGGTGTATACAGCCTCAAGCTCAACATGTCGACTCCTACAAATTTTACACATCTCATCAATAAATTTCTGATTAATCTAGGATAAAGTCCAAAGTGAACAAAATAATAATTTACAAATAGCTGTTGTAGAATTTAGATGCCGTACTCCGAAGTATAAGAATAGTTGCCACCAGGAAAACTCTGCCTATGGTTGCAATGGCCCACATTGACATAGGCCTATATGAGCCGACATTTGCCCAGAAAAAGAAGACAAAGTAGAAAAGTTCAATTGAATGGTCTGATAAGTCCATCTTGATTTATCTTTTTTTTTCTCATAGCGGCTGTTAAACCGTTTCTTTTACCTAACACTTTCCTCTCCTCCACCAATCCCGAACACTAGACGAAAACTAGGGTTTGACTCAGTCGTGGTTTTCTCCACCGGGCTTTAGAGGATAGTGCGAAGGGATTGAAAGGTCGCACGAGTGCTGTAATTCCTCTTCTTATCTTCTTTGCTTTCTTCAAACTGCCCCCCATTGAACATGGCTTCTAAAAGCTGGTCTATGCCTTGGGCGGAGAAGGGAAAGACAGATTCTGATCCTGTCACTGAAGTGCCGCAGGAGTCCAATTACAATGTCGACTATGAGAAGTATGGTGCCAGTCGCGAGTCCAATCCTCTGCCGGAGCTTCAGCGCAAGTTGAAGAGCAGACACTTGCAGATGATTGCAATTGGTGATTAACCGCCGTCTGGAAAGAAACAATATCATTTTATGCTGACAGTTTTCCCAGGTGGTACCATAGGAACTGGTCTTTTTATCGGTAGCGGTACAGCTATCGCACACGCTGGTCCTGTTGGAGCCCTCATCGCCTATATCTTTGTCGGAACCATTGTCTACTCCGTCATGACTGCTCTCGGAGAGATTGCGACCTATATCCCCGTCCCCGGATCCTTTACCACATATGCGACTCGTTTGATTGATCCTAGTCTGGGATTTTCCATGGGCTGGATCTATTGGGTATGTATAACGACAGGTTTCCTCGCTGAAGTACCGTTTTAATAACGATTTTTCGATTTTTCGTATAGTTTTCCTGGGCATCAACATTCGCATTGGAGCTGACTGCCACTGGTCTAATAATTCAGTTCTGGGATAGCTCGATTAACATTGCTATCTTCATTGGTGTCTTTTGGATCGTAATAATCGCGTTTAATATGTTGCCTGTCAGCTTCTATGGTGAAATGGAGTTCTGGCTCGCCAGTATCAAGGTTATTACCGTGGTTGGCTTTATGATCTTTGCCATCTGCATGGACGCTGGCGTTGGCGTTGAAGGATACTTGGGCTTCCGGTACTGGGTTCACCCTGGTCCTTTTGTCCCCTATCTGATTGAGGGTGATGACTCTTTGGCCAAATTTGTTGGCTTCTGGTCTGTCCTCATCCAGGCTGGATTCTCCTACCAGGGTACTGAGCTGGTCGGTATTGCGGCCGGTGAGACTGAGAACCCCCGAAAGACCGTTCCCGCCGCCATTCGCAAGACCTTCTTCCGTATCGTCTTCTTCTTCATCCTGACGATCTTTTTTATCGGTATCTTGGTTCCTTCCTCCGACGCACAGCTCCTGACTAGTCAGAACGGTGGTGCTGCTGCCAGCAACGGCAATGCGTCTCCGTTTGTGATCGCAGCTCGACGTGCAGGTGTCAAGGCTCTTCCCAGCATCATAAACGCGGTTCTACTCACGGTGGTACTCTCGGCAGCTAATTCAAACGTGTACAGTGGCAGCCGTATCATGGTCGGCTTGGCTCAGGAGGGCTTTGCACCCCATTTCTTCAAGAAGACTACCAGTGGCGGTGTCCCATACTTTGCCGTCATCTTCACAGCTCTGTTTGGACTTCTTGGTTTCTTGAATGTGTCTGACTCTGGAGCCACCGTGTTCACCTGGCTCCTTCAGATCTCTGGTGTGGCTGGTTTCATTACCTGGTGCTCTCTGAATGCCTGCCACCTCGCATTCCAACGCGCGCTCAAGGCTCGTAACATCTCGCGAGATGTTTTGCCTTACAAGGCCATGTGGCAGCCATGGTTTAGCTGGTATGGACTGTTCTTTAACGTCTTGATCATTATCACCCAGGGATTCACGTCCTTCATCCCCAGTTTCGATGTGCAGAGCTTCTTCATCAACTACCTCAGCTTAATCCTGTTTGTAGTGCTGTATCTGGGTCATAAGCTGATTTATCGTGATCCATTTGTCAAACCCATTGAGGCTGACTTGGACACTGGACGTACCACGGCTGACGAAGAGACGTGGGAAACGAGTCCTGAGCCGACCACTTGGTATGGAATGGTCTGGCGGGAAATTGCAGGATAATTTCTATAAAAGCATTTTGGTTATGGCGTTTAGCATATATATTTATATTTGTATACATGTACATTTTTCATTCTTATCTAGTTCATATCTCCGCTTACAACACTCCAGAATTATAGCGGTCAAAGACACGAAATCACAATTCTCTATAGTTCGCCTAAATTGTGGTATGATGTATATGTATCAATTGATAAAAAGAGATTGTATGATTTTGCATGTGAGTCGGAAGGTAGATAAGCTATTTACTAGTTAATCCACTTCGACAGGTACTTTCATTTGTATGGCCATTCCCATATTTAATGATGTACCATTGGTTCGTGAAACAGCCGAGGCTGTAATCCTGGTCCACTTTATGGGGCAAAAAGACTGGGGAAGTCCCTTGATCAAAGGGCCGCGATCTCCGATACAACTCTTCATCTCCACATCTTCCATCCCCCACAATCTTTTGTTCTCGCCTCATCTTCAAAAGGCAGGACCTCGAGGTTTTTTTTTCATTAAACTATTGAATCTGGCCATTGATTTCCGAGGTATCTACTTCCAGCTACGCGTTATGCCACTTTATCTTTTAATATCTGACCCACTGATTGCTAATTGTGATTCTTTCTTAAACAGAAACCTCATCATGTTCGCTTCAAAGCCTCCCCACCTTCTGAAGGCTCAGGAATACCATGGACCAAAGCCGCCTGGCCAGCCATACTCTGTTACGATTCCCGGAACTGAAAAACCAGGCCGCAGTCACGTTTACCGATCATGGCACGCACAGAACGAGTTGCTTTTGACTCTCGATCCTCAGGTATGAAGAGGAGTGACTGGTTATAATGTGAAAATTCTAACTGAGTGTAGGTTATGACGGTGCACGATATGTTTGAGTCCACAGCCAACCGCCAACCCAAGAGCGAATGCCTCGGATGGCGCCCGTTCAACCAGACCACCAAGACCTTTGGGCCTTACCAGTGGCTGACATATGAAACTGTTCAGAAACGACGCGCGGCACTGGGTGCTGGTTTGGTTGAGCTGCATCAGAAACACGACTGTCATCGCCCCGGCCAGTACGGCGTTGGTCTCTGGTCCCAGAACCGCCCCGAATGGCAGCTTACCGGTATGATCGGTATTGAAAATATATTTGAATGGATAAGCTGACAAGTAAGATCTCGCCTGCATGTCCCAGGGACTATTTAGCGTTTCCATCTACGACGTCCTTGCCCCAGATGCGACAGAGTACATCATAAACCATGCTGAACTTAATTGTGTGGTCACCTCTCTCCCCCACGTTCCTACTCTCATTAAGCTCAAGCCCATTTTGCCCAACCTGAAGTTCATTGTCTGCATGGACCCACTTGACTCAGGCGAGCAGCAGGGCTACTCAAAGCGTGCTCTGCTTGAATCTATGGCTGCTGACCAAGGCGTTGCCATCTACACTATCGATGAAGCCGAGGCACTGGGAGAGGCTTCCAAGCGCAAACACAACCCTCCCTCTGCGTCCGACATTATTACTATCAACTACACCTCCGGTACTACTGGTGCTCCAAAGGGCGTCGTGTTGACACACGTAAACGCCTTGTCCGCCACTGCTTCCGGTCTTGCAAACATCCCTCAGTTTAAGGGCGACACCACTTACTCTTACCTCCCATTAGCTCACATCTATGCTCGTCTTATAGAGCACATATTTCTCTGGGGCGGTGGCCGCATCGGCTATTTCCATGGTAATATTTTGGAGCTGGTCGACGACCTGAAACTCCTTAAGCCTACTAGCTTTATGTCGGTGCCACGTCTGTTCAATCGTTTCAGCGGTGCTATCAGGGCGGCCACACTTGACCAGCCTGGTTTAAAAGGTGCTTTGTCACGACACATTGTCGCGGCCAAGACAGCCAATTTGAAGAACCCGGACCCCTTGAAGGCCACTGGTCGACACGCACTGTATGACCGTATCTGGACCAAGAAGGTCGCTGCTGCGCTCGGATTGGAGCGCGCACGTAATATGGTAACTGGATCCGCACCTCTGGACCCGTCGTTGCACGACTTTATGCGGGTTGTTACCGGTGCCGACTTCATGCAGGGATATGGGTTGACCGAGACTTATGCCTACAGCACATCCCAGCACCCTTTCGATATGACTTCTGGCAACTGCGGAGGACTCGCTCCCTCCGTTGAGGCCTGCCTGGAGTCTATTCCCGACATGGAATACTCGGTGGACGACAAGCCCTACCCCCGTGGTGAGCTGCTCCTACGCGGCAATAGTGTTTTCAAAGAATACTTCAAGAACCCCGAGGAGACTTCCAAGGTTGTGACTGAGGATGGCTGGTTCCACACCGGCGATGTGGCAGCAATCGATGATATGGGCCGCATTATTATCATCGACCGCCGCAAGAACGTGCTCAAGTTGGCACAGGGCGAGTATATTTCTCCCGAGCGCTTGGAGGGTGTTATCCTTTCCGAGCTCAACTACCTTTCCCAGGCATATGTGCACGGAGACAGCGTCCAGACTTTCCTGGTTGCTATCTTTGGTATTCAGCCCGATATGTACGCTCCGTTCGCTAGCAAGGTTCTGGGACACAACATTGCCGACACCGACCTGGCAGCAATCAAAAGTTCCCTGTCAAACGATAAAATTCGCAAGGCCGTTCAGCGCGACCTAGACCGTCTGGCCAAAAAAAACAAATTTGCTGGATATGAGCGGGTCAAGAGCTGCTCTCTGATGCTAGAGCCTTTTACAGTGGCAAATAACTTGCTGACCCCAACGTGAGATCACTCCCCTTCTATCTTGATACAATGACCAGATTCCTTTCTAACGATTCTATAGTCTTAAGCTCAAGCGATCACCCACTGTTAAGATCTACCGCCAGCTTTTGGACCAGCTGTATGCTGAGGCTTTGGAGGAGCAGTCTGCTCCTCGCGCAAAGCTGTGAGCTTTCAGCCCTTGCCATTTTATGTTTTATATTTTATCTTCTTTTTGAGCATGTTAAAAGCTACAAGGGTGGTTTCAACTTTCGTTTTTGTAAATAGTCATGTGATTCGTATTAGGCGTAGTATCTGCGCTGCGCTCCAAACCTTTTAGCAATTACTTTATCCTATGTTCGTTTGATATCAGAGGATCTAACTTCCTAGTTTCAAGGTTGACTATTTACTATCTGGGTACAGCTCAAGCAACCGAGGAACAATACAAAGTAAAATATAACGGGTAGATTACACGGGATACTCGGTATTTTACCTTAAATACATAGTTTTACTGATAATCAGTACTAGATGGATCATGATTCGATGGATTCATAGCCTAAAGAATCAGGCTAGAATCTAGATAATGACAAGTGGCAAACGGAAAAATAAATCGAAGGATTTGCACCGCCATGTGGCGCAGCCTATTACGTCTTGCCAAAGCGCAACTACCTGATAATCCAAGTACATAACATACTCCCATCCTTTTCTTCTTTCATCTTTGTCTCTCTTCATCTATCAACTACAATCTAGAATTAACTGTGTACACTTGCTCCTCAATCCCAATCCAACAATTACCACCCCACTCATGTCCGCTTCATTTACCCGGCCATCGGGCCCGCCTCCCCCTCAGGCCCCCTCCATCCCGGATGGATGGAAGGCCCAATACGACGAGCGCTACAAGGCCTGGTACGTGAACTCTATACAAAGTCCAAAGTCCAAAGTATTGAAATTAACAATAAAAAAAAGGTTCTACATCGATCTCGCAACCGGGAAATCACAATGGGAAGTCCCCTCGACCACACCAGCCGCTGGCCCTAGCGATGCTCCACCGTCATACGACAGCGGGGGTCCCGCAAACCCAGCCATCGCAGGCGACAAGAAATCAATGGCTTCGAATAATCCATACAATTCTGCCAGCACCAACGTCAACACAGCCAGTACGGCTGCTTCGCCCAACATCGAAGATGACGCAAAGCTAGCCGCAAAACTCCAGGCTGAAGAGGACGCTCGCGTAAGAGGCAGCGCTAGTAGCAGCAATAGAGGCACGCCTGGTACTGCATCGGACTACTATGTTGGATCTGGATCTCCGCAGCCGGGCTATGCGCCTGCGTCATCGCCGCTGCCTGAGCAGCAGAAGTCGCGGAGCAAGGGCGGCTTCCTCAGTAAGTTGATGGGCAAGGCTTCTGGAAGTTCTTCTAGCTCGCACCATCAACATCACCAGCCTCGGCCGCAGTATGCTTCGCCTCCCCAGCAGCAGCAGCCGTATCAGCAGCCGTATCAACAGCCGTATCATCAGCAATATCAGCAGCCATATCAGCAACCTTATCAGCAGTATGCGCAGCCACCCGGACCTGGGTATGGTTATGCGCAGCAGCCTCACCGGAGGCAGGGCGGTGGTATGGGAACTGCTGGTGCTGCTGCATTAGGTGTTGGCGGTGGTCTGCTGGGTGGAATGCTCATTGCTGATGCGCTTGATGATCATGATGACTACGGTGGTGGTGGTGGCGATTTTGGCGGTGGTGATGATTTTGGCGGTGGTGATTTCTAGATTGAGATCTGATATTGTTTCTCCATTATGACTGCTTATGATTGGTTCTGGAATGGGGATTGTCTTAATTTTTCTTTTATTATGCTCCTCGGATGTTATTATGGTCTAGGAGTGATTAGCTAGCATTATTATTAACTGCTTCATGCTCCGATATGACTACATCAATTCTATTTACAGATGCTATCATTTTAACATCGATCTTATTTAGATGTCCGAATATAGATCTAAACTAGCCACGCTTCCGCGCAGAGGCAGTAATATCCCGACCTGTCGTACCACCAGGTGCCTCCTCAACCTTGGCCGTGGGACTGGATGTAGAACCAGCCATCCACCCGGCCAGATCGAAGCCATTCCCGGTCAAGGCATTCTGAGCGGAACCGACAGTCGAGGTACGAGAGTGTTGTTCAAATTCAGCTTTCAATTCGGGGTCCACTGCGAATGACTGTTAGTCTCGATATAAATGGGAAGGGAAAAAGGTCCACATACGGTTCTCCATCAAATAAGGCATGCCAAAGGTGAATCCTAGGGCGACGACCGCCATGAGAATCATAGGATTCTTGAAAAGGCTCAGGACAGAGACTGTACCAAGTATGTTAGTACTCCGAATATATCCGCATATCATCTTATCAAGACTGGGGGGCCTCATGACAACTTACATTTAGCTCGTTCCTCATAGAATCCTCTCCGACCCAACACTTTTGCACCAACCACAACATCAGACTGCTTCTGTCCTGCAGCAACATCGATGACATATTTCTCTGGCCCGCGGTTATCCCACGTATTTCCGCGGAATGTCTCCCATACACCTAGGACTGACCCGTCGGCAGCGACGTCGACGCGGTAGGGAGCGAAGATGTACTCGCTCGAGCGGATATCCAGCAAATAGGACTCAGCATGGCCGGGGATTAGGTCGGGGAATTTCAAGGCTGATGAGCGGGAAAGTGGTGCTTTGATGATGTGGTCGCTGCCGGAGGAGAGAGTGGTCAGGGTGGCATGAGTGGAAGCGGAAAGGGAATTAGGATTTGGGAGGATTGTTGAGGGAGGGATTGTGATGGTCAGAGAGGCTGCTGCAAGATTGCAGATCAACAAGAAGGCGAATAAGACCATGTTTAGTCAGTCAACGGGAAACACGGGTTAGTATTGGTATAGTGTGTAGTGGAAGGTTGAGTGGATGAACGGAGAAAACAGATAATCCGAGTGTATGGAATCAAAACACAGTCGGTAATAACAGACTTTACCACTCGATAAGGGCCGATGATCCAGTTTTTACTCCATCTTCTCCACTTTATAATGGAGTGTTCCGTACGAGGATAATGATCACGTCTGTTGCCTTAATCTGTAACATAATTTCGGGCTAAAAGCGTTGTACTTTTTAAGATTGGGATTATGTAAAAATGTACTGAGCACCGAACGGGCAGGTGAAGAACGAACTGCAGGATGAGGCGCATCTAGCGCCAGAATAGTAACCAAAAGTCCGCATCTAACCAGATATAGACGTATCCGATAAAATACCCGATGGGCGTCGGTAGGAGGCCGATAGTATCAACCGTATCCGCCCGGCGAACCTACGGGCTAGAGCTTTCGCTCTACCCTATTATACCACAAATAATAAAATAAAAAACCATTTCGCTACTCTCCCCCTGTGAGATTCTTCTCTTTCCTTCTTCCTTGCATTTCTTTCCATCCATCTTCCTATCTTCTTATACAATTCCACGTTCAAATCCCGCTCTAATACGCCCTCGTGACTTAAACCCCTCACGCCCATTTTGATTGGCTTGGCCTTAGCCCAACGTCTGATTCAGTTGGCACCCTTCCTTCTCTCTTCACATCCTCCAAGATGGAGCAGCCGGCCATGTCTTGGTCGGAGATCAGTGAGAATACCCTCATCACAGCCGGAGAAGATGACTTTTCCAATTTCCTCGAATTCAATATGAACTTTGCCGACCTCGAAGGGCACGGACCTTTATCACATTCCCAGCTACACGATCAGCAGCAACATGCAATGGTTCATCCGCCCACTACCGCTCCCGAGACTACGATGGCCTCTAATCCAGGGTCACATCTCCAGTATGCTGAGTCTATGGACGGTCTGGCCATGAATTTCGGCCACTCCCAGTCACAGCCCGGTCCAATTCCATATTCTACCCCGGACATAACTCCGGGCTTCTGCGCCCAAGACTCCTCCCGGCAGTCCATGATGTCGCAACAGCAATCTCAGCCCCAGCAGTATGTGCAGAGTCGCCAGATGATTCCTCCAACTCCCAACAGTATCGAGATGCACGGGGGTTCCATCCGCTATCCGCAGTCACAGCGAGTGGCCGAGAATTCTGAGATGTATGATCAATATACGCGCATGAACGAAGAACAGGTATGTCCAATCAAGCCATTTGTGGCTTTCACTAGTTATGCAGCACTAATCGTATGACACAGGCACTATACACTCCACTTATTTCCCCAGCAATGACCCCGCTCGAAAACCAATTCAGACTGCCAGAATATACCATCCCGGGCGAGTACTCCTTTAGTCCGCTCTCATCACCGGCACTTGAGGCCCAGAATGGCCGTCACGGGAGTAACACCTTCCAGCAATACCACTCCAAGCAGCTACCCGTATCTGATATCGGCTATCTACAAAACAATGCTGAGGTGAATCATCTGCCGGGAACTTCTGCTCCACCATCTCCTAGTATCATCCGCAAACCCAAGGCCCGGCGCACCTCGACGGTCTCCCGACTCTCAGGACGAAATACTAATAAGGCGAGACAATCGCCCTCTATTAGGGCACAGACGCAGCGGAGAGGGAAATCAGGACCCAACACCGAGGAGTTCTATAACAGCTTGTCTCAAGAACTGAACAAGCCGCACAATCATGATGTTTGCTCTATTCAAAATAGTAGCAATGAGGACTCACAGGATTCAGTTTCCCCTGAGGCTTTATCTGACCCATTGATGCCACCTCCAGCACTTCCTGCCCCGCGGAAGCCTTCCATAGGATTAAGCAGAACTACTTCCCAATCTTCAGGCACAGCCGCCACTCCAGCGACGTTGATGCGAATTTTACGATCACAACAAGCTGAGGACTCGCCAGGCCACTTCATTGGCAATGCACAACTCGAAATTCCAGATGAAACCATGGAAGATATCTGTCTCCCCGAGTCGGTTACTACACCTCAGACGTTGCGTCCAAAGCCCGTCATTGATACGAGATTACACTCCAATTATACAGGTAGCCCCGTAATTTCCGCGGCTGGCGCTCCATTCTTGAGCCCCGGGTCTGTATGCCCCAGTCCACGAACGCTCGCTATGCCATCTCCTAGTGGGCCAGTACCAAAGAAATCAGAATCATCGCGTGCATCAGGTCGGAAACGGCCCAGCATGAGTTCCACACATGCGAGCCCCCAATTACGGCCAAAAATCAGCCCAAGCATCCAGCCTCTCATGCGAGCCGGTGATGCAGGTTTATCGCAAGATGCACTCTACCTAGCTTCCAAGTCTAACTACCAACACATCCTCGACGGCACATTACCATCTGGCGTCTCATATCCAGATAATCTGGCCGAGAACCTAAGCTCCAAGCGCACGAATCACAAGTTAGCAGAGCAAGGGCGCCGAAATCGTATCAACACCGCCCTCAAAGAAATTGAAGCGCTTATTCCACCCGAATTTATACAAATCAGACAAGCCAAAGAAGCTGCCGCTACAGGGGTCACCCCTGCAGAAAAGGAAAAAGAAAAGTCAAATCAAACCATCAGCAAGGCCAGCGCGGTCGAGATGGCCATCGACTATATTAAGGATCTGCAGAAGAGCCTCGCTGAGGCTAATGCAAAACTGGCCATCCACGAGGCCAAGGCTCTCGGCGCTGCCAGCAATGGAGATACACCTGAGGTTATTGAAAAAGTTGAGCAATTGACCAGTAGCTCCACAACTGAAGCTCACTTATGACATTGGCTGGGCTTTGCTTTAATTTTTGCTTTACGTCGGAAGTGGCTGGTCCATGAAAAATGGCCGATACATCGCTTACATACTTAATACCTGTTTCGCTAACATCTTGCTGCATTGGGGCTCAGGGTGAATTGCGACTTCAGAATACTCCAATTATCATTATTCGCTACTTATCCCGCATGATATATCTACATAGACGATTACACGTTTTTAATAAATGAATTCAAAAATAATTGTATGAAGATTACCAAGCTTCTACCTCTACTTCAACAGTACATGTGGTCAAGTACATATATGGTCGATAGTTGTTAATGGTGTTCAGAAGAAGGTCGCCTTCCTAGCAGGAGTGTCACCAGTGTTACCAGCAGCAACAAATAACTTCTCTTCTGAATCACCTCATCCCAGTAGCCGGTTCTTTCTTTCAGGGCAGACGAAAGCATGGACGCAGCCAATGTCCTGATCAGGTGTGGATCTGTCGTTACCTAGCTATCCTTGCTTGTAGATAGATAACTGAAGCTTGCTAATCCTCTCTATCCTCCTTGTACTTTCTCCACCTAAATCATTGTGCTGCGGCTTTGTCGGCCAACCAGCCCGGTCATAGATGCCCTTCCACTCAAGATGTGTATATGTATATGTATTTTGGGGGTTTATAACGGCTGTGACTGGCATTCCAAAGCATCTTTTCAGTTGTGATCACCCGGTCTTCCAACATAATTTCTGTCTTGTCCATAATGTACTTTTTGGTCACTCCCCTCTTCACAGCAGTAGAGGAATGAAACGCCCTAATGCCACACCGATCGATTCCGTCGAGACGTACCGCTCCCTCATGGCGAGTTCGGCAGATTTCTGTACGTCTGAGTTTCGAGCTGGTTAACGATGCGATCCTCTGTACCATTGCTGCCTAGTCCTGCAATTGTAATACGAGAAAACTGCTGAAAACGAAACACCATTTCGCCGGGTGATGTCCCGGTGGTCGCTGATTTTCCGCATGGAAAGTGCGAATCAGTGCTGATGTTGTTTCCTCCCAGTCTGGATACCTAGCAATCCTCGGCGGTAAATCTGACTCTAATATCAATCAGCCTGTTAGATCGTTTGTCATGACATTTTGCTTGTGCATGCTATGCCGATGTCTTGCGGATGATTTTCAGCCTCGACCAACTTGAGAACAACATCCCAATAACAAACAACTAGACCTTCTCTGCTGATATTCCTTTTTATGTTGTAATTCCTCTTCCAATCCGCGTTGAAAGTGAAGATAGTGGACGGTAGATATATATTCTTTGACCTCGATATCGTCACTTGACAATAGTGCATCGATATATTTGTTTTTTAAGAGTTTGTGGGTATCTTATTCTTGCTCCCATGAATTATCCAGCTTTGCGACGAGGAGATCAAACTCGTGGAAAAGAAGATTCTAGATTCTTCAACATATCGTATAAATACGACGAGAAGACATGGATGGCCTTGCAAAATCGCAATCACTGACAAGTCGCCGAGCTGGTGGTTTTCGCAACGAATAGTGTGAACGATTAGTCAATCATTGTCTCTCTAAAATAATTGGCAGGATGAGAAAAGTAGGTGAAGTAGGAATATATGCGGTGGGAAGCCACCTTACATAGGAATATCTGGGTGCCTAGAGGTAGTAGATAAATGAGAGTGAGAGTGAGAGTGTATGGGAAAGACAGAGGGAAAGTGAAAGTGAAAGTGAAAGTGAAAATGAGAGTGAGATGGATACCTAGGTATTATCAACCGCAGATATTTACTACGTTGCGGCTTTTTTATAGGGCTAGTCAGGTATATGAAAGAAGCAGGCTCCTCTATTTCCAGAGGCTTCGAAAGTTCTCTTGAACTAGGTTATGTGGGTTGTTATTTGTTTGTTATCAGAAGTCACGGAAGACCGCTACCATGTCGTCCAGCCGGCTAATCTCCGTCAACAGCAAAGCTTCTCTATCGGTCCATTGTTGGAGAGTCTCGAGCTCATCTTCGGTCAGGAATTCATGCTCGTGACCTTTAACATCAGTTCGCTCAGTCTTATCAAGGAAATCCTTAATACGCTCGCGCTCAAATTTGATGCGTTGCATCGTCCGCGCCATCGCCTTGTAGATATCTTCCAAAACACTGCTGCAAATCCGGTCTGGGTCATAGTACCAAAGGAAAACAGTCTTGGTCGGCTGACGCTGTCCGTCCTTTGGCACCTCCTGCAAATCCACAAATCCACCGGCCTGCAAGGACGCTAGTGTCTGTCGCATGTCTTTAAGTGGAAGTAGGCTGATCTCTTGCAGAAGCTTCTCGTCCAATCGACCCTTGGAATGAAGGACTCGGACGACGCGAGTTGCAACGTCACCGTATCGTGCGTCGATCATGCGCTCAATCTCCAAATGCCGTAGTTGACGAGCTAGGCCGCGGAACTCAATGACCCACTTGATGGCTCCTGAGATATCAACTTGCCGGGCCAGGTTGTATGGAGGTGCCTCAATGAGCTTTAGATGCTGAGAGACCTCCCAGGCGCGGCTAGGGCCATCATCATCACTGGAAGTTTCATTGACTGTTACATTTGAGGCAGTGAATCCTCCCTTATATATATCGTGAGTTGCTTCCTTTTTTGTGCCATTTGCGGCACGCTTGTCGTGAAGAGGTTGATCGGGGTCTAAGGGTCCAAGACAGCTTGATAGATCAAGCTCGGGATCGACATCCGCAACTATCTTTGACAATTCAATTGGGATAGAAAATTGGTCATTCTCCTCGCCTTCTCGGGGAATGCCTTCGCCATCAGTACGGCAGCTGGACGTAAGGAATTCCACGCGACGGAGGAGGCATTTGTACACCTCGATTGTTGCGGGTGGTGCCTCCCCTTCAGCGAGACTGGCAAACCGGGAGGTTCGTAGGGCGACGTCAAATTTGGCGTAATTCACCTGAACAACTGTTTCAGGCTGGGAAGATATTAGTTCATTATGGCTCTAAAATGTGTTCATCGGAGTCCATTGTTTCGCTTACATCAAAGGGTATACCCTCGTCGTCGTCCCATTCGTTCTCCTCTTCGTCTTCATCTTCCATGTCATGGTTACCATTCATGTTTGCCATGGGACGTCCCGAGAGGTCAGATCTTGTTTTGTCAGCAATGATTTCTTTGGTTCCATCCAGAATCGTGTCTTCTAGTCTTTTTCCTCTCATTGCCTTGACATCAGGCCGAGAAGATACCTGTTTACGTGCCGAAAGCCAATTATCCTGGGGACTCTGGAAGTGTGCTTCTCGCAGGCGCATGAGATAGCCGTGGGATGCAAGAGCTTTGATCGTGGCATTAAGTGGTGCCGTCTTCAATTCCGGAACAGGCTCTTCTCCATTTTCTTCTCCATTCTCAACTCCATTCTCAACTCCATTCTCTTCTCCATTCTCGTTCTCTGCCTCGTTCGTATCAACGTCTTCATTCAGGGTCGCCGGTAGATGTCGAAGTTCGGGTATGGTTTCAAGATGTACGACAGAAGCATGTCCGAGGTACAAAATAGCTTGTACCACCTTTGTGGCATATTTTCCAAGCCGTTGCTCGACTATGTTAAGAATCTTTCCGGAGCGCAAAAGGTAGTATGCGGTTTGGGAATTCGCTTCATAGTATGTATTTCCGTCTTCAAGAGAGGTGAAGTGGTAAACCAGATGATGCTGAATCATAGCAACGAGGCCATTTTGCAGTTGACGATCGCTCAGGCCTGAAAGGAACTTCAATCGAGGAAATGGTAGACGCTCGTAGCGTTGTAGCGTTGTGAAGATGCGCTGTAACATGCACCGTTAGCTCTGCATTTACATTCAAAAAATTCAAGGCTCCATAGTGCTCTTTACTTACAGCAAATAGTTCGCCAAAATTATCCTCAATCAAAAGAGCACAGAGCTCCGCAGCGTTCTGTGCAAAAATGTTAGTTTTGATCGCAAATCAAAGAAAAGAGAGCTGGGGTTGTCGCATATACCTGGGAAGTCATCGTAGTGAATTTAGAGAAGTTGACTGTCTCCAGTCCTCTCTAGGAGTAATTGAAGTCACCGTGCCAGATTCATGGGAGACTGCAAGTGACAGCTACAATATGAGCAACCCGCGACACTTTTTTGCTTATCAGTCACGTGATAGATTATACTTTGACTTTATCATTGTATTTAGAAGTATTCCACCTTAGACTACCAACTGATTTCAAGATAATTGTAATCTGAGATATAAAATTATCTAATAGTCTATAGTTTCTCCAGTTGAAAAACATAATTGATCTCATTACATTAATAAAAATATATCAAATATCAAATGCTGTAATAAGAAAGTATCTCCGGTTCCGTCCGACTCGTCATAACAGCCAATCATAGCCCGAGTAATCAACCCAGCCCGGCATCTTGAAGCTTTTCGTAACCCATCTGTTTCCTCCGCCCTCAAAGCCTTCCCTCTCCAATTGCTTCTCCCCTCTTCAAACCCATTTGGGTTCCTATTGATTTCCTTCCCCTTCTTTGCTCCCGGCACAAAATGCTGTCGCGGTCTTCCCTTAGCCGCAATGCGCCGCGCGCTCTCTCCGCCGGCCGTCGGGCCATGGCCTCTGCTGCCAACCCGACCTTCCAGTACGACGTCTCCGAGGCTGCTGGTGTGAAGGTCGCCAACCGTGAGGTCAATGGTGTCACCGGCACCTTGGCTCTGGTGGCCAAGGCTGGTTCCCGCTACCAGCCCTTCCCTGGATTCTCGGATGCTCTCGAGAAGTTCGCTTTCAAGGTTGGTCCCGCTACCACCCATTGACTACCAACCCCGACCCCCAAATCACTAACTGAGCTCCTCTATAGTCCACATTGAAGCGCTCTGCTCTGCGTATCACTCGTGAGGTCGAGCTGCTGGGCGGTGAGATCTCAGCGACACACTCGCGCGAAAATGTCGTTCTCCAGGCTAAGTTCCTCGCCAACGACCTCCCATACTTCACAGAGCTCCTGGCCGAGGTTGCCAGCCAGTCAAAGTACACTGGTGAGTGATAACCTTTACTGATGTACTATGGGAAGACAAAGAAGAAAGGACCTTGAAAGCCTTTCACTTCCGGGTTTTAGCTTGGGGGGCTAACGTGAATTTTCATTTTCATATCAGACTACGAATTGAGCGAGGTTGTTAGCGATCTCCTCAAGCTCCAGCAGCAGGCTCACTCCGCTAGCTCCGAGTCCATTGCCCTCGATGCCGCCCACGGCGTTGCTTTCCACCGCGGTCTCGGTGCCCCCCTCACCCCCAGCCAGTCCACCCCTTACGAGAAGTACTTGTCTGGTGATGCTCTTGCCAAGTTCGCCCAGTCTGCCTACTCCAAGTCCAACGTCGCTGTTGTCTCCTCCGTCCCCAACTCTGCTGAGGTCTCCAAGTGGGTTGGTCAGTTCTTCAAGGATCTGCCCTCCGCCCAGGCTCTGTCCGCCCCTGCTACCAAGTACTTCGGTGGTGAGCAGCGTCTCCCCTCCAAGGCCGGTAACGCCGTTGTGATCGCCTTCCCCGGCTCCAGCGCCTTCGGCACCGCCGGTTTCAAGACCGAGTCTTCCGTCCTGGCTGCTTTGCTTGGCGGCGAGTCCTCCATCAAGTGGACTCCCGGCTTCTCGCTGCTGTCCCAGGCCACCCAGGGCTTCAACTTCCTCAAGGTTTCCACCAAGAACATCGCCTACTCCGATGCTGGTCTCTTCACCGTCACCCTGACCGGTGCTCCCGACCAGGTTTCTGCCGCTAGCAAGAACGTCGTCGACGCTCTTAAGAAGACCGCCGCCGGCGAGGTTTCCAGCGAGGATATCAAGAAGGCTATTGCTCTGGCTAAGTTCCGCACTCTGGAGTCCATCCACACTCTGGAGACTGGTCTCGAGGCCACTGGCTCCGGACTCATCCACGGCAGCAAGGCTTACCAGATCAGTGAAGTTGCCCAGGCATTCGATAGCGTCTCCGAGGAGCAGGTCAAGGCTGTATGTTCAACATCCAATTTCTTACACGATTCATCTGAAACTGACTGTTCCCTTTCTACTAGGCTGCCGCATCCTTCCTCTCTGGTAAGGCTACCCTGGTTAGCGTTGGTGACATCCACCAGCTCCCCTACGCTGAGGACCTCGGCCTGACCGTTTAAATCCTCTTGTATACCATACAACCCTAGACCGAGGGAAAAGCGTGTTTCCTCGTTTGGACTTGATGTGATCACTTGTGCCTAGATTCTTTGCCAATATCTCCTTTGTGTTTCAAGGTAGTTGACTGTAATACAATTGTACCTTACTTTATGCGTCCAATTAGACTTGGTCGTCGTAGTTCGTATTTACTCTTTGCCATGTTTATCGTATGATGACCTCCGCTTACCGGTGTAGATAGTAGTCCACGTTGATCTCTTTCTCGGCTTATTCTAGATTCTGCCCACGAGCTCATGTAACAGGCCGAACGAACCTGGGGATGATTCATGTTTCCGAGCTCGGAACGCCTTGACGGAGTAGAATCAATGGTATCCAAAAATTACTTCTTACTCAACAGGTGAAGAACCTTCTTCTGGTCAAACTCAAGTGGTCTAATTCTGAATTGTTTATCTATTCTGATCAACATTACAGTGTAAAGAAAGAGCATGGCACAGGCTAAAACGAGAAAGTCTAGAGATGAGAGAGACGTTGAGACGAAAAGGCCAGAGGAGGTTCCAGTAAAAGGTTCATAATCACGATTGCATTTCAGAGGGTATCAGGTGTCGCGTCTGGGACGTACTGTCCAGATAAATTATGTTATGAATGACGGCACTCCTGCCCTTCGACATCTGCTACATAGCAGAAGGGTATCTCAAACCTTCTCTAGTGCTTAGCGGTGACTTTATCGCCAGTCAGTTTTTCGACTGCTTCTTTGGCCCTGTAGAGTTGAGACGAGGTTAGTTCACTAGTCTTAATAAGAGAAAGGGGGTATGATGTGGCCTACATATCACCAAGAGCAACCATGCAGACAGTCTGCCAAATGCCCAGACCAATACGGGGTGCAACACCGCGGTAGAGACCGGCGAGACCGTTGTTACCGTAGATGTACTTGAAAGTCTTGCCAACAGTCAAGTTCTTAGGACGGTTGGGGTCTTCGGTCTTGCTCTGCATCTCGACACGGATGACCTCAATGGGCTGGTTCCAAGCGGAGAGACCACCACCAAGACCAGAGGCAAGGACCTTCTCCCAAGCAGAGAGCTTCTGGTTATCATCCTTGCCAGTGACCTTGCGGATAGCAGACTCTGCCAGACGGGACAGACCGAAGCGGGAACCCCAGTTGGTAGTCTGGCGGATAGCAACAGCATTGACACCACGGTTGATACCGCGGATGCCCTCCTTGCGATAGATATCCATAAAGGTCGCGAAGGTACCAGTGGGTGCAACACCGGCAGCAGCCATCTTGTGCTTGGTGATCTCCACAGTCTTCATGCAGGTGCAGAAGCCCATGGTGGCATAAGCCTGGGCAATACCACCGGCCATACCACCACTGATTCCACCGATGAACTCGCCTGCGCCGAATGACTTTGCGTAGAACTCTGCCTCGGAGGCGACGAAGAGGAGGACGGCGCCCTTGGTGGACGCCTCAATCCAGGCCCATGGAATGAGTCCTTGGTAGTCTGTGTTGGAGGGGTTCGTGTTAGCCGAGGTATGGTTTCATCGGGTGATTATGGGCTTTGTTTGGCTGTTGCAACCCCCACACTAGGAGGTAGTTGCATGGCATCGGAAGAAATTGGGAATTTGAAAGAGACGAAAAAAGGACGATACATACAACCGAGGATCCCACCACGACCCCAAATCCGACCCATTGCGCCGGCGAAGCTGTCGCCTCGGTTTGCGGCCATGGTTGTCTTGATCACTTCCAGCGGCTATTGACAGGTGTCAGTATTTACTTTCGATTGGAGCTTCCGGGTGTCCGTATAACGTACCTGTCCCAAGGTGGTGACCTCAAACATGTTCAGACCAGCGCCAAGCAGCAGGTTGCTGAACTTGACGGGCTTCTTCTCGAGCTGAGGCGCGGAGGCCTTTTCCGAAGTGGTAGACATCTTTAGTATGAAGGATACAGCTGAAAGGGGCCCTGACCAAGGGATGTATGGGGCTTCGTCGCCTAAGGGGGAGAAATAGGAGGAGAGAGAGGAGATTAGAAAGACTAGGAGCGATGTGAGGATATGAAGAAGAGTAGCAAAGACGGAGAGAGCAATAGAGAGAGATCTTATAAGGGAGGATCAACAAATTGGGTTCCAGTGGATCTTCGGGAATCGGGACAACGCACGGTTTGCTTAGTTCCCACTTATACCATTGGAGCCTGAGTATTCCCCATACCAGTGTTGCTTTCCCCAGTCTGTTATTACCTACGAAGTACGTACTACATAGTATTTCGCTGTTTCTATTTTTGTTTTCCATCTGTCCGAGATGCATAATTGATGAGTTATTGATAATTGCTTTTTGAACTGAATTGATCATTCTACCTACTACAATATCCAAATTTAATTTCCAATTCTCCTTTATATTACTCTGTACTGTTTTTTTTTTAGTTCGTGTGGGACCAATTTAAAGGTTGAGCCGCCCAACAATTCCTTATGTTCTCGATTCTACATGTATTTTTAGGGACGGGAGTTTTACTCTGTAGGTAAATGTGAAATTATCCACCTTGTCAAATACAACATTTTACTACTTCAATCACGATGATTTGAGGAAGTGCTGTTACAAGGCCCGCTCGAAACCGATCAAGTCCTATATCATACAACATAAAAATATAAAAAGTCACAACAGAGAAATAATACACAGGTCTAGACTAGTCCCGAAACCAATGAAGTAGCGCTAGTAAAGATGTCGCTTACAGCTTAGCTCCAACAAGCTTGGCGTAAGCCTCAGTGCTGAAAGACTTGGGGCGCTCAATGGGCATGCCAAGAGCCCGGTCAATGATCAGCTGGGGAAGGACACCCAGAGCACGGGAAACACCGAAGAGGACGGTGTAGTAGTTGGCCTCGGTCAGACCGTAGTACTGTAGGAGGACACCAGAGTGGGCATCAACGTTGGGGTAGGGGTTCTTGGTCTTGCCGTGCTCGGTGAGGACACCGGGGGCGATCTTGTAGACCTGGCTGACCAGCTTGAAGAGAGGGTCATCGGGCAGCATGCGGAGAGCGAACTCACGCTGGGAGACGTAACGGGGGTCAGTCTTGCGCAGGACGGCGTGTCCGTAACCGGGGACGACACGGCCGGCCTTGAGGGTGGACCAGAGGTAGTCGGTGATGGACTGGTCGCTAAGGTCGTTGCCAACAGACTTCTTCATCTCGGTGAGCCAATTAAGGACCTCCTGGTTAGCCAGACCGTGCAGAGGACCGGCCAGACCCTGGAGACCAGCGGAGAGAGAGAGCATGGGGGAGCTCAGGGCGGAGCCAACCAAGTGAGTGGTGTGGGCACTGACGTTGCCACCCTCGTGGTCAGAGTGGATGGTAAGGTAGAGACGCATCAGCTCAACAAAGTCCTTGTTGCCGCCAAAGCCAAGCTGGTTGGCCAAGTTGAAGGAGTAATCCTTGTCCTTCTGGATGGGAGCAACCTTGCCATCCTTGAAGACGTTGCGGTAGATCTTAGCAGCGATGGTGGGAAGCTTGGCAATCAGATCCATGGAGTCCTCGAAGGTGTAGCTCCAGTACTCCTTCTTGTTGATGCCCTTGGCGTAGGCCTTGGCAAAGGCAGACTCGTGCTCGAGAGCAGTGACAGCTAGTGAGAACTGAGCCATGGGGTGGAGGGTGCTGGGGCAGCGGTCGATAAGCTCCTCAACGAACTTGGGGACATCCGAGCGAGCGGCCCACTCAGCAGACAGGTCACGGACCTGCTGTTCGGAGGGGATCTCGCCGGTCAACAAAAGCCAGAAGAGACCCTCAGGGAGAGGCTCAGTGCCACCGGGAGCCTTGGGCAAAAGCTTCTGGATCTCGGGGATCTATAATATTCACATGGTTAGCTATGGTAGCTTCCAAGACGTTTCTGTCTCTCGTAGATACTTACGGTACGGCCGCGGAAGCGGATACCCTCCTCAGAGTCGAGGACGGAACCCTCCCAGACGAGGGACTTGATGCCACGGGCACCACCGTAGGCCTGGTCAAGGGTGACCTCACCGATGACAGTGTTACCGTAGTCCCTGGGATTGCGTCAGTGTTGATTTCTCGGAAACCTGTCGCGCAGGGAGAGCACGTTAATGACATACTTGCGGAGCTTCTTGACCTTCTCAATCTCGGCAGGGAGGTTGTCGGCGAAGGTGTCCTTCAGAGACTATCGGGGTTGATGGCGTTAATTGACGCGCTGGTGAAGCTGTGAAGCTGCGAAGCTGTAATGACAGTGACCTACCTTGGCCTTGGCCGAAGAATAGCAACGAGCGCCATTGATAGCAGCAGCCTGGACGGGCTTAGCCATGGAGGACCGCAAAGCGGTGGTACCAATTCGAAGAGAAGCCATATCTACTCAGTGTGTGTGTGAAGAGGGGAGAGTGTGGACAAGAAGGGTTGAAGGGAAAGAACACGGAATAAAAGGCAAAGGGAGACTGAAAGCATTTTTCCATTTGCCCGTAATACTGCCGGTACCGGTATAACTCTTAGTCTGGTAATTTTCAACTCCGCCACAGATCACAGATCACAGATCTCGATAGATCTAATAACTTGTTAAGAGAGAAGTAGAATCTTGAGGATGTAATGAATAGTTTATAGTGACTGAATAATGAATCAATGTCTATCGCAGCGGAAACATCAAATTTGATCTATTCAGTACTTCATAGATGATATTAAAAATAAAATACAATGTATTGTTTGAGATGGAGAATCTTGTACCCGTTTTACCCGCCAATGACGTACAGACAAAACTGCCCCCGAAGACGAGTTCCCGTTGGTTCCGAAGCCGGCTTTTGTATCAATAGGCCATTGGTTTAGTCATTGTCATTCATCTGATACTATCCTCATCTTTTACCCTTTTTGATCGAACTTGTATTTTTATCCTCCTTTAGTTCAAAGCATTCCGTTAGTAGCCGAAGCCTAAATAGCTCACCGAATCCGATACGGGGAAAGAAGGGGAAGAAGGGGAGATAATGTGGAAGAAGTGGAGAATTATAGTAAATTAGGCCAATGAACAGGTTAAGCTGGGGCTATTATCGGGAAGTAATTACAACATATATCCATGGATAGATCCACTGATGTAGCCGGGGGAACCGACATGACCCTACGTTCTATCAACTTGCTTATTCCTGATTCAATAGCCATTGAGGATTATTTATCTGTGGGATCTACTTAGTATATGAGCTGCGTAGGTATTGAGTGGTACTATTTTATGCTCAATTACTCTTTATTGTCGCCGAAGGTCTTGAAATCTAGTTGGGTACCTATAGACCTCGGAATTATTATGCTATGTCAAATGTTGGCATCTAATATCCCAAGGTCATTTGGGATGGAATCAGCTATTCGTGTGTAAGTGAGTAGAGATATGCTACCTTCGGAATAGATGAATACACATTGGATGATACTACTTAGGTATTCTTCTTTCCCCTGTTGATTTATATCCCTACGTTGTACCTTGATAGTGAGCATCAATAAAGGGCTCCCGAGGTCTATTCGGAACTTCCCATCAAGATTCTCACAAGAGAAGTCAGGGCTTAACCTCGCAAATAAGGAGGGATAAGTTATGGGATGATTTTCAGTTACTTCAGGCTCATCCACACGGTTCTTCCAGCTCCATATTCGGGATCACTCTATTTACATGTAGGGGTGAGTGGTCACAGGCATTAGAGAGGCGATTGTAGTTTCTGGACGGAGTTGATTGAATGTTGGAAAGTAGTGTGTGGACAAACCTATTGATAGTGGGTGAAATTACATACGTGTACCTGCTTACTCTGTAGATAAAATATGGAGGATTTGATAATTTCAATCTGAGATGCAGACCACGGTGCCTGGATGGATGGTTGCATCACACAAGACAGATAAACATGCACTACTCAATGTAAGGTTGTTGCAAGGTTCAACCTTGAAACAACCTTAGAAAGCCTTGACTATTCTGCCCCTTTCATTGCCAAGATCCTTGTACCTATCCAGGTAAACACTTCCATAAATATAGTCAAGTTGAATATGAGATAGTGTCACTTCGGATATCATTTCCGTCACTTTGCACTCACTTCTTAATACTTCTTACATAAACTAACTAGTTGGTTAATTCTGCCATATAATAACTCACCGCCTTATGGGTGATTACACAGATCATCACGTGATGTTGATCTTAAAGTGGCCTAGTGTGGATTCAAAAACTCTTCTCCTTCACCTTCCCCCTTCGTCTTCTCATCAACGTCGACTTACCTCAACACCTCGCTTCTGATCTTCTCATCTCAGACGAACTGTAAAAACCAGTTAGGTTTTTTTTGCTTTGGATCTTTGACACGCCCTAGTTCACACGTACTTGTACTTCAGGGCTCAACAGCTCTACTAGGCTGTAGTCACCACTGTGGTGAAAGCCAGCTGTAGTGAACTCTACACCATAAAAATTGAGATCCGCTTAATCTGTTATCGACCTTCTTTTCTCTTATCGACTGATAACACCTTAAGTCATAACACTTTTTGCCGGATTTAAACCCCTTCTGGAAAATCTCTTCCACAGTTTAGACCAAAATGTCTTCGGCTGTAGCGGAACTGGAGAGTATTCTCCAGTCCATGCTGGCTTTGAAGCCTCCTGGAGTCTCTGGCTCCAAGATACAAAGCATCACCACACTTTGCACAGCAAACGTTCAGGTACTACATCCCAATACCTCTCCCCCTATAGTTGTCTAACAAATATTTCACAGAACGAGTCTGTTCTCATTCAGAAAATCTATACCCACTTCAAAAAAGCACCTGGTACACACAAGCTTGGAGTACTCTACGTCGTAGACTCTGTAACTCGACAATGGATCGATGCTGCTCGCAAGGTTGCACAGCCTCTTGGTAGCAATGCCCCCGATGGTACATTCGCAGCTGGAGTGAACAGAGTGACTGAGCTTCTCCCCGTTCTTATGACGGACATTATATCCAGTGCCCCCCATGACCAAAAGGTACGTAACTAGACATGCATCTCAGCTGCAGCGGGTCACAACGGGCCTGTGGCTGAATACCCACGTCTCGAGCCTCGTACACAGCCCACGCTACCCCTCGTTTAAAGCTTGCTTTTGGCCTTGTAAGCAGTGTAACTTACAAATATATCTCAACATAGGAAAAGATCAAGAAGCTCCTCGATATCTGGGCTCGCGGCCAGACCTTCCCAGCTAGTCTTCTAGACTCGTTCCGTGAGAAGCTCAATTCTTCTCAAAGTAAGTCACGCATGATGATGCCTACTGATTGATTCCAATTTTGACCTCGTTCTCGAATAGATGACACCACGACTCCCACAGGATCTCCCCCACTGCCGGCCGAGCAATTCGCAGGAGCTGCGCAGCCTGTCAACGGTGCCGCCGCACCCGATACCTCCAGCATTCTGAAAGCTTTGGCAGACATGGCCAAACAGAACACCGCCGCCCCAGTCGCTCCTCCTGTCGTTAACCCGCTCGCAGCATTCACCCCTGCTGTCCCGCAGCCCGTTCCGTCTGCCGATTCTACCTCGCTACCCGCCGCAAATCCATATGCTGCTGTCAACACAATGGCGGGCCCTTTCGCTGCCATGGGTTTGGGTCAAGCACAGAACCAGGGCGTACCCCCGAATCCCCTGACTGCAGCCGCTCAAAATCCCCTTGCTGCAATGCTTCCCCAAGCAGCTGCCGGTGCGATGCCGGATGCAAATGCCATGGCCCAGCAGCTTCAACTCCTACAGATGCTTGCTAGTCAGGGGATTCCTCAGGACCAGTGGGCTGCTGCTCTGCAAATTTTCAGCATGACAAACTCCATGGGTGGCGCTCAGATTCCTGGTCAGATGCCTAACTTCAACCCCTTGCAAGGACAGGCACCCGTGGCCTGGCCTTCTCTTGAAGGTCAGAACGAGCGTTCTCAGGATCGTGACCGCGAGTACAACCGCTCCCCCGGCGGCTATCGCCGCCGTTCTCGCTCACCTGGCTGGGACCGCCGTCGTGCCGCTTCGCCTCCCCGCCGTCGCGAGAGCCCCGTCTATGGAGAATACGGTGACTCTCCTGGACGTCGTGGAGGCCGTCGAGGTAATGAATATCGCCAACGCAGTCCTGTTGGCCGTCGACGTCTGTCCGCTTCTCCTCAACAAAAAGACCCCAACCTGCCTCCCCCTGGTCCTAAGTTCATCGAGTGGGACTATTCTATCGGTCAGGGCTGCATTAAGGTCCTGAGCCGAACACTCTTTGTTGGTGGTGTGACATCAAGCGAGGAGAACCTCCGTGCACTTTTCAACCAATTTGGTCTTGTCCAAACTTGCATTGTCAATAACGAAAAGCGTCATGCTTTCATCAAGATGATCAGCCGTCAGGATGCGATTGCCGCCCGCGACGGCATGGAGACATACCGCTCGAGCGAGATGCAGCTGCGTACCCGCTGGGGTGTCGGTTTCGGCCCTCGTGACTGCAGTGACTACCAAACTGGTGTCAGTGTGATCCCCATTCACCGTCTTACCGAGGCTGACACAAAGTGGATGCTTAATGCCGAGTACGGTGGAACTGGCGGTCGCACCATCGAGTCTGGCATGGTTGTCGAGGAGCCCGACATTGAAATCGGCGCAGGTGTGTCTTCCAAGGCCATCAGCCGACGCATCGCAACCGACACTGGCGGCCGTCGTGGCCCCATCTCCACCCGTCAGCCCAACGACCGCGGCTTTGGTGGCAACCAGAACGACCGTGGCTTTGGCAACCAGACCAATGATCGCGGCTTCGGAGGTGGTAACGATCGCTTCGGCGGTGCTCGTCGTCAGGATCGTGGCAACTACGATGCACCTGCTGGCAACCCCGGTGGCCGTGGCACTCCTGACATGAACGCCAACAACCCAAGTGTCCCCCCTCCCGTTCCCGCTTACGGTTTTAACTTCCCCGGAATGCCCATGCTACCTCCCGGTTTCATGATGGGCGGTGCTCAGGCCGCCATGCCCAGCACCCAAGCCCCGGCTCCCGGCCAGGGCAATTAATTTTTTTTTCCACTTGCACCATCGATTTCTTTCTCTTTATTCCTCAAAGCATCATTCTTCTCGATATCATGGCCCCGAGGCAACCGGCGTTTTGTTGGGTTGGCTAGCTATATTGACTAGCCAGATAGGTGGCGCGCAAGGGCGGTTTTTTGGGGCTTTGGGCCCTGCTTGGATCTTCTTCATTTCTTTTTTTGGTTTCGTGAATGATCTTCATATGGCCGAGCTGAGGGGGCATTTCCATCACAACACTCAAAAAGGTGGTTTTTTTGAGCATTGGCCCTTGGATCTTTTATTTCTTATTTGGTCCCGTGAGTGATCTTCATACCTAGGTATGGTCAAGCTGAGGGCATTCTCATAACACCGCAATACCCTACAATATTCAAGAATCACGATTCAGTACTACGTACACACTTTTCCTGCTATCGTTATCGTATCTTGAAGCTCTTTGATTCGGCTGGCATCTTGCCCTAAAAATTGCTTTCTTTTTCTTGTCTTCATATGACCTTTATCTTCTATTCTCTCTCAAATTGTGTAATTAGTAGTCTTACACTTATTCCGTACGCTTTAGCTATTCAATTTCTCAGTACCTACCTACTAGTTTTCCTATACAAATCCAGAAGCCAGCTCCCATTTATTTCATAGATAATATGAAAAAATGGTGAGGCGGCACTCCCAGATGAGAATCCCTACATGCTCTCATAAGCAGGTCTTGAGCGTCATGTAAGACGACAGGGTAAAAACAGATACTCTGTGGACTGCCATATAAAACGACGCAACCTAAGATCAGCACCCTAGTTATGGGCCCTAGTTTTGAACCGAAAAGTGAATTATTAATATTTCAAAAATCATAGAACTCTTGGACAACTACTGGCTGTGTTCTTTGGATTCTAGACGCATCAATACGTCTACCAATATAAGAAGTAACGCATTGATTCCGTTGAATAAATTTTGATAGCCACGCTTTTCCAAGGGGTTTATGGTCCCTACCAGATCGTAAAACGCGGACAGCCATCTCACGCGCACGCGAATGAGAAGGAGGAAATCTTTGGGAATTCTGTTGAATAACCCATTCAACTAGAAATCTCTCTTGGTCTGGAGATAGTCCTTGATAATTTACGTGGCCGGCGCGAGCATTTTGTGTACCATTCGTTCGACCTTATAGAGTGGATCTCGAGAGGTTGTAAGCAGCAGCAACAGCTCTTACTGATGAAATTCGATCTGATTCTAAATCAGAAATGGCAAGAGATATTTGGTCTTCATTCAGAGGCATTTTTGACCGATGGTTGTATTACATAGAAGTGGAGTGGCGTGACCGCCTGGCTCAAAACTAGGGGTGGCCCAGAACTAGGGTGCTGATCTTACTTATAACTCATGTCTGCATATTATTTTTCTCCCACATTTTGAGACTATATACCACAAAGGTCGCGTGTTCAACCCTGGTTTAAGTTTTTATTTTCATTTTCGCTTTGTTTTAAGTCTATTTAATTTTGACTCTTTTTTTTTTTAAAAAAAAAAAGCCTGTACATAAAGATTAACTTGAAGTTATGGTTGATCGAGGTCTTTCCAAGGTTTCCAAAGTTAGTTTAGGCCTCCCGAGATCCCGCAGTCCACCTGTTCTAAAGTTTATCCACTGCCAAGACCTTACAGGCATTTGATAATAGAGTTGGAATCTACTTTCAAAAAAGATAGAATTTTCTGTACGGAGTACCCAACGATCTTAATCTTCAGTGTAACCGGCACTACACTATATGAGACTCTAGATATGGTAGCATCTGAAATAATTGATTACTCTAGTGTGTAATAAATGTAAGTAGGTTGTGTCGTTTTCTACCCTGTCGTCTCACATGGCGCTCGAGATCTGCTTATTCCGTTGTCGTATTGTGCCGTTTTAGTGTATACCAAAGTGGAGTATAATGTATAGCTAATATTGGCTAACAGCTCAGACCGCTTTAATAAAATAGTAATGCCTACCCACTAGTATCTTAAGCAATGAAATGGACCATTGGAAGTACGTCAAAAATACTATTATGATTATTTCGTGTACGCGTTCACGATCGACTCTACTATTAGATTCAACATGAAATTTGACATGGAACTCGAAGACACCCAAGGTTATGCTTTATGTGGCAGGATAATAATGTTGTTACTGGTTTAACAACTATTCATACTATCACTAAAGGTTCAGACTGGATCACACGCCTTCGAAAACATCCTAGAAAAACATCTACTAGTGCCAATATCACTAGGTTAGCCTTTAATGGCGAACCTACAGCGAAGCTTGATATCCCTGTTATCATTGATGATTATAATCATAAAATGGGGGGTGTTGATATTGCAAATCAACTCCGTGCGAGCTATGAGACACAGAAGAGGTGTCTTCGCTCATGGTGGCCGATGTTTTTCTGGCTTCTTGATGTATCTATTATTAACTCTTATGAGTTGATCAAAGCTGAGCAGTTGAAGCAGGTTATTCTGAAAATCGATCTTATTACCAAGAAGGAGTTTCGTAAGCAGCTCTATTTACAGCTCTTCAAACTTGGCAAAGAAGAGCTCAACCCACGACCACAACCTCCACCTAACATATTATATGAGGCGGTTAGACTTCCAGGGAAAGAAACTGTCTATGGTGTGCTGAACAGACATAAATACAGATTCAGAAAAAGAAGCTAGAGCGGTCTCCTCCGAGAGCAACTCTTACACAGTGGGAGTGTGAGCTTTCTCAAGTGCCCTTATGTCGGGATGATAGTAAACGGGGCTGTTGGAAAAGCTATCATAGATTTTAATTGGCTAGAATATGTATCAATCTATTCCTTTTTCGGATATAATCATGGAGACTGTATTGGCAGAAAAAGGGCGCTAAAACGGCACAATACGACAGCGGAGGGGATATCATAGTTGGGTACTCGCCTAGGGGAAGTCCTTGGCTCGGTATGTCGCTAGTACTAGAAAGGAGCTTGAGCTTGGGTTTGTAGGGGGGCTAGCAGTTGATTTCTCGTCGTATAAGAAGACATTGGGATAATACGAGACTACTGACCATCGTATATCTTTTAATTCACAACTAAATCTCCAATTTTTCCCAATGTTATTATATACTTCTTGACTCTACTTGTCTTCTCACGATGAATCTGGTCTTGTAGTGAGTAGTATCATTTCACAACTGAAGCAACCCACTATCAACACTGAGGATATTTTCTTTATAATTTTTGATGTGGGTTTTTGATGCCAAGCCAAAGTCACAGGTATTCTCCTCCAACAGATATTCATAGTTATGTTCATTATGAACATTAATTAATGGATTACAAGATGATTTTTATCATCAAATGCTAAACATACGGGCTATATTTAATGTTTGCATTATTAGTCAGTAAAATCAGTAGGCTCTGGATTACAGTGAATATGATAGCTACAAACAATGGATAGAACAGATATTAGTACATTCTTTATCGAGTTTGGGTATCATTAATAGCCCTCTTAGGACTAGAGAATTTAAAAACCCATAACGCCAAGGCATGCTTTAAATATGTCACCTCGCCCTTGTATTTCAAGGCTGTGCTCAATCACTATTGTAAATATTGGCATCGTAGGTCCCGTTGGGAGGCCACCAGTGGTCCTCCTCATCATGGCTGATGGGACACTCTTTCTCGAGTAGACTTTCCTTCTCGAGCTTGCGCTTTCTGCGTTTCTCTTTGCGCTCTTCTTTGTGTTGGGCTTTAGCTTCTTTGGCCTCTCTCTTGAGTCTTTTTACCCTTTTTTCACGTTCCTCACGGGTCTCCAAGGTGGGCTCAGGTGAATCGCCAGTGAGGTCGATCACTTCCCTGTCATTGTATACTATGATCCCAATTCCAGGAGCTTCACTAGGCACCTTTTTCTTTTTTCCTTCGCGGTTAAAGTGTTTCTGCTTGGACTTCACCTTCTCAGGAGTTTGGACGATTAACGGATGAACCTTCTGGTCCGGAATATCAATGAACTCCTTGGGAGTATTGATCTCCTTGCCACAGTCGGAAATTGCACGCTTTCGCTTGCGTTTCACGGACGGTATATAGCCAGTTGTTAGCACTGACTCAACCTCTGTGGATGGGATTGGGGCAAGGGCTGAAGGCCGATGGTTTCGGGCCATGGCAATGGCCAGGTTGTTCTCTAATTCACTCTGAATAGTTGTATCGATCCCAGGTCGATCAGGCCATGCAAGTCCGTGAAACTGGCGAACTTCATACTCTGGGAGCAAAGGAGTTTTCGCTAACTGCGCCAATGGTGTATTCGGCTTTCGAGCCCAAGGGGCATAGGGGCCTTTGTAGTTCTTCGCTTGACCAGCTCCGAAGATCGGATGAACGAACAGTTCGCCTGATGCTATTAACTCTCGACTGGCTTCGATTCCAGCCATCTCTGACTCGGAACTGGTGGTCATTGCTGCAGACTTGAAGTTGAATTGCGTTGGCTTTCTTCCTGATTTCTTGTTCGTATCTTGCGCATTGAGGTTGAACATGGATGAAAATACCCAAAGACCTCCTCCGTGGTCGCCAATCAGCAACTGGGTTTTGTCTTGCGAAAAGACACCACTGGAAATTCCCTGTTCGATGCTAGCCTGGTTGGCAATCAGTGCATTCTCAGGAGCCTGGCGAATATCCCACTGTTTGAGATATCCGTCCGATGAGCCGGTATAAAACTGGTCTATGCTGGCTCCCCACTGTGCAAGAGTAACACCAAAATCTGTAATTTCGCGAGGATAGGCTGGGTCAATGGGATGGAGAGGACATCCGTGCTGAAGTTTATGAACAGTCTTCGTATGATAGCGAATGTCCCACACGTATGTCGCGCCATCGGTGCAACTAGCGGTGACATAGTTGCTGCTCATCGGACAGAAGGTTAACTCATTAATGTCTCTGGCTGGACATGCGAGTTTCATGGGTCTTTTATCCTCGCCTGGGTTGTAGTCGTAGACATTAACAACAGAGTGCGAACCCCGGGGAAGAACCATTTGAGGATTGGCCGCAATGGCAGTTGCAAATCGTGGCAGGCTAGGATGCCATTTGATGTCAAAGACATTTTGCGAATCTGGGACCAATTTATGCGACGTGACATCTGATTCACAGACTCGCCACATTTCTAGGTGACCTCGCTCTGAGACTTTGTAATCGTCCGAAATCTTTGCTGCCATACCCCCAACCAAGACGTTGGATGTTGATTTGATCTCTCCCCATGCGAGATTTGTTGGCTCCAGATCAATGCCAGACTTTTGACGAGCCATACGATGTATTGGCAGGTATTGTTCTGTTGGATTCTCACCCTCTGGCAAACTCCACAAACGAAACCCCTCCGCACCAGTTGCGAGAATATTGGGATTTCCCTTTGGCAGGGCCATTACCAAGACACTTGACGCATGTTTCAAAGTTTGAATACAAGCGGGTCGGTTCTTTTCATTTTGACCAAGTCCAACGTCCCAAATTTTGACAGTCGAATCGTAACTCGCAGAAAAAAGGCGATCTCCAACCCATTGTGCAGCGGTGACACTCGTGTAGATGCGCTCATCCATACTTGCGGAGGACTCTGGAGGGACCCAATGATCAGGGATCTCATATAGAGTGTTATGAACCAGGTCTCCGACAAGAAAGTTGTTCTTGCGATTGTACGCATCGGATGGAGCAGTTGCACCTGCGGCGAATTGCGTGCCATTGGGCGACCAAGCTAGTGAAATGATATCGCTGGAAGCACTCTTCCAAGATTTCCATAACTTCAAATTCGACATCATTGAACGTTGAAGATGCTGACCGGCACGACTGTTCTTACCGATGGACCGATCCAAGAGTAGTCTCGAAATTTGCGCATCAGATAGGGCTGAGCTGGGTGTCATTTTTTCAGATACGGGCTTTTCTGAGACTTCCGATGGACGAACAGATGCATGCCGAGAAGGGTGAACAGAAGCATTTTGATACGGACGGACAGATGTATGCCGGGAGCTGGGCTGTGACTCAGCCGCAGGCTCAGGCCTGCCCACAGAAACCTCTCTTTCAAGTCCTTTCATGGATTGAGTTTTGTCATACATATTGTATGTTTGCGGGCGGGCCGTGGATCTTCCAGAGCGACGAGGATGGGAGTCCATGAAAGCAGATGATAGTGTCGTGCTATGAGAATCTGCAGTTGAGGCCCGCGCTCTGGTTGGGAGTGATTCAATTGAATCAGTTTTATACTCCGTCGAAGGCAAGACATTGTCAATACCGCCACTTTTGACAATGTCAGGTTTAATTGTATGGAGAGAGGTTGAGATGGGAGAGCTCAAGTGATGAGAGCTGGCATTTGTCACAGAATTGACCATGGCAGGTTTAATTCCATGGCGAGGAATAGATGTGGACGGGTTTGAAGGCGTAGAATCTCGGATGGGGTTGAGCGTGTGAGGAATGCCAGGTGCAATAGTATAAGGTGATGTATGTTTAAGAGCATTAGAAGACGGAGACTCGGTATCGACAATGCCAGGCGTAAGTACGTGAGCAGGAGCTGAGCTAGAAGAATTCGAAGATGCTACTCCACCAGCTGGATGAGGCGGAAACCATGTATCCACCCTGGTTGCAGTTGATACCGGGAAAGATGTATGACCATGTGTAACATTCGTCGGCACGGCTCTAGGACTTGTCCATCCTGGAGTGTGTTTCGCAAATTTCAAAAGCAGTCTTTCGGCTTCTAGTAGAATAGAACGGTCCTCCTCATCATTGAGGGAATTTGAGCTCGATTCCGTAGCTTTTTGCATATTCCGTGCCATTACATCTTCAGACGCGCCAGAAGGCGAGTCTAAATGTTGAGTACCGTAGCTTATGGAGCGTGGTCATGAACAGGTTAAAATTTAATCGAAAATGATCAAAGATGCGCGGTCGGAAACTGCTCCCCCAACGCGTCGGACCTTTAGAAGGTGGGGCCGCCATTGGGCGGTAACAGAGGCGGTAGCCTTAGTCAGGTCAGGTGATCAATATACAGAAGCGTTGTTCGACGTACCCTCTATAATCGCGTCAAAAAGGTGGCGACCGCGAGATCTCTCCGAAAACCAGCTAATAAGGCTTTGTATAATATCCAGGAGAAAGCTTTGTTACGCTGGATTGTCCAGTTGAAAAACCGGAATATGCCACCAACACCAAGGCTGATTGAGGCATGGGCAAATCGCTCGCTTGGAGATACTAGCCATGTTAGTAAGATGTGGGTGTATCGCTTTATTAAGTGTCTCCCTGAAGAGCTACAGCTAGCTCCCAAAAAGTAATATACCAAGGAATCAAAACGAGTTCAGGCTAAAGATATAGCCTAACTAGGCCATTAGTATGATCTACTTGACGTCGTCCTTCGAGGTATGCTTTTATTCTATACTTACATCAAAGCTACAGAGAAGTCTTACACGTGCCTGCCGCCATTCTGAACTACTTCCAGAAGAGCTTCAATTATATAAAAAAAATATAGTTGAGAATATCGGGGTTGCGCAAGAACCACTCCGCCGTCAAAAACTAGACAACTAAGTCACAACTTAAAGGACCGCCGCTTTTGGATACTGGTGTGTCATGTGTTCGGGATGCCAATCGCTTAATTACAACCAGGAAAGCTAAAGAAGATGCTATAAAAGAGAGGAAGTTGACAAAAGAGCATAAAAAAGATATGGTTATGAACCTCAGCCGCCGCCACAGGAGGAGATTGAGATAGATATAGCGGAAGAAAAAGAGGAGGAATCAAGAGAATCTGACTTAATGGCGGCGATAGAGACAGATATGCTCTATTTTGAACGATGCGGCGTCAATGTATGGAATAGATAGATAATCTAATGGAATTGGCGATTCCGGTGTGGCTCACCCACACACGTTCCTGTGTGTGATATTGGTATATTTGTACTTTTTGTACTTGTTGGGATATCGGATAACGACACCCCGGCTTAGACCACATCACGAACCCCTGTTCGGAGTGCATCAAGCAACAGCCTTGATCAATATGCATACAAATAAGATGTCCCGTCTTCACCGGCTCTCCTATCTTAGACGATGGAACACATTCGTCTCAGACAGAAGAGCAAATTGTAAGATAAATAGCTAGTCCTCACCATGAATGAAAAGGCAGATTTTACAACTACTTCAGAGACACAAGATATTATAGGGGCGTAGAGCGCAACCTGTAATAGGTGTTAGAAGTGGGCGTTAGCCTATCGAATAGCTATTCCACACTTGATACAGGTATGATATATACAATTTCAAATAGAAAGACGAAGTAGTCATGTCGAAAAAGAAAGATATTGCTAAGATACACCTACTAATTGGCATTGGTAACAGCTATGACCAATGATTTTGTATTGAGGTCAACCCATTCCGGGGCCATTCAAGAGAGCGATTCTCTCATTCCTATCATTCCCGTAGTAGATTAATCTTCCAATGAATATGATCAATATCGGAATTGTTCAAGCTCAATTAAGCCTAAGCTAGCCCCGTAGATTCACTTGCGAATAGCACCCCGCTTACGCATGGTTACCATTGTTTCATAGAGAACATCCTTAAAAGCAAAGAGGAAGGCAGCAGTAATGGCACTCTGGGTGACCTTGGGTGCAATACCTAACACAAGAAGTGAGTTAGAGCTCATGAGAAGCATTCTTGGAGTAACTTACCCTTGTACAGACCAGTCCATCCCTCTTCCTTAATAATGCGCTTGAAGTTTCCATTCAGGCTCAACTTGGAACCATCATTGCTAGCTACGTGCATCTGGCTCTTAACAGTGATGTAGGGGTATGTAATGCTGGTAGCCATGATCTTGCCCAGTGCGCCGAGCAAAAAGGCATCTCTCGGGGTCATGCGTCGACGGCGCTCAACCACATTTTTCAACTGTTCGAAGATAGTGTATTGGAGAATAGGGTTGATAACCAGAATCAACGCGGGAAGAACACCTGCGAAGAGAGCAGCGGGGCCCTCCTGGCGCAACAATTCCATCAAGGTGCCAAAAGTTGATGGTTTGGTCTTCTTGGGAGCACCAGGGAGAGCCTCCTCTTCTGAGTCAGACTTGCGGGCTGTCATGCGAGTGTTAACCACCCAGATCGGATTGGTGGTTAGAACAGTGGCACTACCAGCGATTGCACCAGCGATAATAGACTCGACAGTTGTGAGTTTCTTCGAGGTCCGGCCAGAATTGATGGCCGCCTTCTCGAAGGCTGATCGAGTCCATTCGTACCAGTAGTAGTACACAAAGTTGGTGACGCTAATTCCAAAGAGGGCTGACTCTAGACCCGAGAAGAGACCTGCAATTCCCTCACGTTGGACGATGCGACGGACAGCATCGAGAGTAGAAGATTGCGCACGCTTGGATTCAACCTGGGCTCGTGTGGACAGGGTGATAAGAGGGTATCTGGTTTTATAATTAGTAACTAGGTCTTTGGGTTGACACATAAGAGGCAGAAGCCTACGTCAAGATCATTGACAAGATACCACCACCCGAGCCTGCCAGAGCATGTGCGATGTTATCACTTTGCTGCACGGCCACAGATGGCGCATGCTTCTGTTCACGTTCGGACATAGTGGTAGCTCTACGGAAGGGCGGGGCTAAAATGCGGAGTGGAGATTGGAGAGACCTCCAGATTCAAGATCGAAGGATCAAGATAAATGAACAAATTCAAAAGGAAGTCTGAACAGGTCCAAGGAGAAAACGGTTTATTGAAGTATTGGAGAGAGGTGACGTTATGTCGATTGTACCTCGGCTCCTGCCCAAACATTTTTATGTGGATTTAGACGCGGAAAGATAGCCCCATCTGGGTTGACCCTTTCCCCATAATCTTTCATATTCGAGTTCCAGCAGATCAGACTAAAATAACAGCTTTGGATACAGTATAATTTAATCTAGGACTTTTAATTCATCTCACCTTACTGAATAGTATACTTGCTTACTGTGCTATTACGATATTGAAGTGGTTTGCATGTGATCAGTATCTAGCGAATGCTTGGCCTTACTTCACAGGGATAAATCAATACTACCAATACTATGACTACTATCTACATTATTTGAGAAGGGATTGAAAGTCCTGGTTTTACAAATCAAGGGTGATCGCAGTATACGATCCCAGAATAAAGAAGAAACGTTCTCGCCATTAATCCATTCGAGAAGAGATGAATCCAACCTACAAGAAAAAAGGAAAAAGACACAGAACGAAGGGCCAAGATTGTGATACGGCCAGAGAATGGAGAAAAAAGGAAACACCGTCGGTAATCACTAAGCAATCGCAGAAAGAGAACGTAGAGCCGTCTAAAGCACAGGGGAAGAAAAAAGAAAGGCTCTCCCGGAGGGAACCTCGTGAAGACGGGACATGCCTCGTCAGGTCCCGGGTTGTGTCAAGGTTCATTAGGGTGTGAGACGAAGCTGTCATATACCACGCCGTTTGGAAACCCTCGTCCATGTAACATTGCGCCGAAATGGAAGCACCGTCGCCACACGATCACATCTAGCAGCAGCCGCCTGCGGAGCCGGACTGGACACCCTGACCTTGGCCAACCTGCACAGTGGGCTTGTTGTTGACGGTAGCAGCCCCCATACGCTCCTTAATCTGTCGTGCCATTGTCAAGAAGGCTTGCTCGACGTTGGATGCGTTCTTGGCGGAGGTCTCGAGGAAGGGAATTCCAAGGCTGTCGGCGAACTCCTAGACGATAGAAAAGATGACAGGTGAGCTGATAGCCCGGATCGAACAATACAAGCGGGGTAAATTATTATGAAAATATGGAGGGGACAAACCTTCGCCACAGTATATTCGACCACCTTCTTGTCCTCCATATCACTCTTGTTACCAACAAGAAGCTTGTTGACTCCCTCAGTGGCGTATCGGTCAATCTCCTGGAGCCACTGCTTGACGTTGTTGAAGGAGTCCATGTCGGTCACATCGTAAACGACACAGATGCCGTGGGCGCCCCGGTAGTACGAGGAGGTGATGGTACGGAAACGTTCCTGGCCAGCAGTATCCCACTATTTGCGCCATCCAACAATCAGCCATGGGAAATTCCATCAGTGGAGTGTGGTTTCAGGGGGTATATCATACAATCTGAAGCTTCACGGTCTTTCCATCGAGTTCAATAGTGCGGATTTTCTGGAGGGGGCGAATGCATCAGTACGGGAAGTTCCCACTTTCACAAGCCCCGCTGGAGTCGGTATCAACATACAAAGTCCACTCCGATGGTGGAAATGTAACTTTCAGTGTAGGTGTCATCAGCGAAACGGAGTAGCAAGCAAGACTTTCCAACACCGGAGTCTCCGATGAGGAGGAGCTTGAAGAGGTAATCGTATCTATTTGAGATTAGGTCAGGCCGATCAACGAGATGGAAACTGCGATCGCGATGAAAATCTAGAAATAAAAGGAGACACTAAAAGGTTCATAAATATGTCAGCTCATATCTTTTGTAAACAGCTTGTTATCTGCTCTAGATGATGGACATGAATTCTGCTGCCAACAACGGGAGATTAGAACTGGGAGGGGTAATATTTTCAAGGACTTACTACTCGGGATTCATGATGAAAGGTTGTTGAGTAGAAAAGGAAAATGAGATCAGGGGGAATATAGCAAAGAGAAAATGTAAGAGATGGGACGGGGTAGACGAGGGTACTGAATGATGAGGCCTGAAATGATAGGAGGTGCAGGTGGGCAGAAGCACCTGATGTGCAACTTTGTTTCATGGTCGTAAGCTGCCGCTTTGAATTTTATTTAGAAACACTCGAATACTTCTATTTAATATCTAACGAGATTAACTCTTTAATCCTTTAATATATCGAGAATTCAACATGCTTTCATTTTCTGAATACTTATAACCAAATAGGTGTTAGAAGTTTCACCCCTTCCCACCTTGTGGGGGAGTTTCATGCTGGCAGGTGATCTACCCACGTTACGATATCTGGAGGCTCCACTTGACTGTCATTCTACAGTTACTAGTGATATCTGATGTCTCTCCTTAGACATATTTATGCGCCCGCAACCATTCAAGAACCAACTCCTCGTCACGCTCCTTGTATGACGAATAGGTCCGGATGTTATCCGACACAATGACGAGCGCACGAGCGTAAGCCGTGGTGTCCTTGTCCTTGAAGAAGGCAGCGATGTCATCACCAATCTTGCGATCAGCGAATTTTGACAGACCCACGCGGAGGAATCGCTCGCAAACAACGTTGTTCGAGGACAACCGAGCATGGACTGTGGTCCAGTTGGCCTTGATGTACTCCCAGAGGAAGTGTCGCATCTTGGAGTTGGCTGCGAGAGAACCTGCACCACTGTGCATGTCTTGAATGGCCACATGGTTTGAGAAAACAAAGTCCAGATACTCATTTACAAGAACTGGGTCTCTGGTGCGTCCCATAGCAGAGAGGCAGATCTCCTTGCCATCCACAGAAGTTGTACGTAGATACTCATCCTTGACAGCCTCGAATTCCTTTCGACCACCTTCTGCCACGTTAAGGCTGTAAATTGCCCCACGGAGGTTAGTGTGCACGGCAGCCTTGTCTTGGCCGGTAGCCCAGAGGTCAAAGCGTCGCTTAGATTCCGCAACAGTGCTAGAAATTGGGTTAATTGTGATCCAGCTTCTCGACTAAAATTGTGACTCACCTTTCGTTGCCAGCAGTACCAGCCATGGCAATGAGAAGCTTGCGGAGTTGGACGACAAGGTAGTCTTCATCAGCCTGGAACTCCCAACCAATTCGCTCGGCGGCTGGGCCAACCAGGCTCTTGGTGAAGTTCTTCAGACCCTTAGAAACATCTTCGTTCTGGGAGAAGACAGAGCGGAGATTTCCCAGCGACGAAGACACCTGAGACCAAACACTATAATAGCAATATTAGAGACCAAGTTGAATGGTGAAATAAGACGACGTGATTTCTTACAGGGAGCTTTGCTCGTCCTTGAACCCTTCAAGGAGGGCCAGCAAGGCGGGAGTGTTGCCCTCGCCGGATACGGCCAGAGCAGCAGCATCACCCAGCAGGCCAATTTTATCCTCATCGCTCAAAAGGCCAAGGGACTGGCCCAGCTTTTCCAGCCTTGCAAGGGGATAGTTTGTTCGATAGAACCCAGCCATGTCCTTGTTGATCTTATAGAAGCCATCTGAACCAACACCTTGAACGGTTTCAGACTTGGCAGTCAGTGCACGTGTATCTACGGAGGCCAATCTCTCGCCCGACTTGATACCAAGGGGAATCCACCAAGTGGTCTCATTCTCTTCTGGCTTTACATCACCGGTAGAGAGGAATCGTTTCTGACTGACACTGATTTGTCCAGGTTCCTCGGTCACAGTAACGACGGGGAAACCGATCTTGCGGATCCATGGATCCTTGAATTTCTTTTTCAGCATTTTCCGACGGCAATTGTTCAAATTTCATAGAGACTTACCATGAAGGCTTGAACATCCTGGCCCGAAGCCTTGCTCAAAGCAGACCACAGGTCATTTGTTGTTGCGTTACCTTTTCACAATGAAGTATCAGCAAGTTGTCTCTTGAGCTTCTGCCCATTGTTAAGAATGGAAAGGAAAAGAAAGCTTACCGTATGCGTGAGACTTAAGATAGTCAGCAACACCCCGCAGGAAGGTCTCCTGACCGAGGTGAATGCTCAGCATTCGGATGACTGAGCTTCCCTTCAGGTAGCTAATGCTGTCGAAAATCTGGTCGACTTCGAGGGCATTGCGGACGGGAACTTCGATCGGGTGGGAGGCTCGCAGCGAATCGAGATGGAATGCTGTTTCGACACCCTCAGTCTGTGAGAAATGTCAATCGTGATCTAAAGAGTCGTATGTACCTCGGGAACTTCTAACCGCAAATTGACTGAACACATTCCAGGATTTATTAAAGTGGTCTACGGCAGCCCATCCAATACTAAGAAAAGTAGTAGTTAGCCCCCAACAAGCATATAAATTTCATCTCGGATATACTCACAAGGTGGCAAAACCTTCATTGAGCCAGAGTTCGTTCCACCAGTCCATGGTGACGAGATTGCCAAACCACTGATGAGCCAGCTCTAGATAATCATTGTCAGATAAAAGCAACCCCATGAACTAGGACCAGAAGAATCTTACCGTGTGCCACGACATAGGCAATGCGGTTTTTGTAGCGATTGTCTGATTTTCCTTCTTCAAAGAGGACAGCAGTTGTTCGATATGTGACCAAACCCCAGTTCTCCATAGCTCCCATAGCCTAAAAGCACCCTAGTCAGTTAATCATTTCAACTTGATAAAACACTTGGCCAGACAAATAACCCACAAATTCATGCACTGCCAGAAGATCGGCCTTGGGAAGCGGGTACTCAATTTCGAAGATCTCTGAGAAGTAGTCAATGGTCTTGTGGGCACATTCCAGGGCCAATTGACCCTGGTTCTTCAAACCTCGAGTCGTATAAACACGAACAGGAATGCTCTTTCCTTGGTACTTGCGCTCTGTCATAGCCTCGACATATTCGAAATCGCCGACTGCCCAGGCCAAGAGCTGCACGGAAAAACATTTCGTTAGTTGCGTGCTGGTTGAAGTCGATCGCCGATGTACTCACGTAGGTGCTCATCACGGGTGTCTTGTCAAAAGTGACAAATTTCAACCCGGCATGGCTTCCCTCCCTCTCTGACTTAATGGGCATGTTGCTGAGCGCTGTCTGGCCCTTGGGAATTTCAATCTCAAAATCGAAAGTGGCCTTCAGGTTCGGCTCATCAAAGCAAGGGAACGCCCGGCGGGCATCGCAAGACTCGAACTGAGTGCTCAGCATGTAGTGAAAGTCACCCTCCTTGGGTGTATCGGCAGATGGCTCTACAGTAGGCAAGTACTTCGAGCGGTAGAAGCCGGCCATGGCATTGTTCATAGTACCGGTGAAGTAAATAGAGAGGACGACATCGGCAGGAGCGACTTCCTGTGCAAACTTCAGAGAAACACGTTCTTGCTTCTTGTCGTAAGTGATATCGTTTGTCTTGGTGAGCAGAGTGCCTAAAGTTATAGGTCAAGTTCATCAGCGAGTCGATCCAATTGTATAGTTTGTTTGCTTATATCACTTACCATCCAATGCTAAGATCTCAGCACTTTGCACCTCAATCTCCTTTGAATTCAAAACGATCTCTTTTGTAGTTCGGATGACCTTAGTGTCGATCTTCAGGTCGCCCTTGTAACCCCAGGATCCACTAAACTGCAAATCGTAGAGCGAGACATGATAATTGATTGGCTTGGCCCTGTAAATCAGTTAGCTGGTATTTTCATGGAGCTCACGGCTATGATGTAGGAAACGACAAAAGCTACATAGCGGGGAAGAGCCACTCACACGTCAGGCAGAGTCTCTCTGTCCGTGGATGCCATGATTCGAGCTTCGGCTGAACAATATCGGATGTGTGAAAGACTGGGATAATTCCTGGAAGCAGATATCGGGAATCGTGGGCGAGGGGATCGAGATGAAGTAGAAAGTGAAGAGATGAAAGTGAAAGATGAGGGGCAGACTCGGCGGAGAGCGACGGTGTGCCGGCTCGTTACAGAGACACCAGCGCGTCTACTCGCCGCGATGGATCTCCCCCACATCGGATTTGAAAGAAAATCAACGGTTACTGTCGGGCACAAAGTAGCTATTAGATTATCAATTGAGTCACGAGATCTCTCTCCCTAGCAAATGTTTTAGGCGATAGAAGGATCAAGTTTTTATCCAGACGGAGCTCCGTCGGAGCTTGGACCCTACTTGCGGCTTTAACCCAAGCAGTTCCGCGCTTAGTATCCATGACCTTTCAACACTTCGGCCGAGCCCATCTCCACACCAGCCATGGCCGATTCGGATGAGGACTATGCCGGTGAGGTCACCGAGGATGAGGATGACCTTCAGGTCAACACAGGTGGCGTGAGCACTAGGAAAAGAAAGCAGCGTGGAGGCGCAGAGTGGGAGCTCGCCAGAACCTGGGAGACCTTAGTCGAGGGCGCAGATGGTACCATTACCTCGACTGTCGATGGATTATTAGAGGCTGGAAAGCGCAAGAGGTGAATATTCATTCAATATCTATTTGATAATCAATTACTGAACAACTCCCTGCAAAGGTTGCTAAAAGATACGACTCCTCTGCAGCGCGGCATTATTCGACATCTCATCTTAATCCTCGATCTTTCCCAGTCAATGTCCGAGAAGGACATGCGCCCAAATAGATACCTATTGACTCTTCGCTATGCCCAAGAGTTTGTACGGGAGTTCTTTGAACAAAATCCCATTTCCCAGCTCGGTGTGTTGGGCCTTAGAGATGGGCTTGCCATTCGAGTCAGCGAAATGAGCGGCAATCCAACCGAACACCTTACAGCGATCCAGGAACTCAAAACAGAAGATCCTAAGGGTCTTCCAAGTCTGCAAAATGGTCTTGAGATGGCACGTGGTGCTCTATTGTGTGTATACAGCCGACAGCTACGAAAAATCTTACGCTGACCTTGCGATGATAGTCACACTCCCAGCCATGGCACAAGAGAGATCCTTGTCATTTTTGGCTCCCTTCTATCCTCCGATCCTGGCGACATCCATCGAACAATCGACACATTAATCAGCGACAAAGTCCGAGTCCGCATCGTCGGCCTCGCCGCGCAGGTCGCTATCTGCCGCGAGTTGTGCACCAGAACCAATGGAGGAGATGAAACAGCATACGGAGTGGCGCTTCATGACCAGCACTACCGGGATTTAATGATGGATGTAACCACACCCCCCGCCGCATATTCACAAAAACAATCGTCAAGCTCATTATTGATGATGGGGTTCCCCTCCCGCACTGTGGAGGCAGCCCCTTCTCTCTGCGCATGCCACTCTAAGCCCTCTCGTGGTGGATATCTCTGCTCGCGATGTGGCAGCAAAGTGTGCAGTTTGCCCGCCGAATGTCCTTCTTGCGGGCTTACTCTGATTCTTTCGACCCATCTTGCACGTTCATACCACCACTTGTTCCCCCTGATCAACTGGAATGAGGTACCGTGGCGCCGAGCCTGGCGTAGCTCTGCCTGTTTTGCTTGTGGTCTGGCATTCCCCTCTGTGCCCCCAGAGGATCAATGGCAGGCCGCAGAAAACCAGACAAAAGGAATGAGTGTGAGTAGTCGCTACGAGTGCACGGCGTGCCATAACTATTTCTGTATCGATTGCGATCTTTTTGCCCATGAAGTAGTGCATAATTGTCCAGGATGCCAGAGCAAAAGCACTCGACGGTGAATAGTCCAGCATTTGAAACTGGGCACTACAAAATTTCTTCGAAACTGCATAGATTGGCGTCTTTCTGGAGTTGAATTTAAAAGTGAGTACTGCTAATATAAATGACCGCTTGTATACTTGGATATTCATGTATGAAGGTCTGCCTCCTGTTTCAAAGGCTCGAAGCGACACTCAAACGTCGGGATATCTAGATAATCATCTAAGTGTTGACAGTAGTGCCGACTAGTCGACTGACTAGAGAATCAACCTGTTGAATTAGAACTAGTTTTCAAGTCAAAATGGTCGGATGTTTCGAAGGCCTTTGGTACGGAGCCCTTTATCCACTATGAATCCATGCCTGAACGCTGCATATGTACTCCTAATGTATGTACTGTTTTTTCTCTGTCAGTTCTTGGCGGGAATTGATAGGGACACCACAAAATAAAGCTTATGTTAGGATAGAAGTACGAGGTAAATCGAAGAGAATCGAAGAAGAAGAAGACATAAATAGAGAAGCTGACTGGACTTCAGAAAGTCAGCGATTAACTTGGTTAATTACTACAGCTACCAATTGCAATCTACTTCTTTCACTCTGATCATGGCACTTCTATTACTCCTAAAGGAGATCATTAACTACACAATGCTTCAACTCAATCACCCATAGGCTTATCTTTATTGGACATAGGAAGCAACGCCGTTTTTGCAGACATCATAGTCCCGGCGGTGCTATCAGTGGCTTCTTTCATATGCGTCGTCACATATGACTAGTGCTGAGTCTGGTTGGGCGACATCCTCTCCGCACCGCGTATCATGTGCACCAGAATTCCAAGCACATCCGAGTAGCTCCGAGTCAAGGTAGTAACATCTCGGGTGGTCCACTAGTCTAATAGTGGTTAAAAGGCTTTATTCAAATAGAAGTTTGTCTGGTCACATACCTGGGACTTGTTGTTTATTTTCAAAAAAATGAAAATGCTGGTCATCACAAGCCATGCCGTATACTGTACAGTCACGCTTGTTGTTGTCTTTGCGGAGGTTATGAACAATCCCTTATATAAAGCGTTAGATTTCACGGTGCTAAAGATGTATTTAAGCACTTACCTATACATCCTAGACATTGTATGATTCCGGTGCTTGACAAACCTCTCATATTTGCCTCTATAATGACCACATTCACGCCATGTCCTCGACCTTGCCATACCAGATAGAGTAATCCGGCCGACCAGAGAGGACGTATCTTTTGCTGGCATTAACTACCTTTGGCTTATAGCTTCAGAGCACCTATGTCTGATAAGAGAGGGCAGTTGACGATTTAGCGATATCATAGGCATACGCAACCAATAGGTTCAAGGTCTATTGCACGTTTGATTTCTTTCGTGCTGATAATTTCAGGGTAAGGTCGACCTTGCGAAGCACACTAGCTATGTAGTTTATTTAGGTCAGTATTATTTGATGCCAATTAACTCAAGGCCTACTTACCACAATCTCCTAGAACGGGATAGACTTGTATCTCCGAGAGTTCAGGGTCAATCTCACTCTCGCATGGATAGATATGAAGAGTCGTTATGTCTTTCACCTGGATGGTGATGGCAGCTTTGCTATCATCCGTCACAAATTGCTGCAAGTCCTTTTTGGTCTTACGACCTTTGAAGAAGTCCAAGACGGCGTTCCGCCATTTATCATTTCCATCGAGACAGAATCTGGAAGTGGTATATTATTGGTATTGAAGACAACGCTGTGGAGAAGCTTAGAAGTGGAGAGTACTCTGAATGGTTGAAGGATGTGGAGAAGCTTAGAAGTGGAAAGAACTATGAATGGTTGAGGAGTGGAGAAGCTTAAAAGTAGACAATTCCGAATGGTTGACATGGAGTGTGGAGAAGAGATTGATAGTAACTAAATCTGAATAAATACTATTTAATTCAAATCAAATTCAAATCAAGTTCAATTTGTCCAAGTCTAACTATTGCAAGTATATCCCTAGTGTATGATCGTGCTTCCGCCAAGTTTTAGGCATCGTCCGTATATTACGGCCTTAGCTTCATCAATTACTAATGCTGATAGATTGCCTACTTCAAGTACTACTTGAATTGTATTATTGGTCAAGACAAGGGAATCAATAAGATTGTGTATGAGTTGTGGAACTTGAAGATCTTTATAAGGCGGGTGCTAGTGATATTGAATAGAAAGGCGGAGGGTTCGATCAAGTAAAGACGGCTGTATAAAAAGCTTACTTCCACAGGGAAATCGCTCTATACTAGTGCCGGTTCGTAATCTTAATAGTGTTTATCGTATTTTCTTCGATCGAATTTAGCTTTTCGTCGTAACAAGGCTTCATGGTTTTAAGGAGTTTTCACAAGAACTTAGTGATGTAGCCTCTAAGTCTGTCAACTGATTAGTGTCGGTCAACTACATTAAAAGGACAGGGTTCACACACTATTTATACAAGAAAAGGGAAGAAGTCGTCCTAGATTCATGATATATACGTTATGCAAGGTGTGAAATATGTTCGATTCATCTAGCTAGAGGTGCTAGTGGAAGGTAGGAAAGTTGACAGGTCGCTCAACGCCTCACTTCATGTTCTCAGAAGTATATATTAAAATACAGGATCAAAACAATAGTGGTTAGCACGTGCACGAGTATAATCCAGCCCATACCCTTATTCACGTTCCTTGGTTTCTTGTCTTCTGTTTTCTATGCAAAGTTAATGTCCCATACTGAGCGAAAAAAGATGTAGAGTGAACTTTGCAATTGAAAGGGCGTCCAACAGCTTTACTGGACATATGTTGACAGCTTGGTGAACAGTCAGAATTTCTTGCGCAACTTCCCTTTCGAAAAGATGTCGCAGTCTGTAAATAACGTGTATAACACTCAGGTTGCCGGAAAAAGCAGTGACTATTACACATGTGACGTTTTTACGCTATTGCCTCAGCCATCTGACGCTGGTGCAGTAGCTTCGGAGATGTTTGAATCCTTGCTTTTTTCCTCCTCTTGGTCGGATTTTGGTTGTGTCTGTGCCCTTTCTTGCAGCTTTTGAATGAAAGCATAAGATTGCGCAGAATACTTGCAGCGCTTTCGAATGGCAGCACCGTACTTGTAAAACAGGAAAGGGAATGGAACACAGGCCAAGGATAAAAATGCTGGAATCGAGGAGGCCCAGTGAATACCCAGCCCTTGATACATATAAGTAGTAAAAAGGGGGAAACCGCACCAAAGATTGACCGCAAGACTGAATTTGCTGCTAGAACCGAGGCTGCATAGATAGTGTACGCGTCAATCAGGTAGTTCATAACTCCCAGAAAAACTAGTACTATACCAAATCCGAATGGGACGCCAGCAACGATAGAGACCATGAAGTGGATTGACGGGGAGTTTGTCCATGCAATCCAAAAGAGACCTACTGGAATCGTAATCGATGCCAGCATGGTTGGTGGAAGTCTTGCCTCTGGAGATGCAAACCCACCATGTCTGCGCTGGTTCTTGATGTACCGCTGATTATCGAGAATTGTATATACAAAACCAAGTAGCATACCCACCATGATCCCGAGGAAGGGAAGGGCTCCTACACCTTGATTCCAACCCCGAACCTCTTGAACACAATCGGATACGCTGCAAAAAAAGCATAAACAGTGTGCCATAGATGATTGCGATGTATAATGACAGTAAAAAGACGATAGGCTCCCGAAAAAGGAGAGCCCATGGACGTGATAACGCAATTTTGAATGACTTTCCAAGATTGATTTTGCCTTGGTCAATTTCTGGCTTACTGCGATATATTTTGCCAGTCATTTGAGACAGTTTAGCCGCACGACGGCGGAGCATCGGGGCATAGGTCTCAGGGATAAGCAGAGTACCCAAAATCCAGACGACTCCAGAGAAAGCCCCTAGGAGACCCATCACCCATCGCCATCCTGCATTCATTCCTAGGAAACCCCCGACGATCGGACCGATAACGGGGCCTATCCATACCATGAAGGTCAGCCAAGTTGAGTCTTTAAAAGACCAAGAATTGTCTCGTTCAACCACCGCGCAATAGGGGACTTACCTAAAAACGGCATTGCTGCGAATGTGCCCATCGCAATGCCCCTTTCTTTCGCCTCAAACATATCTGCAATCACACCACCTGCATTTGTCAACGGTGATGATCCGAACGCGCCTGCAAAGAAACGAAGGATGACGAGTGTCCAGCTGTTCTGTGCACCTGCAGCACCGCAGTTAAAAGCAGTCAAGGCAAAGTATGTAGTGGTAAAGAGCACCTGTCGGCCGAATAGTTCACTGAGTGGTGCCCACAGTAGAGGTCCTGGGTAGGTGGCCTATCAGTCCGCGTTTGATGTACCCCAGGATTATTGGATGGCTAAAATTACCTATTGCGAAGCCCAGCACAAACAGTGACACACCAAGTGTCGCCACCTCAGTACTGATTTGAAATTCTTCTTCTATTTCAAAGACACCACCAGTGTAGGCCGAGGAATCCAGCGAGACTGCTAAAGCCGCAAGGGCTACCAGCATCGTGATTGTCCATTTCGTCAGCTGTTTGAATCTCATTGGGTTTCGCGGGTCATTGGGAATCCATGTCACCACAAAAGGATCCTCTTCGGTACCCTCGCCGGAGAATGGGTAGTCGATAATCTCTTGATTAACAACATCTTGCTCGACTACCAGCCGCCAGTAAGGGATCCGGGTGATTCTGGAAGACTTATGTTTCTCTGCCATTGAGGGCAATATTCAGATAATAAGTTACAGATCTGCCGTTAGTCTAGACTGTAAGAATGATCGGGGAATTGATCCTGGAGGTGAGGGTTTATGATATGAGACCGGGAAAAAATTGAGAACAAAAGAAACCCTGTGGCCAGATGGCTCCTAAATAGATTATTATCAGTTTACAATAACACTCGCCACCCCATTGTCCTTGAGTTATTTGATATGACCTGTTCCCATTAGTTCGGAGGGTCAGTCAGTCAGAGGTCGAATGCGCACACCACACTTGGGACTTTGTCACTCTCCTTTACGAAGCCCAGTATCCAATTTGAAATCTCCCTTTCATCAGTGGATAAATACTATAGACTGCCAAAATAGTCCAAGTTGCTCTGGAGAAGAGGTATTGGAGCATTCAAGTGAGTCTAAGATGAAATAGTTCGAAGAGTGTTTGATTGATGCTTAACCTCGACCAATTCCCTGCGTCGCATTTATTGGGATTGAAATCAGGTGATCAACAGTGATGAAAGGTCTTGTCTCCATTGACTGTTCCCTTTCTCTCTTTCACCTTCTCTCTCCCCTTGGCAACTACACAGTGTCCCTCAGACCCTCTTTTCTTTTACTTTTTTTCATCGCTTGATAGCAAGGAATGCTCTCGGAACACCTCGCGCAACAACGCCGACGGAGAGACAAGCTTCAGTTGTCGTGTAATCCGTGTCGCCAGCGGAAGTAGTTACTTCCTCGCCAGTAGCCTCTATATGTCTCTAAATATTTTAGAGTACGATGTGACCGGAGTAAGCCCTGTGGAAATTGCGTCCGACGTGGAGAAAATTCCCTCTGCATATATACCACTCAATTTCGGGCCGTTTCTCGCCTAGGTAGGCCTGGATCAAATGATTTTGACGACCGAATCAATTCACTGGAGAATACGAACACCCCGACCGAACAAAGCACCTCCCCCATGGCTAGTTCAATGTCAGTCGACATTCCCTCTGTATCGGATACTCAACCGTCAATTGAAAGCTCGTGCGGGCGTATTCAAATGAAGAGGGATTATACAGAATATGTCGGAGGAGCGCATTGAGCTGTCATTGCAGATCTCGTGAGAACCTTGCTACATCGATCTAGCGATCTAAACTCCTAACCTCCGGGACCACAGTTGCCAGGTAGCCAAAGGAAAAGCGAAGACGAGGAGCGGTCGTCCCCATCGCCCGACCTACTCCTCGGGCTATACGCATGCTCTACGACCCAAAAAATGTTATCGTTCGTGCCACCGAAGCTAGAAGTGGACCGGTTAATTTCGAAGTACTTTAACTCATTAGACTTGGCCGCATTTACGTGTTGATATCCTACATCTTAAGCTAGTGCCCCTACCGCGCGCAGAATGTGAGTAGTGTATAGTAACTCATCCGTCCGATCACTAATAAGAGCATTATATAGGGGTTAACCATGCACCTACATTTTACGAAGAAGTTTGTTAATCAGCCCCTCTAGTCTTTAGAACTTGTTGCTAACCCTAAGCACCGTTAGTATCTACTATTTTGGAACGATCCAACGACAGTTACTTTGAACTGGCTCAGTATTCTTTTTAGTATGATGTGCTTAGCTAGCGCCCTCTTAGTAAAATCCAGGGAGCCTCTAGCTAAGGATAACTTGAAAGCGGAAGAGTCTGTCAATTTATTTCGATCCTGCAGTGCGCAGCGTTTGCTTTTGAGTGATTACACTAAAGCAGCTATATATACAGTCGACGCAATGCTGTTATATTTTTACCGTGAGCTATTGCGATTTAGGGATACTAATTTTGGGCTGAATATCGTACTCGCAACGATTATACGAGTCGCTATGAGGATGGGCTACCATCGTGATCCTTCTAACTATCCAAATATCTCTATATTTGCTGGCGAGATGAGACGGCGCGTGTGGGGCGTCATTATTCAACTCGACATCCTAGTATCGCTTCAGGTTGGCCTACCCCGGCTAATCAACGAAAGTGGCTCCGATACCAAAGAGCCACGAAATATTCCCGAAGAGGAGATGGGTCCGGAAATGACTGTTCTACCTGCCTCGCAGTCGGACTCCAGTGGCGCAGTTCCATCTTATATGATATCAAGGACAAGGTTGGTCTCTGTTCTAGGATTAATTCAAGGCCATATAACATCGGTCCACCCGATGTCTTATAGAACTGTGATCCAATTACATGAAACATTGACTTCTCAACATGACGCTCTGCCGACAAGCTTGAAGGTTCGAAAATGTCCTCTTGTCACAGATTCTACGGCGGTAGTGATGAGGCGCCTGTCATTAGACCTCTTGTTCCAAAAATCTCGATGTGTGCTGCACCGGCTATATATGAAACCGGAAAATCGTTGGTCTTGGGAGACGTGTATTGACGCCGCTCTGACCATCATTTGTCACCAGTCTTATGTTTATCACGAAACCCAATCAGGTGGATTGCTAAGCGGCCATCCATGGAAAATCATCTATTTATCGACATATGACTTCCTCCTTGCTAGTATGGTTTTGTGCCTTGGACTTCATCGAGGAATCAGTCCAGAGTCGGGTTCTTCTGTAATAGGTCTAGATTTGAATAGCCAGAAACCCGTAGCATTACTGAGTGCGATTGAGGATTCATATATGATTTGGGCGGACTGGTGTACAGTGATAAAAGATACAAAGCGAGTGCTTGATATTGTGAAGATCATGCTAGATCGAATGAAACAGGCGACTTTAGGATCTTCAAGAGACCATCCCAGGCAGAACTCCATGAATCTAACTATTGTTCCGGAGAGTGACTCGGGTATGATAATGATCCTGTGGCTCTGATTGGTGTTATTAACTGGTTTCTTTTGTGGATCTAGGTCTATCTTTTTATGATAATACGTTCCCATTAACGCCATGTGATCTGTTAAATACGACAAGCATCTTTCGCCCCCGGCAGATAATATAGGAGTTGTTTCTTGGTCTCATGGTCTTCTCGACCCACTGGATGGCTTTAATTGGGTAAGTAGTGCACGCCTTCTTTTTTCACCACCTAAGTATCTATTTAGATGCCCTTGTATAGTTCTTTTTTCAGAAGCTTACTGACATACTTCGTCAAGGAGTCGTGGGATAGCCACTTACAGGAAAACGGAATCTACTCACAATTCTCATCAACTGATCACTTATTTTGAATTGTATACCATACATCCGTTTTTGGAGATTGGACATACAGTACCACATCGAATTTCACAATTCTTCCTCTAATCTCTCTTCTCTCTTTTCGAAGATGAATACTCCCGACAATGCGGTTCAATGTTTCTCTTCTGCATTTGATCTGTTATCCCTGTATCCACTAGAAAAATTCAGGAGATTCTCTGCCAACCCTGTTGTTTGGCCAACAAATATTCTGCTTCGAGTACTAACGTGACCGACACCAGTGTTGCCTCTATCACACGTAACTCGCAAGGAAGACAGACCCACTAGTATACTCCGCCCATGACTGCAATCTAGCTTGTTTTCGATCTTGTAACTGAACACACGCGACAAAATATGATCGTCATCAACATGCGCACAGTCTGTATGGGGGCTGTGGCTCACATGAAAGATTCGAATATAATCGTGCTGCATCAGCTCCTGCAAGTCAAAAAGGTGAAATAGAATAGTATGTTCCCAAATCAGGATGTATGAAGATTCATCCGATGGCCAGTCGAAGATGCGCAGATCTCAGGTACTGAGGACGTACCTATTCACAATATCGACTTTGGTCGTCCGACTGAAACCCGAATTCGTGTCGTGAATATGATTCTGTGTGTAATGCATTTAGGTGTTTCCGTTCATGGATCGTTGTGAAAGCTAAAGGGACAGTTAGTAGAGACTCTTGTCTTTTGGATTGCAGCAGATCATTCCAGCCATATAGATTGTTTCGAGGCTTATAGCATGTCTCTTCCATGAAGCAGCTCGTATAAATGCGATAGTGGCGATTGGCACCACTCCCACTGGTTGACTATTCCCCCTATGCTACGTCCATATCCCCCACGGCGGGAGAAACTTCACCAAATTTTTGCTTAGACATGAATGGAGACACATGAAGCTTCTGACCGGAAATACTCATGCTTAAGGAGCAGTCTGATTGTCTCTCAGTGCTTTTAAAAGCCCCGCAGAAGTAAGAATACAGACTCCTAGCCAAACATTAGCGTGCTGGAGGTTCAGAATATGGATTAGAAGTATATTTTAGCTACTTACGTGTCTTCTGGGAAATTGCCCTACCTATGTGAACAATTTCCGGGGGCATGCCCCGCCATGACTTGGGAGTGGTTCTACGAGTCCATTGACTGTGGTCTTACACCGAAATGTCCCGGAGAGTGCATAGCGTACTTCATGCTAGAAAATTTGCAAAATCCGAGGACTGCATTTGTATGTTTGGTGCGATAGATACGGAATATCATATTCGTAAGAACGCGTCATATGTATTGTTTGTTGCCCAATGTCTGGGATCACAGGGCTCTATGCATGGGACTTTAGCCAAGGCTCTACCAACCCATGGGTTAGGGTAAATAATGCGTCGGTAAAGAATAGAGAGAAGAAACCGAGAGGAGTCATCGTCATTTTGGTCTCTGTTCAAATTAATGTCAGGAGAAGAAGGCTCTAGAGGTATTTCAAGAGGCTCTAAAAACGCGTTCTCAGGAAGCATATCAGCCAATAATTCAGGTTCTTCTTTAGGCGATTGAATGGGCGATTGAATGGGCGATCCAGCTATAGATGAGCTAAGGATTATGTTGTCAATATCCATTATGAAAATACTAGAAATCGCGTCCAAAAACACGTAAACAGAGAGTGGTGAAGAGGGTGTTGTAAATAAACCCATGATGCGTGGTCTTTAGTTCAAAAATAGCTCAGTAATAAATGATAGCCAATTATAGTTTCAGGTTTCGCCAAGGCGCTAATTCTGTCCATTTTGCCAGTCAAGAGGATAGCATTTGCAGCGCTAGCATGCTCCATAAATCACGAGGAAGGTGCATCGCCGCCTTGTAAGGTAGACAGCCTACGTAGCCTACCCCGCCTTTCTTTCGTCAGCTCTCTAATAACTCGCTCATGAACCGATCACTAAGGATGTTGAGCCTGATTTCAACCGCTAAGTGATCATGACTACCAATCTGCAGCAAAACATCAAACGCGAAAGTTTCTTAGAGGGAATAAAATCTCTTCGAACCTCGTCACATCCCCTGAATAGTGGTACAGGAACTCAGATAAATAATAACAACAACAGCGACAACGGAAGACAATATATCAACAACAGCAGTGGAAAGCAGTGGAATGCGGAGATCCAGAAATTCGGTAAGCAGTATAGATATAGACTTCCTACGAAGTCGGCAATAAGGTAGAAGGGAGAAATCTTCACTACTTTGATCGTAAAGGGACAGTGCCCTTTTGATTCCTTATATATTTGCACTCTACCTACTTGAATGAATGATTCAAGATATTTCTGCAAAAACTGAATACTCTGGCTAACTTTTATAGTTGATATCAAGCAGAAGGAGGACTTCAGCTTTCGTGGGCCTGTTGGTCTCTGTCTCCGGAAAGCACCAGTTATCGCACGAGAGCTCTTTATTAGCCGTGTCTCTGAGCTTGATCAAATGACAGCGCACTTGCATGGAACTCAACGTCAACCATGCCTAGTTCTCAGTGGGATGGGTGGCATCGGCAAAACTCGACTTGCTCTCACCTACGCCGAGTCGCGATCTGATTTTTATGGCGCAGTCTTCTGGATTAATGCAACAAGCGAAGCTACACTTATAGGTAGCTTCCACTCGATTGCAGGCATCATTTTTGAAATACAAGACTCTAAACTTTTAGAGGGCAAGGAGGTGATCGGGCGTGTGCACCACTGGCTTTCTGATACAAAAAATCCTAGCTGGCTCATAATTTTTGATAACTACGATGATGACTCAAACCAGTTCAATATCAGTGACTACTATCCACCTACCTCTCAAGGCGCTATTATCGTCACTACCCGACGACAACATATTGTTAATGGACGCACCGAAACTCTAAATATCAAAGCTTTTCAAAACATTGAAGATAGCCTTGCGATCCTGGAAACCCGCTCAAAACGACTAGATGTTCAAACTGGTATGTTAATATCAGCCTATTTTATAAAACAAACTGACTATCCTATCAGATCCTTACGCAAAGCTCCTCGCAAAGCGACTTGCTGGCCTTCCTCTTACTTTTGAGCGTTACCTACAAGAATATGAAAACCGCTGGAACATTGATCCCTGTCGCCCTACTCAGCTCCAGGATTATCGTGAACATACACTCTATACGACATGGGATATCTCATACGACTCTCTAAAGAAAGAAGACTTAGATGCGGCAGAGCTACTCAAACTTTTGGCTTACTTTGGTAACCAGGGCCTTTGGTATGAGCTTTTTTCTGAAGGTCTCACAGAACGGTCTCCGGAATGGCTTCACAATGTTCTCACAGACGATTTGTCTTTTCAGGGAGTCATGAGAGTCTTAACTCAATGGTCCTTTCTAGAAGTCGATTCATCATCAGGATCATGGAGTATGCATAACTGCGTTCATGACTGGACGTTAGCCGTACTAAATAAGGATATCAGCACACAGTATTACTGGTTTGCTATAGATTGTGTCAATGCGACTACTAGAGGATATGACACGAATTATTTTGGGAATATAGTTTTTTCCCGCTTAACTAGTCACGCAACACGACTAGCAAATCAACGGTTCCTTGATATGATTTATTATCCTACACCTGATCAGCTTGATCAATTATCATTTACTTCACGATTGCTTCAACATCAAATTCAGCTTACTACTGCCGAGCGGATGTATATATGGGTACTAGCTGGGAGGGAGAAAGCGCTCGGACCAGACCACACATCGACCCTTGACACCGTCAACAATCTCGGCAACCTATATAGTGATCAAGGAAAGCTGGACGAGGCCGAGCAGATGTATATGCGGGCGCTAGCTGGGAGGGAGAAAGCGCTCGGACCAGACCACATATCGACCCTTCGGACCGTCCACAATCTCAGCAACCTGCGGGCGCTAGCTGGGAGGGAGAAAGCGCTCGGACTAGACCACACATCGACCCTTGATGCCGTCAACTCTCTTAGCAGCCTCCAACATCATTATGGCAAGCGTAATAAGGTGAAGCGAATTTACATGCGTGTGAGGGCTAGCATGAGATCATAGTACTCATTCACGAGATGGGAGCGACGAATGATCAATATATATTCCTTGATTCTATTTGTAGCGGGTCGATACCCGATGGAATGCCTAGTCTCTGGAGAGACTAGGCTCCTCCTATATGGAGCACATGTATTTTACCTCCTCAATCTTGTTTACCAATCGGATCTTTACAGCATACAAATTCCTGCATTCATCCCGTAACATTATCCACCTATCATTTGCATCAAACTTAATGGGAGCCTACTCCTTCCATAGCTATATATTGCGGGTATATCCTCTAGTCTCGGCTAGTCTCTTATCTTTATCTCGCATCTTCATTTACGCTCCAAAAACATAACCACTTTCCTGCAATCGTTTGTAGCGTTTCTCTTCTGCGATATAGTCTCGTTGGCCATGATACTATCTCTGACCTATAGGTAACTAGGTGAAGAGGTGCCGATAAGAGAAATCAAGTTCGGTGTATATATAAGAGAATGAAGAGAAGTTATGATGATGTTTTAAAGAGGGGTTTTACTTTAACTCATGTCTGGTTCTGGGTAACTCCGAGTAATTTGAGCAAAGTTTCCCCTGCCCACTTTATGATCAACGATATGAACCCATTCAAATCTTTGCATCATTTTTTGTGTATATAGAGAGAAAGATGTAAACACCTCAACCATCAGAAATAATTCTAAATTCAGTATGCTTGTTTCTACTAGTCCCCTTTTAGTGTAGCGTGAGAAAAGACTAAGTACTCAATAGATGATACTGATTGATCCCTGAGTAAGCAGGAAGCAGCCAATCGCGCTCACTGAGTAGTCGCTGAGTAGTCACTGAGCTTGACGCTGAGCGCCCTCATTAAAGTGGCGGTAACTGTTTTAGGAAAGCCCCATCGGGGGAAGAAAATCTGCTACATACAGCTACCTAGGTAGCTTCCAAGGCTAGTATGTGGTTTGTTGAAGTCGATTGTTGCGCCTAAAACTCGGGCACGGATTCTACCCCACCGCCACCGCACTCCGCAATCCAGATTCCCATCTTAGACCAAGACTCAGAACCGACAAAATGGCCCAATCAACAGAAATATTCGAGCAACTGCGGTCCTACCGTTTCACAGAAGACCCGGAGTTCGCAAACGGCCTTGCCATCATCCTCGGCCACCCGGACAGGAAGGCTACAGCGGAGGAGATAAACCAGGAAGATGATCTCGTGCTCCAGGCCAAATGCTTCTTTTTCTCACGGTATGTGTCAATGGCTCTCTCTGCTACCATGAGGCACTTTGGCGCGGTCTTACATTGATGCTGGTTACAGAAATAAACAGCTCTCGCCAGCGATTGATTATGCAGGTTATAAGACTTGGTTAACGTCAACTGCACCGGATAATCAACCTCGGGAATTGAAGCCCATTAAAATCTCGTCCAGCTCTTCTGTTGATGCCGAAGAATCACCATCACCTGATCCTTCTTACCCGTCTTCTTTTGTGCATATTGCGGAGCTCATTGCTACCGGGCAACCCATTCCTGGGATCCAAGAGATCCCAGATACGGTGTTGGAGGGGCACGACATTACAAGTGAGAAACCTCGAAGACAGAAGCCATGGGAGAGAAATGAGGCATAGCAAGTACATATTGAAGCTACGAGTGACGCTGTTTGAGCCATGTTATTTTCGACGTTGCAAGTTTGAGAGCCACAATAAGGGATTGAAACGTATTATACAACAATAATAAAAATTCATTCAAGACTATGATAGTTAAGTTAACCTCGCAGCAGGAATAACACGTAAGGTTACGGTGAATAGAGAAACGGTAAAGGTTGAGTCACAGTACAAAAACACATTCGAATGGCTGGACATCGAATGGTACATATCAAGGATATCATGAGTGCAGAGCGAACCACACATCAACCCCGAATAGTTGATGAAATTGAGCCATGCTTGGCAGAGATTTCGGCGCAAAAATCGGCAGGACAATCTTGCATCACCTTGCAGCATGAAATCCGAGAATTGTAGAAAGGGTAGTGATATGGAACAGATAACGAATGTTGAATAACGATGTAGATGGTATCAATGTAGGGGCTAACGGTGTAGAGGGTAGCCTGTTTTGCTGACATTGTTGGTTTTCTGGAGTGATTATTTTCGCGAGCTGAGAAGGAGCATAAATATTCAGCTTGAAAGGAATAAAACGATGTTTAACGATAGTTGCCACCCCACTGACGGCCGCCGTAACGCCCTCGAGAAAAGCGGTCCTCATTGTTGAAGTTACCGTTGAATCGGTGTGAGCCAGTTCCAGGTCCTGGCCGCGTAGAGTGGTTAGGGTTAGAACACGCCATTGCGACACGTGATCCGTATTTGGAACCTCGAAGAGATACCATATGCTTCCTGTAAAATTGTTAGAGAAGTCGAAGGAAATGAACGCTCGAGAATACGTACTGAATGTGAACCGAAACGAGATCAACATGGCTCTTTGAGGAATGTTGAAGAATCCACTGGATCAGGTAGTTGCCATACTGGTCGCTAGCGACTGTGGTCAAAAAGTCAGCATAAGAACGTCTGTAAGGGAGTGCGCAAATAAGGTTAACTAACCGTCAATCAACGGAATTCGAGGCCGCCCAGCCTGGCTGATGCAAAGACGCGCAAGGTAGCGGTCCAAAAATTCGAGATTTCCGATCTTCAAGCACTTCTCAACAATCTTTGAAGCGTATTGATCCATACTGTATTCAACGGCGTGGAAAAGGACGTGCTCGACGGCCCGGCTCTTGTCAAGGGGAGCGCCATGCTCACAGATATGCTGGATACACCAGTTTCCGTATTGACCACGGGAGACCGATTTCAAGTTCTTCAAAATTTCTTCGATTGCGAGCCGCTTCAAGATGTTAGCATTTTTTCTAAAGTTAATTAGAATGTTACAGTCATCTTACCTTATCATCATCGACACAGTTCTCAAAGATGTTTTGTACGACAAGACTTCCAGTCTCGCCACACGCAATGTTATGCCAAATGCCACGGAGAGCATCATTCACAGGGCCCATGATACGTGGTGCCTCGGATGTCCATCGAATCTCAAAGAGCTTCTGCCAGACATGGCATGCGTATTTGTGGTTAACTGTTTCCGGAATGCCTTGGAGTAGCTCTTGTACCAGCATCGCTTTCGGCTCCTCCGGCACACAGTCAAGAGCCTTTTGAACAACATGGCAGCCAAATGCATCCATACTCAAAAAGCGAACTTTGCCTCGCATTGAATTAGCAATAGTCAAGACTTGTTCGGGGGTACCGTGTTCGAAACAACGTTGAATCAAGAAATTGCCAAATCGGTTCAGCATCAGACTATATCCCGATTCCGCAATTCTGTCGACAATTGCGTGTTTCTCGTTAGCAGAACAGACCTTCAACTTGTTCTGTAGGAAAATAGACGCTTGTTGGTCATCGCTACACACAATCTTCTCAACCAAGTAGTTCCAGTCGAACATAACATTTTTCTCACCAAGAAGGCGATAATTGAGCGGCTCGGTTGACGCAACATAGTTCTAGACAATGTAAGCAAGATACCAAAAGAGGATGAAATAAATTTGACTCACCGAAGAATTACGACTGACCAACGATTGTCCGTGATGAGGTCCTGTGACTGTGAATTCGTTAGCCGTTGGAGACAGAACCGATGATTCACGCTGGCGTGCGGGAAAGGTCGGATTGGATTGAGATCCAGTGGAGTGGAAGCCGCTGGAGGGCGAGGTGGGGGGAACCGGAGCTGCCTCGCTCATAGATCTAGGAACAAATCCACTCCACTGATTCTGCTGGACAGCAGTCGGGCGACGTTGCTCCACAGGGGGACCATACCGATGTGGGGGCTGATAGCCAAAAGCCCCAGCCGAAGGACCAGAGAAGACCCTGTGAGGGACCGAAGAAGGATGCCCTGTTGAGCCACCCCAAAAACGATCTGAACCCTGACTCATAAAATTCGTAATTTGGTGGTTGGGCACCCCCAATGCTTGCATGGCCTGCGGTTCATGGCCGTTTGGGTCCCAAAGTCCACGAGAACGATCAAATGGACCCTGAATTAGTCCTCCTACAGCAAGTTGCTGTGGTTCTCGTGTGTTCCATGGGGTTGGAAAACGGGAACCGACGACGTTGGAACGTTGAGCTTGATGGTCTGTTTCACGTCCCCCAAATTCCGCCTCCGATGAAGCGTATTCGAGAGTATGGTTGATCACCCGGAACTGTGTCAGCTCTTGCTCTTGCTGAGAAAGTCGGGAGTTAGCCGCAATGAGCTCCTCCTTCAATGTCGCAATTTCCTGCTGCTCGCGCTGGAACTGTGCGCCATAAGTCTCGGTGCTTGGCCCACCGACAGGACCTCTCTGCGGGTAAGAAGGTCGATATGCCAGTTGGTCGGTCCAATTGGAAAATGGAGGAAAACTTTGAGATTGCTCCAACTTCTAAAAAAATTAGAACTTGAACAATGTATATGGATTTGTGAAGTGTACTACCTTGGGGGGAACATCGGCTGTCTTCTCGTGTGGGATCCGTCGAAAAGAATTCGCCGAGTTTGGTGAACTGATATTGCTAGAACTGGTCTGAACCTGAAAAGAAAAGGCAAAGTGAGTATTCAGGAAGGAATGATTAGGATATTTGGTTGGACAACTCACCAGAACATCGCGTGCATAAATGCTGGTTCGGGCATCATTCGAAAATGGGTCAGGTGGTTCCTTGGTCAAGCGAGAACCATCAGCATGGTTAGTAGAGGGTGGTACCATGTTGACAATTCGGGCTTCAAAGAGTCCGGAGAATGAAGATCTGACAAACAGAAATGAAAACGTAGACAAGGTAGGATGTTAACGATCACCAGCGAGATCAATTAAATCGAAGAACTATTTGTCGGGAAGACAGATAGGAGGAAATGAAATGATGAAATTGAAAAAAGAGAGAGGGGTGAAGGTGTATGAAAGAGAAAGGGAGAGGGAGAAAGAAAGGAAGAAGAAGTGATAGAAGAAGGAAGTCGCGCTAGCACTTCGCAACTTTTGGACAAACATCAACAAACTCAGTAGATGTTTACCTAAATTGAGATGATTAGAGCTAGTTAGGGCTAATTAATTTCGACAGTGCAGATACTATCACCAGTCTGATATGAACTAGGTGAAGCATTCCATGATCGATCAAAACTTCCAGCTGAATAGACACCTGTAACACCTTCATAACGACAGGTATTACCCAAGATCACGTACTCTGGTTGTCCCGAACCAGTGATAGTTGGTACAAGGCGTAATGCCTGGTGCAACCCCTCCAAATCCACGCCCCATACCACCAATTCCATTCGCTCGCCTTCCAATGGCCGAAGAAAGATTGCCCCGAGACCTGCTTCATACTTGTATTCATGTCTGAATGCAAGCTGTTGGGATGACATAGGACTATGAAATACGATTAGGCGGTCATCTTGATTCTGTATGGGGTATGAGTCGAGTGCGGATGCTGGCAGATCGTGACCAATTGCAATCGTGATGACATTGCCGGGCCTGTGTCGAGAATCGACGTTTGAACAGTCTTGGATAATCTGTGAATCTGCTGCAAAGTACTGGAACAGATTGCGGCTGATCTGAAGGGCGGCATGGTCGACTCCAGCGGAGCATGTCACAATGGTGAATTTTCCTTGGGTGCGAAGAATGGCATCCAGTGCTCCGAGCTGCTGACCATATCTTTGGTCGACACTCTTCCAACGGTTGTCGTAAGAGACAGACCAGCTACCATCAGCGGCCCTGACGTACCAAGACTCTTTCGATTGGTTGGCCTTGGTCTCAAAGGGCTTCTCGAAGTTATCCAATAGCAAAGTTGCCGGTAAATTCACTCGGTTAGCTCTCCAAGAGAGGTGAAATCTGTGTATATTCTGAGTATTTATATACCAGATATGGGCTTTCATGTCGCGGACAATGAAAAATTTCCCCTCTACGTCAGGGGATTGCAACTGATCTACCTGGATACCAGCCTTGGATCCCATATCACCAGTGGGTGGAACAGTAATAGTAAATGTCTCCAGTACTCCTATTGAGACTTTAGCAGAGCGTTTCACCATGGAACTGTAGAAATCTGTCAAGAAAGACGTTGTCATCACGCCATTGAACCAATGACCCTTTCCTGGTAGTTCTTTGTACTCAGATGGCCAGCCAACCTGGCCAAGAAGCTCGTGCATTAATCGAGAGTGGTATGCTGGTACATTGTCATCGACAGACCCATGTTGCTGCGCCACTGGGATTCCAGCCAGGTTGCTGAGGAGTAACTCATTCTTATACGTCGACCTTGATCTTGAGAGCACAGACGAGAGCAATGGCTCATAGGATTGCCACATGGTGTAAGGTACATAATCTGCGCATGTCAATCTCCGTTAAAAGAGGTGAGTATGTGAGAGTACTTACTCTCGATAGATGTATAGCCTGACACAGGAGCCACAGCAAAGACGTTGTCAGGGAAATGCGTGGCATAATACCATGCAGCCTGGCCTGAATCAATTAGTAATAGAATTTAGTGTATCAAATGTACCCATACCTCCGTTCGAGTGTCCGGCAACAATTATATCTTTAGAAACACTTGGACCTTTCCATTCGACGGCGGTAATCCAATCAGGAATTGAAGACAGTGCAGCCTCAAAATCAGCAGCTCCCCAACGATCTATAAGGAGTTTATGTCAGTATTGTCCCATTAAGCCATAATGGAATCCCCTGATCAAGACTCACGCCAATCATCACCACTCCACGTGGTGACACCGCTAGGAAACAACATCCAGGCACAAATACCATACGCTGCATCCAGCATTTCACGCGCCTCTGAGCCATCTACCTCGACTCCTGCCCCGTGTAGAATAGCAATAATAGGAAGTGCCTCTTTTGAAACACAAGAATTGGTGGGTGGAGGTCGCAAGATTGAATAAGAGACGATGTTTGATGGATGGAGATAGGTGAAACGTAGCGGCTCTGCGAAAGACCTTTCTTGAAAATTGATATGAAACATCTGGGTCCTCGAATGCCCTTGGTTCACCCTGTAAGCTACTTCAACCAGTAGCTGAGACTCTTCAAACTTCCCCATAGAAATTGAAAAAATAAGGGGTCGTATCTGATAGCCAAACAGCGGTACTGTCGAATTGTCCTTCATTTCCACTCTGTAGGAGGTCTGGAACATAAAAATGATCAGTATATTGAGTGAAAATTAGTTCAAATTGAAATGATCTCACCTGCAATGCTTGAACTGACAATATTTCAATCAATTCAGCTCTATTGTTCTGTACATTAATCGAAGCCCATTTACCACCTAGTCTCCCTTCTGTCAACTCTGACACCATTAGGCTTTCAGCGTTGAGAGTTATGGGATCTTCTGTCAGCTGAACATCAATCGTGACTTCGACTTCATCAGCCTGACCACCGAGGGCGCGAACATCTCGAGTTAGTCGAAGATCGATGACATGGCGACCTGGAGATAACTCGATTATGCTGGGAGCACGATGGTAGTGATACACGTCGCCACCGAAATATTGTTTGTCGTCGATCCAGAACTCGAGAAGACCACCAGCATGAATGGCAATTGTTTGTGAGTATGTTCCCTTTAATTCTAGGAATCCGCGAGCCCAACACTGATACTGCAAGGCTGGCCAACCATATACCGACTGCAGGAATCCCCAATCGATGGGGAAAGATACACTTAGATGCGCCTGAGCTTTGCCGCGATAATCATTGGAGATTTTTGCAGAGGTGATTCCCCAGTGAGCTGCTCCGCTCGTAGCAAGTGCACTGGGGAAGGACGTTGTGTTATCATATTTGAGGTTGCGAAAGCCACCATGACGTTCCAATGGGTCTGCTCCCCAAACCGCTTCTGTTTTATATGGATCAAATCAATTTTTTCAATCTTTACATCCATGGATTATTTGACCCGCAGCTTGTCTCCAACTAACCTCTTGTCCCAAGCCGGAATGGACCTAGAACCTCCCATTCTTTTGACAGAGAGATCTTAGACTCCAGACTCAGCGAATTTTGATCGAAGTTATCCAGGAATTGAGTCGATAGAAGTGCGCAATGATTTGAACAGACCCATGATAACCATGTGAATATCAACCACAAATACATGGTTTCTACTCCATATGCATTGGGGTATGTATTATGGTTGAATGCAGCAGGACAAGTGGAGCCGGATGGGGCAGTCTTGTACAGTAATGGTATGGTAATCTTGATCACGTGATCAATAAGCTTCTATACATGGTACTAAAAAAACAAGACCGAAGTCAAGGTAAAGTTAGCTTTTAATCAGAGATGTCCCATGTAAGTATAAGATTGGACTGATCTAATACTGCAATTTGGTGATCACAATGCAATTGTCTATACTCAGTCAAAGTCAAGCTGGGGCTCTTCGATAGTATTGTTCTCCGTATTGTGGTAATCATGATCATGTAACATGACGACTGAATAATATCGGACATCAAGAGGCCAGTAATCTTCAATTTCCCCAAGCACTTACGGGTGGCTTCATCTCATCCTTCCCCCTTTTCTTACCATTTAATTTTTTTTCCCTTTACTGTTTCCCGGTTTAATTTGCCGGCTTGGCTTCCTGAATTAGCTGCACCTTGTGTCCACAACACTCGAACCTCATTCGCTCGGAGGGATTCGTCATCGGCGAAGTACTTTCAGGTCGCAGTCGCGCAAATCGACACCAGGAAGTGCTTCGGGCAGGGCCTGTCCACTAATTCAGAATCAATCTAGCAGATTTGTGCGTTTTTGGTTACGTGAATCAGTTCAACTCAATTGGAAGAATCGGAACGTTGATATTTGTGAGAGAAGTTTGGACTGGAGGTGTGGACGATGGCTACAACCACGGTGACCGGCCATGGACGCCGGTCGACATCCGTTCGACAACCCGAATTGCAGATCCCAACAAAGTCCTCTTCCTCACAGCCGGTCAGCAGCCCGATGGACCAATTTCCTCCCTACGAAGAAACTCTCGATGCGGCCGCGAGCCTAGGCTCAGGCTCCCTAAGCCGAACCCCCTCCGTGAAATACAATGAGACTTGGGAACCACGCAAAACAGCGTTGTACTCGCGAGATCTCGTGAATGGATCTTTTAGGAACCCCAAACAACGGCCAAGAAAGAGTATCAGCGAGACCATCACAACTATCCGTGCACGAAACGGCAGCATGAGTGCTAATGCACAAGAGCTGGCAGAAGCACTTCGAGCACCGGTCTCATATCGCTTGATTGTAGGCCCCCAGGATGGCTAGGCAATTTCCCCCAGAACCTGGGCTAACGTTAGGACTGTTATAGGGCCTGTGCGTTGTGTGGTACTTGACCTCCGCGCTCACGAACACATCTTCAAAATCTATCTTGACGGCTCTCCCCATGCCTATAACTTTAACGATTGTTCAATTCGCATTTGTGTCATTCTGGTGTTTGCTGCTAGTTTGGCTGTCCACGATATTTCCGTGGTTGCGAGAAAATGTGCCAGTTTTGAAACATGGAATTCGTTACCCGTCTCGCGAGGTTATATCGACTGCTTTACCTCTGGCTGTGTTCCAGTTGGCCGGACACATTTTGAGTTCTATGGCCACCTCGAAAATCCCCGTCTCGTTGGTTCATACTATCAAAGGACTTTCGCCTCTATTCACCGTTCTTGCCTACCGGTTTCTTTTCCGCATCCAATACGCGAGAGCAACTTATTTGTCCCTCGTTCCTCTGACCCTTGGTGTGATGCTTGCGTGTTCAACAGGACTGTCGTCTAACTTCTTTGGTATCGCCTGCGCGTTTCTTGCTGCAATAGTCTTTGTCTCTCAAAACATCTTCTCCAAAAGGCTGTTTAACGAGGCTGAGCGGGCTGAAGCCGACATGCAGCATCCAGCACGTCGCAAGTTGGATAAGCTCAATTTGCTTTGCTATTGCTCCGCATTGGCCTTCATTCTCAATTTGCCAATCTGGTTCGTCAGCGAAGGATATCCTTTGCTCGCCGACTTTATCAAGGACGGTGCGATTGACCTGTCAGAGAAGAAGGGGTCTTTAGACCATGGTGCACTGGCGGTGGAATTTATCTTCAACGGAGTTTCACACTTTGCGCAAAACATATTGGCATTTGTCCTTCTATCTATGGTATCCCCCGTGTCCTACTCCGTTGCCTCCCTGATCAAGCGGGTGTTTGTCATTGTCGCGGCGATTCTATGGTTCGGTAGCTCAACCACTAAGGTCCAGGGTTTTGGTATTGCCCTGACATTTTTGGGCCTCTACCTCTATGATCGCAATAGCCATGATGATGTGGCTAATCGACGAGCCAATGCAGACCACTTCCGCGCACAGAAATCTATCTTGCCCACAAACGTCCGACATGCGAACAAGCCGTGGGATTCGAATGGCTATTCTTTCCCTGGGCCCCGGTCATATGAGACCCCGGCGCCTAACAATCTCCATGCTTCTAATAGTTCCAGGAAGGAAGACGATGGTCCTGGGGTACGAGCTAGAGGGGCCAGTGTTTCTCGAAACTGGCTACCCGGAACCAAACAGGAATCTACTTGGCAATCCAGTGATTCTGCTGAGGCTACATAGCCTCATTGATGTTATTATGTATTTTGAAATGAAAATGTCGGTGCCCAGGTGTACAAGTATATATTATGATGTTTGGGTGTTGAGAATTATTTCCTACTCACTCGATAAAGTAAAACTTGCTGGCAGCGTAGATAATAAAGTGATTGAAGTACCTAACTACATTCAAAGCAATCTTGGAGCGTTGGAAATTTGAACCTTGGAAGTAAATCGGAATGCCCAGCCCTGGAGCTCCAGATGGCCCGCACTGAAGAAAGATATTGTCTAGGCCCTACCAGATTCCTATGAGCCTGACTCTGAGCGCCTTCATAAAGCGGCATATATAAACAATACGTAGCTACGTAGGTAGGTACTTAGGCACCCAGTTTCCAGCTTCATTAATTAATTCATGAGATTTTTGATAGGGTAGTGGGCATCAGCAAGTCCGAGAGACAAACATTGAGACAATACCGCAACAACACCTCAGGGTTGGCCAATAATAGGTTAAGTGACGGATTACCCAAGATATTTTCAAAAAAGATTCCTTGTAAAGATTGTATTTCCCTTTCAGTAGATAGTTGTTCTATATTGTAGAGATACGAAGGTAGTAAGCGATGAAGTTGTCCAGGCAATTTGAGACTACGCTGCAGTAATTTTGTGGAAAACCCGTCGAAGTTCAAGTTCGTGGGATGTAGCCGCCGTCGGTAAGGAACAAAGTCATCATTGGACAAAAGCCCTTGACTGCTCCAGCTACGGTGCATTATGCATTTGTCTGGGACAATGCTGTAGAGGAAACAGGGAATGAAGGCCCTGTATCCTACAATAAATTATGCCCGTGAATGAGATATTTGCAGAAAAGGGTGCAAGGGTAGTCAGTAATTTTATAAGAATTAATATCGGAATAGTAGTTTCTCCGTATAACCGGGGCTAAACCTAAAAAGGAGTCTAACCGAGCGAAGAGCCAATCCGCGTAAAGGCATTAAGTCAGGCCAGAGGCAGATGGTCAGCAATCCTATTATGTAACCCAGCAAATCCGATTCTGAACAACAGCTCCCTTCATCGACCGTTCCGCTTCCAACCCCTCGTCTGCCCCATCCTCACTACCCCCTCTCCTCTCATATTCACTCCTCAATTATGCGGCCGCAGCTCTTTCGTGCGGCCGCCCGGTCGCTCCGGGTGCCCAGGACCCGTGCCTTTGCGACAACAGCCCCTCGGGCAGCCGAGGTGGAACTGACTGTTGGTATGTCTACAATTCTAGATACGCGATTAATTCACACTGACAATGGGCTCTAGATGGCAAGAAGGTATCCGTGGAAGGTAACATACCTATATATGCCAGCAATTGATCGACTACTCACATCCTTTGACAGCCGGCTCTGCTCTCATCCAAGCTTGCGAGAAGGCAGGCTCTACAGTCCCCAGGTATCTAACTTTTTTTTGAAACACCATACACAAGTTTAATTAGTACTGACTCTGCGACAGATACTGCTATCACGAGTACGTACCCCGCGAACCGATGGATTCGATAATTGCGATATACTAACGATAGATTTGAAGAAAATTGGCGGTTGCAGGAAACTGTGAGTTGTGATCCTCATTTGATCTTCACTGTACCATTGTACTGATGTGAATATGTTGAACAGGTCGTATGTGTCTCGTCGAAGTTGAGCGAGCCCCCAAGCCGGTGGCATCGTGTGCATGGCCCGTCCAGCCTGGTATGGTCGTCAAGACTAACTCACCCCTGGTCCACAAGGCCCGTGAGGGTGTGATGGAGTTCCTCCTCGCCAACCACCCTCTTGATTGCCCTATCTGTGACCAGGGTGGTGAATGTGATCTTCAGGACCAGTCCATGCGTTATGGTTCCGATAAAGGCCGTTTCCACGAAGTCGGCGGCAAGCGTGCAGTGGAGGACAAGAATATCGGCCCTCTCGTGAAGACCTCCATGAACCGCTGCATTCAGTGCACTCGCTGTGTTCGATTCATGAACGACGTGGCAGGTGCACCCGAGCTGGGATCCTCCGGCCGTGGTAATGACATGCAGATCGGAACATACCTAGAGCAGAATCTCAGCTCTGAGTTGTCCGGTAACATCATTGATCTCTGCCCTGTCGGTGCCTTGACATCTAAGCCCTATGCTTTCCGTGCCCGACCATGGGAGCTGAAGCACACCGAGTCTATCGACGTTCTTGATGCCCTCGGCTCTAACATCCGGATCGACAGCCGTGGCCTGGAAGTGATGCGTATTAACCCACGCCTGAACGATGACGTTAACGAGGAGTGGATTAATGACAAGGCGCGTTTCGCTTGTGATGGATTGAAGACCCAGCGACTTACTACTCCTCTTATTCGGCGGGAGGGTAAGTTTGCTCCCGCCACTTGGGAGCAGGCCCTGGCTGAGGTATCCTCGGCCGCCGAGAAACTCCAGCTGAAGTCGAATGAATTCAAGGCTGTTGCTGGACATTTGGTGGACACCGAGTCGCTCGTTGCCATGAAGGATTTGGCTAACAAGCTGGGTTCTGACAACCTCGCCCTGGACCAGCCTGGTGGCAGTGCGCCTATTGCCCACGGCATAGATGTTCGTTCCAGCTATCTGTTCAACTCTACAATCTACGGTGTTGAACAGGCCGATGCTATTCTGCTGGTTGCTACTAACCCTCGTAACGAGGCCTCCGTCCTGAACGCCCGTATTCGTAAGCAGTACCTTCGCTCGGATTTGGAGATCGGCCTTGTTGGCGAAGAGTTCGAGAGCACTTTCGAATATGAGCATCTGGGTGCTGATGCCTCTTCCTTGAAGGCTGTTTTGGCCGGTGAATTCGGGAAGAAACTGGCTGCTGCTAAGCGTCCTATGATTGTCGTCGGTAGCGCAGCTGCTGAGCACGCCGATTCCAAGGCCATCTTCGAGATTGTTGGTTCCTTCGTTGAGAAGCACACTGGCAACTTCAACACTCCCGAATGGCAAGGCTACAACGTCCTGCAACGTGCCGCATCTCGGGCTGGTGCCTATGAAGTGGGCTTCACTGCCCCGTCCGCCGAGGTTGCTCAGACTGCCCCTAAGATGGTCTGGCTCATCGGTGCCGATGAGATCGCCGAGAGCGAGATCCCCAAGGATGCCTTTGTTGTCTACCAGGGCCACCACGGTGACCGTGCTGCCCAGTTCGCAGATGTTGTTCTTCCCGGTGCTGCATACACCGAGAAGGCCGGTACTTATATCAACACTGAGGGTCGTGTACAGGTTACCCGTGCGGCAACATCGTTGCCTGGTGCCGCTCGTGATGACTGGAAGATCATCCGTGCCGCTAGCGAGTTCTTTGGCGTCCCCCTCCCATACGATGACATTGAGGCCCTGCGCGACCGAATGGAAGAGATCAGCCCTGTACTGCGCCGTTACGACGCCGTTGAGCCCACATCCGTTGGCGCTCTGAGCAAAGTGCAGCTAGTCGACCAGAACAAGGGTGCTATCACCACTGGTGCTCCCTTCAAGCAACCTATCGAAGACTTCTACTTCACTGACTCTATCTCCCGAAGGTATTTACAATCTGCTTCTTTATTTAGCATTGATGCTAACTCCTCTTCTCACAGCTCACCCACCATGGCCCGCTGCTCCATTGCCAAGAAGACTGGAAACCCAGAAACTAACTTTATGGCCGCTGGCGAGATGTCCCCTCAGGCTCTGCACGGTTAAATGGTGAATTTCATTCCCATATAAGCCGGTCATTGATTCTGTGTTTTCTCTAATGGTTGCTGGCGTTGTCATTTGTATCACCCTAAACATCCCTTTGATCGTTTTCTTTCCATCTTCTGTTTTTCTCCATCATCTTGAACGCCGTCCGGTTTCCTTGGTTGACCTCTTTCGGTGGACCCGGGACCAATCGTTTGGGGTTGACTTGTATATAAAATGATTGAGACAAAATTCCAATCCTTGTCGGAGATATCATTCCAGTATTCCAGTGTCTAAAATTATTATCATGGATTAGATATACATCGATCAAGTATATGTATGTATATATATGAGATGGAAAGGACTCACCAATGAGAAGCAGCTCACGTGTGAACTAGATGCCCAACTCGACAGGCATCATGGATGGCTCTAAAGTTATTTTTGGATTTCCCCACAATAATAAACTTCAAACACATGGTTTCATAAGTAAGCTTATGCGTTGTGCGCTGTAGAATTTTATAGTGGATCGTTCTGGGGTTGAATTAACGTAGTTGCTAACAGTTGAGGTGCATATGTATGTACTTATGTCTGGACCTCGGTACCTACATATGTAGGGCAGATTCAGGGCTTATCTTACATTCAATTTTAATATCTAATAAAACCTCCAGATCACAACTCATCATCATCGCTTTCTCCGTCAGTTTCATCCATTACTTTCGCCACTGGAGACTTGACCTTTCCAAGCTGGCCACGTCTGGTGAAAGGAAGTTCTCGTCGTGGCGGCGGTGGGGAATGATCCTTCGGGGACGGGCGTTGTCCCACCTCGGTGGATTTCCCATCATTGTTATTGTTGATTTCATTGTCTTCTTTCTTATCTTCTTCCTCTTCCTCTTCCTCTTCATCTTCATCTTCATCTTCTTCATTTTCCGAATGCTCAGGCGTAAACTGACCACCGTCATCGGTTTCTTCGTCATTTGTAGCAATGTCAGGTTTCTTTTTGTCGACATCCATTTGCTCGAAGCCGTCATCGGTGTCGCCATCTGTATCGGCAATGTCCTGTGCGCGCCGTTTCAAAGCATGGATCTCATGACTAGTTTCATGTACTGAGCCCGTTGCAGCCTGTATCTCCGCAACTGTATCCATGGTGATAAGTTAGTATACTCCATATAGTAGTGGGACTTTAGGTGGATAAAGCCCTTTGTACACCGCTTGATCTGCGAAGGAATCCATCTTTATGGAGCCACCACGGCGCCGTTGAAAAAAAATTCTGGAAGGTGGAGCGTGCGTACCTCTGGCAGAATCTGCCGTTGCCGTCGCTAGGAGACGCTGTTGGTTCCGGATCTTGAGCTTTTTCTCATTGAGAATCTGAACAAAATTAGCCAACAGCTGGTTTTCATGCTCGGTCTTGACCCGTATGAGCTCTTCTAATTGCTCAGTCAGCTGCTTGATCTTCTCCTCAAAGCCGTTATGGCGGTCTGCTAGTTCAGTGACTTGGTTTTGTAATTCATTTGCTTTAGCTGCCGCGATTCCGGTCCACTCAAAAAGCTCAATTGCCTGTTCATCGTCCTGCTTAAGGACAAGTGTGCCAAGTCGTTGCTGGGACAGCATTAGTGCTAGACCCACTTACTCTTTTAGGCTGATTAGAGTGACTTACTGTTATTGATTGGACCCTCTTGCGGATTGCCAGCACGATTTCTCTGTCTTCGTCGCCAGAGCCGGTGATGCTGGCCGTTGCTTCAATTCCAGAGATAGATGCCAGTTGATCTGCTGGGATGGGTTCGCCGAGGATGTAAGAGACAATTTGAGCCCATTCATCTTCGGAACCTTGGTAGTTTTTGGCTCTAAAATCTTTCAAGCGAGATTTTTTAACTGTAGTCTGAATGTTATTCCAAAGTATTCCTAGTGGGTGGTAATCTTCATCCAGAGCGGAGCACTTACCCACAGCGGTATACGGACTTTCTCCTTCAGTAGCTGATAGCGATAAGTCTAACGATTTTGGTCCGGCAGCGGTGACATGAACCAGTACGAAGGTATCTGGATTATCAGTTCGCAAAAAGCGAACAACTCTGGAGGTAGACATTGTCTGTTGTGTGGTTGTTGATAGAAGAAGAAGTTGCTTGAGGAAGTAAAAGTAGTAAGGCAGCAAGGCAGTCATACTGCTGTAGGCAACCTTTGATTGTCCACCAGAGTTAGGGATCCACCATATAGACGCTAATTTTGTAGAACTAACTAGCTAAATTAGCTTCCCTTAATTTTTTCCTATAAACCCCTTAAAATCGATATTTTTTTTTAATTTCGCAGTAGTTTAGTAGTAGTGGAGGATCGCGGTGGGGGAACCGAGGTTCCCACGGTCCAGCTGGCATAACACACTAAAGGATTCCTTGAACGTGCCAGCCACATGCATACTTGACACAAACCCCTCCCCAAACACCCTAAAGTCCCAACTGCATTACTTCAACTTTTATCAGTTCTTAAAAATTCCCATCAGTCCGTGCGAACAAGCCCGCCTGAACCCTAATTTATATCCGAGCCCCTTTCAGCCGCCCTATCCGTCTTGCCTACTTTGTGTAAAACGACGATGAAACAAACAACGTCCATGAGAGACCTTTGACTGAACTGTCCTCTTGCATCTTCATAGAACATGGAATGATGCTCTCACTTTTCGACTCTCTTTAACGTCACCTAATATACAGTGGAGTTCGAACGCCATCGTCTGACAGAGCCGTTCTCCTGAGTTTCTTCACAATGGAGTCGGCTGTGATCCAAAAGCGACCGAGTGAGGATGAGATTATTGAGTGCTGGGATGACGATGACGACCTGCAGTTCAACGATGGACACCAGTTTCGGACTGCATCGAGCTCTGGCTCTATCACAAATTTCTCACTTCGACCTTCTGGACACCGTGATTCAATCTCTTCGCGTCGTTCTGCGCGCTCCGATATCGACTCGAATGCTGGAGACGAGGACTGGCAGGTCCTCTTACATTACAACGATGAGTTGGCTAAAGAAGAGGCTCTTGCCTCTGCCAAACATGCTGGGATTCCTATACCTGCCAACATCCCCAGTTCCGCCCTCATTGGCGGTGCCATCAAACGCTTATCGACCCGGAAGACGAAGCGGTCATTCGTGGATGACTGGTCCGACGACGTAGAGATCCCAGACCCTGAGATGGTACTACAGCTACGAACACCGCAATATTCGATCTTTCCTGAGTCTATACGTTCTGTGGCTACCAGCCCCGTTAAATCCACAGCCTCACCGCCTTGGAACGACGTTCTGTCAACACGCATCCAGTCGGCATTGGTTTCCTTGGATCGATTCCAGGATGAAAACACCACTCCCATAGAACAGATCGTCCCTATTATTAAGGCTCCACCTTCCCGATCCCCACGTAAGACCTCTCTCAACCTGCCTAGAAAAACCCTTGCACTGAGACGGGACGTGGAAGATTTTGACCAAGACCTTGAGTTCCCCCCGGACCATCAACCTCTTCAACTGACCCATCGGAAAGATTACCTTGGCATCTCAAGCCCGACGCCTCTAGATGATTTTGATCTCGAGTGGGCGGAAGGGAGCATTGGCATTCGACTTGCTGGCACAGCTAGAGATGGTCGCTCTGTTCCTAGCTCCACTATCTCCCTTGCGAGCCCCAGTGTTTCAAGCTGTCTCACTGTGGAAAGCGAAGAGGATGGTCTCGATGGCCTCGTGTTTCCCGAAGGACCATTGGATTTTGGTGCCTCTCTGAAAAAGCGCCAGGAGAGCTCCCCTGGAGAAGCACCTACCAAGAGAGATTTAGGTTCAAGCCCACCAAACTTCTCAGATGTCGACGACTTCTTCGCTGGCATTGAAGTTGATAATGGGAGAGCATTTTCACCGGGCAAAATGAGTTTGAACCCAAACGTTAAGTGCAAGACAGAGCGGCCATCAAGCCCATCACGTCGATCTGCCACCACCCTAACTTTCACCAGCTCATTAGACTCTACGAGCCAGAATACTCGTATTCCTCGTTTGTCTAGCAGCCATGAGCGGACCCAATCTACCCATTCTAATTTGGAAACCGTCTCTGAAAGCGGTGCACCTTTATCGAAATTCCAAAGTTCTCAATGTCGACTTGGACATACAGCCCAAACATCAGTTTCCAGCCTGCCACCAACTGTCCCTGTCCCGACCTCCAATTCTCCCGTTACAACCCGAAGGATTCTCAGTTCACGTACATTGAGAACCCCTCCATTATCTGCCGATTCTAGTAGCCGGCTTCAGACTAAACGGTCCCTGCCTTCTATTCGTGGGGTACAGAACTCACAACGAACTACATCTCATTCGAAGGATTCCATCCGCCGACCAAAGACACCTGTTGAGCGCCTCGTCGCAGACGGCAGAGCACTTCGCAGGCCACAGGGTGCACTGTCTTCGGCTGGCCCACTCGAAAGGCAATCTTACCCTTCAGCTTCGTCGAACACCTATCGCCCTTCCCGTCGTGCTGGTTCGGACAGCTCTGGTGATCTTTATATGCCCCAGAACACATTTTCTCGACTATCTCGACCGTCTCCCCCAGAATCCCTACATCTTACCAAACCCGAGACATCCGGCTCTGCGCGTACGCTCAATCGACCAACAAAGCGACGAAACTTTGGTGATGGAACCGAATTGGAGTCCTTTGATGATCTGCCAACCTCTGTCAACTCTGAAAGCAAGTTCGTCAAGAACCCCGCCGGTCGAGGTGCTCCCCGATCTGTACGCAGCAGGCTTAGTGTCAGCCGAATCACTCCACCTACCTCGTCTCCTACTACTACACCCCCTTCAGCCCCAAAGCCAAGCCACTCCACACCCCGATTTGCCCGCGACACTAACTCCTCCCGCATTGCGAGAGAATCACGCATTTCCTCTTTAAGCTCGAAGCCTCGTGACGTGACCGGTCCCCTCCTGCCTTTCAACCCCAATTGGAAGGGTCCTATCTCACGTATATCCTCCAATGGGGCCTCGGTTCGAAGCCGAAAGAGCAAATCTACCTCTAAACTTCCCTCAAAACCTCAATTGATCAAGCCGTTGGGATCCAGTTTGCAAGAATCTAAGTGTAGGCTACCCCATCCCTCAACTATATCTCGCGATAGGTCTGACTGTTTTGACTTTTAGCTGTACGAGGCATGCGGTACAACCCGAGCGCATTCCGCTGGGAAGGAAACGAGAATCTCGTACAAGATTTTGATATTGCCACTGCACCGAAGTCACCAAAACCAGCCCCTGCACTGATCACTAATGTGGGTACTACGCAAAATGTCCAGACCGTCGGCGGTATGGTTTTTGACCCACACCGCATGTGTTGGCTTCGGGCGAGGTCTATCGAGTCTGGAAAACAAGGTGGAATCCCACCGGAAGACGAGATTGATGTCTTTGCAGGTCTAGATGATTTGGAAGACAATACTACCGGACGGGGCTGTTCGGGAATGATGGACGAGTGTGTACCTGATGCTGAGGACCCGAGTGCTGGTGATTCATCAGACGAAGGACCCATCACCGAAGAATTTGATGTCGGCCCGGAGTTCATTCGACGCCAACGGGCCGAGGAAGAGAAATGGAGACGGAAGGTAGACAAATGGGTTGGCTTTGACCGTGGAGATCGTGAAACCCACTGGCGATGGGCCATCCGTGATCTTGGGGCCGATGGTGGCATGGACACCATGGTATGAATGTCTTTTTTCTTCTTCCTTTCTTGGGGATTTCTAGAAAAGAAAGCCTCGACCTTTTTTTTTTTTCCCTTTCGACATCCACCGTGCGCCCCTGACATTTGTGGGGGATTTGAGCATGGATACACGAACTAATGATGTGAAGACCCTTGTCCTATTTTGGTCTTGATGAACCTGACCGAACATGATTTATGGTTTTCTTTTTAGGTCTTTTTTTGTAACTATATTGTTATTTTGTTTTTTAGTACATACTGCCTTAATTTGTGTATGTAAAAAAAAAAGAGAAGGAGAAAAAGGGAATTGGGGGGAATAAAGTCCCTGTCAAATATAGTCAATTCAATCACATTCAAGTTATACTGATGGTTCTTCCAATCTTCTTCTCTTTACCCGTGTACTTCTATTACTATTCCATGTACCGGGATACTATTCTTCTCTCCTCCTGCTCTATTCGCATCTGTTCAACAAGGAACATCCATGCTACAATGATCAACTCTCTGCTGCCTCACCCTAGGCAAATCCGAAACCTCTCGGACTCGGGGCTTTCAGGAGTTCCAGGAGGGTGAGTGCAGTGCGTCTGGAGCGCCAGTCTCGCATTCTCCATATGGATGGCTCGCAATTATCTCCCTCTCTTATCCTCTCAAGGAGGATCGGGAAACAGCAGCGTAACACCGGGTGATAGATTGTATAACGCACCTTCTGGCTTCGAGCCCCTTTTTCGGTTTCGCGACTGGCCTAGACGCTTGAAGCTGTGAGGTTCCGGCTTGCCAAGTCCATTGAACACGGTGTCTCACCTATTGCGTACGGGCCAAACGCATGCAATCCTGCCATCCCGCATGCTGCATTTGATTGCCTGTCAAAAATATCCAATCCGCTGTGCCCTGACATCAACGCCACGTCAAGGTCTAGTGGTCACGCTTCATAGTTACAGGGAAAAAAAATAAAGGGAAAAAAGGAAACCCGAACGTTAGGCCTTGGGGGAAACCAAAAAAAGAACACAACTCTTCATTCGATAAGCCCACGATCTGGCCGATTCTAGCGGGAAAAAGAGCAAAAGAGATTATAGAGAAGACAAGGCAGTGGGACAGCAGGGGATTGTTCCCTCTTGGCTTACCCAATTCAGGCCATTTCATACCTGTACAGGCTGTACTTCATGCCCATTTGCATTTAACCCCCAGTGCGATGGAAGCTATTTTCCCAACCCATGTTCCTTACGGACGACGGTTACGTGCATGTTTGGACCTTTGCTGGAGCAATCTCCAGCCCGACTTTTGTTTGACGGAGGCAAACCTGCAGAAACAAAGCCCTACCGCTCGTCAGTCTCGTCTCTTGTTCTTTTCCCGGGGAGTTTGTTCCGCCGCTCCAAAAATTCGGGGAGGTTCTAATCGTCCCCCCGGCCTTGCTTGTCATGCTTGTTTCTTGTGTCGGCGTCATTCTGGGAAGAGTCGCCCCATCTTACCTCCCCCCCCCCCTCTCTCTCCCCCCTCTCCCCGCGCGTCTCCCCCAATCTCATCTCTGCTTCATAATAGGTGGCCTCGAATGGGCCCAACGTGGCTCGTCCATGAGGCGAATAGTGGCGCCGGGCTTCGAGGCAGGAATCCGTATCACCTATTGCTTGTATGTGCTGTCGTATCAGCCTGCTTTCACCCTTCAATTGCTTCGGCGGGTCGGAAAGAATGTCGACCACGAACCCCAGTCCTTCTCCGTTGCTGCGTTTTTCGTTTCTTTTTTTTGATCCCCCAAACCCATGCCACTTCTCTTCCCTGCAGGCTTGGAGTTATACTCTTTCTGGCTGTACCTTACAGAGCTCTTGCTCGACTCGCCTGGTTCTGTTGTTTCTTTTTTCTGTGGAATATTTGCTGTTCCTCTTTCAGGGATGTCCTCACTTGCCTCTACCCACTCTGTCTTGACATGGTCTCGTGCACGTCCTTGGGCATCTGTCATGTCCTGCAAGATTTATCTAGGGAGGTTGCGGGTCCTTTTTAATGCAATTGATACCCCACGAATAACTGTTCATGTCATTGTGTTCTCTTTCATGGTTTACTTTCTTTCATTTTCTATATACAACGTCTGATAATTTGCCAAACCAGTGCATTTTCAATTACTCGTAGCTTCATTGCCGCTTTTTTTCTTTCTTCTAAACTTTTATCTCTATTTCCATTTCTTCCATCTTCATTTATCTGTTTCGGGACATCGGGACCAGACAGTGCAAGCGACAGAAACAATTTCAATATTCCAATTGAACAACCATCAGACATAATGGGCAGCTTTGCAAGACGCAACGAAGGAAACGACAGCTACCTTATGAACCAGCAGCTAGCAGTCCCGGGAACTTATAGCCACTCTCATGGATTGCCAACGGCGAACCATGAGTTCAATGCAACGGGATCCGGCTCGTACCACTTCCCTCAGCACTCTTTCAATCCATATGGATCTCAATTTGGCCCGTCCTATGGCCATCACTCAAGTTTGACCCCGATGCAACATATGCAGTATCCATCGGACCATACCATTCCCTCAATGTCCACCTCGGATGACATGAGACTACAGCACCCTCCTTCGCAGTATATGCCACCATCCCGGTATCTACAAGCACCTAGATATCTCCCATTGCGCGATGCCCTTGGTGAAACAGAGATTGAAGACCAGGAGTCTCACAATGAGAACGCTATGCTGTCGGAACCCGTTTTGCCCCCACTGGATGGCTTTCCTGATGTGAAGGATTTCGATCAATTGATGCAGAGGTTTGTGACTCACTCATTTACAACCAGCTAGCTAGTTTCATGGGCAGAACTAATTTTATATTGATCAGCTATGTCGATGATCTATCGGTAAAGAAGCAGGATAAGGCATTGATCCATGCTAAAAGAGCACGAAACATCAAGAATGTGCTGAATGACCCCAAGGACACGGCAATTGAGTCTGCACAGTTCCGGTAAGATCTTAGAACATAAGCTTTTTGTTTGCAACTTTCTGACAGCATCTAGATTCTGGGTCAAGAAGATGTTCAAGCTCCAGACTGTCGGTATGGGAACAGACGATGTGAGTATTTGATTTTTGATGGTATGACCATTCGGTCCTAACAAATGTAACTTGTTAGTGCCGCAAAATGATCTGCCATGAAGGAAAGCCTGTCGCCATTCGAGAGAAACTATTCAAAATCCTCACCAAAGCCCATCAGCAATGCCAGCACGGCGGTCGAGACAAGACCTCGGCACAAGTCCGACGCATCTATTCATGGTACGCATCTAACATTCCATACAGTCTGGACTCTTCAGGCTGCAGATTTCTGAAATGTCACTTCCATCTCAGGCGCTAAGAAGTATGTCATAGGGTGCCTAAGGAGCTTATCTCCCGCTTTGTGAAGATCTGCCCGACGTGCCAAGTTCGCCGCGGGGGCTCGCGCCTGACGCCGCCCAATTCCCGGAGAGGCTCGCCTCGTCTGGAGATGGTATCCCGATCTCCAAAGCTGCCATCGCCGCCAAGATCTAGACGGGAGTCTACATTCGGAGGCCAGGTAGCGCTTGACAGAGCCCAGTCGGACTACTACACCCAACTACACGGCCACAGTGGTGGCTGGATGGACAACCACGGAAGTATTCAAAGCCGCTCTGCATTGGGCACTGGCGTGCGCACTCCTCATGGGTTGAGTACTATTCCGCACTCGATTGCTGGAACGTTAGATCCGTTCTCAGGTGAATTGTCCGTGCCGCCCTCGCAGCTAAGCTACTCGACAAACTATGTCCCAAATTATGGGGCACCGAATCAGCGTGATTTCTAGGCGACATGATACTTCCATCAGTGTAAGGCTATGGCGCGAATGGTGGGTAAGGCGTGGGCATGGGCATAATACGTGGCGTTTCTCGCTGTTTTGCATATGTTTTCTCTTGTTCGTTCTCACCTTATGTTTTGATCTTCAAAAGTGATCTTCAAAAAGTGATGTTTACACTGGAGGCCAAGCATATGGCCTCGAAAAAGCTTTTTTAAAAAAAAGGTCGGGAATTGGAACGGGTTATGGACCTCGGGAGTGGGAGGTGGCTCGTTGAAAGCTATCATGTTACAGATTACTATATGAAGTACGGAGTAGAGGTTCAAACAATGCAGTAATGAAAATTGATCTATCTCATTATACAGTGGTAGTGAAGAGAGAAGGGGAAAAAAAAAAGAAAAAGGCACGCCGAAAGAAAACTCCAGTTTAGGTAGGTCTTGACCGACTCGATGAGATTGGTTATATGACCAAGTATAGTAATGGATAATTGGATAATGGGAACCACCCGAGGAGAAACAATGGGAGAGATGCATATCGATCAACCTCTCACTTTCTCCAATCTATACGTCCAAAAAGTTTCCAAGTGACGTGAAATGAACATCAAATCGTAAAACTCGGACCCGTTTAGTCGAACATATCAGTACACCATGAAAATATCGAGATAGCATTATCTTCAAGGGATCTTAGTGCTTCATAGGAGTAGCCCGAGCAAAAGCCGATCTGCAGAAAAAAGACTCTGAAAATAGACGAAACCGCGACAACTCATGTCCCCCGTGCAACGGGTCTGTTGCTTGTAGGGATTTTTTTTAAACAGGAAGGGAAAACTTTTTTCCTTTCAGAACCCTTTATTCAGTGTTAGATGCTGCCGATTATACATTTGGGTATTGTTGGGGGGGGGGGGGGGGGGGTTGGCGACCTACTTGTTCCAGTAAATGTAAAAAAAGTCAGAGTATAGTAGGGTCTGAATGATGCCTGCAATTATAGTGACTGGCCGGTAGGTTGAAACGAAGTGAGGGTCGGCAATGTATCGGTATAGCCAGTTTGGGATATAAAGGGCCCGGTAGATACCCAAGGAGAATAGGTAGTGAGTTGTGATGGTGTCCGCCTCACCAGTGCGCTGGAGCATAAACAGCTGAGGAAGGATTGCGACAGACTCCAGCCAGATCGAGAAAGTCCAGAGAATCTAGGCAGTGTTAATTTAAGAGGAACCATCGCGCGCAAGGTTTCTGGCTCAAAACCGTTATCAAGGTACGAACCTCGGAGATGGTGTAGTTTCGCGGGAATAGCAGGGCCAAGATCGCGCTAATTCCGAGGAGGTACTGAACCTTGAAGGTATCGAGGTTGGGATCGTGGGTAGGCTTGTAGTCGTTCACCATCAAATAGATGATGTAGGCGGAGGACCCGATGAAAAGAAGCTTGAAGGTTGTGAGGTATAGAGAGTCGAACATAGTCCAGAACAGATCTAGGAACACGTCAGTATATTTGACGTAAGAGTTGAGGGCATTGAAACGCACCAAGGTAACGAGTGACGAAGACCAAGAGATAAAGCACCTGTGACTTGAAAGACAATCCGGAACAGCTCTGCGATTGTCAATTAGTGATTGGACGAGCGCCTAGAAAGGAAATGATGCATACACTGGTCGACTTCATCTTCTGCAGAAGAATGAAGATAGACGCCAAATGCGAAAAATCGGCTGTCTCGGTCAGTATTTCCTACAGAGCTGCTAGAGGCGATCGTTTTTACGAACCTGTGAGCCTGAAGATATTCATGGTTGCGGTGGACGAGAGGTTGAAAAAGGAAAGATTGTTGACAGATTGCAAGTCGAAAGAGCTGTAAGGTACAAGGGGGCCGCGGCTGGCCAATGGAATTTGCGGATTACTTACTCCGTAACCCGAATATTAAACGATTCAGTTAGTTCAAACAAATAAATCATTGAATAAACAAGAAACAAGATTGAGTTGATGAAAATATAAGAGGTTAGGCGATCTTGGAAATTGAAATTGATAAACAAGCCAAGAGGTTGATTATGTAGTAGTTGGGGTCCACCTCATACTTACCTATTTTGGTCTTTGCAGAGCTCCTTGGAATGGCGGCTTTCATCCTTAAGAACTACATTAAATATTTGACTACCTATGCAGAAGTACGCAAGAAGGAAAAGAAGGCTCATTATTCCTTGTTGGTATCGGTATTACGTGATTAAACCAAACCCATTCACTCCGTATGCTCCAGTCCATTTCCTTTTCAAGACGCCGAGCAAAACCCCAAAATATTTTTTTTTTGAAAAAGGACGGTCGTTTAAAATGGATATCCACCTCCCATGCTCTGGTCAGCCAGGCGTTGCAAGTGACCATCCAATAATTCACTTTTCTGCGCACAGATTGAACTTTCACGGTCCAGCCGGTCCCAATCGCGGAGCCCTGCTCTCTTTACACGCTGTGACTCATTCATTTGCTCGAGCAACTTCTCTTGATCGGCCTCAAGCTGTAAAAGTCGCTTCTCTGTCGCTGGGTCCAGACCAGAAGGCAGAAGTCGGCCACCTGGGATGATGCTGGTGAGACCTGCGAGATGATTAGGGGCCCGTGGAGCCGGAGCAGAAGGTCCAGAGAAAGAAGTACTCTGCCGGGGTCCAGAATATCGATATGGCGCTCCTGCAGGCCCAGAAGGTGTGAACGAAGCTCGAGGGCCAGATGGAGCGTTAGGTGCCGGGGCCGTGGGAGGGCCGCGGCGATTGATAGAAGGTCCATTCCAAGGTCCATCACGAGAACCAGAGCCAGGTCCTCGGCGAGGGCGCGTTGGGGCTGACATGGCGGGCCAGTTTTGAGCGCCACGTGGGTGCGAGGGTGGTGCTCTGGGTCCCTGAGGTGGTCCTAGAGGCGGTGACCGGGCGTTAATGAGGCCCCGGGGCTGCGTTGGGATATTGCCGTTGAATCGATGAGGAATCTGTTGCTCCGAAGCATCGTTTGGCCGTCTCGAATCGTCATGCCCCTTTCCATTTTCGTCAGATTGTGACCCTTGAGCATGATCTCCTCGGGATGTAGATAGACTCTGAGCACTGGAGGGTCGGAGGGCGGGTGAGCGGCCGGCGCTTTCAGAAGGAGCTGCGTTACCACGGTCTGTGTGAGAAGCTGGAGATGGGCGACTCGACGTGACTTTAATCTCGCTAGTCACATGACGCTTAGGTGACGGCTGTCGTGATTGTAAGACGGGTGTATCACGATTCAGGTCGGAAGGAAGTTCACGGCGGGGAGGGGCATTGACGGGACTCTGTGGGAATGTGGCGCTTATGGGGGGTTGATTAGGACTTGGGGAGACAAGGCGTGGTCTATCACTCATAGGGCCCGTCGGAGTGGGTCGCATATGTCCTCTCAAGTCCTGGCTGCCCGATGTTCCATCGCCGTTACGCTTCGGAGTGTTACGACCATGTGATGGTGACCGAGCCTGCCACGGTGCAGGAGGGGATCGAGCTCGGCTATCTCTTCTCGGTGAGAATCTTCGCGGAGGTGAACGTCTTCTGTCGTAATTGTTTGGTCCTCCATATCCTCTGCTCTGGAACGGAGGGGTTCGAGAACGACGGCGAAAAGTTGGAGGTGAGCGACTGCGCGGACGCCCATATCCTCGATTGCCGGGAACCCATGTATCTGCTCGCGGCGGCGGACGAGATCTTTCCCGTTCCCGCGGTGGAGAGCGTCTCGGGCGGTTGTCATATCCTCTCGAACGTGATCGACCAGATCTCACTGGCCGATAACTTTCTCCTCGCCCATCGAACCTGCGTTGATTAATTAGGTCATTTTTCACGAGAGTGCGGATTCTGTGAATACCTTCTGCGATCCCAATCCATCCCCTTTAATTGACGACGACACAAAAGAGCGCCAAAGTGGTGGGATAAAGATATGGGTTGAAAGTTGCAAGCAAAGGAGAAGTGAAAGTTGTAGAGTGGAAGTAAGCTAAACCGCTTTAGGATAGAAATTATTCGCGCGTGGAGCTTAAATAGAGCGCATAGATTGAAGCCCTAAAAGCAAGGTGTCAATATATTCATACCAACTTTTATCAGTTCAACTATACTAAAGTTTTTCTGCATGTAGAACATTCTCCCTTTGATTCTACTGATTTTCTAGGGATCTGATGACTTAAACTTCACAACTTGATGTTTTATTCTCGTTAAAGACTAAGCGCTTTAACGGTTTTGATTCTCCTAAAATGAGTAAAAGTACAGACAAAAAAGGTGTCCCGGGTTATCTCGTCGAAAAGAAAATAAAGTAGAAAAGCCTTGCACAGATATCTAGTGTTTTTCGCCTTTTAGCGCTTGCCTCGTCGCTCTTCAGCTTTGCGTGCCCGCTTGCGACTCTCCTGGGCAATCATATCGCTAAGATCCTCTTGGAATCCTCCCCATTCTGGGTTGTTTTCCTGTTGTCGCTGGGTATCGTACATGTTCTGAAGATTGTCTTTGCTAAGATCGTTTGCATCAAGGTCCACTGACACATCCACATCGCCAGGCTTCTTGCGTTTGCGACTTTCGTCTTCTGCTCCGAGCACAGGAACATTTCTGGCCGACGCGGTGCTGAGATCATAGACGCGGTCACCACCAAAGAATCCTTGGATACTGGTGTGCTTCTCTGGGATGATTTGGTGAGCAGTACGACCATGGGAATCCTCGACCTCTATTGGACCAGAACGATTTTCGAAGACAGAACTCTTTGAATTCTTTCCTGAGACATTATAGTCGCCGGAAATATCCTCAGCTCTTACAGCTTCGGCTGGTAATTCCAAACCAAAGCGATCTCCACGCTCCTCCTTCGCCTCCTCTTCTTGTTCTTCCTCATCCTCGTCTTCTTCATCGTCGTCCTCCTCACTTTCTTCTTCGGATTCCTCATCTGGTTGCAATTCACCCCAAAGATCCCTTTCAACTGGTTCTCCTTGCGGAATAGTTCCACGGCCTTCTTTCATACCGAAAATGTCTCCGCCGTATAACGGCCTATTGTGCTCATCGACAGGAGGTTTGCCATATGCGCCAGGGGCGTAGCCCCAGATTGCGCCTTCGGGGAGAGGGGCATTGATGCCAGGAATCTTCAAGGCAGGATACGAGGGTGGAATTCCAAAGCGTTGCTGGTTGATGAGCCACGGGGGAGGGGATGAGGGTGACATGCCGAGAGCTTCCATCAATTCCGCGCTCAACTCGCCAGGACGAAGATGCTTAAGATTGGTCTCGTATTCCTTGCCCTCAAAATAAATTTCACCGTAGCGAGTAAGCTCAGGTTTGGTTTGAAACCGGAAAAACGCCTCGTATAGCTTCTGATAGTCGATATCCAACTTTCCCATCTTCGGTTGAACTCTCTCTCTTTGCTTTTGCTTCAAAGACGACGCCTCCTGCTTCTCTAATGCAGCATCTCGCATTGCGGAGATTCCTGTCTCCTGGATAAATTTAGGCAGTGCGAACGGCGCTTTCTCAACTCCGCGCTTCGATGATAGATACTCCCTCTTAAGTGACCAGTGTTGGGGAACGGGAACGACATTACGATGGGCCTTGATGTGAATCAGAAGTCGAGGGTCACTGGCAGATGTGTCCGTCCATTCAACAATGTCGGGTTTGGGAGCCACAGCTTTCAGCTCGGCCACGGAAAGTTGGGTCATCTCTTTACGCTTCTTTTTTGACATTCTCGGCTCGGCCTCTTCATCCTCATCAGGTATGTCATCCGCGTCGTCGAAGAAGACCTGCGGTTTTTCAGCTTCCTTTGCGCTTCCATGTTCAGCAGCTGTGTTCTCGAATCTAGCGACAATGCCTTGGTACATGTCCCATAGTGGATTATCAGCCATTAAAGAATCAGAGTCTTCAAGTGTATCTTGGGTAATCGGAGGAGGCGAAGGAGCCTTGGATTCTATCTGTTGAACATCGTCACTGGGAGCAGTGGCAGCCTGTGAAAAGCTTATGTTAGCTCTTGGAGTCGAACGCCGAACACGTAGCCTACCTCCTTCTTCAGCGCCTTCTTGCGCGCACGTCGGATCTGGTTCTTGGTTGGCTTCATTATTAGTAGCTCTGCGACCCCAAGCGCTCACTGTCACAGTACGATGACCTGTGGTGGGCGTGGATGTTGTTAGGTTGAGAATTGAATCGCGACGTGCGTCTGGCTGAGGATTAAAATGCTAGGGTTCTCTGGGCCTGTGATTGGCCGGTGGCCCCACCGCCCCTCTGCGTCAACCTTGTATCCTTGGAAGGTAAGGTAGAAATAATGTCAGGTTGTGTCGAAATGCTATGTAGTTATTTACTGGTATTCAATCAGTCACCGAGACGTATAGAGAATTCAAAGCTGTTGCTCTCTGTAGTCTTGAATTTCTAATCTAAGCAGGTTTACTATCAGCCCATACGTACATCTCGTTACTAAACTAAAAATGCAGTTACAGGCTTGCATAAATAGAAGTCAATTTTAGGGGGAAAAAAACAAATCCATTGCATACGGGTTCAAATATAGTACAATGTTTAAGTATAAAAGAAATTGGAGCCATGCATCGGATGGATAGAGTAGGCAAAACCTCGATCGATGTACCACAGCTTCCTTTATAAACTTGAGGATCAAGCTTAGGAAATAATCAGATATGGGAAAGGTTGGATTGGATCTTTGGATATCATCGTAGGTGGTTAGGTAGTCATGTTGTTCATTTCTTCTTCTTAGCAGACCGAGACTCTGAATTTGAGGCATTATTAGTGAATCTCATCCGATCAATTGCACAGGGAAAAGACTCGACATACCTGCGGCTGTCCTCTTCTTCTTGGGCCGGCCCTTTCCTCGGAGTTTGGCACTAAACAAAATAGTCAGGATATATTGTAGTGGTTGAAGAAGTGTGTCACGAACATCTGGATGGCTTCTTCTCGATCGTCTTCAGCCTCATCGAAAGTAGTCAAGCCAAGGGGCTTATAGGTGTTTTGGAGATCTCGGAAAGAGACCATCTTTTGAGGATACCATGCTGCGAGAGCTGGACCACGAAGCCGCTGTCGTAGGACCTTATTTCCAAGTCGGAGCCGCTGCGGATTGAAGTTGAGAGAGAATATGCGACACTGGGTCTGGGGATGGTTAGCAAACAAATCCAGAAAGTTCGATTGCAGCTATATCTGTTCACCTACCTTAACCAGGTCGAGTAACCTGGGTTGTGACATCTTCACTGTTCCCTTTAATGATGAAGTGAGGAATCTGAAGTCGGTTGCCGAGCCGAAGCGCGGCGGAGATCATGTGACCCAACTTTTATCTTGATCAATAACTTCCGCCGAAGTTCCTTTGTTGCAAGAACCAAATCAGAAATGAGCTCCAAAAGATCTGCTGCTGAATCGGACAGAGAGCTAACAAATATGTCTACCCAACGAAACAAGAAGGTGCGCAGCGTTTCTCCATTGTTATCTCGTATATTTATTTCCTACCCTACATCGAATATGGCGTTTCTTTACGATAACTCAGCTAAGTTTTCACAGCGAAAAGTGCCGTTTTCGGAAGGGGCTACATACTCACTTGACCGTGGATTACGCCCAAGCGACAGTGCTCATCTGTCAATTCTAAAAACACTTGTTCGGGAAGTGGTAGATGATCCAAGCATCCTCAGCACTGAACTGGACGTTACAAAGGCCGCGGACATCGCAAAGGCTGCATCTGCGCTAAATGATGCTTTTCAGCATTCAAATGTGGATTCATTACCTTCTCATGATTTCTCTCGCGCCATGATGAAGCATTCGTCCAGCAACTTTTCTCAAAAGCCTGCCTTACCGCAAATTCTAGATAAACAAATGGAAAAGGCAGTCTTTACACACCCAAGTGCCGAGAAAGCCTTTGGACAAAATTATGATCGCCTAGAAGTGATGGGTGACGCATACATCGAGCTGATTGCAACGAGATTGATCTGGGTGAAGTACCCTAACATCCCCGCTGGAAGAATGTCACAGATACGCGAGATACTCGTGAAAAATGAGACACTTGCAGAATGTTCGCAGCTTTACGGTTTTGATCGCAGAGCTTCCATACCGAAGACTTACTTGGACCAACCCAAGCGGCGGACGAAGATACTGGGCGATATTTTCGAAGCTTATGTCGCTGCAATCATACTTTCTAATTCTTCGGGTGGCTTCCAGATTGCAGAGGAATGGCTGACAGAGCTATGGTTACCGAAGCTGATCAACGTGACTGAGAAGAGCCCGCATAAATACGAACTTCATTCAAAACAGGAGTTGGCAGCAAAGGTCCTGATGAAAGGTGTTAAACTGGATTATCTCGAGGAGCGTCCTTTTAAGCAGAACAACGATGGAACACAGCTCCATTTTATTGGAGTATATCTTACGGGCTATGGTTGGAATAAAAAACATCTCGGATCTGGCCAAGGTCTCAACAAAGCAGAAGCAGGAGAAGAAGCGGCTTCGAATGCATTCGCAAACACATCGTTGATGTTAGAGGTTACCAACAAGAAGTCTGCATCAATGGCCAAATAAGATACCCCTTGATATCCCAAAACAGTTTCATATCGAGACTGTACACACGAAGAACAATATCAGAAACGAATCAGAACTGGAGTTTTATTTCCGGTAAAATAGATTTTAATAGGAAGTAACTAGCTATTTATTTAGTTATGGGAAGATTGATGAACAATGTTTACTCCGTTACTAGTGCTAAAGCTAATGCGGCAGAGGCGTAGAGGTGTTCTTATGAAAAATGAGAACAATTATTAGTAAAGATTCGAAAGGCTACGAAGTGCTCAGTCATGCCTAATTGTTACAATGAATTTCATTCAGACGCCACAGGCGGATTTGGGAAATTTTGGTTGGAAAGATGTGAGTGAAAATAAATTCAAGTTACGGGCTGTGAAGATGATCGTCAAGCCGACATATCCTTCATACGGAAATACTGTCTGTGTCCAATAACTAGAAACACTCCCAAGTCAAGGCGAGTCTTCTACCCCAGGTCCATGGGTATAATCTTGAAATCCCAAGTAGGTTCAAGGAAAATATGCTGGTAGTGATTAGTGGTCAATTATGATGGTTTATTTGTGAGAGATCATGCTCAGGTGTGAGGTTCGAGAACAGGTGATGTCTCTGTTTTCAATGCAATGGAATATATTGACTGGTTTGATCTCGAAAGCAAGCCGTTAGGTCCATCACCCGAAAGGGAATTACAGCAGATATCAATTCAGATCCTAAGAGGTCCTCAACATCTCTATATCAATCGTTTTATCCATAAACCGAAGCCTTAGGTAATGATCCCCGGATGGGCAACCTTCTAAAAGTACGATGGTGATAACGGATAATATTAAAAATTAATCATGTCGACTGGTCCTAATTGGTGGGTCAAAATTGGTGACTTTGGTTTCAGCAAACAGTTCGATAAGAATGTCTCGGTGCCAGGCATCATGCCGCTAGCTAAGCCCGATTTCGCAGATAGAGTCGATATATGGTCGTTAGGTGCAATGACGCTTTTTATGCTCTTCCAAAAGCATCCATTTCCAGACCCTCATAGCTTAGGGTTATATACCAAGAGCTTGAGCGCCCCATCAACAATGCCCTTATCAGATTCTATCAGTCAGGATACCATACACACTTCAAACAGTCTGTCAGCGGCTGGTGCTGAAAAGCGGGTGTCTACTGGAAAGACCCTTGAGGGCGCTTGGCTAAAACACCATTGGAGGTTCACGATTCACCAATGCTTCAATCAATGCGTTAATAACAATTTATGAGAGAGGAATGTTGTACTGCAATGTAAAAAATTACCAACAGATCGAAGCAGAGTTTTAACAGGTCTTTGAAGAATAGAGGGAAGACTCTCGATGCAAACCTTTAGAATCAGGTTGACACTCTTTTCACTTTACTAGATAGGTACCGTCCTTGGAATGGCTCGTCAAGAATTCAATGGATGTTAATTATTGCCTAGACACGGAGTCGAGTGCGGTAGCAAAGGAGTTAATTATAGAAAAAGAATATACACACAGTTTGCGAGCCATCGTCAATTTAAAAGAAATGAAAAGCATCGAACAACAGGTGTATGCAAGATATTAAGGTTGGAGCCACTTAGTGGGGCCGTCCTTCCCCGCGTTTTCATTTATCATGAGGTCACAAGTCACGAGTTACCTGGCGTGACCTCCTACCGTTCTATTTCTATTTCAATTCTTGTTTCTGTTTCTGTTTCTATTTAAATCTCCCATCTTCCCAAATTTCAACCATTTTCATTAATCTCACTTTAAAAAGTAATTCCAATCAGTAAGCATTGCTCTTCTATGCCTCAATTACTGAACTAACATCAGATGGAGTGACTCGCACCCACAAAGTCAATGACCCCGACCACTCCGCTATTGAGGGTGTTAATGCCCGCGATGGCATGTCTCGATTCTTTGGCAAGTCGGCAGCATTCACTGATGCTGATCCGAAGAAAACTAAGAAGGATGGCGGTGGCAAGGGTAATTGGTAGGTTGCTATACTGCTTAGTTGATCTGATCATATGACATACCACCTCCCACATACTACATACACTTGTACCGCACTTGTAACTAAAATTTCACTCTCAATCTTCTAGGGGACACTCTGGTGATGAAATTCAAGACTACGGTTTTGCATTCACCAATGCCCGTCGCCACTCGAACAGCAGCACTCATGGTGCCGCTGACTTTAGAACCAAGTTTGAGACTCGTGATACTGAACCTGTCTTTGAAGAGAAACTCCATGGAGCCTCTGATGTCTCTGAGGCTTCTGATGCTTCCGACCTGGTAGTTACCAAAGTTCCGACTAGCAGCAGCACTGAAAGTGTTTAGAGGTTGACGGATTTCATAAACCAGCTACCAATTTGAAGCAAAGAATATGCGGAAATCCATATCTCAGATGGAATGGTATGGATATGGATCTAAGATGACTGAGGATGCTTGTTTTCATTTCTCGGTCTTGGGATTCTAAATGATTATGGCAGTTGTATGGTTTTATGGAATGGTCATAAGAAATAATATCGTCCGAGGGAATCATATTTTATTACCAATTGAAACTTGAAGTAAAGAACTGTTTCCTGCTCTTTCATAAGGGATGTCATTCAAGCCTGTATCTATCGGTCTTTACCTCACTACCCGATACTAAGAGTCCACAGCTGAGCTACCAACGCCATTATCCTTCAATTAAGCTTCTACGGTAGCTGCATCCTCAATAGAAGTCAAGAGATGTTGGAACCAGAAATCAAGTTTTCCGGCATCGACGTAATGGAGCAAAATCCGGTTCTCTTGCTTCAGATCAGAAGCCACTCGAGATTTTTGCTCGGGGTGGAAGCGTGAGATAAGAATTTCAGCTTCAGAATCGGCCATTAATGCGTCGCCTGGACAAAGAGGTGTGTATAGTGGCTGAAAGCTGGGGCCTTTTCGTTCTGCAAAAAATGTTAGGTTGATGGATGATGAAAGATGTTCGATTGGCTCACGTTTGATGCAGAAAAGCAATGTTTGGTAGAGGGCAGTGTGATGAGTCGCATCCTCTGAATTGTCGTTCAATTCTGCTTCTTTTCCGATTTCTTCCCAGTCGTCCTTGATCATACAGCGTCTCCAGATCAACTTCCGCAAGGCCGAGACGTAAAGCGGATCCTGGGAATATCCGCCGTGAAGTAGCACTTGAAGAGCTTCATGAAATTCAACTCCTTCCTCGGATTTTTCAGTGGGGCCAATAAGAGTCAAAATATCAATCAAACTATCTGGCCCGACGACCTTCTTGTTGACCAAGCTGGAAAGGGCGTCACCGAGAATCTGATGGAGAGAAGGGCGATCTTGAACAAGATGTGGTCCCAAAGATTCCAACGCCAATTCTGCTTCGGCCTTGAGGTCGATGGCACCTTCTACACCCTGCTTAACGGCCTGGTAAACACTCGTTTGGATCTTATCGACTTCAGAGTAATCGTCGAGGCGTTTAATATCCTCCTGTACCAAAGGACCACCCTTCTCAGCTGAAGCCAATTTGCCGAGCTTGGCCAACGAAACCTCCACGCGGTGGCACCACAGTTGTTTCTCCTCGTTGAGCGCCAGGTTTTGCAAACACACTGCCGCACTTTCATAATCTTCTTCTCCAGTCACGTCGTTTATCCAACTGAGTTTGGCATAGCTAGGGTTCTTACGTAAGAACTTTGTCACCGCAGGTTGGTACTTTCGCATAGAAAGAAGTGCACCTGGGTGTCCCATGGAGATCTGGCGAGAGAAGTAGGCATCTGCCCACTGTTCACCAAATTTATCAAAATACTGAGAAATCCGAAGATTGACATCGGCCTCGCTTTCTCCAGCAAGGGTAGGATCCAGTATGGTTTCCGGAGATTGCTGATTTTTTACCTGATCTTGGAGTTCGATGATGAGCTCAACCAAGCCCTCCATATCTCGGAAGCGCTCTGCCAGAATCAGTGCATCCCTGAGATGCCCGATTCCAGCTAGCTTGAATAGCTGCCACTTGCGCTCTTTGAGATGGGTCTGTTCAAGTGAAACAGCTGCATCTGCAAGTTTGGGGTCATCCTGAGAGGAAAGCCAGCGAACACGCTCCTGGTGCATTTGACCAAGAACTCTGAGATGCCGTGCGCTGTTGTCTGCAATCTGATTCAAGGTTTGGCTATCAGGTGCATCTTTACTTGTTGACTTTTGTTGAATCCAAGCCCGACAGCTGTCCAGTTCCCAATCAAGTAGATTACCTGTTTCAGTATAACCCACCGCTTTAGAGGTCCAGAACTCAGGAAGATCTTGATAGTGGTCGGCGAGAACTCCATCCTCGATAAAGTCATCTCCAAGACCATAAACCGAAGCATGTTGTTCACGATACCTGAAAGCCGTCTCCATTATTGACAAAAGAAGCTCACTGGCCTCCAGAATATTTTCCGATAGCCGTTTTGCCTGTTTAGAAGAATTGCCCCGACGGGGTTTGATCGCGTTTTTAATCCATGAAACAATATGCTCCATACGATAGGTATCTTTCAAGAACCATTGACGCACTGGATCAGTTTCGTTGTTGGATGGGTTCAGCGGGGTTTTGAACTTGTCGTTCATCGTCTCGATGACTTGCCCGAGGAAAGCGCTCTCATTTTTAGCCCGAAGAGTCTCTTCCAATTTCCACATGGCTCTTTGGGCACCGAGCTTTTCAGCACCCCATAGAAGTTGCCACCTTGCAGCTCGGCTCAAAGGATTGCCTTTTTGTGACAACAATGACGCGAGATCGCCCAGAGCCTTTGCTCTCAACCGCAAGTGTTGATCAATAGAGATCGCAGTATTTGGAATAAACCGAGACTCTGACTGAAGAAGCTCTGTACAGATATCGAGCGAGGCTTGTTCAATGTCTGGAGCAGGAAAGTCAAGGCCGCCGTCTCCAGCGAGATTCAAGGGGTTCTTTGCCATGGTACCGAAGAATATAGCCTGCTCAAGCTTGTGTTTGGCGGTAAGCTGACCTTCATCCAAGGCATCTTCTGTAGGATAGCGAGGAATGACGTTAACACGAATGACACCAAAGTTTCGAATCATCATCACGCATGATGCGCGGTTCTCGCTGTCAGGTAGCTCCTCCGCACCATACCCCAATATCTCAAAGTCTTTACCGGACTGGAGATGGATAATATCTTGGAACGGCAAGGGCAACTGGTGAGAGTCCAGAAGCAGCTGAGAGGTTGGTGAGTCCTTGACGGTGCTCGTTAATGACAAGATAGCGATTGATTGGTTGATCCGGATGAAGGCAGTGTCTTCCGCTTTCGAGACCAATATCTTAGGTTTTGCTTCCTCTCTTGTGGTAGGAATACTGGATAGATCCACAGCGTGAGTAGATAGCACCCGCGATTGGTTGCCCGAAAATTCCACTTGGACAACAAACACCTGCTTTTGATTCATCCAAGGATTGGAACTAGCAACCAGAAACAGTTTCCAGGATTCGTCCGAGCCAGGTTCATCATGCTGCTCGGCGGAAATTGCAAAGTCCATGACCTTGAGCTCTGGTTCGCCCGTTCCTTTCTCAAGATATTGGGGAAATGCAGCCAAAACCTTGTCCTTCACATCGTATTTCTTCTTTAGTGCATTCCCGTGGTTCCAATGGGTGTCCCATATTTCTATCAGACCCGTAGATGTGGCAATGATCACATCGCGTTGGCCTCGCTGTCTGGAGCCGCCTGCTTGTACTGCAGTGACTTCTTTCCTCCAGGAACCGCCGATTAGCGCACTCTTGATTCCACCAAAAATTCCACCACCTCCACCACCAGCATTACTCTTCAGAAATTGCACGAGCACTGTGGGTTTTCCTTGGGTGTCTCTGAAAGTGATGTGCGCAACACGTCCAGAAGAAAAAGTAGCGATTATTCCAGAGGGCTCACAGTTAAGGACTTCTGTGGCATATTCGCCGGATAGGAGTCCCGGGGTAGATCCTTGAATCCCATATTGTTTTTGCCGAGACAGTCCCAGTGATGCGGCACTTGACACGGTTTCCCAGTAGATAATTTTACCAGTGGATGGAATTATAACCAGCAAACCAGGATGCTCTCCAGTAGCAGTAGAGAGCAGAGTGCCAAGCGGCACAGCACCAGTTGGATCTCTGCATTGTTCAGGGATTGGCACTGTGAACGTTTCTGAAGGGGATGGAGATGAGGAAGCAACGGAATATGGCCATACGATTGCGTGGGAGTGTGTCAAGGCTAATGCGTGGTTATGGCCCTTTGCGAAAAAGCACTTCAATGGGTCTGTGGTTCAGGAAAAAGTCAGTTTTATTGTTCGAATTCAAGCTTGCTGCGTATATGCTATACCTGAAGGGGAGCTTCGGATTTGATCTGGTAGAGCCGGGAGTTGATCAACAGTGTAGTAATCAGTGCTAGACTATTTTTCGTTCAGCCAAAGCCATGTATGCATTCTCAAGAAAAATCTTAAGAAGCTAACATTTAAACAGGTCAACTTACCAGCACAATCGTGCCCTCTGAATCATTTCTGCGCGCTTCACTCGGTTTCGAGCCGCGGATTGGGATTTGCATTTCGGAGGTGTTATCCATAGCCACGTCGTCATCGAGCTGGATGACTTGCTCTCCTAATTTTCTCTCATGATCTAAACCAATAGCCGTGCTATCTCCTCTTTGCCTAAGAACTGAGCGCTGTCGCTTGGCTTTGGGTGGTTTGGCAGCGTCGTCACCAGAGCTGGTTCGTTGGCGTCGCCGAGGGCGCGCAGCGGCTTTTGGAACGAACATTCTCAATTGAGAAGGCGCGGAGGGCCTCACATAAAGGTTCAACACTGGAAGCTGTAAAAAAAACCTGGAGGGTGGAATGCGCCTGCTACGGGAAGATTGAAGGGTCAGAATAACAAAGGTGATCTTTAAGCTTTCACCGCCTTGGATGCCAACCTCAGGCATCATAAGGCACCATAAATAGAAGATGCATATGGAAGTAATTATTGCTCTACGAAGTACGTAACTTGGGGGAAATAATGACTATTAGTTTCAAGCCTCCTCCTCTGTTATTGAGATTCACTGTTCAAATCGTATATAATACCTGCTTCTATTTATGGCACAGGAAACCAGCCTTTCGTCTCCAGGTAATACCCTAAGCATATGACTCGCTTTGTTGTACATCCGGACCTCGGGAGTATGCAAGTGTATTTACAGTGCCAAGTACGGGAGAGTAGTCATCCGGGGAAAGTGCCGACTTCGGAAGTTACACGTGAACTATAATGAGATAATCAGCTTTAACCTTGGACACCTCATCAATTCTTTCAACGAAAACAAATACAATAATGCCACACTGCGTTTATCAGATCATGAAGAAGGTCCGGGTTCCAGTGTGATCACTATAGCAATATGATCTCGGTCATGAATGCCGGTGCCCTACGCGGGCTAGAAGGGTGCTCAAGGATAATAATGCCGAGGCGATTCGCGTGCTATATGCCGCAGAAACAGCTTCATACCGCTCTTTTCTTTCCAGGTTGGTTATCTAATGCGATCAATATGACACCATAGGCTCACATAGCATTAATAGGGCATGGGGTGCAACGAGTCGGAATGACCGATCCCTGGATGAACAGCTTCCCCCGCACAACTTCCAGGGTCATGGATGAGATGGACTCCATCTTGGGATTCAGCCTTTCTCGCATTATTTCCGAAGGACCGAACTCACAACTGCATCAAACCGAGAATGCGCAGCCTGCAGTAATGGCTGTCTCTGTTCTCATTCTTCGCATTCTTGAAGAGAATTTTGGATTTAATATTCGTTCAAGAGTAGATGTCACTCTTGGACACAGCCTGGGAGAGTTTGCAGCCTTGGTCGCCGCCGGTCATCTGACTTTTGCCGATGCTCTTCGTTTAGTGCGCAGTCGGGCCGAAGTGATGGCCCAATGTACGCAACAGTTGGTTGCGCGATCCGGTGAAAGGTGCGGCATGGTAGCGCTTATATGCCAGCCGGAACACCTGGAGTTACTACTAAAGACTATTCAACAATTCCTCGGTCTGGGGACTTCCCGTCTTGAAGATAGTAGCACATCTACGCCACCCATACAGCATGTGATGGTGGCAAATATCAACTCTCCAAACCAAATTGTCCTCAGTGGCAGTCTCGAAAAAATACAAACACTGATTATACAACTCCGCCAGTTTGGAGGACATGACCCTCGTGCGGTGAGGCTGAGAAGCGATAGCCCATTCCACAGTCCTGTGATGGTTCCTGCAGCAGAATATATGAGGGCTGCAATGGATCATGTAGACATCAAATTCCCAGGCATGTTGCCTTGCATTTCCAACGTTTCTGCACGGCCATTTCACTCCAAGGAGGATCTAAAGAATTTGTTGTCGCGGCAATGCACTGATACGGTAAGATGGTGGGATAGCATCCGATATCTCCACCAACAACGAGGAGTGAGACGTTGGATAGGTATTGGTCCTGGTAAAGTGGGTCGTAATCTCGTTGGAAAAGAAGTTGGAAGAGTTGACGTTAAGGGAGGCGGCGTTTGGGCTATCTCTGATCCAAGGGAAATGGAGGAAGCCTTACTTGGGTTAGATCACACTGAGCCGAATGCTCCAGAAAGTCGGTTACAATATCTATAGTGAATGGGCTCAAATTATGTACAAATCTTGTGCAACTTTATAATATTAATAGCTTATGGTAAATTCTTATTTCATTAACATAGACATAGCCGTGGGATCGACTATATGCTCTTATTTGGAACATTCACCCCCCAAAATCTGGGAGTGTCGTCCAGAGTGCCAGAGAATTGAACAGTCCCTGAATCTCCTACTAGAACGATGGTATCTAAGCTGATGAGCATAGACTGTCAAGAACTTCTATATCGCAGTCCCAGGGGTCCATGTTTCGCCAATTCGTTTGACGTCTGCTATGAACCTTGAATTGGAAATTGGTTCGCAAGAGGTTGCTGATCCTACTGCTGCTCCAGGTCCCGGGGCATGTTTATCCGGGGAATAGAAGGGGTTCTGCAATAGCTGAATATATGCAGTTTGCAGTGCTCGGAATGCCTGGACAAGCTGGTTAGCAATTGAGCTCCATTGGAGAAACACTCCTGCAACCTACAGGCTTCAGATCTGCATCTCGTAGGCCATTGGCTGCAAAGCTTGTCAGCTTGCTAGGTGTGTTTCCAAGACCAAATACATCCACAATGATCAATAGCTTCACCCCCGTGGTTGTGAGCCAGCCGTAAGCAGCAAGTCTTTCGTCGACTGCCTGTAAGAGACCCAGATCTTGGTCTATGGAGGTCTGTTTGCGGTGAATCTCGAATATGTCAAGGCAGGAGTTGAGGAGGAAGGAGAATTCAATCGTGGCATCGGTGTGGGGAGGAAATAAAGAAATATGGAGGGGGTTATCCTGTTTTGCATGGTAAGTATACATCTTAGCACCAGTTCGCCATGAGGAACATACGGCTTTGCCAATCACCCCAATGCAGGCTATTCTTGGACCAGCCATCCTGCTCAGTAATGGTCTCCTTTGATGCGGGGGTTATCGCTCCCTACTATTCGGCCCTCACCTGGGCTTCGCCACGTAGTATGGATTTACTGCTGTAAGTGAGAAAGTAAATTTATGCAAGGTAATTAGGGTAGCAGATGATATTAACGAAGATGATTATCGTCTTATCGTAATGCAATTTCGAAGCTAGGGAAGCTCACTTCCCGGTAGGTTGGGTATTGGTGCCTTGGAGCCTAAACTTACAGGCAAAAAATCTGCGGGCCAATGACCACACAGTCAATTCAGTTTCTAAGTCCAATCACCGCCTTCAGCCCGCTCCTTCTAAACTCGGCAAAGAGTTCTCCTACTAGACCGTCACCTGCGAAAGAAGATACTGGGCGAAGAGAACTCCACTCATTCATCATGCTTCCCATGGCGAGACCCTTAGTTTCCGGCGCATTGAGCGGTATGCGATTTTAACTCTGATTCAATTGACATGATCCGTGGCTAACAGATATCAGCTGTGCGTCCCCGTTTCGCATACCTCCCTCGAGCCCAACCCATCGCCGCTCTGTCGACCTCCTCTGTAAAGTCAGCGGCACCCGTTCGTCAGTCATCACCAAGTCAGACTCTTACTGCCTCGGGCAAGGCCCGAACAGAGGTTCTTTTGCCCAGCCAAGAGAAGAAGGAGGGTGCTATGCAATATGTCTTGTTCGTGCCTCTATCAATTCCAATTGATGCTCCGATCCTTCCGCTGACTTTTATGATAGGACTACCCTTGATCAAGTTGCCAACTGGGCCCGTCAGAGTTCGCTGTGGCCCGTGACTTTCGGTCTCGCCTGCTGCGCCGTCGAGATGATGCACCTTTCCACCCCCCGCTACGATCAGGACCGTCTGGGTATTATTTTCCGTGCCTCTCCCCGTCAATCAGATGTCATGATTGTCGCCGGCACCTTGACCAACAAGATGGCCCCCGCCCTGCGTCAAGTCTACGATCAGATGCCTGACCCTCGATGGGTTATCAGCATGGGTAGTTGCGCTAACGGAGGTGGCTACTACCACTACAGTTACTCGGTGGTCCGCGGCTGTGACCGTGTCGTTCCTGTGGATGTCTACGTCCCTGGATGCCCGCCTACATCCGAAGCCCTGATGTAAGTGAATTTCTCCCCTGTATCAATACTCATTTTCTTATGCAATTGAACTATAGGTACGGCATTTTCCAGCTCCAGAAGAAGATGAGAAACACCCGTATCACCCGGATGTGGTACCGCCGTTAGACTCTCGGTGATATGCGATTTATTTTATATGCTTGAATCATTGTGCACGGTGGACTCAAAATGCATTCCGCCATCGTGGAGTCCGTGCGTTTTATTATTTTGTATATCAACTCTAGGCGACCGACCCTCAATTTCCTTGACTTAAGTTCTATTATTCTTGTCGGCTTTTCAATCTAAACAAATGTTGAAGTATTGGTCACTATAACTGAGTAATCAACGTACACTCCGCACCACATAGGTATTATTTCTGTTACCAGAAGTACAACCTATTTAACCGCAATTCATCAAACTTCGTGATTTTGATAATCAGGTCAAAATTATGAAGCACTAACTCCTAGGGATGCATTAGGACGTACAGTTCAGCTCCTGGAGATACAAAATACTTGTCAGGATCTGACTTTACCTCTAATCAACCACTCGATGATTATGGGCATGTGGCATATGTAAAATACCTTTTATCATTCTAACCAGAACACCCATGCACAACTACCTCCAAGTTAGGTAAGGTATCAAGGCATCGACATTGGACTGCTTTGTAATATGGCGGGGCATAGTTATGCATCCACTCCACCTGGGAGAAACATTGACCGGACCTCATACTACCTAGGTAAACACATATGAACAAAAGTCGACAAGAATGTCATCTATTGCGAAAACCGTCCTCGCAACAGGCACGTCCTCAGGCCTGGTAGGAGTTCAGTTCAGTTCCAATTAGCGCATCTAGTCTCTGACGCAAATATGCAGGGATTCGAAGTGATTAAACAGTTGCTTCAGCAGCCACAGCCCTATAACTTTATTTTGGGATCTCGAAATGTGGAGAAGACTGAGACTGACTTCAAGAATCTTGGATATGACAGCAGTAAACACTCCGTTCATGTTTTGCCGCTTGATCTGCTGGACTTGCGCAGTGTCCAGCTATTTTCCCAGAAGGCACTTACTCAATTGGGTAAAAATCGAGTGGACTATCTATTCCTCGCTGCTGGTGTGCTCGACAATGCCAAAGGTCCAGGTCCCCATGGATCAAAGTGGTGCGCAGGTTACATGGTCAACCACCTAGGTAAGCAGAATGTTTTCTACTATGACCTCATCTTAGGACCATAGCTAAGATGCTTTTTACAGCTCAGCATTATTTTGTTCATCTGATCCGAGAAACACTGGCTGCTTCGAAGTCTCGCGTCGTCTTTGTTTCTTCTGGAGCGATACGCAGCGTGAGGGGACAAGATCCTAGTGAGTCTATCTATTCACCGTAGTCTGTCATCTTTGCTCATTGTTCCTACTTTAGATACTCTTGATGTCGATTTGAAAGCCAATTCTGGTGCGGGAATAGGAACGGTATATAGTGCCTCGAAGTTCGCTCAGTTGCTCGGTGCTCATTACTGGCGCCGCAACTTGCCCGAGTGTACAGTCGTAGCTGTATCCCCTGGTCTCATTCCCGATACAAAGCTTGCCGCTGATATGGGTCTTTCGATGAATATGGCCGATGCCAAAACTGTTCCTGAGGGTGAGAATTACTCATTGAAAATCCATCGAAAGCACATAATCTTACTTTGTTCTTATAGGAGCCGAAAATCTTCTCCGTGCATTCTTTGCCAATAACTTGCCTGCTGATCCAGAGCAGTTGTTCTTGACTAGCTGGGGTGAATGGTGGCCGACAGATGTCTATGCTACTAGCCTGGATACCAACCTGCAGAACAAGTGGTGCTTGAGCAGGGAGGAAATCGAGAAAACTGAGTGTCTTACTGGATAGTTTTGAACACAGTATCTTGGTTTGAAGCCGACGCAGTCTCAGACACAATAATGCCTTGTTCATTCAAGTCACTCAAGAAAAGGAGTTTAGAATGTTTTCCTTCTCTATTCCATTTTATCACTAAAGTCTTGGAGAGTTACAGAACCAAACATGCGCATGAATTATTTGATATATTCGGTAAAAGCTTGTTAGAAACAATTTCTATAAAATCAACTTTATTCAACTTCACATCAACCTCAAGAATTGATATTGATTTTATACTTACTTCCTTATCTCTTATCGGGATGGTTGTGATTGGTTCTCGGTCCGTGCTTCGTGCGACAATTTTTCTTCTTCTCATTCCAGCACCTTAGCAACCCAGCACTTTTCTAACAATTTCGCTCTACCAACCATGGCGAGACGAAAATCAGGAGGGGCAAAGCCCGCTGAATCCACAAAGCCCACCCTCGTTTCCGCACTCACCTCGCCCTGGGATTTTCTCCGCCCAACCGACGAACTACATACCCTGATTGCAAATTCGACAAAAGAAATCTTGGATCCTCTTGCTACATCCATTGTCGATGAGCAAACTCTCCGCCGACAAATCAATAAGAAGCGCAAGCGTTCCGAAACAGACTCGATTCACCCACAACTTCAGCTGAAAAACCTTTACACTGAAGGATTCACGTCCAACCAAATATGGGAACAAGCTATTCGGATTCTAGAGTCTGCTGGTGCTGAAGTTGAACGGGATGTTACTTTGTTGGCTAAGGATATCGATTACCCATCTTCTACCGATGAGGACTCGGATGTTTCTGGCCCTGAGGGTCTGGAATCCGAGAGCGATGAGGTTGATGGCATGTCAGATGAGCTCGATGAGGGCGAGATTTCTGATGAGCTCGATGAGGATATGGACGAGGATATGGAGGACTCTAACATGCTAGAGGAAGAAGAACTAGATGGTGAATTGGAAGAGGACATGAGCGAAGATGAAGAAGGCTCGACTTCATCTGGTGAGGAGGAAGATCCAGGTGTCTACACTGAAGATAAATTCGGTCTTAATGACGGGTTCTTCTCCATCGACGACTTCAATAAGCAATCTGAATTCTTGGAGAGACAAGATGCAAGGGGCGATGTTGAGGAGGAGGATAGCGATGACGAAGTCGACTGGCATGCAAACCCGATGGTCCCTGGTAGCTCCATGGCTACCGTCAAGAACAGCTCCTCGAAGGAACCTTCAAGGTCGAAGAAGGATGAAGACGAGGATGAGGACGAGGACGAGGATATGGATGACAGCGAAGAAGAAGGTCCCACCTTTGGCAATGTCGACCTCAACGCGGACACAGATGAAGACGAAGATGCCTCCGAGAATGAGGATGCTGAAGCCACTGGCTGGCTCGACACCAGTGAAATCAAATACGCCGATTTCTTCGCACCACCACCACGAAAGGCTTCATCCAAGCGAGCACGCGCACTCCCCAAGACCCAACCCGCTATCACGGAAGAAGATGTCAACCGAGCAATGGCTGATGCTCGACGTGACTTGTTCGATGAGGAATCTGATATTGAAGACGAGGCTGGTGCCGAGGAGGCTGCCGGCCCACAGTCGACCCACGAAAAACAGCGAGCACGTATCGCGGATGAAATTCGCCGCCTTGAAGCCGCAAATGTTGCAAAGAAGCAATGGATGGTATCTGGTGAAGCCAGAGCCGTCGAGCGACCCGTGAATTCCTTAATCGAGGAGGACCTTGACTTCGAGCGAGTTGGCAAGCCCGTCCCCGTCGTGACCAACGAAACTTCCGAGGACATTGAAGAGCTTATCAAGCGTCGTATCCTTGCTCAAGAATTTGACGAGGTCATCCGCCGTCGCCCAGGTGCCGGTGACGGAAAGACTCCCCGAAGCGCCCGATTCGAACTGGATGATACCAAGCCCCAACAGAGTCTGGCTGAGATGTATGAAGCAGACCACTTGCGCGCCAGCGATCCCAACTACGTCGACTCCAAGGACCGTAAATTGGCCAAGGAACATGACGAGGTCAACAGTCTCTGGACACAAATCAGTGCTCAATTGGATACCCTCTGCAACTGGCACTACAAGCCCAAGGTGGCCCAGGCAAGCATTAATGTTGTCACCGATGCGCCAACCATCACAATGGAAGACGCACGTCCTTCTGCTGGCAGCGCTGCTGGTGGGCCATCTGCACTTGCGCCACAAGAGATCTATGCACCAGGTGATGATGGCAAGGTTGCTGGAGAGCTGGTGCTTAAGACTGGTGCTACTATTTCCAAGGATGAAATGTCCCGCGAAGAGAAGGCCCGGGCTAGACGCCACAAGAAGAGTCAGAAGGATGATGCTGATAAGCCTAAGAAGTCTGCCAAGGCTATTGAGAAGCAGCAACTTGTGTCAGATCTCAAGCAGGGAGGCGTTAAGGTAGTGAACAAAGAGGGGCAAATTACCCAAATTGATGGCAGCAGGGTGAGAGAACCACACAAAAACCGCGGCGACAATCTGAAACTATAGTTATACAGTCATGCAGTCATGTATAGATTATTTTTTTTTTCATTCAAAACTCGAATAACACATCATGTTTCAAGGCGTTAAACTATCTGTTGCTTCAATATTCTCCGGTATCTCATGCTTACCTGCAGCGCTAGGTAAGTGCTGTAGCTAGAGGAGGAACGCATGCATCAATGAATGATTTGGCGATTTGGAAGTTACGTAGTAGTAAGATTGGATAAAGAATGCACAGGAAAACTACAGGGCTTGGAAATCTAAATTATCAGGACATCTTCGCTTCTCTTGTATTTGTAGACTTAACACGAATAGTGTAGAGGAATAGTTTCTCTCGACCGTATATTGAAGCATCGGGATCGTCTTTAACCTCCTGCACGTCGAATGCCTTCTTCGCCATTTTCATAAACCGCAAGTCCGCTCTTCTCCGTCGTTTGTAGCAGAAGTAACATACGGAATTGGGGCCAAGAAGGTCCTGTAGGGTGGTAATTAGGAGAGGAAATGCAGGTTCGAAGTAGACGCAGTCGGCAGCGAGGATGACGTCCGGCTTCGCAGGGATCTGCTCTGGAACTGGTTCTCCCCAGTCAAATACGGAAGCATTAACAGTCGAGTCAAGTTGATTGAGCGTGATATTATCCTTCATAAGGGAGAACATGGGCAGTTGGTCTGTGATGTGAAGGGGAGCCTTGAATTCACAGGCTCGAGCAACAGCAAGCCCAACAAGTCCACCACCAGCTCCTAGCTCAACGCTAGAATTGGAATCAGCAATCAAAATATTGTACTCGGAAGCACAGGGAGCTAGAGCTAATGTGCTTCCTATCGGAAGACTCAAGAGTTAGTTACATCGATTTGTTGGACATGTCGATTGAATGTTGAGACAGGATGTATTTTGCCAGAACCATTCCAGCAGGCCATAGCTGTCCTCCACAGCCATTTTTCAGGTCCTCTTTTAGAAGCAGTGGCTCTTTTAAAAGGCCGTCGAAGTTGATATTGGTAGTGCCGGCTGATTTGATGGCACGTGGCGGAGCCAACGAGTCGCTCACGTTAAAGGAAGCATCTGGAAGTGAATCCGGGCTGAGCGACCTTTCTATAGGCTGGGGAAAGGTCATTAAATTGAGGAATTGATTAAAGGAATTTGGCGGTTGCAGAGCGAAAACATAAAAACATGAAAAACATCGCACGATGAGAAGTGGGGATCAACTCTAATCTGGTCACATGATACAGTCTATTTTGACAATATATTAGAATTCCTTGGAATGACGAGCTTTTAAGATAAACAAGCGTAAGTATTATTGGTTGTGGACTAACTGGCTAACTTACTACTAAGTTACTATAGTGGACTATCGAAGATGTATAAGGGAGCCTAGACTGTCTCATACAAGTTAGGTAGTGATCAACATTTTCCGAAGCTCCAAAGCAGCAACTTCAGAACTTAGGAATGATTAGAAAGCTTAGTTAAATGACCTAGACTGAAGAACTGACTAGAATAAGTCGTTCCTTATATAGAAATAACTAGAAAGAAGGTTAAGCCCGTGCGTAATTCAACGAACAGCTAAAACAGGGTCCGCCTCCACATGCACTGACGTATTGTAGAGGATCGGCTAAGACGAGATTAATCTCCACTATTGCTCCAGATCCAGATCTTACTTTGTATTGTGCCCAGGTTGGCCGAAACAAGTACTGTATTAACCCGGTTTCCCCGGACTGGGAATGGTGAACCGGAAGAAGACCAGGAATTATTCCTGACGTCATGTTAATTCCCAATTGCGCTGAATCATGACGACGTCACCGCATAGCTTGTCTTCTTAAAGCTCCCTTTCTCTCTCAATACTTCTTTTTCCTTTCAACATTGTACTCAAGACTTTGTACACTACTTCCTTCATCATGACTACCCTCCATTGTGAGTATCATTCAGATAAGAATTTCGAACACAAAGATCAATGCTAAACATCATTCTTCTCTAGACTTGCCTCCCGTGAAGCCCTCGGCTATCGCCTTGGGTACATTCTTCACCCACACTGCCTCCCTCGGCATCTTGGCCCCTATCTTCGGTGACACCTACCACCGCGCCCAGGCCGCGAACTCCAAGGAGGAATTCATTAAGTCGAAGGAAGCCGCAGGTGCTGCTGCCGCTTGGGGATCCTCCCTTGTCGGAAGCGCTGTGCAGACATATGGTGTAGCTGCCCTCATCAACGCCACTGGTACTCTCAGCTACAAGGGTGCTGCCTACCTCGGCTCATTGATCTTTTTTGCTAGCGCCGCTCCTTCTGTATGTCTATCTTTACAAGAGTTTTCTAATTTTCCAGTCAACTAACAGTTGTAACAGGTTGTGAGTCAACTGTTCTTGGAGAAGCGTCCTCTAGATACAGTTGCCGTTGGTACTGTATCTCGCGTGTTCGAGACTGTCGGTCTCAGCTTGTTCTTGACTTGGTGGGGAACTCGCACCAACCCGTTCGACTAGATCTAGAATATGATCAGTAACGGATAATTGATTATCGGCTGAACTGGAGTTTGGGATTACAATAATAAGCATGGAGAAATGATGCAGATGAAGTATCTATGATCTAGCTTCCTTTTGTTCAAAACAACCATTGAAAGCACTTCTTTTCCATTTTATCAATAATCAGGCTCACTTTTCCGTAATTCCGAGAATATACGGTCTTCACATTCTGCTCAAGATAGAACTGATGAGCTGTACAGTACTCTTCGTGTAGGGCCTAGATTGAGAGTTCTACTTTAAGCTAAAGATCGAGCGTGTCTTGAAACATGATGGTCCACTTCTAAGTGGCTTATCATATATGGCTCCCAAACTATACGAGTCTAGATATAGCGATAAGCTTGATGTATATGATCTTGATTCCAAATGACATGACATACTCACAGCTAACCGGGTTCTGACGGTTGAATTACTGGTTCAATTACAAGTGCATTCAGCGAACCTTCAAACAAAAAAATACCGCATGCATGCTGTTATGAAAAACGACACCCCAATTATACCCACTTTGTCCTTCCGCTGAGCTTATCACGGAATCTAGCCTTGGTGTCAAATCTCTTTAATCGAGAAGAACTCCAGGAATAGTTCATCTCTCAAGTTCTAGACTTGCCGCCAGAGCTGCTGTATTTCGCGTCGGTATAACTTTCTGATATTTCGATAGGATGTGGTGAATGCAGATAACATCACTGAAAGGACGAAGGAGCTGATTCTTCCATTCTTCTGTGGACTGAACCGAGAATGTATCGTTGATTGGCAATTTAACTGTTCCCTGGAGTGGCCAAGGCATAGCCAGCCTGGAATTGCAGCATCATTGCCGACGCTAAGAACAAGATTGTAAGCCAGCGCCGGTCCAGTTTTTAGAATCGAGAAAGGCAATTTTTGAGGATTTCTAAGTTATTAAGCGCGTTGTCTTGATCTAGAAATTTGGCCTTATAGCTCTCGAATCGAGACTGAATGAGGAACATTTCCCAATCTCTGGCCCTATAAAGTACTTATATGATCTAGCTCGTCATACTCTTTGAATAAAGAAGGGAAGATATTTTGCTTCAAGAACTGCCCACACAAATCCACCTGACATAGACGCGACGAGAATACTGCCGGGGATGTTCAACTTCGAACGGACTGGGAACTTTGCCGCTAACCTATATATCTATTGGCTACAATTGTGCCTATATAATATCTGCTGCAGGTCAAATCTATTGAAATCTGAGCTCATCGTGGTGGGTTCAGACATGAATACTTTGGAAAAAAAGGAAATGATAACTCGATTTGTATGTACGTATTCGTCTGAAGCGGGCAAATCATGCCAGTGGAAAAAATCTAATCAAGCAAAATTGCGGCAGGGGTACCTAAATTACAATTGTCAGCTAGATCATATAGATAATACTTCAAGGTTGAAAACACATACTTATCAGGGTAAGATTGCTCCTCGGTTAGGAGATACTTAGAGTGATTCTCCTGGGGCTTCGAGTTGTTCATGTGGCCAGGAAGAGGCGGCAGGCCATTTGCACCCAGAACGCCCTGGATGCTCTTCTTGTCCTGTTCAAAGAGCGCAGCCAGGCCGCGCTCTTCACCATGTGCCTTCACCTCAACCAATTGCTGCGCACCAGCCTCTCCGAGCTTCAGGACATCATCCTTGGGAGCAGCCTGGCTACCGACGGTAAGGAGACTCACAGAGTCGGCCTGCGTGAAGGTGCTGAGCTGCGGGTAGTTGCGGCGAACATCGCGCTTCCAGTAGGGATTATCTGCAATGTCACTGGCGGGGAAGGTGACAGGATCGTCATAAGCCAGAGGAGGGTTGGATCCCGGGGCAGGAAGACGGAACTGAGCGTTCAAGGGAACACCGTTCGAGCGCTCGGGGGCTACGGCGAGGAGACGGCGGATACGCTCCCAGATGCCGGTGGATTGGACAGTATATTTCTGCAGGGTGCTGGGATCAATCACTGGATATGTACAAGCTCAGTATCAAGCAAGAGCTTACCTGGTGAACAGCAATGGCGTGCCCTGCTGACTGGGCGGCTTTAATAGCACCGCGAGCCATGATGAAAGACTCTGACCTGTACCTCCTAATCAGCTCGTTGCTCTGAAATCGATCGAAACTATGTATAATTGGGAGGTGCAGGATATTTCAATAGTGAAGGACTAACCTCTTGAAGTACTAGAAATCCTTCAAAATTGTAATTTACAGACTTGAAGATCACGATGCGGCATCAAAGCAACTCCGGAGGTTCCAAGGCGGAGCGGATTATTGTGGCTCCGGTACTCTCATGAAGGCTGCATTACTAATACTGGCTAGTTAAAAACACGTGCGAGTGGAGATTCCGAGCGAGTGGAGAATCCTCTTTTTTTACGCATCATCTACGTTTTTCACCCATTATGCCACCACCTACCTCTCAAATGGCCCAAACCCGGGAAGAACAGGAGGGTAGGATCTTATTAGCTATTCAGGCTTAAAAAAAAAAAGCCAAATTGCCAATGCAAACCAAGCTGCATCTATCTTTAATGTCCCATATACTCCGGCGTCGCCAATCCAGTGTTACATATCGCGCTGAGACACGCGCAAATAGTCATAAACTGATTAAATCTGAAGAGGAAACTCTAGTGAAATAGATTTTCTCTTTAGACGATCGTGGATCTGCCCCTAGACCTCATTTATGTCGCTCAAATCGCCAATATTCTACTCGCTGACCGTGGAATTAACCCACCTCTTACGATCGGACGAAATTGGGTTTCGAACTTCGTTAAACGTACACCTGAAATCGATATTCGCTATTCAGAACGTTACAATTGTGAACGCGCAAAACAAGAGGAGCCTAAGATTATCCGCGAATGGTTTACACTAGTTGAAAAGCTGATTCGCGAGAATGGGATTCATAAAGATAACATTTACAACTTTGACGAAATTGGCTTCGCGATGGGACAAACCGCCACTACTAAAATCGTTACGAGGGCAGGCTATTATGGCCGAAAAACAAAGTATAACCTAGAAATTGCGAGTGTGTTACGGCTATTGAATGTTTAAATTCAACCGGTTGGGCGCCTCCGCCATGCATCATATTTAAGGGCAAAAACATGATGCAAAGCTGGTTTAGCGATGCCAATTTACCACCTGATTGGCGCATTGAAGTAAGCCCTAATGGCTGGACATCAGATCAAATAGGCCTTCGTTGGCTACAGGAACTATTTATCCCTTCTACTAGAACACGTACGAAGCGGAGATATAGGCTGTTGATTCTAGATGGCCATGGTAGCCACCTTACACCCGATTTCGATCATATTTGCCGACAAAATGACATTATACCACTCTGTATGCCTCCGCATTCATCTCATCTTTTAAAGCCTTTAGATGTATGTTGTTTTGTTGCTTTAAAACGCTCTTATTTCCGGAAGGTTGGTATCAAAATGGAGCTAGAATTCAACTCTATCGACAAGAACGATTTTCTAGCTATATATCCTACCGCACGTGAAGAAGCTATAAGATCTACATCTGATGCCTTCGTTGCCACTGGAATTACACCATTTGATCCAGAGAGGGTGCTTTCAAAGCTTACTATCTCGCTTCGTCCATCAACACCACCATCATCCTGAGGTAGCGACTCTAGTAAGAACTTCTCCCCAAGAACGCCAGTGACACAGAAATATATATCTCGCTAATATAAAGCTTTATTACGTACAGTGTCGCGATCGCCGTCGACACCAACGAAGGAGCTGTTACACCAAATATTGAAAGGTACTGCATCTATACACCAAGAGATGGCCATTCTACCTCAGGAAATAGCCGCTCTTCCCGAAGCTAATGAATAAAAGAAGTAACGAAAGGCACGTCCGAATGCGCAAATGGTCATTGAGAGTGGCCTTACTGTCCAGGAAGGCCGCCAGCATATCGACGCGTCAATAAATCGTGATGTAAATGGACGCCAACCCCGGGCATCTTCTCCACGACGCCAGCGGCCACAAAGATGCGGAATATGTAAAGAAACTGGACATAGGAGAGAGACGTGTCCACAGCGCCCGACTCAATAGGTTATTTACATAGTTTTAGTGATTTTAACGGAGTTATGGGACAAATAATATAAAAAATGAAAAAAGGGGGTCATTTTCACCATTCGCCCGTAATCTCCACTCGTCCGTGTTTTACTTTAAGTGGATCTATTTAACTACTCCATAACTACATAGTTGAGCCGTCATGAATGATATAAGAACAACTAAAAAAGAACTGTAAAGCATTACTTGCTTGAAGATTGTAATTTTGTGACCTGTCATCGTAGTAAAAGAAAAAAGAAAAAAGGCAAGTGATCATTAGGAATACAACCCCAGAGCCAGAGTAATAGTTATGGTGAGCTAGTACCTTTCCAGGAGTCGATCTCAGGCTGAAGTAGTCATACCAGCATCGGTACCAAGCGCGGTCTCTGCCGCAGTCGTGATTTCAGTGATCATTCGCTGGGCAAACTCGAGGGTCAGGTCTGGGCCACCGGGCTTTTGGAGCAGCACTTTCCCCCTCTTATCGAGCACGAAAAGACCTCGACGAATAGTCATGGGACCCCAGGGCCGCTTGAACCCCATGGCTCTAATCAGATTAGCCTCTTTGTCGCAGAGAAGATCAAAAGGTAAGTTAAAAATCTCCTTAAAGTTAGCGTTGTGGCGGGGAGAATCGACCGAGACACCATAGATGCTCAGTCCAGTCGAGGTCAGATATTCATAATTGTCACGAAAGTTCATTGCCTGCGCAGAACAGCCAGCGGTAGCGGCCGCTCGAAAGACGAAAATCATAACTCCATTCTGGCTCTTGTCAAGGAGCGCCTTGAGCATTGTGCTCTGACCTGTATGGGTCTTAAAAAAACCACCAAACTTGTCGATATCAACGACATCGCCGAATCCTGCCGGAGTACTCGAAGATTCAGCCTCTTCAGCGGCTTTCTTAGACCATCTGTAGCTAGGCTTTGGCCATATCGGGTTGGTTGCGGGTTCTTTGGAGCGAGCTGTTTCGGTCACGGTTTCTTCGGGAGCATCGTTTATGGGACTTCTGGTCTTGGAGGTATCTTCCTTGGGAGCAGCTGAATTAGAAACAAATTTTCTTTTCCTGGGCGTAGCCTTCTTGCGCGCAGCTTTTTTGGGCGCATCGTTCTCTGGAGCATCGTTCACGGGAGTTTTGTTCTCAGAAAAATCTGCATTGCAAGCAGCTGATTTAAAAGCAAGTTTGCTTTGCTTAGGGGCAGATACTTTAGGGTCAGTAGCTTTCTTAGGGGCAGCTTTTTGGAGAACAGACGCTTTGGTAGTCTTGGGTTTCTTTTTCGGTGGCTCAGTCAGAGATGGTGTGAGGTTATCCATATTTACGGATGATGAGGGAAAGAAGAACGGATCCATATTGATGAAAAGTGTAGAAAGAAAAAGATAAAAACGCGATTCAATCAAAACAATGGATTAAATGGAATAACTATACAAAGGCTTGGCGGTCACATGATGATATAAGCACAACCGATCCACGGCTCGGATCGGGATCCCCTGTGACCCGATAAAAAAACTTAGTGTGGCGATCCTGTTCGACCCGGTAAAAGCCAGACTCATTTAATCTTCGACCGTCATTTCCTACCTGTTTGCCACACTTCTCTCAGATTCAGACTCCGTCTCAGTCTCACCTCTGCTTTCTTAATCTTCAAATCGTCGCCTTTACTCGTAATACTCTCTTTTCGTGTCATCTTATCTATCGTCTTATCCCTCGCTAAGTTCGCACGCGACCATGAAGGTCTTTTCCTCGACCTGCAGCTTTGACTACTCATGGGAGGAAGTGTCCACGGCCAACTGGCGTAAATATTGCCCGTGGAATGACAAAGTTACCCATGTTGTCGGCGTAGACACACTCTCACGTGTTATCGACTCTAAGACTGGTATCGTGAGTTGTCTTTTGAATATTTACATGGTGAACACCGAACTGACTCATCTTAGCTACGAACTGAACGTCTCATCACTTGCAATCAGGCCGTACCGCAATGGCTTTTATCCTTGTTCGGCGGTAGCACCACCTCGCACGTTTACGAAGTTTCCTACGTCGACCCTGATACCAAGAAAGTTACCATGTGCTCTACAAACCTCACCTGGTCAAACGTCCTCAGTGTCCGCGAGACTGTTACATACCAGCCCTCCTTAAATAATTCGTCCGCCACCGACTTTACCCAAGAGGCCCAGATCACTGCTCTCTGCGGTGGATGGCAAAAGATCAAGAACAAGGTCGAGGAGGCCAGCGTGGAGCGATTCCGTGAGAACGCCAAGCGTGGCCGAGAGGGGTTTGAGACCGTTCTCGAGATGAGTCGCCGAGTCTTTGGCGAACAGCGCGATCTCGAGCAACAGCGAATCCACGTTTAAATCAGCAATCACCGTCCTATGGTCCGTGCTTTATAAAGCACCATCGTTCAAGATTCTTGCATTGAGCGACTTTATTTTATCGGCGTTCCCTCTCAGCATTTCGAAGCCTGGTGTTTGTTTTGGAGTTCTTCTTTTATTCAATATCCCTACCCTGTCAACAGGGAATTTTGTGCTCACGCGCGTTATTTTACGACGCGCCACGGAAAAGTCTCATGTTTCTTCTCAGCGACCCGTCTCCTTTTCTGAACCTTTCAGTTTTACAACCTTCACGGCATAGATGTATATACGAATTCGAAGACATATCTCAACGATGTATTGTATCCTCTTAAATCAAGCGTCTCGTATTAATTTTCAAGATTATTGTATTAAAAAAGATATAGATCCATAGATTATATTGCACATTGTATGCCCATACATAAAAGTCATTCGCAAGGCCTGAAACACCTCCCTTAAATCGTGAACATGATATTTTGCTGCAGAAGCACGCCATTCCGAGTCTCTCGGCTAGGCTAACCCAGAAGTCCACCAAGAACAACTCGACTGACGCCAGAAATCTCATTTTTGACGCTATTTCGGCTTGCGTCCTCAAACTCTCGCACCGAACCCGCAACCATTATCTTGCGCAGTCTAGCATCGGCTTTGGAGAATGTCTCTCCTAATGCCACTGTGCACACTGACGGGGTTGATACCAGGTTTGCAACACGTCCATAGCAGTCAATCAAGACATCACAAAGTGTGGCAAATGTCTCGAAAAAGTCTGGCTCAAAGGGCAGTGATGGAGTAAGGAGGAATGTGTATTCCTCGCCATGGAGGAGATCAGATGATTCTGTGATTGGGAATGATATCATAGAGGCCGCCGCAGAGCCAGAGGGAGAATTCAAGTTTCCTGCTGCGTTCTTCAAGTCTGCCGGGTCGCTAGTCTGCATCGGCAGTCCGATCTCCGTCGCAGAGCTGGCTCGTCGAGTCTTTGTCCCTACATGTGCCGCTCTTTTGAACATCTGTGGTATGCGCGCCCTCGCAAGAGTCGAAGAGGAACTACCATCGGGTGGGTGGATTTGCTGGTAGGTCTCAAACTCGATTAATAGAGCGTTGAGAGTTTTTAGATACTCGAGGGCAGTCGTATTGACGTCTAGGATTGGCGGTAGAGATAGACCTAGGAGGAGCAAGTTGACAGCTCGTCGAGCCAGTTTTCGTCCTTCAAAATATGGCAAGCGGCCGATATCTGCTCGTGAAAAATGTACGGTATTGAACCAGTAGACCCGACCTTCCATACTATGGCGCCATTGAATGTCGCGTCAGCTTGTTTCTGGGCTAGATTTACTTGGAGATTCAGAAACTACTGTCAAAGGTAACTTACGCTTTCCTCAAGTAGTCCAATGTGGAAATCCGCTTCGTAGCCATTTCGTGAATTTGTTGGTAGATGGCACTAGCACTCTGCGGTCCAAACGGACCACCTCCGCTGCTCACAGGAAGACTACCGACATGAGAGAGATCATGCCCAGACCCTGATTTGGCCGTATCCCTTCGCGTTAAGCTTGGGCCAAAGGACGACGACATCTTGACTAGTTGTTTAGATGTGTCTCGGTGCTGCTGGGATGGTGGATATGGTTCGCAGCTAGGAGGTGTGGACCTGGTTGGGGCGGAAGAACACCTTTGAGCTCGAGAGTGGTATCAGATAGAGTAGTAGTTTTGTAGAAATGGAGGGGGGTGAATTGTCTGAAGGGTGTGTCGTTGGGGTTATTAATTGGTACAAGACTAAGAAGTGCGCGGCCCTGAATCTCAAAAGGAGCTGCTCTAGACTTCGACCCCACATAACTAATCGCCTCCGCCCCTAAACCCTCTCAAATGTACGAAAGCGACCAAAGCTTTACACGCTCCCCATTTTTACCAGAATTATTTACAGATGACTTCTGAGCAAGATCACATCCCTAAGCCGGGCCAATGGCCTGTCGACCCTCAGGAAGCCTTGCCTATTTCCGACGATCGTATCTGGGTTGATGGATGTTTTGATTTCACCCACCATGGTAAGAAGTTCGAGCTCTTGTATATTTGAATCTCGCCTAACCGTCATGTTATCATAGGCCATGCTGGCGCCATGCTTCAGGCTCGTCGTCTCGGCAAGGAACTTTACGTGGGGATCCATTCCGACCAAGAGATATTGGAAAACAAGGGACCAACTGTCATGGCCTTAGATGAACGGTTCGCCTATCCCACATCTACCCCTGCAGTGCGCCACTAACATATGATACTACCCAGAGTCGCAGCTGTTGACGCTTGCCGTTGGGCAACTCAAAGCGTTCCTTATGCCCCTTACGTGACCTATCTGCCATGGGTGTCTCACTACGGCTGTAAATATGTAGTTCACGGCGATGACATCACATCCGATAGCGACGGCAATGACTGCTACCGATTTGTCAAGGCTGCAGGTCGCTTCAAGGTGGTGAAGCGAACTCCCGGTATATCGACAACAGACCTGGTAGGCCGTATGCTTCTATGCACGAAGAACCATTTCGTCAAGTCTGTCCGTGGCACACTGGCTGGTGATGAAGGCTCAGGAAGCTCAGAGGAACGCAAGGCATTTGCAGAGGATCTTTTGCAGCGGATCAAGGACTATTCGACGGATGAGAGTGGCCTACAGCCTGGCCCCCAAGTTTGGACCTGGTCTGGGTCTGGTACAGCCAAGATTGAGCATACCGTCGAAGAGAAGGGCTTATTCACAAAAATGGTTAATGGAAAGGACGTAAAGCCTGGTCAGCGTATCGTCTATGTTGACGGAGGCTTTGACCTGTTCTCATCTGGCCACATTGAATTCCTCCACAAAGTGACCGAGTTGGAGGAAGCCGAAGGTCGTAGCCGTGGCTGGTATGAGCCTAAGCAAAAGGAGAAGCGCATTAAAGAGCACGACGAGGATTACGGCCCTGCATATATCATTGCTGGTATCCACGATGACGATGTCATCAATCATTGGAAGGGTCTGAACTACCCTATCATGAACATTTTCGAGCGTGGGCTCTGTGTTCTCCAATGCAAAGTAAGCTTTCTCCAAGTCTTCAGAATATTGAATCAGGCCATTAACATTCACTAGTACATTAATGCTGTCGTCTTTTCTGCACCATTTGCTCCCACTCAGGCATACTTGAAGACTCTGCCACTTGGCGTGCCCGATGTTGTTTACCACGGGCCTACCACTTTCATCCCACTGACCTATGATCCGTATACTGGCCCGAAGGAGATGGGAATCTTCCGGGAAGTTGGTAACCATGCCTTCCAACATGTGAACGCAGGCGAGATTGTCGATCGAATCTTGAAGAGCCGAGAAGCGTACGAAGCTAGACAACGGGCCAAGCTGGAAAAGGCAGTGGTGGAAGATCAAGTGAAGTTACAGGAGCAGGCCTCGGCATAAGCATCATCTCCATATTTAAAAGCAGTGTAATGAATATCCGTCGAACTGTATATATGCCAAACCTCGTTAACTGTTTCTCGAGGATAAAGAAGATGTTATCTATTGGTCCCATCCTATAGATTACAATTGCGAGCTATTGTTTTACATCTAGGCTGTAGACTTCCAAACCAGACTCAAATGTGCAGCATGAAATAGATCGTTGATACGGGTATATCAGTGTATTGATGAGCCGACAACCCAGCCGGAATCGATGGTATAAAATGATTAAAGTACAATTTTGACAAAAGCCCTCATCTAAGGAGAGATTCATTGATCCGCAGCCACGAGAACGCCCTTGTCCTCAAACATCTTGGCAAGTTCACCGTTCTGGTGCATCGACATCAAGATGTCACAGCCGCCAACAAACTCTTTATCGACGTACAGCTGAGGGATAGTTGGCCAGTCCGAGTATTCCTTGACACCTACATAGAAAAAGCAAGTCAGTTACCCAAAACCAGCACAGTCGAGCTCAAATAAGACATCACAAACCTTGGCGCAGCTCCGCATTCTCAAGAACATTGAAAGCCACAAACTTCTTGGGATCCACACCCTGCAGACCCAGGATCTGAATGCTGGCGCGAGAGAAGCCGCACTGCGGCGTCTCGGGCGTACCCTTCATGAACAGCACGACCGGTGCAGAAGCGACAGCCTTGTCGATAGCGGCCTTGGTTTCGGTGGAAATGAGACGCGCATGGAGGGAGGGCAGAGGAGTGGCCGGGACGCGAATAGGCCGGAGTAGCGACGTTGGTCGTGAGACTGGGCGGAACGCCTAGACAAGTGTGAGCTTTCTAGCTAGTGAGAAATTGGATGCTGGTGGGATTGCACACCGATAGAACTGTTCGGGAAAACATGATTATCGTCCTGGATGTGAAGTTGGAGGATGTAGGATGAAAGGTTGAATTGATGGAGGTTTGTTTTAGTAATACATTTTGGCCGTTGCGTCAATCTCGCCCCACATCTACGCCGTCTTACATACACCCCAGCAACTTTCTTCTCTTCATTTTTAGAAACTTACAATACTTCTAGCCCAAGTTGCTCATGCAGTCAAAACTGCCTGCTTTCTCCGCGAAGGAGTATCTGGATGATGGAAAAATTCATATCATTCTTGCAGCATCCGGTTCTGTTGCATCCATAAAGCTTCCAAATATTGCGGAGGCCTTGTCTCGTCACAAAAATGTTTCTATTCGGATCGTCGTTACTCAAAGCGCAAATAACTTTCTGCAAGATCAAAGCGAGGAGCAGCCGGCCCTGGATACCTTGAGCCAGCTTGATGGAGTCGACGGGGTATATAGAGATGCGGATGAGTGGAGGACACCATGGACTCGCGGCGCATCAATTTTACACATTGAACTGCGCAAATGTAAGCTTTACATGAAAAGCTTATCCATTTGATTATTATCTAATCTCTACAAGGGGCGCATGTCTTGTTAGTTGCACCATTGTCAGCCAACACAATGGCAAAAATGACTGCGGGCATCGCAGACAATCTCCTCCTATCAGTGATCAGAGCTTGGGACACCACCGGGTTGGTTGATGGAGATTTCAAGGCCCAGAAGCCACTGATATTCGTGGCGCCAGCTATGAATACCGCAATGTATAGACAGCCCATAACCAAAAAGACTTTGCTCATTCTAGAAGAAGAATGGGGCTGGAGCGAGTCCAATCCCGAAGGCTGGGTGGTGGTTCTCCACGCAATCGAGAGGTCTCTTGCTTGCGGGGACGTTGGAAGTGGTGGGATGATGCTCTGGACAGATATCGTTCAGGCCATTGAAAGGCACCTGGGTCTTTTAAAGACTGAGTCTTGATCACTCGATTCATTCGTTGATAAGACTTCAACTCCGAAGATTCCGTGACATCGCACAAATTCAGGTATCATGCGGCATACTCAGAGCCGTACATGCATCAAGAGAACTAGCATTCTAGGCCAATGATGATGGTATCAGGATACAGCTTGGCCTAAACTTTGTCATGTTTCCAGCCTCACTTGACTGGTGCTTCAATGCCCAAGGAAATGCCAGGAAAGAAGGTGATCCAAGCAGATATCCAAGATGAGGACGAATTTTCAACTAAGGACGTATTTATTGCAGTTCATTAGTATGGCAGAGGTCCATACATCTCAGCTAGACGGTAAACTAGGCATCGAAGGCCTTTAAGCCTTGGAAAGCCCCGTGATTATATTATACTACCGAGGTTGCTTCGGTGAAAATCACTTGAGGTTCACTGTAACATTCATATCACTTCAATACCACTCCATCACTCCAGGGCTTTTTCATAACTTTAGACTCACTTTACCTTCAAGATCACTTTGACATCACTATGGGCTTTAACATTACCTGGGCACTTCAAGCGATCGCTAGTCTTTTCGAGGGCCCTTATGGCCTAAATAATATGCACATATACTTTTCTGAAGCTTTCTTTCTCACGTCCTCTATCTACCTTTCCGCCTCCCTATTGGGTTTTGTCAAGTCTTTCAGAGATCGTTCTACACGAAGCTACCAGGTATGAAGTCATGAAAACACTCCAAATTTGCGGTTCAAAAGCTACATGCCGAGCGAGGCCCCTGGATTTGACCATTCCATCTGATCGCTTCAAAATACGACAGTTTTTGACCCGTACAGCTTTGCCAGGTGCTCAATGAAATGCGCTTCGGTAGCAGATCCAATTCCGCGAAGCTGTTTGACCGACTCATTCGAACCAGAGATCAGATACTAGCTCAACCGATAAATTCTCGGTAGCAAGGCCTGGATCTGAGACTGGATGTTTATGATTCTGCTCTCTGCTACGGAAGGGTTCACTTCCAGCGGCGCATGTGTCCAGTCAAACTCCTGGCACATGAGAAACAGACAGGAGCACGCCAATCTTGGAAGACTTCAGAAAGTGTTTGGAACAGTTGATTATGGCTACAAACAGCGAACGTGGTCAAACTGGGGATTTCGTGAACTTGCCCTATCCCTCTTTGATTCAGTACTGTTTTAGTTACCACTGCCATTACAATATGATTTACGAACACCTAGCTAGTTCAGGCTATTTTCATAATTTCTGTTTCGATCAGTTTGATAGAAGCCCATTCTAGTTCACTATTTTGCTTGTTCCCGGAAGCCAATAGTGTCGTGGTATCAATGAACATATGCAGTTGCGATTGCTTTTCCTCGCTGTAGAGTCACTTTCACGGCACTTTTCATATCATACCATTCAAATAATACATGAAACCCCCTATTCTCCAACAAACGGATCCTCTTGTCTAACTTGGCAGGTTCCTTGGTTCGGGCTTAGTACGTGTAGCCATGACCCACTAAAGAAGGCCTCAGTATCTGCCCCAGTGCCGGGATTGCAAAAGTGATACAGCGGGTTCGATGAAAGATCCGGTACCAGGACATGACTAGTGAAGAGAAAGAGTAAAATAGGAAGGAGTACCCGGATGCAGTATTTTAGTCGTAGAGCTGCTATGTACGGGTCTCACTCGGCACATTTCTGTCTTCCAAAATCCAGGAAGAAAGCAACCCAATCGATATACCGCCGCCTGTCAGCAAGCAACCGTTCCTAAACCACCACCAGCAGCTCGAAACGCTCTTTAATTGCACCTTCCAGATCATGAGGCCCAGAGTGGCTGCTGCGCTTCCGCAGCTACCGATGAAGAATACTGGCCCGCAGCCCGCGGCGACGCCTGCCGCTCCGAGAAGAGCCACCTGAGTCACCGCCAGACCTGTCAAGACAGCTTTGGTGTTGTGTTCGTGGCGAAGAGCGATTGATTTAATACCTGCAGCCACATCATCTTTAATGTCCATATGCGCATAGATCATGTCATATAAAACAGTCCAAGCAATACAACTTGTATATAAGGCTCCGGCTGATATCATAGCATCATAATTATGCAGCAGGTCCACTCCTAGAGCAGGAAAACCCATAAAAGCTCCCCATGAGTAGGCTAGGCCCAGTACAAACTGGGGATAATTTGTGATTCGCTTTGCTAGAGGATACGCAAGAACAATGGGCACGCTGGGAATTCCGTACCACAAACATTGAGATGGAAATGAGAGGAGAACTCCGAGCCCAGCGAAGAACTGGGAGCCCGTGAATATCAAAGCGTTTTTAGGGGAGATGGCTCCGCGGGCAATGGGTCGAAACTTGGTTCGTTCGACATGAGGATCTAGGTTTCGGTCCCATAGATCATTGATAGCACAGCCAGCACCGCGCATTATAAGTGCGCCTGCGAAGAAAAGCCCTATTGTTCCAAGGACTTGCACCGGGGCAGCACCAGCCATGGGGGCGGCGAGGAGGGTGGAGAAGAGAGTAGGGAAGAAGAGATAATATGTGCCGACGGGCTTATCTAGCCGTACAAGCTCGGCATAGGGGATCCAGGACTTGGGGAGAGAGGCGGTCAACCCCCTTTGGGGCGGGACATAATTTGTAGCGGGATTGATGGTATTCGTATTGAGCCCTTGTGGTCGTACAGCCGTGGAGTGAATATGGACAGAGTGCCTCGGTTTTTGTTGTGTTACTCGGTTGATCGACTGGGAAGGAGGTGAAATGGTCACCCTGGCTGTAATAGCCAGATTTTCATGGTTTCGGTGACTGGCGATGGTCAATGGCCGGCTCCTGGAGCATGCGAATCGGGGTAAACAGGCACGGCGCGGAAGGAGACTAGAACTAGTGGATTGGAACATGGCGGAAAGTAGAGAAGAGATTGATGATTTGGAACTCAATTGGAACTCAATTGAAGATTTACAACTGAATCATATTCAGCTGTGGAGCTTAAGGACTAAGGAAATAGGATTGAAGTATTGAAGCTCTGATCGTCCAGCTCAATAATCCCAAAAACTTTGCCGCTAACCTCTTTGGGCTATATATAGGATCCACCGATCTGCGTCCTGATGTAATCCAACACTCAGAACATATTGAAATGTTCAAGATCATAGAGTAAGAGTAGGTGATGATGAAGCGACGATAATAAATCTTCATAAAATTATAATTGATCCTAGCAAATGGAAAACGCCAAAGAATTGAAGGATGAAGGCACCTGTGCGGTGCTACACAGTTGGGGTAGAAAGTATGGGGGAGATATTGGCAGAATTACTTACCGCCTAAAAAGCTCCAGGAAGGTTGGTCGAAGTCTCTTACAGCCTTTGGTATTATAGCTTTCTTCAAGTAGAATCATGCCACTCATGCAATAATAAATATACAATCGTTGATTCAGCTTCTCTCGGTGAGAAGGCTACATGAATTTCTTACAGCTGAGCTAGGTTTGAGCTGTTTCTTTGTTCGCCGCTTCCGCTCGCAGTAAACACAAACGCGTTGCATACTTCGTTTGGACGAGGAAGCTCCTTAGCCTGGATCCTTCTTCCCTTGACGCAGCTCATTTCGTCCACAAAAAAATTACTGGAAACTCTGAAGTGCGACGAGACGTGTGCTTAAGCCTTGCAAGGCATTGGCATAAGATAAGCCGCATCATTTGAATTCGGTAGTTTCTCCTACTGATTTGATTTATCTCCATCTATATACTGATAACCTCCAGGAGTATTCTCACGTTTGTCTGAGTGTTAGTGCTGTACCACTGAATAAGCACTCCCCACCTGGCTGTCCCTCGATTAATTTCCCAACTACCATAATGTCACAGTCCAAGACGGCCACTTTTGATCCATTTCCTCCAGATCTAGACATACATACTATTGTGGACCAAACGCCCAATTTTCAGCTTGCTCGACGTATCACATGCGACGCAGTTGACGCAGAGTCCAAGGAAGACTTTGAGAGATTGGTCCTTTTATGGGTAGTCGTTTGTGGGCAGCCACTAGTTATTGAGGGATTTCAGGACCGACTTGACCCAAAGCTGTTTTCAGAGAAGTGGCTTCGCGGCCAATACTTCCAAAAAGGTGAGCAGTATTCCCTCTCTCTGTGTTGTTCGCATCTGACTTATTAACAATGCTACAGTGGAATATGTTCGAGACCTGGGGAAAGGTGTAAGTGCGCCATTTACAATTGGCCACTACTTAGGACAACTCCCAGCTTTAGTAGAAAAGATTAACATTTTCAATTACGCAAATCGAGACCGACAGCGTCTTTACATGAAAGACATCGACTGCCCTCCAGAATGGCATCAGTCTTTGGAGAAGTTGATTCCCCCGAATTTGTTTTACTTCAATGATTCCCCAAAAATTTACGATGGTCCTGGCTCAGGCCTTTCAAACTTGTCAGAATCATATAAAACGAAAGACGGTACGCCGATTGCCAGAGCAGGCGATTTGATGAGCTGTCTTCCCCCAGACATGCGTGCAGAAAATCTCATGTGTTACATCGGACACGAGGGCACATACACGCCAGCACACCAGGAAATGTGCGCCAGTCTTGGCCATAATCTCATGGTTGAGGCTTCGAACGGTAAGCCAGAGCATGGGAAGCCAACAGTCCCGGGCTCGTCAATTTGGCTCATGACTGAGACGAGAGAACGGCGTGTGGTGTCGGAGTACTGGTCCACAATGTTAGGTCATGATATTGACCTCGAGAATCATTTCGCACAACTCAAAGCATGGAGGTGCGCCCCGTTCAAAACCCATGTGGTCGAACAGAAACCCGGGGATCTCATCCTTGTTCCACCTATGGCTGCTCATCAAGTCTGGAACCGCGGTACAAGGACGATGAAAGTTGCCTGGAATCGCACCACCGTCTCTACCCTGAAAATGGCTTTGTCTGAAGCACTGCCACATGCACGGATGGTCTGTCGTGATGAGCAATACAAGAACAAGGCCATTGTTTATCACTCACTCGAGCGGTATGCAGATCTATTGAAACAAGCCCCCAAAACTGACAATGTCGAAATCAAGAAGCTGTGGGGTGACTTTGAGGATCTATACTTCCTGTTCACAGATATTTTAATATCTGAAGACTTTTCCAGCAGGCAGAAGATTGAATGCATCGAATATCATGGCAATGTGACTTGCTCATATTGTCGTTGCAACATCTTCAACCGGTTCCTGACATGTCCCTCATGCAAGGAAGATGATAACGATTATGATATATGCATGGACTGTTACGTACTGGGTCGAAGCTGTCAATGTATCTCCAAGCTCAGGTGGGTTGAGCAAATACCTTGGAGCACTCTACGCAAACAGCATGAGACCTGGCGGCGCCAGCTTCTCAGTATTGAGCCTGTAGATTCACCGCGCCTGAACAAGTTCCTGCCCCTTACCGTTGTGCGAAGCCAGAATCCCAGGAAGACTGTTGCAGAAATCTGCAAAGAGCAAATGACTCGTCGGCCCTGGGTGGATTGCAAGAAACCTACTCCAGAGAAAGAGCAATCAGCCTCACCAGACAGTGCTATTGGTGATGCTGAATCCCCAGCGCGGAAACGGCGAAAAACTGGCGCCAACTCCAAAGATGAAAGGTGTCATATGTGCAGAAACAGGGAACCAAACTGGAAACTGGCAAAGTGCTCACAATGCCCGTTGCGTTACTGCTACGCCATCCTGTTTCGCGCCTTTGATATATTTCCGCAGGAGCAAATGGAGAAGGCCCATTGGCTGTGTCCCCGCTGCCAGAAAATCTGCAACTGTGGACCGTGTCAAAAAGATCCGACAATGCGGCCACATGAGCCGGATAATATTTTGCTGGGACATGATACCAGAAAGATCGCAGATCCTCGAAGTGTTGACTCTCTGGTAGATCTTCGTTTATCTAATTTGAAATGGCTTCCCAGCCTCGAAGAAGATATAGCACGCCGCCTGCAACGGAGGCAACAGGAAGCCGAGGAGAAGCAAACGAATATGATTATGGAGCATGCCATTCTTGTGAGGGAGAAAGAGTCCCCGCGCGTTGATTTAACGGCGTCTATTGATTATGGTAGAATCCCCGTGGATCCTACTCTCCAGCTGGACAACTCTATAATAAATCAGCCAGACCAAGAGTTGGTTTACTGAGTAGGATTTTGAAGATGTTTTTCTTATGGCTATGATTCCCCCTTTTGTCAAGTGATGAAGTTTTGAAGTTCCAATGCTGTCTTCTTTTTTCATGAATTGGTCTGTCTTTTAGAAGACAAATCATTAGACTAGCTTAATGCCCATAGGTAATCAGATACCAATTCAAAATCAGGCACCTTTGTAAGCGTATGTAAGTGCCTTGAGCGTTGAGGCATCCACCGAGCGCATAATGCCCCGAGCGAGTTGAACTGCTGCAAAAATGACTACAAATTTCATATTAGAATATGAACACAGGTTTTATAACTGCAAATAATGGGGGAAATCGTTTGCTTACTCCCTGGAATCAGGTAAAACTCAGGCTTGATCATGGTTGCACCACGAGCAATAAAGAAATGGAGGCAAGCCAATACTAAGTTGACAGTGCCAAATATAGGCCCTATGAGCCATTTCAAGTCTCTATTCTCAACCCTCATGGGCTGTTTTCCCTTTCTATCAGGGTAAAGGGGGCCTCTGGCAATAATGAGGCCGGATCCCAATAGCGAGACGACACTGATGAAAGAGTAGGTCCGCTCTGTGGCATCCTTTCCAGTGAAAACTGATAGAACAAAGAATGGTATTGAGCAGAGGGAGAGTATAACCAAAATGAACTATAGAAAAGGTCAATATCTACTTCTTCTGATCGCGAACGGTGTAGGAAATTTTAGATCTACTTGGTAAATGGTATTGCGCGCATCGATATCATGCTTCAGCTGGTCGATGACTTGCTCCTGTTCCTCTTCATCAAGCTCCTCTCGCCCTTCATCATTATCCGAGTCTTCGGGATAACCAAATATTCTGCGTAGTTTGATCCCATCCTCGGGATAACGAAACCCGCTGCGTTGTCGTAATGTCGCCAGGACCGCCATGGTGGAAGATAATAATAATAAAATGATAGTAACAGGAGACAAGAGGAGAAAAAATGCCAAGTAGAAAAGTGACAAGAGCAGTGTACTACGTACTGTTTTGTGGGGTTGGTTGTAGAAATTAGAACAAACATGACAAACACAGCTTTTCTCTCTCGGCATCGGATGATCGTTGTGTTTCCATAACGCTTTTCGAACTCCACACCACTTCCGACCGTCTCCCTCCAGCTCACAATGTTCTCAGCTCGCGCTCTCCCTCGGCGCGCCGGACTAATCCGATTATCAGCCCCCCGCTATGCTCCCCAACACCGCACATTGATCCCGGCCCCAACCCCAGGCACGGGGCCTCTTATGGAACGCCGCGCAGACCGCGAGCTGCCCGATATCAGCAAGAACCGAGGCTGGATGCGTACTCTCCCAATCTTTGCTATTGTTCTAGGTGCCGGCACGCTAGCCATCTTCAACTACCAGAAGTCCTCGTCGAGCATTGTCGGCAGTACGATGTATGCACTGCGGACGTCGCCGCAGGCTCGGGAGATTCTGGGCGACGAGATCTACTTTGCGCAGCAGATTCCTTGGATCAGTGGCGAAATGAACCAGCTGCATGGTCGCATCAACATCTCGTTCTGGGTTAAGGGCACCAAGTCTCAGGGCAAGATGCGTTTCAAGAGCATACGGCCAGACCGTATGAGCTATGTGAGTCGGCCTTTTTCATATGCCCCTGAAAAATAGCAGTATTATCTTTCGTGAAGATGATATTTGTTTAAAGTATTTTTTTGTCCCAATAAATTGAGCTAATACCTTGTCGTCTAGTTCCACACTGAGGAATGGAGTCTGGAAACTGAAGATGGAACTGTGGTGCAACTGCTGAATAGCGACAATGACCCCTTCGGCCAGGACTGATAGTTGCACTGGATGTGTGGGCTATTTTGTAAAAATAAAGACCTTATTTGCATATGATCTGGCGTTTGGGACATTTTTTACATGATTATTGCGTGCAGTACCTGAGACGAGGTCTCATTTTGAAGCTGAAGGTTGAACGAAAGAAAAAAAGGATATCATTTGTTATATCATATACAAACGCCGCTCAAGTGAACAAGTATTTCGGGAATGGTGTAGTGGTACATGTTTAGCCCGGCCTGGGCGTCGCTCTAATCAATTTATTTAAGCCTCAGCTGTAGCTGTGGACTCTGTGGCTGAAGGAACCTCGGGCCATGGCTTCTTGATGGCATCTTGAATGCGCACACTGCAACCCTTAGGACCACTGATGTGACCTAAAACAAGAAAAATAACAAGATTAGCAAGTGTTACGTGGAGGTATTGAGAGAGAGAGAGAGAGAGAGAGAGAGAGAGAGAGAGAGAGAGAGAGATGTCTTACCGCTCACAACCACAATACCATTCTCAGCATCGACCTGGAGAATCTTTAAGTTCTGCACGGTGTTTTGGTTGTTTCCCATCCTTCCGGCCATCTTCTTGCCAGGGTAGACACGAGAACCACCACCTTGACTAGGACCCGCGGAACCGAGAGAACGGTGGGTCAAACTAACACCGTGACTACGATCCTGACCATGGAAACCGTGACGCTTCATAACACCAGCAAAGCCCTTACCCTTGGTATTGGAACGGGCGTCAACAAATTGACCCTCCAAGAACCAATTGGCATGGATACTCTCGCCGACGGGAGTAAGGCCAGACTCATCCTTGACGCGGAACTCGAAGATGTGGCGTTTGGGAGAAAGACCATTGGCTGAAAAGTGACCAAGCAGAGCCTTGTTCACATTGCTAGGATGCTTCCATCCAGCGCCAACCTGGACAGCCCAGTAGCCGTGCTTTTTGACAGTCTTGTGGGAGATGACCTCGACACGGTCAAGCTGCAGGACAGTGCAGGCGGTGCGCTTGCCAGTTTCCGGATCGAAGAGAGCAGTCATACCCTTTTTGATTCCAATGGCACCACTCCGGAGGGGCAGGGAGTTGGCTTTGCGGCGGAGAGCTGCGGCTGGAGTCGATTCAAGGACGGGCAGGCCGGGGCCAATGTTGTAGCGGGTGTGCTGGGGTGGGCTGATGGCTTTGACGCCGAATGATCGCATATGAGTTAGAGGCAGGGCCAATTGTGTGTCCCATAGGGATGCAGAAAGCTGGAGCAGCTTCCCTGAAAGACGCGACGCCATGATGGGGTTTGGTGGTTGAAAATAGATCGGCGCTGGTGAAGTTTTTGGTTTGTATGCTGAGTCAGCATCTCCGGACTTCAGCCAACACTCCGTACGAGATCTAAAAAACCGAAATCATATATACCACAGGCACTAGGTCTGCCACTCAGACATTGGGATTTGTAAAGCAGCCCTCATTGTATTTTTTTATAACCTTTTTTTGCCTCTTTCTGAGGTTTTCCCACTCACTGGCGCTCTGCTAAAACTTCGGCCTCTAATTATGCTGCGTTGATATTTTTCACATCTGTAAACTGTGTATTGGGGTCCACCGCACGTCTTCTTTTATTTTTCTGATTCTAAAAGGTCTGAACTTGCGGAATTAGCTTTGAAATAGAGCTTTATCCAGCAACTGGCTAGTATTAAGGAGCGCAATCGCCTTGCCTGCTTTCTCGAAGGTGCTGATCTTTAAAGTACATACGTCGTAAATAACTTCAACAGTTTTGGAATCCTTGAATTTCGAATGATTATTGCTCTTTTAAATTTTGAATTATCAAATCTTTGAAATTACTAATTCGATGATCTAGACCATAAACTTGAAAAAATATCCAAACCGACAATGTCGGATATATTGATTCTATTGTACATGCTATCGTAATATATAGCCTCTAGGAAAAGCTAGAGTTAATGGTCCCATTGTTACCCAATTACTCGGAGTCGGCAGGCGCGTCCAAGGGGGTAGAAAGCCCGACACGATCAATGGTCTTGGTGTAGACAACGCCGCCATTGAGTTTGTCCTCTTGTACAACCAGGTCCTTGCGGTCAGCATCAACCAGAAGGCGGATAAGGTCTGGGCGCATGTAGTGACCTCCCTTGTATGAAGTTAGCACTGAACTATAATCGATATCATATCCAAAACTTACAAAGTCAGCCAGAGACTTGGTTAGGTGGGTCTCATCGAGGTCAATCTGCGATAACTCGTTAGCATTTGCTAGATAAGCGCTTCAAATAGTATTTTTAGCCTACATCGACGAAGAGCAGACCCTGGAAGTCCTTGGCGGGGTGGGGAACCAGGTTCTGTCCATCAGGACCAAAGATACGACCGTGTCCGTTGTAGATGTTAGGGTCCTCAAGCTCCTTTCCAGGGGGAGTGTTCAGCTTGATACCCTCGGCGGTGATTGTCTGCCAAGGTGCAAGAGTGAAGGAACCAGTCTCAATAGCATAGGCAGGTGTAACGAGCTGAGCCGTCTTGTTAGTGATCAGGTCAAGTCTTTATATCTTAAGAAAGAATATACTTACATCCGCGTTGGCCTCGGCCACATTAGTGTAGGGGTCTGGGTACTTAAGGGTCTCCTTTCCAGGGTACAAGGGCCAAGCGGCAACGTGGACTTGCTCACCAAGAGAGGCAGCATAGGCCTTCAGGAAAGGGTTCATGTTCTCCCAGCAGTTCAAGTGACCAACACGACCAATCTCAGTATCCATCACTGACTTGGTGGTATCACCGGTGCCATCGCCAAAGACAAGGCGCTCGACGTGAGTAGCCTTGATCTTGCGGCGGTGGTTGATGACCTCTCCAGTGGGATTGATCATAATCTGAGTGGTGTATAGACTAGCAAGATCCAGCTCGGAGTATCCAAGAGACACATAGATCTTGTTGCTTCGGGCAGCTTCGCGGATACGACGCATCTCCTCCGAGTCGGAAGCAAGACTGTTCTCGCGGTACTTCTTGAGAAGAGGCAAGCTCTCCTGGTAGTTAACCTTCCAGGCCCAGTACGGGTAGCCGGGAATCCCTAATTAGAAATGTCAGTTATAAAGTTGATTCATGCGAGAAGTAGAACTAACACAGCTCAGGGAAGGCAATAAACTTGCAGCCTGCCTTTCCAGCTTCGTCGATCCAGTGGATAGTTCTGCGAACAGATTCCTCGAGATCGAACCAGCCAGGTTCGGCATTGACGGCAGCAGCCTTGTACTTCTTGAGAACGGGAGCCATGCTGAAGATGTTGTTTAGGGTTTGGTTTTGTTTGAGTGATTGAAGTGTGATTGTGAATGAATAAGATATTTGAAGCCAGGAGTTAGCATGCCTTTATATCTTCAGATTCAAATCTGTTTTGTATGTCTACCATAAAAGCATATCCCGCCAGACAGAATTCTGAGCACAGAGCATCCGCATCGACTCGGATGTGTTAGACCCGGCTGACTCGGCGAATGCTTCCAAGATTGACTAATTCAGTGTAAAACACTTGTATGATCTTGCCATGTTCTGACTTCCGGAAGCTTGAGGGGAATATAGTAGATTCGGGCTTTGCTTCATTATGTTGAACAACGCAATACCCAGGTGGATGGGAATGGTTCTAGTGACAAAAGGGAGCTAGATAGCAGTTCTATGGAATATGGCACTGAGCGATGAGTCCTTCATAGATCTAAGATCCTTCAGAAAGCTTTCAAAGACTTCCGAAATCCTTTAGTTCGATTTTCTGTAGGCCCAGGCGATGTCATAGATGCCACCCGAAGGATAGGAACTGTGGGGAACACATTTCTCGGTGACTTGTTAGATCCCGCAGAATCCCTTCTAGAAAAAAATTGAGAGGAGCCTTGGAAGTCACTGGGATTTGCTTTGATACGAAATCACGCCATATGATACGGCATTCAAGGTGATGGTGTTTGGAAATTGATTAGGACAATAGCAAATCCCGTATTGCGGGATGCATGATATCTGAAAAATACTCCACAGATCTACCAACTACCATCAGGACTTTCTGATGACTCAACCTTGGAAGACCCCGACATGTAGAATCAGATAGTGCAAGACTAGCCATACTAGTCCAAGTTTGTCACTTAATTTTCGCCAACGCAGTGTAAATAGAATCGGTCAATAGCATGATTCCTAACCGTTCCGTTCCGTTCCGCTATCCCGACTGTTCCATCAACACTTCTAAAAATGTACTTCCTAACACGGAGAACCAAAACATGATGGATTTCATTAGATAAGACGATTCTGACATTGATTGATATTATGCCATTTCCCCCACATATCCAGAGCAAGTTGGCTCACGTCGAATTATAGGCATAATAGGCAAATCAGCCTAAGATCTTGAATAGCTTCACTAGATATGAAGGCTACTCATTACCATAATTTTGAATCTCTTCCAAACTCCCTAGACTACCTCTAAAGGCAGTCTGCTTCTTACTCGCCGCCCGTTCTTTGGTCTGTTTCTTGTTCACTTCTTCTAAATGACTACATCGATCATGCAGCAAGATATGGCGATGAAACGTTCGAATCGTCCAATAATAATGCTTCCGAGTCTTTCTTTTGGTAGGCAAAGAGATTCAATTAGATGAAGATCCTGGACCTAAATCAATCTGAGATTTCAAACTTTCAAACTTTCAAGTTTCCAAAGTGAGTTAGTATCACTATCGCTGCCGGATGATGATGGTCGACTTGGCAATGGATCTAGGACGGAAAAGCTACTCCAGGAGCCATTATACCCTCGATTCAAGTGACTTACTCGCAATATCCAGCTTATAAAAGAGCTTTCTGATTGTAGGATTCAGCAGAGATAACAATTTTTTAAGCCATATTTACTCACATTGAAGCTAGATTCATCAAAGTTGAATATTATATCCCTTAACATATCTGAGGTTACGGCTACGCCTTTTAATCTAGAAGAAACTACCTAGCCAGTTTTATATATATTCTTCTTCAAGACTAGCAAATCTATGGCCGTTTCATGGCCCATGTTTCAACACCCTTCATTCGATCAACGATCTTAGAACCTGAGATGAGCGTATAGCAGCTGTGACCAAGGACAATCTTCCATTTTTCAAGGCTTGAATAGATAATTCGACTAGACTCTCCTGATAGTACGATTTCTGCCTTTTTTTTGCAACAGATTGGTGGTATGTGAATGTTTATAAATAGAGGGTTCCAAGATTGCTATGGGAGATAAATATTTTTGGAGGGATAGCAGAGCGACCGAGAATCATGTTATGAATCATTTAAGATTGAAGAATAAGTAAGTATCTGGGTTCTGAGACAATTTGACGAGTATTTGTTGCTATTAGCGTCATTGTAGGTTCACGGGATCAGAATGACTCCGAATTCCAACGGAAGGTGGTCTGATATTGGGGCCGTTTGGCGCTATTTGGCGCCGTTCGACGCGCTTGGTCAATCCCAGGAAGCTAGTGACGGAGCGGGTTTCAGATTCAAATCCGATTACCCCATATATTAATCACTTCGTTGATCAAACTATTGATATTCTGAGAACCCCCTATGGTCATAATGAACGACCTGCAAGTCCACCCATCGCGGAAAATATTGCTGGTAGTCACCACTGGGGGCTTTACTCATGCAGGTATGACAAAAAAGAAAAAGGCGTAGAATACCAATTTCTGATCGCTTATGCAAGATAACAGCACCTGTGTTGGAGATTGGAAGAGTCCTCGCTGAACGTGGTCACACCATTGAATTCGCAACTCTGGAAGGCCAAGAGCACTGGATTAAGGCAACCGAGTACAGATTCATTGAGAAAATTCATCCACTAGGCCCCGGACCATCTCATGAGCAGTATGATGATCACTATCGTCGCATGCAATCATGGGATATCTCCAAGGGCATTAGTGCAGCCATGGAATCCAAATATCTCTTCGATTCCTTCTGGCCTCAGACCTATCACCGCTTGAAAGATATAATGAATAATCCAGTCACTCGCCCTGCGTTTATCATCGCTGACTTCTTTGTCGAGGCTGCCCACGACATCCATGTGGAGTATAACCTGCCTATTGCCATTGTATCTCCCACGATGCCTGCCTTGCAGATGCCATGCTCTTATATCCCGGGCCAACCTGGCTTCCAACTTCCGGGAGTATTGACCTCAGAGGACACCCCTATGTGGCTGCGTATGAAGAGTGAGCTTTTCTTATTGCCGGATATACTCTCTATTATTCGATTTGGGATTCGAACGAAGAAGATGCGCCAGGATAACGGCGTCTTTCGACCGCTTCATAAGCCTAAAAAGCCAGATTATCTGGTCTTTATCAACTCATTCATTGGCTTAGAGATTCCTCGAGATCTACCCCCCACTTGCGCCCCTGTGGGTCCCATACTTAGTCCCATCTATTCTCCATTAGACGAGCAATGTGGTTTCTTCCTAGAGCGCCATAGGTCCGTTCTCTATATTGCCCTTGGCACACATATCATATTGCCCCATGTGGACGCTATAAAGATAATACACGGCGTTTCTCGATTGATGAACGAAGGGCTGCTTGACGGTATAATTTGGGCAATGGGCAAGACTTGCCGAATAGACATTGATCGCAGGTGAGCCTTTCCTTCTTCTTTCTTATGCTCACATATTGACTCGATAAAACCATAGCGCATCATTAGACATTGAATTTGGCGACTCGATAAAATGCGTATCTTTAGGAGACCTACTCGACAACAAGCATCCCGACTGGATCTTCCCATTTTTCGCTCCTCAACGTGCAATACTTAATCACGATTCCACCAAGTTATACTTCACCCACGGAGGAGGATCCAGCGCAAATGAAGCCCTCTACCACGGGAAGCCCATGCTCTCAATGGGTATCTTCTCCGATCAGATCGCAAACACTACACGCCTCGTTGCTGGGGGCGTTGCCGAGTCATTGAGTAAGTTAGGTTTTACAGCTGATGAGCTGTACGCCAAGGCAAAGAAGATCCTGAGCCCAGAAGGGCCTAATCCAGGAGATGATTCATATACACGGAATGTATTGCGCTTAAAGCGCATTGCTCACGTCGCTTCTCGCCGCAAGTATTATGCTGCAGATTTGATCGAGGAGCTCATGTATGATAATGAACTACGATTCAAGGACAGGAAGGAGCTGCGACCTATGCATCTGCAGACTGCTGATATGCGAATGCCCTGGTACAAGGCTAGCAACATGGACATGTATGCTATCGGTGGACTTGCTTTCTCGATGGTAGCTGGATTTTCATGGTTAACAGGCTATTATGGGTGGAAGTATTGGAGTCTAGGCCGGGCTACAGATCTATAGAAGCAAGTCAAGCAGAATAACTAACATCTAAGGACCAACATAGATCAATTTTCTAGCTCGAAAATCAACAAAATGGAAAACTCATACACAAAATTCCTAATAACCGGAACTGTCAAATATAGAAGATGTTTTTGAAATAAAAATAAGAAAGTAATTACACCTGAGAAATCATAAGCCGTTTTTCCAAGCTTAACTCCGCCCGGATCGGACCGAGTCGGCGCCCGAAAAGAGAATCCGCTAGAAGCGGAAAAAAAGCATTTATCACCGTCACCAGTACCAACAAAAACTCCCGGCGATTGTCACCGAGAATAAAAAGCCACCATCAAAGCACCTCGCAAGCTCCAGATGTCCCTCCGAACACCCCTGGTTTCACGCTGGCTCGCGCAATCAGCAGAACTCCTACAACAGAGCTCACTCAGAGCTGCAACTCGCCCATCATCAGCCACGCCACTCTCCCTCCTCCGCCCACAACTCCTCAATGGCCAGATAAGTGCAAGGCAGACTCTCCTAGCGAGCCGGAACTACTCCACACGCCCAGCGCCGTCCAGACCAAGCGCTCAATTCAAATTCAACCAGCCTAAGCAACGGCGCTTCAACTCGTCCGGACCAAAGTCAGAAGCCAAGTCAGAAACCAATGAAGCTGGTGGACTGACTGCGCGGTTGCGCAAATTGACTCGTGAATATGGCTGGGCTGCCCTGGGCGTTTATCTAACCCTTTCAGCGCTGGATTTCCCCTTCTGCTTTATGGCTGTACGATTGTTGGGCGTTGAGCGCATTGGTCATTTTGAGCATGCTGTGCTTGAGTCTATAAAGGGGGTTTTCCCTACTTTTTGGCCGAAGAAAGAGCATGCTGAGGGTGAAAGCGATAGTTCTGTCACTGCTCCTAAGGATGGAAACGCTAGTAGGCTACCTTCTCTTCCTTCTGTCTGCGATGTTGGCTAATATGTACTTTTCTTTTTCAAAGGTTTGTGGACACAACTTGTATTGGCCTACGCCATTCACAAGAGTTTGCTCATCTTCATTCGAGTCCCGTTGACGGCTGCTATAACACCCAAGGTTGTGCAGGTTCTGCGACAGTGGGGATGGAACATTGGGAAGCGGACACCCAAGACTACTACTAAACCCAAGAGTGCATGAAATGAGACCGTGCAATTAGTATAGCGAAGAATTAGGGATATTAATTTGGGGACTGTATATTAGCCATAGACCTTATTTGGCGCATCGTCGCGTGTGTCCTCCCCACTCAATTTACATGATTATAATACAGCAAATCCTGAAACCTCCTTCTATCCCAGCGCCAAAACTATTAGCCAGCAGCAGAGAAACTTGGTAAACGATGCAAGAGTGGGACTGCAAAAGCAAAAAGGAAAAGGGTAAACATCCGCCACTTCACCACTAATACCCAAAAGCAAATCGTGATGAGATAATGACATAAAGCTATTCAACTTGGATATCTCATGGTGTTCGTCTCGTTAAAAATATATAAATATCAGGAAGCAACATACGAAGCACAACCTATGAGGCTGTGTTAACAGAAGTCGAGATGGATAAAGGTTCACATATCGACCGAGTCGTTAAATCTCAAAATACCGTTGGCTTTCATTACACCGTTTACGCCATCGGGCATACGATATGCCCAATCAGCCACACCCATAGAGCTGACTGAAAGGGCCTCGGTGTGATCAGGCTGTGCAACTTCGTCAGAGGTGTCAGCCACCAAAACGAGGCCGAGCTCTTTGACAGTCTCAACCAGCGCAGGGACAACATTCTTGAAGCAGTTAGTACGGTCCATTGAAGAGTAAGAGAGGAGGAACATACCAAAAGACTAGAGCGGCAGATCAGACCCATAAAGTTGTTACTCTGAGCGATTCGGACAGACTCCTTAATCGACATCAAAGCACGGCCACTGCTGTTGACATGAGGAAGAGAGTCCACATTGCTAGCAAGGTCACGAATTTGACCAAGATCATTGCATAGAAGGACGGGATCTGGAAATGAATGTTAGCAATCGGTTATGAGAAAGTGGGAGATAAAAAAAGACTACACTCACAATTAGGCTGTTTCCAATTAAGTGCAGTGCATATATTGGGATTGTACGAGGTGAAAACGACGGAGCGCATGAAGTCAGGACTCTTCTCACGAGCCTCGCGGGCATGGTCGAACAAATCGGTCAGAATCGCATCCGCGAAGCTGTTGACATCGGCTTGGGAGGTCAAGTCGAGAGAATGCTCCTCAGCGTCAGATGGGTAGAGAACAGAGATATCAACTTTCAGGTCGATTGGCAGTTCTAGTAGAGCCTCCCGCAGAGACATGAAGGACCCTGCCAGAAGACGGTGGGTTTTCGGCATATCATTGATAGCCTGAGTCCGCAAGAAGTCTAAAATCTCCTGTTTGCTGAGACTCGCTTGTTCCGAGCCAATCTTTTGGAATTGAGCCCAAGTCAGTCGGGATATGGGGATGTCGATGCCGTGGTGGTTGACTACGAACTGTGGGTATAGAACCGGCACACTATCTCGAGTCAACTGCACAAAGAGCTGTACATAATCACCTGAAAGGCTTGAGCCGGTAACCAACCCACTGTGTACTGAGTCGATGGCACTTGTCGACTTCCAGTAGGTCGCAAAGTGCGTGATTTCCAAGGGATCTCCGTGATACGGCTTGATAACTTGGTAGTTGAAGCGCAGTTGGCCAATAGCCCGCAAACGAGGGTCAATAAGAGGCAAACAGCATGAGCCCGTGCTGGATGTTTCGGCAGCAAATTTCACTGGCAGAGCCACACTTTTCGCGATCACCTTGGAGCCAAAAGTAGGGAAGATTTCAAAATCAACGGCAAATGTATCCAAATTCTCCACGTGGAACGATATTGTCCGATATTCCTCCTGTATGGGAAGCATGATTGTACGGGGAATCAGGTCGGACATCTTGGAGGAAATCGTCAACCGGGCAACAGGGTGGCGCCCGCGTTGGTCAAATGTAATCGACTTGACTTTAGCTTCATTGAATATAAGCTGGACGAAAGCCCTCTTGTCCAGGAAATTGTGGCCGTATCGTCGTAAAGGAATAATCGGGGGAGGTAATTCCAGGTCTGGGATGCCATCGGTCATGTCGATGTCAACTGCCGAACTGTGACGCCTCTCGAAATCCACCGTCATGCCAGGCCCCTGACGATTGGTTCCATTCAGAAGGTCAAGTGGACTCCGTGAAGGGGCTGCTTTTGAGGGTTGGGCCCAGAGGAGCAACATGCACTCAAGGTGGCCTTCCCAAGCAGCGTAGTACATAGCCTCGAGGCCTTTTTCGTCCGCAATTTTTGCATCGACACCAGACTCGAGAAGAGCTTGCAGACATGACACACAGCCTTCACTTGCAGCGTGGAACAAGGGGGTCCATTGGTAAAGCTTGTCTCTCTGGTCAAGATCGGCACCGTGGGCCTTCAAAAGTAACAAAATTTTCGGAGACTGTGAGGCCCGCGCAACCATATGTTGGGGGTAAAGACCCTCTGCATCGGGTAATAATTTTGCCTTCCGTTGAAGTAGCATCTCTACAATCTCATAAGAGCCGTGTTGGCAGGCAAGATTCAAGGGGATGTGGTCAGAATCTGAAATGGGATCGATGCGCGCATTGCTGATGAGCACCTTCTCGGCACATTCAAGACGGCTCTTGACAATACTATGGATCAGAGGCGTGAAGTTGTCGTGGTCCATCACGTCAACGGTTTGTGGACCCACTGTTAGCAAATGCTCTACCATATCTACACGGCCATGCATACATGCGTAATGCAGGGGAATCCGACCATAGACATCGGGAAGGAAGATATCCACGCCGGCCGCAAGACCTGCTTTGAAGATCAAGTCTCGTCCGGAGATGGCGGCTTCATGGAGGCAGTTCCGCTCGTTGATATCATCCTCAGAGTGAAGGTCGACCAGGCCACTCTCTAGAAGCAGACCAAGAACCTCATCGGAGAACCCGTTGATCGCAGTTAAAAATGTCCTGGTTGCTCGATCACGGGCATCTGGGGCTGACTGCAACTTTTCAATCCAATCTCGCATCACCTGAAGGTTGCCCAAAGAAGCGGATTGCAATGCCTGTAGGTCCAACTCATCCTCTTCTTGGCCAACTCCAGGTGCCACACGATCCACTGGCCGAGCTGTGTCCAATTGCAAGTTCTCGCCTTCAGCCCAAGCCTCCAACTCCAGCCGCGCCGTAGTAGCGCGGTCCGATAGTTCGCGCAGCACCTCTCGGTTGAAACATGGTTGTACCTCTACCGCCCGATGCAGGTAAAGCTCCTTCATGCGGGACTTGGAAGTCTTGTCCCATTTTTTTAGGATCTTAGAGGCGGCGATCTCATTTATTTCCACGAATTGTTGTAATTTGTTCAAATCGCCATCAAATTGCTGAAGCCCTTCAAACAATGAGACGAAATTTGAAGGGGCCTTTGAGCTTGATGCCGGCCGGGATTGTATTACGCGCTTCTTATCGACTAATGTTTTGAGTCGCAGTGAGAACTAAATTGTACTGTCAGCATGGGTCTTCCCAAAAAGGCTAAAGTGAAATCTACCTCTGATTCCTTCTGCAAGTAAAAGGTGTTCACCTTTTCAATTTCTCGCTCCTGTTTCAAAAGTGTCATCAGCTCCCTATTTTGTATCCAGCGTTGAAAAATAGATTTTGGTGAACTTACCAAGCGGAAGAAGAAGACCTCCTTGTTTGCGCGCAGTAAAGCCTGGGGATTTAAGGTGTGATCCTGGGCAATTTCCTCTGCGGTACGCTGTGCTTGGATGGTAGGTGTGGCACTGAGTTGCTTGATAAGCTGTGGAAGTTATTAGTCGTACAGAACTTCTAGTTCTTGCTCCGGTGGCCTTGGCCTACCTTCTTCAGCGCCTTGTAGTTGACGAAACTGGCCGCATATTCTGGAAGATCAAGTTGCCGGCGTTGGATCTGTTTACCGAACTTCCTACGTAAGAGTTAATATGCGTGTTGCGCGCAGAGGGGATGACGCACACACATCTTGGGCTATCTCGTCGAACGAGTTCTAGGAGGTCTCAGGGTCGCACGAGCGAGAGGGAGAGAGGGGGGGGGGGGGGGGAAGACGAAGGGGGAATTCGGATATACCTCGAGTCGACAAGTCGAGGGGGGAGGGGCTAATCGTCCGACGTTGTGGGGAACGAGGATAGTGGGCCAGATGTATAGTATCGGCGTGTAACTATGACAGGTGTGCAGTAGATAGAGAGATGCTAAGCGCGAAGTGACATAGTCAGATGTGTGGCATTTGATTTGTGTGTTCGAACCGAGAAGACTTGAACAAGTCTTGCAGTCTTACAGGCCCTCGGGAAGTACCAAGAACTAGGTACAACCTTTTGGCCAATGGATGATGTGCGCGTCAAAAAAAACAGTGAGAGTCGAAGTGAGTTTAGTTGAAGCCGGAGGTGGAGAGCTCCCTATGGTTCACCGCCCAATCAGATTTAATGGTGAGCACACGTGAATCTAAAATCCCTGTAGCTTTATTATCTCCAATAGCCGATACATTGTGGGTACCTATGGATACATACTTAAATATGCTTTTGACTGTTATATCATGTACTACTTTGTATTATTAAGTACCCAAAACTGGGTATAAATGGCAGAAAGCCACCACAGTGATCCCTCAGGCTGGGGAAACACGGAATTCAGGTGGAGTTGCGGCACCAGGTCGGCAAATCAGGACTCGCAAAAAAAAGGGGAGGAAGAAGAAATCGATCATGTTCCTCTAATCATTCTTTACCAGGTAGTGCATTCACCTTTAAAGTCGAATCCATCGCAGAAAGTGGAGCGATACTTGATCTGATATACTGTGTACTGAGTGGTGAAATCCTATCCCTCATCCTTGTTTCGGAGGTAACAGCGCCTATTCTATGCGGTCTTCGCCTTGAAAACAAGAAAGCGCACACCCTAGTGTTATCCCGGTGCCGATCCATTTAGTCCTTAACGTTTCTATAGAGTAACTTGTTCGTCAGGTCTAGTGTAGCGGGATCTCTTCGCTTTCTACCTAGGGTCATATCCTGAAGGTATCTAATAGAGGACCGGAAAGAGGAAGCAGAGGAGAAGGGTAACCCTCTCCCTTATTAATAAGATGGATAGGCTAACAGTGGGCACTAGAATGTTCAACAATAACAGGGACTTTGGAAGTTCTGTCAATTACTTCTCAGTATTCTTCGAGATACCATCTCGTCAATAGCTAGCTGTATTTATGACCTACTCCTTTAGGATAAGTATGTTAAGCATTCTCTCGTAGCCAATAAAAATTGAGATGCTAAGAGTAAGTGTATTACTGATAGGTGAAGGGATTTTGATAAAGGAGTTGGTTTCGATAATAGGCTCTAACGAAGAGTCGGGTAGCCGGACCGATAGCGTGGCGGCTCAGTTTCACGGGGGCACTGGCGCCCGATATATTTGCCAATCGGGCACTATCCGATATTAGTTGCTGCTTGGCAGTGCGCACGGTGCTCTTCACATGATGAGGACTGTTGTGTAGATCCTGACTTTCTCTCGGTCAATTCTTGAAAAAAGGAGTGGGAACACTTTGCAATTAGCTCATAAAATTACTAATTAGCATTAACTCATTTCTTTCCGTTTGTTATGGTGCTAGAGGATATCGTAGGAGGTTTACGTGCCAAGCCTCACATGGGTCTTAATAGCCAAGCTCTATGAGCTTGATTGGCCATGTAAGCCTTTTTGATTGGAGCCTTCATAGTTCGGGATATCACAAGGTTGAGAACTAGCTTGGTCTCTTGGGGTTACTTTCCTTTTCCTTTTACTTTCACTTTCCAATTTAATCCTGGGCATTCACTCATATATCTCGCGCGGTGACTATAATATCTTCTATAGCGTATGAATCGGTAAGCGAGTTGGCCACCTACTTTTTTCACGTCCAGGTCCTTTTATCTTTAACCGCCAACGATGCCACCAAAACGCGCTTAACCAGTTTGAAACTCTGTCGAACAAGTTTATAAATCAATAAGAAAATCTCTCTATTCGTGATATAGTGTGTCGATTCAATGTGCCGCATTCTACGCTCGCCGATCGCCTTATGGGGCGCAAAAATCGCACTGAAACTCGCGCCAATAATCATAAGTCAGCCCAAACCAGAGAGGAATCGCCTAAGCTGTAGTTAGTCTCTATAGACTCACATTGAGCTGCCCTGAGACCTATACTATATACAAAATGGCCAATCTTCAACTCACTAAGTGTGGATCTACCTCAATCCAAACTATAGGTCAAAGATGGGTATATAACTTCACCCAACACACGCCAGAGTTTCAGTTCTGCCTCTCGTGATGCTTAACTATCAGTAAGCACAACAAGAGGATCTGAAGATAATTCAAGAGCAGTTTTATACTGCATAAACCACACTAAGTATGGTATTCTGATAGAGGATGTCTATAACTTTGCTAAGACCGGCCCCAGATGATCATGGTCAGAGATCAGTCTTGTAACCTGGAAATTGAGAACAAGTAATGACAATTGAATCAATTTACGCTAAGGTAATCGAACTAATAAAGCTTGATTTGACGGACTCCTAGGAGTTTTTAAGGTTAGTCTAAATGGATGAGCCTCTGATGAAACCTTGAAATTATCTTCAGTGGCTCCAAATGCTCATTATTCTGGCAATAAATTATTGTACATATATAGGTTATCGGCTTCTAATCCTTAACGGATATGGGAGCCACCTTACGCCACATTTCGATCAAATTTGCGCAGAACATATAATAATACTGCTTTATATAAATCATTTATAACCACTCGATACTGGGTATTTTGAGATTTTAAAGCGATTATACGGAAACTTTATCGACTAAAAGATAAAAGTTTAACATCAACCATATCGACAATTGAGTACTACATGTCCAGGGCACTGTTATGCACGGCCTCCGTGATGTCAGAAGTGCTCACAACGAACTTCCAACGCTCATACCTGAGCTCTATCTGTTCAGTACATGCCATTTGAAAGGAATCGGAAAGGAAGTGGAAAGGAAGTTTTGATGCAAGATTATAATCACTCTCACATGACCTCGAAATTACTTTGACTTCATTCATTCACTATTACCTTCAATCCATTCCACTATCACTTTTCCTTCACTTTAACTCTTCCTATTTTTACACCGTTATCTAATTATTCAAGTCTTCTACTTGTTCAAATCGTTCTTTCCTCTTACATCAATCCTCTATTCACCCACTGCCATAGATTACTCAGCCGGGGCCTCGAGGCTTCTGCCGGGGCCTGTATACCTCCAAGATTACTCTTCTGATTCAGGAGATGCCATATCATCTATGATCACCACCTGAGAATTTTATTGCGTATATCGGTACCACCTAGATATGATGTGGCTGATCTCACCTTTTACACTGTCTAACGTCATTTCTTCCAAGGTTGTTACCACTGCATGGTCAGTGACATGACTGGAGGTTATGTGAGAATCAGATATATGACAGACCTGATGGCCCAGCAACAAGAGGAATACGGAAAGAATGTTTTTTTCGCTAGCTATTCTGGAAATAAAGAACACGCACACAATTTTGGAAGCCGATTTTCAACTGCTATATAAATGATTAGTGACGAAGCAGATACTATGAGATACGGTTCTATTTTAGATACTCCATCATCTAAAATGCAAATATAGTGGTAGGAGGCCGCTGATATTGTCGCTAGGGAGAATTACACGAAGGTTGTCACATCGAGAGGGATGGTTCTAAGAGAATTCTGCCACCTCATCCTTGGTATCGACAATAACGAAACTCTGAACTTCAGTCTCACGAGCAGAGAGGAATTATTGATACCCTGAAGCGTGCGAAGGAAATGTCGGACCAGGTGCGCTTGACTGAGTATAACAAAGTGCTCCTAGAGAAACACATCTCAGAGGTGCAGGCTCAGGCGATAGCTCGAACTTGTGATCAGCCCACGAAGAAAGTTCTTCATGGAAAAGCAACTCGCTCATCACCAAGGGAAATTATGACATCCCCGATTATACCAAGTCGGGTTTGCAGTAGAAAGAAGCCTGCAAATCGTCAGCATCACCTACACTAAATTTAAGGAATATCGTGCTCGTTCTTATTCAAAAAGGAAGATTGAGTCTCATTGAGATGCGCATGAGGCGAAGCAAAAGGCGGATAATACTAGTTCTCGTGCAAAGAAGAATGTGATGACTGATTAGTAAATCATCACTCGCACCTTAGAGGGGAGAAGCGCTAAACTACTCTTTCATCTATCACTTTCTCCAATGCACTAGTCATGAGGAGAAAGACCGGGCGAGTGATCATTTATGACCAATTTCATCAACCCTCAGTCGATATAATATGGAGAGAAGGAAATTCAAGCTCCTGAACTCTGTAATATGACTAGAACTGGAGCTAGGGACCAAGCAAGTCAGATCCTTGATAGATAAGGACTTACTCGATCATCACCTTAGAGAAAGAGTTGAAGGAGATGCAAGCTCAACAACCTTCAAGAATTGCCATCGAGGTTCTTGACTCGTGGTTGGTCTACTGAACCATGAAAATTGACGAGCAGAGCTGTACACAGCGACTCCGACCCCAAGCTCGTCCCATAGAACGTTGTAATATGCAACAATATTATCAAGCCGTCATTCGATCTACAATCAAACACACCTCCAACCCTTAAGACTGTAAAGGCTCTCAACACAGTAATCCAGCATAGAAGCAGTCGGATGTCGCAACATCAGACTACATTGGCTTTACTTTATTTTCATTAGAAGGGTAGTTTGTAACGGTGCTAGCGTTCAGAGCCAGTTGGAAGTTCCGGCGGTTCAGTCGATCGACGTACTTTATGTTGATTTCAAGACACTTAGCAGAGCTTACTAGATGCCATTCTAAGCAAAATCGATGGGCCTTAAGGTTGTTGGTGGGCTGAAGGTTCTTTGGGCCAAGGAGCCTTTCATATACGACTAGACTAGGCTGGGAACTACAAAAAGGATTTACGACCTGGACATGAGAGCTTTCACATAACCTGATTTCAGTACTCAGCAGTTGGAGAAGGAGATGCGATTCGGGGTACAGACTTCAGAATGGAGAAATGGACTATATCACTTACATGAGCCACTGTGAAAAAACCTGGGGAAATCCCAACGTTCCAATACTCTATATCCATAAAGAAATTTGGACAGCAACGCGTACCTGATTTTCTACCTAGCTAGTTTATTGATATGATCAATCTATTTCAATATTGGTATATACCTAGGTAACCCTAGGTACTATGAAAGATGTTCACTGAAAAATAAAAAATAAAAAAGCAAATGTAGAACTAGTGACTGCTCCATTTATTCTGCTCTGCGTAAGTTGCTATGAAAAGAAAAAAAGAGATCAAGGAAAAAAGATAAACACATAGCAAAAACCTGCCAAACACACCCCCAAGGCCCAGAATTCTAAGCAAGTGGTAACTGTGTGAAATGTACATAGATGCGGCAGGAGCCCAGAAGGTATTGTGGGTAGATCAGATGAGAGGGATATATCAAATAGAAGTACGTGCGTCGAAAAAGGAAAATAGATAAGAAAAAAAAAAAAAAAAAAAAGGTGAGGAAAAAGGTAAAAGAAATGAGGCAAGAAAAATTAACCTGGTAGGTCAATTAAAATGGGTAAACGAAAAGTCAAGAAATTAAAGGGTCAATAAACACATGGCGAAGAGAAAGTCTATCATGCCGGAATGATCGAGATCGAGGGAACCGGTCTATGATACACAATCGATGGACCTCGCAGAATGGACTCGGCAATGGTCGAGAAAGAGTGTGGGTTATGCAGTGTTGCAAGGGTCAAGCAAAGAGATTTCATGAGTGAGGGAAGAACGGGATGCCGCGCTTTTTGAAATACAAGGGAACAAAAAGAATTCGCAATCAAAATGATATCGTGGGCGGAAATTTGCTTAGAAGTTCTGGGCAATGCCTGCATTCCCTTGTCGTGGGTATACGCCTGGGTTTTCAATGCGAGTGTTGCGACGTGCCGTCACATCCCGGATCACAGGTTGATAGTCTTCGGGTGTACCCCAAGCACCATGTCCCGTAGCCTCGCCATAGTAAGGGTTTTCACCGTAGTAGGGCCCGGGTGCTTGGTGAGTAGACAGGTGGCTTTCTTCAGAAGCCTCGGATCGATTGGCATTTGAGTAGGCCGAAGAGGCGTTGGAGGGTCCACGATGGATATCACCATTACGGTTAGCTGAAACGGGAACGGCGCCTAGTACGCCAATAGGCTCGATGGGCTCCATCTCACCAGAGTCCGGACGAACACCGTCTGAGTATTGGACAGTGCCTTCGCTCGGGGTTGCGCCGTGGTGGTAGCCGCCAGCACCGCTGCCCTCGGACATGGCGATTCCCATTCCGTTGGACAGGTTGGTCGAGGCCTTGCGTCCGGCTGAGGTGGTACCCCAACCACGGTATCCTGATGAGTGATCGTCCTTGAGTGACACCCCACCCATTCCAGAAGGATCGTTGTTCGGGTTGAAACCATACTCCTCGACTTCCTTACGGCGCTCCTCTTCTGCGGCCTTCTTCGCCTTGCGCTTACGCCAGAGGAATATGGCGGCTAGAGCGATCAGCGCGACGGAGACAACGGGTACAACGACTGCCACAGCGATAGTGCCACTAGCAGACAGGCCGTGAGAGGCGGCAGCGGTCGAAGTCGATAGCGCGCCCGTGGTGGTTGCACTGGAGGAGGTGATGGTCGATGGCACGCTGGTGACGAGGCCATTTGATTCAGTGGAAGTGACGTAGACAGTAGTGGCGCCTTGCGTGGTAGGGGCAGCGGTGGTTGAATCGCTGCTGCTACTGGTAGTCTCGCTGCTGCTGGTGCTGGTGGTAGAGCTGCTCGTGGAGGTACTAGTTGTGGAGGTGGAGGTGGAGGTAGGGGTGGAGGTGGATGAAGTTGTGGAAGTAGTCGATGTTGATGTCGAGGTCGAAGTAGTAGAGGTGGAAGTGGAAGTTGGAGTGGTTGAGCTCTCACTTGTGCTCGTAGAACTGCTCGTTGTGCTGGTTGTGGGAGTTGTAGCAGCGGCGGTAGTAGTGGTCGCGGCGGCGGCAGCGCTGGTGGTGACAGCGTCGGCGGCGGCGGCAGCACTTGTCGCAGCCTTGGCAGCAGCGGCAGAACCAGACATGATTAATATTGGAATCTCAATTGGAAATGTGTATTCTAGGTTGAACGGTCGGGTGTAAGTTGGGGGGAGTAAGCCGGAAGGTCGTGGAAGTTGGGAAAGTGGCGTTTGGAGACCTAGGATGTCCGGCTGTAGAGATTTCAAGGGTAGATTTCCAAGGTACCGAGTTCGACCGAATTTTTTAAGGAGTGACAGAGATTGAGGTCTTAAAAGAGTGAAAGATATGAACTTGTGACGAGTTCAGGGGGGGAGGGTGAAGTTGGCGGATGGACTAAAAAACAAGAGAAAAAGAAAGAAAAGGGTGGTAAAGATCCAAGAAGAGCAAAAGCATCAAATTGAAAAGTGGAATAAGAGCAGAGAAGTCCTGTAGTCGGGAGCCATGGGAGGTTGAAGGTTGTGTGGATGGGAAGTGGAAACTTGGAAGAGAAAGTGGAGATTTCTGTACGTTCTCGGTATCCGCATTCCAGTATTAATAGAAGTGTTCAGTTTTGACGTAGTATTAAACTGTACCTGGTTGCGGATGTTTTATGCTCTATATCTTGTGTTTTGTGTTTTATGGTTTGTGTTTTATATTTTATGTTATGATTCCTGGCGTGTTTACTCTGATATTCCTGAAGCCCGGAGTAAGCATAACAACAAATACTAAGTACCACAAATACCACGGATATTAATATTCATATCTTGCATATCCAACTTTTACTCATATTCAGTAACAACGCAAGATTCAAAACACAATATGATTGGATAATTAGTATCCAACGGTTGATCAGATTCCACGGTACAACAATACGCTTGTATTGTACTTAATTACGGCCGTTTACGACCAGTTTTCATTAAGGTTGCAACTTTCAATGTGACATATCTAGTCAAGTGTAGTAGAGAGTAGAAAGTACAAAGTAGAGAGATGTCAAGGGCTACTATTACTACTCTAATCTAGAGAAAAGGGGCATATGTGCCGCTAATTACGCAATATCCACTAAGTGGAGTCTGTTCTTCGAAAACTAACGTCCACACCTGATTTTTGGTTGGATTTACTTAGTACTCATTTTAACATGACGAAATCATGTCTTACACTAGTACTAAGTAGTAGGCCAGGCCGAAATGATTCAATATATACAGTATACAGCCGATAGAACTCAACTCAATCATCTTCTATTTACGCCAGAGTCGATTTTCAAATGGTAGAAAAAAGAATGATAAGAAATGAAAAAAAAAAAAAAAAAAAAAGTCCAAGTCCAGGAGGGGGAAATAAAAAAATGAATACCACCCTCCTACTTCCAAGCACCGTACCATGAGAAACGCAGGTCATGACGGGTTTAAAATATAGCACAGGTCGTGATAGGGCCCCTGGGGGAAAACAAAAATAACAGAATTGAGTATCACCGTTGCGCCAAGTCCATTTGCGGACGCAGCGTATTCACCAAGTCATCTTTGGTACCGACCATATCGGCTGGCAGGCGGCTGACACGGTAGTTGCCATTACGAATATTGTTCATGTGAGTGTTCGAAATAGCACTCCGGTTGCTACGGATGCTGCCTGCGTCGCTGCCAGAATCGGCGTTCTTGAATCGGGGCGGAGGGGCAAAGTCCAGTGACGTGAATGCGCCTGATTTCCGCAGCGCGTGTGGACTTGGCATCGCAGAGAGATCATCAAACACTGAAGCAAGCGGTGTATGAGATCGGAATGCTGGACTGTAGGGCATCGTTCCACCGGTGGGGGTTTCAGGGCGACCTTCAGCTCGGCCGCGGAAACCGCTGCTAGGAGCGAAGTCGGCTGCCATGAATATGGAGTCATCCTTCAACATGTGCGGAGTGGGAAGGATGTTGAGTGGTGACGGGGGCGGCATCTTACGAGGAGCTCCACGAGGTCCACCGGGAGGGGGACGCGCAGAGGCCGAGGAGAATGCCCGTGGTCCGGGATTGAAGCCGGCAGAGTTGGTGGCCATATGGCGGGCGCCGCCTTGGAAGCGAGGAGGCATGCGAGGGGGAGGAGTCATGGCTCGACGGCCGATGGGTTCGGCGAACGGAGCTTGAGGGGCGGCATCGAAGTAATCTCCAGTGGTGGGATCATAGACGTACCCACCGTCGTATACCTCGGAGCCGTGGTCTTCATAGTAGGTCGTCTCCCGCTTGCTGTCGTCAAAGTATTCCTTGTAGAAGGATCGGATGCGGTTGGCACGCTGCTCCGGGTTGTCGGTGGGATCATCTGGGGGCAGGGGACGCACACCAAGAGTCATCCGACGGGTATCACGACGAGGGTCGTAGGCCGGAGTTTCAGGCTCTGCAGGCATATTGGGCATATGGAGTTCGTCCTCGGCCTCGGTCAGTTGAATATTCACTGCGGGAACCATCATTTCTGAGTGTCGCTCATCTCCATAGTCGCTGACTTCACTAGCTGGGAAGGAAATTCTTGGGAGTTGAGTCTGCTGCCTGTGTTCAGGCTCGGGCATCGCTACAGGCTCAGGGTAGGTGAGAGGGTGATCCGGTAGCGGGAAGTTGGGACGGTCTTCATGGTAGTCAGTTTGGTGAGGAGAGCTGTCATAATGAAGATCCTCTTCTGAGCCCAAACTGAACTGAGGCTCTGCAGACAGAGGAGACGGTTCAATGGTCTGATTTTGGTTACCAACAGGCAATACTTTGTTACGCTCGACGGGAGAGATAGGGGAGTTAGATGACGAGGGAGCCAGAGCAGATCCAGGGCCACGCTGTTGAGGCCCTCCAGGAGACCTGGTGCGGTATTCGTTGGTAGGACTCTGGTATATCGGAGGAGAAGAGCGGGACATGTGTGCAGCATTCCCCAGAAGACCTGCATTGGGCTCCTCCAGGCCTCCAAAGCGAGTAGAACCTCCATAAGATCGAATGGAGGCATTGTCATTCTGCGTGAACGTAGCCGGGCGATACTTGTCGTCGTCAATTGATCGAGAAATCGAATGCAGCGAGTCTCGTGAGGGACTTTGGATTCCAGGTGGCATCAGATAAGGAACAATATCTAGAGACAAGCCTCCTTTGGTATGTGTCATTTGTTGTCCCTTGCCGGACTTGGAATTTACAATGTCCATGCCAAAATCGAGAGATCTGTGCTTGTCCATTTCATCCTCTTGAGACAACTTCTTCACATGTCGTCGGTGAAAGATAACCAAAATGACAACGGCACAGATAATGGGGATACTACTTCGGCGTCAGTATGAATGGTCCCCTATTTTAATATCTCCAACTACATACCCAGCACCGAATACCACTGGTAATACAGTTGTCATCAAGTTACTAGTGGGTTTCTCTCCCGAGCTTGTCTCGGTTGCAGATGCGGTGGATGTAGAGTCATCTCGTGCGACGAGAGAAGGCAATACGGAGCCTATAGTGGTAGAGGCGGCAGAGAATAGAAAAGGCAGTCGTTGAGAGGGAATAACATCCCGTCGAGTATGGTTAAGGACACGCATTTTGGGTTAGTGTTGTCGTCGATAGGACGCTTCCAGCACGTTGATCGACGAGTTCTCAGATTCCGTGGCAAGAGGTAAGAGGTAGGTATTTTGATTAATACGAAGTCATTGAAAGTTCGCAATATTGAATTTGAAGCGCTCTAAAGAGTGAACGGACCGATGTCCTAGGAAGTAAAAGAGCGAAGGTGGCCAGCAGCCAAAAGAGAGACAGACAAGAAGCGAGCGAGTTGGAGAAGTTCAAGGAAAGAGGAGAGAAGAAGAGAAGGAAGTCACAAGTTCTGGGCCCGTTTTTTCCACTAGTGCGAACAGTTGTGTGTACTGTACAGAGTACTTCCTTCTTCATTCAGTAATCAATACTGTATTTGCCTTTCAAATCTCCGCAATTTCCTCTGCCCCCTGAGACTTGATAAGCTGCTTAATTTAGACTGCCCCTTTGACCCCCCTTCACTTTCCCCTGCTTTTCATCTGAGTCTTGATATTTATATTTTACCACTCTTATTTTGTACATTAATACGAGACAAATGGAGATCAATAAGTAAGGTATACAAGACTGAGACTCTTTTGGCTCAGAACGGATAGACTCAGGAACCCGCTATCACAGCCAATCAGGGCCGACGTTACCCCTGAATCGGAAATGAGCGTATAATGTTATTTACTTCCAATACACATCAATACATCAAATCCAGTAATTATTCATGTAAGGATCAAGGGGCTTTACTAGTGGACCTTATCTGTGATGAGAGTACGGAGTAAACAGTACTAAATTCCTTCGTTCCCTACCTGAGACGGAACCGCTCATATTACCGGGCGTAGGGTTCTCCATTATGGAGTGGGGAGCTGGATAAAACCCGGACATTTAAAGATCACTCATTGTCTTCATAGGCTTTAGTACTATAGTTTCCATGAGCTCCACGGGAGCCTATATAATTATAGATCTAGGTATCCTCTTCCTTTTCCCATGGGTCTGTCACAACGGAAGGCTTATATAGTCAAGAGTCTGCCAATATTCGCCTTCATAGAAGTAAGACACTGTTTCTTGGAAGTTCCCCACTTATCTGTGGACTACGTGATATGGTTTCTCATTGATTTGCTGATCGGATTTTAGCCCTACTCTAACTTCTGGATCTCAATAATTATAGCCTCATTCATTAGTCCATATGTGACTACTGATCGACAAAGTCTCTCTGCCTTCCAAGGACCAAGATCAATCAATTGATATTCAAACTTGGATTATCCAGGTGGTTACATCCATGAATATCAAGATACCTAATCAGGTAATATCTTCAGTTTTCAACATGGAAATGGAGCTTAGAATTCATAATCCCTGGAAGTTGTGCTTTTAGACATCTTGAGCAAACCCCATAATACGTACCTATGTACTATTTTTTCTATGCCAGTCCTTGGCGTTCCTCTTCCGTATTAGTGCCCCATCGCTGCTTTTGCTCACTGAGTTTAACTGAGCAATGTGTTACATAAGCTCATTAATCTAGTCACTGAGTAACTATCAACACTCAGCACTCGGTGAATGCTTAGTGAGTGCCCTCTTCATGTAACTATCTAATTAACTAGTCAACTAATCAATAGTAATCATATTATTTATGCCAGAGGCATCGAGAGATATGATCATGTGACATGACGAAGAAGACGTCTAATCAGGACTAGTGGGTTGTTTAAATAGAACATCACTAATTAGGACTAGTCCGTCAGTATGTGTTATCCAAAAACTCACAATTACTTGAATTCCAACAATCACTTGCAAAATGTCAGAGAATCGAGCAAATTCTTCCACAAACATTAAGACCCGGTTTATGGTTTTTTTCGGACACGCATCGGCTCTCCAGTTTGCCTGATTCCGTCTTGTCACAGTATGTAGATGTCGTGATTCATTGCGGTGACCTTACAGAAGAATCAAAGCTCGACGAGTTCAGAGCTACTATTCGATTTCTCCAGGCCGTGAATGCTCCTCTAAAACTCGTGATTGCTGGGAACCATGATTGGACAATGGATATTCCCAAATTCGAAAGAAAGGTCGCAGAAGTCAGACCCCCCTTAGACCCTCAGCTCGTTCAGGAAATATACGGCTACCAAGGAGAATCTCGAAAGCTAGTATGTGAGCCTAGTACTGGAACAAATTTTCTTGATAGAGGCACATATTCCTTTCAGCTTAAAAATGGTGCTTTATTAAAAGTCTACGCTAGCCCATACACACCAGCTTTCGGCGCATGGGGCTTTCAGTATAACCCAAATCAGGGACATGAATTTTCTATTCCATATGCTGATGTTGTGATAACACACGGTCCACCAAAAGGTATTATGGATGGTCAACGAGCAGGCTGTCCATATCTTTTCGAGGAAATTGCCCGAGCCCGGCCTCGGATGCATTGTTTTGGACATATACATCATGGATGGGGTGTCAAATTAGTTACTTGGCGAAGTAAGATTAGCGACAAGCCTTCACACTTGACTGACATCGATAACGGAAAGTCTGTCCTTATTAAAAGACTTAACACTCTGCGGCCGGAGGATTTAAAGGTACTTTCTGCTTGTGTAGCCAGCCACTACTGAGAATCCACAACCACTATAATATGGCTTCCAAACCCCTTTTGTCAATGCTGCGATCAAGGGCTCGTTAGATCTTCCAACACAGCCACCGTGGCTTATTGACCTTGAGCTTCCTACAAGCAAAAATGATGAGCTGGCAAACACGATGAATAGAAATCATTAAAAATGTGAGTTATAGGATTGTCTTTCAAACGCAGTTTGGCCATCAGGTTCATACGAGAAGTTTGCCGCACCAGCATAAACTTTGGTCGATATCTCGAGAATAACTTCTTGTGATCCTACGATATCAATGTCCTCTGTACTGTAAACAGAGGTTTTTATAACACTCGCAGATCCTCCAATAAGGATGACCTCATGTTGATTGTTCGCTTGCTAATCTCGTTGCTGCACGAAAGCATTCAGTGAGAACATCTTTCATCACTAACGTTATCCTTCACCGTACAGGCATATTGTAGGGATATCTTGTCAGGACGTAATGTGCTTCTTTTTTGAAGTATTTCGTAGAGGAAAGTCTTGATCTGCTCAAAAAACATGGTCAATTAGCTTGAACACGTAATTCAGTGAGCAGTCGAAAAAGGCTCATGCTCATACTTGACTAAGAAAAATAAGAGTAATATCTACTACTGCGAAGACGAACCAAGGAGAAAATAAATGCGGTCAGCAATCCTTAGGAAGAAACAGAGACTAAGAGCTACGAACAGAAACTATAGAAAAAAAGAAGAGTAAAAATAAGACGGGAAAATAATCAGAAACGTGATGAGAGAAGCTCTCTCCTAGAAAAGCTAGTAGGTAAACTACCAGAGACGAGCACTTACTAACTTTCATTGTAGTTTTTATCATAACTATTATCATAATTATCATCGCGAATTTCATCAAACTCATTCTCATCGTCGTAATCGTCCTCAATCATGTGACTTGACTCTGAGCGCCCTCATAAAAGCGGCGGCAGCTAAGATAGGAAAGCCCCACCTGGCAGAGGAAATAAGGTACGTATCGCTACCAGGTAATGAGATACACAGAACGCCCCAGGGCTAGCTGCGCTTGGTATTTGGGCAACTACAATTGACAGTTTTTGCATGTGGCGTTCCCTTTTCGTATTAGTTCTCGCCTCTGAGCGCCCAACGACACAAGTGGTAGAGATATACTTCTTTCGTTGATTAATAAAATTAGATCGATAATAACGCCCACATGAGGTGATGGGGGTTGAGCAGCCATGGCTAGGTAAACAACCTTGGAAGAATGCAGTAGTTTGAGAATTTTATTGGTATAGCTTGATGAAAAGTGATATGGTTTCTTTATTAAAGAGAGAACTCGTCCATGCTGACTTTCGGCTTCTGATTTGCCCAGTGATTTATCACGACCTTAATGACCGAACTCAGGTAAACTGAGCTTTTCCATCTCCGTAATTACTTTGGTCTTTCATTTGAGTCGTACTCCGGGGATTCAATGAATGTATTATGAATTTTGATCGTGATAACTAGTACGGCTGAAAGATATTCCGAACTTTATTTACATACCGGCAGATAGTTAGCCTGATATTCAATTAATTGATCCGGTATATTACGTCCAATCTTTAAGATATAGGAAAATATTATCTCAGTCAAACCCATTAGGCTATTGGGTATGGAGGTCCATAGAGCCACAAGTAAAGTGTACGTTGAATTACTGAAGCAATTTGCGGATGCTGATTAGGGCTGCCCTCATGCTAATTCTAGATCGTAGCAAAATGATGAGGACCATCAGCTGAAATATTGCACCTGCATATACCAATATTTCATTGTACCTGCATAGCCAGGTGCTTCCTCATCATTTCAAACTTGAGATCGTGATCAAGTAGTACTATTTGAATCTCTTGGTATCAGATTGAAACATCCCTTGTTAGACACCGACCATGGAGCGAAGTTGGGAGTTTCCCTAGAACCTTGGAATATTCGAAGCTCGAGTTCATCCATTCTGTCCATAGCCCTAATATGGATGCATCGAAAAACCCCAGAATGACGTAGATGCCTTGAATAACCGAGCTCGGGGTATCCCCGACGATAGCCTTCCAATATCAACTTCTGATAAGGAAAAATTAACAGAAGTGACCTTGGATTGTCTAGGCCGTCAAAGCTCGGTCAGTGTCGGCCCTCTAATGGATACTCCGAGCAGGATTCACAATTCCAATCTCAAATGTCTAATACAACTCTAGGGCTAGACACTATGAGGGTTGTTTACCCTTCAAACCAAGTTAGAAACTAATTGATTTGAATTTGTAGAGCATTGGAAGTTCTAAATGTATGAAATGACCGAATTAGGGCTAATTGCAGAGCTTCATATTATCAAACATCCATGGAATGAACATTTGGTGATCCACATTTTTAGATCAGGGCTCCATATCTTGCCGCGTGAAAGCTTTCAAAAACGAACTACCTAGGTGGTACTAACTAGATCAGAATTTAGTTGATATAATTCAGTATATTTACACTCGCATCATCCCTTCCTGCCATTGCCAACATCCAGCATCTCTCGATATCAAAAAAATCACCTTGGATCCGACCCACCATGGAGTCTGCATGGGATGTAGAGAAGAGCCTCGAGAGCGTCCATCAAACTTCATCGCTCTCTTCCTCCTCATTCTCAGTTTCATCCTCATCCAGAGATGAACTATCCCGTATCCAAACAGCACATTCCCTCCACGGCTCCTGTCTAGACAGACACACAACAGCCCTAAGCCGGATAGCAACAGCCCAAAGCCAACACACCGCAACAGTGGGTGCGAGTATAAAAAGCACACAAACACAGAAACCCCTACCAGAATTCGGCGCCGGACGCCCTTACCCACCAGCTCTCCCCTCCCAAGATGAATACGTGGTAGAATTCGCGGGTCCAGACGACCTGCTACACCCCCAAAACTGGAGCTTGACAAAGAAGATCCTCACAGCAATAATGCTCTCCTTCACAACCTTCACAGTAACCTTCTGCAGTAGCCTCTACTCTCCCACAATCTCAGTCATCGCTCCAACCTTCAATGTCTCCGAAGAGGTTGGAACTCTAGGGTTATCTCTCTATGTCCTCGGCTTCGCGACAGGGCCTGTTCTCTGGGCTCCATTCTCTGAGCTAAAAGGCCGCCGTCTCCCAATCACGCTAGCAATGTTTGGCTTCACAATCTTCCAGTTCGCTGTCGCGACTGCGAAGGACCTGCAAACTATCATGCTGTGCCGCTTCTTCGGCGGCTTCTTCGGCGCTTGTCCCGTCACTGTAGTTGCGGCCGTGTTCTCGGATATATTCGACAACCGCATCCGTGGCGTCGCGATAACAGTCTTCATCATGACTGTCTTTACAGGGCCGCTGTTCGCTTCTACTGTCGGCGGGTTCATTGTTCAGAGTTCCCTCGGCTGGCGCTGGACAGAATACCTAACAGGAATAATGGGCGGCGTAGCATTCACCGTCGACATCCTCTTTCTGTCAGAGACATACCCGCCTGTCGTCCTGATTCAGAAAGCGACAGAGCTGCGTCGCCGAACAAAGAACTGGGGTATACACGCGAAGCAAGAAGAGATCGAGGTCGACCTCAAAGAACTCATCCAGAAAAACTTCGGTCGTCCACTCAAGATGCTCGTTTCTGAACCGATTCTCCTCGCGCTGAGCATTTACATGGCTTTCCTATACGGCCTGCTCTATCTGTTTCTAACGGCTTACCCGCTTGTCTTTCAAAAGGTTCATGGAATGGGCAAGGGCATTGCTGGCCTGCCTTATCTGGCTATCATCATCGGCGAGTTTCTGGGCGGGTTCTTCATTCTCGCTACGCAGCCGTCATATAACCGGAAACTGGCTGCTAATAACGGGATTCCTGTCCCAGAGTGGAGGCTTCCGCCTGCTATTGTTGGTAGTGTTGCCTTTGCGGGTGGGTTGTTCTGGTTTGGATGGTCGGGCTTCAAGGCTGAGATTCACTGGGCTATTCCAACTACCTCGGGGGTTTTGACTGGGTTCGGACTGTTTTGCATATTTTTGCAGGCGCTGAATTATATTGTCGATGCTTATCTCCTTCTGTGAGTCCGAGTTAGAATATAGTATGCTTTACCTGGATAGAGTTGACAATCATTCGATTAGTGCTGCTTCTGCTTTGGGTGCGAATACCATTTTGCGTTCGGCTGCTGGGGCTGGATTTCCTCTTTTTGCTACTTATATGGTATGTCTCTCCTCATTTTTGACAGTCGTCCATGCTGATTCTAGCAGTTCAATGGAATGGGTATCAACTGGGCTAGTACGGTGCTTGGTTGTGTGTCTGCGTTGTTGATCCCGATGCCAATCATCTTCTACTTCTACGGTCCCAAGATCCGGGCCAAGAGTATGTTCGCGAGTGAATTTGCCATTATCGCCCAAGCCCATGCGCTACAGCCTAGATGAGTTCTGCTATTGGCTGCATATTGGAGCGTGTCTTGTTTAAACATAGAAATCCTTAATGTTATCTCATCCAACTTCAGGTTGGCACGTTTACTTCATTTTACACTATGCAAAGAGTCCCTGAATGGAAAAAATAAAAATAAAAAAAAGTCAAGAGTTCTTTCTACCACGTTCTATATTGGATAGACTGCGCTTTAAAAATGCTCGTGTCCGACTAGCAGGACACCAAAGATATGACATTGAAACTCATGCTCGACCCGAGAAGGTCAGGTCTTCGACCTGAAAATAGCGATCAAGAGCCCGCCAGGATTATTACAGCGCGATTATGGGATATGAGTTGCGCACACAAAATGCAACAGTAGAAAGGTAAAAACGCACTGAAGAGGAAACCCAAGGGGAACCCGATACCCTCGTACAAGCTTGAGCGGATGAGCACAATTGGAAACGGGAATAAAAGGCGATATGGGCTGAGCAATGTACACTGAGAGAGAAAGAATTGTACAATGAGATGATATGGCTTTTGAAGGTGCCCGGAAGGAGATGAAAATGACTCGGCTGAGAGCATGAGGAAAGCAAAGGGGGTGGGAAGAGATATGAGGTTATGATGTGAGTTAGAGTCTGAGGGGAGGATGAGTTATGGATATGGAATGGATATGAATGCGAGAGAAGAGGTCCAAATGCGAGAAAGTGGGAGATAAGGATGTTAGTGCATATCGGCTAGCGCAGCCTCAAAACATCCAATGTCGACGACATGCGAGGGCTGGTCAAATATGCGACGGAATGGAGGATCAGAAGGAAATGCATCATGGGAACTAGGGTCGACACCCTCTGCTTTGCGAATCACCTCTTTCAAAGCACGAGTGACAACCCCAGCGCGGACGACAAGGTCTCGGAGAGAAGACGTATCGAATGGTAATTTTTGAGGTGGCTGAGATGGAGTGAAGCCCGTGAACACCGCACTCTTCGGACGTTGACCCGGTTGAAGAATGTCAAGCACAGATTGCGGCTTTGGCGTATTAGACATTGGCCGGAGGGGCGAACTGAAACCTTGACCACCACGGCGTTGTTCGGGGCTTTCACTGCTGTCCTTAGATTGAACCAACGACGGCGGAGATAACTGTGACCCTGTCTGAGAACCCCCCATGAAATTTCGCTATTTTCTTTCGACGATACATTCAAGGCTTCATCTTCCGAATCGTCAAAGCTGAAAGTAAGAGACAATGGCGACCCAGGGGGGATCGGCGTTCTTCTTCGTCGTCAATCGTGGCCAGGTTGACGATTCCCTCAGCCTCCTTCCAGAGCTCGCCCGACGGTCCACCCAGAATATCCAAGACACTAGCCTGATGACGTAGCCGTTTGAGTTCTTCCACCAACAGCGTCAGCTCCTGTACTTGACCAAACTGGCCACGGAGGCTAGCCTGGCGCGCGAGAATGGCTTGCGGAACAGACATGCTGTGGGGAACAACATCCGGGCCTATGCCGTTGGCAGTCTGGACTGCAGTGTTTTCCTCGGAGTCGTCTTCGAAATCGAAATCGCTGTCCCAGTCTTCGCTCACTCCTTTCATGCCGAGTTTCCAGGTGGCAAATTTACCAGGAGTTTGACGTTCGCTGCTAACCGGGAAGTCATTTGCTACGGGAACACTTTGACTGCGCAGATGGATGGTGGAAGAAACCTTGCGACAGGCCGCGCGACTGTCTCGGTTGACTGCATTCTGCTTGCCATGTACAGTTCTCGGTCGTGTCTCTGAGTCAGAAAGATCACGATCAGCTCGTGAATGTGAATGCTCCGACCAGTCGAAGATGTTCATTTTCTGACTCAGTTGCGATCCGTTGGGGGAAGTCAGCTGCTCTGGTTGGTTCCGCATGTGGCGAGACCTGCTCGGCAAATCCGCAATCATGCTATACGAGTCTTCATCATCGAATAGACAATCAATTTCATCGACATGGACCCGGTTCCTAGGAGATGGCAGTGTAGCAGAGTAAAACGGGGGCTCTCGTTCCAGACGTGAGTTAAATGAACCACGAGGTAGCAGATCCTCCAGGGTCGTTACTTCCTCATTTGACAGCTGCAATCCTTCCTTGTCAAACATGGTCTCGATGCGCAGCCCTTGCAGACCACTGGCACTCGTTCGACGCGTTCGAACCGAGTCCCAGTAGTCTGTGACCATGTCGGTCTCGTATTCATCCGATGTTGTAAAAACCCGAGTATCGTCCGAGCCCATAATGGTGGATGATCTGTTTGAAGATTCAGCAAACGAATGCCTCTTCGGTCGACGTCGCAGTGAAGTATATTTGTATTCACTGGGACGACATGCATGTTGCCATGTCGACACGGCCACAGCATCTGAAGTCAAGGGGCGTTGTCGCCGTTGAGAAAAATTATAATCCTGAGAAACAGACCGAGGAACAAGTTGGAAGGCTCTATTGAAAGGGGAGATGGAAAATGTCGGGGATATGGGTTGTGGTCGGCGAAACACACTGGGATCTGTGATATTTCGCCGTTGAAATGGAGAGCGGCCTATGATAGGGCTTTGTATATCAAAGGGAGAGAGATCTGTTCCAAAGTTTCTTCCCTTTACCCGTTTTAAAGATCCGCCCCGTTGAGGACCGATGATGGGTTGACCCGATGCCGTTACTGTGTTGACCAAAATTCTTTTCGGTTCCTTATCGAGTGACGAAGTTTGTCGATGCTCTCGTTGTTTTGGGGAATCTGGGCGTGGTGGTGAAGATGGCGGTGGGGATTGCGCCTGAAATGGGTCAGAGAACAGCACCGGGGGTATGAGTTCAGGTTCGACGATGGATTCAGATTCGATGATGGATTCAGGTTCGACGACAGCTTCAAGTTCAGGTTCAGGTTCAGGTTCAGGTTCACAACCTGGAATAACCTGTTTGGTGAATGCAGTTGACAGGACTAATGCCGGCAGTGATTCCTGATCGGGTATGATCAGACGCACAGGCTGCATCCTTGTAGTGTTGATAGAGAGCTTTCGGGGGGGCTTTTCAGAGAGTTTATCTGGGTTAGGGGTGAGGTATGGTTTCCAGCCATCTTGCTCGTCGATGTCGAACTCGGACTCTTCCAATACAGGTTGAGGCGAATAGTTGTCGAAGTTGAAGTCGCGAAGGGGGTCTTCACGAAGGGAATCTAGTCGCATTGACTGTGGTCTTGAGCGGGGTTTTTGATCGCTCGTCGCGGGCCTGCGCGTTATCGGTGGGGGTAGATCTGAAGTATTCACCACACTCGGGTGTACATTTGAAAGGTGTGATGGTACCCGTTTGATCAACCTGTTGGTCTGTTGTTGACTTGCGGGACGGGAAGTCGCTGGGCTAGATCCATGGGATGGCATAGTCGAACCGTGGGTTGCATTGTCACGAATGGAAGCCAGTGATAGGCGTCGCAGCCAACGCGTCGGTCCTCGTTGTGACTGCGGCTCGATAGGTTGTTCCTCGGTGATTTCCAGGGGTGGGCTTGCTAGCGGGCTTATGAAGGGACTGGTCAGCGAGCTGGCCAATGTTTGGCCACGACGTCGCAGGTGAGCTGCGCCACAAGTCAAAGAGTTTCTTCTGAAATCTGAACCCTGCGATTGAGTTGGGCGATGTCCTTGTCCGTGCCTGTCTGGCCTTTTGTCACCTATCCATCTGGCCCCCTCTGAGTTCAGCCGCGCCGGTTGCGCGGTCTCCGGGCGCACATCCAGGATAGAATTTGAGTCGCAGGGTGTATTACGCAATAATTTCCGGCGCCAGGTTGTATTCTTTGAGCGATCAACGCGGCCTAGTGCGAAGCCGGAAGTAGCTATTCCGATAGTGCTCAAAGCACAAAGCTGATAGACATTAGTACCGGGACATTAGCCTCGGGTAAAACTTCAAGACTTACAGTAGAGATATGATCCATACTCAGCTGTGAAGAATGTCAAGCACCCTCCAGCCTAACTCCGCAAGAATAACGGTTGCGACTTGACATCCCATTGGGTTTCTTTAGGAGAGAATAACGAATGGATTCAAGATGTTGCAGAGACAAAGGAGATCCGGATAAAGTGAAAGTCAAAAAATAAAAACAAATAAAAAATAAAAACAAAATAAACGAACGTGGGCCCTTTCAAGAGTTAAAACGACAAAAGCCCAGACAGGGCCTGTGAATAGGGAAGGGTTAGGAGATCAGTGACGAGAGGTGGGGGAAAGTCAACAAACAAATCTCATAAAAAGCGCTAAAAGTTAGGGTGATTGATTACCAACGCTAGGGGAGTAGAAGGATATTCAATTATTCCATCTTTCCTTTATAAAATCAAGGCATTTAAATTAAATCCCATTTATTCTGTTAATGCTTATTGCTTTTTATCGTCTTTAATTCATATTTTCTTTAATTCCTATTTCCCCACCTGGAAAAAGAGGCATTTACTAAGCCAAGGACTAGAAACTGGAATATGTCTACGATACGATACGGTCCACTTTTTACTATCCCTTGCGGCTCGAATTGGCTGAAATGGCTGAACTGGCTGAATTGGCGCTGAATTGGCAGGGGCTGACTCCCATACTTCCAACTCTCTCTAAAGCGGAGACACGGAAACCAAGAAAGCTCAGCTTGACCACCCCACATTTATTGCCCATTACGATCGCACGGGCCCGAAGTTCGATCTAGTGGCTGTAAGCTGTTAGGAAGTGGGAAAGTAAAATAAATAAAAAATAAAATGGAAGTGGAAATGGAAATGGAAATGGAAATGGAAATGAAAATGAAAATGAAAATTAAAATAAAACCGACATTGTTTTGACTGTTTTTCTGCCAGTACAGTCTCCACAATAACGCCCAGAAGAGGAATAGATCAATACCTAGTATAGCCAATTATATCTTCTAATAGCCTTTATAACATTTACGCGTTTTCTGATCATTGAGGGCTGACATAAACCTTCATACGTTGTTAAACCAGTAACAACATTATTATCTTGCTACGTAAAGCATAAGACCTTATCATTCGGAGCGGCATAAAGCTTATTCAACTTTAGTTTCTTAACCTTGTCTTGTCCTTGAGATTCTAGAGCACTTTTGGGAAACGTCCGCTATATTTGTGTTGTCCCGCCAATACATTGATCTCGAAGGTACTTTAAAAGCTGAATAGATGTGAAAAATGCTCCCAAGGTTGTCAAGCTAGCTATCTAGAAGCGGTGTATATTGATTACGCCCAATAGCTAAAGATTTCTTAAGTAGATGAATAATATATCATAGAATATACCTAAGTATTAGTATATAAAAACCCCTTTGATTTGGTTAAAGCGGGGTGAGGTCGCCTAAGATAATTGGTGGAAGAAGGAGCTACATATGAACTACTAAAGGAATAGCCTTGGTCGTCTTCGTATTACATAGAGTTGAGTAGAGACTGGAAGAGTACGACGTAGATAATAGCCAATGAGAGCTACTGTTTATTGGTAAGTAAGCATTACTGTTTCATCAAAGCGGTCAGAGCTTTTAACCAGTCATAGCTATGTATTATTCTCCACTTTGGTATACGCTAAAACAATTCCGACAGGGGATAGGTTCCACTCCCTCTTGTCCCTTCGATTTACCCTTTTCCGTTACAATCAAGTGAAACACTTCTCCCTTTCACTCGTCTTAACTCGTGAATAGATACGCCATTTTTGCCTTCTCTTTTTTCCTCTCTTTCCGCCTTATTTTTCTTTATTTTCCCTCATTTTACTTCCCTGATCATACGTTGTTCAGGTCCAGGCCCAGGTCCAAGTCTGACATCCCCAGCCTCATCCGTCCTGTTCGGGATATCGCGGCCATCGTTCCAAATCGGGCGATTCTGCCCTTTCTAGATTGTTTATTACCTTTGGAACTAGTTCGAAGTAGTTTCGCTCTTCTTTCAAATCTTGCTAGAACATAGCAAGATCTACATAATATCGTCATATCTAACTTTGAATCAACGGGTCAAATATAGGGATCTATGGGTATCGTCGGAAGCAGGATCTGATCGCTAATCAAATGGGGACTACAGTCACCGCTCATTTATATTAATTTTCCCTTACAGAGAGAATATGAAATTTGTGGCTCATAGCTTCGGATGAAATAGAATTGGGACAGAACACCTTCGAACAATAGAACATAGAACACCTGGATCAACGCTCAAGCTCGGCCGATCATCACCATGGCGACACGTCTAAATCGTGATCCCTGTCTGCCAGCTCATCTTGGCACTTCACCTGAATCAATAGTTCCATTAGTATCATGATCCTAGCAGGGATCTTTGTAGCAAATCTACCTATTGTTTATTGTTTATTTTTAATTTTTTAATTTTTTAATTTTATTAATTAATTATTCTTGCGGGGGTTGGGGGTCCTACTCGGACAGGATCGGCAATATCGGACACGCTGGCTCGAAGCGGATCTATTTTTGAACTAGCCCTAGCCAATCTATATGTTGTATGGGAATCTGTCGATATCCGCGGCCCTCGCTTGTATTGAACGCTTTTGCATGGACATCCACTCTACCAGTGTTTCTACCGGTGTTTCTACACCAGTCAAGGCCCCTTCTAAACTTCCCTGCTTACTCCGTTTAAGCCGCTCTGGACCAACGGATTCTGTCTGGATGTTCGGGTACCCTAGTCCGTATACGGTAGTAGGAGCTAAATCTAAGCTTAACATGGTCTCAACTTCTGGTTTCCTGGACTAAGCCCTACTACTTAATACTTGGTTTCCATCTGAAACAACCGTAGACATCCGCGAAACTGTGTAGATAGCCCTAAGTAGGAAGGAGTTCGGAGTCAATGTGAACCCTGGAATGGAGAACTGCAGATATCTGTAAATCCAGAACATGGTTCAGACAATGATGATGGCCTGGCACATACCCATTTACTGCTCGAGGAAATCAATTAGTAGATCGCATCCATAATCCTTGAATAGAGTTAAGAAATAAGTGAATACGGATTACTCCGTCCAAATCCCTCATCACATAGAGAATGTCGAGCTTGGTTACCTAGGCACCATCGGGTGATTTAATGCTTGTTCCTGCAGGTGACAGGCCCGTGCCAAAGCAAACGCACAATCACTTACTTTCCAACCAAGCTAATGCACTTTTATCACAATTCCATCACATCAGCAGGGTCAGCAGGGATTTCTGGATCAAAAGTACTGGGTACCTTTTTCTCACTTGCGGTAACCCTAGAGCTTGAACATGTTTCTGTCAATCTAGAAAACTCCATCTGTACTCTATTAAGCCTGCTTGATACACTACATCTCCAAGGTTCTTCTCCTCTCTTCTACTTGAAGCTACCTAGTTAAACTTTATCGTATCGAGATGAACCAAGGTACTGCATGTTTTAACATTGCGGAGCGTTATGCCTTGAACCGTGGTTCTACACTTCGTCTATACTTCCAAGGTTCTTGCCGGCCGGTGAATACTTATGGTTGAGACCCTCTTAATTTAATCAATCTTTGAAACTGGAAAAGCCCCGATCTTGCATCATAATTACGATAAGGTTATGGAATTCCCCGAGAAGAACAAGTATCATATTTGCCACGGACCCACTTGAGAAGGTGTACTAGATAAGTCAAATATGCAAGAATGGATGGCGAAGCATCTCTCTCGTGTTCAGGTGCAGGTGGACGATACATCTAAATGAGGTGGACAACGTGCTTTGTCTTTTCTATGCATGGCACAGAAAGATTGGGTCGTGATGACCAGCCCCACGAGTGGTATGCCGAGAGGGAATGGTGGAAATGGTTTTGGTTCATCTTTGCCTATCAATATGCAGATGCATGTCAAAGAATGATACAATTGACCAGAAGTGAAGTTATTTACCAGTTCATCTTTAGTGCCGGCCATATCAGATTCTGTCTGCAGATATGATAGTTGTCATTACAAATGTTATTTATGGGAGTATTCAGAAATGTGCTTTATTTGATATGACTGGACTGTTCCTAACTTGGAGAAAGTGAACACTCCCACTCTCACTTCACTCTCAAGCCCAAGAATGAACCCACTTTGTTCCCACAGAGCATACCAAAACAATTACGGTTATGATACCTTGTCTTAGATAAAGCCTGCAGATACATGTCCCTTCAAGATTATGGACATAGAGGGACGTAAAATGACGCCCATATCTTCAGAGGATGTTGTTCTGGAAAGCATAAAGAAGCGACTCCAAGTATTCTTAACAATGCGAACTCAGACTCTCAGTTTGGCTGCCAGCATCAATGACACTTTCCCAGGGACCAAAGCTACCTGGGGTTATCGCAGAGGCTAGATGAATCCTTAATTGTTGAAGAGTCATGATTGGAGAGATAGGGCACCTCTCCGTCTCACTCAGAGAATTTGAGCGGTCTCTGTTAAAGTTGTATGGTTGTTCAAATTGGTTGTCTCGTTCGTCCCTCCACGGTCTGCTTTGGCTTCTTTGGCTTTCCCTGTCATGTTTTGATGGACCCAATCTTCTGGTTGATGTCCCATAATAACTGTGACATAGTCTCCCGTAACGATTGTCTGTCTGAACATTGGTAAGGTGGCTACCATGGCCACCTAGAATCAACAGCCTATATCTCCCCTTCATACGTGTTGGGCGTGCTAACCCATACCGAGATGCAACATCAGTGAACTAGCCAAAGCTGTTAGACATGATAATCATGATAGTATAGCGCAATGAGTAGCAAATCTATCTTAAGCTAGCTATGATCAATGCTAACCACCTATAAAGGTAAGAAGGGGATGGCTTACTATTGTGTAAAATACAAAACAATCATCGTCTCTCTATAATCCCTGGTAGAGCATGAAGATTCTATGGAAGAGTAAATGGAAAGGTAGGTATGCATCCTTTGGGCTGATATATTACCTAGATAGGTGTCTATAGGCGGGCAGTGTAGTTAATGAAAAGATGAGTGTCGATGGGTAACAACGGTTAAAGTGACTTGAGAGTGAGATGAAAGTAAGTGAATTCACGTAAAGTGAGAGTGACGTGGAAGTAAATTGAGAGTATACAATCACTTCCGTAGATGCTTCGCCATCACGCGAAATATATCTGAAACCGATTTCTCACTATAATTTTCTTGAAAGTTGAAACAAGGTTGATGAACCTGCACAGGCAGCTAGATCTTCCTTGCATAGCAAGTACCTTCTTTCAGGTGGTTCAGTGAGGGCATCGACGAAACAGCTCCAGAGAGATTTTAGTCCAGAGTCTAGCCTATTGGTTTTGGTTAATTATATAAAATTGCTGGTTTTCTTTCATGTTTCCAAGGCCTTGACATCCATGAATAAGTGTGTACTCTTGTTTACATCGTAAAATTTAACACAAGTAGACACGCTCCTGGCTGCCTTCGCACGGGAAACCTTTTACTCAAAAGATTACATCTTTAGTATTTATTTCATTTTTTATTGCTTGGCAGCCCCTATGGCTGCGGGTAGAGAAGAAACCAGATGTGAGGCTTTTGAATCTATCGCGATATGACATCAAAACACGCATCTTGCGGTGGTTGAAGTCAATGGTCATAGTATACATGAAATCTCAAAGCAACTCTAGCAACCTCAGGTATCAACTACTCAAGTTCAATTAAATGGCTGCTTCGTTGCATTTCAAGAGAAGTAGAAGCCATGATTATGGGTTCTCCAGATAACAATTCACATCAGATCTATCAGTTGAGCAATGAACACGCAAAACTGAAGGTAAAAAACGGAAGAGGGAAGAGGGAAGAGGGATTTCTATTACTCTAACTCCAGTGCCCTGAGACTAGAGCTTCAAATTACATTTTGTATATCTTCACCTGATCATAATGATAACCACGTGATCTTATCGATAACGCAAAAAACACATGCCACTTTGGAGGTTGAACATACCCCAGATGATTTCAGTGCTTCATTGAGTGAACTGGTGGCTAATTATCACTCGGTCGCACTCCAAAAAGAATACACACAAATTCTTTCCGGCTTTCAAAATGCAGGCAGAACTCCAGGCCCAGATCCCGGGCTTGGACCGTGTCATCTCCGAATACTCCGTGGTACGTATAATGTGCGATCGGAATTCTTTGTGGAAACTGACAATAACTAGGGCTACTTGACACACGCCTCTCATCTCTATGTCGAAGACGATAATGCCCTGTCGCCTTTGGCGGAGGCGGCCGAAACGGTGACGGAGCTCCTAATTTCTGCCTCTGGGGACTTCTCTGCACAGAACCAGGAAGCAATTGGAAATCTAGTGGAGAAGTTTATTTCATCTCTCAGCGCATCCAATGGCGTTGACGATGAGAGTAGAAAAATTCCCGGCAAGGCCAGGAAGCTCGACCAAGCTATCAATGTCGGCACCCAGCGCAACATGTCCTCGACTCTGGGTCTGAGTGGTACGAACGTGGACTTGGAGTCAGCCAATGCCAGGAAGGTAGAGTCTCGAGTTGATAAGAAGAAGCTGGAGAAGGCCGAACGCAAGATTAGAGCCAAGCAGGATAAGAAACAGATGAAGACAGTCACCTACGAGTCCTCGCGTCTACTGAACCAGCCGGATGAGACCATGTCGTATGAAGAATTCTTCATGGCTGTCAACCCGCTACAGTTGGGCTCTGACTCTCAGTCTAAGAGCAAGGACATCAAGTTGGACAATATCGATATTACTATTGGCGGCCAGCGTATCCTGACGGACGCTGCTCTAACTCTTTCTTTTGGCCGCCGCTATGGTCTTGTCGGTCAGAACGGTATCGGAAAATCTACTTTGCTGCGTGCTCTAAGTCGCAGAGAAGTTGCTATTCCGCACCACATCTCAATTCTGCACGTCGAGCAAGAGGTATTTTAAAACCTGTCTCAGTTGTCATATCGCTCGTTACTGACTTCTCTAGATCACTGGTGACGATACACCCGCAATTCAAGCGGTCCTGGATGCTGACGTGTGGCGGAAACACCTTTTGTCTGAGCAAGATGTAAGTTCATACCGGCGACAAACGAAATAGCATTATACTCATTGAAAACCTAGAAAATCTCCAAGCAATTGGCTGCGATTGAAGAAGAAAGATCCCAACTGGCAGATACATCCAAGGATGCTGCCAGGCTGGATCATGAACGAGAAGGTCTCGACATTACCCTGGCCGATATCTATTCCAAACTCTCTGAGATGGAATCTGATAAAGCAGAATCCCGAGCCGCCAGTATTCTGGCTGGTCTTGGTTTCTCTCCAGAGCGACAACAGTTTGCAACAAAGACCTTCTCTGGAGGTTGGCGTATGCGTTTGGCTTTGGCTCGTGCTCTGTTCTGTGAGCCTGATCTTTTGCTTCTTGATGGTAAGCGCTTTCCCCCCACGATACTCTACACAAAACAGAGAGCTAACTTCACGAAGAACCTTCCAACATGTTGGATGTTCCTTCTATCACTTTCCTGTCAAATTACCTTCAGGGATACCCCAGCACAATCCTCGTTGTCTCTCACGATCGTTCATTCTTGAACGAGGTGGCCACCGATATTGTCCACCAGCACTCAGAGCGATTGGATTACTACAAGGGTGCCAACTTCGGTATGTCCTGCTTCTTAGTATAATCCCAAACTTCACTAACAATATGTAGAATCCTTCTATGCCACAAAGGAGGAGCGACGGAAAATGGCCAAACGCGAGTACGAGAAGCAAATGGGCGAGAGGGCACATCTTCAAGGTAGGAACTCGTTCATCGCTATTCTATATCTCATACTAACCGCCGATGATCAGCCTTCATCGACAAATTCAGATACAACGCCGCCAAGTCCTCAGAGGCGCAATCAAGAATTAAGAAGCTCGAACGTATGCCAGTACTCGAAGCCCCCGAGGCCGAATATGTTGTGCATTTCCAGTTCCCCGAGGTCGAGAAGCTTTCACCTCCTATTGTTCAAATGTCCGAAGTTTGCTTCGGCTACACTAAGGAACTACCTCTTCTCAAGGATGTTGACCTTAGCGTCCAACTGGACTCACGTATCGGAATTGTCGGACCCAACGGTGCTGGTAAAACCACAGTGTTGAAGCTGCTCATCAACCAACTCACTCCGACAAAGGGTCTTATATCCGCACACTCACGACTAAGAATTGGATTCTTCGCCCAGCACCACGTCGATGCTCTTGATCTAACCACCAGTGCTGTCAGTTTCATGGCAAAGACTTATCCTGGCAAGACCGATGAAGAGTACCGGAGACACTTGGGAGCGTAAGTCAAATGACCGGTCCCCAGAGCCTTGAATATTTGGTGCTAACTATTAATGATTTAGCTTTGGTATCACCGGTACAACTGGTCTCCAGCGTATGGAGTTCTTGTCTGGAGGTCAGAAATCGCGTGTCGCCTTTGCGTGCTTGTCTTTGACTAACCCTCACATTCTGGTTCTTGACGAACCTTCTAACCACTTGGATATTGAGGGTATGGATGCTCTCTCCTCCGCACTCCAACGATTTGAGGGAGGTGTGGTGATGGTATCTCACGACGTGACAATGTTGCAGAACGTCTGCACTAGTCTCTGGGTCTGCGATGGAGGAACTGTGCACAAATTCGACGGAGACGTCAAGGCTTACAAGAAGCTCATTACTGCACAGGCCGATGCGGCTGGTGTTGTTGCCAAGCACTAGGCTTAAAACTATCTCAATAATTGATGTAATGCACGAATGTTCCAAAACGGACCTTCAAATCCACGAAAATATACTCCTTCATAATACAAAGCCCATAAGTGTAGCTACACGTTGCGCAGATGTGGGTCCCGCTCCCGCTATCGCCTTTATCTGAACCCCGGATTCTCCCTTCACGTTTTCCTTTGCCCCCCAATTCAGCGTTTTAGCGTTTGAGTTCTGATCGATGATTACTTTGACAAAGCTGAGCTTCCCAGTATGAATACAAGAGAGGAGTCCGATCAGCCTGGTCCAAACGCTCCTCTGCTCGCTCCGACCGAAGCCTTTTCCGACCATGACAACAATGACGAGACAACAACCTCCGAGCTCAGCTACTCCGGTGGATGGTTCATATGGACCCTGACATTCTCAGCCGGTATAAGTGGTCTCTTATTTGGCTATGAGTACGTTTCTGTCATCACATATATAGTGATCATAACTGACGGCCTTCTCAACCTCTAGCACCGGTGTCATATCCTCCACCCTTGTGACCATTGGCTCTGATCTCTCCAATCGACCGTTGACAACCCTCGATGAAAGCTTGATCACATCATCCACCAGCTTATTTGCCTTGATTGCTAGCCCATTCACCGGAGTTCTGGCCGATAAATACGGGCGGCGCATGGTCATTGTCGTGGCGGATGCCCTATTTGCGATTGGAGCATTGACCCAAGCGTCTACAAGTAATATATGGGGTATGATAGCTGGTCGCAGCATTGTTGGCCTTGCGGTTGGCAGTGCGAGTGCTGTAGCTCCATTGTATGTCTCTGCCATTTCAGGCAATGTCAAGCATCTACTAACTGGTCGTCGGCAGGTATATATCCGAATTAGCACCATCGCATGCCCGAGGACAGCTCGTTACAATCCTAAGTCTGCTCATAACTGGAGGGCAAGTGGTCGCGTACATAATTGGCTGGCTATTTTCCCAGACTGCTGGAGGCTGGCGCTGGATCGTTGGCCTTGGTGCGGTCCCGGCATTCCTCCAGTTTGCAGTTCTTGTAGGTTTGCCGGAAACACCTCGATGGCTCATGCAGGTCGGACGTGACTCCGAGGCTGTCGCGGTCCTGACTCAAATCTATAAGGACTGTCCCGAGTGTGACCGTGTGGCGCATCAAGTCCTGCGAGATATTCGAAGGGAAATGTCGCAAGAGGCGGTCGAATTGGACCAAACCAAAGTGTCAGACGCAATACCACTCTGGTTACAGGATACCTCTCAGCGTGCCTCGGATTTGTTCCACAATGGGGGCAATCGGAGAGCCTTGACCATAGCAATGATGCTACAAGGGCTACAGCAACTATGTGGTTTTAACAGCCTGATGTATTTTTCCGGGATCATCTTCACAGCACTCTCATTCTCTTCACCAACTCTAGTATCTCTAACTATTGCAGTTACAAACTTTTTCTTCACTCTTGTGGCGTTCGCACTAATTGATAGAATTGGGCGACGCCGCATATTACTCTATTCGATTCCAGTCATGATACTTGCATTAATCCTATGTGCGGTCGCCTTCTCATCAGTGGAAGTATCTTGGGGATCTCCATCTGTGAACTCGCGGGATGGTACAGACCGTCAAAGCCTACTTTATCCACTGCTTATTCTTGCTTGCCTCACTGTCTACGTTGCAGCTTATGCATTTGGACTCGGAAACGTACCTTGGCAGCAGTCAGAACTCTTCCCTCTGAACGTTCGCTCTTTGGGGTCTGGACTTGCGACTGCTACAAATTGGGGATGTAATTTTATCGTGGGACTGACATTCCTTCCTATGATGCAGTGGATGTCTCCCACGTGGACTTTTGTTGTGTACGCAGCAGTTTGTGTGGTTGGCTGGGTTGTTGTTCGAGCAATTTACCCCGAGATGAGTGGACTTAGTCTGGAAGAAGTGAAAGATTTACTAGCCGATGGCTGGGGAGTGGAAAATAGCCAACAACGAAGAGATGAGTCGCATATTTAGGAATATCCACTATATTCAGTTTGAGAAAATCACTTCTCAGTTTTCTGCTTTTGATTACTATTGTAAGTCAGGTTATTTGCCTGTAACAAAATGAGGCTACTGTAGGTACGATGCTTTTGAATTCATCCCAAGATCAGGCATCAAACTGATCATGTTCAGACCATGAAGCGAAGAAAGGAGCTTGGAAAAGATATACCACAAACAAAAAAAAGCAATCATTAATGAATCTATTCCTCAATATCTTTGACCTTCTCCCATTGGCCCTTGAGGTTCTCCTTCCACAAGCTCACCTTGTTGTCACCACCGCTGACAGCAAGGATGTTTCCGCTCAGACTCCAGCTAACACGCCACAAAACACAGTCAAACTCAAGTGTTTGGCTAGTCCACTGACCTGGGTTGGATGCATCCGAAGTCCAAATACGAACGGTCTTATCTTGCGAGGCAGAAGCGATGTAGGATTTGGACAGAATGCTCGGCGACCAAACAACATCACGGACCCAATCAGAATGGCCTTCTAGAGTTTGAGTAAGGTTGTAGGTCTTGGACTCGGCGCTAGAGGGAAATAATTAGCACAAATGACCCACAACATCACTCCTGAGCGAAGACGTACTTGTAGTCCCAGATCTTTACTGTATTATCGCTTCCGCCGGTGACAAAACGTCTCTGCTGACCAGGACCTGGGTTGGAGCTGATAAGACTACCAGCGAAAGCAGCGGGAGCCCAACTAATCGAGTTCACGCCCATCCCGTGGGCAGGGAAGGTCTGGTGGGTCCAGTTGTTGTCGCGGAATTCGAGAACGCTGACCTGGCCATCGGAGGAGGCACAAGCAAGGAGGCAGCCGCTCTCGTGGGGGGCCCAGGAAACCGTGTTGACGGAAGCGGTATGCAGAGAGAAATCAAAGACCTTGGTCCAAGTGCTGCCGCCGACGGGAGAGGTGGCATTCTGAGGTTGCTCCCGCCAAATCAAGACCTTGCCGTCATATGAGGAGGAAGCTAGGATTGTGCCAAACTTTGGGTGAGCCTGTAAGTGAATAAGTTGTCATGGTCAGCCAGAGCCGTATCAATTTTGTTTTGGCGCTTCCCACATACCCATGCGACACACCACACTGCACCCTCGTGGCTGTTTTCAAGAAAAGATAGAATCAGTCACTGACATCATTGACAGATAGGCTAATAGCTCAACAAGACAGGCTTACCCCTTGAGGGTCTCGACGAAACGGTGAGTCTCCCCCTCAATCTCAAAGATCTTGATTGTTTTATCGGAGGAGCAGGTGGCTAGCCTCCGACCATAGTAGTCCAGGCCTGCATCGTGCTAGTAATTTTAACTGTCCGTTAGCCCGAGCATTAACATGGGGGAGCTCAGGAGCTGGCGATTGCGCCTCCCACTGTTGGGCCTTGCACGTACAATCATATCTTCGTGCCCCGAATTCGAGATAACCTGAGCGGCCGCCTGTAAAATGGAAGTCAGTCAGAAAGAATGCAATTACAATTGAACTGGAAACAAACCATTTTGCTGAGACCCAAGTGTAAGACAGAAAACGCGAGATGTTCTTAAAGGAAGGAGCTTGAAGTTCGACACCAAACAACCTGGCTACAGTTGCTTATCCTTATCTGGATGACTCAGCTAAAGTCACGTTTTACCACGTGCTTGTACCTCGGATAGTCAATCAACCCCACGATTTCCCCGATCTTTCTTCCCTTTAGTATATCTTGTCCTTCGATACGCTCCACTCTTCCTATCCTCTGGCATGTAATTCACCATTTTGTCCCTATATATTTTGCCTTTTCACCCAGCTTTCATATTCCATACGACTATTAAACTCCATCATGGCTGATGCACTATGCGGTCCATCCAACGCTCTTCAAAACGCTCAGAAGCATGCATCGGTCGATAGAACCATTCAACAGGACCGCTTGATATCAAGGCAACCACCGGCACAAGTGAGTTGAGAGTTGGAGGGCTGACCCAACTTGAATACTAATATATTTCCAGGGATTTCGATCGCAAAGTCCGCGCGATGGAATACTTGATCCCGAATTTGCAGCCTTCGAAACAAATCTTGGTGGACAGCCAATACCAGATATTCGGAGCCCAGCTCACTTTGGCGCACCAGCACATCTTACAACTTCGGCACATCCCGCTCCTCACTGGGCCTCGGACTTCCAGAATTTACATATCTCTACTCCCCCGCTATCGCAGCAACAAACACCGCCCGTTGCGCAAGCTCAGGGAGGATGGCATAATGAATTTAAAAATCAATGGCAGCATCAGCAGCACCAACAAGTGCCGATGCAACCTCAACAACCTCAGCAGCGAACGATAAACCGCGGATTTCAACCGGGATATTCAATGCACAATACTTCGATGAATATGTACCAAGCGCCGCTTGAGGCCCCATCAGGTCAACTTGCATCGACTGAGCAGTTCGATGATGCTGCATTTGAAGCTGCATTTGCACAGGCTGGGGCAGATCTAGAACTACAGGAATCCAATACCGCCTCGGCAGTTGCGGCAGTTGCGGCAGTTGAAGAAGCTACTCTTGATACGCATCAGGCCGAACCTATAGAGGCAGTTTCCGAAGACATTCGAATTGGGTCAGACCTTATCCTACCGATGAATCATGACGCAAATGTTCTTGCGGAGGTGGCTGGTAAACTTCTCGAAAAAGTTAGCCACGAACAAAGCCAAAAATTTCAACAAAGCAATTTCCTTGCTTTGATGCGGCGAATCCGTGATCGTGAGATTGAAGTGGAAGGAGAAGAGTTTCGCGAAGTCAGTAGCAACCCGTAACGGATTGACTGTCAGCAACAGAACCTCCGGTATATCTACGTAAATCTTGGTGGGGTCTTGTTCTTACTAATGCCATGACTTAGACGAAACAGTCTCTTCATCCTGGTGGAAAATACTACCCCAGTCGATCTCCTCCCCTGGAATCGTCCAAATCCCCGGGCATTAATAGTATGAAATCCTCTTAGTGTTGAGATTTTACTATCCTAAGCCAAAGAAATACAATCTGACAGTCGCTCGTTTTCGACAGATAATAACTCAGAAATAACATCAGAAACTCTATTCAATACTGAAGAGGACTCTCCCCGCTTGGGGACAAATCCATCTGACATCAGTGACCATCCATTTGAGCACAACAATGAGAATTACGAACGCTCGATCCATGGCCAGGAAGATGGATGGTAGAGCTCGACACCATATGCTGAAGTTTGGTAGTTCTAGGACGTACAATATCTAGCATGTGAAGCTATGATGTTCGCAAGAACAATCGTTGCATTCTACCTCTTCGAAGCCAGCAGCTTTAATTAAACAAATGCATTCCAGTTAGAGTCTTGTGGCGGTCACTGACTGCCCAGTTCTTATTAAATTTCATCCAAAACCGTTGGTGCCACTCTAGAAGTACAAATATTGACAGCTCCTTGTATCAAGATAATGTCAGAACGCTCAGAGAATCTTTGGAAGATAAATCAAGTCAACCCCTGAGTACATACTCATACAAAATTCAACTCGATACTTGCATGAGTATCTAGATGTGGAAAACGAGGACTACAGGGTTTCGTCAGAATAACCCCGGAAGAGAGATAAGATGCTATAAGCTGCTAAACCCTGTATCAAACACGTAAATCCGAAACATTTTGATATACCGTCGAACTGAATGAGAAAGAGAATAAAAACAAATGTTGAATACAGCAATGGTGCCCAGGTGAGGTGACTGGTGAGTATTCGAGCGGGCTGAATGTCATTCCCATACTTCGATGTGTACTCACTGAGTAGGTTTTTTTTAATGGCGACTACGCTACTGATAGCGAAGAGCCATGGAAACGTATCTAGTGCACAGAGAATGGGATAAAAAGGCAAAGGTTGGAATAAAATAAGTTGGGACGAGTAATGCTATTTAACAATGTAGCATAAGGTATCGTGCTTGAAGATAGTGATACGGATGAAAGAGCCAATATAGAGCAATTGTGGTAAGCAGTAATGGTGAATAGGGGTTTGAGTTGCTCGACAAACAGTCACTGTCATAATAGAATGATAAGAGTGGTAAACCAGTTCCATAGGTCTAGGTGAATCGACCAACAGGAATATCGTGGCGATGGAGGTCTTTTGACCACTGCGGCGGGAACTTATCCCTTTCGTACAGGAAGCCACAATTGTGGCAGAGTGTCTGGAATGGGGAAAAAAAGATTAGTTATGGATGGTCAATAGTAGATATCATATCAAATTCACTCACCCGAGGACCATCTGGACCGTCTCGCACAGCCCAAACTGCCGTACCCCAAACCATACAGTTGCTGCATCGCCAACTTTGTCGTTCCCTGTATAAGTATTAGCATGAGTGGCTCAGTGCCATTGACCTCGGATCCACATACCAATCAGTGAGCGTACCACCTCCGCCACCATAACCGGCGGCAGAGCCTGTGTCCGGAGTACCTCGTCCACCAGGCGTACCCAGCGGGCTTATGCTGCGGAATCGACGCTTGCGCTTATTTCGCTCGCCCCGACCCAAGGGGGCGTCACCGTCATTCTCGAAGTATCCGCTGGTCTGTCGAGAAACTTCAGGAGTAATTCCAGTGGTGGAAGAGAATCGGGCAACATCTCGTCGTAGACGCCTAATCTCACGCTCATGAGCGATTTCTCGCCGCTCAATCTCTTCTTTTGTAAGTGTTTCGACCTTTGGATCCCACTCATCAGCCAGGGTCTCGGGGTCGTATCGCCATCCGGCTTCAGCACCATTCGCTGCCAGGTTATCAATCTCCGTGCCATAGCCATTGATGCCACTGACAATGCCACCACTTTTGCAAACCTCTTTCTTCAGGTTCAACACCGCTTCGTAGATGCCATGTGCAATAGCACTGACCCAATCGCCGCCAAGGCTCAGATCAGCACACGTAACCTTCGCGAATTCCTCGGCCATTCCTGGAGGGTGGAGAAGGGACCATTCAAATTTATCAGTGTAAAGCTTGTCTTGGCAGTTGATGTTGAGATTGATCACACATCGATAAGCATCGTCTGGGTTCAGAAGGCTGTCGTTGACCAGCGCCTCCTTTGTAACTGCTACAACAGGCGGCGCAATAACTTGGCTGTCGGGTGTCGCCACATTTGTCACAGCCGGAGTCATGGATGTATCACGCGAGGGCTCAAGTTGGGGAATAACTCCATGGTCAATGGTGGATGGAGAGCTCTGGAACAGGGGATGCAAAGCTACACCAGCATACTCTTCCAATTGCTGCCGAATCTGGTTACCAATGGTCATTGTAGTAGCCTGAGGGTTAGGAAGGTCCAAGTCTCGGACGAAGCCAATAGCAAACTCCTCTGGCGTCGCTACCGCCTCATGGAGATTCCATAGGAATGTATCCTTAATCCGGAACGGGGGTTGTAGTTCGGGTCTGCGGTACGCAGGGAGGGCCGAGGTGATGCTAGGATCAAGGATGTTACGTGGTGGAGGAAACGGCTCGAGTGGTTGATGCGAAGCAACTTCCAAATCAATGCGAATAGGAACAAGGGTTAAAGGAAGCTGCGCTTGGATTTGAAGTTGATCAGAACATCTGCAAAAAGAAAGCCATTCACAGTTAGTTGAGAACTTGTAGAGGGAGAAAGAAACAGCTCGTTGGGCTTCTTACTACGTACGCTGGTCGTAACATGCGCTTGATCATCCACTCGCGATAAATTCCCTGAACTTCCACAGGCGCATCTGTTTCCTTCCCCAGCTTCTCGGCTGTCGAGAATAAGCCAGATGATTCCTCACGGCGGAGACTCCTTAGTCCTGTTGGGCGCCGAGGACCATCGCTTTCATCGAAATCGTCATCATCGAACCCATCTTCGGCATAGTTTATCGCAGTCGTGCCGCGTTTTGTAGTTCGCGGTGTTGGCCCTGTCTGGACAGGATACACAGGCGTCATCAATGAGTTTCGATACTGCCGCATACGCGGCGGGTATGAAGTGATGTAGCCTCTAAGGGGATCCATGTTAACGATTTATCTCGCGACAGATAAATGCCCCTTCGCGGGGATTAGTATCGCAAAAGTTCGCGTTGATCGTGATCGACAGCGACGATGGAATAATACTTGAATAAAAACGGGTACACGATGCAGGAAGGTCTAGCCTTATGTTAGACTGCTTTAAGAGGCCTAATATCAGCGAAAAATGGCAAATTGGAGAAGAATAGCTCCCTGAATTGACTGTAGTCGGATCTTTTGCGCTGCGCGTTTTCCCCAATTGAGCAAAGCCCCATTCCACAGTCACGTGGGGTTATCGTTTTATGCCTTAGGCATCAATGCGGTGGAATATGGCAGAATGTGAATACTGTACAGAAATGATTAGATCCTACAGCCAGGAATACCCGGACATATGGACTGTGTAGTGTATACACTAGAGAATTTTATCGAGTTACAATTTTAAGTGGTGTTAGTTCTTGATAGGCGAGAAATAAAAGAGATAAGCTTGATTATTATGTCCATTGTCTGTCCTTGTAAGGCGCTGTTTTTGAATGTCTGGTTACACACAATGTAGACACTAACGAATAAATACGCCAGCCCGTAATCGGGGAAAGAAGAAGAAATCAAACAACTAGTGGACAAAGAAAAAAGAAACATCACAGAGAACTAAGGATCTGGGTATAGATACAGATGCAGAGAAGAAAAAATCGCGAATTAATCAACGGAGTCCGATAACACTCTATAAAATGAAAGTTAGTCATTGTTTCAGTAGGCAAATGGGTGGAAAAATCTTGCCATTTCCAGTGTCCAGACTCGTCGAATCCAGACCTTGACTTGACCTTCGACGCCCTCAACGTCGACCAAGTCAACACCCTCCCACCAGCACCGCCGAGCAGGCTTCCTCCAAAAGAGCAAAAGCTTTTGTGCCATCCCAACGGCATTGTTATTCGAGAGGTCTCCACGGATATCAGTACGAAGCTTGGCCAAAGCAAGACTGCAAATCACTGCTTTGTTTGGCTCGGGGGCACGGTGGCCCCATTGATCTTCGCGATCAAATCCACTAGCCAATGGATTAGCGGGACAATCTTCAAGTCATAAAGTAAAGGAAACTCACCCAGCAGTCAGCATCTCAATCAAGTGTTGCTCGGTTGAGCCGACTTCCTCGCTTTTGCGCAGCCCTGAGAAGATACCATCCTGTTTCAAAAGGGCACGGCCAGCTGCCCGTTTGACTTCGAGCATCTCTCCATGGCCAATATCTGGCCGTGGTGGGATTACATAGAAGTCAAGATCCTCTCTGAGGACGATGATTCCTGCGCGATCCTGCAGCATATCGCGGGTTGAATTTTGCATTGGGTCATCAATCTCTGGCGATGTCGACTCCGAGGGGAGCGACGTGGGGATGGATTGAGCCACGGTGCGGAAGAAATCCAACATATACTGAAGTGATGCCGGGTCGTACTAGATTATGTGAGCTTCTTGCATGAAATAAACAACAAACAGCATCGTGCTTACATCAACGGGGTAGATATCGCCTTCGTGGAACCCACCTAAATGCCCATCAGGAAGAAGGCCATTCGGAAATAGTGACAACAGCACAAATTCCGGCAATGTCAGTAGCTCGTCTCGTGACAAGGTAAATCGAGTGCCCCTTTAAAAATATCAGCGGGGTAAGAACAATTTATAGTATGAAAAAGGAGCTCTTACCGAAGATCGAGAGTGACATTCTCATCCCCACCGATATCTGTACGTAAACGATATCATTAGCAACTTGTATCACCTCCCCTATTGGCCATATAAATAATTCATACCTCCTAGAGTATTGACCGGAGGTCCACCATTCTGCTGGACCTGGGTTATAATACTCGAAGCGCCTCCCGCCGCAGCCATCACGTAAGAAAAGGACTGAAGGGGACTGTAGCCTTCGGTATACGGCGGCGGTGGTTCCCCGTCGTCGATATTCTTTCCAGTTCCTTGACCTTCACCTTTTGCTTCCGAAAAGGAGGCCTTGGTGTCTGCGACAACGGACGACGAAGGGGCCGAGTCGAGAAGCTCCTCGGGCGATGGTGGCGCAAAAGCTGGAAGGGAAACAGGTCCGGACTCAGAAACCTTGGGAAGGTTGGACTCCGAGGTAAGGAATAGCGAGGAAAAGGGTGGCGGGCCAACGAAGACTGAGCTAGAGTGGGATGCTTGAGGTGGATGCGGCGGGGGTGCGGTGTAGTTGTAGTCGTCCTCCAGGATGGAGTCCGTCTGGTGAGTCGGTCGCGCCGTGGTTGAACTTCGAGAGGCTGTCTCTTCCGACACGATTATAGTGCAAGTAGATCAGATTCAATCGCTGCAACGCGGTTGACCTGATGGAATCTAGACTTGAGTCCCGAGGGGTCTCTTCGTTTTGGTTGTCGATTGTTGATCAGGAGGCGGAATGGACTCGAAATTCACAGCCGCAGGATTCTCACAGGGCTGATATATTCGAGAAAAATCACTTGAAAGGGGAAATCTTAGCGAGCTGATTTAATATTCCAAATTATGAGAGGGGAAAGAGGAATAAGCGGGCGCTTGATCGAACAACCCCGTGTTGAACAACCTGTGGCGGTAAGTCCGCCCAAGTGACTAACTACGCTAATTTATATGGGACTTTTGCCGCCACTTGTATTTCTGCTGAACTTGATAATTAAAAAAAAAAGCCGAGGAAAATTTTGATTCAAATTCTCAGTTGCGTGAATCAAGGTTTTGTTCTACTCGGGATGTCCTATTTAAAGCCGTAGCCCTGGAAACAAATATCAATGTTTACTACGGTGCTAGGTATGATATTGCCATCAACTTCCCACTTAGACCTTACGGTCAACGTAGCTCTGAATGACACCTTCCAAAGTAGCCTCATACTCTTTAAGAGTAACCTTGTCTCCTTCAAGGATGGTGTTGGCCTGCACAAAGATCTTGCGAGGCACTTTGTTCTTCAACACGACTTCCCGCAAAAATTCAAAGAATGAGTCCACTGATGTGATATCATCATACAGTCCTTTACCTGCCTCGATATCGGCAGTGCTCTTGTACACATGCAACTTTTGCAGGTACTTTTCAACAGCAGGTCGGCCATGAGACAAGATCTTGGATCGATCAAGGTTGATCTCCAGATCGGACAAGTCCTCCTTGGTGTAGGATAGCTTCACAAAGTCATCACCAGCACTGAGGAAAGTACGCAGAATACTGTACCGAGCCTGCATGTGAGCCTGGCCCCATTTCTGAGTCTTGGGATCCCAGAATTCCAGGGCAACCAAACCAGCACGGGCCATTTGCAAGTATGCTGCAAAGAGAACATCACCAGCCTCGCCTGTCATGTCCTCTTTACCGTTGCCAAAACCGAAGATCTTCAAGATTTCAAAATCACATCCCAGCACCATGGCAACACACTCGGCTCGGCACTCTTCGTACGAAGAGGCAATGGCCCCGAAGACAGAGCTCCAAGTCTGTCCGGGTTTGTACCATGTTGATACAGGATTGTTAGTAACCGGGCTTATGGGTGGGTTGGAAATATCAAAGTTGTATTCTCCGGGTGCTGTCTCCTGCAGCAGCTTGCCTGTGCCATGTCCAAGCAACTCATGGATGCCGACCTGTACCTCAAAGGCAGGGTCGCGACAACGGCGGTAAACTTCTTGATCATTCTCGGTAATGAATGGAATGTCCTCATTGGGAGCCTTAGCACTCAGAACATTGCCCAAAGACACGTTCTTGAAGCCCAAATTCTGGCGGATATCATCATAGTTGGGGAGATTTATACCCGCGGGGATACCCGAACCTGCAAAGCTCAAGACTTCAAGAGATGTAAAGTCGGGGCTCAGAAACTTGTCCTTCTCAAAGTCCTTGCCCCATGGTAGCTTGGGGATCATGCTTTCGGCGCTATCGACTAGAGCACCGAACGCACGTGTCCGCTCCAGGTTGACCTATTAGGATTAGCTTAAAGAATCACTACGAAACATGTTAATTTGATCTCACCAGAGAGACAAAGCCTTCCCATTCTCCGCGCACACCGTGGGGATCCCGGTATGTCTCGACGAACCCCAAGTTAGTCTCTAAGGCGGGCTTCTGATCCTTGACCCAGATGCGCTGGCTTTCCTTGAAAGCTTCAATTGATCCTGAACCAAAAGACAGAGCGTATGCATCCAACATACGCTTCTGGTTATCATTGGCCGCGTTAAGACCAGCCTGCTTGATGCTGTGAGCAATTTTGGACATCTCTTCTTGATAATCCCCAAAGACAAGCTGCACAGTCTTGCCCTTAAGAGCTCCCTCCAACACAAAGCTAGTTGTCTCTCCAAGATCACGATCCTTCACGGGAGGGTTGGTAACCCCACCGGCAATCAAGAGCTCAAAGTCGCCCGAGGAAGTCTTGCGCAGTCTTGTATTCTCCAGTGCCAGTCCCTTCTTCTCCATCAAGTCTCCAATGGCGATAATTTCATCTTTGGTGATAGAAGGCGAATCGGGGTAGTATGTGGTCATGTGGCCACCTGTGGGGTATCCGAGATGCATTAAGGACTGTTCGCTCGTCTCATATATGCCACCTCCAGTGCTGCTTGCCTTCTGGAAAGCAGCCTTCGTCTCTGGAGTGCTAGAAGCCAAAGCCTCGAAGCTAGAGGCTGACAGACGAGGAATAAATTTCGAGTCGCCAAAACCTTTGTAGTTACCGCAGTTACCCAAGAACTGAGCGGCATATTCGAGGAAGAACTGGAGGTCTTCATCGCTCACTTTGGTTTTCTGGGCTAAGGCGTTCCAGTCACCGTCGCAGGAATCGTGAAGGGCGAGGATAAGATCATAGATGGCTTCTGATTCGGGAGAGACCTGGCGCAAGGTGATACGGGTACCTTCGAAAGCAGCCCTATGACCTGTTAGCTTGTTGACAACGCCACATCATGCGGGGTGATTTACCGGCTCATGTAATGAGCGTATTTGCGCAGGCTATCATCTTTAAGGGTATCAAAGTGAGACTTGATTTCTAGTCTCACTACAGTGGGCGGGTTATCTGCGAAATAATGCTGTTTGGCGTTGGCATCCATAGTGGCTCGACGGGATTGAGAAAAGGAGAAGTTTCTGTAATGGAGGGCAAACAATCGGTGAGAGGCAAAGCGGTTGAGGGGTAAGAGCTGAGGTAGCACGGAGCTTCGGGTAAACGAGGGGCGCAACAAGCGACGCATTGGGTGCATATGGAAAGGTCGAAGGTCTGTAGCTATGACATATTACCTATCGACGCGCGGGTCCAAGCTTTTAACTACTCCCGTACAGCTACCGCATTACAGTATGTCCCGAAACTGGTGCTACCACCTTTACTATTTCGAACCCCTCTACCAAAACCTACTAGTCTATATTAGGAGTAGGCTCGTAATATTAATATTCCCTAATAATACCGATACAATATCGTACACTGTTTATCACAGGGCCGTATAAAATACCATGTCTTATTACTGTATTGGCAACTGGAACTTTCTATGGTAATGCAAATCAATCAGACAAACGAACAAAGGAAAAAGGAAAGGGAAAATAGGCCTCCAAATCTGGTTATGTATCATGACTATCCCTTCGGAAAATACGAATTTTCATTTGATGAACGTGGTGTGCTATGAAAGATTCTACTAATCAGTGGAACAATAACTTGTAACTATAACTAAATCGAACTAAAAGGACTCCACTACCCCACTTGGAGCTGCATCGATCCAATAGTAGCCGTCTAGACATCCGTCCAATTAGAACGGACTGTCATAACAACTCTAATTGTATCAACACATCATCTTCTACTTGAAGTCCACCCCGCCTTCTTGATACCCTAAGGGTAAAGTTAAGCGAGAGGGACAGAGGGGGGTATGAAACCTCCATATTAATCATCCAGATATTGTGCCATTCCGCCGCAAATATTGACATTCTCATAGTTTAACCCAAAACCCTCAAGCTCCGGGATAATGCGCCAGTAGAAATTTGCGGCATTATTGGTTTTGACGAATCCGATGAGATTATCGATGCCACTATTATCCGCCTCATAACCCCAGCTCGATGCAAGGCCTTATGATATTCTCGATTCGTCAGCGGCAGAAGGTTCCGCAGTCGTTCTTGATGTGAATGCAATTTTAAAACCCGCGCCATTAAAACGTTTGCCTAGAGTAGAGTTACTCGAGCTGCCCAATGTTTGACCATAGCCAGGTAGATGAATTTGGCCGGTGCCGTCTTCATATTAGTAGATAGCAACGTCGTGAGCCTGGGAGGTTGCGTTTTTCAGATCCGTTAAAACAATCTGAGAGATCAGGGCTGGCTCATAATTACGTGTTTTGAGACCACTCTGATTGAATGAAACAATCTCCATGGAGCTGAAGGTCAAGCCATACTCTGCAAGTACTGAACTGAGTTGTGACTGTGAGTTACCATTCTCATTTAAGTCACGTCTTTTGACGGTACCGGCAACGTCGCTTAAGATTTGCGCGTTCTCTGAAACAACCGCAGCACCATTTGCGCCATATCTGCCCAGACCCCAAATTAAGGTGAAGCCTTATTGGATGATATTACATATCTCCTTACATGTCTCGGCTCTGTTCGATAATAAAGCGCATATTCTCTTTACAAGGCTTGTGGACCCATAGACAGCGACAATACTAAAATTCCAAGTAAATTAATCAGTATAGTGGTCTTAGAGTCGAGAAATCAGTGAAAAGTAACTCTAAAACATACAATCCAACGCTTTGAGTAGCAGCGACAGTCGAGGTAATAAGCATCTAACAAGATGGGGCTCGATTTTCCAGGCTTCTTAAGGCTAGACCAGCATCATAAGGACTAGTTGTGCTCATAGAAATTTCTGGGTTGGTAATTGGTGAGGTAAAGGCTATTGTCGCTCGTTACTGAGAACAGTGAGCTCCAACGAACCGCTACTCAACACCGTAGACAATCCACCGATCTGGTAGTGGATTCCTACTAGTTGAATATTGCAGTTGTTGTGAAGTCTGCTTTTTCATTGATGAAAGAACTAGCTACTTATAGTATATGGGTGCCCCTCTGCCCTGGACGAATGTCAACATTCGTCCGAGACAGAAGAGACGGTGAAGACGGGACATTACTGTCGCGAATGCACATCGCTCAAGGGTGTCGTTTGCGATGAATGCATATCGTTCAAGGATGCCGTGATATACTAATCTAGTTCCAGAGTCACTGTCTTGGCAGAAGCTTTTTCGGCCGAAATACTTTTTGTCTGTTGATGGCCTTGTTTCTCGGCTGTCGCAACAGCTATACTGCAAAAGGCAAAAAGGAAGGAAAAAAGGGTTATCAACTTCATTTTGTCTGTTTAAATTTGAAAGCAAATCTTTAGTTGTATAGGATGGTATTGGAAACTTGGAGCCAGGTATTTGGGATGTTCGAGAAGCAATATCCACGAGGAAAACACCACATATTTATACCTAGGTATTTGACTATGTTAAATAGGGAAAATAAAAGGGATTAGATGAAATCGGGTTGAGATGATATTTCCCGAAAACATCCCGAGGTCCGTTTACCGGGCGTGATCCGACCTGAGATCGATTTATGAACATATCCATGGATGGATGGATCTCATCATACCCGTGGATCATTCTTATACATATTTCGCACTAGCATCTTGTCCTCCAGGGCTGCTTCAAGTTCTGCTTTGGAATTCTGTGGAGAGAAACATTGAAGCTTCCACGTCACTGGCTAGTTCATCACCAGACCTCTTTAAATCTACAGATTTGAGAATTTTGAATACATATCTGTCGAGTGGTTTTGCAAGGCTTGCCTAGGTAGATATATGTATCCATAATACAAAGTTCGGAAACGAATTGCTGTTAGTAGCAGCTAGTGTTTAACGAGAACGTACATACATACATAGATTTAATAAACCGCGGAAGAAGTTCCATATCTATCTGACCGGATATTTTCCACCCAAGTATCACCCCGGGCCGGTAAATAGCTCGATAAACGGTGCGTACATACTTAGGGACTTACCTCTAACACTGCGCTGCGTTACATCAACAGGTATGAAATAACTTTGTTTCTTCTATATAGGGCATCGATCTAGGTCCCTTCCTTCGGCGCGGGCCAAACATTGTCGCTGCGGTAGCTCTAATGGCGTTGCGGAACTTTCGAATTATCGCTAGTGATATCAAGACTGCCCTCCATCATGGCTACTTCCAGGAATAGACATGGTCATTAGGTTGTGTTGGAACCAATGGAATCTGGTTTGCTGTAGTGAATGAACTCGGGAAGTGAATGAAACTAGTAGAATCGGGGCATACCCGATTCCATCGCGGGAACTTAGAATTAACACACATATTATCGCATAACTTATTACACGTATAACGTAGTAGTAATAGTGCATCGAGATCCCTGTGAACCGACAGGTTGGGTTGGCTTGAAATTTTCAACCCAAAAACTAGCTATGCCTTACCCAACCCATTTTCCATTCTTATAGATCATTGCCTAATTAGGTTTAGATCCGACAAGATGTGGCTTAAACTTTAAAAAATGGGTAAATGGGTTGGGTCAAGATTGAATATTTGAACCCATTTTTGGATTGGGTAAATTTCCTGACCCAATGACCATGTCTATCCAGGAATATATCCTCAGTAGTAAATTACACACACACACATACACATACACACACACACACACACACACACATACCTATCTCTGATTCGTTCAATTCAGTTATTGTCGAGTCCCCATCTATTCTGAAAGTTATCAGAGGTTGTCAAAGGCCCGATTCCATTTATAGTTAGTCTATTTTAGTCAGCATTGGAATCCCACAATGGGATTCCTCCATTCTACAATCTATACACATACACTCTTTGGTACGCATACTGCGTTCTCATTTGCCCACTAGAATCCACTATTCCTTGGTAGTCGACCTCCATTTGACAGAGGTCGTGGGTCACGTGCTACAATAGACCTGTCAAATGAGAATTTGACCGTCCAACCGTCATTGGTTGACGAAACTGGATTGTCTATGTACATCATCTACGATACGGATAGCTCCCCACTAGAGACCATGTTATATAAGCTCATGATTTAAGGGCGCTAAGTTGAGCGCCATCTTGGTTTATTTGACTAATAAATAGTTCAAGATATAAATTTATAAGAGACTTTTTCGTGGTTAGGGGAAGGGGGCGGGTGTACTTGAGATATAAAATATTTTTAATTGTATTCTTGAAAGTAACATGTAATTAATGTAAGGCTTGGTACACGTATAACTAACAGGATATCTTGGAAAAACTCCCAATATAGACTAGTGTTACTTGGCAGTGGGTCTAGAAAATCATTGAAAGAGTGTAGGTGGTTGCACCAGTTTCGGGACAGACTGTATCTTAGAGCATCCCAAGCTGTTTTTAATTTTTTTAATTTTTTTAATATTTTTGTTTATAGATGGTATCGTATGAAGGACTTGAGTTATATATTTTGGGATGTTTTATTGCAAGTTAATAGTTTGAAACACCATAATCACACAGAGGGAAATCGCGGTATAAAGATTGAATTACAACAAGCTCTCAAACTTGTCAAGTCCTTTCTTCTGCGATCCCGGCGGTTGAGATTGTGACTGGGCTGTAAATGCGCTTGGTGTAGTAAATGCACTTGGTATTGTGTTCATGCTGACCGGAGATCTCATGGTATTGCTGGCAGCCAAACCTCCGGGAGGAGGTGGAATCGAGAATGCAGAAAAGTTGGAGGTTTGTTGAGATGATGGTCTGGACATGGTGTTCATAGCTGAAATACTAGACAAAGAAGCCATAGATGATCCTTGCTTGTTTCCCTGAGGCTGGACATTCCAAATCGATGATGTCGGCTGTATGGGTTGCATAGATTGCATAGGCGTAGACTGCATATGTTGTGTTGGTTGCATGGGCTGTATGGGCTGCATAGGCTGCATTGGTTGCATTGGTTGCATGGTTGGGAATGACGGGGTCGGTGATGTTTGCCGGGTGGGTTGAAGAGATGGGAAGGAATTGAGCTTTTGGTCTGGTGTGATAGAACGGAAAGCAAGCTGGTTAGAGACTCCAGATTGCACTTCGCCATTATTCGCAGACCAGGAAAGCGCAGGGGACAAGTTTGGTCGTTTAGAGGTAGCAGATTCCGGCTCCATACCCCAGAGATCAGTATCATTGCCGCTTGATGGCCCACTGGTCTTCTTGCCAAGAACCAAACGTTCAAAGTTGTTTTTCCCATCGTCTGTACCCGGGGAATTGAGGTCCGTAGCGGAGTGTGAGAAAGTATTGCCACTGCGGAAACCACTAGAATCACCACTAGTGGAGAGTTCTTGCAATTTTCTTGCTTGTTCCTTTTCAATCTTGGCGGACAGTGATTTGATCAAGGCCATAAATTCATTGAACTGCTTGAGGTTCAAAAGAGGACCAAGACTGAAGCTCCAAAGGATTGGTAGCACTTCCAGGGCAACGAACTCTGTGTCTGCAATCTTACCAACTTGTCGAAACACCTTCAGTGCTGCCATCATGACCGAGGGTTCTTTTGTTTTGATAGCCTTGAGAGAAGGCATGAGCTTTTCTTGGATGGTGTATTTGTCCAAGATAGAAGTTTTCCCTTGTTTAGTAGGTTGCACAGTACCGGTGAAATCATCCAGTCCATCGGAATCATCTGCAGAACCCCCACAGAGCACGCTGAAAGCTTCCAAGCTGCGTACTTTGATGGCCAGGCTGCTGGTGCGACTGAAAGTGCTAGCAATGGGAGGAAAAACCTCGTTCTTGACGGTGGCAAAATCAAGAACAGGAAGAATCACAGGCAAACATTTGATAGCGGCATCCACCAAAGAATGTGTAGGCGAATCAAGTCCGAGCCGAATGAAAGGCATGATGTCTATAATCAGAATTAGCTACGCAATTGCTTACTTTGTTGTATAGAAGGAAAACTTACCATCCTTGAACTCCATTCCAGAGCAATTGGCTGCAATGAGCTTCATATTATCAAGCACTACCATAAGACCTGCGTCCTTCTTGGAGTCGCGTTCTTGCGATGATGGTTTGCTCGATGCGGTACCAAATACCTCCTTCAAAGGGGGCAGGATCCGCTCAGGGAACGTACGGCGTCCATTAGGAACCCGTTGAAGAATTCCAAACACATTTTGCAGTATCAAAGGCAAAAGCTCTCGATCTTTGATTTCATCAAGCAGGACACCCAATAACTTCCGTTCCAATACAGATTCAGGAAAATCAGGAAGAACTCTTTGTAGTCCGCGCATGAATTGGGACTTTTCACTAGGGGTTTTTGTTGGTAAGGACTCCAGAAACCGAATCGTCGATACGAGAACGTTATCGAAGTACTGAGATTCTTGGAATTCCCTAGCATTCATACGCTGGGCAGGTCTTCTCGTGATCAATCTGGGAAGGACATGGGATAGAACTTCGCGAGGGATGGGCTTGGAGCAAAGGAAATTGTTTCCTTGAGAAGGAGTTGTGGATGGAGTGCTAAGAAGCTTTTTGTAGGTCGATAGGTTACCATGTGCCTGCAGTGGGGAGGCATGCGGAGAGTTATAAAGAGCAACTATGAGCACACCCAACGAGAAGAGATCAGCGGCCGACGACACGTTTGAGTCTAAAGCAAAGTCTGGAGACGTGTAGTCCATATTTAGCTGAACAGATTTGGGAAGCCTTGGATCCTGGTAAAGAGCCTCGGAGACCGCCAACGTCGGGAGAGACGAGCGGGCCTCAGAAGAGTCAGGCGGCCCTGCAAACCCAAGCCCCGATATTTTCCAATCCGATTTGGCATTGATATAAATAGCATCTGGGTTCAAGTTGCCATGCACTAAGCCTGCAGACTCGTGAAGAAACTCGAGACCCTTTGCAACCTGTAGCAAACCCTTCTGGATCTCCAGTTCATCAATCTCCAAGTCCCGTTTTCCCCGAGTCCCATCGGCTTCATCTACCATCTGGCGGTTTGATGATCGCGATCTCGAGCTTTCTTTCTCGTTCTTCTCTAACAGTAACCCAGAAAGTGACGCAGTAAGGTGCTCCGTCACAAACATCAGACCTCCACCGCGAGTGTCCTCCACCGGCTCCAGCACTTGGAGGATGGAAGGGTGTCGCAACCGCGCCAGGTTGCTTGCTTCCCGCTTAAGACGCTCGAGCACATCATCTTGCAACTTTTTTGTAGAGGCACCGGCAGACCGGGCCCCAAATGAGCCTGATCGTGGCTCGAGAGTTTTGCGATCAAAGATAAAAACCGATGCAGCTGTTCCAGTAGACTTCTTTTTGGCATCGTGGATTTTCCAGGGCCCCGAGTATACGGTGGGGTTAGGAGAAATCTGATAGTTCGCGGATATATTGGAGCTGAATGACTTCAGCGCAGACGAAAACATGTTGAAGGTTATTGTTCGTAGAAAGAATAAGATAGATCGGGTGAAATAAGGGGACTATATTTTCGATTATTCAGAGAAACGTGGGGGCGCAACCACGATACATTGTTTTCGATGTTGTCGCAATTATTAACACAGACCCGGGGTTATAAAAAGTGACACAAATTCAATTGAATAATCAATCTGGCCTGAATTGAGTCTCGAAACTGGCGTTTCCACCCAAACGCGCGATAACAATGCTCCTATCGCGATCACGTGCTGTCCAGTAGCTCCATGTCAGGTGATTCCCCGCTCTCATGTTCGCTCGACTGGAAGTCGGCATGTGGGTCTCTGCATATTTGATGATTATGATTGGTTTTATAGCATGATCATAGCCTGACTCATCTTAGGGTGATAACTAAGCAACCACTATCTGCTTGTGTCGGAGTTGGTCTAAAGCTCCGCCGAAATATCGCGGAGTCATCCGAGCCCTTACAAACCGCTGGCCCACGTTTCTCTCCTTCACAATCTCTCTCTCTAGTGACTGATATTTTGACAGCCATGAATTCATTGCAGCAATTAATACGCCGCAAGGCCCTCTCTAGCCCGGCAATGCCTCGCTTGCAGTCGCAGACCATCGCATCGCGATTGTTGCAGAAGAGCTTCAGCGCTACTACCGCTGCTCAATTGGCCCAATTGGACGCTTCCAAGTTGACCGTGACTAAGACTCAGACCCCGAAGACTATCACTCCTCCTAAGGAGCTGGTTTTCGGAAAGACCTTCACCGGTAGGAAATCTTCGCCGGCCGATAGATCCCCGCGGTGACTGACAGAATTCTTCTATAGACCACATGCTCTCTATCGAATGGACAGCCAATGAAGGTTGGCACGCACCTAAGATCACTCCCTATCAAAACCTGAGTCTGGACCCCGCCACCTGCGTGTTCCACTATGCCTTTGAGTGTTTCGAGGGAATGAAGGCCTACAAGGATAAGAACGGAGGCACTCGGTTGTTCCGTCCGAACAAGAACATGGCGCGCTTGAACAAGTCATCTGCGCGTATTGCATTGCCCACTTTTGACGGCGAGGCCCTGACAAAATTGATTTCGGAACTTGTAAAGCTAGATGACCGATTCATTCCTGAGTCCGTAGCCCCTACTTTGTTTCAATTACATCGCAGTTATTCTGACAATGATATAGTGCCCGCGGCTACTCCCTCTACTTACGACCCACCATGATCGGTACCCAGAAGACTCTTGGCGTTGGTCCCCCAGGCTCCGCTCTTCTGTATGTCATTGCTAGCCCTGTGGGACCCTACTACCCCACTGGCTTCAAGGCTATCTCGCTGGAGGCCACCGACTACGCTGTTCGTGCCTGGCCCGGTGGTGTTGGTGACAAGAAGCTCGGTGCCAACTACGCCCCTTGCATTGTGCCCCAACTCGAGGCTGCCTCCCGTGGATTCCAGCAGAACCTGTGGCTCTTCGGCGAGGAGGAATTTGTTACCGAGGTCGGTACCATGAACCTTTTCATTGCTTTGAAGAATAAGGAAACAGGCGAGAAGGAGCTGATCACTGCTCCTCTCGATGGTACTATTCTGGAAGGTGTCACAAGAGACTCTGTTCTTGCCCTCGCCCGGGAGAGATTGGCCCCCCAGGGTTGGAAGATCTCGGAGCGCAAGATTCGTATGGCTGATGTGGCGAAGGCCTCTGAGGAAGGCCGTATGATCGAGGTCTTCGGTGCTGGCACTGCAGCCATCGTCAGCCCTGTGCGGACCATCAGCTACCGTGGTAAGCTGGTAGATTGTGGCTTGAAGGAGACCGAGGAAGCTGGTGAGATTGCTCTTCAGATGAAGAATTGGATGGAAAACATCCAGTATGGAGAGGAGGAGCATGCTTGGAGGTAAGTCCACTATCTATGGAGAAATGATACGACTGGTGCTAACTACTTGACAGTTACGTGACTTAAACTTGAATGATACATCTACGACGACAAACGTCATTTCATTTTTTGGCAGCCTACACTACTGGGAATTTTCTTATTGTTCTTAGATATTGTCGCGGTTCTTTGTTTGCCGGAGTTTTTCCAAGCATTGATACTCACAAGAATGTGAGGTTTTTTTTCATAAATTCTTACCACCAAAGAAAAAGAACTACCTACCAACGAGAATTCTAGAAATGTTCTATTACCGTGCATCAACCAGGGCGAATGATTCTTTGAAAACAAGATCCTAGGCAAGGATAAGATATACATTAGCTATCTCGTACATAGGTACAGTCTCCCTCTCTATCTAGGTATTAGCTATATACCCAGGTGGACATGAGGTCAAGTACTTTCACCTTCCACGGCTAACATGTATGACGAATTGCCATTTCAAGTTTTTATTCCAGATTTGAGGCCCTAGAAAATCTTAACTGCTTTGATCCTTGACAACCTCGGGTTTTTATACAGCGATCAAGGCGAGTTAGATGAGGCCAAGCCGATGATAATGCGGGCTCTAACCGGGAAAGAGAAAGCACTCGCTCCAGGCCATATGTAGGCATGCTCACAATAAACATCGCCAGTAACCTCGGAGTTCTATCTTGTTTTCAAGACAGGCTGTATGAGGCCGAACAGACGTTTATGCAGGTGCTAGCTTGTAATGAGAACGTGTGGGGACCGAGCCATTTATCAACCCTTCAAGCGGTTACTAACCTCGGACTTTTATACATTTTTCAAGACAAGATGGATCAGGCCGAACAGATGTTGATACGGGCACTAGCTTGGGAGAGAGAAAGTGTGGGAACCAACATTTCTCATTGTCAGCCGTCTTGGAAACACATAGCCTTTAAGGCAAGCTAGATAAGGCCGAGTAGATTCATATGCGGGTGCTAGCTGGGTATGAGAAGATGTTTAGAACTGTCCATCCATTAACACTTGGCGCTGTTGATAGCCTCGGGGACATCGGGGACACAATATCGTCGTGAGGGCAAGATGGATGAGGCCGAGCAAGTAGATATGCGAGTGAAAATAGGAGGATAGTTACTTCAGAGCTACTCCTAATAATGTCCATCTGGGCACGGGTATTGATTCTAGTCCGAAGGAAAAGGGAGACCAGCTAACCTCCAGCTACCTGAGGCAGCGTCTGAATTAGGTAAACATGTGATGCGTTTTCGTCACAAACGGATCCTCAGCTGAAGTCCTTTCCGACATGTGAATATTGAAGCCGAAGTGTTCCTGGAGTCTTCTTCAGCTGGGCTAGAAACACGGTGATCATGGGGTCATCCTTGGTCTTGTACTACCTGAGGGCTATTACGCAAGCATTAGCGATCTCTGATTAATCACCAGTGCAGATATCTAGCGTTGTCACTGTTGCAGCTGTCCTTTTCTCGTCCGCGTTTAGAATAGGACCAATTCACCGGAGAAGCAGCTACCGGGGATTTATTGGCAGTACAAGCAATTGGACCGCATCTATGTAGCGGCTGAAGTGAGGCTGATTCGAACCAGCTAGTAACGAGATCGGAAGAGCACTCGGGATATTCTAGATGATGCACAATTATGTGCTGTCTTCTATGCATTCTCCCAATTTGGCCGTGACTTCAGGCGACGTCATTAGGCAAGAGGGGAGCGTCGGGGATTTGTAATTTCAGATACCCAGGTGCATTATCCCCTCTTTGATGCCAAGTTATTCGCCCAAATATGGAGTGGAGATCAATGTCTGCTTCGGGCCACCGGGGTAGGCTATTTCAATGTCGTCTTGTCTGTGAATACGGAAAAGATCGCGCTGAATACGAGGGCAACACGAAGAGAATATTCCGAGGTCGCATTCTATCAGGAAGAACCAATCATATTGAATGACAGTCTGGATGTTTCCACAAATAATCAGCTGCATGCCTAAATACGGAAAGCTACAGCTATAGTTCCCGTGTCGAGTATGTGATGGCCAAGTATGGATATTCATATAGCGTTACCTAGGTGGGTAAATGAACGTTTTTAAAGTCCGACTTTAAAGAACAAACTTGGAAAGGAAAGCAAGAAAAAAGCAATTAGTGCCACGAAGTCTTCTCAGAACTATGAATTTAGCACGGATCCTATCCGTAGTCATCGTCAGACCCATATTCCAGACCTTGCACAAACACAGTGCTGACAGACTTCAGCCACCGGCTTTCACGGTTTCATCAGGGACCAGCTATAAATGGAGTCGAAATCTTTGAGCAAAGTACGGAATTAAGCACCCCTGTCAACCGCCTCGTATCGCACCCAAGATAGCTCGTGGTGCCGAACTTGAACTTAATCATAAACATAACAGGGTGCAGCCATCGGCGCATATGGGAGAGAGTGTTGCACGAAAAGCCGCGCAGCATGAGACTATACCATAGAAAGGCAGAGTAGGCGAGTTGCAGCACGTGTGGGCCACGTGGAAGGCTGAAGAGAAGGGCAAGATCTGTTTCAAATTGAGTCTGTACGCTGCTGGGTGACTTTATTATTTCTTTTTTTCTTCTGTTAGGCGTGGGGACACGACAGATGTTCTGCATAGGCTATCTTGGGGACGTCAGGCCCCTCGAGTTTAGACACGATCTTTCCAAGTTTATACCGTGGTAGGGAGCAGAGTATGATAGGTTGCTGAATTGGACTAGAGAGTTCGGCGTTTTCATACTTTCTTTATTTCATTCTTTTCTTTTTTTTTTTTTTGCCTTACCCATCTCTTCTGTCTTTCTTCAGTGTGCCACGAAAGTCTGTTTCTTCCTTCTGTTCTAGTTTGGTCTGGATAGACTCGGTCTAGAGTGATTCCCAGGAAGGGGGGCAAAACAGTGACAAACCATGTTCATCTTGCATTAGAAAAGAAACGCATTCAAGGGCTCGGACGTATAATAGTGAATAGAAGTTGGGGGGCCTTGTCCGACGAGGGCGATTGGAGGGAGAAGGGGGCGACACGTTTGACCTTCAAACCATGGTTTAATGGTATATGCCAGGACCATTTCCGCATCTCCCGCATCCGGGTTCGTAATTCGGTCTATTTCGCACTTTTTGTGTAACTTGAAGAGTTGGGTGAAGGATGAACGTCATGGTAAACTCGGAGATTGCCGCCAGGAATGTTCACTTGTGGATATGGATATTTGTTTGACGAGTGACACGGGCCAAAATAGAAGGGTCCAAATCAAGGACCTTAGACCCCCATAAATCTGCGTGTCATCAAGTCTCAAGTGTCTTTGACACTTGTTCATCCCAATGGGCTTGCAGCACACCGCCAGGTACATTTTTCTAGATGGTTACTAGAAGGACCAAACTGCAATCCCACCCAAGCATCCGGGGATCAACAAGGGACATCATTGGATATGATCCTTGTATGAGGGGTGACAGGTTCCGGGATCAACGTGCAGCACTTTGAATACGAGCCGGGGACGTGGGCTTCATGAGCGGTGTACGAGTATATGAGCAGTGAGCACGGTTCATTCTTGACGCAAAGAGGAAAACGGACTTGTCTCTTTCTGAGAGACTCAGCCCTATCAAAAATGTAAGATGTAATATCTATAAAATAAAAATAAAATGATTAAACTGAAATATTACCCATAGACTGGTAACGTATATGGTACATTGTTACCCCGTGGAGCCCCGTGTATGCGGATTGGTGGGCTCGTATACTACAAAGTATCAACTTGACGGTATTCGGGTAAGCACCTTGGTAGTTGTCATTGCATTAATAATCAGTATCTAGATATTCAGTTAATACTTTTGTAAAAAGAAAAAAAAAAAAAAAAAGAGAGATGTGTTACGCTACGTCTTAGTTCCAATATAGAATATCTAGTTAGAAGGAAGTTGATGATACCTCAGATCCAATCAAATACCTTCCTAGGGCCAGCCTTGTCAACATCAGGTATTATTAGGCGATAGGGAGTACTCTGTAGACAGAAGCCCCCACCTTTTCCCCCTCTTTTTTCTTCCTTTGTTTTTCTATCTATTTTTCCATTTTATTTTAATAAGTGGATCCTAATGACTCCATTATTTCCACTACTCCCTGTACAGCGCTGGAAATAACCATTTCAGAAATTAGCCCTCGTTTTGATCCACGATCAGCAACAACACACGGGTCAGATCTTTAACCCTAGTATGCCAAGAACCCATATAAAAAAGTACCAGAAATGCAAATACTTAGTCGGTAAATACTTTTAAAATATTATTAAAATTACGGAGTACTTCAATACCCAAATACCTAAATACTAAAACGTGGCCTCCTTCAGCTGCCCCACGTGAGTCAAAGGGAAAATAGACGAATGTTAGTGTAACCACTCTACTCTTTCCCGTTTCATCCCCCTGGAACAATCATGTCTCGGCCTAGTTGAACGAACGTTTGCTCGGTCCAGATTCAGGTCATTATCTTTACTATCTGGTCCCCAAGGTTAGGTATGCACTATAATGATCTATGATCTATACCTATGTAGACTGCAGTAGCTATTACTATTTCCGGAATACGAGATATCGACCCGGTCCAGCGGAATTTCATTATCCATGGGGCCAGAAAGATCAAGGACGTTGGAAACGGCAGAAAAGTTGCCCCGACCCATTCCCCATTCTTTACTTCAGCGTGATACGCCAAAACGTGGCCCAGATTGGTGGGTTGATGGTACTTGGGCCAAGTCCGAGGCTGAACAGGCCCGGATGGATCCTTGTCCCATAATTTAAATCATTTTATTTTTATTTTTATGCTAAATCCGCACATGGCAACTCCAGTTCTAAAGATGCACAGATAAAATTGACCCAAAAGAGGCAGAATGGGGGGCTTAGCATCTGCAAGGCCCGTAAATTGTAATTCCCAGCTGATCGACAATAGGAGCCCCATACCCCGACTGGACTATATAATTCAATCTTAAAGCCGCTTTCTTCCGCACTATAAGCACCTTCATACTTTCAGTCTTTAAATCTTTCTTTGATAAATTTGATACTTGATCTTTGATACATTGCACTATGCATCGCTCTTATGATGCCCGTTCGGGCTCTCGCTCTTCCAACCACAGCAATAGTAGCGCTTTCAGTGCCAACGCCAACCCAAATGAAGACTGGACCAAGATCTCAGACTTGGCTGAGCGTCGTCGCATCCAGAACCGGATCGCTCAGCGGAACTATCGTGAGTTTGGATAGTCGCCTTCCAAGCTTTACTTCTATTAACAACCATCATAGGCAAGAAGCTTAAGAGACGCCTGGAAGATCTAGAGCGCCGTGCTGCATCCTCTGCATCTCCCGAGCAATCACACGCAGAACCAGTCCTTCAAAAGCCCTCAAAGACTCGGCCCAAACAGCGCCTTTCCAAGTCAACAGAGACAAAGACACAACACTCGGAACATCCGTACGAATACTATACCACAGATGAACGATCCATGTTTGCCCAACAATCTACACGCCAGCTCTCCGCCTCGCCTTCACCGGTCTTCTCCTACCCACCACTCCAATCTACTGCATACGAGACCTACCGACCATCGTACAGTCAATTACCAGTCTACCACACTGTCCCGAGCACATACGGTGAAATGTCTTTCCCAGAATATGGCGAGACATTACCTGCAGTAGTGCCGATGATGACCTCGTCCATGGTCACTCCGCGAAAGTCAGCCTACGACGAAGATATCATCAGTCCTTTTAGCATGAGTTATGCCTCCATGGCAGGCATCGACATTTGTGCTCAGCCTTCATCTCATCCCGAGCCCGTCCTGCCGGTACATTATCACTCGGTCAAATGAGCTTCCGACCACGAACGCTAATGTCCTTCAGATGCCTTCGCTTTCTTACGGCTATGATCACCGTGGGCCATCGACTTCCCCGGGTGCCTCGATCTTCGCCTTTCCTATGACGCCCGAGTCTATCCCATGCTCTCCACGTGCTATGCCGGGGATCTATGACTATGATCTACGGCGGTGATCTGATTCCTGGAGTGATCCAAGGATTACCCTGTTATACCATTTTTTTTTCAATTGACCCAGCCTTATTTAATTGGCACCATGTGTAACGATCGAGCATAATGTGGCGTTTTCTGTTTTTTATCATTATTCCATTTGTTCCATTTCATTTGTTCTATTATTATTGTCTATTGAGTATGTCTGGACATGGATATGGATATGTGGGGAAATGGCGGTTTCGAAAGATTCTAGGACCAAGGTTCAATCTCAAACATAGTATAAGTATACTCAACCTAACCATGGATTTACAATCAACTAGAACAAACGAACAAACCCTGTTTCTAGCTCCATCGATTAATAATCCATTAAAGTTTCCAGCTTAGCGTGGCCCCCAAAACATATACAGAAGTAGTTGCGGTATTGCGGTAATTCCAGGCTATTCAGGCGTCCTACAGAGTTATGGCCCCCATACTAACCTAACCCCTTTAGGCAGCTCCATATCTCAAAAAGAGAAAAATACCGTTCCATCAAACACATCATTTTCAAAGGTATCCACTTCAACGATGAAACGATGAAACGCTACCCTTTCCCAGTTAGGGTTGGTATATAGAGTATAAGGTTGCCCTAGTTTTCTGTGGGGGCGCGGAGTCGAGAACTACTGTAAGAAAGACAAAAGAACATCAATAAGGAGATAAGAAATAAAAAGAAATACCCTGACTCATGTAACTATGGACTGTCTATGCCATGTGGCTTCTCTCTTCGTTTGCTACCAAACCCTCGGAATTTCTCTAATCGTTGAAGAGAAAATAACTAAGTACTCGGCCACAACCACTAAACCCGAACTGATTGGATTGGTTATTTCGGGAGATGACCTCATGATTAACCGCCTTTCCCCTTTCTCTGAATCCCGAAAGCTTGGAGAAGTACAAAGTATACACAAGAAAGAATGAGTAAATAGATATGCTTGTACTATTATCCCTCTCTGTTTCTGTAAATTCACTGTATGCACGTGACTTTTAGTTTTCATTTTCGGGCTCTTTTCAATATTGTTCTGCCCAATATCACGGGTTTCGGTGTGTTATTGCGGCTCTTCCGCAACCCCTTCGTAATGAAAATCTATCCAACCCCGTGGTCGGTGCGCCACCCGCAGACCAAGTGTTTTTCTTGAAAACTCGACTCCGCTAGTTTCGGCCGTAGAGAATTATGTAATTTTAGATTGAAATTGGAAGGGTGCCAGGTGGGCTGAAGGTAGATGCACCCAGGTAGGGGATATATCACAGTTCCAAACCGTTGGTATTGGGCTTGGTCTCGGTCTTTGTAGTCTGTGGCGCTTCATTGTCGTGTTCCCGTATAGGGTCATCTACGAGTCCTATTATGGAGAAGGGAGAGAAGAGAAGGACCTATGAATCAAGTTGGTCGAGTCCATTTTCCGTTTTAGGTTAGTTTCATTTGCCTAGCACATTCTCAATTAGGAAATATACTGGGATGTTATCAGTCACTGCGTTTCGGGCCCGGGGGTTTTCGATGATTCCCGAGGTCCGGAGTATAAAGAAATCCCTATTTCCCTGAATCCTAGATCAACGGCGTTCTGCAGTCCGCGACACTAGTCGAGATGTTTGGAATTGATGATTTCCAAAGCAAACAACTCAACGGCATAATCGGACTAACCTCGGACTGCGGGAAATGAAGGGTGGACCCGTCGCCGTAACCCTACGGCGATAAGGTTATGACAAGGACGACTCTTTTGGTAAATTTTACCGAATTTAGAATTCTCATTTACAGGGAGGAAATAGGGTGTCCTAATTTGGAATTTGGTCAATAGATCTTGTCTTTAACCTTGTTCTTACCACTAACACTGATACGTACTTATGTCTATGGCTATGGCTACATGTACTACGGAGCATCCCTTGGCACAAGGCTAATATCAATCAATAACCGCGCCGTTTCTGAGGTCTTCAGGGCTTTACCAAGGTTCACTTTCAGCCGCAATACCAAGAAACATTCCGAACGTAAAATGAAATATTTAAGTGGAGTGAGCACATCATACTCTGTAAAGTGGAGTGTTTTCTTTCCGTTCGCCTGATCTTTAGATCCTGTACCCACTTCAAGGTATTATGCTTGACTAATTCTGGTCCATGAACCACACGGAAAATACAGGAACGATGAATTATTAGGCCTCCACATTTCGACACACAGAACAGGTATAGTGCCTAAAACGAGGGTCCAAAATACGGATAAGATGAAAAAAGGTCCAGGTTAAAGGGGCCGAAACGTTGGAACCAATTCTAAGTCCTTCAAATCAGATAAAGCATACTTTAAGTTGCCCCACAACATCTTACTTACACAGTACCACATCAATGCAGGTATCTACTCAGGTATGACCTAGAGTGAAGAAAACAACGAAGATCATGGGGGCTAATCATTCAATAACCAACAGTGGGGAACAGCGGAGCCCGCTTCTGCTTTCTGGATCACGTTAGGTCAATTAAGCTGCGATATACTGTTGGGATCATGTTTACCTGGCCTTACTAATACCTATGTCATACGATCATAGGTTCACGATCGGCCTAACTGTCCTTAAAAGGGTACGAGCTTTGAGCTGAAAACAGTACCTACAGTAGCGCCAGTGCCCCGCCATCAAGTCAATAATAGAATCCTAGAATTTCAAATACCTAGTTCTTGTTCCATCATATATTTTTTTGACTTTTGTAGATCAAGGATTCTTATTCTAACTAATCGGGAAAGGTGCTGTCAACGGTAGGGCGTACTACGTAGATGGAGTACTTGGTGTAGAGTACTTTCTACTTTCTACTTTCTACTTTCTACTTTCTACTTTCTACTTTCTACCTTCTACTATCGGGTTACATTCTTTGTTTATGACAGGGTGCAGGGGAGGGGCGGTTAATTATCAATACATCAGCAATTATCATTCCCGAAAGAAGCCGAGAGGAAATTAGAAAAATCTCAAACATAAGGCTTGCCAACCTTGGAATGAAAACAATAATGTGTGATTCGGCCCTTTCCAATACGCGAGATATTCATGTATGCATACGAGAAAAGGCGCATACTATGTCTGAGGAAGACCTACAGCTACCTAGGCCTTGGGGCGGAGATCGGGATATGAGTAACTTCCTGGACGCCTGAGACAGCTGTATGCAGCTGTATGCATCTGGCATTAAAGGTATTAGCCCAGCTACAAAGACCCGCTTTAACCCATTATCAAACCCCCAAACAAGAGCCTTGGAAAACCCATTTTCGGAAAATATGGAACATGAATCCAGACCACACTCGTATGTAAATGTACAAACCCACTTGATCCTTCTGCAGGTGGTCAGTCACGATCAAAATGCCCAGGCTTCCAAGGTTCTTACCGAAAAAGGAGTTATCTTTGTTCCGAATAAGATTTTATTCAGACCCCAAGGTGGGCCGTAATGGGCTGGATCGTCGGTGTTATGCCGGTGTTCGGCCTTATACACAGTCCGAGTGTGCCTCGTCAATTCAGCCCTGGATCCCGAGGTAGGCGGTACTACGAACAATGAACATGTAGGCAGCCTTGATCGGCCTGATTCTTTGAATATTATACCAAGGGCTATGAATTATGAATAGATTTCAGTTTTGCTGAGGTGTTTTCTCCACTGTGCTAAGAGGCTGGATACGCGGGGCCATATTGAGCTATGTATTTTGAAAATAACAATATATGTCATCAAACGCAAAGACCCGAGAAGTCAGGATCTCATACTAAGTATCATTTCACGATAATTGCCTAAATATCTGGATACCTAGGTTCCTAAGTGGTATAATTATGGCCATAGATAAGAATAGCTGAGCCTTGTACAGGAATGGCCCGGGGAGTAGTCGATTATAATCATTGGCGTGTCGTAGGTCTGTGATATGGCGTTCCGAGATCTCCAGCTCGGCAGAAAGCTAGGTCCATTGGGATGGATCATTTCTTGATCTGGAGTTCTTGATTCCTTCAGGGGTGATAGATCTAGGAAAGGAAGAAAATCACGGAACAACGAGGAAACGGGATTCTTTGTTCTGAAGTATACACATTTCAAACAAGACCAGGTGGTGGATGACGTGGCAGATACAATCTATAGGGGATTCTGGTTGTCCACTCATGCTATAGTAACTATTGTATTGACAGCCAGGCGAACCTTACTCGTCATAGCCCATCTACAGAAACAGAAACACCTAGCTAGCTCCTAAGGTTTCATGTCTGCCTATTGAGCCTTATCAGTCTAGTATATGCGGCATTGCATAGGTACCTTTACCATATCTCCTTCCAAGATTTGCTAGTGCATTTCCTACCCTAGCTACAGCTACTTTTATGGGGAGCTTGGGGTCAAGCTTACCGGGTAAATTTTAGTCTGCACTTAGACTTGCTGAGTTGTTTAGTATAATCGCGTGGAGAACAGTCTTTGAATATTCAGGAAAGTACATGTTGATCTTAGAGGTTAAGCGAATAAAGGAGCATCCATGTTTGTTCAAGGATGTTAGTAGAAAGAAGAAACCAAATCAAGCGACTGCAGACTATTCCTTTTCCGGCTTCAACCTGGCACCGAGTGCGCCGGTATTTTTATTCTTTATTCCAAGGCCTGAAACACTAACTCTCATACGGATGTGCATATGAAACTCGTCGACATGGTCATGTCTTCTTCACCTGCTTTGTCAGATTTCCCTCGAACAATGAAGTCAGGGTTTTCGTGCTCCTCTTCCTGCTTGATGGTGGTATCTTCATAGGACCAAACAGCAAATATGTTCGTCAAAATTTATAGCTCTACCTCGATATCATGAGTCTCTGAGGCATTGGGGATATCGTCGATGCAATCACTCGTGAATTGCATTATTGGAAGACCAAATCACCTTGTGTCGCCTTTGTAGATTCAAGAACATATCCCGGACTAAGTCTTTTTTGCTAGAATGAAGATCAGTTGACAGGACCATTGATCCCTGGCATGACAGCTTCAATATATTCTTTCAAACTAGCATTTAGGAATGACCCTCCATTTTGACCCCGTATACATATGTCTATTATTATACGTGAATAGATAGTTATGTGCTTTGCCAGTAGCCTAGTTAACCGACATTTCTGAATCAAAGCCAGCGGATGAGGCAAATGAAATTGAGAGCGTTTTCTACCTAGCAGCAATCACAATAACCCCTTACAGTATCACGCGTGTGCGCGCCTGATCAACAATGAGCTTAACAACATGAACATGATCTGAGCAACCACACCCTTAGAGTATGAGGATAGGTTCAATGGTATACGTACCATCTTAGCAACCACATCAAGAAACAATGAATACTATTTGCTCCGAACCCAAGGAAGATTTAAAGTTTGCTTCGTAGGTTAGGTTTTGTTATGTATATACTTCTTCGGATCCAAGTATGAAGTGAGGTTGAAGTGGAAGTAAATTGAAATGTGCGTTCCACTTTTGAGGGGAAGACATGTCGGAATTTGACACATAAGAAGTGGAACTGCATTATATGATGAACTTCGTGACACTCGTTAACTTCCTGGATAAAGACTTCATTAGCACATTCAAGCTCCAGAGGTTGTGGTGGTGTGCTGGTCTACAAGTATCAGACAAAACCTTGGCAGCCTTACTGGATTGTCTCATGCTTGTGAAGGCAGTATTGGGCTCATCACTGAAGAAGGTGATTGTTTCCCAGGTACCCAGGTAGATTGCTAGATGTATATATGATCATAATGTGCCAGTAGTATGGCGATTGATCAATAACGAAGGTTTGAGTCTATCCAAAAATTGAAATTGTGAGGATATTGGTTCTTGCCCAAGAAATGAATCATCAGTATACTAAAATTGAAAAGTTATACCTCTCCATTCAGTCCACTCATGAGGATCATAGGAGATGCTATCAAACAGAAATGCAGAGGTCCTGATGAATTGCGATCGAACCTTGGAAACCTCTTCTGCGGCTTGATGCCTTCTCAGATAGTCTGGGCAGATACAGCTTTCGGGAAGATCTGCCTGAAGCTCATCAAGGGTAGGCATGGTTCGGATTCATATTCTCTTGTCGTTATTGCGATGTTTATCAACATTTGAAGTCAGATATCTAGCTATGAGGCACAGAAAATGAAGTGATTTCTTCGCATTCATTAAAACCGTGATAGCATTTTGCAGGTTACTGAGAGATCTCCGATATATACCATATAACACATCTTTGTTGAAACGTTGAATGATATTACGTCGTTTGCTGTTAAGTGACCAAATGCATTCCGACCCCATGCACGCACACCGCTGGCGCATGTTAAAGTAAAGTCATCGAAGGTTGCTGGGACTCCTCGTCCTTGAATTGAGACGTGTACTGGGAATCTCTCATTCTTTCAACTGCCTCGGTCAGAGAATTGACCTTATTCAACTTTGTGAATGGCTTTGTGGTAGTATCTGCAGTGTTTGAGAAACTCTTTGTGTCCATTATAGTAGTATGTCGTGTTAACATAGCTTTGTTCATTTGGGCTCGTGCCATAGTATCTAAGGTGTACTGTTATTGAACGAGTCCATCAAATTCATTCTGCAATATCGACACTAGGTACTACCTAGATAGCGCTTCGATCAATTGAGGCCCAATGGTCAATCCTCCCTAGGTCCAATGAAGCAAACCAGTGCCTAGATAGCTATCACCTGATACCCACCTGGGCCACTCCAGGACTTACAGAATGGATGGAAAGGCACTCCTAGTCAGATCAGGCCACTAAGAGCCGTTCTCAAGCTAATTTTCGTAGCGGGCGCTATCTAGGTAAGTGATAAAACTAAAAAGGCAAAGGAGATCCGGTACGGAGTACATAGGGACCTATCCTTGCCCAATTATTGCCAGCTGCATGCAAAATTTCCATCAAGACCTCTAAGGTTAGCTGGCACCACTCATTTTAGAGCATACTTTCAGGAATTCCCCTTGTTTTCTTACATGACCCGCGGAATACTCGATTTTCATCATGTGCGGAGAACTCCGGTCGTGAATGTAGATGTCCAGGTGTAGATTAGAATGCCTAGATTGTGGTAACATCTTGGCTATCACTTGGAACGACGTCTGTGTTCAAGTACAGCAGAATCCCTGTCCAGGGTCTACAGATAGGAGGTAATGCTGTCAACTGATATTATCTTGAATGGTACACACTGAAAAAAAATAGTCCGGTGATGCTTTGAAAGGAGGACACTGCAAACATAGAACTTTCCTCTACATCTCAACATTGTCGAATTATGAGGAATAACTATTCCAAGATACATTGATTCTCAAGGATCGCACTTATTGGACTGAAATTTGAGCCGTGTCAATATGACAGTGGCTATTTGAGATGCACGCGCGTCAGAAGCCAACAGCACTGGCAATTAACTGACAACCCAAAAACTAAAATTAACACCACATTCAAAAGCACAGAAGAACAGATAATGAGCGCAAGCCCATCGCCATACATTAGATTCCTAGCACATCTCCCATTCTTGGTCGGCAATGGGCATTTTTCGACCGTAGCTGGATTCGTAGATGTGACATTTCTACTTCGATAGACAAGCTTCTCTTAATGCTCAGCTCATCAATTTCTGAATTTCTGATCCCATAGAAAGGCCTCGATCGATGGACGCTCAGCTCATCTTCTCATCAGAAAGCCCGGCTCGTCGACGCCGACGCATAGGGGCTTTCTTGCGGTTGGCGATAGCTGCCTCCTGAGTCTGTCCAAATCTCATCTCCGTGTCCTTGTTTTGGTCCCCTGCTAGAAAGTTAATATCGTGCCTTTTAAGAAAGGGAAATGATCTACACATGCCTGCTTCATCACCCTCGTCTTCATCATCATCAAAGGGAACCTGGCGGTTGAGGGTCTCGTCTAGCTCATTTACATTCCTCGGCTTCATTCGCAGCCACTTCATGCGCGGACCAACCCGCGACACCTCAGAAACCTTGAAGCCATAGATTTTCGGATCATAGATGTGTCCGCGTCCGAGTCCTGGACAGAAGTTCGACGTACGCATGCCGTTGATTTCAAGAGGCTGATCCTCCAGAGCAGAGGAATCATTGCCTGTCTGGGGATTGGAAGTACGGGAGGATAGTTGCGCAGAACGGGATGCGTGATCAAGTCGGGGTCCAATATCAAAATCGGGGAATGTCATGAAGAACAGACATCCAAAGGTCGTGCCGAAGAATGCACCGTCTACAGAGTGAAATCGGCTGTTGGGGGGAGTGTAGATGTCCTGGCACCCAGGACAGAAGAGCTTGACTGTCTCGTGGCCAGGTGTATCGGAGCGACCCACGGGTAGAACCTTGCATCCATGGCACTTGACTCGCGGACAAACTCCAAAGTGTTGCATTTCGTACTTCTCCAACATTTGCTGAATACCCGGTCGCGAGGTGATGTAGCGCTGGTGAATGAGACCATAAAGCAGCTCTGCTGAGCTCTCGATGGCACTCAGATCGCTGGCCACGCGGGCGTTTCGGCGGTCGCCAGATCGTCGGTAGTTGAGAGGATCTTCGTTAGCCTCATCCTCATCTTCATCTTCATCTTCTTCCTCCTCTTCTTCATCTTCGTCCTCCTCCGGCTCCACGTCGAGAATCATCTCTAGTGCCTCTTTGTACATGGGCACCTGGCCCATCAGACCGGTCAGATTGAAGTCATCCTCGATAAAATCCTCCGATACCTCCGCAAAGAATTCATGGCCCACCAAAGAGCAGAATGATGAGATCCATGACTCCGGGGCACCCTCTGAAGACGACATATCAAATGAAGCAGACACGGATGATGAGAGTGTTGATTCTGACAGTTGACTCAAATCCAGCCTGTTCAGGCCGTCGGCCAACGCCGAACCTGTCTCCCTCGACACGTTGCCGAGATTATGTGTAAAGAGCTTGGGAAGAGATCGCGACGCAGTGACGCAGTCACGCGGATCTTAGGCGATTAGAGGTGGCGGCTGCGGGGAGGGGCAGTGGAATGGGCTCGATGAAAAGTCGGCACAATCGAGCTTATCGACCACCACGTGACCGAAACTGGTTGATTTGATTGAGAAGCGCGCCGGTTTGCCTTTGTGCTGAATTGAAGAATGGAGTAAGGCGATGTGCGGTGCGGGAGGGGAGGTTGTGCGATCCAAATCGAAAAGGGCGTCCAGGTATCGCAACCTGACTCCACTTTAGGCAATATTAGTGTCGTCCTCAATTACAAACAAATATATGTAAGAGATATGATATGAACCTACCGATATTGAAATTAAGCTCAGAAACTGCTCATCAGTGAAGTTGACACCACGTCAAGGTGGTGCTGGTCGAGGTTATGAGGCCCACGCTAGGTTCGGTTCCCTGGGTGGGGCGGTGGGATACCGCACGGATGTCAAGTGCGATTCCAGTCGAGTGACAGCAACGGTTAGATTTGCATGATCAGTCGAGATGAAAGCTTGATGGGACAGAAAGATGAACTCGGAAAGGAAGAGTGAACGTGGGATGGTGCTAGTCACGTGGCGAGACGACAGATAACCACAATTCTCGTCTGTCACATGTAGTATGATGTGCATCATTGTGAAGATTGCTCATTACCTGTAACTATGACTACTGGCTACATTTATGAGCATTTGAAGGGGCTAGATTATATGATGTATTTCGTAACTCGTTGGCACTGCTCATCTTAGAACATATTTCGTATTATACGGGAAAACTCCTCCTCGCCGCCCAAGATCCCTGATAAGCCTTCACCAGTGTTCTGTATCTCTCCATCGATAAAACCATTTATGCCATCAGTGCCACTGGGCGTCAAGTTACCAAATGAACCAACTGCTTCGAACAAATTTGTCAACTCATGGCTCATCTGGAGCCCGTTCAGTGGACTATTTCCAAGTTCAATTCCTTCATTCATCGACCCGTACATAGAAAGGTCATCGATGGAGTGTCCTGCGAGACCTGCCATCGCCACAGCGGCAGTTGAATGAGGGTCATTGGAATCGGTGCCAGATTGTCTCGTTAATACACCCAATTTCTCCCCAGTCTTACGGAGACCCTTTATGGTCTTCCACAGTCGTTTGGAAACGTACGACTTGGTACTAAATCCATTAATCAAGTCCAGCGCCATGTAAAACTCGTCGCGTACTTGCCTGTTGTAATCAGTCGGCGCATGGCATACTGCCAGGAAGAGCACACCCAGAGCTGTGACGAGGAAGTGGTTGAAGAGAATTTGTTGGGTGCGGTAAATGTCAGACATCTGGTTCAGACGAGTCAGGACTCTCACTGTGTCCTTGGCAATATCTACCACTGTCTGAGCCTGACTTTGTTGTTCGACAATTTTCGTAGCAGAATGCAGAACGGGACGATAGATCAGAGTTCGCAAATGGTTCATGCGCAGATACAGCAGAACTCTAAGACGCTTCATTCCTCGACTTACGGTGTCTCCATTTATCAGGGTCTCCACGGAGAAAAACTTCAGCTCGTGCGGAATCTGTTTATACCACTGCAGAATCTGATAATCCAAATAGCCATTTTCGTCCTGTCGGATGTCGGTTGTACCTTCAGAGCCAAGTCCAGAATACCAAATTTTCGAGCTTATCCGATTATACGAAATCATACAACGTAGATAGAGTAAAGAATCATCCTGATGTCTGGATCAGCTAGGTGATATTTCAAGCTGTGATATTTGGTCGACTTACTAGTTCGGGTAGGTTTGGATCAATATCTTCATCCTGTAGAACGAAGGGCAAGCCAGAGCCCAAGGCACATCGCCTCTCTAGGCTGTAAACAGCCCAGAAAATCCGAGAAATTTCTTTCCATTGGCTTTCGTTCGGGAATAGCTTGACAAGAGCATCTCGTCGGTGAAGTCCGAGTTCCAGGCACATCCGTGCAGCTAAGCCAATCAATCTGTACGCCATCACGTCATCATCGATATGATAATGATACGTAGCCTAGTTGCGATATAATGAGCAAAGTTCTCCATCGGGGATATCCAAATGTTAACATACCACAGCGGCAAACAGCTGAACGTTTCTGAGGCTCTGTGACTCCCACAGCTTGGATTCGATCACAGGCTTGACCGATGAAAATAATCGGTCACCAAGTTTACTCTGACCACCTCCCTCCACGACCAGAGTAGTGGCAAGAATTAGTTTCAAAAGAACTGAACTGTCATCATTGAGGCTGTCAGCGCCAGGAAGAGTATTCTGCGCAAACCCAGTTCGCGTAGCAGCTTCCATAAATGTATACAGGAGGTTAGCCTGGCTAGCGACAGCCGTGATGTCCACAATCGGATACATAATTCCAATCTCTTCCTCATAGACCTTACACAGACGAAAGGCTTCTTCCCGTCGAATAGTCCAAATCGGATCCTTGGTTGGATGTGTTTGGATCGAATGACTGAGGAAGCTAATAGGAGGTGAACCAGAGGGTGTAACATTAGCAGTCGTTAAGTCATCTGGCATGCCGTACTCTGGATGGTGGATACCCATAATTTGTAGACTGGACTTGGCGACATCAAAGTTGAAGGCAGAGCTTGTTGGGCCGTGGAAGGGTGGATGACGAGCTCGTGCCTTCGGCATGGAGGGAAAACTCGATTGCGCACCATCACGAGATAGATCAAAGGCTGGAGACTCAAAGGCGGGTTTCTGGGTCCTCAAATCATTGAGACTGTTAAAAAGATTGTTGACTTGGTCCTGCAGAGTTGTGATCTGAGAATTCATCGAACGGAACTCTCTAATTCAATGGTTAGACTTGACAAAAGAACAATCGGACTCAATTGAGTAACTTACTCTGAATCTTTGAAGTTGTTATTACAGCAATTTGGCGCATATCGGCCTACATGTGGTATTAGCATAGAATATTCCTAGCATCATGCAGCTATTACAACGCAGGTGGGATACTGCGACATGATAGGCTGTCATAGAGATTCGAGAGTTCTCCTTACATTCTAGATTGAGATGTCCGCATCGCTGGCATGGAACCTGGCCATTGCACTTGATTTTGCGACGTTTGCATTCATTGCTAAACAAAGGTCCGTCAACGCTGTACAATAATTCCGCGGCAACAATGGAAAAGGGAAAAGCCGAATGGCATGATGCAGCAGAGGACGCCGCATTCTGCCAACATCCGCCCCTGGATACCGAAGCGTATAAGGCTAGACTAGACGCTCATGCCTTCACATACCATGCGATGGAGATGTAGCGATTCCGCTTCGCGCGCGTGTGTTCCGTTACTCTGTTCCGCTCTCCTCTTTGCCGTCTCAGTAGCCGGAGTACCGTTCAGATCACTGGGGCTGGCCTGTGGTGGTGTAGTCTCCACCTGGGGTGATTCCGAAGCCATGCCACACGTAGAACTGGAAGCTCAGAGACTGGTGTTCGGGAGTTACAATGCCGATAGAGTGCGGAGACATTCCTCGTGGGGGTTGAGATTCCCCGGATCTGAGGCTGACTCATCATATTATGGTAATATCATTGGCGGGTAGCAGTTATCAACTCCATATCTATAACATCGTTAGCAAACATAGTAGACCCCGGAATGTATAGTCTAAAAGATATCTGGCAGAATGTAAAACTGGATCTCTGAGGTACAATGATGCTTATGAAGTTACAGTAAATTGACGAGAATTCCGTCGAGCTTTGAACTAGCCTCATGCATTAACAACTTACAAGCGTTATTTTAAAGGAAGATATCTCATAATCACAATGTAAATTTGAAGAATTATATATGAAACACGACTTGTGTTTCAATTTTCAGTTTCTCTGTCTCCCAGCCCATGAAAGCGTCTTCGTTGGCCAAAGCACCATGATGATTAGGCACATACCATGCACCTTTATAGAGTAGACTCGCTCAGAGAAGAAGATAATTTATAGAATGTGGCCTTTGTAAGAATGCTGATTTCACGCGCGGGAACAACGAGCAGTATGTTTTCCAGTTTTCATATTTACCTGTCTGATACACACCAAAGCTTGGAAATAAATTCTTTATGGCTCTTTAACCCCACATGCGCTACAAAATATTATTGTTAGGTACACTAAATATCTTAGTGAATTCAAAATGGTAAGTAGTACTCCAAATGTCTGATCATCGAATGAATCAGATAATCACCAATTGAGTACTCGTCCTTGAGGGCGTCTCATCTTAAAATTTCCGAACATAGTTGAACTTCAACACCGGATATTGAGATGTTAAGACTGCAAAAAGATACCCATGAGAAATGAAACTTTGGCAGTGGAGCTAAGTCTGGAGATCTAAAAACGGGTCTCAAAGTTTTCTCCAACATAAGCATGCTTAAGCCAAGATTCCAGCATTTCCGGAAGGTTCATTGGCTTTTAGGATAGCTTATAATATCACCTAGAATACAGGCTCTAAGTTAAATTTTACCAGCAAATACCTCACAGAGCTCTGAATGAGAAAAATGTTGCGCATAGTAGAAATAACTAAATTGAAGGAAAGGGAAAAGATGCCCTAAACAAATATTGACCGGCGGCAAGGAATTTGAATGAAGGATAAGATTACTTGAAGGAAGGTGTATGCAAAACTCGAAGATATCTAAACACTCCTAAAAAATATCCTTAAAGGACTATCTTTTTGATGTTTCGAGCATTATGTGCCATGTACTTTTTTGGGCGTCATTTCAATATGACTCGAGTCCAAAATGTCGCTCACTCTTCCATCCATAGCAAGTTTTGGTATTGCACTGGCCAGGTGCTATTCAGACTCGGTCAAATATGTGATAAGTGTACCAAATAAATCGTAAGGCTCATAGTTTCAGTGGGCCAAGTCAGGTTGGAATATTCCAATCCGCATAACCTTTCCTCAAGACCCAAGCCCCATAATGAGATCTAAAATTACAATTGATATCTCAGAGCCCAAGAGTTAGAGAAATAGCGAGGGCTTGAGGAACATCGCGACAGATGGAGAAATTCAACATCACTAATTCTTCGTATCAAACAGATATCACCGTCATTGGAACTAGATATCAATAGATTAACTGATGAACCTTTTCACAATGAAATCTTTTCCAGCCTGCAGAGTCTGCAAAATCTGGTCTCGGTGCTGTAAATTTCCCCGTAGCCATATAAGGCCCACCAGAATACCAATGACGCTTGAGATGCGAACAGCTGTGTTAACTCGCCGTAAAGTGCGACCCTTCCGAGTCAATTTTGCAGTCCAATGCCGCCAAACTGGGAATTTGCACCAGTACCAGTAGTGGATTTGGCTCCATCTAGAATTTCAGTCAGCATCTTCAGTTCAACCGAGGTATTGGCCTGTGTCAGCGGGTACTTACGGGTAGGTAGAAGAGTTCCAGCCGCCTGAGGTGATGTACCAGCTTGTACAACTACCACGACCGAAGACCGTATCTTGCAACTTATCCTGTACTCGCTGCGTCCACGTCAGCTGAGCATCCTCCCTAATTTCGTATGTGTTGACGTGGCCTTCCAAAATAGGCTTGATAAAATTCAGGGAGTAGTTGATCGCGTTTTCAGTTGTGAAAATCACACTGGTATGGCCGGTAGCGGTGTTTGGCCCGAAGAGCATGAAGAAGTTTGGGAATTGATCCATCGCAATGCCAAGATAGGCCTGCGCACCTCCGCGTTCTTCCCAGATATCATCCATGGCCCTATTGCCTCTCCCATATACTTTGATTGGGTGAAGGTACTGGTTTGTTGCAAAGCCATTGCCTAGGACGATCACATCTGCCGGAATTTCCTTCCTTTTAATGACAGAGTCTTCTTTACCAGGAGGGTAATAGCATCCAGGTCCCATAGCAACGCTTCTCGCAAAAATATGCGTCAACGGGCTTGTAGTCAACTCAACGTTTGGCTCGTTCAGGCTCCGGTACCAGGTACTATCGATGATACGTCGCTTGCATCCGAGGGGATAATTTGGCGTGAGGATTTCGTGGTATTCCTTTGGAGCAACCTGGCGCATATGATCCAGGAATTTCTTTTCCAACATCGGTCTCCGCAATGCGGCATAAGCAGTCTTGGGAAAGATAGCAAAATAAATCTCCTCGGACAGGAAGAATGAAGTTCTTCGAAGCAAGCTTAATAAACCGGGGACGTTCGTCATTAATGTCGGCATCCACCTCTTCCACCAGTCAACCTGACCAGGCGTCATCAAATCTGGCTGGACCCAAGGGGGAGTACGCATAAATTGCGTAACAGACCGAGCGTTGAACTCAGGTTTAACCAGCTCAGGAACGACTTGTGCCGCACTGCAGCCGGATCCAAGTACGATGACATCCTTATTGTTGAAATCTATGTTTGGGTTCCACCGTGCTGTATGGACGATTTCTCCTTGGAAGTCCTCGATACCAGGAATATCTTTCGGCCATGTCCTTGGCTCCACTAATGAACCGACGCCGCTGACAACAACCTTGGCGCGTACCTTCTCGGTTGTGATATACACACTGTGTGAGCCTTCTTTGGCAGCGAGCTGATCTCGCTCGTATTGGGATAGATCACCAGTTCCTGGAACAAGGTGGGCCAAGATGATTTCCCACTCCTCATCCTCTTCGATCCACCGAATCTGTCGAATGTCTGTGTGAAACTGGATCTTGTCCATGATTCCATAGTGTTCGCAGACATCTGAGATATACAGCGCAATCTCCGAGCCTGGTGGATGTATAGTTGACCAATTCTTCTTTGGCGCAAATGAGAATGAGTAGAAGAGGGCCGGACTATGTTGGCTCTGCGTTAGTTATCAGCGCCAATTTGAAGAACAATGCCAGACCCACATATCACAAGCAACACCAGGGTAGCGATTGATCCACCAAGTGCCGCCGACTCCAGACTGTCTCTCAAAGATTCGAAATTGATCAGTGCCAAGGACTTCTTTCAGACGACAGCCCATGGCAACCCCTGATTCTCCAGCGCCGATAATGAGCACGGGGTAGAAGGTATAGACATCCTTGCTGTAGACATTACGCCTATGGATTGTTGCAACTGAAGGCATCTTCAAGGTTAATACAAAATTTCCATCCAGATGTTGAACTGTATGACCAAAAAATCCCGTGAGCTCCCAATTTTTAATATAGTTATGTATTATCCAAGTAGGAACGCTTTATGTAGGACAATGTACGAGCCCAGTTATAAATCTACCACTCAGCACTCTTTCAAAGATGAGTAACCTCGGGAGGGGGTACTCTTTTCCGGTTTCTATATGCAAGACGATGAGGGGAAAGCCTCACAACCTCGGCTGAAACGTGTACTTTATATGCTCGGTGTGACGGTGTCTGACCAAAATTTACAGCTCAGCTGTCTTTGTGGCGAATCATCTCCAATTTTTTTAAAAGTGCCGATTATGCAGATGTAAACTTTGTACTTAGGTAGTCAGCAACAGGGGCAACCGCATTATGAGGTCGGTCGTAATTTTCTTGTTTTATAAAACATGAATTATATAGTATGTTGAGCTTCATATAACGATTGGTGCTAGAGGACACAAGCCGCTCACCGAGCCAAAAAGACTACTTTAATCTTCCAACGGGAAGACAAGTTAGAGAACAACCTATATAGATACACGTGATATACTTCCAATTTAGGTTATCACTTTGCGACCCATAGAGCACACCAGTATTGCCAAATTGAAAAATTTACACTGGTATTGCCAATTCCACCTATTATTTACACTCACACCACATCTGTTCAAAATAACGTATATCTCTCTTCATCGCTGATAATAATGAAGAATGCTCTTTCTCCTCAACCATCTCCTCTTGTGGTGGTGGCTTATTACCATATCTTCTTCTATAGTCTTTTACCAACTTCTTCTGTTTTGCCACCTCTTCTTGAGCTTTCCTAGCCATAATTGAATGATCTGCATCAAGTTTAGGTGACACACCATCCTTAAGTTGTCGTTTAGTCTTTGAGCGACGGAGTGGTGCTAGTGCAACCCTAATATCATTAATTGTATCTTTGTATTTCGAACCTCTTCATTGCATAGTTATTGGTGATAATGACAAAGACGTGTAAGACCCCGTTATAATTTAGGTGTAAGAAGATCTTTATGCTAAAGTAGCTTCTCTTGGCTCTTCTGAAGCATTTTCATGATTTTCGGAGTATGTTCAACACTAGAGGAGGATGGTGGTGGGGATGGTGTCGACTCTTCAGAACCACTTTCAGTAATAATAATATCTGATATCGCATCCCACTGGTTAGGGAACTTATACAAGATCTTACTACTATCCACAGGATATATACCACGCTCTTTAAAAGAGTCTCGAATGATCCGGGGGTTAAAGGTCTTCTCCCGTACAAGATGAATTACCCTTGAAAACTCAGCCTTCGTTATAGGCTTGCCAGCCCAATAAGAGATATCATTATTAAGCCTTCGAAAATGTTGTTTATAGCTTAGAAATGGCATCCCATCAAGTGGCTGGCAAAGATGTGTCAAATGTGGTAAGAAACCAAAGGCTATAATCTTATGATCTTCACACTTTTGTAGGAATTCAAGTGTCAGATGCGAGTCATGACGATCGAATATGAGGACACGCTTCTCATCTATAGAGAGTTAGTAAAATAAGAGATATAAAGAGTAAGAGAAGAAGTATACCTTTTTTCAGACGATCAGGTGTTCCAGTGGCCTTAATAAAGGCATCTAGCCAATCCAAGGCTAGCTCATCAGATACCCAACCATTTTCTGACTTTGCAGTCATAAAATTAGGTGGTAAATCTGGTTCAAACCAGTCTTCCATGAACACACTGCCTTTGAAAATAAAGAGTGGATCCATAACCCAACCATCGGCTGAAATACACTCAACAGCAGTCATATTTTCACCTCGTTTAGTCTTAGGAAGACCAAAACAGCTCTGGTTTTTACCTTCACCAAGTCGAAAACCACACTCATCAAAGTTATAAACTAGCCGCGCAGGCACACCTCGAAGAACATTTTCAAGTGAGTCATACCAATGATGTAGTCTAGCTACATCTTCAGCTGTAATCCACTTCGATTCCCTGGTTTTTTGGCGTCGAGGAGCTAGATTTATCTCCTCAGGAAGACGCTTCATAAAGGAATAGACCCAATTTTTACCAATAAAACGATCTCCTCTAAGCAAGTGATTTGCCCATGCTTCAACTAGCTTTGGTGTTGGAGGTACGCCGCAATTATTTGACTGGACAATCCAGCGTACCAAAGCTTCTTCCTGGACGTCGTTTAAAGCTTTATTAACTGGTTTTCGTTGAGATCTCGCAGTCGTGCCTTTTTTGACGCGGTTGGTCAGTGTCTGTCGATTGACACCATGATCACGCGCAATTTTAGAAAAATTTGGTTTTTTGACACGTTTAGCAGCTTCGCAGGCCTTTAAAAGGCGGGATTCGGTGGATTCATCGGTTTGAGCCATGGCGGGTAGAAGATATTGGGTAAAATAGTATGGTATGTGGAATAGCAACTTACGCCTGGAATTAGGAAAATTGCAAGTTGCGGGCGCACGGATAGTCGGGTTCGGTTGAGCTTTCACCGCTATAACGTGATGGCTGGATTTCAGTTTTCTGCCGGGTTCACTAATTCAACTTCCCTCTAAAATGTGCGCTAGAATGTCACTTGAAAATAGAAAGCAAAGTTCTTCTCTGTCAAGCGGTGGCGCGGGGGCAAACCTGTCCTTTTGGTTCCTTATTCAGAGATGCCTATGCGTGAAAAGCTCAGGTATAAATTGAGACTATATCCCCTTTTCACCAAGACGTATCCGCAGGAGAAGAACGGGAACCCATCTGGTTTCCAGTCCTGAAGGTTCAGATATATCGCGCGTTCGTTGAGATAGCTAGAATCGTGTTAGCTTGTCCAAGTGACTTGGAATCATCCCAGCAGTTAACGATTACTTCTTCTCCATGACATATTCCTTCGAAAATGACCTTTGTATTATCGACCCGTTTGCTGCCATCACCTTCACCTTGAAAAAAATCCTTTTCTGTTCGCCACTGAAGAATTTTTGTTACGGTGACGGAGTCTGTCGCAATGCCTTTCTCACCACAAAAGATCGTCACGTTACTAGTTGGGGCGGAGTAAGGCAGAGCGAGAGTAGAAGTGGAAGAGAAGCCACGACTTGAGGCAGTGTTATCTATGCGAAACCCTGAGAGGCGTGTCGATACTGACATGGGTGCGAATAAAAGCTGTTTATGGACTAGACGTGAACAAGTGCCATCTTAATGGTAGATAATAATTCTGAACATACCTGTTCCGCCCGAAAATCAGGAGCTTCCACATATTTGTTGGCATAACTTGCCATACGTGCCATACCCATAACACACTCCCTGACAGAGGGTCTAGCGTAATCACCTGCTGCACTTCGAAGGAATGTCTCACTGATAGAGAACTGAGTATCTCTATCCCGTCTGATAAAAGCCGTGGCGTTGTATGTTGATAGTATACCATATTAGACATTGCAATCGCGCATTTGGGAGACGAGCTGGGCTATGTATATGTTAATGTTGCGACAGCCGAGAAACAAGGCCATCAACAGACGGAAAGTATTTCGGCCGAAAAGCTTCTGCCAGGACAGTAACTCTGGAACTAGATTAGTATATCACGGCATCCTTGAACGATATGCATTCATCGCAAACGACACCCTTGAGCGATGTGCATTCGCGACAGTAATGTCCCGTCTTCACCGTCTCTTCTGTCTCGGACGAATGTTGACATTCGTCCAGGACAGAGGGGCACCCATATACTATAAGTAGCTAGTTCTTTCATCAATGAAGAAAGTAGATTTCACAACAACTGCAATATTCAACTAGTAGGAATTCACGACACTTGGTGGATTGTCTACGGTGTTGAGTAGCAGTTTGTTGGAGCTCACAATGTTTACTATTCTCAGTACGATATTCGAATATCGCCCTTTCGAGCGACAGTTAATATGATTCATTTGATGATTTGTTTCATGAAACGTCCCGTCAGCCCGAGCTCGCTCCCAACGGCATAATGATCAGTGGTATAGTCAAATTTGACAGGTAAACCGGGGTCAGCGGATTGAAGCACACGACGGATATCAGATGTGAAGCTGCTACAGTCACTGAAAACTTGTTGATTGAGTCTTTGCCTAGTATCAGATGCGTTTAGAGTACCCAGCTTTAGTTTCAGTTAGGCAAGCGCCGGGCAAACGACCGACGGGCCGGTTCTGTATCTGCATTTGAAAATGCCACCATCAGCCATGGGATACTTGATAGCTAAGATGCTTGATAGCTAGTGACGAAGGGAAGAGATGAGCTGGGTCTACCACTGGTGCCTGAGGCACAGATAAAGAATGACTCGGATCTGACGCGATCTGAATTCACAATCGATCGAGTGATTATAGGCCAGTTCAGCGGTCTATGTATATGGTTTTTTCAAGTCTCCACTTTGTTAAGCCCGGAAATCGGCCAAAATGTATTGTGTAGACACTAGTGAAACACTGATACGGAAGGGGAACGTCAAGAAGTGGCAGAAGAAATCCGGTACGTAGTAACAACTATTCCCTTTACGAAAAAACCAAGTCCACGCCAACAAAACATGGGATAAAAAATTTCAATAGCATTGAGGTAGATCATAGCAGACAAAAATCAGTGGGTTTCTCTTGTATTCACACTCAGGGGGATGGAAAACCAGTAAGAGAAAACTATCCCCAGAGGCACCCATAATGAGCAATCAGTCGTCTAGATAGAAAGCTCTTTAAGACTTGACTCCAGCGCGCTTTGAAGTTCAAGGACTTTAGTACGTCGACGAATAGTTTCTGGTGTCTCGGCAGCCAACTGTAAAAGTTCCTCATCACTGTAACCACTCACAGTTGTCGGGTCAAAAACATTTACCAAGGTTTTGAGGATATGCCTTTCAACAACCTGGCGGCAAATATTGTCAACAAAAGATTTCCTTGCAACCTGATTTTCTATGTCAGTGATAGTCAGTATTCCTCCCGGACGGATAGTGACTTACTTTGTAATAGGCGTTCAGATCAATCAATGCTTCTGAGCAGGCTCGATCAACCATATTGATCTTCACACGGTCTTGAAGGACCGAACAAATCTTTGCTTCGTTAATTGGGAATCAAACCCGAGGTTCTCATGTCGAGTTACTGCATCAACTGAATTCTTCATATCCCTCTTTGCGCTGTCTTGTCGCTCTCTTTGGACGTTGTCGGTGTAGTAATGATTGTAGGTGATTGGGTGGCCCTGTTCATCCTGCAAAAGTTTCGCGAGTTCTTGGTACGCATTTTTAACGTTCCCCTGTAGAGTGCTCATTATTCTCTTCCACAGGTTGCTGCGGACTTCAGAGTCCTTCACCACCGACTTCAACACAGACTTCACAAATTGCGTCACTAAATCCACGATTGATTGAACGTGACGTCGAGATATATCATGCCAGCGAGATGATTGACTAAGGAACAATCTCTGTAACAGGGAATGGTTGTAGTTCCCAGATAATTCTTGACCTCTCGACTCATGATACATCTATTATAATTAGCATCGCTCTCGGGTGTGACCTCGGTATCATACCTCTTTTACCCATCTTGACATTTGCAATGCTGTCACGAAAATCTGTTCATTCTCGCTGTTGTCTTTGAATCTCACTTGTTCCTCAGGTTCCTCTTCAGATATTTCAGATGGTGCATCATCATCAGCAACAAATTTTCTCAATTGACCGTGCTTTGCCATGTATTGAGCAAAACTCTCGTTTTTTCTATGAACAGCGGCACGAAGGCGACAGTTTGTCTCTGTGAAGAAGTCCCCCTGATGCCCACCGTAGTTTCCTTCCACGCCATATGTGATGAGGTTACGAATTTCCATGCTTATCTGAATCAGAAACACGCGAATCTGACTTGAGGTTGACCTTTCAGTACCAAGATCAAAAGTCTCGTCAACGGCACCCTTTAGAACACGTCGAATGTCTTTCAAAACTTCAGGAAGACATTGCTCAATGTGCCGACTTAGCAGGTCTTCCAAGAATGATCGAAGATTGTCGATTCCAATCCTCGATTGATCAAGGTTTTGTGCCTTCCAGGGCGCTCTAGAGAAGAATTTAAACTCTGCCTGGCGTCGCTCCTGGAATGTCATTCCATTCGCCAAGTCGTCCGGGGAAGGATTCTTCAGCAGAAAAAACCCAAGCTTAAACTTGGTACGATCCAGATTCTTTGCCAATCGTGCGACTCGTTGCTCGGTATTCTTGTTGATGAGATCGGGCTTGGTGATGACTCCAATCGTTCGCGTACCATCTTTGTCGAAATGCCGTGCTCGTTGAATAATAGGCTGAGTCTCCGCATCACTACTTGCTGGTATGACAGCGAGTATTATGGTGCGTGGGCTCTCCAGATAGCGATCTACCAGCTCTCGCACGAATTCAACATCTTTATCATTCTCCGAAACCGATATCAATCCGGGGAGATCAACCAGAGTCAAATGAAGGTTTATGTTTCCAACCAACTCTAGCCTGAGAACATCCGAGGCGAAAGAAGGAGCATCGACATCGTCACTGAAGCCGCGAATACCCATCAAACGGGATGCATCTTGAATGATGCTTGGCAGCTCACTGAAGTCTACAAACTCATGTTGAAAGGCGGCAAACCGATCTTTTCCTTGACTGAGCGTGATGCGCTTGGGAGAACGCTAGCCGTCATCATGTTTATCTGAATATCGTGACGAAGGATGATCTCAGTAGGAAACCGTGTGCATAAACCATCTTGTCGAGGAAAAGGGTACCCACTGATGCCTTCGAGAACTGAGCTTTTGCCTGCGGATTGATCACCACATACTACGAGCTGTGGCAGTGAAATATGATCGCCAATCCCTAATTGGCGAACATGGTCAATTTGATTCAGCCGTTTTGAGGTTTTGGCAGACTGGAAGTGGGAGTCACTGGAACTTAGCCCATCTTCCCCGATCTGAGATGATGACTTGTCCATAGGTAGAGAAATAAACTATTTGTGAATTGTTTGAAAAGTATGATGGGTAGTACAGCAGTTGAATAGCTCTTGAGCTCGTAATATATAATGATGAGGCGGAGCGATGCTATTGAAGTTTTTCAGATCTGTCAAACAAAAGCCCAACAGTCATAGCAACAAAACACGGTTATATGATGAAGAATCAATCGTAATTGTAGACCTGTCTGACTACAGCTGTCGGTAAAGAAGGTTTGACAGTGTTGGAATATTGGACAAACGACACATCACGAATCCCTGTTCAGAGTGCATCACAAACGACAACCTTGAACAGTATGCATATAACTGTGATGTCCCGTCTTTACCGACTATTCTGTCTTAGACGATGGAACACATTCGTCTCAGACAGAAGAGCGACTTGTGAGATAAATAGCTAATCCTCACCATGAATGAAAAACCAGACTTTACAACCACTTCAAAGGACACACAGATATCATAGGGGCGTAAAGCGTTACCTGTGATAGGTGTCAGAAGTGGGCGTTAGCCTATCGAATAGCTATTCCACACTTGGTACAGGTGTACCGACAGACAGCAAATGCCAAGGTTAACTAGGTAAATTCCTTGTCCGAGTATGAGTATTGCTAGGATTATGGGTTTACAGGCAACCTAGGTACACCTCGCAACTTCAAACCTTGAAAGGTCGACTTATCATTTCTATCCTTCCACAAATATGATACCTAGATGGATATACCTTTGTACATAGAACTTAACCCAGATAATTACCTCTAATCAACAATCTCTGCCCGCGATCGTTTGCCATCTGTAGTTTCCATTCGCTAAACTACGTGATCGTGAGGTCCAGGAATTCACCTCATAATGTGGGAGCATTGACAGGTCCAATTTCCGCCAAAAACTTCTCCTAACTCACTCAGCTAGTCATCCCCGTCACCATTTAAAAGTATCCTATGACGAGAGATCTCGACTAAGCCAAAAAAGAAAATTGGTCCGAAGTAGTAGGTGACGAAATCTTCACATAAAAGATGTACAAAGTAGATAAAAAAAATAAACCAATCTTCAAACAAGATATATCTGGAAATAAATAAGCTGAGTGAATTATCGAGGACGACATGAACACTTAAGGAGTTACTTTAGAAAAGAAACAAGAGGTCTAGTGAAGTGAGACGAGAGTTAAAGAGAAAGAAGTCAAATGCACGAAGAGTGCGAAATGTTTTGGCTGATGATGCTGAACTGAGAAAAGAAGCGATGAAAGTCAGGTGGAATCAACACAAGAAGAACCGATCCAGGGATCACTCCAGTGTTCGAATTCAGAATAGGGGCTTATCAATTCACAATCTCTCAAGAAGAGCCCTTTCTACAAGCCCAACATATACGTGGTTTTCTTCGATTCTAACACCTGAAACAGGAGCGGAAGGCGTAGTACTGGAAATTTGGAACCTTCCAACATTTTAACGTTCGTAGTAAAGCAAAGAGAAATTAGAGGATGGAGTAACTTCATATTCAAAAAATGGTTCACGAAATCAACCGATTATGGGGCCGGTTACTAGTAAAACGATTCGTCCACTCATTATCTTTAAAGGCAAAGACCTACAGACTCCATGGTTTTAAACCGACATCCTAGACTAGTTTTATACTACAGCAGAGAATGGCTAAACATCAAACTCAACTAGTATTGAATGGCTAAAGACAATTTTTTTGCCTGAAACAGCTACACTCGATCAGCATCAATTACTGATTCTCCACGGCCATGATAGCTATATCAGTATCGATTTCTTATGGATTTATAAGCAAAACAACATCGAATTAGTGTTTTACCTGCTTATAGTAGCCATGTTCTATAGCCACTTGACCTAGGCACATTTTCGTCTATTAAGGCCAAGAGACCTAATACATGGTTAAGAGCAATAGTATCATTAGAAGTAGAGCAGAAAAGGTAAAGGGAATTTTGCACCTACTAATAATATGGAAAACTGCAGAGGTCCTCGAACTGAGAATCCCAGAAAATCGGAAAAGGGGAGATTTGAAACCAAAAGAATGGTCTCGGGGTCGGTTTAAGTGAGCTAATAAGTTTCCAGCATGACGGTGGAATCAAGATGGAGCGTGGTCGATGTTGAGAAAATCCTTGTCATGGGTGTGGGCGGAGACCTTGCCGGGCTAAAGTGATTCGAATGATGTCTCGCAGGTCGTTGAAGTCGAGGGGAAAGAGATCCCTGGAATTTCGGGTTGGGAACACCAGACCTGATCCAAAAAGCTCGGCACGGGTAACGTAAATAGGTGGGTGGCTCTTGTTGAATTGGAAAAATGTTTCGCTCCTCATCGCAGTTGGGAATTCCCGCCGCATTTAGTCTCCAGACTTCTAAACGAATGGCAATCCCGGGGTTGCGACAAAAGAACTTCACTAGTATCACGAGCTGTGCTGTAGGGGACGCTCCGATGAGAATCCTTCGGGCATTTTCTTTGAGACTTTTATAGCTCTGGCTAAAACCGATCTCGACAACGATACTTGGGAGTGGCGATTTTCCCGGGGAGGTAGAGGGAGCTCGTTTTGAGATCAATAGGGCATCAGGTTCCTTCTTTTGGCCCTAATATGGAGGATTCACAAAATCGATCTGTGGACTTGCGTATATCATAAAATCGCGGCGCTCAGCGGCATTATAAAGGCCCATCTCACTATTCCATATCCGATCACAAATCACCAGCCAAGGAATAATCACTTCGTGCGCCCATTTTGGCATCTTGATTTCAAGAATGCCTTGCTCGGGCAAAAAGGTTTTGCGGATTTTTGGGTACTGGGAACCTAGCAGGTTCCAACGGGAATTGCCTAATTTCAATGTGACGTCTGTCAACACGATGAACTCCTCAATCTCAAGGTTTTCGGTTTGTGCGAGAAGCTCCAGCGCTTTTTTGGCGGAGCGGACATTTTTCAACGAAATAGATTTGTCTGGATTCTCGGAGTTCTCATGATCCTGGCTTTCTGGGTTATTAATGGGGTCTTCGTGTTTCTCTGGGTGCTTGGAAGGACTAGGTGGTTTATTTTCCTTTGGACTTGAGCTTTCTGGGGGTCCAGAACTTGGGGAATCGGAATTTGAAGGACTCATGATGGAAAGTTTAAAAAAGAGAGGATTTACAGATAGGCAAGATGGTAATTCAAAAATTGGAAAGTGCAGGAGTTTTGGAAAGTGTAGGAAGAGCAGTACTGATCTGCCGGACGCTAATCCATATACGTTTAGCGTTCCAAGCATATCGACATTAAGGAACCTGGAGCAGGGCCGATGAGTTAGTAGGGCCCTAAATGGGAAACCTTTCTTTTCCTTACACATTTGGGTTCAATTACACAGATTCCACTCTTGTGGCATGAAGTGCAAATCCACTGCTGGACTTGAAGCTTGGCTCTTTAGCAGCAGCGGAGGAAAATGCGATTTGTTCCGCCAATCTACAGTAACTACAAAAAAAACCCGAACTACCTATACGAGGGTTATAAGAAGATCGAAATGTCCTCGTCGAAAATTCTCCTGGCTTCCTTGTCAACCAAGCTACCTCAATCATTTACTTTTGTACCTACCACAGTAAATCAATACTCTGTTTCTCTTTTTTCTCTTATTTTTATATAGAAAGTAGTCAATTCGAGCATGGCTCATTGGGTCTGGTTTTGAAGTGTAACTTGCTGATATTAGCTCTTTTCTAGGGTACTACTTACTCCGATCCAAGATGGTATCTATTTTATCATAAGTATAGAAATTCGCACTCCGGCCACCAATATCGATTACGGAGTAGGGTATACTATTTTTAATGAACTATTCGTGCTTTATGGTGTCTCTTTAAGGAGAGCAGATTATCTGAAGCAAAAATACCTGACGCTTATGATAATGGGAAGTTATGGTAGCTATGTCCCACCATCATAGGTATATTGGCTGCGCCAATTCAGGAATTAAGACCTTCTTATCTGTCTAGTACTAGGTTCGTTATTAGGAAGAGCTTCAATTATGTAAATATCAAGTTGAGCATATTAGGCTTGCGCAAGAACCACTCCGCCGCCCAAAAATTAAACGACAGGTTAAGGGGCCGCTGCTTCAGGATACTGGTATATTAAGTGTACGTGATGCAAATCGCACAATTATAACCAGGACTCCATTCTGAAGATATCAGCTTGGTATTGCTTCTTTAGCGTGAAAACTAATATCAAAATAGCCTACGGGTCTGCTCTTTTCGCTGCGTTCCCCTCATGCTGCATAAGGAAGAGACTACGGTTTAAAGCTCACAGGTTCTTTTTTGACTGCCGGACCGGAGGCTTGTCAGGATGCTCCCACTATCTTCGAGTAACTTTGGCCTATGCAGACTATAGCAACAATCACCACGCAAGAATATGTGATATGAGTTTTACGAGAATGGGTTGCTTACGCACTGGAATGACAATCCAAAAGGCGTTGAGCAAGACAAAGTAGCCCCAATAGTAGTGAGCCTCCGGGCGAGAATAAGACAACCCATGGTATAACTCTTCCATTATACTTGTCGCATAATACAAGACATCACCGTAGAACTGGCCCATAAAGATAATCATTTGTGCAGGATGACGGTATGGAGACTCCGCAACTATCATCTATGCGATGACATAGCAAAGAGGTCCCCACGCAAACTGCACAAAGCTTTAGTATGGCTAGATATGGATGAGATGACCAGGCTTACGGCTGTATCCGCCTCCATGCAAAGTACAAAGGGCTTCACGGTCATGTATCGAGAACCGGACTTCGCATACTCCTTCCACATCTGACCTAGAAGATCAAGTCTACGTGGCATAGTCTTGTGGTTATACACAAAGTACCCTCCAGAATCAGGTGTATATACCCACCTATTAAAGTACCATGGTTCATATATTTTTGTGCTATAGGGTTTTGTCTATGTAAAAGATTTCTTACAATATTTATAAATACCCATGGTTTCCTACTTTTTGCAAAGCGAAGGGTGGACTTCAATTATTTACGACTCCATATATAATGGACGGTAATAGGGTCGCAAACGAGAGTCTCCGGACAAAAACAAGCCATTTTTGCAGGTACCAAGCAGATGCATTATACAGACTTGTGTGACGGTAATTTTGACTTCAGACAAGAAAAATACCGTGCCATTGTCTCGAATAGATTACCCCGAGTCTTGACTGTCTTTTTTGTTGATCCGTTGTGAGGTTCCAAGTACTTTTCAGCCAATTCTTTCCTGACTAGGCGACGTTCCTTCATCTGGGCATACAAACATCTCTTGATAGTCTAGTGTGGAGAAGAAAATCCTTTTTACCCTTTTACTGTAGAAGATGATTTTACAGGCAGATATGGGAACCCAGATTTGCTAAACGTAAGTTATGATGAAAGGTATATGATTTCAATTTATACCCAAGCTTTTACGCACAGGCATCTCTAGACAAGGTTAACGTGAAATATATATTTGGTGGAGCCACTATCTGGTAGAAACTGTGCCTTCTATTTTCAAGGAGAGAGGGTGGAATTAGAGGATGAAGTAACTTCAAAAATACAGGTATGATTAGGGCCATCAGAAGTGATTCACAAAATCAACCGATTGTGGGGCTGAATGCTACTTTAAGTATAGACTGTGGACTGAGTACTTAATCTAAGCAATGAGTATGGGGAGATCGGGTAGGGCTGGAGGCTTGAACTCAAACCCCGTTTCCTCCAAACCTCAGGCTTCCATTCAGGCTTCTTCTCAACTCCGCATGAATGAACTCCCGGTCATTCTCCACTCTCATCGTAAGAGGTCCATCCTCGATCAGCCGAACAGGATATCTGCGACTCTTCTCCGCGTCAGCAGCCCGTCCATACAGCCCCCTCGAACCCATTCACGACGATCGCGTCGAGACTTTCCGCCAGCAATGTTTTCTCCCAGAACAACCCGCCATACTCCCACGCTCCAAGTTTCGTGACCTGCCTGCACTGAAGCATTGGTTTCAGGGCAATGATCTCTCGACAGAGAACAAGACCTCCGCGGCGCGCTTGAATATCGAATATTTACAAGCGCACGGCGCGGACGCGTTTGTTCCACTAGAACTCACAGAGCTGGCCAACCAGAACTCAAGTAATACGAATGTAGTAGGCTTTCGGCAATTCAATGCGCCGATGTCACTCTTCCTTGAATGGATGCGCGTGGCAGAGACATCTCCACAGTCGACGCGACTCTACCTCGCGCAATGTCAGCTTCTAGACCTCCCTCCAGTTCTGCGCGAGGACTTCCCGACTCCAGATATTGTTGCACAGGCTGGTAAAGGCGATGTTTATGATACGAACGTGTGGATTGGCCATCCGCCCACATACACTCCGCTCCATCGTGATCCTAACCCGAACCTCTTCGTACAGCTCGCCGGCCAGAAGGTGGTTAGGCTATTAGCACCGACGGAAGGGCAGGCTCTTTTTTCAAAGGTGCGGCAGCAATTGGGAAAAAGTGGCAGTCGAGAGGCTGCTGCTTTTAGAGGAGAGGAAATGATGCAAGGTCAAGAACGCATTCTGTTGGATGAGATGGTGTGGGGTGCAACTGCTTCAGGGACTGGATACGAAGCTCATCTAGAGGCTGGTGATGGTTTGTTCATTCCCAAAGGATGGTGGCATAGTATTAAAGGAGTTGGAGAAGGGGTCACTGGTTCAGTAAGTGGAATTGAATTCTCATTCTCCAAACCCCAAAATCACTAATTGGTTTGATCTAGGTTAATTGGTGGTTTCGCTAATTATAGTATACTCCGCCAACAACCTTGTAAGATAAAATAATGTACAAAAGTCAGTCTTCTGGATACAATTTCAATTTTCTTACTATTTGATATTCAGATGTTATTTGCTTGTAGGTTATTATAGTTGCGGCGAGTCTCGCGGGTTCCAGAATCATCTGCTCCACCATCATTTTCATCTCCACCGCCGCCACCGTAACTTCCTCTCCAATACTGATAATTCCAGCATGCAGTTGTCGCGTACAGCCTACCGCATCGCCCTCCTTCAACTAAGTGTATCTCCGATATTTGCTCGAGCTCCAATCCCAAGCGCATCGCTCCTAAACACGTCACACCAACTCCAAACTCCCTACTCGCGACTCTACACCGTCCTCTTTCCACAGTGCGCCCCTATATCCCGACCACTCGAGTCAACTCGTCAAGCGCACACAATGTCCACAGGCCCAGAGAAAAAAGAGCCCAGCGATTCTCGCCCGCAAGAGGAAACCAACACACAAGCAAAGGAGCAGCTTGCTCTCCCGTCCACCGAGGACTCGTCAACCGCCCAACGTCTCGATCTTAGTGCTGAAGGTGGATCAACTATCTCCTTTGATCATTTAGGTCCTATGGTTGTCAATGTGGATGGCACGTTGGCCAGAATCGGGAATTGGGACCAGATGACTGAGATCGAGCGCAAGAATACAGTGCGCATCCTGGGGAAGCGCAACAAGCAGCGCTTAGATGCTCTGAAGTCTGCCGAGGCTGCTCAAGCGGGCAAAGAGGATAAATAATGGACTTATGCATTTGCTTTGGCCTTGCATATTGGTGTTATATAATCTTTCCATAAAATAACTATTACGAGGACTTGTCACAGGCATCTGGGCAGGTACTTTCTTTTCAACCTTTGATAGTGGGACTTATACTTGATTTGAGAATGTATAAAAATGATACAGGAACACTCAGAGTCGAATAATGGAACACGCAAATAGGATGCAAGGTAGAGGATAAGCCGCAAGGTTTTGTCCATTCCAATCATTATGCCTTCATATATAGGTAGGACGATTCATTTGGTATGGTCGTGTTCCGCGTCTTTAGAGTTGGTGATGCTTGAGCTATCATTGGATGATCTTCGTTGAGACGGTTTGTCGTCTTGTCCTAGCCAGGTAGGAGGGAAAAAAGCTGTCGTTATCCTCAAAATATAGATGATAGACCATGTCGGCTTCGACATGGTCATGCACAGATTCTTCATGGCCCTGGAGATTTGTCGGGTGGAATGGAGGATGCGACTTAGCGTATGGAGAAGACATGTTGAGATATTAGACTCGAAGATATAAGGCAGCCTGTAGAGGTTGAAGGTTGAGTGGCACTGGATCCCTAGATAGCAGGCCTCGGGATGTTAATAAACACAATTTGACGTCATCAACTTCAGAACAGTAGATCTAGAAGCGTAGTTAAAGTGTTATGTCTACAGATGATAGATTATACAATATCAGTACTAGAGAGTTAGTCAATTCTAAAATGGACTTGGTAAATCTCAAAGCCGAGTTTATAAGCGCCGATAACCCCGCCTGCCCCACACTATTGATCACAGCTAAATCCTCCTGAATATCTTCACTTTCACACATATCACACAATGGCCTCGGAACAAAAGCGCGAGCGCTTCGCGCCAAAAGTGCCAGTACAGCTAGATCCCCCAAAAGACGACCTGATCTCCCTAGAGGAATTGGCCAAAAGCGACGGTAACCACTCCCCCGCACTCCGATTTCTGATCGTTTCCGCAACAGCTTGAACTTATGCGTCGCATACCCATAGGATCCGATCCCAATCGCCCAACTCTACTCGCTATCAAGGGAGTTGTCTTTGACGTGACCCGGAACCCTGCCTACTCAGCCACTGGTCAATATCGCGGTGAGATTTTGTTGGACCTCGGTTATGCGACAAACAGGTTACTGATGTGAGATTTTGTTCTAGTCTTTGCTGGTAGGGACCCTTCGCGTGCTCTTGCACTTTCCTCCCTTAAGCCAGAAGACTGTGTGCCTGAGTGGTCTGATTTGGAGGACAAGGAGAAGCAAGTGCTGCATGATTGGTTTACTTTCTTCAGCAAGCGGTACAATATTGTTGGCAAGGTTGAGGGGGCTACGAACACTTAGATACCTTCCATGACGCTTTCAACGTTATGGGAGATACTTTCTAGGGTTGAGGGTTGGTTTGAGATATCAAACTAGACTCTTGCCAATTGCAAATGCTTTTATTTCGGTCCTGGTATGTATCTGGACTCATTAGATACAAGATAGAAAGGGTTCAAAGGTTATAGAATTCGCCGCCTCTACGATAACAAAAAATACTGAATCAATTTTACGCCTTGCCCTTGCGGCCTCTTCGCTGCATCCGCTTCTTTGCAATGATGCGATTGCGTTTGGCAACCTTGTTCTCTTCGTCGTCCTCCTCATCAGCCCCGGCATTTTTGATGCCATTGCCCTTGCCTTGATCACGTTTTCTTTTCTTGCCCTTATTGTCCTTGTCCACGGGCTGTTCCTTCGCCTTCTTCTCCCTATTCTCCTTGGCCTCGGCCTTCTCTCTGATCTCTTTTTGCTCCTTGTTCTCGAGACGCTTGTTTTGAATCTCGCTGCGGCGTTTGACAACCTGTGCGTTTTCAATGGCAAACTCGACAACCAGGCGCTTTCTCTTCTCTTTCTCTTCTGTTTGGGCGCTCACGGGGATATCGATAGAGTGGCAGTTGAGCCAGCGGAGACCCATCAGTGCGTGGCGGTGGGTGTAGTATTCAATGAATCCGTAACCACGGCTTCGGCCACCACCTCCCTTCTCTGGTACCTTGGTACCTTCACGGGTTTCATAGACAACGGTAGCCTGTCGCACAATACCCTTCTCTTTCCTTTTACGCAGCTGTTCCATCTGCTGCATCTCCTCCGAAGACCGGGATGACTCCTCCTTCGAGATAGGTTGTCGTACACCACCCTTGACTTCAGTGGCAAATTGCACAACAGCTTGTCGTGCAAGTTGCTTCAGGTCTTTGGAGGTGATGTGACGGGGGATGTTGCGAATTGCCAGACGAGTAAGACTAAGGTGGAGGGCCGGGTTATTCTTGATAAACTTCTGTCGTTGCTTATAGCTTTCCTCGCGCATCTTGATCTCCGAGGGCGACAACTTCTGGTACAACGGCGAATTCGAGGGAATTGTACCTTCGGATAGAAGGTAGAGGCGACGCTTATCCTTATCACGCACCAAACGACGTGAAGCGCCTTCGTCTTCCAGTTTTACGGCATCGTTCTTGTTGACAGCGCGGGTGACTTGTACCACTCGACCATCGAGCGTGTATTTTCCGCTGACATCGTCATTCTCATTCTGAAGGACTGAGTGCTTAGCGGCTGGGTTGGAACGTTCTTTCGCGACTGGCATCTGATTTGGGTTATTTGTGGGAGCGCCACGCACGCACGCCGCGGCATCTTCAGGCTTCCAGAAGCAAACGAATCCGGTACCGCGAGGTCTTTCAGTCTCGCGGTCAACCACAATGCGCGCATATCGAAGAGGTCCAAATTGCTTGAAGTGGTCGTAGAGTGCTTCGTCGTCGCAAGAAAAGGGCAAGTTGCGGAGGAAGATGGTGGAACCGTATCTCTCGTCTTCTTTCTCTTCCTCTTCCTCTTCCTCGTCATCATCTTCCTCCTGATCCTCTAGCTCCTCAAGATCTTCCATATCCTCATCTTCGTCTCCCTCGGAGTCCTCCGCATCGGAGCCCTCCTCTAGGTCCTCATCTTTATCTTCCATGTCCACGTCCTCACTGTCCTCCTCCTCCTCTTCTTCCTCCTTCACTTCATCTTCATCACCCTTGTTTGTCTTGTCCCAGACTTCCTTCTCCACAGCCCAATCCACAGCCAATGTGCGGCCATCAATTTCTTTGCCGTTCACAGCGTGGAGAGCCTTTTCGGCATTCTTCCTACCTCGGATAACGACGAAGCCGAAACCGGCAAGAGTCGCACCCTTCTTAGGGAGAGTTGCAAACTTGACCTTTCCAAAGCTGCGGAAAAGCAAAGCCAAGTCGGCAGGTTCCTTGATGCTCCAAGGCAAATTGCGGACAATCAGTTTGGGTGATGTGTTTTCCTTCTTCAGATCTTCACGCTCCTGCTTCTTCTTTAGACCAGCAGCAGAGGGGACACTCCTTCCCAGCTTTTCATCAATCTCACGTTGACGGGGCTGGGCGTATTCAACCACAATCTTCTTTCCCTCGAAGGCGGATCCGTTCAGTTCCTTCAGTGCACTTTCCGCGTCTTCCAGATCGGCAAATGTAACGAAACCGTAGCCCTTGCATTGCTTAGTTGTCGGATCACTGATAGCAGTCGCATGCTTGATCACGTAGGATTGAGAGAAGTACTCGGCTAGGCTGTCAGTGGTGGCTGACGCAGGAAGCGACCGAACGAAGAGCGTCCGCTTGGGTTGATTTTCTTTGACATCAGTTTTAGTAGTCTCCATTTTCGATTCGGAGTTTTCAGTAGGAACGTCTTCTGACAGACGTCGCTTCTTGTTTGACTCGGCCATAATGTTGATCTAGAGGCTAGACTTTTCGTTAGAAAAAAAAAATTGGCGGCAAAAAGGATCGAGTATGTCGGGCGGTGAGGATTAAAAATGGGCCCCGATAAGACGGAGCTTTATCACTATCGCTATCACTATGTCCACGCTTCGATCCACGCATCGAAGTTCCAATTCCAACTATGGACGCTCAATCCGGCAGTTCTTCCTCTGCGAAGCGGCCAAAGGTTCAACAACGTAGACCGCAGGCCCTTGCCGATTCAAGATCCGCCTCTTCCTCTGCACAGCAACCCAAAGTTCAGCAGCCAAAGCCGCAAGCCCTTCCCAATCGATCCGCTACTTCAGCGATACTTGTGTCGACACGGCAGAAAGGGAATCCAATTTTAAGCCACATCAAGCTTCTTCCCTGGGAATATGCCGATATCCCCGCCGACTATGTCATCGGAACAACAACATGTGCACTATTCCTATCCTTGAAATACCACCGCCTACACCCCGAGTACATATACTCACGCCTCCGACTCTTGGCGGGCAAATACCAGCTACGAATCGTGTTGGTTATGGTGGACATTCCCAACCATGAAGACCCACTCAAAGAGCTGTCCAAGACATCCCTCATTAACAACCTCACCTTGATTCTATGCTGGTCCGCCCCCGAGGCCGCACACTACCTCGAGCTCTTCAAATCCTCCGAAAACGCACAGCCCACCGCAATTCGTGCCCAACAATCGCAGTCGTACAAAGATTCTCTCGTTGAATTCGTTACGACTCCCCGCACTATCAATAAATCGAATGCAGCAAGTTTGATCTCTACCTTTGGAACTCTGCAGAATGCTGTTAACGCGCAAGCGGATGTGATAGGCTCTGTTCCGGGCTGGGGAGAGAAGAAGGTACAGCAATGGTGCAGAGCTGTACGAGAAGATTTTAGGGTGGAGTCTACCAAGAAGGCCTTGGCACCTGAAGCAAATGTTAAGAGTGGAGCAGTGAAGCCTGCAAAGAGGCCACGCGTTGCGGAAATGAATGAAGATGAGGAAGTGCTTCGCGCTGTTCTAGCCGAGAGCCGAGCTATGGCTGCTGCGAACCAGGAACCCTCGATGGAACCTCGGCCGGCTAAGGAGTCGGGCATTGCGGACATGGACGAAGATGAGGAAGTGCTTCGCGCTGTGATGGCTGAGAGCCGAGCTATGGCTGCTGCAAACCCGGAACCCTTGATAGAATCTCAGCCGCCCGATGAGTTGAGCGAGGGCATTTCTGCTGCTCTTGCGAAACTGCGAGATGGTTGAGCTCCAGTTGAGATTCCAAATCGATACATTCGATGCACAGCAGCACTACTCGACCATGCAAAGGAAGTCATTTCTAAGAAGTAAAATTATCTCGCTCGAGACTTTTCGAACAATGTCCTGGCCGGTTTTCAGGGTACTAGGTACAATCACGGATCTCCGGACATTTCTGGCCTTAACCGAATACACACAACTTTGTGGTTCCCCATATCAGTTCAGATTGTTTGGCAGTTTTTCTGTCAAAAAGAGTGAATTCCTTGTGGCTATACAGAAAACTACGGCGCTACGGCTACCCGACCAAGTGCTTGTCCTATAACCATCGACGTGTACATGGGTATTGGGCGTTAAGATGATAACTATGAATTTTTTTAACAGCTTCATGGCCATCACACCTGCATATGTTTCCCTTAAAGCCATTTCAAGTGCTATGAATCAAGTTCCCCGATCTACATACTACCCTACGAGTCATGAAAAGCTATTTTTGGTTAAGAACTGATTAGGTTAAGCCCATGTGGGAAAGATTTTCAATATTCCCCGCCTTCCAAGCTGTGCACGTTCAAATAGGCGTTTTAGAACCAATGGGATTCCAGAGGTTAAAGTCGGGATCATACGATAGGCCTAGACACAGTCTGACATATTGAAGGTCCGAGAGTATGCTAAGGTAGAACAAAGATTATCTCTCAATTCAATGATTGGCTGTCTAATGTGTACGCTTCCATAAACTATGATTTTGCTCTCAAAAACAAGAACAATTGAATAAAAAGGCAAATGCAATCATTTAGGGTATTGTTGTTCTGGATCTTGTAGCCACATTTCGGAAAAGAAAAAAGATAAAAGCCAAAGCACAACCCCGAAACTTCCCGCCAACAGGTCCATAAAATAACGATTCAAAGAAGGGAGAAAAAACGTTAACTGATACAACGCAGGAATATAAGACGTGACCTGGAAGGGGCAAGGAACGGAGTATGCCAGGAGATAAGGGAATCGCAGATCATCAACGAGCACGTCATTTCATCAGCAGCGCCCGATTTCAACTAACGTGTTTGTGTAATAGCTGAGTGAGAAGAGGCGCGAAGACTTTGTCGGAATAGACAAGGTCTCGCGGCGAGCTGGAAGGGGATTCGTGAAAAAAAAAAAGGAAAAACGTAGGAAGATAAACATGAAGCCGAAAGACAATTTTTTGCTTTAGCTCTACCTGATTTAGGTAGGCTTGTCGCATCCAATGCGACCAAGTAAGGCTCGTCGGTCCGTCTGGTCGAAGGGAACACGGCCACGACCCCGAGCACGCAACGAAGCGGAACCGTTCGACCGGCGGCGGTCCAGCCCAGGGCTACCATCAGCCACGACAGGAGTAGCTCCAACATCCATATTGACCAGACGAACTGGAGGTTCAACTGGCTCGTTGACCTCGACGTCCTCTTCGTCGTCACTGCGAGAATCTTGGGACTTGCCAGTGACAATCACTCCATATGCCACACGAACAATCATGCTGAACCAAACGATCGACAATCCTTGCAAAGCGAGCAGGAACCCCATGAAGATGAACAGGATCGTGCGGTTCATGCAGATGGGGTTATTCAAGTCGCGGAAAGGTGCGAATAGGTAGGCGAAGGAGTCAGGATAGCCGTCAGTGCTGATCATCTCGGCCGTGACACCAGAGTAGCAACCGAATGGCACCTTCGAAGGAATATTCTTGTAGATGGACAACCAAAGGATATTGTAGATAATGTGCCGAGTAATGAACCAAGTGGTCATAAAAACGCCAAAGGCGATATTGCAAGCGTTCTCAAACTTGAGATACTTGAGAATCTTGGCAGACTGGTAGATACGCATGTTAGAGTGATACAGAGTCCAGGTAGCAAAACCAACTTACGGGCAGAAGGAAATCTACGACGTCCATGAGGCACAGAACCACGTTGGAGATGTTGTAGAAACCGTAGATGTAAGCCGAGCTCAGCAAAGTGCTGGTGATGATGTGGTGAGACAACATCTGGTAGTGGTCCTTTCGTCGCTCCTCGACGTGGATGACAAAAACCTGCTGCACCAGGAAAGCAAGCTCGACCAGAAGGTACCATTTCATCAAGCCTGAAAGCGGGCGGGCGGGCCAAGTAGTCCAGATAGCACTGAAATCGCCCCAGTAGACGGAATTTTTCCAAAGGTACTGCACAGTTCATCAGCAAACAAAACCATCTCAATATCACATGGCAAACGTACCAATCCCACAGCCCAGACGAAACCGTAGTACATTGCCTGCCAGCCCTGCTCGGCAAGACGAACAGAGCCCTTGCGCTTAAGTCCAGCAAAGCGGGCAAGCGGTTGGAGAACCCATTCAATGGCAATGGCACGGATCGCGGTCAGGGCGAGAGCGGCGCTGAGAACAAAATAGGTATCATTCCACCCTTGGACGTAGTAATCGCCAGCGGCATTGTAGTAGGACAGTTCAAAGAAAGGTTGGGTGTAAGGACGGAGCGAGGGATAGAGGTTATGAAGAGCCAGCAACATAGCCAGAATGGTCAGCGGAATACCTATTGGGTAAATTCTCGTTAGCATAAATTTTTGGAATCAAAGCCCAGTTTTGACCATTGGGAGTTATGCAAGATTCGACTGCGACTACGAATATGCTCACTCCATTTGTGACCAAAAAAGTGGCGGCGTTTGGTGTTTGTTGACTTCATACCGATTTGGTTGGTGACCACCCACTCGCGGAACGTGGTCTCCTTGGGACGCGGACCGCTTGGGATAGACATGTAGACATTGAGTTCAGATGCTGATTGCGCAGTTGCAATCATATCTTTAGCCATGATGGCGGGGGAAGTGAACTGGAGAAAGAGGAGTGTCGGGGAAAGAGAGGTTGGGGCTTCCGGCACTAATTAAACTGAGGAGCGGGATGGCTCTGGCAGCTTTCATTGGCTGAGTAAAGAAAAGAAAAGGTGTTGTGTTTTTTTGGTTTTGCTTTATTCAGTTTGAAACAGCCGATGGATCAGAAACTGGAAGCAAAGTAATTCACTAAAAGCAGTGGATTTCTAGAATCTGAGTGTGGGAGAGAATTGGGAGGATGAACGAGCTGGAGTTTCAAATCGTCTCTTCTGTTGATCGACACTCCACACCGCCTCATAAAAAGTGGTAGATGCTCTAGGTTTATCAGGTAAGGGTTTAAAAGGGTTAAGAGGGAAATGAGGGGCGAATTGGCTTTAAATATTTCTTTAATTTAGCGTTGGACGTTGTTAGTTCCAGATCTATATCAGATCTGCTGTCGCCGACGAAACGTAATTATCAGCATCGATCCCTAATTGCGCTAAGTCCACCCCTCCTTGACCCGCCATTGCTCGAGATAATGCTCGGGCCACTTGTTCCTCTTCCCAAATATTATTCATAACTTCCACCTTGTGCCCCGGTGCTCCTTCACCCGCGTGTCTCGGGCTCTCCACATTAACCATCGTCTGCCAATATAGATCATCCCGTGCCTTGAGCGCCTTGTCTCGAACAACTGCATTGCGAGTGACGTTCAAGGCGTGAAGCTTTGAGTTGGTATCATTGACATTGGTCAGGGCCGCTGACAAGGCTTGATCGAGCTGGTCCACAGGCGAGGTTTGTTTGTAGAAGAACCTATTGGTCGCGGAGAGGTAGATAATGAGTGAAAACACAGCATCACTTACTGTAATCGCGAGTGGTCGTAGCAACGTGATGTAGTTGTATAGGCCGGTTGGTGGCAGTTGACCAGCCCGCACAGCGGGTGATTCTGACTGCAAGGCATCGTATGTAGCCACAGTCCAAAGATCAAAGGCTGCCAGTACCAGACCGGCAATTGTAAACTTGTTGCGCCATCGAGCAGACTCTCGGCCCCCAAACGGTGTTGATGTGGCCACGCCCAGAATCAAAAGATGCAGAAGGTGTGGTAGAAGTATGTGGAATGGCAAGTAGTATAAAAAGAAGGTATTGACGTTATCGAACGAGCAGTATTGACATGAGGTCACAGTATCGGGGCCAAAAGTCAGATATGCTTTTCGCGCGCCGAGTGAGGTCAACTTCTCCCGAAGCAAAGTGTCGGTGTCGGTCAAGATGCTATCAGGCCGAAGCCGGGCGAGTCTTTGAAAGACGACATCGGTCGGGGTGTTAATGCGTGAACGGGTCAGGGCAAATACGTTTGGCTCTGGCGCATGTGGGTTGAAAGGTAGGCTCAATATGAGGAAGAATACGATGCTGCCAAACAACAGGTTCAAAGACCGCGAGGCAGCGGTGGGAAGATGGCACGGGGGTGGACGAGTTGCCTTCACTACGCGAAATGAACGATATGCGTTAATTAAGCGTGGGATAATAATTGGCGCGAAGAAGACGAGGAGCGACTTGACACTGTTACTATTAGTAAAGCGCAAAGAGTTGGAGCTTTATACATACGTTCCCCAGGAGAGGTCAATACCAATTCCGGCCATAGCTAAGATAGATTGTATTTTTTTCTATTTCATCAGAATGCCAGAGTGTTTCGACGAAAGGAAGTGGAGGAATGGAAGAGGATAATGAGGCCAGGGCTTGGGGCCAGAGCTTGGGGCCAGAGAAGATGTTGCGGGAGTCGAGTACTATGTAAGCGGTCGACTCGGTTCTCTTCTACACAACACTACTATAAAGGAAGTATGTTTACTCCCAATTACTTACGTCTTATTGAAAGGTCAAGGCATCTTAAAAAAAAATACGCTATAATTGATGCAGAAAAAGAAAGGAGGTATTTAAATGAAAGTATTGAAAAAGCCATGTTGCCCAAAACACCTTTCCCAACCCATTAAACGCCAGCGCTCACAGTCATTGACCCAGCAAGCTTTTTATAGCCCACGTAGCTGTTTTTGTGATAGCTACTAAGCTACACATATCCCGAGTACATGGCCGGGTGATGCGCCAGATCCGGCATTTTAACCTCTGCCATCTCTTCATCGGGGATCTTGGCCTCGTTCGGGCCACGAGAGTACCGGGAAGATGCGCGATTACCCGGGACATTCAGGTTGTTATTGTTATTGTTGTTGTTGTTGTTGCTAAAGGGTGTCGAGATTTTGAGCGGGAAGCGATTAGTGAACCGCTTGGTTGCTCGCTTCAGAGCCGGCTGCGGGGAGTAGGTTGGGAGGGAGTCGTCACGCTTGACCCCAAGTTGAAATGACCTATGACTACTTGCCCGACTCATGACCTCACTCGGTGCCGCAGCACCATAGGCACGAACTTGACGTGCACTGACGCCTGACTTGCGGTCTGTGAATACAAGTGTCTATGAAGCGATCCGTTAGTATCTCTATAACGGAGGATAAGAGTGCACTTACAGCTAGGACATTTCCCACACTCATCACCATCCCAAGGATGCCTGCCGAGAGTACAACCCGCCAAAATGCCAGACTTATGTCTTTTTGGCTCATCGCTGCCAAGTTGAGGTTTCCCAAGGTAGCAACCCCAAGGATCATCATAACCCCTGCGAGAGCGATGAAACCCGCATCCTCTCCAAAAAGAGGCCAATTCCTATTAAAGTATCCTCGGAATATGGGGAGCTCTGATATGATCAAGAAAACTGGTTCAGTTAATAAAAAATGCGAGACGAGCTGGGGAATATCGCTTACTGCTGATAATTGCAATCACAGCATGGGTGACAGCCTGGAAGAAGAAATAGCCATTTAAGATATGGGTTTTGATGAGCATAACGACACATGCGGCGATGATGTCGAGAAATGCGATGATATTGAGAACGCGAACGGTGTTGAGGATCAGATATCCTGGACCAGCCAGGGTTGCCAGAAGTTTCGACATCTGAACAAATGAATGGAAAGATAGACTGGATGAAATGCTTTCAAGTGCAATATGGTATTAGGAAAGAGACTCGATGGTGTATGCTTGAAAGGAATGCTATCACTGGAAAGTACGGTGTTAATAAGGAGAGGAAGGAAGCCACTGGCCAGCAGGAAGCTCTGTCCAAAGGGAACTATGGGATATGTCAAGCCGAGTCTGGAATGAGTGTAAATAGATGAAAGAAGGAAAAAATAAAAGATGAAAAGATGAAACAAAATTAGAAGAAGGAAATAAGGGGGCAAAAATACCTACTTCCGATTTACAGTCAGGCTACTTATGGCGGCTATGGGACACTTCGAAGTGGACAATGGGAAGATAGGGAAGACACGGAGTTCTATGATTATGGTCTGAAACAATCAATGTCCAGGAAATCCCTGATCTGTATCATAAAGAAATTACCTGATGGAGGGAGTATTCAAGAGATGATTTGTTCTTTTCTATTGTTCGATTGTTCAAGGTTATTTGTTCATTATCGTATAGATGTAGTCTGTAAATAGATCTCAAAATGGGCAGTATTTATAGCCAGCTTTTAAGTCTGGAGTCCAAGAGGAGGTGAAATTGATTGGCAGAGAGTATTCAATGGAGAAAGATGAAACTGATGTTGACATCGGGCGGTTAATGCTTGTTGATCTTATACTTCACTTCCACTTCCACTTTTATACTTCTTTACATCTACAACTCAAGCCATCATTTTCAAAGCATGGACAAATAATTATGAAATACTGAAATACTAATGGATAATAAATCTTCAACAGCATCTCTTACCTTCTTGATCTCATTCAAATTATTTCTTGACCAGATTTTAAGAAGCAAATTTGAAACACCGCGGCTAACAACACAACCAATCATGTGCTCTCGAACATCAGGAGTATGCAGTCTGAAGTATCAGGACCCTTAAAGAAAGATCAAATCTGCAATCAGGGATATGGAATTCAAATGTTGTGTTCCTGAGGCTGAAAATAGAATCAGAAGAAAAACCAAAGGTTCTATGGCTCAAAGGTGAACGGTGATTCGCCACTTCCGTGCATTTCTTAACGCCGGAGAGTCCACTCTCTTTTTTTCCGCTCACTCCTCCCTCCCCCTTTTGTTTCAATATCAGCCTCATCTTTGTATTTGTATTAAGCAAGACCCTTGATCTTGACCCTGATTGTTTCAAACAGTTGCATCATCATGACTCGGGGAAATCAGCGGGATAACGATCGGGCTAAGGCCCAGAAGAAGTTGGCTTCGCAGGTTTGTCAACACCACCAGCACTTCCGTGTCAATCGCTAATACTCTTGCAGAAGGGAAAGACTGCTATGTCTGGTAGCCAATTTGCGAAATCTAAGGAGGATGCCGCCGCCATCATGCGCGAGAAGCAAAAGAAAGGTATGTTGCGAAACTCTTTAGTTCTTTGTGCCTGAGATCAATCAGTATCTAACGTGTTTCCCTCTCAATAGCCGATGAAAAAAAGGCCCAAGCAGCCGGAGGAGGAACGGCGAAGTGACAACAACTCCATACTTCTCCCTACTACGGTCGGTTTGACAACGCCAATCATTTTACGAGAACCAGACCGAAAATTAGACCTGGATAAATGGGCTGTTCACCTGGACATAACCTTGGAAGGAAATACTTTTGGGAGGATATGTATCCAGTGGCAGTGCATGTTTGGGCCTTTGTGCCAGTGACTAGCGGGGCGTTCAACAGCGTTTTATTACCTAGGTATCCATCTACCTAGGCACAACATCTTCCTTTCTGTTTTTTGTAAATCTACAGCGAAATTTACGTGATACGAGACAAAACGGAAGCATATTGGATTCCTAGGTAATTGGAGGTAGGTATAGTCGATCATTCTGTATTGTCGTGTTTGTATGCCCAATATGCCTTGGCTCTATCCAGTCGAATTAACCACGGCCATTTGGCTGATGTAGTGGGTGTTCGCTTCTCAGTGGTCAGTACAGGGAGCCCTTCAATGCCCAGGGTATCGTCCAAAACACTCTCTAGATCAAATTGGCTTGCCGCCCGGTCAATAAATGTCCAAAGACTCTCGCCTTCCCACCCAATATCCCGGGCAAAGTGCAGCACTCTAGCGACTGTACTGGCATGAAGTCGTGGTTCCACGACATTGTCAAGCAAGAACTCTTCGAAGACCCAGCCTGATATATCTCGCGGATGAGCAAGACACCAATCCATCATCGGGCTCACCAATGGCTTCGCTAAATCATTCCTCGAAGAATCTTTACCACCCACAATAGTGGCAAGAACACAATGTAATTTTCGCATGTAGTTGAAAGCATAGTAGTTCTTAGGGTGGAGTACACCCGCGCGAAGCACGATATCAAGCTCTGCTCGCTCAAGTTTCAAAACCGATTCCGTGTTCACGGGCTGTAGCTGGAATAGTTGTTTCAGCACCCACAGTCGATGCGACCATAGTGTTGGGGATTTTGTATGCCTGTGCAATGGTGAGCACTGATAAGAGGCCAGAAGTGTCAGCTCTGTTTCAAGCATCTGGACTGTCGAGGCGATCTGGGTCTCGTCTATTGCGCACTTTCTCACAGCTGCCTGCAGCCTGCGCTTGCGCCAGTTACATGATGTCAGGTGCTCACAGTCGAAGAGAAGAATGATCTCTGTAATGACTGGATCTGGGAATTGGCCAAACTCAATATTTGTCTGTGAAAGATTGACGGATATGTCATCTTCGGACATTGTCACTAAGCGCTTGGTGAAGAGCTGCCGTGCGACCGTGAAGGCTTGAACCAGAGCCTTCTTTGTGATACCGATTGCGAGTCCATCTTGAAGAATTGAAGCTCCTAGGGATGGAGAGATAATCTCGATCTCAAAGACGTTATTCTCTCTTGATGAGAAGATATGGGCGAGTTCCTGGAATACATTTTTAGGAGTAGAAGTCATGAGTAGAACTCGAGGAGAGGTGTAAGAAATGTCTATTCAGGCTTGAAATTTATGAACGGCGTCAATAATTATGAATTCATGACCTCTCATTCAGATAGCCTAGAAATTGGTACTAATATTGTATAGGTCCAGGCCGAAAGGCGGTCAGACCGCTCGCTGGTATTCACACTACCAAAGCACGTCCAGATCCGTACCCTGCAGAGTGCTGCAACAAGGCGCTGCTTACACTTTCATAAGCTAGTATCACTCGCTTACTGGTGCTCTTTTACTCTCTCTTCAGCTTGCGCTGCCATCGGACACACTCCCAGCCAACTGACTCACCCCGCCGCAATGCTGTCACTCGTCCTCACGATTCTCTTCGTGCATATTGCAATCTACCTAGTCAATACCATCGGCGCATCGACAATAGATAGCCTGGTACGTCCATTCATGATCGAATCTGGATAGTTTCGAAGTTCTCTATCCTGTGCACTACGTTCCGAACTGACATCCAACCTCTACATCTAGCTATGGATTCTGTACCTGAAATTGCCGACTTCAACCGCTCAAAATGCACGCGAGTCACAAAGACTGAAGCTTGAAACGCTCAAACTAAAGCGCGAGATGAACGGCACCAGCTCTCAAGACGAATTCGCCAAATGGGCGAAACTGCGTAGACGACATGACAAGAGCATGGAGGAGTATGAGACGATGAGTACGTGTCCTATCCGAGGAGAACATGGTTTCATAAAAGTCCTCATCCACTGACTTTCTTTGATAGATAAAACTGTCTCCGGCCACAAATCCTCATTCGACTGGGCCGTCAAGGGCGTACGCTGGCTTAGCACCACCGGCTTGAAAGTCTTCCTACAGTTCTGGTACTCGAAGCAGCCTGTCTTTGCTTTGCCGGAAGACTGGTTCCCTTACTATGTCGCATGGATACTTTCGTTTCCACGAGCGCCTCAGGGTTCCGTGAGCATCCAGGTTTGGAGCAATGTGTGCGCAACTGTTATAGCGCTTGTGGGAGACTTCGTGGGCTCTTTGATCGTACAGATTACTGGAGAGAAGAAAGAAGCTGTTCCAGCGGGCGAGGCCAAAAAGACGCCATGAGAGATGGATCAATGCCAGTTTTCGTTTTCTTTTACCAAGTTCGGATGTAACATAAGAAATAAAAAACTCTGGGGGGTTGATAAGAAAATTATAGATCATAAGCGTCGCATTTTCATTTATTGCTATGGATGTGAATGTGTGCTAACTATTCGCGTAAACAAAGTGTATGGTGTAATGTTCATCAGATAATTTTAAATCATTTATCAGCACTGACCCTCTTTGAGGAATCTATGGGCTTGACTCTATGATTGGTATATCATCACGCAAACAGTAAGCTCATGGCTCGTGGGAGGGGAAAAGAATTCAGTAAAGAATTCCTCGAGTCCGGCCCCTTCGAAAGGGCTTCTGTGTCAAAGCACCGCTTTGCCATAAGCTACAGACTCTTTTAAAAAAAAAAAAAAAGGAACCCCTCGCCTCAAGAATGAGCCCCATTGAGTTACCCCATCCGAGGATGAAGGGCAATCGCATGACTATCCAAACACGACGAAAGGCAACCCGATACAAGAGAGACCGAAGTCCCCCTTCCCCTCTCCGACCCAGGCCGCACACCCCATTGTTACCGGTCAGACCGTCGAATGGCAGCAGGAGCCGGGAGGGATAGGGCAGTAAGCCGCTATCGAATTGCTTCTATGGCGGCGCGTTTCCGCATTGCCTGACTTGAATAACTCTGGTAAACCAAAGCGCAGGGTGTCCGGGGACTTTCTCCCAAAGCGAGTCAAAAGAAGAGACTTCTTTGTGTGTGAGCTTTGAATGCGATTCTTTGAACGAGGAGTTGAAGAAGAAAGAAGTGCAAAGAATTTTCGCTGCTTTTTGTTTTCCATGTGGAGCATGTCATGTGACTGCGCTAGTGCATATTGGGTTAGATCTTGCCAGGTGATCGTATGCCAAGCTTCAGGGCATTGGATTGATATTTTGAATAAATAGGACAAATTTGATAGAGGAGATAATTTAAGGTAAGTGAATAATTTTGGATTCAGTCAAGATTGAGGATTTAGGATTTTAAATGAAAAAAAAAATTGAATGGAATGCATGCAGAGGCTACCTGGCCTAGGTATGTTGAGTAAAGCACGAAACAAAATTTTTGACCATTAGTTAGGTCTTAGAAGAGTCCAATTATCCAATTAAGCCTTGGACTTCTTGCCGCTCTTCTTCTTGGTGGCGGCAGCCTCCTTCTTGGGCTCCTGCTCAACCTTCTTGGGCTGCTCAATCTTCTTGACCTTCTCAACCTTGTTCTTCTCGGCCTTATCAGCCTTCTTGTTGTTCTTCTTCACCTGCTTAGGGGCCTCCTCCTTGGTAGAAGGAGCCTCTTCAACAGCCTTCACGGGCTCCTCGACAGGGGCAGTCTCGATGGCCTTCTCTTCCTGCACGGGAACATCGTCCGCACTCTTCAGCTGGGGCAAAGGCAACTGGTATCCCAGAGCCTTAAGCTTGTCAGCCTTGGCCTCACGCTTAGTCTGCTCCTTCTCAATGCTCTTCGACCACTGTTCGCGGGTCTTGGGTTTCTCCAGACGCTTCTTTTCAATACGGTTCCAGGGAGTCTTCTTGAAGCGGCGATTGGCTCCCTTCCAGATCTCGGGGTGAAGTTGCTCCTTGGGAACAAACTTGCACTTCAAGATGTGACCATACATCAGGTAGTTGTCCATAGTTGCGGCAACTATCTTGGCAACATGGATGGAGCTGAATTCTACGAAGGCGTAGTGCTTGGAACTACCGGTGGTACGGTTGCGTGAGAGTCGGAGGTTGGTGATATCACCAAACTGAGAGAAGTATGCGCGCATCTGGTGCTCGTAGAAACCGTGGGGAATACGACTGTTAATTTGTTAGAAAATTTGGTTCTAAAAGAGGGTACATGGCCACTTACCCAACGTAAACAGTGCCGGGTTCTTTCGGGGAATCAGCGGTCTCGCTCTTAGCAAGCTTGCGTGCGATTTTCTTGGGAATCTTGGGGATGGGCTTGGAGTTGTTGAAGCCCTCGTCGCCGGATTCCTCCTCATTTTCTTCGCCGCTGCTTTCAAAGCCCTTGATGAGGGCAACAGTCTGATCGTCTTCAGCCTCGTCCGAAGACGATGCATCAGCGGACTCATCCTCGATATTTTCATCGTCAGACTCGTCTGCACCATCAACAACCTTGGGAGCAGCCTTGCCAGCCTTCTTCACAGCAGAGACAGCCTCCTCTTTCTTGGACTTCTTGTTGGTTGGCTTCTTCTGTGTTTTTGAAGTAGGAGGAGCGGACTCGTCATTCTCATCGTCACTAATGAGATCGGCAGCGCGCTTGCGAGGCTTGGGCTGACGAGCGGCGGGGGTATTGGCCTTCACGGACGGAACAGACTGGGTGTCCTTAATGTCCTTAGTATCCTTGGCCTTAGTAACAGTCTTCTTCTTCGAAATTGGCTTGGAAGTGACCGTCTTGGGGGTCTCGGCGGCTGTAGGCTCGACCTTCTTGGTTTTTTTGGCAGGCGGGTCGCTCGCGACAGACGCTATTTTCACCCAGTCAGTAAATTGAACAAAATCATTAATTCAACACAATTTTAGAGTTTGGCATACCCTTGCGCTTTTTTTCTTTCTTATCAGGAGCCATTTCGAGGAATTTTTGGGGAAGTGAAAAGGTTAGAAAGCTGCACGTCTTCTCGGGAAACTTTTTTTTCTTCACTTGATTGCGGCAAGGCGGTGAGTCCCCACAATTATCATCTACACCCTTCTCCATAAACAACCTCTTGTCGCACTCTCAGTCTGAGGGGAACCGATCAATATGTCGAAAAGAAAGCGTGGCGGTGCCACCAAAGGCGAGAATGTTGAGGAAGCTCCCTTGAGCCACAGCGCTATTTGGGACGATTCTGCCCTGATGGACTCATGGGATGCCGCTTATCAAGAATACAAGGTTCGCTTCGACTTGCGTGATATCTTTTCATTTTTATCTAACTTGTTCATGGCAGCACTATCACAGCATCGCAGCAAAGGGAGAAGATGTCGAGGAGGTGTTGAAGGCACAGCATATGAAGGATAACAAAGTAGATTCAGCACCTCATCGCCGCTCAAGTGCTGGGAGCAAAGCTCATCCAGAATTATGTGCTGACCATGTCGAACCTACTGAGGTAGAACCTACTGAGGTAGAGCATGCACCTGTCCTACAACCCTTTGCGGAGTCACTTCCTATTGCCGAAGAGGGAGCCAATCCTACCGCAAACTCGACCGCAGCACCGATGCATGCACCGACCCTCGATCACAGTAAGTGGATCACCACATGTCGTGCCCCTGATTTCATTTGCTGACTTATCTACAGTCCAAGATGAGGCTTTGAAATGCGTTATGATGTCGTGGTATTACGCAGGGTACTACACTGGTATTTACACAGAGAAGCAGGCAAACCAGTCAAAGAACTAAATCAAGTTCATTTGATCAATACCCATGCATCGTTAGCACTCAGCCATGAATGAGAAAGTACTTGAACGCTTTCGTATTAACATTGTACAAAACATATGTGGATATTCCAAAAGTTCAGCCCGGGACAGCATAAATAAGTCATAACTAGTAGGTATCCATGTTAACAAACATTTGAACTTCTCTACTGGGTTTCAAAAACGCAAGTCCGAAATTCGATCTTCTTTCGTCAAGCTCACTTGAAACAAAAATATAGCGACGACAGAACCCCTCAACACGGCCAATGTCTGTCGACAGAGCTGCGAGTTTTTGAATATCCATTGCCTCTCATCGTCATATCTCATCTTAAATGATAAATTCGAGAGATTACAGAGCACCGGTGCCACCAAGGAGGCCACCAACAACGGGGATCTTGCCCAGTCCGTTAGCCTCGGAGGTAGGGTGAGTGGTGTGGGTAGCGGTAGGTGTTGCGAAGTTTCCGGAAGACAACTTCTGCTCAGTACGGGTTGGCTCAGCGGAAGCATGCTTATCCTGCGTATCAACTATCGTGTTACTCTTGGTAAGGTCATTGGGAGCTGGCGCAGCAGGAGGTGCAGGTGTAGCTTGCTTCTTCTCGTCGTTGGCATCCTTGTTCTCGAGGCCATCCATCAGCTTGGTGACAGACTATAGAAGTCGGTTAGCAACTGGTCAGATCCATTGTTGTTTGTGTGCTACGAACCCCCAATTCTCCAAGGGTGCTTTCGAGACCCAGTGCATCACCTGGGGCTTGAGTATCGCGCTTAGTGGGCAGCGACATAGCGATGACCGCCAGAACCAGGAACACAGCGAGGAATGACAGACTGAAACGGGCCATTTTGAATTGTGTTGGTAGAATGGATTGGTTGTACAATTAACAGTGTATGTGCAGTGAAGTATATGAATGAGTGGATAGACGATGTGTTACCTTGCAGTATTTCTCTATTGCAGAGGGTGCTCGTTGGCGTCCAGGGGGAGTATGCTACTTTTATATTCAATGCCCCCTTTCTACCTTTTACTCTAGCCCTTGGGGTGAGAATGAGACATCAAGGGAGGCAAGGTGGGGAAAAACTTGTATGGAGCATTGAGTTAGTGGTATTCGTGGGATATTCAAGCTATGGATGGCATCGACATAAATTTCCTCCACCCATCAACACGTTCAAGGGGTCCTGGTAGAATTAGAAGGAATAAGTGGCTGTTTCATGTGAAGATCAGTGGCCAGGCCAGCTACATACTTGGTCGATACCACCCTGACAAGGTAATAACATCTAACAGTGCTTCAAGCAAGGGGAGAGTTGATCCAGTTAGATCACAGGGGAAAAGTAGAGAATCCGAGCGTATGAACAGAACAGAGTAGATCATGCACATACCTGAAATGCACTTTTAGTGTTGCATTTCAGGAATATCCAGGACACGCCCTTGGTCGACCTTCATAAACATTCCAGTCTCCGAACAAGCGTGAATAATTCGGTTATTACGACGGCGCCGAGTTTCACGGAGCTAAATTATCCGACTTTTTTCTACACAACAAGATCTCCATGTTGAAATGGAATGTATCTCCCTCTTTGACACGCACAGCTCCATACAATGGGAGCGTACGTGACACGAGAGTCTCCAGAGGATCTTGTCCAACTGTGATGGCTTACTATTGGCACAAATTTGACCTCGAATATCATTGAGCGATTGACGAACGAGACTTCGAAAGTGCCGAAGAGGGGTTGCTGATGAGCATGATTTTCCAAATAAAGGAGACTACGAGGTGGTTCTCAAACTAAGAGTTAGTCAAGTTGCGACAGGCTTGATCCAACCGCCCCTCTCAAATAAGTTGAGCCCGCAAGCAAACAAACATCATGTCTTGCAGTTGGGCACAGCAGACTTGACAAGGGTAGGGGTTGTCAAGAAAGTGGCGTGGTAGATAACAGAGGCCCGAAGACCAAATGCATTGGAAGTCTGCACTAGGATTGTTGGCTCAAAAGCGAACCCGACTACCTCACCAATGGCAGGTGTCGGGATTAGAACGAGCTTTCTTCGTTCTGGGTCTCTTCCTATAATTTGCAAATGGAATAGTACGTCCAATCACAAGGGTATGTTGGAGACCGTGGAATATGTGAGGAAAGAAAGGATCGGAAGAGTGAAATTTTTCAATATGTTTGTGCTGCTTATGTCATGATCACGTGTACTTAAAAGTTTGTCGAATGGAGGTCTGACTACCAAAGGAATAGTGGATTCTAGTGGGCAAATGAGAGTGCAGTATGCGTATGTGTGTATGTGTAGCTATGGTGGGAATCCCGTGGTGGGATTCCAATGCTGACTAAAAATAGACTAACTGTAAATGGAATCGGGCCTTTGACACACCCCTTCAGTTTTCACCCCTTCAAGGTGTAAACTGGCCTTAACACAGGGCCGATTTGGGCCGTTGAACCACTTAAATCTCCTAATCTAGGGGCTTCTGGCCCTAAATCATTGATCCAATATCCTCCAAATTCAAGAGCTTGATCCACGCTTCGAATCTCTGTCTTGGGAGAATCTTGGTAAAGCCATCGGCCACCATATCTGCGGTGTATGTCAATATGACGCAGTTTGGTCTCAAAAGCTCCTTCTTTGGTAACAAGGTCAACAGTTCTCTGGTTGTCGCAGTCCAGAGTTATACTGTTATATTCCATCTCGAGTCCTGTATGGATCAGGACTCTCTTCCACCATACCAATGATTTGGCCGCGTCTGATAGGCCAAGGAGCTCAGTGTCACGGTGCCAGCTCAGACGACTACTGATTGATTAGATAGTGCGGGCCACGTGACCCGCAACCTCTGTCAAAGGGCCGATATTAAGGGGTGTGCTGCGTATGTCAGCAGGACCCATAATGTGTGTATTTAAGCGGGTTTCATCCCTAGATAGACAATCCAGTTTCGTCAACCATTTCTGGTTGGACGGTCAATTTCTCATTTGACAGTTATGAGCCCGGTTTCTACCTACTATGCCTCCCTTTACCTATAAGGCCAAGGTTAGGGATGACATTACCCCTGAAGTCAACACCTGAGGACCGAACCAACCGACGAACTCCGCTGTGAAAACCAGCGATATCAAAGTCAATCTTCCGGACCTTCCCTCCCACTACAAGCAACCGAAAGCTATGATCCGGTCAGACTAGAGCTAGCTCCCTGAGCCAGACAGCCAGACGCATAGCCAGAGCCAGCCTGAGCCAGATAGAGCCAGATGCGAGCAAGAGCCATATATATGCTGAGAGTTATAGCCTAGATCCACCAAGGAAAAGACCTGAATATAGTTGTCACGGAGTTGATAATCTGGAAATCATGTGACCGTTATGTAATACCCACAACTACTTAACCGATCCGTACCCGGATCCCCCATGATTCTTTCAAGAATCAGTCTTGAAATGTTATCGAGTTCTTGTTCCCATCCTTGTCTTCTCTGTAAAATCCAGTAACCCTTACAATAGTCCACGTACTATGGTCTGTCATAAGAGGCGGTTACCTACGCGGGGTAGGCCGCAAGCTGAAGTAGACATGTTCATTGGGTTGGGTAAACCCATACCCAACCCAACCCAACCCACAATGGGCTGGGTATGGGTCAGAAATTTTACCCAAAACCCATATGGGTTCGGTATGGGTTTGAAGTAAAACCCACACCCAGCCCATAAACCCATCTTTTTGCCAAGACTTTTATTTCACGTGATATTTGTCACCTAGTTAGTACTAGATTGAGGCAAAAATTAGGCACTAAGGCACTAATTACCCTAATTTAGTTTAGGTTGAGGCGAAAATCAGGCATTAAGGCATCAAAAATACCCATATGGGACCCATACCCAACCCATACCCACGTGGGTTGGATTGGGTATGGGTATGGGTTTACCTTACCCCTGATGGGTTGGGTATGGGTATGAATTTTGACCCATACCCAACCCATGCACATGTCTAGCGGCGGCATGGTGCTCTGGCATGGTGGAAGAGAGTCCTGATCCATACAGGACTCGAGATGGAATATAACAGTATAACTCTGGACTGCGACAACCAGAGAACTGTTGACCTTCTTACCAAAGAAGGAGCCTTTGAGACCAAACTGCGTCATATTGACATACACCGCAGCTGGCTACGCCAGGAGGTCCAAGAAGGTGACATTGAAGTCAGATGGGTGCTTTCCTTCCTCTAGGAGGGCCCTGGCGCGTGTAATTATGATGCCGCCTGCCCGTTCAATTGGGCCATTCTTCTCAGGGTGTCCTGGAATTGAATGCGTCACTAGAATACCTTGATCTGCCAGAAACCGCTCTGCAGTGATGCCTGCAGCTTTCTCATTATCGTAGTGGAATGTCCGTATAGGTAGATTCCACCAGTTCTTTACCATCTCAATGAAGTGTCGAATCGCGTCATTTATCTGCGTTTTTGTGCGACAGGTGACGAGCCAATGAAAATGAATGCCGTCGACGTAAAAATGGCATATCCAACGCTCTTCATTATATGCGATTGACATCTGTATCAGGTCTAGAGAGATTTGTCCGAATCGACCATACCTGCGTCCTAGAGAGCGACGAGATATCTGTCTAGGAGCTCTGATGAGGCTGCAGACTGAGCATGGGCTCTGTATTTGTCCGTTTGTACGGTCACTGACTGGTTCAGGATGCATCGTTTGGGTAGTTTGGCCTCTAGTCTGACCGCCGACTGGGCCAGTTGGGCATGTTTTATCTGTCAAAACGACGCCATCGACAAGCTTGGGTAGTTGGTGTAGGGCATCATAGTGTAGGTGGCCTAGGCGACGGTGCCAGAGCTCTAATGATGCCTTACTCTAGTAGTCTTCTAGAATCCCGACCCATGTATGCGTGTTTTTCTGCCGAAAAATTTTCGCCTGAAGTCTTTTCGGCCGAAAACGGCTTGACGATCAGCAAATTGGGATTTCGTATCCTCTGAATGGCTAGGACAGGTGTTCTGTCCCTACCAATAAGACAATCGTTTCTTGGCTCCCAATCTCCCCCTTTATCGTTCAGGGCACAGTATGAGAGTAGATTCAATCTAAACTCTGGACTGTATAGGACGTCTGAGAGTATAATTGACGTTGCTCTCTTGGTTTTCGGGTCAATGCCATTGACCTCGCACTGTCCCTTACCTAGGGTTTCAACCTCCCCTAGTCCCAATTGAAGGGTGTGCTTCTCGTATTTAAAGCTAACGAATGCATCCATATCATTACAGACATGCGAGCTGGCGCCTGTGTCTAGCACCCAGCTGCTTTTCCGTAACTCATGTTCGTCGTTGGTCAGAAATGCCGTTTTCTGCAGGAATATAGATTCTGTAAATGCACTGGAGTAGCTTGGAATCATGTCCATATCGTCAAATTGGTCGCCAAATTGGCTCGAAAATAGGCTGTTGTCGTCGCCTATATGGCCAGAATTTACAGGTTTTCGGCCGAAAAACTGGTCTTTGACACCATCTGTATGGCCATTCTGGCCAGTGAATGGGCCAATACTGTCGCCGGAATGGATAGTCTGGTCAGTTTGGGACGCAAAAAACACTGGTTTGATTGTGTAATTGGCGGTTTGGGTGGCTGGTTCAGCTGGTGAATTGGTATTCAGTTTGGCATCTATCCACTGCTTCCAGCCTGGGTCTGCGTCCAATGCCTCCTTTATCTTCTGATCTAAGTCAGGTCTTGGCTTGATGCGTGTGCTAGTCATGCTCCAGCATCTGTCGACTGGGTATTTGCACCCGCATGGACACCCCCTGTCCTTGTAGGGCTTGGTCTTCTGTTCCTGGGCTTTGGCCTGAGCTCTGGCTTTGGCCTGGGCTTTACGGCCCTGGCCATTGGCTTGGCCAATAGCTTCCTGATGCCCTTGGAATGTCGTAAATGCGCCCTTGGAAGATGTTTGGGTTTGTTTTTGGGCATGGAAAGTGGTTTTGAAGTGGTCCATTAGGCGCCGCATAGGCATAGGCTCGCCATCAACCACTATTCTTCCGTGCCAATACTGCCACCAATTTGGCAGTATATCTTTCACCAGATTTAGGAATAACCAAACTGCTTCGTCATTCTTAGCGGCTAGGACATTCTCAACCTCTGCTTCTAGGCGCGACTGCTCCCATTTCTCAAGCCAGGCATCTATATCACTGCCGGTTGGTGTGGTCCTTATCATCTCATGCCATTGGTAGAATACCCTGGCTCTGTTTGTTGACGAGGCACCATAGCGCTCTAACAGGAATTTGAGTCGTATGTATGGTTGGTCGTAGTTTAAAACAAGGTTTTGAATCGGTGTATCCAGATGCTTTAGGATGTAATCGTTCACCGCTTCGATCGCTCGTTTCTTGGTCTGGTAGAATAGGAGGCGGAATTTGTAATCTTCAACGTCGTCTCTCCATTCCCGTCGTAGCTGTTCGCTCTTCTTTACCGAAATATCGTCTGTATTTGGTAAAGGAATTGGTTTGGGCGGGTAGTCTAGTGGCTCTGGACCGGGATTCCAATGTTGACTAAAAATAGACTAACTGTAAATGGAATCGGGCCTTTGACAAAGTTGTTTGTCTCAGGCAGCAAGGCAGGATATTCAATGCCTTAGGCATGAACGGACATACCCGTCTGTTCCGACACCAGGAGTGGTTTAATTTAACAAGCTTCAATAAATACGAAATGAGTCGTCAAGCCCGACGCGCTCGGAATCAGCTATTTTGCTTCTTGGGAATACTATGTTTTATAATATATCTCAATCGACCCCAAAGCCAAGACAAAACATTCTCATGGACGAAAGTCCAATACAAAACAACAGCCGAGAAACTTCCTGAAGCCCGTGGCATTTGTCCTAAGCTGTCAGGCACCAAAAAGCCAGCTCTAGTTGTCTCTCATGTTGCTGCAGATGGCGATAAAGCTTGGCTAAACAAGCTGGCCAAGAAGTACCATTTATGCGTCTATGAGGTCGACGCCAAATTAAATCAGAAGTCCATTTATCTCCAGGTGCCCGCAAACCGAGGCCACGAGACGATTACCTATCTGACATTCCTGATTGATAATTATGCGGACTTCCCTGAACATGGCGCAGTTTTCGTTCATGGGAGTCGATATGCCGTAAGTTTCTCCATCAACTTTGTAGGACTAATCCTGAAACTGACCTAATTCTCCTAGTGGCATAACGATCATCCAGAGTATGATAATCTGGCTTTGCTCACCGCATTGGATGTCCCCGCTGCTCAAGAGCCGCGCGGGTATTACAATCTCCGCTGCGATTGGAGCACAAGTACCTGTTTACCGAAGGTAGCAGCACAGGGAAGTCTAGAGATGCGATTACAGTCCGTCGTCGAGCCATGGAGTGCACGTGCCGCATCTGACATCGCCTTACCACGCGCACTGGCAAATATCTTCGGCGGCGATGAGGCTAGTCATGGCTCTAACTTGCATCTCGGACGTACCGAAACTGTAAAAGCGCAGTGCTGTGGACAGTTTGTTATATCGAGGGCCCGCGCGTGGCAGCATACGAGAGAAGAGTATGTCGCTCTACGTCAGTGGCTCCTTGATGGAACCGACAAGGCTGCACCCGCGGACGATCGCGTTGCCGGGCGTATCTTGTCTTACATTTGGCACATCATGTTCACGGAGCCAAATGCTGCTGATCAGATTCATTTGGGTCAACTCAATAATGATGCGTGTCCGTCTGCAAAGGACTGTTATTGTCGCTTGTATGGTCGGTGTGATCTTGAATGTAGCAATCCTGGGACTTGCAGTGGGCAGTATCGGGTACCACAGGACTATAAACTTCCTGACGATTGGGAAGCGACGCATAAACATGAGGCCTAATCATTACTGTATAATCTTAGTCAACTAATCTTTACTTAAATTATCGAATTAAAATCCATGAATTGATTCATAGTCATGGTAGGTACATAGTTCGTACATCCCAACGCTTAGGAAGTACATTGGAGGATCCTGATTGTGATGCGAAATGAGTCGGAAGAAGGAGATCCAAGGATAGAATAATCAGTGCAAAGAAAGAAACGCGAAGTCTCCAAGGTTGAATGAAGCACCCGGGCGTATGAAAAGAACTGTAGGGAATAAATTGAGCTCAGAAGCGGGAAAGCACGCGTTCCTCTGTGTTGGCAACCGCAAATTTACTGCTGTGCGTCTGACTTACGACCGACTTGGCCTGCTCAGCGGTAAATCCCCGAGCCTCGACGGCAGGGTTGTATCCAAAACCGGAGATTTTGGCAACAACATCTGAAGGAACAGCGGTAGAGACATTACCATCAGCACGTTTGTATACAGTCACGACAACAGCGCCACCTAGACCGAGGTTGTGCTGAAGAGCAGTATCAGTACCAGAAACAAAGCGGTTGTTTGCCCAGCCGCGCAAGTGCCAGACCAGCTCAGCACACTGGGCAATACCGGTTGCGCCGAGTGGGTGGCCCTTGGAAATGAGACCGCCAGAAGGGTTGATTACCATCTTTCCACCATATGTGATATCACCATTACGAACCATCTCGTGTGCTTTACCAGGCTCGCATAGCTCAAGGGCATCGATGGTGATCATCTCATTGGCAGAGAAGCAGTCGTGCAACTCGCAGACCTTAATGTCCTTGATGTTGACACCGGCCTCGGCAATGGCAGTACGGCACGCGTATCGAGACATGCCGAGACCTATCAGATCAATTGCGCTTGTGCTGTAGACTTGATCGGTATCAGAGGCGAGGGTCTGCCCGGCAATTTTTACAGCTTGATCTTTCAGGTGGGGGCGAGCGTCAAGGAACTCCTGAGAAACAATGACAGCGGCGGCACCGCCATCCGAAGTAGGGCAGCACTGTAATTTGGTGAGTGGGTCGTGGATCATTGGTGACTCAAGTATCTGCTCGAGGGTGTATTCTTGTTGGAATTGCGAGTAGGGGTTGCGCTTGGAGTGTTCATGATTAATGCGCGCGATTTCGGCAAAGTCCTCGTTCTTCGCACCGTACCTAAACCCTTTTTTAGCAGGGGAGCTTCAAAACGGCAAAGATAAGTTCTTTCTTACTTCTCCTTATATTCCCGACCAGCGTTTCCAAACATCTGCGCTGCGCTAGGGGCCTTTGTCACACCACGAGTCTTAGACATCATTGTACCAAATAGACCAGTTGGATTGGCGCGATCATGGTACACTGACTGCAAACTCCCAGGATTCATCTTTTCAAATCCAACAACAAGAACACAGTCGGCTGCACCGTGAGAAACCATGGTACGAGCCATAGCTAGGCCAGTAGAACCAGTCGAGCAGTTGTTGTTGACATTGTATATTGGGATGCCAGTGATACCAAATTGGTAGAATACACGCTGTCCGCATGTGCTATCACCATAAACGTAGCAGGCCACGCCTTGATCGACATCGTCGTAGGTGATCTTGGCATCGAGCATGGCTTTGATACCAGCCTCATATCCAAGTTCGTTGTAGTCGACCTTGCCGCGTGGCTTGATAAATTTGGTCATGCCCACGCCGAGCACGTATGCGGGATGTGCTTGTTTCTTGGCCATGTTTAGGTTTTCAATTTTAAGGAAGGTAAGGGCCCAAGGTTGGTTGGTGATTGAAGAACAGGAAGAATGATGAATTTATGCCATGTTCAATATTCGGAACTCCCTCGGGACCTCGGTCGCTTCCCCGCAATTTGCCCGACCCGTCAAACCTTAGTATACTTTGTATTTACCTACTACTATCCCCATGTTGATATCTTTGCAATTTCTTGTTTCCTCCTTTTGTTTGAATTCTAGATCTACATCGGTAGGCACTTGCCGCTTTCTGCTCGAGTAGAACACATCTAGCCATCTTCCCTTCCAAGCTTCGCCTTGACTACTGACTAGGTTCCAAAGTTCTCTTCAGGTAGCTTACCTAGTAGGAATTTTGCAAGTCTCGTAAGCTCTGGGAATACAGCGTTTGGAAGACTCAATTACCTACTTGGAGACCTAAATAATCTTGGAAATAATTTACCTACCTAGGTAAGTGTATATAGCAGATTTCCTTTCCACGGTGGGGCTTTCCTAAAACAGCAACCGCCGCTTTAATGAGGACGCTCAGAGTCAAGCTCAGTGAGTAAATTTCAGTCCGGGCTTAGGCTCAGTAAGCTGCTTAGGCCTCATCACGTGACAGATTACTGAGGCCCAATGAACGCTCAGTGACTACTCAGTGAGCATGATTGGCTGCTCCCTGCTTAGAGCTCGGCACGAATATGCGAATATTCGCGAATAAAACAAGTGCGAATAATTTGATTATTCGCTGCGAATACGAATACAACCCCTTTATTCGCGAATATTCGCACCTTTATACACTATTCCTAATTATGATTAGAAGTTGTCAGCTGATTATTCTCAAATATATATTTCTTAATATCTGTGTCATGTGCACACCCGACTCGTAAAAAACGAGTCGGGTGTGCTTCACCGGTTCTGCCAATTTTTTTTTTTTCACCGGTTCTTCCAATTCCACATTCCATTCTATTTTACCCAATATCTCCCACCCACCATGCCTAAAACCTTTGAATCGACTAAGGCCCATCTCTCTAAGGCCTTTGATGCGCCAAACGCGAAAAAAACCCAAATATCTCTAAGATTGCGCGCGAATTTGGTGTCAATCGACGTACTCTCCATAACCGCGTTAAAACCAATGCGACCGCGAAAACTCAACAAAAACCAGTCAATAAGGTTTTTACCGATATCCAGGAGGAGATTTTAGTACGCTGAATTACCCAGCTAACTGATTGGCGTATGCCACCAACACCAAAACAGGTTGAGATGTGGGCAAATCGCCTACTTCAAGATTCTAGCTCTGAAGATACTAAGGATACTAGAACTGTTGGGCCAAATTGGGTATATCGCTTTACTAAGCGTCTTCCTAAAGGTCTAAAACTAGGTCCTTAGAAGCAGAAAGTCAAGGATTCTAAGCGAATGATGGCTAAAAATCCAGCTAAGATAAGTCATTGGTATGATCTGCTTCGTGGTATGCCTTCGCGGTTAATCTATAACTTTGATGAGTGTGGTTTTCAACCTAGTGATGTGAAGGGCTAAAGCTAATCTTGAATTCAGAACTAGCTAGGCACATGCTATTTACAAAATCCTTGAAGAACGTGAACAATTCGGGGTGGAATCGTGAGGTATGTGGTTGGTGGGTCACGTGGTACAACCACGTGATAGTTCACCAGGATTCAACCTGTTATAATACTCCCCTCCTATTCTTGTCACGGTGCCAGCTCAGACGACTACTGATTGATTAGATAGTGCGGGCCACGTGACCCGCAACCTCATGTAAACTCAGAACCTTGTCTGAATGTAGCTCTTCAAGCTACGTCTTCGTCTTAGCCTGTCAGTCAATGCAATACTGTCTGTCCAGTTCTAGTATAATTCTATTCACCTACCCGCCCTGTGACACTACGTAGCTTCTACCCTATACTAGAGCTGCCACCCGCCAGCATGCCCCGTCCTGAACCGCCTTTGAACGCCGATTCTATTGAAGAATTCCTGGCTCACGTCCAAGAACACCCCGACGTCTGGGTGCTGTACCTCTGGACTATGGAGGGCTACTCTCAAGAAATTGAGAAAGATAACCAAACCCTCCGCCAAGCCGCGACTGAAAGCGAGGAGACTCGGCACCGCAGGGAGGGTGTTATTAGATATCAGGAAGAGCGCATCAACAGCTTATACGATAAGATTGTTGGGCTCGAAGTCGAAAAAAATCAGATCCTGAACTCCGCCCTGCCTGCTGTACGAACCCCCCGACCGAAAACACTCCTGCCCAAGGTATTAAGAACCTAGCAGATATCCCTACGCGAGAACTTGCACTGACTCCTACCCTGGGTCCCTGGTCTGCCTCCCTTAGTGAAAGAATCCCTGACCCGAAAGAGTTTGATGGAACTCGCAGCGACCTCCGCTGCTTTACGCAGCAGATCTATGGCAAGATGAACGCGAACCAGGACCGTTTCCCGATAGCTATTGTCAGACTTACTTATATTGTGGGGAGACTCACTGGTAAAGCGTACGAACTAGTACTGCCAAAGATCTTATACAGAGTTCCCTAGTTTATAGACTACCCGCAAATGCTTGAATATCTCGAGAAGGCCTTCGGCGACCCTGATAGAGTCCAGAATGCCCAGAACCGCTTATACCAGCTCCGCCAGAAGAATAACGACTTTAATACCTTCCTATCCGAATTCCAGCGTTTAGCCCTAGAGGGCGAACTACACGAAGAAGCTCTGACTCCCCTCTTGATATAAGCTATCTCGAACAAGCTCTAGGATATGCTCTTGTATAACCTAGCTCCATCCCGCCAGTTTCATAGCTACACAGCCTATCTTTAGTCGCTCGATAACCGCTTCCGCCAACACCAGCAACAGATATACCGTGCCCGCCAACCCACGCCCTTAGGTAGTACACCCCGGGAGAAAATCGCAAGGACCTTGTACGCAGCCGCCGCGATAACGAATATACTACCTAGGACCCTGACTCCCGCCTAAGGCCCTAGCGAACCTATGGATCTCTCTAAGGCTAAGCTCACCCGGCGTGACCAGGGGGAGTGCTTTAGATACGGATCCAAGGATCATCTAGTCTAGGACTGCCTACTACCTGACACCCGCCCCTGTTCCCCTGCCCGCCTATATTCTAGCCGAATAGAGAACCCCGCCTAGGCTGACTCCGCTGCCTACGCTGAATCTGCTGAGTCTGACTACTCTATACTCCAGCTAATAAATGGAGTAAGCCTGGCCTAAATCGCGACTAGGTGAAACCCAACTATGTGCTCCGCCTATCTACAGCTATGCTAGGAGACTCTATTGAAGAAGAGAACCTCCGCGCCGATGTTTTTATCCTGCCTATAACCCTGACCCAGAAAGAGACCTAGATCCCTATATATGCTATAATAGATAGTGGTATAGAAGGGAAGAGGTTCGTCGATGAAGATTGGGCCCGAGACTAGAGCCTTATATTCGAAACCCTGAAAGAACCTATCCGCCTGGAGGCCTTCGACGGCCGAGAGCCCGAGAAGGGCTATATCACCTATTTCGTACGAATGAATATAAGGGTAGAGAACCACTACGAGAAGAAGGCCCTATTCCTTATCACGAAAATCGCTCACTACCCTGTTGTACTAGGCCTGCCTTGGCTTAAGATCCACGATCCTAGTATTTATTTCGCGAACCATACCCTCGAGCTAAATAGCCTGTACTGCCAGAAGTTCTATAACACCCCTGGTAGGGCCCCGAAGATCCGAGCCCTACATGATGTCCCGAAGAAAACCCGCCCTATAAACCTGCCTGATCGCCCCTCTGTCCTAGAAGGCCTAGATATATAGTCTATAAGCCTAAGGGCCTGCGCCGCGTACGCCCGAAGCGAGAAGGGCTATCATTTGTTCTCCGCGTCTATAGAGACACTAGACGAGATACTATAACCGAAACCTGACCCTGCCCTGCCTGACGAATTTAAAGACTTTAGAGATGTGTTCTCCCCTAAGGAAGCCGAACAACTGCCCCCACACCGACCTTACGACCATGATATTCGACTAATAGAGGGGAAGGCCCTGCTATTTAGGCCCCTCTATGCTATGTCCCGCCCTAAGCTAGAAGCTCTAAAGGAATGGATCTCCGAGAACCTAAGGAAAGGGTTTATCCGCCTAAGCTCCTCGCCTACTACCTCGCCTGTCCTATTTGTGAAGAAACCTAGAGGGGGTCTCCGATTTTGTATAGACTACTAAGCCCTTAACGCGATCTCGGTCAAGGACCGCTATCCCCTGCCCCTGACTAAAGAAACCCTGAACCAGTTAAAAGGGATGAAATACTTTACTCGCCTAGATATCATCTCTGCCTTTAATAACCTTCGGGTGAAGGAGGGGCAGGAGTACCTAACAGCGTTCCGTACAAGATTAGGTCTCTACGAGAGCCTGGTAATACCGTTTAGCCTAATAGGCGCCCCTGCTATATTCTAGAGATTTATCAACGATTCCCTATAAGATTACTTAGACCTGTTCTATACTACATACCTTGACGATATACTAATATATAGTTATATAAGGGAGGAACATATCGGACACATCCATAAGGTCCTCGCCCACCTCCGCGAAGCAGGGCTATTCGTGAAACTAGCTAAATACGAGTTCTGTGTTTCTAAGACCAAATTCCTAGGCCTGATTATAGGAGGCGAAGGAATCCGTATAGACCCTAAGAAGGTCCGGACGATCATGGACTAGAAATCGCTGACGAACGCGACTGATGTCCGAGCATTCCTAGGATTTGCTGGCTTCTACCGACGCTTTATAAGAGACTTCTCGAAACTGACTGCCTATATAAACGAACTCATAAAGAAGGATGTTGCCTTTGAATAGACTCCCGCCTACGAAGAAGCCTTTAAGACCCTAAAGACAGCCTTTATATCCGCCCCGATCCTGGCACCATTTGACTAGACTAAAGATATGATCCTGGAAACCAACGCGTCTGATTATATATCTATAGGCGTTATTTCCTAGTACGACGAAAAAGGAATACTATATCCTATTGCAT